TTGATTTCTCGTAAGGTGCCGATTGCGTCAATAAAAGAACAACAACCGATCCCTAGTCGGCATAGTTTATGGTTAAGACTACGACGGTATCTGATCATCTTCGATCCCCTAACTTTCGTTCTTGATTAATGAAAACGTCCTTGGTAAATGCTTTCGCAGTAGTTAGTCTTCAGTAAATCCAAGAATTTCACCTCTGACAACTGAATACTGATACCCCCGACCGTCCCTATTAATCATTACGATGGTCCTAGAAACCAACAAAATAGAACCATAACGTCCTATTCTATTATTCCATGCTAATATATTCGAGCAAAGGCCTGCTTTGAACACTCTAATTTTTTCAAAGTAAAAGTCCTGGTTCGCCAAAAGGCTAGCCAGAAGGAAAGGCTCGGTTAGGTCCAGTACGCATCATAAAGATGGACCGGCTAACCAAGCCCAAGGTTCAACTACGAGCTTTTTAACTGCAACAACTTTAATATACGCTTTTGGAGCTGGAATTACCGCGGCTGCTGGCACCAGACTTGCCCTCCAATTGTTCCTCGTTAAGGTATTTACATTGTACTCATTCCAATTACAAGACCCAAAAGGGCCCTGTATCGTTATTTATTGTCACTACCTCCCCGTGTCGGGATTGGGTAATTTGCGCGCCTGCTGCCTTCCTTGGATGTGGTAGCCGTTTCTCAGGCTCCCTCTCCGGAATCGAACCCTTATTCCCCGTTACCCGTTGAAACCATGGTAGGCCACTATCCTACCATCGAAAGTTGATAGGGCAGAAATTTGAATGAACCATCGCCGACACAAGGCCATGCGATTCGAAAAGTTATTATGAATCATCAAAGAGCCCGAAGGCATTGATTTTTTATCTAATAAATACATCCCTTCCAGAAGTCGGGATTTTAAGCATGTATTAGCTCTAGAATTACCACGGTTATCCAAGTAGTAAGGTACTATCAAATAAACGATAACTGATTTAATGAGCCATTCGCAGTTTCACTGTATAATTGCTTATACTTAGACATGCATGGCTTAATCTTTGAGACAAGCATATGACTACTGGCAGGATCAACCAGATAACTACATATTAGATGAAATCCTCTAAAATAGATTCATTCATCAGAAGTTATTCCAATTGCAAGAACTTAAAAGTTCCCGTAGATCATTCAATTTGAATTTTTACAAACAAATTAAAATCACTACATCCATATAGCCCTCTTTAAATTCTCCTGGTATGATGTCCGCTAAACAATTACTATGTAAAGTTTAACATAACCAACCATGGAGGGAGTTACACTTAATACATCACATTTGAAACAAACGGTTACATATCAAGGCAGACTCCCAAGTGGTTTTAGTAAAAATACTTGCTATTAGCTAGTAATCCACTAAATCCTTCAGTGCTTATACACAGAATCGTTAGATATCTAGTATAAGACTGTTCAGGCGTACTTCATAGAAATTCACCCATATCGTTGTAGCGTAAATAGCTGATTGTATCTTTACGTTACTCTCACACTATTTCCACTCATCGATTTGGCCTTAATAATCACAAACAAATTGTATTTGTTTGTTTTTACTTTGCTTTCGCATATATATCCTTCAAAACTATATTAAAAGCAGTACACTTAAACGATTTTTAACTATGCACAAGCGTGATATCTTAACCTTGTTCTCTGTTTCCTAAACCTATATCGTGTGAATGCTCATTTTTTGTATATAACGCCGCATTCTGGACTCACAGTGCTACCTAACTGGTCTTTGCAGCAAGGACACAAATATAACTTTTGAGATAAATTTTGCCCTTTTATAACCCCGCGGTGGAAAGAAAAAAATATATACATATAATACATAAAAATATTGACTGACTACTTACAATCAAAAATGCATACAATTTATATGCAATATGTAGAATTCATCAAAGATTTAACCTAAGTTTTTTTGCATGACTTTGTTCGTTATACGCGTGTGGATATTATTACTTTTTATTGATGAATTGCATTCGTTAACATACCATCAATATCTGAAACTTAGAAATTCCATCCACTTGTAATACTCAAAGTAATAAAAAAGCCTTAATTTAAGCCCTTTCTGATAGTGCAATTATGAATAAATTGTTTGAGCTTTGTATTGTATAAAAATTTGACCATGAAAATAGAAGTGGTTGATTTGCGTACTGACCCAGTTCATTCCCATAGTCTATCAAAACAATTCTAGCATTGTTTACAGGTCAGAGAATATCGTCACTTACTTGGATTTCCATTTGATCTACATCTGACTACAATTTGTCATTGGTTTAAAAAATTCGTCAATAATCCATAATTTTAAATTTTGTTAACTACTATTAAAATAAAGTCGAGACGCTTACGCTGAAAATTGTAAAGAATATAGTACCCAAATTTTCAGCTCGACCAAAATACTACAACCACTTCAAACCACAGCTACACTCTTTCGAATCCCCATGATTGCAAACTTTCCTACATATAGAAATAAAAAAAACAAATTTTCGGTTGCGGCCATATCTAGCAGAGAACACCGTTTCCCGTCCGATCAACAGTAGTTAAGCTGCTAAGAGCGAGACCGAGTAGTGTAGTGGGAGACCATACGCGAAACTCTCGTGCTGCAATCTTTTTTGGCAATTATTTTTTTGAACATAGTATATATCATTTAAAACTAGAGATCCAGATTTACGATTTGATATAACTTTGGTTGTCAAGAAGTGTTTTTGCTGTTGCTGTTGTTATTGTATTTTAGATTTAGTGTTTTTTTTAAAAAAAAAGACTGGTCAAAACGGTAAAAAATCAGCCATACGCGAAACTCTCGTGCTGCAATCTTTTTTGGCAATTATTTTTTTGAGCATAGTATATATCATTTAAAACTAGAGATCCAGATTTACGATTTGATATAACTTTGGTTGTCAAAAAGAGTTGTTGTCAAGAAATGTTTTTGTTGTCAAGAAGTGTTTTTGGATTTAAAGGGTTTTTTATAAAAAAAAATATTGTTCAAATCAGTAAAAAATTAGACTTTGTTACGAGAATTAAAACAAGGCAATTTCTAAGTACCAGATTCAGATTTATCTATTATCCTTCAAATAAGCCCAATAAATAGATTTGTTGTTAATAAAAATTGCGAATGTGACGTTAATTTATATTTTGATGATTGATGATTGGGAGCGAGAAAAAAATTTTCGCACTAACCTTGAACCAATCTCGTATAACGGATATTGGCTTATATCTTTTGAAAAATGCAATCTCTGGAGATAAGAACTATTTAAATGAGACCAGATGTCTTTGTTTCGGTACCATTACATGTGTAAAATCTTAATTCTTTTTGCCGGTTTGTAATATTGGCACATTTTCACCATACAAATTTTTTTCGAAAAAATGAGTGGAATGTATTTTTCTGTTTAGACCATAACTTTCAATACACGACCGATTATATGTGCAGCATCAAATAATGGTCCTGAACTCAATTTGAATTGCAGGGAACTAAAATTAAAATTTTTAATAGTATCTCTTTGGTTGGGGATTCTGAATAAATTGACCTAACGAAGTATCAAACTCCACTTCCTTATTCTAATTTGAGCATGACAAAATAACCCAAAGGGAGAATTATTTTTTTAACCTGTATATAAATAAACATGTACCTTTGATCTAGATCTAATTGTTAAATAATTTAATTACTTTAATTAAGTAAATATGTACCTGTGATTTAGATCTAATTGTTAAATATTTTAATTACTTTAATTAAGTAACTATGTACCTGTGGTTTAGATCTAATTGTTAAATAAATTAATTACTTTAATTGAGTAAATATGTACCTGTGATTTAGATCTAATTGTTAAATATTTTAATTATTTTAATTAAGTAACTATGTACCTGTGGTTTAGATCTAATTGTTAAATAAATTAATTACTTTAATTAAGTAAATATGTACCTGTGATTTAGATCTAATTGTTAAATATTTTAATTATTTTAATTAAGTAAATATGTACCTGTGATTTAGATCTAATTGTTAAATAATTTAATTACTTTAATTAGGTATCATGCATTAATTTAAAAAACTTTTAGTTTGTACCTCAATTTACTGTATCGTATTCATTATTTAATTTTTCTCAAACAATCGTTCATTCAATATGTTTTATTCTTTTAGTTTCAAAAAAGTTGAAGCACCAACTGATTTCCCAATAAAATCATTAGCTTGTTCGACTTCATTTCCAGCAATATCAATCAATCCGGCATTTGAGAGACAAAAACCAGAGTTTATAAATTCACACCCATCAATAAATCAAACGAAGACAAAAAGTAATACCTTCAGGACAAGGAACCGTTTTATCATAGCAAGAAGCGTTTTATTCAATTTAATAAGAGATGAAGGTTCTGACTTCAAACAAATATCAAAAATACTTTCAAATGTATGTATTAATTGTTTACACAGTTCAATTGCTGTACTAACTTAGACAAGATATGGAACAATGCAAGCAGTTCATTAAAAACTTACTTTGAGTACTTGGCAATTATAGAATCCTTTTGGTATGAAAAGAAAAGAACGGCTGTTAACTCAATTCCAAAATTTGACATGCTGAATGTTTACTATACAGAGATATTTTCGAGCTTATACAAAAAACCAAAAATTGAAATGCCTAGTAAATTTAGATTTCGTATAACTGATCCAAATATAAAGCGTGTAAGGAAAAAGAAAAGGAATAAGTTGGATGGATTGAAGACCAGAGGTAGTACTATTAACTGTAATCTCGGGATAATTACTGAGGATATTTTCAAATTTTAATTTTGTTTTTGTGTATGAACTTTAAATAGTAATAGATCATTTTTTTCTCGTATTAAAAAAACTTTAATTACGTCAAAGCATACAGCGATTGTAATCTTTGGCTTACCTCTCCGACCAAAACGTTTGATTTTGATTATTTGAAGTTGGACCTTTGTTTAAATATTTTTTATTTTTTATATATTTTAAAACTCGAACACCACTCGTCAAATTAATTAAAGATGAATTCAGAATTATATGATTGTCATTCATTATTACAAAGTTTAGCAACACTTGAAGATATTACCTCACAATTCCTAGATGATGAGACAAACCACTTATATCATTGTTCCCAAAAGAATATTGATGAGCTTAATGACTTAATTAACAATATTGGAAAGGTATGTAAACGAAGATACACTAGTCAATAAATACTAACTTTTCTAGCATCCGTTATTAGAGGCTGAATATTATGTTGATTCTCAAATGAAAGTTTTGCATGAGACTAATAAGAGAGCCACCAAGTTCACCACCGAAAGAGCTATTGTTTCATCTGCCACTAATGAGAATGATCTATGCATTAATGAAATGACAATACTGATCTCAAATAAGCTAAACGATAATTTTCTTTCTATGGATGTGAGCTCAGCTGCTGAAAAATTGTCAGAAGAAGCAGCGGTTGAAAGTTCAAATAAGACGAAAAAAAGAAGAAGAAGGTTAGACAAAGCTGCTACCACTATACTTGAAAAGGTGTTTGCAACATGTCCAACTCCAAATAGAAGAGAAAGAGAATTCATTGCACAAAAATGTGGTGTAGAGCCATTGCAAGTTAGGGTTTGGGTATGTCATTAATCTATGTATAATTTCAAGGTGCGTACTAACCGTTAGATCTAGTTTACAAACAAGAGAATGAGAGCTAAGCAATCTAAGAAAAAGTTAGAAGAATTGGAAAAATTTACAGTCACTTTACCAGGTCCTATTGCAGAGCAAAGTGCAACTAGTTTTCAATTAGATTAAAAGTCAATCATCAGTTTTGCTACAAGTTTTGGGCTTGCTCTATGCTTCGATGAAATTTACCTTTTTACATTTAAAATATACCTCAAATTGTTTCTAAATCTTATCTCTAGCTTTTGATGAACTGTTTTATCAAATTATCATTAAATGTGTCTTTTTAAATCTAGGAATCGGAACCCGTACAATTTGTGGATTATTCTATTGATTCGTTCTTTTACAATCTGAGCTAAGTCTATTACCATAATTTTGTGGTGGTTTTTAGCATTGATCAAATTAAGAATCGAATTCCGATACTGAGTAATGCATAAATATAAGTTGATAATTTCTAATTGATCTAAAATATATAAACAAGTTCAAACTACTTTAATAAGATTCGCTTTCTCAATTAGTATTTTGAAATTTTTTGCGTTCAAATTTCGACTGGCACAAGTTGTATGGAACCAGATATGAATCGGTATATCTTTAAAGTTTTGCAGTGTATATTCAATCTACCGCCATGACTTCCAATTAAAAAAAGAATTTTAAATATTATACATCATTCTAAGGTCCTGGGCATAATTTAATGTGATAAAAAGTAAAATCAAACAATTTAAAATTTTTTCTAAACTATGAGGAAAATCGAACAAATTGACCTTACGAAAAATACAACACCACAATTAAGCTCAAGACAAAAGTATGATCAAATTATCGGAATTTTTAGTTCCCCTACGTAAATAGACTTTAATTTTTTTTTTAAGGTGTTCAAAATTGAAATATTAATTTTTTACTAGTGATTCGAAATTTTTGAAAATATTTCAAAAGCAATTTAAAGATTTGAAACCATTATAAAAGACATTTATAAGGTTTAATTAGTCAAACTAACTACTTTAGAAGTTGCCAACAAGGTTCAAGTATTGATTATTTTGAAATTTAACGTTTTTTCCGAGTTTGTAATTGAGGAATAAATTGATCAAGATGAAATGCATTTTGACGAAATTGGCATCAATATATTCAAATATAACTGCTGTTTTCAGTGAACTTAGTTTGACTACATTAGCTTGTATATTGTAAGAGATTTTTACAGCTAAAGTTTGAAGAATAAGTACCGAATACTGCATATAAGATATAATTGCCTCTGAAAAAGTTTTTATCTTTCAATGCGATAGGTTGGACCGATATATTAAATAATCGTGCCAATTCTACGGCAACTCCAAGTTTGTTGAGGGAACATGTCGTAAAATTATACGTTTTTAGGAAATAAGAACTACTTAGAACAAAACAGGATGGACGAATATGAGGTTTTACTTATTTCAAAGTTCAACTCTAAGAGAATAGCTGCTCTCATAACAATTTGCAGTCATATCTTAGTCTAACTTGAGTGGCTTTCGTGCACCGAAGTCGTGCAAGATTTACCAAACGCTTTAGAATCAAAATTTCATGCAAAAGAAAAAAAAACATCAAGTTATAATAATCAATTAATCATCAGCGTTTAATTATAAAGTTATTAATTTTTATTTCAATGTTAATATTAATACTAATTTATTGATAATTCACTTATTTTTCGATAATTAATTTAAGATCAACACCTGCATAAAACATTTTTCAAATCCTTAACTTATAATAATATCTCATGTCGGATACAATTAATAAGAAACTGTTACCTTAGAAATTGATGATGGTGAAGCTTTCATTGCTTACAAATTGTTATGAAAAGCTCCAATTCAAAAATTTATCAATGCTTATTGTTATAGAAGAAATGTTGCAAAAGATGGATTATCATTTATTATTAATAAAAATTCTATTTCCAACTTAGATGCTACATCAGATGATTTAAATTCAAGGGATAATGATAAAATTGAAGTTTTTACAATGAGGAACCATGCTTAAACAACTACTTTATCATCATAATTATCAGGAATAATTTATCAAGGTCAACAATTGGGTTTGGTTTGGTTAATACCTCATAAAACTAGCTACTATTTAATCTATTTAATATATAAAGTTGCATCAAAGTATTTCGAAATCTAAATTTTTTATTCCGTGATTACAAAAGGAATTGTTATGTTACAAATATTTCAAATTAACCCAATTTTGATCTCATTATTAATCATTCAAAAATTGGAAAAAAACGTCATTTTGGAAAATAATCGATACTTAGACCCCGCTCAGCAACTTCTAATATAGCTGATTTGGTTTATTAAATCCCAAAGAATGGTTGCATACTGATCCCAAAATGTTATAATCATTTTGGATATTTTTCAAAAATTACAATTCAGTTTCGAATAATTACTTTTTTACTTCTCAATATTTCAACACAAAATTCCTTAAGATTTATCAGCATTCCAGAGCTACAAATTTGAAGAGTTTCATTATGCAATTAAGTTTTATGATAAAATACGTCGAGCCTGCATATAAGGCAATTTTGTTTCAGAATTATGCTTCAAATGTAAACTTCGTGCGACAACTAGCTTTGGGGCAACTCGTACTAAATTTAATGGCTTATATATTATGAACAGTTTTCTCTGGTGATAACTACCAGTTGTTTGAAACCAAACTCTGAATTTCAAACATTTTTTTTTTGTCATTGTGGCGTTTTTTCAAAAAAAAAAAAATAAAGTTTAGAAATTTGATGCTGAGATATATAGAATGTATAATCTCCGGCTCCTGATTTTATAAGAATTGTACTTACCTATAGGAAATGCGTTTTTCCAGAAGTATAAATCAATAAAATTAGCACGGATTGCCTAAACTCTAAGGCGAGAAATTATTTTTGTTCGGCGGAGCCAACGCTTTGAAAAATACATATTCTCAAAGATAATTTGCAACAAGTTAGACTTATATGCAGTCTTATCATAGTTAAACTTGATTTGATCTTTGTATTCAAACTATTATTCTCCAACTTTTTTCCTCGTATATTCAATCACCTTAGATTAAGCTGGAAATAACATCGCAAAGAAAACACTGTTTTGATTATTATATTCTTCATTCAAATAATGATTAAAACCCCAATTTGCGAGATAAGCGGCACTTTGACCTCGTTCTGCAACTTCTAACATATCTGATTTAGTTTATTAAATACCACGAATTGTATCTATTATGTTTTTAATATGTTGAAATTAGTTTGAAAATTTTGCAAAAATTTCGATTCACTTTTGAAAAATTAATATTTCAATTATGAATGCTTCACCGCAATAAATGTAAAAGATTATTGGATTAGAAGAGCTACAAAACATGATGATTTTATCATATTTTTATCACTATTTCAATAGTGGAGTTAGAATTTTCGTGAGGTAATTTATTCAAATTTTCCCATACTTAAGAGAAAATTTTGAAATTTTGAAATTTTATATCCCTTCGATTCAAATTGCGTTCGGGATCTTTATTTGAGGTATAGAACTTATAATCAATTCTTTAATCGAAAGTTATGGTCGTAAATTGATGAATACATTGCATTCTTTTTTTCGAAAAAATTTTATATGGTGAAAAAGTACCAATATTACAAACCGAAAAAAAAAAATTTGAATTTTGAGATGTTACACATATAAGGGTACAGAAACAAAAGGCATCTGTTCTCTTTTAAATAGTTGTTATCTCTAGAAACTGCGTATATCGAGAAATATACGCCAATACACGAAATAAGGTTGGCTCGAGGCTAGCGCGAGAATTTTTTTTCCTCGCTCCCGAAAGCAGGATTCATCCGAAACTAAACAATTTGAGAACCAAAAATGTTTCAATATGTGTCCACAGATTTTCAAATTCACAGTATATGACAAATATAGCGCTCAAGATGCAATGTTTATAATAGAATAATACGGTAAAACATAAAAAATATAAAGTCTAGTTGAGATTGCAAACCGTAATCTAACAAAGTTTCAACTTTAGATTGAAGAGGTTTTACATTGGGTAGAAATATTTAGAGTTCATGAGAATTGAAAAATTAAATCGAATTTTATAATTGGGATTATATTAGATTATGATAATTGTAATCACTTGTATTAACTTAAAACGAATACTGAATGGAGAATTAGAAACTTCATTATTGATGTGAAGAAAATTGAGATCTGCTGATCAGTTCCAAGTCAAATTATCAAGTAATATCTAAACTAGCAAACCGAATTTCCAACCATAAAATTATTGTGCCCACTCTAAAACTTCTAAAGAGCAAACAACAATAAAAATTGTTGTTGGTAAAGTCAAAATAACGTAACCCCAAAACAAAACACCATTCATTTCTTTTTGATAAATTTGATTTAACTGACTTATCTGTGATAATTGTATTGCTGGTGGTGAAATAGTTAAGATGAAACTAACTATTAAAAAAATTGGATCATCCAAAATCGAGATATTAATATATTTCACACAAAGTGCAATTAACGGCAACAAAATTATTGAAGGTAAAATCATTCTTGACAATAAAGAACCCACTAAAATTCTTGAATAATGCTTCGATGCTGGTGGAATATCTTTCGATGGATACAAATTTGAGCCTAAAACTACTAATATAAGGGGAATTGAAACTGAACCTAAATTATTAATAGCAGTAGTTAAAGTATTATGTATGAATGATCCGTTTCCACTCGTATCAAAAAATAAATTTTGTAAAAAAGGTACTGATGCTACCGTTACACTAAATAACATTGCCCAAAGTGGCGGATTCATAAAGGAAATAAACTGAGATAAAATTGGCACTTGATTATACCATGGAGTTGATTTTAATTCTAACGCTTCTACGTCAGAAGTTGAGGAAGAATCACATGAGCTAGATTGGATTTCTTGAAATGTTACATTTTGATCAACTTCAGGTTCAACATAGTTAATTTGTAAATGTTGTTGTTGTTGATTTTGCTGCTCGGTATCTAATAACCTTGAATTCTCCTCATGAACAATAATACCATTCTTTGTATAATAAGTGTTTAATTCAAGATGACTTCTTTTTCTTAATAATTTATTAAAACCCCATGACCATCTTAAAACTTGACCTAATTGTTGAAAAATTAATAAATACAATATACCCCTTCCAGCAACTTTTTCCAGAGAATCATCTTCTATATCATCCCATAATAGATCAGGTAAAGTATAAGCCAAACTTAGTGTTAAACTAACTGGTAAACTATTTGAATTACCAAACACAGCCATGGCAGTAACAAAATCAGTTTCTGGATCATTTAAATTCAATACATAACCTGTAAATCTAGAACATGAATATGAAATGATTGTTGATAAAATGAAAAAAATGGGGATTATGATAATATCAATGATTTTTTTAAATGATAAATTCAATGCCAATTTTGAAAATATTAAACATGGTGTAAATAAATCAACATTCAATGAAGATAGTAACTTTTGACCTTGTATATTTAATAAACCATACTTCGATGCTAAAAAGCCAGCAAAGCAAATAATAATAACTTCTAAAACAGCTTCAAAAGTTAAAAATGAGATACCTAAATAAGAAAGTGAATCAGCCGGATTTGATAGTAGATCTCCACCTTTAATCATAAAATAATTTACTTGAAACTGACTTCTTTTCGACTCAACTCTCGATAAAGTGATTTGATGGAAATTGAAAATTCTTTAAATTTAAATATTTCAAATGAAAATCAACAAAAAATTAATTAATTTTTTAACCAAAACAAACAAAACAAAACAATAATTTATTTAATCTGTGGCTTTAATTTTTGATGACTATTTTATTGATTTCCCACTGAATAAAATTCAACAAATGATATTGTACAACACTATTAAAATTGACGAATAACGATAAAAATAATAATTGAATTTTACTAACAAATTAACTGATTGAAATATTTGACTTTCAATTTAAAAGATTCTGGAAAAAGAATAAATTTAAATATGTAAATATGCAAATATGGATCAATTAAATATGATGATGAATTGAAATGAAATCCCCTTATTAATTTTAATATATATTATTTTTTTTTTTTTTTTTTTTATTTTTTTATTATTAAGCTTAATATTTAATTGTTATTATTATATTATGTAAGAAATCATCATGGAATATAAAGAACGAAAAGCAAATAATATAATATGTTAGTGTCAGTATATACAAATTGATCGGTCATTTAATTTCAAATTACTAGCTCTTTACTGCTTTTATTTCGTTTGGGCTGTGCATGTATAGATAATAATAGCTGTATTAATATATGATACCACTGATTTACTCGTTTCCCTTGTTATCGTGTGTCTTTAATGACAATTTTGTAACTAATTCTCATTATAAGGATATTGGATTATTTGTTTTCATTTTCTTATTAAGTTTGGTTTGATACCATCTCATAATAGAGGTATAATGTAAGTTTTGGAGTATAGAAGAAGAGTTATTACTACAGCAATACATTCGATTAAAAGATGAACAGATTTTTTTAACCCTTACACTTTTTTAACCCTTTACACTTTTTTCTTTTCTTCTCTTGCATTAAATCAAGCGTGCACTGTTGGACAACGTGGGTTTGAAAAATATGAAAAACAGCACGAAACGACAAGGGCGATCAATTCATACCAAAAGAGAAAAAAAAAAAAAAGAAATGGGCCAGATATTTTTTAGACAGGCGAAGCCAAACGAATACTATACCCTACTACCTACCCATTTGTATTGCATAATTATAAATTGGAGATCAGCATATTCATTTTATGTAAATAATGTTGCCCGTCATTTATATCGCCTTGGGGTTCTCCATACTAAATTATAAAAGGTATATAGGAACAATTGATTTAAGCTTGACATGAGAATGAAATAACTACTTTATGCAATTCTCGATTGAAAGTGTCGCTAACTTAGCATTATTTTTACTAAAGATTTGACATGGTAAATTTATCTACAAACTTTTACAAAAAATTACGCGTTAAATTATTCAATTATTAGCAACTTATTCTTATTCTGAAGGTATTGTTCTTCTTAGTTAAATATTTAATAACAATTCATTATTTATCTTCATTATTTATCTAAATAATCTTTCGTTTACTTGTTGTTGAAAGGGATACATATTTTGCAGTCGAAAAAAAAAAAAAAAAAAATAAAAATAAAAATAATAATAAAAAAAACAAATCAAAATTTACAATACCAAAAAACAACAATTGTATCAAAGATTGTAATTGTAATGAATATATAACATTAATTTCAAATACTTTAATGATTCCAAATTTAACGAAACGAATTAATTTGACTCATCAATCTAGTACTACAACAACAGCAGCAGCAACTACTTCAACACCTGTTAAATCATCTTCTTCAAAATCATCACCATGGTACAAAAAAAAGTTCACAACTTCATCAGACATCGAAGAAGAGAAATACGATGATTTTAGTGATTCCAATGATTCATCTGACAGTTCTTTTGAAAAAACACCATCTCCCAAAAAAATGCAGCAACTACTAAACCCCAGCAGTAATCAATTTGAGTTTTCATCAACACCGATAAGTTCAATGAGTTTTCTATCACCTACAAATAAACTTAATGATTTACATTTACAACTGGATATTTTTGAAATTAAAAGTGACATTACAAGTGAAAATGAGTACGAGGAAGCTGATAAAACCATAAACGAAGAAGATGACGAGGAGGAAGAAGAAGAAGAAGAGGAAGAGAAACAAGAAGAATCTCAAATTGATCCACCACAACACATATCTAGGAAACGAAATTATATTGACTCAACTGCTACACCAATGGTAATAACTCCATTAGGTAGTAATAACAATAGCAATAGTTTTAGTAATTACTCGAAATTATCATCCATTTCGAATTCTGATTCAACTCCTTGCCCACCACAACCCAAACGTAAAAAGTTGAAATTTAAGCAAGAGAGTTCAAGGAATATTTTGCACTTAAACTATGCCAAAAAGAAGATTGTCGAGAACAATAAACCGCTAATATACCAAGATCAACCCGACTCTGACGAAGAGCTTGAAGATTTGAACAATACCATGAGTCGTAAATTAGAGTCAACACCAATATCACAATCTACACCAGCTTCAAGTCGTGCATCAACTCCTCCTATAACTAATAACAACTTCAACAATATATCTGAAGAGTATGGTCAAAGTATAAATGGGTATAAGTTTGTAAAGCACAACACCACATCCAAATCCAAAACAAATTTATATAACTACAATTATGAAACTCCAATCGACAACTTTAAAAATCAATGTCATACACACTACACACAATTAAGAGATGCTTATATACGAAATGATTATGAAATTATCGGTGAATTACCTGTTACATCAGCTGGTTTGATGAATGAAAATGAAAGTGGTATCCATGTTGGAGATAAACGGATAATCAATGAAACAAATCAATTACGTGTAGATTATTTGGAAGATTCAAGATTACCATTTATTCCACCTTATTTTTATCAAAATAATCTTCCAAAAAACTTACAACTAAAGTTAGTTTCAAAATATAATCTAAGGACTTTTTATAATTTGATATTAGAAGATAATGAATCATTGATTGAATTTTTAAAAATAGAAAGAATAAAATGGCATCCTGACAAATGGATTAAGTTCGAACACATTGAAATTATTCAATTGTTAAGTCAGACTATTAACGAATTAATTAATGATATAAAAAGGGAACAATAGGAGGAGACATTTTTATGTTATGAATGAACGTTTATTTTTTATTTTTAGGGCTTTTAATCTTTTGGCGTACTTACTAGTTCTTCCTCTGATTCAATATCTATTTCTTCATCTTTATCATTTATTGTTCCAGTTTCATCTTCTTCAGCATCTTCATCTTCGTCTGCTTCATCTTCGTCTTCGTCTTCTTCTTCTTCTTCCTCCTCTTCATCTTCCTCTTCTTCTTTCTCTATTTCCTCTTGTGAAATTTCTACTTGAGGAGGTGGTGCTTCTTGATTTTCATTATTATCCCAAGGAATATTAAATCTCGTCACTCTTGGTTTTTCAGCTAAGATATTTCTGACCACATGATTTACTTGAACTTTAGCGGGTGGAGCCTCTCTTAACTCTTCTGAATCATATTCATTATTTACGTAATATCCAACTCTAACAAATTCTCTATCATTATATGAACAACTCAAAATTATTACCGTAACACTTACTAATTCACTGGCAGGTATTAAATCAGGACTTGGTGCATCGGCTTTGAACAAAAATGAATTTACTCCAATTGGAACAGGACCAACCAATATAGAATCCAATTCTTGGTCATGATCTAACGAATCTGATGATCCAACATATGTTAACTTCCATTCCAAATCATCCTTCAAATTTTCCAAACATTCAAATGTGATCTGGAATTCATATGGATCAGTAAACCTGGTTGGATTATTGAGCACCTCTATACCTGTTAATGAAACAATTGACATTGATTACCGATTGGATGATCTGGTTTCTACCTTTCTAAATGTATATAATAAAATCTTTTTTTTTTTAAATAAAAAAAACGCGACTGGTAAAAAAAAAAAATCAATAATCGTGGATCCATATGAACAAATACTACCAAGTGTGATCTAATGAAAGAACTTAAAATAGTTATCTGATTTCATCATCGGATCAATTGAAAGTCTATTTGTGTAAAGGGAAGTATTTGCATCTGAGTAAGACTCTTATGATGCGAGTTTGGCATTAGATGTGTCAGCAGAAATCTCTGAGTCCTTTATTATGATAGTCCTTTAGTGTTGACAAATGTGGGACCTGATCATCATGTACAATGCAACTTGTTATTGCAGTTGACTAAATATTCAAACGTCTTAGAAGTCATCTTTTGATACGCGTATCAAAAATTAGGGGGTTATTTTTTTCTTTTTTTTTTAACCAACCAAAGTATAAACAGGGAGAAATTCTTCATATTCTCCATCTTGTTTTCTTTATAATATTTATAAATGAAAACGGCTAAATCGTGAAGCTGTAGTACATATTATCTGTGAGATGATAGATTGTGGGTAATGGATTTTATACTTATGGGGGAGATTCAATGAATTTTTGGTGTGTCACTAATCGCAAGATTAATCGACAGTGGAGATCGATAAACAATTAATTCTATTTCGAAAGCATCAATTATTATAATTTCGGTTTATAAAAGGAACCGACAATACTAGAATCAGAAACCTTATTCAAATAAACTTCATTGCTATATTTTTATACTCTAATGTAGTTATTAGTCTTGAAATGAAGTGGGTTCTTTGAACGTACTTCAATGATCCTTGGTCTTTTGATCCTGTTATTGTTTGTTTTAAAAACCCAATTTCTTCACTATTTCAAATCTTCAAACAATTATCATGTTATCTTACTGACAATATCCCAGTATCCTGGTTTGCATTGCCATTCTTCTAGACGAAGCTCCGACAACCTCATACTCAACTCACCAACATTAATTTTACTATAATAACTACTAATATGCATTTTTACTCTTTTTCGAGCTCCTTTCTTGGCTCGTCTACTATCATTTGGTGGTTGCCATTCAATCATTTCAAGCATAGTAATTTTTTTACTTAATTTATTGAGATTTTTGAACTCTTCAATTGATGATGAGTTTTTTACCATCCGCATGAGTGTTTTTTGATGCCATTTGTCTCTTTAAGTTTGATGGTTTTTTTTTCTTTTTCCAGCTGTCCTCCGCCATTTTAGAAATTTATTAGAATGGCATTAAGACTTCTTGCTTTTCTGTAAATTCGTACAAAATGTCCCCAATATTATTTTTACTACCTTGTAGCAAAATCTTCAACTAATAATGGGTTTATCCCTCTAGAATTCCTTACTTGTTTTTAAGCTTACACTAGCTTCCAATTTTCAATGGTGATTCTTTAAAATTTTCTTAGTTTATTTCGATAGTTTAACTTTATAATTGCGACTATGATAACAAGCAGTTGACCAAATTGAGTAATAGTAAACTTCCATTTTCTGCTTAAATATTTAACATGAATAACAAAGTGGATGCATCAACATTCCCAAACCAATTTTAGTTACTCATTTGGGTTCAATATACTACGGCAATAAACTCCTCAACAATTGATGAAAAGTGAGTTTAACTTTTTTATGACTTCATTATTTGATGAAGCTATTGGTACTTAGAGGCTATTGTTGCAAAAATAGCGTTAATCAATTCAACTTTCTACTAGCTTGTCATGCAAAAATCAGACTCGTATATTGTATAAAATGGTCACAGTAAAGTGAGTTCAGATTCACCGGTTTTAAAAAAATTTGAAGACAAATTTATAGCGATCAGTTCAATCCTTACAGCATCTACACTACAAAATGGTGATTCTCATAAAAGTACTACTATGAATATCTGATGAAGTCATCACCCTAGATTCATAAGCGATTAATTTTCGATGTAGTTCAACTATTAATTGAGATTATCTTGTTAAATGTTTGAATTGTCAGCATAATTATGCAATCAGTCGTGAAACAAGCATTTCCTATGACAATATAGCTAAAACTGTCATTGAAGATTGTTTTTTGCAGCCTAATTTCTTGCATAATTTACAACATCAACAACAAAAAAAAAAAAAATATATATATATATTTTTAATCTATAATTGATCACCTTACAAGACTCAATCCATAACTACTTTAGCGTTAATATGTCTGATCTACTTAGTTTAACAGAAGACGAAGATATGAGAATGAAGCAGGTAGTGAATGAAGAAGAGACACAAGAACAAGAAGCGTTAATTGAGGATACTCCATTACAAAATTCGTTTAGTGACTTGGAGAATGAACTTGAACAGCAGCTAAAAATTGAACTAAAAGAAGAGTTTTTAGAAGAACAACAGAGTGAGGAGATCCCTGAAATTACTGATGACTTAACTTTTGAAGATTTACAGAAGGTATACAATCAATATCAAAATAAATTCAAATTAGCTTATTCAAAGTCAAAAAGATTATTTGATAGTGAAAAAAATCAACGATTAACACTATATTATATGCATAGAAGGAATCAAATATTATTAAACATATTAGCAGACTCAGAAGGAGGCGAACTAATAGAAGGAAGGGACATAAATGATGAAGAAATATTTCATATCTTGAATAAATTGGATGATAAATCCATAAGTTCATCGTTTGATGAATTAATATCGAAAGGTAAGATAGACAAAAATTTGATCTTTAATTTATATTTAACTGAAAAAATTCCAGATTTGATAAATGATGATTTAATTAATTGTGAAATTAATCCATTAAATACCGAAAATTGGTGTATTAGAAATTTAAACAATTTGGTAAATTTAAAACATAAACCAATTACAATAGAAGATGAAGAGATTTTGGATGAGTATAAGGGGAAGGATTTTAATCTAGGTTTATATAATGAGATCAAAGATCAAGAAAAAGATATTATGGAAGAAATTCCAATCATTCAACAAGAAATTAATATAAATGCTTCGACCCCAAATACTAAAAAAAAACGCAAAACAAAATAAAATGAATATGATTTTGATACTGAAACAAAAGTAGGAACACATTTATATTGAAAACTTGAATACTTTCAGTACATGGTACGAAAAGAAATTAAAAATTAATTTGGTTTAGTTTGACGGTCAAAAGATTTCATAAGTACCAAGTTTTGAAAGTATTTTGAAGATTTATGTATACAAATTAATTTCAAATAAATAAGCATTCCATTCGTGACTAGCTATTTTACAGAAATTGTTTACAATTTGAGTGAAATAATCTTGATCAATAAATTAACTCCTTTTGTTACCGTTTTTTATCTTAATATTTAAAATGTAATGAATATAATTATCAGTTTTAAATAAATGCATTGTATAAGTCAATAAATAACTCAAATATTAATCGATACTCAAACCAGGTATTCTTATGTCAAATTTTTGAATGAATTTCTTCGTTCTTTTACAATATTCTCCAATATATGATTAGTATTACTAATATTGTTAGTATTCAAGAATAAGCCAAATATATAAACTCTTTTACCAAAAGAATAGTTGCCCTTATCGATTAATTTTATAATCTCTAAAAATAAATCAACATTTTCAAAAATCTCAGCGTTTTGAGCTTTAATTTTATTTAATTCTCTGATTGCTTTGGACTCAATTCTTGAAAGAACGATGTTCAAATTTTGAATTAATGAAATGATTCTATGATTCACCAAACTTGAGCTCTCAAAGTTTGTATCGAGAACCAAGCTGTTGAATATATGATAATATCGGGTATCTCTATAAGGATTAATAGTAGAAGTATTAAAGATTTTGCTTGTATCTTTTGGATAGCTCAATTGTTTGTCCACCACACTAATCCATTCAAATTCATCAAGAATCTCAATACCCTCTATTTCATTAGCTAAACAACCAATAATAATAAAACATAAATATTTAATTTCCCATAGTTGACAATTCTGAACATTAAAAAATATTACATTGATTATTGAAGTAGTTGAGAGAATCGGATCTAACAATTGTATTCCAAACTTACTAGATCCAATATATGCTCCGATTATCCATAGGTTTTGTTTTAATATTGAAATCAATGAAGAATTATACTTTGATAAATTGTCAATATCAAGAAACTCATCTGAATTAATTTGAGAAAACAAATTCTCTGTTGTTGAAAGTAAGTTATCTAGGTAGTGCTTACCTTCTCCATTTTGAAAAAAATTGTATCCATCTTCAGTGGATAATAAATTGTGGAAAAATTGAAATTGTAAATTTGAATTTAAATCCTCGAAATTGAGGTATGGAAACAATGATTTCGTTAACTTTGATTCAATTATATTCAAAAGCTCAAAATTATTTGGCTCATCATTCAAAATTGTCCATCTATTGAATAATTTACTTAAATATCCAAACTCTTCAAGGTATTTAAACCCAATTGATGTCCTCATGAAATCGACCAATAAAACCTGTCCGTTAGAAAATGTATCTAATATTTCAATTGGTGGCTTTAAACTAATTAAATGATCTAAATTTTCAAAATTTGAGTCTAAATAAAATTTTAACAATAAATCAATTGATTTCCGTACAATTTCGCAATTACTCAAATCGTATAAATTATCCACAAGTATTTTTACAATAAAGGAACCAATTTTTTTTTCAGATTTCAAAAGTTTTGGAAGTACTTTATTTATTAACAATGCTTTTAGTTTTGGATTTGAATTTCTGAATGTAAAATCCAATAAGTTTTGAAATGGAGAATCTTCAAGGGTGAAATCAACATGCTTGAATAGTGTGAAAATGAATAAATTGTTGGATTCTATAGTTTGACTCGATGATATAATATTAAGGAAGCTAGTAAAAAATTGCCACTGCTCGAACATTTTAATTCCTAGTTGATAACTTGACATGATTCCAATAAATCTAATATAACCAATTGAACATGTTGTTTCTAATCTTCTTTTACTCAAGATAGGGTCTTTTGCAGTTAAGCCACTATACACATCAATTTGACATAAAATTTCACTCAATTGTGGCAATAATTTACTTTGCGATAAGTATTTAACTCCCGAATCAGATTGAAAAAACATTTCAATCAACTGGCAACCAACATTAATGTACATCGAGGAGCTTTTGTTCTTATTAACGTTGGTGATCGAAAATCTGTATTTAAATGGACGATAAAATGACATTAATCTCTTGAAAAATTTTGGTGATTTTTCCAAAATTTCTTCAAATCGCTTGCAATTTTTTGAAAAGGGGCCCATAATTAATTCAGATAAAACATTCCAGTTCCATTCTTCATACTCTTTAATTGTTAAGATTTTACAATTTTGAATCATTAATTTGAATTCAGTGTCGTCAACAATAACCAAAGACTTTTTTACAATAGTTGACTTAATATATGATACGAATTCTATTGTTGGTTGAAATTCGGTTCTGGTCAAATTCACAATATCAAATAAGGATAAACTTTTGGGTAGCACTAATTTATCTTTAGGTATCAATTCATTTGGTAAATAATTGCTAGACATAAAATACAAATTAAAAAGCAAAGTAGCAGCCTTTATCTTTAAATCTGGGTCAGTTTCAATTATTTCAATCAAGTATTTGCATATATCATTACTGATAAATGTTATAGTTAATAATCCTTGATAATGATTTACAGTATTTTTAATAAGTGGGTCCTCAATATTTGAATACTCGAATAAAATTCTTTTATTATGATTATTTCCAAGTCGTGCTAAAAATTCTCCTATTGGACTTGATTTTAACCATGGAAATACTTTGATTCTAAATAAATCTAGCAATAAATCTAATAGTGAATCCTTTACCTTCGAACTTTTATTACGTAGATTGATCAATAAATTCTTTATACTTGTGTAGTCTTTAATCGTAAATGCTAATAAGCCATTAAAATGTTTTAATAAAGTACTTATCAAAAATGAAATTTTTTGAAGTTTGAAATTGGTAACTCTCTTAAACTTACTATTGGAACTTTCATTATTTTCATGAAAATCGGAAAATACTGAAATCAATGAATCTAAATCATAACCATTTCTCAAAAATTTTCTTGAATTTTGAAAATTCAAAATTTTCAATAGTATGATTAAGCAACTATATGAAACTTCAATATTCGAGTCAATTATTGAATTTATGATAAGTTTAAATCCACCAGAATGAAAAATTAACTCCGGTTTCAATATTGCTATCTCACATATTGTTTCCAAACATAAAATTTTAAATTCTTTTGGAATTTTTGTTGATGTTGTTTCCTCCTCTTCTGTTACGACTGAAATAAGAGACTTCAATATTCCACAACTTAATAAATTTACTCCAGTTTCAACATTCAAAAATTCTCTAATTAATTTCAAGGCTTGGGTTAATTCAATATATGTTGATGTGCGTGGGTTTGCAAAGCTGATAATTATATAGATTAATAGTTTTGATTGAATTAATAATACCAAACTATCATAGTCAACAATTAAATACCTTAAAATTTTATAGCACGATGCTCTAACTTCACTTGTTTCATGATACAACATGTATTTAATTCGTGGTAAAACCGTCCTAATTTGCACTTCATTTTTCAAATTTGGATATTGCTGGAATAATTCGATGAGATCATTTGATTTAGAAACTATCAAATATTCGTCTGAACTTGTATTTTTTTTATCCTTCAAAGAAGATAAATTCGATAATAAGTCACTCAATAGCCATGTTGGTTCTTGATTAATTAAATTTTTTCTAATATTGGAGTCATTTAAATTTGAAGTTGACTTGTCAAAATTATTCGTATTTTCACGATTAAAGACTGAATGAAATGATATATCAATAGAATTCAAAGTACTGCTTCGATTCCTCTCGAATTCGTTTCTTGATAATGAATGAGTTGATTGCAAAGTTGGATGTTGTTGTTGTTGTTGTTGTCTTTGCTGATGCTGTTGCTTAGATAGTTTATTATTTAGTTCTTGTAGATTCGAACTTGATGAGCTTGTAGTCATATCATTGATACACAGGTTGATAAGAATCTAGTATAGTTTTGATAGTCTGAGAAATTTTTTGCGTGGGGGGAGAAAAAAATTGGCGCTACCAAGTCTGTTACAGATAAACATCAAACAAGTTTACTATGTAATTAATTGAATTTATTTTGGACCAAACAGAGAAATAAATTATTTGATGAAAGGAGTACAAAACTTGAGATAAGTATGTTCCATAGACATTCTGATCATACGTAAACTTACCAAGTATGACCTAATACTAGTTTTAGAATTCTGATGTTTTGTAGGAGAATAATTCACGAGATATTTTTAAGTATTAGATTCATGGCAGTTGTCTACTGGAAGGCGAAATTAATATTTTTGGTATATATCAACTTTGAATGAAGCAGAGTGAGTTTGAAATTTTTGTATTGCACAATTTTGGGAAAAGCTTTGTATTTTGATAGCTATCGATATGACTTTAGATGATATCTGTGCCAAAATAGCATAGAATCGAGATCTCAATAAGTGATTAAAAAACTTCTCACATCTTTGATTTCCCCTACTTTGAAACGGAAATAAATTACAAGAACAATAAATTACAAGAGCTTAGACCATAGCAAGATAATTGAAATAATTGCAACGTTATTAACAACAATTATATCCGAAGAAAAAGTTTCAAATAATATAAGATGAGACGTTATCAAACAAGTTTAAGAAATAAGTTTAAGAAACAGATGAAGATGTTAAACTGATCAAAGGAGGAGGATATAAAATAGAATAATTTAGGACCGAATCTGTTTAAAAAACCTTAATCTCACAAAAAAAAAAATACCTCAAAATCGAAACAGAAAGTTCTGTTCATAATATCGTCTATATATTAAATATGAAGGAGTAGAGTATTGATAAAAACGGTTTATTATTATTCAAATTGAATTACGTCTTGTACTGTATCTTACCATGTAGAGATGACAATCTGGTGCAGTCAAAACTGAAAAACTGGTGAAGGGGAGTGTGTAAATTAGGGGGTAAATCAATTTCTGCAACAAAAAAAAAAAAATAAAAAAAATAAAAAAAAAAATGTGAAAATGAAAAAATGAAAAAAGTGAAAAAAGTGAACAAAAAACCCTGAACTTGACCAGCAGATATTCGCTTTCGATTATTGATTTGTGATTCAATTGGTTTCGAATGACTTCTCTAGCCATGTTCAACGCTTCACCTATAAGCTTTCACTTATAAGCTTTGAAAGTGAGATGATGATATATGTCGTTGTCATGGGAATTTTGAATGAAGTGTGTGATTTTAAACTGTTTCGAATAAAAATCGTAAAAATAAACTAAGTTAATTATCAAATTAAACTTTTGTTTGATCAAGGATCACAACTTTCAACCATTGAACGACTATTGAATCTTAATTATTAACATAAAAAGAATTAAATGAATGATATAAAGTTGCTCAAATAGACTTTAACGTGTCCACTAGTTCAATTCACAACTTCGAAAAAGTATGGTACAGTTTATTAACTAAGAATTAAAGGATGATCAATTTGCAATCTGTGAATTTAAAGTTGAATGCAAATCTTGTTGATTTTGTTAAATTTTAGTAATTTTTTTTTAGCCCTGAGATTAAAAAAGTTTGTTCTTAGATTCGAAATTATTTACTACAGTATAATTAATTTATATGATGTCATATAATTTCATATAATTAAGCCTGTCACTAAAAATCTATCAATGTTAAATTAAATTTGAAATAAAAAGTTTAATTAATTTATAATTGAAACATTTTGACAGGTTATTTGTCTTATTTTCATGTCTCAAACTTTTGTCCTAAAAAACATGGCATAATATTGAATTTCAGATAAGATCATCCCCAGTATTTTACAATTAGAGTATAGCGTCCGAAAAGAAAATATAATTACAAAGTTGTGTACATTGAATAAAAAAAAATGTAAATACTAATACTAAGATTGTGCGGCTTCAATTTGAAACTTATTTCTATGTTAGGTCGAAAAAAAAGAAATCATCGCCTCAGAAGCTTTAAAGTTTGGAACTTTATCGCCATACTTTATACCAATTGTATTGCGACATTGGACAGGTAAAACCACAAAAAAAAAAAAAATGAAAAATGAAAATGAAACGGCATTTCTTCTTATCTTTCAAAGTGATACGACATAAATACACAGTTTTTCCTGTAATTAATATAACCAAAAACTTCGAGTAAAACATGAAAAAGTTATGTAAAATATATGGTGTTTAAAGGTAATAAAGAATAAAGATAATTAAATTTGATTATTAAGCCTGCAATAACAGCTCTCATACTACTACCTCATTTTCATCATCTTTCAAACAAATGTCAAAAATATCATTCCCTTTTGTGTTTATTATTTCATATTTACACTTCTTCTTCTTCTACGTACAACAACTTAAAATTATTTGAATTGTATATGTATAAAAAAAAAAAAAAAATAAAGAACTCTCCTACAAAGACTTAAAAAGTGTGACATTGCACGACGTACATCTTTAACAAAGTTTATTAAATCTGAATTTGCATAATACCGAGTTGAATAGTATACTAAATCTCAACATTCAAACTAAATTATAATATTTTGATTATTGTATATCTTAGAATTTTTAATTAATTGTCTGTGTATTTTATTGTAGTATAAATAAGTAATAGAAAGTAATAAGTTTCTAATTTAATTGAAAAATTAAATGAATTCTGATTGGATGAAAATTAAAGGGTAATTAAAAATGTCGTTCATCAGAAAAAAAGAAAACTAAAAAATAAAAAAAATGAATGATCACACAACCAATCAATAGAAATAAAAATGGAAAACAATCAATCAAAATTATATTTGTTATTAAATAAATAAATAAATGTTATATTTATTAAAAAAGTTTAATCTTATCTATTAATATTTTATTAAGTAAGAATTATGTAATATATTATATAATTATATATATATATATATATATATATGTTTGAACTATTTTCCGTTTTCTTTTTTTCATAAACTTCATTTCAAATTCATCATTATTTTATTTCATCTAATTGATAAACCAAGTCACTAACCAAGTCACTAACCATTCAAGTCATATACTACTACTGCTACTGCTACTGCCCATTATATTTAACTTAAATAAAAGTTTTCATTTCATTTTAATTTTCAATTTATTGTTTTAATTTTTAGTTTTTATTTTTATTTTTATTTTTATTTTTTTTATTCTTCATTCATTCTTCATTCAATTATGTCTGTAACTAAAACAGTCTCTCCGTCAAGATCAAATTCAACAAAACAAAAGTTATCATTATTTTCATTTGGTTCAAATGATGATCAACAATTAACAAACAATTGTACTACTTCATCATCGTTATTATCATCATCATCAGAGTCTAATACTATTACATCCAAGAAAACTAATAATAATTATAAAGATTCCCCCAAAAATTCAATATCGTTAGAGTCTAATGATACATCTTTTGTAAATGATCCATCTTTTATATTTGAAAGAAATGTTCAAGATTGTTGTGTTTTTGATGCTGGTTTGAGAACGAATTCAAGAATTTCATTAAATTCCTTAAATAATAGAGAATATAGTAATAGCAAAGATTCATTTAGAAGACCAAGATCTTCAACTCATAATTCATCAATTTCTTTAACTACTGGCCAATACCTTAAAAACGAAGATTACATACCTCCTACTTTAGATGCAAGTGTTAAGATTTGTAATGATAAACAAACAAATTTAGAAGATATTGAAGTTTATTCATCATATAATAATAGAAGAAATTCAAGTGTTTTGGCTTTGAATGCAGCTTTGGGAAAACCAAGTTTAAGTAGTCCTATTTCTAGAAAAAATTCATTATCTAGTCAAAAAGATTATGAAAGGGAAAGTTTGTCATATAACTATAATTTCAAAGACAATATTGCAACTTCACCTTTATCTCCAAACCCTAACGCTCCTCCAAAATTACATCATTCAAAATCAAGTTTGAGTTTTTACTCTTATGCGGAGATGATCAATAATGAAGAATATCCACAAATCAGTAGAAGACCTCCAAATTTAAGATCTTCTTATTCACAAGGAGTTATACCAACTTTAAGATTACCTAAATTTAAGAGTAATAATAATAATAATAATAATAATAATAGTAATGATAATATCAAACTGAATTTACAACAGCAAGGTAGAAGACAAGCAGATACAAAATCTACAACTCCAGTAACAACAACAAATCAATAGAGTATTTGAAAGAATCAAAAGGGATCCATTTGGGGATAACATCTACCGATAATTTAAGGTTAATTGTGACAATCCAATTTGTTATATGATTTTATTTGCAGTTTTAGTTCATTTTTTTAGATAAGTTAAGTAAGGGATTAGTATAAATGTTTTAGTTTCTAAGAGCCTCTACTCTAAACTAAAGAATTTTTTGATTTTGGAATACAAGCTCTTGAAGCATTCTTCAAGAAAAAATGATCCAAATGGAAAGGTTAGCTTGATACAGCATACTAAAAGCAGATAAATATGGTAAACCAACAAACTAATTACGCAAACAACTAAGCATATTGAGTTTGCAAGCACATTAAATCTTCCACCATATCAAACCGACAACCAGATTAGTTTGGTTTAATTCCTCAAATATTAAAACTTCATATTTTTATACACCTTTGAACCTTCTGTCTCAATTGATATATTTAAGATTAGTAACGAATCCACTCTTTTTCTTGAATTTCAAGTATTATTAGTTTAATACATCAAGTTTATTCAATAGTATTCTCACTTGATTTCGGCTTTCGGAGATAAACAATTTAAAAAGAAAGAAAGAAAGAAAGAAAGAAAAAAAAAAACACCATGGTGGAATCAAAAACGTCCATTCATAAAATGATCTTATATTATACATTTATTGAATCAGATCCATACAGTTCATTGGTTGTTCTCGATAAAAATGGAGCCATTTATTATGCATCATTAGGAAACTCAAAAATGAAGTTATTAAGTACATTGACATCAGATTTCAAATCAATTTCATCTTCCTATCAGTTAAAATCACTTTCGACAATCTCAAATACAAAGAAGATGGACGAAACAATTGAAAACTACGAATCATTATTACAAAACTCATCAAATGAAGAATTTGACTTTCACTTAGAATTAATTTTTGGAACAAGTTTGCAAAAGAGAATTTGGAATGAATTAAAATTGATTAGGGTTGGTAATGTAGTATCTTACGATTCACTTGCAAAAAAGATTGGTACTAACTCGAGAGTGATCGGAAATTCATGTGGTAGTAATAAAATTGCAATTTTGATTCCCTGTCATCGTGTTGTTGCAAAGAATGGGAAATTAAATGGCTATAAGTTTGGGTTACAAATCAAAAAATTTCTATTGAAAAATGAATTAAAAGAAAAATATAATCAATTGATCATTGATTAGCTTTTGTTAAACTCATCTTAGATTAGATTTGATTTTGGGATATATATTCAGACGAACAAGTGATGAATAATTTTTCGTTGCTGGATCAAACATTACAAAAGTTTATAGAATAGAAAATAAGAATTGTACTAATTTAGCAGAGGGCCACAAAAGTTTATTGAATGCAATATCGAACTTATTTGAAAGATTGAATTGGGAAATGTTTAGTGAAGAATTGGAAGTTGAAAGCAAAAAACAAAAAGAAAGACATGGTTAATCATTGTAAGGATTTGAAGTAAAAGCAAAATATTAGGCTGAGGAGAATTAATACATACTACACGGGTGGAACACATAGTATTTGATGGTGAAATAGTTTTTGCAGAGTAATTATGTTGAATAATTTATTGTATTATTTGTTGTTTCATAATCATTTTTACCTTGGACGTTATTGAGCCCTTGATTTGTAAACATTTTTTAAGATTCACCAACTATTAATACATAGTATGGAAGTATACAAAGAATCCAACTACCAACCTTAGTATTTGATAAACAAGTTTCAACCGATAGATCAAAAACTAATCATTGCTTTCTCTTCTAGGTCACATAAAATTTCCCTAACTGACTATTCTTGTAATAGGTATAACATCATTTAATAATCTACCTATGTCTTGATTCAATTTTGAGTCAAATAACAAATTAGTGACTAGTATTATATCATCTTTTCAAAATTAACTTCAACATTTCCATAACCTATAAGATTTTATATAATTCAAATCTCGATTTAACTCCAGATATCTCCAAATGTTTTGGAATAAGCTTTTTTTTGTAATGTTAAATTTGTTGAATCATTCGACTATTCACAGCCACCACTAATCGAGCCATTATTCTAAAACAACTTGAAAAACAACATTACCACTACCTGAGTTAAAAATCATGAAAAATTTCATAAAATTTTAAGTCTACTTTTTCCAATATTTCACTTGCAAAAGTTGTTAATAGATCACTGTAAGTTACAGCACTAAATTTTGGTCGATTTAAACATCTGAAACCACTCTCATATACTCCTCAAAGTAATAATTTGGTTATATCTTTTCCAAGTTTGTCTAACCTACACAATCCTCATAAAGATTCTTCATTAAATTCTTTACTTGAATGAACATTATGCAGTTTTGATTGGTTCGACTCTTACAAATACTAACTCCAAGTATTTAATATTTAACAATCTTGTACTTACAGTTAGCAACGTTTTTAGTCAGCTGCAAATAAGTAAGTTTTGTTTCAGAATACTGCTTCAAACTGCGTATTTTCAATGCGATGATTCGGTGCGAGTACAAAAGTTTTTGCGCTAGCCTTGAGACGACCTCGAAGCCATGTCTAATTTTTAGTTTTTTTTTCCGGCGTTGTTTTTGTTGTTTGAAATCTCAGATACCAGATATAGATCGCGCTATTGCGATCTTACTTTGCGCTTATTTAATAAGATGTGAGTCTCTCAGCGAATTTCAATACAAGCACTGCTGAACTTCAAGCACAATTAGACGTAATTTTTACGCTGAAATGGGCATATCCATGTATATTAAGTCTTTTGTCAATTGAAATAGGCTCAAATTACGGCGCTTTGAAAGCATCTATAAATAAGCGCAAATTTTGACATTAGAGCATCCAAGGCGCTTAAGATGAATAAAACAACTGTAGTCTAGGAACTCCTAATTTTTCAAGAAACTGAATACTATATTTAGTACTAGTTTTCGAGGGGTGCAAAAACATTTTTTACGAAACACACCTGGAATTTAAAATGTAAGAATACATCTGGAGACATTGAAATGGTTTGGAATTTTATTCATTGATATGTATACTTTTAACATGATATATACAAACAGTTACATAAAAAAGACCAGAATATGAAAAGCATGTTGTGGCTCCGTTATTCTTATACTTCATTGTTATCCAAATGAACAAATTTACTATTGAATGGCGTGTGTTTGATTGTTTCAAATAACACAGAATATAAATTTCGCTTGTACGTTAGATGAAGCAAAAGCATTACTTTTTTTAATTTGAAATTTACTTTATAAACTTTTATTTTTCAACGAGTTGGGTGAATGGTCTAGTGGTATGATTCCTCGTTTGGGTTTAACAACTTAAACATTGAAATTCGAGGAGGCCCTGGGTTCAATTCCCAGTTTACCCCATTACTTTATTTTTTTGAATTTTTTTTTTATTGTCTGAATTGGTCAAAAAGTTATAACGGTTTCTTCAATATTTTTTATGAAATCCATCTATAATTGTTCTAAAAGGTTTATTTTGCTTTTCATTTTATCAGTTAGAACTAAAATAAACCAAAAAGAAGCTAAGAAATCTTATTTTTGCAATATTTTTATAAATTCTCAAAATTTGGTTAAAATCTCAAACTTTATCATAAATTTGAATAAATCAATAGGTAGTTTCCATATAAACAAAATTATAGAATGTCCTACGGATATTTTAGTCCTAATATTACGTATTTATTGTCACAAAATTAGTGATGAATTTCTATATACGATTCTCTCTATTATACAATACTATGATTTTAATTTTGATGCATACATGACTCGGTGCAATGAAGTAAGTTCTCGTGCTAGCTTTAGGGCGATCCATACTAAATATATATGTAATGAACAATTCATTCTATCAAGATATAGAGCAATTTGATCAAATCAAAACCTTAAACTATATATCTTTATACTCCAATTCTTCAAATTCAAACATTTATTTTTTGACTTGGATTTTTGGCAGTCTTTCACCATACAAAATTTTTTCAAAAAATTGTAATTCAGGGTCGAGTTTTGTTTAGGGCCATAATCCTCAATTAAAAAATGAATTGCATATCGTACGACCCACTTTAAGGTGCTGGTAATAATTTGCTTTGATCTAATTCAAAATTGAAAAAATTTCAAATTTTCTTCTAAGTATGGGAAAATTTAGATAAATGGACCTAACAAAAAATTTTAGTCCACAATCGAAATCGTAATGAAAGTATAATAGAAGTATTCAGATTTGTAGTTCCTGCACCCTGGTAAAACTTTACATTTTTTGCGTCAAGATATTAAAAATTGAGAAAGTAATTTCTCAAAAGTGATTTGAAACTTTTGCAAAACTTTCGAAACGATCATGGCTTATTGAAAGCATTATATAAACGTTCTTAGATGTCAAATAAATTGAATCAGCTATATTAGAAGTTACTAAATGAGGTTTAATAATTGATTATATCGCAATTTAGCGTTGTTCTTCATTTTTTGAATGACAAATGACGTTATCAAACTTATTTTTTATCAAGGAATACTTAAATAAACTGCTGACACTAAATTTACTGAAGTTTTGATCAAAAAACTTTGAAGTTAAGGACTTAGATATTGAAGGATTTATTTGCAAGCTAAGTTTCGACATTAACTATGACGAGACTGCATATAGGTCATTGCTTAAGATTATTGGTTCTATGAGCATTTTTTGTGGTGCGATTATGTCGAGGACAATAAAAAATCCTGGTCTCAAATTCATGCCAATTATTGGGCAAAATGGCCCTAATCGAATCTAACGCGTATTATTATGTCCAAGTTTGATATAATTGGCCGCACAAAAAAAAAAAAAAAATTCATCCTTTAAAACATTTGACGTGGTAAAAAGTTCGAAAAATTCTACTGTAATAACTACAAACAACATAATAATGTACATGTTGAGTCAGCTATTGATACTATTATCATCAACAATTACATTTACCACAGCTAATTTATTTGATTTTTTAAACAATCAATTTCATAGCGGTGCAAGAAATCAACCAAATAATCCAAAAGAGTTAGAAAACCAGGTTTTAAATTCGAGATGTAATAAATATTTATGTCCAGATACAAAATTATGCGTTGAAGCACCTAAATTCTGTCCATGTCCTTATCCATCATCCCAAATTAGATGCTTTTTACCAAATGATAAATTTGTCTGTATATCAAAGCCAAGTGGTGAAGGTATAAGTGAAAAATATAATAGTGAAGATGCTTATAAGCTAGATGCAAAAGATGATAATATACGAGATTGTGGTTGGGTTAAAAGAGCATGGAATGGATTAGTATGAAGAATATATATATATGTTATATATAATTGATTAATTAATCGTTAAGGCATTTTTTATATTATCTAATCTGAGTCATAATTATTAGTTAATGAATTTTTTTTTCTTTTTCAGTAATTTTTCAGATTAAGCGCACAGTTGATTTCAAAGTAATCAAATCTATTCAAGAATTTATTGGTTAAACAAGAATTATCAGCTTCTTAGTATGTTGAGAACCAGAAGGCTTAATTGCCATACAGCAAGATCATTTGCTACTCAAGCATTTCATGTACCTTCAGAATATCAGTCAAGAACTCCTCCATATTCAAAATTAATTCCAAAATTATCACAAGTTCAAAAATTATTGAATAATCAACCTTTAACACTAGCTGAAAAAATTTTATATTCTCATTTAGTTAATCCAGAAGAAAGTTTATCATCTGGTAATGTTGCAGATATTAGAGGACAACAATATCTAAAATTGAATCCTGATAGAGTTGCAATGCAAGATGCATCTGCGCAAATGGCTTTATTGCAATTCATGACCTGTGGTATGAAACACACTGCAGTACCTGCATCAATTCATTGTGATCATTTAATTGTTGGTAAAGAAGGTGCTGAAAAAGATTTAAAATCATCAATTGCTACTAATGAAGAGGTTTTTAATTTTTTACAAAGTTGTGGTGAAAAATATGGTATACAATTCTGGGGTCCTGGATCTGGTATTATACATCAAATTGTTTTAGAAAATTTTTCTGTACCTGGTTTAATGATGTTAGGTACTGATTCTCATACTCCAAATGCTGGTGGATTAGGTGCAATTGCTATCGGTGTTGGTGGTGCAGATGCAGTTGATGCATTGACAGGTACTCCTTGGGAATTAAAAGCACCAAAAATATTAGGTGTTAAATTGACGGGTAAATTACAAGATTGGACTTCACCAAAGGATGTAATTACAACACTAGCTGGTATATTAACTGTTAGAGGTGGTACCGGTTACATAGTCGAATATTTTGGTGATGGTGTTAATAACTTAAGTTGTACAGGTATGGCGACTATTTGTAATATGGGTGCCGAAATTGGTGCCACAACTTCAGTATTTCCATATAAATTAGCTCATAAGAATTATTTAATTCATACAAATAGAGAACCAATTGCCAATATTGTAGATCAAGTATCAAAAACTGGATTTTTAAATGCTGATTCTGATGCTCAATACGACAAAGTTATTGAAATTAATTTATCAGAATTAGAACCTCATATAAATGGTCCATTTACACCAGATTTATCAACACCAATTAGTAAGTTTGGCTCAAAAGCCAAAGAAGAGCAATGGCCAGATAAAATTAGTGCCGGTTTGATTGGTTCATGTACAAATTCAAGTTATCAAGATATGTCAAGATGTATTTCAATTATAAATCAAGCAGAAAAAGCTGGGTTGAAACCAAAAATTCCATTTTTTGTCACCCCAGGAAGTGAACAAATTAGAGCTACAATTGAAAGAGATGGTTTAATTCAAACATTTGAAAAAAACGGTGCTATTGTGTTAGCAAATGCATGTGGTCCATGTATAGGACAATGGGATAGATCAGATAATCCTAATCCTAATGAATTTAATTCCATTTTTACAAGTTTCAATAGAAATTTTAAAGCAAGAAATGATGGTAATAGAAATACTATGAATTTCCTTACATCCCCTGATATTGTCACAGCTATGATTTATTCAGGTGATATGAATTATAATCCTATAACGGATTCCATTGAATTAGAAAATGGAGATACTTTTAAATTTGAACCTCCACAAGGTGAAGATTTACCTCCACAAGGCTTTATTAAAGGTAGATCAGAATTTTATCCAGAAGCAAATCCACAACCTAAACCTGAAATTGAAGTTAAAGTATCACCAACATCCGATAGATTACAATTGTTGGAGCCTTTTAAACCATGGAATGGCGACGAATTGTCAACAAATGTTTTGATTAAAGTTGAAGGTAAATGTACAACTGATCATATTTCAGCAGCTGGTGCATGGTTAAAATATAAAGGTCATTTGGAAAATATTAGTTATAATACTTTGATTGGTGCTGTTAATAAAGAAACAGGTAAGGTAAATACTGCTTACGATGTAAATGGTGATGCTTTTACCATTCCAGAATTGATGATTAAATGGAAAAACGAAAATAAACCTTGGATAGTAGTTGCTGAACATAATTATGGTGAAGGGTCAGCAAGAGAACATGCGGCATTGTCACCAAGATTTTTAGGTGGTACAATTATATTAGTTAAATCATTTGCAAGAATTCACGAAACCAATTTGAAAAAACAAGGTATGTTACCATTGACATTTGCACATGAGAATGATTATGATTTAATCTCAAATGGTGACAAGATAGAAACTATAGATTTGAGAAACTTAGTTGCAAAATATGGCGATAATGGAGGATACCTTAAATTAAAAGTTACCAAAAAAGATGGTTCAGAGTTTGAAATTTTATCAAAACATACAATGTCAAAAGATCAAATAGAGTTTTTTAAAGCTGGTTCTGCTATCAATTACATTGGTAACTTAAAGAAAAAACAACAACAATAATAGTAACTGTAAATATATTAGATCTATGTATCAATCAAATCACCATTTTTATCAGGATCGTCCTCTTCGTCATCATCACCTTCTCTTTCTCTGCCATAAAATTCATCCAAAATCCTTGGACTGATTCTATTTAACATTTCTTTAGGGTAAATTCTTAATAAACTCCATGCAATATCCAAGGATTCAAAAATAGATCTATTTTCATAAGCACCTTGACTAATAAAATTCTTTTCAAATTTTTCCAAAAATTCTAAACTCAATTTATCTTCAGTTGATAAAGCTTCTTCACCGACAACCGCTTTCATAGCTGCAGCATCTTTACCTATGGCATATTTCGCATATAATTGATTTGATACATCACCATGATCCTTTCTGGTCATACCTTCACCAATGGCACTTTTCATTAATCTACTCAAACTTGGTAAAACATTGATTGGAGGGTAAATACCTCTATTTGATAATTGTCTATCAACAAAAATTTGTCCTTCAGTAATATAACCAGTCAAATCAGGAATTGGATGTGTAATATCATCATTAGGCATGGTTAAAATTGGAACTTGAGTAATTGACCCATTTCTACCTTCAACTCTACCAGCTCTTTCATATATAGTAGATAAATCTGTATACATATAACCTGGGTAACCTCTTCTACCTGGAACTTCTTCTCTAGCAGCTGAAACTTCTCTCAAAGCATCAGCATAAGAACTCATATCAGTCAAAATTGTTAAAACATGTCTTTCAGTTTGATAAGCTAAATATTCGGCAGTAGTTAAAGCTAATCTCGGTGTTATAATTCTTTCAATGGTAGGATCATTTGCTAAATTTAAAAACAAACTTGTTCTTTCTAATGAGCCGTTTTCTTCAAAGTCTTGTTTAAAAAATCTACTTGTTTCTAAATTGACCCCCATAGCAGCAAAAACAATTGAGAAATTTTCTTCGTGACCATCATGAACATCTTTTGTAGGTCTAACTAATCCTGCTTGTCTACAAATTTGAGCAGCAATTTCATTATGTGGTAAACCAGAAGCTGAAAAAATTGGAATTTTTTGTCCTCTTGCAATTGAATTCATGGTATCAATTGCTGATATACCTGTTGAAATCATTTCTTCAGGATAGATTCTTGCATATGGATTAATTGGCGACCCATTAATATCTAAATATTCTTCTGCGAATATTTTAGGACCTTTATCAATTGGTCTACCTGAACCATCAAATATTCTACCCAACATATCTTCAGAAACTGGTATTTTTAAATTTTCACCAGTAAATTCAACTCTTGTCTTTTTAACATCAATACCTGAAGTACCTTCAAAGACTTGAACAATGGCTTTTGAACCCCTAACTTCTAGAACTTGACCTTGTCTTATTGATCCATCTGGCAATGTTAAATTAACAATTTCGTTATATCTTGGGAATTTTACATTATCTAATATAACCAAAGGCCCATTAACACCCCCAACTGTATTATAATTTATTCTTGGTTTAATTTTAAAACTATCCGTAACAGCTTTTTTATTTAATTCGTATAATTCTTTATCTGAAAGTGACATGGTCGATAAATTGCAAATTTATGTAAAGAGCTGAATGAAAATTTTAATGTATCTAAAACAATCACAATACTTTAATAATTGGTTTCGTTTAATCTTCTATATGAATTAAATATCTGTATTAGTTTTTATCAATTGAAGATTCAATAGAAGTGGAAAATCGTTGATTGTTGAAAGAAGCAAAAATGTAATTAGACATGTGGACACTACAAAACAAAGATTTCGAGGAACGCTACCAAATGGGCTCAAACGTCAATTTATCAAGTATTTTATGTAATATTTATAATAGTAAGATATCACTAACAAGATTCCAAGAATCACTATTTACTTTATTAATATCATCATTTTGATTATTTTTATTTTGAAAGTTGGATAACAAGTTTTTTAAATGTAAATCTTGCAATTGTATTGGTGGTTTATTATTCTTTTCTGATTTAATTATTTGTATGTAAACATTATCGATTAAGTTTTGAAATATTTCATGCTTCAGTTGTGTAATATTTCTTGACGGTAAAGCAGCTCTCTTATCGTTCGTAATTTCACCTTCTTTATTATCAAAAAGACTTTTAAATTGTACTATTTCAGTCAAGACTTTTTCAAAATCACACCAATCTGATAATTCAAAATTAGACGTACGTTTGTTTGGATGATGCTGTAAAAAAACTTGGAAATTTATGATAATTTTAACTATTATGATTAAAAATTTCAAGAAATCTTTGATTGATAGTTTGTTAAATGGTTTGTTTATAATTTTGTGTGGTATTATAATTTTTTTACTTGTACTATTTGACTTTGAAATTGATGAACTTAAATTATTAGTATTAGTATTTTTAATTATTGGTATATTATTTAAATCTTCCGGTGTAATGTTATTAAAATTTTGATTTCTTCTTTGATAATTCAATGTTTTTGAGCTCAATGGCAATTTATAATTGTTTCCTAATTTTAATATTTTTTCATCAGTATTACCTATATCTTTAATATCATATTCTTTTATTGATTGTTTCTCTAATCCTTCTTCCGATTCTTTAGTTTTACCTATTATCATCATCTCTTTTTTTTGAATCAAATTGTAAAAATCTTGATCTGGCAAGTAATTTTGTAATTCAGTTAAATAAGGTAATTCAAACTTGTCAAATATTTTATACAATTGAATTTGTAGAATGATTAGTCTTTCAAGAAATTGATTTATGATGATTAAATTATAATTCAAAAACTCAGTTAATTTTAATATAGGTTGGTTGTTAAATAGAAATTTTTTACCCTCTTTGTTATAGTTTTGAAAATTATATTCGTTTAAAATTTCAAATTTTTCAAATTGAATTTTATTAAATTGAAAACTGAATAACTTCATTTTGCCCTCTTTAATATCTTGAACTTGTTTATTGACAATGGAACTTTCTATTTCATTACTTGTTATCAAATTAAATTTTTTATCTTCTAAATCTTTACTTAAAATTGAAATTTTGTTTGATTTCGATTTAATTTCCTCTCGTAGTTTATTTATTTTCTCATTATATTTTGCAATTATGTGTTTTATACTCTCTAATTTATACTTGAGATCTATTAATTTTAATTTATTTAACTGAATTGTTAATGAAATTATATTTATAATTGATGGAGTTTCAATTTCAAAATTCATTAATTCATAATAATGTGATTGAATAGAGTTAAAACTATCATAACTTGTCAATTTGAAAATATTATCCACTTGCGACCTGTATAATTCAACATCAGATTGTTTGCTGGTAGAATCATGCTGATATTTATTAATTAATGAATGTGAATCAATAGACATTCGTGTGGTCAATAGTTTATTTTTTTTATTTTATTATCTTATCAGTTATAAATTATATGCAGTAATACGTCACTACCAAGTGTACTTATATGAGAATATTAGGTGGCTGTCTAGTTGTGCAAAATACCCCTTAATAGCGACAGCACTTAAATTCATCACAATATATATACAAGCTATTTTAATCTATGTACAGCTATTTAAATAAGAAAATGTAGATTGTAATCTGTTGTCAATTTCTTTTTTATCTAGTAAATCTAATAATTGTGGAATTGTTAAACCAGGTTGATTTCCGCTCAAAGCAAATCTTAAACTCATAAATATATCTTTCTTTTTAAAATTTGAGTTAATTAATGATTTTTCAATTCCATTATCAAGAGTATATTTAATAATTTCTTTTACATCTTTGTTTGGTATCTTTAAACTTGAGTAATTAATATCATTAATTAAATAGTTTAAGTGATGGTAAACTTCATTCAAATTATTTAAATTACCGTCCAAGTATATTAATAACTTAATAAGATACTCTTTATCCTTTTTTGAGCCTACAATCTCTTTAAAAATTGGATAACATTCATCTACTACTTGATTAAAATCATCTTTAAATTTTTTTTGTAAATGTAACTTATTAAAATAGAATAATTTTAAATTATTAACTTTTGCATTACCTTTAGTTAGATTTTTTAAATCAAAAAATTCAATTAATTGATTCATATTCATCATTTCATTAAATTTTTCACCCAATTTTCTCAGAGGACTCCATCCAAATAATGATACAAAATTAATTAAAGCTTCAGGTAATATACCTTGATTTTTTAAATTTAATATATTTAAATTTAAATCACCACTTCTTTTAGATAATTTTTTATCATTTAATGAAGTTAAAAGTGGAATATGAATGAATTTAGGTGGTTGCCAGTTAAAAGCCTTATATAATGCCAAATGTTTTGATGTTGATGGTAACCATTCTTCACCTCTTATAACATGAGTAATTTTCATTAAATGATCATCAATAATATTTGCAAAATGATATGTTGGCATACCATCATTTTTAATAATTATAAAATCATCAAATCTTCTATCTTTATAATTATATTGGGGTTGTAAATTTAAATTTCCATGTAATTCATCATAAAATGAGGGATAAGAATCTGGTGATTTAAAACGAATAACAAAATTATTTGAATCATGATTAATATTTTTCAAATTATAACATTTTCGATCATAAGTTACATTTGTAGGTGGTTTTAATAATTTAGCAGAAGATTTTAAATCTTGTAATCTTTCTTTTGAACAAAAACATTTATAAGCTAAACCCAAATTTAATAATTGATTCGCATATTTTATATAAATATCTTTTCGTTCACTTTGTTTATAAGGACCAAATTTACCACCAATTCCATAAGGACCTTCATCAATATTAAAATTACACCATTTTAAACAATCAATTATATTCTGTTCAGCTCCTTTAACTAATCTTTTTTGATCAGTATCTTCTATACGTAATATAAATCTACCATTTGAAGATGATTTTGCTAATAAATAATTATATAAAGCAGTTCTTAAAGAACCAAGATGTAAAAACCCAGTAGGAGATGGAGCAAATCTAGTTCTAACTAATTCATTATTGATAATACTTGAAGAAGTTTTTGAATAATGTTTAAAGTGGAATAATTTCTTCATTCATTTAAATTTAAATTGATTAAAAAATTCTGAAACACAAATAAAATAAAATAAAATAAAATAAAATAAAAAAAAAAAAAAAAAAAAAAATTTTACGAAGTCGTGTAATATAACTCAACGGAGCAAATACTGTGTCGTGTAATCTTGTTCAACGGAACAAATACCATGTCGTGTAATATAACTCAACGGAACAAATACCATGTCGTGTAATCTTGCTCAACGGAACAAATATTATCCCCAGTCGTGTAAATTGTGGAATTAAATTTAAAGAAATTAGACGATCATTTTAATTTATAATTAATTAATATAAATAGTTGCCACTTATCCCCATTCCTTGAAACGTTTAATTATTAGAACTTATTAAATAACGAACAATTGATTATTATACATTCTACAATATGATTAAAGATAATACTAATAATAATAACACAGAAAATCAATGTACTTGCCATCATCATCACAATAATCATGATGATAACGATAGTATTGCTTCAACTAATAACAATGATTTTTTCAACAATAATGATTTAAATTCAAATTTTGATAAATACGTTGAAAATTTCGATAAATTGTTATCTAATATTGGTATTATTACAAATTCAATTTTTGATATATCAAAAGAAACTAGTAAAGAATTGAATGAAAAATATAAACAATTTTCAAAGAATTATTTCACTAATAATGATGATGATCAATATAATAATAACAATTTTGATAATTATAAATATAATTATCCATCATTTTATCGATCTACTTTTGATGTTTTACAAAATTTTTCACCTCAAGATGGTCTTAAATTATTAAACTATTATAATCATAAATCTCCAACAATTACACAATATCATAAATGTTTAGATTCTAACGGTATTTCAATTTGGGATGAATTTGGATTTTGGAGATGTTTATTTCCACAATCAAATTTAAATAATGATTTATTAAATTTTAAAAACCAATATTTTAAAGATAAAATTTTAACAAAAGAAGATTTTTTAAATAAAGTTAAACAACTTGAAATAAATGAAAATGATAAAATTATTGATTTAGAAAAACTGGGAAAATGGTTTAAAAGTTTTGATGAATTTTTGAAATTTAAACATGATAAATTTTCAAAAGAATTAGTTGCAAAACAACGAAAGAGAAATGAACAAGAGCAAATACAAAATACTAATAATAAAAATACTACTACTACTACTACTACTAATAATAATAATAATAATAATACAAGTAGTAAGAATAATACTGAAGTAGTTTCAACTTCAATTCAATCAAATATGTTTACAGATTTAGATAATAAAGAAATAAAATTAATTGAAAGTAAAAAAGAATGTTTTAGTAATGGAGATTGTAATATAATAAAGATGATAAAATCAAAACCAATTGGATCAAAAGATTGGATAAATATAGAAGAATGTAGAGAAACACTAACCAACCACTCATCATCATCACCATCATCTTTTTTGGACAATAATGATAATGATAGTAATAGTAATAGTAATAGTAATAGTAATAAAGGTTGGTTTTGGAATAAGTAAAGTACCAACTCAAATGTAAGTAATTATGATTGTATATACATAATATATAAATATATAAATATTGATGTTTCCATCAAACAAAAAAAATAATTATCACCAAGAATACTAATTAATCAATTACCATATATAAACATTCATACAGATATATCACACACATTCATATATATATATACATATATACATACTAATGAATCCTTTAAATAAAATCATATTTCTTTCAGCATTTTTAGCATCTGGTTTTTTATTAATATTATTATCTTGTGCTTTATTCAATAATTATAAACCATTATGGGTTATATTTATATTTTTAATTGCACCTTTACCAAATTTGATAGCAAATTCAATTGAAAATGCAAGAGATTATAATTTTTTAACTTTTAATGACTATAATAATCAATCAAATTCTCAATTTAATCAATCTCCTTTACAAGAGTTTTGTAAATTTTTAACTGGTTTATTGATAATATCGGGTATTTCTTTACCTTTAACATTTTATCATTGTGGTTTAATTCAATTTGGTTCTATGTTAATGAGTATAATAGGTGGTTTAATTGTTTATGGTGATATTATAATATTTATATGGTTTTTCAGTAATGAAGAGGAAGAAAATGATGAGTTTAACTTTTAATAATAAACAAACATATATTTCATTAATTGAGTACAATTAATAAAAGTATTAATATTATAGTTAATATTATTATTGTAATTAAACTACCATTTTCTTTAGTTATTTGTCTAAATTTATTTAACCTTTTATTTGCAAGTTGTAAATTTGATTGTGAATTTTCAATACCACTTTCTAAATCATTTAATATAATTAAATGATCATCTATTTCTGAATTTATATCTTGTGACATTAAATGTTGTCTATTTATAGATTGATGTAATAAATTTAAATCTTCATCTTGGTTCATCATAGTTTGTTGATGTTGTGCAAATAATTGATGATTATTTCTAGATTCTACTTCATCTTCTGGTTCATCTTTATAAGGTTTAAAAGTATTTATATTATTTATATTAGTTCCCATTAATTGACTTGCATTCGTATTATCAATATTATTATTATTTACCACCTCCACCTCCTCCTCCTCATCATCATCATCTTCTTTGTCGGGGTTATCTTTAAATCTAACTGATTTAATTAAAATTTCATCCTTTTTCATTACTGATTTTTCTTTATACTCAAATTGGTACTCAGATATTTCTATAGTTGAATCATTAATTAATTTATTATATAATGAATTGTATTGATTTATATATGATTTAAATTGAGATAATAATAAATTATCAACATCATTATTAATATTAATTTCTTCAATTAATTTAAAATTTTTCACAATGTTTTGTAAATTATTTATTAATTCAAAATCATCATTTTTTGAAGGTTGCAAATTTAAATCTAATATATTTAATCTTTCATCAATTAAATCATTCAATTCATTTAAATTAAATTTAATCTTTGATAGAATTAATTTTGTTTCTCTTATTCGTGACATCTTGAGACTTTAATGATATTTGATATTGTTAATCTTATACTCTATTAATACTCTATTATTTAAGTCACTGTATAATGTTGTGACAACTTGTTGTTATTAGTATTATTATTATTGTTCTTATTATTATTGTTACTAATTTATGGATAAGAAATTTATGAAAACGAGCTGTGGATCTTTTTTAAGACATTGAAAATAATTTACGACACATTGATATTAATTTGCGACAATAAATAAAATATAATATAAATATATATATTTTTTTTGTTTGGGCCTTTCGTCCCAAGTAGTACCAACAAATACAACGTGATAGTACTACTGGTGGTACCACTGATAGTACCAAATAACGCGATATGAAATTAATTTGAGAATATTATAATATTTTTTGTTTGGGCCTTTCGTCCCAAGTGGTACCAGAAAATACAAAGGCTAGTACCCCTGGCGGTACCACTGATAGTACCAAATAACGCGAAATAAAATTAATATTAAATTAACCAGGAGAAAAAAAAAATAAATTATATAAATTATCACCAACCTCCCTGCAAATTTAATTGAATTTAAAATCAATTATTGTTGTACATAGACATTATTTAAATGTTTTCTAAATTGAAAAACTTTTCAGAGGATGTAGCTAAAAGTTTAAATGATTTAACTGCTTTAGATAATCAACAACAACAATCACAACAACAATCACAAACACAATCTAATAAAATTGACCAATTGCAAAAATATTCAAAAATTTTAAAAACACAAACTCCAGAATTAAATGATTTAAATGACAATGAAGAAACTAATGATTTATCTGATTCTCAACTTAAAAAATTTTTAAAATATGAAGAAAAATATCCAATTTTATTACAATCTTATAAAATTGAAAAGAAAAAGAATGAAATAATATTGCAATTGGAAGACGTTTTAAAAGATATTACTCCAATTAATTCAATATCTGATATTAAAGCATTAGTTGATTATTTGAACAATTTAAATGAAAAAAATAAATTATTAAATAATGAAGTTCGAAGTTTAAATAAAGAAATTTCAAATGTAAATTATAAAGTTGCTAAAACAGAGGATGAAAATAATGGAATGAAATTAGAAGTCGAACAATTGAACTCTTCTCAAATTACAAATGAGAAACGTATAGAGCAATTAATAAATGAAATAAATGAATTAAAATTTAGTGATGATAAATTAAAGGAACAAATTAAAACTTTGACCAAGGAAAACCATGAATTGAAACTTCAGTCAGAAAATACATCAGAGGTTAATAAATTAGATCAAGATGATACTAGTTTGAAATCAGAAATTGAAGAGAAACAACATAAAATAAACAATCTTAATACAAAATTAGACGATTTGATTACAAAAAACTCCGACTCAGAGACCAGGTTTAAGTCAATAATAGATACAAAAGATAAAACAATACAGGAGCTCAAAACTGAAGTTGAAAATTTACATCAACCAAATTTACTACAAGATTTAGATTCTAAAAATGAAAAAATACAAACTTTGGTAAATGAAATTGAACAGTTAAAAAATTCCAATAACAATCTAATGGACAATTTTTCACAAATTGAAGGTGAAGGAAATAAATCTAATAATAACAACAAAAACAAACAAATTCATAATCTCAAATCCGAAATTAATCAATTGAAAAAACAAATTTCACTGTACGAACAACAACTAAATGACTCGAAAATTGAAAAATTGCAACCTCAATCGAATGAAAACACTATTGAAATCAATGGATTGAAACAAGAAGCACCAACTGATAATTTAGAATTAACCAATTTAAAAACTCAATTGGAAACTAAAACTAATGAAATAGAACAATTTAAAAATCAAATTTCATATTTAAACAATCAATTACAAGATAAAAAAGATGAAATTGAAGATTTAAAAGATCTGTTGAAAGAAATAGGAAATGATTTAGTTTCAACAAGAGAGCAAATGAAATCCTTAAAATCATCTTCACCTTCGCTTGAAACAAAATATGAAAATTCACAAAAGGAAATTAAATCTTTGAATTCACAACTTGAAAATTTAAAATCTGAAATTTCACAAAATAAAGAATTTTTTAAAACAACCGAAAATTCTTTAAAAGAGCAAGTTCAAACAGCAGTCAAGATTCAAAAAGAATTAGAAAATAAATTAGAATCAACAAATAAGGAGTTGAATAATATTGAACAAGAAAAAGAAAAGTTTTTAGCCCGTATCAATGATTTATCAAATTTCAAAAATCAAGAGTCTTCTTTAAAATTGGAAATTTCTTCACTCAACAATTCAATAAAACATAAAGAAAATACATTGGCCGATTTCAAATCAAAACTTGACAATTCTCAGAGTGAAATTAAGTCTTTAGATGAGAAATTGAAAGCTTTAACAACCACAAATCAAGAGTTACAATCTTCTTATTCAAATTTATTAAAAGATAAAAATGATTTACTTACTAAACAAGAAATTTCATTGGATTCTATAAAGAATTTAAATTTGCAAATTAGCAATTTACAATTGAATAATCAAGAATATAAAAACGAAAACTTACAGTTGAAAAACAAATTGGAATTCTTAGAAAATGATCAAAGAAATTCCAAGAATGATTTAATTTCAATTAAAAAACAACATGAAGAACTGATCTTTAAATCAAAAGAATATGATCAGAGAATTGAAAATTTACAAGATGATTTAAATGAATCAAGAAATTTATTGAGTGATAAAAATAGAGAAGTGCAAAATATTAAAAGGTTATTAGTTGACGCTCAAGATTTAATTAAACAAAAAGATTCTGATTTTAATTATGAAATTGAAAAAATCAATGAATCCAAAAATGAAATGGAGAAACTAAATAATTTAAATATTAAGAAGAAGACTAGAGAAATTGAAGAATTAAAAAATAAAATTGAAATTTTGAATAAAAATCTATCAGTTAACGAAAATACTTTGAAATTGGAAAAATCAAGACAAAATTCTTTACAAGATTTACATTACACTGATCAAGCAAAAGTTATAAATGAACTTCGTTCAACAGTTGATAATCTTAAAAAATCACTAAGTGATTCGACTGCTAGAATAAAAGAATTTGAATCAATAAATATGCATTTAAAAAAATTAAATGAAGATAATATACTAAAATTTGAAAGAATCTCAAAAAATTACAAATTATTAACTCAACAATATAGATTAATGAAAGATTCCAAAGAAACAAAACAAATTACATCACCAATCGAAGAACAAAAAGAAGGGATCAAGAACCAAGAACCATCTTCAGAAACAAATACAGCTTATTTGAAGAATGTATTGTTGGGATTTTTTGAACATAAAGATCAAAGAGATTTATTATTGCCTGTAATTAGAACAATTTTTCAATTTTCAAAAGATGACGAAACAAAATTCTTGTCATCATTAAAGTAGATTTATAATTTATAATTTGATGACAATATTCTATAAATCAAAAGAACATGAACACGAGAAGAAATTTGTTATACATGGGTCAATTTTTAATAAAAAGTAAGCTGCAAATTTTTTCCACCCCTTAAAATGAAAATTTATCAAGTTGCAATTTATAACCCGTCATGAATAAAGAGCATCCACTTGCTTTCAAATTCTTTATCATCTTAATAATTTAATCGTATTGAAATATTGTTATATCTACAACATTTGCTAGTATTTCAAACAAATTCGTGTGTATATTTCAATAATTTATAATGATGAGAGATGATCTCGTAAAAATTTAAACTTAAATGTTGAATTCGTTTGATCAAAAGAAACAAAAAATTTTACAAGAAATACAATCTGATGATTTGGATTTATCACCAAAAGGTACAATTGATGAGCTATGTATTCCAATTATAAATTTAATCAATTCGAATGATGACATGGTTACAACTTCATCCTGCTCAGGTAGGGTTTCAGTTTATTTAGAAGGTACAAAATCGAATCGTGCTGTTGTCTCCAAAGGAAATCATGGACGTTGGTTATTTGTAACTCATGAACCACACGATTTGAAAGATTGGACAAGCAAAATAAATTTTGTTTACACATCTTCATTTCCCGACCCGAATGCAAGGTTGATCTTATATAAATTTGAACCATTAATTCTACACGTTAAATGTAGAAACTTGGAAACTGCTAATAAATTATATCAAGTAGCTATGAATAATGGTTTTAGAGAAAGTGGCATTGGATCGAACTTTAATGTTGCAATTAGAATATCAATAAAACTAGATATACCGATTGGGTATAAATCACCAAAAGATGAGGAATTTGAAGAAGATATATTAAATCTTTTTGTAACAAAGGATTACATAAAGTATATAGATCAATTGTCATTAGAAAGATTTGAAGAAAATAGTAAGAAATTAAATCAACTATACAAAGCAATTGAAAAAGATTTAAGTAATGGAACAGTATTAACGATAAAAACAAATAAACCAAACTGGGAATCAAAAGAAGAAAGAAGACGAAGAATGGTTAAAGAAGGATTGAAAAGACAAGAAGAATTGAGGGAATTGAAGCAGGATCAAATTCAATAAACAAGTAAAACATACTCAACGGAATCTATACAATATTATTCACCACCAACAAATCCATTGAAGTTGGAGAGAATTCTTTGATTCTTGAATTTATGATTTAGGTAGGCGTGTTTATTGGAAAAATGCAAGAGGCTACATATATAATTGGTCTAAAATGAGATTGAAGGTTTGTATGATTAATTTGAAAGAAAAATGTGGGATAGAGTTTAAATATCTAGCCCCTGATTTTAATCAATGAATGAGAATGATATGATATTATACCGACAAGTCAAAATCAAATACAGAGCTTATAGATTTTAGGACAAGATTTACGAGAGCAGAAGCAATTTCATTCGATCAGCACTACTGCTTTATCAAGGACATCTCATATTACTTTCACAAGGACTATGTACAAAGAAATAAGGTTTATTCTTATTATTTGCAAGTGGAAAATGCAATAATTTGAGGTAGTTGGATATAAATGAAGAATGAATTGAAAAGAATTGAATAAAAACAAATACATCATACTTCAAGTGAACGGAAATGCGTACAATTTCAACTAAGTTCATGATATGCTTGAGCTGATTTTTGAATCCTTATCAGTCGATAGCGTAATTGTTTCATCGTCAACAATTAAATGTTAAGTAGATCTTACATATACATATTGCAGTTGAGTAGCATACTTTCAGTTTAATATTGATTAGTTCAAGTTTGGTTGTATTAATTGTCTGATTCCTTGGATCTGAGGCTTAAGTAAATCTTGCTATAAAACCTATTTTGGATCAAGTGAACGTTAATGCTTTGCTGCAATCAGTAGATCTAAGCTCACACAATTTTGACGAAGAGATTTTTAGACTATTTTCGACTATTTGGACTATTTTCGACTATTTTCGACTATTTTCATTTGTCAAGTAAAACTACATTTAATCCATGTTGAATTATGTATATTTAAGAATATAGGTTGTTGCTAAATGTCCATCTCAAATATATAATAACAATTTGGTTATATTTCATTTTTTGATAAAAATCTAACATAGAGATATAATAACTTAAATTCCTTAATTTCTTCTAAGCCTTTTGTATAGATTTATAGAGTATATTATAGTCTATTATAGTAGTATTCACATATAAAACCTCTTATATTATCATGATTCATCAATTGAAAAATTTGAAAATTTTGGTACACACCTTTTTTTTTTAATTCTTTTTTTCACCTCTTTACTTTACTTTGATTATTAGAAATGTCAGTAGAAGAAGTTGAAAAATTATCAATTGAACAAGAAGATAAACAAGAACAACCTAAGGAAGAAGTCGTACTTGGTGAAGATGGTCAACCATTATCTAAAAAGGCTTTGAAAAAATTACAAAAAGAAAAGGAAAAATTAGCTAAAAAACAAGAAAGAGAAGCTCAATTATTGAAAGAAAAACAAGCACGAGAAGCTGAAGCTGCAAATGATCCGGCAAAAGAAAATTATGGTAAATTACCGTTAATAAACTCAAGTTTTAAAACTGGAGTTAAAAGAGTTTTAGTCAAAGATTTATCAGTTGTTAATGATGGTGAAAAAGTTTTATTTAGAGCAAGAATTCATAAAACAAGACAACAAGGTGTAACAATGGTCTTTTTAACATTGAGACAACAAAGTGATTTGATTCAAGTATTATTGAAGTCAAACAAAGAAACTGATTCTTCAGCAATTAGTAAGCAAATGGTTAAATGGACAGGTTCTATTAATTTAGAATCAATTGTTTTGGTTGAAGGTATTGTTTCAAAAGTTGAAGAACCAGTTAAAAGTTGTACTGTACAGGATGTTGAAATTAAGATTGAAAAAATTTATACTATTCAAGAAACTCCAGAACAATTACCTTTATTAATCGAAGATGCTAGTAGGTCAGAACAAGAAGCTGAAGAATTAGGTTTGCCAGTTGTCAATTTGGATACAAGATTAGACTCGAGAGTTATTGATTTAAGAACTCCAACGAATCAAGCAATCTTCAAAATTCAATCTGGAGTTTGTCAATTATTTAGAGAATTTTTATCTAAAAAAGGTTTTATCGAAATACACACACCCAAAATGATTGGAGCAGCTTCAGAAGGTGGTTCAAATGTTTTTGAAATAAATTATTTTAAAGGATCAGCATTTTTAGCTCAATCACCTCAATTATATAAACAACAATTGATTGCAGGAGATTTTGAGAAAGTTTTTGAAATTGCACCTGTATTCCGTGCAGAAAATTCAAATACTCATCGTCATATGACAGAATTTATTGGGTTAGATCTAGAAATGGCGTTTGAAGAACATTATGATGAAGTTTTGGATGTTTTAGATGAATTGTTTATGTTTATTTTTGTTGAATTAAAAAAGAGATTTTCAAAAGAAATTTCAACTGTACGCAAACAATTTCCAGTTGAGGAATTTAAGATTCCAAAAGATGGTAAAATGGTTAGATTACATTTTAAAGAAGGTATTCAAATGTTAAGAGATGCAGGTAAAGAAATTGAAGATTTTGAAGATTTATCAACTGAAAATGAAAAATTATTAGGTAAATTAGTTCGTGAAAAATATGATACAGATTTTTATATATTAGATAAATTTCCATTAGCTGTTAGACCATTTTATACAATGCCAGATTCTGAAGATCCAAGATATTCAAATTCATATGATTTCTTTATGAGAGGTGAAGAAATTTTGAGTGGAGCTCAACGTATTCATGATGCAAATTTATTAAAAGAAAGAATGAAAGCTCATGAAGTTGATCCTAATGTTCCAGGTTTAAATGATTATGTTGATGCATTTACTTATGGTTGTCCACCACATGCTGGTGGAGGAATTGGATTAGAAAGAGTTGTTATGTTCTTTTTAGATTTGAAGAATATTCGTCGTGCTTCATTATTCCCAAGAGATCCAAAAAGATTAAGACCATAATAAACATTATTATATAAAAGTAGTTGAATATGTATATAAATATAAACTATATATAGTAGTAATATTTTAGTATTAAATAAATTAAAGCGAGTTTGAAATTGGTAGCACAAATAAAAAAAAATTAACTTAATTTGATTTGTATATCTACAATCATAATTGATAAATATAAACATGGAAGGAATGATTATACCAAATTCAAAAGATCAACATGCTACGATATTATTAATGGGTCTAAGAAGAGGTGGTAAATCATCTATTTGTAAAGTTGTATTCCATAATATGCAACCACTAGATACTTTATATTTGGAAAGTACGTCTAAACCAACTACTGAACAATTTTCATCATTAATTAATTTATCAGTTATGGAATTACCAGGTCAATTAAATTATTTTGAACCAAATTATGATTCAGAAAGATTATTTAGTAATATTGGTGCTTTGGTTTATGTAATTGATTCACAAGATGAATATTTAAATGCATTAACCAATTTATCAATGATTATTGAATTTGCAGTAAAAGTTAATCCTAAAATTCAAATTGAAGTTTTAATTCATAAAGTTGATGGATTAAGTGAAGATTATAAAATTGATGCTCAAAGAGATATCATGCAAAGATGTGGTGATGAATTATTAGATTTAGGTTTAGAAGGTGTTCAAGTTTCATTTTATTTAACTTCAATCTTTGATCATCTGATTTATGAGGCGTTTTCAAGAATTGTTCAGAAATTAATTCCTGAATTACCAAGTTTAGAGAATATGTTGGATAATTTAGTTAGTCATTCATCAATTGATAAAGTATTTTTATTTGATATAAATTCAAAAATCTACGTTGCAACAGATTCAGGACCTGTTGATATTCAAACTTATGAAGTGTGTGCTGAATTTATTGATATAAGTATTGATTTGGATGATTTATACATTGAAAATGAGGAAAACAACAACAATAACAACAATAATAATAATATTAATAATAATAGTAATAATAATAACCTTTTGAATAATGCACAAAATATTACATCAAAATCTAAAGAATTAAAGTCAATAAGTCATTTAAGTAATGGATCTGTATTATATTTAAAACAAATGATTAGAGGTTTAGCATTAGTTGCATTAATACGGAATGAAAATCAAATATCAACATCAAATAATACAAATATAAATGAAACATTTAATGAAATTTTACTAAAAAGATCAAATAATGATGAAATTGAAAAATCATTAACTATAATTGATTACAATGTGGATTTATTTAAAGATTCATTAATGAAAATATGGAAAACTTCAAAATTAATTAAATAAATAAATACAATTATGACAATAATAATATATATACTACTACGTTTTAAATATTTGTATTCGTAAAACACCTTTAAGTAAAACAAATTTAATTTTAAAATAAAACTTGTATTCACTTAAAAATTGAAATATAAATACAAATATAAATACAAATATAAATAAATCAACAAAAGTCAATGACATTTTCTTGAAATTAAACATTAAATCAAAAATTATAAGACCCACACTTTCTAATCTATATCAAAATTAAAATAACTTCAACTTAAAATTTTTAATCTTACCCATTAAAAAAAGGATAAAAATTTCAAATTAAAAGAATCCATTATAATAATCATTAGACATAGATTATTAATGAAAGTTGGCATTACTAATATAAACAAATGTAATCCATGACGATGTTAATAGAAAAGAAAAACAATAAAGCTTTTCTACAACTATAACGTGCAATGTCTATAGATTAATTAATAATGATTACAAGACTACGTGATCTCTTGTAATATCTCAAGGTAAGTATGAAGAAAAGAAGAAAAAGAAGAAGAAAAAAAAAAAGAATTTGTGGGAAATTGACGAGTATTTATAGTAAAATATTTTTGTATTGGTGTTTGGATGTTTGATGGATTGATGTTTTTCAATTTCTCTTTCTTTCATAGTATTGATTAATAACTAATTGTTAACTAGTATTACAATGTCTATACAAGATAACCTTAAAATATGTACGGTATGTGCGTCTAATCAAAATAGATCTATGGAAGCTCATAAACAATTAAAAGAATATGGTTATGACGTTCATTCTTATGGTACTGGTTCAAAAGTTAGATTACCAGGTCCGTCAATCGATAAACCAAATGTTTATGATTTTGGTACACCTTATGAAAAAATGATTGAAGATTTAATAAGTCAAAAAAATAATAAAGATTTATATATACAAAATGGTTTGCTTGCAATGTTAGATAGAAATAAAAGAATTAAAGATGCTCCCGAAAAATGGGAATTTAATGCAATTGATGGTAAATTTGATTTAGTTATTACTTGTGAAGAAAGATGTTTTGATTCAGTAGTTGAAGATTTAATGTTTAGAATGTATTCAAATACAGCTGATGGTGCAAATGATAATAAACAAATTGTACATATAATAAATGTTGATATAAAAGATGATAATGAAAATGCAATAATTGGAGGTAAAGGTATATTAAAATTAGTTAATATGATTGATGATTTTAAAAAGAAACAATTACTTGAAAGAGAAAATGATGAAGTTGAAGATAAATCTGATATTTTATTAGAAGATCAAATGATGAATATTTTAACTGAATGGCAAAAGGATCATATTCATTTACAAACTTTATATACTGTTTCATATTATTAGTGTCACGATTCACTAAATGCTTATGTAGTAACTAACCAAATAACTAGTAATAGATGTAATATATAGTAATATATAGTAATATATGGTAATATATTGTACTATATACTGTTTCATATTATTAGTGTAACGATTCATTAAATACTTATTTAATAACTAACCAAATAGCTAGCAATAGATGTAATATATAGTAATATAGTAATATATAGTAGTATATTGTACTATATAGTAATATATGCTAGTAATCAATCCATTGCGCTACCAAATGCTACATTCTCTTTTTTTTTCTTTCACTTCAATAAATCAATTTGAATAACCAAATCAAACAAACAAACTAACTAATAATAAACTAATGAATTCTAATAATAAGAAAAAATCAAAACTATATAATAGTAGAATTATAAAAACTCAAATTAATGACAAAGCTTTTGATAAATTAGATAAAAAATTAAGTATTTCTCAATTTTTATCTTCAAGAAAATTTGAAATTCAATCATTTGAATCATCTCAATTAAAATCCAAAAATGCTTCATCTACAAGAATTTTTCAAAGTTTACCGAGAAGTTTAAGAAGAAGAGCTGCTTCTCATGATATTAAAAGAATTCCAAAAAGAATGAGAAATAAAGCTTTAAGAGAAATGAATCCTGCTACAACAACTAAATCAATTGGTAAAAAAATTCCCCATGGTAGACAATTATATAAATTATTTAAAATGAAAAGAGTACTTAAAATAGCTAGTAAATTAAAACAAATGAAATATGAAGTACCATTTGACTCGACAATAAATATACGAAAACAATATAAAGCATTAAATGATTATTTGAAAATTATTCAATTTGAAAAACCACCACTTTTAAATAATGTGAATGGCTCAAAAGATCAAACAGGTACTAATCGTTTAAGTTTAAAACCAACTGGAAATATTAAATACTCAAAAAGGCAAAATAAATTTGTTTGGTTACCAACTCATATATGGCATGCAAAAAGATTTAAAATGATGAAAAATTATAATTATCAAATTCCATTCAAACCAACTCAAAAATGCTTTAAATTAATGAACAGACAAAACAAATTCAAAGCTGTTTGCTTTGACACAAGTTATTATCCAACCATGATTCTTGAATTCAAAGAACAAAATCAAAATCAAAATCAAAATCAAATTGAGAATATATTAAAACAATTATTAAATTCCAAAAATATACCTAAAACCTTAATTAGTGGCAAAAAGACTTATAATGACTGGATTTATTTTGATTCAAAACCAATTGTTAAAGGACTTATTTTTGTATGTAATACTCGAATACTAATTAGAATGTTTCCATCTGTTTATCCTACATTATTTGAAAAGTTAAAAAATTTGATTCAAGATGTTGGTATCATATATGATTGCAGGTATTCATTAGGTAGCATTGAATTATCAGGGCCCCTAAGTTTGAAATATCTTAGCAAAGTATTTTACTTTCATGAACTATCACCAAATATTAGAAATTTATGGTCAAATTTTATACAATTAAAAGATAATAACTTGATCCCCATTGGTACAACATTTTCATTTAATTTAAAAGATCCAAGAATTTATCGAAAACCTTCAAATTTCCCGTTCAATTCAAATAAAGACTTATACGATTTAATAATAGACTTACAAAACAAATCCACTGTTGAATCTCAAGTTATTGATAATTTATTTACTATTGAAGGTAGAACTAAATCCTATGAAAACCAGTTATCATTAAAACAACTAGGAAAATATTTTGATACTCCACAAAAGAAAGCTTCAGATGTTTCACATAGTGAAATACCAATTATTTTAACAAAAATCAATACTGCAAAGTGGTGTTTCATATTACCTTGGCATTGGGTATTACCATTTTGGCATCAATTAAATAAGATTCCAGGTTTAAAACCCGGAGGTTTGAAACAAATTAAGCAATTTCAATTTGAGTCTAATCTACCTAGCTTTCCTCAAGATTATCCTTGGTTAAAAGATGGTTGGATACACAATGATTTGGTTGGAGAAGCAACTTATGAAAAAGATTCTAAATTGCCAAAAAGCCAAGTTACTTTGCAAGACTCCGAAAATAAGAATAAACAAGTTTTTAATGCTTATAAATGCGATTGGAATACTTTAAGAAATATGATTTTTTTAAAAAACCAAAATTTGAATGATACAGAGATTCTTTGTAAAATCGAGGAGTTTAAATTGGAAATTAATGATATAAATGATCCTGTAATTGAGAAATTTAATGAATTTAATCAATTTCATGAGCAATTTTACAATAATCAATATCAAATTGAACCAATCGACAGAATAATATATACAAAACTACCGGTATTTCAAATTTTAATAAATTTAGTTAACGATGGTGCATTTGAAGATAATGCTAGAATCTATTCAGAACCAAATAATTCACATTTTGAATGTATTGGATTTGTAACAACTGGTGGATTAAATTTGAATGTTGGTAAATTTTCAGGATTAGGATGCATAATTGCTCGAAAAGATTTGCTAAATAAACCTATATACGTTAGAAGTTCTGGCAAATCAAAATATTATTTGGCAAATTTCAAATTAATATTATAATTGTATAAATTCTTCATCGTCGTTTCTTATATTTAAATTCACAAAATCATCCTCAACCTCTTGAATTTCTTCCCAACTTTGATTGGTTAGATCATTATTATGGAATTCAGGATGAAAGTGAAGTATTTTATTTTTTGTTTCAATACATTGTTTTTTGAAATTTAAATAGTCGTTTACATTATTTAATAAAATGCCAATCATCATTGATGGATCTAAATCTTCAATTTTCAATTTATTATAATTTTTTGTACGATATGTATTTACATTTATTGGATTTTCATAAACTTGTGGAAAATGTGGATCAAAATATAACAACTCCACGTTTCCTTCCTCTTGTTCTTCATATCCAATAAAATAAAAACTCGAACTTGGTTTACCACCTGATATTCCAACCGAATGTTTAGTCGATAACAATTGTAGTATACTTTGATGGTAATATTTATTAACTTGATCAATTCCTAATCTAACTGGAAATAACAATAATAAAGGTTTTAGTTCTAATAATATAGTTATTTCATCATCATATAAATCACAATTATCACTAATGAAAACTTGTGGTATTAACAAATTATTTGCATCATTAGCCTGCAGTAATTCAATTAAATTTTTAATAGAAAATGATGCCGCATTTGGTCCAAACCATTGACCAGGTTTAATTTGTAATGGACTTTCACTTGCAGTTTTTATAAAATTATGAATTGAAAATTTACAACTACTTGAGTCTTGAAATAGATTTATAATATCTTCCGTCATATTATCTTTATTTTTATTCAATTTTAGCAATGTATTGGCTAATAAATTTTGTGAAGTTCTAATCATACAACCCCAACCAGAATCACTAGTAAAGTTTTCTTTATCAAATAGACTTTTTAAATTAGTAAAATTAATCAAAGTAGACTTATTAAATATGATTGAAGGGAAAAATTGAATTGGTTGAGGACCGTCAATTGTTTTTGGAATTGGTTCAAATCCACATCTATAAGTAAAATATATTAAATTATTTATATAATTATTTGCTTGAATTAAATTAATAAATTTATTACCTAGTATATATAAAGATGAATTAATTGAATTTGAATGGGATGAATTATTATTGATAACTTGATTTAAAAGTATAGTAAATTTATTATAATTATTATTCAATGATAAATTTGAGTCTATATTATTATTATTATCTTTTGAATTTGATTTCAATTGACCATCTTCATTATTATTTGAAATAGTTGATTCATTCATAATTTCAAATACTGTTGATAAGGGTTATTTAAGATTTGATATTTTTTTTGTTATCATTTAAAAATAAAAATCATAAAAAAAAACAGTCACGTGCTTCAGATTTCAGTGTCGCATATATTTTGCATGTCGCGTTTTGTAATGACACAAGATAATAAATGACAAAAGAAATATTTATTAATGTTGTCATTAATTCTTACTTTACTTTTACTTTAAATTTATTATTATAATGCCTAAACGTGGTAATAGAAGGAAAACTTCTTCAAGAGGTGGTAATAAATCTAATGGCAGAATCTTTTCAAATGGAAAAAAGAATAATAATAGAATAAGAGGAAATAAACGAAGATCACCAAATGATTCTACTTCATATAATGAATTAATGGATTTAAATGATAATATTTATTTACCGCCTTTAAATGAAAATTCATTAGCTTCTGTAGCTAGAAATATCGGAAGAAGAAAATATGGCCATGGGTCATTAATTGAAGAAATTGTATATACAAATTCTCAAAATCATGATGATTTAATGTCTAGAAAATTAAGAAATCGACCCGTTCAATTTGTACTAGCTAAAGAAATTTATGATCCAAATGTCATTCTACATAAATTAACAAATAAAGATGATGAAAGAGACAAGGTAAATGTGAATGATATAATAGACGAAGAATTTAAGAGCATATCCTTAGATGATTCAGAAAATGAAATTGATGAAGAAAAAATTAATGAAAGTCATTTGTTTAATGAGGGAGAAGAAGAAGAGGAGGAGGAGATAGAAGATGAGGAAGAAGAAGAAGAAGAAGAAGATGATCAATATGACCATAACCATGGAATGTACGGCTCTGACGATGACGACAATGTACAGCAAGGTGAAACATTATACGAATATGAGGGAATATCAGAAGAAGAGGATATAGATAATGAACTAGAGCTTAGATTATCAAAATTGGAAAAGCAAATGAATAGAGTTTCAGAAAAAAATGATTTGGAAGCAAAAAGCTTAAAAGATTCACAACTTGATATTATAATAGATGCACCAACTCAAAAAGTTGAAGCTAAAAAAGAAAGTCCAGACATGTCATCTGACGATTCACCTGAATATGGATATCTTGAAGAAGATTACGAGTTTGATGTTTCCAAAATTGAAGTTTCAAATGTTAGATTCGGTATTAATAATCAATATTATATCAAATCAATTGAGCTAGTTGGTATACCAGACTCCTTTGTATGGATAGATGAAGATGATGTAATTGAATTTGCATTAAATAATGGAGTCAAACAACATAGATTATCAAGATTTCTTTCATTCATAACAAAAGGATTGATTGATAAACAAGTAGAGGAAGAAAATGAAGAATCTGAAGTTTATATATCCGATGATTCAGAAGTTGACGATTATCCATACGAATCGGAAGACAATCTTAATGATTTAATTGAATATTCAAAAATAAATAAAATCAACTTTACTGATCGCGATGATCTATTTTCAAATAATTTACCCTTTGAAGACAGAATTAGTTATGAAGAATTGGATGATGAATTAGAGGAATCATTGCAAAGACAATTAAAACAATATCAACACGATAGAAAGAGGAAAAATAATGTTAAGGAACAACAAAAAATTGAAGAAGCAGTCGCAAGAAATGATATGTTGATTAAATATCCAATAAGCCTTCATATTAGAGATATCAAGAAAGAATTTGATTTATTATTGAAGGATGAAGTTAGACAATCTATGAGTTTCCCAACATTGGATACTCATGCACATAAAACAATAAAGAAAATGGCTGATTGTTATCATATGTCAGTTCATAAATGTGGAGCACAAGGAGTGAGAAAATATTTAAAGATTGTAAAAACAAAAGCAACTTTTAAATATTTACCAAATTATCCAAATGTAGATAAAATTTTGAGAGGTAGACCTATATTTCATAGAATTGATAAAAAACCTGATCCTAAAAATGGTAAGACAAAAGATTATATAACGAAATCAAATAAAGCTAAATTCAAAGAAGGTGATATAGTTGGAGCGGAAGCACCAGAATTAGATTCAAATAATTTGGGTAGACAAATGTTGGAGAAATTAGGTTGGACAAAAGGACAAGGTTTAGGTACAGATAATAGAGGTATAAACGAACCAATATTAGCAAAAGTGAAGACTAGTAAATTGGGTATACGATAAAGTACTAGGCTATTTACGTTTTGATTTTTTATTAGATTTAAGTTTTAATGCAGCATGACCTTCTTTTTTAACGTGATTAAATAATTGATTTCTTGATTCAAATGATTCGTGACAAATAGTACATGTTTCTTTAAGAATTGGAGTTGATTCTTTTGAGGTATCACTATTTGTAACTTTTTTCTTTTTGCTTTTCTTTTTTGGTTTATTATCCCATTCAACTTGTAAACTGGTTTTATTAATTAATTCAGCTAATTCTGCTTCCAACTTATTTTGTTCTATTTCGTCTTCGTCAATTTCGTTGTCAACATAATCGTTCAGTATAGAGTTTTGCTCTTTATCATGAGTCAGTATATCATCGTTTTCATCTTTTTCATCATTAACTTCTAATATTTCACGAATTGAGTCATTGCCCTCTTCCTCAATCCCTTCCTCATTTCCCACAACTTCCTGTTCATCAAATTCACTTGCAGTTTCGTAATCACTTAAATTGTCACCCTCGTTATCAATTCCCAAATCTAAACCTTCTTTTCTCATTTCCCATTTCAATTGTCGAACTTGTTTCTTATGTTTCTTGGAATTCTCATGTATTTCAAATTGTTGTTCATTTTTGAAAATTTTATCACAAACAATACATTCGTATTCGTGAACTTCTTGTAAATCATTTCCATTATGTTCTTCAAATTCGGAGTCCGTAGTATCATCATCATCATATTCTTCTTGTATCATTTTTTCAAACTCTTCAATTTCCTCAGAATTCAACTTTTGCCAGTTCTGTTCTTTAAATAAATCATATTTAGCATTCTGTTTTTGTAGCTTAGCATTTTCAATTTCTTTCAATTTTCTATTTCTTTCAATCATCTTCATTTTTTCAAATCCTTGTTTGACCCTTGGGTCTCTTTTTTTTATAAAATTAACAAATTTCTTAATAATTTCATTGTATTCTTTTCTGGCATCGTCTCTAATTTTTTTATTTTCCTTTTCCATTAATCTTTTACTTCGTCTGTCGTGAGCCATTGAATATCTATACTCATCCATCCATTCAAATTTCTTACAAGTAGAAAATGAGCTCCAACTTTTATAAAATTCTTTAATCTGATCGATATAAGAGCTTGTACTATTACCGTATAATGGGTATTTCAAAAATTGGGAATCTATAACATGTACATTATTTTCATCATCTTTAAAATTTTCAAAGCCTGGAATTTTATAATATTTACCATGTTGAATCTCCTCTCTTGCTAATCTCTCAAATAATCTAGAAACAATGGAATAAAACCCAGTGGTTGAATCATCGAAATTTGTATACATGGAGGGGTTAAAATATCGATAAATTTCTTCAGTTGAAATTGAGCCAAGATGTGAAGCTCCCGTATCTGTTTCTAAGCTTTCATCTTCATTCAATATTGAATTTTTATGAGAGTCGTACCAAGATCTTTCTTGTGGATCACTTAAAACTTCATAAGCTGACCTTACTAGTGAAAATTTCAAATTTGCTTCCTCCACATTATCTGGATTTTTGTCTGGGTGTAGCAACAATGCTTGTTTTCTATATGCTTTTTTCAACTCTATCTCTGTCGCAGATTGTGTAACTCCTAACAACTCGTAATAACATGTTTTCATACTTTAGTGAAGTTAAGCATCATGGATTTTTTTTTTTTTTTTAATTGATAAACGATGAAATAGTTTGCAAAAACCAGACATTGAAACTAAACAAATTCGATCATTGTGACATGCCATATTACTTGCTTACAATAGATGAAGTCAGCAACTACTCACATAACCTTAAGCCCAGATCTGAATCTTTTCTGGAAACATCTTTATTAGTAATCTTGATTAGAAATCGGATAGAAGCTCCAATATAACCATGACAATATTCCACAACACAAAATTTATCGTTCAAGTTACGAAATCTTGTTAGACTGGATTCTAAACTATGATGAGCTTTGAATGAATTGACCTTTGGTATGAATAGTGAGTCTTTAGAATTTTAAGTTGCAGGATCAGAAACTTATCAATTTCTGTGGTTTCTCCATGATAACGCTTGATTATTATTGCATTTGGGTACTCTATTTGAAAAGTGATTATTCAAAATCAGTTTAAAATTTTCAAACTTTTGTATCGTTGTCCTCTTTTCACCATGCAATAAACTTTGATTATTATTAAGATTTTATCTTAACCGAACTTTGAAAACATTATACACATTATCGCTAAAGTCAAATAAACCAATCCGTTGTACTAGAAGTTGCTTAATAAGGTCAAATTGTTAATTATCTTGTAAATTAGCGAGTTTTTGCTACTCTTGAATGGAGAATAAAGTAATCAAATTTATGTTTTCTAACATCAGTTTGCTCCAACTTACCCGAATCAATATTGACAACGATAACTTGAGTATTGAGCGAGTTATTGGCAAGTCTCAAAATTTTTTGTGTTAAGGTGTTCAAAATCATAATATTAAGTTTTCAAAAGTGGTATGAAATTTTTGAAAAAATTTCAAAACGATTATGGCTTTTTGAAAATCGGATACAAAACTTTTTGGCATTGAATAAATTGAATTAGCTGTATTTCAAGTTGCTAGGCAAGGTTTAAGTGCCGATTATTTTGCAATTTATCAATTTTTACCGTTTTTTGAATGAATAAAATGATCAGGATTTGGTCTTTATAAAATATCCTCGCATTCATACATTCTAAATTAGATGATGATTCTATTCACTTAAGTTTGAGAACCATAGCTTGATTATTGAAAGGCTTATTCACTGATTAAATTTTAACTATGATGGGGCTGCATATAAGTTAACTATTTTTAGAATGTGTTTTATTCGTGAGAAACGCTCTTAAAATTCATTTCTTTGTTTGTGGATTTTAGTAAAAGAAACAAACCAGTCTTGGGCTCTACTAGTATTTACTTCTTACATTTCTTTTGCTAAATTATCTGACCCATCTTCTTGTAGAATTCTTTTAATTCCATATTTGCATTTATTCCATTGCTTAAAATCCAATCTTGGACCTTTTTTATTAAAACCCAGAGCGTGAATATTGTAATAATCGATTTCATTAATAGTATACATGCTGTATTGAAAACGCTAGATTCAGTATAAAAATTCTTCTTTTACATTCGGGAAATAACTGTTTCACTTTTGATAAGCTTAAGACAATAAATCTCAAAATACACAGCGCAAAAAAGCTATAAATAAAGATTTAGGATTTAGGTACAACTGCTAGAAGGTTAAGGACTCAGAATGGAATCTCAGTAGGTTAGTCTATTCAAATTTTACCATATTTATGAAATCAATTTTGATTTGAATCGGTTCAAGTTTCAGTCTCAAGCTTAACTTACTTCTAAACACTTGAAAGAATGGCCTGTGTACATTTGAGAATGATAATGTTTCCAAAGTGCTTCTCAAATCAGCAAAAATATATGCTAAACAAATGTAGAATTGATCTCAAAAAGCGCGATATTCTAGGTACGAGATATGACACAAAATTAACGGCCAAAAAAAATATTTTGAAACCCCGGGCAAATAATAAGATCCATCAACAAATCAAATGTAGAAACAATAGCAATTGGCGCATGACGATAGCACCATAAATTGCACGAATGAAATTTGAATAGAGGCTTATTTCGAGAAATCTCTGTATTTCTGGGTTAAAATAATGTAGTTGTAGATTATATTCAAGCCTATTTTCAATAGTCTTAGTATAGAAGGGGCTAGAGATACCAAATTTTGAAATTTTTTAAATTAATTTTCGAAGTTACCTAACGATTCACCCCAAAAATTTATAGAATCCCTGAACAATTTGAGGCCATATTTTTAATTCATTTTGTGCTTCTAATGTGTCATTCCGAAGTAGATGAGAAACAGTAGTTATAATTTACAAAAATATATTTTCGATTTAAGAGGCATCATAACTTTTGGAGTAACAAAGCACTGGTCTACAAGTTGATATTTAAATCAAAATTTGTTATTCACTAAGTCGCCTAAAACTTTTGGTTTAGTCTAATAGCCAATAATGACGTACATATATCTCATGGAGCTAGTTGAAGTAGGACTACCTGCAGAATGATAATTCAATTTGTCATTTTGGAGGTTTATGGAGAATTTACAAGTAAATGAAATGGTTTCGCTCTTTGCGTAAAATTTTGTTATATATTGAGCAGAATAAGTAGGCTCAGTTGTTTGGCCAGTTCTCTAATACATTTAAATTATGTTTGAGTGTGATCAAACAACGACTTTCACAATCTTAGTTGCGGAAGAGCAAAATGCCTTCAATTTTTTTCATCTTGTTCAAAATAACAATAGGGAAAGTTTTTAGCAGTCATTAAATAATTCGAATAATTAGCATTGTGATTTTGATTGATTGGTGGTACTGGTACCGATGGAGGAGGAATTGGAGCAGGATGAGTAAACAAATAAGGATTAGGTGGATATCCATAAAAATAAGGCATTATAGGTTGATAAAATGATGAAGATTGTGTTGTGGATGTAGAGTTTGCACTTGATGATGTTGTTGATTTTGCAGAACTGCTGTTATTATTGTTCAATTTTTGAATTGCAAAAGAAGATTGAATTATAATTGGATTCATAGATTTATTGTTCAAATCTTTATCATTAAAATTCACGATTTTATTGTTTGTCATTAAAATTGATTTTATAGCCATCTTAAAGTTTTTGTAAAATATAAATCCAATTTTACCCAGTTTACTTTCATCCTCATTCTCATGATAAAATTGTGGTTTAATAATTTTTGCTGATTTTATAGCACCAAATTGTTTCCAGAAACATTCCCATGTCAAATCATCATTGTTGAAAACTATTGGTAAATTATTTACATAAATATTTGTTTCTTGGTAATTCAAATTTCTGAAAAAGTTATCAATTATATAGATTGGATTAGGATAAGTAATTTCAATTTTAGTTTTCAAATTTGAATCTGAATTCAACGACAAGTAAAAATTGTTAAAAAATGAAAACAAATAATGGTTGTGCTTATGTTGAGCAATCGTTAGCAAAATTCGATTTTGTTTGGCATCGTCAAGCTCATTTGCATCATCCTTTTCAACTTCATTTGCTATTAATGGTGGTACACGTTCAGTATCAAAGTCCATAAAATCGTCCCAAGTTAATTCGTTCAAATAATATAATATTTTTAAAGTACTATCCATTAAGTTCTCATTATTTGTGAATTTGATGTACCCAAAATCGAAGCAGTTAATTGTAGAATCATTTAAACCTTCATTTTCATTCACTTGCTGTGGTTGCTTATCAAAAATTGGAAAATATATCGAGTCAATTTGATTATTGAACTGTTTAAATTTATCCAAAAATTTCTTAAATTTTTCAATCGTAAATTGTTTGGGTAAAAAGTTTATTAGATTCTCAAGTATAATTAAATTGAAATTTTCATTATTTGAGGTTGATGAAGGTATACTATTATTTCTTGATGAGTTGGTTACAGGAGTTTGATTGTTACTTGGTGACAAATTTGAATTTTGAAATCTTTCTCTTTTATTCAAGTATTTATTCAAAAACAAAGGTATGTTTTGATTATTATTAAATATATTCGGTGTATGCTTATTGAATTTTTCAATCAAAATTTCAACATCCAAGTAATTATCAAATTTAACAATTGCAAAACTCGAGGAGTTAATCGAATCATTACCAGAAGTATTACTAAAGATTTTGACTTCATTTAATGATCTGAAAAGGGAATTATTTAACAAAAACTGAAATAAAACATGCGATGGATTTGATTCTTCTTTAGTAATTGTAATAACTTCAGCTTCTTCATCGTTAAACATCAAATTTGTAGATAAATTCTTTATAAACAATATACCTGGATGTGAAATGAATTTTGAATAATCTAACTGGTATTCAACTGAGTCATCATGTAACTTATGGATTAGCATATCTAATTGATTTTTCGATTTAAAGTTTACAATGAATATAGATTCCGAAACTGAATTTTCTTTGTGGTAGGTAACACCATCTTCTTGAAATTGCAACGTCAAACTTTTCATATACAATATGTCAACATTGAGTACCTTAAGTATAACTGGAAAACTGCAAAAGTGAAAACCATTGGGAACTTTATTATGGTCTGCAAATATATAATTATTTAAAGTGTCTATTAACTCGTAATTTATATCCAAGTCTTCTATTTCATCGTTCTCATTGATACCATTTTCATTCAATTGATCAATTGGCGATTTCTCAATATTTATAGTTGTTGATTGAGAACTTGAATTCAGCGATAAAGGTTGGGATTTTAAACTACTATTATCAGTTTTAGTAATTCCACTAGTGGTTGATGATGATGATGATGATGACGATGACGAATTACTTAGTGATGGTGAATGAGTCATGCAAATAAATAAATTGGAAAATCAATTTTTTAATACCCCAGGTTAATTAAGAGCTATTATATAGTTTTTTTTTTATTTTATTTTATTTGTGGATGAAAAAAAAAAAAAAAAAGTAAAAATAATATGTTAAATGGGTTAAAATTTAAATCTTTCGCTAATGTAAAACGTATTAAAAATTGATATTTGGAATAATTAAACGGCTGTTTCCAATTGATATTGAATGAAATGTTTTACCAATAAATATTGAGCTAGAAAAGCGACTGCTGTATTATTTTATGCAAAATATGTGAATGTTGAATTAACTACCTTGAGCACTGAATTGTAGTTTGATTTGTATTTGATTATATAGATTGATGACTATGTGATAAATGAAAGGACAATAAAAGTAATTTTTAACACTTTCAGCTGAATCTTCTTATTGATCTTTGAAATTTTATTAAGGTGATAAAAAAAGAACAATTAGTCTAAATATTTATCACGAATAATAACAAAACCTTTTGTGTGTTGTTCAAAAAAGACCTGTAAAATTATTTTAAAAGTATCTCAATAATTCTTAGGTGTTTGTTAAATCTGACTAATATTAAATTGTTATATAAGTTGATGATTTATTTTGTTATATAACAAGAAAATTATCAGATTTTTACATGAAAATTTTTTGTCAGGGCAACTGCTATGTGATATATATATATACGAGTTAGTGTACTATGGCATGAAGAGTATTGCAATATATATTAAATCTCACTTAATTCTTGCTATAGTATAAGTTTATAGTTTCCTGGAAAAAGTTTAAAAATATATTTGCTGCAAAAATATACTATAATTGATTTTTAATTATTTTCAAAAGTAATAATATGTAAACAGAAAATTAAACTAAAAACAGGCCATACATTAAATTAAATAAGCATCGTTAAAAGTTGAATCAGGTAAATTAAATTAAGCGTCTACATAATACTAATTAAACTTTATTATACGAGGGCGTGTACTTTGAACGAATAATAATAATAATGAGATGGATCGAAAAAAAATACTAATACAACAACCATTTATTATACGTTACATTTCTAGAACCATTAAGTCACATTTATGATCCATTAAAGTCAGAAGATATGAAGCAGATAATAGAACAGATTACATTAAATAAACTTGAGTATGTAATCATAATATCTTATAATTTTTCTTATAATAAAAAAGCACCAATAACAATTTATATTAATCAAATTGGTAATCAACTAATTGGTGATTATATATATACTATAGAACAATATTCTACAAGTTTGAATATTTCTGGTAACTCTATTGATGATCAATTGAAACTGTTAAATCAACTACTAGTCAAAAAATACAACGTACCAATTTACCTAAATATAAGTGGTGAATTAAATTGTTCAAATATTCAAATATTTAAAGAAATTACCCAATTGATTGAAATTTAACATTGAGCTGTAAAATGTTATTATATGTAAATTAAAGTACAATTTCGTCACACTTACTATATATATTTAAAAATAAATAATTTTATCAGAATATTTTATTTGCAAAGTTAATGTATCAACTATTTATTACCTTGTTTTTATTGTTCCACAAGATTTTCAATTAAACATCCATTGGACCAAAATATTCTAATTTAACATCAATTTTTTTATCATTCAAATAAGTTTTTATAACTTTCATGAAACCTCTTGGTCCTAATAAATAAACATCATCATTTTCAGTTATAAAATCTAGATCTTTCATTTCTAATCTTCTTTTTTCAGCTTTATCAATTATATCTGTAACAGATGCATCTTCTTGATCAAAATATTCAATAATTTTAACGTTATCTGATTTAATTGACTTTAACCAATTTTCAAATGGTCTTGATTTAACATCTTTATTACAATTGATTAATACAATTTTTCTATTTTGCTTTATAGCAGATTTTACGATTGAGACTATTGGTGTAATACCAATACCACCAACAACAGCAACTAAAGGTTTTTCAACTTGTTTATCATCATAAACAAAATTACCATTTGGTGGAGCAATTTTTAATACATCACCAACTTTTAACTCATTATGAATATATGATGAAATTTTACCATCTTTTAAATGTCTAACTGAAATTCTATATTCATTATCTTTTGGAATATCCGAAATTGAATATTCCCTTGAAATTTCAAATTTTTCATTTGGTAACTGCCATCTAATACACAAATATTGACCTGGTTTATTAATTGGAATTTGAAATGTTGAATCTTCTGGAGTTAAATAAATTGATTTAACGTCATCACATTCTTTTTCAATTTTTGAAACTTTGAAATTTTTGAATTCTTTCCATGGTTGTTTATTGTATTCTTGTTGTTCAGCATCTATTAAAATTTTGGCTAAATTACCATAAGCTGTTGCCCAAGCTTCGATAAATTCAGAAGTTGCGACTTCTTTTGGTAATAATTCAATCATAGTTTCAATTAAACAAGTTCCAACAATTGGATAATGTTCAGCTTTAACTTGCAAACCAACATGTTTTGAAACAATTTGTTGTACAAACCCAGTTAATGGTGATAAATCTTGAATATTTTTAGCATAGTTTAATAATGCAAATGCTAAAATTTTTGGTTGTCTTAATGATTTTTGATCTGTTGTATTGAAAAATGGTTTAACTTCATCATAACCCCCAATCATACGTTGATAAAATTTAGCAGTTAAACTTTCACCAGCTTGTTCCAAAATTGGAACGGTATCTAAAATAATTTTAATTTGATCTTTAGTTAATTCTTTAATTTGATAATCAACCATTTTAATTGTAATTCTAAAAATATAAACCCTTAATTGTTTAATCAAAAAAGAAAATAAAACGTGGTAAGATGGGTTTATTCCACCTCTATTTATAATCCAAATTTTCAAAATTCATTAATTCCAAACACATGTTAAAAATAAAATACATCAGTAATTAACTGTGGAAAGTTAATAATAATAATAAATCAGAAGTAATATTTTATGATGAGATGCATCGAAAGATTGAAAACGAATACACAAAGTATAGTAATCTTAAAATCTTGGTATGGGCTGATTATGTACTCAAATATTTTTACATTAAACTATCGATGGAAAATTGCGGAATACTTATATATTGATTGTTCCGACATAAATTCTAGACCGTAACCAATGAGATCTCGTTTATTAATAAGCGAAATCTGCTAACTCCGCGATGTTTAGTTATTTGGTAGCGCGCCATTTTCATACAAAAGGTCTAGTTTTGAAACACGGAATGACTCGATGGGTTCACGTTGACTAAAATTTGAAATTTTTAGGAACACAATAATTAAATTAGAAACACAAAAAGAATAAATGCGTATTCTACTTCTCTTATGAATGACATTATTATATTAAAATTTTCTATTTACTTTCATAGTTTTATACCCAGGTGTTTGATAGAATTTTAAAATTCTTCTATTTTATAAATCATTTTACCATCTTGATGTCTTAATTTCTTAATCTGTTGTTTATAGTCATTCCTCCAATCATCAAAGTAATCAATTTTGAATTTTAGTTTATCTTTTAAAACTAAAGTTAATGCTTCTAAACACCATTTTTTGTTTATTATTAAATATTTTTCATCAGCAAAATTATATTGTGTCCAATTATTAAGTAGATTACTTGACCATTTTGAAGTCCATGGATTTATATAACTTTCTTTAGCGAAATCGATTAATTTATCAATATCATAACTTGGCTCGTTAAGATAAAAATTACAACCTGAAACAACATAGGAACCAAATTTCTTGGGTTTTAGTATTTTATTTAATAAAGTATCTGAATTTGATCCAAACAATTTACTCAATGATTCCAGGGTATATTTGTGAAATGGTAAGTTTAAAGTATTCATTTGATCCAATTTTGTTATATTATGTTGAAAATATTTTTTACAACCGATAAGATCAATTAATATATCAACTTTATAATCATCTATCGTGGTTGTTGTTATGCGATTAATTTCTTCTGTTGGAGTTAGCAAGATATTGAAGAATTCAGTTGCAAAGAAATCTGGTTTTTTATAACTCATTGGAATTTTTTCACCAGCAAAATATAAACCATCATTAAATGAATCATAGGACAATAAGTGTATAGTTTTTTTAATTGATGGATTATAGAATTTTCTAACAATTGAATCGGTTAATTCCCCCATAATTTTCATATTACTTTCTTTTATTATTAATATTATATTTAAATGTTCAATCGATGGCTCTTCATTAAGCATTAATTGTACTAAAGTTAATCCGATGTTTGTGTCACCACCATTTATAACCACATTATATCTTTTTTGATTAGTTAATGGTTTGAAATATTTCAAAAATTGTTTTGCATGATTGTATAATAGTGAAATTGATGATAATTTGGCTAATGCAGGTAATTCAATTTGATTGTTATCAATCGACGCAGTTTCATCATTTACTTCTTGTTCTTGTCCTTGTCCCTCTTCTTGTTCTTGTTCTTGTTCTTGTCCTTCTTGTTCTTGTTCTTGTTCTTCTTGTTCTTCTTGTTCTTCTTGTTCTTCTTGTTCTTCTTGTTCTTCTTGTTCTTCTTGTTCTTCTTGTTCTTCTTGTTCTTCTTGTTCTTGTTCTTGTTCTTGTTCTTGTTCTTGTTCTTGTTCATCTTCTTCTTCTACTTTAAAGTTTTTAGTTCTCTCAAATTCGCTTCCTAATTTAATATTTATCTTTTCCAAATCATTCATTGTATTTTCATCAACTTTAATCAATACATCTCTATTTGGATATATAATCTGTGAAGTTGATAAAGAACCTCTTTTTGAGTTTGGATCAATTAATCCAAAGACTATATCACCGATTTCAAAGTCTTTTATGGACTTACCAACATTAGTAATCACACCAGCAAATTCAAAACCCAAACCTACTTCAACATTACTTAAATTTAATAAATATTGATTAATTTTATAAATATCATAAGAATTTAATGATGAATATTTAATATCAACAATTACACTATTTGATACAGGTGGTAAATTTAAAGTTTTATAATGAAATTGTAATTCAGTTTCTTTATTTTGAACACTAATATTTTTAATATCAAAAAATTTCAATTTTGTTAAATCTGGTAAATCTTGTAATCTAAATCTACTATTTGGTTTTTGAAATTTATCTTCAACTAGTGGTTTAGGATAAGTTGTATAATGTTTTTTTTCTAAATATGCCAATTCAGGTGGAATTTTATGAAAAGGAGAAGCTTTTGCTTTAACTTCTTGTTTTAATTTCAACTGTTTATGATGATCTTTTAAATCTTCTTCAGGTGGAGGAGCAAAACCAACTGATTTTTTAAGTTTATCATTTTTTTTCATTTTAATTGGTTCATCATGACTAGTATCTTTTTGATTAATATTATCATTACTTTTATAAACACCATCCTTTTTATCATTATAATCTATTTCTGTATCATGATTTGAAATATCTTTAATATGATTTAATTCTGTTTTATTAGAATTATCAATGTTATTATCAGTTGTTATAGATTTATCAGACATTGATGATTAAGATTAAAATAATTAACAATTACTGATAGTCCCTAAATTGAAATTGTTGTGGGTATAAAATTATAACCGATAACAACAAATTAGAACAGTCGTGTACTTAGGTTCAATGACAACGGTCGTGTCAAATTAGAACAATCGTGTACTTACGTACAATAACAACGGTCGTCTAATATTGAACAAGTTGCCAATGACAACAGTCGTGTAATATTGTACAAGTTGCAAATAATAACAGTCGTGTAATATTGTACAAGTTGCAAATGACAACAGTAGTGTAGTAATAGACAAGTTGCAAAATAACACCGTCGTGTAGTAAAATACAAATTGGTAGTTTTATAATTTTGCAACCAAAAAGAATCGAAGTGTAAATGATACCAAAAAAAATTAATATATAGTTATCTAAACCATACAAAACTTATTAAATGAATTAACCAATAATCAATAATCAATAATCAATATGTGGATTTCAATTGTTATATTTTATATTATAACTTTATTACTATCTTTACTAGGTTTACAGTTACATATAAATATCTTTAAATATCCTTTATATTTAACTATTCCAATTACTTTGGCAGTTTTTATTCCTTTATCAATTATATTTTTATTACCTTTGGATTATATTGGTTTTAATTACAATTTAAACAATAATAATAATAATTTATGGTTCAGTTTATCAAATAATATAATTTTATTACTTTGGAAATTAAATTATTGGATTACTTTTTTATTAACTTGGTTAATTTTACCATTTTTACAAGAATTTTTTAAATCAGGTCAAATTTCAACAATTGGTAAAATAAAAGATTCAATTATTTCAAATTTAAAATATCAAATTATATTAATTGGAATTTTTATAATTTGTATTATATATTTATATTTTGAAATTGGTTTGAATTTCACAAGTTTAAAATTAATGGTTATTGCAGTATCTCATTTATATTCTTTAATATTAGCTACTTGGTTAATGGGTCATGGATTAATTAGTATTCCAAGAATTAAATGGATTCAAGGTTCAAATATTAAAAACTTAAATTATAATTATTTAAAAATTCCAAAAATTTTAGATGAATTGGAAGATTTAAAAATGAATTTAAAAGATGATATATTAACAATTTTAAAATTACAAAGAAATTTAAATATAGATGATGAAGATTTCATTTATCGTGATTATATTTTGAATTTATATAATAAAATACCAATTGATTTAAAAAATCAAGTTGAAAAACAATATTTACACGATACTTCAAATATTGAAAGAAATGAAATAAATGAAAATTTCTTAATTAAATTAAGTTCTCAATTTAATTTGAATTTACATAAATTGATTGGAACTGAATCAGATTTTAATTTAATTGTTAATAAAATTGTAAAATTAGAGGATATTCTAAATTCAATTACTTTCAAACGATTAAATTTCAGAACTGAAAGCAATAGAGTATTAATTAACAGCAAATTTAATTTTTATTACTGGTATTATATATATCCTATATCAGCAAGATTATTTTCAATTTTACTTGGATTATTTTCAATTATAATACTCGAAAGTGAGTTTTTCCATTCAACTAAATATTCATTAATTCAAATCATTATAAATAAAGTTTCACTGTCACCAACTATACAATTTTTCACGATGTTAACATTATTTTCTTATATTTTAATATCTTCATTAAATTCATTAACTAAACTAAAAATTTTTAATATTTATAATTTAGTTGCTTTTAAATCGGATCCAATTAGTGTATGTTGGTATACTACATATATTGCAAGATTAACAATTCCATTAAGTTATAACTTTTTAACATTATTTATTATAAGAAAATCGAATTTTGAAAATTGGTATGGTCAATCAATTCATTTAACAGGATTATTTAATTATTTAAATAATTGGTTACCAAGATTAATTTTAATACCTGTATTATTAGCAATTTTTAATGTTTATGAAAAATTAAAGAAGAAACTTGGTTTTAATAATTTTTATGATTCTTGGATTGAATTTAATGATGAAGATGAACAAGAAGAAATAAATTCAAATAATTTAGAATTAAAAAGAAAAGATTTAATTATTGTTGAAGCAAAAAGAATTGTAAATAGAGAATTACAAAAGAGACAATTGAATTTAAAACCATTTAATTTAACAAATAATAATAATAATAATAATAATGACTTGTTAAATACAACAAATAATAATAATTATGCTGATTTGAATTATAATAGAAATCAACAACAATTTAATGATGAATTAATGAATAGAGATAGAATAGATGAAACGAATTATGAGAATAATAATTATGAGAATAATAATAATGAAAATTATCAAGATGAAGATGAAGATGAAGATGATATTTATTATGATGGAATAATATCAAGTAATAATAATAATAATTATAATAATAATTATAATATTAATAATAATCAACAACAACAACAACAACAACAACAACAACACCAAAATATATGGACAAATGTTAAAAATTCAATAGGTGGTCTATTTAATAGAAATAATCAACCTTATAGAGATGAACCATTAGAAGAATTTAATTATGATGATGATGCAAACGAAAATTTAATTTTATAGAATATAGTGTATAAAAATCAATACATAAATAAACATTTATCATCTTATAGAATACGATACGATGCGATTACTTAATTGGGTAATAACTTACAAAACTCTTTATCTTCTTATAGAATACGATTACTTAATTGAGTAATAACTTACAAAGCTCTTTATCTTTAATTATATTTCAAAATAGGAGTAGAATAGATAAAAGAAGTCACGCTTTTTAGTTTTTTTTTTTTTTTTTTTTTTTTATTTTTTTATGTTAAATTTAAACTTTTAAATTTTTCACAATTTTCAATAATTTCCGAATTGTTTGAAAGTATTATCATTAAACGTAACTCGATCAATTCTAGCTTTTGCCACATTAACAACTATATAATATTAACGTGTTGTTTGTTTGTTTGTTTGTATGCTTATTTGTTTGTTTATTTGTTTATTTGTTCATTTGTTCATTTGTTCATTTGTCCATTTGTTCATTTGTATGTATGTATTCCTTTTTCTTTTTTTTTCCTTGTGCGAAACTTGATTCACAATTCTACAATATAAAACGATAACCTAATTAAAAACTGACATTTTGATGTGAAACGTGTGACCACTAAATATTGATATAATAATTGGGTCCATTGGAATTGGATTTTATTTCCTAAGGCGAGTTAAATGAAAGAAAAAGAAAAAGAAAATAACGAATATTTCGACCCTTTCATTTTCACTCTTTCCCTTACTTATAATCAAGTTTATTTATATGTATATATTCTTTCTATTAACTTGAATTATATTATATTATTATATTATATCATATTATATTATATTATCAATAAGAAGATTTATTCGCTTTTTCTATTCGCTTTTTCTATTCGCTTTGTATATTCTTTTTTTTTTTTGGTTTCTGTTCTCATTCTTTTCTAATCAGTTGAAATATTATTTTTCAAAGTGAATGATTTACAACATTTTGTCAATTATTATTATCATCATCATTTAATCTTTTATCAATTTAGATTAAAGCTTACAATTATAGTTATATATACTTATATATATTGTTCATAGAGATTTATACATTATTATTACAATTTTTCATCATTTAATTTAGTTATTTAGTTATTTATTTATTTATTTATTTATTTATTATATACTATCATTCAATTATCAATTAATTTAGAAACTTTTAATTATTTGGGCATAATTTTATAATTTTATAAATTTATTCATATATCATTATGGATTTAGTTAATATTCAACCAGACCATTCACAATTTTTAAGTAGTAAACAATCTTCATTATTTGATCATATAACTTCAATTAATAATAATAATAATAATAATATTAATACTGGCACTCCCAATAATTTAATTCATAAAAAAAAATTAAAATCAACTCAAACTAATATTAGAAGTTATGATATTAATAATTATTTAAAAAAGGACGATGATGGTGATGATGATATCAACAGTTATTTAAAAGAGGACGATGATGATGATATAAGTGATATTAGTGAAATTTCAGATTACGAAGAAGATGATGACGATGACGATGACGATGACGATGAAGAAAACGAAGAAGAAGACGAAGAAGAAGACGAAGAAGAAGACGATGAAGCAGAAGATGATGAAGCAGAAGATGATGAAGCACAAAAAGAAGCAGAAAAAGAAGAAGAAGAAGTTGGAAAACATAAATTCTCAAGTGGAAAGTTCTATATTGGAAGCTCTCCATCATCAACAAGTAAAACACAGTTACCTCAAACTTTACAACAGGATGATTATCAACAACTACATCAATATACTAAACATCGACAAGATTCATTATTTAGTAATACACAACTCATAAATTTATTATCAACTAATCAAGAGGAAAACATTAATGAATGCAAATCAACTGACGTTTCAGAAGATGAATTAGAGGAAGAAGAAGAAGAAAAAGAAGAAAAAGAAGAAGAAGAAGAAGTCAATGATAGTGAATGGCTAAGTATATCAGAATCCGAATCCTCAACATCATCTACTATTTCCAAATTTTCAATCAAATCTCCTAAATCATTAAATGAACAATCACATTCTTCAAATCCGAATTTAATCACTAAGATAAATCCATTGTCATCGGCCTCTTCGTCATCGAAACCTAGTTTATTAAGTTCTTTAATTAGAGATCCTCCATCAATTAGACCTCCCCCATTACAAAGATCATCTACTGATAATCAAGCTACATCAAAATTATACAATAATCATAGTAATCCTAGACAACAATTATTATTCACTAAAAAATTTCCATCAGTAACTGATCTATCATTGTTAGATAATAACGTAAAATTTAAAAGTTCATCATCAAACCTAAGTCTATCCAATAAATTGCATTCTAATGAAATTAAACGACCTAATTTAGTCAAACAAAAAAGTGTCGTGGGAATTTCTGATATAAATATATCTAAAGTACCAACAAGTGCAAAGATTCAAAATGAAGAGCATGAATTATTAAGTTCAAGTTTAAATAAATACTCAAAATCTTTATCAAATCATTCACTAAGAAATTTACTTAGTAAAAGTTCAATTAATCTTTCAAAAATTTATAATTCAAGTAAAAATAAATTAAAAAAAGAACAGAATTCAACTCCAAAAGAAAGAACAGAAGAATCAAAACAATTACCTATTTCACCTCCATTAAGTGAATCAAAAACCGATTTAAAACAACAGCAGAAATCCTCAAGTTCATTAAGTTCATCCTCATCACCATCAATTAAGATAATCAATAATATTCCCAATTGTACATCACCACCATTAATCAACACTACACCTAAAAAACTATCAAGAGTAACAAATTCTTATTTAACATTAAATGAGAGTTTATTAAATGAAAATTTATCACAATCATTAAAAGAATCAATTTTGATTGATAATAAATTGGGGAAAGTTGCCTTACCAGAACATGTAATAAATGTGAATGAAATATATTTGAAAAGACAAGATGGGCTTAGGGATATTGATGATTTTGATGATTATCATGCGAAAGGATGGTAGGTAGCCTATGATATAAAAATGTTATTGAATTTTTTCATTTTTAATTTCAATTAATTTTACACTATTTAATCTAATGTATAGAGAATAAAAAATTATATTTATTAAATTACTATCGAATTATATACTTTATCATTACTTTAAAAATCACATTATGGGTCTGCTCGACAATTTTACCACTTCATTTGGTTCCTTTAATTTTGCATAATTATAGTTTGTCTGCTCTTGTATAGTCTGCTTTAGCTATACAATTCCTACCACAACTGCTACACATTGTTCAAAATCATTATTAAGCTGTTCATTGCTATTACATCGCCTACTAAAACTATTTACAGCAAATAGCCAAATACATTTATGAGAACTGACATCTTCCAAGATAATAAAGGAGATGAAAGAGAAGCTGTCGATGGTTGTATAGGTACATCAAATTCATCAACTCATCAGAACTTGCGTTCATGATGTATAAGCCAATATATTTGGTACGAGTCGCCCAACCTCTAGGGCCAGAGATTATTTTTGACAAGCCGAGCCACTGCTTTGAAATATTTTAGATTAATAACGAATCTTACTTATGCAGTCTTGAATAGTTAATCTCAAAATTATATTTGATAATAATTCTCTCCCTGTTGAAGCTATTATTTTCAAATTACAAAGATTTAAATCCCTGCTAATCTCAAATAAGCTGATGCTAATATTATTTAGTGAAACACAATACTTAAGACATTATTCCTCATTCAAAAATAGTTAAAAAACGTTGAATGCGAGAAAGCCAACACTCAGACCGCATTTAACACATCGTAGAAGGTCTGACCTAGTTTATTTTAATTCATAGAGTTTTTGTATGCTGTTTTCAAATGAATGCTATTTATGGTGTCAGTTTTTTTGTGAGATCAATTTATTCAAATTTTCCCATACTGAACAAAAATATTTGAAATTTCTCAATTTTGGTTCTGAGCAACTATAGCCAAGTCCAGCGTCTTTAGTTGAGCTACAATATATATAATCCGCCGTTTAATTGAAAGTTATGGTCCTAAATTAAGTATACTTTGCATTTTCACTTTTGGCAATTTTTTTGTATGGTAAAGAAAGCCCCAAATGATAACTCAAAAAGAAAATGTTTGAAATTCAAATTTTAAACAACGTAAATCATATAATTCAGTGCTTCTGGTTTTGTATAAATAGTACTAATTTGGTGAAAATGTGTTGGTTATGAGGTATAAGCCAACGCATTTGATACTAGTCACCTCAAAGTTAGCGTGAGAAATTATTTTGTCATCCGAAATATATTTTTTAGTAACTATGAGACTACATATAAATATGTGTTTCAGATCTAAGATCCAGATTTCCTATTTAGGAAACTGAAAAAAGATTTTGTATTCAGTTGATTAAAATTGATCTAGTGCAGCAAAATAAATTCAAGTGTTCCGAAATTTTGTTCCGAAATTTTTACAAAATTTTCAAACCGGTTATGGCATCTTGGAAATAACATACAAAACCTTTTAGGCATATGATCAGTTGAGTCAGCTATACTAGAAGTTGCTGAATGTTGTTTACTTATATCGCATTTTTTTCCATTTTTTAAATAACGAATAAAGTCTTCAGAACTACATTTATTCTGCTGATAGTGACATTCTTTAAACAAGCGCGCGCTTATAATGAAATTGGTTTGAGTAAAAAAGCTTGGTTATGGACTAAGCTATTCACAATTTAAATTCTCAAATTTAATTACGTGATGACTGCCTATAAGCGAATGTGTTTGTGAATTTTGTAAGTGTGTTATCTTCAATGCGACCGTTTCGCCGTACAAAAATAAAATCTAGCTCTAGATTTAAGACGACCCGCACGAAATATATTAGTCTATACATCAGAAACACCGCATACTCTCGAAATAAAGACGAGTTATATGAAATCAAGAACTTGATTATATGCAGTATATAATTTTCTCAATTTCAAACTTTCTTTTTGTGAGTTGTCATTTTGGCATTTTATCGTACAAAAATTTTTCCAAAAATTATGAACTCAGATTATAATTTATTTAGAGCCACAACTTTCAATCTAATGGCGGAATGTATATACTGAGTCCCAAAATATACAGTTGAACTTAGTTTCAATTGATTTGAATCAAAATTGAATAAATTCAATTTTTTCTTCAAAGTATGGGGAAAATTGTATAAATTACCCTTACGAAAAACTTGAGTCGACGATTGAAATCGTAACTGAAATATGATAAAATAGCAATCTTATAGTTCCCAGATCCCAATAAACCTTAAGTTTTTTTCTTTTAAGATACTCGAAATTCGTAAACTAAGTTTCCAAAAGTGAATCGAAATTTTTGCAAAAATTTCAAAACGACTATGGCGTCCTTAAAAACATCATTCAAAATATTTTCAGGGTCAAATAAACCGAAGCAGCTAGCTTAGAAGTTTCTAAATGAGGTCCAAGTGTTGATTAACTCGCAATTTAACGTTTTTTTTCTTTTTTGCAATGAGGGATAAAACCATCAGAATTATGTTTCACTAAGTGATATTAGCATCAATTTAATCCAAGTTTACTGAAGTTTCAGCAGAAAAATTCTGACATCTACAGCTTGAATGTTGACAAAGTTGATTATGGAATAAATTTAGAAATTAACTACTATAAGGCTGCATATAGTCAATTGTGTAGTAAATTCTCATATGCAAGCATGTAAATTTTCGCCTTAAAATAGTGCCAACAAAATATTTTAGTCGCGCTAATGTTAGGGCGACTCGTACTAAATTTAATGGCGTATATGATATGAACAACGTAATCTGTGGTGATAACTACCAGTTATTTAAAATCAGGATTTTTGAATCATGTATTCTATTTAGTGATAATCAAATTTGTAAATCTGTGAAAACACAGTTATGAGTTAAGTGGTTATAGTATGCACTAATTGGACCGTCTTTTCGTACAACTAATGTGATCTCCATAGCTATACAGTTCAGCTCCTTCAATGAGAAAAAATGGGTAACAAAGAGAGAGCACGAATAGGACAAATACAACTGATGTGCTCTGGAATGCACATTGCGTTCCATTTATAGTTATATACAACAATTAAACAATTCGGTCTTCGTATTTTCTAAAGGGTTGGTGGTGCATCATCTTCTCTTGCAACTGGTTTTAAACGAGCTTCTTTAAAATTTGTTTGAACAGGTGTCTGCTCTCCTTCTATGAGTTCATCTTCTAATGGCTCGACATTTTCAACTTCTTCAATATAATACTTTAACATACTTTCAATTCCATTTTTTAATGTAATGGAACTTGAATCACAAGTTCTACATGCACCTTTTAATTTTAAAAAAACGGTACCCGAATCCAGATCAAATTTAACAAATTCGATATCTCCACCATCATCTTGAATAGCTGGTTTAATTCTTGTGAAAATTAACTCCTTGATCATCGATACAACCTCATCATCTTCTTCATTAATTGTTAAATCCGATGACATAGTATCTTTATCCCCGCCTTCTTCTTCAATGAAGATTGGAGCTCCATTAGTCAAATGTTCGGTCAAAATTGAAAATATTTCAGGTTTTAATAATGACCAATCAATATTTGGCCTCTTCTCGATAGTAATAAAGTTCGATCCATACATTATAGATCTAATACCATCTATGGAGAATAATTTGATTGCTAATGGAGAATTATGAGCTTCTCTACCACTTAAAAATTCTTTTGTTTGATTTTCTTGTAAAATCTGAATACTTGAAGGTAGGAATTTTAAAGCTTGCTCATTTGGAGTTTCCATGGTTTGTATGAACAAGTTTCTAATTAAGTTTGGACTAAACTTTGGGTGACGATGTAGTAGTAATTTTCTAGTTAAATTAAACATGATAAGATCAAATAGATTATAAATGAATAAAATTAAATATTTTTGTTGATCGCGAAGAGGAAAAAAAACAATCATATTAAATTAGTGTAAATTGTTATTGTATATATGTATATTGATGATATCTTATTTCATTATAATTCATCAAATAAAATCTTTTCAAATAATGAAGCTTGTTTTTCTTCAAATTTTGAATCATCTTTTTGACTTTCATTTGATATTGTATAATCTAATTGTAATTTATTTTCAGCAATTGATAACATATTTTCTTCTATAGTATCTTTAGTAATCAATTTATAAACATTGACTTCTTTTACTTGTCCAACTCTATGAGCTCTATCTTCTGCCTGTTTGTCATCATGTGGATTAAATGATTGATCAAATACTATGACATTATTAGCAGCAACTAAATTTATACCAAATCCACCTGCTTTTGTTGATAATAAAAATATTGGTATTGTAGGATTTTCATTAAAAGTATCTATTGTATCTTGTCTCTCTTCAACTTTTGTTGCACCATCTAATCTAACAAATTTATAATTAAAAATTGATAAAACTTTTTCAAGTATATTCAAAACTTGAGTAAATAAAGAAAAAATCAACACTTTTTCACCACGTTGATTTATTATAACATCTAAAATTTCTTTTAATTGTAAAATCTTGCCTGAATCAAGGAAAAACTCATCACTAATTTGAAAATTTTTTAAGGTAAATGGGAACTTTACACATAAATTATATAATTCCAAATCTGACATAACTTGCATATCTTCAAAAATATATTGTTGATTCGCTTCAACATATTCTGGTTCATTCATTATTGCTTTTGCCATTTTTTTAATTGTATTGTCATCATAACGAAACCTAAATAACAATGGATGCAAACATATTTTTCTTAGTTGCATTAAAAGATTTGACGATGATTGTATTGGATCTTCCTTGGATAATCTATTTTGTTCTTGAACGGGCAATAGTTTCCTTCTTTCTCTTTCATCTCTGACTTCTTTTGCATTTTTTATAAACTCATGATAATTCTCAGTTTGGGTTTCGGTTGATTGACAATAAACGATTTGATGAGTTTTTTTAGGTAAATGTTGTAAAACTTGATCTTTTCTTCTTCTTAATACAAATGGAGTCATCATTGTTTTAGCATTCTTTATAGCTTGCTGCGAAATTAATGGGTTAAAATCGGATTTTTCTTCTTTATTAACAGATCCAGATTTTTGATTAAATATACCTTGTAAATCCTCTCTTTTTTCAACAAAAACATGGGGCATTATAAAAGCTAATAAACTGATTAATTCTTTTAAATTATTTTGCAAAGGTGTACCAGTTAACAATAATCTAAATTTCCCTTTTAATCTCATCAACTTATTATATCTTTCAGATTGAGAATTCTTTAGTAAATGACCTTCATCATAAACAATACAATTAAAATTTTGATTTTTCAAAAATTTCACATCTGATGGTGCTCCACAAGCTAATGAATAAGTAGTTACTAAAACTTCATAATCAGCATCTTGTAATTCATACCTCAATTCTTCTCTTTCTTTTTGAGCCCCATAATAAGCTTGAACTCTAATGTCTGGGCAAAATTTTTGAAATTCTCTCAACCAATTTTCAAGAGTTGAAGCAGGTACAACAACTAAATGTGGGTAAGGTTCACCAGTATGTTTTAGATACGCCATAAATGCAATAACTTGACACGTCTTACCTAGACCCATTTCATCGGCTAATATACATGACAATTTGTTGTGATATAAACAATTTATCCAATTTATACCAACTTGTTGGTAATTATTAAGCGTTATATCATCTGCTAATAATGGAGGCTTTTCTTTGATATATCTCAAACCTTTTTGTTTTTTAACAATAATTACATTATCATCATCATCTTCTTCTTCTTCTTCTTCCTCTTCTTCTTCAGTTTTATCCTCAGGATTTAATTCTAATACATCTAACTCACCATTTTCTTCATTTTTTGAAACACCCCATAATTTCATCTGTCGATTTACAATATCTCCAAATTCTGAACACTTTTTAATTATTGAATCAATTGCTTTATATCCACGTAATGAACTTTCAATAGTTTCAATCATTTTTAATCCCATTGTTTTTTTTCTTTTATTTAATGGTTCATCAAAGTTGTAATCACTAATTTCATAAATTGTTTCAAATGGACGTTTTTCTAAAACTTTTTCAGCAAATGTTGGTTCTATACCTGATATATCAATTATATCATCCAAAGAGGCATTATTAACAAACTCAAGAATCTTGTTATCCATTGATGTCAAACCTTGGTGACCACTTTCATGATCATCTTCCGAGGCATCACTTATATCATCATCATCGTCTTCATCTTCATCTGATAACACTATTGTTGTCTGATTATTTTTCTGTAACTTGGCCTTCTTTCTATTTTCGGCAATTTTACGTTCCAAATTTTCAAGTTCATCATCTGGAGATAAATTGATGGTTGAAGATGATGGTGTAAATTCTTTAAAATTGAACTTTTCACTTAATGAAGTAGGGGCTGGTACTGGTGAGCTTGAAGTTGATCTGGAAATGTTATTTAAACTGTCTGAAGCTCGAACTAATCTTCGCTTCTTGTTCGGATTTATTAATGAATCTAATCTACCTCTGGTTGCGGTCGAAGTTGAAGGTTGTTGTTGTTGTTGCTTGTATTTATTGACTAATGATTGAGTTTTTCTAACTTCAACTTTTGTAGAAAATCCATTTTGACCATGACTGATTGATTCCTTCATAGGCGAATCTTCAATTTTGATTTTTGCCCTACCTTTCAATTTGACAGGACTTTCATCTTCAGAATCAAGTTCTATAGTTGGAGTTCGATGTATCACTGGTGGTGCTTCTGGTTGTTTATTGTATTTATCAGCTGGGAAATTATTATTCAAAAATTCAGAAATGTCTTTTAAATTACCTTTGAATTTCGCTAATGCTCTAAGTATATCAGATTCATTAAGATAATGAAATTTGCTTTTTATAATTGCATAATTTGGATGTGATCTTAAGATTTGCCGTTTTCTTTCAATGTCTGCTTGTTTATCATTTATTGATGGTTGATTTACTATTGAGCTTCCATTATCCTGTGACTGGGGTGATGAATTTATTAAGATTGGGGAAGACTGCGGCACTTGTACAACATTTTCCCTTCTAGGCGTTGATCTGTCACTTTCAACATTATTACTATTACTATTTTGATTTGATTTATACCAACTCATTTGGATCAACCTTGGAATTTTACACTGTTGATGAGGCAGCAAAAAAAAATAAGTTTGATTCCATGCATTCATAAATTTGTAAAACGCGCTAATTATTGTAATCGCTACCATCCGTGTTTAACATTTTTAATATGAACCATATTTATGATATTTTATACCGTTACTTTATGAAACAGAATATTTTCAACAAATGCGTCGATTGATCTAAGTAAATTTTTAACTAGGTTTCAATAAAAAGTGTAGTAAACTTTTCTATCTTGAAATGATAACAAATTCTAAACAGTGGAATAAAATGTCAAGACGTGTTAACTATACAGTCGAAGTCCTAAAGTTTATAAATCAACGTATATGTTTACACTGTTCAGATGTGACAAAAAGTAGCATCCAATAATAATGCTAAATATATGTGAAATTTTGTCAGCAACTTAACTACACCAGTTTAGAAGTTTAAGATATAATAAAAGTATAGTGATCAATATCGAATTACTACCAGATCCTAAATTTATAGCTACTGGATGAACTCTTACGATGAAATTTGTAAAAATATTGATGCTACCGTGATTTAATGCAAATTAAATAATTTTCTAATGGAAAATGTTTACTCCGTAAATAAAATACCGCCTAATTGTACATTAGACCCCTATAAACCTTTACCTAACTTCCTAAATACTCAATTTTTCATATTTTTCTTTCAAATAGTTTTCATCATTTAAATTTTTTAAATCATTGATTGGTCTTTCACCCATTACACTTATCCTATAAGCATGTCTTATTACAGGTTCATTAAAATCAACAACTGGTGTATGAATGGTGGTTGCATTATTCCACAATACAATAGTATCTTCATCCCATGAAATTCTAACTTGCAAATCTTGTGATTTCTCTAAATGATCGTACAAAAAATTTAACAAATAATCAGATTCTTCTTGTTTTAACTCAATTATCCTTCTGCCAAATTCTTTATTCAAATATAAAGACTTCTGTTTAGTTAATGGATTTATTCTTATTATTGGATGAATATTTTCTTCGGCAAAATCTCTTCTTAAGATCCCTCCATTTTTCTTTTGATTTTCAAATTGTTCTTTGGATGAATGCAAAATATGCAAGCCTTCTAATCTAGCTGCAAATTCTTTACTTAATCTATTATACGCTTCAACACAATTTGCAAATAAAGTATCACCACCAGACTCAGGTAATTGTAAAACAGAAAACAAGGTTAATTGTAGCCCATTCAAAGAATAAGAGCAATCAGAATGCCATGAAATAGAGTTATTTGAATTTTTGAAAACCGAGTCCAATTCTTGTTGTGAAGCACCTCTAAATGTAATATGCATATTTGGGAAATTTTCAGGTGAACCAGAAGTTGGATGAATGTGCAAAGGACCAAAATATTTCATAAAATCAACAGCAAACTCAGGTCCTTTAGAATTAAAATTTTGATTTTTAAATGCAACAACACCACGTTCTGTAACAAATTTAGCAAGTTCATTTTTTCCCAAATCTGACAATTCTGATAATTGAATTCCATCAATGATTGAACCAAGTTTTGGTGATAATCGTTTATTTGTAAAAGAATTAGATTTATTTGCAAATAAATGTGAATATGTAGAATCTTGCGAATCAGCTAATAAACCTTTATCATGAAATTTCATAAATTTATACGGTGGGTATTTGTCATTTGGATTCCAAGTGGGTAAATATTCTGGATACTTAGCTCTTGTTTGGTTTTCAGAATTTACCGTAAATGAACCTCTTTTAGTTTTACCACCATGAGCAGTTTGAAATTGGGATGCATCATATTTATCTTGAACTTGAACGGGAGCCATATTAATAAATGAAATAATTGATAAAATTAATGAGAAAAATTGACAAAACTAAATATGACTTTGTGGATATATTATCATCTTTATATAAACTAAAAGAACACATAGTAGTCGCAAATGTTTTGGTTGCAAACATTTTACATGATGCAATTGTGGCATCAATAGAAATTCTTATTTTCAACCAAATATAATCAACTGCATAACAACGCAACAACAATTACAACTAAACATAGCAAATTTCTATCTGTTGATGTTTTTTTAACGTTAAATAACTACAATCGTCTCCAATCAACTACAAAATGATCGATTTTAATTCATAAAAATATGTAAATATACCGTTGAATGAAGATTTAGCGCCCTTTAGACAAGAATATCATTAAAACTGACATTAATTTAAATAATTAATACTGTTTACTGGTTCTTATACTTGTCTTAATAAATTTGAATAAATTTGAATCGGTGATTCGTTTCTCTTGAAGGTTAAAATCCTGAAAAAGCCACAGTTTTTAAGATCTGTTTAATTGCGCTTTTTTTTTATTTTTTATTTTTTTTTATTTTTATCACTTATATTGTCCGGTACACTACCTTGTTAATTCATTTTTAATGGTTTATAAAATTTTATCATGTGGATCAAATGGTAATTATCAATTAGGTATATCAGATAACTTAGATCAGAATACCTTACAATATTGCAAATTTTCTTCAAATAATTGCGTAGTGGATCATCTTACGTCGAAGCCAATAAAAATTTCATGCGGTGGTAATCATACATTGATCCTATTAGAGAATAATAAAGTGTTAGCAACAGGTTCTAATAATTTAAATCAATGTGGGGTGGATAATAAAAATTTTATAACGGAGTTTGTTCAACTTGATGGTTCGTATAAAGACATATCTTGTGGTTGGGATTATTCAATATTTGTAAGCTTCGAAAATGAACTATATGTAACTGGAGAAGCTGGTTTGACTAAATTAATTGAATTGGAGAACTTTAAATCTTTGGAAAGTTGTATGAACCACACTATTGTTCAAGCCAAGCCGCTGGAGTTTTATGGATTCGGACAATCTAGAAAAGGTCAATTGGGTATAACGAAAGAGAAAAATCTTACGACCCCGTCTAAATTGGATTTTGGTAATTGTGGCATAATTAAAAGTTTTAAATTAGGTAGAGACTTTACAGTTTTAGTTGCTGAAACAAACGAGATTAAGATATTTGGCAAGTTTCCTTACGAGATGAATTTGAATCAACAAAAAGTTGATAATCTACAATGTATGTGGTCATCTATACATCTACAAGAGAGCAATAACATACTATCGATTGGGAATAATAGTCATGGCCAATTATATTCTAATAGTAATGTTGGTTTGATTGACGAATTTAAAGTAGGAAGTGAACATGGTTTAATCAAATTCAGAAATAATAATAATATTTATTCCTGGGGTTGGGGTGAACATGGAAATTGTGGGATTCAAAGAAAAGAAGCTGGAGATAGTACCACATTTGACTATTTAAATTTATTATATGATTTAGATTTCAAAGTTCAATTATTTGAATGTGGATGTGCAACTAGTTTTATTGTCGTACAAGTGAAGTAAAGGGTATTCGAATTATACCAATTATGCACTTACTGCAATCTCAAATCAACAGAAGCTAAACAAAGGGATGTGCTCAAACTGGTACACATTATAAAAATGAATGAGAAATTTAGTTACGTAGTTTATTTAAAGTTTAATGTCACGAAGTATCTTCTCCATATTCATCTAATGCATAAATATCTCACGATACTAGCTCGAAAGATGGAAAATATGTTCAACGTATTCAATTTTGGACGATTGGAATAATAATTAAATCATTGTTAAAATTATTCAAATTACTCAGACCCAAGAAAGAATTAACATTTGAAATAAACAATCTTAATTATCTTCTTTAATCATCCATAAGCCGTATAATATTGAGTAAAACATTTCACTGAATATTATACTAAGTTGTATATCGAAGTTGAAAATTTTTCATCTTTATTTAATGCGAATAAATCCAGCAAAAAAATTATATTAGGTGGTAATTTGATCATACCCCTTAACTTTCAATTTCCTATCTTGAGTATTGTAAATTCTTTACACTTGGCCAAAAGAAATAAGTTTAGTTCGGCGTAAGCATGAAAATGTACATAGCATGAGCAGTGGCATTTGAGTGCTCGTTTTCAACACTAATACTAATAACACTCTGCAATTTTTAAGATCAAACAATATGTGTACCGTTTCAACCCCACTAATTCTATTCTAAAGTGTTTGAAGTACTCAAAAGTCTTCATTATTTTCATTCATTCAGTTTTATGGTTCGTTTTGCAGCTATTTTAAACTTCCAAGTTTTTTTTTAAAAAAAAAAAAACATTAATCACAAAGCTCAGCACCAGATTAGCAAAGAATTTTAAACTTTACAGTCCAACTATGTCCATTTTTGGTGCAATATGTTCAGGTAGACCAATGATTCTTTCTCAGCAAGTGGAGCCAACAAAATTTGTAATTACAATTCCGAATGCTTCGAACGTTAATTATATTACGATATTTATTTTACCAAATTCACCATTTACAGATCCGAACATTACAGCATTAATATACTTTCAAATCACCAACAGTAACTCAGAATTTAAACTTCTTGGTGGAATAAATCCAACTAAACCATCAGCAATATACAAAGTAAATAAGAGCTCAAAAAAAGATGAAGATGACGGTATGAATCTTGATATTGATCTTAATGACGATGTTGTAATTAATATTGGTATCTCAATTGAGCCTACTCCGCAAGCTGAACAGCTTATAAATGATTCAAAAAGTCAATTGGTGAAAGTAAATAAAACTGGAATTAACAGTGGTGTTTCTGATACTGCTTCTTTGGCTAATAAAATTGTAGGAAATGCTTATAATTATCTTGCTAGTTTTATTGATGATCTGGGGAAGGTTCCAATAAAAGCATTTGATAATTGGTGGGATAAATTTAAGACAAAATTACAGAATAATCCAAATTTCTTGAATGAGATACAAAATTAAGTTCAGAATTAAGTGACTTGATTAAAGTAAGAATTCATAAGCTTTTAAATGCTTTTATTAGTCGAAAAATAAACTAAGAATTCATAAGCTATTAAATGCTTTTATTAGTCGAAAAATACGCTTATTATACGCACCGATAATTTTATGTGAGCAGTTAATTGATTCAAATCATCAATCTACAAACAAATCTAGTATAAGCTGTCAGCATACACACAATGACCTAATATTTAACATGATCATCAATACGACATAATGCGAACTTAATATATATTAATTTTCAATTTTTACATAACATTTATTTACAAAATTATTTTGCAGCCAAAAGTAAATTTATAAGAAGCCAAAGTAATGACGCATTCAATTCGGAAGTATAGTTACCCCTGCACGTGCCATTACCCTAGAGTGGTAAAGTGGTAAATAATAAAATTGCCACACCAAGAAAAGTAAAAGATTCTAACTAAAGCAATTGTTAGCGGCTGCAAAATCTGAAGAGATTAGGGGGTAGCCTACTACTACTACTACTACCACCATTCGAACTTTGTTTGCATTAATGATTAAAAACTTAAACTGATGATGAAATTTAAAAAAATTTTGATCGATAAATGAAAGCTAACTATTGAAGCTCTAATATCTGATAATAATATGTCCAAATCTGTCTAACATAACCGAGATTCAATTATTATTTTACTGCAATATTGTGAGTGTATTATTATGTTTAATAATAAATTCTTTAACCGTTTTTCCCTAAATGACAATTCGAATATCGTGCTTTTTAGATTCAAATGAAACGCTACCATCTCTTCTCGAGATTAAAAATAAATAAATAAATAAGAAAGAAAAAAAAAAAAAAAGAAATAACGGTGTGTGGCGTTTTTATAAATTTTCAATATATATATATAACAGTTTTTGATTTATAATCAACAAGTTTTCGTTTTATCATATATCATTTCATTTTAATAGATTTTGTATTTTAAAAAGTCCAACCTTTTATTACTCCTATTATTTTCATTAGATATTATTCAACTTTTATCAATTTTATAACTAGAATTTTACAATGACTATCGATTCAGCAACTAATTACTCATTCGGTACTAAAGCTATTCATTCAGGTGCTCCAATTGATCCAACTACTGGAGCAGTTATTGAGCCAATTTCATTATCTACTACATTTGCTCAATCTGAGCCAAGTAAACCTTTAGGTATTTATGAATACTCAAGATCAGCAAATCCAAATAGAGATAATTTTGAAGCTGCAGTTGCTAGTTTAGAAAATGCAAAATATGCCATTGCATTAAGTTCAGGATCAGCTACAACTGCATTAGTTATTCAAAGTTTACCAATTGGTAGTCATATGATTAGTGGTGGTGATGTTTATGGAGGTACTCATAGATATTTTACAAAAGTCGCAAAGACTCATGGTATAAACTCTACATTTGTTGGTGATTTAGCTTCAGATTTGGAAAATAATTTGAAATCAGAAACTAGATTAGTTTGGTTAGAAACTCCATCAAATCCAACTTTAAAAATTACTGATATTTCAAGAGTTAAAGAAATTTTAAATAAACATGAAGAATCAACTGGAAATAGAATTATTTTAGTAGTTGATAATACATTTTTGTCACCATATATTTCAAATCCATTAAATTTTGGTGCTGATGTTGTTGTTCATTCGGTCACTAAATATATTAATGGACATTCAGATGTTGTTATGGGTGTTTTAGCAACTAATGATGTCGAATTACATGAAAAATTTAGATTTTTACAAAATGCAATTGGATCAATTCCATCACCATTTGATTCTTGGTTAGCTCATAGAGGTTTGAAAACATTACATTTGAGAATTAAGCAACTGAGTGAATCTGCTTCAAAAATTGCATCATTTTTACAATCAAATGAAAATATTATCGCCGTCAACTACCCAGGTTTGAAACAACATTTAAATCATGACGTTGTTGTAAAACAACATAGAGATGGTTTAGGTGGTGGTATGATTTCATTTAGAATCAAAGGTGGGGCAAAAGGTGCTGCAATATTTACAAGTTCGACTAAACTTTTTACATTGGCTGAATCATTAGGTGGTATTGAATCATTAATTGAAGTACCTGCAATTATGACTCATGGAGGTATTCCAAAAGAAGAAAGAGAATTAAATGGAGTTTATGATGATTTAATTAGAGTTTCAGTTGGTATTGAAGATACTGAAGATTTATTAAGAGATATTGAACAAGCATTGAAAACAGTTGTTTCAAGTATATAAAATATGAGAATATATATACAAATTAATGATAGAAGTATTTATTTATATGATTTTGCAGCCAAAAGTTGTGTATATAATTATTACTTAAATGTTCTTAGAAAAAAAAAAAAATAGAAAACCGATTCCCACATATGAGATTTGGTTTTACTATACTTTTACAAATTGTACTTTCATTATCATTGTCTAATTGTTCAATTCTAAATTCACGAAATACTTTGATTTGTAATCCTAATAATACTACAGATTGTTATCCAAAATTGTTTAAACCAACTAAAGATTGGCAAATTATAAAACCAAATCAAGAAATTCCGCCAGGGTTACACGTTAGATTAAATATAGCAACATTGGAAAAAGAAGCAAAGATAATGGATAAAGAAGAATCCGAGAATTCGATTGACGATCTAGTAATTAAAGAGGATAAAGTAATAGATCACAATGATTTAAATGAAAGGGTTTCAAAACTGAAAAGGTCAAAGGTTGATCAAAATGAACTTACAAATTTTCATAATGCTGCTGAAGAAGTTGAGTTTAATGACGGAGATACAGAGAGATTACAACTCTCATTGAATACTTTGGAAGAATTAAGTCATGATTTTGAATTTGGTAACAAGATCACATCAAATACAACATTATTGATTAAAATGATTCAGTTATCTAAAGAATCACCAAATTTTAAAGATCAAATATACAGAATTATTGCTTCTTCCTTGAGAAATAATCCAAACTCAGTAAGAAACTTGATTCAAAACCTAGATCAAGAATTTATAGATACTTTATTTCAAGAATTGCCTAACTCAAATTCCATTATTCAAAAAAGAATACTCGGTATATTTCAAGCATTAATTCAGCTTCAAGATTTCAAAAACACATATTTTAATCCAAATGGAAAGGGGATAAATGAATTAATAAAGATATATCCATCATTACCTAATGATTCAAAGATTAGAGTAGAAAATATATTTCAGGATTTAGGATTAATCAATAATATTGAGAAAAGAGAAGATGAAAATCCAGATCATTCAATATCAAACTATCTTCAAAATCGTATAATTTCAACTGATGATTTAAAATATTATGAAACGTTGGTAAATTTGCATAAAACTAATAAAAACCTTAAACCAATTGATGAATTTTTGCAATGGTTGACTAAACGATTAGAAACTTCCAAGAACGACAAGAAAAGAAGTGATAATGATGATAATTACAATTACTTGTTAACTACCAGACATGAAATATTTGGGAATCCAATGGGGATGAGAAAAGCATTAGCTGACGAGCTTTAGAATATAGATAAACATAATTTAAAAATGTACATTATCATGATGAACAACTTTAATCAAATAAACCGAAACCCATATCTTCATCTGATTCTTCAGCTTCTTCTTCTTTAGTTTCTTCTTCAGCTTCTTCAGCAGCAGCACCAGCAGCAGCACCTGAACCAGCTGCTGGAGCAGCACCACCGGTTGGGACACTTGATAATTTTTCATTACCTTCAGCAATTAACTCTTCAACATTTTTACCTTCTACTTCTGCAATTAATTTTTCAACTTTTTCATCTTCAATTTCGACATCAGCAGCTGATAAAACGTTTTTTATATCTGAAGCTGATGGTGATGCATTACCAGCATTGACTAACAATAAATATGCAGCTAAATATTTCACTAAAAAAAAATCTTGTTAGTCTCTAATTTTCAATTTGAAATAGATCCCCCTAATTATTGCTTCTATTTCTATGTCTTTGTTGGTCTACTTACTTTTCAATTTAGTATTTGATTATATTATACGATTTTTTCATTTTTGTTAGTGAAGTGAGACCTCAAAATAGTAAATTAATTGATGTGTTCAAGGTCATGTGAGTTACACGTGCATTACAGGGCTACCAGTTGAAAAATTGGCTGCAAAACATATACGATATAAAAATATAGAGCGACCTAAAAGTTATTCAACACATTATGTTATTTTGAATATAAAGTAGATACTCAGTTGATGAATGAATTTAATATTTGCTGAAAACTTAAAAAAATGTCAAAATTCTGTCGTTATTTTTACATACAACTGTACAATAGTCTTTATTCTTATTCAAGGATGTTTATTAATTGTAGACATTAAACGATCCTCAATATAACTTATGTAATTTGGTCTTAAACTAAAACATTCAAGTTTTATACACCAACCTAATACTTATTGATCCCTCGACGTAAAACTCCAAATCTAACACTAAAATAATGCCACAATTGAGGGCGATTGATTTTTTTTTTTTTCGAGCAGATTTTTGGCCACAAATTAGTTGGACAACAAACCATTGGTATACTTATATTGCAAAGTATATACACTATTACTTATGCCAGGAACTTAAAAATTGTTTGGATTTTACCATACAAAAATCTTTGAAACTCTTGTAATAAAGCTACGAAATTTTTTGTGAGATTTGCTTGCTATGAACAATTTTTAAGAAATTTCATTCAGTAAAGAGCAGCTAATTATGTCCGAAATTTCAAAGTATTTAGAGGAATAACTTGTAATTGAGCTGCGCGAATTATATATGTGCATAATGTTTCGAAGACCCTTGAGGTAATCGGTGTTTTTTTTGGTAATCAATCTCTCGTTAGCTAACTGGAATATAATCAAATCTTGTAGTTTTTTCACCCTAAATATCTTCAAAGGCTGTTATTATTCTCAACTACCTTTAAGAAAGTTTAATCTTCCAATATTGAGATGAAAATTTCAAAATTTTGTAAACGGTTCTCGTGTCGTGAAATCATCCTATATAGTGTGTTTATGGCCTAAAGATAACTTCCAAAGCTCAAACTTAAACTCTAAAAGTGTTATTCGATTGTTTGAATTTATATTCAACAATTTGGTAGAAAGGTAGAATTTTAAATGAAAAATTATTAACAAATTTATTTTCCATGTCAACCCTGTAACAAGAATAGAGTTTAAGGCACATTACTTCAAGAGCGCAACTTCGCTTCTTTGTAGTAAAATAGGTTTGACCCATACCTTGATCTTTTGATCCAAGTAATTCAGATAAAAGTTATTTGTGCAGCTTTATTATCAAAAAACTTTGGTAGCGCAAGGCGAACCACAATTTGACTCGTTCAAGTAATTTGTAATCAATTGGTAAATCAATGTCCACTCACAAATTATTCCCCAGATTAAATAAAGAACAAGAAGATGAACTAATTTCAAATGTTCAACAATGGTCATTATCGAATGGGTTGGTGATGTATCCACCCAATTTTGAAATTTTTCAAGTTAATGTGGCACCAATTACCATTTATCCTACTCCAATTTCGAAAAAGTCATTCGATAAAGCAATGGATCTACAAACGACATATAATGAGTTATATATCAATTTAATAAGTCAGCACAAAAAATACCTTATTTCTATACTATCAGAATTATCTAAATTTGATCCAAATTTCACGGGTAAACTATTTGAAATTTACGACAAAGTTAAAAACAATAAGCAAAATTTATCATTAGGTATCTTTAGGTCTGACTATATGATTGACCAGAAAAAAGATGAAATAAAACAAATTGAATTCAACACTGTAAGTGTTTCGTTTGGTGGATTAAGTAATAAAGTTAGTCAGTTACACAAATATTTGAATGATAGTGGCCAATATACGGAATATAAAACTAAATATTACGAAGAAAGTGAATTGGAGATTAGTTCATCGATTAGAGAAATTGCACAAGGCTTAGCTGAGGGAGATAAATATTATAATGGTTCTAAGAAAAATACAATTTTATTCATTGTTCAACCAAATGAGCGAAATTGTTTTGATCAAAGACATATAGAATATGAATTATTTCACCTGCATGGTTTAAAATCAATAAGAGTTGCTCTTGATGAAGTTAAAGAAAAATTGACAATTTATGATTCAAAATTGTATTTAAAATCTACAATGCAAGAAATATCAGTAATTTATTACAGATCAGGTTATTCTCCAGATGATTATAAAAACGAGGAGAATTGGGATAATAGATTATATTTGGAAGAGTCCCATGCTATTAAATGTCCATCAATACTTACTCAATTATCAGGTAGTAAAAAAATTCAACAATTATTAACTAATCCAGAAATACTTGAGAAAATTTTACCTGACAATAATTTACCATTATTATCCACTTTTGTTTCAATTTATCCTTTAGATAATTCAAATTTAGGCGAAAAGGGAAAAGAACTTGCATTTTCGAATCCAAACGCATTTGTTTTAAAGCCCCAAAGAGAAGGTGGTGGGAATAATATATACAAATCAGAAATTCCAAAGTTTTTAAAATCTATAGATGAAAAAGATTGGGCTGGATATATTCTTATGGAATTAATCTATCCGCAAAGTTTTCAAAACAAAATTTTAAGAAATGGAGATCTTTACAATGAATCTATAATTTCAGAACTCGGTATATTTGGTACAATCATATTTGATGAAAACACTGGTGATATCAAAAGCAATAAAAATGCTGGATGGTTGTTAAGATCAAAATTTGAAACTAGTGATGAAGGAGGGGTCGCTGCAGGTTTCGGATGTGTAGATAATATATATTTATACTAGACTAACTAATTGAATTTTGTATTGAAATAATCTCATTAAAATTTTCTTCTTCGATTGGTTCATTATTTTCAATATCTACAACCCACAAAGCTGCTCCTATTGTATTTGTGAATATGAAAAATAAATTCAACATTGGAATCAGTTCAAACATCAAAGCAGATAATCCAAATGCCATATATGAAGGTTTATTAATCTTATAAATTTCTTTAATCTCTGATTTTGTAAAATTTTTCAATTTGAAATATCTTTTATGTGCCAATAATCCTCTTGAACTACTTTGAAAAAATAATATAATTAAAGGTCCAATAACAGGTATAAAATTGATTAAAAAAAATGATGAAACTTTTAAAATCAGGAATGGGAATAATGAAATTTTGAAAAATTCGAAACTTCTTTTAAAATCAATCTTTTTCTCATAAATTAAAACATTATTTTCCCTACTTAAAACTGCATCGTAAGAGATCTTTTGAATATATGGCATTAAAGTAATTGTTGTAATAAATATTGAAATTTTACCCAGTTGCAGAAACAATGAATACCAAGAAGCTATGAGACCAAGTGGACCCATTAATAGTGTATAAATGAAACCTGATATTGGATAAAAAAGAACAAACATAATGATATAAATTAGAAGGAATAATAACAATTGTGGAATTAAAATTGTTAAATAAAGTGGCCAAATTGCTGGATGTTTGAAAAAATAAATTAATCCCTAAATTATTGTTAGCTTTGATATTTGAGAATGCTCTATATTAATTGTCTTACTTTCAATGGGTACCAATATACACCAGATTCAATAATTGATATTAAATTAACCGCCATGATAATTATTTATATTTCATTTTTCTGTTATTTTTTTATTGAGGTAATCTAGCAAAAATTTGCAACCATATTGAAGTAATTTATCAATTTATAATGATCCAATTGAGGAAATATCTTCTATAAACTATGTCGATGATTCTTCGACGTATATCATTAAAATGACTTATGAAAACGATTAACAAGACACTAATCATACAAGATTTTTATAGTCATTATTAGTTCTCAACGTTAAACTTACATTTCCAATTATGATAACTATTCTTACAAAAGTCTTTACTACAAGATATAAACTTTTTACCAATAAATAAATCTACTTAAAATTCACAATCTAAAAATGGGAAGCTCTAGAGTTGCGCAGTGTTGCTTCTCTACTTATTAATTTGATGCGGTTTGTGCTGGTTTTGCTGGATCTTTTAAAAAAACATCATCTTTAGGTTTTGGTGCATTGAAGCAAAATTCTTCGATTTTATACAATTGTTTCACAAGTGAAGATTAGTCTTTAATAATAATTTAAGCTCATCGTTTGGAGGGACAAATTGAATTTCCCGCGCTAACTCTAGGGCGACCTCGTATCACATATATTAGCTTATATGGCAAGAACAACGAATTTTCTTAAGACAAGAACCATTTAGATGATATTAGGAGTCTTAATCCCATAATCAGCATATACTAATGGTTAATTTGAAATTTTTTCATGGACTTGGATTTTTGGGCTTTTTTCGCCATATAATTATTTGCAAAAACTGAAAACGCAGAGCATGTTTTATTTAGGGCCACAACTTTCATTTAAACGACGAATTATATATAATACATTAAAGTAAAGTGCAGAACTTAAATCTATTATCTGATCTAAAATTGAGAATCTATTTTCTTTTAACCATGCTGAAATTCGAAAAAATGACCTTAGAAAAATCCAACTCCACACTCAATGTCATGATTGAACTATGATAAAAGTATCTAAATCTGTAGTTCTTGTACGCCAATAAACCTTGAATTTTCTTGTGTTACGGCAATCAAAATTAAGAAATTAGTTTTTCAAAATTTTAGCAAAACTTTCAAACCAATTTTAGCGCCAGGAAATTGCATAGTTAAAATCTTCGTTGTTAATTATACCGGATCAGCTTTTGTATAATCTGCTAAATGAGGTCTAAGTGTTGTTTATGTCGCAATTTACCGTTTTTTTACCGTTTCGATGAATAAATTGATCAAATTCGTGTTTTATCAACATTAAATAGCACAGTTCTACTCTATACAAAATACAATTCTGTTTAATTAAATTTGGAATTTTGAGGAAGTTATTCACATTTAAAAGTTTAAGATTAGCTACTACCATATGACTGTTTATAAGGCAAATTTGTTTCAGAATTTTTTCTATTTTGTGGCACAAAACCGAAAACAAGCAGGAGCTTGTCCGGAAAGGTTTTTTTTTGAGACCAAAGATGGTATTGATCACCGTGTTAATTTAGAATTATTATTTAATCAAATTTGGATAAAGGATTGGATCCTGTAATTTTTTGCGTATACGTATGAACAAAACTAAAAGCAAAATTCGCAGAACGAAATGAACGAAATTCATATGACTTTTTTTAAAAGAAAGAATTACTATCTACTAGGTCAGTAAAGATTTAGTTAGGATACTGTGAGTAATTGACACTAAGATGTGGTAGCTGGACTTAAAGGAAAATTATTCCACTCTATTATAGATTATCATTCGATCGTAGATTAACCTATAAATTATATATATATTCCATATGACGTAGAGCTTAGTAAACTAAATAGCAATATAATCATAAACGAAACAGCTACAAGAATAAATAATGAGACATCTAAGTACTATTTTTTAATAGAGTTTGATCATTGTTAATCAAGATTTTGACATAATTGAATAAGCGTCTATTTTCTGGATTACAATTTTTAGTTTTGTACATCTGAAATATATATAAGTATCAATAAACCTATATTTAGACTTAATTTAATGTTTTCAACTCCAAAGTGTTGATGCACGCTGACAATCAAGTGAAATGATTTGTTAACCACACAAAATTAATACCAGTAGCCAAATTGATAGTAAAATTATATTCCCTTCAAAAATGATTTATTTATCGATTGAGGCTGGAACTAAGTTTACGAAAGAAGCACTTTTAGCAAAGCATTTGATAATATAACTCGGGATTTTGAAATTCCTACGAACCTTGAGTATTGTTCAATCGAAATGTGCAAATTTAAAATTAAAAGAAATGTTGAATTTGTGGATGAAAGAAGACCACTGGAGAATACCATATTCAAGGTAGATTAACAACCCTCCAGATTAATAAACAAAAAACTGGTAATTAAGATATAGCTTAAAATAATTCAAATTTGGATTTTATTGCATGTTTAGATTTTATTTTATATTTAATCTATACGTATCAAATCAATCCTTTATAGGATCTTTTCCATTTGTAAATCTAAAAGCAATTCTAAAATCTATTCTTAATTGTTCCTTATTACATTACCTATTTCACATTTTATCATGCACTTGCAACAACCATTTCTTTAAATATCGTAATCCTTTAATTCTTCGACCATTTCACCAAAAAGATTTCAAGACAACCAATTTTCCAATATATGGTCTCATTTACCATTAGCCGCAGGTAATCTATATATATATGCTTTAGCCTCTAGGTATAGGGAATTTGAAATGTCCAGCATTATACTATTTCATAAATCTATTGCATTACAACAAAAACATTAGCATCAACCTAAGCAATTTGGAATAACAATTCAATTCGAACAATTGAGTTTGTAACAACGGTCTGTTGGCCCAGTTGGTTAAGGCGTGGTGCTAATAACGCCAAGATCAGCAGTTCGATCCTGCTACGGACCATACTATATTTTTGAATATCGAACAAATTAGGCATCTATTTTTTATTACTTGAAAAAAATACATATACTTCAAAGAAACGGTTGTCAATCCGAATAAAATTAATGAATCATCTAAAAAAGTCTGTTCGCAAATTCATAGTTATATATCCCAAATTTTTACTCATTAATATTTTCGCAGTATTTTCTAGAATTTTGCTAATTTTGTTCGTTAAATGTTTGTCCTAGTGCGAATTTTGGCTGCAAAATCTCGTATCAGTGTTTGAAATGTTATAAGTACTAGACGATATGTTATAGCAAACCATTTGTGGATGAATGTACTATATATATATTTAATTAAACAAATATTACCTCTTAAACCAGCTCTAAATAGCATATTGGATCTTTATCACCTTTAAACATTTTATAAGCACCTTTAACAGCTCTTGATCTATGAAAATAAAATAATCTATCATTTGGATTATTTAAACCAATTGGATATCTCCCCTTTTCTGTATCAAAAACATCAAATATTTTATTTCCTGAACTAAATCTTTTTAAAACAACATATTGTGAAACATGTTTTGGAATTTCTTTAATTTGTGGTTTTTTCAAGTTTGGAATAGTATACGTTTAATGGCTATTATTAGGCTTGAAAACAACAATATAACAGAATTGTATTTGTAACTTTACAAAATTTGAGGTTATAAATCTACAGCATTTCAATTTGCGTTTGGAATGAACGTTCAACAATGTTGCTTCATTACTTGAGAAATGTAAAATACCTAAACTAAATACATGACCTATCTATACCGAATATGCTCAAACCCTAGTAAGGTTCCTTTAGTACTGCTTATTCGGCATCTATTACATTACATTGAATTATTGGAAATGATATATGTGAATAAGCATGGAAGATAAAATGATGCAAATTTGAAAAAGGCAGAGATTGTCATAACTTAGTTGATGACTTTGTAACAAATTTTAACTTAAGTTGTTCAACAAGGATTGTTAAGAGTATCTGCTTAAATTTCAATGATTGTGTTAACAATTTGTTTACTTACGAATTCTAGATGGCAGAAATTAACAATTTACAATTCACTCTATACATATACTCGTACTGCTCCTAATTTATAGCTTGTTATTAAATTAGATCATCGAAAGTTGCTAGTTCTATGAGCCACAATTAAGGTGAAGGATATGGGCTTAATTGGCAAATACTCAACAAGAATTAACATGAGGTTCTCGACATTTCTTTTACTAAAATCGTTTAGCATTTCCAACTAACCAAATTTCATATTTTTGAAGAACTTGTTTAATTGGTTGCCTTATAAACAATGTTTAGTATATTCAACTATTTTTTTATCAAATTCAATATGTAAACTACTAATCATCATTTTACATTATAAAATTCATTAACCATTGCCCCTTTATTTTACTATATACAATTATAATCTATATCTATTTACCTTGTTCAATCTTCTTGCAGTTGAAGCATTAGTACAAGTACGTTGACCACGTACAGGAAATCCATAGTAATGTCTCATACCAGCAATTGAACCTATGTCTTTTTTCAATTTTATATCATTATTAATTTTTTGTTTTAAATGACCTTCAACTAATAATTGTGAAATTTCTCTATTTAAATCCATAATTTGAGGTTCTGTTAATTGATTCATTTTACATTGTGGATATATTTTAACTTTTGCCATTAATCTTTCAGCAGTATCATAGCCTATACCAAATATAGTTTTTGCCAACCCTACTTTAACACTAAAATTATGCTTTATTGATTTACCAAATACAACGACACCCATGGTTCAATTGTAAAAGAATTTTATTAAACAAAATGAAAAATATATAATATAGTAGGTAGTGTACTATGTAACAATTATATTGTTGCAAAAAAAAAAATAATCATTCTTATTATTAGATAAAGAAAGAGTTATATTAATACATTTTATCATGAGTTTTATGCCAAATGGTTCTAAACCTGAAACTGCTTCATTTACTTGTAATACTTGTGGTACAATATTTATTAATGCTGAATTACAAAGGAAACATATGAAAACTGATTGGCATAGATATAATTTAAAAAGAAAAGTTGCTAATTTACCTTCAATATCATCAGAGGTATTTGCTGAAAAATTTTTGCAACTGAAATTAAATAATACTAATGAAAATGAAGATGAATATGGTTTTTACATTGCTAAAAGGAAAAAGAAGAATAACTCAAATAAAAATTTACGTAAACATGTTTTAACAAATCAAAATAGAGGTAGAAATGAATTTATTAAACTGAAAAATGTTAGGAGTGCAAGTCCAGCAACTTCTATTGCATCTGAATTTTCACAATTTTCATTAGGTGATGATGAAGTTCATTATGATGAAACATTAGATACTGGATCGGAGTTAAATTATACTGAATCTGATTTTACAGATTTAGATCATTCGTCAGATGAAGGAATGCAAGAATCAGATGATGAATCTATTGAGGAAGTTAAAGCTATACCTATCTCTCATTGCTTTTATTGCGGAAAGAATAATCATGAAATTGAAACAAATGTTAGACATATGTATAATCATGGTTTATACATACCTGAAAGATCATTTTTAATTGATTTGGAGGGGTTGCTTAATTATTTAAGTGAGATGATATCAATTTATAATGCATGTTTAGTCTGTGGGTTCGAAGGTAAAAATTTAGAAAGTATTAGACAGCATATTAAATCAAAAGGTCATTGTAAAATACCTTATGAAACAAAGGATGAAAAATCAGATATTTCAAGATTCTATGATTTTATTGAAGAAGAGGAAAAAGAATCGACAGAAAGAAAAGTTGGATTTTTAGATGAGCCTGAATCTTCGGCATTAATAATATATAATGGTGTAAATGATAATTATATAACTTGTGACTTGGATGATTCTGGTGTTCAATTAATATTACCAACAGGTTCAAGAATTGGTCATAGATCTATGCAAAGGTATTATAGACAGAATATTTTACTACCTCAAGATAAACAAGATGGTCAAAAAACGCAAGCTTTAGTTGATAGAAGGTTTTCTCCAGGATTAACATATAATCAAATTTCAAGACATGAAAAGGAAGTACAAAAAATTGAAAATATTAATAAAAATATTGCAGTTAGAAAAACTAAAACGAAGAAGACTAATTATCAAAAACATTATAGAGATGCAATATTAGGTACATAGTTTTAAGTTACTTTTTATTTGGATCTTTAGATCTATAAGAGATGTCTTTAAAAATTTTCTTTAACTCATTTTACTTAAAACAACAAATTGATAAGTTACGCATTAGGCTATTTGCCGTGAAAAGTAATTACACCTCATGAATATTATTGTGGCGGAATACTAATTTATATAAATCGTCTGGATTTCAAAAATGTTGATTGAATATTTAACATGGAAATTAGATCACGTACGGAAAATCATCTACAAAATGCTTTATATCATAGATCAGATATTAGAGATACAGATCCTCAACATAACCAAGGTGATGTTGAATTATTAGCACAAATTGGTTATAAACAACAATTGAATCGTCATTATAGTACAACTCGAGTTTTTGGTATTGCATTTTTAATTATGTGTTTATTACAATGTATATCGAGTATGGTTCAAATGGTTTAGAGAGTGGGGCTGGAGTACTAGCTATTGGATGGCTTATAGCTGGACATTTTTAGGAAGTGCCATTCCGACTAGTGGTTTGTATTATTACTCAAATTATTATTCTCCAGATTCAATTATAGTTCAATTAAGTTTTTAAATTGAATGTTCAAATTCACTTGATTTAATTGGTGGGTTTTGCTCAATTAGTTATGGATTTGCATCAGAAGTTTTAGCAGCTGTTAATATATCACAAAATACCAATTTTGAAATTACAAATGCAAAATCATACGGTGTTTTTGCTGCTGGTATTGTTCCAGCGACAATAATTATTTGTTTAAGTACAAAAAGGACGGCTTTATCACAATCAATGTCAATATTTGTCAATGTATTTCTTATAATATTATTTATTATAGCTCTTCATAATTTCAGTAAAGGTAGTTTTATACTTGGTAATTTTGAAAACTCAAGAAATTATCCTAAACTTTGGTAATTTGCATTATCTTTTCAACCAGTTATTTGGACCATTGGACCTTACTATTCACCAATTCATTGTGCTGAAAAGAAGCCAAATATGCTCAAAGAAGTATTCCAGTTGGTATTATTGGATCGAACTTTGCTTGTTGGATTTTGGGTTGAATTATTTGCTTTATTTGAGCTGCTTGTGTTCAAGCTGGTGACGTCAAAAGAGTTTTGGAAACTGCAACTGGTTCACCAATGTCACAGATTATCTATGATTGTTCAGATAACAAATGGGCAGTTGCATTCATCAGTTTGATTGCTGTTGGTCAATATTTAATAGCTATTTCAATTGCAATTGCACTTTCAAGACAAGTTTGGTCGTTTGTAAGAGATGGTTTACCAATTGTTTACAAATTTGTTAAATATATAAATCCAAAAATCAAGGTTCCCATTAGAGCTACATTTTTTTGCCGGTTGATGTTTAGCTTTGGGTTTACTAGCTTTAATTCCTGGCACTGTTGGTTCAGGTGCATTATTTAGCTTAGCTATTATGCTGCAAAAATTTAGTTTTTCCATGCCAGTTTTTTTAATTACATTACCTTATGGTAGAAAAATATTTAGAAATGGTCCATTTAATTTTGGTAATGTATTGAGTATAATCATTAATGTAGTTACTTTAGGGTGGATTATATTTGTGATTATTATTTGTGTATTTCCAGATACGACCCCTGTTGATAAAAATTCAATGAATTATACAGTAGTAATTAATCTGGGTATTTATTATCCGTGGTGTATTTTTTGTTTGGGGTTACGAAGCATATTCTGGCCCAAAATCTAATTTTAGATGATGATACTTACCTCGATAGTACTTCTCTACCAGATAATCTTGATGATATTTTATCAGAAAAATGATGAATTTAAGTAAACATTGTTGATAGTCTAGATTAGATTTATACAGAAGTTGTAAATTGATCATATTAAGTCTCCTTTATATCTCGCTCTTTTGAATCGATGCTATTTAATTTATGGAGATTTCGATCCACACGCAATTTCATACTGTCTCTGTTTATGGTTCATATTAGTATACTTATTACCATCCAACCCAAGCTAGCTTCACTCCAAGAGACTTTGCTCTCAGAAACGGAGAAAATTTTGCAATAAAAACTAATACAGAAATTCCTATCGTTGCAATGCTCATGCTTATACGTGAATTGAATCCAAGCACTGATTTTTGCAGAGCAATGTAGCCGTAATCACTTGGTGATCAATGTATTTTCTTTTGAATTACTTTACATCTGTTTAAAGTTCTTTTTGCGCTTGTATCGCGCTTATGTTACATGAGATTTTGCAGCCACGCATGGTAGCGCTCATGATTTTATTTTTATTTTTTTTTGCTCTCGAAAAAACAAACGCGTCTTAAAAATTTAAATCCACATCATGGGTAGATTAATTGGATTAGAATTATGCAATTTCAAATCTTATAAAGATAAAGCTACGATTGGTTTTGGATCCTCATTTTTTACATCTATTATAGGTCCTAATGGTTGTGGTAAATCGAACATGATGGATGCTATTTCTTTTGTATTAGGTATTAATTCGACACAATTAAGATCACAAAATTTAAAAGATTTGATATATAGAGGTAGAGTCAATCCAGACTATAATTTGGATTCAGCTGAACAAGATCCAACTTCAGCTTATGTGATGGCAACTTATGAAAAAGATGATGGAGAATTAATTAAATTGAAAAGAACTCTTACAGCCAATGGAAATAGTGAGTATCAAATAAATGATCGATCAGTTACAATGTTAAATTACTCAAAAGTTCTACAGTCAGAGAACATTCTTATTAAAGCAAGAAATTTTTTAGTTTTTCAAGGAGATGTTGAACAAATTGCATCTCAAGCCCCAAAAGATTTAACAAGATTAATTGAGCATATAAGTGGTTCAAATGAGTATACAAAAGAGTTTGACAAGCTAAAAGAAGAATCAGAAAAAGCACATGAAGAATCTAATATGGTATTTGCAAGAAAAAGAAACTTGAATTCTGAATCAAAACAATATAAGGAACAAATTGCTGAACAAAAGAAATTTGAAAACTTAATACGAAAAAAAACTGAGACCATCAAAAAGATTCAATTGTATAAACTATTTCATAATGAAAAAAAGCATCATCAATTAAAAGATTCAATTTCAAAAAAAAAAACTGAACTCAAAGAATTGAAAAATACTTTATCGACTAGAGAAAGAATTTTGAAGTCAATGCAATCAGATTATTCAAAAGCAATGTTGGAACTCAAAAAATTAACTCATAAATACAATGAATCTGAACAAAAAATTGAATCTACAGAAAGAGAATTAATACCTATTGATGCAAGCAAGATTTCATTAAGTTATAAAATTACTTCTCAAAATAAAAAAGTTTCAGATCTTGAAAATGATCTTGAAAGGCAAAGCATCTACATTAAATCGGTTGAAAAACAGTTGAGAGATGCAAAAAAGTTGTATAATCAATTCCAAGAAAAAACTTTTGATACATCAATTATTATATCACCAGATGCTCAAAAGGAATATGAACAATTACGATCGGAATATTTATCTACAAATGGTTCAGAATTAGAAGAACAAATTTCATTAATTTTAAACGATAAAGATAGTTTTAAAAATAGTAAAGCAAATCTTGAAATTCAAAAGGCAAATGCTGAGAAAAGAGTAATTGAATTGGAATTATTATCAGGTGATTTGAACTCAAAATTATCCGAAGCTTCAGATGAGTTTAAAGTTATATTTGATAAGAAGTCAGAAAAAACTGAAGCAAAGAATAAATTACTCAAACAAAAAGATGAATATAATCAAAAAGAGTTATCTTTAAATACTCAATTAAGAGATGTTCTTTTAAGATTAGATGAATTATCTTCTCAACAAAGAGAATCAAATAAACAAAAAAAATTGAGAGAAAATATATCAACATTGAAGCGATTATTACCACAAGGTTCAATTAAAGGATTAGCTTATGAATTGATTCAACCTTCTCAGCAAAAGTATGAGTTAGCTTTATCAACGTTATTAGGTAGAAATTTTGATGCGATAATTGTTGAAAGTTCTCAAATTGCTTATCAATGTATTGAAATTTTAAAAGAAAGAAGAGCTGGTATAGCTACATTCATACCATTAGATTCAATTGATTCAGAACCAATTGATTTAAATTATTTGAGGTCTTTATCTACCCCAGGTCTTGATATCTTGAAATATGATAAATCTTTAGAACCAGCAATTAATCACCTTATCGGCAATACATTAGTCACTGAAACTATAGATGAAGCTAGAAACTTGAAATTTAACAAGGGTTTTGAGAACAAAATTGTTACAATACAAGGTTCAGTTATTCATAAATCAAATTTAATGACTGGTGGTCAACAAAAATCAAAAATTAATTGGGATAAACAAGAATGGATTAAATTAAATGATGTTAAAGAGCAAATCTCATTAGAAATTTCAAAATTACAAGAATCAAAACCAAAAGAATTGGATATTAATTTGTTAACTGAAGAAATTAGTAATCTAGATGATAAACTACCAATCTTGCGTAATCAAAAATCAAGTCTTGAACGAACAATTAAAGATAGGCAAGTTGAAATTGACTTTCAAAAAAGTTTGGTCCAAGGTTTTGAAGAAAATATTTTAAAGAAAGTTGAAGAAATGAAGAAAATTGATGAAAAAGTTGATTCTTTAACAGACGAATTAAGAAAGATTAAAAATGAAAAATTCAAAATTTTTTGTGAAAAATATAGCTTAGATGATATTGAACATTATGAAAATACTCATGGTAATGCATTGAGATATAAAGCCAAGGAAAGAAATCAATATACCAAAGCTATTGCAACATTAAGTAATAAATTAGAATTTGAAGAAGGTAGGTTAAAAGAAACTCAGGATAGAAAATCATCAATTGAACATTACATAACCGATTTAGATGATGACTTGAAAAAAGTTTTACAAGAAAAATCTCATTTAGAAGAGTATTTAGATAAATTAGAATCAGAAAATGTTGTTGTGAAAGATGAAATCAAGTCTTATGAAACATTATTGGAAACTAAAATGAAAAAATCTAAAACTGCTGAAGCTGATGTAGATGAAAGTTATAATGATATCATACAAAAAAATAAAGAAATTAACCAAATTGATGAAAATTTATTAAATATTGATAATGAAAGAGCAAATATACTTAAATATTGTAAGATTCAAAATATTGCATTACCACTATTGAAAGGTGAAATTGATAATATTCCAATCGTTGAAGATTTGGAAGATTCAATAAAAGAAATTTATAAAATTGAAGTAGATTATGATTTAGATGAAAAATATAAAGAATCATTTAATATCAAATTAGAAAATGAATTAGTAGTATCATTGAGTAATTTAACTGAAGAATTGGAATCATTAGCTCCTAATTCAAAAGCAAGTGAAAGGTTTAAAAATATTGAAAATAGAATTAAAAGTCATGATAAAGAATATACAAAAGCAAGAAATAAGGAAAAACAAATTCAAAAAAATTTCAACGCCATTAAAGATTTAAGATTTAAAAAATTCATGGAAGCATTTAGTCATATTTCCGAAAAAATTGATACTATATATAAAGAGCTCACAAAATCACCAGCTTCCCCATTAGGAGGATCAGCATATTTAACGTTGGAAGACGAAGAATTACCATATCTTTCAGGAATTAAATATCATACCATGCCTCCAATGAAAAGATTTAGAGATATGGAATTATTATCGGGTGGTGAGAAAACAATTGCTGCTTTAGCATTATTATTTGCAATACATCTGTATCAACCTGCTCCATTTTTTGTATTAGATGAAATCGATGCGGCATTGGATCATGCAAATGTTATTAGAGTTGGTAACTATATAAAGAAACATGCTGGACCAAATTTCCAATTTATAGTTATATCATTGAAAAATTCATTATTTGAAAAATCGGATTCATTAATTGGAATATATAGAGAACAAAGAAAAAATAGTTCAAAAACTGTTACATTAGACTTAAGTGAATATCCAGATGAAGAAGTACCATTAGTTAGAGCTAATGAATATATATTGAATTAAATTAATAAACCAGCAATAGCAGCAATAATAAAAGCTAATCCATAAGTAGAATCTTGAATTAAATTAGCAGCATTTTGAGCAGCAGTAGCAGATTCATTATTTAACTTACTATCATTATCATTTTGGTCAGAAGTAGTTGAATGCTCATGATCTGAAGTTGTAGATGAAGTTTTTCTTGTAGTTGAATCTCTGCTTGTAGTTGAATCTCTGCTTGTAGTTGAATTTCTTCTTGTAGTTGAATTTGTTGATAATGTTGAGGATGGTGAACGTCTATTTGAAGAAGTTGCAAATAATCTTGGATCAGTTTCATCAGAACCAACTTGAGTAGCAGAATTAAAACCAGTTTCTTCAAATGTATTAGTAGGAACAATCAAACCTGTTTCAAAAGAATCAGGTGCTCCATCTTCAAAAGAATCAGGTGCTCCAGTTTCAAAAGAATCCGGTGCTCCAGTTTCAGGTGAAAAACCATCGGCGTCTTCTACACCATCAGTAGCAAATGAATCTAATAAATCAATAGAATTTGTTTCATCACCTTCTGCTCTAATAGCTAAATTTTCATCATTCAAATCAATTTGAATAGCATTAATAGCATAAACTAAAGTTAATAAAATGTTTAATAAATTCATTATGATCAATAATAATTGAGTATAAAAGGGTTTATTGGAATTTTTCAAGTCTATTTATAATGAAAATTTGATTTACTAAGGTACAATAAGGCGGACATGTATTGATTCTGAGATACATTCTCATTAAAACTTTAAAATTATCAAGGTTGTAAATTAATGAAGCGTTATATTGGTATGAATAAGCCCCTTTTCTTATATTTAAAATACCAAATAGGTAATAAACAAACCACATAAAGCTGTGCACAGGTATTACTTATTTTAAAATTTTAGACCTTACATAATTAAATTCTATTCTGAAACAAATCCCAATTAGGTAATTTAAATTTAGACGATAAAAATCACAAAATTGGTAGCGCTACGCGTTTTTATATTTTTATATTTTTTTTTTTTTTTTTTTTTTTTTTTAACAATTTTATTTTTATGACATTAAATATTGATAAACATGAAAAATATTTTAAATTATGTTTGAATAGTTTACCATCGTTTGCTCAATCAGAAGATTCAAATAAATTAGCAATAATTTATTTTTGTTTACATGGTTTACAATTATTAAACAGATTTAATTTAAAAGAATTTGAACAATTTAAAAATTCAATAATTGATGAATTTATGATTGAAAATTATGAAATAATTGCATTTAGATCAACTCATTATTTTAGACAAAGTGGGGATTATGATTTACCAAATTTATCATCAACATTATTTGCTTTGTATATATTATTAATTTTAGAAATTGATTTTATTGAAAAATTGAATTTAAATAAAATTATGAATTTTTTAATTAAATGTCAAGTTAAAGAAGGAGGATTTGTGTCAACTTTAGATTTAAATTATAACCAATTTGGTGAGGCAGATCTCCGACTATGTTATATTGCATTATGTATACGTCATTTAATTAAAGATAAAACTGATAAAGATATAAATATAAAATCATTAATAAAATATATTTTAAACAGACAAAATATAAATGGTGGTTTTAGTAGTTATAAAAATGATGAAAGTCATCTTGGGTTTACATTTTGTGCAATTGCATCATTAAAATTGTTAAATTATAAAGGTAAATTATTTAAAACTCAAGATTGGTTAATACATAGACAAGTTGATTTTACATTATATGAAAATTATGAATATTATAGAGATATAGACATTGGCGGGTTTAATGGTAGAGAAAATAAATTTGCTGATACTTGTTATTCTTGGTGGTGTACAAGTAGTTTAGAAATTTTAAATTTTAAGAAATATAATCTTGAATTAGCACAAGATTATTTATTAAAACAAACTCAAAATGAATTAATTGGCGGATTTAGTAAAGAACCAAATTCAACACCAGATCCATTACATAGTTATCTTGCAATTGCTAGTTTATCATTATGGAAATATGAAAATTTATTATCAATTGATTCAATATTAGTTATTAGTGACAAACTGTATAATTATTTTAAAAGTATTAATAAATGATTAATTTATACTACTTACACTATTTATACTCTTGTGATGATATTAATCATTGTTAACGATGATGATGATGATGAATTTTTTTTTCTCATTCTCATTTAATTTTCAATTTACAACCAAATAAATTCCCATTCGTTCGTTAATAATACCTTTTAACTGTGGTTAATGGAGAAGTTCGATGTCTCCTGATAATAACAACAAGAATCCCGATGCAAAAGTTCATTTGATATCTGGTGCAATTGCTGGTTTAGTTTCTGCTATAACTTTACAACCTTTTGATTTATTAAAAACTAGATTACAACAACAACAATTAACTTCAAAACATGAAGTAAAAACTTCTTTAATTAAAGAACTTAAAAAATTAACAAAAATAAAGGATTTATGGAGAGGTACTTTACCATCAACATTACGTACAAGTATTGGAGCAGGATTATATTTTACAATATTATCTAAAATGAGATCAACATGGGCTGAATATAAAGTTAAACATAATTCAAATTTAGATTTAAATTCAGATTCATCAATATTACCAAAATTGACACCATTTGATAATTTAGCAACTGGATTTATTGCAAGAGCAATTGTTGGTTATATAACAATGCCAGTTACATTAATTAAGACAAGATTTGAATCAAATTTATATAACTATAATTCTATGTATGAAGGTATATCTGGTATATACTTGAATAAACAAGAACCATTAGGTAAAGCTGAAATTAGTCTTGATGGAGGACCAAAACCAGTATCAAAAGGTTCAATTAAAAATTTTTTCAATGGATCATTAGTTACTTTAGCAAGAGATTGTCCATATGCTGGTTTATATGTATTAAGTTATGAAGGGTTTAAAAATGATTTAATACCAATATTTTTTAATAAAAATAATAATAAAAAAGAAGATAATACAATTAAATCGAGTATAATAAATTCAATGGCAGCAATATCAGCAGCAATAACATGTACGACTGTAACAGCTCCATTTGATGCAATAAAAACAAGGTTACAATTAACAAGTGGACAAAAATCAACAATGGTCAAAACATTTAAACAATTAATAAATGAAGATGGTGGAATTAAAAATTTATTTCGAGGTTTAAGTTTAAGATTAGGAAGAAAAGCAATAAGTGCAGGTATAAGTTGGTGTATATATGAAGAATTAATCAAAAGTAATTTATTTACAACTAATATAATTAAACATAAATTGGTATAAAGTAATAAGAATAATAATAATAATAATGGTAATTATAGATATTCAGTGCAGGTATAAGTTGGTGTATATATGAAGAATTAATCAAAAGTAATTTATTTACAACTAATATAATTAAACATAAATTGGTATAAAGGAATAAGAATAATAATAATAATAATAATGGTAATTATAGATATTCAGTGTATCTGTTATACATGGTACACTTTATCTAATTAGTAACGTTATACTCTTTATTATCTATATCTAATCTACATCTAATACTATCAATTCATTACCATTTGGTAGCGTATTTATTTGTTTGTTTATTTTATCCACTGGATGCAAATTATTTTTTTTTTTTTTTCTTTCTTTCTCCAACAATTAAATATTGAAAGATTATGAATGAAGAATTGATTAAAAGTGCTGTTGATTTCTTAAAAGATCCTCATGTTGAATCTTCTCCATTAACAAAAAAAGTAGAATTTTTAGAATCAAAGGGTTTGAATCAACAAGAAATTGAAGAAGCTTTAAAAAGAGCAAATAATAATAATAATAATAATAGTACCACCATTAATAATACAACACCATCATCATCATCATCATCGTCTTATCAAAACTCACCTCCAGTTGATTATTATAATTTAAATCGACCAGCTTTACCTGAAAGATCATGGAAAGATTACTTTATAATGGCTACTGCTACCGTTGGAGTTACTTATGGTTTATATCAAGTTTTAAATCGTTATGTAATTCCATCAATTATCCCTCCAAAACAATCTTCTATTGAACAAGATAAACAAACTATTAATGAAGAATTTCTCAAAATTGATAAGGTTTTAGATCAACTTTCTAAAGAACAAGAAGATATTAAATCTCAAAATGATGAAAAATTAAAGGATATTGATACTGTAATTGAAAATGTAAATGATTTTATTAACAAATTTAATAAAGATAAATTAAAATTTGATGATGATTTAAAATTAATGAAATTGGAAATTAATAATTTAAATAATTCTGTTGAAAAAAATGTAAATTTAATTAAAGAAAATATTAATAGTGAATTAACTGAAATTAATGATGAATTAATAAGTTTGAAAAATTTAATTAAAGTTAGAAATAATCAAAATATATCAAATAATAATGTTGAATCAAGAAAAATAGCACCAGTGTCATCAATTCCATCTGCTTCAGAAATATTAAAACGTGCAAGAGAAAAGAAGGAGGAATCAAAAGTTGAAAATACAAAAACACCAACTGAAGAATTAAAAACTCAAGAACCAATTAGACCAGATGTTGTAAGGAGTGAAAGTATAACAAAAGATGGAGTAACAGCTGGTGGTATTCCATTATGGCAAATACAACATAAAGAAAAGGAAGAAAAAGAAGAAGAAGAAGAAGAACTGGAAAAGAATGCTCAACAATCTCAACAAATACCTAGTTGGCAATTAAATAATCAACAAAAAGAAGAAGAAGTTAATGAAAAACTTAAAAATATTCAACAACCATCATGGCAATTGAATCAAGAGCAATAATTTATATAAGATTTGTATTAATTAGTTTATGTATTGATATACTTTTAACCTTAGGCTCAATCTCTCGGCGTGACATATTCGTGCTAGAATTTCTGATTAAGTATAGCTTATATGTAGTCACTTCTCTGTTAAATTCAAAAACTAATTTGCAAATAACTCCTTCAATTTTTAAAGCTTTTTATTTCAAACTAATTTAAATAAAATCTCCAATCAATTTTAGTCCAAGTCATCTAGAAACAAGCTCGGCACTTTTGCTTGAGGTACAGTATATATATACCGCTATTTAATTGAAAGTTATGGACGTAAACCATATGTTCTCTGCGTTTTTAGTTTTAGCAAATTTTTGTATGGTGAAAAAAATGGCCAAAATGACAACTCAAAAATAAAATATTCGAAAGATGAGATAGTAAATAATTAGGATATATAAACCAAGGCTCCTGATCTTATAAAAATGGTATTTATTTCGAGAAACTGCTTTGGTCATGACTTATGCATCGATATTTTAGTTCGTCTCGTCCCAAATCTAAACGAGAAATTATTTTGTCGCCCGAAATTTATCGCATCAAAAAATACATACTTTCTACTCTAGTATAATTTTTATCGCGTAGGCTTCAAAAGCGATATCGTACAAACTATTCACTTTGTCGCATCGATCTAGAGCCATCTGCAAGCCATAAATCAAGCGACAACAAATTCCACACGATAATCACAAATATGAAAGCCAACAGAAGAAAGCTCTTAAACAGAAAAGACTATTGATGTATATTTCAAGCCGTTGAATCATCTCTAATACCCTCAAAATTAACAAAACAAATTTGGTGTTTGCACGACTCTGTAATATAATCACGTGATTTTGTGTCGATTTTTGAAAAAGTGTTAGCATTTGTATATGAGACCTATTTTAATGGATAGTTCTTGAGGAATTGAACAAAACATTGTATGGCGACTTTGTCTAAATCGTAAAGTGTAAAGAGTTATGGGGCTGTTTTAGTTTTCAGTGTCAGAAGTTTTTTACACAAAAGGAAAATCTCAAATTTGTACAACTTTTCTTTGGTACAAACATGAGATAAATCAACAGAAACATATCATTCAAACCAGGCATTCGTCGTTGAATTCATGTGAATGAATGTATTCATGTATGATAAGGAGTCATGTGTCTTTTCATGGTTTTAAAACGATCAAGTAAAACTTGTTTATTGCAAATTTCATATTTCATTTCATTATGGAGAATAAGGTAAATTATCAATTTTTTATAATGAGTACACTTTTTATCAATTGTTCAATTGCTACATATTAATACAAACATTGCCAATCTAAATCTAATTTTGAAATCTCCCGAATACCAGCATTTGTTAATTTGATATCATTATAAATAGCCAAGCTAAAGTAACGCATTCCAATAAATCAGTAGTCTAAATTGTTTATAGCCTATTGATTTAATTGTAGTAGGGGTGTGGAGAAATAATTAACGCAATACCTTAGCTTTAATCCAATTCAATAAATCTTTATTGTTGTAAGTACTAACAATGTTGATTATGTAAGCCCAAAGTTATAACATCAATCAAGGAACTAAGGCTAGTTGCATTTGAATTTGGTTAAACCAGTTTACAATATAGCAATTAACTGTAAAACAATTATAAAGCCAGAAAACACCACCACATCGATGTAACCTCTTGTTGAATTAACATGTATATCTTAGGCAATAAGTTTTAACTTGGAATGGGATGTTACAATCTCAATCCAAAATTAAACTATTAGAACTTTGATTCGAATGACAATTGATGATCTCGTCTTTAAGTACAATTTTTGTTACACACTTATTCCTATAGATTAGGTTTGGCTTACAATCTCTATTGCGCTTTACCACTGTTGACAATTTTCGTTTAGTCGAGCTATTTTTGAGACCATTTCATGAACATTTTGATGATTTTATTCATTTTACGGTCCCAATCGTGTTTTTATCCATTTTTCGCCCTATAACTGATAATTGACGCTTTATTATAGACTGTAAGACTGCATATAAGTGAATTTGTTTGTTTATGCTTTTATTCAATGTTGTAATTTTTGGCGCGAAATAGAATACTTTCTCGCGTTAGCTCTAGGGCGACTCGCATTAAACTCTTTTATTTATATGTTTTCAACAATAAATGTCCATCAGATAAATACTAGTTATATGAAATCTGTGAAATGTATGATCTACGGATTTCAAATACAAAATTTCAAAAATTTTTTTTGGAGTTGTCATTTTGGACTTTTTTCACCATACAAATTTTTCGAAGAATTGAAAGTTGTACATGTCTCTATTTAGGGCCGCGACTTTCAGTTAAACAATGGATTACATATATTATACATAGAACTACAGTGTTACAGTTGGTTTCGTTTGGTTTCATCTAAAATTCAAAAATTGCAAAATTTTCTCTTAAGTATGGGGAAATAAATTGAGCTTAAGGAAAATTCAACTCCACAATGAATATCAAGCTTTAAATATGATAATAATATCATGATCTGTACTCTTCAATTCTGATATGGATCAGTTTTTTTTGTGTTAAGATATTCAAAATTGCAAAACGAGATTTCAGAAGTGGTTTGAAAATTTTACAAAAATTCAAACCAAATATGGCGACTTGAAACCATTACAAATATAATATTTACATTTAGTTGAACACAGTCAGCTATATTAGAAGTCGAAAAACAAAGCCTAAATATTAATTATTTTGCAAAATAGCGCTTTTTGCCATTTTTTAAAAGTCGAATAAAGTCGCCAAAATTTTGTTTTTTCAAGGAAGATTAACATCATTGTACGTCAAATTGATTGGGGGTTTTATTTAAATCAGTTTGAAATAAAGTGTTTAAAAACTGAGGGGGGTAATTTACAAGTCAAACTTTTAGATGAATTACGAGAGACTGCATATAAGTCAATTACGTTCAAAAATTTTTTCTCTTTTTTTTTTATTTTTATTTTTATTCCATATCGCGCCAATATTTAAGGCGACAAAAAGAGTTTCTCGTGTTAGATTTTAGGCGCGACCTTTTACGAGGTTTAGTGGTGACGCGGTATATGCAGGACTGCATAAAATATTTTGCAACAATTTTTCTTTTTTTTTTTTTTTTTAGTTAATTCATCAACAATTAATCAACAGCTGAACAACGATTCAACAACTAACAATCAATAGTCTGTTTCAACTAATATTCATTCGTTCAAAAATATACTTATTTTTTCAATTCACATAGCCTGTTTTATTAACTGGGGTTTCATTTCTGTTCATTCATTTATTTATTTATTCATTCATTTGGTGTTTTTTTAATTTATATATCTTATCTAGCTATTTATCTATTCATTAGTTCCTGTAATTCTTTAATTGGTTGGTTTTTGACTTTTATCGTTGGGGTTAGTTATAAATTTTAGTCTTAATATTTTTTGCATTAAAATGATTCATCAAAAAAGGGCCTTAAATTCTGAAGCATTTCAAAATCAACTTGAAACAATTAACAATTTAAAAATTAATAATTCAAAATATAAACAACATTATCAAAAGTATAATCAAAATCAAAATTATTTACAACAAAACAAATATGCATTAGCAGCAGTGGCAGCAGCAGCAGCTATTCAACATCAAAATCAGCAACTACAATTACAACAGCTACAATTGCAACAGTTACAACAACAGCAACAACAATTTCAACAGCAACAGCAACAGCAACAGCAACAGCAACAGCAACAGCAACAGCAACAACAGCAATCTCGTTTATACAACCAACAACCACAGGTTTTTGCAGACGAGAGTTCACAATCATCTGTATCATCAGCTTCATCAACTAATCAAACTTTTCAATCAAAATTTTTAGAAAGTGATAATACTTCTCCTATTTTATTACCATCAACTTTAAAAAATTCACCTCCACCACCTCCTCCCCCACCAGGCAAATTATTTTTAAACTCAACAACAAGTGGCTCATCACCTTTGCTCAATAATTTAACTCCAACAACAACTACTTCACCGAATTTTTTAAATTCACCAAGTTTATCAAGTAGTAATAATATTTGGAATGGTGGTAGTAGTAATATTAATAGCACTGGAGGTATCTGGAATACTACAAGTCAAAAAAATGGAGGTATTTGGTAGAATAGGACATAAAGGGAGTTACTATATATAATATATATATGTATATATAGTGTTTAATTAATACATATGGTGATTTAGATTCAAGAGTGCGTTGTCACACATGGTAGCGTAGATGAACCTGAAACAATTTTTTCGTGTTTCAAAATTAAAAAATATAAACAATAAAAATAAAATATTCAAATTTATTACCAAATTATGAATAAAATACAATTGATTAAATTGTATATATCAAGATTAATTCATTCATTGGTACCTCAAGAATTTGGTGATGAATATATTGCAAGCTTATCCAGTGAAATCTCAGAGAAATTATTAAATTCTTCACTGCAAAAATTTGATCTTTCAATTGTTGTAAATAAAATAAAAGTTCAATTTTTAAATAACGGTTTCGATCAAGAATGGATTGAATTTCAAAATATAATAACAGAATTGACAAACTTCAAAAGTATAGATCAAATTTGCAATTATTTGATTTTCTTAAATTCATTAAACAATCCAAATGAAGATTATCAATACCAACCTACATTTAAAGTACCAGAAAATGCAACATTATCTCAAATAATACAACCATATTATAAAACTTTGAGTGAAGAAACAATTGTATTGTATCTACCTTATGTGTTATTAGGATCAGAATCAAAATTATTCAAATTTAAAAATAATAGTATAATAATTCCAAATGATATAAATAATAGTTTTAGTTTATTATTAAAAGAAATTTTTGAAATTGCATTACTTTATAAACAATTGGAGTTATGTATACAAGAAAATAAAGGAAAATTCAAATCATCAATTAAATCTGCATTTATCTCAATGTTGGAAATACAAATCAACAATTACGTAAAAGAAATCAATTTATTATTCAGTACTAGTCCAACCAATTTAATACAGATCTATTCAGGGTTATATTCATGGTTATTTAAACTTCGATTTTTGTATAGATGCAGTAAGAAGCTCAATTTAGAAGGATTTGCGTTTATATCATTTATGCATAGATTTACAAATTTCGACAATCAAATTAGCGATTTTGCAAAATTGATTTTTAGTGAGATAGTAAAACCTTATTATAACATTATGGAACATTGGCTTATCAAAGGTGAATTAACAGATGAAGGAGAATTTTTCATTTCTTTTGATCTGTCTCAAAATGAATTTAATAAAATAATCAAGTTTGATCAAAACAAAGTGTTGCCCAAGTTTTCAAAAGAGGTTGCGAATAAAATATATCAAATAGGTAAAACATTGATATTCCTAAATAAATACTGTCGAGAGTTGAGATGGGTAAATGAATTTAATTTGAAATATTCAAATATTATATTCAATGACAACAAAGGTTTAATTAGTATGAGTGATAATGCAATTATTAATTTAGTAAGTCAACAATATGAAGAAATAGTGAGTTATCTTACGTTGGTTATACATTCAAAGAACAATTCATTTGAACATTTCAAAAATTTAAAAAAAATTTATTTTATGCAATATAGTGAATTTATTGAAAGTATAATGTGTAAAGGATATGATGTATTCAATCAACAAGCAAGTCAAATATCACCAACTTATTTAAACAAAATACTACAGGAGAGTATTTCAAAATCATCAATTAAAAATTTTGATGATAAAAATAGAATCGATTCAAGAATAATAAATAGTGGTGCAAATGGATTTGGATGGGAATTATTTACCGTAGAATATAGAATAGATGATTTACCAATGAGTTATATTTTATTTGAAGGACAGCAGCATTTAAAATATTTGAAAATATTTCATTTTTTATGGAATTTAAGACATTTACAATTTTTATTAAATCAGGATTTTATATTATATAAACAATTAAAAAATATAAAACAAGCCAAAGTCATTAATATTATTCGGTTCAAATTTGCAAAGTTTATAAATGAGTTAATCAATTATTTATCTTTTGAGATTATAGAAGAAAGCTTTGAAACATTCATCATAGAAAAATTATTTTATAATAATGATTTAGTTTTAAATAAACTGTTTATGAATTTACCTGACACTATAAGTGGATTCAACGTCAATCAATTCACAATTGATCAATTAATAAACCTTCATGAAAATTATCTCGATAATATTATAAATACCAAGATATTTAATGAAAATATCAAGGGTAAAAAATCAAATCAAAGTTTTATAAATCAAATTTATAAATTATTTCAAATAATTTTTACATTTTTAAATACATCAAAAGAATTTCATTCATTGGGTTTAAATTATAACCTGTTAATTATTAATAATCAATCAAGTGAATTTGAACAAGATTTACAAAATATTCAAGATGAAATGAATAAACTTTTGACTAAATTAGATCAAGATATTTATAAACTACAATATGGGCCTCAATTATATGTTTTGAAAGAAGATTTAAAGTTAGATCTTGAATTGAAGAATTTAAATAGAATGATTTAATGTAGTACTTGAAGAATTTAAATAGAATGATTTAATGTATTAATTGAAGAATTCAAATAGAACGCTTTAATGTATTATTCTTTTTTTTCTTCCACACTTGAAACAAGTCTATACCGATGATTAAAATAACGAAATCTAAACTTTCGTAAATTACTTGTCAATTGCTCAATTTCTATTACCGAAATATCACAAAGTAAATTTCAATAATGTATATTACTATATTACAACAGATGAGTTTATTAAGCGCATAATGATGAAAGTATAAAAATAATTTTCGTATTTACATCATCTAAAAAAATCATGTGACTTGAAAATTAGAAAAAAGTTACCGCGGGACAATTTAAAAAACTGAAAAATTTTGGTACAATAGATACAAACGCCATTGAATAAATCAGTGATTGAATAACACTATTTTAATAGAAGATACGATTTGTAACGATATAGTTCGTTTGAAAAATGGTACTGTTTTTCATATGAAGATATATCAAATTATGGTTAAATTTAGAATCATCATCATGATCATCATTATATCTCACAAAATGGTTCATGAAAGCATCTTTATAGATTGCAATTAATTTCTCAATATATCAAACGACCATGGTTCAAATTGTTTATAGATACAAAAGATTTAATCTCAGGTCAAGTTTAATTTTAATTTTGTGATTTCTCCAGATTTGATTTTGATTTTTTTTTTTTTTTTTTTTTTTTTTTTCTTCTTTATATAAAAATCTCAACAATATAATAAATATATATATATTTGTATATAATTCTTATTCATTTTAATAATTTTTCAACTTTTGTTTTATATCAATTTATATTTTGATTATTGAAAAGTTTTTATTTATTTATTTTATTTATTTATTTATTCTTAAAAAATGGATGAAGTAGACTCAGCAGTTGATTCAGTTTTAGTTGAAAATGTTAAATCATTTGTTAGTGGTGGTTTTGGTGGTATTTGTGCTGTTTTATCAGGCCATCCTTTTGATTTAGTTAAAGTTAAATTACAAACTGGTGCTTATAATAGTTCTATTCAATGTGTAAAAAGTACAATTGCAAAAGATGGGTTATTAGGTTTATATAGAGGAGTTTTACCACCTTTAATTGGGGTAACTCCTATGTTTGCAGTTTCATTTTGGGGTTATGATGTTGGTAAAAAATTGGTTGGTAATTTTACTGGTAAATCTATTGAAAATTTCACTATCAAAGATATTTCAACTGCTGGTTTTATTTCTGCTATTCCAACTACATTAGTTGCTGCTCCAATGGAAAGAGTCAAAGTTGTTATGCAATTACAAGAAGGTGCTAAGAATTCAATGGGTCAAACAGTTAAAAAAATATTAAAAGAAGGTGGTATACAGTCATTATTTAAAGGTACTATTGCCACTCTTGCACGTGATGGTCCTGGTTCAGCTTTATATTTTGCGACTTATGAATATTTAAAAGAAAGATTATCAACTCCAGGTCAATCATTATCCATTGGTCCTATTATGTTCAGTGGTGGTATGGCTGGTGTTTCAATGTGGTTAGGTGTGTTCCCAATTGATACAATTAAATCTACTCAACAATCATCAAATGTAAAAGTTTCAATTGTACAAACAACCAAAAATATTTATGCTAAAGGTGGTATTAAAGCCTTTTTCCCTGGTGTTGGCCCGGCTTTAGCTAGATCATTCCCTGCTAACGCAGCAACTTTCTTGGGTGTTGAAGTTGCAAAAAATGCATTGAATAAAGTTTTGTAGAAATTTTCTCGGAAATCTTCAGTTTTATTTCATTATATCTATTTATTATTTATTCTTTAATACACATAAAAGTTCTTGTTTAATTAAATTTAATGTAATTTAATTTTAATCTTGACTCCGTTGTTTGTAACTGATTAGTTAGATGTGTTAAATAATTTGTAATATCTTTAAACAACAAATGAATGCGATCCCAAGAAAAGTTGTAAACGCCGCCAACATAAAATTACAGCAATCGGATGTTTTAAATATAAAAGTGTCCTCGCAATAGATGTTCAAATGCTTCCTCATCTGTAACATACATTTTTTAGGCTTTATAACGTTCACTTGTGAAAAAGTTAGTTTCAGTGCTAATTCGTTCAAAATTTGTGAAACTGTTACCTAGTTCAACTACCGCAGTATGGGGAGCCTTCAATATGAATTTTATAAGTATCTTTGAAAGCAAATGCTCTAAGATAGTATAAGAAATACCTGTAGCAAAGTTTTCATTCATTTTAATCAAAATATATGACACTTCTGAAATTGAAAAAGTAAATTTAGCAGCAATTTTGGGAAGAATAATTGATCAAATTGACTCTGAAACATTCCAACGACTTATCAAAAAGGTAGTTTGAAACTATCATATCTAGATGCAGTAAAGTACTTCCGTTTAAATAAGAACCGAATTGTAATGCTTACAGTTTTTTTTTCATTGAGTTAGATATAGGTAATATTTGTTGAAATATCAGGGCTTTTAATTCTTTTTTTTTTCTTTTTTTTTTTAATAAATGATGTTTCATGTTTCATCGCGCGATCTTAGATTTATTTTGCGCTTTTTTTCGATTGAGTTTAAATTGCTCTAACTTAAATATAAGCACATAATTATGGAGTTTGTTTACTAGAGTGTCTAGAAATGCTAATGTACTTCAAAAAATCATCAGAAATGCAATTTTAATAGAAGCAAAGAATTTTGTTAAGATAGAACTCGCTAGGACGTCGAACCAGCATACACAGCGTAAAAGGCTACTATCTTGACCCTTAGACCACATTCCTCTATATCTATATCTATAATCTTTTTATATGGCGCAGATGCATTTGAATTTATTTAACGCTTCAATCTAATTCAACTACTTGATTTATTGAAGACAAGGTTAGTCTCCGAGATATTCAACTTGAAAGGGGTAGGTGCAGAAGAGTCTTCTGAGTCTGCGACTTATTCAAAATAAATTTAGTCAAGTACAAATGAACCTTAGGGACGTAGTATTGAAAACAATTTGTGATAACAACTCTAATTATAAAGAGTCAATTATTAAATTCTAAAAGAATAATTACCATGGTTTCATTATAAAAAAGAGCTTCAGTTATGTAGAATTAACCATACATCTGTAAATTCGTTTAATAGATATAATACATGGAGTCGTGTTTATAGATCAACAGAAAAAAACTGATTGTTTCTGATAAATTTAAAATTTAACCAAACTGAACGAAAAAAACCAACAAAATCAGTTATCAACAACGATAAACAATTTATAAGTTAGAATTGTACAAAATGACTTTATCAGATGAACAAGTATGTACTTTGAAAAAAAATATCATAAATTACATTTTACTAACAATTCAAGGTTAAATCTGAGCTTACTAAAATGCAAGCTTTTATTGAAAAAGAGGCAAAGGAAAAAGCTAAAGAAATAAGATTAAAAGCAGATGAAGAATATGAAATTGAAAAAGCATCAATTGTAAGATCAGAATCATCAGCTATAGATTCAACATATGAGCAAAAATTGAAAAAAGCAAGTTTATCACAACAAATTACTAAATCAACGATTGGTAATAAAACAAGATTAAAAATTTTGAGTGAAAAGGATGCAATTTTAAATGAAATTTTTGATAATGCAGAAAAAGAATTGAAAAAAATTGCAACAGATGAAAAAGAATATAAAAAAGTATTAATTGGTTTAATTGAAGAAGGTGTTTTAGCATTAATGGAAAATAAAATTACATTAAGAATTAGAGAAGCTGATAAAAAAATTGTTGAAAGTGCAATTGAAGAAGCAAGTAAAAATTTCGAGGATAAAAGTAAATTTAAAGTTGATATTTCAATTGATGAATCTGAATATTTGTCAAAAGATATTGCAGGAGGTGTAGTTATTATAAATGGGTCTGGTAAAATTGAAGTAAATAATACATTAGAAGAAAGATTAAAAATATTATCAGAAGAAGCATTACCAGCAATTAGATTAGAATTATTTGGACCATCACCAACTAGAAAGTTTTTTGATTAACAGTATAGTATATATAGTGTAGTGTATGTGTATATATACTGTTATATAGAGTATAAGTATTATCATCATCATCATCACTCGTATATATATATTATATAAGTATTAATTCTTTTTCGCATTGCAACAATTTAAATGTTGGCACGGTTAAATACTTATCATTTACCAAAATTGTCAAGTATATTCTATCGGTATAATTCAACAATATACAACACTACTAATAATAAACTACCCAATAAGTTTGGTCCTCCTTTTGAAATTCCAAATCATTTACATAAAAAAATAAAACCGATTCAACCAAATGATCATTATGTTTCATGTACAATTTTTAATCAAAATGGTAAAATCACTGCTGTTTCAAAAAAATATCCCAAGATGTTGTTTTTAAAGAATAATCATTTATTTCCAAGAGATTTAAGAAAAATTGATACTTCTTCAATCGATGTTGTACCAGTAATAATGATTCGTGAATCTAATGCAATTTTAGTCAATTTATTACATATAAAAGCTATTATAAAAAAAGATTCAGTAATGGTATTTGATACTTCAAATTCTGAAATAGCTAAAAGATTGGGAATTTTTATGTATGATTTAGAATTAAAATTACAAAGTAAAACTTTATTAAATTCAAAATTTTATGAATTTAGAGCTTTAGAAACAATTTTAATTAGTGTAATGAATTATCTTGAAATAGAAATTAAATCTTATTCTCAACAATGTGGTTTAATATTAAGTGAATTAGAAGATGAAGTTGATAGATCAAAATTACAAAAATTGCTAATAAAATCTAAAAAATTGTCAAGTTTTCATCAAAAGGCAATATTGATTCGTAATGTATTAGAAGATTTATTGGAAAATGATGAAGATTTATCAGGAATGTATTTAACTAATCCAAAAACATACAATGCAAATACAGATTTAAATGATTTTGAAGATTTGGAAAATATTCTTGAATCATATTATAGACATTGTGATGAATTTGTTCAACAAGCAGGAAGTTTATTAAATGATATTAAAGCAACAGAAGAGATAATCAATATTATATTAGATACAAATCGTAATTCGTTAATGTTATTTGAATTGAAGATTACAGTATATACCTTGGGATTTACGGTTGCAACGTTATTACCAGCATTTTATGGAATGAATTTAAAAAATTACATAGAGGATTCAAATTTGGGTTTTGGAATAATTATTGTTTTGTCAGTTATTCAAGGCGCCTGTATAACTTGGTTCAATTTTAAAAAATTACATAAGGTACAAAAATTGACAATGATGAACAATGGACTTATGATCAAGCCTCAAAGATCATTTAATTATAAATTGCCATTAAAAAAACTATTCTTTGGACGTGGTAATAAACAATTTGATAGACCTACGAATAATGAGAAAGACGTAATATGGAGGATGATAAACGATGATAAACCTTTAAAATAATGTACATATTAATATATATTAATCAGACTCAACTTCATTATCTGAATCGGATTTATTTACAATAGCTTCATCTTCATTTTCTTGATCACTTTCAACGTATGTTGGTAAAATATTATCTTTTTCCTCGTTAATAATTATATCTCTAACTTCAGTATCATCATCATCGAATTTTTTGTGTTTTGAGGAAGTTATTGGTTGAGCAGATGGATCTTCTTCTGGTTTAATCAAAGTACCTTCTACCGAAATCATTTTACCGGTGGTATATATGGACTTTATCGTGAACACTAATTTACCTTCTACTCTTATGCCATTTTCATTGATCCAATGACCAAAATTTTTATTACTATTATTATCAGTTTCTACTTCATCTATCTCACTATATTGAAATGACCAATTTTCGGGTATTGAATTTCTTTTGATTGAACAATTAAAAGTATCAAAAATCAATAAACCTATATGTGAAGGTGATTGTAAATATACATCACCAGATAAAATATCACCGATTTGAGGTCTGAAGATCAAAAAATCAACCGAAATCCAAAAAAACATAAATGGTGTATTACCTTCAATTTTACCTAATTCATAAGACTCAGAACTTGAATTTGAAAATCTCAAATTTGAATAACTCACTATTATACCTCTGAGTTTGGAATAATATGTCATTAATAGGGGATCTAAATGTTGTTGTTTTATTCCATCCATTGGATCATTTAATTTTGCAGGTGATAATAATATATAAAGTGATGTTGATATTTTCTTGAAACATTCTGAAAACCCTTGAGAATTTATTGAATTCAAAAATTTTTGAGCCAATTTTCTTTTCTTTACTGAAGTTGTTATATCTTGACCATTCTTTGACATTTTTGGGTTGGTGTATATTTTTTTTTCAATCGATATAAGATTTGATGAGATGTATAGAAAAATCGCGCCGCATCGCCTAATTTATAATTTTTCACCTTTTATTAAAATTGGTATAATACCACCTGTTGGAATTGTAAATTTTCTATGTCCTACGACTGTTATAAAAGATCTAATTGTACCAGCATGAGATGTTATATTTATTATCTCATTGTTGTCATAATCAAAAATTTGTTGTAATACTTTATTAATTCTCAAAAATTGTTCATGTAAAAATTCTTTCCTTGGTAAATACTTGTCAAACAATAAATCTTCCTCTGTAAAATCAGAATTGAAATCAGAATTGATTATAATGTTTGGGTATCTCTCTAATAACTCGGATTTTCTTGACCTTTTATGACATAAATGTAAACCTATTGTTTCTCTTAGATTTTCAATTATTTCAACTTTATGACTATCCCATATTATATTATGAGTTTCTATCGGTCTTGTTAATGGTGATGAGTAAAAGTTTTGCGGAAATGGTGCTTGATTCTCAATTAGTTGATATTTCCATTGTTTGTGATTTTCTAATGCTTGTTGTTTACCAAGATCACTTAATTCGGAGTCAGGACCCCAAATAATTTCACCATCTGTACCTAAATATCTCCACTTATTAAACCACTCATCTTTGGAAAATCTTGCTGATGCTATATTATTCATTGCTTGTCCATGTCTACTGAAAAAGATCAATTTATAAGAAACATTGTTGGAAGATGACTTATTTAACTCATTCAAGGTTGAAACTATTTCTGGCCAGGGCTTCAAAATACCAAAATCTTCAGTTAAATAATTAAACATCATGTCGTTAGTTTGTGGATCAGATTGTTCGAAAAATCCATCCATTGATGAAAATTTCCAACGAAATTTCTCCGGATAAACATTGGTATGCTCATTTAAAACTTGATAGTATTTCTCATCTTCATCGAGATCTCCATGCGCATCAAAACGATCTCTTTCATTTGGTAAAGTCATAATAAAAATTTAATTTAAATTAAATAAAACTCTGAAAAATTGATAAATACACATGAGTATAAATTTGTTTCTAGTTTAAAGATAAAGACATTAATATATACATATGATTGATTAGGGATTTATTGATCTAAAAGCGAAAGAAGTAAATTTTGGACATCATTAATCAAATTTCCATAATTAGACGCCATAAGAATTTGAATATTCGGTTAAAAAATTAATTTTTCCATACATATAAAATTGTAAATGGTTACTTTTTTTTTTTTTTTTTTTTTTTTTTTACTATTTACATTTTTCAATTTACGGCGATGTTTTTTTTATTTTTTATTTTTTTTTTTTTATTTTTTTTTTTTTTTTTTTTTATTTTTCAATATTGAACTAAAAGAGACAAAGTTTAAATGCATAAAGATTAAGTAACGATATGTCAGAAGAGAATAATTTACATACAGAAATTAAAAACGAAACGAATATTGATGATTCTGAGATTCATTTTGATATAAAAGATGATGATGGACCTAAATATAAAAAAATCAAAATTGAAAATAATGAAGTTGAAAAATCAGCAATAGAAAATAATTCTTCAAATGGTGATTCTAAGGTGGTTGTTATACCACCTAAAAAACCGCAACTATTCTATACGCCTTTGAAAACGGGATTAGTTTATGATGTTAGAATGAGATATCATGCAAAAATTTTTACAACCTATACAGAATATACAGATCCTCATCCTGAAGATCCAAGAAGAATCTATAGAATTTATAAAAAATTAGTTGAAGCTGGTCTAATTACTGATAGTGATTTATCAGGAATTGAAGAGATTGGTCCTTTGATGTTAAAAATTCCAATTCGTGAAGCTGACGCAGAAGAGATTTTAGAAGTTCATTCCGAAAAACATCTTGAATTTATTAAATCGACTGAAAATATGTCAAGAGATCAATTATTATACGAAACTGAAAAAGGTGATTCTATATATGTCAACAATGATAGTTATTTATCTGCAAAATTATCGTGTGGAGGCACTATTGAAGCTTGTAAAGCTGTTATTGAAGGTAAAGTCAAGAATTCATTAGCAATTGTTAGACCTCCAGGTCATCATGCAGAACCCGATACTCCTGGTGGCTTTTGTTTATTTAGTAATGTTGCTGTTGCTACAAAAAATTTACTTAAAAATTATCCTGAACTGTGTAGAAAAATCGTTATACTTGATTGGGATATTCATCATGGTAATGGTACACAAAAGGCGTTTTATGATGATCCAAGAGTTTTATATATAAGTTTACATCGTTATGAAAATGGAAAATTTTATCCAGGTACAAAATATGGAAATTCAGATCAAGTTGGACAAGGTGAAGGTGAAGGTTTTAATATCAATATACCATGGAGAAACCATGGTATGCATGATGGAGATTACGTTTATGCTTTTAATAAGGTTATTTTACCAGTAATTATGGAATTTGACCCCGATTTAATGATTGTTAGTTCTGGATTTGATGCAGCAGATGGCGATATGATTGGTTTGTGTCATGTTAGTCCAGCTGGCTATGGTTACATGACTCATATGTTGAAAGGATTAGCAAAGGGTAAATTGGCGGTGGTTTTAGAAGGTGGCTACAATCTTGAAAGTATTAGTAAAAGTGCATTAGCTGTTGCAAAAGTTTTGATTGGTGAACCGCCAGAAAACACTATCACTTCACAACCACATTCCGAATCGATAGAGGTTATTGATGAAGTTATAAAAATTCATTCAAAATACTGGAAATGTCTCAACAATCATGGTATACCAAAAACGTCATTTGATGATGTATATGATTTACAAGATTTAGACAAAGCAAGATTTAATTTGATAAATTTAGCAGATTCCATAAGATCTTATCAAGCAAGTAATTTATTTACCAAAAGAAATTTCATTAGTATTCCAATTATTAATAACCCAATATTTACAATCGATTTACCTAATCAAGTGGATGATTTAATTTTAGCATCTCCAGATATACAAGATTGTAGTACTATTATACTATCCATTCACGATCCACCTGAAGTATGGGCTAACATTAACCCAATAAATGGAACTATAGAATCAAATTCATCAATTGTATTAGAGCATCCATTGACATCAATTATCGATAAAATTGAGAAAGAAAACGATTCAAGTAACAAAGAAAAAATTGGGTTTATAGATATCAATATCCCTTCATATCAGTTAATAATACCTGGATTGTCTTCATCACCAACTCCATCATCAACAACAACATCATCATCATCAACTAGTTACAATCCAAATATTTTTGCACAAGAAATTCTATTATATCTTTGGGATAACTATTTATCCTATTTCAATAACTTGAAAAAATTAATATTAATAGGTATTGGAGAATCATATCTGTCCATTTTGAACTTGTATAGCAAGCGTCCATCACAAGAAATCAAAGAGTTGGTAAAAGTAACTATTGCATTTATAAATCGTACAAATATTAAACCACTAGTTCCTGTAATGGACGAGTCAATGGTTGAATGGTTTTATACGAATTCATTTATATTCACAAGCAATTTCAATCCAACATGGCATAATGCATCAAATCAACCCTCTTCTATTAATGGATCAATAGCAGAAGTTGATGAACTTAAAAGACCTAGAAAAAAATTTGGTAGAGTACTAAAATCTAATAGTGACGGTTTATTTGACATAATTAATGAAAAATTTGATGAATGTGTCGATATTATTTTGGATGAAATAGAAGAAGAATCTAGTACAGAATGAAATTAGCTAATTGTATATTTACTCTAATATAAATGATGGAAACTTTTTGGAAAATTGTTGTTCTAAATCATCTAAATCAGGTATCGATATTTCACTACCATCACTTACTCTTCTTAAATTTTCATTTGATTTGAGATGTTTTGGTTTAGTTGGTTTCTTTGGAGGTGATTTGAGGGGCTTTCTCGGTTGTTGTCTTTTATCATTATTAGTTGCTGGTTGGGTTTTTTGCATAATATTATTTCTATTTGATGATAAATTTTTAGGAACCTTAGGTGGAGCCAAAACTTTTGGTTTACTATTAATTATATCAATCTCATCTGAAGCTTTGTTATCAGTAAATCGACCATAACCTTGAGCAGTTTTTTGGATCGAAGAATTTTCATTATTGTTAAGTAATTGTTGCATTCTTTTTTGAATTGATAATTTTGCTGGCTCTTCATTAATAGTGTTTTCATTTATTGATTCATCAGATCGAGATTTTTTACTATTACCTGTTAGGATATTTTTCAAACTTTTTCTTCTTGAAGTGATTGATGAACCTGTATTATTAGCACTAATTGTAGTACCTCCAGAGCTAATTTTTCTAATGTTATTCCATGCACTTTTTATACTTCCTCCAGTGTCATGTCTTTGATTTAATTTTTCTTCTTCTTTAGATTTCAAAAATTCTAATGTGGAGCCATCTTGATAAAAATTTTGATTCAATTTTTCACTACTCTTTGCTGTTTCATTTCTGATATAATCTTTAATAGATGGACTTGATTTGTTACCTTGTGAATATATTTTCGGTTTATGACCATCATCATAATAAGCACTCAACGGCCGGGAAACTTTTTTTATTGGCTCACCATTAAAAGGCGTAACAGTAGTTTTCACTTTTGATTCTAAAAATTTCTTTTTGTTTATAGAAGCAAATGGATCTTGAACAACTGATCTTTTAACATCTTCAGTAAGTTTTTCAGGAACATTTTGTTTTTGTTTAATTTGAGTTGGAGTTTGTTTTAATTTTAATTGCTCTCTTACACTAAATGGAATTACATTTGGTATACTCTTTTCACCTTTCATTGAAGAAATTTCTCCTAACAACTGAACCGCATTTGGTCTTCTTCTTGGATCAGCTCGTAAACAAACCTTTATTATATTTTTCAATCTATGTGAAAAAAACAGACCTGGAGCATCCTTAAACTTCAAATTTTCAGTAGAATTTAAAATACAAGTTTCTAAGTCTTGTAAAGATTGTTGTTGAGGATTTTCAAATGGTGTAGTATAATAACATAATTTGTATAAAAAGATACCTAAAGCCCATATATCTGATTTATCATCAATTGGAAATCCCTTAGTTAAATCTATCATTTCAGGAGCTCTATATTGAGGTGTCGTATGTTGCATTAAATCATCTTTTAAAAGTTGTAGCTCTTGTGGTGTTTTTGGAGGGGGTAAATAGTTAACAGATGAACCAAAATCGCATAATTTAAAAGTACCTTTTGAATCAATCAATACATTTTCAATTTTAATATCTCTATGAATCAATGGAGGTGCTAAATGATGACACATTGCAACACCTATCGTAACTTGGTAAAATATATTTATAATCTCTGATTCGGTTAATTTGTTAACCAATCTTGTATTCATAAAATCTATTAGTCCGTTATTTTCACAATATTCCATTAATAAAAATACTTCATATTGTTGTTGTGATGTATCTGAATTGTTATTTGATTCTAGTCTAGAAGCATGAGAATCTATATATGAGACAATATGTTCATTACCTCTTAATCTTCTCATAGCATCAACTTCTTGTCGTAATAAACTTAATTGCCATTTACTCGGAACAACAACTCTTTTCAAACAAGCTATCTTAGATCCTTGAAACGGAGGATCTATATTACAAGTATAAACATGAGCAAACCCACCTTCTGAGATATATCTAATGATTGAAATATTATGTGATCCAACAACTAATTTTGTACCTGGGTTATAAGCATTTGGAGGAGGCTGAGGCATAGTAATATATATACATATATATATATAAGAATGAGTGTTATAACTAGATACAACCTTTTTTAAATCAAACTATTAAATATTAATCTTGCAACCTTTAATGAAGTAATTATTGAAATCTAATAGTAATGAATATTCGTTGATTTTGAATTTGAAACACGACTGATTTGAAAAATTAACCAAACAAGTTTATAAAAATTTCTTAATAAATAAATAAATTCAAATGACTTTCAAGAAAATTCACAAAAATTCTTGAATTATGAATCATTAATTACTAATCATTATGTAGTAAATATTATTGAAAAATGAAATATAAACTCATCAAGAGTTTTTTGTGCATAAAAATTAAGAAATACAAAGTCAGGTTTTTGTATATTAGTTTAGTTCCTTATCAATTTCAGTGAACTTGTTGAATTAAAGTTCGTCATCTGATCAAATTCAAATTTTGAAGTTGTTACGGTATATGCTAAGCATCTCATGAATTAGATTGGGCGCATTATTTTTTGCGCATCGCTTTTGAAAATTATTTACTCCTTAATTATAATCATCACTACTCCCTTTTTACAGTTATGAAATTATATTTTGAAGCAGAAAAAGTATTAAAATCTAAAAATACTAATAATGGTAGTTTACAATCACGAATTTTTAATGATAAATCTTTAAAAAATGATCCAAAACATATCTTTGCTTTAGTTTACTCAACATTGAAATATAAACCATATATTAATGAAATAATTAAAAAATCTAAAATAAAAAATGATAATAAAAAAATCAAAATTTCGAATGAATTATTATTATTATTAATTCATGATTTGAATTTTTCATCTAAAGGTAGAATTCAAAGTGGTAAACATCCTATTAAAGATTTTATAATGTCTTACAAAACTAGATTACATTCAGAACTTATTAAGTTAAAATTACGATATAAAGTAAAATCAATTGATCAGTTACCTACTCATGATTTGGATGATGAAACTCCAATCCGTTGGTTTAGAATAAACACAATAAAAATTACTCAAGAACAATTTTATAAAAAACATGAAAAGTTTATAAATTCATTTCAACCAGTAATTTCAATAGAGGATTTAACTGAAATAGGAATGATTTATAAGGACGATTATATACCGAATCTTTTTGGTGTATCACCTAAAGATAAGATCACAACATCTGAGCCATATAAGTTGGGAGAAATAATAATTCAAGATCGTGCTTCATGTTTCCCAGGTCACATATTAAATGCAGATCCAAATGATCAACATGTCAAAGTTATAGATGCTTGTGCTGCTCCAGGTAATAAAACAACTCATTTGGGATCTTATATATCAACAAAGGAGGACGCAGTAATTTATGCATTTGAAAGAGATAAGAAAAGAGTTGAAATATTAAAGAAAATGTCTGAATTAGCAACTGGTATAAAACATAAACACTTGATACAAGTTACAAATGCTGATTTCACATCTATTGATCCAAATGACTTTCCGGATGTAACAGGTTTAGTTGTTGATCCATCATGTAGTGGATCTGGTATATTTGGTAGAGCATTAGAAGAAGAAGATAAACAAGAAGTCGATGAACAAAGATTAAAAAAATTGGCTAGCTTTCAAGTAGCAATTATGAAACATGCATTATCATTTCCTAATGCAAGAAAAGTAGTTTACTCAACTTGTTCAATACATGAGCAAGAAAATGAAAGAGTAGTAATTGATTTATTGATTGATGATAAAGTTAAGGAACAAGGTTGGAAATTGGCAGACAAAAAGTTTGTAATTCCAGAATGGAAAAGAAGAGGTATTCCAGAGGAGTTTGCAACAATTTCCAGGGATGAAAAATTTTGTCGACAATTAGCAGATGGTTGTGTACGATCAAAGCCAAAAGAAGATGGTGGTATTGGTTTTTTCGCAGCATGTTTCGTCAGAGATGATACTATAAATAGAGAAAAGAATGAAACGATGAATAGTTCGTAAATTCAAAAGAACAATATACAAAGTTTATATGAAAAAACTAGATTTAAACAATTGTGGCGATAAAAAAAAGCGCTTATTGCTTTTGAAATGCTTGTATTATATATAATAGGTGTCAATCTAGCATTCAACGTTTTTAGCAAGTACATCATATGAATAAATAAAAATGGTCTTATTTATCGAATAATGTGTAATTTGATTAGATCTTAAATAGTCATACTATATAATAAAATTGCGCTTCCGGACTATTATATTATTTTTAGGGCCGGAAAAATTCTATTAATAGATCTTACAGATCTGGCGAGACATTAAAATGAAATAATGATTTTTTAAAGAACGTAGAAGATGATCAGATATTCTATATTTTGCCATAGTAGTAGAATCTGCTACGATTTGAGTATGCATGTATGGTAATTAAAGGTAGTGAAAGTTGATAAGATCTGCAAATTATAGTTTTGCCTACAAAGATAACCAAAAATTCGTAAGTAACAAACCATAAGATATGGCATCAAGAGTTGTGGGCGAATTAAATTATTTACACTTACTGTGGAAACCTTCCATAATAAGCAATGACTCTTAAAATAATCTACAAGAATGGGGGTATTTTGTACAATTTCATGAAGAACAAACAAACGACATTTTATTTCAATTTTTAGATTTCAGTCGTATAATTTTTTTAGTGCCTATGTTTCTTTTTCCTTTTTTTTTGTGCCGTTCGAATAAATGGGTGCAACATTAATTTCATTTTTAGCCCTGGTTTTTATAACGAAAACAAATTGATTTCCTTCAATCTGATTGAATATAGATAATACTTCTTTAGATCGACCATTTTTGTGACATTTTTATATCACACAATTGTCATCGATATATAGAAAGAAAAACACTTGAGATATCTGTATATATAGAGATTTGAATTAACAAGATGTTCAAAATTATAATCTTGACATTGACAGGTCCAAGAATATCAGAAGATCTCTTAAATTTTTTCCAAATAATTTCTTGGAAAGACTAATCGAATAGAAGATAGTACGCGCTTCTAATATTCTTGGTATAATTACTGACTTTTAATTACTGACTTTTTATTAACAAAAAAACACATACAAAACATTAAGGTTTTTGCATTTTGATGCCATTTACTTGAGTAATTTTCTACTTGTGTAGTGGATCTTAATTAATTGCCTCAAGTGATTACACTGTTTTAGCCCATTCAAGATCGACTCCACATAAGATGATCTAAATCTATTTAGAGTATAGATACTATTGACCTCCACTAAAATTTGGGTCAACTAATGGCACAATAGTTTGCTTAATATTTAATCGCAAACGTTTTAGAAATAGTCTTTGAGGGTTTGGTATATCTAACTTTTACGAACTGAATAATAATCAAGCTCAAAATGCCATTAGAAATTTAAGACTTGATGCTGGCCTAATGTATTGTAAAGGAGATTGCCTCGAATTTTATATTATCATCTTTCCGATTACAGCAGTTAATTATTAGAATAAGTGATAATACATTCATATACTTTTATGATACGTGATATTGTTTTACAAAATCAATAATCAATCTTTTGTTTCAAAAAAGAAATTATAATGTCGTTCATTAATAGTGGAATAAAAAAAAAAAAAAAAAAAAAAAAAAAAAATAAAATAAAAACCAGTTGGCTGTTTATTGATAATGAAATTGGTGTAATTAATTTATTATGAGTGGATATATGACTAATATAAATATAAGGTAAGATCTACTAATCGCTTTTTGCAGTATTTTTGAGTTTTGTTACTTGAAAACTTGATTTTAGATAGAGTTTGATTTATTTTTCATAATGAATAAAATCAGAGCCATACTTAAAGGTGATAATCAAGGTGAAGACAAAATTAGTAATGTTAATACTGATGAAATAGACTCATCTGATCATTACAGTAATGAAAAAACTACTCAACCAAATATTGAACATAAGGTTGTTAATGATGATTATGAAGCCGATAGAAAATTACACGATTTAGATTTAGTTGTTTCAAAATCACAAGAATTTGATCCTATTACTTCAAATTTAGCGAAAGATGTTTTAGACGATGATTATGCAGCAGTGCATGTTGAAGATGATTCAGCATTTCCAGAAGTTAGAGGTGCTGTTCCAAGTTTTGATGATCCAACTTTGCCTCAAAATACTATTAGAGCTTGGGTTTTAGGTTTAATTTTAACAACTATTGGTTCTGCTATGAATATGTATTTTTCATTGCATAGTCCTACAATTACTATAACGACTATGGTTACTTCAATTTTAGCTTATCCTTTAGGTAGATTTTGGGCATGGGCTATACCAAATTGGAAATTATTTGGTCTTGACTATTTGCAATTAAATCCTGGTCCTTTTAATATCAAAGAACATGCAATTATTACGATCATGGCTAATGCTTCATTTAATGGTGGTGCTGCATATGCTACTGACATTTTATTGGCCATGAATTCAAAACAATTTTTTGGTGTTGATTTCGGTGCTGGTTTTGCCGTTATTGCTACATTATCAACAAACTTGATTGGATTTTCATTAGGTGGGTTAATAAGAAAATTTGTTGTCGATAATCCATCTGCTATTTGGCCACAAAATTTGGTTACTTGTACATTCTTGACAAATATGCATATTAATGAAAACCACCCAGCTAATGGTTGGACAATTTCAAGATTATGGTTTTTCTTGATCGCTTTTATTGGTTCATTTGTTTATTATTGGTTTCCAGGTTATATCTTTAGTGCATTGTCATACTTTTCATGGATTACTTGGATCAAACCAAATAGCGTCACTATTAATCAAATTTTTGGTTCTTCCTCAGGTATTGCTATGATACCAAACAATATTGCATTAGATTGGAATCAAATTGCTGGTTATATTGGATCTCCATTAATTCCACCTGCAAGTACTATTTTTACAATTTTCTTATCAATTCTTATAATTTTCTGGTGTGTTGTCCCAGCTATCTCATTTACAAATACTTGGTATGGTGACTATTTACCAATTTCAACTTCAGGTTCTTATGATAGATATCAAAATAAATATAATGTTTCAAGAATTGTTGATCCAAAAACATTAACATTTAGAGAAGATGAATATAAGAAATATTCACCATTATTTTTAAGTACAACTTTTGCCATGTCATATGGTTTATCATTTGCTTCAATTTTAGCCACAATTACGCATACAATTTTATTTCATGGTAAAGAAATCAAAGATTCATTTCAAATCAGTTATAAACCAGATGTTCACAATAGATTAATGAAAGCTTATAAACCATTACCTGAATGGTGGTATGCGATTTCCTTCTTGATTTTCTTTGCATTAGCCATTGCTACTGTTAGAGCTTGGGATACTGAAATGCCAGTTTGGTGTTTGATTGTTGCTTTAATTATTGCTTTAGTCTTTTTAATTCCCGTTGCTGTTATTTATTCAAAAACAAATATTGCTGTTGGTTTGAATGTTATTACAGAATTTATTATTGGTTATATGTTACCAGGTAAACCTGTTGCAATGATGTTTTTTAAAACATTCGGCTATATTACAAACAATCAAGCTATTGGTTTTGCTTCAGACATGAAACTAGGTCATTACATGAAAATAGCTCCAAGAGGATTATTTTGGTGTCAATTTGTTGCCGCCTTTTGGGGTTCCTTAGTTCAAGTTGGTGTTTTAAGATGGGCTTACGGTGCGATTGAAAATTTATGTGCTCCAGATCAAGCTAATCACTTCACTTGTCCAAATGGTAAAGTTTTCTTTAATGCTGCTATTATTTGGGGTGTTATTGGTCCACAAAGACAATTTTCACACGGTCAAATTTACTACAACTTGTTATTCTTTTTCATTCTTGGTGCTGGCCTTCCAATCGTTAATTGGTTAATATTAAAAAAATGGCCAAACTCATTAGTTAGACATTTGAACTGGCCAGTTTTCTTTTCAGGTACCGGTAATATTCCACCTGCTACTCCATACACTTATTCATCATATTGTATGGTTGGTTTACTATTTGGTTGGTGGATTAAAAAAAGATTCTTCCATTGGTGGACCAAATATAATTATTCATTATCTGCTGGTTTAGATATTGGTTTAGCTTGGTCATCATTAATTATTTCATTAGCATTGGGTTTAACTAATACAAATTTCCCGTCATGGTGGGGTAACAATGTTGTCTACACTGCTGATTTTCTACAAACTGGTGACCCAGATGCTGGTATTGTACCAAATATTAGAAAAGTATTGGCTGAAGGTGAACATTTTGGTCCCGAAAAATGGTAATTTTTTTATAATTAATAGAATTACGATGACTTGTATTTATTTAATTCAATGACTGTAGAAACGTTTGATTTTAATATGTAATTATTTAATACGATTTTATTCAATTATTTGACCTCAATATGTTATTAAACTTTGTAAATATTAGACCTGTATATAGAAACTGCTACCATTGATTTTACTTTTCAATATTAATTTATGATACTATCATGACAGATTTATCACCCTCAAATCAGAAAGTAGATGATTTCCTTTCTTCTTTATCTAAGCTATCTCAAGAAAAGCTAATACAGGATCAAAACAGACAAAGAAATTTACAAAAGAACATCGACCAGTTATCAAAATATAAAGTTCCAATCTCCAACAATTATCAATCAAGTTCAACTGACACGAAAGCTAACTATGAAATACCCGAGCTTGAATTTAACAGATCAAGATCAACGAAAAATGATTCACCGAGACTATCAACTAGACCTTTAAAAACTGATGATTCAAATCCACCTCCATTACCAAGTCGTAAATATCAAGACAAGATCAAAGATTTTAGTTTCAATATCAATTTGATGAATCCAGTTGCTAGAAAAAATGAAGAACCCAAAATTGATACCCCAAAGACACCAGAAGCAAAGCCTTTCTCGACAACTTCGGATAAGCACAGATCATTTTCACAAATTGAAGCTTTGATTCAAAATGGCCCTACGAAGAAGCAACCCCCACCTGCAAAACCTAAAAAGTTAAACTTAGAACTTGATAAACAAGAAACTACAAGAAATTCAAATTTTGTATCAGGGTCTAGCGAATCGAAACCAAAAACACCACAAAAGGCAGATTGGTTATCGTCTTTATCGAGTTCAAAATCGACAACATCAACTCCTCAATCTAAAGCAGCCACTTCTCCCGTCAGATCGCCACAAAGGTCTGATTGGTTGACTTCTTTGTCGACTTCAAAATCTACGACATCCACTCCTCAAACAAAATCAGGCGAGAAAACAGTACTTAGGTCACCACATAAATCAAGCTGGATTGAAAGTGCATTAGAAATAAAAAAAACTCCACCGTTAAAACCTAAAAAGAAGAATACTTATGAAACTCAAGAAGAGTTGGAGTTTAAAAATAGGTTTACAAACTTCCAAAAGTCTCAATCACCTGAAAGAAAGATTCCTATAAATAAAACAAAAGAGAACAAAGGGCCTCAGGATGAAATTGAATTTCTTTCAAAATTCGGCAAGCTCAAAACTACTAAAAATTTGACTAAACATATTGACGAAACTCCACCATTGGATTTTCAGAACAATTTCGATAAAATAAAGAAAGCACCACCTAAAAAACCTGAAAAAAAAATTGACTTAAATACTTATAAAGATAAAGATGCAGAAGAATTAAGAAGCCAAATGAAAAAACTTGGAACAAGTAATGTCGTAAAATCTCATGTGGATTACGAAACAAAGGATTCAGAACAATTAAGGTCTCAATTAGGAAAACTCCGTACAAAAGAAAAGCCAGTAATGACACAGAAATTAAAGTCTGAAATTGACTTAGAAACCAACTTTAAACCAGATGAATTATCTTTTGAGAAAAGACTAGGTAATATTTTAGTCAAATCAAGTACATTTCCGAAACCTAATCAGCATAGACCAATTGAAAGGACGTCAACAACTCTTAAACTTAATAAGCAAGATAATAATTCATCTCAAAAATTAATTCATGCAACGAAATCAAGGTCAAAAGGGCCAAAGAGAAGATTGCCGAAAACACTTCAAAACGAAACGACTTCTCAACCTAAACAAGATTCCATGAATGTTGAAAAGAAACCACCACCAGTCAATAAGTTGTCAAAGCCTAAAGTAGTCGGTAATTTGAAAGCAAGGGTTGTTAGTGGAGATTTATTTATTTAACATTAAATATACCAATTATTTAAACTATCAATTATTTTATCCGTTAATAAGTTGATTGAGTTGTAGAATAAATTGTTTTCAGAAATTGCTCTTTTGAAATTTGCTAAAAGTTGTAAGTGATTAGACTTCTCAAAATTACTTTTCAAAATTTTCTCGAGTTCTTCACTAGTTTTTACTTTATAAGTAGATTCATTATATACATCATCATCTAATTCCATATCGTTATCATTTCTCAAGAATTGATCTATATCATCTGATTCATTTTTTGTTAATTGATTTACATCATCATTAAATATAGATGAATAATGATTATCCATACCCAATGAGAATTCTAGATCTAAATTTGTATTCAGTTCTTTATTTAGTTCAGTTTTCACCCTTAGATTATCAATCCAATATTCTTTATCTAATTTACTCTTTATTGAATCATTCAAAATTAAAAAGATTATCAAATGTATATAAAGTTTTGAATCTTCATTATTTGTCTCTTGAAAATCATACACTTCTTGTAGTAAATCTTTTAAAATACAAAGCTTATTGTTCGTATAATAATTCGAAAAAACTTGATCATTGAATTCCGTTTTGCCAAGTATCATTAACTTAAAAGTTTCTCTCAAATTTATGTCCTGTTCAGTTAGTAATTGTCTTTCATTCGAATTCTGAATTTGAGTTATGTCTTGTATCTTTGATGAGAGCTGAAAATCACCAAGATTTGGACTTAATATTTTTAAAACAACTCTAAATGTAGAACTTGATGATTCTCCGTCAGCCATATTTGTTTTCAAGATTTCATCGATAATTTTGCTTTTATTTTCATGAGATATACTTGGATCCCTAATCAACCAATTTAAAATTGAAGCAGTGGTTGGTATTAAAAAATTTTGGGATAAATAATCTAAACCATTGCTAAGAACCGAAAAGTCAATTTTATTTAAATTCACTGCTATTATAGCTTGTTTAAAAATTTGAGGCATTAATCTATAAATTTGTTTGATACTCAACGATTTAATTAAATCATCTGATAAACCATCGTTTGCATCATCAAATAGTAAATTGGTCCAATCCCTTAACAAATTATTATAGTTATCTATTATTAGTTGACTTTCATCATCAAGATTTTTCATTGTTGTTGTCAAATTATCATTTAATCTATAATAAAAGTTATTAATGTAATCTATTGTATAAGAACCTCTTACATTGATTTTGGTAAAGTCCTCAAATTGAAAATAGTCTATTATAAATATTACACTTAAAAGAATAACACCAAAATATGAATAAAAATCTTGAAAATTTTCATCTTCATCATCACATTTGAATCTTTCTTGATCTATAAAATCAATTAATTGATATAATAATTTGTATTTACTATGATATACCACTAGATTAATAGCTTCAGCATTTGTAATTAGACTCAATACTAAATAATTCAACTTCTCATAATTTTTTTCCATGATCAATGATTCAACAGTTTCAAGTATCGCCAATGTGAATTCCTGTTGTATATCAAAAGTCTTCGATTTAAAGCACAAATCTTCAACAAATTCAATCAATCCTGATTCTTCTAAGGAGGTAAATTCACTATTTACATTTCCTAACTTTTCATTAAATTCCGATTTTATGTTGAGTATCGGTTCACTAACTTCATGCAACAATCTTGCTTGAATCTCCAGTTTCAAGGTAGGATCATTGTCAGGACTTATTGACTCTTGTAAGATATTTTCAAGGACATTAGAATCTTTAATTTTCAAAAATCGTTTGATAATTATTGGTATATTTGTTAAGATAAAATTTTTGACATTGAATAATATATAACCACTAGTATCAAGTAAGCCAGAACTTACTTTCATTAATTCACAAGCAATAAATGATGCATTTTTCTGTTGAGGTATCGGTATTAAATTTGATATGAATAATTTTAAGAATTCTTCTATATTGTTTAAGTAATTGAAATCTTTCATGAGTTGATAAAACCAAATATATTGTTTTCTTGCATTAAGTTCGTTTATTTGATTATAAAAATCCCAGGTTGTGTGTAAGCTAGCCAGGGTGGATAACATAATTTCGTCATTTTCAAGATTATGAGATTGAAAATTCTGGTTTTGTACTCTCGATTTTTGCAATTGATGAAGTTGACTTTTGGACAAGATATCCGATGATTTATTCAACATATATGATACTATCTTTCCTGAGTCATCTAGTTTTTTCAAGTATGAAATAAAATTAATAACTGCATTCTGAACGCTGGAATTGTTATCAGTTACTATATTTCTAAAATGTTTTATAATTAACCCTAATAAAATGCTTATTTGAAACAACACATCTATCAGTAAATCATGCTGCTTTTTACAAAGAACACTTACATATACAATAAATTGTTCATCGATCCAATATGATATAATTTCTCGATCAATTTTGTTAAATTTATAATCTTTCGAAAAAAACTTGACGAATTCTTTTAAATAATGTACTTGTAATTCACTCGATAGGTTTATAAAGTTATTCCAAAACAATTTGTTATACTCTTTGCAACTAAATGATAAATTGACAAATAAATTAATTGATGCTGGATTTAAATTATGTAAACTTTCTAAAAACTCATTACTCTCAATTCGTCTCTTCTTATATAGTTGATTAAATAAGGATACGGATAACTTTAACGGTAGCTTGTTATTAATAGTTTTATTGACTAGTTTCGATAAAGAAGTTTCAGACATGTTGGGTTTAGAATATAATTAATTTTTCATCGCGCATGGTAAATAATATTGAAAATCATTATCTACAAAACAATTAAAAGTGGAAGTAGTATATATTAAAAAAGCTTCAAGTGTAAAACATTTCTTTCTGTCATAATAACTTGAATTGTCAAATAAAAAAAAAACAAAGAAAAAGATTTAAAGTCTTACGCTGGAACACCAGATGAAACACCAATAGGGTTAATGATTGGGTCCAAAACATTCAAATGCAAGTCATCATCGACTAAAGCTAATTGTTTATCAGTCCAAATATGTTCAACTGTTGAAACTGTTGCATCACCTACTCCACATAATCCACCAACTTTTGACCAATCATTGATTCTTTTCAAATTCAATTCGGTGAATACAGAATCAACAGCTTCAATTAAATGATTTGATACCTTTTCACCATGACCTGGAGTTGGAGTGATTCTTAATCTTTCTTCTCCAATTGGAACTGTTGGAAAATTAATAGCTTGTACATAAATATTATGTTTATCTAATAATAAATCAGAAGCTTTTTTAGCGTCTGCAGCATTACCAACTAATACAGGGACAATATGAGAAGGATTTGGAATAACTGGTAAACCCAATGAATTCATACTATCTTTAACATATCTTGTATTCTTTTGTTGTGCAATTCTATCACTTAAAGTAGCTCTTTGATAACGTATTGAAGCACTTGCACCAGCCATAATGGCAGGTGGTAAAGTAGTAGTGAATATAAACCCTGGAGCATAAGATCTAAACCAATCAATCAAATTTGCTTTACCTGTAATATAACCACCAACACAACCATAAGCTTTACCTAAAGTACCGGTAATCATATCAACACGATTCATGACAGTTTTTATATTTGGTTGATTTACACCTGATTTCAAATGAGCATCAAAATTTAAATGTTCAGCAACTCCTGCACCATGAGGACCATACATTCCAACAGCATGAACTTCATCTAAAAATGTTAGTGCACCATATTTTTCAGCTAAATCACATATAGCTTCAATAGGAGCAATAGAACCACACATTGAATAAACTGATTCAAATGCAATTAATTTTGGTACTGATTTAGGATATTGAGCTAATTTTGATTCCAAATCTTGTAAATCATTATGTTTAAAAATATGCTTTTTAGCTCTTGAATTTCTAATACCTTGAATCATTGAAGCATGATTTAATTCATCAGAAAATATAACTAAATCTTTAATTTTTTGACCAAATAATGATAGAACAGCATCATTAGCAACAAAACATGAAGAAAATACTAAAGCAGCTTCATGCTTGTGTAAAGTAGCCAATTCAGATTCTAATTTTATAGCATGAGAATTATGCCCCGCAATATTTCTTGTACCACCAGCACCTGAACCATATTTTTCCAATACACGCTTCATTTCATTTAAAGTAACTTGATTTTTACCCATGCCTAAATAATCATTTGAACACCAAACAGTAACTTTATCATGTTCATTTTCACGATGAGCTTTTGGAAATTCATTCGCTAAACGATTAATATTATTAAAATAACGATAAGACTTGTCACTTCTTTTTTTATTTAAATCATCATTTAAAAAACCTTGAAAATCAAAACTTTCTTCATTAGAACCTAAATTAATTTTTGAATCAATTAAATTTGAATCTTTAAAATGGTATGAAAAAATATTATTTTTACTCGATGAAGTAGCTGTTGAAGAAGTAGCTCTAACAGGTTTAGTTGCAGATGAATAATTTCTTTCGTGATGACAATGCTGTTGTTCTTTAGCTTTTAATGCCATAGACATATAAGGACATTGACGAGCTTGAGAAACTAACCCACCAGATGATTGACTCAATTGACGCAACGTTTGAGTTGAAGTTGATTTAATGAAAGGACAAACTGTCATAGAAACTTTAGTTAAACCCTCCATAATTTATCACAATATAATCAATAACCTTTAAATATTCAATAATGAAAAAAAAATAATAAAAGGTTGAAAAAGAATCAATTATTATAATTCCAATTATAAACCTTTTGGTTGGCTATTTATTAATTTATTAACTATGAAAAATTTTTGTCGAGTAATAAAAAAAAAAAAAAAAAAAAATGAGTTTCGAAAAAGAAAAAAAAAAAAAAATAAAATAAAATAAAAAAAAAAAATTCATTACCCCAAAATTCAATAATGAAATATAAATACAATAATTTGCAGCCATTTTTAAAGTAAAGTAGAATTGTAATCTTCTATTTGGAAGCTCAATATCTCAATAATCTTATATAGATATATTGAATCATAACTATTGAATACTATGATCTCCAGTACTTTCCATTTCGTGTCTTTTTAGAAAAATGAACCTTTTTATAATTAGAATTATTGACTCTTCTCTTACATTAATTTCCATTTACATGTATACAAAACTGTCACGTGAAAACGGAAATCAAATTTCCAACTATAAATTCCGATTTATAGATTTTTTTTTCTCAGATTCAAACTCCAATCAATCTTTGGATTCATAAGTTAAGCGTTGATTTGGTAGTTAAGAAATCAATTTAATTGATTCATTTTTTGAGAATTGAATAATTTGATAATTCTGTAAATGTTATTGGATGATGTTTTGATAAAATTAAACTAAATGAAAAAATCATCAGTTTATTGATAGTAAAGGATAACATTACTTTTCGTATCTACTCTTGCAGAAAAGTACTTAAAGTTGAGATATCATATGCATAAAAATTTAGTATGAAGATTTATATGTTTTCTACTATTTCAATGTTTTAATGCATTAAATCAAATGTGGATAATACTTTTTTTCTACCCTTTAGCCAAATGTGGATAATGATGGACAATCCCCAATTTTGGATAAAAATTTATCCAAAGTTTATAAATTTTTATCCAAAATTGGGGGCCATTTTCTTTGTCGTATTTGACCGAATTTTAAATTGAAATTATCGAATGTTCTCCTTTGCATAAGTGATTAAATTTAAGATTTGTTGTTTCCAAGCCTGAGTATATTGTGTAATTTAAAAAGTGTTTAATTTTGTTGGCAACTTATTATTAAAATGTCAATTCCTATAACTCAGTATGGATTTTTATACAATCAATCAAAAGGTTTACAATTAAAAAATAATTTACCGGTTCCAAAGCCATCGGAAAACGAAGTTTTGTTGAAAATTGATGCTGTTGGATTATGCCACTCCGATTTACATATTATTTATGATGAGATCCCATGTGGTGATAATTATGTTATGGGTCATGAAATTGCTGGTACTATTGTTTTAATTGGTGCGAAAGTTTCTGATTTCAAAGTTGGTGATAGAGTAGCATTAGCAGGTGCGAACGGATGTGGACTTTGTGAAAATTGTCGTACTGGATTTGACAACATCTGCGAGTCATCTTTTATTAATTGGTTTGGTTTAGGAATTGATGGTGGTTATCAACAATATTTATTAATTAAAAGAATACGTAATTTGATTAGAATTCCTGATAATGTTACATCAGAGGCTGCTGCTGCCTTAACCGATGCTGCATTAACACCTTATCATGCTACTTTACGTGCAAACATTGGACCAACTTCAAATTGTTTGATCATTGGTGCCGGTGGTTTAGGACTTAACGCTATTCAAATAGTAAAATGCTTTGGAGCAAAAGTTACAGTACTAGATACTAAGGAAAAAGCAAGAGTGTTAGCTAAAAAAAATGGTGCTGATTATGTTTATGATACTTTACCCTCCGAAATAAAACCAGGAACCTTCAATATTTGTATTGATTTTGTATCGAAACAATCAACTTTTGATTTATGTCAAATTTATTGTCAATCAAGAGGTTCAATATTACCTATTGGTTTAGGATCCACAAAATTAGAATTAGATTTGGGAAACTTAGCATTAAGAGAAATTAGTATCTTGGGTTCATTTTGGGGATCTTCAAATGATTTGAAAGACGTTTTACAACTAGCAAGTGAAGGAAGACTTAATCCACATGTATCAACAGCTAGCTTAAAAGAGTTGCCAAAGTATATTGAGAAATTGAAAGAAGGTTCTTATGAAGGAAGATATGTATTTATACCATAATTGCTTGCTTGATATTAATATCGCCAGCACGTTTGATTTTTAATGTTACAACTTTTGCTTAGAATATCTGAATATTGATACCAGATTCCACATTGAATCTGATCTTATACCATTTAAGTAAAAAATGGTACCAAAAAGTGAATTAAGCGAGAATTTCAAATTATATATATTTCAAGAAACATAATACACGTAGTAAGATTGTCAAAAGTTACTATTGTAAGCGATCATTAACAATACTCATATGGAAAAGAAAAAAAATATTCTGGTTGTTGTGAAAAGACCTTTTCAAGAAGAGTTTTACACAATTTTAGATTATGGAGAACTGGGGCTTACTGATCTAAATTATATTTACGTTACTATATAATTTGATTCATTCAAAGTCAAGAAATTATATTAACAAGAAAAAAAGGAAACAATACGGCACAATTCCTATCAAAATTCTTTTGCAACCTCACTAAAATTTTTGCAACCTCATCAAGAGTTAGAAATATAAGCTCAAAATCATTAAGATTTAACTTGAGATGATGATAATTTATGACCTATTGAGCTATGCTATAATGCTAAGTGGAGTTTTTGAATCAAAATAGTCGATCAACTTCGATTTATCTCGAGCAAAACATGTACTTTGGCGCTACACTGCAGTAAATTATAGGTGGTACCAAGAAATTATTCGAATTTAATAATTCTTATCAGTAGAATTCTAACACGGCAATTCAAGGTAATTGTAATTATTATTTTACTGATCAAACCCTCTTAGGCTGGAGCCTATGACTTTTTTCATAAAAAGAAATTGATGATCAAACTACGTATATAAATCAACAAATTCGCCATAATTGCAAAGTTAAAAATTTCATTTAAGTATGAGTAAAGAAATTGCTGAAAAAGATTCTGCTCAAAAAGTTTCTCTACTGACTTATAGTTCCACTTCAGAAGAAGATTATGATTTTAATGATCCTGCTAATTATACACAAAATTATGTAGATGATTTAAATCCAAAAGGTTTAAGAAGACCAACAAAAAAAGAGGTTGAAACATTGAGAAGAGTTTTAGGGAAGATTAAATTTCCTAGTTTGTTGATTTGTGCCGCTGAATTGGCTGAAAGAGCATCATATTATTCGGTTCTTGGTATTTTGACAAATTTTATTCAACGTCCTATGCCTGATGGTTCAAGATTTGGAAATCCAACCTCAAACACTTCTAATAAATCTGCAGGAGCACTAGGTTTAGGTTTAAGAACAGCTACAGCCATAACTTTGCTTACTCAATTTTTAGCTTATGTTTTGCCTTTAGTAGGATCTATTCTTGCTGATGTTTATATTGGTAGATTTAGAGCTATTAATTATGGTGTTTGGGTTGGGGGGGTTTCTCATATCCTTTTTATTATTGCTGCAATTCCTGGAGTTATCACAAACGTCAATGCTTCTTTAGCTATAATTGTTTTATCTGTGTTAACGTTAGCTATTGGTACTGGTTTAATTAAACCAAATTTATTACCATTAATTATGGATCAATATCCAGAAGAAACTGACGTAGTGAAAGTTTTAAAATCTGGTGAGAAAGTTATTATTGATAGGGAGAAAACATTACAACGTATTAGTTTAATATTTTATTTTAGTATTAATGTTGGTGCATTTTTCCAATTGGCTACATCTTATACTGCAAGAAGAGTAGGTTTCTGGTTGAGTTTTTTATTACCTGGAATATTTTATTTATTATTACCATTATTTTTATGGATGGTCAAACCAAAATTAAAACTTCGAGCTCCAGAAGGTTCTGCATTAACAAATTTTATGAAAATATTTCATATATCATTTAAAGGGAATTGGATTAAACGTTTAAGGAATAATACATTTTGGGAGTTTGCAAAACCTAGTGTTATGAAAGAAAGAGGAATAGAGTATTATAATGAAAAAAAACAGTCACCAATCACATGGACTGACCAATGGGTTTTGGATGTGAGACAAACGGTAAATGCTTGTAAAATATTTGTTTACTTTATTGTTTTTAACTTGGCTGCATCTGGTATAGGTTCCGTTACAGTGTCATTAAGTGGTTCATTAACTAATAATGGTGTTCCCAATGATTTATTTAATAATTTTAATCCATTAACAATTATCATTTTACTTCCAATTTTAAATAATATAATATATCCATTAATGAGAAGATATCATATTGAATTTAGACCAATTTTTAGAATTGCTTTAGGATTGATTCTAGGATCAATTGGTCAAATGGTTGGTGCTATATTACAAGCTAAAGTTTATCAAACAAGTCCTTGTGGTAATATGGCAACAACTTGTAGTGAAACTTCACCTATTAGCATTTGGTGGGCGTCATTGGTTTTCATATTTGGTGCAGCAGGTGAATGTTTTGCAAATACTACAGCGTATGAATTAGCTTATACGAGATCTCCTGCTTATTTGAAAGGTGTGGTTATGGCTATCTTTTTATTTATGATGGCAATTTCAGCGCTTGTTTCACAAGCGGCTTTACCAGCATTGGTCGATCCATATTTAGTATACCCTTTTGCTGTTATCAGTGGTTTAGCTTTTGTGGTTGCAATATTACTTATTATACAATTTAGAAATTTACATAAAGAAATGGAACTTGAAAGAATTCAAAGGGAATCTATGGATAAAGAAGAAAGTAGAAAAGAGGAACTTGATAATAATTTAAATGCAATTATTTCAATCAAATCAAATGCTTTATCGGTGGCTAAATAAAAACTTATAGGTATTTATGTGTAAATTCAACATATACGATTATTTACATCTTTCTCAGTTACGCAATACGTCTAATAACCACGACTTGATTTGATTGTAATTTATTTGCATGTTTATTTACTTCAAAGTATACTTTATGATCGAGTGACAAGCAAAAACGTATTTCGTATATTATAGTTTTGTGCAATAATTCGTATCTAACTAATTTCTTATATCGACGACATTATTCGATATAATTTCAACAAACAGATTTATCATGAATTTTTTTCCCGTAAGTCGATAAGTTATTAAATGCAATGAGATTTAACAACAGTACACTCTTGAAATTTTTGCTTGATAAGAAATTAATTTTTTGAAAAATGATATTCAGATCAAACGGCGATTTGTTTATCAAAGATAACACAATAAATGGTGATAATAAAATATGCTACATTTTTTTGTATGGGTAAGGCACCAAAAATTTAATTAAAAATAATAATTAAGAACTCGAACTATGAATTTTCAACTTCAAAAATTAAGAAATTCGAAAATAAATTTGGTGGAGGATCAAATTAATGCCTTATTGAAATTTTAGTTTCTTATTTAATATTACTCTTGTAGAAATTGTGGATTAGGTTAACTAAAAATGTTCTGCCTCAAATGTAATTCGTGTTAAATTTCAAATGGGCAAAATAACGATAGGAAAGTATATTATGAGCTTCGAGTGATTAACATAGTATCTTATTTTAGTTATGAAAAACCATAAGGCTTCAAAACCCAAAATTTTTAATATAAAACCCTTTGAATTTACAAGAAAACTGTAAAGTTAATTTCTTAGTTATTGATCTTGAATTTATTTCTTAGCAAATATGTCAAAAGAACAAACTAGTACGATAGACGAGAAATATCAGAATGTTTCAGTTTTAATTAATGATGATAAAAGTTCACAAGATCTATTTTATAATGAAGATGAGGGTTATGATTACGATGATTCGGCAAATTATAGTACCAACTATTCAGATGAACATAACCCAAGGGGTTTAAGAAGACCGAATAAGTCAGAAATGAAATCATTAAGAAGAATAATAGGTCCTATCAAATGGTCGGTTGTATTGATTTGTTTTGTTGAATTTGCTGAAAGGGCTTCATATTATTCAGTTACAGGTATATTATCAAATTTTATTCAACGTCCTTTACCAAAAGATTCGCCTCACGGTTGGGGTGCACCAAAGAATACATCTGGTGATGAAAATGCTGGAGCATTAGGTCAGGGGTTACAAACTACAAATGCTTTAACAAATCTTCTTACATTCTTAGCTTATGTTATTCCAATTTTCACTGGTTATGTTGCTGATAGTTCTATCGGTAGATGGAAAGCTATTCAATGGGGGGTTTTATTTGGGGGTATTTCACATTTATTGTTTATTATTGCAGCTGCTCCGACTTTAATTGCAAACGGTAAAGCTGGTTTAGCTATTTGTATTATTGCCATTATTACTTTAGCTTTAGGAACAGGTTTCATCAAACCCAATCTATTACCACTCATGTTAGATCAATATCCTGAAGATTATGATATGGTGAAAGTATTACCTTCAGGTGAAAAAGTCATACTTGATAGAAATAAAGCTTTGGAAAGAATGACATTAGTTTTTTATTGGGCTATTAATATTGGTGCATTTTTTCAACTTGCAACATCTTATTGTGAACGTAGAGTTGGTTTTTGGTTAGCTTTTTTTGTTCCAATGATTTTATATTTATTGATGCCTTTGTTTTTATGGTGGGTAAAACCAAAATTAAGATTTGAAACTCCTAGAGGTTCCGTTTTAAATAATTCAGTTAAAGTTTTTACCATAGTATTTCAAGGGAATTTTGTTAAACGTTTAATTAATGGTACATTTTGGGAGTATGCTAAACCAAGTAATATGAAAGAAAGAGGACTTGAATATTTTAATTCAAAAAAACAATCTCCAATAACATGGAATGATCAATTTGTTATGGATGTCCAACAAACAATTGATGCTTGTAAACTATTTGCTTATTATGTTGTTTTTAATTTAGCTGATAGTGGGTTAGGTTCTGTTGAAAATTCATTAATTGGTGCTATGTCCACAAATGGTGTACCTAATGATTTGTTTAATAACTTTAATCCCTTGACTATTATTGTTTTGATTCCAATATTAGATAATATAATTTATCCATTTTTTAGAAAACATCATATTGATTTTAAACCAGTTTATAGAATTGCATTTGGTTTTGTTGTTTGTGCTATGTCTCAAGTCGCGGGTGCTGTATTACAACATCAAGTTTACCAGAAATCCCCTTGTGGTGCTAACGGTGCTACTGTTTGTGGGGAAAATGGAACTGTTGCTGATATCACCGCATGGAAAGCTTCTTCTTTATATATTTTAGGTGCAGCTGGTGAATGTTTTGCTATGACTACTGGTTACGAATTAGCATATACAAGAAGTCCACCACATATGAGATCATTATTATCAGCATTATTTCTATTAAATTCTGCAATTGCTGCTGCTATTTCAGAAGCTATAACACCAGCATTAAAAGATCCATATTTAGTATGGGTTTTTGCTGCCATTGGTATAGCTACAGTTGTTTGTGCGGCTGGTTTATTATGGCAATTTTGGAACTTAGATAAGGTTATGCTTGAAGAAGCTAATGAAAGAGAATATTTGGACAGAAAACAAGCAAAAGAAGTTCTCAAAGAAACAGAAGAAGCAGTAGATAATAACTTGCAAGCTATCACATCTGTTAAATCTAATTTACAAGCTAGATAACTTTGTGATTATTAATGACTTATAATAAATGACTTTCGAATTGACTTGTAAGCAATTATCTCTTTTTAAGAGTTTAAGGTGGTATGAACATTTATTTACTCAACCTCCATTCTTCATTTCACATTCTCAAGGATAAAAATGTGCGTTGTTCGTGCTAATTGATTCTAATTACATAAACATCGACTTGAAACTAACAATGAAACTTATATGCAGTGTCATCATACTTATATTTAAAACTTAATGTTTAAATATGTCCCACAATATTTAAACTAGGTTTATCAAACTTATTTCATTGAATCTTCACTTGAACTTAAATAAATTGATGTTAGAATCGTTTAGTAAAAAATGATTTTGGTCACGTAATTAGTCTTTTACAAATTACAGAAAAACGTTAAATCGTAAAATAGTTCACACTTAGACTTCGTTTAGCAACTTCCAAGATGGCCGATTTGGTCTGTTCTCCCTAAAGATTTAATGTGTAATGGTTTGCAGCCACAAATAATTGCTTTGATAATTTTGCAAAAAATTCAAGCCACTCCGGAAAAATTGATTTTCTATTTTGAATACCTTAACACAAAAAAAAACTAATCCATATCAGAATGGGAGAGTGCGGATCATGATATTATTATAATATCTGAGTTTTGATATTCATTGTGGAGTTGTATTTTCCTTAAGGTCAAATTATTCAATATTTCCCATCCTTAAGAGAATTTTTTGCAATTTTTAAATTTTAGATGAAATCAAACGAAACATGTGTAGCATTTAGTTCTATGTATAATATATATAATTCATTGTTTGATTGAAAGTTGTGACCCTAATAAGAGACATCTATAACATTCAATCCTTTCGAAAACTTTTGTATGGTGAAAAAAGTCCAAAATGACAACTCCAAAAAAAAATTTTTGAAATCTTATATTTAAAATACGTAGATTATACATTTCACGGTTACTGATTTCATATAACTAGTATTTATCTGATGGACATTTATTGTTGAAAACATATAAATAAAAGAGTTTAGTGTGAGTCGCCCTAGAGCTAACGCGAGAAAGTACTTTGTCTCGCGCCAAAAATTATAACATTGAAAAAAAGTATGAACAAATCCACTTATATGCAGTCTTATAATAGTTAATCCCAAAATTAGAAATGTAAATAACTTGTTCAATATTCAAGTCAACTTTCTCAAACTTCTTTGATTAAATCTCCAACTAAATTAAAATCAGTCGGTCTAGTCTTTTTAGTAAAACAAAAATTTGAGTTAGAAATTTGTTTTTCAAAAAGTGGGAAGAATCGCTATATTGGAGGATATTTAATACTTTGACCTTGTTTTGCAACTCCTATAATACATGATTTGGGTCATGTTATCCCAAGAATACTAATGGTGTGCACTCGCTATATTCGTTTTGAAAATATTGCAAAAAATTTCAAACCCCTCCTGAATAATTGATTTTCTATTTTGATACCTTAACTCAAAAAAAAACCAATCCATATCAGAATGGGAGAGTACGAATCATGATATTATTATCATGTCTAAGTCTCGATACTCATTGTTGAGCTGAGTTTTTCTTAAGTTCAAATTATTCAGTTTTCCCCATACTTAAGAAAAAATTTGGAAATTTTTTAATTCTGGGTCTGGCCGACTAGAGTTACGCCCAGTAAATTGATCTGAGATATATTATATATAATCCATTGTTTAATCGAAAGTTACGGTTTTGAATAAATTGCTCAATGAATTTTCAGTATCCGGAAGTCTCTTGTTAGGTGAAAAATGGCCAAAACTCCAAATGTAAATAAGATTGGTCTTTATTTTGTGAAAATGTTCTGTTCATGATGAATAAGTCAATATATTTAGTACGAGGTCGCCTTCAAGGTAATGCGAAGTATTTTTTTGTCGCCCAATGTGAACGAATTCAAAAATGGCACCATGTTTATTAGTAGAATTTTCAGAACTGGAATTAATAAATTTCAAGATGTTGTAGATTCTGATTGGTTTAGCGTTTAGCATATAAACAAATTCACTTGAGGCTATTTATTTGCCATGTGGTAAGAAAATCATCATCATCGAATTGATCTGCGCTTTGGATGAAATCAGGAATGGTTGGATTGAACGAAATGTACTGGGGTTATATGTGGGACATAACTTATAAAATCGAATACATATTTGATAGTTTGGAAAATATATTTTGCTTACATAGCTGGTAAATCGATATCATTACTGAAGATGACTGCAGGCTAATCTTTAGAAAATTAGAATTAGTAACTCTATGAATTACAGTTGAAGAATCATTGACAAAAGTAAGTATTTTGCACAAAAAAGTGAATAATTAAATATTTATTTGATTCAGGTTCGTGATAAAGTTTTATAACCTGTAGAAAAATAAACAAATTGAACAACTATATTACATTTTTGTGTAAATGAAAAATAAGCAAATTAAACATGTATATTATAGTTTTGGGTAAATCTAAGCAGTTTGTCTTGGAACTGTGCCATTATATCCACCATTCTTATAATCCCAATAAAATGTCAAAGCTTGAGACAAATTACTTGGAGTTTGGCAATCTCTTGGAATTTTGTACTTACCAATTCTATCATTAACATAAGTTTCAAAATCTGTTAATTTCGTCGAAAATCCTGGGCCATCTGATATATTTGCAATTGGAATAACTGCATCATTAATTATAAATCTAACATAAGTTTCATTAGAACATTGCAATTTTTCGGTGACAACTCTACCACCCATAGGAGTAACTTCAACATGATGATATGTATCTGTAAATCTAATTTTATCATTCGGCAAAGGGTTGATGGTGTCAAATAAACCTAAAGCAGAAGTAAATAATTCCATATCTGTATCATGTGAGAATGTAAGCCAAATTTTGTTATCTGATGTTGTATCTTTCAACAATTGCAAGGTTGCATTTAATTGAACAGCACCAGCCAAGGAACTGTTAACATTACCAGGTCCACTTGAATAATAAGAGTTTAAATCTTCTTGATATCCATAAGTGACAAACTCATCTTGAGTAAAAATATTACAAAATGGAGAATACCCTCTCGAATTAAGTTCATAAGCACATATTTGGAATAGATTTGAAACATCATCGGTAGTGATATTTAAACCAGGATTTTCATTTGTAAATCTAGTTACAGTTTTATTTAAATATGTAGTTGGAAATTTAGATGTGTAATTTCCATAAGCAGACGAATTCCAGCTAGGGCAACCCCATCTAGGTGTAGCACTGTTCAATCCACTAGTGGCATTCTCAGATACTATAACTTTCCTAATTTTATCATCTGAGTACTTTTCACCAATGAATGCAGTTGCAAAATTTAACGCTGTTTCCTCAACACGTGCAGAAGCCGAATAAAATAATGGTAATATTTCAGAATCGTTGTACAATTGTCCATATTTACTTCTGAAAGCTGCTCCTGCTTTAATTGCTGTTTCATAACCTGTGTAAGGACCAATTGAATTAGCTGGTGTTGTTTCATATTCATAAAGATCTTCATTTGGTACGTAATATTGATAATCATTCAAGAATGCTAATTCACCTTTAAAAGTGTTGTTATATCTTTGTAATTTATCGACAATTTGCTTATGTTTAAGACCTGCTGATAATCCTGGGAATCTTTCACCATGTCTTCCATAATATTGAACTGAATTTATTGTACATTCATCTGGAATATCAGTTGAAACACCAAAACCTGGATGTTGAATATATGGACCAGCAGCTGCTAAGTATTTTACTATATTATACTGTTCTTTAGCAGCTAATTCAGGTGAATTCACATCTCTGAATTGATCTTGAGTTGCAAAAATTAAACCAGAAGATAAAATCTTTGTTATTGAAACCATTTCTGCGGCTCCAAACAGTAAATAATCGAGGAAACGTGCTCGTATTTATAGATTTTGGATTCAAAAGTTTATTGATATATATTTACTTATTTTTAGCTCCTTTTTTAGAATTTGATTTCTTATTGTTATTAGTACCACCTGGTAAAACCAATTTAACCTTACTTACCGGAAATACACCAATTAAATCAGTACTTTTTATATTTGATATTAATTCTCTTTCAACTGGCCAATCTAAATCCGTGTCGGTGCTAGAATTATCCATTTTTCTGCTACTAAAATATTGTAAAGCATCGGTTATGCATTTTCCTTTTTTACCACCACCTGGTTGAATTTTCACTTTATATTTAAATTTTTGTAATGAAGCCCACGGTGCAAAAACTGGAACTAAATTGATAATTTTATCTTCAGTTGATGGTTTTGAAGTGAAAGAATCTAAAATTTGTAAATAATTTGTAGTTGTTGCCTCATTATTATCCTCCGAATCATTGTTCATTAAATAGTTTTGAAATTCTCTTTCTTCTTGTTTCTTCTTTCTTTCAGCTAATAACTCTTTCTCTTTTATTTTCTTTATAGCTTCTCCTTTTTGCAGCAATTCATTTTGTTTTTGTTTATCTTTATCTTCTACTTGTTTCAAAGTTCCTAAAGCATGCATCCTCAATTTTCTTTCTTCTTCATCTTGAAATGCATATTTTGCAGCAATTTTTTTCATTTTGGATCTTTTACCTCTAGGTAATGGAGCATTTGATTTTGTTGCTTCTTGACTAGTTTCTTCATCTTTACTTTTACTATCATCATTTTCAGTTTCATTGTTCAAAGTTTTACTTTCTTCTTTGATATTAGTAATTGTAATATTTTCCAATTCCTTCTTCTTGTTGTCTACAACGATAGTCAAACCATGTTCCTTTTCTCTTGTAATTCTTTGCTCTTCCTTTAGTTTTGCTGATTCCTCGTCGATCAAGCAATAAAAACCAAAACCCATAACTAATTGAGCAGGTGGTAAATATTCTTTCTTACCAATGTAATTAAATTGACCAGAAGGAACTAATGAGCCATCGTAATCTCGTTTAGATATTTCAGTCCCAGGTAATACCCAAGCAGATGTTGTAATTTTACTATTCCAAGCATTTGATGCTGACATTGAAAATATTCCTGCTTGCATTAATGTAGATGGTGGTACTCCTTCATCTTTGAATGGATTTTTAATAAAAACTTTTAATGAACCTTCGACATCAGAGCTAACAAAGAAATCATTGTCACCAAAATGTCTATAATATAACATATCATTTTGTGAATTATCTCTACCGGCTAAACATAAGTAACCCTCACTAGAAACAAACCAATAGAATTTCTCAAACCAATATTTAGGCCTCATTTCTTTTAAAGTATCATTACTCTCTTTCAAGTTTTTAGCCAAATCTTGATTAATTTTTCTTTCTGCATTTTTTAATGCCATTTGAGTACTATTTTCTACTTTAACTTGTTTGGATTCAGCTACTTTTTTAGCATCAAAATAACTTCTGGCATTTGCAAATGAAGTCAAGGTTATATCAACCAATGTTGGTATAACATTTGATATTTTTTCTTTTTTAAAATCGTCTTTTCTTTTATTAATTGGTAAATCATCATCAGAATTATCTTCATCACTACTTTCAGTTTCACTTGCAGTAGAATTAGCTGATTCTGAGGAATCTTGATCATAATCATCAAAATCTGGTAATAGAAGCGTAATTTTATTTTCTTTTAAATTTAAAGGTAAATCTATTGCTTGTGCTACTTCATTTCTCTTTCTTTGTTCCAATTTAATCACTGATTCAATATTTGTCCAATCCATTTGTTGATCAAGAAAACCTTGTATATAAGCACGACAATCATCAACCAAATTTGAATGATATTGTATTAATTCACCTTTTTTAGCATTAACTTCTTGTTGATGTAATAATGATTGAATTTGTTTATCACGTTCACTCTTTGCTTTTTTCAATCTTTTGGAAGCTGTGTCTTTTTGTTGTTCAATTTTTAATGCAAATTTATTGGATTCAGTAGTTGAATAAAACTTATCCAATGTTTTATTGTATCCATTGATATCTATAATTTCATTTTCATTTAATTTAATAGGTTCAAAAGGATGATATTCATCAAAAATATATTCAAATTCTGAATCTTCTGACATGTTTTTTTTAGCCACAATGTATCCTTTACAAATAGAATCAGAACTTATCAATTCAATATATCTTTCTTCACATTTATTTAAAGCATCAACTACTTTTGATATTAAGGATTCATTATTTTCCAAATTCAAACAACTTTCACTTGAAACAATTTCTTCTTCTGTAAAGACTTTTAATATTAAATCACTTGCTAAATGATTAGCATTTAAAAAAACCAATTTATGAATGGAGAAAACTTTAGCTTTCTTATTATCTTGATTTAAATATTTTTCTTTATGATGATTCAACCACGATTTAATCAATTCACTCGTATAATGCTTCTTTTCATAATTATAATCTCGATCAAATAATGATTTATCAAATAATCTATATTTTTCATTTACTGCATATCTTGCAATGTCATCCTTTGCAGAAACTAATCTTTGTAATGACAATATATTAAAATTTTCATCTAATAATAAGATATTACCAGCACTGAAAAATTCAAATACTAAATAATACAAACCATCACTGAATTGTAATACTAATATTCTATCATTTTGAATTTGTTTAATTCCTGATAATCGTCTAGTCTTTAAATGTTTTCTTAATTTAGTAACAAAATTAGTTGGTTGTTGAGTTGTGGGTCTTTCAAAATCTGTTAAATGAATTCTATTACCGTATTCAAGTACTAATGTTTTTTTAGAATCAGGTATTGAAAATTTTAATAAATATTGACGTGAATTACTTGCAACATTATAAATATTTTGTAATCTATAACTCAACAATTCTTTATTAAATTCAGATGTAAGAACTTGTAAATCTAATCCCGTTATACGTTGCTAATATGTTAGCTATATTCAATTATTAATAGATGTTGTTGAATTAATACATACTTTCATATATAAAGTTGATGAGATTTAATCGTAGTGGCAACAAATTTGAAAAATTTAGTATTGTGAGCGCAAAATAATAATAATACTGAATATTATTAGCATATAATTGCCAACAACAAACTAAGTAAAAGAACATAGCAGTGTATACATTACATCTACTTTTAATCAATAATTGATTTATTGATGATGGATACTCATAAAAGTAATTGGCAAGTATGAAAATTTGGTTGCAAATTAGTAAAATTATTGCTGCGGTCACGTGATTTTTTTTAAATAAGACTTCGAAAAAAAAAAAAAAAAATATAAACTCATCTTATCAAATCAATTCATCAATAAAATGCATTTAATGTACACATTAGACAATCAAGGTAAAAGGATATATACTTTGAAGAAAATAACAGAAGAAGGAGAAATTACTAAATCAGCTCATCCAGCTAGATTTTCACCAGATGATAAATATTCAAGACAAAGAGTTACTTTAAAAAAAAGATTTGGTTTATTACCAACTCAAAAAGAATAAATGAGGTTATTGTAAAGAGAGATATAAATTTTGAATCCGACAGGTTTATGTTTAGTTCAGGAGAGATGACCATTGTATTATAAAGTTTACTCTATTTCAACAAATATACATGTTTTTAGTCAAAAAGCTATTTAGGTTTAATAAATTACCACCATACTTGTTTGTTACTATCAGTTCTTCCACTAAATCCATTTCTTGACAACTTCAATCCTTAGTTAATCCTGCATTATATTTTTTGTCATTATTAAATACTCATTTCTTTTGACCTGTAGATTCTAATTTATAATCAGAATTTCTAACAAAATTTTCCCACATTTGACCAAGTAATTCAGTTTTTAAATTATTCTTATTAACTTCCTGTAATAATTTATTAACATCGATTACCGAATTATTTAAATTTTCCTTAAATATTAGTAAATATTAAATAGTTTTAGTTTTTTAGTTCAATCTACATACCATATTATTTATAATTCTACTTAATAATGCATTATGAACTTGTTCATGAGGATTTTCCATATTAAGTGGTGGTGGTGTTGGTGGTGATTCTTAGTTTGTTTATTTATCAACAAAAAAAAAACCAGAAGAAAAACAAGAAGAAAAACCAGAAGAAAAAGAAGAAATAGTTAAAATGGTTGATTTAATACTAATAAGTTTAATAACAATTTTATTAGGTTTTATATTAATATTGTTAATTTACTTCTTTCAATCTGGTGGTATAAATGCAATTAAATCTTCAAATAAATCTCCTTATTTTAAACCAAGTTTTTTAATTTTAGGTGCTAATAATTCTGGTAAAACTTTATATTTTTATAATTTACAACAAAATGATATAAATATAAATCAAACTATTTCGTCAATTGATCCAAATTTTAAAGAGTTCATTTTACCATTTTCAAATCCTGCAATTGGTAAAAAATTTCAATTTGTTGATTATCCTGGTCATTTAAAATATCAAAATTTATTTAAGAATTTATTAATTAATGATATTACTTTAAATAATATTAAAGGTATAATTTATATGATTGATTCTTCAAATCTGAATTGGTCAGATCCAATTAACGTTGAAAATATTGTTAAGTATTTATATAATTTATTATCAATTACTGAAAGAAAACCAAATGGTGTTGATTTTTTATTTGCAATTAATAAATCTGATTTATTTGATTCTTTGCCACCACATAAAATTAAAAAAATTTTGGAAAAAGAATTGGGAAAATTAATTAAAAATGAAATTACAAATGTAAATAAAAATTCTGATTTAGATAAAAAATCAGATTTTATCAATAATGATGATGAAGATGTAAATAATAATGATACTCTTAGAGAGTTTTGGCTTGGAATAATTGGCTCATCTGATGCCGAATTTACTTTTGATAAGTTGGAAGGTAATATGGATTTTATTTCAGGAAGTGTTTTGAAGAATAAAATTAGTCAATGGGAAAATTGGTTAGATGAAAGAGTTGTAAATAGTTCATAATTTCAATATACCTATGATAATTTTGATACTAGTGTGAAATATTTATAGACTATACTAGTAAATTGAAATTTTAAAGACAGGATTGTAAATACAATTTAGGTCAATCTAGATCTTTACATCAAAATTTGAGTCATGACTTGAAGTTTCAGAACCTGAAGGTCCCAATAAATTATGCAAAAGTAGTCCATAAGTCATAAGCTATATTTAATAGTTAAATATATGGGTATCAAAATTCGTTAATCAAATTCTCTACGTTAACCTTGCGTAATTCTGAAACAATTTGATTTGCTTATATGCAGTCTCAAAGTAGTCAATCTTAAAATTTAAATTGTGAATAAATCCTTCAATTTTCAAGTTCTTTTTCTGAAACTAATTTCATTATGATTTCCAGTTTATTTTGGATAAGTTGTTGCTAATATGGGCTGACTAATCGTATTTTTGATGAGTTTCATCGTAGTTAAACGAGACGCTACCATCCAAACGATGATTATAATATTCTTGCTACCAATTAGGCTACTTAATATTATATTGCAAAAAATGTTCATTTTTTTACCTAGGATAGGGTCAAAATAGTCTTAGGTTAAACATTTGATGGCCATTCTTTATAAACATATTAACTTTTCAAATGTTGAACATCGAGAATTCTATTAATTATCAGACTTATATAATTATATCAAATTTATCGCTACCAACTTAGCCACTTAATATTACATGGCAAAAATTAGTCTATTTTTTAAACTAAAAACAAATTAAAATTTACTTATCTACAATGTTTAATGGCCATCTTACATGATGATATCAATATTCCAATGTCAAAATGTATTTTCAGATTCTTTCAACTTCAAAAACCACCTAATGATATTACTCTTTCTTTTTAGAATTTAATGATCAAATAAATTTACATATATTTAATAAATACCAAAAAAAAAGAAATTATCTTCAATTGTCGTAAGACTGTTTTAAAGTAAGCCTGCGTCAAACTAATATAGATTTGTTCCCTTAGCTGACCGTGGCCTTTTTTACCTCAAGTGTTGTGTTTTCGATGGATTTAAATTTAGATCAAAAAAACTCCTACCAGTCACCGAGGAAATCCTCGGGTCTACCGTTTGAATTAAGTTTTCAAAATTGACGACTTGAATATAGCGTACTCTGGACGGACTAAAAGGTGTCTAGCGACCTTTTTTACAGTTGATACTAATACGTCTATAGACATTCCTTTATTTTTAAGTTTTAAAAAGTGATGGCTAACACTTGTAACTTTGTTGCACTTATTGTTTTGTTGCAAAGATAGAGATTATATATAAATCAATGTTCTGATATAACATTATTTACAATAAAAACACATTTTCAAGAGTTTAATAATTAAATCTACAACTTAATCTTTTATTTTATAATTTTTTTATATTTTTTGTTTTATGTCATTAATGCAAAATTAATATTAATAAATTAATCATCTATAAATTGACTTTTATGTTATTAGTTATTTAATTAATTCATTTTCTTCTGAATGAACAACCTTCAGTTAATTTAGCTTTACCACCAGTTGGAGTACATAAAACAGTTGAACATGAATCACAAGTAACAGCAGTTTGAGCATGACTGAAAACAGTAGTAATATTAAGACAACCTTGACATTTGACATCCATAAAAAAAGATCTTGGTTGTTGAACTAATAATTTTAATTTATGTTGTTGAGCTTCTGTAGCTGTGGTTGGGTGTAATAAATCTTGAACTAAAACCTAAAATTAAAATGTTAGTATTTCAATGGAACTTAATCTGATTTCCAATAATGATGAAGGGCAAATGATTATTTCAATACTCTTAATTAGTAAATAATGATAAATTCATCTCGAATCTAATTTTTCACTCTGAAATTGATTTTCGATTATTGTATTTTCCCATTCTGTTATAATAAAGTGGATTGACATTGATGTTGATATTGATGAAATATCATGATCACTTGTACCTCTTACATCACCATAATCATTTTGATTTATCACATACCATCTTGTTATTCTATGTATATATGTATAATTAAAGATTTTGTTTGAAAAATTTTTATACAGATTTTTTTTTTTTTTTTTAATTGTATAGTTAAAAATTTCACTAATAGTTACTGCAAATTGAGGAGACTATTTTTGGTATTGTGTAATGTTGTAGTATTCGAATCTAAGAAATATAAACGATTACGCATATTCCACTTTAGTGTGTGATTACCAAAAATACAAACGTATAAACGTGAATTCGTTTTAGCCCTAGGGCTATACATATGGTAGCTTAATTTTGCAGCCACTTAACCATATCAACACTTTGATGACTGTAATTCAAACTTACTGTATAAATTTTAACGATGCTTTAAATCAATCTTTAAAGAAATTTGACTATGTAGTTTCGTTCGACATTTGCCAAAATTTTTAAATCAAACAAATACGTATATATATTAACTGACTGGAAACAAAACAAATACCAGTAGTGTAAACAAAAAGACGTCTAAATAAAAATTACTCTTTCAATAAAATATAAAAAATGCTATAAAAACCTATAAAAATATTGCTCCAACATATACCACACTTGTAAATTTCAAATTTATTAATTTAATTCAATCACATTTTTATTCTGTATCATTTTTTTATATATAAAGTAGATACCTAGATAATTCTCATATTTTTGCAGCAACTTCATCCACATACCATTAACCTTTAATTCAGCAGTATTTTCATAACGTAAAATAAGAAATATATTTTGTAATTTTAGCTTTTGAACTACAAATCTATATAAAACTTTTCATTAGATTTACCTTCAGTAACCAAACGTTATAGAAAGAAAAAAAGTTAATAATACCAAAATAGAAAATAATGCTAAGTATGTAGTTGTAATTGTAATTATAATTATAATTGTAATTGTAACAGTAGTTGTAGATGAATTTGTCGTAAATAGTTGGGTAGAATCTGAAAAAATAAATTGTGTGATGGTAATTTTGTGACTCGTTTAATTGATGTTATGTAAATTGATTCGATATAGGGTTAAGATGTTGTTTTTTGTAAAAATTTAAAACGTTGAAATGGATAATGACGTTTTTGAAGATTTATAAATTATTAATAAAATCTATTTGATTGCCTTTTTGGGTTTTCTTTGTTGAGCACCTGGTCTATTATTTGCAACTTGAGATGGTGGATATCTTGGTTTCTTATCAGCTGGTTTTAAAATTTGAAATGAACATAATAAACTTTCATCAACACTCATCATTGCACCTGCATTATCAAATTCACCACAATAATTTGGAGCAGAAAATAAAGTAACCAATTGTCTTTTACTAAAAAATTCATAACCATCTTCAACAACTTGATGAGCTCTACAAATTAAATCCATATCATGTTTTTGTAAAAATCTTGAAACAACATCAGGACCAAAAGTAAAGGAGACACCACGATCATTTTCGGACCAACCAGTTATATCTTTATCAGGATCAGACCATAATAAATCACATAATAAACCTACATCAGGAATATCTGTTGGTCTCATGACCCTTCTTATTTGTTCCATTGAATTTAAATCGGGAGATAAGCCACCATGCATTGTAAATATTTTTTCATCGATAATAGCAGCAATTGGTAAACAATTGAAACAATCAGTAAAAGTTTTCCATAATTTTATATTATATCTTCTTTTACATTCATCATAAAAACCATAAATTCTATTAATTGAAGCACATTCATGATTACCTCTTAAAATAAAGAAATTTTCTGGATATTTAATTTTATAAGCTAATAATAAACAAATAGTTTCTAAACTTTGTTTACCTCTATCAACATAATCTCCAAGGAATAAATAATTTGCTTCAGGTGGAAAACCACCATATTCGAATAATCTTAATAGATCATAATATTGACCATGAATATCACCACATATCTTTATTGGGGCTTCTAATTCTAATAATATTGGTTGTTGAATAAAAATTTCTCTAGCTTTAGTACAAAGATAACGAATTTCATGTTCAGCTAATGTAACTTGTTTACCAGGTCTTGAACCTCTTACTTCTAATAATCTATCGACAATAGAATCAATATCTGCTTCTTGATGATCTGTTGACATATTAAATTTGTAATTGTATTAATAAAAATATTATTGTTATAAATCTTGACGTATTATTGATGATTATTGATGATTATTGTTTTGTTTTGTTTTGTTTTGTTGATCTTGTTGAAATTTATAAAATTTGACGTTATACTAAAATATTAAAATAGATAAACCAAATAAGTTAACTAATAAAATGGTAATAAATGTAGATAATATATTTTTAATTTTTCCTTCTTTTAAAAAAAAAATGAATGTTTAATAGATTGTAATTGGTGTATGATGTATGATGGATGATGGATGGATGATGATAATAAATTGAAATTAACCAAACAAAAAAAAAAAAAAAAAAAAAAAAAAAATTAAATTGAAACAAAAAAAAGGTAGTGGGAAATTGACTAAAACTAAAAAAGGGAAATCAAATAATTTTACAAATAAATAACTAACTATATAAAATTGTATAAGTTTTAAAGATAAAAGGTGATTAAACAAATTGTTAATTCTATCTTTCAGTTACTAAACTTGTACCAATAATCTAGTTTGTTATTATGAATACTTTTTATTTATTTGGGATTTGATGGCGTTAAAAAACTCAAAATAGAAAAAAAATATATATATATATATAAAATTTGTTGATATTTTGTTTGCTGTCTTTTTCATTTTATTATATACGATGATTAATACCAATGAATATTTGTACTATTACATTGATAATCGTTTTTTACAATATTACACTACTTTTTCATTTTCTATTTATTTCACTTGTGTTTATCTCCTTATATTTTTTTTTTTTTTTTTTTTTTTTTTTTTTGCAGCCAGTATTTTATGTATTTTATGTATTTTACAATCAATCTTTTATTTTAACTTTAACCAGAATTAAATTGAACATCTACGGTCAGAGATGATTATAGAATTGAATTGTAACATTTGATTACTGTTGAAAATTGATTTCTTTTTAAATTTATATTAAATTTTGGTTGTTTATATTACTCATTTTTATCAACAATTCTTGTCATTATTATGGTCCTCGAGATTTGATTGGTTAAAAATTTTGAGTCATTTTATTATACGTGTATTGGTGATAATATTTTTACCTATTTAGGTTATGATTATTCGAGTATACACTACTTTAATTATATTGGGTATGGTTTTAAAATTAATTAAAGACGTGTTTGTACTCAAATTAAACTAGTTCTAAATTGGTTGATTGTTTTAACCGATGTTTCCCATAAAAAATCAAGATGCTGTTCGTATAATAACACTGCCAAAGTCACTACAGAGTCTATGTGCTTACGTACTACTCATTTGTAAATGACTGTCGTTATTCGTTTCCTAATTGAATTCTAATTGAATTTAATATAGAAGAAAATCTCAAGCAATTTATTTCACTAATTGAGTAATCACCTAAAATCAGAAATAAGAATTTGAAACCTAACCTATTTCGAAGTCAAAAACATAATATTTGATTCTAACCCAATCCAATGTAAGTGAGGCTCAATGTTAATAGTATATCAAATATTTAGGTTACAAATTTGTGTTGTCCCATTTTAAAAACATGAGAGGAGCTACCAATTCCACGAATTTTTGAATTGATCTTTTCTCCATATTTCAATTTATTTTCAACCTACATATGAGTAAGCAATCGCAATCGCAATCGCAATCGCAATCGCAATCACCACCTTTCCCAAATAATTACCAATTGAAAAAAGTTGCCGATACAGATTCAAAACCTTGTTTAATATGTTACAAACCGTCGAATCAAGTATTAATAACGGAAAATAAAGCAGATTTTTTTTATATTTGTTACTCCCATTTATCAGATAATGCTTTTGCTATTTCGATAAAGACAGAAGAATACAATGATTTGGAAAATAAAATTGAACTCTTAAATAAAAGAAAATTACAAATGGAACAAAAAGTAAACGATGAAAAACCTTATATTTGGAATAAAATGACAACTTATTGGAATAAAGAAAAAGATAGTAGTGATGAAAATAAGAGTGACGAGACTTCAAGCTATCATAAATCAAAAGAAGAGTTGGGTAAATTGAAGCAAGAGCTTAATGAAATGACTGAACAATTTAAAACTTTCAAGTTCAAAAATTACAGATTACATCAGGAAATCTATAAAAATCGATTAATTTTAAATCAAAAGAAGAAATTCAACAAAGAACGATCGGAACAGATTCAAAAAAATGGGTTTTTTCCATCTGCTCCGACACATCAAATCTCGTAAAAAAGGTAAGACAAAAGTTTCAATAATCATTTTGTTTATAAATTCAATTATAGAGACACATTTACCAGTAATCAAAAATTTTAACGGTAAAATTAAATTAATCATGTAAAATTAATTGTATATTTACATTGATATCAAAGTTATATTATATTATATTATATTAAATTATATTATATTACAATTCAATTATAGAGACACATTTACCAGTAATCAAAAATTTTAACGGTAAAATTAAATTAATCATGTAAGATTAATTGTATATTTACATTGAAATCAAACTTATATTATTATATTATATTAAATTATATTATATTATATTATATTATATTATATTAAATTATATTAAATTATATTATACTATATTAAATTATATTAAATTATATTATACTATATTATATTATATTATATTATACTATATTATAATTTACTCTTGCTGTAATATTTAACAACTTCATCGATAGCTTTTGCTACCTTATCAACATTGTTATCATTTAAACCAGCAACCGAGGCCCTACCACTTGAAACTAAATAAATACCATGACTTTTTTCCAATCTTGCAACCATTTCAGGTGTCAAACCAGTGAATGAAAACATACCAGTTTGATCAGTTATATGATTCCAAGTACCAGGAGTTTTCAATTCTTCCAATTTTGATCTTAAAGTTTTTCTCATTTTAATAATTCTTGAACTCATTGTAACTAAATCTTTTCTCCATTGATCATATAATTTTGAATCTTGTAAAATTGTTGCAACAATTTTTGAACCATAAGCTGGTGGATTTGAAATTTCAGATCTAATAATCCTATTTAATTGAGTTTTAACAGCTTTATTGAAAGCTTCATTATTCTCTTTTGTTGAAGGTATAATATGAATAGCACCAACTCTTTCACCATACATACCAACATTTTTTGCAAAAGATTGACAAATTATAATTGGAGATGAAATAATTTCTTCATTAATTGCTTTTCTAATTGGATAAGCATCTTTTTCTAAATCACCACTTGCAAAACCTTGATAAGCAGAATCAAAAATTATTAAATGTTGTTTTTTTTCCAATTCTTTCAATATTAAATCCCATTGATTTTTAGTTGGATCCAAACCAGTTGGATTATGAGCACAAGCATGTAATAAAAATACTGAATTATTTGGAGCAGATTTAATACTATTTAAAAATCCATCTAAATCTAATGATTTTGTTTCATTATTCCAATAAGGATAATTTTCAACTTTAAATCCTATATATTCAAAAATTTGTTTATGATTTGCCCAAGTTGGTTTTGATAAATAAATCGTATGATTACCTTTATAAAATTGTTTAATAAAAACTCCAGCTAAATGTAAAGCTCCCGTACCTGATAAACTTTGTTGAGATATAACTTTACTCAATTGATTTGAATCAGAGCCTAATAAAACTTTTGCAGCATTATTTAAAAATGGTTCAAAACCTGAAATTGATAAATATTCATGATTATTATTTGGATCATTAATTAATTTTTCTTCAGCTAATTTAACAGCAGGTAAAATCCAAGGTTTACCATTATTATCTCTATAAGCACCAATACCCAAATCAACTTTATCAGCTCTTTTATCTAAATTAAATCTTGCTTTTAAACCAAATAAAGGATCTGGAGGTAATTCTATAACATTACTAAATGAATCAGCCATAATAAATAAATAAATAACTTAAAATTAAATTAAATTAAAAAATTAAATTAAATCGAATGAAAAAAATAAAATACAAATCAAAAAAAAAAAAGTACATAAAAATGATAAAATTGATTGGTATTTATATGAATGATAATATTTTATACTATACTATACTAAACTAAACTATACGAAAATATATATATATATATACATATATATCTTTACATAATCTTTACACCATCTTTACATAATATTTACATAATCTTTATATATATTCTTTACATAATCTTTACATAATAAATATATATACTTATTATGTAAAGATCCTTTAATGCGTTAATTGTTTAGTAGTGTCTTGTGATTAAAATATCTCGGATATTAAATTAATCTGATTATATAATTACATATGTAATAAAAAGAGGCGTGTGGGGGAAATTGCTTATTTGCCTATAAATATAAATATATATATATATTTATTAGTTCTTCCTTTCTTTCTATACATTTTTTCTTTCTTATACAACAGATTGAACTTCAAAAAATCTTTTCAAGTAATAAATTTGAAATATTGAATTTGCTGCAACAACTATAATTTGAAATACAGACCACCATTTAACTCTTGAATTTGTTGATTCTGCTGTATTTCTATGAGTTCTTTCTCTTATAACTAAATAATTTTGTTCTGCTTTAACATCGGTTGTTAATTGACTTAATTTTTGAATCGCATAATCTAAAGTATCGGATTTTGGATCATTTGCATCAATATAAACTACGCCATGAATATTAAAACTAACATCTAAATCAACTTTACCTGATTTTTCATTACTAAAACAATACAAATATTTACCAGATGTTGAAGCTTTAATCATTTCATCACCATGATCTAAATTAGTTTTTTTTGTTACTTGTTGTCCATTTGGTGATATAATATAAAAATCAATTGTGTATTGTTCTGATTGATGAGGATCTCTTGAACCAACTTGAAAACTTATAGCTAATTCATCATCTTTTTTCAAATTTTCAAAAAAGCATTGTTTACCATAAGGTGATAATAAAACATTATGTGCTAAAATTGATGATATAAATATAAAAATTGATAAGAATATTTTCATGTTTTATGTAAATTATCAAACTATTAATGAAATCAAAGTTTTTTTTTTTGTATATTCTATTACTTGTTCAATAAAAATATTGGAAGTGAAAAAAAAAAAAAAAAAAAAAAAAAAAATATAAAATAGAAATATAAAAGAGTCGCGTTGCTAAAAAAATCAACCATTCCATTCAATTCAATCTGACACGACTTACCTTTAACTTAAAACAATTTTATTGAAAAATCTATCGATTAATGATTTTGAAACAGAGTAAATTTGTTCTTAATATCGAAAACTTCAAAAATCAGATGATTAGTTGATGAAGAATGGAATTGTATATGATATCAGCAATTATTTAAACCAATTAATTTTAGTATTGAATTTAATATTGAAACATTCTATTGAAACATTCTATTCAAATTATTTAACAAATGTTAACTGTTAATTAACTTTTTAGTTTGAATTTTCGTCATTTCGTCACTTTCGTCACTTTCGTCATTCTCTTTATCACTTTTTTTTACTATATCGCCTCTAAAGTTTATGAATAAATAAGTATCATAAAACTTTTTCAGTAGCAAATGATAATAATTTCGATGATAATAATTTCGATGATAATAATTTCGATGATAATAATTTACATGATAATAATTTAGATGATAATAATTTAGATGATAATAATTTAGATGATTCCGGAGTTAATTTCTGTTAGTCTTTAATTATAATGTAATCGTTTTCAAAAATTTTCAAAGTTGGAAGAAGCTTTTCACTATACGTAAGCTCCCATGGAAAACTCGAATATTAATAATCATATATAAGCTCCATCATTTGAATATTACAGAAAGACAATTACGTAAAATTTTTCGACTAATTGAATTATTATAGACGAAAATTGACGAAAACTGACGAAAATTGACGAAAATTGACGACAATTGGTAGATATCAAAAAACATAAAAGTAAAGTTTCATAACCATGAATCGTTTAGTTTTATAAAAAATCTAAGTCCTGTTGTTATTTACGAATATAATAATACAGATCAAATATTCAGAGCTGTGGCTTGTATCAAAATTCTATTTTTATTCATAAAATATTTACTCTTGAATTTTCGGTAAACCTGTTTTATTTTTCATGAAGAATTGGTAGCCAAGTTTTGACTAGTTTTCCTAAAAGAGAACACATACGATTTGTTGATCTTAAAGAATATAAATGAAGAGTAATATTACCAAATAGGTCAAAATAAAAGTTTAAATTAAAATTAATTACATTAAAAGGAGAATCTGAGAACCATATTATTTGAATAGTTGATGGGCACTTAAAGTTAAACATCTAAATGTAAATATTTATTCACCGCACCTTTATTCTACGAAGAAGTCCTCACCCAATTAAAACCAAAATTAGGGCCATTTTGGAAATTGGATCATATACACTTGATACTCTATAGAAAGGTCAACTTTTTATGTATCATTACAATTGTTTACTACAACTGATTTACCGTACGATTTATAAATAAATCAATTCGAAATTTAATGAAACAAATTGATAAGTATTTATTAAAAGATTATATTAATTGGCGTATAGTAAAAGTGAAGAAGAAGAAGAAGAAGAAGAAACAATCAAAGGAACAATTCAGATGGAAGATGGAAGATGTAAGATGTAAGATAGAACGTATAGTTAAGATTGTTTATTATATTCAACTAGTATTGGAAATTTTTTTTATTGATTTTTATTTTTTTTTTATTTTTTTTTTTTTCTTTTCTAAAATATATCTTCATATTATAACAAGTTTATAAGAACAACAACCAGCTTATAACAACAAAGTCATAGTATATGGGACATCAATTTTCTAAAAATTATCAGAATTATAGTAATCAAATATATAATGAAGATGATATAAGTGTTGCCCAAAATTGTCAGTCAGAGGAAGATTCTCGATTACAAGGTTTGATACCAATTACATCACCTCCGGATAGTTTTCCTTACCAATACCCTTCTCAATTATATTTGACTCCGCAAACTTCATACGAAATCGATGAAGAAATTAATAAGGAAGAAGAACCTCTTCATCATCATAATCATAATCATAATCATAATCATAGTCATAATCATAATCATCTTTTCGAACAACAATCCACTCAATCAGAGTCACAATCAATACATTTTAAACATAGACTGGAATCAACTTTGCAAAACTTTAATGACTATCATAGCTCAAATTCAACTCTCGATAATGAAGAAGAATATAACCGACTTCGGCTTCATCAATTACAGCATCAACCATTAACAAAACAAGATGATCCATTTAACTCATTCTCACCTTTATTGTCATTACCTTTGGAAATTTTATATAATATTATCGAATATGTTTATATTGAAAATGATATTGCATCAATCAATTCAAATTTAGAAAAATTTGCAAATAAAATTCCTTTATTATCCAAAAAATTTCATCAATTATCTTTATGTTTTATGTATAAATATACCATTTTTAATCGACCTCATTCATTTGATAAGTTTTTAAATAATCTTAAAATCAATCCTATAATTGGTAAATACGTTGAATTTATGGATTTCCAGCAGTTTACCTCCATAGGTTTAGGCAGAACAGGTAGAATGAATCAAGAAATTCAAATGGTCACATCAAGAACTATCTTTGAAGCATTATGTTTAACACCAAATTTAATTGAGTTTTTGGCATCAGAAAATATTCAAGATGATTTAGATGTGAATGTTTTAAATTATTTATTTAATAATTTAAATAATTTAAAAGCTTTAGATTTATGTGGTGCCAGTAGTGAATCTTTTGCATTTGCCTTTGAAAATCTTGAAATTATGATACCACAATTATCAATAACAAAATTATCTTTACATGATTGCTCAAATTTATCTCAAGAAGTACTATTAAAAATTATCACTAAATTATTTAACACAAAAAGATTGGATTTAAATCACACATCTATTAATTCTTCAATTTTATTAAAATTACCAATCTCATGTAAGATTACTCATTTGTCATTAGCCAGATGCTCAAAATTAACAACAAAAGATTTAATAAATTTTTTGGTAAATCATCCTTCGGTAAATCAAGGCTCGTTGGAATGGTTAAATTTACAAATTGATTCAAATGTTGTTAGCCCCTTAACTGATGTATATTTGTTGTACACCTTGAGACATTTAAATGCTCCAAATTTAAAATATTTGAATATAGGCGGTATGCCAATAAATTACAAAATCTTACTAACAATCAAAAATAAATTTCTAAATTTGATTAGTTTAAATATAAGTCATGCAAGAAATATTAGCTTAGAAGAATTGAATGATTTTATGAATGAGAACTCAAACATTAAATTTTTAGATTTAAGTGGTATTAAATGTTTAAGTAAAAACTTGGTGTCATTTTTGAAAAAAAATTTCAATTCAAATTTGGAAGCTATTGAGTTCGATTATAAAAATTTATATGATTATACATCAAAAGGTGATTATTTGACAGTACAACCGATAATATCTTCATCAGCTACGTTGAACGTCTACGATTCAAAACATCATCAACAACCGCAGTATTGGAAATTTTATGATAATGAAGGCAGAAGGGCCTGGATCTATAAAACTGATGAAGATTTACTGAAAAAGAAGAAAAATTTGTCAAATTTAACATTTTATGACTTAGAAACTGGTAATAAAATTGTAAACATAATTAGAAAACCTAATTTTTTGAAATATGCAAGTAGGAAGGTAAATTGTTCAATTGGGTATTACAATTTAAATGGATATAAATCAAAAAATTTTAAAGAAAATTGCTGGCCCGTTGAATTTAGTCAAAGAGGCATATATAACTACTATTCTTTAAATGTTAAATAACGTACTATATAGTTTTATACGATTAATGAATAAGTTTTATGAATTTTATAAGCTATCAAGACTGTTTGTAATGATTTGTTTGGCTGCAAATTCGTTTTGTTTTTGTTTTTGTTTTGTGTTTGTTTTTTTATATCCGTTGGTTAAATCAAAGATCGCCAACCCCACATAAAAAAAATGTATATAAATACATAAATGTACACTATTAAAATTTTCATTGATCAAAGTATTCTCAATGTCTTCCCCTGAGCTTACTGATATCAGGTCTCCTATAGATTTAAGGAAATTGCAATCTTTTTTGTCAACAATCAAAGAAAGTAAAAACCCGAAAGTCACGTTTGGTCACAACTCAAGTGTTCCTAATAAATTTAATTCAATTAAACAATTCACATTTGGTCAATCAAATCCAACTTATTATTTAACAACAGATGTTGGTACATTTGTATTACGTAGAAAACCATCACCAAACTCAAAATTAATTTCAAAGTCAGCACATGCAGTTGAAAGGGAATTTTTCATCCTTAATAGTATCAATATAATAAATGATGAATCCAGAGAAACGAATCCGGTTCCGATTCCAAAAGTTCATTTGTTATGTGAAGATGAATCAATTATTGGGTATGTATTTTATATAATGGATTATATTAATGGTATTCAAATTAAAAATCCAAGCTTGCCAGGTATTTCTCAATCTGATGCAAGTACATATTACGACTCGATCATCAGAATGTTTGCCTCAATTCATTCACTTGATGTTGAAAAATTAATTAGTTTATTACCAGAACAACATTTTCCTCAGTTTCAAAATATTGAAAAATTAAAAAATACTTCGTATTTTGAAAGACAAATTAAAACTTTAACTAGTATAAGTAATTTGCAAAATAAGCATGTTAATGAAATCCCAAATTTCGATACAATAACTAAATGGCTTTTGAAGAATAAACCAAAGGATCCTACTAAATTAACTTTAATTCACGGTGACTTGAAAATTGATAACATATTGTTTGATCCAATTACAAAACAAGTTATTGGAATTTTAGATTGGGAATTATGTACAATTGGCAACCCACTATTTGATTTATCTAATTTTTTTCAACCATTTGAATTACCTTGTAAATTAAACGAATTATTATACAAGTCAAATCCAAATAGTATGGGATTAGGAAACAAAGAATCAAAAAAATTTTTGTTTCAACAATTGAGAGAATATTCTAAATTAATCAAATGGGATAATAATGATCCTAAAAACAATCCTATGGATTTATGGCCAATTGGTCATGTATTTGGTTTATTGAGATTATGCGTTATTAGTCAAGGTATTGCAATGAGAGTCAAATTAGGCAACGCAAGTAGTTCTAGTGCTAAAAGTTACTCGAACATGTATCCATATTTAAGTGAATTAGCAATGGACAAGATTAAAGAATGGAAATCCCAGAAACAAGAAAGTAAATTTTAGATTATAGACGAATATATATACAATCACTATTTTAATCTTTTCAGAATTCTTCATTAGGTCAAGCATAATTACGGCTACAATCTACTCAATTGCTAGATTAAACTCTAATCTTGTTATATATAGTGATATCGTGATTTGTAGTTCGTGGAATGGAATAACTTGATAATTTCGCTACAATGGAACGATAAACTTTGACTCATTTTTCTTTTTTTTTTTTCTTTTTTTTTTTTTTTTTTCAATTTAGTCTTCAGATCAATATTTGTCAGATCATGTCAACATTTGGTACATTATTCAAAGTTACAACGTACGGTGAATCACATTGCAAATCGGTCGGATGTATAGTTGATGGCTGTCCACCAGGTTTAGAATTAACAGAAGCAGATATTCAACCCCAATTAACAAGAAGAAGACCAGGTCAATCAAAATTATCCACTCCTAGAAATGAATCAGATTTAGTAGAAATTCAAAGTGGTACTGAGAATGGTGTAACATTAGGATCACCAATAGGTATGTTAGTTAAAAACAAGGATCATAGACCTGGAGATTATAGCGAAACAGATTTATATCCTAGACCGAGTCATGCAGACTGGACTTATATACAAAAATATGGCTCAAAATCAAGTTCTGGAGGTGGTAGATCATCAGCTAGGGAAACAATAGGGAGAGTTGCAGCCGGTGCAATTGCCGAAAAAGTTTTATTCAAAGTAAACAAAATTGAGATTGTTGCATTTGTTTCATCAATTGGTAAAATCAAAATGAATACTGATCCTGATAATAAAGAATTCATTGAATTGTTGAATAATATTAGCAGAGATGATGTTGATTCATATGGGCCAATAAGATGTCCTGATGAAATTAAACGTGAAGAAATGGTTAAATTGATCGAACATTATAGAGATTCAAAAGATTCTATTGGTGGTGTTGTAACATGTGTTATTCGAAATTGTCCTCCAGGATTAGGTGAACCATGTTTTGATAAACTAGAAGCTAAATTAGCTCACGCGATGTTGTCATTGCCAGCAACTAAAGGATTCGAATTCGGATCTGGTTTTAAAGGTACCGAATTACCTGGCTCGAAACATAATGATGCCTTTATATTTGATGAAAATTTAAACAGGTTGAAAACTAAATCTAATAATAGTGGAGGTATTCAAGGTGGTATATCAAACGGTGAGAATATTTATTTTTCTGTAGCTTTTAAATCAGCAGCAACAATAAGCCAGGAACAAGAAACTTATACCTATGATGGTAAACCAGGTGTTTTGGCAGCAAGAGGTAGACATGATCCTAGTGTTACTCCGAGAGCTGTACCAATTGTAGAATCAATGGCTGCTTTGGTTATAATGGATGCTTATCTACAACAACAAGCTAGAAATTCAACTAGATTATTAATAAATAATTAAAATATGTCCCTCGTCTCTTAAAGTGGAACAAAACATGAAAATTCAAAAAAGAAATGGCAAACACAAATTGTCCCTTTGTATTATTAAAGCTTCAGAGGGCTTGACAATAGAGAGCCGCCCTTGAAACTTGTGCTCGAATTGAGATTGTGGAGATAAATCCCACATTTCCAAGCAGTCCACTGATATTTCTTGATTTTTGTTTTGCCTGACACAGCGGATTTCCCGTTTGTAAACTGGGAGCTTCGTTATTCAGAGACATATGATTCTACTTATTTCTATAAGCAATCTCGATTTTAAAGAATTGAAGTGTATTTTTAATGATTCCTGCTTCCTTATCTCGTAGAAAATTTGATGTTTGGATGTTGATAAGAAATTATGTTCCGCCGTTTTAATAAAATGTGATTGGACAACAACTAAAGATAAATTTCTTCAATGGTCAAAATTCGAAGGCGTAGAAACACATTTTATACATAATTATTGTCTCTTTTCTTACTATAACCAATTTTTGTTACAAAATGTATCGTGGTTGATGAAATATTCCAATAAATGTACTACTAATGGTAGCGCTTGAATAGGTAGTAACAAAAAATTGGTCGAGTTCAGCAGTGATTGCAAACACTTAAACTTTAAACTTCTTAAGTATTCATTACATAATCTGAAGCCTATATACAAAAGCTCCGCCAAAAGTTACTCAATTCGTCTGGAAAGTTTTTTTACCAGAAAGACCTGTACGAAAATTGATTTGAAATATCATATACGCTACAAAAAAATGGAAATGAATAAACTTACAAATATTTGACCTTAAGGAATTAAATAATTGAATTGAAAGGTTTACGGCAGTAAAATCTGTATAAAGTAGTTAAATTCATCATCATCTACCTAATGGTATTAGCCCTCGCCCTGAGTTCTGCATTTCTCCGCCATTTTTCCGCCGTTCTTCAACGTTGCATCAAAATTTCGCATTGAAATATATGCATTGGAATTTCGAAAAAACTTTGGCTTATATGCAGTCTTGTATTGTTTAATGTACAAACTTGAATCGTTAGTAACACCTTCAATAACCAAGGTATTATTTCTAAACTTTTTTCAATAAAACGTCAACTTATTTAGAGTACAACTCTGCTAATCTCTAACAAATAAATTTAATTTTGATGACTTTATGCATTATTTAAAAATTGGCAAAAAACGCAATTTTACGAGATAAATACCACTTAGAACTCGTTCAACAACTTTTAGTATATCTGACTTAGTTTATTTGATTCCAAAGTTGTTTTTTATTTTGTTTTCAAAAAGCTAAAATCCTTTTTTCAGAAATTTCAATTCACTTTTGAAAAATTGCTCGTCTAATTTTGAACACCTTGACACAAAAATATTTCAGGTTTATCAGCGTGCAGGGCCTACGATTTTGATAGTTTTATCTGGTCTTAGTTTGAATATTCATAGAACTGTATTTTTCGTAATGTGAATTTATTTGATTTCTCCCTTACTTAAGAGAAAATTTTGGAATATCTCAATTTCGGGTTAAATCAACTCAAATCAAGCCCAGTGCCTTTATTCAAGATCCACTATATTTAATCTATTGTTTAATCAAAAGTTATGGCACTAAACGAAAATGTACATTGATTCTTATTTTTTCAAAAATTTTTGTAGGGTGAAAAAGGGCCAAAACGACAACTCACAAAAAAAATATTTGACATTTACAAATTTGCGTACGTATAGTATATATTCAGGGCTCTGTATTCTTTTGAGTTGTTACTTAGCCCAAGGGAATCTATTATTCTTGTCATATAAGCAAAATATCGTTGAAACGAGGCGCCTTAGATTTAGGGCGAGAGATATTTTTGTCGCACCACTGAAAATTACACACTTTAAAAAATAAAAAGTATATCGAGGAATACATCCGACAGAAGATTTCTAAATCGCCATTGGTTTTTGACAAAACTCGAACTAACACTACTTACTCACTTTCGACTAAAAACATTTTGTTCTTAGATTCGTTGGAATGCGAAACGTCAGATCAATTCGAATTTGGTTGTTAGAAATTGCCTTTCTTTTGATTTTCCTAATAAAGTTCGCTATAATTCAAAAAACACCCCTGATGGCCGAGGAAATATTTGAGTCCACAGATCGAACCACGCGATTAAAATTTCCAACTGAGACATTGCGAAATCTGGACGGGTCTATGTGTTATATGACGACTTATTCGAGCTCAGGACGTTCTATACTTCAAAAGCAATGGACGATTTTATCATTTCTGAAGAGTACAGCGAATTGCAACTCAAACCAAGCATTCTAAGCTTCAAATAAAGATGTAGGTTGTCCTTCGAAGGCTTGAAAGTATAGAACCACCCTTGAAACTTACATTCGAGCTGCAGATTTTTCAGCAATCCTCAAATTTATCCTTGATCGTTTTGTTGCTGAGGCGGCAAAGTTGCAGCTTGGAAAATAAGTGTATCATACCCTCACAGCTTGAGAGATTGTGAAGACATATGAACCCAGTATTTTTATGTTAATATGTGCTGTCAGCAACACAAAAATATTAAAACTCAAATAACTCAACAACAACGCAATCTCTTGCAAGGTTAGCAAGAGATCTAAAATAAGAAAAGCTCGAAGATTACAACGGTATTATTCTCGATAGAATTCAAACAAAAGAAATCTTAGAAATTGAATAAATACACGAACTTTCCATCTAACTTCTTCCACAATAAAATTCAAGCATCATGCCGCTAATTAAAAGTATTCACTTTTTCAATACCTATCGATTGATATTGCCCTTATTTGTATTTGCGATGAAAAAATTTTTTTTCGACAGTCCGGTTCACTATTCCCAAATTCGTTAACTATGGGAGCGAACAAATCGGTTAATTTGAAGGCATTGCAACTCGATTTTGAGGTTGAAACATATGAAACAGGTTTTAATAAAATAGAATCTAAATTTCCCAGGCTTTCAAAAGGAATGTTGTTTGGTTAGTTTTGTTGGAATATATGCATTTAAAACATACTGTACTGAAAACTCATATTCAATTCGATCAATTGATGAATAGAAAAGATTGCACCTAAACATTAAAGATGCACACGAAGTATCAACTTTAAGTGGTAGCTTGTAATCGTAAACTAGTGACTGGCGGTGATTTGCCTATTTCGAATGATTCTATATCGATTTATTCAAAGTTCAAGACAGGGACTACTTAAATTGAGAATAACTTACTAACAAAAGTTGTATAGAGGACCAAACACGTTTAGCACGGAGTAGCCATGTATTATATGTGGGTGTTTTCTTGTAATTTAATTGATTGTATGTATATTGATTTATTCAACTTCAAAGTTTTGTCACAAACACAAAGAGTTAAAAGTCGAATAACACTACAACAACACAATATTTTGCCAAATTAACAACTGATATGGAATCAAATAGCTCAAATATTACCATGGTACTGGTTTCAAAACGATATAAGCAAAAAGAAGCAAAAACCTAAATAACTTCTCCACAACACGTTCTCTTGCAAAAGTAGCAACAGATTTAGAATCAGAAAAGCCCAATGATTACAATGGTCATACTCTTGAGGCAATTTCTTGACCCCTTCATTTTTTACTTTTGTCAAAAAGTCAAAAAAAAAAAGTGCCGTAGTTCGGTATAGGTTTGCATCCAGATTTCAATTTGCCTCAAATCTAACAGAATCATAGTCAATTGCCTTTAAACAGCTCATTTAAACATTAGAGATTGGAAATCTGGCGTGTACATTAAATTTTTATCGAGTTACATACATGTGTTAAAAATCTATATGGTCCAAAATTTGGAAACCAAAACTTGGTTCGACATATCTAGAGGTAGACATGAGATATGTCTGGACTGGGATATGACTATGATTCACTCTCATTACTTGTATGACAAGTATGGCTAGATTGATGCAAAAGGAAACTGTTATATAAAGAAAATATTTGTGCAAAAATAGATTTCGATATGATACCTGTGTTATATGCAGGTCTTTCTATTGCCAGTTCTCCCTAAAATTTACGCGACGTTTGGAATTACTTGTCGCGCCAGATAAATAGCATTTGTTCCGTTAGATGGCCGTGACCTGTGTGTTTTTCTCGTGTTAGGATGAAATGAAAATGGCATATGGTTTTTTTTGGGAACAGGGAGTTGGATATAAATTGTAGAAATGTAATAAAGTAATTGGATTTATAATTGAATGGACTGCTAGAAATCTGCTTATTCGGATTTTGAAAATCATTATTTGATAAAAAATTATAATTCTCATAAAACTAGCGAAAAATGGTAAAAGTTTGATTACGATTGACGGACTTTTTGATTAATTGTATCGCCGAACCGTTGACAGATCGATTATATTGGCCTTGATTTAGCTAGGAAATGTTGTTTTTAGGACAATAATGGTGTGGTTTTGAAGGATTTGAAACGCGAGATCAAAAAAAAAAACCTGGTCGTCGGAGAAATATTTGCGTCCACAGAGCAAACCACGCTTTTAAGATCGGCGACTTAAATACGACGTATTCTTAGCGGGCTAGATTTTATCAGGCGACCTCACAAAACCATTTTCTCGCGCTACACTTGGGGCGACACGTACTAAAAGGATTACCTTATATCTCATGTTTAATGCAATTTCATGAGATATAAATTAATTTAATGAATTCAAAGGCCATGAATTATATACAATTCATAGCAAAACAATCAGATTTCAAACATTTTTTTTCGAGTTGTAATTTTGGCACTTTTTCATCATACAAAAATGCTAAAATTGGAAATGAAGAGTAGATTCGATTTACGGCCACGATTTTCAATCAAACAACGGATTATATATATATGAGCCCTCAATCAAATGCATTACTAGACACATTTTCAGCTGATCTGGTCCAAAATGTTAGATATACTCTTAACTATGGTAAATATTGAATATATTGACCTGATAAAAAATTCACATTCACCCTTTTGATGAAAACGTAATAAAACTGTCAAATTTGGTAGTTCCTTTATGTAGATAAAACTTTTAATTTTTTGTGTTAAGAAACTCTAAATTCAAAAAAGCAATTGTGTCGAAAAGTTTGAAAAGAATTCAAAATGAATATGGCGTCTCGAAACCATTATAAATAAAATCTTTAGGATAAAATGAATCAAATCAACTATTTTAATACCTGGCAAATGAGGTCTATGTATGAGATAATTTGCGATAAAATGTTTTTTTGCGTTTTTCAAATGTTCTAGAAAGTCATCAATATAATGTTTTCTCAAAAAAAATTAATACCCTTTGATTCTAAATCTAATGCCTGACTCAATGAAATTAGTTTGAGAAATAAAACTACAGAATTAAATGAGTAGCAATTTATATTTTGAGATTTAGTACTGTAGAATTGCATATAAGTCAAATACAATGAATTAAAATCTCTGGGCTAAGTTTTGGCACGACTTGGAATGTTAATCTACCTTTAAATCATTCTAAATACGACGAGAACTAGTACTATTTGTATCCACATCTGAAACTTTATTAATTTTCAAAATTACTAAAACAAAGCTAAATGAATCAGCCTATTTTTACTTAATAAATAAGTTCTGTTTCTATCGTATCAATGAACTGAGATCAGTATTATTTACTTAAGTGTATTTTTTTGGTAATTGTTTTTAGGTAATTTTACTCGTCTAAATTATTTATCAATGAACGAAGAGGTTTGCTTCTCAGTAGTTTCAATTTTGTCCTCAAAAAAATTATTTATAATTCCTGGCTTGGTATTTATTTAGCATTGAATTGTTTTATGCATTTCGATCTGTTGAATTTAATTGAAATAACATTAAATTCAAAATTGTATAATGAGTTTTATCGTATTTTTTTTCCAACAACAACAAGCCTTGCTAGCTCAATGGTAGAGCGTGAGACTTTTAATCTCAAGGCTGCGGGTTCGAGCCCCGCGTAGGGCTGTCGTTTAAACTACTTAAAAGTGGTTGTTTTTCTTCTTTTTTTTTTGCGTTTGGGTCGAATGCTAGATATTCTTTTTACCCCTTAAAAATTTAAATTAGGATGTTGTTGTCACTTTATTAGTTTTCTAGTCTTAACTTAACTTGGTATAACTAGTAATTGATTAACAGAAACAGATATTAAAATCAATGGGTGTGTTTCTTGCAAGTGATATAATATTAAGAAATAAGTAAGTAATTCTTAGAAGTTTTTATCATTTTTTGAATTCAAAATTCTATTTTAATTAGCAAAGAATTAGTTAAAATTAACTATATAGCTACATTATTTGTTTGTTTTGAGTCTAAACTATGTATAGCACAATTTTATCTAGCAACGTAATTGTTTTTTTTTTAATCTACAATACTGTAACGCAGTTTTCCAACAATTCGGTCAAATTATGCAAAAATACTATACAAAGGTAAAATTATGCAAAAATATTATACAAAGTTAAAATTATTCCGAGACGTAAGAGAAACAGGAGAATCTATCATATTCAATTCTTTGATCTGTAACAAGATTCATATTGTGATACATTATAATATCAAAAAAGTAAACTGAATTGAACTTCATGTTACAAAAATTCAAAAGTACTTCGAATAGCCAATCAAATCAATTTCAATTACAATTGGAATAAAAATTGCAGCATCTTAATTTTTTTTTTTTAATAAAAAATTTACGACATTCAATAAAATAAAAAATTATTCAATAATAAGTAAAATCTGGAGAAAAGATAAAAAATTTGATTTCTAAAACATGTGATCAAACGCTTTTAATTTTGGTTTTCTCTGTTAGGAAATCATCATTGTTGTTTCATCATCCACCGAGGACACTATTTGAATGAAATCAACCATTTTCCATTAAACTAATAGTTCTATTGTAAAACTTTTGTTCTATTTAAAAATTCATAAAATGGTCATGTATTAAATAATTGAAAATTCTTTTTATGATTTCATAATTTAGCAGTGTATTATAAATTTAAACAATCTGATTGGTTAGATCATTGTGTATTCCATTTTATGGAACCGAAATTTAGGACGAAAAAAAAAAAAAAAGGCAGTATTGTAGTACATAATACGTAGTATCAATTAATTATGAATCTATGGTATATAATAATTTTATATTTATCCTTTAAATTTTGCTCTCCTCCAATTGAATTTTTGATTTTTATAAAATCTTTTTTTTCATTTATTTTAATTTTTATATTCATTCAATTGTTTCTTCTTCTTTTCTAATTAATTAATTAATTGATTTTTTAAGAATGTTATCTGCTTCAAAAACAATTATGAATAAAGCAGCTACACGTTCTTCTGTTCGTGGTTTAGCTACTGCAGGTTTAACAAGAGATTCACAAGTCAATCAAAATTTGTTGGAAACTCATTCTTTTATTAATTATAAAAAACATTTTGAAAATGTTGAAATTGTTAAAAGAAGATTAAATAGACCTTTAACTTATGCAGAAAAAATTTTGTATGGTCATTTAGATGATCCTCATGGTCAAGATATTGAAAGAGGAGTTTCATATTTAAAATTAAGACCAGATAGAGTTGCTTGTCAAGATGCTACAGCTCAAATGGCTATTTTACAATTTATGTCTGCTGGTATACCTCAAGTTGCAACACCTTCAACAGTTCATTGTGATCATTTAATTCAAGCTCAAATTGGTGGTGCAAAAGATTTAGCTAGAGCAATTGATTTAAATAAAGAAGTTTATGATTTCTTAGCTTCTGCTTGTGCTAAATATAATTTAGGTTTTTGGAAACCAGGTTCAGGTATTATTCATCAAATTGTTTTGGAAAATTATGCATTCCCAGGTGCTTTATTGATTGGTACTGATTCTCATACTCCAAATGCCGGTGGTTTGGGTCAATTGGCTATTGGTGTTGGTGGTGCTGATGCCGTTGATGTTATGTCTGGTTTAGCTTGGGAATTAAAAGCTCCAAAAATCATTGGTGTTAAATTAACTGGTAAAATGTCTGGTTGGACTTCTCCAAAAGATATTATTTTGAAATTAGCTGGTATAACTACTGTTAAAGGTGGTACTGGTGCAATTGTTGAATATTATGGTTCAGGTGTTGAAACTTTTTCATGTACTGGTATGGGTACTATTTGTAATATGGGTGCTGAAATTGGTGCAACTACTTCAGTTTTCCCATTTAACAATTCAATGGTTGATTATTTAAATGCTACTGGTAGATCTGATATTGCTCAATTTGCTAATTTATATAAAAAAGATTTCTTATCTGCTGATGAAAATTCTGAATATGATCAAGTTATTGAAATTGATTTGAACACTTTAGAACCACACATTAATGGTCCATTTACTCCTGATTTAGCTACTCCAGTTTCAAAAATGAAAGAAACTGCTATTGCAAATGATTGGCCATTAGAAGTTAAAGTTGGTTTAATTGGTTCTTGTACAAATTCATCATATGAAGATATGACTAGAGCTGCTTCAATTATTAAAGATGCTGCTACTCATGGTTTAAAAGCTAAATCATTATATACTGTTTCACCAGGTTCTGAACAAGTTAGAGCTACTATTGCTAGAGATGGTCAATTGAAAACTTTTGAAGATTTTGGTGGTGTTGTCATGGCTAATGCTTGTGGTCCATGTATTGGTCAATGGGATAGACAAGATGTTAAAAAAGGTGAAAAAAATACAATTGTTTCATCATTTAATAGAAATTTCACATCAAGAAATGATGGTAATCCAGCTACTCATGCTTTTGTTGCTTCCCCAGAAATGGCTACTGCTTATGCAATTTCAGGTGATTTAGGTTTCAACCCAATTACTGATACCTTAGTCGGTGCTGATGGTAAAGAATTTAAATTGAAAGAACCACATGGTGTTGGTTTACCTCCAAATGGTTACGATGCAGGTGAAAATACTTACCAAGCCCCACCACAAGATAGAGCTTCAGTTGAAGTTGTTATCTCACCAACTTCAGATAGATTACAAAAATTAACTCCATTTAAAGCTTGGGATGGTAAAGATGCTAAAGGATTACCAATTTTAATTAAAGCTGTCGGTAAAACCACTACTGATCATATTTCAATGGCTGGTCCTTGGTTAAAATACCGTGGTCATTTAGAAAACATTTCAAACAATTATATGATTGGTGCTATTAATGCTGAAAATGGTAAAGCTAATGAAGTTAAAAATCTTTACACTGGTAAATATGATGGAGTTCCACAAACTGCTGCTGCTTACAGAGATTCTGGTCATACATGGGTTGTTATTGGTGATGAAAATTTTGGTGAAGGTTCATCAAGAGAACATGCAGCTTTAGAACCAAGATTCTTAGGTGGTTTTGCAATCATTACTAAATCATTTGCTCGTATCCACGAAACTAACTTGAAAAAACAAGGTTTATTACCATTAAATTTTGTTAACCCATCAGATTATGATAAAATTAACCCAGAAGACACAGTCGATTTACTTGGTTTAACAGAGTTGGCTCCAGGTAAAAATATTACTTTAAGGGTTCATCCAAAAGATGGAGGTGAACCATGGGATGCTGAATTATCACATACTTACAATTTAGAACAAATTGACTGGTTTAAATATGGTTCAGCTTTAAACAAAATGGCTGCTGTTGCTGCTGAAAAAAAATGAGTTGATTTAACACCCTAATAATTTATTTATTCAAAAAATATATATTCTGTAATTATTTGTATAATTTGAAACGCTTTGGTAATACATTGAAGAATTATTCAAGGAAGCCGTGTGTAACTTGATTTTACAAGTGAATCGTAATGCCTCAAGTGTAGCTATTTGGAGGCATAATTCTACAATGGTTTACTATACAAGATTCTAATAATTACTTGTCGAGGTCAATAAATAGTTATAAGAGTAGCCAAAGTGCATCTTGTTATAGCTTTTAAGCTGTTATTTGATTGTTACGGTTTTTTAATTGAATTTGCCATAGAGTCTAAAATGTAACATCAATTTATTGTTTAAAGAACGGATAATAGTTATTCCAACGTATTATATTGGTCGAATTATCTCTAAAACTCGACAGAATCGTGTATTCATCAATTCATAAACATTTGCGAAACTTTTACTCTCTGCACGCTCAGGAACAACTATCAGAACCAGGAACGTGTCTATTTGATGGTTCAATTAGAAAGCACATGGTTGAAAGAACAATGAGTTTATTTATAATGGGCCGATTAACTAACATGTTTGAAAGAACAAGGAGTTTATTTATGATGAGCCGATGAACTAACACGTTTTGTAAAATATATAAAATCTCAATGATTTGGCTTCAGAAATGGCTTGATTCATATATCCAATGCTTTCCAAAGTTATTATTTGCTGGTTAATAGCGACTGTTTTCGCTCATGGAATTCCAAGTATTCACAGAGATAAGAGAGCAATTGCTGATAAAAGAGATAATGACGCTTATGATATAATTTTTGAAAATTTACCTAGAGATGAATTTGATTATATCAACTATCATTTACAATTATTAGAGAAGGCAAAGGGAAATGGAACCAACTGTGATCAATGTAAAAATAGAATCAAATTTGCTCAAAATTTAATTGAAACTGATCCTGATCATGAACATCTTGTTTCATTATTATTATACAAGGATTGCTTGTTAACACCTTATACAAAGAGCCTGTGTAAATTTAAGGAGGTTTTTACATCTACTCAATCAAAAAATTTCGAAAGATTTAATCAAAATTATGACTCTGGTATTGGCAACAGTGATATGATTAACGTTTATGATAATGATTTTTTACATTTTTTAAAAGAATTTAACACCACTAATGAAAAAGATTTAGAATATTATTGTCATAATAAAGGTGGCGCATGTAAAGAACCAAATGCAACAGAAATTGTCGATTCTTTTAAATTAGATCAATGGTGGCCTGCAAAACAGTCTAAACATTACTTTGAACCTACTTATAATAACACCGAGAGAGAAAGATTCAATGTTATTCATATGAGTGATTTCCATTTGGAAATTCGTTATGAGGTTGGTACTGAAGGACAATGTAACTCAAATACATGTGGTTTACCAGAATCTGTTGCTAATACACTACCAGGTGATGATTATAATTTTACAACTTATTATGCTGGACAGAATCCTAATGCCAAAGCTTTTGAATTTTCATTTTACCCCGATGCTCATTATGATACAGCTGGGAATTATATAAAGGGAGACTATTATGATTTTCCAAAGTATCGTGGTTGGAATTATAATTATGCTCCAGCAACTGTTTTTGGTGTATATTCAGGTGATGCTCCAGAAGTTTTAATTAATAGTTCTTTAGTTAACATGGCCAAATTACATAAAGAGAAAAATTTTGAATTAGCATTATTCACAGGTGATTTAGTAGATCATGATACCATTCAATGTACCCCTGAGTTTGTTAAAAAGGAAGAAACTAGATGTTTTGAATTGATGAAACATTATCTAAACAATTTGACTGTATTGCCAAGTATGGGTAATCATGATGCTTTTCCTTATGCTCAGTTAGCGCCATTAAAGTATGATTACAATAATACATATAGTTGGAATGATGATGATATGATAAACTTATGGATCAACAATCAATGGTTTCCAGAAAGAGATGCAAATGATTTAAAATCTCATTATTCGGGGTTTTCATACGTTACTGATAGAGGATTGAAAATTATTGGATTAAATTCAAATACTTACTATTCATCAAATTTATGGAGTTATCTCGATATTACAACAGATCCTGATCCATTCGGTCAATGGAAATTTTTGATAGATGAATTGATTGAAAGTGAAAAGAGAAATCAAAGAGTTTGGATAATGGCACATGTTCCAACAAACTCTGGTGACGAAACCCATGTACCTGCGTTAATATTTAAAAAGATTGTTGAACGTTTTGCTCCCTACACTATAAGTCTGATTTTTTATGGACATACTCATGTTGATCAATTTAGTGTTTTTTATATCGACAGTCCAGGCAGAAATTCAACAATCAACAATTCTACAAATTCAATAGATAAAGATCCTATTGCATTGTCATGGGTAGTTCAATCATTAACTCCTTGGGTTTACTATAATCCATCTTATAGATATTATGAAGTTGAGGATGAAAGTTTTAATATCATGGAATCATACAACTATTACATACATTTAAATGAAACAATGATAAATAATGGAGATGAGCCAGAATGGTTATTAGAATATTCTGCAAGAGAAGCTTACGATCCTGATGGAACTTGGGGTAAAAATTTACCATTGAATGCTACCTTTTGGGATGAATATGTAGTTCAAAAATTAAAAGATAAATCGAATATTGAGTTTAATCAATTATATATGGATTACATGTATAGGAAAAGTCCTGCTACTCCAAATTGTAATGGGAATAATAGTCAAATTACAAACGAATGCTGGGAAAATAATTATTGTTTTGTCAATATGGATGGTTGTTAAATAGAAAGTTACAAATTTATAACATTTATAACTATATATAGACTAAGAGATGCAGTTATCTGTTTAATTATTGGTTGTTTCACTTTTAATAACGCGAATATATGAAGTTCTTATGAGAACTTTTTTAACATCATTAGAGATTTTCATAGTATTTAGTATAAAAACGATATCAAAAATAGCGATCGGTTAAAAGATTACTTGATTACCGGAGTTGTTGCAGTAAATTACATAATATATTATCCAATTTTATTTTTTATTCTTTTTAATTTTTTTTCGGTTTTTAACAAGAAAGCTCTCAATTTCACCGTTTACGTTTAAACTTTCTTCTATTCATCATCATTATTATATAGCTATATATTTACCATGGCAGCTACAGCTCAACACGCATCTAGATTTACTAGGTTTTTAAATTCAGAAACTGGTCCAAAAACGGTTCATTTTTGGGCACCAGTGTTTAAATGGGCCTTGGTCATTGCTGGTATTAATGATTTACAAAGACCGATAGAGAAATTAAGTGGTACTCAACAAATTGCTTTATTTGCTACTGGAGCTATATGGACTAGATGGGCAGGTTTTGTTATAAAACCAAGAAATATGCTTTTAGCTTCAGTCAATTTCTTTTTAGGTGCTGTTGCTGGCTATCAAATTACTCGTATTGTCAATTATAGAAGAAATTTAGGAGACTCACCAATGCAAGTTTTCAAATACTTATTAAATGGTGATCCAAATGCTCCAACTGAAGTTAAAGCAAATTAAGCGATTCATTTATTATATAATTCTATAAATCAATTTAAATTCAAATCATCATCTGAATCATATTTTTTATCTTCATCGTCCATATTTTCATCCTGATTGGATACTGATGAATATTCTCGATCTTCATCATCAGACTTTAATGTATTGAAGTATGCCTCATCTTGAGCATTTTCATTTAAATCATCGATAAATTCATGAGTATCCATTTTATGGTCAGTAGTTTCTTTATTTTCGTCTTCTTCAGTGTCTAAATTGCTTTTATATCTTGCATTATAATCATCTTCATCATCATCCTCTTCTTCTTCACTTTCAGCACGAGCATCATTCTCTTTATTCGACTCATTTATAATTCTTTCCACTTGAGTTAAAGTATCCGCCAAAGGCTTTGTAAGAAATTCTGATAACAGTTGTTCCCTTTGTATCCAAAGTTTATTTTCGTATTGTAACTGATTTTTTAGAAATGTTAGTAGTTCATAATTCAATCTTTTTCTTAATCTCAAACGAAATTCCAAATTTATCACTTTGTTAATTCTTGAATAATCGATAAAAGGTAACACTGCATCTTCTTTTAATGAAAATAATTGATTCAATTCCACATTTTTATCAGTATTTTCAGAAATTGAATTCTGAGCTATTTTCAACAATTCTGCATCATTTAAATGAGTTAAAGTTTCAACTGAAATCTTGAATTGAGGAATTTTAACTTGCCTACTTAATTTTTCAAAATCAGTAAATGATGTATCAAGTTTAGTATTTAACCTTGAAATTTCACCAACAATTTTATTGTAATCAAAATTCTTCATATCCATTGTCTCAAGTTTTTCATCATATTGAAATTCTTTAAATTCTTTTTGAAATCTACTTATTATAAATGAATCTAAAATGTATTTCTTTTTGATAGCTTTTAAATTTATTAAATTTTCATTTGAAATTAAAATTGAGTTATTTAAATGAATCAATTCTCTTGCAGAATCAAATGCATCTAACGTATTCTCCAATTGTGTTATTAATGATAAAGATTTTTCATGATTTAAACTCATTGTTAATACTTCTTTCTATATGATTTGTGTTGTCAGTTTTTTTTTTCAACTTTGATTTTTGTCATTGAAATGATAAAAAATTGACACTGAATTTTTGTTTCACTTTTTTGACACTAAAATTCATTCTATATTCAAGGTTTATGATTGATTATAATATTGATAAATTAAGAGTTGAATTATATCAATCATGTCAAAAATTATCAAATATTAATTTGTTTGAATCGGCTAAATGGGCTGCTGAAGCTTTAAATGGATTAATTAATCAAAACACTCAATTTGTTTATCCTCAACAATCTATAAATCAAGAAGATTTATTGGATCAAGAACGATTAATATTGGCCAAAAGTTACTTTAATTGTAAAGAATTTGAACGTGCTGCTAATGTTTTAAAAAATTGTACAAGTGGTGATGCTGTATTTTTAAAATTATATTCAACGCTAATTGCAATTGATAAACATTCTACAGAAGATACAAATGGATCCCTTAATACAAGTGTTGTTAACGAAAATAATGAGACAAAGAATTACAATAACGCATCAAATTATTCTAATTTAAATGATTCCGAATATTCAAAAATTGAAAGCACTAAAGATAAAGTTAACTCATTAAATGCAAAACTTTCAAAAATTCTTATTGAGTCAAATCAATTTTTAAAGGAAAATGAAAATGCTTTTTTATATTATTTAAATGGTATTATTTATAATAAAAAGAAGAAATACAAACTTGCTCAAACATCATTATATGAATCATTATGTTTATTTCCTTATAATTGGGGATGCTGGCAAGAACTAATAGCATCCTTAGCTACATTCGAAGAGGCTGATCAGTTTATAACTCATATCAAAACTCTTGATAATCAAGAATCTGCATTATCAAGAAGTATTATGTTTTTATTTTTTGAAGTTGTAATTTTACAAGAATTTTATCATCAACTGGAATTACTTTATGAAAATATGAACTATTTAATATCAATCTTTCCTAATTTTACATTTTTAAAAATTCAACAGTTTTTAGTTTCGTATCATGAACTTGACTATTATCAAGCGGAATCCACTTTTGATCAAATTTTATTAGAAGATCCATTAAGATTAGAAGATTTAGATACATATTCAAATATGTTATACGTTATGGAAAAGAAATCAAAGCTATCCTACTTGGCTCAATATGCATCTCTGATAGATAAATTTAGACCAGAAACATGTTGTATACTAGCAAATTTTTATTCAATGAAGAGTGAACACGAAAAGGCAATTATGTATTATAAAAGAGCATTAACTTTAAATAAAAATTGCTTAAGTGCTTGGACTTTGATGGGTCATGAGTTTGTTGAATTAAAAAATTCTCATGCTGCAATTGAATCATATCGAAGAGCAGTTGACACGAATCCAAAAGATTTTCGAGCTTGGTACGGATTAGGTCAAGCTTATGAAGTTCTAGATATGCACTTATACGCATTATATTACTATCAAAAAGCAACCTATTTACAACCTTTAGATAAAAGAATGTGGCAAGCGATAGGTAATTGTTATGAAAAAATAAATCAATTAGATGAAGCTATAAAATCTTTTGAAAAAGCCCTTAGTATTGGAAAAATATATTATGATCAAGAGCATAATAATAACCTCAATACTGAATTAGAAGAATCAAATTATTCGGTAGAGCCACATATTTGTTATAGATTAGCTGTATTACTGGAAAAATTAGGTAACAAATCCGATACTTTAAAATACATGAAGCTATGTTTTCAGCAAGAATTTGATTGGGGAATCGGCGATGAGACTGCTAAGGCAAGATTATGGCTAGCACGTTATGCACTTGAAAATAAAAAGTTCGAAGAAGCTTATGATTTAGCTAAAGATTTGGCTCATGGTAATGCTCATGATATCGAAGAGGCTAGAGCCATAAGTCGGGATGCAAGAAATAGAATGAAATAGTGTTATTATTATTATGTATTTTATTAATATAGTCTAATTTTTATTTGTTGTGATTAATAATTTAAAATTTCATTTGTTAAATTAATTAGATCATTTTCAGCTTGAATATTTTTGAAAATAGAATAAACGACAGCATCTAAGCTTTCAACTAACATGTCAATGTCCGATTTAGTAACGGATGCACTTAAATTGATCAACAAATGCGGTGGTAACACTGGTAAATCCTCATGCTCTAAAATTATTTTTGATCTAGTTAACAAAATATTGCTCTTGGTTAAAATCAAATCGATAACTTTTTGTAACAAAAAGCATTCAAGATTAAAGTATTCATCAAATTTATTGGGATACTGGGATGGTTTACCAGTCGTTATAAATGAAGAATTTCCGTATAATAATGGTAAATTTAATTTTTCACGATAGGTTTCTTTGAGCTGTAAATGAATCATTGGAGATTGTGGGGATGATACAATATCAAAATAACAATTCAAATTGGTGTTAGACAGTCTCAGTAAAGTTTGATATGTGTAATTTGTAATTTTATGTAAAGTAGTCATCAATTTAGATTGTCCAGTTCTAGAATCAATGTTTTCTTTTATCACTTTGATGGCTTGCGAAGTAACTTTAGCTGAATAAGGAGGTAAAGATGCACTGAAAACATACGCATTTGATGATATTCTTTGATGATGAACCATGGAAGAAACACCTACACAAAAACCTCCAGATGAAGCAAATGAATTAGCCATTGAACCAATTGTAATTGATATTTCAGCTCTTGGAATATTGAAATGTTCAGCTACACCTTTTCCAGTAATTCCCAACGTTCCAATTGATAAAGATTCATCCAAAAATAACCTATATTTAAACTTGTTTTTTAATTCCACAATTTTTGGTAAATTTACGATGTCACCAGAATTTGCAAATAGACCTTCAGTCACTATGAATCTTCTTTTTATTGGTTTTTGTTTATCTAATACAGGTTTTAATTGAGTCAAAATTTGATTTAAATGATCCATATCATTATGATCAAACCATTCAATATCAGCACGACTTACAATTAAAGCTTTTTGCACAGCATTATTTACATTTCTATCAACAACACATAAATCACCTCTTTTTAAAAATGCCGGAATAACAGATCCAGCAGTGACATAATCTTGTCCATATATGATAGCTTGCTCAGAATCTAAAAATTCAGCTAAGTCCTCTTCTACTCGAACGTGAACATCTTGAGTACCATAAAAATTAGGAGGTCCACAAGCACCTACACCAGCATATTTAATTTCAACTTCTGCCGCATCTTTTATTCTTTGATTTTCATTTAAATTTAAAAAGTCTTGAGAAGCAAAATTCTTAATTGATTGTTTTTCATCATTGTAGGTATTATTATTTATGATTATTTTTTTCAAATTAAATTGATTTTGACCAACAATTTCTGGAATTGATTTTAATTGCCACTCCTGTAAATTGATCACTTCTTTTACTAAAGGTTCTGGCTCCCATTCGTTACATAACTCATCAATCTCCTTACTTGAAAATTTAACAATTTCAGATTTGTTTTCTTTCTTTTTTGATGTAAAAAAATAGGTTAAGGCAAATATGAACAAACAATACTCAAATAATGATCTTATTGGATCATTCTGATATGAAGATTTTATATACCTTAATACAACTGGACCTCCAGGTATTTTATTCAATAAATTTAAAAACTTTAAAAAATGATGAATAAATGTATTTAAAATAACTTGCCATGTTTGTGATAATGGTGGTGGGGGTAGATTTTGGCCATCACTGAGTTGACGATTCAATATTTCAGTAGCAATTGAAGTAATCGTGGTGGTAGTTGTAGAAATAACCAATGATGATGCCATTATTGATTTTGTTTTGAATACATATGTTAGAGTAAATATCTAAGTCGGTAGTGTATGTTCATATTAAAATTTTTTATTTTTTTTTTATTTTTTATTTTTAATTCGTTCTCTGCGTGTTATGAAAATAATACCCCTAAAAACCCCTTAAATACATATTTCATTACACTAAGGTATAAAAATTTTAGAAACACCTTTGACCTGTCTTCTACAACAAACACATCCTTCCATATTTTTACTAACCAAACTTAACCTGCAGGATTCACATATTGCAAAGCATTTACATGGCCAAGTTATAATTTCTCTTGGGTTGATCTGGCAAATTACACATTCCAATGATCTGTCATTTGTACTGTCTCGATCAGTTTCTTCCAGTCTTTTCGCAACTATCAAGTCTAATAACCTCAAACTCTCATCTTCGTCTAATTGCTTTAAAATTGCTGATGAATTATTGACATTACGTGATATGTTATATTTGGCTCTTGTTAGTGGTCCTGACAAGGAACGTTTGAAATGCAGTTGTAATATATCCATATTATAATCTTTTGAATTAATTATTAAATCAGTAAAATTTTCAGCTGAGAATAATTCAGCCATTGGGATTGATTGATCAATTTTATGCAAAGATCGTTGATTTTTGTAGTTAACTTCTTCAATATCTGATTCTTCATAATCTGATTCCAGAGCGTATTCTATAACTTGATAATCAACTGAATTATCAATACCAGATATTTCTTTAGGTCCCAACAATAGATTGGCATAGTTAGATTCCAACTCTTCATATGTAACATCGTCAGTTTCAATTAAATTCAGCCTGTTTCCACTCTTATCTTGTGTTTCGATACGGTTAATTTTTTTTGGATCTTTCTTTTTAACATACTCTTTCAAAAATGAAGGTACTTTTGATTTTCTAATATTAAATTCTTCCTCAGTTTCATCACGCGTTTCATCTTGATGGTTAATTTTTAATTTCGGAAATTTAAAAAGTGAAATTATAGCAGCAACAAGTTTAATCAACAAGCCATATAATAATTGAATAAATCTTGTAAGCATTTCTTTAATGTATAAAACTCTTATTTTTATTACACTAGATCTTAAATTAGTGACATCGTATTCATATTCATTATTTGTTGAACTGAAACCAAAATCATCACTTGACTCATCACTGGAATTTATAAATTTAGAGATGAGTTTCTGACTAGGCTTCTCAAATATATTCCCATAACCAACCATCTGTAGATTATTAACAGAATTTAATTTTTGTTTATTCAAGATTGTTTGGACATTTTCCCAAATGTTTCTTTCCACCCATGTCTCGCTATCCAAAATTACTAAGCTTAACTCTGTTATATAACTTGACTTACCAGCCAGAGTAATTGCTAGTATACCAAGATTTAGTAAAGCAGTATAAAAATCATCATTCAAATTTATGTTCAAATTTCGGAATATTGAATTTGTTTCTCTATTATCAAAAGTAATGCCATCGTCACCTTCACCTACTGTTTGATCTTCATGTAGAAAAAAACTTGCATAATTTAAACCCTCTAATTTTATTCCATTTACTAAAATAGCTAAAATAAATATTATTACACTGACTGAGATAATGCCTAGTATCAACACTTGAGGGGTAAATGTTAAAATTAATATAAATGGAAATTGTAACAACTCTTTATTCAATATTGAGTCAATGAAATACGTTATAAATCCTAACCCAATTATTGTTGAAGGTATTAGCCTGGTTTTATTATTATTAATAATAGACCCGACATGAATGTTTAAATGATTTAATATCAGAAATAAAGTCGTTATCATTATTTGTTCAGTTGGTCGTTTATGATATTTTGAATTGCTAAAAAAGAAAGCCCCATTGCTGCTAAATTCTTGAAATGCTAACGAATGTTCAAATATTGTAATTCCACTTTCGGTATAAGGCTTCTTACCTTGAATTGACGCAATAAATGTTTCGATAAATGACAGTAAACAAAAGGACAAAAATATTGGCCAATAAACATCACTGGTAGGGCCAATCATGACTTGATCTCGAGGTGTTTTCATGTATTTGGAAGAATGATATTGAAAAACGTCATAATTGAGCAAATTTATATTCGATAACAACTCATAAAAAAATCTCAAGTGTTTATTAGTCATTAAACCTAGTTTATATTGCAAATTAATAACCACCAACACATTAAATAATTGATATAATAAAATACTTATAATTATAAGCCTGAAACTTAAAATACTGATTCTTCTAATCATATTGGACAGTCGCAAATAGTTTTTTATTAGATCTATGTGCAAAATACTATCCCAACCATTGTTGAATCGATTATTGATTTCACGATTATTCTCTGCTCTATTTCTTTGTCTAATTCTATTAACCATAATTTGCTGGTTGTGAACATTATTCGTTGATGCCATAACCAAAGTTCTATTTAAAACTAAAGCCATTATTAAACAAGATAATCCATATATCGAACAACAATATTTACTAATGGCACCTAGCCTATTCCATGGCGTTGTATTCAAATTTGAAGTTTCACTCTGATCCCAAATCGCATCTATAACACCAGATATAGCCTTTATTAATACAAAATACTCATCGTTTTCAACATTATTTGATGTAGAAAAGGATTCTGAATTTAACCCACTGGATTCGTTAAAAAAAGTTGAATTAGTAGTATTTGGCATTTCAATTGTGTAATGCCATCAAATTTCAGAGTTTTTAATAACACTATTTGACACTATTTGTAGACCGTTAATCTAATTCGTCAATGATATTGTATAATAATTTAATCAGTATACTAATTTAACTTAGGTTAAATAATGTTAAGTTTCCATGCGAAACAATAATCATGGAACAATTGAAAATTAGACATTGACCAAAAATTTACGACATCTAAAAAAAAAATTAATATAAATTAATAGTAACTAAATAAAAGAAGATTAATTCATTTCAGTTTAGCTTATTCGTACTAATTACTTTGGTGCTTATTAGATAGAAGTTAAGATTCAATGGGTCGTAAACTACCACCACCGCCACCACCACCTGGAATAGGCAAAAGAAATCAACATGAAATTGTCAATAAGAAAGATGGGATGGAAATTAATCAAGTAATGATGCAAAATCTGTCATCAATGTTGAAACCTGCACCACCACCACCACCTCCTCCTCCTCCTCGAGTTTCATCAAAATTAGACTCGAATTTCAAAAAACAACCTTCTCCATTCTCAGCATCGCTCCAATATGATCAAGAAATCATAAATTCAAAAAGCTCTAATTTAAATCAAAGTCAACTACAGAGCAAAGAATTGGAGTCGAGAAAACGCAAATGGATTCATGGCCAAAAAGTGAAGTATAAGTCAACACTAAAGAAATCAAAAGGAGGGATTTCAGTGATTCATAAACCAGAGATGCCACCCCAGCATTTGCGTAAAATCATAATAGATCATACAGATTTGTCACTGTCAAAAGTTGCATCGGACAAAAGATCACATTTGGGGTCATTGAAGTATTTGCCGCATGCTTTATTCAAATTGTTAGAAAATATGCCCCAACCGTGGGAAAATTCAAAAGAAGTAAAAGTACTATATCATATAACAGGTGCTATTGCGTTTATTAATGAAATTCCAAGAGTTATTGAACCTGTATTTATTGCTCAATGGTCTTCATGTTGGGATTTAATGAGGCATGAGAAACGAGATAGAAAGCATTTTAAACGAATGAGATTTCCACCATTTGATGATGAAGAACCACCACTTGATTGGCTAGAAAATCTAGACGATTTGAAATTACCAAATGCAATTGTACAACATGAGATTCAACGTGATAGTATTTTGAATGATTGGTTTTATGAGCAAAAACCATTAGTAGATGATGAAGAAGTGATAAATGGAAGCTCCTATAGAAGTTGGTCATTAAATTTACAAACTATGAATCAATTATACACTATTTCTCGGCCATTAATGGAGGGTACAAATGAAAAATTTGAGGAAAAGGCGTTGTTCACGGCAAAAAGTTTAAATTTAGCATTACCAGGAGGCCCAAAATTTGAAGTTTTACATAAAGAAAGTATTTATAATCCAGAATTGGACGATTTTACCGAATTTAATGCAATTGATCGAATCATATTTAGAAATCCAATTCAAACAATTCAAAAAGTCGAGTTGCCGTATTTATATAATTCTTTTGTTAAGCAAATTTATTTGGTGCCGTATTTCAACGAAATAAACAATTCAAAGTGTAGTCTAATTTCAAATGATAGCAGTTTACCGTTATTCACTTTCAACACAAAATTCAATCCAATCATTCGAAAACGATCTACTACACAATATAATCGAAAGGTAATAGTTCAAACTACTCCATTTTTCAAGTATAAAACTATAAATGATCATGGTTTACAAAAAAATGAGTCATTAGAGTTGGAACCGATTAATTCACCAGCTGCATTGCAATTATTATCAGCTCCATTTCCTTTCAATGTAAGAAAAGCTAAAGCAAGAAGAGCAGAAGATGTGGCTATAACTAAAAAATGGTATAAGTCACAAGCACCCAAATCTTCAAGACAGAAGGAACGAGTTTCATACCAAAAACTATTAAAAAATCATATTTTGAATCAGATTCACAATCCAGTTGGCTCCGTAAAATCCAGCAATAAAAAAGTTAAACTTTTGAAGAATTTAAAATCAACAAAATTTTTTCAGCAAACAACAATTGATTGGGTTGAAGCTGGTTTGCAAGTTTGCAAACAGGGTTTTAATATGCTTAACTTGTTGATTCATAAAAGGGGATTAACTTACTTACATTTGGATTATAATTTCAATTTGAAGCCAACTAAAACATTAAGTACCAAAGAAAGAAAGAAATCAAGATTTGGTAATGCATTTCATTTAATTAGGGAATTATTAAGAGCCATTAAAATTATAGTTGACTCTCATGTACAATATAGATTAGGAAATGTTGATGCTTTTCAATTATCAGACGGTCTTTATTATATTTTAAATCATTTGGGTCAATTAACTGGTATCTACAGGTATAAATATAAAGTTATGCATCAAATAAGACAATGTAAGGATTTGAAACACATTGTATATCAGAGATTTAATAAATTGATAGGTAAAGGACCAGGTTGTGGATTTTGGCAGCCAGCTTGGAGAGTATGGATTTTTTTTTTAAGGGGTATTATTCCACTACTTGAAAGATGGCTTGGTAATTTAATTGCAAGACAATTTGAAGGCAGAAGACAAAATGATATCGCCAAAACCATAACTAAACAAAGAATCGATTCATATTATGATATAGAATTAAGAGCTCAAGTAATGCATGATATTCTTGATATGATTCCAGAAGGTTTAAAACAAAATAAATCTAAAACTATTCTTCAGCACTTGAGTGAAGCTTGGCGTTGTTGGAAAGCTAACATACCTTGGAAAGTTCCAGGACTACCTGCACCCATTGAGAAGATAATTGAACGATACATTAAAGCTAAAGCTGATGGTTGGATATCAGTTGCACATTATAATAGGGATAGAATTAGAAAAGGAGTTCAAGTTGAAAAGACTGTTGCAAAGAAAAATTTAGGTAGACTTACGAGATTATGGATTAAAAATGAGCAAGATAGACAATTGGATTTTAATAAAAATGGTCCATTTGTTAGTCCCGATGAGGCTATCAAAACGTTTCAAACCATGGTTCATTGGTTGGAATGTAGGAAGTTTAATCCAATTCCATTCCCACCAATATCTTATAAACATGATACGAAACTTTTAGTATTAGCTTTGGAAAATTTGAAAGAAAACTATAATGCAAATTCAAAATTGAACTCTGCTCAACGAGAAGAATTGGCTTTAATTGAACAAGCATATGATAACCCTCATGAATGTTTAGCTAGGATAAAGAAATTTTTGTTAACTCAAAGAATTTTTAAAGAGGTTGGTTTAGAAATGATTGATTATTATAGTCATCTTGTACCTACTTACTCAGTTGATCCATTAGAAAAAATAACTGATGCTTATTTAGATCAATATTTATGGTATGAAGCTGATAAAAGAAAATTATTTCCAAATTGGGTAAAACCAAGTGATGATGAAATTCCTCCACTATTAGTTTATAAATGGTGTCAAGGTATCAACAATTTACATAATGTTTGGCAAACTTCCAATGGAGAATGTAATGCAATGCTCGAAACTACATTGGATAATTTTTCCGAGAATATTGATCTCACCTTGTTAAATCGACTCTTAAGATTGATTATGGATACAAACATTGCAGATTATATAACATCTAAAAACAACGTCAATCTTTCGTATAAAGACATGAGTTATGTGAATCAGTTTGGTATATTACGAGGACTTCAGTTTTCCTCATTTGTTTATCAGTTTTACGGATTAGTTGTTGATTTATTGATTTTAGGATTGGATCGTGCATTTGAGCTCGCTGGTCCAGTTCAAAACCCGAATAATTTTCTTCAATTTCAAGATGTTGAAACAGAATCGGCTTCACCAATTAGATTATATTCACGTTATATGAATAAAATTCATATTTTCTTTAGATTTGATAATGAAGATGCAAATGGTTTAATACAAGATTATTTATCTGAAAATCCTGATCCGAATTTTGAAAATGTCATAGGTTACAATAACCGTAAGTGCTGGCCTCGAGATTCAAGAATGAGATTGTATAGGCACGATGTCAACTTAGGTAAAGCTATATTTTGGGAAATTGCAGAACGTATACCATCATCTTTAACCTCAATTCACTGGGAAGATACTTTTGTTTCTGTTTATTCAAGAGATAATCCAAATTTGTTATTCTCGATGTGCGGGTTTGAGATTAGAATTATGCCAAAAGTTAGAGCGAATGAAAATTCATTTTCACAAGAAGGTACATGGGATTTAATTGATCAAGCATCTAAAGAACGAACAGCAAAGGCTTATTTACAAGTTTCTCAAGACGCTATATCTCATTTCAACAATAGAATTCGTCAAATTTTAATGTCATCGGGATCGACCACTTTCACTAAAGTCGTAGCAAAGTGGAACACTGCTTTGATTGCATTGGTTACATATTATAGAGAAGCTGCCATTTCAACTCCTTCATTATTAACGGTATTAGTTAAATGTGAAACAAAAATCCAAAACAGAGTTAAAATGGGACTTAATTCAAAAATGCCTTCACGATTTCCACCAGCTGTATTTTATACTCCAAAAGAGTTGGGTGGTTTGGGGATGCTAAGTGCTTCTCATATTTTAATTCCAGCTTCAGATTTAAAATGGTCACAACAAACTGATACTGGTATTACTCATTTTAAAGCCGGGATGACACAATTTGAGGAAAAAATGATTCCTACAATCTTTAGATATATAACTTCCTGGGAAAATGAATTTTTAGATTCTCAAAGAGTTTGGGCTGAATATGCAATTAAACGTCAAGAAGCTTTAGAACAAAATCGTCGGCTAACTTTTGAAGATATGGAAAATAATTGGGATAGAGGTTTGCCACGTATAAGTACTTTATTTCAAAAAGATAGACATACACTAGCTTATGATAAAGGTCATAGGGTTCGAAGAGAGTTTAAACAATTTAGTTTAGCAAGATTTAATCCGTTTTGGTGGACTAGTAGTCATTATGATGGTAAATTATGGAGTCTTAATAATTATAGAACAGACGTGATTCAAGCTTTAGGAGGAATTGAAACTATTTTAGAGCATACACTTTTTAAAGGTACAGGATTTGATTCTTGGGAAGGTTTATTTTGGGAAAAAGCTTCAGGTTTTGAAGATTCATTGAAATTTAAAAAATTAACGAACGCTCAAAGATCAGGTTTAAGTCAAATTCCAAATCGTCGTTTCACATTATGGTGGTCTCCTACAATTAATAGAGCTAATGTTTATGTCGGTTTTTTAGTTCAATTAGATTTAACTGGTATATTTTTGCATGGTAAAATTCCAACACTAAAAATATCTTTGATTCAAATATTCCGTGCACATTTATGGCAAAAGATTCACGAAAGTATTGTGCAAGACTTATGTCAAGTTTTCGATAAAGAATTGGAAGTTTTACAAATTGATAATGTTGAAAAACAAGCAATTCACCCAAGAAAATCTTACAAGATGAATTCATCAACTGCAGATATTGTATTAACTAGTACTTATAGATGGAATGTTTCAAAACCTTCTATATTGAATGATCAAGATGATAAAATGGAAATTTCTTCAAACAAATTTTGGATAGATGTACAATTGCGATATGGTGATTATGATTCACATGATATTTCGAGATATGCAAGATCAAAATTCTTGGATTACACTACTGATGGAACAAGCTCATATCCTTCACCAACTGGTATCATCATTGCAATAGATTTAGCTTACAATATGTATGACGTTTATGGAAATTGGTTTCCAGGTTTAAAACTATTGATTCGAAATGCAATGAAAGAAATAATGAAAGCTAATCCTGCACTTTATGTATTGAGAGAACGTATTCGCAAGAGTTTACAATTATATCAAGCTCAACCACAAGAAGCATTATTAAATTCAAACAATTATGCTGAGTTGTTCAATAATGAAACTCAGTTATTTATAGATGACACAAACGTTTATAGAGTAACAGTTCATAAAACTTTTGAAGGCAATTTAGCGACAAAACCAATCAATGGTTGTATATTTATGCTCAATCCAAAAACTGGTCAATTATTTTTGAAAATTATTCACACATCTGTTTGGGCTGGTCAAAAAAGATTGAGTCAATTGGCGAAGTGGAAAGCTGCAGAAGAGGTAGCGGCACTAATCAAATCGTTACCAAAAGAAGAACAACCAAAACAAATAATAGTGACTCGAAAAGGTATGATGGATCCACTTGAAGTGCATATGCTAGACTTTCCAAATATTTCAATAAGATCTTCGGAATTACACTTACCATTTGCTACTGTTACAAAAATTACAAAATTATCTGATATAATTTTGAAAGCAAATGAACCTCAAATGATTTTATTTAATTTTTATGATGATTGGCTTAAAACTATTTCACCTTATACAGCATTTTCAAGAATTATTTTGATTTTGAGATCCTTGAATATTAATGAGGAAACCACTATTCATATTTTGCATCCGGAACCTGATGTTGTTACTAAAGAGCATCATATATGGCCTTCATTAACTGATGAGCAATGGATCGATGTCGAAGCTCAATTACGAGATTTAATATTGGAAGATTATTCAAGAAAATTTAATGTGAACATACAATCATTGACTCAATCTGAAATTCGTGATTTAATTTTAGGTCAAGATATTCGAGTTCCTTCAGTTCAACGTCAAGAAATCAATCAAATTGATGATGCTAATAAACAAATTGAACGCAAGGAATTAACCGCTGTCAAATCAACGACTACAAATGTACATGGTGAAGAAATTACAACAATAACTACAACAAATTACGAACAACTGACTTTTTCTTCAAGAAATGAATGGAGGAATAGAGCAATTGCTGCTAATAATTTATATTCAAGAGCAAAAAATATTTTTATTTCATCTGAAGACTTTATTGAAAATGATTCCTTTACTTATATTTTACCAAAGAATATACTACAAAAATTTATTCAAATTTCCGATCCAAGAATTCAAGTGGGAGGTTTTATCTATGGTTCTTCATCTTCAGATCATACAGAAGTTAAAGAAATCAAATGTATAGTTCTTGTTCCACAACTTGGTAATGTTAATTCACTTCAATTTCCAAAGCAATTACCAAAAGATCACGAGATTTTAAATGATTTAGAATTATTAGGATGGATTCATACCCAAACTCAAAATTTTGAATTCATGACCTCATATGATGTAACAACAGTTGGTAAATTGTTACCCGATTATGAAAGTGATTTCATTACAATGACAGTTGCATATACTCCAGGGTCTGCCACGGTTACCGCTTTTGAACTTACAAAGGAAGGGTATATATGGGGTTCTCAAAATTCAGATATGATGTCGGAATCACCTGCTGGTTTTTCTTCATCGTATTCAAAAAAGAGTCAATTGATTTTATCTGAAATGATTGCTGGTACATTTTTAGTTCCTGAAGATGATATTTGGAATTATTTTTTTATGGGTGCTTTATTCAATGCTAATGAATTATATCATTTGAAATTGGATATTCCGAGTAAATTTTATGACGAAATTCATCGTCCAATCCATTTTAGTACATTTTCACAAATTGAATCATTGAATGAGGAGGAAGCTACACAACAAGATGTTTTCAATTAAATAAAATATAGCGTCACATATATATATTATATACCTATTATTAATCTAGTAGCATATACTTTGTCTTGTAGTATCGTATCAATTAAAAAAATATATCACCAATGCTTCACTAATATGATATTATCTCCTAAGGCATTAAACAATTTTTTAATATCAGATCTTGAAACATTTTCTTTTAACATCAACATCTCTACAGAATTTTTTCCATTCATATACTTTAATATTTTATAAAATACCGTTGTCAATTCTGATGATAATTTATGCTCTTCGTGAATAATAGTGCTTATCCAACGACGCTCCAATGTAGTTGCTCTTCCTGGATCTAATATAATTGTTGCTTCTTCATCTGATAAATTTACTGATGCATTTTTCCTTATATGATCTTTTAAATTAGATAAATTATTCTGTATCTTTGACTTCTCTTCAGACTGAGCAATTTTCAAACTATCATTAACAACATTGTCAGTTTCTTGTTTTGATGAGTTATCTGTTTTCTTCACATTCTTTGAATCGTCTACAGTGGCTTTGGAATCTTTTCGAATTCTTTTGGATAAAGTTTCATTTTCAATTTCCTCTTCCACTTTTATTTTTATTTTACGAGGAATTTTCAACCAAATAAAAGTTTGCAATTCTGTAACGTACCCATTTCTTAAAAGCCATGCCAAAGCTTGTATATAGCTATCTCTATGATCTTTTGACGGTATTATTCTAGCGAACAGTTCAGGTTTCTTAACTTGTGGAGACAAAAGTTTTAAAAAATGAGGTAATGAAGGTAAGGTTGGAAATTGGTGACTAAATTTTGGAATGTCATCATAAAGTTTCATTGTCAAAGGAGCCATTGGAGACGTGACATAAACTGATCGAGGAGATATTGGTTGTATCATTCGTCCCTTCCTCCAATAAATTAAATGATAAGCAAATGACTTTATTTGATTTATTGTCAAATTTGAATTTTTTAATGATAATTTTATTAAAGTTTCTGTTGGTTGAATTATTTTGATAAATCTGGCTAACTTCAGATTACTTTGGGTTTTAAGATCTTTAATTATTGAATCGGGATCATCCAATAACAAAATTGCAAAGTAAATTAAAGAATCGTATGAAACATCATCCTCATTGTACATATTTTTTGTAAAATTTTGGTCATACCTCAATGTTTCACCTGGATTGACCAAACCAAAACTACTTAATAGATTTACCGATGAAGATAAATAAGATCTGGGTATGAATGGTACAGATGCATCTGGTAAAGCATCAAACTCTGTTTTTATAGGAATTTGAAATGTTCGAAGTCGGTTGTTGATCAATAGGGTAGCAATTTTTGAGGAGCTTATCATGATATAACAATCTTTTATGAGTTTACAAAGTTGAGACCTTTCAGTTAATAAATGTTCATCAAAAATTGTATCCCTCAATAACAAAATATTCTCCGTTTGTTTTGTAATATATTCATGTTTCAGTTGTTCATATCTTAAAGCTATGGAAATTTTTGAAACAACGTGATGATACATTTCATCAACTCTATAGTTATTTTCAACGATTGCAGGATTCATTATGAATACCATATGAAACATATTTAGATTTATACTGTTTGAATCCGGTGAAAAACTTTCATTATCCTGATTTAATTTATAAGATTCTTGCTCGTTTGAAGCTAGATTTGGAGGAGTAGAATCATCAACTCGCCACTTCCCATCATTGAATTTATGAATTGGTAATCCAATAAATATTTTGTCATTGAGCGTTACTTCAAATCTTGTATTACACATTTTCTTTGGAGGTGATAACATCTCACAAAGATACGACGGCTCTAATTCAAAGAAGTCATTATTTATGGATGAAGTAAAATTTGATGTTGAGGTTGATGATTTAGCTGTTGTTGATTGACTACCAATACTGGCTTTGGAAAAAGTGTGAAATAATCTAGCATGATTCGAATTCGTATCATAAACATTTGTTTGATTATTTTTTGATGCAAGCTCCTCTTCTAGATTTTGTTGTTGAAATTGAATCTGTTCCTTTCGTTTATAATCTTGTTCATCTAAAAATCTTAATAAATCTAACTTTGTCCCCAAATAATAATTTGAATGCTTTGAATCCCAATTTCTTGAGCTTACACCAAATTGTTCACAGTCATTATAACAATCATCCACCAACTGACTATTTAGTTCGTCTTCATCTTCTTCATCACTGTTTTTATAATCATATAATTCATCATCTTCTATATCATCAATTGGTCTGAAATAACTTTCTTTGATTTTTTGTTTATCATTATCATTGAAATTATTGACTCCTAATTTAACATTATAATTCTTCAAATTATTCTGTTTTTGAAATAAATTTGAATAAGTTGAAGTTTTTAAATCAAATGGATATTTATAAATTAATTGAGGTCCACTATGAGTTGAAACAATAAACAAAATACCGATCAAACTTGGATTTGGTAAATTAAAACTCATTTTAGTCTATCATCAATTAAACATTGAAACTAAATATCAATCGGTGATGGTGATAATAATAATAATACTAATATTGATGTTTTTCTTATTATTATGTAATCTATTGGTCTTGTATTATATAATAAATATAACTAACTATTAAGAGACAATTAGTTACAATCCATGTATATTATACTCTTATATTCTACTATCTATGTAAGTATACATATCTTAAAGTTTATGTTTAACTTCTTTTGCTGCCAACTGAGCAAACCTTGCTTGAGGTACTCCTTCTAACCATTTCTTTAATCCTCTCATAACTTCTTGAGAATTTGCTTGATTAATATATTGATCTCTTGAAAGTTTTAATAATTGTTTATTTTGAAAAATTGAATCTTCATGTAAATTTTCAAAAGCCTCTGTTAATTCTTTATAAATATGCTGATTAAAATCATCAACATTATCAAATTTTCCATTATAATGTTTATTAATTAAACCTGCATTATAACAATCTTCACCACTAATTGGTTTTGCTAATAATAAAGCTTCAGAAGCTTTTGACCAGCCTAATCTAGCAAATAAAGTAGCAGATGATGAACCTTCAGCAACTAAACCTAAATTTGCAAAAGGTGCTAATAAATAAAATTTTGATAAATCATTTACATAAATTAAATCACATAATAATAATAAACCAGTTGTTAACCCAATTACAGGACCATTTACAGAAGCAACTAAAATTTTTTTATGATCATTAAATAAATTTGTTAACCAAACATTTCTTGCAACAAATCTTTGTAACCAATATTCATGACTAAATAATTCTTGAATATCAACATTTTCCATACTTTTATCAGCAAAATTTGCACCAGCACTGAAAAATCTACCACTTGATTGAATAATTGTAGCCACAGTATCTTCTTCTTCATCCGCTTTTTCAATAAATTTACCTAACTTTAAATATTGATCACCATTTAAAGCATTTAGTTTATCTGGTATATTGAAAGATATAATTGCAACTCTATCTTTAACTTCATATAAAATATCTGTTTCCGAATCTGAAGATGACATGATATGGATAATGCTAATAAATAAGTAACGTTATATTCGAAAATAAAGTAATGAAAGAAGTATTAATTTCTATCTACTACTATAATCGCGAAGCAAAATCGTTTTATATATATTTATATTTCTAACTATCAAATAGTCTGTGAAATGTATATTTACATGCGGAGTTAGAATTTAACCGAGTATATATTATATTATATTTTCGTATATTTTTTCTTCACCATTAACATATGAAACATTTTATTTCTAGTAATATAAATAATTATTTTACTACATCTACAACAACTATTATCAGATGATCTATTCTTCCAAGTTTATTCCATTTCTATCGTTTCCGAATTTCTAGAAAATAAATCGACTCGCTATCTGATTAGTCCATTAGATATCAAAAATACCAAAAACAAAATAACGGTTTCAACCAGTATCAGTCACCGATACATAGTTATTCCAAAAACGAAATAAAAGTTCTCAACCAGTAATCACCAATACATAGAAATTCAGTCCGAGCTCAGATTTTGTAGGTATCTTTCCAGCCTAGTTGAAATATTTGCAAATTTATTCAGCGCTACCGCGTCTACTACAACCTTTAATATATTTAACTAATCGCTCTATAGACATTAACTTCATTGATCAATTTAACAGTGCGATCTACGTTATTTCCTGCTTGTGCCAACATTTCGTTAATAACAACGACCAAAATTATAATCAAATTGGTCATTTAAAAACTCGATTAAGAATCGACAAGTTTTCTTCTTGCAACTAGTATTTGAAACCTGAATTATTTGATCGTACCATCTTTGAGTGACCAGTACGATGTTTTGGTAATATTCTTTCGAGTTTATTAGTTCTAAAAGTTACATCATATCATCTGCAGATTGTGATGCAAAGCAGTAAGAATTGTAATTCTGAAAATATTACGATAAAGACGGCTAAAATTACAGAGTTATTACTTAATTAGATGCATTTCTATCTCATCAATTTGCAGATTACAAGTCTACTTGTCTATGTATTCAATAGGTTCACTGTGTTTTGGATATAAATTGTGTAATTTGTGCATTTTCAAAAATTACAAAATCTAAGTAGACACCATTACTCAAATCAAATTTTATGATCTTGATTTACCTAGTTTGAGGCTTTATCTTGTGATTGCATCCATCCATCATGAATTACAGATGGTTTTGCAATTTTGTTTTCTTCAAAATCCAAGCCATCATCCCAAACTAAACATGGTTATGTAATGCCTGAGCTATAGTTTCTCAATATAACGTTAGATATTCGCTAAACCTGCTAGTTCGTGAGATATTTGTACTTTTTATATTTACAAGCCCGCCACTTCCTAATTGGGTCATTTAACTTTGGACCATCAGCAAAACCAATTTTTGTTACACAAAAACACGATCCAAAATTGGCAACTTTTCTTTTTGTAAATATTATTTGAAACGTTAATTACTTGAACATGACAGCATTTTGTAGCCTGAAACCACCGTTTTTATAATCTTTGATAGCTGTAGTTTATTTGATGTTAAGCAAGTGCGTTAATGATAGAAAATGTTGGAGTAAAACAATTTAATTGGAAATTTTGATATGTTTTATGTAAAGACGGGAAGAGGGTGCCAATTCTTCCAGAATAAGTTGTATTTGACTCATCTTAACTTCCTGATTGTAAAACTGTTAATTGCTTTAGTAGTGGTTTTGTATTTGCACAGTTAATTCACATTAGAGATGCATCTTCACAAAGACGACTCATGAATCATACACAAAAATTCCGTCGAACAAAAGCAGATACAGTTACATTCTCTGTAATATATGGCGTGAAATTAAAACATTGCACTTTTATACCCTGATAGCAGCATTCATTAATGAATATTTAGCTGGTTTTACAATTTTTTGGTAATAAATTTGGAAATATTATGATTCTATGAATTGGCTATTACATTTGAGTAGATGCAATTACATTATTACATTTGAGTAGATGCAATTACATATATCGTAATTCACAGCCTGAAAGCAAAACATTTGGACTTCCCGTTAGCTTATACAATACTATTTGACACCTGACACATTTTTTAGCCAACAACAATTTGCGGTCTGGCTTATTCGAGTAAGAATTATACAGATGTAATGAAGGTTAAAAATACGGCATTTTAATTAACATATAAACTTTGTTTTTCCATTGTTGCTCAGTTGATTGACCGTTACTCGAATTTCATTAATTAAAAGCTGTCAGAACAAACTTATCTAGTCTATCCCATAACTAGAAATGGAATCACACTTTCATCTACTTCTCAAAATGCCATTAATGCAGTATTGACGCAAGTTTGTTTTTACGTTGTTGAAATCAGTAGATGACTTTTAAAATACAAGTAATGAATTCAAAAGAAATTTTGGACCATATTCAGGAGGCCCATAAACATTATATTCAAGTTGGTTCATATCTTTTAATTGAGTAAGATCATGTATATTTTGTAAATACTCTGTTTGTAAAAAATGTAAACTTTGAAGGCGAAAAACTCTACAAATATAAAACTTACAACAGATCAACAAACTGAATTTGAATCAGAAAGCTTAGAAAAATCGGTCGCTACATTTTTCAACAAGATCGGACCCTTTCCTTTTTAGTTACGTCAAGATATTCTAAATTTCAAGTTACTCAAATTTACTTCACCATCAACTGCTCTCATTGTGACATTTTCACACAAAGTAAACTAAGCTGCTAGAAGACTATAAATAATAATGTTTTAGCTCATTAAAGGTAATCATGCTCGAGTGATTTACCATTCAAATAATCGTTGCAAAAGAGAAAGTTGTCTATTTGTGGAATTTGGTTTTGTGTAACAAAAAATGGTTTTCCTTCTAGTCCTTAGTAAAAAATGGAAGCTTTTTAAAACGCAAATAACTCGAGAAATAGCAACTTTGGTAGGATAAAAAACATGGTTAATTAAATTAGAGTTTTTGACTAATTTCTGATAATGTACATTGCTCATATCTTTGTTTTTTAAGACTGCGGTATAGTTTTGGTTAATCATAAGGCGAGAAGGTAAGATTTGTATAATAGATTCGTTCGATCATAAGGCGAGTAGGTATCATTTGATACGCGTTTGACTTATATGCAGTCGTTCATTTGTTAACATTAAAAATTTAATTGTAAATAAGTCACTGAATAAACAAGTTATAGCTCTCAAACTTATTTCATTGTAATTTCAATTAGACAAATAATCTCAAATTACTAAATTTGTTATTGATTTAATATAAGGGTTTGGATAATACTCAACCTCAACCTCAATCGCAAGTCCATTGACAAAATATGTGGTAAGAGAATCAATAATAGATACTCCTTTCCTGATTAGTGGTTAGATGGGATAAAGTATGAATATCTGTAATTTACAACATTAATAAACTATACAATTAATAAACGGTTCTTCCATTAGTTAAAATAATATTCTCAAACTTCACATTAATTGAAATTTGATTTGTATCATGAGTAAACTAAATTCCATAATATGCTAAATAGTATTAATATCAATCAATCAATCTCCAAATTAACTAATCAGTCTAGTTGAGTGTGCCCAAGAGTAATCATAATCTGAAACATTCGAAAATAAAATAAAATAAAATAAAATAAAAAAAAAAAAAAAAAATAGAGACAACAATAAAGAACAACATTTATATTCAATACATTTCAACAACTACTCATCACAATCCACATGTCATCTCATTATCCAATATTTTCACCTGAATTAAATTTAAAACCTATAAATCATCAATCAAAAAAAATCGTATTACAGTTTAATCAAGATAATATTGATAGTAATAATTTATCAAATTATAAATTAATTAATAAAACAAATTTAGCTTTACCAATTTTCTACATAGATGATCAAGAATTTGTCTTAATTAAACATTTATCAAATCTTTGGAATTATCCTTCATCATATCAACTAATTCAAACATTTTTAAAAAATGGAGGTTTCAACAAAAATCAAATTTTAAAATCAAATTCAATAATTAATGAAAAACTAATATCATTAAATTTTATAAATTCAAATGAAAAAGATATAAATTTATTTTATATTTCATTCCCATTATTATATTCAAAAATTGAAAATAAAGATGTTTTTTATTTCAATTCAATTGCAGAAAATACTTTAGTTAAAGATTCAGATATAAATAACATAGGTCCTTCATTAAATCATCATGATAATAATGATGATAATAGTAATAATAAAATTAAAGAAAATGAAGAAGATGAAGCTGACAATCTCGAGGAAGATAATATAGATAACGATGAGGATGACGAGGAAATAGCCCACGGTTACGACGATGACGATGATGAGGAAGATGACGACGTCGAAGATGATGAGTATGAAGATAAAGTAACAAAAAAACACAAGCATCATCTCCACAAACATAAACAAGCTTTTGATCCAAAAATGGGAAGTGATGACAAGATTTCAATTAGTCAAATTTTCCCTCAATATGGTTTAGTCAATTCAAATACTCAACTAAATCATGGACTGTTTAATTCCTTAAATGTTTTAACTAAATTAAACTTTTATAAAAACTTACCATCATCAGCTCATAAATTTCTTCCAAATGTTAAATTAAGTTTTGCTGAAAGAGAATTAATTCATAATAATAATAACTTTTCAGATATTCATATTGAAGAAAATAAACCAGCAGATACTTCAAATAGAAAACGAAGTTTTCGTAAGCCATTAGCTAGAGCTAGAAAACATCATATACATGTTGATCCAAATTCAATAGATTTAAGTGAATCAGTCATACCTGGTCAAGGATATATTCCAGAATTTAGTATAAATAATTATTGTAAAGTTCCAAATTATTATGTAACTTCAAATCATCAAACACTTCCACAGTCATTTAATACGAAAAAATTAAATCATACATCAAATTCATCATTTCTTTTTAATAATGATGGAATTAAAATGTCTAAAAATATTCAACAATTAGTATTTAGTAATGATAATGATAATTATTATCATTCAAAATATTATTATACTAAAAGTTATAGAGGTCCCGGATCAGGTAATTATAAAGATGGTGCTATGATGAATAAAATTAATAAAATACATTTAACAAATGATAAAAAATTAAAACATAAGAAAAATTTACTGAATAGTGAACGATATAATAAAAGTTTAAAAGGTTTAGTACATGATAAATTTAATAAAAATTTTGTTGAAAATTTATTAAATGAACAACGTAAATATACTGAAGATTATTCAAATTTAGAAATGTTACATAATAATTTACAATTTAATTTATTAATAAATACATTTAGAGAAATTTCAGAAGATACTTGGAACAATTATTTCAAATTTAAATTGATTGATTTTGAACAATTGAAAGCTTTACAACAAGAAATTCATGAAACTGAACTTCGTAAACAAGCTATGGATGATCATACTAAATGGTTAGAAGAAGAAAAAAAACGTCAAGATCGTTTACAATTGGTTTTTGAAGAAGAAAGAAAAAAATTTGAACAACTTCAACAAGATTTTATTTTGAAACAAAAAGAATTAGAAGAGGAAAGGCGTCGTCGACAATTGGAGGCTTCATTTGATGATTCATTTACAGGAGGTGTTGAAGAAGAAGAAAAAAAAAATAACGAAAAGTATAAAAAATTACAACTTGATTTTGAAAAGAGAAGAGATGATTTGAAAAGTAAATTTGAAATCAAACGAAGAAATTTGATTAATCCTTTACCGGCTCCAAAACCAATTGAAACTCCTCAATTAGATATAGTTTCAAAATTTAGTTCTCCAGCTGATTATACTGATATTATAAGACATTTACCAATAGAGTTGAGAAGTGTTAATCAAGATAATAAAGATGACTCTCCAGCAATTAAAAAACCAATTAGATATATTACAACATATCCAGAAGAATCAAATCCAGAGTTTTTAACTCGTATAGAGGTAATTAAATTGCCAAATGCAAATTCAATTGGTTGGGATAATTTACGAAAATTTAAACTGAACCCTGAGAATTGAGATCATAAAAAAGGCAATCAATTAAATACTATTTTTTCATGAGTCGATTGTTGTTGTATGTGTTTAGAGAAATGTAAAATATATGTTTTTATGATGCAAATATTCTCATTATTAATTAATTAATTATCATCGATTATATCCCAATCCCAATCATTAATTCCATGGAAACTTTTTATCTCTGAAAATTTCTTAAATTCACCATAACAAATACAATAATGCTTCAATAATAATCTAATTTCTTCAATTTCATCTATAAATTCTAAAGAATTGACTCTTTTCATTTCTTTGATATCTATCCAAGATGTTTCTTGTTTATGCACATCATCATAACCCCCGATATTACTTAAAGATGTCAATTTTAAATTGGTTAGCTGACAATTGTTGCGTAAAAAATCCTTTCGAGTTTCTAAATTTGGATATTTGTTAAATAATTTCAAGTTTAAACCTCTATCAAGTAAATTTCGAGTCATTGTTTCTCCAAATCTATCATTCAATGACATTGGCTCATAAATTAGAAAACATGTAAGTTCATTATTCAAATGCTCCCAAAATGTTATATTTTTAACATAATCTTCTGGAGATAGATAACATAATACACATTCACTAATTATCAAAGTAGGTAGATTGGAATTGAAATTTGAAATTTTTGATGACGAATTTAACGTACGTAAATCTATTCCGTGTAAATTATAATTATTAGTTGCCAAATTGGAAGGGAAATTTTGAAAATCTTCCTTTGATGAAATATTGGGCAGTTCTTCTTGTTGATAGTCAATTATATTTCGTAGTTTAACATTTTTAAGTATAGCTAGTTTTTTAATCTTTACCGATTCAGGAAAATCAATCTCATGATATAAAATATTCGGATATTTTGTTAAAAACTTAAAAGCTCTAGTATCTGATCCACTACCCAATGAAATAATTTGACAATTTTGATTATATACATTAATAAATTTTTCAATAACTTGATCAATTGCTCTAGTACGTAAATATGAACCACGATTAATTATAGGTAATTTATTTGATTTAAAAATTGATTTTAAAGTTCTTGAAGAAGAAATTGATGAATAACCAGTACAAAATTGCAAATATAAATGATAAGAATTAATTAAATCAATTATATAATCATCATTTGGTATTAAATATGATTTTAAATTTATACTATTTCTACAACTTAAAGCATCTAAATCAGTTGCTTGGATTAATTTATCCAGTCGTTCTTTTAAAGATAACATTTGAAAATATATATTTTGCAGTAAAAAAATATCTGCGTACACTATAAATATATATAAACTATTTATAAACCATATACATACACTATTAAATTCTTTTTATAATTATCCACCAATTATCTTTTTCATATCCATCATCAATTATTATACATTTCTTTGTTTGAAGAGCATTATCAATTAACTCTCCTTTTTTATAAAGATGATAATATCTATATTTTGTTTCTTCAATTTCATCATCTTTATTATCATTATCAAATAATTCCTCTTCTTCTTTCATTTTATCATCTTTATTATCATATAACTCCTCTATTTTCTCTTTTGAATTTCTCTTCATATTATTCTTCTTCTTTTTTTTTGGTAAATGTTGTTGTTTCTTTAAAACCCAGGGTATTAAAATATCTTGGTTATCACCTTCTTTATAACCTCGTCGAGATGTTTCTTGTTCTAATGCCCAACAATATATTAAGCATTCACCACCAAGTTTTAATTTTGATAATATATGCAGAATTGCTTCTATTCTTCGCTCTTCATTTGCAAAATGATGAATTACTGCTATTGATATTGCAAAATCAAACCTATTGTTAGGATGAGGTAATGAAAGTCCATCAGATATACCCAAATTAAATGAATTTTTGGAAATCGTTTGAGCACAATTAATTAAACCTTCAGATCTATCAGTACCAATGATATATAAGTCCTTATTTACATTTAAATATTTACCATTACCACAACCAACATCTAAACCAATCGAATATCTTGATCTAGATTGTAAAAATCTTTCAACAATCGGCCATGGCTTATATCTAGTTTGAGAAAAATGCGATGCAATTTCATTGTAAACGTCATGAACATATGTTTCTTCTTGTGTTTTAGGATTTAGACCATTTTCTATTGATTTTGAGGGAATAACAGATGTCGAAGATGTAGATGACATTGAATCTGAAACTAAATTATAATTTAAACAATAATTTTTTTTTTTTTTTTTTTTTTTATAAATCATTCTCGTAAAAGTTATCAACAGTTCAAAATTATCAACAAAAATTGATTGATTAATGGAATGAACTTCTTATAATAATGCATTATAATAATACGAAAGGTGTTTATACATATTTATTTATTATATGTTTTTTAATTATTTTGCCTTGGATTTGGATCAAATTTTGTTCAACTAATTCGGTTTTATTGGATGAAGTTGATATTAAAATTCCCATTTATATACAGTTTGCTAATGAACAATTCAAATTTCCAGATTTAATTGTAGCAACTCAATTTCAATTGGATTCAGAATTAAAACATCTTACAAATAAATCATTAAAAGTAGAATTAATTGATAAGTTGGAGAATAATTTATATGAACAAAACCAAAGTAATTTTGAAGATAATTATATAGTAGACTTAGTTTTATCGGATGAAAATTCATTAGCTATATCTTCAGATAAATTGAACGCATATGTTCTTTATACTTTAGATTCCATTTATGCTAATGATTTACCATTCTTAATTAGTCAAACAGTTTTATATCATTTAATATATAACAAATATATTATATAATATATTACATAATTTTTTTTTTTTTTTTTTTGGTTTAAAAAAATTAATCAATAAATATTGATTGTTCATTGAATAATATTACTTTGACTTAATATAAATGTCTAATAGTTTATCAGATTATGATGACTCAGACGTGAGTCTTGATGAAGATGATGAAGAATTGATATGGAGAGTGTTTTTTAGTCAAGTTGAAAAATTTAGAAAACATCAAGTAGGGCTTATTGATGACGACATTGATGATGATGATGAAGAAATTGAAGAATTTTTTCAAGATTATGATAATAAAATACATACAAGTGAAACTTTCTCAGAAGAAACAGAAGATGAGGATGAGGATGAGGGTGATGATGATGAGAGCAAAATAGATGATTTTACTGACATTGATGATCCAGAGTTGATATTGAAATATAAAAACCTAATACAGGAAAAAGTTGATAAGAATTTAAGTGATGAGGAGAAGAAAAAACTTTTAATAGCAAGTTTTACTGATGATCAAATGGAACGATTTGAAGCTTTTCGAAGACTGACAATTAATAAACCCGGAGTGAAAAAAATCGTTAATGGAATAGTGGGACACTCTATTCCTCAAGCTATTGCTATAGTAATTGCTGGTATTACTAAACTGTTTTTAGGAGAAATAATTACTAAAGCTCAAGCTGTACAAGAACGTGATGATAAAGGGAAATTAATAATGGATATTCAAGCTAAGAAAAAACAAAAAAAGTTAATTAAAAGAAGTTTAGAAAATGGTGAAGAAATTGAAGTAGACGATCAATTTCTACGATATGAAGGTGATAAATTCAAACCACTTCAACCAAATCATATCAGGGAAGCTTGGAGATTATACCAACTTGAAAATAGCAGTGCTTTTGATAAGAATAAAAAAGATGCGGATTCAATTTCCAACAAGTCTAAACATTTTGCTTAAGATTCTGCAAAATTAATATATGATTCAGATCTCATTTAGGTAAAATATTTGTTAAAACTTTTAATCGACAATGTTGGTACATGATATTCATTAACAGATAAAAGATAAAGTTTGTAATCTACACTTGTCAAGTATCAAACCTATTCAGAAGCTTGAAAATAAAACAGAGCTAATTCATCAATATACTTATTCTACGCGGGAGTCAATTATTTATTAATCCAATGCATCACAGATTGTGGTTAATTAAGCACGTTCAAATTAACATAATGGAAATAGTAGCATTATCATAAAAGCTCTATAAGCTTCTTGACTTCAGATCAAATCTTATTTTCACGGGAAATGATTTTGTTACATATCCAGTCAACATTTAAGATTGACTTGTGTAAATTCAATTCATGTATTTGTATATCAAAAGATATGGGGAGTTTCAGCCTTCTGGTAGCTCTTTACTCTATAATTCCAAACAAATAGATCAAATGGTGCCAGGGATCAATTTTAGTTACTTTAAAAAAACTGTCTAAAAAAGGTTTTGCTTACCAAAACAATCGTTTGTAGTAAACTTTTAAAAGAAAAATACTCCTTTAAAATAAGTCTATATTCCTCTGTCATACGCCTCTCAGATCATCCTTTAGAAGTTTTCTTTCTTGATCTCCATGAAATCGTTACAACCATCAACTACCACGATAATCTAAAGGTATATGGATGTTTTTGGGAACAGCGAATTGAATATAAATTGTGGCAATGGAGTAAGTGGTTAAATGTGTAATTCAATGGGTTAGCTAGAGATTTTGCTTATTCAGATTTGGAAAATCGTTATTGTATGAAAAGTTATAATTTTTCGAAAAATGACGAAAAAAGTCGATTACTATTGATGAACGACTAATTATTTGTATCGCCGAACCGTCAATGGATTCGATTATATTGGCCTTGATTTACCTAGGAAACGTTTAGGACAATATTGGTGTGGTTTTGATAGATAGAACGCGAGAACAAAATTACTTTTGCGATTTTGAATGCCTTAACACAATAGATTTCAAGAAATACCTCGAACGGGAACTATAAATGTAGGTTATTTTATTACGATCAAACTTGAATAGGGGAAGGTGAGTCAAATTTTTCGCGAGGTCAATTTATTCAATTTCCCCATACTCAAGAAATAATTTTGAAATTTCTCAATTTTTAGTTCTCTTCAATCCAAATTGTGTTCGGCACCTTAAATTGAAGTATGATATATAAAATCGGTAGTTTAGTTGAAAGTTTTGGTCATAAATTAAAAAACACATTGCATTCAATTTTTCGAAAAAATTTTGTATGGTGAAAAAGTGTCAATATTGCAAACCGAAAAAACCATTTTTGGATTTTAAGATTTTACACATATAATGGTACAGAAACAAGGACATCTGATCTCATTTAAATAGCTCTTATCTCGAGAGAGTGCATTTTTCACGAGATAAAAGTCAATATACGCAATACGAGGTCGCCTCAAAGCTAGTACTAAAAATTTTTCTCTCGCTCCCAACCATCAGACAACTTATCATATACACATTTGGGTATAACTAAAACAGAAATTCTAAAGCGTACGTATATTCTATAATAAAAAGTACGTGGTATTACGTATCATTTCGAAGATGTTTGCGAAAAAGAACTTTATATTGAAAATTCTAAAATTTTGTTTATTGATGCACCTGGTAACGAGGTCCACCATATATTAAATTTAAATACATATAATACTATAACACAAACAGATATACATAATGTACCGCATATTCTGTAATCACAAGTACGTGCTACTAAGGCTTAAATGTCAGCTTAAACTTTCTATCTAATTTCAATTGTAAATATGTGCATTATTGAAAAAAATTACTGAATCCAAGTAGACACCATTACTCATAAAATTCTTTGATCTTGATTTACCCAGTTTGAGGCTTTATCTTATGACTGCATCTATCCATCATGAAATTCAGATGGTTTTGCAATTTTGTTTTCTTCAAAATCCAAGCCATCATCCCAAACTAAACATGGTTATGTAATGCGTGAGCTATAGTTTATTAATATATTGTTAGATCTTTGCTAAACCTGCTAGTTCGTGAGCTATAGTTTATTAATATATTGTTAGATCTTTGCTAAACCTGCTAGTTCGTGAGATATATGCACTTTTAATATTTTACAAGCCCCATTTCCTAATTCAATTTTTCAACTTTGGACCATCAGCAAAACCAATTTTTGTTACACAAAAACTCGATCCAAAATTGGCAACTTTTCTTTTTGTAAATTTTATTTGAAACGTTAATTACTTGAACATGACCACATTTGATAGTCTGAGACGAACCATTTTGTAATCTTTGATAGCTCTAGTTTATATGATGTTAAGCAAATGCGTTAATGATAGTGGATGTTGGAGTAAAATAAGTTTATTCGTAATTTTGATATGCTTTATATAAAGAACGGAAGAGGGACCAAATGTTTCAAAATAAGTTGTATTTGACTCTTCTTAACTTCCTAATCCTAAAGCAGTTAATTGCTTTTGTAATAGTCTTGTATTTGTAGGGTTATTTCACATTGAAGATTATATTTTCACAAAGACGATTCATGTATCATGCACCAAAATATCATCTAGCAAAGGCAAATAAAGTTTCACTCTCTGTTCTATAAGACCTGAACCTACCACACTTGCACTTTTATACCCAGAGAGCAGCGTTCATTAGTAAATATTTGGATAGTTTTACAAATTTTTTGTAATCAATTTAGAAATTTTGTGATTTTGTGAAACAACTCAATGTCTTATGCCGATGTAGTCTCTAGTTTGACATCAGAAGTATGTTTAAAATGTATCATTACCAATATAACCTATATTATATTTACTTACTTTATCTAATTCGTTATTTTCTTATGCTGTTTCTCTATTTTGTTATGCTGTTTCACTATTTTGTGATTCTGTTTCACTATTTTGTTATTCTGATTCACGATTTTGTTATGCTGTTTCTCTACTTTGTTGTGCTGTTTCTCTATGCACTTCCTCAAACCAACAAATTCTAATTTAGGTATTCAAATCAAACTGGTTATTCTAAAGCCGTAGAGATATCGAGCATCCGAAATCAATCCGAAATCTGGCCTGCTTTCAGAGATATCATAGATTCCCGAGATCAGGCTTCGGATATATCAGAGATTTCTGAGATCTATCCGAGATCTGGTTAGAAACCGTGATGTTTACACCCTAACCGCAATACTATATTTTGTCATAATGCACCCTTACCGCAATACTTAATATTACATCCTAACCTCAAAAATAATATGATGGCACATGCCCAGCTTTTCTTTAGAATGTAATATAACACGTGATATTAGACGACTTTCTCAATTCAAAATGTTAAAATATTTGGTCATGTGATTGAAAATAAAATCTTTTCCACATTCTAATACTATTTTACCGTTTTTGATTGGTTGAACGTGACGAGACGAGAAAATCTTATTCATTTTGTTCAATTTGAAGAAAAGATCCAAACAACAAAAATTTCTTTTTTCAAGTGTGACACGTGACGCATTTCTTTAAACAACTTCATTATGAGTATATACACGTGACTTTGGGGCCTGATCAAAATTCATATATCCTGAAAATCACGTGCTAATTGATGTTAGGGGCTTTTATTTTGCATGGAGGTTAATGTGTCATTTTAAGTATTGCGGTAAGGGTGCATTATGACAAAATATAGTATTGCGGTTAGGGTGTGAAGATTAGGGTTTCAAACTAGATCTCGGATAGATCTCAGAAATCTCTGATATATCCTAAGCCTGATCTCGGGAATCTCTTATTTATCTGAAAGCAGGCCAGATCTCGGATTGATTTCGGATGATCGATATCTCTACGGCTTTAGAATAACCAGTTTGATTTGAATACCTAAATTAGAACTTCTTGGTTTGAGGAAGTGCATAGAGAAACAGCACAACAAAGTAGAGAAACAGCACAACAAAGTAGAGAAACAGCATATCAAAATAGTGTAAAGCGTTCCAAATTGCATTAGACAAGGATAATTTTGGTATTCATACGTTTCAAACATACTTTTGACGTCAAACTAAAGACTACGACGGCCCAAGCTATTGAATTGTTTCCAAGATATGGAAAATTTCGCAAAACCTGAAAAATATAGTAAAACCACCTTAATATTCATTAATGAACGCTGCTCTCTGGGTATAAAAGAGCTGGAGTGTATATTTCAGGTCATATATTACAGATTATGTAACTGTTTTTGCCTTTGCTAGATGATATTTTGGTGCATGATACATGAATCGTCTTTGTAAAAATATAATCTTCAATGTGAAATAACCCTACAAATACAAGACTATTACAAAAGCAATTAACTGCTTTAGGATTAGGAAGTTAAGAAGAGTCAAATACAACTTATTTTGAAACATTTGGTCCCTCTTCCGTTCTTTATATAAAGCATATCAAAATTACGAATAAACTTATTTTACTCCAACATCCACTATCATTAACGCATTTGCTTAACATCATATAAACTAGAGCTATCAAAGATTACAAAATGGTTCGTCTCAGACTATCAAATGTGGTCATGTTCAAGTAATTAACGTTTCAAATAAAATTTACAAAAAGAAAAGTTGCCAATTTTGGATCGAGTTTTTGTGTAACAAAAATTGGTTTTGCTGATGGTCCAAAGTTGAAAAATTGAATTAGGAAATGGGGCTTGTAAAGTATTAAAAGTGCATATATCTCACGAACTAGCAGGTTTAGCAAAGATCTAATAATGTATTAATAAACTATAGCTCATGCGTTACATAATAATGGTTAGTTTGGGATGATAGCTTGATTCTTGAAGAAAACAAAATTGCAAAACCATCTGTATTTCATGATGGATTGATGCAATCACAAGAAAAACCTCAGACTGGGTGAATGAAGGCTATTAAATACTGCTTGAGTAATGGTGTCTACTTAGATTTAGTAATTTGTTCATAAATGTACCTATTTACAATTGGAATTAGATAGGAAGTTTAAGCTGACATATAACCCTTAGTAGCACGTACTTGCTATTACAAAATATGTGGTACGTTTACTTTATATTTCTTCATTATTAATATGAAATAAAACTATTTAAATAGTGGAAAGCACGGTAAAGTACATCTCCACAAAAAGCAACATTAATACCCACATTCGAATTTATCTGAGATTTCTTGTTCCAATGTGTCCGAGAGCAACAAGTTTTGGATCGAAATTGAGTGAATGGTGTTACATTCGAAATAATCAAAAACTAATGCCGTGTTTTTTGCGCCTTTTCACTCGGTATACTACTTTTCATTCAAAAATATACCAGTTTCATTTTGCATTAATCTAGCCGTACATGTCACACATGTAATGAGAGTGAGCCATAGCCCAGTCCAGACGTATCTCATCCCTACATCTATATAAGTCGAAACAATTTTAGTTTTCAAATTGTGGTCTATATTGATTTTTAACACATGTATGTAACTCGATGAAATTTATTATACACGCCAGATTTCCAATCACTAATCAGTAATGGGTTGTTTAAAAGCAATTGGCTATGAATCTGTTAGATTTGACGCAATTTGAAATCTGGATGCAAACCTCTACTGAACTACGATACTTTTTTTTTTGACTTTTGGACAAAAATGAAAAATGAAGGGGTCGTCAAATCGTCTCGAGAGAATCACCATTGTAACATTGGATCTTTCTGATTCTAAATCTGTTGTTACTTTTGCAAGAGATCGTGTTGTTGAGAAGTTATTTAAGTTATTGGTTTTTTTTTTCGCTTGTAGCGCTTCAAAACCAGACCAGTACCATTGTAGTATTTGGTCTATTTTGATTTCATATTAGCTGTTGATTCGGCAAAATATTGTGTCGTTGTTGAGTTATTCGAGTTTTAAATCTTTGTATTTTTGACAAAAACACTCCTCAAATTAACGTATAATGGCTCAATTAATATGTCTTTGCAATCTCTCCAGCTGCGAGAGTATGATACACTTAATTTCCAAGCTGCAAGTTTGCTGTGTCAGCCATGAAACGATCACGAAAAATTAAAGGATTGCTGAAAAATCTATACAATCTAGCTCGAATGTAGGTTTCAAGGGTAGTTCTATACTTTCAAGCCTTCGAAGAACTATTCACATTTTTCTTTGAAGCCTAGAAAGCTTAGTTCGAGTTGCAATTCGCAGTAATCTTCATAAATGATAAGATCGTGCATTACTCTTGGAATAACACACGTCTTGATCTCAAATAGGTCGCCCAAGATGATCTAGACGCTGAGAATAGTCATGATCTTCAGTCGTTAATTTTGAAAGCGTGGTTCGTTCTGTGGATCCAAATATTTCCTTGACGATCAAGGGTGTTTTTTGAATTCTCACGAACTTTGTTCGGAAAATCAATAGAAGGCAATGTCTAACAACCAAATTCGAATTGATCTGACGATTCTCGTTCCAATGAGTCTAAGAACAATATGTTTTTTTTGGATTGAATAAGTAGTGTTAGCTCGAGTTTTGTCAAAATCCAATCGTGATTTAAAAATTTTTTTCAAATACACTCTCGGTATGCTCTCGGTTTGCTTTTTATTCTCCAAAGTGTGTAATTTTCAGCGGTGCGACAAAAAATTCTTTCGCCCTAAATTTAAGGCGCCTCGTTCCAACGATTTTGGCTAATATGTCAAGTGCAACCCTTGAGCTAAGTAACAATTCATAAGAACTCAGAGCCCCTGAATATATACTCTACGTACTTAAATTTGTAAATTTCATATATTATTTTTTGTGAGTTGTCATTTTGGCCTTTTTTCACCATCAAAAATTTTTGAAAAAATAAGAATCAATGTAACGTTTTAATTTAGTGCCATAACTTTCGATTAAACAATAGGTTATATAATTAGACCTTGAACAAAGGTACCGGGCTTAATTTTAGTTGATTTAACCCAAAATTAAGGAATTCCAAAATTTTTTCTAAAGTATGGGAGAAAGCGAAAAACTTCACATTACGAAAAAACCAGTTCCACAATGAATATTCAAACTAGGACCAGATAAAACCATCAAAATTACTAGTTCCTGTACACTCATAAACCTGATAAATTTTTGTGTTAAGGTGTCCAAAATTAGAAGAGTAATTTTTCAAAAGTGTATTGAAATTTTTGAAAAAAATTCAAAACCTATTTGGCGTGTTGAAAACATAATAAACAATAAATTTGGGATCAAATGAACTAAATCAGATATATTAGAAGTTGCTAAACGAGTTCCAAGTGTTGTTTATCTCGCAAAGTAGCGTATTTTTTCCATTTTGTAAATGATGAATAAAGTCCTCAATATTAAGTTTTATTAAAAAACAATAACATCGCCTCACTTTGGGTATAGCGATTTATAATTAAGTTAGTTAGGGAATGAAAACTTCGTAGTTGAAGAAGTCATTCACAATTCAAATTTCAAGAGTTAATATTATAGGACTGCATATAAGTAAATTTGTTATTGTTGTACAGTGTTTTTCAATGCGAAATTTTGATTCAACGTTGAGCAAAAGTATGGCAGAAAAATTCACAACTAGTACCATTCAGTTTGATCATGATGAATCTCAAATATATCAACATTATAAACTTTCGACGTTTCCTGCGTAAATTAAGGCCGATAAGAGCTTATTTGTTAACTATATGCTCCTGTTAACTTTATGGCGATACATCCAGTTGTTCGTCCTTTTTTTTTTTTAGTACCTATATTAGGTATAGCTATACAAATGAATTTCGATAGAAAACCTAAATCAGCTGAGTGCCTCTATGTTATTGTTCCGTGTTGTTCATGTTGTTATTCTTTGTTGACCAGTTTGTATCCGGTAATTGTGTTGTGATCTCTTCTTTATTTTTTTTACGTATATATTAGGTATGGCTATACAAACGAACTTCTATACAAAACCTAAATCAGCTGAATGCCTCATCTCGAAGAGAGCTTATTTTCACCATTTTTTGCAATTATCTAAAGAATTTAACTTTTCTAAGATAACAATTAATCTAAATCTTAAAAAACAGATTGCTATTACAGATTTAACCCCCCATCTCATTTCAACAATCTATAATCGACTGCCTATTCCTAAAAACAACCTTATACCTTTTTCCTTACCTATAAACTACTAAGCAAAAGAAGGAAGGTCATGTGATTACATTTTTAGCTAACTGCTTTTTTTAGTTTCAGGATGGTATGTCTATCTTATCAATAATACCTGAAAAAACCTAGTGGTCCTGTTTGATCAAGTATAATGAATTGTTTGAATCCTAAGGATTAAGTGTTCAAAATGTTCTGACAGTTAAGAATTTTTTTTGAAGTTTGTAATAACTTATTATAAAATGTGCTCAGCTCAACAAATGCCTTGCTAGCTCAATGGTAGAGCGTGAGACTTTTAATCTCAAGGCTGCGGGTTCGAGCCCCGCGTAGGGCTGTACTTGAATTCCAATTCAAATAGTAGAAAATTTTTTACCCCTTAAAAATTAAATTTTAGTGTACCGGATTCAGTGATAGATTTTCATTTTATTAGATATGTACTTTCAGATATACATAATCGAGCTAGTTTTTTTTCTTAATAGATATACATATTAAATTTAGTCCGTGTGTTTATTTTGCATTTTTTTAATATTAAGGGGCAATTCTTAGATGGCTTATGAAATTTAGAGATTTTAGAGGTCAGCCTTTACATTAAATAGCAACGAATAACTAAGCTTGAGATTAATTGTTAATAGAACGATTAAATTGATTGTTTATTTGTCTTTCCGTAAACGTTCTTTTTCACCTGAATCATTTAATTCTGATGCTGATATGTCTGAGTCTGATAGTTGTTGTTGGATGTCGCTATAGACACGCTTGGTAGGTATTTGTATCGCCTGGAGCACGCTTAACGATCAACATAGAATAGGTACGGACAAGGGGAATCTGACTGTCTAATTAAAACATGTGTTTTCTAGTTAGATTGAAATGAATATAAATGTTTTTGTAACGAACTTTCTTTTTCAATATCGGATTAAATGAGATTTTAAGTAAAGTTTTACTATAAATCTAATATTTCTAGACTTCTGAACAGTTGAATTGTAATACAAATCCTGCTTCAAGGTTTGGTATAAGAAACACTTAATTCTACTGTAAATCTATATTTCTAGCCACTCGTTACAGATGCTACATTTACACAACACATCTACATTGGAACGTTTTTATTTGTACATCCTCAAATAGAGTGGGTTGTATAAATGATAGACGAATACGGAACTTCTTTTCAACCTTTGTAAATTTCTTATTGTGTGATCTTTGAGCGATTTTTACAAAATTGTCTTCGATCCAATATGGTTAAGGTTTACGTCTAACTCTAAGCTATATACTCAATCCACTGATGAATATTTATATCAGATGCTGGCTGTTGATCACAATACTACTTACATAATAAAATATTTTTTTTTTTCTTTTTTTTATTTTCTTTTTATTTTTGGTTGCAAAAATACAAATATCTCGGGCCGGTATTCAAATCTGTCAAATCTCAAGCAAAAGGCTCCTTGTTAAAGCCGCAAAGCATAGTTATGTTTATGACATAATCATCAATTTTTTTTTTTTTTTTTTTATTTTTATATTTTGAAAGTTTGGTGATACTAATTCTTTTATACAATTAGTTTTGACTTACGAATTTCATTCCAAAATTCTATGATCTTTAAATATCACAATAAGGATTGGAAATGTCAACACCAATCGCAAAGGAATTAACAATTGAAGGAAAAGAGAAAGATGGAGAATATAGTCAAACTAGTGATAAAACTGAATTCGTTTATACTATATTCGAATCAAAGGAAAAGTTCATGTTGATAATTGTTCTTTCATTGGTTGGTTTTTGGAGTACAGTTTCTAGTCCGATATATTTTCCAGCTTTGCCAGTATTGACTGCTTATTTTGACACTACACCTTCAGTAATGAACTTATCAGTTGTTGCGTATTTAATATTTCAAGGTATTGCACCCACATTTTCATCAAATTTGGCTGATTCAATTGGTAGAAGACCGATAATATTAGCTAGTATATTGATTTTTGTTGCTGCATGTATTGCACTTTCTCAAACTAATGTTTATTGGCTTTTGGCTGTATTACGTTGTATTCAAGCTGCTGGAATTGCTCCAGTAATAGCTATTAGTTCTGGAGTTGCAGGCGATGTTTGCACTCCTTCAAATCGTGGTGGTTTTGTTGGTCAAGTTGCTGGTTTACAATTAATAGGTAATGGATTTGGACCTTTAATAGGAGCAGCATTAATGAGTTCATTTCAAACGTGGAGATCAATATTTATATTTCTAGCTATTGGAGGTGGTGTTACATTTATTTTAGCTTTTATATTTTTAGCAGAAACTTCAAGAAGAATTGTTGGAAATGGAACTATAAAACCAAAAAATCTACTAAATAGAGCTGTGCTAATTTATTTTCCTTTTTTTAAAAAGAAGATGTCAAATGATGTATCCACAATTGTTTCAAAGCGTAAATTCGATTTATTTGGGCCATTCAAAATATTTTTTAGAAAAAAAGTGTTTTTAATTTTACTTCCGCTGGGTTTACATTTTGCAACTTGGACAATGTCTTTAACATTATTATCAACAGAATTAGAATCTTCCAAATATAATTATAGTATCATGCACGTTGGTTTAATGTACTTGCCTCAAGGTATTGCATGTTTCGTTGGTTCAATGGCGATTGGTAAAAGTTTGAATTGGTATTATAAGTATCGAAAGAATTTATATGACACATCTGTTGAAAAGCTACCTTTATTAGATCGTCCAGCTTTTAATTTGGTGACAACCAGACTAACTTTGAGTATTGTACCTGCTTTTTTAATGATTACAGGATTGTTAATCTTTGGTTGGTGTTTGCAATATCAACAACATATTGTTTCAATTATTATTTCAACAGTATGCATCTCACTTTCCGCATCATTAATGTTATCAATATGTACTACGTTATTAGTTGATCTTTATCCTAACCAAGGTAGTGCCTCTGCCAGCTGTTTGAATTTGATGAGATGTTTAATTGCAGCTGTCGGAACTGGTGTTTTGGATAAAATGATAGCAAAATTAAATTTGGGTGGTACTTATAGTTTATTAGCTGGTTTATGTTTAATAACTGATTTAAATTTAATTTATGTTTTACATTTAGAAACAAAACGATTGAGAAAAGATCATCATCAGAAACTAAATCAAAATGTGAAATCATCGGACGTAGATTAATATGTGTAATTATAGAAATCTATAGACTTTTAATATATTGCTTTATTTAGTTGAAAGGAATTTCTATTGTATTGTTAAGCTCAACTTTGTTTCAGTCTTTTTACCATAAACTGAAGATGCTTCCAGTCGCAGGGTAATCAGATATTCTAAAAACTCTGTTGAATATGGTAAAGCTCCCTATTCAAAAAGTCTGGCTTATTCAACTTTATGTACAATTGAACTGCCTGTGTAGCTCGTAACATGTTGATGAATTTTCATCAAAGATGATTTGACATAAATTATATAAAAAGAGTACCCCTTAAAGATAGTTACTTGAATTCTAAACAATTAGTTCAAAAATTTCATAGCAGAAGACAAATTCGTAGTTTTTATTGTAGTGCCCACAAAGTTTTAGCATAAATCCTTTTACAAAAGTGTGTATCAAATTGCCAATGATCAACACACTCTACTCTTTGATTAAATTGCATTGATTTTAGCTTTTTCTAATTCAGCTTCCACAAAAACTTAGTCTATCATTTGTGAGTAAGTATTCAATGCTTCCTTAAGAAATTCTCTATACAGTTTTGATTTTTGCATATTCAAGAAGTTTAGAGGTATTTCATTTTTGATTATAGCGATTAAAAGTATCTAAAAACCAAAGTTGTAAACGTCTCTAAAGGCACATATTTGAACAACTATAAAGTCATAGACGTAGAAGTATTCGACCTATTCACTTTAAAATATAAATTAAACAAAGAGTTGAAGCATTTTAGAATTGTATGAATATGTTGGAGCTAAAAAATTTTTCGACAACAAACAGGCGCCAGTGGTTTAGTGGTAAAATCCAACGTTGCCATCGTTGGGCCCCGCGTTCGATTCGCGGCTGGCGCATTTTTTTTGGATTTTTTTTTTCCTTATCACATTAATTTAAGTTATAATGTTTTTTACCCTTGGTAGATTGAAAGATACTTCAATTATAATGAAAATTCAATTCTTATTTTTAATATCTTTTGTATTAGCATTCCCACTTGATGAAATTAAATTGAATGATATTCCTAGTGAAGAAGAAGGAGCTTCAGTTGCAAGAACTTTGGTTTCAAGAGAATCATTAGTCAATGTCAATACAATCAAAACTATTAAAAATTCTGATGGTAAAATAACGTATTTACCAGTTTCAACAATGGAATATTATGCTGATTGTGATGAAGATGGAGATCCATATTGGTTGGTTATTGATGTAAGTGGTGCAAATCAAAACATACTTAAAGGGTCAACATTTTCATTTTCAATCCGTGACGGTGATCATCCTAATTATGATGAAGTTGCTGAAAATTATCCAGGAAAACTTGAAGGCTCTCCAGCTGGTTCTCCGAGAGTACAATTGACTGGAAAATTACAAAAAATTTGGTTTCCAAATCCATTTGATCAAAAAAAGTTTGATTTAGAAAAATGTTTTCTTCAAAGACATCCAGATGCGGCAATGTGGTTGCCAGATAATGTATTGTCACCACATAAATCGCATTGGGTAAAGTTTTTAGTCGATGAAATTTATTTAGTTGGTGGATTTGGAGATCGTGCATATATTGGAGAGATAAATCAAGAAATTTATCACTCAGCAGAAATTATACCACCTAAAGATAATAATGAAGAAGGTAGATGAATGTATATTAATTTCTAAATTTACTCTTGACAGTTTTCCAATTTTTTTCAGCTTCAAATACAGCATCTAAAGCTTTACCCATTGTATCAAAATCTGTCATAAGAGTTACATGAGCAGATTCACTAGCAAATTTACCAACTATTTGACCAGTTCCGTCAATTGCATTAAAATGATTAAATCCTTTTCTTTCTGGCATCAACCATTTTTGATGAATTACACCATCACCATGACCATAAAAGAATTCATAATAATTACCATCTTTAATGTCTTGTCTACTTCTAACCACAGAGCCTCTAACGGATGGAATTTTATTACCATAGACAATAGCCATAGGTGGATATTCAGATTCCAAATTTGTATCATATTCTAAAGATAATACATATTCTTTTGTTGATTTTAAAGTTTCGGATAAATATCTAAAAGAATCAGCAAATGAATATGAAAATTTACCTTCTTCTTCATCCAAATTAAATTCTCTTGTCATTGGAGATGTTGATCTGGACCTAATTATTGGTGCAGAACGATATATCTTGTTAAACTTGGTGCTTAACAGGGAGAAGGTAGATACCGAATTTAATGAATTTGAAAAAGACTTGCTTTCTTCAAGTTGTTTTCGTTTACTTGAAACTAATGGATTTAAATTATATTCAACCCAATTGTTTGGATCAAAAAAGTCAATATCATAATGTTCTTTTGTTTCTTTATTATAAAACACTCGACCACTTAATGGTAAAAATATAAAACTTGATCTCATCATAAAGTTTGCTTCAAATGTTAATATTTTATCTGATAACAAAACCGAATCTCCAAATCTTATAGGTCCTAAGATATTTAAACATTCACTTGGAGACCCCACATAAACTATAGATCTGAATAACTTAGGGTTCCTTTGTAATGTTCCATGAACCATTAACCCTCCCATCGAATGGGCAATAACTAATGTTGGTTTGCCAGTTTCTTCATAAATCTTTGACAAAAATATTTCCAATTGTTTGGAAACTACATTGCCACTTAAACGCCAATCATAACCAAATTCTTTAAGATTTACTTTTGGATTAGCTTCTAATTTTTTAATTAATTTTTTACAAATATCAATAGGACCAATATTTTTCAACACACCATCTGCATAAATTTTATCTTGTGCATTCAATTCATCAATTTGATTTGGTCCTAATAATAGATTAATCTTTCGAAGGTTAAAACCCGCTTTTATAGGTATCCAAACTCTTTTATGAGTTTTTGAATCTCTCAATATAGATCCTCTATAACCACCCATTATAACAATATTGCCTTCAATCCTTTCATAAATACTTTCGTATGGTTTAATGAAATCTTTTTTTTTGTGAGGTATAATTTCATTCAAGTTTGTGGATAATGAATGCTTAACAGCACGTAATCTTCCATTATCTGTACCTTGAAAATTTTTAAAATAGTTTGCCTCATCTATTGTATTAATAGTCTCTTGTTTTGATAATTGAAGTCGAATATTCTCTTCCAACTCTTTGTCATTATCATGATGATTTCCAAAAGGCAAACTATCGAATTTTAAATTATGCAATTGTCTGGCTAAATTCGACCTAATTGATTCCAATCCGCCAAATGGTAATGAAAATGAAAAAACTTTTTGAGATGAATTGTAGTTATTAATATCTAAATCATTTGCATCAACTTTGATTTCTTGTTGTTCAGTTGTAAGATTTGGATCTGCAACAGGATGCAGAGTTAAGCTTTCTTGAGATTCTTTAATGAAATTCTTAAAAGATTCACCGCCAACAATTGATTCTGCATCTGTACGAGTTAATTTTCTACTAATTGATTGATTTGATGTTGACTTGGGATTAAATTGTTTGATTTCTTCATTCTCATCACCTTCATCTTCTTCATCAATCAGCAACTCATCATCATCCAAGTATATATATTGATCCTCTGTATCAGATCGATAATCAATTGTATGCTGCGGCAGTAAAATAAGAGGATCTTCATTATTATTTGAACTCATCATCTAATAGTGACATTAAAATTGAAATAAAAAGCCATTGATTGAAATTGCAATCGGCTATAAATTATTTTTCCGCGCGATTCCTACAATTTACAAAGGGCTTATAAAAAATTTATATTAAACTAAAACAATTTGCCGAACCAGCGACAAACATCTTAAACTTTTTCCTGTAATAAATTTTCAACATTGTCAATCTCGGGTTTATTAGATTCAACTTTAAATAAACCTTTTTTATGATTTTCTAAAAATATTTCTTGAGTATCATGTTTTACATTATTTAAAACTATTTTATGAGCATTTCTAGCAGGTAATCTTGTATCAAATAATTTATCCATATCTTCTAAAGCAATACCTTTTGTTTCTGGTAATAAAAAGTAAACAAATGGAATTGTAAGAATAGCTAATGAAGCAAAGAAAAAATAGATACCATATTGCATAGCACTAATCATATTTGTTGTAAGTCTTGACATTATAAAAATTGGAATCCAAGAAGCTGCTGCATTGATAGCTTGAACAAATGAACGAATATTTTGATCAAAAACTTCTGCACCAACGACAAATGGACCGCCAGACCAAGCTAAAATAAAAGAAGCAATCCAAATGTACATCATTGCAATAGCTGCTTTGCCACCTGGACCAGGCAGAACTCCTGGTTTAGTAGGATCATTAATTTTTAAATATGCACCAATATACCAAAAACATAATGAACATACTGTTGAAGAAGTCATAAATGCTTTTCTTCTACCAAAACCATCAACAATAAATAAAATATAAATAAATGTACAAACAAATTTAACAACACCAAACATACCAGTTGAAAATAAAGAAGCATTTGTACCTTTAACACCTAAACCTTGAAATAATATTGGAGAATAATAGTTAATTGATTGAATACCTAAAAAATTTGTTATAACATATAAAAACATGGTAATTCCTAAACGATGTAAAACTTTTCTATTTTTAAAGAAAACTTCAAAAAATGGATCTAATATACCCAAACCAATTCTATTTTTTTGTTCTTCAATTGACTCTTTTACTTGATTAACTTCATAAATTATATATTCATGATCTTCTGGTAATTGTCTAAACCATGTCAAATTTTTAATAGCATCATCATCTCTACCAACTTGCATTAACCATCTTGGTGATTCTTTCATAAAAATACTGCCCAAAAAGAATAAACCACTTGGAATTAATTGTACAGCAAATGGAATTAACCATTGTTTTTTACTTGGAGCTATATGAGAATCAACAGCATAATTAATCCAAAACCCAACCAAATCTCCAACTCTCCAACCAATTTCATAACTACTTGTTAATTGACCTCTAATTGAAGATGGACTAATTTCAGATAAATAAACAACAGTTAAATTAGTTGAAAAGCCAACTGCAATTCCTGCCAACACTCTTCCTGCATAAATTGGTCCTAATCCAACACTATGACTTGAAGCTAGCATGATAGCAGATCCGACGGTAATTAAAACAGCTGCAAATATTAAAGGAATACGTCTACCAAAGTAGAACGAAAAGGGATAACTGAGAATTGCACCTCCAAAAGCAGAAATATGAAATGACTAGATATTAGTATTTTGATCATGAACAATAAGTCAATACATACTGATATGACATTTGAAATAATTGAATTGGAATGTGAAGAATCATCTAAACCAAACTCGTTTTTAAAAGATTCCAAAGCTACTGTACCACCAATGAAACCACCATCATAACCAATTATAATTGCAGCAGCAGAAGCCATAACAGCAGTTAAATATATTCTATAATTATATACTTCTTTTGGTGTGGGTCTATCTTCTACTTTTTCAAATATATTTTTAAAATTAAACCCTGATTTCTTTTTAGCTCTTGTTGTTGACTCCGATTGTTGAACGCTTATAGAATCTGGATACTTTGATAATAAACTGCTTGAAATCGCTTTTTCATCCATCATTGTATGGTTAATAATTCTATAAGGGATATTGTGATGAATTTATATTGAAAAATTAAGAAGTTGATGGTCATTTTAGTTTGAGTTTAATTTTTAGTTTGATTTTAATTTTCAAAATGGTTTAACCCATCCCACATTGACTTCTTTTTTAGTTCTATCGTTCGTTTTACTTCACTTGTTTCTCTCCTTTCAATACGATGGATTCGTTTCAGATTAGCCAAGGCTTGATTGATATATTCTATAAGCAGTATGTTGACATAGCTTCATTGATTCTATCTTGTAATCCTGGAGAATTGATTCTACGTTTGGATATTGTTTATGAGCCTTGAGTTTAATTTATCCCCCAATTTTGTGGGGTGTGGGGGAATTTGGAGGTAGCCTTTATTTGAATGAACTGGAATGATTACCTCTATTAAATGAAAGGCTAATTTGATCTTACATGTAGAATTGCATCTATAATTTGTGGGGATAATGATCCCTAGATATAATACAGATCTAAAAATTGGGGGCTTTTCGAGCTCAAAAATTGATCAAAATATCAAAAACACTACTGAATGTTATTTCAAGTGGAGTTTGATCCATCTTGAGTGTATATGATCCTAGTCTATACTACACTCTTGAATGTCAATTTTAGAAGGCTAAAATACTGCCACGACTTGAATTTAATTACGCGCTACTAACGCGTTATTTTTTTATTCTTTTTTTCATTCTTTCGATCAAAACAATTAATTTAGGGCCATTAGAGATCTAATTTAAATCTTACAAAATTTAAAGATCTATTCAACATTAGATGTATATAACTCCAAACAAATACCCTCAGGTAATACTAGACATTAAAAAAACATCATTATCTCATAGCACTTGTAAATTGGTCATTTTTGTTTCATGTTTAGATGTTGATGCATTATGTGCAGCTAAAGTATTAAGTTTACTATTTAGAAAGGAATTGATTCAATATCAATTAATACCGGTCGTAGGCTATAGTGAGCTAAAGAATCATTACGAGAAATTAGATGTTGAAGTTTTAAATGTTTTAGTAATTGGTTGTGGTGCCATGTTAGATTTAGAAGAATTTTTTGAAATCACATCAAGAAGAAAAATTTATTGCATTGATGGTCATAGGCCGTGGAATTTGGATAATATATTTGGGTCTAATAATATTATATGCTTAGATGATGGTTCAATTGACTCAAATTTGCAAAAAGAAAAGACATCCTATCAATTTTTGCTTGATAATAATGAATCGGAGTCCGAATCTGAAGAAGAATCAGCGAATGAATTAACTGATGTTGATTCATTAGCAGACGAAGAAATAATTATTAGATCTCAAGATTCTGAGGAAACTGTAACTCACAAGAGAATGCAACACAAAGAACAACTAAATCGACAAAATAAACAACGTCGGAAAGAGATATCAGACTGTCAAGAAATCATTCAATCTTATTATAATCAAGGGTATACATTATCAACATCAAATTCAGCCACAGTTTATGCATTGATTGCATCCATAGGTGAAACCAATCTTGACAATTTGTGGTTATCAATTATTGGAACATCATCACTCGATTTAAATTATCCCGAAATTTATGATAAACTTTTTCCAATGTTAAAAGATGAAGTAAAAAGAAATCAATCTATTTCTGCTGATGTTACTATAAGTATCGAAAAAGATTATCAATTATTCTTACTACGACATTGGACGTTATATGATTCATTTTTTTATTCAAGTCATGTTAATTCAAAATTAAATCTTTGGACAGAAGATGGTAAAAAGAAATTACACAAATTATTTGCTAAAATGGGAATTTCATTGACTATGGCACAAGAAAAATGGTTATATATGGATGCTAAAATGAAAAGACAATTACCAATTGTATTTAATAAATATCTTCCAATGTATGGATTAGAGAGCATAGTGAGAGTAGGTTTTGTGAAATCATTTGGTTTTATAGGACTGTTATCAGCAATGGAATGTGTAGAAGCATTAACTGCTTTATTAGAACAAGGTAAAAAAATAGATGATAATGATGAAGTTCAAAATGAAAATGAAAGGATTCAAAATCAAATTAAATATAAAGAAAAACAATGGATAAATAATTTTTGGTCTTCATGGGATGCATTAAGTAAAAAAGATTTACTACTTCAAGGTATTGAATATGCAAAAATGGTTCAACAGATAATTTTTCGAACAGGTATGTCGTTGTTAGAAAGAAAAATGATTAAAAATTTAAAACTTTATCGATTATGTGTTTTAAATGATGGTGCAATTCCAGATTTGGAAATTTTTAATAATCCATTAATGTTGTCAAAATTGGGTGCATGGCTTATAGAAAATTTAACTGAGTTGGATTTTGTTAATGGAATAAAAGCTCTAAAACCTTTAGTTATTGCAAGTTTGGATGCTAATAGTGATAGTTATTTAGTTATTGGAGTTGCACCAAAATATCCAAGAGGTTTAAATATTTCAGAAAAGGCAAAATTAGTGCAACAAAATGGGAATAATATTGCAACAACAAGACTCAATACATTTAGTGTTGCATTTCAACATCTTTCAAATACATCAGGTGCAAAAATTCGTATTGATAGTTTTAATAGTTCAGTTATTGAAATTAGAAAAGATGATTTATCACCATTTTTAGAAAAATTAACACTAAGTGGATTAATATAATATGTATATATATTCATGGATACTCATTTGGTCTTAATCCAAAGTAACCTTCTGGTGCTGTAGTTGCATTTAGTCTTGCTAAACCACCCATACCTTCAATACCAGCGAATGAAACTGTATTTCCCCACCAATTTAAATAATACTCTTTATATTGAACAGCAAAGAATATTAAAATTGCAGATGCAGCTACACCAGCATCCATTGCACAACTGAAAACAAAATTATATTTTGACCACCAAGCCAAGTAACGAGATTTTAAATACCACATTGATGCGATACTTAAATATAAACTTCCAGTTATATATGATAAATTATAAGGTGCATAAATTAACATACCACCAATTATAACACTAGGTTGAAAATATTTCGTGATTCTTTTTGGACCATACTTTTTAAATGCAATGGCAGGAAAAGCTAACAAAAATCCAATCAAAAAACACCAAGCTAATATTGGATAGAGACCACCAAATACTTTTCTTGGACCAATCACCCCCCATAATATTGAGGCTGTATAAAATACTGTTGAAGAAGGACAGGTAAATTTCTGTGTATTTGTGTAATCACAATAATTGGGAATATTATCAATTGTGAAATTCATGACTGCTAAACCGACAAAAGATGAAATCAACACAGAAAACATTTGACAACGGAATACAGCCCTTGGAGCTATCTTAAGGTAATGCCCGAGCTTTTGATCTGAAATATAACTAGTAGAGGTTAGTATTAATCCTGCACTATTTGCCTTGCCAACATCTTGTAATTTGATTGTACATACTTTTGAGCTTGACCATTTATATTATAACCAAAAGCTTTAATAAACATCAACGCCAAACCATTACCTTCTAAAGCATAACCTGTTATGACTTGAAAAGAAGTTAGTAACTAACTACATAAAAATTTTATATGATAACATACTTTGGACTTGAAAAAAGTTAGTATTAAAAACGATTGAACAATGATTAGTATACTTACCTAAAACATTTAAACCTATCTGATAACCTGTAGTTGAAAATATCATCGTTAATGGGAACAAGAAAACAAGATTTATACCTAAAGCAAAGAAAAGACCCCATATTGGTGTTTGAACTTGACTGTAAACTGAAACACAAATGATCCCAAAAACAATTGAAACAACCAAAACAAGAAGAAATACCCAATCAGGAACCTCTTTATACTTTCTCATCATTATTGTTTGTGGATCATTGAAACCCTCGTAAACGGACAATTTCAAATTTCTAAAACCTCTAATAAGCTCTTTGATAGCACGGAGCATGGGTTTTCCATTTATAAAACATTCATAGACAATTGAAAATGGATAAAATGCAATAAATGAACCATAAAGTACTAGATTAGCAGCAGAATAATAAGGTGGACCCACAGATTCATATTTAACTTGATCAAATAGATTATTGTCATCAACAACATTTTTGACATCATATCGAACTCCCTGTTGGTCGAACAAGTATGGGGAGTTGATTGGTATATAACTTGTCCATTTGTAGTTCGTATACCAAAGGGCAGTAATAATGAAAAATGCAATGGAACTACCAAGATAGAAGCATACCTGTGAGTAAAAAGGTAAAATTAAACCACTATTATAGTTTATAAGATTCCAATCAAATGAAGGAATTGGATTTAAGCCTAAACCTGTAACAAATCCTGTAACTGCTACCAAGTCAACATTATTTGGTGAAATCCAAGTTGTCCAATTAAAATAGGATAATGCATTGAAGAGATAAGTTGGAATCCAATTATACAAAAATGAAATCAATAAAACACTGAAAAACCAACGATAACGCGAAATTGACCAACCATTGATTATTTCCTTTGATTCTGGTTGCAATAACGCTTTATTTAAAGCAATAGTTGGAAGAATTGTTGGCCAAACAGCTCTTGGACTAAAAACAGCAAATCTTCTAATTATTCCAGCAAACCCAATTCCCATGTAATTTGTAGCTAATATTAATAAAACTTGATAACCCCAATCAGCCCATTGATTATTATAAAACCTTTCAACTCTTTGAGCATGAATATTATAAGAAACATATGCTAAAAACTAGTTAGTAACCATCAATTGTTGTATCCTTAAGTACATACAAACACCCGACGAAACTGAATAAAAAATTGTTGCCAACATTTGTTCTTTATGATTCCAAGGACCAGGATTTAAATCAATGGTAAATTTCCATAATTTCAACTTGTATTTTGGTAAAATTTTTGCAAGTATTAAACCACATGGATAAAGAAATAATTGAACTACAGCTGGTGATAAAGATATTGCTGGTTGCCTTTCAATGAAGAATTGATTAATAAATGTACCTAAAGCAGTCCAAATAGTACCCAAGATATAGACTCTTAATGTTTCAGCAGGAATTGAAGGATCGTCATATGGATCAGTAACACTTCTAACTTCAGGATATGGTGACCAATATGCAATTAAAGCAGCTTCTAATCTAATTTGTAAATTCAAATCAACAATTTTATATTCATTAATTTGAGGATCTTCATCAGTTGAAACTTCTTTTATATCCTCAGTCCAAGCCTCTTTGGAATTTTCCTTGAACTCAGAATCTACACTAACTTCTTTTGAATCCTTTGCGTCAACCAATTCTTTAATAAAATCAAAATCAGCAGTTGGAAAATTGACATCATGTTGGTGTTCTTTTAATGTTTCTTCTAGAATTGGAATAGCCGTTTCGACACTCAAGTTTTCAACTTTTTCAATCATAAATACAGCAGCTGGAGGTAATGATTCTGAATCAATGATGTTATTTAAATTTAATCTTTTCAAAATTAATTGTTTTTGAAAATCGTTAAAAGATGTTGTAAAATTACTTGAGGTAATAGTTTGAAGATTAATCTCATGGTCTTCAACATCCATTATTTTTTCATTAGTTGCGGTACTTTGAATACCACTTAAATCTCTTTGAGGCATTTGTTAATAAATTATAGACTCTAATTCAATCCAAAACATGGTCTATTTATACAAAAGTTAATAATTTCGATGCCTTATCAGCATTTACTCGACGAAAGTAACATAATAAAATAATTTCAGTCAAGGATTCCAAAATTTTCACAATAATATCTTATTTTATCGAATATTGCCTTGAAATTTTCACATCCAATTCTGAGTTATCTTTTTGTTATCTAAGTTTGTAATATAACTTTAAGCTCGTAATATTAAAAAGCTCGGCAGCGTACGGCACTATGATGATTCAAAGAATTTATACGATCAAATATGTATTTTTAACAACAAGTTTATTTTCTTCCTCACTCACCTCAGTCTGTAAGTCATTATCAGTATCTTTATCTCAATACGACTACTTTAATTTGAGTTAAAAACATGAATTGGAACATTCTGCCAAGTAATGGAAACCATTGAATATATCGAAAAAAAGTCATTTGATAACAAGTTGAATAGTTTTTCTCGACTTTGTTCCTTGGCTCGATTCTTTGATTAGCCTTATTAAATCAAATCACTATTATTTGATTTGGAAAATACTACCGGAAGTCTTATTTGAACCCCAATTTCAAGACTGCTGCCGTTCGTCTTAATTTTTTTTTTTTCCTTTTTCGCATTATTTTTTGCGTTTATGCAATGAACAATAATTTAATTTAGATACATGTTGCATGGATCTGCTAAAAATTGTTTCAATATGAGTGACATAATCTAATAAACGTTAATTCTTATACAAATATCGTAAATTACGATAAAAGTACCTTTAAACCGAACGAGAAATCAATTTTAATGTCTAATATATATTAAATTATCTAAATAATACAATTATTAGTTTCTAAAAAATGCCTATGAATTGTAAGTTTATTAAAGTCATTATTTCTCTTCCTTTAATTGCAAAGCTGGTTGCGACTGTTGTGGTGAAGTTTGATCTTGCTGTTGAGGTTGAGATGTTGAAGCTTGTGGAGATTGATTATTAGAAGCGATTGATGCAGGTACAGCCTGTGGTTGAGGTTGATGTTGTTGTTGTTGGTAAGAATAAACTCCATAAGTATTTGAGGCAGCAGCACCTGGTTGCTGTTGTTGTTGATAACTATTATTATAACCTTGATAAGGATAATATTGATTATTATTTGCATTTGGATAATAACTAGGTTGATAACCATAGACTTGTTGTTGAGGATGTGGATGTTGAAATTGAGCTGACTGACTATCATTCAGATTTGATGGTACTGATTGCGGTTGATCTGAAGCCGCAGATTGTGCTGGAGCTCCATATTGACTATATTGTTGTGGATATTGTTGATTATAATTTTGATAATAAGATGATGTGGTAGTAGTCGATGGTACAGTAGTTGATGTATTAGATTTTATAGGACTTGTTGAACTTGTGTTTGATGAAGATTGTCCATTATTATTATTATTTGAAGTAGCAGTAGTATTATTATTACTATTAGTGTTATTATTATTGGCATTTGGTGTGACTCCAGTTTGAATAACACGTTTAATATCCCTCACAAATAAAGGATATAATAGATCAACAATACCTTCACGTTGTGCCATTGCTAGAGCCCTTTCAAAAGGTATCCAAACACCTTTTAAATGCATTGAACCAATTTTAACAACATGTCTAACTTTTTCAGATTTTAATATTCCATCTCTTCTACCTCTTGTCATTTGAGCAACATTTAATAATTTAGTACCATTAATCATATTATTATCAGCTCTTCTAACAACAGAAACATTATTAGCATCAACTTGATAACATAAAGTTTTTTCATCTTCCCACATTGTTGTTGTAACTCTTGGTCTAAGTCCAGGAGGTTGAAATTGTCCAACAGTAGATGTACTTGATAGATTTAAAGTATCTTGAACAGGTTCAGGTTGTTGATTATTTTGAATTGATTGATGTTGATTGTTCGAAGACGCATGTTGTTGTTGTTGTTGTTGCTGTTGTTGTTGTTGCTGTTGTTGTTGTGGAGTTGTAGTAGATGGTATTTGTGGAGCAGAAACATTTGCGAAATTACGATTAGTTGCAGTATAATGCTGTGGTTGAGATTGTGGAGCAATTGGAGGCTGCTGCTGTTGTTGTTGCTGAGGATGTTGAGATTGAGGAATTTGATTTGGAATTGGTTGTTGTTGATAATAGCTTGCAGCTGGATATTGGTATCTATTTTGATAAGCAGAAGCTGTTGTATAATCACCTTGAGGTTGTGGTTGATGCTGTTGAGCCTGTGGTTGTTGTTGTGGTTGTTGTTGTGGTTGTGGTTGTTGCTGATTAAACATGTAATAAGATGCATATGGTTGCTGTTGTTGTTGATTTGATAAATTTGAATTTGAAGAACCACTTGAAGGTGGGGGTGGTGGTATTGAATTATTATAATTTCCATTCATTTGATTTAGATGCGGTATTGAATAAGTTGACATATAAGATTGTAATTAAATGAAAATCGAATAATGAAAACAATTAATATTAATATCTGATAAAATGTTTATATTATTATGTTTATCTTGAAATGGATAAAATCTGAATTGATAAAATCTGAATTGAGATCTTCACAGTTTGAAATTATATATTAAATTATTGTATTTGTATGGTTATGCAATTTGAATTGTACCAATATTATTCTAAGATAAATGATATAAAAGATATAAGTGATATATGATATTTGATATAAATGATATAAGTGATATTTGATATAAATGATATAAATGATATTTGATAAATTAACAATACTGAATAAATCAAAATATAAATATGATAATAATCAAATTTGATGAGTGAATAAAAATAAGTAATAAATAATAAAAAATAAAAATTGGTGCAGAATTTTTTTTTTTTTTTTTTTTTTTTATTTTTATCTTGAAATAAATTAAAAAAAAAATAAAATAAAATCCAATATAAATTAAATTTAATGTATTAGTATAAAAAAGTAAAATGTGCGTGTGCGTGTAAAATTAACTAAAATCTATTGCCTCTTTAGATTTAAATTCTTGTTGATTTATTATGAATGATTTTTTTTTATTTGTATTATGCAAGGGACTAACTATGCAGCAGTGAATTTTATTTAATAGAATTTTATTATATTTAAGATTTTGATTTCAAACTTCGATATTGATTGAAATTGATTGAAATTAATTGAAATAAAAATGAAATTGATCGTTAAAATTACAAGTTTTACTTCTCAATTTGAACTGTTAATGTGAGGTTGAAATTTTGAAAGTATAAATTTAAAAAATTAGTCAAAAATATTTTATTATAGTTGAAATTGAAGATAGTTATTTTGATAATTATTTTGATAATGTTAAAATCTATAAATATTATGAAAATTAACTAAACTATCGTCTCAAGAAACTTAAGATAGTTTTTAGGTTTGATGATACAACACAGGGATGGGTAATTTTGATTGTAGATTTAAAGTATCTTTCTTCTTGATTGAATTAATATTAAAATTAATGGTTTTTCAAAATTGATTTTGACTTTGCTTTTAATGAAAGAACTTTCAGAAAAAAATTTGTGACAATCAATTTGATATAAATAGATTTAAAAAGTGATCAAAATTATGAATTTATTTTTGAATTGTTTTTTTTTTTTTTTTTTTTTGAATTTTTTTATTTTTATTTTTATTTTTTTTTTTATTATTATTTTTTTTTTTTTTTTTTTTTAAAAATAACTATCAACTTACAAAATATCATTAAATTATACGTTTCCAACCGATGATCTGATGTACCTTAATGATTTTTGACGATATGTAAATGTATAATGACACGCTTTTACTATGTACTTCATTGGCCCCATGTGTGTATGGAGGTTTTTAATTATATATGGGGTTAAGATTAAAGAAGAAATTTTAACATTGGTGGTTTGTATCAAGTTAATTAATTTTACACCCTTTCTTGACATCTTTTTGTAATTAATCAGCACAAAATCACATTTGTGAGTTCAAATGCTGTTGTTATTCAGAAGAGTTTTGTGAGTTCAAAAGCTGTTGTTATTCAGAAGAGTTTTGTGAGTTCAAATGCTGTTGTTATTCGGAAGAGTTTTGTGAGTTCAAATGCTGTTGTTATTCAGAAGAGTTTTGTGAGTTGTATATTGAAACTAAAAAAGAGCTTATTCAACTATATAAATGTTGTAAGGTTGTTAAGAAATCTTTTTCCATAGTTTGAATCTAGATCACAATAACTGGGTAATTTTTAATTTTTTTTTTTCTACCATTTCGTCGTTTAAAAATAATAGAAAAAAAAAGTCATAAATTATAAAATAGTGGACATTACATTTAGATTATAATTATGGCAAATGTTTCGAACAAGTTTCAATTAGAATTATCACCGTCTTTTATTTGCTGTTAAAGTACTGTTGATGGCATTGATGACCTTTCATCTTTGCTCGTTGAATTTCAGTCGGATTTGAAATTATAAAAATGTATAATAAACTCCTTTTCGAAACACGTAGATAGGATTTGATTATTAGCTCTGTATATAATCATTCATCTAATTAATTTTGTACTCCTATTGTAGTTTTAGATTTTTTTTTTTTTTTTTTTCTTTTTTTAATTATCCTCGGAATAACCTCGTAGTCAGTTTCTGTTATCTATCTAATTTTATATTCTTAATTATATTTTATTGTTATTGTGATGATGTTGGAATTTCTGTTAATGTTAATTTAATCAATGACTGATTATTAATTACAAAACGTAGAAGAAGAAGAGTAATTGTAAACTAAGTCGTACGACTTTTTTTCAAAATCTATTGTAAAACAAGTTTACGTAGAATCATCTGTATGTTTTAAAATTTAAATAGTTTCATGTAAATGGAATTATATTTATAGATATTATTATTGACAACGTTCAGATGAGAATATGTGTTAAACAATGATTAATATCATTTTTACTGATTTCAATGCAATTAGATCATGTACAACTAATTAAAATTAATACAATCAATTTATCAAAATCATTTAAAAAACAAACATTAAAATTTTATAAACTAAACGTATATAAATTCATTGATTAAAGAAAAAAAAATTATTCGTATGTAAATTGTTGATAATTTAAAAATTGGTTGCCAGTTAGTAAATTTTAGTTCTATTGTTTGAAACCTTGGAATGATAAAAAATGCATCATCCACTAATGTTTAATATTTATTAAAGGGAAAAAGGAATATATAATGCATATATTATGTACGTACAGTAAAAGCCAGTAGTTGTACATTGAAAACAGAAGTACATTGAATACAAAAGTACCACATGTGATTTATGAAACAAAACAACTGTATAAGTTTGATAATTTGATGTCAATTTGTGCATTGACTATAGTATAATCAATTCTATGTATACATTTGCCTCAAAGTACAAAATAAAATAAAATAAACTAACTATTATTTATTTCTTTAATTAAATAGGCAAAAAATTGCTTTAAATTAAAACGCAGTATGTCCAAACTATTATACACTAATACACGCTAATCTTGTTTCCCTTTCTCTATTATATACCTTTCAATTGAATCTAAATGTTCTCTCACTTTATCACTTTTCCCTGTATACTTTTATTTAGATTATACATAATTATCACTTTTTACATAAAGCTTATAAAAAACTAGTATGAGTATAATAATATGTTGTAAAAGAAAATGGGTTGTAAAATTTGTGAGAAATGGCCCATGTTGACTATTGTTTTAATCTGAAAAATTCTTGATTTAATTAACTTTAGATTATTGAATTTAATTTAAATCACGACTAAACACCTTTTACAGAAATATATCCACTGTTTAATTCACGTGACTTTCGAACAGTACTTACATACAACATTGCATTTTTTATTAGCTTAGTCAATGAATTTTTCACAAGAGTATTGAACATTCAATTTGGTTCATAACTACTTAACATTTGAAAAATTGCATGGTTTTAGAGATGCATACATTCTTATTATGTAATAATTTAGTATATTTAGATAGTAAACATAAAAAACATCAGCCCATATTTGCATATTCTGTAGAATAACTTAAGTTTTTAAATCAAGTTTTTAAATCCACAACAACAAGAATAACAACAGTCAAGTAATAATATAAAAATTTTAGAATTTTAGTTTTAAAGCAACCCAAAAAATGACATAGTATAGACTCGTACTAGAATCAGGTGAGACGTGTATCTAGAGCCTATATGAACTAATTTATATCTAAAAGCTCATTCACAATGTTAATTTTTAGTTTTCTTTTTTTTTTTTTTTTCTTTTCTTTGTGTGTTTTGCGCAGATCTCGGATCTAGGATCTGGGATCTATTTTTTGTTTTTGTGTATTCCTTTTTTATAATATTAATATTATTATTTACAATTTCATTTCATTTTTCAATCTATCGAGTTGATACAAATTGAAACAGCAGATATTGAAATGGTATTATTATTCTTAGGCTCTTAATCCTTTAATCCCCCTAAATACTTATAACGATCAAGTAATGAATAGAATGAATTTGAATGTATTATTTTCAAAATGCTCAGAACTCGAAGCTTTTATTAATTTTGTGTTTTCTTTTCACTTCGCTACGGTTTACTTTAATCATGCTAGTAATCTAGAGCTCCTATACTTATTGTCTAAAAATTGTAAATCATGAGTAGATAAACTTTTTTAATAAACTAAAAATGCAATTCTTAAAAATAATTTACGCATTTGTTTGGTTGAAACAAAATAATGCTTATGTAAGTTGTATCCTTTACAACAATTCATGAATTAAACAATCAATGAATCGAAACTAGTAGTTGTGAGGTTTTACTGATAATTTAATCTTCTTTGAAAAGAATCATGGAACACTGATTTCATTTACATGTTCTTTGTCCCTTTATTTAAAGATTTGTAACCCATTTGCATACATCATGCAAAATATGCACTGTTGACTCAAACATGGGTTTTTTTTATTTATCGACGCATTTTTTGACAAATATTGTGGTAGAACATTGCATTATGCCTTATCCTATAGTTTATAGCACAGTTTCTCATCATTTTCGCGTTTAATTATGCTGCAATGTAATATTCGTATGTGTTTCTCATCATTTTCGCGTTTAATTATGCTGCAATGTAATATTCGTATGTTTATTTTCTTAAATAATACATTAACGAAAAATAAACGAAAAAAATTAATAGTTTCCTGATATGATCTGTCAATTTTGGTAGACTTCCTTCAACGTTAATTTTTGTAATTTTTGATCAAGGCTAGCTTATTTAAGAAGCAGTAGCAAAAAATAAAAAATAAACTTTGTAAAAACAAGTTAAAATGCGCCAGCCGCGAATCGAACGCGGGGCCCAACGATGGCAACGTTGGATTTTACCACTAAACCACTGGCGCCTGTTTGTTGACAATGAAAATTATAAAATATACTAATGAATTAAAATATCAGCAAGTGCAACAACATATAACCTTCGGCTATTAAACAACTAATTATTTTTATACTATTTTCAGCAATGACGTAGCTTTTACTATTTAAATTAGTACTTTTTTGTACTCATTCATAAGTAAAAAGTAAATTTCTTACATCATAGAAGTTTATACCTAGTTTTTGCAAAAAATAGAACATTTTCAAGTCATGAAAAGTTAAATACTAGCAAAACTCTGAACTAGTGGAAAGTTAAAGCTTATTCAGGTACAATATTTAACAGCTGAGGTAAACTACCATAAACAACGTGTTATACATTAATTATCGTATCTTGATTAACGATCTTTTTGTGATTGGTACAATAGTGTTACAGTGCTGTATGAAAATGGGTAACGGTACCAGATCTCGCCTTGAGTTAAAAATTTGACCGACCATGTTCTAGTTTTTCGTACGTGGACTGTTGATCATTTCGGATGCATAGTTGACTTAGATGCAGTATCATTACAGTTGATCTCAAAATTTAATTTGCCTGTAACTCCCTCAATATTAAAGCTATAGTTGTCGGACTTTTTCCAATAATACTTTATTAAACTCAAGTTACTTTGGATTTGGTATCATTGAATAAGATTTGATCACGATTTTCTTGTGACTCATTTAAAAAATGGTAAAAACCCTCAATTTCAATACAATCATTACTTAAACTTCATTTCGCAACATGTAAGATAATTTTCAATTTAAGTTGAGATGAGCTGAAATTGCATGTAACCCTTTAGCTTGAGGTGTAATATGTATAACCCATTGTTTAATTGGAAGTTATGGTCCTAAATTGAAACTTATATTCTTATTTTTGCAAAAACTTTGGTGAAAAAATGCCAAAATGTCAATTTGATAAAAAAAAGTTAAAAGTTCAAGATTTGAAGCATCTGGAGTATATAATTTAAAAATTCTAATTTCGAATAAGTGGTGTTTATCTTGAGATAATTCCTTGTTCATGACTTATAAGCCGATTTATTTGGACGAGTCGCAGCTAACGCGAGAGAAAAATTATGTTCGTACCAGTTTTGGGCGAGTTTTGCAATTTATAAAAAATACACTCATAATATTATTGTTACCAACTTAGCCACCTGATATAAGTGTCCATTTTTTAAACCACAAGAAAGTTTAAAATTACCCAGCTACAATATCTAGGAGCTAAAGTATATTCAAATGATAAACGAACACTTCATTAATTATCAAGAATATTTATGAGTAGAGTAAGGTCCATTACACAGTTCTAAATTTAATTTTGTACCACAACAATCACTTTAGATAATTGGAAAACAGCTCTGGGATATTAAACAAATGTTTTTTCGTAGATATACTTAAATTTAGTGTTGGTTCAGATAGTTTTTTAAACAAAAAAACAATGATTGACTCTCTATTTGGATAATCTGAATGGATATTGTTTGAAATGTAACGCATATGTATTCTATGTCCTACTTTGAATTTATGTAATTTCTCCATTTCTCAAGTACATGTGGTTTTTGTGTATCAAAAGTTTTCATTAATCGAAATGTAAATTACGTAGGTGGATTAGCAAAATATATGTCGTTAAACTAGTTAGCATTATCAAGTTATTCAATCTCATTTGCTAGGTTTGTATAATTATATGTTAATTACTATATACAAATAAAACATAAGACCATTTAATGTTTCATATAATTACCAATGGGACCTCTAAATAATTCTTTAATTATTTTTTTATTTACCACAGTTTCCTTAATTATATCGTCGACATCTTCCGGAAATACTCTTCCATACCATATGAAATCCTTCGGACTTGAAGTTTCTTTAGGATAATATAATACATTACCAGCATATTTATGACCACCAATATGAGTTATTTGACCATTATAAACTGAATTAATATAATCTTTCTTCAACCTAGAAGTGAATTCATTTTGTAGAATTGGACCCATAATTCCACATCTAATATCACGTTTAGCATGTCCACAAGTTAAAACTAGATCCTTACCAATTTCAAATTCTTGAAATAAATTAGAATCGATTGAATTAATATCTATCGAGATATTTAATTTCTTTTCTTTAATTTGTGGTTTAAATGGGTTGTAAACATCTTGAATTTGTTCTTTATATAAGTATTTGATTATAAATTCATAAGTATTTCTCAAATTAAATCTAATAGCAATATTATCAGGATATAAAAACACCAACTGTTGATCTGAACCTTCTTTTAAAGAAAATCTTTTTAAAATCTTTTGATGATTTTCAAAAACAATACTAGATATCAGTACTCTTTGATCTTGATATAATTTTTTGAATTTTTGCATTTCAAAAGCTAATGTACCTTTCCAATCTTCTATTTTAGAATTGAATTCTTCCATTTTATTATCTTTGGTAGTCAAACACATTATATGTTTTGATGGTATTGCACTTGTATAATTTAAATCACCACTTAAATCAATTGGAGCATCTTGAGGGAATTTTATACATGAACATGCCCTTGCACGATCCAATTTTGTCACATTATCTATTAATTTCCACGGTATACTATAATACCTTTTATGAAGTAATAACCTATTCATACTTGAAACATGGTTCAGAAGTATTTTTTTTTTTTTTTTTAAATTAATTTCGGAGATACCAAGATCTCGATCCGTGATTTACATACATTCATTCTATGAAGCTTTGTTTTAATTTCCAACCTTTTTTTACACCATCCCAATCCGCAATTTCCCTTAGCATTGATCTAACTAAAACCATATCTTGTTCATTTGCCATTTTAATATTTGAATTTTTTATTATATCATTTGATTTACTAAAATGATCATTTTGTTCTAATAAAAAATCAACTAATGCTTCAACAGTTTTCTTTCTATTTAAAAGTTCAGGCATTTCATTATTATCTTGTAATTCATTTTTTTGTTTTAAGTTTTGTAAAATAGAACTCGATGAATTATTTTTGTTATCAATTTTTCTTCTTTTAGTACCAAACTTACCAGCACTTCCAAATTTACCAGTCCATGTAGGTGTACCAATTTCATTCTTTCTTGTTAATAATCTTGATTTCTTCAAAGCTTTTGCAGCTTCATTTGCAAGTTTATCCGCTTCTTGTTCAATTAAATTAACTTCTTGATTTTTTGAATCTATTATTTCGTCATGTTTTAATGTTGAATGAACTCCACTATTTGAAAATATCCCCGCCATTAATCTATTTTCATCATTTTTATTTTCTTCTTCATCTTCACCATCTTGAAATTTATCCAATTTTGAAACACCTGCAATGCTTGACACTTTATAAAAATCATCATCATTTTTGAATTTCATTTTCATTAAACTTGTTGATTTCCGTTCTTTCGTACCACTAAATTTTTCTTCATGACCGTTATTAAACAAATCTCCTGTTTCTGTTCCAGTTTCATTTTGATCACCCAAGGTAAATAAATCATGTAACTCATTATTTTTGAAAAATCTTCTTTGCTTTGGATCTTTTAAAATTTTATTTGTTAAAAAGGTCTTAAAAATTTGACGATGGTAAATTTTCTCTTCAATAGTCCCAGTTGTCATTAATCTATAAATTGTAATATCTTTCTTTTGACCTAATCTCCAAGCTCTTTCTCTTGCTTGTATATCAGTAGACGGATTCCAATCCGGATCAAATATTATAACTCTATCAGCACCAGTTAAATTAACACCTAAACCTCCAACTTTTGTAGTTAATAAAAATACGTGAATTTGTAAATTATTATTAAATGAATCAACTAAACCTTGTCTCTTACCAATTGGGGTACTACCATCCATTCGTAAGTAATTAAATTTTTGATTCTCATCATCAAGTAATGATAAATTTGCAACAAATTTCTCCAAAATATCCAACATTTGTCTTGTTTGACAGAATAATAATGTTTTATGTTGTTGTGATTGCCAAATTTGTAATAAATTTTTTAGTACTAACATCTTCCCTGATTTATTCGGGTTTCCATAGTTTTTTTTATGCATCAAAGCTTCACGATAAAGTAGATCAGGATGATTGCAAATTTTCCTTAATACATCTACACCCATTAAAACATTTCTTTTACCTTTTAAAATTGAATCTAGATCCTCACTTGATAAAAATTTTTCATACAAATCTTGTTGAATTTTTGTTAACTTGACAAATAATACCATTTCATTTTTTTTAGGTAAATCTTGAGCTACATCACTTTTTAATCTTCTTAATAGATAAGGTGAAATTAAATCTCTTAAAATTACTGCACATTTGTAAGCAGTTTTAACTTGTAAATTATTAGAATTTGCATACCCACCAGTATTTATAGGTATTGAAAATTGTTGTTGAAATACAGGTAAGGTTCCCAATCTACCAGGAAATACAAAATCAAACAATGACCATAATTCAATCAAGTTATTTTGAATTGGAGTACCTGACAAAATTATTCTATTAACGGTTTTAATTTGTTTGCATGTTAATGAGATTTCGGAATCAGGATTTCTAATTTTATGACCTTCATCCAATACCACATATCCCCATTGTCTTGGTAAAATATATTTTGAATAAATTCTTAACCCAACATATGTTGTAACTAATACATGACCCTTTTCCATGACTCTATCAACTATTTCTTTTGCATTGATTTGTGACTTGATTCCCTTAAAAGATGATTTCGACTCGTTCGTTTCGAGATATTCTTCCAACTTTTCCTCAGAAATTTCTGACTTTATCATTCCTGATCCAATGCTGTGCAAAATCACACATCTTAAAGGAGGCCACCACTTGTGAAATTCATTAACCCATTGATTTAAAACTGTAGCAGGCACAACAATTAAAACTGGTTTATCCAATAATCCACTATAGTGTAGACCTGCTATAAAAGATATTATTTGAATAGTTTTACCTAAACCCATTTCATCACCAATAATCCCACCGGTTTTTTGACTGTATAATTCCCACAACCATTGAACACAAGTTTTTTGGTAATCAAATAAAGATGGATATATATCCCCTGGTAATTTAAAACTTTCATCTAATTTAGCATCCTTTATTGTCGGAAGTGGTTTAAACCATTCTTCTTTATCCGAATGATCATCAATCTGTCGTAGCTGAGATCTTTTATTAACCCATTTTTTCAACCTATTCTGATATAAAAGTTCATCACCATCGTCAATATTTCTCTCATTAGCAACTGTGTCATCAAGTTCTTGTTTGTCATAATCATAATCGTCATCACTTACTTCAGTAGTCGCTACAAACCCTGGGGTTCTTAAATTTTGATGATTTTGTAGACCCTCTGCAGAATCTTCCAGTTGAAAAGCAATTGCAGATCCAAAAGCAGTGATTTTCCCTATCCTTATTAGATAATCCTTCTCTGATTCGTCAGGTAATCGATCAGTGGATATCGATAATTTTTTCTCCTTCGAATTCAAATCTCTAACACTTTGTTTTAATCTTGATTTTATATCATTTACATCTTGTTGTCTCGGTATTAATTCATTTTCTTTAATCCAATTTAGATCATTCTGTATAATTTTTCTTTCGCTTATCTTTGTACGTGAATTAGATAATTTAAATTCTAGTATTGAAATTTTTTTGATTACATTATTTAATTCTTTCGTTGCTTTCCCAAGTCTTTTTTCATCTAATTCTGCATCTTTTTCAATCAATTTTTGATTTGCCTTATTAGTAATTGATGTTTCTAACTCATTTTGATCAACTAATTTATATTCCACTTCGTTATCACTCATAGATAACAAAAATGTAGCAGCTATATTCATTTTTTTTTTTGATGCGCGCAACAATTTTTATTATAACATTAATACATTTTTTACACGATGATTCAATACTAACTATTTAATCTATTTAATCTTTAATTAAATCTTGTAAACGATTTAAACTATTTTGATAAACTTCTTCATCATTATCAGTAATTAATTCTTTTAAATTCAATTGAATATCTTCAACCACTTTATTATTTCTACCAATGTCTTTTGAAAATGAATTAAACCATTGTTGTTCACCTTTGCCAAATATTAAATTATAAGCTGCACCAGGTTGATTTGCTCTTGCAGTACGACCAACTCTATGAATATATTCTCTTGATGAATTTGGTAAGTCATAATTAATGACATCTGTAATGGATGTTATATCTATACCTCTAGCTATTAAATCTGTTGCAACTAAAATGTTGATACATTGATTGTTGAAATCTTTTAAAATTTTATTCCTAATCACTGCTTTATTATTTGTTGAATTTAAATATTGTACATTGATATTTAAATTTAATTCATTAAATAAAATTTGCAAAATTTTCGCTAGTCTGATTGATGATTCATTTGAACTTGTAAATATTAATATATTGGAAAGTTTACTTTGAGATATCAAAAATTTGGTTAGTATCAATGGTTTTATCGAATTCTTTGCCACACCAAAAACCATTTTAAACTCTTTAAGAGTTGAAGGTACTTGAAACATTTCATTAACTAATTGCTGCGAGTCATTTACAATTATTAGTCTTGGTTTTATAAAGTTTAAGCTCGATAATTTACCTGCATCAGTGGTTAGAGTAGCTGAAAAGATTAATTTTTGAACTGACAATTTCCATACTTTTGAAATATTTATATTTTGGTTGATCATATCTATGAGAATCAGTGACCAATTTTGGAAAGTTTGATTTAACAATTTATCAGCTTCATCAATAACTAAAAACCTCAACATTGATAGATCAATTGAATTTTGAGTGATATGATCAACTAGTCTCCCTGGCGTACTTACTATTATATCAGGAACAGAATTGAGCAATTTATTTGATTCTTCTTTAATGGAAATATCATTTCTTAAATTTACAATATTTAAATTTGTACCTTGTGATAATTGCAATAAAGTAGTTCGAACTTGATTTATCAAAGGTTTTGTAGGAACTAAAATAATAGCTCTAACTTTTGGAACAACCCTATCATGTAAAGCTTCTAAGATGGGTATCAGATATGCCAAGGTTTTACCCGAACCAGTTGATGCATTTACCAATATATCGCCAAAAGTATCTGGTCTCAATTTATTGGCTGTTATTTCGGGTATAATCATCTCTAATACAGCAACTTGAACAGCAAATGCATTATGAAATTCTAACTTTTTCAAATTTTTCATTATAAATGGTGAAAGGCTGAAATTTTCAAATGGTACTACGTCTGAAGTTGAAAAATATTGAGGTTGAGTAAGCCAATCAAGGTTCTTCAAATGACTTTTGTTAGATTTCAATCGTTCGTCTTCCGGCAAAACGGGTTGAGGTAAAGGTTTTAAATCTTCGTAATTTACCTCTTCTTCGTCCTTGATAAATTTATCATCAATATCTCTTGAAGATTCAGTAGATAGTTTAAATTTTTCAAAAATTGACGAGTGTTTCTGTGCATATGAAGTCTCTTGCAAACGTGATTCATGATTATTATCTTGCATTTCGACATCTGATTCTGGTTCCGATTTGGCTGCAACTTTTATATCAAAGTCATGTTCGTGATCAATTTGCCCTTTCTTTTCCTTAACATGTTCTATTTTTCGTTTCTTAAAGTTCATCAGTTCATTCTCTATCATATCGTTAGCTGGGTCATATCTAGTTGAAAACATATTACTACCTCATCCAAATAACTAACGGTAATCAAATTAACTAAATTATAAAAAAAAAAAAAAAAAAAAAAATTCAAATCTTTATTAGACATTACCAATTTTTGATGAATTCGTCAATACGATTATTACGTGCTAGATCAGTATGGAAAGGTCCATTTATAGTTCCATTACCAATAGCTCAAGCAATAAAAAATAAAACACCAATAAGAACGAAAGCAAGAAATTGTACAATTATACCACAATTTGTTGGAGTAAAATTTGAAATACATAATGGGAAAGATTTTGTTGAATTAGAAGTAACTGATGATATGGTAGGATCAAAATTAGGAGATTTTGCACCAACAAGAAAGAAATTCATGTATAAATATTCTAAAAATTAAATAAAATTTCATGTAAATATACAATGTTTATTAAATTCTAACCACCCCCTCTATTTCTTGGATTAAAATCATCTAGTCTTGCTTGTCTTAATTCACCTGTTCTATCTATATTTGGCCATTTACCCCAACCATTCAATCTAATTACTAAACATGTTGCATTATCATCACCGCCAACATATTCGACAAATTTGATAACTTCATGAGCACAACTTTGGGGATTAGCTTTCGTATGACCTTGCATGTTGAAATGACTCGATATAATATCAGCAATTTCTTGATCGGTTAAAATATTTGTTATACCATCACTAACTAGTATTAAAAAACTTTCATCTCCACCTAATCCATTTATTGTATACTTTTTGATTTCATCAGGTGTTAAATGTTTTTTAACCTCAGCGGAATCTCCAATTATAAATTGATAAATATCAGGCTCTGCTATTACACCAACTTCTTTATAATCTATATCACCAAAACTTCTCGTATTGGCTAATGCTATAAATCTTTCTTCACCAAACGAATCGGTCATAAAAAAATTTGCTGCATACTTCCTCAATCTTGTAGCTTCAATTGGATTTGAAGGATGATGGTCTTCAGTTACACTATTTGCAATTCCATTTTTATCCACTAATATTGCTTTCGTATCACCAACTTGAGCAATGGTTAATTTTGAAATCGTGTGTCTATTAAAATAATAAGTTTCAAAAAATGGTTGAAATTGTTTATCAGGTGAAGAATATATAGTTTCAATTAATGCTGAAGTACAAGTTGAACCTGATTTTTCATCCTTATTGAAAAATTTGTAATCTGAATTTAAAAAACTTAATGATAATCTTAACTTTATATCATCATTATTAATATTATTCAAATTTTCAAGATTAATTTCATTTTTACACCAATTTTCCAAATGTTTTTCACAATGTCTATACCATCTTTTCCAATAACCACCAATATTTTGAGCATAGTTTTTAAACAATTGATCTCTTTGATTATCTATATTATTAATCAAATCGTTTGAATCTTCAATTTGTTGTGATAAATTATCCGACAAATAATTTGAACATTGATCACCACCATGACCATCAAAAATATTAAAATTGAAAATTGTTTTATCATATTTATCTGTCTTCAAATTTAAAACATTCGCACTATACTTATCTTCATTATATAAACGATTAACTCTACTTGTAGCATGACCCAAATGTGATGGACTTTTCAATAAAGGAACTTTTAATTTATACGATTTTGATGGATTTTTTGTAGATAATGGTAAATTCGGTTGTCTTTCAACTGCTGTGAAAGAAACAGCATTTGATAAAAATCTCAATTGAATCGAATTATTAAATTTTATACATTTTATACATTTTAATTGTTTTATCATTATCTAATATTACTGATGCAAACAAATGGAAATTAATTTAGTGAATTGAATTAATACTACTTATATTAATAAAGACACATGTATGTAAGCTTTTATTATAATTGTTGGTTGTAATTCAATAATTAATGAAATTTATAATCGTTAATAATTTAGTCTTCTATTTTTAAAGCACGAATACAGTTAAACAATAATTAATAAATTTGCTTGAAATAATTATCACTATAGACCAAAGTTCGATTCATCGTGAGCTCAAGTTATTTTATGTTTCTTATCTAGGACGATTTTCATCGTGTAATTGATTTTAATTGATTTTTATTCTTTCACCATTTTGATGTTTCAGACTTTGATCAAAGAATTATATACAGTATATCATTCCCTTATGACGTCGTTTAAATATCAAGGATAGGGTTTTATTGTATATCACGACAAAATCTAGTACACTATGTACTATGTACCTCATAATTCGCATAAACTTGAAAAATGAGTTGTTATCAGGCGAGAATCCAGCTGGATTAACACTGAACTTATTTTCTATTTCATTAAAAGAGGTGTGTGATATACCCATGGCTATAAATCTGATTATGGAAAGTTCTATTAGAGGGTATTATACTGTCGTCGAATTTTTAAAATCAAGGTTTATATTCTTTTAGAATAACTCATATGAAAATTTAGTAAGATGGTTTACCTCTTTTGAAGAAGCTGTTGAGCTACAGTTATATCTGTTGTCTCAAGTTATTACTCCCAGAAACCGATACAATGAAATTGAATATTTTTAACGGGTAAAAAAACTATCCAGTACTCGAGCCAAGAGCAAAAAAGTAAACTAAACAATTGAACAATAGCCCTACGCGGGGCTCGAACCCGCAGCCTTGAGATTAAAAGTCTCACGCTCTACCATTGAGCTAGCAAGGCACTGGTTAAATTTTTGGCTAGCTAAAATTAGCAAGTAGAATAAACAAAAATTATAAACGAATTATTTTAATGCTTAAGCGAAGTGAGTTGTGATACTAAGTGTTTAATCAAGCTGTCAACTGTTAAGCATATAATATTTGTATTAAATTTTTAGTAGAAGTTTTTTTGTCGATTTAACAAAACCGTAATTATTTCAATTTTAAATCTACTATGCAAAGTCTATTTCTTCACGAACTTACGTCAGACCAAAATTTAATCTTATACTCGATTACAGTTCTAAAAATAGAAATTCTAATCAAATGGTCTTTTTAAGCCAACTGATAAGAACTTAAAGAAGGACGTGTTTCATTTTGACACATTGGAGGCTTTTTGATCGTTTCATTCAAACAATTAATTAATTAAAAAATCACAGACGATTTAAGTTTTGAATCGCTCATAACTACAAATAAGAATTGGATAAATATTTAACAGGAATAAACAATTGGAAAAAGAAATATCGAACAATTAACGGACAGAAAATTACAAGTGATCCGATGATATGTTTTATATGGTTATTGTATTCTATTAATAACCGGTTTCAAATTGGATTTCAGTAAGCTGACTTAATTCGCATGAAAATTGATAAGATAAACTAACTTCGTTAACTCGGATATAATTAATTGGAATGTTTCTCAGACACTAAAATATTTGCTCATAATTATGCACCAAATATAATCTTTACAGTAACTACATGGAAGAATCTATGGGCCACACCAGGCTTAAACCTTTTAATCTTAAACGGGTCTTGGCATTAGCGAATTATTTTGCAACCATTCATCTGGCAAACATAGCTCTAAGAGATAGTTGGTTAGAACAATATTACAGAGTAAATAAAAATTCCTAAGTAAAAATATATCGTTACAACATGTGATGGTTATATTATTCGACGCTCTTATTTCCGCCCAAATTGAAATTAATTTTTTTTTTATTACTTAATGATTGGTTAAAATTTAAGTGCAAAGGTCTACAATAAATTTGAAGATAATGTTTTGAACTTGAAAAACCCTTTTTATATCACTCATGTCTGACTTAAATGAATTAGCACATCGAAGCAAGCAAGCCAGAATCGATTTAGTCTTGACAGTTAATGTCAATAGAGTTGATATAGAGTTTTCTGAAAAAGCCTTGGTTTGAAAAATCAATTTAAGAATATAATCCTAATTAAGAAATATTGTATTGGATTTAAATCGATCCGATTAAATTTGTGTATTTTCTTATTAAAAACTACGATTATTATTGTTCGTTTAATTACGTAGTCTGACAAAAAATACTAAACTCACATTAAATACTCTAACTCAATAACAACTGGTAAAATTGTCATAGATCTCAACAATAAAATGTTATTTTCAACAAACATTAATCAGTATTTGTTAAAGTTCTTAAGTTGTAAAACAGATAAAAAGTGAGAGAGTTGTATTCTGAAGAAGCTTGATTATTTTCATCTCATTGTATATTGTTATTTTATGGTTATAAGACACTTAACATTGAAAAACTAATGTCTTCAACATATATATTTTTTTAATCTTAAAAAAAAAAATTATTATTAAAAAAATAATAAAAGTACAAAATTTTGAGGGATTTTTCTGAATTTCAAGATAATAATGTCTGAATTGTCAATCAGTGAAGTGTTAGAAAGATTCTAATTTCTTTAAACCAAACTCGAGCTGTAATTCTGAGTTAAGTGGCCAATCGATTCTCGAGTCTATTGGTCGCCATCAAAACAAGATCTAAACCGGGATTCAAAGAAGATTCTACATGTATATTCTTGGCATGGAATTTTGTGTAACGTTTATATCAGCAGCGGATTGTTGGTTTAAATGATTCAGCAGCAACACTAATTAAAGTATATAAACTCATAGATATAACACGTTTCACATAATAATAATAATAATAATAATAATAATAATAATTGAACTAAATTCTAAACTCTTATCATCGAGTTATAATTGGTTTAAAGATTTTAATCATATATACTAAAAGTTAAACCAACGTCTTTGAAATAAGCGAAACAATACAAGTCAAGGAAATTATGTCATTGATTCAATAAAATAACTGAACATAGACAACGCTACATTCACAGCCTTTATCCCTCTTTATTTCAAATTAATTAACTTCAACTAAGCATATTTTCATGTAAAATTGACTATATTTAGATTTAAAAAGTATAAAAAATAAAATTTCCAATTCTCTTTTCAGAAACCGAATTGACAGGTGCAATTTTTTGTCCTTTTAAACTTTTAGATCAAATGTAATATCTCCAATTTTATATCTATATAAATAAGAGTGAATATCTCGTCGTTTCAGGTTTTTTGAAACATCTTTCTTTTTATAAATTTTCAAGTTTATGATTAATAATTTACTGATATGCTAGCTGCTAATCAACACTACTATAGTGATGGTGCCAATTCAAACAATAGTAATAACGCAAATAATATGAGTTCCAATAATTCAAACAGTTATGAGTATCAATATCAACAGCATCCACTCCCTTCAATCTTTGTATCACAACAACAACCACAACCGGATTTTTATTCTAGTCAATTCATACAATATGCTCCTGGTAATAATCTTTTAGACTATAATTATCAACAAACATCACTACCTCAACAACAAAGAGTTTATTCAACATTACCCATTCCAAATTATCATTATAATAATCAAACAACTTCTCCTCAAAAATATCCAATAAGTCCCATTTCAATATCTGATAGAGAACATAATGGTTCTGTATCTTACCAAACCCAATATAATTTCTCTCCACCATCAACAGCTAATATTGATTATTCTTCGTTAGTATCTTATACTATATCACCATCATTGAAACGTAAAAGAAGAAAAAGAAAAGTTGAGACTACTCCACAACAAGAACCATTAGAATCATATCCATGTAAAGTTTGTAATAAAGTTTTTCAAAAACCATACAATTTAAAATCTCATATGAAAACTCATTCAACTGAAAAACCTTTTCAATGTTGTCATTGTTCAAAAACATTTGCAAGATCTCATGATAAAAAAAGACATGAATTACTACATCAAGGGGTTAAAAATTTTAAATGTGAAGGTTATTTACAAGATGGAATTACTAAATGGGGTTGTGGTAAAAAATTCGCAAGAAGTGATGCTTTATCACGACACTTTAGAACTGAAACAGGTTGGTTATGTATTCGACCATTAATGGATGAAGCTAAAAGATTAGAACAAGAAACAGGTATAAGTAATATTCAATTCAATGTTGGAGTTTTACCAACCCAATATGATGAAAAAAATGATGATACTTATGATAATTCAAACTTTATTAGAAAATTAATACAAGGTAAATAAATAGATAAATAAATTTTGCAACCATTTAATTTTCTTACATAATCAATTTTTTTTTTCTACTTCGTGCGAAAACAGGAATTTTCTAGAATTTTTTATACAGTATAAAATTTTCACCAATATAATTTTTCAAAACTTAATCGAAACCTATTCCATAGAATGTTAAGAAATACATCTTCAATTAGAAAATTTTCAACTAGTATCATTCGTAATGCTGGTCATAAAGAATTGAAATTTGGTGTTGAAGGTAGAGCTGCTTTATTAAAAGGTGTTAATACGTTAGCAGATGCTGTTTCAGTTACTTTAGGTCCAAAAGGTCGTAATGTTTTAATTGAACAACAATTTGGAGCACCGAAAATTACAAAAGATGGTGTTACAGTTGCAAAATCAATTACTTTAGAAGATAAATTTGAAGATTTAGGTGCTAAATTATTACAAGAAGTTGCCTCAAAAACTAATGAAAGTGCTGGTGATGGTACAACATCAGCTACTGTTTTAGGTAGATCAATATTCACTGAATCAGTTAAAAACGTTGCTGCTGGTTGTAATCCAATGGATTTAAGAAGAGGTTCTCAAGCTGCTGTTGAAGCTGTTATTGAATTTTTACAAAATAATAAAAAAGATATTACAACTTCAGAAGAAATTGCTCAAGTTGCTACTATTTCAGCTAATGGTGATAAACATATTGGTGATTTATTAGCTTCAGCAATGGAAAAAGTTGGTAAAGAAGGTGTTATTACTGTTAAAGAGGGTAAAACTTTAGATGATGAATTGGAAGTTACTGAAGGTATGAAATTTGATCGTGGTTATATTTCACCTTATTTTATTACAAATACAAAAACTGGTAAAGTTGAATTTGAAAATCCTTTAGTTTTAATTTCTGAAAAAAAAATCTCAAGTATTCAAGATATTTTACCATCATTGGAAATTTCAAATCAAACTAGAAGACCTTTATTAATTTTGGCTGAAGATATTGATGGTGAAGCTTTAGCTGCATGTATTTTAAATAAATTAAGAGGTCAAGTTCAAGTTTGTGCTGTTAAAGCACCAGGATTTGGTGATAATAGAAAAAACACTTTGGGTGATATTGCAATTTTAACTGGTGGTACTGTTTTCACAGAAGAATTAGATATTAAACCAGAAAATGCAACTGTTGATTTGTTAGGTTCTGCAGGTTCAATTACTGTTACTAAAGAAGATACTGTTGTTTTAAATGGTGAAGGTTCAAAAGAAAATATAAATTCAAGATGTGAACAAATTAGATCAACAATTGATGATTCACAAACTACTGAATATGAAAAAGAAAAGTTACAAGAAAGATTAGCTAAATTATCAGGTGGTGTTGCCGTTATTAAAGTTGGTGGTTCTTCTGAAGTTGAAGTTAGTGAAAAAAAAGACAGATATGAAGATGCTTTAAATGCAACTAGAGCAGCAGTTCAAGAAGGTATTTTACCAGGTGGTGGTACTGCTTTAATTAAAGCGTCAAGAACATTAGATGCAATCAAAGAAAAAGCTGTTAATTTTGATCAAAAATTGGGAGTTGAAATTATTAAATCAGCAATTACAAAGCCAGCTAAAAGAATTATTGAAAATGCAGGTGAAGAAGGTGCTGTTATCGTTGGTAAAATTTATGATGAACCAGATTTTAATAAAGGTTATGATTCACAAAAAGGTGAATTTACTGATATGATTAGTGCTGGTATAATTGATCCATTTAAGGTTGTCAAAAATGGTTTAGTTGATGCTTCAGGTGTTGCTTCATTATTAGCTACAACTGAATGTGCAATTGTAGATGCTCCACAACCAAAAGGTCCACCAGCAGCTCCACCTGCAGGAGGTATGGGTGGTATGCCAGGAATGTTTTAAGATATAAATAGAGAAATGTTAAATTTGTAAATAGCTAAAATTAATAAATAAATTATTGAACCATTTCTTTTTGCTGCCTCTCGTTTTTCGTCGTAAATCAAGCTACGTTATACAATTGAATGTCCACGATTTTTGAAGATATAATTACAAACAATACAAGTCATTCTGATCGGAAAAGAGCTGCTAAACAACTCATTGATCAGTATAAAGCTTTGAAAAAATTTGAAGTAACTTGCAAAAAATCAAATAAAATTGAATACTACAACCCAATGTTAAACAAAGAATATTACATTAACTCATTCAGAGTTAAAAGAGAAATCGAATCCAAAGGAAAATTTCAAAGTATGGCATGAATTTGATAAACAACCATTGAAATCATATTAAAGAATCATAACTTGGAAAAGAAATAGAAGAAGAAGAATCACAACCTTTAGATTTTGATTTTGATTTTCTTCTTGATTCAAAAAAATTACCAATAAATATATACATTTTATGACAATCTTTCGGGAGTATTATACACTTGAATATCTCTACTTGGTTCTTTATTTATAAATTTCAAATCTGCTTGATGATAATTTGAAATTTTAACTTTATAATCTATGTTTTGATCTTGAGATTTTTCCAATGGTAAAATAATCCAATCTGGCGGTAATAATGCAGAACTAGGTAGTTTAATAGTTTGATATTGATTTGACGAACTTCCTTCTGTATTTTCAGTCGGTGTAGGTGTAGTACTTTGATTGTCTTGAGCGTTATTTTGATTTGATATATTTTCCAAAGAATTACCAATTTCTCTTAAACCTCTTTGAAATTGCTGTTGTTCACCAGGAGCAACAATATTTACATTATTTTCTTCTTCTTGTTCACCGGGTATTCTTTCATCACCAGGATGAGCATTAGTCATTGGATCTTGAACCTGAACATTTTCAGAATTTAGATCATTTCCAAATACTTTACGTCTACATAATGGACAACTATCTGATCTTTCTAACCATTCTTTTAAACAACCCATGTGTAAAATATGTCCACATTGCAATTTTTTGGCTAATTTTCTTGGTGATTGTAATTTTTTAAAAATTCTCATATATTCTTCAATTGAATGCATATCTTCACGGCATATAATACATAGATTATCCAGATTTATTAAATCTTCACTTGTTGCATTTAATAATTGAGAATCTAGTCTTTTTGAAGATTCAATAAATTGTAATAATTGAGATATTTGAATCCATGCTTTTCTTAATGATGAATAAGTACCTTGTAACATTGAAAGTGGTAAAGATAAACCAGAATGAATAGTTAATAAATAGATAAAACACATATATGAAATAGATGTTAAGATTGCTGAAATAATTTCAATTCCTTTTGAATAATATGGTTTATTTTCCCATATAATTTCAATTTCATCATCAGAATCATAATTGACACCATTTTCCTCTTCTTCCTCATTTCTTCTTTCTCCTTTTCTAATTCTATAAAATATAATTTCATAAATTCCAAGTAATAATTTTGCAAAATAAGTTAATGCTTCAACTCCTTGAACAGCAAATTGAAAACCAAATAATAAACAACTAATTGAATTAATTCCTTGAAATACATCATATACTAAAAATTCAGCGATATAAAAATCAAAGATTATAAAAACAATATTTAACCAAAAATTAATTGAACTGGCAAAATATTTTAGAACTTGAGATAATGACATTTCTCCATCATTTAATTTATTTATAATGACTAAATTTAAAAAATCTAATCGATCAATCATAATAATATGAAATACTTTAAATATCATTGCCATTCCAATTAGAAATACATTTAAGATTATATTATTCTCCCCAGTTGCTAGATTTAAAAATAAGTTAATTGCAAATAATGGTAATCTTTCAACTATATGTTCTAATTCAATAATTCTAAGTGATCCAAATATTAATATTTGTAATAGTTTAAATATAACAAGATATGAAAATACAATGAAATTAATTAATATACCTAATTTTATACCATCTGTTAATTCAACTAGTAGCATGGTAGAATTAAAAGACTTAGATAATGAATCATAAATCGACCAACTTAATAAACCAATAGATAATGTGGAATAACCAATAGCATACTGTAGTGTTCTATTAATAAGCATGGTAAAATCTATGTGATAAAGAACTCTTGATCGTTCTGTCACACGTATACGAAAATAAAGAAATCGGTCGGAGGTGTGCAAATGGTACAAAAATACGATCTATATAAATTAATACAATAATAAATGTTACAATTGGTTTGTTTTATCATCTATAAATAGTTGGAATCTAATGGTTGTAATATCTTTCGTTTCTTATTAAACGGTTGTATAGTTTCTTCATCAAGATCAGATTTTGATCTGTGTAATGTCGGTATTTTTGATGGAGATCTTGATCTAGTTGTCTTATTTTTCATATGTGATAATTGTATAATTCGTTCTTTAAATGGAGATACTTTAAATGCATCTTTAACATCAAACAGTTGTAAATTTACAAGATTTTCATTAATTTCATTTAAGTTTGAATTTAATAAATTTGTAGTATTTGATACTTCTTTAGTTATATTTTCCAATTGTGAAACATCGGGTAGATTATCCACTTTTATATTATTTTCCAAACGTGCTTTTTCAAATTTTTTAATATTTATATGTTTAATATTATCTTCAGTTGATTTGAATAATTCATCTTGTTTCAACAAATTATTTTCAAAATTTGGTAGGATACTCCTTATTCCTTCATGCCAGTTCAGTTCCATCTTTAATATATTCTCCTTCTCTTTTAAAATTTCATCACTAGCTACTTTTTCATATTGATTCATTACATTATTTATCAGTTTAGTAAGTTCTTGATTCATCAATAGCCTAAACTTTTCAATCATTGGTGGGAATTCAGTATTTAATAAATTTTTTAAATTTATATTTAAATTATTTTCCAAATCATCTAAATAATTTTCTTTCAAATATCCTGATAATTTTTCATTCATAATTTTGAAATCCATAATTATATTTTGTGAATTTTGATGCATACCATTATGAAATTTTAAGAGTGATTGAAAATTTGATTGGAAAATAAATATAACTTCTTGAACATCTTTGTTTATAACCGAATCAACTTTAGATTGATATGATTTAATTGAAGACTGAAGATTTTGTTTATATTTATTTAACTTCTTTTTAAACTCCACTTGAAAATTGGATAATTTCGTTGCATTTTCTTGATTATTTAAATTTAAAGTATTATTTAGTAAATTAATTGATGAATTTAAATGATCAGATAATAAATTAACCAAAATAGTTGCTGAATTTGACGACTTTTCCAAGACTTTATTCACTTGACCATTTAATTTATTAATCACTAAATCTTTTTCATTCAATTTTGATAATAATAAATCATAATCTGATTTTAGATTGTTATATTTTTCATTTATTGATAGGTTTTCTTTAAGTAAGTTATTAATTTCTAATTGATTTTCAATTTTGGTGGTTTCTAAATTACTACATTTATTATTCAACAGTTCAATTTTAAGATTATTTTCTTTTAATTGAGTTTTAAATGATTCATTTTCGTTGGTCAATAATTTATAATTTTCAGGATCTAAATATATACCATTTTTATTTCTTGATGCAATTAAATCTAAGTTCATTTGACTCAATTCTTGTGATATGTTTTTGATCAATGTCTTTTTTAATATTAATTCTGAATCATTACCATTTATAGGTAAATTTTTAATATTTTTAGCCTTACAAGCATAATCTAAAGTTGAAGCAGTTTCTACAATATTTAATTTTGCTGGTGAAACGGTTGCGATTAATGTAGTTTTTGTATTTCCACCTAATGAATCTTGTAGAATATGAGTTAATTTTGATTCTCTATATGGTATATGTTTAATTTTAGAATCAGTTAATGAATTAATAACTCTTCCTAAAGTTAATAAAGATTGGTTTATACCACCAGCTTCTTTAACTATAGATCCACTTCTACTAATATTTTCACTACCTGCTAAGTCAACGAGATTCATTTTAGATACTCGATAAATATCATTATTATTATCCTTTTTGATTAATTTAATTTGAAAAATTGTATGAGATCTCGAACTTGATTCATTCAAATTTGTACAAGCAGTTTTTTTTTTATTTAATCCCATTTTTAGAAATTTTAAACCTTGTTGTAAATCATTTATACAATATTCAGATAAATTTGAAATATTAATAGATTTTGATTTCTTATTATTTGATGATAATTTTTCATGAATTTTTAATTTCTTTGCAGTATTCAGTAATAAATCTATTAATTCTTCATTGTAAATTTCAAGATATGATATTTTAATAATATAATCATTTTCAGTTGTCGATGACAAATTTTCAAATAATTCACGTAATAATCTTGGTATGATACCAGCTAATTCATTATTATTTGGATCACAATCCTTATCTATACCACACATTGTATAAGTTTTACCAGTACCTGTTTGACCATAAGCTAATATAGTAACATTCATACCATTTAAAAAATCTCTTAGTAGTGGTTGACCTATATTTTGATAAATTAAAGATTGATCAGCTTGAGAACCATAAATTTGATCAAGTTTATAGGTTTTCTTTTGATTATTATTTAATTCTGAGAATGAATTGTTGAAAGAAGATGTATTTGATGATAATGAATGATTTATTGTAATATAAGATTCAGTAGATGAAAAAGTATCATTTGTTAATTCTAATACAATTGGTGATTTTGCTTTAATTTCTTGTGTATTTCTTTCCCTACACCTTACAACCACTTGTATATTAGACATGTGAATTGATCTTTTAGTATGAATTGGTTGTTGTTGTTTGTTTGTTTTGATTATAAAAATAATAAACAAATGAAAAAAAAAAAGCGAGCAGAAAAAATAAAATTATCCATTTATATACAGGAAAGATCAATGACATAAACAATGTCGATTTGACATTGAATTTGACATTGAATTTGACATTGAATTTGACGTTGAAACATTAATCAAAGAAATCATCAACATCATCATCATCATCATCATAATCATCTGTATGTTTCCTATTATAAACAATTTTTGATTGCTGTTTTTGTTTTTCATCTCTACTTATTCCATCCAATATTTCAACTACATCTTTTTCTTGTAATTTACGATTAATTTGACCCATTTGATATAATTTTAATATATAATTTTCAACAGATTGTGCTCTATCAGGTCTTACTATTCTAACTCTACTTAACCTTTCTCTTGCTTCAGTTTCTAATATTCTATTCAATATAGTTAGTGTTAAATCATTATAATTATTATTTGTTGTTGTTGACGATTCTTTATTATTATTATTACCACCACCACCACCACCGTTTGTTTTATTTTGTAGTTCAGCCAATCTAGCTTGTCTAATAGCATTTAATTCAGCATCATCCATAATTAATATTTAATACTAGTCTGTTTGGTTGTAAATGTATTTTCGTGTTAAACAAAATTTGATATTTTTTTTTTTTTTTTTTTTCCACTTTTGAATCAAGAAATATAAAATTGAATAATTGAATAATTATATTACTAGTGTTTAACAAATTACCATTATAACAACAACACACCAACTTTATAAATATAACTATAGATGTCAGATAAATCAAATATACTCAAGAAATATAAAATTGTATTTTTAGGTGATCAAAGTGTCGGTAAAACTTCTTTAATTACAAGATTTATGTATGATACATTTGACGAAACTTATGCTGCAACTATTGGTATTGATTTTTTATCAAAAACAATGTATTTAGAAGAAGGTAAAACTATTAGATTACAATTATGGGATACTGCTGGTCAAGAAAGATTTAGATCTTTAATACCTTCTTATATTCGAGATTCTCATGTTGCTGTAATATGTTATGATATAACAAATAAAAAATCATTTTTAAATTTAGACAAATGGATTAAAGATGTTAAATTAGAAAGAGGAGATGATGTAATAATAGTTTTAGTTGGAAATAAACTGGATTTAGCTAATGATAAACGACAAGTTACTATTGAAGATGTTGAGTCTTTACATTTAAAAATTGGTTCAAAATTTTTCATTGAAACTTCAACAAAAGCAAATCATAATGTAAAATTATTATTCAAAAAAATTGCACAATCATTACCAGAGTTTAATAATGAAGGAACTGAAAATGAGAATAATACTAGTAATAATAATCATAATAATCCAGAGACAATTGATATTACAATAGATAAGAACGCTCCCAATCCACAAACTTTAAATACATGTTGTTAATATAAACTAAATAGATTCAGTTATTAAATCAAATTTCCAATTTGCTTCTTGTATTGCTAGGTTCAATTTCATTAAATTATTAGATATTTCATTTCGAAATTTTTCATATTTATTTACGTCTACTGTTGAAATTCTTGCAATTTCGGAAGCGTAACTGGGAATTATACCAAGAATGATAATTGATGTAACCAAATTTGTCATTCTTGTGAGATGATCCTTTTGAGCTAGTGCTTCAAGCATACTAATTGAACTTTCTTTGTATTGTACCTTAATTATCGTGTTACTATATTCTATATTTTGGGTTAATTTTTTTATTTTCATTTGTATTTCATTATATTCTTTAAATAATTCATTTGCATCAAACTGAACCTCTGTATTTTCTTGCTTTTGACATGATTTCTTACATATTTGATTAATAAAACTTAACTGTCTATTTAAATGAGTTTTGAGTTTTAATGCTTCTGCTAACTTCATCAAATAATGATCTTCTTATCTAGATATATTCAATGGTTTATATACTACTATTCTTTTGATTTGTTCTGTTTGAGTCAGTTTGTTTTTGTTTATATCCTTATATGTTTTGACTCATATCAATTACCCCCCAATAACCCCAATAAGCGGTCGGGGTGAATAGTCATTGCTATCACCCAAACAAACGTTTGTTTACATCAACATTAGATATATTTGACTCATTATTTACTATATAAACGACTCAATATTCCCTTTTCTCATTACTTCCTCATGAAATTAGCTGCTGGACTCAAAAAACGAAGTGATTTAGTCAAAGAATTAAGAACTATTGAGTCAAGTATTTCAAATGGTTTAATTATACAACAAGGACAAGAACAATCAGAGGACATAGATGCATTATACAAAACATATTTTGACAAATCGAAAGAATTATCCGATTTGATTATGAAAATTAATGAAACGAATAATAATATTCAGAATGGTGTACGAATTTCTGATTTAATTCATGAGATAAGTTCAATTAAGAATGAAATTAGCTTTGTAAATGATATTTTAAAAGCTGGGAAGGAGAAATCCTTGTCTTCGAAAGATGAAATAAGGTTTGTTTCAACGATCGATAGAAATCAATATACCACAAAATTAAATTCTTTAAAAGAAAAATCACAAAATCTAGAAATCAAATTACAAGAATTAAATTGGCAAATAGATATATAATGATATAGAATGGTACTGATGAGTTTACATTTATTTCAAAATAATAATATGGTCCTTAAATTTTTACCTTTATTTAGTATTCTTCATTTAGTAAAAAATCATTTAGTATAAATTATAGAGTATCCTTTTATGTATTTGCTACATATAAATCCATTATTATTATTTGAGATGAAATGTATAATTCATTAGGAGGGTGGGATCTGGGGTCTAATATATATATTATATTTCTCATTCCATATGATCTTGTAAACGAAAAGTCCTTTTAAACGCATAAAATAATATTTTAGATCTTGAGATCTTAAGAAATATATAGTATGTTACAACAGATGAAAGAATAAAATTTTCATCACTAGTTATTTTCTAAATGCTGTTCGAGAAGGATCAAGATGTTATTAAAGATCAATCACTGTCTGTATCAATAAGAAATATTGAACAGTATGATATTTCAGATTATGATAATGCCTTAGCTTACCTTAAAAATCAAGATCAAAATGAAAATATTAGAGCGGATGTAAAGAGGATAACCAAAAAGTTAGATATGATTATCCTTCCTATTCTTTGTGGTATTTATTTATTACAATTCCTTGATAAATCGTTATTGAATTATTCAGCAGCAATGGGTATAAAAACAAATCTCAAAAATAATGAATTTGCAAATTTATCAACTATTTTTTATGCAAGTTATATATTTGGGGAGCCTTTTATATCATATTGTCTTCAAAAATTCCCAATTGGAAGAACATTAGGAGTTTTCATCATCTTGTGGGGGATTGTAATCTCTTGTCATTCAGCATGTAAGACATATGCTTCATTAATGGTAGTTAGAACTTTACTAGGCATATTTGAAAGTTCATCCACCGTGGGAATAATAATTATTTCAGGAATGTATTATTCTAAACCACAACAAGTTTCAAGAATGGGTATATGGGCTTTAAATGCCGGTACGGCCACTATAATTGGAAGTTTATTATCTTTTGGATTTCAACACATACAGAATTCTCAATTTCAAAGTTGGCAAATATTATTTCTTGCAATGGGAGTAATCACTATAGTTTATGGAATTTTTGTGATTTTTTACTTGCCTAATAATATTGAATCCGTTTGGTTTTTAAAACCTAATGAGAAAATATACTTACTTCAAAACGTAATAAAACCAAATCAAACAGGAACTATAAATTATAAATTTAAAAAGGAACAAATTTTGGAATTATTTTCAGATAAGTTTACATGGTTGTATTTACTTTTATGTATTTGTTCACAAATTGTAACTGGATCAATAGGAACATTTTCAGTGACGATTACTTTAACATTTGGTTTTGATAGTTATCAATCTGCACTTTTACAAATCCCAATTGGAGTGTTAATAATTATAATAATTATTGCATCTACTCAATTGGTATTTTATGTTAAAAATATCACTTATGTAATGATGTCAATGTTTATACCAACTATTATTGGTGCAATAGTGCTTATTATTTCTCCAAGTAAGATTGGAAATTTATTATCTTTATATTTATTATATTCTGGTTCTTGTTCAATTACTTTGATTTATTATTGGATATCTTGTAATACAGCTGGTAGTTCAAAAAAATTTTTTAGAAGTGGGTTAATTATGATTGGGTTTTCAATTAGTTGTATTATTGGTCCACAATTATTTCAAAGTTATCTGGCTCCAAATTATATAATTGCAAAAATTGTAATTTTAATAACTCAAGTTTTATGTGTTCCTTTAACTTATATATTGGGATATTTATTAAAAAGAGAAAATGAAACAAGAGACAAATTAAAGAATGAAGGACATGGAGAACATGAATTAAAGGAAAATTTCGAATGGATGGATTTAACCGATATTGAAAATAAAAATTTTAGATACTTTTATTGATAAATATAATTGAATAACATGCAGTTAATAGTTAGCAGTCATACCTAAAACAGTTTATTCTAGTAGTAAGGTTACATCTGAAGTGTTTTCAAACTGCTATTTTTTGCTTCGCGATCCATATCTGATGTTGATTGCAAATCTATAGATACGAGATCTGACACAAAAATATGCGGAGGATGCGCACTAAAAAAAAATATTAAAAAGCCAGGACTTTTTAACGAATTCTATTAAACGTTGTAAGATTAATTCTTACTCAAAACATATTGTGTTTGGTACCGTTCGAGCGAAAAAGTCCTCCTCAATATAACTTTGATAATTAAAAATTGATATCGTTCAATTTCTTTAACAAAGTTTTTAAATAAGTGGAAAAAATAGCCAATTTATACTCACCGTTTGAGGTCACTGCCTTTAGAAAGCACACAAAACCGAATCAATAGATTTTAATTGTCCGTTTTATAAAACATATCAAATGAAACTCTTAGGTCTTATTTGTTGATTGTTTGAATCAAATTTTAACTAATGCATTAAACCTAACGAGAGAGTATCGTCTAAATTTACGTTGAATGAGAGCACAGTGGATACTACCATAGAGGACTAGGTTAAGTAAGTAAGTATTACCAAATTAGACGGTCACAATCAGGCCATTCGTTGCTAACGAGGCTGTAGTAAGAAACATCATGCTAATATACAACGCGTCGATGAAATGCGAAAGAAAAATTTCGCGCTAGCTTTGGTGCCACCTGGAGCTGCGAATATTGTTGGGAAAATTTAATAAATTGACCTCAAGGAAAATCTAGTTCTACAATCTAAATCGAGATAAAAAAAAATGATAAAAGTATCAAGGTTTGTAGCTCCTGTACTCTGATAAACCATGAATATTTTTATGCTAAGGTATTTAAAGTTGAAAAAGTAATATTTCAAAAATTATTCGAAATTTTTGCAAAAATTTCAAAATGATCGTGACGTCATGAAACTTTTACAAGTAGGGTCTTTGGGGCTAAATGGACTGGACCAGATGCTTTAGAAGTTGTTAGAAGAGGTCCTAGTATTGTTTATCCCGCAATTTAACGTTTTTTTCCATTTTTTAGATGAAGAATAAAGTGGTCAAAATAATGTTTCATGGAGAGAGTATAGCATAAATCTACTCCAAACTAGATGAAGTCTCAATGAAAAATGTTTGAGAACAATAGCTTGAATATTGAGGGAGTTATTTGTAATTTAAGTTTTAGGATCAACGGGTAAAATACTGCATATAAGTCAAATAAATTTAGATTTCTAAGCCTGGACGCCGAAAGATTTATTTTATTCTCCAATATCAAACTAAGATTGGTAATCACTGAATCAATTTAATATTGAATTGAATTAATGTTGACTTTATATACTGCACCAACAGGAAACGGAAGAAAACCAACTTTATTGTTGAAATTATTAAACCTTGATTATAAATTGAATCAATTTGAATGGCCAACAACTGAAATCAAACAGGAATGGTATTTGAAATTAAATCCAAATGGAACAATTCCTACTTTAGTTGATGGAGATTTGACTTTATATGAATCAAATGCAATTTTAGAATATATTTCAGAAAATTATGATAAAGATCTTAAATTTACTTATTCTAAGGGCTCAATTAATTATTGGTTAATTCATCAATGGTTATTTTATCAGTCTTCAAATTTTGCTGGAACTATGTCTCAAACTAATAGATATTTAAAATATAATCCAAATGATGAATGGAGTAGAAATGTTTTATTAAATGATTGGATTAAAATATATACTGTGCTTGATGGTCATTTAAAAAAAAATAAATCTGGTTGGTTTGTCGGAGATAAGTTTACAATTGCTGATTTGGCTTTGGCTGTTGGTAATCATAGAAGAGTTGAAAAAACAACAGGTACAAAATATGAAATTGAAAAGTTCGATGAAAATTTTCCAAATGTTAAAAAATGGTATGATAGAGTACTTGAAATTGAAGGGGTTAAAGATATTTTAAATTAGACTACAGCAGTTTAATAGAAGTGTTTATTTTTGTTGAGCGAATATATACATAAAGTGAAAACAAATTATCTTATAAATAGACTATGTTTGAACTGGGATGCTCAGATCAAGTTTGAAAGAGTCAAGTAAACCCAATTCTTGGTTTTACTAGAATTGTTGTATTTATTCTTGAATCTTGAAGTTTAGTATAACAAGTTGTATATTAAATTTTAAAATACCTTTTTACCTTTTTAATTATCATTACTATTATTACTCAATAATCTCAAGATAAATAAAAATAAATTAATTATATCCAAATATAATTGAATACAAGCTATAACTTCATCATCCAAATGACAATTCTTCATTATATTTTGAGTATCAATCAATATATAAATAGCAAATACAATAGCACCCAAAAACGAATAAACATTTTCCACCATTGAATTAAAAGGTAGGAAAATATTAATAAATCCAAACCCAATAAGACCCCAAAGTACACAACCAACACCACCTTGCCAACTTACAAAATCATATTTAGTTTGAAATGCAAAAATAGTTAACCCAATAAAAATAATTAGCGTCAAAAGTATTGCTTTTAATAAGATCCCATTCTCAATAAAAGCACAAGCAAATCCTAATGTAAAAGATTCAAATAGTGTAAACCCACCAAGTAAAATTAAATTAATTGGATAATTTCTAGATTTAAAAAATGCAGCAATCATAAATCCAATTGATCCAATAAAACCCAAAATTAATGTCCATGTATGATCCAAAACCCAAAGCTTAATTGGTTCTGATGAATGTATTATAAATCCGACTATAGTTGTTAACATTAATTGAATAGTTAATAAAGTATAAACTTTTCTAATGAATAATTGACGAATTGATAAATCGCAAGAAGCAACATTCACTGAATATTTAAAATCATCAGGTATATTATCTCCAGCTTGTCTTGGACTACCTTCTTGTTGTTGATCTGGTGGATATGATGGTGGTTGATCAGGTAATTGTGTATAAGACATAATGAATAAATAATGATAGGAGTTGGTTAAGTTATTTTTGCTCTGTGTTTAAAATATATTATTGAAAGGTAGTGTAATCAGGTAAAGAGAATTTACTAATAGAGTAATTATACGATACAAGATACAAAGGTAAAGTATTAGACATAGACAGATATTTGAGTACTTGATACGGTTGGTTTTCATCTATTTGAAGGTTAGATAGCGTAATCTTTCTTTAACACCTTTTTTCATGCTCTTGGTGTCTTATTTATTTCAAAGTTAAAGAAATCTTCCGGTGCTCAGTAACAAGGATCTAGCCTTCAAGAAAGATCCACTGTGCTATTTATGTTGTTGTCAGTAAAGTTGTATATATCCTATAATTTTGATCTAAATTTGATGCTTGAATGAATCAGTGCGACTAAATAATCGCCTTAATCTTCGGGCCACTCATACTAAAGTTTATTGGTTTATAAATTAAGGACAATTCATGCTCACGAAATAAAGACCAGTTTAATCAAATCCAAATTTCTGGCTTGTCCGTTCTACATACTTAAAGTTTCCAATTTCCAACATGGTTTTTTTTTTTTAAGTTGTCATATTGGCCATTTTTCATCATACAAAATTTTTCATCATACAAAGTTTTTCCGAAAACTGTTATTTCAATAAAAATTTTATTTAGCGCCATAACCTTCAATTAAACAACGGACTATATTTAATAGACTTTATATTGAGGGACTGAGCGTAATTTCATTTGATTTCAATTAAAATTAAAAAAATTTCAAAAATTTCTCTTAAGTATGAAGGAAATTATAATAATCTGAGGCGCCTTCGCACCAATTTTTATTTGCTTCAATCATACCTTCAGTACCAAGACATCAATACAGTCAATCCTTAATAAAACTACAAGATACAATTTGTAACGATAATATTACTTCTGGTTGATTCAGAAACTTCAAGAGTACATACGAGAACATTTTACATATCTCTAAATTCTAAGTCTTTTCAAAATGGCCAATTGCAATTATCTAACAAAGTGTGGTACTTTAAAGCACATGAATCATATTAACTACGATGCAACTCAAAGTTTGTAGCTTAGTAATTCAAATCTCAAATAAGCAATTTCTTATCTTATCAATGTGCATGCATTAGCATAGAATTAAAAACTTCGCTTTATCAAATGAAGATTTTGAGCCACAATAAATTTTTTAAAATAGAAACCGGCAGTAAAAATTATAATATCCTACATCCAACAAAATTCGATAACGAAATGGATGATGTAACGCAAATCGTCGAAGTTGAAATGTGGAGATTTGGTTGATATTCTTTTCGCAAGGTCCCAACTTAATCAAACGTTTGCTCTAAAAGATATGCTGGCACGTAAATCATTCCCATTTTGTTAATCATCTCGAAATCTAGAAAACTTAAATTTAGACTTTTCTATTGTTGTTCGAATAATTTGAAGTAGTACAAAATTAATCTTGTACAATTTAAGTAATTTACTGTACCTAATACTTTTACTGTACTTAATACTTTATCTTACATTAATTATAAAACTACATAATTGTACATATAACAGCATTAGAGATATGAAAAGTCAAATGCGTTGATATGTTTATAATTTATATATTAACATCTCTAATAAATATAAATCATTTCTATAAAACCTATCATTTAAAAATCAAATAAATGTATGAGAACTATGTCCTTGTTTCTCATCAAACTCGTAAAATCATCATATAAAAAACCTTCTGTACTAAAATCCCTTGAAAACCTCATTAAAAAATCATAACATTCGTAAAACAAATTTCATCTTTCTTATTCATGACTGAATCTTCTAAATTTCATCTTCTTCATTTTGTTCAAGTAATTGACTGAAGAGTCAACAATCATTGAACCAATGAAGCTACCACCATTTGAACTTTTTGAACTTGTTGAATTGTTTCGCGTTGTTCTTGGTGAAGAATTATTGGAACTACTGTTATTTAAAGTGTCTTCTTCTTCTGAATCATTTGATGGAATAGTATAATAATCGTATCCATTAACAATTTTTAATTCTGGTGATAAAGGAGGTGTTGATAATTGACTACTATGATATTTGAAACTTAAACTTCTTTCTGATCCTCTTCTTTTATTAATTGATTTCAAGTATTCATTATATAAATTGATCAAAATTTCTGAACTAATGTATTTTTTACATTCTATTAATAAATGAATACTTGGTACTTCATTAAAACGTAATTGTGACTTATAAAAACATGGTAGGTTAATTTCTAAATCTGAATCGTAATTAATATATTTTGAAAAAATGTCTTGCCAGCACTCTAAACTAGGATTATTGATATAATTATTCAATTGTAGTATAAATTGTAAGTTTTCCTGACAGTGTATAGAACTGAGATATGAATCAAATGCTTCTAAATCTTTTGAATAGTTTGATGAGTTTATTAATTCATCTAATGTAGGAGTAGGATATTCGGTAGCTGGTGTTAGTAGAGTAGTAGTTGTGTTTACTATTGTTGATGTTGTTGTAATAGTAGACATAATAATCTACTTAAAAATTGATAAATGAAAGAAAGAACCAGTTTTCCAATTGGTTTGTATTCTGTAGAGAAAACGGGGAAATCAATTGAATTTATAGTCTAAAATTTGATAATAATAAAAAAAAAAAAAAAAAAAAAAAAAAAATAAAAAAAAAAAAAAAAAAATAAAAAAAAAAATAAAAAAAAAAATAAACGTTTATTTGGAACAAGTGCACGACTAAGCAAGTTTAAAATTCGTAATTATATTATTTTATATGCAAATTGATTAATTACGCAATTTGGTGGGCAATTTATTATTATTGGAGCGATTTCTACTTTTGATGTTCATGATTCTAGATTAGATTGGATAACATTAAATAACTTGTTATAATCAATACTCAGTATTGGTGAGTTTAAGCTTTGCTATTCTAATTTGGAGATCATAATTGTTTACTAAAACAATAGAAAACAATAGAAAGTTTAATTTATTTTGGTTGCAGAGTAGTGAGAAGTAGTGTACTGTCAAATTTACAACGGTTTATTATTTTTAGATTTTTACAATTGTTAGTCTTGTCCTGTTTTCTTAGTGGGTAGATATATTGTTTATAGTTTACTACATGGTTTAATAATTACTACTATATATAATTGTATTATTGAAACGAATACATTCTATTATATATAGTTCTACTGAGTAGATAGTTTGTTCTACAATACAATCATTTTATAACCGACATTTGATGATTTGCATTGTTAATTAAACAACCAAATAAAACGTTTACTGTTCGATTTTTTACTCCACAAGTTCGACGTTTTTATGATGATTTAGAAATAGAATTATTTTGGGGTAATAAAAAGTAAAAAATATTTATTTTATAACTTTCCATGCAGATTGTTTACTTCACGTGAGTGGTAGTCGAATTGAGATGAGGTTTAGCTTATTATCAATCTAATTTGTATTTTGTGTATATTGATCTCATACTCTATCAAGCATATAAAATTATTTCATTTGAATTATAATTATATTTGCTATTGATTTTACATTAGACGAAATTTGTTTACTCGACAAAAAGAAAGTATTAAAAGTTTGATAACTCCGAATATGATTGATTTTCTGTGTAATTGACATTTATAATACAAAACCAAATATAATTTATTGACTTCCAAATTATATATTTTATTATTGGTTTGTCAAGGCAGAAATTATGTCTATCAATTTCTTTTTTTAACGTTCGAACTATTAGTTAATTAATATTTGAGACAAATTTATTATTTGAAAACCGTTGAAATGATTTAATTCTTCGACTTGTTTTAAGTTTTTCATTATTTTAAGTTTGCTGCTATGATTCGGTTTTAAAAAGTTTATTTTTGCGCGTTTCAGAATTTTGCGCTCTTTTCTTATAAACTTATTGTATTAATTGACATATTGGTTATGAATTCCACAGTAATTATTATTTGACATATTGGTTATGAATTTTACAGTAATTATTATTTGTTCTGCTTCTTTTAACTAACGGATTTATCATTTATCACATCTTTATACTCTGTAATCTCGATGATATAAAAATGATGTAGATAAATTATCAATTTATTAATTGTAGCTTCAAATATTTTGGCTCTTAATATAGCACAATCGTCTAATGACCTCTTGTCTATAACCCACGTTTTGGTATTTTTACATTGTACTTATCCATGGGCTATTAACTTTCAAATTAATACTAAATCAATTGGTTGTCACTTTAAACCTAGGCTATACTAACTCATTTTTTTTGCGCTTTTGAATTTAACCGATAAAATTAGTCTTTATACATAAATCATTGAATAACAGTCAAAAAATTTCTTTTTATTCGTAGATTTTGGATTATGTTTGCTAAACGAAGTATAAAAGAATATTTCGGAGTTATTCTTTGCATATTAATTATTCCGGTTATTTTGATCAGCACTTCATTTCATTTATTCTCTCTTATTAAATTCTGGGCTCAATTCAATAGTTTGAGATTTTGTGCTGCTAATGTTATGATGTTGCAATTTTTCAATTCGACCTATACCGCTTTGATCAGCGCTAAGTCTATTGTTTATATTTATGATTTCATTGAATAAAGTTCTTCTCATTCGTTTGATTTTCGTCTACTTAATTACCTTTATATTGAGTAGCAAAATTAATTCAATCTATGTTATGATCTATAATCAATAGGGAAGCAGTAGTACTATTTTGAATCGTATGATGTTGAATGTCATAATTGTTACTAGAGCTGTGCGATCCTAGAATGATATAAAATAAAAAATTTCTGGATAATGAAAAGCTTCGGAAGTAAAGGTTGTGAACAAGATCGTCTTTCTGCTTTGTGATCCGGAGGCAAAATTGCATGGTTCAGATATTTGTTTAAAATTTAGCTCATACTATATTTAGTTGGCTCAATTTTTGACATTTAAAATAAATGAAAAAATATGTCTCTTTCAATGCGATGATTTGATGCGACAAAAAAATTCCTTGGGCTAGTCATGAGACGATCTCGTACGATACAAAACGCCTTACTTATCGAGAAAAACGCATTCTCTCAAGAGAATATCAATTAAATGAAAATTAGGACCAGGACTTTTAGCTAAACTCTGATTATTATACTATAAAGTAAGTGCTGACGCTTGATTTTGTTTGATCTCAATTGAAATTGGAAGATTTCAAAAGAATTTACTTATATGCAGTCTCACAGTAATTCATTTTGAATTCTAAATTGTAAAGAACTACCACAGTTGTCAAGTTTTTATTCTCAAATATTTTTCAACGATTCATGAGATGAGATAAAACAACATGAATACTGTATTGTTTTAAGAAACAACTTTTTGATTATTTAATTTTTTGTTTTAAAAATGGCAAAAATCGTTAAATTGTGACCAAATCAGCACTTTAGACCTCATTTAGCAACTTTAAATATACTTGGTTTGGTTTGATTACTCTCAAAGATACGTTTTTCCTTGTTTTCAAGGCGCCGTACTTATTTTGAAATTTTTGAAAATTAATACATTCCAAGTTTGATTAACCTAACTCAAAATAATGCAAATTTTTGTAGCATGCAAAAACTAGAAATTAGGGTAATTTCATTATAATTTTAAACGATCTCGATTCAGGTGTTAAATTTTTCATAAGGTCAATTTATTCAAATTTCTCCATACTTCAGAAAAAATTTTGTAATTTTTTAATTTTCGGTTGGATCAGATACGATTGTGTCCGGTACTTTATTTTGAGCTATACAATATCTATTCCATTGTTCAACAGAAATTTCTGCCCTTAGATTGAAACTTATGTTGAATTTTATTTTTTGCAAAAATTTTGTATGATGAAAAATTGCCAAAATGACAACTCAAAAATATTTAAAATTTAGAGTTTGAGTTTTATGAAACATATAATTCAAGGCTTCCGATTTCATATAATGTATTTTTATCTTAAGAGAATGCGTTGTTATCGACGTATATGCCAATATATTTATTACGAGTCGCCTTAATTCTAGGCCGAGAAGTTATTTTAGGCCGGCGAAGCATCGCCTCAGAAAATGCATGCTTTTAACGAAAATCACGTGTTTCAGGAGACGCTACCATGTTGAAAGCTAACTATTTATTTAACTCTAAGGCTTCACACTTGTGTTACAACTTTCAAAAATGTCTGATATTAGCTTCTAACCAACACTCATTGCATTATTCACTATAAAAAATATGATTTTGGTGCAAGATATGGATCTTATTGAATATTAAAAATTGTGACGCAATATTTGCACCAGTTTAGTGCTACCAATTCGTACTAGTACAGACGAATAATTTTAATTGCAGTAGTAGATTGGTCAATTGTTCAAAGGGGTAAAAACAGAGCCACAAACACTTTTGTACAGTCTATCATTATGTGTTAAGTTAAGTTTCAGTCTGATATTTTCGAAATTTCACAAAGCCCACTATTCGATGATAATAGCATTGCCAAGTATATGCAATTTAATAAATTGAATTAAAAAATTACATTACTCACTATTATTTCTCTCTGCTATATTAGTTTAAATAAACTCTTGACGAAAAGTTATACTAAATCCTAGATTAATTAAATTCTTAAATCTATATGTAAATGCATCTTTAAAGTTGCATGAATGCAAATTGTGTTATACATTTGTGTCATATTTTTAGAGATATTTTTTAACATGCGCTCCTTTCGATACGATGTTAACTTTACAACTAGATCTAAATTAAGACTGATCATTAGGTATCACTCATTTCATGTTTCAATTGTCAAAAGTACATACTCAATCATTTATTTCAAGAAACTGTTTCATATAGTCAACTGGTTTGAAGAATCATCTATCCTTTTATTTTTTTCTCACCATAATTGGGCTCAGGGGTCGCGTAAATTTTTAGTTTTGCAGCCATTGTCAGATCCAAATCGAGTAATTTCTGTTAAAATAAAATTTGTGTGATAATTTAATATCATTTTGATACAATTTCAAAATTGAATCTTCAAATATTATTTAAACCTAACAAGATCACGAATATGAAAATTGAAAATTAAGGGTTTTTGGTTCTTTGTTCATAATTATGTCTTCAGCTGTTATTTATGATTCTGGTGATGTTTTAGTTAATTATACAATTCCAGGAATTGGTGAAAACGTATCACTTCCATTTAAAGAAATTGATGAGTTTCTTAGAGATGAACTTAATTTAGCTATCATCTCGGGAGTTTCAATTGGTGCATGTTCTTTATTATTCATTTTATTATTAGGTATTTTAAAAAATAATTATACTAAATTAAAGAAATCATGGTTATATCATCTCAACATTTTAATTTGTTTAGTTAATGTCCTTAGAGCTAGTTGTTTTATTAATTATTTATTGAGTGAATTAGCTTCAGTTAGTTTTACTTTTACAGGGGTATATAATATGGCTTCCTTTGCAAATGCAGAAGCAGCCAACTGGTTTATGTTGATTTTATACATTTTAATTCAAATGAGTTTGACATTTCAAATTTATATCATGTTTAATACTCCAAATTTGAAAAGATGGGGTTATTTGGTTACAGCTTTAAGTATATTATTAGCATTAACATCTTGTACCTTCCAATTGTACTCAGTTATAACTCAACACCTTAGATATGAAAGCACAAAAAAGCATTTACCACAAACTTACGTTCAAAATATTTTAAATGATTTACAAATTATATTATTTACTGCAAATATTTGTGTAATGTCTTTATTATTAATTTTTAAATTAATTTTAGCAATTAGAACAAGAAGATATCTTGGTTTAAAACAATTTGATTCATTTCATATTTTATTAATAATGTCAACTCAAACATTTATAATTCCATCAGTTTTATTAATAGTCCATTTTGTTAAAAAGGATCAAAATTCAACTTATGTTAATTTTTGCTTTTTATTGATTATTTTAACATTACCTTTAACTTCATTATGGTCACAAACAGAAAATAGTATTAAACATATTAAACAAGCTCCAAGTATTTCATTTTTAAGTAGAGAATCAAGTAATAAAAGTCAACAAGAAACATTGAAAAATTTTGGAATTGTTTCATCAAAATTTAATTCAAATATTTCAAGTCAAACATCACCAAGTACTTTAAAAGATGATGATTGTAGTTTAGTATTAGAGAAAAGTATTGAATCAATAAATAGTAATAATTCGGGTTTAACTGCTAGTTTACCAAAAGATATTGAAAATTTATTGAGCGACAATGATGATAATATTGTTTCAAGGCAAGTTACAATGTTAAAAACTGAGACAAGATCAGTAGTCTAATAGCAATTTATTTTTATATTAATAATTTACGTTTAATATTTTTTCACCTTGTACTCATATACTATATTATTGTAATCTATAACAATTGTTCATTATCAAGTATTTGGGGGTATTTGACCTTTGGTTGCAAAACGAAAAATGAAAAAAAAACAAAAAAAAAACAAAAAAGAAAAAAAAAAAAAGTCATTTCTTATCAATCAGATAAATTATGGTTGCAGAACCAGTACAAGCATCAGTTCAATTTATAACAAGATTATATAAAAACACAAATGATTTTATTAATGAGCAAACTGATAGAATTACAAACTCAGATTATGTTAAGGAGATAATAAGTTTCACTAATGATCAAACTTCAAACATCAAATTCAACAACGGCTCATTTTCACCACCTCCTCCTCAGATTGACCCGCTAAGTACAAAACTACTAAATAGCATTTCAGAAAATAAATTAAAATATTTTTCAGTTTTTTCTATTGGATTAGGATTATCTTCGTATTATATATATCAAAAATCTTTACCCAAGGTCAATTTCAAAAGAAGGGTTCCTAAATTGCGTAATGGGATTAGAAAAGATGTTGTTTTAATAATTGGATCTCCAATTGAACCATTAACAAGATTAATTGCTTTAGATTTTGAAAAACGTGGATTTATAGTATATTTAACATTATTTGATAATACAGATTGTAAATACATTCAATCAAATCCAATTACAAAGGATTTAAATTACTTAAATTTACTTGAACATCATTCAATGGAAGACAATTTAACTCAGTTTCAACAAATTTTTAAATCACCAATTAAATCAATGGATACAGAATATTTTTTAAATCTTAAAAGTGTTTTATTTGCTCCAAATTTTTATTTCCCGATCGGTCCTATTGAAAACATAGCAATACTGAGTTGGATAAAATTAAATGAAAAAATGTTACAAATTTTTAAAGTTTTAAGTTCTGGATTAATTAAATTAATAAGAAATCAACAATCAAAATTAATATTAATATATCCGAATATAATTTCAAATTTAAAAGTTCCTTATAATTGTCCTGAAATCATATTTCAAAATAATTTATCAAATTTATTTACTGTTTTGCAAAGAGAATTAAGTAAAAAACATGAGATTCAAACTACTACAATTAAATTAGGAAATTTAAATATATCAAATAACAGTAATAAAACTTCAAATTCAAGAATTGAAAATTTAATAAATCTGGAAATTAGAAGTTGGTCAAATGAAATGAAGAATTTATATCTGGAAAATTTTGCATCTTCACAATATAAACTGAATCCTATACAATCGAGTGGTGGTAAAGGTACTAATTTAAAAGAATTATATCATTTATTATATGATTTGATATATAATAAACAATATAAAATAAATCCAAATGTTATATATTGTGGTAAAGGAGCAAGATTATATGATTTAATTGGTAAATTATTACCAGACTCATTAATTAGTTATTTAATAAATTGAAAATACGAGACGGTATACTATTTGTTTTATAATTGTATATAAATACACTACCAACTCATCACACTATAAATAAATCATTTCTCGCCCTGATAAATTTTTTTTTCTTTCTCTTTTTATTCATTGTCCATGATCAAAGATTTGTTATCGAAGCTTACAAACAGATACTTTTTAAAGTATCATATCTATTTGCTTTGGGGAAAGTCTCCTGTCATAACTGCGGAAATGTAATGGATTATCATTCATCCATTAATAAGATTTTCAATGCTTTAGAAAGAAGGACAAAAAAGTTGAATTATAATGGAGTTTTTAAAGGATTATTTCAACAATTTATTACAACTTAATGAAACTTTATCATGTACTTATTTTCATGATTCCCATTACTAGGATTTCAATTTGGATAATATTAGAACTTATAATTGAGATTGATAGAACATTTTTTTTAAAACTATCTCACTGTGGCAAACATCAACGAAGATTTAATATATCGTTCTTTTAAAGGTATTAATCCATAGTATTGGATCTTAGTCTTTGAGAGAATTCGTTCTTGAAAGCTCTGATATCTTTGTCGATGCGATGAAGTCTTCTCACACATTGAAGTTTTAAAAATACATAAATGATTCTATTTAGTTTTTCTTAGTTTTAAATTCAATTTATGAATTCTTATCATGTGGGTTTTTAAAAAAGTGGAAATAAGGAAGATTTAGAATTAGTTGTTGTTGATATTTGTTTTTTTTGATTTTTAAAAAATGTCGATATTATAAATATTTGGCTTTTTTATTAGTTTCCTTCTTTCTTGCATTATTTCTTGTTTCAATTCCTAATCGGGTTTTTTTATCCTTAGTTGATTAGATGTGAGAGTAATTTCATCATATTCGACATTGGGAATAATTGAATTCCTAAACGATAGTTATAACAAATGGTCAAGTATATTTTTATATATTTGATTAACTCAATGGAGCTTATTCTTGAATCATGGACCCTTTTTTTTTGCAAACCTGAGAAACAAGTAAGACTTGATATCTATGCATAGTTAAATATGCCGGGTTTATTTGAATCAAATACTTCAGGGGAAGTGATTTAATATTTATCAAAAAATAGTTTAGTTAAATTACCAGATTTTCCTTTTATTTTTATTATCATGATGAAATATCCAAGCAAACATAGAGTCAAGCTCTGAATTTTAATTTTTCACGTCTGGAAAGATGACAGGTTAAATTAAATTGAAGAGATTTGCAATCAATTCTGAACACTTTAATAAAAAAATAGGAAAATTATCAAAATAACATGTTAATTAAATTATATTGAATAAATAGTAGATCAAAGATTGTATAGATTGAAATATATAATAACGTATTGTCTTGAAGGGTTTCAAAAAAGAGGTGTTCGAATTTTATTAACTAAAATTAAATTATATAAATATTAAGGGAATAAATTAGCAGTAATAATTTATAGTTTCATCAATTCTCAATTTTCCAATGACTTGTTAAACTATTACCACCATTACTTGAAGATTCATTACCCAGTAATTCAGCAGCATATAATACTAAAGTGGTAACCATATTAATCCAATTCCAAAATTTCCAAGGATGAACAATTATTTCAACACCATTATTATTACCGTTTGAATTAATTAATGGCCATATTTTCAACTCAGTTCCTAATTCACCAATATAACTCAACATTAAATGAGTATATACTGCAATTATTAAACATGGTGAATATGCATAAATTAGCCGTATAATAGCTGAAGGTGGTTGATGATGTGGTGGTTTCAATCTAAATTTATTCAAATTTGGATGTGATGATATAATTTGAGATTCTTTGGGTTGATGATGATGATCTTGAGATAAATTTGTCTTATCATCATTTATTTTATTTAATGATGTAGTTGATGTTTGTTGTTTAGTTGTCTTTAAAGATGTACTTGATGATTGTCTCGATCTTAATTGTGGAGTTTTAGGCGGTGAACTTGTATATGATGTAGTACTTGATGATTGATATAATGATGGTATAATTTTTGTAGCTGCATAAAAGACTCCAATTCTATAAGCTAAATTTAAAATTAATGGCAATGTTAAATTCTTTATGGACATAATTAAAAATTCCCATATTCCTTTAAAACTTTGAGGTAAATTTAAAGTTAAAAATGGAACAACTTCACTAATTGGATTTAAAATAGATGGAGGAATTTTTGGTAAATCTTTTTTCAAATTTATTGTAGTTAAAGTTAATAAATTTGCTAATGATTGTGAAGCACCTTCTGATAATATTGGAAATGTTTCATAAATACATCTTACAATATAAGCAAATAATAAACTTGATTCAATTATTGAACCTTTACCACTTATAATTCCAAACAAACTTAACCCAATAGTCATAGTTAATAAACTACCTAATAATGAAGCATCAATCATTTCAATCGTAAATGGAAATACATAAATCCTATATAAAAAATAAAAAGCACCAGTAATAACCGAACCACTTCCAATTAATGATATAATTAACCATGAATCACTTTTATAAATTGTAAGCCAACTTATAGTTTGTCCAATTGCTTGAATTAATAATAATGAACAAAAACCTTCTAAAATTGTGAAGAATGGAGTAGAATTAATCAAAATAAAGTTCCAACCATTAATTAAAAACCCTCCATTAAAATTATTTTGACTTAAACTTAAAAAATAAGTTAATAAACTGGGTATAAAAAAATGTTGACAGTAATAAATTAATGAAACCCATTTGAAATATTTTGTTCTTCTAAATAAAATTCGAATTGTAGTTAATATAAAATATATAAATAAAGTAGTTAAACTAAAAGCTAAACCACAGTTAACACCACCAACATCAAAAGCTAACGGAATTGTTAAAATGGTTAAAATTAAATATAATGATGAAAATAAACCACGAACAAATCGAAATATTCTAAATATAATTACGGGAGGCATAATAAATTGATAATTGGATTTAAGTACATGAAAAACTAAAGATTTTTTAAAAAAAATGATTTATATATAAATTGATTAATGACTATTGATTATTGATGATAATTATGGAAAAATAAATATTGGAAATCACTGGTTGTAAATTAATGAAAAATTAAATTCAACAGTGGTTTATGTGTGTGAGTAACTTTGTATATAACCTAATGTAGAATATTTGTAGTTGAGTACAAACAGGAATTATAGATTAGATTAAATTAATAGTTGTAAATGCAACTGTATCGTAATGTATTGTTGTTAACTTGAATTATAAAGTCGTTTCAAATAACAATAATTTTTACTTTTATTATTTTTTTTTTATTTTTTTTTTATTTTATTTTCGTTAACAAAATTAAAAGAAGTGTGAGCGTTAAAAAATATTTTACGACATTGATTTTAATGTCTTGAGACATTGAGTTTTGATTCAAATCAAATTTAATCGAACATTCATTATTACATTATAACATTACTATCAAAAACTATTTAAAACCATAATTGTATTTTTTACCCTTTTTCAATTCTAAAGATGTCTTTTAATATACTTTTTAAATCAATATCCAGTAAATCATAGTTATAACCAATATTAAAACCTTCTAAATATCGTATAACTTCAAATCTTCTTAAATTATCTATATCATTTAATTTATTTATTGATGGTAATCCATAAAAATGAGATGAGGTACCATCTGGAAATATTATTGATGAATTTCGTTTGTGCTTCTTGTTATTTGTCGTTGTTAAACTATTAATACTAATATCACTGTCTTGTTTTAAAGTTGTTGTAGTAGTAGTGGTTGTTGTTGTTATATAATCATTTTCAGGTCGTTGGCACCTATTCTTTTTAAAGTTTACCTTTATATGTGCTAAGAGTTTCATACCAAATATTTGAATCGAATAATGAATCAAAATGACAGAATAATCATATAAATATTGGTTTATTGATAGTAGAAAGGATTTCAGAGAAACGAAGTATTTTAGAGAGATTCTCTATTTATAATGGAAATTTGATTTTTATAGGTATACATGCATAAATGAATGTGTCATAATAGAAACCAATATATGATGTCTTACATTTATTTTTATTCTTAAACGACTATAACTGGAAAAAATAGAATTTGATGAAGTAGCAATTTTTAATATTATAAATCTAGAACAATCAAATGTAGAAAAATACGATTTACAGTTAAAAATGGCTTAAACGCTTCAGTGAATAACAAACTTTAGACCAATTAAAAGTTTTTGTAATATACTAATTATCGTTAAAGGTATAGCAATTATTCAGTGGTCAATTAAAAAAAAATTGAAATACTACAGTACATCCGTATAATTATAATTACAAATATCAGCTTTATTCTTCTTCTTCTTCTTCTTCTTCTTCTTCTTCTTCTTATATTTCCTCCCAAATTGTATCAGATCTTATATTTTACAAAGTTCAAGTGAAATGATGTCAATTCCAGATCTTGAAATCTGTTTCTTTGATTTTGTGTATTGATTTGTTAAAAATTAGATAAAAGGGTTTTTTAACTACTTGGTCAAAAATAGAAACTGATCTGGTTACAATAGTACAGTGTTATTAATTTATAGTTTTGCTGTACTGGATATGAGTTGATCGTACTTGATAATCATAAATTATTAATAGGTAAAATATTTCAATTTAGTGTTAAATTTGGTGTTCAATGGTATAACCACATCGTTGATTGAATACTGTTGTTGTTATCATAATCAATTTACCCTAGGTCATTTCTCTCAATTTTTGACAGATTCTTTTATTTAACATAGCTTTCCTATTTAGGTATCAATCCCGTCTAGCTAGTTTCCCAATTGCTGCAAAAATGCGGCTTTTAGATCCACCAATAAGCGAGAAGTATATAAGCCGTAGTACAATATCCGATTGCACCGGATAAGCTTATGTCGAAAACTGTGTAAATAGTCTGATATTTTCGTTTTGTGGATAATGGTAAATAGTGGTGTTAGCCAAGAGATTCAACTGTTGGCCAAGTGATTCAATAAAAATGCAATAATAGCTGCTAAACTACCTATAACAATCTTGAAGCTACAACGATTGCACTTCAATCAAAAAAGATTAAACATTGTTAATTTCAAGATTGAATTCAATAAAAGTGAAGAAAAAGAATGCCTCTGGCTATTTTGAAACAACAACCTTTGATTCCATCGATTACTCTACGGTTTAGTGTAATTATTGCAGCATCTCATCGATTTATAATTTGAAAAAGTTACGCTAAAGAATGGTTAATTCACGTGATATTGCAACACTAAACATTAATCAGAGGATTTAAATTTACGAGATGAAAAAATGAGATGGCGTTACCAAATGAGACAGAAACCTATGTACTAGATGTTTAAAACACACCGAAGACGTCAACATAGAAAGAATCTGAAAGAATCTGAAGGAATCTGAAAGCAGCTGATCCATATAAGAAACAATCGGTATTAAAGATAATCTATTTTACATGAGAAACACAATTTGATCAATTAGATTAACTAACGGCTTCACAATTTTAGCCACAATTATTTAAACATTTTTGCTGCAAAATACCCTTCAGATTTGTTTACATTTAAATAGATGTATAAATCTCATCCGTATAGTTCTTAACATTCAAAAATATCATTAAATGGCTTCTTTAATTACACCTTTTAAAAGGTTAAAATGGGGATTTATACCAGTAAGAAGAATAGTCGATGAAGATGAACACGGCAATTTCATAGGTAGCTCAAAAGAAGATGCAATTATAATTGAAGATGATGACTCTGAATCAAATAGTCTATCAAAAGAATCAGATAACAAAACTAATGTTGTTGAAATTCAATCTACAAATACTTTAGAATATAGAGATGAATCAAATCGTCCATGGTGGAAATTTTTTGATGAATATGAATATAGAATAACTACAAATACAAAAAATAAAAGGAAATGGTACAAATGGTTTCATGATGATGATACACCTGAAGAAAGAAAGTTGATTGTTAAAATTGATTTACTATTAACTGTTTATTCCTTAATGGCTTATTGGGTAAAGTATCTTGATCAAACAAATATTACTAATGCATATATTGGTGGTCTTAAAGAAGCTATTGACATGCAAGGAAATGATTTTGTTAATACCCAAGTCATGTTTTCCGTAGGGAATATAATTTTTCAAATTCCATTTATGTATATCCTTTATGCTTTACCATTAAATTATGTATTACCAACCTTAGATATTTGTTGGTCAATTATAACTATATGTTTATCACAATCTAAAAATGTTGCTGGTTTAAAAGCAATGAGATTTTTTGTTGGGGCATTTGAAGCACCTTCTTATATTGCTTATCATGCATTATTTGCTTCTTGGTTTAGAGGTTCAACTGGTGAAATTGCAAGAAGAGCTGGATTTTATTATTTGGGTCAATATTTAGGTATTTTAACTTCAGGTTTATTATCAGGTGCAATTGAGAGAGGTATGAGAGATATTGGTGGTTATGAAGCATGGCAATGGATTTTCATAATGGATGGTATTGTATCTGTTATTGTTGGAATTATAGGATTTTACATGATTCCAGGTACACCTGAAGATTGTTATAGTATATTCTTAAGTGATGATGATATTAGACTTGCAAGAAAACGTATACGAAAAGATCAAAAAGATGTTAAACCGAGAGAAAATGCTGCTAAACATTTCTTTGATTTAAATAATTGGAAGAAAATTTTTACTACTTGGCATTTTTACATTTTATCATTATGGAATATCTTTTTATGGAATAATTCAAATGGAAGTTCTGGTGCTTATGCTCTTTGGTTACAATCCCTTACAAAATCAGATGGTGTTACTCCTCGTTATGATGCTGGTAAATTACAAGATATGACTGCTTTAACTCCTGGTTTAGGTTTAATTTGGTTGATTTTGACTTCTGGTTTTGCTGATTTATTTAGTTGTAGATGGGGTGCTATAATATTTTCACAAGTATTTAATGTATTGGGTAATTTATTATTGGCAATTTGGAATATACCCGAAGGAGCAAAATGGTTTGCTTGGTGTTTACAATATATGGGTTGGGCTGCAGCTCCAACAGTTTATAGTTGGCAAGGTGATATATGTAGAAAAGATTTAAGATTGAGACAAATTGTTTTAGTATCGATGAATATTTTAGCTCAACAATCAACTGCATGGATAGCTGTATTGGTTTGGAAAACTGTAGAAGCACCAAGATTTTTAAAAGGTTACAGTTTTACAGCTGCCAGTGGATTTGCATTATGTATTTGGACATTTGTTGTTTTATGGTTTTATAAAAGAGATGAAAGATCAAGTGCAAAAGAAAATGGAATTGTATTATACAATTCAAAAAATGGTCAGGATTTGGAAAAACCGACTAGTATTGAAATTGAAAAGTAGATATTGTTAGATTAATAGATGATTCAGAATTGAATGTTTTAATGGAACCGTAGTACTACAAAAGTTTCCTTTACATCTAAATTACTCAAACAACTAAGGAACGGGTACCAATACTGAATATTGCTGATAGGTGCAAAGTAAATATTAACTCGAGCATTTTTTTAGTGTCGATATCATTCAAAAATCAAAATATGAATAAAAAAGAAGTTTTGAACTCTGTCACAGGGCCTAAGTTACGTTAAAGTCAATTATTTGTGGTATTTTATTCCATTATATTCTGGTCAAACATACTTAAAATACGTTTGTAAACATGTCGTTTTTGAAGTTGAATAACTCTATAAATTCAACATTCTAAAAATAGCAACAATACACATTAAAATCAGGGTAAACTTTGCCGGATCGTTTGCAGTAATGCTTTAGCACAAGATATGAATTGGGCTCTTTTGATGCATCTGTATTCGACGAATTTGAATTCTATTATATGAGTACTAAAAGGACATCAATTTTTTGGCTAAAACTTCGGAGTTACGTATATTCTTTAGATTTATTTATATTCTCCAAAATTTCCTTCGCCTGTAGGTGATGATGATGAATTGAATAAACAACTAGAACGTTTAAGCAAATATCTCTTAGTTGTGTTAAAAGGCATCGGAAAATCAACCGCAATATCATTAATTAGATAGTTAGTGAATTTACACTATCACTAAATGTCGTAGTTACAGTGGATAATGGTAAACTTATAGTTGGTGAAAATAATGAAATAGAAGATATATGACGCGTAGAGGTTTATTTACTTTCTTCATCAATTTTAACCTCGATTCCAGAACTGTAGAAACTACAAATGAATGAACTCATCAACGAATCAATGGACTCAACCATTTTTTTTCGTGTTGGTTAGATTTAAATTAAACAGTTGGAAAATCTCCGTTATAAAAGTTGACCCCATACTTGCATAAACAAATCGATTCGAACTACAAATCGTGCAGTTAGTCTCAAATCAATAAATTGCTAAGGCTATTAGTAATTTCCTTGTTTTTCTTGAGACCTGACTGTGGAAAGGGGAACTTTAATGAAGTAATGTTATGAAATCGAAAAGCTAGAAGTCATTCGGAATTAATTTAGACGAATAATGACCAAGACATTTAAATAATAAAACTCGAATTTAACAGAGATCTACAAATTCGTTGTCCACATTATCCTTACACGTTATTTAAAGATCACGAAACAATTAAATTATGATTCGTGGAATGTGTAACAATTTATTTTATGCCTTGATTAACCGAATTATTATAAGGTTTGTAGCGAAACGAGTAGTTGCTTTATATGGCCACTATTTTATCTTCTTTAAGGCATCATTTTTATAGATGAGTTTTAAGAATGATGAGCAAATACGATTAATTATACTTTTATCTTACCAACTTTCCTTTTTAATTTCATCATGACAACAGTGGAAGATTCTATTGATTCAAATGCAAAAGAATAATGAAAAGTAATAGTAGTGTATAATTACTTAGATTATTATTGATCGGTTGATTCGTATTTATGCATAATTTCTAAAAGTTAAAAATAACTGACCCCGACATACCCATCAATAACCGAATCTATAAACAGTGTTGCAAACATATACCCACAATCTCCTATAATAAAATTTAATATATATACACGTCAATAAATTCCCATTTTTCATGTTTATCAATTCAATTATAATTATCAATCATGACTCCGGTTCAAGAAGGTATTAGAACTCAATCTATTTCAATTCCAAACAATATAACTACAACTTCAAATAATATTAATAATGCTGCTCCTCATTCTCCAATCCAATTTAGTGATGAAATAACTTTAGGTGAATATATTTTTTATCGTATTCATCAATCTAATCCAAAATTGAAATCTATATTTGGTATACCTGGTGATTTTAATGTTGATTTATTAGAACATGTTTATTCACCATTAATTACTTCGAAAGGTATTAAGTTTATAAATACATGTAATGAATTAAATGGCGCTTATGCAGCTGATGGATATTCAAGAGTAATTCAAGGTTTATCTGTTTTTATTTCAACTTTTGGTGTTGGTGAATTATCTGCAATTAATGGTATCGCAGGTGCATTTGCTGAATTTTCACCAGTTTTACATATTGTTGGAACTACAAGTTTAAAACAACAACAAGAATCTAAAAATCAAGTAATTAATATTCATCATTTAGTACCTAGTAAAAATGCACTAAATGCACCAAATCACAATGTGTATAAAAGAATGGTTGAAGATATTTCAGTTATTCAAGAAACTTTAGATTTTGATATGAGTTTAAATATGGTTAAAATAGATAAGGTATTAAAAACAATCATTAATGAATCAAGACCAGGTTATTTATTTTTGCCATTTGATTTACCAAATTTGAAAATTAAAAGTAGTGAATTATTTATGAATCCATTTAATTCAAATTCAATTTATGATCATTCATCAAAATCTATTGAAATTTTGGAAAATGCAACTGATTTAATTTTAGAAAAATTGTATCAATCTAAATCTCCATCTATTTTATCAGATTGTTTAACTACTAGATTTGGATTTCAAAATGATTTAAATAAATTTATAAATAAATTACCAGAAGATAAGATTAAATTGTTTACTTCTAATGTTGCTAGAAATTTAGATGAAACTAAATTGAATTATATTGGAGTTTATAATGGTATTGGATCATCAAATGAACAAGTTAAAAATGAATTGGAAAATTCTGATTTTTTATTAATTTTAGGTTATTTTGAAACTGAAATGAATTCAGGTGGTTATACATCAGATTTTTCACATATTCCAAATGGTGTGATTATTCATCCTGATTTTATTAGAATTAATAAATCTTATATTCCAATTAAACAATTGGATGGTGAAAGATTATTTACAATTGGTGATTTAATAAATTCATTAAATGATAGATTAGATATTACCAAATTACAAGCTGATTTAATATCACTTAGTTCCAAATATTATCCACCAACTTTTCATCAACCTTCTGATTTTGATTTGAATTGTGTTTCACAAGATAAATTAGTTGATCATTTTAATGAGTTTCTTGAAGAAGATGATTTATTTATTGTTGAAACAATGTCATTTTGTTTTGGTTTACCAGATGTTAAATTTGCAAAAAATGTTCAATTATTAGCTTCAAATTTTTATGGCTCAATTGGTTATGCTATTCCAGCCACTTTTGGTGCAACTATGGCGATAAATGATCTAACTCTTAAAAAGAGAATAATTTTGGTTCAAGGAGATGGTGCCGCTCAAATGACAGTTCAAGAATTATCAAGTTTTGTAAGATATCAAGAATATTTACCAAACATGCCACAAATTTATTTGATTAATAATGATGGATATGCAATTGAAAGAAAGATAAAAGGACCATTCAGATCTTATAATGATATTAACGGATTATGGAAATGGTGTGATTTATTAAATGTATTTGGTGGGGGTTCAAACGGCAAAATGTATCAATCTTACTTGTTGAAAAACTTGAAAGAATTTGAAAATCATTTCGAGAAGAAAACAATTGAAACTGATCAAGGTAAATTACAATTTTACGAAATAATAGCAGGTAAACTCGACGTACCATCTAAAGTTGATTCAATGATGTGTAAAAAATGATGAACTATATGTAGAGATGAATAGATATGAAATATAGTAACATTTGATATTTGACCTCGGTTGGAATGCATCTAATTTAGCAGTATTACAGTTGTAATACATACTGCTTGTATCAGTCGTTTACCACTTCTCTTAACAAAACTTGGTGGTGTTTCAGAATCAATTTTTTTACCCTTTGCACGCAAAGGTTTTGTTTTCATCATCAATTCAATTCATGGTAAGTAAAATTATCAACAACAGATCATAGATTAATAACTAACAATAATTTATAGTCTGCATTATTTAATTTTCAATCATTGTTACAAGTTATACTATTGTTGATATGTACTTGTACTTATGTTCATTCAGTTGCTCCTGCAATTTTAGATAATAGAAAATCTGGTTTATTAAGTTTATTTTGGAAATTTGCTAGAATTGGTGAAAGATTAAGTCCCTACGTTGCTATAGGATGTTTCATAATGGCATTTAATACATTAAGTTCTTAAGCGATTTACAAAAGAGGGTGCTGGCTGAAAAAAAAGTGTTATCAAAGTTTCATCGGGTTTTATTCAATAGGATTACAAGAATAATAATTCCTGGCTAAAAAGCTAAGAAAATGGCAAAACTGATAAAGTGATTTTTTAATGCACATCATTCGTTAAGGTTCTATTTATTTCCTATTTAAACTCATATAAGTCATTTACTGAATTACATAAAATTGGAGCACGTTCATTACCTACAATTCTTTCTAATGTGACAGCATCCCATTTAGAAAACAAGATTTTAGTGATTGCTAAATTTAAATCACATTCCTCTTTAAAAATCAGTTTACCAATAAATCTAATTAATTCTTTATAAAAAATTGGATTTTGTGGTAATTGATACATTATCAAAGATTTAACACCATTTATTTCATATCTTCTAAAATAATGTAATCTTTCAGTATATAATAATATTTTTATTTTACCTGTTGCAAACTCATGTCTCATTTTTGACAACTTAGATTGTGAACTATACTCATCAATTGAACCAAAATTTAATTTTGTTGAAGTCTTTAAAAAATTCTTAACTCTTAAATAATCGAAATATGAAGGTATAAAAATCATAATTCCATCTTCATAAGAACAATTTTTAAAAATGTTTGGAACTATTGAATTAATAAAAAATTTGAATCTTGTTTCTGAATCATTAATTGGTGTATTTGATGTATCGAATCTTTGAAAAATTTGTTTTATTTTCAACCCTATTGAATTCATTATACTTGATTCTGGGTTTATAATTGGTTTAACTTTAACTTTTCCTGATAAATTAAAAGATTTGGATGATATTAAATTATTTATATTTGGCGTTAAATATTCACAAAATATTAAATTTTGACGTAAATATTTTGCTTGATCATTAATGGACCACATTCTAATTCTTGAAAAATCTGCATCATGAAAGTCTTTGGGGATTTTATTAATATATTTCATCACTGTATTTATATGATCCCAATTTTGCATTTCAATTTGATTTGATTTATCAACTATCAAAATTTCAATAGATGATAAGAAATCATACTGTCGTTTCTTTTTATCTGGATTCTCTAAAATCATGGATAAACCAATCGGTGAAGCTATAATAATATCTGAAGAATAAAATGATGAATATAATTTTAAAGATTTTCTAGTAAATTTTAAACCAATACAAAAAAAGTCATTATTATTACCTTTAAATGCATCTTTAAAATCATCGGGCTTATTTGATCTTGGTGAATCTTTAACATGAAATTGGGATGTAAATTTCTTTTTATTTTCTTGCTGATTAGTTCCTGAAATTTTAATAAGTTCTTCAACTGTTTCAAAACATGATTCTCTTGTAGGTAATAAAATTAATATTTTAGGTCTAGTAAAGCCCTGATCCTTGAATTCTTCATTTGAATCTGGGTTTGAATGCAATTTAGCTGTGTTTTTCAATATACGATCTCTAGTTTTATAAACATGGTTCAAAACGTGCATCAAGTATAATTTTCTATATGAAATGTTTTTGAATGATTTGTATTGATAGTTTATATCCTGGTAGTTTATTAGTGGATTTAATAAAATTTTATCTAATTGAGACAAATTTGGATAATGTTTTGTGAATGCATCCAATACTCGTTTTTTAATCCCATAATCTTCAATTTTAGATTTATTTAATAAAGGAGGTTGTAATATTTCAGACAGTGCTTGAGTTAATGTTGATAAATTTAAATCTTCATACAATTTTTTATCCATTATCTTCCATTTTTCTCGACTCTTTTCTTGTTTTGATAAATATTCTTCTGATGGTTGGTTAAAATGTACTTCAAATGGATCAAAAGCTAAACCAACAGGTGAATCCTCATCATCTGAAATTTCTACTTCTTCTTCTTCTTCTTCCTCGTCTTGTTCTTGTTCCATATTTATACCTGCGACATTATCATCTTCTTCATTTTCCTCATGTATTTCTTTTGACGAATCTTTTGTTTTCTTTTCTGTATGATCAGTTTTCAATAATGTTAACAATGCTGAATATGCTTTACTTTTTTCATCATCATCTTCATCTTCATCATCTAATTCATGTCGATTATTAACTAGCTTTTCTTCTTCTATCAATTTTTCATCATTTTTGTCAGTTTCTTCATCTTTTTGTTTATGAATATGTTTTCTTGAAGCAGTTCTGGTCACCCTCCTTAATTCTTCTCTACCACGTTTTACATTTCTATCATTATCAAACTTTCTTTTCAATTGAACCATTTGCTGCAAAAAGAACTGCGATGTGAAACCAAAAAAAAAAAAAAAAAAAAATAAAATAAAAAATGACAATTTCCACGACAGACAACTTTTGAAATTAAAACTCAACAACAACAACCAAATAATCAACCAAAATCCAACTTCTTTTTGATTAAGTATAATGTACTGTAGCTCAATTAAAGATAGAATATAAGAAAAAATTTATTTTAATGTCAATGACGGATTTAAATGATGATCCATTTCAAATGGATGAAGATTTTGATTCTTCATCTAATAAAAAATTAATTTATACATCATCAAATTCGATACCTCCGTCTCAAAATGATATTCATTATATGCGGTCCAACATTGAACAATTAAAATTAGAAAATAATAACACTACGACAAATACAACAGAAGAAGAAGAAAAATTTGAAGAAGATTTAGATGATAAATTAGATTTAAATTTACAAAATAAAATACAATTAGAGTATGAAAAACAACAATTAGATAATTTACCATTAACACCTCCTGAAAATTTTGCTTTGGTAGTTGGTAAAATTTATCGAAGTTCATTTCCACAACCTTCAAATTTTTCATTTCTTAATAAATTGAATTTAAATTCAATTTTATGTTTAATCCCTGAAGATTATCCAATTTTACAAAATGAGTTTTTACAAGATAATAATATTAAATTATTTCAATTAGGAATGTCTGGTAATAAGGAACCATTTGTTAAAATTTCAAGTGAATTAATTACAGAAGCCGCGAAAATTGTATTAAATCCTAAAAATCAGCCAATTTTAATTCATTGTAATAGAGGAAAACATAGAACTGGTTGTCTAATTGGTGTAATTAGAAGATTACAAAATTGGTCATTAACTATAATATTTGATGAGTATAGAAAATTTGCATCACCAAAAGAAAGACCAATGGATCAACAATTTATAGAATTATATGATGATGCTGAAATTAAAAAACATTGTCATGAAAATAATTTATTACCTTTAAAATGGGATTAAAAATATATATACATTTATTCTATTTGAATGGACTTTGTTTACTCCAAAAAAATTCTCTACCATATAATCCCGTATTAAATAAAGCCAAACTACTTAATAAAATTGGTGATAATCTACCATGTATTACACTTTTAATTGATGATTTACCATTAACTAATAAATATAATCCTGACCATGCCATATTAAAACCAGAAGCATTTAATGGATCTCCATCATATAACATCCAAGATCCTAATAATGAAGCACCTCCAAATGTAAAACAAGATAACCTTGTTGGTTTTGCAATTGATAATTTTTGATTAAATTTAAAACTAGAACCAGAAGTACCTTGATTTGGTATTTTTGAAATTGATTGGCCTGAACTTAATAAACCTTTAAATATTAAAGATGATCCTAATAAAAATGAAGGTATAGGAGATATTCCTAATTCATCGAGTGTTTGATAAATTGTTGTTTCCGTTTGATTATTATTATTACTAGCCATGGTATAAGAATTGACAGAAAGAAAAAAAAAAAAAATCGTTTGCTAAAAATCTGAAACATGATTTTGATTATTGAAATCTGGCGTCAACAAGTTTTCCAATGTCTGGTTAGCACTTAAGTCTATATTGAGTATGTGTAAACTAGCTCTTAATTGTGTTTTTACCACATGACATAGATTTGTAGGTTGTTTTTTTTTTGACGTTGCATTTGCAACAAAAAATGGCTGCAAAATAATTAATTTTTAAAACTAATAGGGAAAAAACACCATCGATAGACAATTTATGATTCCTTATAGCAAAATAGGTGTTGATAATTAAGCCAAACAATACTTTGGAGTATCATCTGTTGTCAGTAATAATACTAATACTATCAAAATTACCCGTTACTAATGTTAGTATTTTACACCAGCTCTATTTGCGTAGATTCAACCATGCATATAAACAAGCTAAATTTGTAATTGATTCTCCCAAATTCAGAATATGTCAGGCAAGTTTCGGTTTATGTAGATTTTGACAAATGAAAGTAAATTCAATCGAATATGATATGGACATAGACTTTCTCTGGCAGTTCAAGGGCTATTCGAAAGGAAGTCTATGAGTATCATAGTTTGCAGTTCCAGAAAGCTGAGATATACCTCGAGAATTTATGTACACAAGTTCATACAATTGGAGAGGTAATTTTTCAAAAATAAATCATTTTTGCAAGATTTCCAAAACGGTTACGGCGTCTTGGGAACACCACACATATTATCTAAGGATTCAGCAAAATACTAGAAGTGAGATAAGTTCAAAGATCAAATTTTTATTATTGGAGGAGTTATTCATATTTCAAATTCCAAGATCAATTAATATAAAACTGCACACTAGCAATTTATTTCAGAACTATGCTAGAAAGTACTTATTGTCCAAAGAGAAAAAATTGGTACGACTAAATAATATTTCGCGCTAGCTTTAGGGCGACTCGTACCAAACTCATCGAATTATATGTCATGAATAACACATTCTTATGAAATAAGAACCAAATTTATGAAATCAGATACCTTGAATTATATATTTTACATTCGTTCAATCTGAATATTTCAAATTTTTTTTTTTTTCATTTGAATCCATACAAAATTTTTTTCAGAAAATATTAATCTGACTGTCTTTTTATTTTGGCCCATATCTTGCAATTAAACAACGAAGTACTTATATCAAACCTTGAATCAATGCGTTGAACGTGTTTGTACTTGATAAAAGCCAAAATTGAAAAATTTCAAAAATATTCTCTTAAGTATGAGAAAAAGTGAATAAATTAACCTTGCAAAAAATTTAACTCCACTTTTAATATTCAAACTAGAACATGCTGAAACTATTCAATTTTGTAGTTCTGTCACCGTATTAAACCTCGAGATTAATTGTGTTTAGGTATTTTGAAAAGTAAAAGTAATTTTTCGAAAGTGGTTCGAATTTTTTGAAAAAATACCAAATGATTTTGGCGTCTTGAATACATCATACAAGGAATTAAGATTAAATGAGACAAACCGGCTATATTAGAAGTTGCAAAATAAGATCTAAGTGCTAGCTATCTAGCAATTTAATGTTTTTTTTCATGTTTTGAATGTAGCATAAATTGATCAGTATTGTTTTTCTTGAAAGAAAAGTATAACCGTTTAGCTCTAAATTGAGTGAATCTTTAAAATAAAAGAGTTGGACAACAAGTCCTTAAATACTGAGGGAATTATTTACGATTTAACTTTTCGAGTGAAACGAAGACGAGACTGCCTATAAACCAAATTTGTTTTACGTGCTCGCAGTCATAATTGATTGTTTCAGTGCGAACAATGTAGCGAAAAAAAAAAAATAATTTTAGCACCAAACTCCAATGCGATTTAGGGCCAAATAGCCTTACATATTATCATTGAAAAAACTTGATGAACAATAATTGTTGCATATCATAGGAATCTGTCATAAGGATAATGATGCGACGTAGAGAACAGTTTTTAATAGCCTTACACGAAGTTCATGTTGTTTTAGCCTTATCGGTTTGATACGCAATCAAAATATTTACCAATATTTACTTACGTGTTCTATTCAATGGAAAAAATTGGATTGGTGTTGGTATCATAAAAATGTTTTATCAACCAACGAATTTGGGGTATCTGCTCCTTCGCTGTACCGATTCATTCACTAGATTCTTGAATTTATTATTTTCTTTTTTGCGGTGTTTATACAGTTAATCCGTCTATCGCCAATAAGCTCCAAAATTTAGATTCTGCTTCTTAAAAATAACCATAGCATCGCTATTTCATGCACTATATTAATTAACAACCGAGTCTAATCTTTGTTCAGGTTGAAGATCACGGTTTAAAGCGCAAAAAAGATCTTTACGCGCGATTGTTTTTGCCACAAACCCAAATAGGAAATTTTTAATTTATACCGAAAGCGCGAAATCAAAAAATTACACAAAAATAAAATCAAAAGTTCAACTTTCCACAGGAGATTTTGATGTTATATAAGCTCAGTTTGCATACAAAATATATTGATATTGGTATCATTCGAAAGAGAAAAAATCCAGCAATCATATTATTAAAACTTAAAAGACTGTTGCAATCAAATCACGACCAATTTATGCATTTATTAAACCTGGTACTAAAAAACAAAAATATGATTATGGATGGAATTTTTGCATGTTCGAATATTGATTTAGTTTAGTTGTTGAAGATGATTTTAAAGTAATTTTCAGCCACAAAATCTAATTAATTTTAAATCATCATATACGTTTATCGTTAAAAAATAAATTTAATTAATATTTCAGGTACAAAATTAAATGTAATAATTTATAATTATTAATTACATAATTTATTTTTACTATTAATACCAAACCAATTTATCCACAATGATTATATTTTTTTTAATTCAATAATCAGTTGCATTTTTAATTAACAATGTCAGGTAGCGGAAAAGATGGTAAAGGTTTAGGAAAAGTGGGTGCTGGTGGTGCAAAACGTCATAGAAAATTCTTAGGAGATTATATAATATTCAAGGTGTTACAAAACCAGCTAATAGAAGATTAACAAGAAGAGGTGGTGTTAAACATAAGTTTAGTTGTTTTAAGATTTGTTAGATTTTATTAGAGATGCTATTACTTATACTGAACATGCAAAACGAAAAATTGTTTCAAGATTAGATGTCGTTTATACTTTGAAAAGCAAAGTAAGAACTTTTGTTGGTTAATTTCAGTAACATTGTTCTGTTTTCGTATCAAATCTATTTTCAATTCTATAAGTATACACATAAATTTTATTCATTTTATATCAAATTTTGCCCATATTTACCTCCTTCTCTTAAATGTTTCTCTATTTTTTTGGTCAATTTGTTTTCCCAATATTCAACATCGATGACTGGTTTGTCTTTATAATCATCACTAGTATATTTTACCCAATAACTCATACATTTAGATAATTCAATTTCAGGTTCTGGCCAATTTGGACAATTACAATTACAACCAACTACTGAATCTCTTGGACAATGAGAAAATATATCATGTTGATAACCAATATCTCGAAAATAATGTAATTCATTTAAATTTAATTTCATTCCAACATATAATGAATGTATTGGAGCATCGCCCCATCTTTCTTTATAAAAACCACCACTTTCATCTAAAAAGTTAAAAAAATCTTGATATTCATTATCTGAAAATAAATCAACTCTTGCAATTTCAAAATTAGACCAAAAATGACATAAATTAAAATCTTGTAAATTTATTCTATCTTCATGTAAATATGGCATTTCTTTACTCCTTCTAATTATTTGATCAATCATTTCAGTTTCTTTTGGTTTCTCTTTCAATTCCAAGAATTTCTTTATATATATCTGATCTTGAATTTCTCGTAAAATTTCATCCTTTTCAGGTTTATCTAAATATTTAGTGTCACTAGTAGTCCATTTCAGATTAAATGTGAGTAATTTCCATGTATCTTTAACTTGAATTTTTTTAATTTGGATGTATTTCCTAACTTGTCTAAACAAATTTGGAGTTGTATAATATAATTCTGATAGTATAATATTAAATCCATATTTTTTATTCTTTTCCTCCATTTCAATAAATGGATCATAAGTTAAATCACAATGAAATTTTACATTTGGTTCTACTCTCCAATACCATTTATATTTTGAAATTAAAGGATGTTTAAAAAATGCACCAGAATAATATCTACACATTTTATGATATGATTCGAGATTTGAATATAATATTGTTCTATCTGATTGATATTGAAAATTCTCATCTAATTCTTCTTTACTTAAATAATTTGGAAAATCCCATTGTTCTTTTGGTATAAGTCCAAATTCTATTTTAGCATTTGTATGTTTTGAAACTTGTTGTTTAAAATTTTCAGAAAATGGTTCATCATTTAAAAATGTCCATGGATAATTAAACCATTGATTGAAATGACCTTCTAATGATTTCATTGACTGTATTACTTTATCAATCTCCGAATTCCGACATAGCATCACTATTGTTGCATTTGCTTTCCTTGAAACATCGATTTTTTGACAATTTTCATAAAATACAGAATCAATTTTTGATGTAATTTTTTCATCCGTTAAGTCCGGTATACGTTTTTCAGTGTATGATTGACTTCTAATTATGAATAAACTAATTGATATGGTTATTAGGCATATTATTAGACATATTCTATTGATTATTTTCTTCATAGTATAAAAAAAAATAAAAAAAAAGAATTTTGGAACGCCAGGGTATAATTTATTCGCTCGAAAAAATATAAAAATTTAACGCGTGTGCGTCGCATCAAAGTTTATACCGACTCGCTTTAAAATTTGCACTAGTCTTACAATTTTAGTGGGAGATTTGATACGAGGTTTGGCAACGAAAAAAAATTTTGTAGTTCCAATTTGTTCCTTAGTTCAAAATATACACAATTGATTCTAATTTACGTTATTATTATTTAACTTAACTTAATATGGAAATTCTTTTAGTAGTTCAAGCATATAGAATGAATCTTAATTATATAATTAATAAATTGAAACGTACACGACGTTGCATCGGCTGAACTTTTCGTAAATCTATAAATAGACGTCAATTTTTCCGTCAATTTTCTTTTTCTACACAAATAGTTAATTACTTTTGAAATTACTTTTGAAATTACAACCTCTATTAAGAAAAGTTAGCAGATACTCCAATTCCAAGTCATAAATAAAGACAATTATATTAGATAGTATTCATTCTAAGAAATTTTGATTGATATTTTGCAATGCTTTAATTATCTAGATGAGTTACTGTAAATATTTTAACGTTTATTTCTTAACACTATTATTAATTGCATTTTGTAATTCCAATAAATCTTCATTCAATTCATCTGGTTTTAAACCTTGCGGTCCAATAAATTGTTTATGTGCTCCTCTAGTTTGAACTCTTCCATTAGAACCATTACCATTATTAAATATTGAATTATTGAAAAAATCTAAACCTTTTCCACCTTCGTCATTTTCCATAATTAATAAATTTAATGCATCATAATCTTTATCACTTAAATTTGATTCATATCCACTATGATTATTTTTATGTAAATTATGTAGATGTGGTATAGATGGAGTACCAGTACCAGTACCAGTACCAGTTAATGCATTACTTGAACTTAGTTCATCATTTGAACTATATTTTGAATTTGCAGTTATAATTCTCCTCCTTTTTCCCAGTGATAAATAACCTGAATTATTATTATTATTATTATTATTATTATAATTGTTGTTGTTGTTGTTGTTGCTGTTGTTATTATTATTATTATTATTATGAATATTACTTTGAGATTGATTTCCGTCACTAATTTCACCTTCTTCAATCAATTTTCCAAAATATTCCCGTTTTCTTAAAGATCGACGATCTAATTCTGATGAAGGTAAAGATGAAGATAAAGATGAAGAATGAGGATGATTTGAATTCCAACTACTTCCATTAACAACATTTAAAAGAAATTTTTCTTCTTTTAAATCCTGTTTTTGTCTTTGTAATTTGTCAAATAATTTTTCTTTAATTAATTTAATCATTTTTTCATGATTTAATTTTGCTTTATTTAAATCTTGTTTATGTTCAATTTGAATTCTATTGATTTGATATTGTTGCCATAATTTTAATTTCACAAGTTCATAATCTCTAATCTCTTCTAATTGGATACGTTTAAATTGAAAATCATCATTTGTACCTTGTTGTAAAGTAGCTAGTTTATTTTGTAAATCATGTAATGAATTTCTATAAAATATATCTCTATCATTTCGAAAAGTAAATTCTAATTTATTTAATTTTGATGATATATTTAACTTTTTTTTATCCCTTTTGGAAGAGCCTGATATATAATTGTTAGTATTATTATACTGATTTAGTAGTTTCATCAAATTACATACTATCTATATTTCTTCTATCTTCCATTGAATAGTATTCGTTGGTTGGTTTGTTGGTTGGTTGTAATAATACAATTTGTGATTTTTTTCTAATAATAAAATATTAAATCTATTATCTACTATAAAATTATATGCAGGTTTGTCTTACCCGGGTCTCGTATCCGATATATAACGATTGAATCAATCAATGAATTTATCAGTTTATCAATTTATCAATTTATTAACAATACTTTGACTAATTAATGACTATTGATCATTCTAATGATATGTATAATTCAGTTAAACATTTACCATTTGCTGATGGTAAATTTACTGCAACTCCAAAATATCCTCATCAATTTGAAAATTTTAAATTATCAAAAACAGATCAACCTGTTACTTTATTAAATATTCATAATACAGAAATTGATCAATTACCAATTAATTTACTTAAGGTATTACAAGATGAATTTAATTATATAATAGAAGAAGGTAAAACCTATCCTCATGAATCATCAATGAATGATATAAATGAATTTAAATTATATTGGTTCAAACATTTTGCTTCAATACTTTTACAAGGAACATTTACAAATATGAAAGATTTACAAGATGATGTTAATTTTAATTTTAAAGACATCTTTCTTGGAACTTTTTACATTAAACCTAATTATATTGGAAGATGTTCACATGTATGTAATGCAGGGTTTATCGTAAATCATGAAAAACGAAGATTAGGTCTTGGTAAAGAATTAGGTAAGAAATATTTACAAATAGCTCCAAAGTTGGGTTATATATATTCAGTATTGAATCTTGTATTTGAAACTAATATTGCAAGTTTAAAAATTTGGGATAGTTTAGGTTTCGAAAGAATTGGATATATTAAAAATGTAGCAGTTTTAAAAGGTAATGACGATAAATTAGTAGGAGCTTATATGTTTGGTAAAGATTTACAATAGCGTTGCAATAAGTGAGTGATAATTGTTGATAAGTAAATCAAGACAATTAATAATCAATGATAATTAGTAATCCCGAATTATATTTCCTATCTTGGCGCGATGACTCTGGTGAAAAATAAAAGTATAAAAGGCTAAGTTTATAATCTATCTTTTTTTTTTTTTTTTTTTTAAATCATACAGAAATTATGGGTAAGGCTAACTTCGAATCTTCAGATATTAGTGATATAAATACAGAAATTGCGGGTAAGGCTAATTTGGAATCTTCAGATACTAGTGATATAAATACAGAAGCAAACTTACAAACTACCACTTCAAGATTTGATAAATTTAAACCCTTTAAAGCTAAAAAGAAAGATAAAAATCCAGATCATGTGTCATTATCTTTAATTGATAAATTATTACCTTTATTCATCGTCTTAGCTATAATTTTAGGAATACTATTATCTGTTTATGTACCAAGTAGTAGAGATGCATTTAGTGGATCCGAGATAATAGGTGTTTCAATTCCTCTTGCTATTGGTTTAATTATTATGATGATTCCTCCATTAGTTAAAGTAGAATGGGAAAAATTGAATCAATTAAATTATAAAGTTTTATTAGTTTCTCTTTTAATAAATTGGATAATTTGTCCCCTTTTAATGTTTGGTTTAGCTTGGCTAGTATTATTTAATTATCCAGAGTATAGAATTGGTATAATCATGATTGGTCTTGCTAGATGCATTGCCATGGTTTTAATATGGAATGAAATTGCCCTTGGTGATAATAATCTTTGTGCAATTATAGTCGTTATAAATTCAATACTACAGGTCATTTTATATGCTCCATTATTGATATTTTATTGTTATGTGATTACTGGAGATCCAGCAGAAGATGTAAGTTATGAATTGGTTGCAAAATCTGTTGCATTCTTTTTAGGTGTTCCATTAGGTGCTGGTATAGTTCTAAGAACTGTATTAAAATATACTAAAACTTATGATACTTTAATTAAATTTATAAGTCCTTGGTCATTAATTGGTTTATTATATACCATAATTGTTATTTTCATTGAAAAAGGAAATGAATTTATCCACGAAATAGGTGACGCATTTTTATGTTTTGTTCCTTTGGCTTTATATTTCCTTATTACTTGGTTTGGTACTTTTTTTATATTAAGATGGTCTGCTCCTGCTCCTGCAGAATGTTGTGATGATGAAAAGAGGAAAAGAGGTTGTAATGCTAAATATGCTGAAGTTGTAACTCAAACTTTTACTGCAAGTTCAAATAATTTTGAATTAAGTCTTGCTGTAGCTATATCAATTTATGGAAGTGGAAGTAAACAAGCAATAGCAAGTACATTTGGTGTATTATTGGAAGTTCCAATACTATTAGTATTATCTTATCTAGCAAGATATTTTAAGAATAAGCTTTCATGGGGACCCGAATAAATCGAATTAAAAAAAAAAAAAAAAATTAATATACGATATCGTTGGAATCGTAATGTGATGGATTCACCACCAATTTTATTTTCTTATACGACTACTTTAAAAGATAACACAACAAAAGTAACTATATATCCAATATTATCTATTGATATAGTACCAAATTCTTTGTTTGAATTTCTTTGTGATGAATATAATTTGGAAATTGAACGTGGGGAAACATTACCACACTTTGAAACATTATCAATGAAACAATTTATACGTCACTGGTTTGATAAATCAGTAGTTGGTATCATGATATTAGGAGAAAATCCAATTACAAATCATAAACATCGAATATGGGAACAAGAATGTTTAGGTATATTTAATATTAAACCTAATTTTCCAGGGAAAAGATGTTCTCACATTTGTAGTGGTGAATTTTTAGTAAATGCTGGTATTAGAGGCAAAGGAATTGGTAAGATTTTAACCAATGTTTTTTTATTTTGGAGTTCTCATTTAGGTTATGAAAGTTGTATATTAAATCAAGTTTTTGAAACAAATGTATCAGCTAGAAAATTATGGGAATCAGGAGCATTTAATTTCAAAAGGGTCGGAAAAATTGCTAAATCAGTGTATTTGAAAAATTATGACGATCCAGTAGATACAATAATTTATGGTAAGAACTTAAAGGAAGAAGAGGAGCCACAAGATAAACAAGGTGCTACGAATATAGATAATTCCAGTGTTAGATTTGATAAAATTAAACATTATTTACAAACTGGAAAATATCATAAAGATGCAACACGTCAAGAGAAGTCAAGATTACGATCTTCTTCATCGCATTATTCAATAATGGATAATAAACTATACATGAAAGGTAAAGAGGTTATATCTAATCCAGCTAAACAATTGGAAATTTGTCAAATTTTACATGAAAAAAATGGTCATTGTGGGATAAATAGATGTACTTCCTTAGTCAGTGAACATTATCATTGGATGAGAATTAAGGATTCTGTTACTTTTTGTATCAAAAATTGTAAACTTTGTAAGATAAATGAAAAACAAGTAGCAGCTCGTATAATTCAACCAGTTTTAAAAAGGGCAAGGTTAAATGAAAATTTACAACAGGTTATACAACAGGCCCAACAAAATTTAACTTACGCTGACGCTGCTGCTACTGCTTTAAAAGATTATAAACAAACAGATATGACAACTCATGTGCAATCTTATTTGGATGAATAGTTGTTGAATCATACAGAAAAATTGCTAATGAATAATCTTATGATTAACGACAAAAAAAAAGATTATACGTCTATAAATCTTAGTTTCATATATTATATACAAATCCCCCTATTCAAGTAATGTCTTAAACTTATGTTATCAATTATCGATCTTTTCATCCCCCGATTAAAAATCTACACCAATAACCATAGCTAATAAAGCCATTCTAATAAATAATCCATGTTTCATTTGTCTGAAATAAGCTGCTCTTTGATCAAAATCAACTTCTTCTCTAATTTCATTTGTTCTTGGTAATGGATGCATAACACACATATGTTGTTTAGCTGAACTTAAAATTTTATTATCAACAATATAAGTATCTTTTAGTCTTTGATATTGTTCTTTATCTTCAAATCTTTCTTCTTGAACTCTTGTACAATATAATACATCTGATCTTGAAATCAAATGTTTTGTCAATTCTTCACGTTCACATATTAACATATTATTTTTAATTAATAAATCTTTAATTTCTTTTGGAATTTGTAATTCTTTTGGTGATACTAATTGAACTCTAACATGATAATGTTTTAATAAATGACATAATGAATGAATTGGTCTACCATTTTTTAAATCTCCCATAAATGTAACCGTTATACCATTAACTGTACCCAATTCTTCTCTAATAGTAAATAAATCTAATAATGCTTGAGTTGGATGTTCTTTTGTACCATTACCTGCATTTATAATCGGAACTGGTGAATATTTAGCTGCAATATCGGCACTTTCTTCTGCTGGATGTCTTAATACAATTGCATCTGAATAACATGATAAAGTTCTAATTGTATCTTGTAAAGTTTCTCCTTTTTTAACTGATGATGAATGTGAATCAATCAGAACAACTCTACCACCTAATCTTTGCATAGCAGCATCAAAACTCGCTGATGTTCTAGTTGAAGGTTCATAAAACATAGTGGCTAATACTCTACCTTTTAAAATATCCAATACTCCTTGTCTTTCAACTGCTAATCTCATTTCTTGTGCAACAGTAAATAATGAATGTAAATCACTTCTAGTTATATCCTTAACTGATAATATATTATTTCTTAAAAATGTATTATTATTTCTAATATAATCACTCAAAACAGCAATTTCACCTAATGAACCAGCAATTGGTTGCGAAACTAATTCTGAACCTAATCTTTCTAAAATACCTGGTTTTGGCTCTGGTGTAGTAAATGATGGTCTTCTAATATCATTACCAAAAGAAACTCTTTTATTTAATTGTGGACTATCTGGTATTGAAGTAACTGAACCAAATCTATTTCTTGCAACTTCATTTTTACCCAATTGTGAAGCTTCTGATAAAAGAACCCCATCTAAAACAACAGTTTCATTATGGAATGAAACTCTTTCCACAACACCTCTTAATTTTTCAAATTTCTTGTAAATTGGTGTTAAATCTCCAAATCCATCCAAATTTATAACAACTTGTGAATCTTGTTTTGGAATATGGAAAATTTTACTTGGTTTATCATGAAATTTATCAACAATATCTGCAATTGATAATTTACCATCTTTAACAGCTGTTAATAATAATGGGATAGTTTCATCAATACCTAAACCAGGAACAATTTTTTCATCCAAAGCTTTTGCAACTAAATATGGTAAAACACCAATTGTAAAACAATCAACATCATGCAAGTTTTCCCATAAATATTCTTGATCTTGTTTTGTTGGTAAAAATGGATAATCTAATTCATCTTTTGATAAAAATAATGTAAAAACTGAAACATCGCAAGTAACTTGTAAATCTTTATTTTTAGCCATTTTAATTAATTCTAAATCTTCTTGTGATGAAACATTGGTAATATGAATTGATTTATTATATAATGAGGCTAATAATAATACTGAAGCCAAATCAGTAGTTTTTGCATCAGTTATAATTGGTTTATTTTGTGGCCATGTAGTAAATTGCGCAGTTATTGCTGAAACTTTTGAATTGGCAAAATCGTTGAAAGGTAAAAATAATGAACCTGCATTGTCTGCTGCATCACCAACTTGTCTAGAATTGGTTTCAGTAGCAGCAATTGAAACTGAATAATCTGTAAAAGCCGAAGCACCAGCTTGATCAATTGCGTCAATCAATGATCTAAAATCAGTAACAGAAGCACCTTTTGTAGTATGTGGTAAAAATGAATTAAATGTAAAACCAGCACATAATGATTTTCTAGTTGTTTCTTCAAAATCTTCAAATGATGGAACAAATGAAGTGATATTAATTAAACCTGGTAAAGTAGCAGAACCATGAGAAGATTGTGCATCTCTATCTGAAACTTCTAATGAAACATTTCTTGCAATTGCTTCAACTAATAATTTAGCATTTTTAACATTGGTAACTAATGGAATTGCATAATCAACAGCCATTCTTCTTGATTCATAACCTTTTGACATATAAGAAGCTGGTCTTCTAAATCTATTTGATGATGGTAAGTTGACATATAAATCAATTAAATTATTTGCCAAATGTTGAGTTAAAGAATATTCAGATTTTTGATCTTCATCTTTACTTAAAACTTCTAAATAATGAACTGGAATACCATGCTCTTTAATAAAATCAGCAGTACCTGCAGTTGCAAAAATTTTATATCCCAAATCATTTAGTTTTGAAATACTTGGTAATAATTCTTGTTTTTCTTTAAATGAACCAATTGAAAATAAGATATTTTTCTTTGGTAATTTGAAACCAGTTGATAATAATGATTTAAGATATGCTTCATATTTATTTCTACCAAATGTAGCAACTTCACCGGTTGAGGCCATTTCAACACCTAAAATAGGATCAGCACCAGCTAATCTTGAAAATGAAAATTGTGGGACTTTAACAGCACAATAATCTTCCGGTAATTTTTCACCTGGATATGATTGTTGTGGAATATCCATTATTGCTTTTGTAGCCATTTCAATTAAATCAACACCAACAACTTTTGAAACAAATGGAGTTGATCTTGAAGCTCTAACATTACATTCAATAACTTTGATATCATTATCTTTAGCAATGAATTGAATATTATATGGACCTGTAATATCTAAAGCTTTACCAATTTTAGCTGTAGCTTCAACAATTCTACGAACAGTTTCTGGATCTAAATCTTGAGGAGGAACAATCAATGTAGCATCACCTGAATGAACACCAGCATTTTCAACATGTTCTGAAACAACATGCATAATCATTTGACCATCTTTTGCAACGGCATCCATTTCTATTTCTTTAGCATTTTCAATATATTTAGTGATAACAACTGGATAATCTGGTGAAACATCAACAGCTTGAGTTAAGAATGACTCTAAATCATCTTTTGAATAAACAGTATTCATAGCAGCACCTGAAAGAACATACGATGGACGAACTAAAACAGGATAACCAACTTTGTTTGCAAAATCTTCAGCTTCAGCAATTGATGTCAATTCTTTCCATGCTGGTTGATCAACACCGATTTTATCCAACATTCTTGAGAATTTATATCTATTTTCAGCTGAATCAATCATTTCTGGTGAAGTACCCAAGATTTTAACATTTTGTCTGTATAGTGGTAATGCAATATTATTTGAAGTTTGACCACCCATAGAAATAATAACACCTGCTGATTGCTCCAAGTCATAAATATCTAAAATTCTTTCTAAATTGATAGTTTCGAAATATAATCTATCAGCTTCATCATAATCTGTTGAAACGGTTTCAGGATTATAATTAATCATAACTGTTTTAATATTATTTTCTCTTAAAGTTCTAATAGCTCTAACTGCACACCAATCAAATTCAACTGATGAACCAATTCTGTAAACACCTGAACCTAAAACAATTACACCATGTTCATCAAATGAAACATCTGAAGAATCTGCATTATAGGTAACATATAAATAATTTGTGAAAGCTGGGAATTCTGCTGCAACAGTATCAATTTGTTTAACAGATGGAATGATTCCAGCATCTTTTCTTAATCTTCTAATGGCAACTTCATTTGAATCTAAGAATTTGGCGATTTGCCTATCTTCAAAACCCAATTGTTTAGCTTGTCTTAAAATAGAAATTGGAACATTTTCTTTCTTCTCAAATGATGCAATTTTGAAACCAAACTTAATCAATCCATCCAATTTATTCAAGAACCATTTATCAATATTTGTCAATTTCCAAACTTTATCAACTGAATAACCATCACTTAAAGCATTTGCAATTGCAAATAATCTTTGATCTGATGGTGTTTGTAATTCTTGATCAATATCGATTGACATTAATGCATTAGTTTTATTAAATCCTAAATTATGATAATCTGTTGATCTAATAGCTTTTTGAATAGCTTCTTCAAAAGTTCTACCAACTGACATCACTTCACCAACTGATTTCATTGATGATGATAATAAAGCTGAAACTCTGGTGAATTTTTTCAAATCCCATCTTGGAATTTTAACAACACAATAATCCAAAGAAGGTTCAAAACAAGCACAAGTAGATTTAGTAACGGAATTTTCAATTTCATTTAATGGAATGTTTAAACCTAATTTAGCAGCAGTATAAGCTAAGGGATAACCAGTTGCTTTAGAAGCTAAAGCTGAAGATCTTGATAATCTTGCATTAACTTCAATGATACAATATTCTTTTGAAAATGGATTTAAAGCGTATTGAATATTACATTCACCAACAACACCCAAATGTCTAATAACATTAACTGCAGTAGTTCTCAACATATTATAATCTTCATCTGATAAAGTTTGTGATGGTGCAACAACAATTGAATCACCAGTATGAATACCTAATGGATCAAAATTTTCCATATTACAAACAGTAATACAGTTATCAAAAGCATCTCTGACAACTTCATACTCAACTTCTTTCCAACCTTTCATTGATCTTTCAACTAAAACTTGAGGTGAAGTTGCAAAAGCTTTATTACATAAAGCAACTAATTCTTCTTCATTATCTGCAAAACCTGAACCTAAACCACCTAATGCAAAAGCAGCTCTAACAATTAATGGATACCCAATAGCATTAGCTGCATCCACACATTCTTTAACTGAAGAACAAGCTTCAGATCTGGCACATTTTTCATTGATTTCAGCCATTGCACTTGCAAATAATTCTCTGTCTTCAGTTGTAATAACAGTATCAATTGGAGTACCCAAAACTTTAACACCTAATGATTCAAATTCATCTTTCAAGGCGATACCAACACTTAAAGCAGTTTGACCACCAAAAGTACAATAAATACCATCTGGTCTTTCGTGTTGAATAACTTTTCTAACAAATTCTGCATTGACTGGTAAGAAATAAACTTTATCAGCTAAACCTTTTGAAGTTTGAATTGTTGCAATATTTGGATTAATCAAAACAGTATAAATACCTTCTTCTTTTAAAGCTTTGATAGCTTGAGAACCTGAATAATCGAATTCACCAGCTTGACCAATTGATAAACCACCTGATCCTAAAACTAAAACTTTTTTGACATCAACTTTTGGATGTTTAGCCAAATTTTCTTGTAATTTACCACCTGGAAACTCAACTTGTTTATAAACACCAGTTTTTTCAAAATCAACAACAGCTTGAATGAAAACATCAAATAAAAATTCAGTATCTCTTGGACCTGGAGTAGATTCTGGATGAAATTGAACAGAAAAAATTGGTTTCGATTCATGATAAATACCTTCATTTGAACCATCATTTGCATTAACAAATAATTCTTTCCAACCAGATGTTAAACTATCTTTGTCAACGGCATAACCATGATTTTGTGAAGTAATATAACATCTACCTGATATTGTTGATGTACATGGGATATTATGACCTCTATTACCAAATTTTAATTTCAAAGTTGATGCACCGGAAGCTCTTGCCATTAATTGATGACCTAAACAAATACCAAAGATTGGTGTTTTAGCTTCTTCAATAACTTTTCTTAATCTTTCAACAGTTTTATCCATAACAGCTGGATCACCAGGACCATTTGAAATAAATAAACCATCATATTCTTCTTTTGTGAAATCATAATCCCAAGGAACAACTAATAATTCAACACCTCTTCTAACAAAACATCTAATTTGATTATATTTCATACCAACATCAACTGAAACAATTCTAATTGGTTTACCAGTTTTGCTATTAATTTTCAATTCATCTTTATTGATTGGAGAGTATAAAATAGGTTCTTTAGTTGAAACTTTTGAAACCAAATTTTTAACATTTGGATCATCAAATTCAGGAACATCAAAATATTGTTTCCAGTCACCTGATTTATCATTGATTATATCATCTGATTTAAACTTTTTATGTTGTAATGCTAATCTACCTAATGTTGAACCATTTTCTCTCAATCTTTTGGTTAAAGCTCTTGTATCAACACCATAAATAGCAGGAATATTTTGTTCTTTTAACCATTGACCTAAAGAAGATTTAGCTAACCAATGTGAATATTCTTCAGCATAATGAGCAACGACTAAACCAGCTATATGAATTCTATTTGATTCAAAATACTTTGGTAATGCTGGTTCATAATCTTCATCAAACAATTTTCTATCAGGAACACCATAATTACCAACTAATGGATAAGTTATAACTAAAATTTGACCTTCATAAGATGGATCAGTTATTGATTCTGGATAACCAACCATACCAGTTTGAAAAACAATTTCACCAGCGGATGGAACTTCAGCACCAAAAGAATAACCTTGTAAAGCAATTCCATCTTGAGTTTCTAAAGTCATTAATCTATCACCAGTTGATTCCATAGGAGGTGAAATTGGAACAGATAATTTAGCGCTCATCTTTATATCTTTCTTTCTTTCTTTCTTTCTTTCTTCTATTCTAGTTAAATTGATCTTTTAATAATCTAAGTCGTAGTAGTTAAATAATATCAAAATCTTGGGGGAAAGGTATTTTGATAAAATATGTAATTTGTTGCAAAGTTTTTAAAAGCGAGGGGGGGCGATTAAACTTCTAAAAAATTTTAGGATATGAATGAATGAAATTTTAATAAAGATAACAATTGAAAATTATTAAATTTAATTAGCTAACCAATATTGTTAGTAAAATCGTACTAAATTGGTATAAATTATATAAAGATGATTCTTGAAATCGATTCCATAAAAGACGAAAAAAAAGATCAAAATTTCTATTACCATTTTCTCTCATCGCGGTAAACTATTCGAAATACCATTTTTGGACCTAATATGACCTAATATGACCTAATATGATAAAAATTACTTGACTCTTCTTTCTTAACAATTAACAATCTGAATTATGATTAAACTCATCTTTTCACACCGAAATTCTATTATTCTACTTACCAATAGATTTTAATGACTTTGTTGCTAACTCTATCAGGAATTGATAATCGTTAAGAAAGAAGGAGAAGAGAGAGAGAGAAGAAGAAGAAGAAGAAGAAGAAGAAGAAAGAAAATAAAATAATTAAACAAAATAATGAAATATATGTTTCATAAATGGTTATTTTTCAACCTATTTATACAAGTTGAAAATTTTAAAATTTTATTATGGTAGTGCATATAATTTGCAACCTCATCTCTTTATGTGCTATAGTTTATAATAATAATAATCGCCTTATAAACGTCATTTTCATTGCATAAGAATAATAATAATATTTACAAGAATAACTAATAATCATACTTACAAGAATAACTCGTTCTAAAATTAATTTTGCAACCATTAATCTAGTTTAAAGAGTCAAATCTTTGATCACTAAGTCATCTAATTAATGTATATAATTTCAATTACTATGTGCTTAGGTAGCGCATATACTCTAATATCAACACTATATAAAATGTACTGATTCAGTTTATTTTTTCTCTAAAGTTGATTTAACTTCTTTTTAGTCATTATCAATACATTGGTCTTACACAAGATATAAAATTGTTCAATTAATGCTGCTTCGAGCAAATTTTTTAGTCGTCAATTCGCTAATCTAATTGCAAATTTTGGCGAAAATCTACAAAACTTAATTCTTTTTATATACTTCATTTTAGCATGTCTGAAATAAATGAATAGTACATTTTTAATTAGCTATATATCAATATTTTCAATTTAGCAATGTATGTTGTTAATTATTTCGTGGTAATATTTTGCAATGAATACTGTCTCGCCTATTCCATACCAATTTAAGAAAAAATGTGGTATAAAATTAAAATTCTACGCCCCAAGAGATCTCAAAATTATATACGTGTAGCACTCGTATATTAAACCTGTATATTAAACGTGTATATGTTTTAAGTTTGTTACCTGGGACATTTTGTATAATTTATAAATTTTTTATTAAACATTTAAATTTACTGGTAGAAATCAATAGAATCGGGTTCGTGAGATTACTCCTATAGTATTATACATCATTACAGAAGATATACTATATTGAGTGTTGTATATTTCCAATTAAATAGGCTTATAATTTTATAGTGAGAAAAAATTTATTGATCAAAAAAAAAATTAATTACTCAAGTTTCACATTTATCAAAGCAAGTAAAATTGAAGAACTTCATTCGTATTAATCAAAACAAATCATATATTACATCTATTAAATCAAATTTCCCATAGTTAATCCTTATATAAATATTATGATTCAAAACATATAGCAATAACAGGAATATTTATTTTCATTTTTTAAAATTTTTTACTGTTGAAATTTTTACCGTCGAAATTTTTCACCGTTGAAATTTGATATATTAGCTTTTTCAAAAAATGAATAAGATATCAGAATTATACAATCATTATAAACGAAATCGATTTCATATTGAATTTGGTTTTCATGTAAGAAATTTCATTCATGACGTTGCTTCAAAAGTTTATCCAATTGCAAAACTTATCTTACCTAATTTTCGAGCTGTTCATTATTTTTACGTTATTACACTTGTATTTTTAGGTTCAATTTTAGTTTATCCTGTAAAATCAGTTCCTTATATTGATGTTTTATTCTTCACGAGTGGTGCTTCAACTCAAGCTGGTTTAAATACCGTGGATCTTAATAATATTTCATTATATCAACAAATTATATTATATTTGATCACCGGGTTAACAACACCAATTTTCATTCATGGATCATTATTATTTATACGGCTTTATTATTTTGAAAGACATTTTGATAATATCAAAGAGAAGTCTAAATTAGATTTCAAAATGAGAAGAAATGCAACATTGGCAAGACAAAGATCTTCTGTTTCAGGAGTCGGATCAGTAGGTGCTAATTCAACAAGAATGAATACTTATACAAATCAAGGTTTGGGATTTTATGACGATGACCAAGAAAAAGAAATTGAAAGCACTAGTCCACAATCATCACTGATAAATAATAATAATTATAAGAGTCACAACAACAATAATAATAATAATAATGTTGAGCATTATTCAGAACCATCAGATGATGAAGAAAATGATTATAATAGAGAAAAGAAGCATACTATTTCAGATTCAGCTCCTGCAACTTCAACATCTGAAGGTATTAAATTTGGCGTATTACCACATCCACGAAGAAGAAAATCTATTGATCCTGAAGATATGTATAGATCAATTAATATGTTGCAAGAAAAACAAAAGGATAAAGAATCAACTAAAGGTATACAATTTTTCAACATTAGTTCTCCAAGTAAAATGAGAAGGTCATCAACTGCAAATACAAAAAATAGTAATACTAGTCACAAGGATGATGATAATGATGATGACGTATTGGTCATTAAGTCTCCAAAAGAGATTGAAAATTCTACTGATGGTCATAATAATACAATTTTCATTAAAAAGAAAATGATAAACTTACCAAAAGGATCACAAATTCATTTTGTGGATAATCCATTGAGAAGGAAAAAATGGTTGACAAGCACTGGTGGTACAACAACTAGAAAACATTACAATCCTTGGGCATCAAAATTAAGAAAAACACTATCGAATTCAGGTAGGCGAAGGTTTTCAAGTATTTCTCCAAGTGAAGAAGAAGAAAATGATAACAATGAAGAAGAAGAGGACGATGCTCTGATTGATTCAGAAGACAACAACTTGACCCAAACTGAGGATGAACATGAGGTAGACGATGAAGATGATGAAGAAGAACAAGATGATGATGAACAAGATGATGATGAACAAGATGAGGACGACGAGGAAGACAAGAAAGATAATGAAAATGCAGTTGATGATGAAGAGGAAGATACATCACTTAAACGTGCACAATCAAACTTAGTTTTACCCTCAAAAGATGAAACGAGTGGTAAAAAATACACCAAAAGGAGTAATACAATGGATGTTACAAGTGATCCTATTATTGATGAAGATATAATACGACGTAGGAAAAAGGTTAATAATAAACCGAAAAAGAAAAAATCGAGTAAATTCAATATTAAAAGAATCAAGACTCCAGGATTATCATCAACTGCAAATTCAATACAAGAAGGTTCAATTCAAAATTATAATACAAATGATTTACAATCAATCAAAACTCAAGAAACTAATACAGATTTAAATAGATTATCAAAAACGATGAGTGGGAATTATTTATCATGGACACCTACGGTTGGTAGAAATTCAACATTTATAAAATTAACTGAAGCTCAAAAGGAAGAATTAGGGGGTATAGAATATAGAGCTGTCAAATTGCTTATCAAAATTATAGTTATCTACTACATTGGTTTTCATATGATTTCAGCCATTATGTTGACTATTTGGATATACTGTATGCCTTATTATAGAAATTTAATGAGTTCTCAAGGCATTGTTCCAGCTTGGTGGGCATTTTTCACTGCACAATCATCTTTCAATGATTTAGGATTGACTTTGACTGCAAATTCTATGAGTTCATTTAATCAAAATGCATTTGTACAAATTTTGACTTCATTTTTAATTGTCATTGGTAATACAGGTTTCCCCATTTTTTTAAGATTTGTAATTTGGATCATGTTTAAAACCGCTAGACCCTTATCATTGTATAAAGAATCATTAGGCTTTTTATTAGATCATCCAAGACGTTGTTTCACATTATTATTTCCTTCAGTTCCAACTTGGTGGTTGTTTTTTGTTTTAGTTGTTTTAAATGGTTTTGATCTAGTCATTTTTTGTATACTTGATTTAAAAAATAAATCATTAGATGGTATACCTACTGGTTATAAAGTATTAAATGGATTATATCAAGCTTTTTGTACAAGAACCGTTGGCTTTTCAATCATGGATTTGTCTCAACTACATGCTGCTACTCAAGTTAGTTATATGTTAATGATGTATATTTCAGTTTTACCAATTGCCATTTCAGTTAGAAGAACTAATGTTTATGAAGAACAATCATTAGGAGTTTATGCAAAAGATGAAAATGGTGAAAATGAAGAAAATGGAGTTGATGAATCTAAACCAACAAATTATATTGGTGCCCATTTAAGAAATCAATTATCATTTGATTTATGGTTTATATTTCTTGGATTATTTATTATTTGTATTGCTGAAGGTAAAAAACTACAAAAACAAGAATTTAGATTTTCTGTATTTGCTATTTTATTTGAAATTATTAGTGCTTATGGTACTGTTGGTATGTCATTAGGTTATCCTGATGTAAATACAAGTTTATCTGGTAAATTTAATGTTATTTCAAAATTAGTTATTATTGCAATGATGATAAGAGGTAGACATAGAGGTTTACCATATACTATTGATAGAGCAATTATGTTACCTGATGCAGATATGAGAAAACATGATAGATTACAAGAGCATCATGCAGCTAATAGACAACAACTGATGGAAAGAACAAATACTTTAGGTAGAGCAGCCACCACAATGAATAATTTATCGGGTCCAATTGATGGTAATGATAATATAGTCACTCGAATATTGACAAATGTTGGTAATTTTAGACAAAGACAAAAGGAGAAAAGAGAGGCTGAAATGCATAGTGAAGATCCAAAATATGTAATTACAAGTGTATCAAATATATAACGTTTATTCGTTAATCTATAAATAGTTTTTCCTATTTGCTGTTCTTATAAATCTTCTAGTTTGCCATTCGATATCAGCATCTTTATTATCAGGTAAACCTAATCTTATTTCATATAATTTCATTTCAAATCTTGGACCAATTTCACTCAATTCAACACCATCTTTTGTTTTTATATATACATGATGTCTTACACTTATAAAATCATCATTATTTATAAAAGTAATAACTCTTGAACTTTCCTTTTTAACACCAGGAGGAAATAAATGTTTTAAAATCTTTTCAACACGCTTACCTAAATTTGATTTAAAATTTTCAAATATTAAATGTGGATAACTTTCTGATATATTACCTAAATTTGGTAAATCATGTCTTAATTTAACATTATGTAACGTGAAAATAGCAGTTGGTCCATGGGGAAAATGTGAAATTGTTATTGAAGTAGGTACACCTCTATGTTCATGTAGTAAAATTAAATCACTGATTTGAACTCTTGAACAAGTTTTAACTAAGTCATTTATTATATAATTACCTCTGTTTAATTTTAATGAATTTGGAAACATTAATTTAATTTCTTTTGAGAATTGTAATAATTTTGCACTTGGATCTCTACTTGTAGTTAATATGATTTTGGGATCAGATATACCTGACATTGCACTATATTCATCATCTATCCCCAAATCTGGTTGAATACTTTCGTCATATATGAAATCTTTTTGCAATTTAAAATCTTCTGCTAACTCTTTTGATAATGGTTTACCTGAAGCTAGTGCAGCTTTTAATTTTTGTCTTTTTTCAGTTAATGATGATTCCTGTAGTTGTAATGCTTTTCTATATAGATATTCTCTTCTTTCTCTTGCTTGTTTTCTAATCATAGTATGGCCCTAATAAATATAATTATTTAAGAGATGAGATTTTTTATTGCGCATAAATTTTGCAACGATCGAGAAATATGAAACAAACCAGTGTACACTAACAATCATGTACTGAAGACGATCTTCTCAGCCGAAATCTTGTTATTCATGGATAAGCTTAAACTTAGCTTGTACTTTCTAATCCTTTTTCTAAAACTTTCAAATTTGAATGTTTAATTTTAGAGATATATTTCGCATTATTCCCCCATTCAGAGTAATCAGATACTAACTCTGGAGCTTGAACGAATTTTTGAAGTCCTAATTGTTTTTCTTTTATAATCAACATATAAGCTAATGTATAACCCCATGAAATATTTCTATTTCTATCAGTCTTTATTGATTTGTCATCCAATCCTAATAATGAAGCAATAAATACTTTAGGTTTACCTTCTGTTGCATCGTATACATTTTGAAAAGATTCAGTATTGCAAAAGTATCTATTTATTCTTGATTCTCCAACTTGTTTAATTCAGAAACGACATTTTGTCATTATAATCGAATACGTAATCAGCACCCAAGGATTTCAAAAATTCATGATTTTTGGATAATTGCAGTAGTTATATCTTTTAAATTATAAATTAATTTAGCTACTTGAATTGCAAGGATTCCCGTTGCCGTAGAACCTTCCCATATCAAAATGTTATAACCAGATTGACAATATGGTTTGATTTTTAATAATGAGAAAATGAAATTCCAACGGTGGTTAAACTTAAAGTAACAGATGCTGCGTCTTCAAATGAATTGAGGATTGAAGCTTTCGTTTCCGGGTTCTCATTAGTTAATTTTGTATATTTTATAGCTGTTTCTGGTTCAACAGCAACATCTTCTGCAAAGGCACCGTTTAATTTTGATGTATAGCCTGCAACAAATAAACTTACAAAATCTCCAACTTCGAACCTTTAAGGTTTGATCCAACTTTCTCAATAATCCACTTACATTACTACCTACAGTATCTCCAGGGTGATCTAATTTATAAACTATCTGTTTCCAATCAATTGGATTAATAGCGAATGCTTTACTTTTGATTAAAATTTGATTCTAATTAATTTCAAGCTTTTCGACATTAACAACTTCAGTTAATTGTTCAACTATATTTGAAGAAATAACTACAGCTTTCATATTGAGTAAACGTGGTTAAAAAAGGGTTAAAACAGAGAATATAAATTGAGTATTCTATGCAGAGAAATTAAGCTAAATTTAAGATTTCGTACTGTAAATCTACTCTTATTGTCTTACCTGGTTACACTTGTGCGTTATTGTTTTTATCGTTTCTATCACCGGCATATTTAGACCTAACTGTAAATGCAGAAAATAGTCCGTAACAATTTGCGAGATTCAACAAAAAACAAAAGGATCAGTTGATTACGAATTTGGTTATGTTCCAAATTTTACGAAGAACTGCTGAAGCTACAGCCTGTGAATTTTTAAGCTTTTTATTTAATTGGAAATAATTACTGAATTAGCGTGTATTTTTATTTTATTTTTTTTTTTAATATTGCGCTTTTAGACTAAAACGGAAATGTGAAACAATCACATAGTTAGGAATCACATCTAGAGTATATAACTTACCATAATTCAAATTAGTTTGATAAAGTCATTATTGCTAAGAAAAAAATTTCAAATTGATTTGTCTATTTTTATTGTCTAATTTTATCTTTAATCAAATGGCAAACTCCCGATGCAATTATACTAATTCCCAACATTAAAACTAAAATCATATTTGAATTTCTATATAATCTTGCTTTATCACTTGGCCAACCATTATATAATGCATAAGTTGAAGTTACTGAACCCAAATTACCTAATCCACTAACTAAAGCACTACTTACAGCTGTTCCGACATCTCCATATTTTTTAAAAAAAATTTCAGCTGACCATGACATACAAATAGGAACAGTTGGACCTAAACCAAATCCAGCAATTAATAATCCACCATATCTTTTCCATGAACCATGAGCAAATGTAGTTACAAATAAACCACAAATAATAATTAAACAAGCAAAACTGAAAATTAAAGGTCTAAATTTTTTAAATTTATCAGCAAATGGTGTAATTAATAAAATTCCACCAAGATCAAATAACCAAATTGGTGCATACAATAAACTTACTTGAATTGAAGTTAAACTTGGATTATTTGCATATATAATAGTTGAACCAAAAACAGCTAAACCAAACCCAGTACCAACGACACCAAAATACATGATTATAATTGGCCATATTCTTAAATCTGTAATTATTTGTACAACATCTTTCCAAGTCCATTTAATTAATTTATATCTATGTTCTAAATCTTTACGATGTAATTCTCTATCTGATTCATTTAATGGATGTGGAGTTGTAAATATTTTATTATAAATTGTCATTATTTTGTTTTTTGAATTATCTTCACTAGATTTGAATGGTCTATCTGGTAACCACCATAATAATATAATTCCAACAAAAATTGTAATACTTCCATAAACTAAATACATCCATTGCCAACCAGTATAACCTCTAATTCCATCCATTTTTTGAAATCCAGCACTTACTAAACCTGCAACAGCTGCTGAAATTTGTGCAGCTGTATAATAATATCCTATTCTTCTTGTTGATCTATCATTAGGATACCATAAACTAACATAATAACTTAAACCAGGCCAAGTTCCAGCTCCAACCATACCACTAATAAATCTAATTGCAATTACACCACCAGCATTTTTTAAAGTTGAATAACAAGTATATACTAAACCAACAGTAATCACAATTCTACTTAACCAGGATTGTGGACTTACTTTAGTCATTATTAAATTCATTGGAACGTCAAATATAATATAACCAACATAATATAAAGCAGAAGCAGTTGAAGTATGATGAGGATTTAAATTTAAAACTTGAGTTAATGAATGATTTTGTTGCATATTCATAGTTAAAGTTAATCCATAACAATTTGAACCAAAAGATGTAAGAAAATACATACACCATAAAGCAGGCATAAGTCTAAAATCCAATTTACGATATATTTTATCTAACTGTTTTAATTCGTTTGGTGTTATAATCACACTATCATCATTTTTTAATTCATATTCTTCATTTTCAACTTCAGAAACTTTATCAATATTGGAAGATAAATTCTCTTCTTCATACACTTTGTTAACTGACATGGTTTTTTACTTTGTAAATACCAGATATTTGCCGTTTAATTTATAGTTGCAAAATAATTCAATAAGTAATATTTTTTTTTATTTTTTGCCTGATCCCAACAAATATTGACTGTTTGCATCCAAACATACATAGTTAAGGAGCAGCAGGATGACTCGTAGTCATCTTGATAAGGAAAACTATTTTGTCAAAAAGACTCATCAGTCAATATTTGTATATTTATTAATTCTATCAATTGTAATTTCTGCAAATTCTTTACTTTGAGTTACACAAAAACTATGACTTATAGGTTGAGCTTCATTTTTACAAATTTCAAACTCAACATTTATTCCATCTTTATATTTTGAATATAAATGAGATCTTGAACTTTCAGAAACCCAATGATCTTCATTTGCAAAAAAACACCATTTAACAAATTTAGTATTTTGAAAATACCAATCATTGATCTCTTCTTTTTTATCAATTACCGTCATTTCCTCTTGAGCCATAGTTAAAGCTTGATTTATAATATTTGAATGTTTAATTAGATTATATCCTCCATCTACACTATTTTCAAATCCTAAATTTGTACCTGGTTCCACATCAGCAATAAGATTTGATTTAGTTGTTATCAATTGATAATGAAGAATTTTTCTAATTAAATTATCAGGTAATAATAAATTGACCAAGAATTTAAAAATCAAAGCAAGATATATGATTGGAATATGATAAGACATCATTTTAGAAAGTTTGATACCAGAACTTGATGATTTAATATCATAAATGGTAGGAGTTATGAATCCGCTAAATATAATTTTAAATTTCTCATTAATTGAAGAATCTTCATATAATAACTTTATAGTTCTTTGAATTACATAACTGCCCACTGAATGAGAAAGAAAAAAAAATTCGGGTGTAATTCCAACTTGATTCTTTTCAATGATTAAATTTTTCAATATTTGAACTTTATGATTTATTTGATATTTTACATCATATGTATCATAACATAATTTTGGAGCAAATCCAGCATGTCCAATACATAATATTTCAAAATCTTTATAATGTAATTGAAGCAAATCTAAATAAGTTAAATAAAAATTGACCAAACCAGGGTTACCGGGAATAAAGATTAGAAATTTACTTGTATTGCTTATTGAAATTGGTAGCTTATGATATACTGGTGTTTTAGGAGTTGTATTAAGATAAGTGATTGACATTGAAACGACTGGTTGTCAAAAAACTTTATCTGTTGATAATTTTTCATTTTTTTTCTCTTCGGATCTAAAGATACGATCGGATAAATTATTTCTATTTTTGGTTACAAATTGTTAGAATCAATCAAATTATATATTAAACTTTTTTTATAATATTATTATTTGTATTTACTTTAAAATGATTTATTGTATCATCTTTTTCTTCTAGATTATCCGACTTATGTATATTTTTTTCATAATAATTTAAATTGCCAAATTTATCAAATAAAATAACAGTTTGAGTTCTAGTACCATAATATTTCCCAATTGTTGTTGATTCAAGTTTATAACCTTCATTTCTTAATAATGGAGGAATAAAAATACTATTTTTTAACTCATTTAACTTTGTATCAAATTCATTATCATCCAAATATTTTGGATTATAAGTATTATGACTTAATAATTTGAAACATTCAGTTACTATTTCTTGTTGTGATTGTTTTTCAACTATTGCTTTTTTAATTAATTGATCTAATAATTTCTCTCCAATTTCAACTTTATTCCAAGGTTCATTAAATAATGAATTCGACAAACCGAAAGTTTTTGAACTAATTGCAATTATATCATCATCTTCATTAGTTTTTACATCACAACTAGTACCTATTATACCATTTGTTGTTGTTTCACTTTCAAATATCTTACCATAATGACCTCTATTTGAAATTATACTCAATGGATTAATTTTCCCCGTTTGTTGATTTATTTTTAAATGACCGTATAATAATGTAAATCCGCCTATCTTACTTAAATCTATTCTCGAATTTAATTTATTTTTCCATTCAATATCTGATTCATTTGAACTTAAATAATCTAAAGGTAATACACCACGGGATACTTCTCCATTAACACCCAACTGATTATCTACCTCTCTATAATTTACCAATACTGCAAATTTACCATTTGATGTTGTTCCTATCCAAGTACCATGTTCTGGTCTAGCAAGATCTAAAGGTGATAAAATTTTAATATTGTCATCATCTGTAATACTTGGATTTGGATTGATATTATGTACATGAGTTTGTTTAGTTGGTCTTTTAAAAAATTCATCTCTATTAGATAGCAAAATAAATGGATAATCTGGATGATTAGTAGTAGCTATAGCAATACACATAATGAAAAATTCAGCAAATGGAACCAGGAGTTTGAAAAAAAAAAAAACTAAGATAAGTAGCAAATTAACCAAACGAAAAACAGTTGAATCTTCAATGATAATGAAATTGTACTCTTCTAAAATGAATTTGTTGAAAAGAGTGGTAAATGAAATACCGTAATTATAAATTTTGTGGGGAATAGTTTGGTTTATTTATAGTAATTCAATGTTTCAAAACTTTAAATTTTGCGAACCATGTGACTTGTCACATGACTAAAATATTTGTTGCATAAATGGCTGCAAAAAATATAAAATGGCTGCAAAAAGAAATATAAAGAGATAATTACATATATTATACAAGCTTTAAATACAAATTATTATATAAAAATACCCAAAATTAAAACAAAATTAAATAATAAAACAAAAATAATACAAAAATATAATACAACTAATGCAACTTTTTAATCATTAATCATTATTTTCAAATGAAAGTGTACTGTATGATCTTTTAGTACCTACAATTGAATTCTTTCTATGCTTTTTATCATTTTTAATCTTCTTTTGTTCATTAAAAGAACGTGGTTGTTGTTGTTGCTGTTCCATTTCATCATTATTTGAAGATAAAACACCTTTAAATTTTGAAATCCAAGTTGCTTCTTTTGCTTTTACAGTTGTTGAAGTTGTAATTGAAACAATATCTGAATTACTATCATCTTTTGGTGCTATAATATATTCAGAAAAATAATTTTCATAACCATCATCTAAATCTTGATAAACTGATATATTGTGATGATTTACTTTTTTTGATTTAATTCTTTGATGATTATGATTTGTAGTTGATAAGAATTTTCTAGATGGTGAATTTGGAATACCTGCTAATTTATTATATGTTGCATGATTATAAATTGAAGGTGATGTTGAGGATGGTGTAATTGGAGTATTTATAGGAGCTGTTGATGATGATAACGATGCAGATGTTAAATTCATTGAAATTTCTTTATCGAAATATGATTCCATTAATTTAACAGTTTCTTTAAAATATTTCATTTTACTAATTTCATTTGCATCTGGTCTTAACATTGGATCCCACATTAAACAAGATTGAATAACATCTTTTAATAATTCCAAATCAGAGTTTGAATTTATGGGTTGTAAAATATCATCTATTGTAAAACCCAATTCAATTGGTAGTGAAATACCCAATTTATTCGCCAAAATAATTGCATCATTCCAATAACCACCTAAAGGTACAACATAATTGTTATCAATTGAACTTGAACTTGATGATGGAGTTAATTCAGGTACAAAAGGAGACCCTAAAATTTTAACAATTTTCCAAATTTGGTCTAATTCATTTGAACCAGGAAATAAAGGTAAAAAATTCGCAATTTCAGTTGCAACTACTCCAAAAGCCCAAATATCAATTGGTTTCGAATAAAAATTTTGTCTTAATAATATTTCAGGACTTCTATACCATCTAGTTGAAACATAAGCAGTATATGGATTTCTATTTGTTATATGTCTTGCTAAACCATAATCTCCCAATTTTATAATAAAATTATCATTTTTTCTATATGGTGGAATCGAACTTTTAGAACCATAAAAATGTAATGTTGGTATAACCAAGATATTTTCAGGTTTAACATCACGATGAAAATAATCAAATTGATGAATATGTTTAATTGCACACAATAACTGCGATAATATACTTTTTAATGTAGTTGAACTAAATTTAATATTTCTTCTACTTTTAATTAATTGATATAAATTTTGATTTAATGCTTCCATTGTAATATGTAATTGATAATTTATATCATCAACAAAAACTTCATATATTTGAACTAAGCAAGGATGAGATGGGATATCTAATATAAATTTTAATTCTTTAACTCTTGAATAATCTTTTAATAATGGTAGTTTTTTTTTCATTGTTTTAATTGCAACTAAATTTGATAAATTAATTTTCGAATCTTGTAAAGGATATAACATGGTACCTTTATTATTTCTTTCATGTTTTTTTAACAATTCAAATTTATTAAATTTTAACTTTGCTAATTCAACAGTACCGAATGAACCTTTACCTAAACTACTTATAATTTGATATTTTTGAGAATATGAATGAATTGATACATTTTTAGGTGGCGTTTTTAAATCTAATGGAAATGGTGAATTATAATTAAGATTTAAATCATCATGAGAACTTGATTCTTCTTGAATATCCTGAAATTGTTGATTTTGATTTTGGTCGGTTTTATTACTATTTTTATTAATATAAAAATTAATCAAATTTGACATATAATACAATTGATCAATGAATTGATTTAAATTTAATTTAAACAACGTTGAAAGAAACAAATCAATAATATTAAATAAGTAAATATTATGGCGCTAAACAATGAAATCCTGGAATAGTGAATTGAATTGAATTTATATATTTTTGGTGGTGAATTTTGTTTATTTCTATAATTATATGGTACTGCATATAATCGATTCTTTTGCAGCACATTTCTCGTATATTTAAAATTTGAGTGATCTACACGACCGAAAGCTTAAATATTAACGATAATTGATTTGAATGACATACCACAAAGTACTACGATAAAGTACAGTACAGTAAATGGTTACAATCATGACGTGAAATGATATTTTTGTGTCGAACTTTAATTGAATTTTGTGTGAAACTTTATCTGGAGTTTTGTGTTAAAGTTTAACTTAAATTAGAGTAAATAACTAATAATAATACTCTTATTGAACAATTATATATTTAATGACTTATTAAATATCTACAAAATCTTGATTACCTTGTAAACCATTCTCTTCTTCTTCTTCATCATCATCTTCGTCATCTTCTTCTTCCTCATCATCATCTTCATCTTCTTCTTCTTCTCCTTCTGATGAATCAGAGATTTCAATTAAAAACTCACTCAGTGGAGTTCTGTTAGTATCATTACTTATTTCTTCATTATTTTTACCATTCATATCAACATAATATTGATAATTTCCCATTTCATCAGTTACAAATAAAGTTGACGGATCAACAGTGTAACTACTAATAATCACTTTTTCTGGTTTATTATTTTGCTCTTCTTCTCCTTCAACTAATGTTTCTGTTTCTTCTCTTATATATTTGTTAGTTCTTGATGAAATTAAATCTTGTGTTCTTAAAGTATATTGATGATTTAATTTACATTCTCTTCCCTTATTACAATAATTATCTTCTTCAAATTCGGGACAATTTAAAACGTGTAAAAAAGGACATTTTTTACCTCTTAAACAAAACCCACCAATTACAAATGGTCTACATGTCCAAATTTCATAATTTGAATCATCATAATGTTTTGGTTTATAATGTGAAAATCTACATTGTTGATTTGAACATTTATTTTCAAGATAATAACGACATAATGGTGTATTATTATCATTTGAAAAATGACTTAATAAACAATTTCGATTTGAGCAATTACCTTGTAGATAATACGAACAGATTTTAATTTTTGATTTATCATGAATATATTTACAATTTGAACCTTTCTGACACATTCCTATAATTAATCTTTGAAAGATTCACAAACAAAGATTAAAAGTTAGTAATACTATTAAAACAGCTTGAATTTGATACGAACCTGTTCTTGAGTAATAACGACAATATTCCTTCCTAGAATGAGTTAGTAATAAACGTTACATTATGTCTAATACAACAAAAATATATTGCATCCTTACAAGATGCAGAAATTTTGCACCCTTTTACTCTATATTCAAATTGCATCCTTGCTTGCATCCTATTTCAAGCATCCATACACATACTTTTTCTTTTTCCTACCACCAACTTTTTTAAAACCACCATTTTTACCCCTAATATACTTACTTCCATTCCATATACATTCATTTGGATTATTTAATTGAAACATTCTAACAGGAACTAATGATTTTCCATTCTTTGTAATTGCATATTTATCACCATTTATTTTAATTCTATCACAATTATCAGTCAAGGTTCTATATTTGGAGATTCTTAGTTTTAGTTTATTTAAATATTTTTCTTGATCAATTTGTTTCTTTTTAAGTGCAATCTTTTCTTGTAATTTCTCAGCCTCTTGTTGATAAATTGATGAATTATATAATGAATTTCCACCTTTTGACATTGCACTAATATATTGATTATTATTGTTCGTATTGGGCACCTGATTGACTATTAATTTCATATTTTGAAACTTGTTAGGATTCATATTATTATTATGAGTATAATGATGATTATGTTGTTGTTTCTTTATTCTTGCAATATTTTGATTTTGTCTATTTTTCAAAGCTTGTTTTTCAGCTATTGATTTTTTTAAAGCTGCAATTTCTTGATATTTCAATTTCAACTCATCAGAATCTGGAATGTCTGAAGACATTGTATAATAGACTGGTCAATATAGATAAAGAGAGTTGGTGATAATTTATATATTTTTTTTTTTTTGTTTGATATTTTTCAATTTACGAATTACCATAATAAATATGAATAAGTCAAAGACAACGTCACAATTAATTAAAGATAGACAACTAACTATAGAAGAGAAGAAACTAAAGAAGAAGAATTTAACAAATTTAAAAGATATTGAATCAGTTTTGAATAATCTTGAATTAAATGAACTGGAGTCAAGCGCAAGGGTATGTAATTGTATGGCTAGAAGACATCCTTTGTTTGAAATAGCTCCAAATTGTTTAAATTGTGGTAAAATAATATGTTCAAAAGAAGGTTTACAACCATGTTCATTTTGTGGCTCAAATATGATTTCAAATAATGATAAACAAGATATTATAAAACTACTTCAACACGAAAAATCAGAAATACTTAATAAACCACAAATTATATCTCATCAACCGACAGCGAAAAAGAAACAAAAACAAATTGTGGTGAAAATGAATCCGGGTGAAAAATTCTGGGAAGCTCAAGATAGGGCATTTAAACTCGCTGAATCAGAGAAGCAGAAACAACGACAACAACAACAAGAGAAAGAGGAAGAAGAACCAGTAGTTGTATTAAAGAAAGATGTAGAATCAGATTCTGATCTAGTTAGAGCTCAAGAGAATCTAAATACCCTTTTACATTATCAAGAAACAGGAGAAGAACGTACTAAAATAATAGATAATGCTTCTGATTTTGAATTTCCAAGTCAACTGATTTGGTTATCCCCCGAGGAAAGAGCATTAAATTTAAAAAAACAACAAAGATTAAATAGAGAACTTGGACTCGAAAAAGAAAGGCTGAAAAGGGGTGAAAGAATAGTTGAAATGTCAATTACAAAAGATGGTAAAGTTAAAATGATTGAAAAATATATTGCACTAAAAGAAGAAAAATCAAGAGATGAAATAAATCTAGAAAATGAAATTAAGAAATCAAAGCAGGCTCAACAGAATACTAATAATTTAGTTTGGGATTATGAAAAAGATGCAAAACGATGGGAAAAACCAATTTATTTCACTACTGAAGATAGAAAGGAACCTAAACAAGATTCATCTGTATTAGAGGTTAAAAATAGAGTTCAAATTGCCAAAAATGATGATTTTGATTTAATAGCTACTTTAATAAATTAAAACTATCTTCTCATTCTTTTGAATCTTTTTGCTCTTGGATCATTAATTTTCATTCTTTTATAATTTTCAGTGATTGGTTTTCTGGTTCGTTTTATTGGACTTCCGGGAATATTTAACTCAGGTTCTGATTCTTCTTCCTCTTCTGAATTTATATATGCTTCTACTTTCTCTTTTTCTTTAGTTGTAAGTTCGGTGATTTGATCTTTTATATTTACATTATCTAAAGTTGTAGTTTCTTCAATTGGTCGAGGTGCTATTTTATACCTTCTAGTAGATCGCTTTTGAGTCTTTGCTTTCTTAAAAGTCTTACCAGTACTATCAACCACTTCTTCGGTTTCTTGATCATCTCCATCTTTCACTTCCTTCACTTCATCCTCTTCAGTTTCTATTAATTTTGTATCTTCACTTTCTTTTAATGATGTATTATAAACTTCAACTAATTTCTTTCCTATTGATTTATGTTTAAATGGAGATGGACTAATTTGAAAATCAACATCAAGTTGTTTTTTATTTGTGGGAGTAGTAATTAGACTTTTTAAACATTTAGGAGTTTCAAATTCAATATTATTATGCCTCAGTGGTGTAAATAATCCATTATGTTTTGGCTTTGTAGGTGTGGATATTTTCTTTATTGGTGAATTTGGTGGATTCATTGGATGTTTAAAAGTTGTCAAATTTGATATATTTGATTTATTTGATTTACTTTTTAAAGGTGATGATTCTGGAGGTGTCATATTTAAATCAAATATGGATCGTACTCTGCCATTAGCTTGTGGAGTAGGTCCAATTTCATTTGGAATATCTTCTTCTACCTTCTTTTTTGGTGATTCAACATTATTCTTTTTCCTCATTGATTTATATAAATTATATAATTTATAAATTTGAATATTTTCTTTTATGTCATTCTTCGACGGTTGTCGTTTATTTCTTTCCTTAAACTCATGTTCCCAATCTTTTATCTTTTGTTTTAATTCTGAAACATCCATTATAATACAGCTGTTTCATATATATTTTTTTTTTACGCGTTTCGAAAAAACGCGATGTTAATGAAATTTAAGTCGATTAACTCGGGACGAGTCGCACCAAAGCTAACGCGAGGAAAATATTATATTGCGACTAATTTCGGGCGAGAATTACACGCTTGAAAAAATAAATCTGAAACAAATTTGACTTATATGCAGTCTCATCATGATTAATCTTGAAATATACTTTGCAAATAAATGGCTCAACAATCATGCTATCGATCTCAAACTTTTTTCGTTAATACTTCAATTGACTTAGAGTAAGAATATGTTAATTGTCATTAGTAGAACTCAAATTTGGCCACTTTATGCTTCATTAAAAAATTGGTAAAATACGCTATTTTTCAAGATAACTAACGACTAGAGTTTATTTAGTAACTTCCAGTATAGCTGATTCTGTTCATTTGACCGCAAAAACATTTTTTATGATGGTTTTGATTGTGGAGTTAAATTTTTCGTACGGTCCATTTGTTCAAATTTTTCCATACTTTAGAGAAAATTTCAAAATTTTCAATTTTAAATCAGACCAAAAAGAATTTGGTCTAGCTCCTTATTTTAAGGTATATCGTATATAATCCATTGTTTATTTAAAAGTTTTGGACCGAAATTCAAAATTATATTGATTTTCGTTGTTTAGGTGTATGGTGAAAAAATGTCAAAAAACAACTTGAAAAAAAAATATCTAAAATAATAAGTTTGAAACATGTGAGTTATATAATTCGATTCTTCTGATTTCATAAAAATGGCAACTATCTCATGAAAATGTGTTGTTTATGACTTATAAGCTAATAGGTTATATACCAGTCGCCCCAACTTTAAGGCGAGAAATTATTTTGTACCACCAAATATGTACATACTTTTAGAAATAAATCTGAAACAAATTCGATTATATGATTCTGACTTTGACCATTTCGTTTCAAAGTCTAATATCTAATGAGAAGTTGTTTTGCAAAAATGTAAATAGAATAGTACGTAATTCACGCTAGTTTCTATTCACTTAATTAGATCTCGTAAAGCCAAGGCATTCTAGCTCTATGCCCTGGCCCTGGGCTTTTTCAGGGTCCAATTTGTTATAACTAACAATAGACAATAATTATATATTTTCACTGGCTTTTAATCATATTCTTACATGTTATTTCGCATCCTTACAATAAATCAATATACATCCTTACAATAGCGTATCTGTTTACTTACTATTTACTATCTACAAATTGTTTAATATTTCTAAACCAACTCTTTTGTCCATGTTGCTCATTCAAAACATTCAAAGCCTTCTTTAATACCATTTCTTCATTATCTTTCAATTTCCCTTTTTTGTAATCATTCGTGAAGGAATGACCAACACCTAAATCATCCCAATGTTTTTCAGCTAGATATCTAACGGCATCTACATTATTCAATTTAGTTAAATAAACAATCAATCTCATCCAATAAATCATAGCTATATTAGAACCATTTATATTTTCAATTATCCCATTCCATTCTTTCCAGAAAAGATCCCAATTCAGTTTGCCATAATAATTAATTTTCAAATTTCCATAACTTAACATAATTAATTCACGTAACCAAATTGGAAAAACCCCATTATTTGCCAAATTATAATCTTTAATCAATTTACGAGTGTTTTGAATAACCTGAATGTCTTGTTCCGTTGATGTAAGTTTTATTGGTGTGAAGTCGGGTTTGTGATTTTGAATTAAATTTTCAACATCGGAGGAGGTTAAGCCATGGTTAGTTATTGATAACGCCCAGAGTAGGGATTGAAATTTATCTATTGAGTATAGATTAATCTCATCTGATCTAAATTTCAAAATCTTGGATAAAAATAGTGATAATTTAGACATATTCTCTTTTGGTGTTAAATATAAATCGATTAATAATTCCATGTATTTGATTGTGTCTGAAATTATTTGATTATTCCAATTGATGTCCTCGTTTAGGATTAAATTTAATGATTCATATTTGTTGAATATTACAGATTCTAATTCGTGATCACCTACTAAATGCTCATTTAGAAGGTTGATAATTTTATAGATTTGAAATTTTAAATCGTGTTCTTCAATACTATTCCCAGTAAATTTTGAGTCAAATTCAATTTTATATGCCTCTATATTTTCCTGACTACTGTTTAAAAATTTATCATAAATCATATTTAGACTCCTTTTAGTGGTGGTATGAAATTGTCTTATCCCATGGAATATATTATCCGAATCAATACTTGTATGAACTTGATTTATAGGAACATCCTGACTTTCTTCACCATATATTTCTTCCAATTTTAATTCTAATCTTCTTTCGGGACTTAATATATGTAATACAACATCATTTAAATCACATCTTACCCAAGTATTAGCCAATATTCCATAATCACTATACGTGGAAGGCATACCTTTTTTGGCTCTTTTCGCTAATCTTCTTCTTAGGACTGGTGACATTGAATTTGAAACCATTCCTTCTATTTTAGTCTTAATTCTATGGTTTGATTTCATATAATGTTTTAATTCATATGCTGTTTTATAAATATGTCTTTCTGATTTACCAGTGGAGATAATTACCCAATTTTCATTATTTTGATTATTTGGATGCTTTGGATGTGAAAAAGGAAGAGTAGATAAATCGATGATGAGTAGGTCAGTTAATCCGTAATCTTTAACTATTAAGTTTATAATGTCCTTCATTGAATTGGGACTGTTTGGTGGGATGGTTGGTAGTTCGATGCTGTTTATTGATTCAATTTTTGGTTGATTTTCTTCTCTTAAATACCATGGGATATTTATTTCTTGATAACAATGTTTAGCTGAATGAAAACCATTATATAAAACTAGGTTTAGCAGTCGAATATTAACATTTTTTAATAATCTAGTTTGTCTTATCATTGTAACGATGCAACTGATTGACTATTGTCTAGTAGTTGGTTATTTTTCAGTATTCTGTTAGTTGGTGATAATGAACAATGTACACTACCAATTTATTTATTTCGATGCTCATCTTATATTGACCGTCTTTATTATTAGTATTACTATTAGTAACTATTAACGTCCTGACACATCGTTACCATGACCAAATTAGTACACAACATTCAAAAGAAACAACACAGAGAAAGATCTCAAATCTCTTCGAGATCTAAATATGGTCTATTAGAGAAAAAACAAGATTATAAACTTCGATCAAAGGATTATCATAAAAAACAAGCAGCTTTAAAAGCATTAAAAGAAAAAGTCAAATCTCATAATCCGGATGAATATTATCATGGAATGACAAGAAGGAGGACAGATGATAAAGGTATTCTTATTTCGGATAGAGGTAATGAGGTACTTTCAGTTGATCAAGTTAAACTTTTAAAAACTCAAGATATTAACTATATACGAACAATGAGAATGAATGAATTAAAAAAGATTGAAAAATTGCAGAAGGATAAGCTATTTGAAAGTAGTGGTAAACATACCATATTTGTAGATGATACTACATCTCAGGATAATTTCAATGCTGTTGAGTATTTCAATACTGATGATTCATTAATTAATAATCGAGAGAATAGAATTAAATTAGATCAGTTGTATAATAATAAGGGAATAATTAATGATATAGACGTAGAAGAGAAGGAGAAATTAGATTTACAGAAACTTAAAGATTATAAATTATTACAAAAAAGGATTAAAAAAGAACAAGAATTAAAACAAGTTGAATCTATAATGAATGAAAATCTTGAAAAGATGAAGAATGGGAATAAGAAAAAGGTTTTGAATTCTAATGGTAAAGTACATTTTAAATGGAAAAATCAAAGAAAGAGATAATATATATTTATATTTATTGATTTGTATATTGTTTGTTGCATCCTTACATTGTATATTGCATCCTTACTCATTATTCAAACTCTTATTCAAATAATCTACAAACATGGGTATTATCCTAGTAGTTTCAACTGCTCTCATTCTATTCAAATTTATATAAGTTCTTCTAATTCTTTGTAATTGAGAAATACTTACACTTTCAAAGGGTAAATTAACAATACAATTATTTTCCTTATCTATAATAACATCACCCCCGGTAGTTAATTGTTGTTGTTGTATAACTTTTAAAATCACATCTTGTGTCTTTTTATCCAATTCTTGAATGAATGTATTCCCACTAGTAGCTTTAACTAAAGTGGCAGCATTAGGAATAATCAGTTTTTTCAAAACTATAGAATCCCAAATCTCATCAAACACTCTCACCTCTGTATTATCTTCAGATATAATTTCAAATAATGGAGAATCCCATCTATTTGAACTATTAGGTTCTTCATATCTCATTTCTAATTGTTTGATTAGATTTTCATCCCATTTGTTAACCTCTTTTGAGTTATTCCATTGTATACATTGTTCTATTGGTGCAATTATATGAATTACTGCTTGGGGAGTAGCTTGACCTTTTGATTCACAATGTAATTGATATCTAAAACCTTTAATATAACATAAAGTATCCAATATTACAATATTATTTCGAGATATATCTCTTTTAATAGCTGATATTTGTGAACCTCTTGCTAATTTTTCTAAATTTGAATCATAATAAGTAGAATGTTGGATTCCTAAAGTTTCATCAGAATGATAAGATATTGTATAATTATAACCAATAGTATTTTCAGTTTTAGCTTGTTGTATTCTATGTTGCAAATATTCTCTTAGTTTATTAGCCCATGTTGTTTTACCACTTGATGGATAACCAGTGAATATTATCAATGGCATTGAATATATTTGGTGATATTTTTTTTTTTGCACCCAAATTCCATCACCAAATGAATAAGAAGTTTATACCAAGATCAATATTTCCTGACTACAATATTAGTCTATCACATTTTAAAGGACATCAACAGAAAGCATTAGTCAAGTTAGGTCATTTAATGCCTCAAATTGATTTATTATTAGAAATTAGAGATTCAAGAGCACCAATATCAACTATAAACCAACTATTCAACAAGATATCACCAAATAAACAGAAATTAATATTATATAGTAAGAAAGATCTATCTATACTAAATAAATCACTATTAGACAAATGGCACAGTTTTCGAAATGAACAATATATGTTTGTCGACTGTCGTTCAAAAAACGATTCAAAAAGAATAATCAAAACTATAACTAACTTATATAATTCCATGGAATCACCACCACCATTAGGTCTACGATTAATGATTATTGGATTCCCAAACGTAGGTAAATCAACACTAGTAAATACATTAAGAAACGTAGGTTTAAATAATAATCAATTCCGCAAAGTTGCAAGAACTGGTGGTGCACCAGGCATAACTAAATCAACGAGTGAAATTATACGAATTAGTCACGATCCAGAAATAATGATTTATGATACTCCTGGAATTTTCATTCCGAGTGTTAAAGATATAGATACTATGTTATCATTATCTCTTGTTGGTTGTATATCTGAATCATTTATTGATCCGGTGATACAAGCAGATTATTTATTATACTTACTTAACTTACAAGATGAATCAGGATGCAAATATAATGAGTACTTGTCTTATCCAACTAATGATATTTATGAATTATTATATAATATAGCTAAATCAAGAGGTGGTTTAAAAAAAGATGGAACTTACGATGAGTTAGGTACTGCTTTACATTGGTTGAATTTATGGAAACAAGGGAAATCAAACCAATATAAAGGTGTTTTTGATATTTCTGTAATTAAAGAAATGAACACACAAGATTTAAAAAAAATAAATGATGATGAAATTGAAAGATTAAATGAGACTAAAGTATCACAAAGATTGGATAAGAGTTTTGGTGGTGATAAACGTAGAAATAGAACTGCTAAAGATCGTCAATATGATATGAGAAATAGATTATTTAAATTATAGTATATTATCTTATCCTACTTATCATTATCACATTAAATTCATCACATATTGAGTGCTTAATTGGCATCCTGACATTCTTACATCCTTACCTACTTCAAAATATCATCAATATCAAAATATTCATCATAATCACCATGAGCTTCATTTAAATCACCATAAAAATCATAAACACGTTTCTTTTCAACAACTTTATCTTTACTTTGCAATTTATATTTAATATTCAACTCCTCCATTAACTTTCTTTCATAATCCTTATCTTCTTCTTTTTTATCCAAGAAGTAACTTTCATTTGCATCCAAAATATTATCCATATTAAATAATGTGTATTTTTCATCAACCGTTAAATACTTTTCAATAAATTTATCTTGTTTTGAAAAGTTAATTAGATTGAGTTCTGAATCCATCCATTTCAAAATTGTTTTATTTAAATAATGATTAAATCGTTTAGTTGCAGGATTAGTAGATAATAAAATTGATTCTAATGACGTATTTGCGTCAATTGGATTAGTTGAATTTGATGATTTCGTCTGTCTTATCTTATCATTATTTAAAGTATTCTTAATAAATTCATCATCGTTTCGAATCTTCTTACTCTTGATGAAATTTTCCATTAAGGAGTCGATCCGTTCAAGTTTCTTCTCATCTTCATTTTCTTGTAATTTATGTAATGGATAAAATCTACCTCTTTTTTCATCTTCTTTCATTGCTAATCTAACCAACATTAATATATAACTAAATTTTCCACTCTTTAAAATCACTCTTTGTGGGTAAGCAGCACATAATTCAACCTCTGAGTTTGACTTAGGTACGTATCTTACTAATGCAACATAATCCATTTCTAATAATGATTTAATTAATGAATTGAATCCTATTTTGTTTTTCTGATTGAATGATGATGAGTTTGGAATTACATATAAGGATTCATCTGTTAAATAACTCAATTTTAAATTATTAAATTTTATAAATCCAATTATGTTTATTGATGGTTGAGTCTTTAAAGTTGATACATCTATTAATTCATCAACTAAGGCAACAACTTCAAGATTTGAAATTTTGAACCCATTTGAAGCTTCTAATTTATCAATGATTTCTCTTTCTACATCATTACTCACTTCTTCATCACCTTCTTTTTCTAATTCCTCTTCAATATCCAATTCATTACTAATGTAATATTCAGATGTTTTTTCGACTTTTGTAATTGTATCCAGTTCTTTATTGTAATACTCATGTCCATGAATTGAGTTCTGTTTTTTTATAGCTGGATAAACTTGAACATTTAAATTTAAATCACTAAAAGATAAATTCGTAGTTGTTTTAACTATCGGATTGATTAATTTTGAAGATGGTCCTAATTTAATAAACTCATCCCAATTTGATAGGTTTGTATTTGGTAAGGTTTTAATAAGCTCAATTAAATTATCAGTATGAAAATTAGGAAATAATATAAAATTAATATCAATTTTAACATCAGATAAGAATGACCGCAAAGTACTTGAATCATAATCTTTTTTGAGTTTCATAACACCATTAGTTAAAAATATAACACTTCTGAAATATTTCAAATGTGTCGTGATTTTAAATTGATTAATGATTTCATTCAAAGCAGATATTAAATCAAAATGTCCTCCCTTAGCTACACTTTGATCATGGAAGTCTTTGATTGTATTGTACCACTTTTTGAGTATTGTTAATTCAATTTGACCATCGGTATATAATAATTTAAATGATGATGAGTTGTATATTAATATTCCAAATCTATCTGATTTACGGTTCTTCATTGCATTTGAAACCAAATTTGAAATTATATAATTTAAACCTAATTGAAAATCTGATGCTGTTTCATTTGGCTGCGTTGTGTTCATATATGAAGAACAATCTAATCCATAAATTGTATATTCTTTATTAGCCATATTGATTAATACGCGTAATGAATTAAATTTGGTTACTGAAAAATATAAAAACCGCGCGTGAGTGCTACCATTTTTGGCTTTTAGGTGGCTTTTGTTAAGGGGTATTTTATAGATGCTCTTAAACTGTCAGGATGCCAACAATGTAAGAATGCAGTTGAGCTGTCAAGATGTGGAAACTGCTGTCAAAATGCAGAAACACTATACTAGAACAGTAAGAATTCAGTTAAACTGTCAGGATGCTCAAAATGTAAGAACTCAAATAAACAATATAGTAAGAATGTAATTGAACACTTGAGGTATTAGGTATGCACAAGGTCCTCGTTTATTTCCATTTTAAATAATTAAATAATTAGTATAAATTCTGATACAAATATATTATTTAACATTTTTAAAACTAATCCTAAATTGCAGCAATAAACAATGTTGGTAAAAATCAGGATCTACAATTTTGAATTATTAACATCATTAAAGATGTAAGATGCTAGTTTTAAATTCACTCAATTAGATCTGGTAAACCCAAGGCATTATTATATTGTCTATGCCCTGGGCTTTTTCATGGTCCATTGTTAGTTCAGATCTATGCCCGCGCGATTCTCAGATTCAAGTTTACATAACTAAAATAATGAAAATATAGCGGCCAATAAAGAATTAGTATATTCTTCATTTTCATAAATACTTTCAATGGTTCTAAATTTAGATCTATACTGAGTCAGAATAAATGCTAGAGTAGAACCAAATACTGGAATAAAAATACAATTCATTTTGTATCTAACTGTTCACTATGATTTGTAGTAGATGTATTCTGTTAATAATGAATTCCACTAATTTAACATGTATATTTATATCTACTCTATTGTTTAATTGTGTAATTGCCACAACATTTTTACCTTTTTAACATCCTTAAGCATTCTCACGCCAATTCCCACGTTCTAATTGTTCCATCTAAACCAGAAGTAATAAATTTATTATCCCCAATCCATTCGATTCCACTTATACCAGTACCTGAATGAGCCAATGGAAATTTAACAACTTTTGAAGGTTTATCAACAGAATATAAAAATAAACCATCATCTAAACCACCACTAATTAAATATTTTGAATCTTTGGCCCATTTAGCATCAAATATTTTACTTGTATGAAATGCCCATCTTGTAGTTATAACATCACCATTCTGATTATATAACGTATATTTCCCAGTTGAATCACCAACTGCAAAATATTCCATGTTTGGAGAAACTCGGATTAAAGTTGGAGGTGAACGCATTTTTGGAAATGATTTTGTAAAGGTTATTTCATTTTCGACTATTTTAAATTCTTCAATTGTATTTTGAGAATTATTTGTAATTAATAATGAATTATTTAATAATGCAATATTTGTGCTACTAAAAGGGAATTTATAATCTGTTAATAATTTTAAATCATTTGAATATAATTCAATTTTAGATTCAAATAATATGATTAATTTATCCTCATATGATATGATTTGTTTTGGTTGTGCATTAAGAGTGATAGATTGTATAAGTTCATTGTTTTTCCATGATTTTAAAACATCATCCCATCCAATAGTATATGTTATATATCCAATTGTTAAAATATCAGATATGTAATTTTTATGTTCACCTTTTAAAATTGGAATACTGTTCAATTTTTCATCTTTTATTTCCCATTCATATAATTTCCCATTTGAATCACCACTTATCAATTTATTATTATTTATTTCTATTTTAGTAATTGATGATTGGTGACCAGAAACAATTTTGACTAGTTCTCCGTCATAGTTAAAATAATTTAATGATCCATTTACAGAAAGTGATATAATAAAATCTTTAGCTAAAGCTAGACCAACTTGTTGATTTAATGGACTTATAGTTTCTGAAACTTTAATAGTTTTTACATTTTCACCATTTATTGACCATTTTTTAAGTGTATTATCAGCTGACGCAGTTATGAAGTATTCTGAATCAGTTGTCCATGAAACTGCAAATATACCACCATCATGAGAATTTTCATTTTTTTTAATAAATTCACCAGTTTTACCATTATATAAACAAATAATTCTATCTGACCCAACAGAAACTAAATATTCACCATTGGGACTAAATTTGACATCTCTAATTATATTACTATGATTTCCTCTTAAACTTTTATCAAATTTAAATGGAGGACCAGTATAAAAAATCATTGCATAATCATCACTTACTGTAGCTGCTCTAATTGGTCTTTGTAATTTAATATCAACAGAATTAATACTTGATGAATGACCTTGAATATCACCAATTGAATTACCAGTATCCCATGAGAAAGCATGACCAAATTTTTCTTTACCATCACCAACTGCAATAATTCTTTGAGAATCATTATCCCAAGCAATTGATTTAATTGGACCCGAAATAATTTGAAATTCAGATTTAATAATTGGCTGATCAAATATAGTATTGGTTGTTGGTGATACATCCCATATTTTAACATTTCCTGATTCATCACCAGAAGCAATATAGTAACCAGAAGGTGAGAATTTAACAGCCGTAGTTGTGAACAAATGTTTATTAAATACAATAACTGGTTGATTTGAATTAAAATCAATTGGTCTAATTATAATTGATTTACCATTACAATAAGCTAATCTTTGATTCAAAGCATCTAAAGATAAATGAGTGGATATACCTCTTGTAGTAGATGGTTGTGGTACAGCGATTGCAGTTGGATTAATAGACATTGGTAATATAGTAGCAGCAGTAGTAGTAGTAGTTGGTTGTATTGTTATTTGATTGGGTGAATCTTCAATTTGAATTGGTAGCAATTTTTATTTTGTTGATAATTTTTTCTTTCCAACCAACCGATTGACCAACGACAGGCGAAGAAAAACTAGAACGAATTGGCACCAATGATAAGATTAACTAGAAGTAATTCTACGAAGGTATATCTTCGTACAATATCAACTACTTCAATTAAAAGCTATGCTCAAAAAATAGGTAGTCCTCCTTCAGCACCAATTGTTAAATCATCATCTTCACCACCGCAACAACCAATTGTTCCTGATAAAGCTATAGTTGATTCAATTAAGAATGATCAAGGTTCAACTAAAAGTGTACCTCCACCAAAGAAGAAGAGATTCTCATTATTTGGTTTCCTTTTTAAAACTACTTTATTTACTGCTATTTTATACGGTTCAACTTTATACATTGCAACTAAAAATGATAAAGTAATGGATTTTGTTGTTGATAAAGATTTACCATATCATGAAGAATTAATAGATTTGATTGAAACTGGTTCAATTGATGATTTAACAGACATAATTGATTCTATCAGATATAAATTTATGGATGTTAAATTACCTTCAAAAGAAGATATTGAAAAAATTACTAAAAATTTAGAACATAAAGGTGAAGATTTATATAAAGAAACTACAAAGAAATTAAAATCAATTAAACATAAACAAGGTACTGATTTAACTCCAAGTGAACAATTACAAAGACCCGTTGGTGTTGAAAGTATTAAAAGAGAAGTTACTCATTTACCTTTAATTGAATTAAATTCAACATTATCTAAATCTGTTGATGATTCAGTTAAATCTACAATTGCTTCATTTAATCAATTTATTCAATCAATTGATGCAAATACATTAGTGGACTCAAATAAAGATTTAATTTCTTTAATTAATTTAAATATCAATAAATTAGCTACAAAATTAAATTCATTAAGTAAAAATTTTGATGATGAATTACAATCTAAATTAAAAGTTTCTCAAACTGAATTATTTTCATCATTTACTAAAAAAGAATTAGAATTAACTGAAAATTTACTACATCAATTTAATTCTGAAAAACAACAATTGGAAACAAAATTAAATAAAAGATTAAATCAAGAAATTAAAGCTGCAAAAGATGCTATATCTCAAGCTGCAACAAATGCAGTTTCAATGGTTAGAATTGAACAAACTAAAAATTTTGAAAAATTAATTAATGAAAAAATTAACCAAGAAAGAAATGGTAGATTAGCAAATATTGATAAATTAAATGAAAAAATCTTGGAGTTGGAAAAATTTGTTGAATCATTTCAATCTCAAATTATATCAAATCATAATAAATCAACAATTCAACAATCAATTTCAAATTTAAAAAATTCATTATTGAATCCTAATTTAAATGATAAACCAAAATTATTAAAACCATATTTAGAAGATTTGGAAAAACTTTCTGGTAATGATGAAATTTTAAAATTGGCAGTACAAGATTTGAAAGTTTTAGTAGTTAATGAATCAACTCATTCAATATTAACAAATTCTCAATTATTGTCTAGATGGGAACAATTAATTCCTGAATTAAGATCTGCTTCTTTATTACCTCCAAATGCTGGTTTATTAGGTCATTTATCTTCATTTTTATTTTCAAAATTATTATTACCAGTTAAAGGAATAAAAGAAAATGGTAAAGATATTGAAAGTGTTATTGGAAGAGTTGAATCATATTTATCAAGAGGTGAATTAGATTTAGCTGTTGAAGAAGTTACAAATTTAAAAGGTTGGTGTAGAAAGTTAGCAAATGATTGGATAATTGAAAGTAGAAAAAGATTAGAAATTGAATTCTTGTTGAATATAATTGAAACTGAATCAAAATTGATTTAGGTAAGGATGCAAAAGTACAGTAAGGATGCTTTTAGGTAGGCTTATTTATTGTATATTTGGTAACGATGCTTTTAAATATCCTTATATACTTGTATATTTTTATTTAAACTATTAAAAATTTGCTTATTGTAGAGATTTGGGTGATAGATTGTGCGTAAGTTTTTGAAATTTAACTACTTGCTCGTCTTGTAAATAATTTTGAAGAATTCTAGTTGTATATTAAACCAGTTATTGCTAAAACATTGTAAATGAATAGCATTGATAAGTAGAATGAGAACGAAAACAAAAAGAATTACATTATATATTATATTTAGAATATATTGTCTAATTTTTTTGATAAAGTTGGACCCTGAGAATTCCCGCGGCATAGGGCTAACTAAAAAATGGACCTGAAGAAACTTCGGGGCATAGGTCTAGAAAGCTGTGGTTACGAGATCTAATTAAGTAAAATGAAACTAGTACTTCTATATTTACAATTTTGCAACATAACTACTCATATAGATATGAGACTTTGAAAGGAAGTGGCCAAAGTCAAATTCATATAATCGAATTTGGTTTTTTATTTTTTGAAAGTATGTATATATTTGGTGTGATGCTACAAAATAATTTTTCGCTTTAATTCTAGGGCGACTGGTACTAAGCATATTAGCTTATATGTCATTAACAACGCAATCTCAACAAATAAGTACCATTTATATGAAATCAGAAGCATTGAATTATAGCGTTCACATGCTTCAAACTTATGATTTCATATACTTCTTAAGTATGTGGAAATTCGAATAAATTGACCTTACGAAAAATCAATCAAAATCGTCTTGAATGTATGGTAGAAGAACCGAAATTTTTAATCTCCCATTTTGATATATCTGAATTTTTTGGAGTTAGGATATTCAAAATCAAAAAAACAATTTTCAGAAGAGTTTTGAATTTTTGAAAAAAATTTAAAATGATTTTGGCGTCTTGAAAACATCATGGATATAATTTTCGGATTTGCATAAACCAATTCAGCTATGTTAGAGTTTCTAAGTGTCATTTATCTTTGTAAATGGCATTTTTTTCCATTTTTTAATTGATGAATAAAGGCTTCAAAATTAAGTATATTCGGTCAAGAATAGCAGATCAGTATTTCAGATGAGTTAGAGTTTCAATGAAAAAAGTTTGCAAATAACAGCTTGTTTATTGAAGGAGTTACTTACGATTCAAGTTCGTAAATTAGCTACTACAAGACTGCATATAAGCCAATTTTGTTTCAAATTGAAAAATATGTATCATTTCAATGCGACGAGACGGCGTAACAAAATTAATTCATTGCCCTATATTACAGGCGACTCGTGCCAAATAAATCGGCCTATAAATTGATGAACAACGCAATTTTCTTATGAATTATATCAAATCAAGAATCCCAACCTATATGCTCTATATATGTCAAGTCTTAATTATACTTCATTGAAACATGATGTATTCCAATATTTTGATTTTATACTTAATAAATTCAGATGCTAATTAAAGTAATATTGGAAGGAAAACTTGAAATTTACCTGCATTAAATTGATATTTCAAATTTTGTGTGACTAATAACAATATAATGTATAAGTATATAACATAAAACAACAACATCAAAGTATCCATTATCGACATTCATTAATTCTGTGTGATATTATACAGAAATATGTCACAACTTCAATAGTTGCTCGTTTTAAATTGTTAAAAGACGCGTAATTAAATATCATAGACTAATAAATTCAATCACATTAATTCCACGACGATTGACGGAATTGAATGATATATTTCTGTTAATTTTATCTCATGTTTGCACAAAAGAAAAGCGGCAAAAATTTGAGATTTTTCATTTGTGTAAAAAACTTCTGACCCTGAAAACTAAAACAGCCCATAACTCTTTTCACTTTACGATTTAGACAAAGTTGCCATACAATGTATTGTTCAATTCCTCAAGAACTATCCATTAATATAGGTCTCATATACAAATGCTAACACTTTTTCAAAAATAGACACAAATCACGTGATTTTATTAATGGGTCGTGCAACACCCAAAAAGGTTTTGCTAATTTTGAGGGTATTAGAGATGATTTAACGGCTTGAAACATACATCAATAGTCTTTTTTGTTTAAGAGCTTTCTTCTGTTGGCTTTCATATTTGTGATTATCGTGTGGAATTTGTTGTCGCTTGATTTATGGCTTACAGATGGTTCTATTCAATGCGACAAAGAAAATCTTTAGTACGATATTGCTTTGGGGCCCACACATATAAAAAATATACTAGAGGAGAAAATATATACTTTTTGATGCGATAAATTTCGGACGACAAATTAATTTCTCGTTTTAGATTTGGGATGACTAGTACTAAATATATTGATTCACAAGTCTATTAAATAAGGTCTAAAATGTTGATTATTTTGCAAAATAGCGTTCACTGCTATTTTTCAAATGATGAATAAAATAATCAACGTTGTGTTTTTTGAAAGACTTTAGTATCAGGTTGTTCTGACCTTAATAAAGCTTCAATGAAAAAACTTTGAAAAGTATCGCCTAAATAATATGAGCGTTATAAGCAAAGTAAGTATTACGATTAACTATGATGAGACCGCATATATCTCAGTTTCAGAAATTTTGTATGCATTGTAATTCTCGCCTAGTTTTACTGCCAACATAATAATTTTTCCTGCCCTATCTCCAAGGCGACTTGTACCAAATTTATTGGTTCTATATGCCATATTAATTTGTCTAACAAACAAAATTATCACCGCACCCTCATCTCAATTATGAAACAACCAGTTGAATATTTAAATAATGATACTACACCATGTTTAAAATGTGAAAATCATGCTATATTAATTGCAAGAACTGATTATTATTGTAAAGATTGTTTTATTAGATTTGTTAGAGGTAAACAAAGAAAACAAATGGTTAGTGAACAATATAGAGCTAAATTTGGAATACAAGCTGAAAAATATGGAATTCAAAAAGTATTACTTGCTTTCTCGGGTGGTATTACATCTATGGTATTATTGGATATATTAAGTGATTTATTATTAGAACAACAAAAGACACATAAGGGAGTAACTGGATTCAATTTAATTATTGTTAATATTGATGAATTTGAAATATTTTTATTAAATAAAAAAATACAAGACATTATCCCAAACTTGATTCAAAAGTATAATGGGATCAGTATTGAGTTTAAAGTTTTATCATTAGATTCTTTTATAAATGAAGAATCATTATATAAAATTTCATTAAATGATGAATTTAAGTCATTTTTCAAAGAGTATAATCAAGATATAACTATACTAGATATACTAAATCAAACAATTAACAAATCATCAGCTGAAGATTTATTAAATATAATTTACAAGAATTTGTTACTTGAAGTTGCATATGTTGAAAATTGTCAAACTATAGTATTGGGTCATAGTATGACTAGAATAGCAAATGAAATAGTTGCACTCACTGTTAAAGGACGAGGATCTGAAATTCATGAATCTATAAAAGATCATACAGAAATTTATAAAAACCATGAAATCAAAATAATGTACCCATTAAGAGATGTACTATATGCTGAAATTATAGAATATGGTAAACTTGCAGATTTATATCAATTTACAATTGAATCAACCATAAAGAAATCAAAAATTAGTAAAAATTTGACAATTCGAGATTTAATATCAAATTATTTTACACAATTGACGGAAACTGGATATGCAAGTACTGCTTCAACAGTAGTTAAAACTGGTGAAAAATTAGGTAAATCAAAAGAAAAGAAACTTGGAAACTGTAAAGTTTGTAATGAAGAGATATATAAAAATCCAAGTACATGGTTAAAAACTATTACTGTTAACGAACCAGCCTCAATAGAAACAGAAGAAGAATTGGAATATAACAAATTATATAAAGAAAGTACACAAGAAGAAGAATTGAAATTAGGCAATCCATTAGAATTATGTTATGGTTGTATTATAACATTAGGTGGGTTTAAACAGACAGATAGTGGATTATTATGGCCCTTAAAAAGTGAAGAAAAGCAATTGAATTATATATATGAAAATGATGAAGTTGAAAAGCAACATATATTAGATGAATATACACTTTAATGAATATATATATGTTATACTTATGATCTAGTTTTGTTTTGCATCCCTTACATAGTATCTAGCATCCTTACCACTTGTTGATGCGGACCAATTTAAATTTGTGGAAAATGCGCATCAAAAGAATTTCAATTTAGATCAAAATGTATTCACCAGATTTACTGTCAAAGAATTTATATAATTTATGGCATAATCATAATCCAAAAGAACTAGATAATGTTGATAAAAAACATTTGAAAAATTTGTTTGCTCCTCCTTTATCTTCTTATTCTTCAAATTATCCTGGTGTTGACATTTTACATTTAGATTATAACAACAATAGTACTCAAAATTCACAAATATTTACAACTTCACCGTTAGTTCAATCTAATTTTATTCAGCTAGAGCAAATTAAAAATTATGGCTATTCAACTATAAGACCAATAGGTATTGGTAAAACCATGGAAGAAATTGATTATTTGAATCAACAAAATATAGATGATCAAACTCAACTTAGTCAAATTACTCATATAGCTGCGGAAAATTCAACTGAAGGAATAATAAATAATGTAAATGGTACTACTATATCTATAGATAATCAACTTCCACAAGAAGATCTTGATGCACAAGTTTTAAACGCAGATGAAAATTCAAATTCAAATTCTGAAGATGATGAAAGTAATAGTAATACTGATCATAATTACCGAATTCAAGAAGATGATTTCATGGCAGCTGATGTCGAATATCAAGATGATCATAGTTTAAATTCAGAAACTGCTGCAAATATAATGAATAGTGGAAGTACGGCAATTTTAAATAATACGGGAAGATCAACTAATCCAACTACTGCTAGTGTTACAGGAAGAAGTAGTATTAATGTTGCTGTTGAACAGAATGAAAATGAATATCTACAAGAAGAAATGATTATTGAATAATATATATATTTTTATTTCTTGAAAAAATCAACTTTTGCCTCTTGTAAATGTGTTGCAGGTACCATCCATTTCCCACACGAACATCTTGATCCTTGCCAATTGTATCCACCTACTTTTGATCCACATTTTGGACACTGAAATTTTCCTTCCAATTGTGATTTTTCAAGTTCTGATTGCATCCATTTAACTGGTTCTTTTAAAAAATAATGTGAACATTTGTTAGAAGCATTTTGAATAGAAATTATTCTTCTTGAATTAGGTGCTGTCTTTGTAAATTTTGATTGTTTTGATTCTTGTGTAGGGATTTCATGAGTCTCCATATTGGATTGATTGGCTAAAATTTGTCGACATCGTTTACATCTTAATTCAAAATTGGAATTCATATCTTTTGATTCATCATTAGTTTGTCTTTCCATTATTAGATCTCTAACTTGTTTACCTGTGGGATCTAATTTCATTGAAATATTAATTAAAAATCTCTTATATTCTTCGTTTGACTCATCTAATTTGAAACCCATATTGGCAAACATTTCCAATTGTTTAATAAATGATGAATTTGGTTCTGCATCTGAACATTTTCTCTTCACGGCATATAAAGATTGATCTAATGTTAATTTATATCTCTTCATTAAATAAGCCATTATTACAATAACGGATCTGGATACCCCTTGAGCACAATGAACTAAAACATTACCTGGATTCTCATTAATAAAAGCAGAATCAATAAATGTAATACAATCTTCTAAATATGGTATAATATTAGTTGTTTCTTCATCTGTTATTTCAATTTGTTTCCATGTATAATTTGAAAAATATGTTTCATTAATCAGTCCTGGTAATATAGATAGTATATGAGTTATCTTATATTCTTTAGCTAGATCTAGTTCTTCAATTATTGGTTTGATAGATGATAAATATAATACTCCCAATATTCTATAAATCATTTTGATGAGATGATTTGAAAAAAGCCGCATTTCCAAAAATTTTTAGAACATATTAAAATATTTGGCTGCAAAATTTAGAATTTAAAAATGTTAATGTATATTCATGGAACTCTTTGGTTATTTGCAGGCTCTTGGACAATACCTACTACTTGGAATTTGGAGATTACAAATTTGAGTAGATCCTTTGTTAATCTGAATATAGACCATACTGTTTTGATGTTGTTCTTCCATATTGTGTGAAAATAAATGTTGCAAAAGTAACTTAGCTTGGCTTTATGAGTTTTTTAACCAATCTTCTCCAGATTAATTTTACTAGATCCTCCACAAGAAGAAATTTTCATTCAAAATAGTTTGAGCTGTACTGTGCATAAAAATTCTCCCTCAACTATATTAAAAGAACTCAGGTTTGATTTGATTGGTTGATTGTTTAAAGCTTTCATACCTATTGTGTTCTAAGACCCGGCCCGTAAAAAAAAACCTTTTTCATGAATCATTTGGTTTGAGATTAGAAGCATTACCCAATTTATTATATCTTCTGTTGAACTCTTCAGCTAAATGGTTTTTTAAATTCACCATTGAATTGCCAAACGTTTTTGAGCATGAAGTACATTTAAAAGGAGTATTTTTGATCATATCATCTAAAAATGCTTTACCTCTTGTGTGTCTAATAAATTTTGGCTTTTCATCCTCATCAAATTTTTCTTCTTCTTCCTCTTCAAAATCAGATTCTGAATCAACATTTTCTTCATTTTTATCTACCAATTTATAATATTTTTCATTATATAATGGATTTAATTCTTCAAATGGAACAAAAAATTTAGTTGTAAATGAATTATAATGTTTTTTGTTTTTCAAACAAGGCGAATGAAAATCTTTAGTCATAACATGAATATGTAAATTCTTTAATGAGGGTATAGAATGAACCCCAGCCACAATAAAATTATTTTTCAATTCATCCAATTTTAATTGATCTTTACAATTTAAACTTTCTGATAAATCCTTTATAATCAAATCTTTAGCTTTATCAACATAACCTTTCAATAATTCATATAAATCTACCCCTGAATAATCATCATAAATATTATCAAATACATCTAGTGGATGAACATGAGTAATTCTTGACAGTTTTGGTATAATAAGATAATGTCTTATTGATTTTGGATATTTATCTTTAATAATCAAAATATTATCATCGTTAAATAGTAGTAATTCTTTACATTTATCTAGATTATTTATATAGTTTTGAAATTCATTTGCAAAATTCATTTGATGTGACAAAAAATATAAAATTACGACAAGACGCAAAAAATGACATTACATATAGAATGCATTTTTCAAGGCGATGATTTCGCGGTAACTTTAGGTCGACTCGTACTAAACAGGTTTCTCTATATATCACGAACAACACACGTTTAAAAAATAAAAACCATTTATGTGAAATTTGGAGCCTTCAATTATATACTCTACAAATTTTAAGCTTAAGATTCAGAGATTTTTTTCTTCAGTTGAATTTTTGACCAATTTTCATCATACAAAAAAAGATATGCAAAAATCAAAAACGCTAAGTATAATTTATTTAGGGCCATAATTTCCAAACAAACAACGAATTTTATATATCAGACCTCAAGAGAAAGTGGTTAATCTGATCTGAGATGATCAGAACTAAAATTGAAAAATCGAAATTTTTTCATAAGTATAGCGAAAAAAATCTAGAAAATTGACCTTATGAAAAATATAATTCCACATTGAATATTCAACTTGAAACACATAAAGTTATTCAGTTTTGTAGTTCTGCCTTTCGATAAGTTTTGATATCTTTTGTTAAAGTATTCAAAATTGAAAACGTAATTGTTTAAGAATGAATCGAAGTTTTTGAAAAAATTTCAAACCGATTTTGGCGCCACTAAAATACAATTAAAAATGTTTTAGGAACTAATTGAACCGTTGGAAGTTGCTAAATGACTTCTAAGTGTTAATTATATTGCAAAATGGCTTTTTCATCTTTTTTTTGAAATTAATGTAAAGTAATCAGAATTATTTTCTTTTGTTAAGCACTACTAGCATTAGTATCCTCCAAAATACTCGAAGAATATAATGAATCAAGTTTGAGAACAAAACTTAAAATATTCAACGAATTTTGAACAGGTTATAATTTAAGTTAAACTACAACTACAAGACTGCATATAAACAAATTTGTTTCAAATTTACGACGCGTGCTTATTTACGTGGCCATTTGCCTCAGTGCGATCATTCGGTGATTAAAAATTCTTCTAGTACTAAAATTCCAACCTATGTTAAAGCGAGATGGGCCCTACAGCTCGACGAACAATTAATCTGTTAAAGATCTGTTTACATGCACGTATATTATTGGTTATCTAAATAATTGATTGGTCTCAGACCGAAGTGGATATCTACAAGTTTATACAATTTATACTTTTCTCTTCCTTACTGATTCAGACTTTGTACTATTTATTGTAGGCAATTTTTCATTTTTATTATCTTCAACAACTTTCTCTTCTTTATTATTCAATTCTTGATTATTTTGTAATTTAACATTTTTCAATTCATTTATGAACCATATTACAGCAGCATATAGTATTAATGCAATAATTAATAAATTAATAAAATGTATTGATTTTGATAAAAAAATCAAAAATATTAATGAAGTTATTAACAAAACGAATGAAATATGAGTTGCCGTTATTAAAGCAGGAGTAGTACCTGGAGTGAATATTGAATCCCACAATTCTGTTATAAACATGACTGGTTCAATAGTTGTTGATAATTTATTATTTGATGAATATTGAAAAATTTGCACGAAGAATTTTTAATTTATTATTTTTTTTTTTTTTTTTTTTGAAACAAAAGTTGGCAAGGCAAATAATTCAAATTCATTCAATATGATACCTACTGATGATAGTTTTATAAGTGATGATGAAGAAGAATATTGTCCATTATGTGTGGAAGAAATGGATATATCAGATAAAAATTTCAAACCTTGTCCTTGTGGTTATCAAATTTGTCAATTTTGTTATAATAATATTCGACAAAATCCGGAATTAAATGGTCGTTGTCCTGGTTGTAGACGTCTTTATGATGATGAAAGTGTTGAATATAAAACTATAAGTGCTGAAGAATATAAATTATTACAATTAAAGAAGGAAAAACGTGAAAGAGAGAAGAAACAACGTGAAAAGGAAAAGAAAGAACTGGATATGGCTAATAAAAAACATTTAGCTGGTTTAAGAGTAGTTCAAAAAAATTTAGTTTATGTGACTGGTTTAAATCCTCCTTGTAATCCTGAAGATTTACATTCAATTTTAAGATCTGATAAATATTTTGGTCAATATGGTAAAATTTCAAAAATTGTTGTAAATAAAAAGACTCCAAATCCTACAATAACTTCAACCCATCATCAAAATTCTGGTTTAGTAGTTTATGTAACATTTGCTAGAAAAGAGGATGCATTGAAATGTATAACTGAATTAGATGGTTCTTTATGTGATGGTAGAGTTTTACGAGCTGCGCATGGTACAACTAAATATTGTTCATCATATTTAAGAGGTCATCCATGTCCAAATCCTAATTGTATGTTTTTACATGAGCCAGGTGAAGAAGCTGATTCATTCACAAGAAAAGATTTATCAACTCAACAAGGTATTAAGATGGGTATGACTTCAAGACCACATACAAGTGTTTTTGGAGAAGAATCTTCACGTCCTGTAATGAATTCTATTCATGATGATGATGATGATCATGGTGATCATAAAGAGCATTTACCAGCAACTGCTCATTGGGCTGCCGCAGCTGGTACAACATCTGGAAATAACTCACCATCTGTTAATAATAACATACCATTAGCTAATAGTGCCGCTTTTCCAACATTGGGAGAAATTGCAAATTCTCAAAAACAAGTTCATGTAAAATGCAATAAACCAAGGATTACAAAATCTACAAAAACATTTGTTAATAATAATTCCATTGGTCCAGATGATTTAGAATATGATGAAAATAATTTAATTATACAATTTAGTGAAAAAATTGCTGATCAATTAAGAAATATGGATGATATAAAAGATACTAAATTTAAACAATTTAATGGGAAAATATTACCATTATTTTCATTTAAAGGTAAATTTCAAAATGAAACAAATTTAGAAGATGAAAAGCTAATTGCCCGTCAAGTTATAGAAAGATTTTTATTAAGACCTATTAAAAATTATCATTTGGCTTATCAAAATCATCCAATTACTCAACAACAATCTATGATGCAACGTCAACAACAATCACAACCTACTCCTAATTTACCAGAAGCTCAATTGAGAACTACAAATGATGAACAACAAAAACAAGCTCAACAACAACTTTTATTATTACAATTACAGCAACAACAGCAATTACAACAACAACAACAACAACAACAACAACAACAAATGTTACAACAAATTCCACAACAGGTCAATATCCTAAAAGCTAATGATCGTATAAACTCCTCAACTCCACCACCTCCTGGTTTGTTTGTTGGTAAAACTCCAATGGCAAATCAAGCTCAGATGACAAATGAAGTCCCACCAACGTATGCGCCTTCAGCTCAATCATCAAGTTCACAATTATTAACTCAATTAATGAGTGGTAAAAGATAGAAAATATAATATATATTTATTAATTTTCTTCAGGTTTTCCATATGCTTTTGTAAATGCTTCTCTTAAGTTTAAATAATATCTGATAACACTCCAAGCATACGCTGGTATTGATGGATCTGCAATTCTATTAAGATGATTCGTTATAGCTTCTATTTGTCTATCTTCGAGGTGTAGTATCTTTGAATTTTTCATGATTTTCTTTAATTAATCTTAGTAAAAATTAGAGTAATCATTTGCAAAATAAATTAGCATAAATCTACCGCAATCTCTAGGTATATTAACTCGATATTTCACTTCAAATTGCTTGGTGATATACCCATATCGTTTAGTCAAACCTTCAATTTTTAAATTATCTTGTAAAATTTCATAATACTCTTCTGACCACACTAATTCATTACAATGTTTCAAATTCAAATCTTTAGCTAGATTTATTTTTCTTTTTAGTAGGTGTTTCTTTTATTATTCTTTCATTTTTTGTATTAAATTTTTGTAAATGTATTAATTTTCCAGCTTCATTTGCATTTTCAAATAATTCTCTTCGTATTATAGCTAGTGCAGGTATATATAGTACTAATATTCCTAACCTATATTCATCTTCTAGCTTAAAAATCCATTTTTCCAATTCTTTTATATTATTCTATTGATTATCAATTTCAAGGTAAGCCTTTTCCACATTATATTCATCAATAATTTCATCTAAATTTAATAATAATTCAAAACAATTTTCAAAGTCTAAATGATTTGGCTCTTTGCATAACTGATCTTTTTTTAAACTTAAATAAGACAGTGTTATAGTATCTTTCCTTTCAAGATAATGTTGTAGTTTTCTAGTATATGACTTGTTATTTATTCGGTTAATTTGATCTGAAACAAAAATCTATAATTTTCAATTACAAGGTAGCACGAGTAAATAAGATATACTATACGAGTTTGTGCTACTATTAATACGATTTTACATTTGTAATTGGTTCTTCTATTGTCCCATATTGCTTCATAAACAAATCTCTTAATTGTATACCAGCTACTAAATCAGTTGGTGAAGCTAGTGGAGTACCAGCACTTTTTAATTTTTGATTTATAAAAGTATTCTTATCTTCAACTATCTTCAGAATTGCTTCTGTATATGCTGAATCAAAATTTTCTAAAGTTTCATTAGCTTTTCGATAATCTTTTTCTCCATATTTATAATGATATAGTAAATAATATGCTGTAGGTAAAGTCATTTTTGAATTATAATTTTCCTGAAATTTTTCACTTATATATTCACCACGTTGTCGTTTCTCACTAAATAATCGTACTGCTTCTTTTATAATATTAACTTTATCTTTACCCCACGGCAAATCAGTCCATTTCAGATAACCTTGATTTGAAATATTTTTCGGATTAGGTAGACTTTCACTTATACTTTTCATTCGATTAGGAGTTACAAATCTATCTTTTTCTTCTATTTCATTTGATGTTTCAATTTCATAAATTAATCTACCAACTTTAGCGGCATTTTCAAATAATTGAGTTCGTATCAGTTTTAACCCATTACAGTGTAAATGTAATCCTGTATCTGTTACAATTTGTTTATATAAAGCCTCAATTCTTGTTTCTATTTTAAATATAAAACTATTATTTTCCTTTGAAAAACCAGATGATAAACTTTCTAGATAACATTTAATCACCCTATAATTATAAGTCATTTCATCTAAATTCATTAGTATTTCAAAACTACACTCTAAATTGTCATCGTTCAATTGATCTGATATTTGACAATAATTTTCCTTTATATTTTGTTTCTCTTGTTGACATTTCCTTAGTCTTTCATCAAGATTCATCTATATTTATAACTGAATGTAATAATAAAAGTTTAAACGAAAAATAAATTTATAATTATATACAGGAATTCTATGTTAATGTTAACTCTATTTAATTACATTACTACATTTGGAACATATCGTGCCGTCAATAGTTGACGTAAATTTCCAACATCTTGGACATTTATAATCAGTTGAATGTTGGATTTTAATGGATTCTCGGTCTCCTTTGATAATATTAACTTTTGAAACTAAAAGTAAATCATCAAGGTAGTTTTGATTAGCTATTAAAAATTTATAAATATTTGTATCAGGTATTGACGTTACTTCAATCTCTAATTCTAATTTATTTTTAAAATAATTTTCATTTTTCAAATGTTCAACTTGTTTAAATATTTGATCTCTTAATTGGAAAAATTCATCAAATTTATTTGACAATTCCTGATTTTCAAAAAATTCTGGTAATGCATAAAATTCATTCCATTTCATTTTGAAAGGTGAATCTATTTTTAAATCAACTATATCTTGATACTCATTCCATACTTCTTGTGTTAATAATGGTTGGATTGGAGATAATATACCAATATAAGTTTTTAAAATCTCATTTAATACAGTTTGAATTGATCTTCTTCTTAAAGAATCTTCTGAATCTGTATACAAACAATCCTTTGAAACGTCAAAATATATAGCACTTAATATTGAATTGAGATGTAAATTAACTGAATTTATTATTCTTGCAAAATTATACGTTTCATAATTTTCAGTACATGAGTTTTGTAAGTCAACCAATGTATGTAATATATACTTGTCTAAATCGGATAATTCATGATATGGTACTGGGTTTTTGAAATTGAAATTGTTCAAATTTCCTAATAAATATCTAAATGTAATTCTATACTTTTTGTGCATTTCTGAGGTTCTTTTTAGTATATCGATATTGAAAGTTACATCTTGTTTAAAATTAGAAGATGCAGCCCATAATCTTAAACCATCAGATCCAAGGTATGGTGTAACTGGTTTTTTACATCCTTCAATTACTTCAATTGGTGAAAAAACATTTCCTTTTGATTTTGACATTTTTTGACCTTTACCATCAATAATGAAACCATGTGTTATAATTGATTTAAATGGAGCTATTGGTTTAAAATTTGAACCATTTTCACCTGAAAATATGATTTTATTAAGTAAAGAACTTTGAAACCATCCTCTATGTTGATCACTACCTTCAAGATAAACATCAGCTATATTACAATCTTGCAAATTTTCATTTAATGTACTCCATGAAGTACCTGAATCAAACCAAACATCCATTGTATCTTTACCTTTATAATAATCAGAACCATCAAATGGTAACCATCTACTAATATTTTCTTCTTCGGTAAACCACTCATCAGTTCCATATTGATCGATTTTATTCACTATATAATCAATCACTTTTAAATCTGTTATTGGAGAGTCATCACTTTTTTTATATACTATAGGTAATGGTACTCCCCAACATCTTTGTCTTGATACGCACCATTCATTTCTATTCTCTATAAAACTTGATAATCTATTAATTCCTAAATCTGGGTAAAATCTGACTTTAGATAATGCTTCTTTTACAAATGGTTTGACTTTTTCAACATTCACAAACCATTGTGGTGTCGATCTTTGAATAACTGGTGTTTTTGATCTCCAATCATAAGGATACGAGTGGATGAATTTTTTATTCAAATTGAAAATTTGGTTGGTTTCCATTAATAAATTGACTACCAACATATTTGTCTTTGATTCAGTTACTTTAAAACCACCTAGACTTTTAAATCCAGATGGCAATTCAGAATCAATATATCTTCCTTGATTGTCTACTATTGAATCTATTTCTAAATTATTTACTCTACCAATGAGATAATCTTCTTTACCATGTGATGGAGCATTATGTACTAAACCTGTACCAGCAGTTTCAATAACATGATCTCCATGCAAGATTCGTCTGGGATCATTATCTAATGACGTTGGATCTATGTAAGTATTGTTAGTTAATGATGACCCTGGTATTTCTATATCAATTTGAGTATAACTTTCATCTAGTTTCAATACTTCTGGAGCTAAAGATCTAGCAACAATCAAATACTCATCATCTTTATGAATTAATGTATAAATTAAATTTTTATTTACACAGACTGCTTTATTAGCTGGTATTGTCCATGGAGTAGATGTCCATATCAACACATTTAATTTCCCATTTTCAATATTGATCAGTTTATTACTCAAGTAATCATATATTCCATTTGAAATTATTGGAAATTTAACATATATTGCAATTGACTTGTGTTTATCATTATATTCTAATTCAGCTTCAGCTAATGCAGTCTGAGTATCACATCCCCACCAAACTGGTTTTAATTGTTGACTTAACAAACCATTTTCCATTAATTTTTTAAAAATTTTCAATTGTTTAATTTCATAATCATGATACATTGTAATGTATGGATCATTAAAATTCGTCATGATGTTAAACTTTTTAAATTGTTCCTTTTGTTTTTCAATCATTGTATTTGCCCATTCTTTACATTTTCGTCTTATTTCAACATCAGTCGCATCTTTTGATAATAGATTTTCAACCTTAATTTCAATAGGTAACCCATGGCAATCCCAACCAACTTTATATTGAATTAATTTATTATGATAAATGAGTTGAAATCTGTTAATAATATCTTTTATAATTTTATTCAATGAATGTCCAACATGTAAGTCTCCATTAGCATAAGGTGGCCCATCATGTAAAATAAATTTTGATCGATTTGCATTATTGATCAATTGCCAGTTATATAATTCTTCAGATGTCTTTTCTAGTAGAGTTTCAGCTTGTTCACCTTGTGGAATCTTTGGTCCAAATTTAGTTTGAGGTAGTAGTAAAGTCTTTGAATAATTTGATTTGAATCTTGCACCTAGAATTAGAACATTTCGTATCTTCTTCATTAATATTTTAATTCTCGTTTGAAAAATTTGAAATTTTTTTGCAGCTAAAAAAGTGTTGATAACCGACTTAGTAAAATTGTTTCTATAAGTAGATAAGCAAGTAGTATAATGATGAAAATAGTAAGATTTAAGATTCTCTTATGATAAATGGTAAATATTTCCCTATTTGCACCAAAAAAATCTTTAAGTATTTGTCCATCTCATACCTAGTCAAAAATGTTTATTAAGAATTTGTACAACGATAGGTATTATTGACTATATAGTTTATCATCTCCTTCAGAATTTTCAAAGCATCTTCAAAAACAATATTTTTAATTCAAATAAAGATCATACTTAGTGTTTCTTTTAAATCCAATGCTCTTACTTAGTGTTTCTTTTAAATTCAATGCTCTTACTTAGTGTTTCTTTTAAATCCAATGCTCTTGAGCTTATTGTTTTCGAAATGTAATTTGCTCAAAAACTCCAATTCATGAATATTTGTATTATTCATCGAAGTCAACTCTTAATTATTAGTGATTAGCAAATTTTGAACCCTTTTAGGAAATTGTAACCCATCTAAACTTTTTAAACTTGTACAAATTTGATGGGACATCATGTCTGTCTACAACAAGCTCTTCAATTCCAATTGGTAACTTCTCAAGATTACTACGATCATGTATACGAGTGGTTTTCATATTTGGATTCATCACAATTCCAGAATTTAATTAAGTGACTGACTTAATGTTTAATGATGAGAATTTTCTCAAAACTGGGGCTAATAATTGTTCAGTATCTAATTCCGTTTTTAAAGTAATCCACGCTGTGAACTCCAAGATATCATAATATAATTCCATTTAAATTCAAGATTCTCAACATTTGAAAGGTAAATTTCATAGGGGAAATAATTATATTTATCAAGTAATTTCCTTAAAATAGCAAAACTCCTTAACTGCAATTGGTGCCCTATAGTCACAATACTTAACCCATCTTAATGGAGCAGATTTTTCAAACTTTTTGTCTTCGTCACCATCAATCATCATATACTCAAAATAAATAAAAAAGTAATGCAACATTATTAATAGGTTGAAATTCTAATAAAACCTCGAAAGCAGCCGAGAGAAGAATTAATCGATAATCTTTTGTATTAATTCATCTGGAAGAACTTTTAATTTAATTAAAACATATAAAAACTCTCTATCATTCATGATTAATATGCTGAATCAGATGAACAAATTTTTTAATAAACACATTCAACAATTTTCCAAACATTTTCCAAACATTCTTGTTTATCAATTTTGTCCGTCAATTTTGCTGCAAAAATCTAAATTTAACAAAATCTAGATTGGTAGTGCTGGACCAAATACAAATAGCCACAAAATAACATAAACGGTTTAAACTATAAATAATATATATATATAAATATATAGAAAACTATACAACAATTAAATAAAATATCTAATATTAATTAAAATATTTAATCAACCACCAACAATTTATTTGTTAGCATTTATATTTTTAACCAATTCTATGTATTTTTCAGTTGAAAATGATTTTGGTCTTTCTATTGGCATACCTATTGCTCTATCTAAGATTAATTGTGGTAAGACACCAAAAGCTCTTGAAACACCGAATAAAACAGTATAGAAAGATTCTTCAGTTAAACCATAGTATTGCAATAAGACACCAGAATGGGAATCAACATTTGGCCATGGATTTTTAGTTTTACCATGTTTAGTTAAAACACCTGGAGCAACTTCATAAATATTTGAAACTAGTTTGAATAAATCATAATCTGGCATATGTTTTAAAGCAAATTCTCTTTGAGCAGTATATCTTGGATCAGTTTTTCTTAAAACAGCATGACCATAACCTGGAACAACTCTACCAGCATTTAAGGTTTCCCACAAATATTTTTCAATAGCTTCTTTTGAAATATCACCTTTTAATTCTTCTTTTAATTTAAATAACCATTCTAAAACTTCTTGATTGGCTCTACCGTGTAATGGACCAGCTAAACCATTTAAACCAGCAGCTAATGATAAAAATGGAGAAGATAAAGCAGAACCAACTAAATGAGTAGTATGAGCAGAAACATTACCACCTTCATGATCAGAATGGATAGTTAAATATAATCTCATTAATTCTAAAAATTCTTGATTTTTACCAAAACCTAATAAATTAGCTAAATTTGCACCATAATCTAAATTTTTATCAATTGAGGCAGGTAATTTACCATCATGAAAAACGTTTCTATAAATTTTAGCAGCAATAGTTGGTAATTTAGCTAATAATTCAATTGAATCTTCATAAGTATATTTCCAATATTCAGATTTATGAGCACCTTTAGCATAAGCTTTAGCAAATTGAGATTCAGATTCTAAAGCAGTAACAGCAATTGAAAATTGAGCCATTGGATGTAAATGACTTGGAGATCTATCAATTAATTCTTCAACATGTTTTGGTAATTGAGATCTAGCAGCCAATTCTTCAGATAAACCTTTAGTTTGAGCTTCAGTTGGAACTTCTCCAGATAATAATAACCAAAACAAAGCTTCTGGTAATGGTTCATTACCGCCTGGGGCTTTTGGTAATTCTTTTTGAATATCTGGAATAGTTCTACCTCTAAATCTAATACCTTCAATAGGATCTAAAACAGAACCTTCCCAAACCAAACCTTTAATACCTCTCATACCACCATAAGCTTGTTCTAATAAAACTTCACCAATAACTGTTTTACCGTGTTCTTTTTTCAATTGTTTGACTTGTTCAGCTTTTTCTGGTAAAGTATCTTCCAATCTTTGTTTTAAAGTCTAAATAAGAGTTAGTTAGTATATTTCATTTCTGGTCAATTGGCAACCATTTACGGATATTCTATACTATAATATAATATAATATTCTATAATATAATATAATATAATCTTTACATACTGGTTCAGCTGAAGCATAATTTCTAATTGATACTAAACTTGATTTTGATAATTTTGTGGAACGTTGAAAAGATCTTAAAGCTGACATATTGTTATTATAAAAAAAACTCAATTGACCGACAAAATTAAAGAAAAACTGATTGAATAAATAAATATAAATAAATAAATAAATAAAGTTGAAAAGTAAAATGAAAATTTATTTTCAACGAAAAACTAAAAAAAAAATAAAAAAAAAAAAAAAAAACGAAAATACAATTTGATATTTATATACTTAAAAGTAGTCAGTATAATGACAATTGATCGAATAGTATTAGTATTAGTACTAGTACTATTACTATTAGTATTATTGTTATTATTATTACTATTATTATTATTATTATTATTATTATTATTATTATTATGTGGGTGAATAGTATAATATAGTAGTAAATTTAGTTATTTATGCTTTAGAATTATGACATAATTAAATCATGGATAAATGTCGTTTTTAAATGTTTAAATATGTCTCATATGTCTCTATGTCTCATATGTCTCATATGTCTTTTAAACCAATCAAATCATTCCATTTTTAGTTATGTTCCAATAAATATCGAATAGTTAATAGTTAACCATATCAAAAAAAATGTCGTAAGGTCATTCATATTATAATATGTTATGCTTTTTATGTAATAGGTAAATTTTTATCATAGTCGGTTCCAAAAAAATTCTCATGTCTGTTACCTCGGACTTTAATTATCAACGTCTTTTTCCTTTCTTATTATATGTTGTTACACAGTTTTCGTAAATACAACATGAAATTTATATGTAACAATTTTGCAAAACTTTCTTTCACATTAATTATGAAGCATTTAATAGGATAATTTTACAAAACTTTGTATCAAATCAATTACAAAGCATTTAATAGGATAACTTTACAAAACTTTCTTTCCATTTAATTACAAAGCATTTAATAGGATAATTTTACTAATTGCTTGCTCTGGATAATCAATTCGACTGATTTTTTTTCCGTGGAATTATTGAGTTTGATTTGAATCAATTGAATTCTATTTAGTATTTTGTATAATTAAATATTCCAAGGAAAATAAACTATTATATTAAGCGCTCTTAATCTTTGTTTGAATTGACAAATCAAATCGTTTCAAATCAAACATTTCTTCATTCCGAATAATGCAATATTAAAAAAATAAAAAAATAAAAAAAAGAAAAAATAAAAAATAAAAAAAAATAAAAAAAAATAAAAAAAATAAAAAAATAAAAAAATAAAAAAATAAAAAAATAAAAAAAAAATAGTTAAATCTGGGGAAACAAATAATAGACAAATACTTAAAGTTAATTAGAATAAAGTCAATTTTTATTAACAACTTGAGATCTAATATTGTAAATTTTGATGTAATCAATTTATTGAATGTATCAAAAATATCAAAACCAATTTGTTATTGTTTAATTTTATTTTAGAGACTGTTTTTTGATTGGTCATAACATAATTAGTGAACCCTTTTTTGTATTGCCATTTTTTGCTGAAAAAAAAAAACAAGCTTTAAAAAATCACCTCTTTGTGAGCATAACTTTATTATTATTATATTAAGTTATTGATAGGTTCAATGAACCTTTCTTACGATTAAATGTCGTCTAACTCTAACTGTGTATTTATTTATTATTTTCTTTTCTTTTCTTTTCTTTTTTTTTTTTTTATTTTATTTGATCTGTGGGGGTGGGGCCAACGTCTAAATATTAGTAAACCCGTTTTTTTACATAAGTTCCACATAAATTATATATTGTTATTTCGATAAAAAGTCCGAGATTAAATAATATTCATCTAGTAAGACAAAGATTGTGGTCCGAGATTAAATAATATTCATCTAGTAGGACAAAGATTGTGGTGGTGTGTTGTCTAGTCTAGTCTAGTCTCGTCCTGTACAATTAATTATCATCATTAATAGGGTATGTCAGTTTTTTACATCATTTCCTTAATCGTGTGGTAATTGTACTTTTAGTCTTACACTTTTACTAATCCAAACTATCCAAACTATCCAAACTTCATGGTATTTTAGAAAGGTTACTTCTTTTCATGCTCAAAATTTTAAACCACATAAAATCTTTAATCAATTCTTACTTAAAAAACATTCGATAATTACTCCATGAAATATGCTGTTGCGAACCCATAAGTCTATTTAGCGTCATTATTTCAGAATTGTATAAATTTTATAAATCGGGTAAGTTTTTAGATCTCAGATCAGATCTTGGTATCTCAAAAAAGAAACAAAAAAAAAAATAAAAAAAATTCTTTTTTAAACCATCACTAAGGATATAGATTTCATTAATATATATTCCATATATCAATCAATCAACCAACATAATGTAGTTAATTTTTAAGTTTGGGACTTTATCTCCGGTTGCATGACGCCTTTTTCAGGTGTAATTGGTAAACGAATCCCATATAATAATGAGAAACATATATTTATTTATATTTTTCAAATACATCTGCAGAAGGATTCAAACTTATTCTACATGTTTTAATCTCCTTTTGATGATGTTTTACATTTTTTTTTTAAAACTTACTTACATATTTATACAATTTCTTTATTTTCTTCTATATTTTTCAAAAAGTCAATTATTTTCAAACCATTACTCTTTGGTGAATCTTCATCAATATCATCATTACCTTTATAATCAGAGCCAATTTTACACCTCGATTTGAATTCACAAAATTTACACTTTGATTTATCTGTAGTTGCTATCGGTTTCCTACTACCATTAAAAAATTTACTAGCTGATATAACCTCATCTTTCAATTCATTAATATCATAATCAAACATCTTAGTTTCAATAGTTTGACCAGTTCTCAAATAATGATACTCAACATAAGTATAAGGAGTTTTGAATTGCTTTAGTACTTCAAAAAATTGACTCGATCTAGCTGCTAAATATCTTAATGTGATTGGAGTTGACCAATTTTTCAATAATGGTAATAGAATTTTCTCGAAATTGATCATAGAGTCAGCCTGGGATAATTCATTTAAAAAACTTGAATGATCAATTATACCATTTGCATAATTTTCACTATAATTAAAATATTTACCAAAATTAAATTTACCAAAATCAAATTTACCATTTTCAGATGATTCTCTTTCATCAAATTGTTTAAATCCAATTGGTTCCCCATTTGACATCTTTTTAAAATCTTTCAAAAATAATGGATAAAAGTTAATCAATATTTCAAATGTTGTATATATCCCCAATGGTTTATCTACATCTAATCCTCTCCTCATTGCATTTTCAATTAACGAATTATATGAAAATTCTGAAGTAGAACTCAATAATTTTAAAAAATAATTATAATAAAATGTTTGTAATTTTGCAGAATCAATTACTGATTTTTGTTTTGGAATGTTTGGAAATTTTCTAGTTTTGATATCACTAATTGATAAAGAATAATCATTTCCATATTTTGAAATTAAATCACGAATTCCAATGAAAAATCTAGGTAAATCAAAAATTAAAACGTCATTAATATATTCTTCTTGATTTAAAAATTCTTCAATAACATTGAATAAATGTCTATCGTTCCAATTCTCGAGATTTCTTATACTCAAATAATCAATGATACCTGAAATTAAAACTGAATCATTACTTGACACCTCATTTTTATTTTCAATTATTTCATTTCGATTTAAATTCAAATAACCATGTACTAAAATCTCCCTTGCTTCACTTTGAGTAATTAATGAAAACAATCGATATATGATTTGATCACACCATAATTTACCAAGTTCATCTTCGTTGGATATCGTTTCCCTTTCCAATCCATCTATTTTCCGTATTTCATTTATATTATTTAAAACCATACCTGTTAAATTAACACTGATTTCAATTTTCTCATGTGTTTCTTCCTCTAATTTTACATGATATTCTGAACCTAATATCATCGATTCAGATTTTTCAAATATAGGAGATCCAGCATAAATTTTATAATATTCACGTAATTCACACCAACTAGAGACTAATAATTTTGTCACTGATAATCTTGGATGTTTCAAAATTGATAAATCTGAATTATGCGTCTTATAAAATTGAAAAGGTGTTGATTCAGAACCTAATGGATTAGACAATGGTAAAAATTGATTACTTGTTAAATTCCAATTTTGATATAATTGTTTTAATGAGTTATTTTCAAGTTGAACCAGTTGTTCAATACCTTTAGCATCATCTTTATTAAGAAAACTAGATTCAATGAGATTATTTATGAATTCTTCTTCTTCAATTTGATTTTTGAATTGAATATTTGATGGTGAAGAAATTGAACTTTTAGTTTCTAATTTAATAGGTTCACTAAACAGGTCTTGATTATCCCTAATTTCATTTAATGGTCTTTTCAAATCATCTAAATTTAATATATCTGTTGTATTAATTTTTGGTTTAGCTCTTTTGGAACCGGATATAATCGAGTCTGCATTATACCATCTTTTTACAAATTTACCAATCATAACATTTTGATTTGTAAGTATTTAAATTGTTGTAAACACGGTATGGCAAAATTCTATCTATCTATTTATTTACTTATTTTTTTTTTTTTTTTGACGTGTGATGAAAATTTCAATTTTGCAGCAACTTTGCAGCAACTATGCAAAATAAGATCAACATTAAAGACATGCATAAGGCCTCGAATTTCAAGTTATAGAACGAGCATAGTTGTAATCTTAATGAAATAAACGAACCTAATGCTTATTCGGAAAGTGCGCTTGTTTGAAAATGTAATTACTAACAATATAATCAACGTCTAATAAATAAAGTAAATAATTTATATAATCAAGGATAATGGCCTTCTCTTGGACCAAAATAACCATCTGGAGCTTGTAATGTAGCGTTCAATCTTGATATACCAGCACCATCCAAACCAACATACGGAACTGAATTACCCCACCAATCAATAGATTTATCATGATACATCACAGCAAAGAATATTATAATACTTGAAAAGGCTATACCACCATTGACACCAGTTGAGACTAAATAATTGTATTTTTGCCACCAAGCTTCATATTTTCTTCTAATATAAAACATAAAAGCAAAGGAAGCATACAAACCTGGTATATAATATGATAAATTATAAGGTGCCCATTGAATAAAACCAGCAATTATGATACTTGGTTCAATACATTTTACTATTCTCCTAGGTCCATACTTCTTAAAAGCAATCGCTGGAAATGCTAATAAAAACCCAATTAAAAAACACCAACGTAAAATTGGATATAAATTATTAAAAACTTTCTTAGGACCAATAACACCCCAAATAACTGAAGCTGTATAAAATGTTGTAGACCCAGGGCATGTAAACTTTTGAGAATTGTGTGGCATACAATAATCTTTAATACCTCCATCTAACATCCAATTTAAAATTCCCAATTGAATAAATGATGCAATGAAAATTGAATATAACTGTGCTCGAAATATTGCTCTTGGTGGAATCTTCAGGTAATGAGCCATCTTTTGATCAGAAATATACTTGAATTAATGTTAGTACTGGTTTTATTACTTATTTCATCTTATTAAAATTTGGTTGTACATACGTTTTGAGCTTGTCCATCAATATTATAACCTATTGCTTTTATAATTGAAAGTGCAATACCTTTACCTGGTAAAGCATAACCAATAATCAATTCAACTAAAACATTTAAACCAAAACCAAAACCAGTTCTACTTTGAATTGTTGTTAATGGGATCAAAAACACAAAGTTAATTCCTAAAGCAAAGAAAATTGCCCAAACAGGAGTTTCTGTTTTAGGATAAAGTTCGACACATAAAATTGCAAATACCAAGGAAATGATTAAAACAATCAAAAATGCCCATTCTGGAACTTCTGGATAAGCTCTCATCATTATTGAATGTGGATCGTTGTATCCTTCATAAGTTGATGTTCTCCAATCTTTAGCGACTTTGATAAATGATTTACATGCGTCCCACAATTGCTTATAGTGTATACCAATCTCATACACAAAATGAAATGGGTAAAGCGCAAAAAATGCTCCGTATGATACTAAATTGGAAGCTGAATAAAATGGTGGTCCATATTCTTGGTATTTTTCATTATCAAAAGAGCTATTTTCATTCACAATAGCACGTACGCTATAGTAATCACCTGTATTTGTAAATAACAGATTGGAATTTATAGGAACATATCCAGCCCATTTATAATTATTATACCAAACACCTACAATTGCAAAGAATGAAATAAACATACCAACCATCAAATTAGCGTAATTAAAGAATGGAGTTTCCAAAGGTGAGTTCATAAGTATAACATTAAAATCAAATGTTGAAATTGGATTTAAACCAAGACCAGTAGCCATACCTGTAATAGTAGCGAGATTCAAATTATCAGGTTTTATCCATGTCATCCAATTGAATGTGGAAAGTGCTTGAAAAAGATAATCAGGAATCCAATAATATAAGAATGAAGCAAAAAACACAATGAAAAAGAAATAATACCTCGAAATTGTCCAACCATTAATGTTCTCTTTTTTTTCTGGTGCTAATAAAGCTCTATTCAATGCCAAAGTAGGTAAGATTGTTGGCCAAATACTTTTGATTGGATAAACAGCAAATTTTCTCATAATACCTGCAAGACTAAAAAATTTGTTAGTAATATTTTTTTCAGATGGTAGCGATCTAAATTTTGCAGCCAAAAATTTTAAAGAACATACCCAATCCCCAAAAAATTTGTTGAAAGAATAAGTAAAACTTGATAACCCCAATCTGCCCAATCATTATTGTAAAAGTTTGGCAATTTTTGAATAGTAATATTTGATGTAACATAACTTCCACCAATCGAAACTCCTAGTAAAATTGTAACCAACATTTGTTCTTTATATGTATATGGTCCAGGATTCAAGTCAATTTTATATTTCCATATTTTAAAACTCCAATTTGGTAAAATCCATTCTAATAATTTACCTGATGGGTAAAGAAAAACTTGAGCAGCAGACATCGCTAAATAAATAGAAGGTTGTCGATCAGCAAAGAAAGTATTAATAACCGAACTCAAACCAACCCAAATAGTACCAACAATATAAACTCGTAAGGTTTCAACTGGTTTTGTTGGATCATCATACGGATATGTAACAGATCTAACTTCAGGATAAGGTGACCAATAAGCAACCAATACACCTTCTAATCTTATTTGTAAGTTCCAATCAACGATTTCGGTGTAATCAAAATGAGAATTTGATGTACTTTCACTAGCATCATCCGAATGAATATCATAATCAATGGATGCTTCTTTTTCATTAGCGAAATTATCAGTGAGTTTATCCTTGACAGATTCTACTTTACCACCCTGATAATTTAACAACTGTTTCCAAAGCTCCAAATCTTTATCTTGAATATTAGGATCATCTTTATGTTCAGGTATAGCTTCTTCCAATACATTAACAGCTTCTTCAATTGGAAATTGTTCAATTTTTTCAAAAATAAACAAGACTGTTGGTGGTAAATTTTCTAATGAAGTCAACGCATCAAAATGTAATCTTTTTAAGACAAAGTACTTTTGTTTATCAGTTAAAGTGGAAGCAACTTGACCTAATGATAATTGATTCGATAAAACAGCATCAAGATCAACCTCATGATCTTGTACAGCTAAATGACTACCAACACTTCTAATATTTGATAAATTCGCAGTCAAATCTTTATCTGAACTCATTTTGCAGTATTGTTAATTTGCTAATTTAGATAGATTATTTTGCAACTATTTATACTGAAAATTATTCAAGTTATGTAATTTCGATTAAGCTCCACATTATGATTTGACGCCTTAATTAATAAATAAATATGCAATTTAAAAATTTTAAGCTTCGTTTTTTATATTTCCTCCAAAACTTTAAAAATACAATGATTTATTCTTATCTTTTGTTTCTTCATAACATAAATGCAAAAAGTATAGATATCGTTCATTAGATAACGGCATCTATGTAGTTTCTCCACTTTGATGAGATACAGCTACACAGATACATTCTAGTTTTTCATAATTTGTAGCTGTTAAATATTTGTGCTCGAGTTTATTTGTTAGAGAATGATTTTTTGCAACCAAAGAGCCACATTAATTTGTGCCGTTCGTATGACTTCAAAACATCATTCCACTGATTAACTCGCAACGAATGTAAATCTTTAACATGAATTTAGGAGTCGATCCGTATCTAGATACTATATTGAAGTATTAAGCTATTTTCGTTATTCTAAATCAAGATTAGTACTTAATATACTTTTATATAAGCTTTTCGAAAAAATATGTCAACTTGGGATGTCACAAATTCTTAATTTAAGTTTGAACCAGGGCTCATGCACTAAAATGTGTCACTTTAATTGTGAATTGCAATTGTATTAATTATTTTACATTATGTACATGATAATAAAACGAAAAAAATTGTGATACTTCAATGTTTAACGTTACATCATATATACCAGTGACATAAGGATAGATGGTAACCACAAAGAATTCTCAAAACCGTAAGAGTAGACCCAATTAAACTTTTACTAAGTTATGAGTGTCAACAATTTATAGACAAAACTAAAATGAAAATCGTAAATTTAAAATATCTATATAGCTATGGGAAATGACCTTTTCTTGGACCAAAATAGCCATCTGGAGCTTGTAAAGTAGCATTCAATCTTGATATACCAGCACCATCTAAACCAACAAACGGAACATTATTACCCCACCAATCGATAGATTTATCATGATACATAACAGCAAAGAAAATGATAATACCTGAAAATGCCATTCCAGCACTAAGACCAGTTGAAACTAAATAATTATACTTTTGCCACCAAGCTTCATAGTTTCTCTTTAAATAGTACATGAATGCAAATGAAAGATATAAACCTGGTAAATACCATGATATATTATAAGGTGCCCAATTAAGGCAACCACCGATCACAATACTTGGTTCAAACCATTTGGAAAATTTTCTTGGTGCAAATCTCTTAAAAGCGACACATGGGAAAGCTAATAAAAACCCAATTAAGAAACACCAACGTAAAATTGGATATAAGTCATTAAAAACTCTTTTAGGACCAATAATACCCCAAATCACTGAAGCTGTATAGAATGTTGTAGAATTAGGGCATGTAAACTTTTGAGGATTGTGTGGCTCACAGTAATCCTTAATACCTCCATCTAACATCCAATTTAATATACCTAATTGGATAAATGAACCAATAAATATTGACAAGACTTGACATCTGAAAAGAGCTCTAGGTGGAACCTTTGCATAATGCGCAAGCTTTTGATCTGAAATATACTTGATTTAACGTTAGTATTGGTTTTATTACTTATTTCATCTTAAAATTTGATTGTACATACGTTTTGAGCTTGTCCATCAATATTATAACCCAAGGCTTTGATAATTGAAAGTGCAAGACCGTTACCTGGTAAAGCATAACCGATAATTAATTCAACTAAAACATTTAAACCAAAACCAAAACCAGTTCTACTTAGAATTGTTGTTAATGGAATTAAAAACACAAAATTGATTCCTAAAGCAAAGAAAATTGCCCAAACAGGAGTATTTGTACCTTTATATACTTCAACTAATATAATAGCTAAAACTAATGATATGACCAAAACAATAAGAAAAACCCATTCTGGAACTTCTGGATAAGCTCTCATCATGACAGAGTGAGGATCGTTGAACCCTTCATAAGTTGATCTCTTCCAGTCTTTAGCGATCTTGCCAAATGATTTACATGCATCCCACAATTGCCTATAATTTGTACCAATTTCGTAACAAAAATGGAATGGATAAAGGGCAAAAAATGCACCATAAAGAACTAAATTAGCTGCCGCATAAAATGGAGGTCCATATTCTTGATATTTTGTATTATCAAACATGCTTATTTCATTCACAACTTCAGATACAGAATATATTTCACCAGTATTTGTGAATAACTGATTGGAATTTATTGGTAGATATCCAGCCCATTTATAATTACCATACCAAACTCCAACAATTGCAAAGAATGAAATAAACATACCAACCATCATATTGACATAATTAAAAAATGGAATCTCTAATGGAGAATTGGAAAATAAAACATTAATATCAAATGTTGAAATTGGATTTAAACCAAGACCTGATACCATACCCGTAATAGTTGCTAGATTCAAATTATCAGGTTTAATCCATGTGATCCAATTGAAATAAGACAATGCCTGAAATAAATAGTTTGGAACCCAAAACCACAAAAATGATGCAAAGAACATAAAGAAAAAGAAATAGTATCTTGATATTGTCCAACCATTAATGTTCTCTTTCTTTTCTGGTGCCACTAAAGCTCTATTTAAAGCTAAAGTTGGTAACATAGATGGCCAAACGGATTTCACTGGATAGATAGCAAACTTTCTCATGATACCAGCTAAACCAATACCCATAAAATTAGTTGAAAGTATAAGCAAAATCTGATAACCCCAATCTACCCATTGGTTATTATAAAACATAGGTAATTTTTGCATAGTGATATTATATACAACATAACTTGCAGATACAGATACACTAACAAATGCTGAAGCTAAAACTTGTTCTTTATAATTGTATGGTCCAGGATTTAAATTGATTTTATATTTCCAGATCTTAAAACTCCATTTCGGTAAAATCCATTCAGCTATTTTACCTGAAGGATATAAAAATACTTGAGCAACTGCAACTGATAAAGAGATCGGTGGTTGTCTATCAAAAAAAAAGACATTTATAACCGAACCTAAACCAACCCATATAATACCTATTATATAAACTCTCAAAGTCTCAACTGGCAATGTTGGATCATCAAATGGATATGTAACAGCTCTAACTTCAGGATATGGTGACCAATAAGCAATTAAAACAGCTTCTAATCTAACTTGTAAGTTCCAATCAACGATCATGGTGTAGACAAAATGTGAATCTGAAGTGCTTTCACTAGCATCATCTGAATGAATTTCATAATCAATAGAGGTTTCTTTTTCATTGTTCAAATGTGAAACTAATTTTTCCTTAACTGTATCATTATTCGGGATATGATGATCAATTAAAGCCTTCCATAAATCCATATCTTGATTTTGAATATTAGGATCTTCGTTGTGCTCAACTAAAGATTCTTTCAAAAGATCAACAGCTTCTTCTGTTGTCATTTGTTCAACCTTTTCCAAAATCACCGTAACTGTTGGTGGTAAATCCTCCAATGAAGTTAATGCATCAAAATGCAACCTTCTTAAAACAAAGTATTTTTGTTTATCAGTTAAAGTGGAAGCGACTTCACCTAATGATAATTGATTTGATAAAACAGCATCAAGATCAATCTCATGATCTTGTACAGCTAAACGACTACCAACACTTCTAATATTTGACAAATTAGCTGTCAAATGTTTCTCTGAACTCATTTTGTAGTTATGGAGAAACTCAGTATGAAATTTGATATTCCATTTTGAAAGTCAAAAGATATTAACAGATTATAAATAGCGTGTCATTCAATGTATGTCAATTATCAAAAGCGGCACCATATTTATCAAAGAACAATCTAAATCGTTAGAAGCCCATATTATTAATTTACTTTTTGATGCCTTACCTGAATTTATTGATAACTAAAATAATTCGCAGCGCATTTGTTAGAATATAAGTCTTTTTTTTTTTTTTTTTTCATTCAATTATTCAGTTATTCGATATAGACTTTGACAATTTTATAACAATATAAAAACTTGATATCACTTCCAAGTAGTGATTGCACACTTGGTGAGAGTTTAATACATTAGTGTATATTTGTATAACAGTTAAAGCACACCTCTTATCACTTAGACATCTTTTTTATCGCGTGAAATACTTTTTTTGACGCCATTTGATCGCATGATAAAGATTCGATATTGAGCCAATCAAAATTTAAGAATTATACATTACGAACATAATGTAGATCGAAATGAAAAGAGTTTTAAAAATTATAGTTATAAAATTTGACAATTGATTCAAGATCTCTTAGTATCTCTTGGCTTAGTTTTATCAAATTCAAAAGAAAAGGCGGTTAAATAAATTCATCCATTTAATAGATTGATTGACTCGATCTTAATAGATTGATTGACTCGATTTTAATAGATTGATTGACTCGGTATATTCAGTGATAAGAGAAATGATTAATATATACTAAATTATGTAGAGAAAGCTAATTTGATAATTTCAATATATTCCTTGCTGATAATAAAATTTGTAATATCTATCAAACTTTTCGAAGTATCATAACCAGCTTATCTATCAACTTGAATTAGAAGTTTAATAAATATTTCTGAAAATAAATATTCATGAAATTAGTCCGATTTATGATTGTTCAAAGTCAGCGAGTAGAAAAGATAGCTGCTGAAATTCTTTAAATTTGATAGAAGTGTGAAAATTTTATATAAGATTAGTTGCGTTTATTAATAACAAATATCTATCTACCAACCATCACCCCATCCATCAATTTCTTCTTCATCTTCTTCTATTTTCAAATTTAATGTCAGAATTGGTGTTTTTGATTTCTGTTTTGATCCTAATTTTAATGATGATGTTGTTTTTGATGGTAATTTAGGTTTCAGTCCAGTATGTATATCGGTAGATTTGCCCAAATTTATCTTACTCACATTTTGAATTATGGGTTTATTCACGACTTCTTCTTCTTCTTCTTCTTCTTCTTCTTCTTCTTCTTCTTCTTTTTCTCCTCCTCCCCAATTATCATGAAAATCATTCCACCCATCATCTTCTATTGAATTTTGTATTGGTAATTGTTGTTGAGTTGGAGTAGACACTCTTGTCAAATCAGGTGTAGATTTATCAAAATCATGATTCATTTCTCCACCTAAAGATGTGAATTTTGATACCATATTCCAACCAAAAGAACTATTACTACTTAATGTGGTGGCTTCAATTTCTTCTTCCTTCTTTGATTGTTGTTCTGTTGGAGCAAATTTTTTGAAAAATTGTTTTTCTTCTTCATCTTCATCAATATCTAAATCAGGTAATGACTTTGCATGATTTTCAACTGAATCTAAATATAATTGAAATATTCTTTTTGCTTCATTCCTTACTTTTTTAGATTTTTGATCCATTAAAGAAATTGCTAAATGTCCTAAAATTTTTGAACATATTTCTTCTAATGAAAATTCATCAATTAAACTTTCAAACCCTTGTAATGCAGTCATTTTACTTGGTATAAATGAATCTTTTAATGATTTAGCTAATACAGTGATCAATACACTGTTTTTTGAATTTTTGTAGATTTTTGAACTTATTTTAATGATTAAAATTAATGTATTGACACGAATCGAAGGTTTTGGATCAACTTGAGATTTTGATAATATTCTTAACAATTCTTGATTAACTTGTTTAACTGATATTTTATCAATTATTATTGTTATTGATTTTAAAGTAATTTCTCTAATCATAAAATTACTATCTTGAAAACCAGTTATTAAATTACTAAAAATTTTATATTGTACATCTGATTCAGTTAAAAAATTTTGATACTCTGGTAAATGAGATAATAAAATTAATCTTAATGATCTATCAGTTGATGTAAAACTATCAATAATTATTGGTTTTATTAATTTATTGAATTCATCAACTGGTAATTTGCACCCATACTTTATAATTAAATTGAGTAAAATGGATAAGGTTTCTTGATCTGTAGAACTTTTTGAAAGTTGTTTATATTGATAAATTAAATCAGGTAATAGTTTATAATGAATTAATCCTGATGGGAGATCGTTGTTACTTTCATCTTGTAAAAAATTTGATAGTTCATATTTAATGAAATTCAACTTTTCAGATTCTTGTAAAAATTTTAACTCATTCAATTGTTCGTTAAATATTATAACAGGATTAGATTTATGAAATGATGCCAATTCCTTAAGGTATTGAGCTATAGTAATTCTCAAGTTAGGTTTGTTCGATAATAATTTCTTCGTGATTGTTGCTAATTTGCTTGGTAAATTTGAATCTTTTGTATTTACCATTCCATTGTTGAATACTGCCATTATAAAATTACCAAATCGTATTGCATCAAATTTCTTTGGATTCAATCGTATAACTTCTAAATCTTCACTGGCAAATTCATACCATGATTGTGGCATGTATTGACTTAGTCTATAAATTGGTTGTTCTGGATCAGAATTTAAATTTGTAACTAATTCAAATCCGCCTAATTTCCAGTCACTTTGCAAATTAACAAAAATTGATGAATGAAAATTTAAACCTCCATAAATTGAATTACAAGTTTCATTAATGAATGAAATACTTCCAGCTACGGAATAAAGTCCTGCAACTAGTGAATTGTTACCTAATTTATTTTCTTCAAGATATTTTGGAAGTGGAATGACTCGTTCAGTTATAATATATAAATAATAATCATTTTCGATAAAATCAACAATTGAAATGACACCTGGAAATTTGATCAACTTCAATTTTTTAAAAGCATTCTTTGCTAAATTTATTTTTTGATAATTCGATGCTTCTTTTAAATTAAATTCAAAGATTGAAATTGGTGAATTGTCTTTTGGATTCAAACCATTATATAATGTCCATATTGAATTACGATCTAATGCAGTAGATGGTGAAATAGGATCAATAATTTTTTCTTTAATAGTGTATGGAATCGACCCACTAGTAAAAGAGCTTAATGTTTTTGATAAAAAGTTCATTTATTATGTTAAATTATAATCAAGACTTTATGTCTCGTAATTGCTTAAGTTTAAAAAAATTATTATGATTTTTCGCGCGCCAGGTGCCAAAATTAAGTTCAATGAATACGAAATTATTCTCTACCAAATATAAATTCGATACGACTGGTAGACCAATGAGTACGTACAGACTGAAAGTAATCTTAACGATTTTAGTGATCTTTTTTAGATTCAACTGAAAGAGAGCTCTTTTTAGCTATAAATTGGTTGAATGTTTTACTTATCTTTGTCATTTAACAGAGTATGGTTTCTGATTCAGAAGAATACGCTGTTTTCTTTTTCAATAACTTCACAAATGTTTGCTGACCATTTTGAAGAAGAGGTCAATCTTTATGAGTATTGGATTTACTAAAGCATAAGTGTTACGCGTTCTATCTCCCTCGAATCAATGTATCTCCTCCAAAGTCAAATTTTAGAGTTATGGCTAATAACCTACTCTAAAATTATTGATTTCAATTAAGTTCAATTAAATAATAAAGAGTAACCAGATATATTCATATCTCTCTTCTATATATTTTGCTGATCTGTAAATGGAATTTTTTCAACTGAACTTTATGAAACTTATGACGAGGAGTAACGAGGGGATCAGGGGCCCCAGCGACAGCAGGAGCTCATTTCTGATTTAAGTTTCCCGAGTTTATTCCTTCTTGTGAATCAACTAAATCCAATGCAAAATATGAAGCCATAACAACAGTGGTAAAGAAATTTTGAGAAACATTTTAAGTTTTGTAAGATAATATCAACTTGATTATTTGATCTTAATATATTAACCTGCTGAATTTTGACATCTATTTATAATATTTTTAAATGAGCTTATTGAACAATAGTAATAAGGAAGTTACACGATATTGTGAATTATTTTCGAGTTATAACCGATCTTGTCTTCAAAGTAAAGTTGGTGCCGTATAGACGAATGGTGATTTCACTCACATTGCTCCACGAATGAGTATTCAATCGCTAGAATATAAATCCTCGCAATTGTTCTGACTTCTGGTATTTGAAAGCATTTAGTAGAAGCTATTAAAAGTTTATCACCTTAACAAAGCAATATCCAGTCAAATTAATCAATTATCGACTCCGTTTATAAAGAATTGCAATAATGTAAACATATCTTATCACAGTTCAGACTTTATAGCGAAATTATGTTTATTTCGTGCCTAAGCATGAGGAAGCAATTTAGCTGCACGATAAGACTCAAATTAAGACGCATTAAATTGATTAGTTAAAATTGAGCCACTTCTATATATAATTCCAATTGGGACACCGATAAAGGTGGCTTAAACTTTGAAGCGGCCTAAACCACTCTGAACTGATGTAGAAACAAGTCAATTAATTTTCTTTTGATAATGCCTAGTAGTCGATCCAGTAGCAATTGGGTCGGTTTGTCCTCCAGCCCTTAGAATCTACTGTGATGGTATTGAAACTATTTGGCAAAGCTAATGACTGGATATGTAAATTATGAGTAATTAGACGTGAGTTGAATTACTATAATTTTTAAGATTTCGTTATCACTGAAACAGCCAGTACTTATATTTGCGGTAAAAACTATAAGTTATATGAACAGTCAATAATCTTCAACACTTTAGACCCTCTAGATTGGAGTTATTTTGAAGATTCGAACTGATCTGATCATTTTCTCGAACATTTCTTTTTAAAGACGCGATTTTTGATAAATTCTGAAACAAGTTGCCTAATCGGGTCGAACAAAAAGTCAGTGAAACAAATAAATCTTAGAAGTTCGTTCGTAAATCTGAAAAAATGCCTAACATTTGCAAATTCATATCTTTCTACTTACGTACAGCAACTTCAATTGAAAGCCATTGGTTGATTCTGACTGTTTCATGGCCATTAAACATTTTATTTTCACGTAATGTCGGCTAATTTTAACCAGTTGTTTGCTCAAATTTCTACGAAAATACCGAAAAATTGCAACAGCATGTCTCTTTCCATAAATTTAGGCTGCAATTGGAACTTAAGGGTTGTTCCTTTCCATGGCAGTAGAGCATTTTGCTTTTAATCAAACTCAGCAGTTTGTTCATATTTCTACAAGGAAAAAAGAAACTATCGTATACCAATGCCTCTCTATTTCCGTACAGACTGAACTCAAAACTATTGGTCGTCCTGTTTATTTCATGGCTATAAAATATGATACAAGTGGTTGTTTTGATTAAATTTGGTAATTTGTACATATATCTACAAAAACTCAAAAAAATTGCAAAACTTGTCATTTCCTTTACATACAGCTAGTACGATTTGGACTGTTCCGGATTCATAGAACCAATATCGCTCCAAATGATTCAAAAAAACATCAGGATTACAATCTTTATTATTGACTTTTTTAAACCGTATAACCTGACCATTCATTTAATAAGTTGCTAAAAGATATTTCATAATTGTGTGCAGGTTTGTCTATGAAGGGTCCTTTAAAGTAATACTAGACCTATCATTCTCAATAAATCCGAACACTTATAGTAAGATCTGTTTTATCAAAAACGAAATAGTAAACTTACTTGTATTGTATGCTCGGGTTATTTTGCCTAACTTTGGACATATGCACTAAGTTGGAAATATGAATATATTTATTGCAAGTATTGATCGTCAAATCATTTGAGTTTGAAAAGCTTCGAGATAAAATCTGTTAGTTGGAATAAGAATAAATAAATATATTGACTACTTAATTAATTTTATACAATTCTTTAAAATACCCCATATTTTTATCATCTTGACCTTGTTGTACTTTTTGAGTTAATAAATTTATTGTGTCTTGATGAAACCTCTTTTGATGTGATTTTAAATTACCCAATTGTGAAAAGCTTTTATTACAATTATCCAATTTACATTGATATGGTTTAACATTTGAATGAGTTAATTTATGAGCTGCTAAATTTCCTTTTCTATTAAATGCTCGTTGACAGACGGAACAAGTAAATGGTTTTTCACCTGTATGAACTCTTAAATGAGTTCTTAAATTACCACCTTGAGTAAAAGATTTTTGACAATATTGACAAATGAATGGTTTGTAACCTGAATGACTTCTAATATGAACGTTTAAATGAGTCAACTGTGTAAATTGTTTATTACATTGTTTACAAGTATATGATTTCTTATTTTGTTGTGGAGATGTTTTTTTAGAATCTGAAGCTGAAATGCCAGACTCTGATTGAATGTTTGGTGAGATTTGTTGTGAAGTTGAAGAAACAGGAATTGCAGAAGGTATTATTGAAGGTATTGGTTGTTGTTGTAACTGTTGTGGAATTATTTGTTGCGGAGGTTGTTGTTGTTGTTGATCAAAATTTTGAAATAAATTTTGTGGTGGTATTTGTTGTAAAGTTTGATTATATACAGTGGGTGAAGTTTTTGGTGATGGAAGTTTTTCAATTTTGATAGATTGATTTTTCAGTTGTGGTTGTTGTTGAGGAAGTATTTGTTGATTACTTTTTTTATTTTTATCAAACATATCTTGTCTTAAATTTGCATCAGAATTATTTAAACTTATTCTTTGATTTCTTAAATTATTTTGATCATTAATTAGTTTTAAAATTGAACTTCTTCTTTCTTGATTTGTCATATCATTCCAAACTGATAAATCAATTGATGAACCTTTATTTTTATAATTTGTTGAATAAGATGGTTGTTGTTGTTGTTGTTGTTGTTGTTGTTGTTGCCATGCTAATAAATTACCCATACTTTCTTTTGTTAATAGGTTCTCCAAATCTTCAATTGTTAAAGAATTACCTTTTTTATAATTACTTCCTTGTTGACTAAAACTGGTTGGTTGTTGTTGCCATGCCAATAAATTACCCATACTTTCTTTATTTAATAAATTTTCTAAATCTTCAATTGTAAATGATAATTGACGTGATGGATTAGTAGATAAACTCTTTCCACTGTTATTTATAGTATTTCCGCCCGCAGAAATTGAATTTGATGGTTCACTTATTGAATTTGTGCTTGAACCAGGTAAATTTATTAATGAACTAAAAATACTATTTGATCTTGATGGTACATTAACATTTTGAGGTTGAGATTGAAGTTGTGATTGTTGTTGTTGTTGCTGAGGTTGTTGTTGTTGTGATTGTTCAAATAAATGTTCATTCAGTCTAACTTGTGAAATTGGCGGTGGTAAATAAATTGAATCCCCACGAGATCTTACTGGTTGTTGTTGTTGGTGATGATACTGAAGTTGATACAGCTGCTGATATTGTTGGGGTAGTTGCTGCTGATACTGTGGCTGATACTGCTGTTGAAATTGTTGTGCAATTTGTTGTTGTTGAGGAAATAATTGTTGAGGTTGTTGTTGTACATTAGCAGTTGATCGTGGATTTATAGTTGACTGCTGTTGTTGATGATGATGATGTTGTTGATGCTGATGTTGTTGATTTGGTGATTGTTGATTTGGTGATTGTTGAGGTATAGGTTGTTGTTGAGAATAATTCATATTTTTATTGTTACTCACAATTTTCTTATTATCTCTATTATAAACTTCCTCTTGTGGTGAAGTTACTTGATAAGGATACGATATTGATGATGAATAGTTATAAGGATAAGGATTATAATTTGTATAATTATAATTTGAATTTAAATTATTATTCTTACTGATATTATTATTACTATATTTCCTATAATCATAATTTGCAATTCCCACTCCTCCAAATTGATTAGTTGAAGAAGTTAACTGCGAGTAAGATAAATCTTTGTTCTTTGGTGATTTACCTGATTTTAATTGTTTTTTATTACCTGACAAATTATTATTATTATTATTATTATTATTATTACTATTATTATTATTATTATTATTAGTATTATTGATATTATTAGCAATATTGTTACTATTATGATTTATATGAGTAGATTGCGCTTGCAAATTATGATGGTATTGTTGATGTTGGTGTTGATTATATTGTTCTTGTTGATTAAGATGATGTTGCAAATTATTACTTGATGATGATGAAATTGCGGATAATTTTCCCATTAAAATACTTTAAATGACTATTTTGTTCTACGATCAAATTATTTTGTGTAATTAAAAACTTGACAGCAAAAAAAAAAAAAAACAAAAAAAAAGTGAATAATAAATAATAAATAAGTATGTTGTAAACTGTTGATAGATTGATTAGTTAATTAGTTAGTTGGTGTTAGCCTTTATAGTTGAATGTGTTAACAGATATATATATATATATAAATATATATAATAAAGTGGTTGATAGGAAAAGAAATGATATATAAATTGGTTGTAAAAATAAATCTCTATATAAATGATAAATATATATAAATTATTATATAAATAAAAAGCAATTTTATATATAAAATGTGACACACACTCAAGTTTTTTAACTACTACTATCTCATAAGTAATACTACTGATTTTCTATACTATTCAACAACTATATATTGTAATTTGCAACATCAAATTTATATATATTGTTCTTTTATTATTATTTATTAGTAGACAATATCTCTGATTATTGTTACAGTGATCAACCAATTGACCAATCGACTAATCAACCAATTGATTAATCAACCAATCGACTAATCAACCAATTGATTAATCAACCAATCGACCAATCGACCAATTGTCTCATTGTTTCTGATTTACTTTTTTTAGAGTCATAGAAATTCAATGTGAATCAGGATGTTTTTAATTTGATGCTCTCAACTGACGGCTTATTTTTCTTGTGCTTACGCTACTACAATCATGTAAAAAGCTTATTTTTATCATTTCAAAATATCATTTCAAAATTCTTCCATAGCCAATTGTTGTTCTATATAATTTAAATTTCTTTAATCTAGATTACAATTCCTACTTAGTAATAGGATAATGTTTCAGATGAAAGGGCTTAGATCCTTGGATTTTAATTATATGAAACTAACACAAAATTTGTTCATTAAGGGGTATTTTGAGTAAGCTGACTTTAATATTAAAAATGATTAAAAGAACATCGTATAATTAAAGATAAAAAAAATACGTTTTGTACATCTAGGATCTAGTAACCATCAGTTGATTCAAAGTCTGTCTATATTCCATGGTTTTATTATTTAGGTTGTGCGCCTTCGTATAATTTTAAATCAATGATGGTGATGAAAGTTTCAATTTTGTAACTTGAATCTAGATCTCGCGCGTAAATTTGTTCCATTTTTTCACGTGTGAAACTCAAATTCTGCGCGATTTTGTCTGTCTGAATTTATATCTCCGAAACGTTCTTTATTCCATAAGTTGCATTGATTTGTAAGCAGTACAAGTAGTTTTTGTACAAGTATTTTTTGTATAAGGACATCCGAAAGTAAGGTAATTCCATTTAATAAAGAATGTAGACTTATATAAGGAGAACAAGTAAAGATGTCTAAAAAGTTTATTTGCTGTATTTGAATTAATATCTTGATTGTTGAAACTAGGTGACGTGACCTTTATTTTTTCTGTCAACTGCTTGTTTCGGTTAGAATAAATTTATAGTATCTATCAACTCCAACCCGTCTTAAGCTTATTTGAAGTATGTAAAAAGCGATATTCCAAAAAAAGAGATTTCTGGCGCATTATGTTCTTTAATGCAAATTCCGAAAAAAATGAACACTGAACCCTACAAGTTAAGTGATATCAAACGAAATTGATATTTACTGCAAGTACATAAAAAACTACTACTGAATTAATTTAAACCTAGATTTTAAACCAGAAAACAATTGCTTGAATTTAATTTCCATTGAAAATGTTACTCCGAACATTCCTCGAATTAACCTAGAAATTTAGATCAAATGGTGATACCTAAATACAATAGAGTAACTAATTTATGTCTAGTTGAAGGAAAATGTTTAATCATAAGCTCTAAATTCATAAAACTGGTATACAGATTAATTTAATACTTTGATTATCCGATGATTATTAAATTTGGTGCTAATATCACATGGTAGACTTCTCGTTAAAGAGCACACAGAAGTTCCGCGTTATAGTTTAATGAAGATACTAATGTTATGTTAACAATAGGTTTGTTATTTTTTTAAACTTTTTTGACATTTTGTTTAAAACTTGTGTGTGCTAGAATTAAGTCACATCAAAATTATGGATCCTAAACTGAAGATATAAGTTTACTTTTGTAAAATTGACAGTAGAAGCAATTAATGATGATATATTACCATAAAACTTTGGTACAATATTGAAGCGCAAAGAAAATCTAAAAAAGCGCGATTAAATCTGAAACAATGTACCGAGAGTGCGAAAAATCAAAATAACACAAAAATGAAACAAACTCTCTCCCCTTTTTATCAGATGTTAGTTAAACCTTGTATATCAGATATTAAAGCAAATTATAGAGTTCTTAGTATCATTCGAAAGAGAAAAAATGGCTTAAACCAAATATGATGGTTTTAAAGTTGCTGATTGTAATATTCACCAACAAATTAAATTTAGGCACTTTAATATTGAAGCAAAACATACAGTGATACCATAATTACTAATGAGAAGTATTTGAATCAATATATATTTATTCTATATCATTAATTTTTCCATCATTTTCCTCATTATCTTCATTATCATCATTATCATTATTATCATAATATTTGGTTTCTATTTTGTCAATCATTTCATTTATACAATTATCCATAGTAATTAACGAATCATCTCTCTCATTCTCATATAATTTTCTACCTCTATACCAGTCTGAACTTTTAATAATATGATGATTATTAATAATATAATGTACTTTATTTATAAAAACTGAAGATTTTTTTAAAAATTTAGCAAATCTTTTAATTGTTTCATAATTTAATTCATAATATGGTATTGTAAAACTTGTCATAAATTGTTTAACTAAATAATTTAAATCTCGTCTTGATAATAAATCAATATTTTCTAATTGTAGCTTTTTAATATTTGATAAATATTCAACTGGAATATTTGTATAAGAATATTCAGGATATAAATTAATCTCTTCGTTGAAATCATTTGCGGTATGTCGTGAATTTGGTACTTCTTCAGTAACTGAATTTAAATTAAGATTTTCAATTTCGGGTATTTGTTCAATTTCTTTTGTCTCATATTGTTTCTGATTTTCTATTACTCCTTTCAATTCTTCATTCATTTCTTTTAATCTCTTAATTTCGATCTCATTATCTATTTTATTTTGCATAATTTCATAAATTTCTCTATCTTTTAATTCTATCACTTCTTTTAATTTCGTTACTTCTTTATCTTTCTCATTCTTTATTCTATTTATTTCCTTGTCTTTTTCAACCAACATATTCTTATACATTTCATTATTCTTTTCAATTATAAAATTGAAATTTTGCATTAAAAAATCATTAATATTATTTGATTTTTGATTCTTTGGTGATGATTTGGCAGTACTATGATTTTCATGACTTATTTCAAAATTTAATGGTAATGATTTATCTTGTTGTTGTATTTTAGAATTTGGAGTAAATGGTGCAGTTGCATTTTTAACATTGAATCTGTTTCTTAAAATTTCGATAAGTTCTTGATCTGTGATTGTTGTTTTATGGGGACTTTGTAATTGATTTATTGTAGTGTTATTATTTTCATTCTCATTGTGTTCATTTGTAGTTGATGAATCTAGTTGATTGAATATTGAAGAATCTCTAAATCCTAAAGTTTCATTAATCATTGAATTCGATAATGATGATGATGATGACTTGGAAAAATCCGATGTTCTATTATTTGAATCTTCATGTAAGTAACTTTTTGAATGTTCTATTGAAGTTGTTGTATCATCTGATTTTCTTCTATTTAACATTATTGAAGTATTAATTTATTCGATACTAGGTTGTAATAAATGATAAACAAAAAAATTTATTTTACGCGACTCAAAATCTGAAACTTTGTTTGGAAGAGTTGCAAAATATGTTGATACCTTATAATTTAACGAAATATACACATTTAAGAGATAACAGAGCAGCAGATACTATTTTCAAGACCCATAGCAATTTGATATAGTAACGTTTTAGGTAATCATATTGGAAGGTATGTACCTAGATCAAATTTTGATGAAAATGTTGAACGATAGTAGATTGAGGTAAAGTCACCGGATATTCACACATTCTATAAGCTTTTCGATTAATCGCTTCAATCTTTAATCCGTATAAGTCTGTGTATACTGTCGTGTTTTATATTCTGATTTTAATACCATTCTCATCTTTGATTAGATTCGCACTACATTTATTTTTCACTTTATCTCCATCTCATCATTTTAATATGTCAACTGAAACAAATAATAATAATACTATAGATGATGTTATAGAAGATCAAAAAGAAGAAGATCAAAAAGAAGAAACATTAGATTTAGATAAAATTAAATTATTACCTGGATCATCAGAAGATGGTACATCAGCAAGTTTTCAAATTTTAGAAGAAGATCATACTTTGGGAAATGCCCTTAGATATATAATTATGAAAAATCCAGAAGTTGAATTTTGTGGATATAGTATACCTCATCCAAGTGAAAATAAATTAAATATTAGAATTCAAACATATGGAAATATAAGTGCTGTTGAAGCTTTACATCAGGGTTTAGATAATTTATGTGAATTATGTTGTGTAATTGAGGATAAATTTGCTGAAAAATTAAAAGAAGGTAACTATTCAAATATAGATCCATAATTAAAAGAAAAATGTATTATAGAATGACATGTATATTTAAATATACAATTAATTTGATGAAATTTTTATGAGTGGATAGGTGACTTATCTTCAACTAAGCTTTTTCACTAATCAAGGAATGAGCACTTGATTACCTGCAATGCTGCTATGTATGAATTTTTAATCTACATTGAAGATTGAAGCAGAGAGTTAACCGATTAGTAAAACCGTGAATTTCAAATGCACTATTTTGCATCTAAAGAATAGTTTAATTTCCCACGTTGTTGCATCTAAGATTACAAAGCTGTAATCTCTCCAAGATGCTCTAGAGCAGAGAGGATATTTGTAGAATTGACGAGTAGAGATAAATCACTAACTTCAAAATTAACTATTCTTAGTTCACCAATGAGGGAACTTTCCATTAAAGAATTAGGCACAGTGAAATCTGATTGCATTATCATTATTTCTCAGGCAATTACCAAACGAAAGTCTAAATTTCATTCTACAATCAAATAGACACCTTTGAAATGGTGCTTTAACTTTTTATTTTTGACTAAATGATAAGTTTTCGAATGTAATGGACCGACAAAATACTCGCGCTAGATTTAGGGGACTCACACAATACTCAATTGGCTTTACATGGCTTAAATAACGCAATTTTTTTAATTAAGAACCATTTATATAGATTCAAGAAACTTGAATAATATATGCTAATTACTTTAAAATTCTAATTTCAAACTTTTCTTTTTCCAATTTAATTTTTAGCCTTTTTTCACCATACAAAAATTTTTCGAAAAATGTAAATCTTTATATCTTTCCATTTAGGGCCATAATTCTCGATTACATAACGAATTATATATATTGAACTTCGATCAAAAGTGCTGGAATTAAAACTAGTTGCTTCAAGTTACAATTGAAAAATTTCAAAATTTTCTTTTATGTCTGGGGAAATTTGAAGAAATTGACTTTACAAAAAATCTGACACCACATTGAATATCCAAGTTTAAACATGACAAAAAAATCCAGTTTTGTAGTTCTGTCATCCTGATGAACCCCAAATACTTAATAATCGTTAAGGTATTCAAAATTGGAAAAGTCATTTTTTAAAAGTGAATCGAAATTTTTTGAAAAAAATTCAAAACGATTTTGGGGTATTGAGAATATTATACATATGATTTTGGGAGTTGGATCAACCAAATCAGCCATATTGGATGTTGATAGACGACGTAGAAGCGTCATTATCCTTGAAAATAGCGTTTTTTCCATTTTTTAAATGTAGACCTAAGTCATCAAAATTATATTTATACAGTTCATGCGAACATCAATTTACTCTAAATTGATTAACTCTTAAAATGAAATCAGTTTGAGAAAAAAAACTTGCAAATGGAAGGAGTTATTAACAATTCAAAATGCTACATTATATGATAGGACTGCATATAAACAAATTTGTTTCAGAATTGTTCTTGTAAGTAGGTAGTTTTTTGGTGCGAGAATTTGGTGCGATTAATAAATTTGCGCAGTAGGTTTGGGGCGAGCTCGTATCACATATATGGGCTTGCACAACAAGAACAATGCATTTTCTAGAGAAAAAATCCGTTTATATAAGATCAGGAGTCTTAAATTGGTAATGTTGCTTGTGATATCTGTTGTATAACCAGGTTTTTTTAGTTTATCTTCAACAAGCTGCAAAAACTTAAAAAGTCAAGAAAATAATAATATACCAATAAATAGTTTGGATAATACTCAGGTATAATCACATAAATCAAAACATCTATGTATAAAGATAAAGTACTAGATTCATCAGCGACAATTCTAAGCATTCAATTCTAAGCAATATTGTGGACTATTTTTGTTTGTCTTTAGCAGGTAGTGATTATGTAATAATGGTTTAGAATTTCTTTTCATAATAAACTTGGTAGCGCAAGAGATGCGATAAACAATTTTTCCAATGAGTTAAAAATAAATTAATTTTTATTACTTTTTCTTTCTTTATTTGATATACAACAAAAAATTTATTCAAATTTACAAAATAAAGATGTCATATAATAACGGTGGTTATAATAATAATAGAGGTTCAGGTGGTTATAACGATAGAGGTGCTTCAGGTGGTTTTAGAGGTGGTAGAGATAATTACAATAATGGCAGCTCAAGAGGTGGTAGAGATTCTGGATTTAGAGGAGGAGGTTTTAGAGGTGGTAGAGATGGTGGATATGGTGGTGGTAGATTTCAAGATTCAAAACAAGAATTAACTGTTCCTGAATGGGATTTAGAAAATTTACCAAAATTTGAAAAAAATTTTTATACTGAACATGCAAGTGTTGCTGCTAGATCAGATGAAGAAATTAGAAAATTTAGACAAGAAAATGAAATGTCAATTGAAGGTCATGATATTCCACATCCAATTACTACATTTGATGAAGCTGGTTTCCCAGATTATGTTTTGAATGAAGTTAAAGCTCAAGGTTTCCCACATCCAACTGCTATTCAATGTCAAGGTTGGCCAATGGCTTTAAGTGGGAGAGATATGATTGGTATTGCTGCTACTGGTTCTGGTAAAACTTTAAGTTATTGTTTGCCAGCAATTGTTCATATTAATGCTCAACCTTTATTAAAACCAGGTGATGGTCCAGTTGTTTTAGTTTTAGCTCCAACTAGAGAATTAGCTTGTCAAATTCAAGTTGAATGTTCTAAATTTGGTAAATCATCAAGAATTAGAAATACTTGTGTTTATGGTGGTGCACCAAAAGGTCAACAAATTAGAGATTTAGCAAAAGGTGTTGAAATTGTTATTGCAACTCCAGGTAGACTAATTGATATGTTGGAAGGTGGTAAAACAAATTTAAAAAGAGTTACTTATTTAGTTTTAGATGAAGCTGATAGAATGTTAGATATGGGGTTTGAACCACAAATTAGAAAAATTGTTGATCAAATTAGACCAGATCGTCAAACTTTAATGTGGTCTGCTACATGGCCAAAAGAAGTTCAAAATTTAACAAGAGATTATTTAAATGATCCAATTCAAGTTACTATTGGTTCATTAGAATTAGCTGCTTCACATACAATTACTCAATTAGTAGAAGTTGTTAATGAATTTGATAAAAGAGATAGATTAGTTAAACATTTAGAAGGAGCATTAAATGATCAAAGTGCTAAAGTTTTAATATTTGCTTCAACAAAAAGAACTTGTGATGAAGTTACCAGTTATTTAAGACAAGATGGATGGCCTGCTTTAGCTATTCATGGTGATAAAGAACAACATGAAAGAGATTGGGTTTTAAAAGAATTTAGAGAAGGTAAACACTCAATTATGGTTGCTACTGATGTTGCAGCAAGAGGTATTGGTATGTATTTTTAATTAGTTAACTACTAACTTTGAATTTAGGATGATCAATGGAGATAAGAGTTATGACTAACTTGATAATGAGAGATTTAAGTGAATGACACCACATATTGTTTGTGATTCTTTCAAATGACATTTTTTGTAAAATACGATTTCAATTGTATTTTAGATTCCATGAAATAATTGCCATAAGTTGAGATGGCTACCTTTTGTGAAGAAATTGGTTACAGATGAAAATTTTAATTTCAAATAATTCTGTGATTTGTTTTATGTCATTGATTGAGATCAATTTAAAGAGTAATATGTGTATAGTTTTCTTATGTTAACCATCTCTCTATTATCAATAAACATAAGATGGATTGGTTTACAATGTTTTATTGTTTTGTCCAATCATCAATTTATTTCAAAAATTAAAAATTATGTTATCTCCTGTAGTATCATTTTAATTCGATTCTTGAGATCTTGTTTTACTAACTCTACAATTTAGATGTGAAAGGTATCACACATGTTATTAATTATGACATGCCAGGTAATATTGAAGATTATGTTCATAGAATTGGTAGAACTGGTAGAGGTGGTGCAGAAGGTACTGCAATTTCATTCTTCACTGAAGGTAGTAAAAAATTGGGTGGTGATTTATGTAAAATTATGAGAGAAGCTCATCAACAAATTCCAAATGAATTATTACAATATGATAGAAGGAGTTATGGATCACATATTAGATATGGTCAAGGTAGAGGTAGAGGAGGTAGAGGAGGTAGAGGTGGTTTTAGAGGTGGAAGAGGTGGAGGTAGAGGTGGTTCAAGACCATATTCATCAGGTTCAAATAATGCTCCATTAGGTGGAAACCGTCGTTTTTAAAAATTAAATTAGGTGGAAACCGTCGTTTTTAAAAATTAAATTGTTAAATTATGTTTGATTTTGAAGATTGTTTTTATTTTAGTTTGTTAGTTTTACTTTAATTGATAGAATATATATATAATGATTTAAAAGGTGTTAATATTTATAATTATTATTAAACGATCTTGTATTTATATCCGATACGAGATCTATGTAAAGCGGTTATTACCGATCGATGGTCTTAAAATCACATGCTAATTATAAATATTGAACCACACCAACAGCTTCAAATTGACATTTATACACTACTCTGTTAACTAATCTTAAATTTATACCGTCAATTTTTCACTCACACGAGTTTAAAAAAGGAGTGGAAAAATTTTGATTTTACAACACTTTCAATTAATACATTATATAGTATCTTTATCAATTCAGTTTTATTATAGAGTATAGATTATAGATTATAATTGAATTGATTACACAGTAAGTCACATAATTTTGCCCCGGATTCTTGATTTATAATATTTTTTTTTTTTTTTTTCCTCAAAATTTTTCATGAAATGACAACTTCAATTACAACTAAAAATATGGAATCAACCAAAAAGAACAACGATGAGGTTGATTCTAAGATAGGTCCGAAAGGTATAACATTTTCAGGTGAGACCTTTATTGTTCCTGAAACTCATGATATGGTTAAAACATTATTTGACCCTACGATTGAAAAATCACAATTTGAAAAAGTTATTTTAATATGTTTATTATCAAATTTATTAGTATTTTTAATACCTTCGAATCAACTTAGAATTTATGTTTTCATTGGATTATATATTTTTTGGAGATTAAGTTATAATTTTGGTATTGGTTGGTTATTACAACAACAGTCACAATATAATACATTAGTTAATTGGTCAAAAAAATATAATTTACTTAATGGTAATTCACTTTTAAGTAATATCATTCAAAAAGAAATTAAATCTCAAAGAGGTAAAGATTATAAAATTGACAGTTATCCAATTGAATTTAATACTTGGTTAATTTATAGAAAATTTGTTGATTTAGTTTTAATGAGTGACTTTGTTACTTTTATTTTAGTTGTTTATTGTTGTTGTATTGAAGATGATAATCAGTTTATTCATAATCAAAGTTTGCCTTTAATTTATGGTAGAATTATTGGTGGTTCAATTTTAATTTTGTTTAATTTATGGGTTAAAGTTAATGCTCATAATACTATAAAAGATTATGCTTGGTATTGGGGAGATTTCTTTTTCAGACAAATCAATAATGAAGAATTAATTTTTGATGGTGTTTTTGAAATGGTTCCACATCCAATGTATTCAGTTGGTTATATTGGTTATTATGGATTTGCATTAATTGCAAAATCATATACAGTTTTATCAATAGCAATTTTTGGTCATTTTTTACAAATGATTTTTTTACATTATATTGAAAATCCACATATTGATAAAATTTATGGACCTTCAAAAAATGAAATTAGTTTAATTAAAATTTTAAAGTTAAAAGATTTAAAAAATTTTGATAATTTGAAACCCTTAATTGGTTTATATAATTTTAATATTATGAGAGGTAGTGATTTAATTAATTTAATTTTGGTAGGTACTTATTCATTAATTATTCCATTCTGTACAAATTCATCAAAATTAATATTTGGTTTAACTATGTCAACAAAATTATTTGAATCATTTTTTATTAATATTTTATTAGTTTTACAAAGTAAATTTAAATTTTATACAAAATGGTGTTTAGCAAATGATATCCCAGTTGAAAAATCTTTAAATAATTGGGCGATCATATATAATTCATTAATTAATTTAACTTATTCATCATTATTTGGATTAAATTTGAAAAATTTATTATCTCAAGAACAATCAACAGTTTATTTTTCCAATTGGTTTTATTTAAGATTATTTCTTGGTGTTTTATTAATTATAACTCAAATTTGGATTAATTCTTCAATTGTTGATTCAATTGGTTATTTTGGTTGGTTTTATGGAGATTTTTTCATTCCAAAATCTCAAAGTTTTATTAAAAATTTAACTAAAGCTGGTGTTTATCGTTATTTAAATAATCCAGAACAAATTTTTGGAGTCTGTGGAGTTATGGGAGTTTTCTTTATATGGCCAACATTTGAAAATTTAATTTGTTGTATATTATGGGTTTTAAATAATTTTATTCGTATAAATTTTATTGAAAAATGGCATATGATTAAAATTTATGGTGAATCTCAAGTTAATCAAGATTCAGGAGTGACTAAGACTTTTAAAAAACATTTAATTCCCGATGTTATTCAAAGAAGAATTAATAATGATGAACAACAACAACAACCAAATAAATTAAGATCACCATCTCATTCAATATCATCAGTTACTGATTCATTAGATTCATTTATTAAAGAATTAAGAAATTCAAAAACAAAATTATCACAACAAAAATTGATCGAATTATCACAAAATTTATCATTTGAAAATTCAAATTATGAATTAAATATTTTAGGATTATATAACCAAGATGAAAATTTACCAAAATTTACATTTGTTGGAACACCAATTGAAATTTCATGGAAATCACCAATTGAGTCTCATTCAAAAAAGGATTGGATTGGATTATATAAAATTGTTCAAACTAGTTATTCAAGAAATATAACATTACTTTCAAGTTCAGGAAGATGGACATATTGTGAAACTTCAATTGGTCAATTTAAATTTGAAAAAGATAAATTATTTTGGGAAGAAGGTTTATATGAATTTAGATATCATGTACATGGTAAACATGACGTTGCATATATTTCACAACCATTTGAAATTAAAATTAAAGAAATTAAAGTTCCAAATGATATAAATGAAATTGATTCATTTTCAAATTTATTAAAACAGATAATATTTTCCAAAATTATACCTATAAATTCAATTGATGAATCAATTTCAGAAATTATTTCAAATTCAAATTCAGAATTTGATTTATTGGAAACTTTTAATCTATTAAGTTCATTAATTTCAAAATCTACAAAAGTTAATATTAATTCAAAAATTTTTTTAAATAATGATAAATTAACAATTAAAGATGTTGGATTGAAATTAATTCATATAAACCAAGTATTGGATGAATTGTCAACAAATAATGTTGAAGAAAAGAAGAATATTTAAAACTTGTTCATATTTATAACTTATAGAATACTATTATATATTATTTATTAAATAACTATTCATATTTGCTCTTATTATTTTTGACATTTTATTACATTCATCTATTATTAAACTCATTTCTGATTCTGTTAAATTTGATTGATTTCCTTCTAACCAAATACCCACAATTTCATCATTTCTCAAATTCATAAAACTAATTAAAGCGTCAATACATTCTTCTACTTCATCGTCTTCAATTCCAATTTTGATTTTTCCATTTCTAGTTAGTTTTATCTGTCCACTACTTATAACATCTTTAATTTCAATTTTTGAATCAATTAAAGCAATACTTGTACATATTACAATCCAATTCATTAACCATAATAAACTTGAATTTGATTTACTATTAACCATTGATTTATCAATTGAAATTATAGATACTTGAATATCTATAGTTGATTTTGGATATTTTTCTAATAATATACATGGTAATATACAACTTTCTAAATATGAACTTAAACGATGTTCAATATTTGACATACCAGTTTTTGAAGGCTCGGAATCTTGCATTGGTTGTATTATATGATTCAAAAATTTACATTCAACTGATAAACTACCTCGTTCAATAAATGATCCTCTTATTGGTCTTGGTCCAAATATAGATACTTCAATTATAGTATTATTAATTTCAAGATATGCTGAACCATTGGCATTATTTATAATTGCATGTTTAATGAAAAATGATGGAATTGAGGAAGTAGAATTTGTATTTTCTTGATTTTTATTATCTATATTACTTACTATTTCGGGTATATTTGGTTTTATAAGGTTTGCAGGTCCAGTTAATCTTCTTCTATCACTCATTTATATATTGTTTCAAAATCTGAAACTTCTCGATGATCTAATTTTTTTTATTGCCAAAATTTATTTTGAAAGAGACGACGAATATATTAGAATAAACAATATATAATAGTATATTTGGTGAGCTAGGAAGTTGACTGAGAGCTCTTCACCAATTAGAATCTTGTCGAAGATTGGTGTGAGCGTTTTGTAGTTTTGCAGCATGAAGTATTGGAGCTTTTTAAACGAAATAAAATAAAGCTTTAAGATAGCATTAACTGATCTAAACTAGAAATTAAGCACATTGTTTATTAACCATTCTATTCAATTCTTATGCTTCAGATTCTTTTTCACTTGAACCATTTGAGTCCTTTGAATTTTAGAATTCAACACTAAATTTTTCTGTACTTCTTCAACATTAATATAATGAACCCACCCAAATAACTTAGATTTACCATTTTTACGCTCACATACTGGACAGCCTCTAATAAAAGTATGTAAGGATGCAACAAATACTCCTTGGAATTAGCCTTTTCGTAAACTAATAGTTTATACTCTTCGTCATCACCTCCATGTAATTGAAAATGAGGTAAGTAAATCGTAAGTATATGAAAATGAAAATGAAAGAAACATTATGATTATCAATGATTTGAATTCAAATATAGATGTGAATTAAAGTTGACACTTTTGTCAATTTATAAGGTTTTAGTTTAAGAGTTTATGCAAAAGCCATATTTTGATAACAAAGATTGATTTGGTCCCGTTCCTCAAACAGAACCAAATATGGATGCTGATCATATGCTATACGCTATAAAAGCTGAGATGTTAATAAGAACTCTAATTCAAAAGTTATCGCCCGTTTAAAAGTCTCTTCATTGAAAATTTGCTACTACTTACAACTGGAGATAATTCTTCGTTCTCACGTTTTTAAATTGTATTAAAATAGTCTATAAATTAAATAATGTTCTATAAAATTGTTCAAGTATTTGTTGCATCCTTATAGTAATTATTCCATCCTTACATTTATTCTCTTGAAAAATCTCTACCAAAAAGGTAAACTTTAACCCAATCTAAAGTAACTAATACTTGATTTTTAACAGAAAGACACATATAAATATAAGCGGATCTCCAAAATAAGAAAGTTAAATTACCACCAGTTGAGACATTAGACCAAGAACCCCAAGCTAAATCAGCAACAGCCTTTTCTGAACCAATATAAGCTAAAGAACCTTGATAATTATAAATAAATTTAGGTAAATTATCTTTATATCTTGCTTCTCTTTTCAAAAAAAATTCAGGTATATCCTTTTCATTTTTAATTTTCCATTGTAATGAATGTAATTTTTGTAAAGATTCAAAATATTTAGCTAAATATTCACCTTCTTGATAAGCAACTTGAGCAGTTGGTGGATATTTTGTAAAAGTACAATCTCCCAATGCATAAATATTATCAGTACCTTTAACTTTTAAATAATCATCAATTAAAAATCCACGTTTTGCTTTTTGTTGTTCAGGAATTTTTGACATTAACAAATGAGTAAAATCTCTTGTTGCATTACCAGTAGCCCATATTAACATACCGTAAGGTAATATTTCATCTTTATTACTTGATTTATGATGAGCAGTAACATATGAATTATCAACATGAGTTATTCTACAATTTGTTAATAAATTGATATTTGTTTCTTTGAAAATTTGATTAGTATATTCTACCAATTTTGGATTAAATGTATGTAAAACTTTTGGTTGTGATTCAACAAGGGTAATTTTCAAATCATCAGCTACTTCAGGCATCCATTTTTTTAAATCTTGATCAATATAATCTTGAATTTCTCCTGCAGCTTCAACACCAGTTGGTCCACCACCACAAACTATAACATGTAATAATCTTTTTCTTTCAATATCATTTTTTGGTAATAAATTAGCAGCTTCAATTAAATCAATTAATTTTTTTTTAATTCGAATTGAATCACTAACTTCTTTAACAAATGTTGAATTTTCTGCAACTCCAGGAGTACCAAATGTAGAAGGTTGTGAACCAACACCTACAACTAAATAATCATAATGTAATTCAGCAGTTATATGATCCATATTATGTTCATTTGCAATTTTGGGGCTAGTTGAATTTGAACTATCTTTTGAATGACCAGAATGAACAGTAGTAGATTGTTGAATTTTTAAAGTATTTGTAGCTGGATCAATATCAATTGCTTCTGCTTCATAATATTGAACAACACCAGGACATCTCCTTGTAATTGATCTAACTGGTTCCATTATAGATTTCATATCAACAGTACCAGTAGGAACACTTGGTAGCAACGGAGTAAAAAGAAAATAATTTCTCGGTGAAATTAATATAACATTATATAACGTAGTATCAAGATTCTTAATTAATGGCATTGAACCCCAGCCTGAACCTAAAACAATTAGAGTTTTTTTAGGTTCACCAGTTGGAAAATGCGAAGATTGAGGTTGTTGATCAACTGGATAATTTTCTTCATGAATTTTCCAACCAACAAAACCAACAAAACTTAAAGCACCGAGCGCAATTGTACCTAATGAATAGTAGAATAATTTTTTAATCCATTTGAAAGGTTTTGGATGTGTAGTAGTTGGTGCAGTAGATTGGAATCTAACTTTACTAATAATTAATTGACGTTGTGGTTTTTTTAATAAATGTAAAGGAGTTGCTGGTCTTAAGGTTGATATCCTATTACCAGCCAATCTTGATAACATAATTCTTCTTCTTTCCTATTTTAAGAACAAACAAATAACAAAACGATTCAATGAATAGTTATAAACACTTCTTCTTATCTTCAGTTTAATATAGCAATTTCAAAATTATAACTGGAAATAAGATTTTATTTTATTTTATTTTTTTTTCTATTTTTTTTTTTATTAAGCGATTTTGTGTAATATGTTACGTAATCAATTTTTAAGCGAATCAACGTTTCTTTTTATTTACGCTTTTGTATTGTAACGCCGAGACTCATGAAATTATACGACAATTATATTGCGCTAAGTTATAATTTATAATTAGAATGCAACTTTCTCGACAACTCTTCTCTCGGTATAGATCTGTTAAAGTGTTTCAGATTTCAGATTTCAGATTTCAGACCTCAGATTTCAAATTTTCAGATTTCAGATTTCAGATCTCAGATCTGGGATCTGAAAGAAAAAGAAAAAAGAAAAGATATTACCGAATTCATTTTGAGATCGGGTAACAATTGTACCGATTTGACTATTTTGATCATGTATTGGAGTTAATCTATGTTATCAATTGCTAATCAATAAATAAAGTTTGTTTGTTTGTTTATTCATTAACCAAGTCATACACACATTAATCTGAAACGGATTTAAGTAATTCAATGGTTTACCATTATTAGTATTTGTATTATTATCATTAGTATTTGTATTATTACTATTATTATTGTTATTATTACTATTTTTATTATTATTAATTTTATTTTTATTTTTATTATTATCATTTGCATTTATACCAAAGTATATCGTCTAAATTTATTCCATCACCACTAAAAAAATCTTGATCATTTGAACTGTTATTATTTAGTGAGTTGTTGTTTTGTATTTGATTAGTTTCATTTTTTTCCAACATATATGGAGGTAATATCTTTCCAAATATTTGAGCATCTAATTTATCAAATACACCAGGAATATAATCAGCAGTTAAATTGTGTCCAGCAATTTCTCCAATTTCTTCATTATTTTGTTCTTCTTCAATACTTGATAATTTTTCCATTTTGGGCATACTATTTGGAATTTCATTACCTGACTGAAAATTAGCTAAATTTGTAGCATCAAATAATTCTTCAATATTATTATTGTTATTAGTTTGATTTGCAAATTGATTAATTTTATCAAAATTTTTAAAAGTTGATTGAACATTTTTAGATTGCATATTAATATATGGATGATTTTGATTTGATTCTGATTCAGTGGTTGTTGTTGTTGATGATTTATTTCTTGATCTTGATGCTGTTCGTCTATTCAATTGTTCAAATAATGTATTCAAAATATTATAAATTCTTAAGGAACTGTTTGATGAATTTTTTAAACAATCTAATACCTTCTTCCCAATTTCAATATCTTTCTTTATCATGTCTATGTTTAAATCATCATCAAATAAAACACCAGCATAATTATAACCACTTCCATTATTATTATAATTTGCAAAATGAAAATAATATATTAAACAAGCAATACTGAAAAATATAGTATACATTGAAAACCAATAAGTTCCAATTAATAATTTTTGATCAATCATTTTATTTGCCAATTTAACAACCATTCTTGCTACTTTAATACAATTTCTACCTCTAATTAAAGATCTTGGATCCAGTAATCCACCACCATTATTATGACTTTCTAAATTATCACTTATAAAATGAATAAATGGTCTATATAACATAATTTGACAATTTAAAAATGCTAAATGTAAATAATAATTAGCTAATTGAAATCTTTCAGGTATTTTATTTGGCGGTTCATTATTATTTGGATCTATTGGTTTTAATTCCATTGGCAAATTATCTAACCAATTTTTCATCTCCAATTCTAATTCGGATACTTTTACATGTATTCTATCTGGGGTGTAAGTAGTAGTAGTAGCAGCAGTAGTAGTAGTAGATGGACTCAACTCGTCACTATGTGGATTTTTTTCATTTGAATTCACAACTTTTACAGGATATAATTTTTTAACTATATGACTTAGTATGATCATTAATTTTGTATGATGATTTGCACAACCAGCTGAAGATAATCTACCTTCTTGTTTTTCATATAAATAAGCAGTTCTTGTAATATTTTCATCATCTAATTCTTCAGGAAATTCTTGATCAAATTCATCTTCTTTAATACTTCTAGGCAATCCTAATAAAGAATTTATATAAATATCCATTTTATAAATTGTATAAAATAATCTTTTTCTTGTATCAATTTCAATTGGATCTAATTTTCTTTTTGAATTTTGAAAAATTGATAAATTTCGATGTAAACCTTCTTTTAAAGCACTTCTCAATGCAATTCCAATATATGAATAACAAGTAGATAATCTTGCAGAACATTGCAAATACATAATCATCATAACAATAGTTTGAATTGAATTGATATCACCGACATTACTTATATCTATTAATTTTCTAGCTTCAAGAAAATATTTAAATCCATCATCTTCTAAATTTTCATTCAAAGTTGAATTTTCATATGGAGTTTTTGAAAATAAACTCCCACAAGCTAAGATACTATATAAAAATGGTAAAAATTTTTGTTGCCGATCACCATAATTTGAAGGATCCATTGAATATAACCAATCTACTTCTTCTAATAAACTTGGTCTATGATAAAATCTAAATAATACACAGGCTTTTTGCCATGTTGTATAAATTAATTGTAATGCAATTTCTTTAGTTGGTAAATATAATTTAATTTCTTTTGGAGATTGAACAGTTGGTGGATCTTCATTTTCAATTGACGATGAAACTGATGGTTGTCTATTAATTGGAGGTATTATTAAATTTGGATCTTGCATTAATTCAGTAATTTCTTCCATACAAGTTGAAAAATGACTCGATTTACATTCTTTATATTGAATAATTTTCTGAAATTTATTCAAATCAAATTTTAAATTTATATCAAATAAATTAATTTGTAATTTTGGTAATAAAGCATTAATAATTTGTTGAGATATAATTAAATTATTTGAAGTTAGGTTATGATTATTTTCATTTTGAGCAGCTTGAGCAGCAGCAGCCTTTAAAACAGCTGCACTTGGTTGAGAAGGTTTTGGAGGACCTATATATTTTTTATTTCTAATATTTGGTTCATCATAAGTACATTTAAATGAATAAACGGTACAATGGATACAAGGTTGTTTACCATCACATTTAACTTTTTTTTGTCTACAAGTATCACAAGCTCGAGTAACCCTTCTTCTTTTAGTTTCGGGTTGTTTTTTATCTTTGGTAGTGGCAGAATTTGAATTTGAATTTGAATTTGAATTCGAATTTGAATTTGGACTCGTGAAATTAAATGTAGAATTTAACATGGGTGATAACAATTCACACTGTCTAATAACCTAAAAAATCTTTATTAATAAGTTCTATATAATCAATATAACAGTAACAAAGTAGTAAATACTAACAAATCTTGTGGGGAAGTACGTAAAATAAAATAATTTATGTTTTCAAAATAAATTGGTTAAAATTTATTTATCGTTTTTATATTTTATTTTTTTCGTTCTTTCATCTGAAGAATTTGGATCCACATTTTGATAGTATGAACAAGTAGTATAGTATGGATAAATGATTATCCTAGGGTACAGTTACTACATTAGATACTACAATAATTATTATCAATTATTCATCATTTGTTTCCACTTGTGCGTAATTAACGGGTGAAAAATGAGTGTTGAAAATTGCCAAGATAGTACCATATTTCACAATTATTGACATTATTATGCATATATCACATAGTAATGTCGCTCCATGATTTAATATTACCATTACTAGTGGATACGTCTCTATATTAGAGATAAGAATCCGCCATATTTATATAAATGTAATTATAATCCATTTATCAAAGTCAATATAGTAATGTTGTAAATGGCTGCAAAAAAAATTATCAACATTTTCGTTTGAGCAAATCACACGACCTTTTTTGAAACAGATTCTTTTCAAATTATTACATAATAATTTTTCACTTTTCAATAAGTTATAATGTCATCTTCATCATCTTCATCATGTTATAAATCAAGTTTTTTACAATTAGCATTAGATGAGCAAGCATTAAAATTTGGTAAATTTACTTTGAAAAGTGGTAGACAATCACCATATTTTTTTAATCTTGGATTATTTAATACGGGGAAATTATTATCTACATTAAGTGAATCGTACGCAAAATGTATAATTGAAAGTGGCATTAAATTTGATATTTTGTTTGGACCGGCTTATAAGGGGATTCCATTAGCTGCCATAACGGTATCAAAACTAGCGGAACTCGATCCTGAAAATTATAGTGATGTTGGCTATTCATTTAATAGAAAAGAAAAGAAGGATCATGGTGAAGGTGGAAATATAGTTGGTTGTCCGTTGAAAGGTAAAAAGATTTTGATTATTGATGATGTTATAACTGCTGGGACTGCTATTAATGAAGCTTTTGAAATTATAGCAAATGAAAATGGTACTGTTGTTGGTACAATTATTGCTTTAGATAGACAAGAAACTACAATAAATGATGCTACTAGATCTGCTACTAGAGCAGTTTCTGAAAAGTATAATATTCCAATTATATCAATTGTTAATTTAGATGAAATTATTACTATTTTAAAAGGTAAAATTAATGATGAAGATATTATTAAACTGATTGAAGAATATAGAAACAAATATGGTGCGTAAATAGATTTGAAATACAAATTTATATGGATCACAAATAGTTATAATTCGAAATAGATATTAATAATGGAAACGTAAATAGTTATAATTAGAAATAGATATTAATAATGGAAACGTAAATACTTATATGAGTCACTATTTCACTATTTAGTGTTAGTTTTACCTCTAGTGTTAGTTTTACCTCTAGTGTTTGTTACATCCTTACAGTATTTATCTGGTCTATTGCATCCTTACGTTTCCTTACGTTGTGGTATCTCGACCTACCCTCTTATTTTCATTATCTTCTTCTTTGGTTGTTTTGGAACATTTGGTTTAATCGTCGTGTTATCAACTTCGGGTTCTTTATCATATATACTTTTAGTCATTGGATGTTTTAAAGTATAATTAGAATGAACAGGAACAATAGTATTCATTTTAAATCCTTTTACTTTTGGAACTTCTTCTGGTTTAAAATTTGAAGTTTGAAATTCTTCCGGATAAGCAATACCACTTTTAAAACCCACTGAATCTAAATCTGTAGGATGATTAGATAAGTAATCTGAAACTTTATTAAATAAACTTCTTTTATTTATCAACTTCGAATCAATAGGCTTATTTCCATCTTTTAAAAATACTCTTACTCTTCCTGGATTTCCAAAATCTTGAGGATGACATTTATCGAGCTCTAATAAAATAGGTAAGTTCAACTGTCTACATGCATCACCTATTGTCTTAGCTAATGGATTTTCAACTGCTTTATCTATTGATACTCTTCTACCTTGTTTATGAGATCGATTAATATCAAAATAACATGGATATATGATTTGAAATTTTTTAAATTGTTCTTTTTCTTGCTGAGTGAAACTAGAAGGATCTAAAATATTACTTCTCTGAGTAGTTTGAGTATTTCTTGGTGGTTGTTGAAATGGTAAATTTGGAAATAAAGGTGGTTCTTCTGAATCTTGTGATCTTGTTATTTTTGGTTCTGGTCTTTTTGGAGCAATTGGAGTATTTAGATTTGCATCAAATTCAGCAATATCCATATCTAAATTATCTATATCATCTACTTCTTCTAATATTGGTTTATTTGAACTCATAATAACTTCTTCTTTGTTGATTAAATAAAAAAAAAAAAAAATTTCAATTTCAATTTCATGAAAAACAAAAATGCGACATTGATTAGAAAATTGAAAAAATAAGCGACATTGAATTTTCATTTGTTTCAGAATTATAACCACAATCAAGAAATATTGGCAAGCCATAGTTTAGGATTTTACAAAATGGATAGATCCAAGTTATTACAAGGTTGTTTAACAACATTGAACAATACAACCATTGAACATAAATCAAATATATCAAAAAATTATAAAAATCATCCCGATATTCAATATTTCCAAAACATCAAAGATAAATATCATTTCAGTTATCATAATTATAAAAATCAAATTAAATTTAATATAGATAAAATAAGAAGTAATAATATGATAAGTATAGATCCGTTCAATCTTGAAAATTTACTATCTCGAATAAGGACATATAATAACTTAAATTTCAAAAGCATAGATGAATCAATCAATGAATTAAAATGTTCAAGAAATGGTTGGAAATGCTTACGGAATAATCATTTAATATGCACCAATTGTAATAAACAATTAATAATTGCCGACCAAGAATTCGAACCCGAATTTAAATCAAAATTAATTGACAGTTATATATCTCAAATTGAAAGAACAGCCCATGATTCAAATTGTTTATGGAGATTATTTGAAACTCCATTAGAAATATACTATTTGAAAAAATACTTACCTTTCACTAATGAATTTTTGATCAAGAATTATCTATCAAATTTGAAGAACCTAATTGATAATTCATTAATTTTTCAAGATTTCAAACATTGCATTACCCCATTTATTACTACCGAAGATGATGAAACATTTGCCTCGATTTCTAATCAATGGCTATTAGATAAATATTTCAACGATAATAAAGAAAACAATATCTTATCTCATATCCCATTTTGGATTTATAAAGTAGCTCAATTTGGATGGAATTTATATATTCAAAATCACGCTAATGATACCATACTCGTCATGACTTGTCAAATGTGCAATTCAAGAAATTTCTTAGATCAAGATAATCTATTCGATTCAAGAGATCATAAATCATGGTGTGTTTTAAATTCAGATATTCCTGACTACTTTCTTACCATGTTGTTGAGTTCTACGGATAATATTGGTCGAAATGGTGAATACATGCATGATGATTTTGAAAGAAATGATAAGAAGAGAAAGTTTGAGAATTTTGATTTTCAGAATAAGTTGCCTAAGATTGGGTAAGGATGCAGTCAGGATGCAGAGAGTGTAAGGATGCCATTAAGTTTTAAACAAGGATATAAGAGTAAGGATACAATAAAGAATTATCTTGTGTTTCATTTATACCAAATGTAGTGGAGTAAGGATGCAAAGAAAGCATTGGCTTGTATTTCATTCATAGAATTTGGTAAATATGCTAGAATATAGATGCAACAAGTACTGAAATTTATACAAAATGAAGATTTAACAATAGAACAAAAAAACAATGAAGAGAAAACTAGAAAACTAGAATTTTTAAAATAAATAACTTAAAATTGTATAAATTAAATTAGTATATATATACGAATTTGCATCCTTACGGTATCAGATGTTGTTTATTGCATTCTCACAAGTGGTTCACTAAAATCCAAAATCTCAATATAAGTTTCATCATCTTCATCTTGTCTTGTTCTTTGAACAGCAGCAACACATCTTTTATAATCAATTCTAACTTGCCATATTCCACCAGTTACATCATTTAATAAATCTCTTGCAAATTCACCTTTTCTAATATCCCATAATTTTAACATTTTTTCAGAACCAGAAACAACTCTTAATCCATCATGTTCAAAACAAGTGATTGCAGCACCATGACCTTTTAATTTGGATATTAATTCACCATTTGCAGGATTCCATACTCCTAAAGTAGAATCTGCAGCAGCACTAACTAATAAATCATCAACTAAATTTAATAAACCAACTAAACTTGAATGTCCTTCACTTACATGTATTAACTCACCAGTTTCAAAATTCCATATATTTATATTTGAATCCATACTACCTGAATAACATAATTTCCTATTAAAATCTAATGCTGTTGAATATACTCTATCTTGATGACCTCTTAAAATATGTTTACAATTTCCTGAATCTAATAAATCCCATACTCGAACTGTTGAATCATAAGATCCCAGAATTATAATATTACCATATCCTGATATGGCTCTTACTGATTGAGTATGACCTTGTAAAATTGCAATTAAATAAGGATTATTATGTTCTGATTCATCAAAAATTTCATGATTTTCAGGTAAATTATCAACATTTGGTAATTTCCAAACGTGAATATTATGATCTCTTGAACCAGTAATTAATAATGGGAACTCGGGGAAAATTATATCTTCACCATTTGAATCTTTTCCAATTATTGCTGGATGAATTATATCTAAACATCTAATTGTTGATGTATGTCCTTTGAATATATGAGTACATTTACCAGTCTTCATATTCCATATTCTAACTGATCTATCAGTTGATCCTGAAACTAATGTATTTCCAGAATATTTTAATGCCCAAACACCACCTTCATGACCTTCCAATACTTTCATTAGTTCTCCAGTTTTAGTACTATAAATTAAAATATATTTATCATCTACTCCTGTTACGATTTTTTCATCATCGTGTTGTAAACAAGTTACAACTTTATTTAAATGACCATTTACACTTATTCTTTTTGGTGTATAATTTGGATTCATCCATCGATTAACAATGATTGTTCGTTTCTTATATAAAATTTGTGCTGTGTTTATATGACCTTGTGGTAATGTGCACCATTCAGATATTAAATTTGGATCCATTAAACATTGCTTTATTTCTGAATGTGCTGTTATTAAACTATCTCGCTTAATTAACCTAATCCATAAATCGGGATTATTTATAATTTGAAACCATTTTTTACATACTTTAGATAATGATAATAATGTTTGATAATCTAAATACATTAAAATTTTCATTGTTATTTCAAATGGTAAATCAGTTAATAAATCTCTTTTCAATGAATTATAAATTAATCCATTGAAAGTACTGAGGGATGATCTGTTTGTAGATTGTAATAATTTAAAAATTAAATGATTTTGATTTCGTGAATTTAAAAATTTAGATAATTGAAAAACCATATTGACTAATTCGGATTGTGTAGATGGTGTTGATTTCAAAATATTTGAAATTGAGATATGTTTTGGAATTGTGGTTATTTCCTTTTCGGCGTCCAGTTGAACGGGTGATGCACTTGGTGAAGGTAATGGTAATTGTTGAATTATATCTTCTTCAATATCGGAAACTGGTGTATGTGATGGTGAATTCATTGTATTTGCACTTCGAATACGATTTGGGATTTGTTGTGATGTAATATTTGAATTGTTTGTTATTATAATTGACATTGATGAATTTGTAGTTGAAGTAGATAGACTTTCTGGCGAATCTACAACTTCAAAAGATCCAATAAATTCAGAATTTTGATTTGTAAGTCTTTTTTTACTTGGTGGATGATTTATACTCGAACTTCTTTGTGAATAACCATTAATGTCATGTGCTGATGATGAAACTTGACTTTGATTATCAGTATCAGATAAAGTCATATCATCACAAGATATCAAACTTTCTTGTTCATATAATTCTTCTTCTTCTTCTTCTTCTTCTTCTTTTATGTTTCTCTTACGTCTTTGACGAGTTTCAATATTCCCTTGTATCGTTTGTTGTTGTTCTTTAGTGCTTGTGATTTTCCGAGGTACATTATTAAATAATTTACCATTTATTAATTTATATTCAAATTTTGCTTCTTCTTCACATAATGGATAATTAAATTCATTGCTTGAATCGTTATTCATGATAAACTATATTCTTGTTATAGTGGAGTTTGAAATTAAAACTTTGAAATAAAACTATAAATAAACTAAATCAAGACCAACTAAAAAACTATGAAATGAAAAACTAATACTAAATATACTGCAAATACAAATACTACTAATGAATTAAACTAACTTTGGCTTATTTGATATGTTGTTTGGTATAAAATGAGATTTTCTATATAATAATTTTTTTTTATTCCTCAATTTGATTACCAAATTAGTACTAGTAGCAGTTATCAACAACAGACTACAGGTGCAAATATACTGTAATGCTGCAACAAACGCTAGAGATAGTCTATCATAATCTATATTTATATTACTTCTATTTCATTACATTTGTAGTCTCATTACTTGCATGTTTTGTACTTTCTTCAATATCTTTAACTTCTTGAACTAAAGCATCAACATCAAATATTGCAGGTGGTTCACTTTCCTCAACATCATATTCTTTAATTTCATCGCCTTTATCATCTTTTTCATTAGTATTACTGTATATGTCCCACCATTCTTTCTTTTTGGGTTTAAACCATTTTTTCCAACCTTTTGGTTTATAATATTGTTCCTCAACTTCTAATTTTGCTCTTGCTTCATCAAATTCTTCTAATAATTGACGATGTCTTTCTCCTTGTTCTGGATCTAGTTCTTCAACTTCACCTAGCTCCTCACGTAATACTTCCCAATCTAATCTTTTAAGTATTTTCGGTATCGCTTTTAAATAACTCATATGACCTTCAACTAAATCTGTACAATCAACATTTTCAATTCCATATACTTTTTCCAATGGTGATAAACCAGCAACTGTTGATACTCCACCTCCTGTAGCTCTAAATAAATATCCCAAAATCCAATCTTTTCTTGAATACCCATTTATAAATCGCCCACTAACCATTGATCTTGCTTCTGCTAATTGATCATTTTTAATTGAAACTGGAGATCCAAGTATAATCACATTTTCAATTAATCCATACCCACCTCTTTTTGACATTTCAATTAAACATGAATATATTAATCTTGCACCTAGAGAAAATCCAACTAATGTAATTGGTCGAACACCTAAATTTCCAGATAATATAGTCTTTGCTAATAATTTCCCTGCTTTCCATGCTCTATCTAATGATACATTCCATGGATTATCTAATAAATATGATAATTTAGATAATGCCATTGGTATTTGAATTGCTGACATTAATGCAGTTAAAATAGTTGCACCTAAAATTTGTTGAATTGATGTACTTAATGCTTCACTTGCTAATATACCAATTGTTTGACCCATTGATTCTAACATTTCAGGTTCCCATAATAATGAAAAAATATCTCCCATTACTGGATCAACTGTTGAAAAGGGTAATCTAACATCATCAAATTTTCCCATTTTCCAACCAGAAACAGTTAGAATTAAATTACATCTTTTATTATTATGTAAAGGTTTAAATTCAAATGTATGAACTTCACCAGCTCTTCTTGAACCTGCTTTTGAACCAACTTGTGCACCTATGGCAACTCCAGTTGTTGTTATTAATGCACCACCACCAACACCAGCTAAAAAACTAGAAGTACCAGTAATACCAATTGTTGTTAATCCAGCAGCAATACCTGCTCCAATAACAGGAGCTAATAAACCAGCAGTTAAACCAATAGCTGAAAATAAAATGTTAGTATTGCATCGTCATTATATACTTGAATCCTTACATACCTAATGAACCTCCAATTGCAGCTAATCCAATATATGCTAATCTTTTATTTCTATTTTTTTTGATTTGTTGTTTAACAAAACTTTGATCATTTAACATATCATCTTTATTTTCCATTGATTTTTCTTTAATTTCCATATCTAAAGTTTCAATTAATCTTCTTTCAAATTGTAAAATTTCAATATGGGGGATTTTAAGTATCTTTGCAAAATTCATTAATAATGATCGAGATCTTGAATCATAATAACCATCACTAATTAATACAATAAATAAATCACATAAAACAACCCATCTTAAATCAAAACTTTCATCTTCGATATATTCATTATTTTCTAATTTTGCATTTATTCCAATCTCCATTAAACTACTTGATAAATCTTTAGTTTCAACTCCATGTTTACTTAAATTTTCAATCATATTTTTCTCTTCACCTTGTACATTTAAATGTTCATATAATTTTAACATTACATACATTGTCCAATTTGAAAAATTCTTTTGACCATTGTTAAAAAATTTAGCAACTTTTGAACTTGTGCCAAATTGAATTTTAGCTAAATCAGTAGCCATATCAACTGTTAATAATTTTGAAATTCCTAAATATGCAAATTTTTGAGAATCTGTTAACATGTTTTTAGTTTCTGTATAATTTTCATCATCTGAATCTGAATCATTGTTATAAATAGCCTCAGAATCAAAAATTACATCTTGAGATGCTTTATTAGTCTCCTTTATTTTCCGTTTAGGATTGAATAAAAAATCAGTTTTTTTATCCAACGCAAAATATTTATTTGATTGTTCTTCTGTATCTAATTTAGTATATCCCATATAATCATGTTCTTCATCTATTACTTCTTCTTCTGATTCTGAACTATAATTAAATTCATTTTTATCTTCATTATATTGCATTTCTGAAATCTCTTTAACTGGTTTCCAGTTTGATAAATTCCTAGTGTTGAAAAAATCCTCCTCTTTTTCCTCCTTATTATTCTTGGCTTCTTCGACTGGTTCTTTATTCGGTTCTGGAATTGGTTCTGGAATTGGTTCTTCTTCTTCGTCTTTTGGTGTTGGTATATTTGAATTTGAATATATTTTCTCTGTTACGGTATTGGTATATTTATTAGATAGATCAAATTCAATAAAGTTCCCACTATTATTATGTTTATGTTCTAGTTTATTTACATTTTCTTCTAGTTCTTCTTCTCCGTCGTCATCATCTTTATATGAATTTGTATGAGGTAAATTTGGTAAATGACTGGCAGCACTTTTATTAAAATAACTTTGACGTTTATCATGATAAATTGGTGAAGATATCAGATCAATCAGATTTTGAAATTGTGAATTTGAATTATAGAAATTGTTCGTATCATTGGATATCTTTCTTGACATAATCTAGTTAACATTAGTTTAACTTCTAATAAAATATGGATAAAGCGTATGGTATAAATTGATAAATAGATAAAAAAAAAAAAATTGAAAGTCGAATTTTGCGTAAATTTGACATTGAATTTTCTTATTTCTTATGACCAGCGATAATCAAGAATTTTCAAGACATTATTACGAGATCCATTACGAGATCTATATTGAAAGTTTAACACTAATATAGAGTAAGTTTAAATAAATGTTTGCAACATGGTTTTACTCAAATCGTCAAAGGCCATTAAGACCTGCGCAGAGTACAGGAATATGTTGCTACGAATTATAATGATCGAGCTGCAACAAATGAAAAGATCACTCTTTCAAATGTGAGCTCAAGATCAACCCGCTTAATTTACAATCTGTCGACGGAGCCACTCTGTTTAATACCTAAGTGGTAACTGACAAATCATCTAGTTTTTCAAAATGGTTCTAATTCAAATCAACCTAGTTTTTCAAATCAATGTTTCCAATTTGATCGCTCAAACCTCATACAAGGGACCAATCAATGAAAACTTTCAAATCCAAACGTTAAAACAGTCAATAAGAACCGATAACCCACTCGAAAGCGGACCAACTACGAATCAATTCAAAATTTCAACGATTTATAACATCAAACTTGCTTCTCGAGCGCCGATCTGCTAAGGAAAACAAATCTACAGCAAAAGAAAACCGAAATCAACTTAACACTGAGATGTCCACCTTAACACAGATTGATATAATAATTAGTTAAAGAAAGAAAAGAAGAAGAAGAAGAAGAAAATAAATTTTTTTTCAGTCGAGGTTTAATTTATACTGGCGATGAGATGCGCGAAAGAGAGATGCGATTTTAAATTCTGAAGCATTATATCATGAATAAAGATGAATTACTGAATGATTTACTCCCATTCACGACTAATGATAGTTTAGAACCTATCAAAATATTAGATTTAATTGAAATTAATTTAAAACATATTTTAAATTCACCGGAATTACAACTGTTTATTCAAATAGTTAAAGGTGATTTATATAATCGAGATTATTTGAGTGCTTTTAATAGTGATGAAAAACGATTTGCATACGTTGCAAGATGGACACCAGCTAGAGCATTAAGTTATAGTTCATTATTCAGTAGCTTAAAACCAATAAAGGCATTATTACAAGAGCCAATTCAAATTAAAAATGTCTTATGTATTGGAGGTGGGGCTGGTTCTGAATTAATTGGATTATCATCTGTATTTTGCAGATTGAAAGAATATAATTCATCATCATCATCGGAAATACATATAAATATAATAGATATAGCAAATTGGTCAACTGTGATTAATCACTTCACAAAATACATTAAAGAAAACTGGTTATACCATGGCGAAAAATTGAGTACAAATTTTATATGTGATGATATATTAATTACCAATACAGATTTACAACTCAATAATCTAGATCTAATTACTATCTTATTTACTACTAATGAATTATTCACAGAGAAGAGAAAAGAAACAATTAAATTATTGCAGAAATTGAATGATAATTGTAAATCAGGAACCTTATTATTAATTGCAGAAAGTGCTGGTTCATATTCACATATAATTATAGGTGAACGAAAATTTCCAATTCAATTTTTAATAGATACGATATTAGTTGGAAAACCAAATGAAAATAACGGAGTATGGGAAATTGTAAATTCAAGTGAAAGTTGTTGGTATAGAATTAATCAAAAAGAAGTTGAATATTCAATGAAATTAGAAAATATGAGGTTTTTTTATAGATTGTATAGAAAGAAATGAGATGATTGCCAGTGTCTCTGTGATTTAGCATCCTTACCGTGTTTTGCATCTTTTGTCTAATTCAATTTATTTATTTATTTCTTCTACAAATTTATGTTGTAAAGTTTTCAAAACTTGATATTTATAATCTTGAGAATAATTACCATTCTTCATTTTAATGCAAAATATAATTCAAATACTAATTTTCTTTTTCTAGCTAATATTTTAATTTCTTCATTACTCGTTATTGATTTCTTTTTAGTTTAATTATCCAAGCTAATTCTTTTGATGATTCAATTAACTCATTTGGTAATAATCCTGAAGATTCATCAAATTTAAGTCCATAACCCGTAGTTGCTAATTTCCCAGCAATTAAATATATTTCATTTCCAACTTACCTTCTGAATCATCCATTTCCATATGTGAGTATAAAACAGACCATTTGTTTCCTAAAATTTCTGCTATTTCTCTAATGAGTTGATACAAATACGGTTGAATGTGTATTACTGAAATATTTCCAATACTGCAAAACAAATTGAAAAACCATCATTAAAACTTGAACCTCTACCTAATTTATCAAATATAATTAAACTATCATTATCTAAATTATTTAAAATTGAAACTACTTCCATCATTTGTTTTGAAAATGAAGACGCATTTATTTCGGTATCATCACAAGAAATTCTTGTTCTTATACTATTAAAAATTTTAAATTCTCCATATTCACAAGGTAAAAAACATCCAATTTGAGCCATAATGGATAAATAAGCAACTTGTTTAAGATATACTAATTTACCAGACATATTTACTCCCGTGATTATTTGAAATCTTGATACTTCATCAATACATGAATAACTATTAGGTATAAAATTTGCAATTCAACTTTTTAAAATTGGATGACGTGAGTTTTTAATATGAATATTCTTACCAAATTCAGGACAAATGTATGATTTTTTTTGAATTGATGTAAAATATGCAAATCCACATAATACATCTAATAATACAACTGATTCAGAAATCATAAATAATATAGGTACATAATCGGTAATTTCACTATGTAAATCTTTAATTATTGTATTATTTAAATTTGATATTTCAGTTACAATATCATTAAATTTTGAACTTTGTTTCATTAATTCAATTGTACCACATTCTATAATTTTCTTTTTGTGTAATTTATTAATGAATACTGGAGGTAGTGATTTGATACCATTTCTATAATTTTTAATTTTCAAATAAAATCCTCTTTCATTTTCATGTCTAAATTCAATTTCAAAATTCTATTCTTCAATTAATTGATTTACTAATGCGTCAAATTCAGCTAATATTTTTTCATGAATTTTTCTTGTAACGTCTAATAATCCATTAACACCTTCTTTTATAGTATTTGCTTTTTGATTTCATAATTCTAAATTATTACTTGCCCATTGACAATGATCTTTAATTGATTCAATGAATAACATTTAAAATAGAATTTACATATTCATGGGTTATAATTTCTCTACTTTGAACAACCAAAGCACTATTATCTTGAGATAGACAACTCGAAATTTCATAAGTACTTCCAAAGATGTTTTAGGTAATATTATATCATTTATTCTTTGTTCTTTAATATCAGATTCTAAAAATGAACTAAATATCTTTTCCATATCTTGGTATTTCTTTAATTGAGTTCGTACAGCAATTAAAATATTATCTTGTTGATTAATTAATTCATTAACTGATTCTAATCTCATTTTAATACTATTTTCATCAGATGAACGTTGTAATACAGTAGTACTTAATTGTCGTGGACCCATTTAACTTAAACACCAATTAATAAATGAACAAAAACTAATACCACCATTTAAACTTTGAACTAATTCTAAACCTTTAACTGTATTTACATCAAGAAACATTATATCCGAACAAGTAAAAAATTTTACTCCAAATTTATTTGTGCTTTTAAAGTCTAAAAATTAAACAATAATTAATACATGCATTAGCTGCAGCTATTGAAAGTTCCTTCCCATTACATTCTTGTTTTAATTGTAATTCAGATAAATTAGTATGAAATTTTAAACATACAAATCCTTCAACTGAATTAAAATATTTTCCCTTTTCTGATATTTTTTTAAACATTGGTAGACACATTTGCATTAATGTAGAATTTTAATTTATCAATTTGGGGGTTATTTAAAGTATCTGGTATAATTTTAATGGTCGGACTTGAAACTAATATTTGATTAACAGTTCTGATATAAGAATGAGAATCGCAAAAATTTAATAAAGTCAATTCAGCTATTCTTGGATGAAAAATTGCAATTCCAATATCCATTGAATCAATTTCTTCTTTTTGAAATTGAAATATCAGTAGTATTCATGAATGCATAATGAATTTCATCAACTTTATGTCCTTTATTAGATTTATTGGATGTTAACTGAAACATAATTATTTAAAATTTAAGCAGCCAATTCTGAAACAAATTTCTTTAAGTGGTAATTTTTTTGGATGTGTCGTGTTTCAGATTTTCAATTTATCAATTAAATTTTCCAATTCATTTTCATCGTTTAATTTGGCAGATTCCTTTGTTAGTTCTTGTTGTAATTTATCTTTGATTTCAACTGCTTTCTCTTCTTTAGTTTCATGTTTACCAAATTTCTTCTTTTCAGTTTCATATAATTCATTCAATTCCTTCGACCAACCTAATAAATCAGCTATTGTTTCAGCTACAATATCACAATCATCAATTGCTAATATATCTGACTTTCTGCCTTTTTTAAAATCACCAACTATTTCCCTATTAATTAATATTCGCAAACATTTTGAATTAACTTCACTAGGTAATGAAGCAAATGGAAATACAGTTAATGAACTACCAGCAATAATTGCGATTTCAACATCATCACAATCTTCATCCCACATATCAAAGAACCTATTAGGCAAACCCTCTCCAAAAAATACAATATCAGGTTTAACATAACCAGAACAATGACAAGTTGGAATACCAGTTCTCATATGAGACTTCAAAGCTTCCATATCCATTTCTTTATGACATTCAATACAATGATTTTTAGCAAATGATCCATGAGCTTCAACTATATATTCATCTCTAACACCAGCTAATCTCTCCAACGTGTCTATATTTTGAGTATATACTCTTTTTAACAATTGTTTATCTTGTATCAATCTAATAAGGTAGTGAAATTTACTAGGTTGATAGTTTCCAGGATATAATTCTTCAGCCAATGTATAAAATGGTTTTGGATTTTTTTTAAAATAATCAATATCGAAAACTGCTTCAGCGAAGGGTAAATTTAATTTTGCTAAATTTGCATATAAACCAGTTTCAGGTGATCTAAAGTCAGGAATACCACAAGAAGTACTAATACCAGCACCATTAAAGAATGTAACCTTTTTCTTATTTTGAATTGCTTCAACTAATGGTTTTAACCTTGTTTCTAAAGACATTATAGATTCGAAAAATTAAATCAAGTCGTATATTAAATTTGTTTCGCTTATACTCGGTAGCGCTTATATATATATATATTGTTGCAAATTACCAGCCTTCATTATAATTTGCATCTTTAGTCGAGATATAATGCCGTAAATTCTTAAATATTGATCATATATATAACGTTTGTTGCAAATTAACAGCATCCAAACTATGAGATAATTCCGTGAGTTCTTAAATATTGATCATATTCATCTTTAATACTTGATTCTAATGATCTACATGGTATATTTAAAATTTCCATAGTTTCATGATTATCAAACTTCAAATTTGCATAGTCTTTATTTGGATGGCCAGTTGGTAATTGTGTAGTAACTGAAGGATAATTCTTATGTAAGATATCAATAATTTCTTGACCTGAAAAATCTTCACTAGCCATAATTAAACGTTTACCTTGAGCTTCATCTTTTTCAAAAGCATCAATATGAGCCTGAGCAACATCACGAACATCTACAAATAACCCCTTTTCATCAGGTACAGGATCAGCTTGATGTAAATCAAAAATATTTCTAATCATTTCAATTGAAGTATCAAAGATATCACTTATATCTTCATCAAAACATTGTGGACCAAATGTAAAACCTGGTAAAATTGTAGATAATGTAAAATGACGTTTCTTCTTCATATATTCCCAAGCTTCACGTTCTGCATTTGCTTTAGCGTAAAAATATGCACTTTTGGCATTATTTTTCCCTGCTGAATGTTTATCTGGATTCCATTTATGCTCATCAACTATAAAATTCGGATCTTGTGCTTGCTCTGCATTCATACATGCAGCAACTGAACTTGTTAAAACAACACGTTTAACATTTGGAGCATGATCTTCAATGGATTTAAGGATAGCTTTGACTCCCTTAGCGGTACGTTTAATTAATCTTTTCTCATAATTAGTCCCAATGGGAAGTGGGCTTGCGGAATCAATTACAATTTGGATTTCTGGATGTTCTTTGAATAATTTATCAAATGCTCCTTTTTCTTCAGCATCTTCAATTACAACATATTTGAAATTTGGTGAATTTAATAATGACTTTAAACGATCGCCTTTTTCTTCAGTACGAACTTGACCAATAACTGAATAACTCTTGTTGATTAAATGTTGAACAATGTGTTTACCAATATATCCACTAGCACCAGCAACTAAAACGCAAGTACTCATGATGAATTTAAACTGATTTGATTCAGCTAGATTGGAATATATCATCTATTTATACATTGTTGTTTAAGGGATATGCGATTTGATGTTTGCTTGAAAACAGACGATTTTGGCTGCAAAAAAATATTGGCTGCAAAAAAAAATAAAAATATGTAAAACTTAAAAACACCCTTTCAAAACTTCATTAGTCAATTTTTGGCCTTATTTCATAGTATAATGTCCAATATTTGTTACATCCTTACATTGATGCTATATTTAAAGGCAATTTTAGGTTCCACGGGGCTTAGATGAAAGAAGTTGCAGTTATAATGTAAGTATTCTTACAATGATAATAACGGCATTCGGACGTTGAGACTAATGCAAATATATTCATTCAACCCTATACATTCTCTTCCTGTTTAAATATTTCCCAACGTTGATTCAAAGTAATGAAAACACTATTACATAATAAAAACGATTCTTGATCACCTTTAGTTTGAGAAGCTAATTTATCAGGATGAATAGAACTTATAATCTTCATATAATTAATCTTAATTTGTTTAGGAAGCATTAAATCATTAAGCGTTAAAGTCTTTAATTTTTCATTGATTTTGATTTTAGGTGGTATAATTTCTTGTAAATTAGATAACATTTGTCTTAAATTGTTTTGTTTTGAATCTGCCCATGATTTGACCTTCATGTCGATTTTATCTTTCGTCATTGTGTCCACTTCTTCAACTTTTTCAACTTGTTTTGGTTTTGGTTTTGATATTGGTGTTGGTTGTGCTTTCGATTTTGGAGTTGAGGTTTTCACTGGTTTGTAATTTTGTGGATTTACAATCTTGTCTACTCTCCTTTTCCCATCCATTATTTTCGTATCATTACAATTCAATTTCGTAATTAATAAAATATAATTCTCAAGTGATGATTCATATTTTTCAAGTAATTCTAATGTTTCTGCCTTAATTGAAATTAATTTAACATACCAATATTTAATCAGTTTACTCGATATCTCAAAATCTGAAAAAATTTCAGAATCATCAATTAATGATAATGCCTCGTCAATATTATTTACACTTTGTTTCAAATGTCCCAGTAACTTATTAATTAATGCTAGGTTAGATAATATGACTACTCTCAATTCATGATCTCTTGGTAATAATACCAAACATGATGTATATGATTCTAAAGCAGTTGTATAATCTCCTGATTTATATGATTCTTGAGCTTGTTTTTTTAAAGTTGTATAATCTGTTTCTATGAATTGATTCAATGGCGTTGAATCACGTAATGCTGATGGTACTGATTTTGATGTTGTTGAATTTGTGAACATTCCTAAGATATCTTCTTCTGGTTGATTAGTTGAAATAGGTTGTGAAGGTTGTGGAGATTCTTGTTTTAATTTAGATGGTTGTGTAGATTCTTTTGTTTCTGGTTTAAATTGTGGTGATTCTTGTTTTAGTTCTTTTTGTTTGAATCTATTTGGACGTGGACGAATAGTTACCTCAGGTTCAACTCTCGACTTTGAAGACTCATTAGATGATCTAGATATCTCATTTCTTTGATTCAATTTATTTCTTCTTTCGGCATTTTTTTCCATTTGTAATTTCATATATCTTTCAATTTCTTCATGATTTATATTTTCTTCATCACTTCCATAATCTTCACTACCTAATCTTTTCTCAATTGCTTGTGATTTATATTTAGATTGATTTCTCATCCATTCAGGCATATTTCCATTCTTATCTTGATCTTTAAATTTTTCTAAATTTCTAATAACGTGTTGTTTACCAATATTAAATATATTATTAGCCTGTTTGTATAAATTATTACTTAATTCGTTGAAATTAATACCTTCTGGACGTGAACCCAAAACTGAATCTTCGTAATTGTCCTGTCTACTTTGTCTATTTGATGATTTACTATTTTTACTCATTATGTAATTGACACAATTTTGTAAATCTAAACCTTGGTTGTTTATTGCTTCGTTTGCTAAATCTATTGAAAATCCCATATCTATTAATTCAGCGACGATGAAATCTTTCTCTTCTGATTCTTTTTTGAATGCTTGTTTTCTTTCGGGAACTGGAGGTTTTGGTCTTTGTTGTGGTTTTGAATGAGCAGCTGGTTTGAATTCTGGAAATACGTCCGTAAATTCATCATCAAGTAATAATATCTCATTTTTATTTGCAAAAGATTCATTTATTTTGCTATCACTATCATACTCTGAAAATATATCGTCTGGTGCTACTTTAGTTCCGTTGTTACTCGTCGTACTTGTCTTTGGTTCAACTTTGCTAGCATTTTCAAATATGGGAAAAGGATCATCATTCTTTGGTTCATTATTTGGTTCTGTATTAGATCTGACTACTGGTGATGTTTCTCTATTTATAAAAGGTGACGATACTCTACTTGGGCGAGAACTAGGTTCCTGTGATAATATATCTAAGTTTGACCAACTTGAATTTAAAGAACTTGAATTTGAATTTGATTGATAAGGATGTTGTTGTTGTTGATTATTTCCTTGTTTTTGTAATTTTTGACGTTCTAATAGTGATAGGTTATTTATTTTACTTGTATTACCAGTTGCTGACAGAAATAAATCAGCAAATGCATCTTTCTTTGGTGCCATTTCATAAATTGATTCGTTCGAGATTGGTGATAAATTTTGGAATGAAAAAAAAAAAAAATTAACCTCGCGCTTCCATTTATAAAAGTGTTGATAATTAACAAAAGGAACAGTGGTTGTTGTTATGTTGGTATAAATGAGTAATAAAGATATTGAAGAGTATAATGCTTTGACATCTACTTTAAATTCATATTATCAATTTTATAATTATCAATCTGATCAAATTATTAAACCAAGATTATTAAAATTTAAAACATTAACTGATGATGAAAAAGAATTGATTCCGTGGTATGAACAATATACATCAAATTTAAAACAATGTTTAGAAATGAATAGGGAATTTACAACTGGTTTATCACTTAATATAGCTAAAGATTGGGGAGTTTTAAATCCACCAAATGAATGGGCTCAAGCCACAACTAAAGAATTTGAAATTACGGCTGCTTGTTTATTACAATTAATGAGAGAATGGTCGGATGAAGGAAAAGCGGAAAGAGATATTTCATTTAAACTTATTTTGAAAGAATTGGAGGAGTTGTTTCCAGATTTAAATTCTAGACCAAATGTGAAAATACTCGTACCTGGTTGTGGATTAGGTAGATTAGTTTTAGAATTAGTCATGCTTGGTTTTTTCACTCAAGGTAATGAAATAAGTTATCATATGTTATTAACAAGTAACTTTGTACTCAATTATTGTCAATATGCTCATAGCTTTTCAATATTCCCATTCTTGTTTAAGTCTAGTCACTTAATTAAAAGAAATTATCAAATTAGACCAGTTACAATACCTGATGTATCACCATTTATAATTAATGAATTACAAGAAAGAAATCCAAATATTCCATATGCTGAATTAATGTCAATTATAGCTGGTTCATTTATTGATTTATATGGACCAAATTCAAATGATGATAAATTTAAAACTAAACAAAGTTTTGATATCGTAGTGACGAATTTTTTCCTTGATACAGCTAGTAATATAATTCAATATATCAAAACAATACATTATGTTTTAAAATCTGGAGGGAAATGGATTAATTTTGGACCTTGGTTATGGCATTTCGAAAGTGATTATAATGTTACATTTGCAGAGGGTTTAAATAATGATGGTGAAAGGATACCTAATATTAATAAAGGTTTAGAATTATCAAGAGAAGATGTTATTGAATTGGTTAAAAATATGGGGTTTAATTTTATTAAACATGAATCGGATATAAAATCAACATATTGTAAAGATATTAAATCCTTGGGTTCATTTGAATATAGTTGTGATTTTTGGGTATGTGAAAAAATAGACAAATAGACAAATAGACAAAGAAAGAAATGTATATTTTAATCATATCTTATTCTTTTTAGACTTCTTCTTTTCCTTTTTATCTTTCTTTTCTTTCTTTATCTTCTTTTTCACTTTTTTTGATTCTTTCTTTTCTATTTTACTTGAACTCTTCTTCTTTTTCTTCCGTTCGTTATTGCTCGGTATTGGTTTCTCGTTATTTTCTAGTTTAGATTTTAGCTCACCAACAGTACCTTTCAACCCTTCACCTTTAACAAACATTTCATATAATGGAGATAATGCCCTATTAAATGAATGTAGCACAGCTTCATCATTGGTTTTAAATGACACCTCCGTACTAGTTTTATTAACATCTAAATTCTGTAACTGACCATCAAATAATTTTTCCCACCACATATCTGAATCATTTGAATCAGATCCTAGTCCCTTTGTATCTTTTTTATGTTTAACTAATATTGGTTTCTTTAAACCACCTTTTTGTAAAGCTTCACCATCTTTCCATCCATGTGACTGTAGATACAACCTAGCGTTCATTATATATGATTATTCAATTATTTTGCAGCTACTGATAAGATGAGAAGAGTTTTTTTGGAAATTTATTTTTCTGAAACATATTTATATGGAGAACAAAAACGACGATAAATTAGATGAATTACAACAAGCATTAGATGATAATGAATATGATATAGAGAACTATGATAGGTTGATACAATATATGCAAGTATATGAAGAAGATGAACCTTGGAAATGGCAAACAATAGATGCTATATACGAGCAAAAAGCGCAATATTTTACATTGAAATTGCATGAGTTAACTAGTTGGATATTGGTGAAACAAAAGGTAGATGAGGGAGAGCTTTTGTTGTTCTACGGGGATGCTGCTCTTAATTATTATAACATTGATATGTTTAAAAGTTATTTAAATCTTTTACTTGAAAATGCCATGGGTGAAACAGATCATGATTTTTATTTATCTGAAATATCAGAATTCATGAAGATTGCAGTGTATGATTTTGAAAATAGTAATATATTATGGAACTTATTAATTGATCATATAAAACAACATGATTCAGATAATATCGCAAAATTGAAAGGAATTTATATAAAAAGATTAACATACCCTCATAAAGAACTAGACGAGTCATTCAATGAATATTCTTCATTTATTTCAGCTCATGACCCATCGAATTATGAAATTGAACTTCAAAATGCAAATAAAATATATCAATCAACTAAAAAATTACAACCACATTATGAAAAATATGAATCACAAATAAAGGAAAATAATCAACCACACGTTTGGATAAATTACATGTCTTCAGTATTCAAATACTCAAAAACAAAAAATATAAATGAAATTCTACCCATTTTTGAACGTGCAATCGCTAATGATGAAACATGGACAGAAGAATGGGAAACTGTCTGGATATCAATTATCTACATAATTTTTTCACAAGATGAAATAGACACAACTAATCTTCAACGTATATTAAGTAAATATTTACGAACATTTCCAAATTCACCATGTGCATATGCTGAAAATATAAGAAATCTGAATTTAAAACAATATAAAAAAATATGTAACAGAATTGATAAGATTAAATTTAAAGATTCAGTCGATTACCAGAAATGGAAATTGGTAGTTTTGGCAATGATCCAATTTGAAAATATTAATAAAACGGAAGAAACGATTGATAAATTAATAACTAATTTGAAAGCGCATGCTAATTATGCATTGGAAAATAATGACCTAATGCATTCTGTTGAAAAATTGATAATTTCTTTATTTACAGAATTGGGATTTCAAGAATTGGCAATTGAATTACTTAAAAAAATGTTTGATAAATTTAAAGAACAAGTTGATGTTTGGTTATTTGGCATAAATTATTACAAAAATGATCTGGATGTTAATGAGATCAGAGAATTGTTTAATAGAGCATTATCTAATGCTTCTATGCTTGATAAACCAGACAAATTAACTGAAGAATATTTATTATTCGAACAATTAAATGGTGATATAAATTCATATAGAAAAGCAACTGTGAAATGTAATGAAGCAATGATAAAAGCTATTAAATCAAAGAACGAGAATGTAATTGTTGAGGAGGTAATTAAACCTAAGCCACAAAAGAAAAGAAAACACGAAGAAGAAATAACTAGATCAAGAGAAGATTATACAATTGAAGTTAAAAATTTACCTAATACTATTAATGAAATAGAGGTAAAGACATTTCTTGAAGATTGTGGAACTATTAATAATGTATCATTAATAGAGAAAAAAGATTGCAAAAAGGCGATAATTGAATTTAGTAATCAACAAAGTGTATTTGCAGCATTAATTAAAAATCATAAAAAGATACAAGGTAACGAAATAGAAGTTACGAAATTACAAGAAAATATATTATTCATTAATAATTATCCAAATGATTTTAACGAAGATGATTTAAAATCTGAATTTTCAAAATTTGGTCCAATTATAGATATTAGATTTCCAAGACAAAGACAACAACAAAATAAAAAAAGATTTTGTTATTTACAATTTGAATTTTCAAATGATGCACAAAAGGCCATTTTAGAATATAATGGTAAAGAATATATTGATAAACAATCAAATAGAAAATATAAATGGGATGTAAAAATATCAAGACCAAAAGAAAGAAGAGAAAGAGAACCACCAAAAGAAAAAGATCTGAAACCAAAACCACATGTCAAATTAACATCAATGGTTCCTAATAATATCAAAAGAAGGAAACAACTAAATATATGAATGAATTTACTGCTGTATTAATGTATTTCTCTATTGGTGTGTAATACAAATTAGGCTGCAAAATAATTTTTCAAATCGACGCGGTGCACTACCAGTCGCAAAAAAAAATTTTTAGAGTCATAATATAACAAGCTAAGCAGTAAGGAACCATTATGTCTAGTGGTGTTACATTTGAGAAAACATTTCGTAGGGATGCTTTAATTGAAATTGAAAAAAAATATCAACAAATATGGGCTGATGAAAAAGTATTTGAAGTTGATGCTCCTAATTTTGATGAATGTCCAATTGATGAATCTTTTGAAAAATTACATCAAGATCATCCTAAATATTTTGCAACTATGGCTTATCCTTATATGAATGGTGTTTTACATGCTGGTCATGCGTTTACTTTATCAAAAGTTGAATTTGCAACTGGATTTGAAAGAATGAATGGTAAAAGAGCGTTATTCCCATTAGGATTTCATTGTACTGGTATGCCAATTAAAGCAGCAGCTGATAAAATTAAAAGAGAAGTTGAATTATTTGGTGAAGATTTCTCAGGAGCTCCACCAGAAGATGAAGAAGAAGAAGTTGAAGAGGTTAAAGTTGAAAAACGAGAAGATGTTACTAAATTTACTTCAAAAAAATCAAAAGCTGCTGCAAAACATGGTAGATCCAAATTTCAATTTGAAATTATGTTACAATTGGGTATTTCAAAAGAAGAAGTTTCAAAATTTAAAGATACTGATTATTGGTTAAAATTTTTCCCACCATTATGTCAAAAAGATGTTACTTCATTTGGTGCAAGAGTTGATTGGAGAAGATCAATGGTTACTACTGATGCTAATCCTTATTATGATGCTTTTGTAAGATGGCAAATTAACAGATTAAGAGATTTTGGTAAAATTAAATTTGGTGAAAGATATACAATTTATTCTGAAAAAGATGGTCAAGCATGTTTAGATCATGATAGACAAAGTGGTGAAGGTGTTACTCCACAAGAATATGTTGGAATTAAAATTAAAGTTAATGAATTTGCTCAACAAGCTAAAGATGCTTTAGCAAATGTTGATTTATCAAATAAAACTATTTATTTAGTTGCTGCTACTTTGAGACCTGAAACTATGTATGGACAAACTTGTGTTTTTGTAAGTCCAAAAATTGATTATGGTTTATTTGATGCTGGTAATAATGAAATTTTTATAACTACAGAGCGTGCTTTTAAAAATATGTCTTTCCAAAAAATTACACCAGAAAGAGGTTATTATAAATCAATTGCTAAATTAAATGGTAAAACTATGATTGGTTCAAAAGTTTCTGCTCCATTATCTGTACATAAAGAAATTAGAGTTTTACCGATGGAAACAGTTGTTGCTACAAAAGGTACTGGTGTTGTTACATGTGTTCCATCAGATTCTCCAGATGATTTTATAACAACAAAAGATTTATCAAATAAACCAGAGTATTATAATATTGAAAAAGATTGGGTTATAACTGAAATTTTACCAATTATTCAAACTGAAAAATATGGAAATAAATGTGCTGAATTTTTAGTTGAAGATTTAAAAATTCAGTCACCAAAAGATTCCATACAATTAGCAAAAGCAAAAGAATTAGCCTATAAAGAAGGTTTTTATAATGGTAAAATGTTAGTTGGTAAATATTCAGGATTAAAAGTTGAAGATGCAAAATTAAAAACAAAACAAGATTTAATTGATGATGGTTCTGGCTTTGTATATAGTGAACCAGAAAGTCAAGTTATTTCAAGATCAGGTGATGATTGTTGTGTTTCATTAGAAGATCAATGGTATATTGATTATGGTGAAGAAAACTGGCTAAAACAAGCTTTAGAATGTTTAAATGATATGGAAACTTATTCTAAAGAAACAAGACATGGTTTTGAAGGTGTTTTAGCATGGATGAAAAATTGGGCAGTTACTAGAAAATTTGGTTTGGGTACAAAATTACCATGGGATGATCAATTTTTAGTTGAATCATTATCTGATTCTACTATATATATGGCTTATTATACAATTGATAGATTTTTACATTCAGATTATTATGGTTCAAAACCTGGTAAATTTAATATCAACCCAAAACAAATGACTGATGAAGTTTTTGATTTTATATTTACAAGAAAAAATGATATAAATACTGATATTCCAATTGAACAATTACAAGAAATGAGAAGAGAATTTGAATATTTTTATCCTGTTGATTTAAGAGTTTCTGGTAAAGATTTAATACCAAATCATTTAACATTTTGGATTTATACTCACGTTGCATTATTTCCAAAACATTTATGGCCAAAGGGTGTTAGAGCAAATGGTCATTTAATGTTAAATAATGCAAAAATGTCAAAATCAACAGGTAATTTTATGACATTAGAACAAATTGTTGAAAAATTTGGTGCTGATGCATCAAGAATTGCAATGGCAGATGCTGGAGATACTGTTGAAGATGCCAATTTTGATGAACAAAATGCAAATGCAGCAATTTTAAGATTAACTACATTAAAAGATTGGTGTGAAGAAGAAATTAAAAATCAAGATAAATTAAGAATTGGAGAATTTTCATCATTTTTTGATTTTGCATTTGAAAATGAAATGAATCAATTAATTAAAGAATGTTATAATCAATATACTGCAAGTAATTATAAACAAGCATTAAAATTTGGATTATTTGAATTACAATTAGCAAGAGATTTTTATAGAGAATCTGTAAATTTAACAGGAATTGGTATGCATAAAGATTTAGTATTTAGATATATTGAAATTCAATCATTATTATTAGCACCAATTGCACCACATTTTGCAGAATATTTATTTAAAGAAGTTTTAAAAAAATCAGGTAGTATTCAAACTTCAAATTTTCCAAAACCATCAAAACCAATATCAAAATCAATTTCTGATTCTTTAACATATGTTAGAAATTTATCAAGATCTATTCGTGAAGCAGAAGGTCAAGTTTTGAAAAAGAAAAAAGGTAAATCAGATTTTGATATTAAAAAACAAGTTGAATTAAATTTATATGTTTCAAATACATTTCCAGAATGGCAAGATAATTATATTGAATTAGTTAGAGAATTATTTGAATCACATAAATTAAATGATAATAATTTAATTAAACAAAAAGTTGGTAAAGATATGAAACGTGGAATGCCATTTATTAAACAATTACAAATTAGATTAAATAATGAAGATCCAGAAACTGTTTTCAATAGAAAATTAACATTTAATGAATTAGATTTGATTAAAAATGTTTTACAAAATATTAAAAATTCACCATATTCATTTAAAGTTGATAAATTAAATATAGTATCGTTTAATAATGGTTCAAAAATTGGTAAAAATTTATTAACAGATGAAGAAATTGAATTAGATTTAAAGAATAAACTAATTGAAAATTCAATACCTGGTGAACCAGGTATTCAAATTAGAAATATTGAATAAGCGGTAAGGAAGCGTGAAAGTAAGGATGGTAATAATTGATAGTAATTGTAATTGTTTATTGCATTCACCATTTTATATTTGACATCCTATCCTTACGAGAGTTAACAAGTTAGAGCTATAGTTTATATAGTAATTAATGTATGTATATACAATTTTGATGTCTTGATAATTTTTTTTTTTGTTTCAGAATTTTTCAACCAACCAAATATTGAGAATTAACAAGTATTACCGCTAATATGAGATTTACACAATATCTTAAACAAATTCCGAAAGTTAATGTTCAAGATGTGATAATTAGAGCATCTGGTACTAATTTACCAACTGGTTTAGCTGGAATATACAAACATCCAAATCCAAGACCTGCTTTAGTTGCATTATACAATGAAACAATCAAAATTTTAAATGATAAATTTCCAAAAGATTCAATATATAAACAATCAGTTGAAAATTTAACTAAAAATAGATTAAAAATTGTTGAAAATGAAGAAATTACAGAAAATATAGAAAATAAAATTGGTGGTGGATTAATTGAAGAAATTATTATACAAGCAAAAGAAGAATTAGATTTAGCTCATGAATTATCAGCATTAAAATGTTGGGAAGAATTAGAAGAAAAACCATTGGATGACCAATGGGTTTATTTTGGAAAGAAGATTTAGGTAAGTTTTGCCATATAAGGATGAAATAGACCATGAAAGTATCTAAAAACATTTAATATATATTATTTAACACATAGATAACATAACAAAATGAATGGAAACTAATCAAAATGATTCCGACATCCCCCCCTGACTTAATCCTGACTCAACAACAATTATTCTTTATACCACTATTATTTTGTGATACATCAATATTACCAGTATTACCACCAGTAGCATTCGCTTCTTCAACATGTTTATCTTGAATAATACCAGCTAACTCATAAAATATAGAATCAACATTTTCATTTGATTTTGCACTTGCTTCTAAAAATGGTATATTTAATTTTGAAGCTAATTCTTGACCTTGTTCTTTTGAAACTTGTCTATTAACTTCATCATCACATTTGTTACCAACTAAAAAAATTTGAGCATCTTCATTTGCATGTTGAGTAACAGTTTGAAACCAATTTTCAACATTTTCAAAAGATCTTGAATCTGTAACATCATAGATTAATACAATACCCATTGCACCTCTATAATAAGCAGTTGTAATAGTTCTAAATCTTTCTTGACCAGCAGTATCCCATACTTGCAATTTAATTTTTTTACCTTTCGATTCAATAGTTCTAATTTTAAAATCAATACCAATTGTTGTAATAAATGATGGATTAAATTTATCTTCAACAAATCTCAATAATAAACAAGATTTACCAACACCAGAATCACCAACTAATAACAATTTCATAATCATATCATAGGCTCTAGATGATCCACCTCTAGCACTACTCATTGTAATATATATAAACTAACCGTAACAATAAACTTTATCTATCTATTGTAAAGTCAGGAAAATTAAATTTATCACCAAAATTTGATGAAAGAACACGACTACATATTTTTACACTTGGTAGCTTTGTTGTCGGTTAAACGTTTAATATTATAATACTATAGTTCTATATATATACTAAACTGTCGTTGTTACTCTATAAAAAGACTTCTGCATTAATTTCAACTGATGATGCTGCATATGGAATATCAAAAGAATTCATTACTTCCGGATGTAATACTCCAATTTGTCCAATTTCTTTCACTTCACCATCTTCTTTTGATCTAAAATAAACTTTGGCTCCTCTTCCTGGAAAGAATGTTTTATTATCTTTATCTTCTTCAATCCAATATCCTCTTCTTTTATCTGTCATTGGTTTTTCTAACCAAGGAGTTCTCATTGTTTGCATAATTTTACCTAATAACCCTTGAACAAATTCAAATCCTGATGTTTTACCAGCATATATTGCTGCCCAATTTCTTTGATTAAATGCACCTCTTTCTAATTTTACATCTTTCAATACAATATCTCCACACTCAAAGACTTTTATTGGTAATGAATGTTTTCTATTTTCTTTAATTGTTTTTAATATTCCTGGTAATAAAGTAGTTCTAACAACTTGATATTCAATTGTTTTTGGATTTTCTAATAAAACAGCTTTTGTACCATCATCTTCTTGCCTTAAAAATTTAAAATTTTCATCATGAGAACTTAAAGTTAATGGCATAACTTCTGAATAACCAGATTGTGATGAGGCTAATCTCAAAATATCAGCAACTTTATTTATCGGTAATGCTGATGCAATTAATGATTCTCCTTTTGGTTTCGTCTTTTTTAAATTATCATAACCATATGAAATCGCAGCATCTTCCATAATATCACATTGATGTAAAATATCACTTCTTGTTATTGGAACTTTAACATCTAATAAATCAGATTCATTTGAGGGTTTTGCATCTAATGACATTTTTTTCAATAATTTTGAAATTTCTTCACCTGAATAATCTAATCCTAAACATGAATTAATATATGATATTTCTGCTTGAGTTTCTCTTGGTTTCAAATTTGGGCATATTCTTGATTCATTATTAAATTTAGATATAATTTCAACAGGTTCAATTTCAAATGGAATTTCACAATATTTTGAGAACATTGCAACTATAGTATTAATAACAATTTCAGTTTTTGTTTTATCTGTACCTGTTACATCAATCCAAACATTTTTAGTATCAAGTGTAATTTTAGAATGATTTGAATTAATAATTGGTGGTAATGAAGCAACTGTTCTTTTTGAATCTAACATTACTGGATAAACTGGTGAATCTTTAATTATATGTAAATATTTACCAATATTTTTATCCTTTTCATAAAATTCCATCAATTCAACACCATTCATTTCTTTTTCTTGATTTAATGGTTTAAATTTGATTTCTTCTGGTTTTAAAGCTTCATAAGTAAATGGTGGAGTTAAAGTATCTAAATCATGAGTACCAATTGCAACCAAAGTTCTATTACGACATAAATTCGTATGTAATTTATCTTGTAATGCAATGAAAGAATCATATGATCTTTGATCAAATTTAATATTTCTTAAAATTGCAGAAGCAGCATATTGTCTAATTGGTAAAGTTGATTCTTTAATTGTTAATGATATTTCTGGTTTTTCAGGATTTAATTTATATGGTGGAGTTGTTGAATTTCCCAAAAATTCATTAAGAGCTTGTGCAATACCTTCAATACATAACATATCATATCTATTTGCTGGTACTTCAATTTTTAATTGTGGTCTTTCATTTGTACCTTTAACATCTTCAGTTGTATCTTCATCTAATTCTATACCAAATTCAAAACATAATTCATCAAATTCTTCAGTAGTATATGATCTACCTAATAATTGAAATAAATCTTCTTTATCTACTGGTATAGTAGGCATTTTGTTAATTAGAAAATACTTGAATCAAATGAATGAAAAATTTGAGTCAGAAATAAATTTTCAAATTGGTGTGAAGAACACGACTATAAAAATACTGAAACATATCAAGTTATAGAGGAGCTACTAATGATGAGAGATTAGTGAGGTATAGAGCTGATATTTCGATGGTGGTTATTGAACAAGTTTCTAATCTAACCATTGCTGAAAAATCTAAATACTATATAATTAAGCTTATATTTGAGCTCGTTTTGTTCCGCCCGGAGCAGATCTACGATCTCAGATCTCTGGTGCGAAAACTTAAACCATGAACAGTGAAACAACAAATTGGCATCAAGTTGAGATTAAAGCACTAAGTTAATAGCAAAAACAGAACATATATTATAATCTACGTAATTCTGGTTGGTATTTTGTCATAGTAAACTATCCACCAGTTATAAATAAGTTCGGAATATGGGAACTCAAAATTGAGCAAAAGCATGAAATGACATTAGTCTAAAAATCACCTCCCATATCACCTCCCATATCACCACCACCATAATCATCTGCCATTTGTCCATCTTGATAACCATCCATATACATGTCTTGATTATGATCAGAAATCATATTTCCTAAAAGCATACCACCGAGTACTAAAAAAAATGTTAGTATTTAAGATCTTCAAAGTCATCAGTTTTGATACATACAACCACCACCCAAACCCATCATAGCACCAGTACCAGCACCCATACCAGATCTTCTAGGTGGATATTGTTGTTGTGGATAATATTGTTGTTGAGGAGGGTAATAACCTTGCGGAGGATAGCCTTGTTGTGGATACCCACCATAACCACCATACCCTTGAGGTGGATAACCTCCTTGTTGTGGATAAAATTGTTGTTGTTGTCTTTGAGAAGGTGGCTGAGAATGATGAGATGAATGTGAAACTTGTGGTGAATGAGATTGAGCTTTTGTATTTGATGTACTTGGATTGAGATGATTATCATTTGCAGGAGTATAAGCTGGTGGTTTATCATCTTTTGATTTGGAACCGTTATCATCAAATGTCGTTCCTTTTGGTGCCTCCCATTGTGATTTTTTAGTTGATAAATCAACAAAAAACCACGTTTTATATTTATCATCAAATCTAGCTACCCATCCATCAGGCACTTTTGGTTGTTTATTTGCATCTTGATGTGACATAATTGTTATAATTGGTTGAAATGGAAAAAGAAATGGAAATAAGAATTTGTCAATATTTCTAGGTTAGTGTTCTTTTTGTCAATTTTTTATATAGATTAGATTTTGTGTCATTTGATGCAGATTGGGTAATCTATGAGGCTTTCGCGAATTATATGACAGCTTTTCATTATTGGTAATTGGTCAGGTACTCGGCGAAGGGTTCATGAATATTATTAGATTCGTCTGAGTTATTAGACGATTTAGTCATTATTGTATAGATGAAGTTTAAAGTCATTATATTTCTGTGAATATTGTATGATTCAAGAAATGTCAGTTTATGATTGACAATTCAGTAATTACACTACCCAGCCCCTAATAAAATGTTAATTCATGATTGACAGCTCAGTATTTCGCTATCTGTAATGAAATGATTACATAGTTTAAGATCAAAGTTTCAAGTAGATGGTCACATTCAACTCTGTGATGCTTGGACTTTCACTTCCTTTGAAATGATACTTTCTAAAGGCTGAGCTAAATTGCCCCACATTCTATAATAATTACCACGATACATTGGGCTCAGTTTAAAAGCGGCAAAAAAAATCTTCAAGCCATATTGGGCCCTAATTAAAATACCACGTTCCTGCTAGACTAATTTTACGATCGTATTATAACAAAATTTTTCTGATTTACAAATCCTAGTAGGGCAGACAATAGCAATAAATTTTAAATGTAACTAAGCTTTATTTTTTGAAACAGTCTTGTAAGAACTGGAATAGTAGCCTGTTTGTTAAATGAAATTAAAATTTGAAACATAGTACAAGTATTGGCGCTAACTCACGCCAGGAGAGAAAATAATGTGTGCCGCACATTTGTTCCAGACTGGGCGAAAGTCTAGTATACATTAAAAATCAAAACAATTGTGTTTGACTTATATGCAGTCTTTTCGTAGTAAATCTAAAAACTTGAGTTGTAAATTACCCGTTCAATATCGAAGCTGTAACTCTCAAACTAATTTCAATGAGTTTTTAATTGAATTAAGAGTCAAATTAAACTTGTATCTCTTGCAAAAAAGTAATTTTGATGACTTTATTCTTCTTTCAAAAAAACGCAATATCACGCTTAATTGGAAGATAAATAACACTTGGACCTCATTTACCAAGTTCTAATATAGCTGATTCGATTCAGTTAATCTCTGAAATTATTTCTGTAATGTTTTTAAGATGTCATATTATTTTGAGTTTTCTTCAAATTATTCGAAACAGGTTTGAAAATTTGCTTTATGGATTTTGAGTGCCTTAATACAAAAAAATCTGAAGCATATCAGAATTGGGAACTACCAAATTGGGTAGTTATATTGTAGTCAAATTTGAACTTTGATTGTGGAGTTGTATTTTGTTTATGGTCAATTTATTCGATTTTCGCCATAGTTTAGAGAAAATCTTTAAAATTCAATATTGACTGATATGAACTCAAGTATATATGATAAAGAATGTAATAGATAATTAGTATGTATTGAAGCTTGCAGTTAACAATTATATAATTTTCGGTTTCTTCACGTATCCGAATCTGCTATGCAATTGGTTTCACATATATAACATTGCATGACTAATTATATATAATTAAAACAAAATACTTTGATTAATCTTCAAGCAAACACTTGCTTACCCAATTTTAGTGAACTATGTTTCAAAACTTATTAATCACTTTTGACAATGTTATTAATCTCATCAATTGCAATTTTAACATTATTTTCTAATCCACTTATAATCACGGTCTGAATTATTTTAGTCTGTGGAATAAACAATTGATCAGTTGAACTTTCTAATGGAGGTAAAATCTTAATAAAACATTTTGTTTGAAGTCTAATCGATTTAATTAAATCACCTGAATCACCGATAATTTTACCAATTTCACGCTTATTGAATTTTAATTGAACATTAATGAAATCAAACTCATTTTCTTCCTTAATTTCAATTCCAATTACTTTTGGAGTTTCGGAAAGCGGAATTATATTCAAACCAGCCTCATCTGTTATATCTTTACGAATAGTTTTAATAGTTTTAAACATTCCATAATTATATTTGAATGCAACAGATTTAATAAAAGTATTGAGTGATCCTTTTTGAATACAACAACCAAATTCATTAAGTATAACACTTATAAAACTTAGATTATAGGCTTTTATTTCCCATAATGAAAGCAATAAATTCTTTTCAAGGTGTAAGTTAAAATATTCATCTTTAGCGACCAGTTTCCAATTGGTTAATAAATTTTGTTTTGTAATTGATAATTCTTTACTTGTGAGAATAAATGTAATTGGATGAAAAAGATCATTTACTTTATTTAATGAAATATAATACTCATCATTGTCAAAGTTAAATGATTCAAACATTATTTTTGGTATTTTGCAGCCAAATTCATAATTTAAGATCGCCAAAAAAAATATCATAAATTCTGAAACATAATCTGGAACATGAAACAAAACAAACAAAATTGGTGAACAAAAAAACAAACTAGCATTAAGTCACTTTTGATGTGATTATGCTTCGTGAAATATCTAGTATGTAATTCATAAGGTAAATAATAGTATAAAAATGTATGGAGGTACTAGCTGGCAATTAGGGTAATAGAATAATCGCTAAACCATGCAATGATTACAACACTTATTAGTGGAGTAAGCACATAGTCTAGTTAACAAAAGAGAATTAGGAGCGTAATTTCTTGAGAATAATGGTCTACAGATAGTTCTGATCATAGATTAATATCATTATTATGTGTATATAAATTTGAGTCTATAAACTCTTTTACGTATATGATCCATATTAGTCTTAAATTTCGAGTATAAGCAGTTTTCATTATTCCTTGTATATTAATTTAGCGGCTTCATATAACCAATTATATTGATGTATAGTTTGAACCATCATCATTCTTTGACTTCTCAATTGATAAACTATATTATAAATTATATCTTTCTTTTTATCATGATCATTATTACTTAAATTTTGAATCAAAGCTTTAAAATATTCTCTATTTTTATATAAGTGATCAAATGCAATAAAAGTACCCGATCTTCCAACACCTGCAGAACAATGAACAATTGGAACCGGTATATTTTCAATCTCTCGTTGTTGTAATTCATTAATATGATTTGATAAATTGATTAATGGATCAGATGATGGTGGAATTTTTGCATCTGACCAATTATAATAATAAAAATGATAAACTTTCTTTGTCTTGTGTAAATTTTTTAATTCCAATTCAGTTAATAAATATTCATTATTATTAATTGATGTTTCTTTAACATTTTTAATTGAAAGATTTTCAAATTCAAGTCCATCAAGTTCATTTTTTTCATTAAATTTCCATTCTTCATTGTATTCAGGCCAATATTTATCACATTTTATCATATCATGTTCAATTAACGGAGTTATCATTAATATTATAATGATTTCATTATTTTGTTTTTCCAGTTCATTAAAACACATTGTCCAAAATTGATTAATTGTACTTGTCAAGGGTCCTTGACAAGCTATAAATTTATTAATTTTTATGGACCTTGGTAATTTTAAATTTATATAGCTTGCATTTATATAATCTGAATATGTTTCAGCAATTGTAGGTAAATGTACTCTTGATTTATTATACGGCGAAACATTTGTATATCTATTTCTATTTTTATTTAACTTTAATAATGATGATGATAATGACCATATGGAATTATACGGATCATTTATTCCTTCAATTATTCTATTTGATTCTAATTCATTTAATTCATCAAATTTATCACGTTGAATTGAAATAGAAACATTTAAACAAGAAGGTATAGATGATGAATGTTTTTTTAATGATTTTGAATTTTTTGATTTTGTACTTGATAAAAATGAAGATGGATAGAAGTTTTGTGATTTAGGAGATGTAGGAGATTTAGGAGATGTAGGATGATCGAGAATTAAGTCATTATCATCATCCAACACATCTCTATCTATATCCCTGGTATTTGACGTTGTAGCATGTTTGTTATTTAATAATGGTAACGATTGTAAATTTAACTGGTTTTTCTTAAATATATTCATAATACTGACTAATTGTTGACTGTTGATCGATGATCTTGTATGAATATATAAATCTTGACTATTATTTGTTATTTCAATTTGTTGAAATATTGTATTGTATTGTATTGTATTATATTGTATTGTATGATTCAGTATATTATTAGTAAAGATTAACTAAAAAAATTATAATAATATTTTTTTATTTTTTTTTTTTTTTTTTGTTAAATAAATTTTGCTGCAAATTTCTATGAATTCAAATACTTAAGCGTGTAACTTAATTTATGGAATCAATGGATACCTTCTATACTACTATTTCTAGTATTGTGTTATACTGGTATCGTATCTTCTGTTATATTGAAAGTTGATCCGATCCGAGAGCCCCGCTTAAACGTTTTTTATAAGATTAAGAAAAACTAATCGTGTGACTAACAGAGTAATGTGACATTACTTTAAATATTGTTGCACAAATTTGAACTAGAAACTGGTAACTAAGATTGCCTCATTTGATGGAATGCGCTTTGTGTCATTAAACTTTTGGTTTAAGGTTAATAGGGTACCTTATTTTACAAAATTCTTGTTGATTCTCCAAGTATTCTAAATTCTGAAACAAAACCTTTCTATTGTCAGATTTACAGCTGGGCTGGCTTTTGATTTAATATAAAAATTCCGCCTATCGTTGTATGTTTTGATCTGAGACCAAAAAAATTCAATCACAATACCCTTGAAACTATTCTTCGTTCTATTCTTCTCGGTGACCAAAAAAAACTTATTAAGTATGTCGTGTATTCCGATTCAAAAATCACAGACGCTTCCCAGCTCAATACCAAAATCTTAGAAGCATACCGTGAGCTTAGGAAACTTCTGTGAACATTGACAAATCTTGAAAAAGATCACTTCTTGATGCTTATGCTAAAAAAAACTCCACAAGTAGAACTAATTTGACGTTAAATTATGAGCAATACGGTATTGAATCAAAATCAAAAGTAAGATCTTTACACTACAATCTATCATTTCTAATTCAACTAACTAATCTCATCATTGTATACCCATAAGTAGTACTAATCAGTAACACAGTGCTACCAAGTACTAATCAGTAACACAGCGCTACCAAATATTCTAGTATTCTAAGATCTATGACTGATTACATAATCAATATATATATAAAACAAATTTCCGTGATAAAGAAGAAAAAAAAAAAAAATAAAAGGAAATCATATTTGTTAATAGGAGGAAGGCAATATCAATCAATACTAATCAAATACTAGTAGTCTTATAATCCATAATAATATATCTGTTACATCTATTACACTTACAAAATATTATATAGAATCTAGAGAAAAAAAGAAACATGAGTTCACAACAACAACAATCATCATCAACTTCAACCAATAATAATAGTTTACAACAACCAATACCTACAATATCTGTTAAATTAGTTTTATTAGGTGAAGCAGCTGTTGGTAAATCTTCATTGGTTTTAAGATTTGTTTCTAATGATTTTCAAGAAAATAAAGAACCAACTATTGGTGCAGCTTTTTTAACTCAAAAATGTACAATAAATAATCAAATTATAAAATATGAAATTTGGGATACTGCTGGTCAAGAAAGATTTGCAAGTTTAGCTCCGATGTATTATAGAAATGCTCAAGCTGCTATTATTGTATATGATATTACAAAACCTGCAAGTTTTATAAAAGCAAGACATTGGGTTAAAGAATTACATGAACAAGCAAATAAAAATATAACTATTGCTTTAGTTGGTAATAAATATGATTTAGTAGAAGATGAAGAAGAAGGTGGTGCCAATGAAAATGAAGAATCATTAAGAAAAGTTAGTTATGAAGAAGGTTTAAATTTAGCAAATGAAGAAGGTTTATTATTTTTTGAAACTAGTGCAAAAACAAATCATAATATAACTGAAGTATTTGTTGCAATTGGTGAAAAAATTCCAAAAGATAAATCAAATGAAAGTAATATAAATAATGGAAATGAAGGTGGTAGAATTGATTTATTAAATAATGAACATATACCACAAAAATCAAATACATGTTGTTAAATTAGTTCCAATGTGTTTTTATATAAATTTATATTTATTAAGTAATAATATATACTAATTGAGAGAGATCAAACTGTTTTATATTGTTACTTTAATTTGGACCAAAATCGTTTCGTAGTAAATATTTTTCTCGTTTAATTTTCAATTTTTCAACCCAGGAGGGCACAATTGAATTATGGCTTCTACTACATTAAGAGTTGCTTATGTTCCAGAACATTTCTCAACTCCATTATTTTTAGCTGAAAAACAAGGCTATTATTTAAATGCTAATTTAAAAATTGAATTTACTCCAGTTAAAGAAGGAAGTGGTAAATTAATTCAATTATTAAATTCAAATGAAATTGATATTGCAATTGGTTTAACTGAAGCTTTTATTGCTAATATAGGTCAAGGTAATGATAAAATTAAACTTTTAGATACTTATGTATTATCTCCTTTATTATGGGCAATAAGTACTGGTTATAATAGAGATGAATTGAAATCAGCTTCTGATCTAAATGAAGCAAGTAATGTTGGTATTTCAAGATATGGTTCTGGTTCATATATAATGAGTTTTGTATTAGCTCAAGAACAATTAAAATTACAATCTGGTTTTTCTAATTTTAATGAATTATCAAATTTTTTAAATTTAAGAAATGCAGTTAATTCAAAAGATGCTGATTTTTTCATGTGGGAATATTTCACATCAAAGAAATATTATGATAATAAAGAAATTAAAAAGATTGGTGAAATTTATACTCCTTGGCCATCTTGGGTAATTACAAGTACTTCAAAAATATACAATGAAGATAAAGAAAGTTTGAAAAAATTTATAAATGCAGTTTTTAAAGGTATTAATTATTTTAATGAGCATAAAGAAGAATCAATTGAATATATTTATAATAATTTTGATTATTCAAAAGAAGATGCTCAAGAATGGATTAAAACTGTTAAATTTAATTATAAATTAGGTAGTGAAGGCTCTTTAAATTATAAAGAGATTGTTGAAAATACTTCAGATATTTTAAAAATTGCTGGTGTTTTGAAAGACAGTGATGAAGTTATTGAATCAAGATTACGAGCGCATGTAATTTCAAATTGAGGTATACATTTTGACAATTACAAGGACTGTGTTATTAATTCCAATATATATTCAACATAGCTTAGTCATATAAGTTAGTCTTAGTTTCTTGTTGAAGAAAAAACGTTTACCTTTTCCAAGTTCTGCACCTTCGAAAACCAAACCTTTTTCGTTAGGTCTACTATCTACTCCAGTGATGAATTCCAATTCATGAGAATAATCTGACTCAATTGGTCGTGCTTTTGGATTAAAAAGGACCAACAAATGTTTCTTTATAACTTATTGTGTATTCTATATCGATTTTGTTAAAACGAAAGCCACTATTCCCAACACCAGTATAAACATCAAAATCATCATACACAAATCACAAAAAAATTCATCAGCACTGTAAAAACTAAGACAATAATCACAGATACTTTTCTTTAATTTTGAAAAATGATTTGAATCTGAGGATTTCTGGTTGACTAAATTTGGTGGTTTCTCATGTAGTTTCTTCAACATTATCAGATTTCTCAAGCTCTTTTATTTTGAAAGGTTCCATATTCATATTTTTGAAATAAAGTATAAAATGGCAAGATCTCATATTCGTTATAATTTATAGCTTCTAAATATATGCATTCTAGGAAAGTGCAAAATTAACTAATATTCTTAGTGTTTTTGATGCATTGCTAAGGAATCTAGGAATAAACACTCAAAATTGGGTGATTGTCTAATTCTCTAGTTGGTTATTTGCGGTGGTATTTCTAGTTGGTACTTTGATTAGTTTGTGAATATCTTAAGCTACAGGTCATAAGGCTTGAGTAGCTTTATAATCCAAATTATGTAGAAATTAGGATGTTAAAGCTCATATCAGTTATACGAAGTTGTTCTTATCGTCACAACTATGAAAAATTTCAAAATATTTGCAATTTGACCTTTTGTTAACTAGTTAACATATTTGTTCTCAAAAATGATCATTGAAAATCAAAGTTTGACAAACTGAGATTAGAGATTGACTAAAAAGTAGGGTTTTTTAAATTTTGAATTCTTTGCGCGCTATATATCTGATTCTTTTTGTGTCATTTTTCGTATCTTAAAATAAAATACAGATACGAGATCTCAATCGCGCTTTGAAAAATTCGATTTGCGTTTGTTTAATATTTTTTACTCTAAACCTTTACTTCATCTGGTATCATTCTTTTTGCTCAAGTAAAATGCTCTACTGTGAGTAAGCTTTGCTTTATGACGCAACACTAATTTTGAAAAGACAATGTTCGCTTGTTTGAATTAGTTAAAACAGGTATAGATAATTGTCAAATAGTAAAGATTTAAAAATCTGATAATTAATTAAGCTATTCAATTGAAGTATACAAAACTATCCTACTTCTCTAAAAAAAGAATTTTCTCAGCCTGTTAATTGATTTATTGAATTACAATTAGGTTCATCTTAAGCCGATACTTTCAAATATATTCACTTAAATATGTCTTCTTTTAAATCAACGTTTGTTATAAACAATCAAGCCTAAAAATCTGACTCAGTTACCCGAAGATAAACTTTTTTTAATAATGAATAGATCAACAAAATAAGTAACAGATTGAGTTACAGCTTCTCCTCAATTTATTTTACAAATGTTTCTTATGATTGAGTCTTAGTAGAGACAAAAGCTATCAATTTGACAATTTCAATCTATCTTTCTTGATTTTGCTACTGTGCTTGTTTTAGCTAGCTCCAGATGTTGTGTGAACTAAAATAGATAAAAACATTTAACATCTTTATCTAAAATCTGCAATTGACTCTTCTAAAAAACCCTCTTTAAGCTATTTATGCTACATTATGGACCTAAGTATAGCTTTAAGGCTACTTAGTTCAATTCATTCGTTGTAATCATTAACAATTGCAATGTATTGGTCTGCCCTTCGTATAATTTCATTATATCATATTTTTAGTGCGCGGTTAAATTTATTTTTCGACGAAAATTATTTTTCTTGTTCATTATTGAATTTATATAAATGAATTCATGAATAATCATTCATTTTTCAAAACAAGAAATATAAAATGGTTGATAATTAGTATTATAACATATGCTGCATTAAAATATTATTATAGATTTGTATTATTTCAATCAGTGGCATTAATCTTAATTTTAATTTTTATTTCATATTCATTATTGATTTTAAAAACACCAAAACCAAATCAACCCGCCCCAAGGATCAAAAGATTTAAATTCACATATCAAAAGGAATGGAAAGAAGAATTGTCAAAATTTGAATTTCAAAAACAAATTCCTGCATTTTCCTCAAGCTCATTCAGATTATCTGAATTAATCAATGATTTTATCAATTTAATCATTCAAAATTTTATATCACCATGGTATTACAAAATCACAACTTCACCATCAGTGACTAATGATATCGAAAATGAATTACATCATGTTATTGGGGGCGTAAAAGATAGGAGTTCGAGAATTGATTTTGCAAGATTGATAATTTCAAAATTTTTACCCATTATTGAAAACAACTTTATCACATTCGTTGAGAATGAAAAACATGTCGATCAGATTGAGTTACATAATGGTGTGAACCATGATAAAGAATATTTAAGAGGTTTGGTATCTAAAATATTACCATTTCTTATGTCGGAAAATGAAAAGAGTCCAATTGTGAATTCATTATTGATTGAAATTTTATCATGTACTTTACTTGCCAATATATTTAATGCAGTTACTGAATTTGATTTTTTTAATTTAATGATTTGTAAAGTCATTAATTCGAATTTGAAAAGTAGAAATCAGGTAAAATTGTTGAGACAAACCTTGATTGAATATACAGAAAAGGAAAAGGAGAAAGATAAAAAGAAGAAAGAGATAATAGGTGCTGAAGATATAAAACTAGATGACATTTTGTTCAATAAATTTAACCTATCATTATTTAAAGAATTTTTAACTACCAATAACAGATCAGAATTAGTTGACTTTTATTTGGATATAGAGAATTTAAAAAACCCATTGGAATTAAATGATGAAGATAATTTAAATCTAAAATATATAAATGAATCAGATATACAAATGATAATCAACAAATATAAAAATTCAAAAAATCTACTACTTAACGATGATGAGTATTTGAATCGTGAAAAGTTATTCATAAAGCAAAAAGATGTTTATAAAGAATTAGAAAATTATGACTTGATATTATTTAGAGAATCAAGTTTGTTCAATAAAATTGAAACTAAAGGAAAGGGAAATGATAATGCAGATGTCATAGATGCTGTTGAAACTGTATTCACCCAAATCATGAGTAATAAAATGAATGAAAAAGAACAGGTTCCAAATATAAGGCCAGAATTGATGGAAAGAATAAATAGAAATTCAAAATTATTTGAATTTGATGAATCGGAAGAAGAAAATGAAAACGAAGAAGAGGGATTCTATGATGAAGAATTAGAAGAGTCAGATTCAAATTCAAATTCTAATGCAAATTCAGTAATTCTTGATTCTAATGAGGCAGAGTCAAATTCAAATTCAAATTCAAATTCAATTCAATTAGCAGCACCTGGGAATTTAAACCTAACTGAAGAAATACCCAAATTTACACTTGAACTTGAGCATTTGAATCAACAATTGTCAATTTTACAACCACTTATCAAAAAAGCTGAATTAACAAATAATAAATCACAATTGAAAATTCTCAAAAAGCTGAAGATGGACTTATTAAAAGAAATAAATAACAAAGAATTACAAAAACAACAATATATAGTTCAAGAGTCAAATAATTCCCTATTTGGTAAATCTAAAGTTTGTATCCAATCATATATAAATAATCATGAAAAAGGAAATAATTTCATTGTTTATATAATTGAAGTTCAAAAATTTTCAAACGAAGATCCAAATTTAATCAAAGCTGGATGGGTAGTAGCTCGACGATTCAATCAATTTTATAAATTAGATAAATATTTAAGGAAAAGATACCCTAAAGAATTAACAAATATAAAATTTCCAAAAAAGCAATTACAATTATCAGTTTTAAAATTTTTACAACAGAATCAAATTGTAGAAATGAGAAAAGTTCAATTAGAACAATATTTAAAAGACCTAATATCAATTAAACAAATTTGTTTTGATAAATCATTTAGATCATTTTTATCAAGTGAGAATTTCACATTGAAAAATGAAGAAAAAGTGAAACCATTAAAAGAAGAAGAATCCAAGAAATATCTTGAAGTATTTAATAATAAATGGTTCAAAAATGACATAAATTTAGATTCAGAATTAGTTGCTGAGAATCTAAAAGATATGGAGATTGAATTAAATCAATTTGAATCAACACCAACAACTACAACAACAACAACAACAACAACAACAACAAAATCTCAACCTTTTGTTAAACCAATCTGTGACTTATTAATAGCTGTATTTAAATTGAATAATTCAAATAATTGGTTAAGAGGTAGAGCATTAGTAGTCATACTTCAACAAATTTTAGGTACTACTATAGAAAAGAAAGTTTATGATTTAATTCAAAATAATTTAAAAAATAATGAGATTTTATTTGACATTATAAATAACTTGAAAAATTTGGTATTTCCAAATGGTAAATTTAGAGATCCACCACAGATTAGATCACAATTTGAGATGGGGAAAACTAAAGAAGAGGCAAAAATTTTATTAAATTTATTTATGATTGAAATATGTCTGAAAATTTTTGGATATAATAATACAATTTATGGAACTAATAATTTCTTCAAGATGATTCAAATTAATAAGTTGAATAAGAATTTACTATTTCAATTATTTGATGAATTGATAAAGGAGATTTTCCCGGAAATAGAAAATGAAAAGTAGCTAATTTAATATATACCCAAAGAACCTGTGAAGAATTATAATCTCTGTTTCTTAATTTTGTAATCCATTGCTTAAATTTTGAGACAAGGTTCTTTCCATGATCAGTATTTTCAGTTATTTCGACATGAATTAACACCTTTTAAAATCTGACGCATATCAGAAGAGGGAACTATAAATTTGGATACTTTTATTATGAATTTGATTGTGGAGTTAGATGTCATGTAAAGTTGACTTATTCGATTTTACCATAGTTAAGAGTAAATATTGAAATTTTTCAATTTTAGCTTACATCATACTAAAGTTTATCTAGCATTTTTACTTAATTCCTACATAGATGTAATCCGTTGTTTAATTGAATGTTATGGTCTTAAATAAAAAGTATTTTGGAATCACATTCCTCGCATAATTTTTGTATGGTGGAAAATGGCCAAAATGAAAACTCAAAAAAGAATGTTTGAAATTGAACATTTGGAATATGTAAAATGTACCATTTAGAAAATCATGTTTTATTAAATTGGTTCTTATCTCCAAGGTCATGTTGTTCATGGCGTATAATCCTATACATTTAGTACGAGTCGCCTTAGAACTAAGGCGAGAAAATATTATTTTGTCGCACCGAGATATGGCGTTGAGAATAGGAACGAAATTTATTCTGAAATTTGGAACGCTTCATATGATGTTAAATTATATGCAGTCCTACAATTATTAGGTTGATTTTACAACCTTTAATCTACAAATAACTCATTCAATAATCTAGCTTTAGTTCTCATTTCTTAAATCGCTAATTTTTTTCGGCAAGCTTATCTTTTGTTAATGTTGGTTTTAGTAGCAAATAGCCAAATTTCTGAATGGATTACTCGACTGAAAATCAACTAGCGTTTGGAGAAAAAAACACAATTCATTAACAGGTTAACTTTAGCACAAAAGTAATCTCTACATACACTACACGTTGTGATACTATGAAGGTTCCCAAAGTTTGTTACAACACCACTAAAAACTTTTGAAAAATCTCAGATATTTCAACGAAATGCTTTGATCCAACAAAATAATTTCTCGCCCGAATCTCTGGGCGACCTCGTACTACGTATATTGGCTCTTATATTCTGAACAACTCATTTTGACGAGATAAATAAATACCAATTATATAAGATCAGGAGCCTTGAATTATATACTCCCTATGTTTCAAGTTTCATATTTCGAACTTTTTTATTTCAGTTGTCATTTTAGGCTTTTTTCACCATACAAAAATTTTGACAAAAGAGTGAACCTCATGAATTTCATTATCTAGAACCACATTCTTCAATCATACAATGAATTATACACTTTAGATTTATAATAGCTAGCTGGACCAAATCAGCTATTCTAGAAGTTGCTGACTGATGTTTAAGTATTGATTTGCAATTTAATGTATTTTTGCATATTTTAAAAGATGTATAAAGTCATCAAAATCATGTTTTTTCTTGAAAAAACAATATCATTCGTTTCTGAATCAAATTCATAATACAATGAATTAAGATTAAAAAACATTGCTTTAGTATTGAATGAAGTATTGACTATTAAAGTTTTGATATTGGGACTACTACAAGACTGCATATAAGCCAATTTTGTTCCTGGATTATTTTTTCAAGTATGCAAAATCTCGTTCAAAATTAGTGCCACTACAATATTTTCCTCGCTCTCGACTTAGGGACTCGTACTCGTACTAAACATTATGAATTATATTTCTCGCTCAACGGTATGTCACGAGATATAGATTTCTTTAATCATTTAGGAGCTATGCTTTTACATAGCTCAACATTCAGGCTTCAAATATTTTTTTTGAGCTGACATTTTGGCTTCACGCAAAGATTTAACTAAAACTGAAAACGAAAACTAATTTATTACGACCAGATTCGTTAAGTCCATTCATAATTCCACCGCTATCACCACCCAAACTAACTATTATATCACCTTGGATTGCATCTTCACCTTTTAATTCTTTATCCGCTCGAGTTAGAGTAAAAGAATCAAATAATAAATTTAATTAAATCTAGAAAGTTTGCTTTTCACACCGCCAATAAAAATAATAGTAAGAGCCATTGTAGTATTATTGTTGATTAGATGTTAGCTCATAATTTTATTCTGATTAGATGTTACCTCATACAGTTATTCCTACACTCTTATAAGTCTTTTAACAAGTTGGATCTTAATGGATCTGAAGTTTTTAAAAAAAGCCCCCTAAGAAATATCCACGTTATCTCTTCTCAATTTATCCGGGTTAGCTTTGATTATGTGGTGTTCCATACTTAACAATGTCATCGTAGATATTATATAAATGTAATCAATTACATAATAATTTTGCAACAATCCTTAACAAATTTTTCACTCCCTTCTTAAAATTTTTTTTTTTTTTTTTTTTTTTTTTTTTTTTTTCTGGTTTTGAAAAAAGTTTTTCACTTCTAATTTTTCACTCTTTTAAATCTTTTCTTTCTTCATTACATTTTTAATTAGAAAGACATAATGGCTGACGGTGTTTTCCAAGGTGCTATTGGTATCGATTTAGGTACTACTTATTCATGTGTTGCTACTTATGATTCAGCAGTTGAAATTATTGCAAATGAACAAGGTAATAGAGTTACTCCATCTTTTGTCGCTTTTACTAGTGAAGAAAGATTAATTGGTGATGCAGCAAAAAATCAAGCTGCTTTAAATCCAAAAAATACAGTTTTCGATGCTAAGCGTTTAATTGGTAGAGCTTTTGATGATGAATCAGTTCAAAAAGATATTAAATCATGGCCATTTAAAGTTGTTGATCAAGGTAATCAACCTCAAATTGAAGTTGAATACTTGGGTGAGTCAAAAACTTTCTCACCACAAGAAATTTCATCAATGGTTTTAACTAAAATGAAAGAAATTGCTGAAGCTAAAATTGGTAAAAAAGTTGAAAAAGCTGTTATTACCGTTCCAGCGTATTTCAATGATGCGCAAAGACAAGCAACCAAAGATGCTGGTGCCATTGCTGGTTTAAACGTTTTGAGAATTATTAATGAACCAACTGCTGCTGCTATTGCTTATGGTTTAGGTGCTGGTAAATCAGAAAAAGAAAGACATGTTTTAATTTTCGATTTAGGTGGTGGTACTTTCGATGTCTCATTATTAAATATTACTGGTGGTGTTTTTACTGTTAAAGCTACTGCTGGTGACACACATTTAGGTGGTCAAGATTTTGATACCAACTTATTAGAATTTTTCAAAAAAGATTTTGAAAAAAAAACTGGTAAAGATATCTCAGGTGATGCTAGAGCTTTAAGAAGATTAAGAACTGCTTGTGAAAGAGCTAAAAGATCATTATCATCAGGTACTCAAACCACTGTTGAAATTGATTCATTATTTGATGGTGAAGATTTCTCAGCTAACATTACTAGAGCTAGATTCGAAGATATTAACTCAGCTTTATTCAAATCTACTTTAGAACCAGTTGAACAAGTCTTGAAAGATTCAAAAATTAACAAATCACAAGTTGATGAAGTTGTTTTAGTTGGTGGTTCAACAAGAATTCCAAAAGTTCAAAAATTATTATCAGATTTCTTTGAAGGTAAACAATTGGAAAAATCAATTAACCCTGATGAAGCTGTTGCTTATGGTGCTGCTGTTCAAGGTGCTATCTTAACTGGTCAATCAACTAACGATGACACTAAAGATTTATTATTATTAGATGTTATTCCATTATCATTAGGTGTTGCTATGCAAGGTAACGTTTTTGCCCCAGTTGTTCCAAGAAATACCACTGTTCCAACCATTAAAAGAAGAACTTTCACAACTGTTGCTGATCATCAAACCACTGTTCAATTCCCAGTTTACCAAGGTGAAAGAGTTAACTGTTCAGAAAATACTTTATTAGGTGAATTTGATTTGAAAAACATTCCACCAATGCAAGCTGGTGAACCAGTCTTGGAAGCTATTTTTGAAGTTGATGCTAATGGTATCTTAAAAGTTACTGCTGTTGAAAAATCAACTGGTAGATCAGCTAACATTACTATTTCAAACTCAATTGGTAGATTATCAACTGAAGAAATTGAAAAAATGATTTCAGATGCTGAAAAATTCAAAACATCAGATGATGCTTTTGCTAAAAGACATGAACAAAAACAAAAATTAGAAGCTTATGTTGCTTCAGTTGAATCAACTGTTACTGACCCAGTCTTATCAGCTAAATTGAAAAAATCAGCTAAAGATAAAATTGAAGCTGCTTTATCAGATGCTTTACAAACCTTAGAAATTGAAGATTCATCAGCTGATGATTATAGAAAAGCTGAATTAACCTTAAAAAGAGCTGTTACAAAAGGTATGGCTACTCGTTAAACTAATGATATGTATATAACGTTTGTATAATAAACATTGATAAGAATTTATTTGTATTTATTCGTCTAGTATGTAATTACCTAATTTGTCCATTTTCAACGGTTTTTTAGCAGATAAAGCTTCTATTATCTTTTCATTTTCTTCTTCAAGATCCTTCTCTTCTTCAAATTCATCTTCTTCGTCTTCGTAATCATATTCTTCCTCATGATCTTCTTCATCCTCTTCATCATCTATTTCTGATAAATCTTCATCTTCATCAGCTTTAATTCTCATACCTAACAATGCCTTTTCTAAATCTTTATCATTTCTATTACCAGTTCTCTTTTTAGCATATCCAGAAGCTTTAACTTCAACATCTAAATTCTTTTCTCTAATTACATCTCTTTTGAAATTTGGATATGCATATTTATAACCATCTCCATAACCTGAAGTATCGAACATTGTAGCATCATGTTGTGGATCATATTTAAATTTCTTCATAAAGAAATCTCGTATACCTTGTACATCTCTATCAAAATATTCCTTTGCATCTGGATGTTCAATTGAAACACATTGTGGGAAATCAATAACAACAAAGTCATACTTGTATTTTTCAGGTTCATCTCGTATCAAAATATTAAATTCATTAAAATCACAATGTATTAAACCTGCATTAGCTAATTGTATAATAAAATTCATTAATTCAGAATATAATTTCTTATAATTTGCATAATCGCTTTTCATATGTTTCATAGGATAACCTTTTATCCATTCCATAGCAATACAATGTCTTGAACAATCAAATGGTTGAGGAACATTGAAACCATTAGTATATAAAATTTCCATAAATTCATATTCTTTTTCAGCTGCTAATCTTGATAAATACATCCAATTTGAAGTTTGTCTTTTTTGTAAATAATCTCTATTATTTTTAACAGTTTTAAAACTTGTTCTACCTAGCCTATGAATCTTTAAAACTTTTTGTTTACCTTTTGAATCACTAATTGAATAAATATCAGATTCTTTACCAACACCAATTGTAGAACCAACTGAATAAACTGAATTACGATTTAATAAAGTTTTCAAAGCAAGATAATCAAATCCTGAATATGATAATCTAAATCCATCATATTTTGCATTTCTTAATCTTGAAATTAATTTTAATTTTGCTAAATCACCAATGGCTTTATTTGTACCTGATGGTGATTTCATGCCACCAATAGAATGAATCATTTGAGTAGGTACTAATTCATGATTTCTTGATCCTAATTCAATAGCTTGTAATATTCTAAAATCATCTGAGGTCAAATACCTCATTTGAGATGTATCTAACTTCATCTTCAATTATCAAAGATTTGAGATGGAATGGGAATTTTTTTGTTGCACAAAATCGAAATTGAAAAATATGGTTTGTTGATGTTTAAACAAAAATATAATAAAAGGAAAACAAGAACTTTGAAGAGAAGAGCATCATTGAAAACTGAGATTAAAAGAGAAACTAAAAGAGAGGACTATATTGAAAGTTTAAGTAAAATAAGTAATGATGATTTTGGTACTAATAGTGAATCTTATAATTGGTTACAATTAACCCCAAGACTAAAGCCAAAAAGAAGGTATAAATTCGCAAAATTAAAACAATTGTGTGCTCAGGAGTTAGCATTGAATGCTGATTTAATTGACTCGAAGATACTAAGTTACATACCACATGATATTTATAAATATATTTGGAAATTCATTCTCTTACTTGAACAAGATTCAATTTTAAGTTACTCCATATTTTCAAAATTATCTGTACCGACTCATTCAAATACAAATTCACTTAAAGATAGTGTTATAAGTCTTTATAAAATACCTAACAGACATCATAGAATTGAAAATTTATTCAAGAATCTTAACTTGAAAGACTTGGTCAATTTCCTACAAACTTTCAAGCCATACTTAATCTTTGATGCTTCAAGAATTGACAATTTCCAATACAGAGAGGATTATTTTATGCTATTCAACCTACCCAAACTAATATGTTTAAATTTATCTGGTCATTCATTTGTCGATGATATTTACATAAACAATTTATGTTCAAGTATTAAAGATGGTAAATTACCAAAATTAACGGTTATAAAATTAAACAACACAAAAATTACAAATTCGGGACTAATATCACTTTTTAAATCTTGTGCATATTCGAGTCTTTCGTGCATTGAAACGAGTTTAAGTATGGAGACAGATGAATATCAATGGCTGAAGATCGAAAAAGATCAACAAGGTACAATACTACAGAAATCACCACTAGGTTTAAAACTAAACAGATTGATTAAACAAAAAAGTATTGAATTGGATATTTCGAATATTAATTTGCTAGACATAATGATTGTTGATGATGAATTTACTCAACGTGATGGCCAAATAGCTATTGAGTCAGCTTGGAAAGCAAGACAAAAAGCAAGAGTAGTAATAACAGGTGGTGAAACTTATTTGATCAACAGAGATGAAAAGATAAAGACTACTGAATATCCAGAGTTAAAATTGGAGGAAAAACCTGTACAATCTAGAAAACGAAAGAAATTAATCAAAACAAATGCAGCTACTTTTTTCAATTGATGTGATAATGCATTATATAGTTACCTAATTAATACTTCACGTACCGTTGATTGATAGATCATGTAGTAAGCTAAAATTCTTCAAAATCTTCAAATTCATCTTCATTATAACTTGGTTTCTCTACTACTGGCTGTACAGCTGGGTGCTGCTCTTTCTTCTTCAATAAGCTTAACAATTGATTAGCTGAAGAAGATGATGATGAAGACAGTTCCGGTTTTGATTGAAGGTTAAGTATTGGAGCTAGTTGATGTTGTGTTGGTGATTGCTGACGATGACTAGCTGCTGATAATTGTTGTAAAAAACTTGGTTGTTGTTGTTGAGAAGGTGACGATGATGATTGAGATGGTAATGGTGCTTCTCTTTTTAATAATTTGATTTTACCTTGTGGTTGTTGTGGTTGTTGCTGCATTGCTATAGTTTGATGAAGTTTTTCAATTGGGTTTGACGGTTGCGGTTGCGGTTGTTGTTGTTGTTGTTGTTGTTGTTGTTGTTGTTGGAACTGTTCAATCGGATTTGATGGTTGTGGTTGATGTTGAAACTTTTCAGTTAGATTTGATGGCTGTGGTTGATGTTGTTGAAGCTTTTCGATTGGATTTGCTTGTTGTGGTTGTTGTGTTGGTAATTCTTGAGGTTCTTCTGAGGATTGTGACTGCGGCGAATTTTTCTTCATAAATATACTCATCAATTCTTGAGCTTTAGAGTTTAATATTTTTGATTTTGGTTGAACTGTAGTTGGTTCTTTCTTCTTTTCTGACTTTGTTGTTAAAATGTTAAGGAAATCTTGTGAAGTTCTCACATTTGCATACGGATTAGCAAATGGATGATTACTTATTGGTTGAGCAAATGGAAGATTGGCAATTGGTAGTGGTTGATTATAAATTTGATGACCAAAATTCTGACTGAAATTATGTAAATTATGGTTTATATTGTTCATACTTTGATCGATATTACTTGATTTTGAACTTAAAATGTTTAATAATTCTCTTCCAGCATCTTCATTTTCTTTTGGTTTATTCAAACCCATTAAATTTTTCAATTTTGATTCAATTTGTAATATTAGTTCTTGTTCATTAATTAAGCCTTTTGTCTGATTAATCCATTTCATCATTGGTTTATAAAAAATATCAACTAAAAATAAATCTCTTTTATTGCGATTTATGCTTTTAACATCAAACCATTTAATTTTTTGAATTTCATATTTTGGTGCAATAAATTCTGTATCTTCACTTACATTTTTAACAAAATATATTTTATAATTTTTCCCTCTAATTGTTCTTTCATAAGAATCTTGCTCGTTAATTAACTCTCGACAATTAAACCCAGTTTCTTCTGCAACTTCTCTTATGGCACAATCTATATCCGACTCATCTTTTGATATTTTACCGCGAGGAAATGACCAAGAATTTGATTCTGTACCTTTAACTAAAACAATTTTAGTTAAATCTGAATTTAATAAAGCAACTCCTCTGACAGGTATAGTTGATTTATATTTACCAAATTTTGATAACGCTTCTTGTGGATCACCCCATTTCCAAATTAAAGGACATTTTTCTAATAATTTTGATGAAAAAGGTTTCATTTTCATTGGAGGTAATTCTGGATTTAATGACCGCACATAATCTGTATAAAACCATTGAGCTTCTTCAACCGGGAACATTAATCTTTCAATAGATGATAAATCTTCATCTGGTAAATTTACAACAAATCTAACTAATAAATCTTCCAATACATGTTCTAGCGATTGATTAGCTAAACCATCTCTTAACGGTATTGACATAATTAACTCTTATCTTTATAATTTCTTTTCTTTTGTTACTGATAACCACGCGAATCTTTAACTTTCCAATAGAATCACTCTTTCTCTTTTGTTGATAAAGTTTGGTGGTACTAATTTTTGTTGAAAAGTTGAAAAGTTGTCTGGGTCAAAATTTTATATACAGTCCAGATTGAAAAATTATATATAACCAGACAATAGATGAATAAACAATTCATAAGATATATTAGTAAGAATACTAGTAATTATGAACCTGGTTTCTTAAAAACTTTCAATGCTGCTACTAAACCTGCTCAGAAACAATCTTTTTCAATTACAAAACCATTTGGTTTAGAAAAACCAATTTTATTAAATCATAAATTATCAGATACTTATTCATTTTCAAATATTTATCAAGAATTATTTGGTGAACAAGCTAAAGAAAGAAGGGCAAAACAAATTAATTATGATTTAAAACATTCTCCACTATTTGACTCAAAATCTTTTAGAAATACGAATGGGAAAATTTTCAATTCTCCGATATCTTATTTTAAACAAGAAAAATCATTGTATTTTCCAGATTTTATAACGAAAACTTTAACTGGTGAAAGTAGAAGTTTATATGATGTATTAGTGGAGAAGAAAGTTTCAATAATAACGTTATTTTCAACTGGTTCTGGTTATAATTGTGTTCAAACATGGTTTAAAGAAGATGGTAAAGATTTATATAAAGATTCATCATTTGAAAAAGAAAATCCAAATGCTCAAATTATAGATATAAACTTACCTCAAAGTTGGTTAAAAGGTTTTATAACTAAATATTTTGCGTTACCGAATATTAAGAAAATGTTACCTGAATTAAGACAAAATAATTATTTCATTTTACCAAACCATATATTTTCATTCAATATAAAAGAAAAACTATATTGTGATAATCAATGTTCTGGTTATATATACATTGTTGACTCAATGGGTAAAATAAGGTGGGCAGCCAGTGGTAATTCAACCCCAGAAGAATATAAATTAATGTGGAAGACTATAAAGAATTTACAAAAATAGGATAACTGTATATAGATAAAGTTAATATAAGATAGTCAGTCATACATTTAATGTTTCAAAGTCATATATAGCTATCAACTTGCGACTATTTGCTTATTTATGAGGTTCAAACCAACGATAGCGAGTTGCTGACCAAGCTTCCGCATCTCTTTTAGCTAATTCATCACCAGCAACTTCTTCAACATCCCTTTTGTGAGGTTCAAACCAACGATAGCGAGTTGCTGACCAAGCTTCCGCGTCTCTTTTATCATTATCAGCCCCGTCAACATCCCTTTTGTGAGGTTCAAACCAACGATAGCGAGTTGCTGACCAAGCGTCCGCGTCTCTTTTAGCTAATTCATCACCAGCAACTTCTTCAACATCCCTTTTGTGAGGTTCAAACCAACGATAGCGAGTTGCTGACCAAGCGTCCGCGTCTCTTTTAGCTAATTCATCACCAGCAACTTCTTCAACATCCCTTTTGTGAGGTTCAAACCAACGATAGCGAGTTGCTGACCAAGCGTCCGCGTCTCTTTTAGCTAATTCATCACCAGCAACTTCTTCAACATCCCTTTTGTGAGGTTCAAACCAACGATAGCGAGTTGCTGACCAAGCGTCCGCGTCTCTTTTAGCTAATTCATCACCAGCAACTTCTTCAACATCCCTTTTGTGAGGTTCAAACCAACGATAGCGAGTTGCTGACCAAGCGTCCGCGTCTCTTTTAGCTAATTCATCACCAGCAACTTCTTCAACATCCCTTTTGTGAGGTTCAAACCAACGATAGCGAGTTGCTGACCAAGCTTCTCTTTTATCATTACCAGCACCATCAACATCTTGTTTAGCCGAAGCTTCGGTAGCATTAACAATAAGCAAAACTTTTTCACCATCAGATTCACCTAAAATTGGAGTAGCACCATTAAATAATGGAACAACAGATTGAACAGCTTCTTCCGGGAATGGTAAGTCACCAGGTAATTCATCAATAGTACCTGATTCGACAACATTTGAAGTTTGAGTTGGAGCAGAAATAACTAAAGTAACAGCACTAGCAATTGATAAAATAGTAGTTGAATATTTCATAATAAACGATTGAGTTAATTAATACTTTTAATTGGATTGATTGATTGATGATTTGTAAAATGAATGGGAAATTTGACCTTATTTATAGTAAATTTTAATACTTGATCGTGTAATTTTTTATCTTTATTTCGCAGCCAAAATTAAACATAAACATCATGTTAATTAATTAATTTAATTGTGCATCATTGACGCACGTAATTGATAAAACGTATATTTTTCAAATTATCTTTTGAAACAACTAGTTTGTAAATTGATTGGATAATTTTTAGTTTTTCAAGTCCTTAGCGTTACCAATTAGGAAATTTTTCTGAAAAAAATATGTAAATTTGGACAATCAAGGTAAGGGGGGCGTAAAATTAGCTAATACTAGAATTTTGTGCATTAATTACACAAAGGACCTCAACTTAAATATCAAATGTCTCCTTAATAGTCCAATTTAGGTAATAAATGTTAAAAAATACGTTTTAATTTAGATTTTTGCATGATTATGTATCTGCATGATAAATTGAGCGGTAGTATTCTTGTCCCTTACTATTGACTAGAATGTTAGATTCCCCGTGGTCTTTTGTACTAATCCTTAGGTTGCTTAATTATTAAGTGTTTTGAACTGCCATGGATCTAGAAATTGTTAATGTAATATTGTTGAGTTATATGCACCAAGATTAAAATTACAGGTGAGAAAATGTTTAGTTGATTGATTTTGATAATGATTTAAAGCTACGCCTATTTGAATAAACAGTTTGTCTGTTAGAATGAAATTTCAAATTTTTCGAATATTCTCAAAACTTGACAAAATTCAGAAAAATTATGATTTTGTAAAACCAAAAGACACTAAAATAAGTGTCATTGGAAGCAATGACTCCTTGTCTACCGACGCAACCTTCTTTTAACTTAATTGAATGTAGAGTTGTAAAATAGTATTGAACTTTATCGTTAGTATACACATGGTAGCACACACATGTTTCAGAAATTTCCAAAATACACGATTAAAATTGTAAGCAAAAAATTATCAAATCATCTCAAGAAATTTGAGAATTTAATATAAATCTTTCCAATTTCAATGATATAATATTTTACAACTCAATTGTTACAATTCAATACTTTGAATCTAAACGTGCTTCGTATGTTCAATTACAAGAGAAATTGTTAACTTAATGATGAACTTTTCAATTGGGAATCTCTCTGACTTAATCCAAATAAGCAAATCATGGAGAAAACCTTTTATTAATTGATATCTGACAATTAACAATTACAAGAGCATTATTTTGAATGATATACTAACTTACGTCTTAGTTACTAGATGAACTGAACAGTAATCAACTTTGTAGTAAAGTCGTGACAAATTAGGGCTACAACATTTTTAAGGTTTGTGTAATCATGCGTCACGATCTATAGTTAAATCGCTACCAAGTTCATTCTCTCGCATTATCAAAATTTTTCAAAACCTCTTTTAAATTTTTTTCTTTCTTCTTTAACAACGTCAATTAATAAAAAAATGTCAGCTCCAATTAATAAAGAAAAAACTGAACAAGAACCAGAACAACAAATTCATAAAATTAGAATTACTTTAACTTCAACCAAAGTTAAACAATTAGAAAATGTTTCAGCTAACATTTTAAAAAATGCTGCTCAAAACAATATTGTTAAAAAAGGTCCAATTAGAATGCCAACTAAAGTTTTAAAAATCACCACGAGAAAAACACCAAATGGTGAAGGTTCAAAAACTTGGGATGCTTATGAAATGAGAATCCATAAAAGAGTTATTGATTTACAAGCTCCAGCTGCTATTGTTAAAAAAATTACTCAAATCACTATTGAACCAGGTGTCGATGTTGAAGTTACCATTGCTGCTTAAGCAGTGGTAAATTTCTACAATTTTATGAATAATTTGTTATACTTATTAAATTTAAGATTTTTATTTATTTAACATTCAATAGTAGGGGGGTATTAGATCAGATGTTTTGATTTTTTTATATATATTATTTACAAGAAGGTGTTAGTAGTCAAGTATTTGGGGACATTATATCCAAGTGCTCTAGGCGTACCGTGTATTTTAATTAATATGCTGACGTTGTAGGTGTTGCTATCAGGATTTGGTATAATAAATTGAGTTAAATGGTAAAATATGTTTGTTTAATAAGTGTTATGGTTAATCTGTATAAATAATTGATATCTTCAACCAATTTGTTAATACTCTCTATAACTCTCTATAACTCTCTATAATTCTATAGTAGAAACTGTCAATTGGTAGCAAAATATTAGTACGGTCGTGTACTATGTTCAGAAGATAAGATTATCAAATAAAATCAACAGAATAAATAATTGTTAATATTAAATTTATATATTGTGTGTTCAATAATTAATAACCACAGATTAATATTACATTGTATATAAAACATACTATAATATGACGTTGGTGTTATCAGCTAAACCAAAACTATTTTATCTTTCAAATCAACAATTACAAACCATAAGTAAAAGATTATTATCAACATCAGTTAAAAGGCAAACTAATAGATTAACGAATGGTTTAATTAAAACACATCATCAACAAAATAGATCTAATAATAGACAAAATCAAAAAATAGCATTGGTTTCTGGCATAGTAATAGTTGGTTCATATATTGCATTTAATCAATCAAATTATTATAATTTAGATACATTACCCTCATCACCATCTTCGGGGAAAGCACCAAAATTATTAGAAGATAATAAAAAGTTTTATTCAACATCAACTAATTCACAAAGTATAAGTCATCAACAACATAAAGAAGGAGTTTTTTTATTAAATGATGAACAAGTAAGTAGAAAATTACGTCAATTTGAAGAAAGTTATTTTGTAAATAGAGGTAAAGGAGTTGTACGTTATGATATTTGTCAATTACCATCAAACTCACCAATTGAAGATGATAGAGCTGAAGAAATTGTTCAGGTTCCAATTTTACAAGATAATAATATTAAAACTTCAACTGACTGGATGTTTTTTGGTGTTTTTGATGGTCATGGTGGTTGGACTACATCATCTAAATTAAGAGATCAATTAATTGGTTATGTTATTCATGAATTGGGTACTATTTATAAACCAGTTCAAGGTGAAGAAAATTTAAGATATGTACCAAATTCAGCAACAATTGATCAAGCTATCAAAAATGGTTTTTTGAAATTGGATCATGAAATTGTTACAAAAAACATTGAAAAATTATTATTAGATGGTAATAAAGCAAAAGCTGCTGAATTATTAATGCCGGCATTATCAGGTTCATGTGCATTATTATCATTTTATGATACAAATTCAAAAATGTTAAAAGTTGCAGTTACTGGTGATTCAAGAGCTATATTAGGAAGTTTTAAAGATAATAGATGGACAGTACGTCAATTAAGTATTGATCAAACAGGTGCAAATCCAACTGAAGTTGCAAGAATTATAAGTGAACATCCAGACGAACCAAAAGTTATTAGAAATGGTAGAGTTTTAGGTGGATTAGAACCAACTAGAGCATTTGGAGATTGTAGATATAAATTACCAGCAACTATACAAGAAAAAATTTATAAACAATTTTTTGGTAGATCATTACCAAATCAATTAAATTCACCACCTTATGTTACAGCAGAACCAGTTATAAGTACAACAAAAATAAATCCTGATAATAATGATTTTTTAGTTATGGCATCTGATGGATTATATGAAATGTTATCAAATGAAGAAATTATTGGATTAGTTGTTAAATGGATGGAAAAGGAAAAAATGATAAAACCACAAAAATCAATATGGAATTATTTTAATAAAGATAATAATTTACCAGAAGTTTCAGATATAACACAAGATAAATCACTGAAGAAACCATTTAGAAGATTATCAACAAATCAAGGCTTTATGTTACAAGATAATAATGTATCAACACATTTAATAAGGAATGCATTATCTAATGGTGGATCAAAAGAACAAACTGCAATGTTAATATCAATACCAAATCCAGTTTCAAGAAGATATAGAGATGATTTAACTGTAACTGTTGTATTTTTTGGTAAAGATCATAATAATATAATACAGAATAATAATAATGGTACTTCAACTGTTGGAAACGATCAAGGTCAATTAGAGGTAAATAGTCAAGCTACAGCTGGTGGATTAGATGCTTCAAAACCAAAATTATAGAAATGAATATATACTTTATTTAATTAGTAGCTCGGTATTATACTTTTTCATCACAGTAAAAACAAACTAAAATGTGGAGAGGGCGAAACACAGAAAAAAAAATATATATAAAGCGAATTCAGGCCAAATCGTCGAAGCAAAAAATTCATCAAGACATTTAAACTTTTCATAAGATTATTAATTATATAACATGGCAGAAGAACAACCTATAAAGAAAGTAGAAATAGAAGAAACTAAAATAAACCAAGATAATTCAGTTGAATCTAAAAAAGTTGAAGTTTCAAATAAAGAAATACCTAAAAAAAATGAAGACGATTTAGATGATTTAGATGATTTACTAGATGATTTTGCAGATGATGTTTTAAGTAAACCGCCCGGTTCAACAATTGATGAATCAACAAAAGAAACTAAAAAAGAAGAGAAATCAGGTTCAGATGTTTTAAATGCTGATTATCAACAATCTATAAATGAATTAATTAAAGATTTAAAAATTGAAGATACTCAAACTCAACAACAGTTTGAAGAATTAGTTAAACAATTTGAATTAAATCATAGAGAAGAAGTTGAAAAAGAAGAGAAAAAACCACATAATTTTGAATATGTGATGAAGGAAACAATGGAAAGATTGAAAAAAAGTGGTGAAACAGTTGATGAAAAAATTAAAAATGATCCGCTTGGTTCTAATCCAGAAGATTTATTAGGTCAATTATTATCTGGTGTTGGTGGTAATGGTGAAGGTGGAGATATGGATATGAGTAAATTATTAGTTGATATGTTGGACCAATTAAGTTCAAAGGAAGTTTTATATGAACCAATTAAAGATTTAAATAATAAGTTTCCAAAATATTTACAAGATAATAAGGATAAATTATCTGAAGATAAATTTAAAAATTATAATAAACAATATGAGTTAACAAATGATATATTAAAAATATTTGAAAATCCACAATATTCAGATTCAAATAAATCTCAAAGAGAAGAAATTAATACATTATTAGAGTCATTACAAGAATTAGGTCAACCCCCAACTGAATTAGTTGGAGATTCTGGTGATTTCTTACCTGGTTTAGGTGGTGGTAAAAATGATAATTTTGGATTTAATGAAAAAGATTTACCACCAGATTTTGAAAAAAATTTACAAGAAGGATGTCAACAACAATAAAACAATTAATAAAGAAGCCTTTATTTATTTTTTAATTTATATATTTAATCCACTACGATCTGAAAATTCTTTGTAGTAATTTGTCATTTCTTCTGTAATACCCTTAGATATTCCTTTTAATGCATAATCAAAATGTTTCTTTTCAACTTTCGTTGCTTGTTTGTTTTCCATAATTGCAGATAATCCAGCTTCTTGACATAATAAAGTAACTTCAGCACCAGAACAACCATCAGTTATATTTGCAAGTTGTTTTAAATCAACATTTTCATCACAATTAAATTTCTTACTACATTTTTGTAAAATTTGCAATCTTGCTTCATAATTTGGTGGTCCAACATATATATGTCTATCTAATCTACCTGGTCTTAATAATGCAGGATCAATTTCTGTTGGTTTATTAGTAGCACCTAGTATTATAACACCTTTTAATTCTTCAATACCATCAATTTCATTAAGTAATGAAGTTAATACATTTGATTGTGCAACAGTTCCATCAGAATCTCTATCTCCTGAAATTGCATCTATTTCATCAAAGAATATAATTGAAGGTGATGCAGCTCTTGCTTTTCTAAAAATTTCACGTATTGCCTTTTCACTTTCACCTACATATTTATTAAAAATTTCAGGACCTTTAACTGCTAAGAAATTTAATCCTGATTCAGTAGCTAATGCTTTTGCAGTTAAAGTTTTTGAACAACCAGGAGGACCATATAACAAAACACCTTTAGGTGCAGATATACCTAAATTTTTAAATGATTCTGAGGCTTCTAAAGGTAATTGAACAACTTCGATCAATTTTTGTTTCAATTCATTTTGTCCACCTATATCTGACCAATAAACTTTTGGCATTTCCAAGAATATTTCCCTCATTGCACTTGGTCTAATTTCAGGTAATGCTTCAAGCATATCTTGTAGATCCACTTTTATATTTTGCAAATCGTGGGCAGCATTTTTAATTGCAATCATAACTGATTCTCTAACTAATGCGACTAAATCAGCACCTACGTACCCATGAGTCTTTGATGCAATTGTATAAATATCATCATTTGTTAAATTATATTTTTCTTTACTCATTTTATCAAATTGTTTAATCAATATGTCTTCTCTTGCTTCTACATCAGGTATACCTATTTCAACTTCTTGATCAAATCTACCTGGTCTTCTTAATGCTGAATCTATTTGATTTGGTCGATTAGTTGCACCAACAACTACTATTCTACCATTATTATCCATTCCATCCATCATAGTTAATAATTGAGCCACTATCCGACTTTCTGTTTCTCCACTATCATCGGAGTTTCTTGACGGTACTAATGAATCAATTTCATCCATGAATATAATTGAAGGTTGATATTTTTTAGCTTCATTAAAGAATTCTCTTATTGAATTTTCTGTTTCTCCGAGATATTTAGATATAATCAGTGGTCCATTTATAGTTAATATATGAACATTACTTAATGAATTAGCAACACATCTTAATAACATGGTTTTACCTGTTCCTGGTGGACCATGTAATAAAATTCCTCTTGGTGGAGATATACCAAATTCGGAAAATAATTGTGGATTATTTAATGGTAATTCTATAGTTGATTTTAATAATTCAATTTGTTTGGAAAGTCCACCTACTTGTGAATAAGTTATAGGTTGCGGTAAATTTGGATATTTTGAACGTGGGGGCAGCGTTTCACTAGTTTGATTTATAACAGTTTGTGGTGTGAATATATAAGGAGTTGAGATCTCAGTTGATATTATATTGGAATCACTAATTGATAAGTTATCTAATGTAGACTCAATGGAGTCATTTACATCAATTATAGTAATTTGTGAATTTTCACTTTCAAATGTTAGCCCAGGATAAATTAGTCCAATTTGGAGTAGTCCATTCTTTACTTGATCATCGGATGATCCTCCACTAACATTTATTTTGACATCACTTGCAAATTTAGGTTGATTAGAATATTTATTAATCTCGATTCTATCACCAAGTAACAACTCACTTAATTCTCGATAATTTTTCAGTATTTGTATGATATTCTTTTCAGTAATTCCATTTGATGAGTTTATAGTAGCTATTAATCCAACCGAACCATTATCAACAGCATTTAAATATACCAATTGACCTGATTTGAATTCTAAAGCAGATAGTATTTCTGAGTTTATATATACATTTGCAACATCTTTTAAATTGGATTCGTTTCCAGGACGTACAATAAATGATTTTGGTATTTTTATTTTCTTAGCTGGAGTTTGTGGAGTCGAATCTGGTGTTGGCGTTGATGTTTTCTTCTTTGATTTTGATGACATTTGGTTAATACGATAAAAATAAATTTCATTACACAAAATTGAAAGATGAGATTTAAAATTTTTCTGAAACCAGAAAGCGGCTCAAAATCTGTTGAAAGTCGAATCGAATTGAAAAGAAGGTCATTCAAATTAATGACTATTTAAAGAAGGAGAGGCAGGAATTGGCTAGGTATTCTAGTAAAATTTGGATTAATTATACCTTGCGCTCATCTCTTGCAAGAAATTCACTTTTTTTTCGAAATTCAACAACTCAAACTTCATTAGCTTTCTCTATCTGCTGTGAACGAGATTGTAAAGTATCGATCAATCAATTTGAAGACGTCTTCTTATGTATTGATTCTGTTATATTCGAAATTTGTTAGATTTTGCAATAATTTTTATCAATATATTTTTTGCAGCGCAGATAATTTTTCAAGAGCCATCTATCACCAACCTATAATACATCATGAATAGCATAATAAAGGGGTTGAGACTACGACCGATACGAAAATATACAATAACAAATGATTCAAATCTATGGATAAATTTTTCAAAAATATTCAACACGTTTAAACAACTCCTAAATCGACAAACATCAAAACTTAATGCATATTATAATAAATCATTACTCGATGAAAATCTACTAACATATAAACCAACAACATTAAATCGACTAAATGAACAAAAGACAAAGCTTGATCATTTCCACATTGAGAAAATGGAACCAATAATCACATATCTAGATATTATTGATTTAGAATTTAGTGAATTTGAACTACTTGCTATATCGCATGGCTTGACTAATTTAACACTAACTATTAACAAATCAATTTTGGAAAGTTTCAAATTAAAAGATTATGGTAAATTATTATATGAAATGCAATTATTTAAACAATCTAAAATGTTTGAAAATTTACGATATTTATCATTAAGTAAATTAGAATTTAGTCAAGAATTACAATATTTCAATTATGATAATGATGAACTAATACTTAAATTTATGAAATTTAATAAATTTGATGATATAACTACATATAATAAAGAATTTTTCATTAATGAACGAATAAAGAAAAATCAATACGTTGAAAAATTCAAATTGATCCACGATAAGACCCTAATTGGTAGTTTCTACATCATGCTAGGCATTGTAGCATTAAAGACTGATAAAGTTACTTTTGAAAAGTTTATGGAGAAAGTATTTAATGGCAGACATGGTATATTACAAATAATCAAATCTGGAGGGATATAATATATTATAAATATAATGATGCACAAAATACAATATCTCTTTTAATCTTTTCTTGAGCTTCAGCCATTTTTAAATGTAACGTAGAATCACCAATTATCAACGCTGCATTTTTAACTTCTCTACAAATTTCATCTAATCTTGTGATTACCCTCACAATTGTTCCTTCTGCCTCTACACTAATTTGCATAATTTCATTAAATGATAAACCTGCAGCCCATTCATAAACAACATTAACAAGGGCAAATCGCTTACTATTTACAAAGTCTTCCTCTTCTGAAGTGAGCAACACTTGTTTTTCAACATATATTTTTAGTAATTTTTCAGCAATTGATTTTATTTTATTTTTACCTTTTTCTAACCTTGGTGTAATTAATGGTGGTTCTTCTTCTTGAGTTCTACCTTCATATACAAAACAAGATAATAAGGCAACAATTTCAGCAGGTTCAAAATCACTCAAAAAATTATCCAATACTAATTCAGTAATAATTAATTCCCATCCACTATTTATCTCACAGGCAACTCTACCTTTTAAAACCACATTATGTTGATCATCTATAAATCCTAACGTTTCCAATACTTGTAATCTTTGTCCATAATCAGGTAATAAATCTAAATTCTCATCTGATATTAATCTTGATAATTTTTCAATTTCTTGTACTAATTGATACTTTTGCCTATATTCAGAATAATGAATTCTAAAATTTGGACAATTGTAACAGTTCAAATCAAATAATTTATCAAATATTTTCCCCTTTTCTACTGATAAATCATGTAATGATAATTGTTGTTGAGTATTCAAGGATAATTCTTGAAATTGATTTTGATATTTTGTAATTAATTTGATTTGATTAGATACATCTTGAATTGCAATTGAATCATTATTTAAAACATCATTCATTGAAGTTTTAATTGAATATGTACATATGAATGAAATATTTTCAAATGGTACAACTACTGTTTTTAACCCACCTGAATAACTAATTTTAGGAAAATTATTCATCATATACCCATGTATTGGTAAATATGGTAATTTGTATTTTGCAACTTCATCTTCATAATATTTCCCATGATCAAATGTCAATAATACCACTTCTTCATTTGCAACTGCTGATTTAACAACAAATCCAATTTTTGTAATTGCATTTTTATCTCTAAAACAAACTAATCTTCCTATCTTTAATAATCTAGTTTTTAAAACTGGTGATTTATGAATGTCTACAACACATTCACCATAAATTTTTTCATATTCAGTTAATAATTGACAAAATTCTTCCACATTTTCTAGTCCACACTTATTACATGGTGTTATTTTAACTGTATCTAGGTTTTTTGTTAATTGATCAAATCTTTTTTGATTTTCAGGTAATAATACTTGAGTTGAATTTTCACTAAATGAATGTTTAATCATTTCTTCAACTTTTAATGCTTCAATTCTTAACAAATTTAAAATCATATTATATGTTAATCTAAATTGTGATGATAATTTAGTGGGTACTCCCAATACAACTTCTTTAAAATCTGTTGGAGATATTGGATCATTATAAGCCATAACTATAACTGTCCCTGTTTTATCTAAACCTCTTCTACCTGCTCTACCAGACATTTGAGTAAATTCACCAGATAATAAATTTCTAAAACTTCTACCATCGTGTTTTCTAATTGATGTAAATACAACTGTTCTAGTAGGTAAATTTAAACCCATTGCAAATGTTTCAGTAGCAAAAAGGACTTTAACTAATGATTTTGCAAATAAAATTTCAATACATTCTTTTACAATTGGTAATAAACCACCATGATGAACTGCGATTCCTCTACTTAACATTTCTCTAATTTTTAAAATTTGTGGTAATTCCCGATCTTCTTTTTTTAATCTACCAACTGCTTTATCTATAAACATATGAATTTCTGATTTTTCTCTACCATTACAAAAATCAATACCTCTTAAGGAATCAGCATATTCTTCACATCGTTTTTTGGAAAATACAAATAAAACAACAGGTAATAAATTATTCAGTTTTAAATAGTGTACTAAATCAATCCATGTATTTTTCTTTGGACCATCTTGACCTATTCTTCTTTGACCTTGAAAATTACCTCTTGAATTTGAACCACCTCTTCCACCTCTGCCTCTACCATTATTACCCCTTCCACCACGGTTCCCACCTCTTGCAGTACCTCCTGGACCACCTCTACTTCCTGATCCCATTATAGTTGAAGGTAATTCTTTTTTAGAAGTTCCACTTTCTAATAAATCTTTATGTTTTTTAAATTCAGGTTCTAAAAATCTTCTAGTTGAATCAACAACTTTGAATAAATTATTCTTTGCACTAATGAAAATTTCTAAAGGAACTGGTCTTTTTGGAGTTGATATAACATAAATGTCCTTTTGTTTAGTTCTACCTATCCAATTTGCAAATTCAAAGGTATTTGGCACCGTAGCAGATAATAAAATATATTTAACATGATCAGGTAACATTATAATAACCTCTTCCCAAACAACCCCACGATCAATATCATTAACATAATGAACTTCATCAAATATAACAAATTCAACATCTCTAATTAAATCAGCACCTCTATATAACATAGATCTTAAAATTTCAGTTGTCATAATCAAACAATGTGCTTCGGGATTAATTTGAACATCACCAGTAATTAACCCCACATCAACGTCTTTAAAAGTTTCTTTAAAATCTCTAAATTTTTGATTTGATAATGCTTTTATTGGAGATGTATAAATACATTTTGTCATATTTCTATTTGCCATTGCAATTGCATATTCAGCAACTACAGTTTTACCAGCTGACGTATGAGCAGCTACAAATACTGAATCACCTTGTTCTAAATGGAAAACAGCTTCCTTTTGAAAAGTATCTAATTCAAAAGGCCAAGTTCTAGCCATATTAGGAACCAATTCATTAAAATCTTCAATTTTATGATCTAAATCAACTACATGAGCCCATGTACGTTTATCTAGTAATTTTTTATCATCATATTTAAAATTGGAATAATCAAATGGGACTAAACCTTCAATTTCTTTTGTATCAAACGGTATTTCCTTTTTAGTTTCGTTAATTTGAGACTCATTTTTGCTTGTTATATCATGCGATTTCATTTCAATTTCATCATTTCCATTTTCATTTTCATTTTCATTTTCATTTTCATTTTCATTTTCATTTTCATTTTCATTTTCATTTTCATTTTCATTTTCATTTTCATTTTCATTTTCATTTTCATTTTCATTTTCATTTTCATCCAATTCATCAATCGTTAATTTTTCAGAATTACCAACTTGTAAACCTCGTTTAAAACCTGGTGGTATATCAAATAAACCTAATTCGTTTCTATGTAAATTTGATGAAGAATCAGAATCTTTTTCTTTTGAAGCTTGTTGTTGAATTAACCCACCTGGTTGAAAAGGTAAGAAATTAGTTTTACCTCTTAAACTTTCACTTTTTGAACTATAATCTCTCTGAATACTTAAACTATTTGAATTATTTAATTGATTTACATCATTTAGATTAATTTCTTCTTGATAATTTGTTATAGTGCCTTCTATACCAGATCTTTTAAATCTAAATCTAGTTCTATTTAAACTTTGAGGATTTATTATTAATTTATCTATAATCTTATCTTTATTAATCAATGGTTTATTTTGAACAATATCCAATATTTCCCAATTTATATCTTGAGAAGGTTTTAATAAATCATTTATAATTTGATCATTCTTATCATCAATTGATGGCGGTTTATATTCATACTTACTTATAGTATTTGGATCTAGCACATTATTATCTATATCTTGTATTATCATTTGGTGCTGTCTGGTGTCTGGTTATATATAAAAATTATCAAATAATTCGTGTACCAATCGCCAAAAAAATATTCAGTTTTCATTTATTCTGAAACAAACAAACAAACAAACAAACAATCAAACATTCAAACAAAACTTATCACAATAACATATAATTAGACGATGTCCCTCTGTAACATAAGATTACAACAAGAGAGAAAACAATGGAGACAATCTCATCCTTATGGTTTTTATGCTAAACCTATTAAAGATAAAGATGGATCTTTAAATTTAACTGTTTGGACTGCTGGTATTCCTGGTAAACCTGGTACAAAATGGGAAGAAGGTATATATCCAATTAGATTAGAATTTCCTTTGGAATATCCTTCAAAACCTCCCAAGGTGCAATTTCCCAAAAATTTTTATCATCCAAATGTATATCCAAGTGGTACTATATGTTTAAGTATTTTAAATGAAGATCAAGATTGGAGACCGGCTATAACTTTAAAACAAATCGTTTTAGGAATTCAAGAATTATTAGATACTCCAAATCCAGATTCTCCTGCTCAAGAAGATGCTTGGAAAAGTTTTACAAAAGATAGAGCTACTTATGATTTAAAAGTTAGACAACAAGCAAAAAGATATCCAAAACAACAGTAAGGACGTACGAGGATGGAAGTAAGGATGCAACAAAATAGAAGTTGTTTTGTTGAAGTTTGATGAATTACGATTTTAATAAATATATATATATAATGCTAAATTATACTATTACACTACATCACTACTATTTATTAAATCTCTACTTTTAAAAACATTTTCACCATTTGTTGCTTCTCCCAATTGTGATGTTCCCTTTTCTTTATAAGTACTTACTGCTGGAATATCAGCTTTTATTCGAGATACTAAAGTTGAATATGCTCTTGGTTCTAATTTAATTAAAGTGTGTAATGGTATTGACATCCATGGACTTTCTTCTTGAGGTACATTCATAAAATAAGCATAAAGACATCTTAAAACAGCTTGATGAGTTATAATTAAAATATTTTCTTGTCTTTCTAATTCCATTATAATTGGTTCTAAACGAATTACAATATCTCGATAACTTTCACCACCACGATATCTATATTCATATTTATTATCATCTCTAGCTTTAAAATCTTCAGGATATGTTTGTTCAATTTCTTCATATGTCATACCATCACATTCCCCGGCATCTAATTCATCTAAAGCTTTCCATTGTAATTTTTTTTTGTATGGAAGGAATGATGCAGTTTGTTGTGTTCTTTTTAAAGTACTTGTCCAAACTGTTAAATTTAAATGTTTATTTTCTTCTCCCAATGATTTTAATACTAATTCGGGAAGTTTCTTTGCATATCTCCATCCACGATCTGATAAATTTGCATCACCACCAATTTGACCAGTTAAATTAAATTCACTTTCTCCATGTCTTGATAACCATATACATCTTGGTTTTATATGTAAATTCATAACATAATAAACTATTCTACTTTCTAAATAAGTTTCAATTTTATTTAATATAATTTGTGAATTTACATTAACTAATTTTATAAATGTTAAATCATTATCATTAGATTGATCTATTGTTTCATAAACACTTTCATAATATTCAATTCTTTTTAAAAAATCTTCCAATGCAAATTCATTTGGTTTTGAAATATAATCTGGTGATGTAGTTTTAACATCCATTATATTTTGTAATATTAAATCTTTATCATCACACCAACTTTCTAAAAATAAAGGTTCAATATAATTTTCTCTACAAAGTTTCAAAATACTTGCTCTTCTTTGTCTTGTTGAATTTGTTGCATCTAGTATTCCAACAACTCCATTTTCTTCACTAAACCATTTCATCATATCATATATAGCAGCATCTATTGCTTTTTGTCTATATTTTAAACCTTCTTTATTTTCAGGATTGAAAAAATCAGCATTTAATAAACAATTAGATGCAACTTCTCTTCTATAATTACCAACATTAAAACATTTAGAGTTTATACTTAACCATGATAAATATCTAACAATTTTTTGAGATATTAAAGATTTACCTCTGGCTGGTAATCCAACCATAACAACACAAACTCTAACATTTTCCACATGGGAAATTGAATAAACTGGCATAATAAAACTAACCTAATGAATCAAATTGATTTCAACCAGAAGCAAATTCAAAAATGGTGAAAATTTATTAATCTTTTTCCACTTTTTGAAATTTAAACTGGTGATTTTCAATCTTTTCCCCCTTTCTTGATATGAATACTCTTTAAATATTAATGAAGAATACTTCTGTTATAAGTTGTCGATATTCAATTGTTGTATGATTTTTTGTAAGTCGACTACTTTTTTTTTTTTTTTTTCTTTTCCGATTAATAAAAATATGGGGCATGATTATGTAATAGAAAATAGGTCACATGACGGTTTTTAATTATACGCTATTTACAATTATATACTGTAAAGATGCACCAAGGATGTACCAAGGATGCACCAAGGATGCACTAAGGATGTACTCTGTAAGGCAAGGATGCACTTGATTCAAAACAAAATTGTCAACTGTATTAGTATTTACATCCTTGTATCCTTACCTTGTGTTTTTCATCCTTACTAGCTCACCATAAAACTAACATTCTTATAAAAATCCAACATTGGATTATCACCATCTTTAGTAGTTGTAATTTCCACATCAGCCCATTGTTTTAAAAATTCTTTGTGAGATTCTACTTTTGCAACTTTATTAGTTACCTTCTTATACATTTCACTCATAAGGTTAAAGTCAGTAGCAAACATAATATCAAAATACCCCTGATATACCATATAAGTAGTAACATCAACCATTTTATTTTTTAATATAGTTTGTACCAAAGGTCCATTATATGAATTTATAGTTTTAGGTAAATAATCAAAATCTGAACTTATTAAATTATGATTTGGGAATTTATGTTGTAGGATCTGAAAAAATTTTAATAATCTAGTTGGAATAAATTCACCTTTCGATAATTCATTATATGGAAGAAAAGTATTTATCAATTTTCGTCTCATTTTCAACTCATTTAATGGATGATTTGGATATTTATACCATGGAGAATTTAGGATCCCATATTTACTATTTTCACGTAAGTTTAAATAAGCATTTGTATAATAATTTAAATCCTTTGTGAAAAATTCATAAAAATCTCCTTGTTCATCAATTAGTACTTTACCTTCATGTGGGATTCCAAATTCATCATATTTGATTAAATCATGAGCAAAATTATCAAAAACTTCCAAAGCAATGAAATAACAAGGTTCGGAGATTATTTTATCCCATTCAAATATTGACTTGTTTATAATTTCAAGTTTTGTGGAGTCCAAACCCTCTATTGATAATTTTGATTTATGTTGTCTATGTGCTAATTGATTACTAATTTCTATAATTTTATATTTTGTAGTTTTATATATTTCAGGTTCTGTTTTTTTAATATATTTGAGTATAGTTGTCATTAATGTACCATTACCACCACCCATTTCATAAATTATTAAATCTGAATAAGGATAATAATTTAATTTATAGTTTACTAAAATATATCTAGCTAATGCTTCACCATAATATGGATTAAATAATTCTGTTGGAGTATGCCATAATTGTAAATGATGAGAATTTGCAGTGGAATCAATTAATTGAGCATCTTGTTTATATACATCAAGAGCCCTAGAAGCATATTTGGATGTGGAAACAGACTTATTTGATGCCGTTGGTGGTTCTGATTTAGGTTTTTCTGAATCTTTGTCATATTTTGTATATGATTTTTGCCATTCATTTAAAAATTGATCTATATTTTTATAATTATTGTATTCAAATGGTTTATCTGGATGATATATCTCAACTTCTTTTGAAAAATATCCATATTTAGGATGATATAAAGAATCTTCAATGAAATCAGAAGTACTCATTTTAACTCTCCTAGGTCGATGATTTAATCTAGTTAATTTTTGAGAAGTAGTCATAGGAAAAGAATGATATATTTCATCTGGTGATTTCTCACCAAACGGGAAATTCACAGCTTTTTGATAAAGTAATTGAATGTTTGTTGGAGGTGTTGATGGAATTTTAAATGAATAAGTATCTGGTCGTATCGAGTATTCATGATATTTTTCAGCTATTTCTTCTTTAAATTTAAATTTGAATAAGTTTCGTTTGAACATAACTTAACTAAATTCTTCTAAACATTCAATTATGGTTTTTAAATTATCTATAACGTTTGAAATTGCAACTCGGATGACTCTATCACTTATACCTTGAAATTCAACTAATAAATTATTTTCTTGTGTTTTATAATCTACCTTTATTTCGTTTAATTTTAGTATCGGATCTGGATTTAATGTATTTTTAGCAATGGTAGCTTGTGAATCAGTTTCAAATGGAATATTTAAAATTAATTGATATGGAAGGGGCATAAAAATATAATAATTTGAAATGATAAAAATTGTATCTGAAAATTTAATTCAGCGTCAAATTATAATGCGAATTTCAATTACAACTCTTTTAGCAGCAGTTAACTCAAGTTTGGTGTCAATAGTAAATCCTTTATAAAGGCCCCTGGTTGTTTGATAAACAAAAGTCTTGATAATTTTTTTTTTTTTTTTTTCATTTTTTTTTACGGGTCGCCAATTTTTGTGAAATATTATTAACAATTAACAAGTATTGCCAAACAATAGATTAATCCTGTAGTGCTATAGTTGGTTGAGAATAAAAAGTAGTCAGAATGACCATGAAACGGTTTTTAACTAGAAGCAGTAGAAGGTCAGATGATAAAGAAAATATTGATGATAATACCAATAGTTCAGGTGTAATGATGCCTACAAAATCAAATCAATCAGATAATTCTCATGATTCAATAAGAGATCTAAGACCAATATTCAATAAAAATGAGAAGACTCCACAGTATTTCGATATGAATTTAAATCCATCAATTTCAATAACTAATTCAAAACCGATGACAATTACACTGTCATACAAAGACTCATTATTTTCAAGTAGACAATCATATTCCACAAATCAATCATTGCCGAATACTGCTAATTCCAAAAGACAACAAAATTATGAATATGGTCAACCTTTACAAATTTTAAATATCGTGGAGGAGGATATAAGTGACTCTGGGGACATTGTAAATGAGAAACTTGGTCAATTGTTTCAAGATCTAAGTTATATAACCTCCCAATTTAATAATTCACTTACTAATTTATCTGCTAGTGTGATTGACTCCATAGATTGTTTGAAAAGTTTTACAAATTATGTAAATACCTTAAATTTCGATACAAATATTACAACATATAACAATAGTTCATTACGAAAGATCTTTAAGATATATTTAAATTATTATGATAATTTATTGAAAGATGATGTATATATTAAACTTAAATTATTACTCGTGAAGCATTTTGACGAATTTATAAAGACAATAAATAAAGATGTTATAATTGATCCAGATGTCATTTTAAAACCTATAAATTATGCAATAGGATCAAATAAAGATCATTTACCAAATGAAGATAAGTTAATGAATATCATAGATAAAATGATAACCACCACCCAACCATTTAAGGAACAAAATGGATCATTCATTGCTCCTATAACAAGAGGACTCAGTCCTGATCTCAACATACTTTGTTTATACTTTGGATATCCTAATCCTTCAGAATATCATTATAAACAAGCACAAACCTTACATGATTTATACGATGATGTTCATATATTAGTAATGAAGAATAAAATAGAATTAGCTGCAACTTCAAAATTTAAATTCCCATTTAGAGTACCGTTAGATGTAAACTCCCCGCCAATTTCGATTTCAATTTCAACTGACAACTCAAATAAAATTTCAGGAACTTTAGGTGGTTACATTTATCCAAAAATTAATTTACAAAAACAACCAAAATTAAAATCTTATGCTAATTCTAAATTTGCAATTAGTTGTGGTCATGTGTGTCTAGATACTTCTAATCCATCAAATTATCCACATATTTCAGCTCCGTCAACATCTTTAATATCAATGTATAAAAATGCATTAGTACAACAATATAAAAACACAAATCAAAACGACATAGAACTGAAACAAGCATATTACAAAGCCATAGAAGAAATAGGTGACTTATTTCCAATGAAGAGGTCCAAAACAAATAAAACTGAGACTGAATTACGTAATCTTCCACAAGTCAGATTTGGACAGATTATATGGGGAGAAAGAACACTAATCAACTTAAACCTCAAGAATGAAATATCAGGTCTACAAGAAAAGAAACTATCAGATTTAGCAATCATCAAAGTCAATAAACTGATAAATTGTCATAATTTTTTGGGTGATGATGTTCCATGGATGGAATACGATCCATCATTAATTTATGAAAATTTATACATTAGAAAAGTCCTAAACTTAAAAAGATACATTCCAAAACACATAGATGAAAATATAAATGAAATAGATTCAAATGTCTCAGAAATGGATGAAATTAATAGTTATTATGGAGTTCCAGTTTTTAAGTATGGGTCAACTACAAAATACACACGTGGTTATCTTAATGGAATCAAATTAGTTTATTGGCTAGATGGTGCAATCCACTCCCTGGAATTTATAGTCAATTCATTAGAATCAAATTCTTGTTTTGCTTCTGGTGGAGATTCTGGAAGTTGGATATTGACTAAATTACAAGAATTGAACAACGCTAAAGGATTGGGAGTTATTGGTATGTTACATTCTTATGATGGTGAATATAAACAATTTGGATTATTTACACCAATGAATGAAATTTTGAATAGATTGAAAGAAGTTACAAATATTGAATGGGGGGTTTTAGGTTGCGAAGAAGAGAAAAGTAAGGATATTAATGATGATATGATTGATGAAAGTATATTAGATTAGATAAAATATAGACGTTAGTAATGAATGTTTATTGCATTGTATAATTGCATCGGTACCATTTTTTTGCAGCCATTTTTTTTTTTTTTTTTTTTTTTTTTTTGTCTCGTATAATTTTGATTAAATTTTTCAATGTCTAGTAAAGGTGGTAAGATTGTAATTGGATCAGTTGCAGTTATTGCCTCATGGTTCTTTGGTATTAATTTCTGGAAACCATTAATAATGTAAGTAAATGAATCAAAAACTTTTTAAATTAGTACTCACCACTTTATAGAGAACAGTTGGAAAAAGATGGGAATTTAAGATCAGATATGAAAGTACCAGATTATTCAGATCAACCAAAATCTTGGGACGATATCAGGCAAAAATTCGAAAGTGTGATTGATCCACTGAATTTAACTCGTGAAGATAAAAAAAGTCTAGAGGAATTAAAGTTAAACTTAGAAAAGAACAAGCCCTCATCAACTGACAAATGAGACATGTGAATAGACAATAGATTTAACGAATATATTACGATTTATTTAGTTTTAGAATTGATAGTAGTACCTTCTTGTTTATATCTAACATCTTTTAAATGCATACTCAAGTTTGCATAATTTACAATCATGGTTAAATGAGCAAAACTAATAACAAGTTTCGCTGTTGCAGTGGTTACTATAATCAATTTATTGAAATTATTAACGTAGATTACCATCATAACTAATAACCAAAATGCATAAAGAATTAATTGTAATTTATTACTTGATTGAAATAATGAAATGAAATTAAATTCAAATAAATTCGTAATTAGAAAATTTATTATTAACGTCTTGTAAAATTCTGATTTATCTACTTTGTTTAGGATGTTGAAATAATAATTTAAGGAGGTGTATAATACTATGTTGTAGAATAAATTATGAACTAATGATTTGAAAATGTATTTGAATGCTAAATTGTTTAACTTTATACTTTGTTGTTGTGGAGTACTCATTCTCTGGTGTTTAGCTAATGAAATATGATGAGTTTTTTGATGTCGATGGTTTAATTTATTGGGTTTTTTGATGCCGTTCGGTTAATTTATTGTAATCTTCTCATCTTGATTATAAGCGAAAACTGAACATTTCTATACGACGAGCCGCTGAGCTTTTACAGGCCACGAATTATAGGTATTTACTACCGTTATACACGATCTCGAGGTTTTAATAACATGATGAGACTAGCCTATTGTTTATTCTTACTTTTTGAAAAGCTTTCGATCGATTACGTGGCTGCAAAAAAATTTACAAGCCATAGTTATGTCAAGAAATGACAGATGATACCAATTGAGCTCATAGTATATACAAAGCCCAAAAATTGTCATGCTTGTATCACCTTTACAATGGCATAAGATTAAGATTTAAGTTTTAAAGTTCACATTTATTTATATTAGTCAAGATCTCGTTAATAGATCACACTGTATTCATATTCAAGCTTCTTTTTCGTTTTGAATGGCCTCGTATTCATCACCAATATCTTCTAATTCGTCTTTAGCAGCTTCTTCTTCAACTCTAATAACTTCAATATCGTCCTTAAAGGCTTAATTTTCATTTCTTGTAGTTTTTTTTTTGATTCTGATAGATTCTATTTCATCTCTGGTCTCTTCTTTATTCGTCTTTAATGACTTTATCCTCATCTCTAGTGGCTTTTTCGCTGTCTTCAATAGCTTTTTCATCTTCTTTAATTCCATCTTCATCTTTTATCAAATGTATAATTTTATTAAGATTATAAACAATCAAACTCAAAATTACAACATGACTATAAATAGAGCACCTTCCATCTCCTAGTATAAAAAAATAAATATAGAATGCATGCTCAGGTATTTCATGTATTGGAAGAAGTAAACCAAAATTAACAAATGATAAAAGTATAGGAAAACTATATTCATTTTCCCATCTTCCGTACTTTGCCGCTGTATAGATAGTCAAAAGTGCAGGATATATCATGGCACTGCTTTTAATGACCATAATTTGACATATAGTTGAAAGAAGGTACGGTGCCCATTAATAATGACCCTTCAAATTGTATACACTAGTGAGTGTTCTAATTATATTCATTGAGAAGAATTCTGAAACAAAAAACAAGGTTGCTGGTACTAAAAACCTTGAAAAGTTGGGATTATATCAACTCTGTGGCATCATTATTCTTGTGTTCGAAGGGGTAGATGGGTAAAAAAAGAATGAGCTGGTAAGTTTCATGTATAGTGTTGCAACTCTATGACGCTACCACGTTTCACTAAGCCGTACGTGAAAGTTGACTGACTATTCAGTCTAAGCTCGTATCTTTGAGCTAATTAAAAAGGTTTTAAAGATTTACGTCGACTGTGGGGCATAAACCATGGTTACACAATAAGAATAATTGGAGAGACAAGCAACTCTGGTATATTTGAAGTTTCGAGTTAATTCGACCAATACCCTAAAAATGAGTAAAAGGTCAAGTCGCAAGTTTTCGATTTATCATTCAGTATATCATTCAGCATACGATTCTGCAAATACTCTATAAAATCAATTTATACTTCAATTAAAGCTTCTTTTTCTTCTTTAGTACCTTCCTCATTTTTTTCGACTTCTTTGGCTTCTCCTTCTGCTATTTTAGCCTTTCTATATTGGTAAAGAATTGAAAATATAGTAATAACATGATAAATAAACCACCATAATGGAAGTGGGTCATTGAACACAATATCATTGACAACAGGATATAAAGGAACAAGTAAATGAAGATCAACAAATAATACACCAATGGGAATCCAGTATCTATTATTCCATTTTTTCTCGTTGATCACTTTATAAATAATAAAAATCACAGGATATATTAATATGTTACACATCATAAGCGCAGCAGAGATGGCACCACCAACAACAATTGGCCAGATTTTACCATGACCTTGTATTCCAATTAAATTAGCAACTATTAAAACTGTGAACATTGATCCAAAAACTAACGCATTGAATGAATAAGCTAAAGCTAATTTCCATGTACATTTTCCATTTGGAGTTGGATTTGTAGTTTTATCTGTTGTAGTTTCTTGATTTTCATTCATCTTTGAATATGCTATAGGGGGTTTTTGTTGATAAAAAAAGTGATGAAAACTAAGGATTTCAATTATTAGTGTGCTGGCAAATACACACTACGAATTTACTTAAGCCACAAACTAAACATAATTCGGACTTAAATGGTTGTGTTTGAAATTATGAGATAATAGAAGAGTCAGTTGAGAAATATTAAGGGTCATGAGTAACTACTGAAAATCGTAGGGCATGAAGTTTTTTGACATTCAAAATGAAATTCATTTCAACATTTATATTCATCACATTAAAAACCACTTAACGAATAAATAGATATCAGCTAACACAATTAATATATAAGTCAATTTGAAACCCAGGTTAAAGAAAAGCATACTTAATATGGTAAAATTATGGAGTTGTAATAACCAGCGAAGATTAGGTGATTGATGGGATGAGAAACATTTGATTCATTGATGAATTTATAAATTAAAAAGCCAATTGTATAGTAAACTTTGCCAAATAGCCATGGTATTCCTTTAACTTGTTGGGCTGAGTTTTTTTACCTATTTTGTTTGTCATTTCCTAGATCTACAGATCTTGTATTATGAATTTTAGTATCTTGATTTCTCGAATCTCGGCACTGAAATATTTTTAGATCTGTTACAAGCCGAGATTTTAATTCAATTACAACTTGTTAGCATACGTTGTAGTGTAAAGCAAGTAACGAGATGGTGTAATTCAAGCTAGAGTGGAAGTATGCTCAATTCTAGCTACTTTTGACACACACACACCCCCTGTAGATATATTATTAATGTCAAATTTGACGTATTTTTACGAAAGCCAAGAATTTATACCTCAGATTCTGACAGTTGAAAATTACAGTACAGTTAAAATTACTACACTACCTTTGAAGCTGATTCTTTAGTGTCAGCTCGCTAGGGACAGCTAATAGAAATGCTGTAATTATTTAATCAGAATTTACGAGCTTTATAAATTTCTTCCAACTCGAAGAATAGCAATAAGAAACCAATGTTAAGCTAAGCTAAAATAGAAGTATACATTTTATCGACCTCAAAATCGAAATCATTTATACTTGTTGGATTAGCTTCTAAATAATTAAAAATCACAAATGGGAAAATATCAAGTGAGCAAAATATTAAAATGGCAGTTGCAAATCGTTCTTCATTCTAGACAGATTTATATGGTAAAGTAGAAAAATTCTCGCCCAAATTTAGTGCCAACGAAACATTTTTGTCGCGTTGAGTATGGGGCGATTCGTACTAAATACATTGACTTAGATGTTAGCACAAAACAATTTGTCGAATCTTGTAATTTTTTTATTTCTCGCGAAATATTTAGGCCACCTCGTGCTACCTCGAAATTTGCACGAGCTATGGTACTAAACGTCATCTCAAGTGAAAAATTTTATGGCCAAATTTCGTCCTAACTCCGTTGAATGCACGTCCAAAACAAAAAGTTTGAAAATTATCGATTTTGTCTTTTATGCAGTCCTTTAGTAGTTAATCTCAAAACTTAATGTGTAAATAACTCCCTCGATATTCAAGCTATGTTTGTCAAACTTTTTTCCTCGAAACTTCCGTAAGACTGAAGAAGTGTATTGTTATTATCACTTGATAAAACATATTTTTGAACTCCTCATTAGACATTTAAAAAATAGAAAAAAAAACGATTCAAAATATTCAACACTTGGACCTCATATAACAACTTCTAACCTATCAGATTTAGTTCATTGAGTCCCTAAAGTACTTCTAGTTGTATTTTCAAGAAGTCAAATTCAATTTGAATTTTTTTCAAAAATTTCAAACCACTCTTGAAAAATTACTTTTCCAATTTTGATAGCCTCAACACAAAAATATTCAAAGTTTCTCAGAGTGCAAGAACTAAAAATTTTGATAATTTCATCATGTACCTACCTTCATTTTAGTTGTGGAATTAGATTGTTCAAAGGGTCGATTTATTCAAATTTTGCCATACTAAAGAGTAAATTTTGAAATTTCATTTTAGATGAGAGCAACTAGGGTCAAGTCCAGCGCCTTTAGTCGAGGAATAATATATTTAAATCATTGTTTATTTGAGACTTGTGGGCCTAAATGGATAGAAACTCATATTTACATTTTTTGAAAAATTTTTGTATGGTAAAAAAGGGCCAAAATGACAACCTAAAAAAAATGTTTGAATATGAACATTTGGTATATGTGGAACTTATAAATTGATGCTACGGTGCTTAACTGATATCTATCTCATGAGAATGTGTCATTCATGACTTATAAGCCAAGATATTTAGTACGAAGTGATACGAAGTCGCATTACATCTGCGAGAAATTATATTATCCCATCAAATCGGTATTCTTCAATTTGACATTTAAGCGTTCAATAAAAATTAAACAAATCGATCTAGAATTGATTCAAAAAACATGTTTGTTAGTCTCATTTGCTAAATAACATCTCCAGATTGCATTCTTCATCTAGTTGATTTCAGTTTTTGTTCGATATAATGTTGGGTTGTTCGATCGTTCTTGACAGCCCTGTTCTTTTAATACTTTATTAAGACTACTAGCTATTTTTCATTAATAGCTTCCACCTTTTCAAGAACAATTCAGAGTATATTTAAAGGCTGTAGTGTCTTAATAATTTGCAGCCTAAATCTATAAATCAAGTCGCTACCAAGTTCACGTAGTTAAAAATATTTTTTTAATTTTTTTTTCATCTCATCTAACAAATTAATAGAAGAGTATATGGGTAAATTAAAAAGAGGGAAGAGAAATCAAAATAAAAGACATAATCCAATATCTAGAGACTCAAAAGATTTGAAGAAAGATGAGTCAACGAGGCAATCAAAAATTGTACCATTGATTAATAAATTAAGATCAACTACTCCCAACGATAAATCAATGGCCCTTGGTGCAATAACAGTACTTGCCGATGATAAAAGAATGAGACAATTACTACTAAAAGAAAGATTAATACCCACTATCCTTGAAACCTGTCTCAATGATTCAAATGATGAAATTATAGTAGAATCGTTTGGTTTACTTCGTAATTTGTCAATTGAAGAAGGTTACGATGTTATTAAATATTTATGGAGAAATGGAATTTGGATTACAATTGAAGATTCACTAAATAAAATAAATGAATCATTCAAGGTTTTAAATGAGAATAAAATTACTGATAAATCAAAATTGCATTTATTGTATGATTTTACTGAAAATATCTTAAGTTTGATTATTGTATTAGCAAGTGGGAGTGAAGACATTTATGATTCAATATTTGAAAAGATTGATCCTATAATTGAATTTATTTTGAAATTGACAGAGCTGTACCTTGATGGAAAAAATATCATATCAAAAAGATTATTCAATTCATTACTTGAATTCATTTATGAATTTTCAACTGAATCTGTTGAATTTATACAAAAATTGGAACAATTTAATTGGGATAGATTGATTGAATTTGTCAATGAGAATGGATCATCATTAACTAAAATATATATTGAAGGTATAAAATTTAATAATTATGAAATTTTGGAAACTGATCATACTAATAAACAACAATTTTCAACAATGAGATTAAATCAAATATATACAATTCTTGGATCCATAAACTTACAGCAATTACAGAAAGATTTACATTTAATAAATAATCCAAATAATGCAGAAAATCCAATACAACAAGATTCAAGTACAATAGAGAAAGATTTATCATCATCTATAAATGAATTAAAATCAAAAACTAAAAATGATTTAACTGCTATTGAAACTGGTTTAGATATAATAACACAAATTATAGAATATTTATCAGTTAATGAGGATGAGTCAGAATTACAATTACAAGAAGATATCAAAAAAGTTTTACTAGATGAAATTGATGTCATGTTGGTTGAATTGTTAAAATTTGATATGTCCAATAACATTATCAAATTAAATGAAAAAGTATTAACATGTCTAAGTAATTTGATTTGGTTATTATTTTTAAATCAAACATTACCAGTGGCATGGTATGAAAAATCAACTGAAATTTTACAAATCATACTAAATATGAATGATGAAAAATTACAAAAATCAACATTAAGTATACTATGGGGATTAATAAAAACTTTAGGTCCAGAAATACTTTCTAAATTGCCAGATCAATTAATTGAAAATTTATTAAGTATTCAATATAATCCAGAATATTTAGATAGTTATTTATGTTCCATTGGTGTATTAGGTAGCATTGCTCCAATTGTAAATAATCATGAAATAACTTTTAAAATTTCACAATTTTTGCTTACTTCAATTGATTCTGCAGTTACTGGTTTAAAGGAAAATAAAGATGAAACTAACTATGATATTATATTTGAATCTTTGAATTTGATATTTGAAATATTTGGTGATAAAGATTATTCATATGATTATGAAATCTTTGTCCAACAAAATTATAATCAAAAGTTAAAAGAATTAGAACCGACAATCAAACATGTATATAAAAAGATTGATAAGAATAAGAATTTACCATTGAAGTTGAAAATGGAAGAATCCTGGATCAATTTGGAAAGATTCATAAAATATAAACAAAGTGAAAGAAGTTAATAGATTCTAATACATACTTGAATATTTGAAAGCAAATAAATCTATTACCATGTGGGTGTACATCAGCTTTGATCCTTAACATATATTCGCTCGCGCGTACAATAACAACTCAGTTCTAAAAATAGATATGTATAAATTTTGATGGAAACGAAACGTTTGCTATTTCGAACAGATTTGTTATTTCATACCATTAGTGAAGTGTCAATAAGTGAAATACCCGATATTGAGTGTCGGAACTTAGATACTTGTTGCACCCTAACATTGAGCGGGTTTATTACTCCGATTTTAATACCAAGGCTTATTGTACCAAGCTCTTTCTCTTCTGTTCAGCTAACAAAACTTACTCGAGCTTCCCTAGCGTAACTTCTTTTTTATATTTCTCGAATTTGTTATCTTGTGTCCATGATCACAAATTCAAAAGAAATCTCAACTGGAGAAGAGACAACTAATCTTAGACACTTAAATTTTAGCCTAGCTTATCTAGATCTTAACCACTCCTGTATCTTGGCATCAATTCATATCTTAGCCATGTATTCACATGATGCTGAACCCTGAGTCGGAAAGCAACTAAATTAAGCGAATTTGACAAAAATGGTTAAGAGATTACAAAAGATTGCATAAAACTAATCAGCTTGACCACAGAAACTTGGTGGTGAATAATTCACAACGTGTTGTTGAGTCTGAATATGTTTTCATATTATGATATTGTTTATCAGATCTTAACTTGAGATTTTCAAATGGAGTGCAAATAACAATTATGCAACAATCTGAAACGCAATACGGCAAATTAAATATTCAATCGAAAGGGATAAGCTGGAACTTGACTACCTTGATTCATGTACCAGTTTACAACCAGATCGGATCTTTATGAAATCATGTCGTTGATCAAGATCACCACAATCGACATATCACAGCCTAGAGGAGCTTAACAGAAAAGTAAAGAAGTAAAGATCAAGAAGTAAAGATCAAGAAGTACTTAATCGTTATCGATGAATTATAATATTCGTATTGTTCTTTTTGAAATTATAAGCAAACTATTAACTCTTACATTGTGTTCAATTATTAATAAACCGCATACGTTCATTTAGTTTTAAATATCTCATGTAAACAATAAAGACTCAAATCTTTAATAATAAAAATCAATATCCGTCAATCGTCATGCTTTCTTTCTTTTGATTTCGACGTACTTGATTTATACCTTCTGCGCATCTCCGTTATATTCAGAAGTACAAAGCTACAACTTTAGTCTTTTCGCATTCGATTAATTTAACTAATTGTAGATAAATTTGAATTTTTACTAATAGCGTTTAAATTACATACTAATCTCCCATAAAACTCCTGATGATTAAAAATTTTCACATTTAACCATTTGTTTTTGTTTATCTTAACACAAAGTCAAAATTAGCAACAACCTTGTTTAAAATTTCTGTCCTTATTTCTTTTTGCAGTCAATATAAATATAGTAGTAATTCTTTAAATTTCTCCATCAAATTATCCATTCGCTAAATATGAAATACTCAACAACTTTCGCTTCATTAGCTTTGTTTTCATCATCTGCATTAGCTTACTACGGTAATGATACAACTGTTTATCAAACAGTCACTGATTTCACAACCTACTGTCCAATTGCAACCACTTTAACCATCACTAAATGTGAAAATCATCATTGTACTCCAACTACTATTCCAGTTGAAGGTCCAACAACAGTTACTGTCACTGGTGAAGTCTTGTGTCCATCAACTTCAGAAGAAGCACCATCAGGTCCAACTACTATTCATTCAACTGTTACTGATTTCACCACTTACTGTCCAGTAAGTACTACTATCACTTTAACTAAATGTGATAAAGATAAATGTGGACCAACTACTGTTACTGGTGGTGAAGGTGAAACAATTACAGTTACAGGTACTTTTATTTGTGACACTACTTCAGAAGCTCCAGTTCCATCATCGGAAGCTCCAGAAGCTCCACCTCCATCATCAGCAGCTCCACCTCCATCATCAGCAGTTCCACCTCCATCATCAGAAGCTCCAGCTACTTCACAAAAACCAGGTACTCCAGTAATCCCAGTTCCAAAACCAGAAGAGTCACCAGCTGAATCACCAGCTGAATCACCAGCTCCTCAACCATCAACAGTTGCTGCTGAATCAAGCTCACCAGCTCTGGGTGTATCAGAATCACAACCATCAACTGTTGCTGCTCAATCAAGCTCACCAGCTCCGGCTGTTTCAGAATCACAACCATCAACTGTTGCTGCTGAATCATCAAATGTTGTTGTTCCAGAAGTCTCAGAAGGTAGTGCTGCTAAATTAGTTGGCTCATTAGGTGCAGTTGCTTTTGCTTTTGGTTTATTAATTTAAGTATAATAAGCAACATAATATTTATTAACATTCTTCTCATTCGGTTTAGTACAATTTATTACAAGTTTGATTTAATTTTAATTTAATTAATAATTTAGATAAAATTTTCGTTTTTTTACACAAGGCATATTTTTAATTTCTTAATATATATATTTTTTTTTCTAATATGATGTACTTATGCCATATCATATCTCAGTAAACTTCATGAGTACTCTTTCAAGTGTTTCATTGTCGATTCGTATTATGAGGAAAAATTCATCCAATCACAAATTAAGAAAAATTCTGAAACACGATTGCGCGTTAGATGCGTACATGCGGCTGAACAATACATAGTAAAAAAAATTAGATGTCATTATTCATTAGAATTATCTATATCCTTATTCATTATATAAGGATGAAATTTCAGGCCAAACTCTTCTATATAAACTCATTCCAACAATGTCTTGTGATGTCAATTTACCATCAAAATTAGCCTTGAAATAACCATGAGTACCCAAACTTTCTTTTATAAAACCAGATCTACCACTTTTAGTAAATAATTGAATAGCTTTAAAATAATTGATATCATCCTTATTGAAAAACATATAACGTACAGTGACAACTCTTTTATGTATCTTTACTGGATGACCAGTTAAAACAACACGTTTAACTAATATTCTTGAATTATCTGATCCTAAATAACTACCTTGTCCAATGAACTCAACACCATTACCTTCTGCATTCGGTTTGAAATATATAACAGGTGAATTTGTAAATAATATTGGAGCAATACAACTAGCCACTACTGTGTTTCCTTTATGTACGAAATTTTCAGTCTTGTGTACATTATTTTTATTATTTGATCCTTGATTAAATATTGGATTTATTATTTGTCTTCTTGGTCCATATTGAATCACCATTGTATCTTTATTAGGAACAGATTCATCATAATCTTCCCAATTTTCAAATGAAAAATTCAAGACTGATAATTTATGTTCATGTTCAAATAATTCATAAATCACAAATGGTTTAACTTGTGGATTAAATGACTCTATTATATGTAATGGTGCTTTTATAAATAATCTGATTTTATCACCTTGATTTAATTCAACATTTTTGATAAATTCTTTATTTATTTTATTTTTTGAAGTTTTAAAATTGCCAACTTTGAATAATTTATTCCATATACTTGGTTTTTCAATATCTTGCTCATTTACATCCCAATCACAATTAGATAATGATTTAACACCTCTGTAATCTTTAAATTTCTCAATTGCTGATTCTTGAGGATGTAATTCAATTTCATCTGGGAATTCCATATCTTCTTTAACGAGATTTCTATATTCTTGTAATTGACGTTCTTCTTCTTCTTGTGAAAGATCAACATGGATATCATTTTCAGTGTATTCAGTTTGAGTATCTATGTCAACCATATCTTCTTCATCAGCTTCATCTTCATCAACTTGTTCCTCTTCTAGATCTGAATCATTTTCATCCAATACGTCATCTACAAACCACCTGCTTTGGTATTCTGAAGTTCCTTTTGGTAATTTTTTTGGTTCTTCTGCCCTTCTAGTCCCATCATCATTGAAATATATTTTACCTTCTGATCTTACACCTAATCCATCATAATTTTCATAATCTTCATGATCCATATCTATTTCCTCATCATTCGAATTTAATTCATCCAATGTATCTCTATTTTCATTGGGTATGAATTCATTTTCAACATCATTATCTAAATCCATTGAATTCTTACTACTTCTTTTTTGTAATTTTTCAATTTTATCAACTTGAAAATCGCCAAATCCAGGAATATGTACAAGTCTATTACTATTGAAACCTTGGCCCCTAACAACACCTTCAACTACTAAATATTCATTTTCAATCTTAACAGTTTCCGAAATCAACCAACCTCTTGAATCTCTCCATGTGATTGTATTTGGAAATCTTTGACATAAATTTCTCAATAAATTTGCAATTTCGTTACTTACTTCAGTGGCATATAATTTGTCATCTCCACCAGGGAAGAAATAATTATAATAACTTTGTAAAGATTGTTTAATATCCAATTGTAAATTTTTTTTGGAATTTGGATAAGTTGAAATTAAATTAGGAATAACTCCAAACGTATTTGAAATACCTTGTGCTATGAGACTTCTTAATATCGTTTCACCATAATCTCCTACTTCTTCAGTTGCAGAAAATCCAAATATTATAAAATTGGAACATTTAGCAGCATCTAATAAATTTAAAATGTTGGTGTGATCAGGTATGATTACTTTCAAATTAGTTTTAAATTTGGATATATGTATATTTGAAACTGAAGGATAGTTAAACTCAAAATTTGTAGTCTCATCTTGGTTGAATATTTGGTTTGCAATATCAATTGGCGATAAATCTTCAGTTAAACAAATTATAGTTATAATTTTTTCAATACCTGAATTACCTTCATATATCTTTTTAATTAATTTAGTTTCTAATATTTTAGTCTCTTTCAATTGTTTATTTATATTCTTTCTTTGAATTTTAGAAATTGATTTATGTGATGAATTTGAATCAGAATTTGTTGATTTTTCAACTTTTCCTTTCAATTTATTCTTTAATTGTCCTTTTGATGTATGTCTAGATTTGAATGGTTTATGATCATTTTTTAACGTGGATCTATGTGAATTTCCACCTTTAGCCATAATATAATCTGATGAGATGAGATCAAATCAGTATAATCAATTTGATAATATAAAATGAGCAATTAATAGCCCTAATAGCCCTAAATCTGGTCATCTGACTGTGAGCCATGGTATGAATTTTTACATAGTTAATTTTTACTACCAAATTTTATCCGCACAGTAAAAAAATATTTATCATACTTGAAAATTGAAACTTTTAATTTAATATATCAATAACGTTAAATTAGTATGTGAATAACAATATCAAGATGATAGAGAAATGAGCTACACAAGAAGAGATAGATATAAATGAAAAAGAAGTGAATGAGATCTAACAAGAAAGAGATCTAGCAAGTCAGGAGACATGTCAAATCAAATGAAATATTCAACCGTCGTCGAAGGAGATTCCTAAGTTACAAGACTCAACTCCAACTAGGGAGCTCAGATCAATCTCATTTCAATCAAAGATAATAGAGCATCAATACTAACAGTTTCTTTTAGATTATGGCACACGAAAACGTTTGGTTCTCACACCCAAGAAGATTTGGTAAAGGTTCAAGGCAATGTAGACATTGTTCATCACACTCAGGTTTAATTAGAAAATATGGTTTAGATTTATGTCGTCAATGTTTCAGAGAAAAAGCTACTGATATTGGTTTCCACAAATATAGATAAATTGACTCCAAAAAAATAGGGTTTATTTTAATATTCACATTTGTAAATTATAATTAAGTTTATGTTATATATTTAATAAAAAGAGTTTTTATTAGTATAAATGGAGTTCAAGTGTAGATTAGAAGCAACTATGACCTAATTTAATGGAAGTGCAATAAAGTTGTTTTCGAAAGCTCAAAAGTCAAAATAGAACTAGAAGATGTCTACTGAAAGCTTCTCAAGTATCTTAAATTGAGTCTTAATGGATCTCTTTTCCTTTTCTGCAGACCTCTTATTTTACTGCTTTGAATAGCAGTCCAGTGGTCAAAGTCTGTCTTTCACGTACATCCGCTGTCAAGTCAGAGTATTCATTATATTGAATCAATCGTGACGCTGTTAACAGAGCTATGGCAGTCTTTCAAACACTTTCAGTCTGGTCATCATCTCTCAAAAACTTAGCTTTACAGTCAAATTGTATCGTAAGAGTTTCGTTTAACATTTTTCAGCTTCAAACGCATGACAAAGATACAGTAAATACACAGCTCACGAACAAAATCAACGCTCAATTTAGTAATAGATGTTTCCCTTTAATTCGACATTCAAAATTCAATTCAAATACGATCATTTCAAACTTCCTAAAAGGGAACTAATGTAATTTGGGGAAAGTCAATAATACATTTATATTTTATAAATGGCAACGAGTATAACTTGATAAAAATCTACATTATCTCGTCGTGGCAAATTTTCCCGTTTACTTTTTGATTAAAGAAAGAAAAGAAGAAAAAAATTTGGAAAAGTTGTTGATGAGCTTTTATAATGATGAACTTGGTAGCGTTGGTTAATATTTACGATACCGAGTCTAGAATCCAATCAATGGTAAAGTTTTGGTTGTATGAGGTGTTGAATATAAATAAATATATATATTAAGTGCTCGTATAAATAGTGATCATATTTTCGTGTTTAAGTCTTTTAATGTCTGATCAATATCGATTCTCAATATTAATAAACTTCTTAGTAATCCAATCATCGTTACAAAACTTGCCAAACCAACAGGAACAACAGCAAACACCACAATATTATAAAAATCAAAAAATCTTTTCTGTTTCCTATTCTTTTTCTTAATTGGATTTCCATTTGAATTATTATTCGTCAATTGTAAATTTGAAGTAACGAAATTTTGTACAGTATAAGTCAAAGTCAACAAACAACTAATTAAAATCCAAATATGCAAACCATATTTATATCCATTTGCCAGAAATGTACTCACGAGATAAAATTCACAAGTGATCATTATCGTACTCATTGATAATACTCTCACAATTGCTGCTGATGTAGAATAAGTAACTATCCATCTAACTAGCAAACTATCCAATATTGAATAACTTAAATATGAACTTACTAAACACCAAATTCCAGTTAAAAAATGTTCTAAATTTCTTGCACTTGTTAATCCTTGATTATTCAAATCATGACCTATATTATCTGGATTATAACAACATCTTTTCCAAGATTGAATAAGACTAATTAATGGTGGTATTAATGATACATCCCTACAAAAAGCCAATAAGAAATGTTGCCTTGCGTTTAAAAATTTGAGACCCAATTGTTTAATTGATGTTATTTTCTTTTTATTTCTTGGTTGTTGAGTATTGTTATTTCTTAATTGTGGACTCGAAGTCAATGATGAATCTGTTGAATTTGTCTGTGACATGCTTATTGTACTTTGAGTTCTAGGGATAGGTAGTGAGGGAATTGGAGTATACAATCGACTTCGAGATGATTCTGATAATTGATCTTCTGCAATTTGCTGTTGTTGATTTGGTGGTTGTTGTTGTGGGGTTATGATCTGTGAATGCAATAATTGGGATGTTTCATACGATGGTACAATTTCAAAAGGATCATATAAATCAATTGGTTGTGAAATACTTTGCTGTCGAGAATGAAATACTGAATTTCGTATTGGCATTGGTTGTTGTTGTGTATCTGAATCTGAAATAGTACCTAGACTATTTATAGTATAGTCATCATCAATTTGATGACTTTCCAAGTTGGTGGTAAATCTTGACCTTAGTGATTGAAATGGCATATTAAATAAATAAATAAACCGGCTACCCTATAACCATACGAATAAATGACGAATAAATAACGAATAATAATAAATAACTTATAGCCTTTTGTTCGCTATGGTATATCCTCTAGTTGTTGATGAGTTACAAAATCTGACTCTATTATTGTTATCTTTTATTAGATTTTTTTTTTTTTTTTTTTTTTTTTTCTTAGTCTGTGGTTCGTAATAATAACCATTATAAGTTAAACAATTTGCAACTAAAATTAGACAATATTGAGCGGCAATAACACCTTATTAACTGAGCAGAATGTTGATTAAATAATTTGTTTTCGGCTGAGCTTAAACAGGAGTAATAAAAATACAATGCGACTTGATTATTCAAACGAAGCTTATTTATTAAAACCTATATAATAATTTGATAACTGCGTAGAGTAGGGTATTATAATGCTAATGCAAGTTTTCCATTTAAATAGCTTCCAATTGTTGACTAATTTCATCCAATTCAGCTTTAGCTTGATTATATTGTTGAGTTAAATCTTCAAATTTCTTTTCCCAATCTTCCTTTTCAGATTCTAAAGAAGCAACTTTTCTTTCCAATTGTTCTGCTTTAATATCGGTTTCTCTTAATTTTTCAGTTGTTTCTTTTAAATTTTTATCAGCCTCTTCTAATTCTTCTTCTAAAACTTGATTTTTTTTAGTATAATTTTCATTTGAAGTTTTTAAAGAATGTGATTCATCTGCTGTTTGTTTAATTTCATTTAATGATGTTTCTAATTTTTCAACTTCTTCTTCTAATACTGTATTTTTTCTAGTTAATGATTGAATTTGATTATCTTTTTCTAAATTTTCTTGTTCTAATTCCTTAATTCTATCAGATAATTCATCTGATTTTTCTTGCCATTTTTCAGCATCTAATTTTAAATTATTAATTTTCTAAATAACTATTAGTATATATTATCCAATAAGGATTAAATCGGGTAGCTGTCAAATCAAAATAAGTCAACAAAAAAGTGGACTAATGAGTTAAAAACAACTAGAATTTCGAATCACTGACTCAATCTTTGCCACCAATTGAGTTAGATCAATATAAATTTTAAACATACTTCTTTTAATTTATCCATGATTAATTGGTTGTAAATATAAAATTAATTGATTTGATATTATTTTGGTCGAATCAAAAAAAAAAAAAAAAAAAAAAAAGATTAACTGGAGTGAGCGTGTTATTTTGATTATTATAGGAGGTAGTGTATTGTACAATTGATGATCTCTACTTTATATAGTAATATTGAATTAGTTAACGACAATACACTAATTGACAAATTGGTTATTAATCAAAACAAATAAACAAAGTAAACTAACATTGATCAACTTTGTGGAATATACGATGCATAAACCAATGAAAACTGGACAACACACTTTAACTCTTCACAACCTATAGTAATAATAGTAATAAAGCTACTTTAAAGCATCTTCAAGTAGCATTAACTAGTATAACACGTCATCTTTCTAACTCCCCCCACTGTTTAAATTGCTTTATCAACCTCAACTAGCCATAGCAGCCCTCAGATAACTATCATTATATCAAATTTAGTAGACCAGATCTGATCTACAAATTAGCCAGATCGGGAAAGATCCAGATTCGCGCCAGGCGAAAAAAATTAAAAAAAAAAAAAAAAAAAAAAAAAAATTATAATTTTTCGACTTCCAATTATGGATTTTGCAACCAGCATCAATTTAAAAATGTGTTCCTTACAACATATCAACATGAATCAGATCAAAAAATTTTATCATTAATCCCCATTACTAATGTCAACTAGTATATTACCTAGCTCACACACATCATCAAATAATATATCATCACAACATCCATTTGAAATCATATATGATTCAAATATTTCACATATTAGATCACCATCAACACAATGGCATAATCAGTTAAATTATAATGAAATAGAGAAAAACATACATGAAAAAACAACACCAAAACAAAATTATACTACTGGATTTGCACAACCTCCGATGTTAACTAAACTAGATTCATTTTCAATTTCACGTAATTCAACTATGCGAAATCGAAAAAAACTAAAGAAGAAAAGAACAGTTAAACGACAAAGATCACTCAAGTTTAAAAGTGTGAGTAATTTTAAAGATCGGTTTGAGTTTCTTCAGTTTTTAAAATTGGCTAATTATGAAAAGTTAGTTAATGGGTTATTACCTTCACGAATGAAAGTTTTCAAATATACTAAATTATTGAATCCAATACCTAAGTTGACTTATGAGGTTGTTAAATTTGGAAGTATTAAGAAGAAAGGACATAGGTATAATACTTCACAAATTGATTTCATGGAAATTATATATCAAAAATATAAAGAAACGATATTTAACCAATCATATAAAATACCACCAAATTTTGAACATTTGTTTCCAAAAGATAGTAAACTATTAAACAAGAGAGAATTGAATCAACTAAATACCAAGTTATTATTTGAAGTTCTTTTGAGACGAACATTGGCTGCAAAAATGGAATATAGATTGAAACAAAATAATCATACATTTTCAAATAGTTCATCATCGTCTTCAAACAGCAGTTCTACTAATTCTAATAATTCAAATGAAGATTTATCTAATGATAATATATTTCAAGATTTAATTATACCATCACCAAAAAGAACAAGAACAAATTCAGATTCAAATTTAGAAAATCGTTTTATTAATGACTTCAACAAAATCTACAACGAACGCTACAATAAGAAACAACAACAACAAGAGAATGTAGATTTTTACTTATTACAACCTCATAATCGATCACAAAATACAATTACTTCCACAGATGAAGAAATTACAATAAAAAGAAAATCACAAAGCACTTCAAATACTTCAATTTTTGCTGATTTAGATTGTGTAAGTGATGAATTAAATTTATTTATAACTCATCTGGATAAAAAATTTAAATCTAAAAATATCATTCCAAAGGAAATTATAAATCCAACTGATTTGATTGATAATTTCAACAACAATAACAATAAAAGAACTATAAAATTCAATGTCAATAGTTTCAATGATGAGAAAGAAATTAAAGTGTTTGATCAGGGGTCAATGAAGTCTAACAAGGCTTCAATTATTGAAACTGATTCAACTCGAAATAGTTTAAATTCTGTATCTAGATTCAAATCATATAAACGTAGATCAATGATGATTTAATAGTCGACATTCAATAATATTTAATGCATCCTTACAATAGCTGGTCTAACAGATGCTAAACTTTACTCAAATAGAAAATTTATAGAATTAAATACAAACAATTTCATAGAAATCAAGTTTCATCAGCTCTTATATTAATTATTACTCTATCTCATCACTTCATTATTCATTCAATCATAATTTTTCATTGATTATAAACCATTGGTAACATAAATTCTTTAATTCTTTTCATAATTTCTTCGTTGGACAAATCATCATTATTCGCCTTATTACTACCCAAATAATAATCATGATCTAGTATATTTAACATAAATAAGGGAATTTTATTATCTCTAACACCTTGACAAATTATTAAAACTTCATTAGAATTCAATAAATTCAAATTATACAACGAAATCAATTTATTAAACCATGCTTTATCTTTAATATAGATCGGAATACCATTTTTTATCACATTTGGAGAATTTATAGCTGCCAAACTAGCTTCAGCTAATACATTATTATTGTTTCCATTTTTCAACATCGGATCTAATTCTTCTTCTTCATCTTCATTTTCATTTTCATTTTCAGTCAATATCACACCATTATTTAACAATTTATTAAATTCTTCTAAATCACTCATTTCTTTTCGTTTTCTCTTTTTTGTTATTATATTTTTAATTCCATATTCTTTATTAGCTTCAGGGTAACTAAATTTCGGAATTTCCAGATATATTTCATCACCTATATCTTCCAAATATCTAGTATCCATTTTAATCAACAATGGAAGAATTTCATTATGATAAACACTCATATATTTTAAATTATCACTTAAAAAGAAATCATTAATGATTAATTGTGATTTATTTTTCTTTAATGGGGGTAGATTAAGACTTTCAGAATATAAAATAGTCTTAATTAATCTCTCATCAATTATCAACAAATTAGTACTTAAATCAATTATTTGGAATCTTCCAATTTTAGGATTCCATTTATATGAATATTCTAAATCTTGTAATTTCAGTGAGTTTATAAATTTTGAATGTTTCATTAATTTATACCATATTTTATATCTATATTGAATTACATTAATTAAATGTTGTTGACATGAATATTTTGTATATGTAGAATATACAGTTTCTGGATTAACATTTCTTAATTGATTACATACAAAATTCCATGATTTTTTACTCATATGAATATCTGATCCCTGAGGAAATGAATGAACTACATCTGATAATAATTTAATTAAATATTGATCCATTCGAGGTGTCCATCTTTTATATTTTGATTCTTTCGATTTTAAATCATATTTTGTTAAATCTACAGCAGGCGGTGATTGTGATTGATGTAATGGATGTAATTGTAATTGAAATTGTTTTCTATTACTTTCTTGTAGTATTAAATGATTTGAATTTGTTATTAGCAGATGAGTACTACTATTACTATTATTATTATTATTATTATTATTTGACATATTATATTAATCTTGGTTTAATTGTTTTTCAATTTAGACGAGAATCGATAAGTAAATAAATAAAAAAAAAATTTAAGGTTTGATCAATTTACACGACTCCGCGCAATAATTTGTCTATAAATAGAGAACCAATTTCCCTTCAAAAAAAACTTATATAATAATGTTTGTAGACTGCAAATGTGGGTGTATTATTATATCCATTGTTTCGTAACTTGAATGAAGTGAATTACTAGAGTCATTAGCAATGTCATCATCTAATTTGATTATTACCATCTAACTTAATTATCAATAACTCTAAAAGTAAAGGTAACACTACTCATTGAGCTACTATTGTATGTTATTGTATGTTATTGTTATAACAATGCATCTTCTGTAACTCTTCATTGACATTCTGATTGTTCTTAGTGGTGTTTATTTTCTATGATTTATATTTTTGTAAGCAAAATTTCAAAATTGAATAACTCTACAACAACAACAACAACAACAACAGCTCTAAAATTACAGTGTGTTGCGTTAAAATTATTAATTGATAAAGATTCAAATGCACTTTTCTTGTCACAATCAAACTGTTCCTTCATGTTTTAATTAACAATATTCGATTTTAAGTTGTATCGTCGTAACTGATTATTCAACAAGCTTTTATAGCTGTAATCTTTTTTTTTATTATTATTAGCCACATACAGTAAACGTACAATTGATTTAATCTCTGTTTATTAGAGGATATTCTTATTTTATACGATTAATTTAATTCAAACCTTCGATATAGAAAAGTGGTGAGAAATTGAGATTTTTATTTATGTTAAAAAATTTCTGACCCCTGAAGAATAAAACACTTACAACTTTTTCCACATTAAATTTCACGCAAAGTTGCCATACAAAGTTTAGTTCAATTGATCAAGATCTATCGATTTCTACTAGCCATATATGTATATGTAGTCAAAAATTCAAATTTCAAAGTCAATCACGTGACTTTTTATCTGGTTACGAGCATTGGGCTATAATATTTAGCTAATTTTATGGCTCTACTGGGGCATCCTACGGGCTAGAAAACTATATTATTCTCTAGTAATCCTAAAATGCTTTGTTTTATTGGCTTTCATGTTATATGATGTTATTGTACCAAATTGGACACATCAAGTTTTCAAAATCGCGGTATATTGTTGGATTCAACTTAGTGCGACAAAATTATTTTAGTGCGGTCCAGCATTTTTCAACGCCAAAAATTTTTCAGTATTTGTAGTTATACATACTTAATAGATGCGGGAACCAAAGCTTTACTCTTTGTTTAAAACGTATCCAATTCATTTTTAATCTTCTGATCTACAATTTTTGGGTCCCGCAAATACAGTTTTTGGTACAAGAACTGTTGTTTCATTGGGAATTTTTAATTAGGGTCCTGTGGACGGACTAAATTCGATGCGACAACTTACCTCTAGTGTTTGTTTTATCCTTACTTAAAGGTTACGTCACCGAACTGAACTTGAAATTATTACATACTTCATCGATTTGTTAAGTATAAATACAAGAGATTTCCTCGATAGAGTAAAAGTTGGCCTCGTGGTTTATTAATAACATATGTTTTGTCTTTTTTGGGTATTGGAGATCATGAATTATCAAAAACTTTCCTGGGAATGGCTAAAATTGTGTATGAAATTGTGATGATCTGTTGTATATTCAGCCAATTCACCATCGGGGCATGATATATGATGTTAGAATTGTTACATTGGCATGATAGTCAGTTGTGTAGCTGCTGCTTCGATTCTCCAAACGCGCTTTCAATAATTTGGAGTACGATACATTGGTTGATATTCAAGAAGTAATAAATAACTATCCGTGGACGAGGAACGTATTTGCGAATCTTTGCAAGAGATGAGTGTACACGGGGTTGTTCATTATAGGAGAGAAGCAACCACTATCAATGACTGAATTGGTAAAATTATAACTTGCTCCTGGATCTACAAGAGCCTCAGCTTGAACATAATTGAGTGATTCATCGGGGTTTATAGAGTATATGTTTGTCCAATAGATTCGACAATTTTAAATATTGCGAAGGAGGACCAATTGATTAAATCACAACAATTTACAAAGAATTTCATTAGAAGAGTTGTTGAATTATCAAAGACAATTTGTGTTGAAGATTTGGCAATTTGATGGAATGGTTCAAAATTGTATTCTTTTTGAGTGATTGTCTTGTTACATTGTTGATTAGATAATTGGTTGATAGAAATGAAACCTATATTGTTAATACAAAGGTAGAAAGAGCATGTTTAGGTATCTGATGATTCTATATACTGTAATCGTTTATAAACAGTTTGAAGAGCCTAATTTCATCAATCAACTTTTTCAAATCAATATCAAGCGAGTTCAACTTACTAAACAGTATTGAGTATAGTTCAATAATTACAGATTTTCCGGTATATTTCCAAATCTTCCAATGAGGTTATTTCAAATATTTTACATAATATTTTGTAATTACTTGATTTAAAAATTTCGAACGTCGATTGTATATTTCATATCTAATTATATTTATCTAATGCATCTTTAAAGATATTCAATAATTTAGTTTCTTTATCTGTTTTTTTATTTATATTTTCATCAACATTATCAAAATTATAATTTATCAGATTCAATCTATTTTTTAGTGACATAAAAGTACTTGATTGAGGTAATATCATTAATAATCCATATAAAGATTTGATTAAAAATGGATTTTGTTTTGGTTCCAATATCCTCAATCTTAGTTTTAGGAATAAAGAACTTTCTATCAATTGAATCAATACATCTAATTGTATCAATATATCTGAATTCAATTCCAAATCTTGTAAATTTACAATTATCAAATAACTTAATTTATATAAGCCAGTAAAAAGGCTAAGTGAAATTAGGGACACTATGTTGTAGCACCAACTATTGAATAAATTTAATACCAATTCAAAATCTGCCTCATTTGATTCAATGTCTATACTTTTTAACTTTTTTCTGAATGGTGATAATTCAGTTGTTGTCATTAATATATTATTTAACACCGTTATCATATTATTTTTGAATTCAAAATCTAAATCATTAGCATTCATCAACACATCTGAAAATGTAGTAAATATAATTTCTGAATTTAATGTAACACAAAGCTTCCTAATGATGAATTCAACTTTTAATGATTTCTCTTGACCCTCAATCTCAAACAATTTAATCAAATTGATTATAAAATTTTTAAAGAATTCTTTATTTGATTCTGAAATTATACTTAATAATTGTAAAACTTTTAATATCACATCATTTGAAGTATCATATTTTAATAAATCAATAATTTGAAACCTTGATTTTTCGTTTTGTTCTTGAAAGAATTTCAAAAATTGTTGTGGTGATCTGGAATATATGAATATTAACCATTCTAAACTTGTTATTCTAGATAATTCATTTGTTTGATGATTTAAATATTCTTTAATTATAGATTGTAAGGTTAATGGTAATTGTACATCATTAAATTCATCACCTATATCTTTCGATAATCCATATAATTCATTAAATTCAACATTATTTCCATCATCAAATTTATATAAAAATTTTTGTAATTGTAAATTAAATTGGAGGAAGTTATCTCTCAATTCAATATGGTTACCTTCATTGTTTAGCTTTGATACATTTTTCAAAATAATTGCAACACATTCATTAAATTGTTTAAGGATACCAGTTGGTGAAATTTCAAGTATTTCTTTTAACCATTTCAAACTTATAGCTTGAACTTGATGATATATTTCAGAATCATATTCAATTTCTTGATCTCGAAGGAATTGTAATAGTATATTGATTATTTTAGGGTGATCTATAAATATCTCTTGACCGAAAACAACTTCATTAGACTCATCTTTTTTTGTAAATACTGTAGTATCATCTGATTTTATAGACTGATCATCGTTAACTTCTTCCCCTTTTCTTCTCTTTCTTCTTAACTCAATTTTTATGTTTGTTATCTGTTTAATCTCTTTTAAAAATATATTTAATAAGTTTTCCGTCTCCAATCTTATATCATTGGATGAATCATTAAATAAAAATTTGATCAATGGATCTAGGAAATTAGGCAAAAATGAAATTAGCTCCAATGATGGTATATCATCAAATAATTCCAACCAACTTAATAAAAATTTCTTTGTAAATGGATCTATAGTATACATTCTTTCCAATAATGTAGGTATAAATTTAGGTAATGAAAATGCTTTTGATGGATCTTGCAGTTGATTTATCTGTATACTGTTACCATTTGCATCTATTAAATTACTAATCACCCCATTATCTTCACCTTGTTGATGTAAAATTGAAACATAATTCGTTGCCTTTGCACTTACAATATCTTTAATTAATCTATCTAAAATATCAGCAGCATTTTTAACACTTGATTCTGAATCACTAACCAATATACATAAAATATCAAATGTTTCATTAAAATATAATAAAATTTCACCACGGGCAATTTTTGCAACATTATATAATGATTCACAAGAATAATATCGAACTCTAGCATCAGTATCTTTAAAAGTAGCAAATATTGGTTTTATAATATCTTTTAAAAAGTATGCTATTGCAAATGATCCAAGAGCAACTGAAACACTACCCAATGCAGTTATAGCACCCATTTTTGATGAATTTGAACTTGATAATGTTAATTCAGTTAATTCTTTAATGATTTTATAGATTTTTTGAGAATCATTTTTAGATAATGCTGATTTGGTTAATGATTCAATTTGAAAAGCAGTAGCTTTTCTCTTCTCATATATATGATTAGATAAATCTTTAATTAATGATTGATCTAATATTTGATCTGATTCTGTCATGGTGAACAACAAAAAAAATTATACGAGAGATTGACAAATTATACGCGCTAAACAAATTATATATTAAATTTCATTATATTTCATCATAAATTCTTCTCTTTTTAAATCTAGTTGATGAAGGATCTGTTAATACTACTTCATTGATTTCTGAATCAACTGGTAGGACTGGTTTTGTTTTTGGTAAATTTTCGATCAATTTTGATAAATTTGGGATTTCTTTTAAGGTTGGAATCTTTATTTGAAATTTCAATATTAAATCACCCTTTAAACTTGGTTGTTGTTTTATAGGCATACCATAATCTTCTATAATCTTTATATCATCATACTGTATCGTTGGTTCAACTATTGTTTTTATAAATTTGCCATTTAAATGATTGAAAAATATTGGACCACCACCAATTGCGACTGATAAATCAATTTGTATTGTTTTTATTAAATCATTACCATCTCTCATAAACTCTGGATGTGGTTTTTCTCGTATCTTTAGTATAACATCACCAGGAATCACATTTCTACCTTCATCTGATTCATTTTTTAAAATAATTTTATCACCATTTTTACTACCTGGTAAAACATTAGCTGATATGATCTTTGTATCTTGAATATAACCTATTCCATTACATTGTAGACATTTATTTTGTGGTGCAATATAAATTCCATTACCTTGACACGGTGAACAAGTTTCATTTTGTCTCATTTGTGAAAATTGATTAAAATATGTAATTAAAACTTGACCAGAACCTTGACATACTCTACATGTTTGAGGATTTAAACCACCAAAACCATTACATTTTTGACATTTCATTGATTTGGGTAATGATAATTTAATAATTTTACCAAAATACAAATCTTGTAAAGTAACTTCGGTAGTATGATAAATATCATCACTTGTATATACTTTTGTAGATTTTGGTAATGGTTCAACATGTTTTTTCATATTTGAAGTTGAAAATTGAGGAAAATTACTAGCTTGATTAAACATTGATTGATGATGCCGAGAAAACATTGAATTAATATCCTCAAAAACTGATGAAAAAATATCATAATCATTTCGAAACCTAGTTGTTGGTTGTTGTTTTGGAGATTCAGTAGTTGTTATTCCTTCAAGACCTTGGATACCATGCCTATCATAAATAGATCGTTTTTTAGGATCTTTTAAAATTTCATATGCTCTAGTAATTGATTTAAATTTTTCAGTTAATTGTTCATCTTGATTATTTTTATCTGGATGATATTTTAATGCTAATTTTTTATATGATCTAGAAATTTCTTCTAATGTTGAATTTGAAGATACTTGTAGAATTCTATATAAATCCATGTTTTAGGCATTGAAAGTATTTGAATAATTAATGAGTCAACTTTTGCAACTGAAATGTAAATCTATAATATGGTTGTGATAATTTTATTGTTATTTGGTATGGTAATTGAATATTTATTTGATCAAATTGTTTTAGAACACAAAAATAAATTATTCTGAGAACTTCTTTAAAATTCTATGAAAAGTCACGTGATGAATGGTTGTATTAAAATAGATGGATTGTACTGATTTCGAATCTTCTTCACTGTAACATTTGACTATCTGCTCGTGTATTAAGTGTGAGAGTACAAATACCTGCGTTCAAAAATTTTACACGTCTTTTTAACAGACCGTAGATGCATCCATAGTAAATGAATTGGTCCACTTTCTCTTGATATTTCCAATTTAAGTAAAATTCATTATTTTAACATAACCATTGCTTTGTGTGATAAAAATTGCGCGGATCTAAAAAAGGATCTTGTGCTCGTATATTTTTTAAGCAGGATCTCACTAAATAATTTGAGCTAATTCAGATAACTGAGATTTGGCAACACAAGAAACATCTACAGCCATCAAAACAATTCTATGGCAACTATAATAGTCCAAATAATATAAATATTGTTTTGAATTTTGCTTTAAAGTATAATTTGTGGAAAAATGGTGAATTTTTGGGCTTTTATCGAAACTAGACCAAATAAAATACATGATATTTGCTTCATATGCTATTTAAAATCTGTAACGATAAATGCAGATAAAACAATTAGAAGTACCTATTAGAACAACACTTATTTCTTTCTATAATATTGCATAAACAATTATATACACTCTACACAGTTAAATTATTTTATAATTTTATTGATAAATTAAGTGTATTCAATCTATTGACTTGCACATTGAACACCAGGACCTCCTTGACCACCATGACCTTCTTCATCATCATCATAACTTCTTCTTTCATTATGTTTAATTGGATTAAAATCTTCCATATGTTCATCTAATGCATCAATTGGAATATTTAATTCTGGTTGTGGAGGTAATAATTCTTTTAATTTTTCAACATCTTTAATTTGATTTAATTCTGGAAATTTGATTGTAAATTTTAAAATTAAATTACCTTTTGAACTTTGTTTATAAATTGGCATACCTTGACCTTCAATAACTTTAACATCATCATATTTAATAACTGGAATAGCTTGAGTTTTAATCCATTCTCCACTAACATGTTTGAAACCGATTTCTCCACCACATAAAGCAGTTGATAAATCAATTTCAATACTTTTAATTAAGTTATTACCACTTCTTTGAAATTCTGAATTTGGTTTTTCATCAATAATGAAAATAACATCTCCAGGAGAAATACCTGGCTCTTGATCACCTTCTCCATTAAAGACAATTCTTTGACCATCTTTCATACCTGGTTCAATATGAACTTGTAAAATTTTTCTTTCTTGCTGAGTTTTCTTACCTCTACAAGTTTTACATCTGTCTTTAGGGTCACAAATGTCACCAGAGCCTTGACATTTATCACAAACTGTCTGGAAACGTTGGATCATCGGACCCATCTGTCTAGTTACGAATTTCATACCAGAACCATGACAGTCTTGACATTCTTTAACTTTTCCTTCAAGGCCTCCTCTACCCAGACATTCGTGACAAAGTACGGTTTTATTAAGCGCCAATTTTGTACTTTTACCTTTGTATAAATCTTCTAATGAACATGAAATTTGATGTTTAATATCTTTACCTCTTGATGGTCTTTGAGGACCACCACCACCAAAACCGCCCCCAAAAAACTGTGCAAATATATCTTCGGCATTCATACCAGCTCCACCTTGACCAGATAAACCTTCTTCACCATATTGATCATAAATTTCTCTCTTTTCTGGATCTGATAAAATTTCATAAGCATGGGAAATTTCTTTAAATTTTTCTGCTGCTTCCGGTGAAGCATTCTTATCAGGGTGGTATTTTAATGCTGCCTTTCTATAGGCTTTCTTTAATTCTGAGTCAGACGCATTTTCACTAACGCCCAAAGTTGAATAAAATTTTGAATCTTTGACCATAATAACTAACGGATTTTTCCTTTAAAACTCTATAAATTGGAGCTTAACCTAAAGCAATAATAATAATTGTATAATAACTTTAAATGGACTGGAAATGAACAATAAATCAACTAAATACCCTGGGTACTTAAAATTTTCAGTTTGTTTCACAACTTCTTAAATTTTTTTTTTTTAAATGTTTCTTGATTTAGTAATGAATTATCAATGGTACACTACACGCTTAGTGTTCTAGTTTATATGTAGAATATTCTAGATTACACGATGAGATATGCATTTGGTTTCACATTACAAATAGATGATAAATTTTAGTATACACCGAGTATATCGGAAATAAACAGGTCTAAAATTATCGGATTCTATAAAAATTACAGACAAGGCATTTTCTGTCAACTTTTTATTTAGCTAAATCTCTATCTAACCAGCGTGTTCAACCATTTCACTTACCAATTTACCATTTACAACTTTACTTACAAATTGTTCAGGTACATTTAATTCTTTATAATCATTTTGTTCTTCAGGAACATTAATATTTAAAGCAGTTGTTGAACTCGTAAAAATTTGACATTCTTTTTCAATTGATTGTTTACTTAAATAAATTTGACCTTCATCCGATTTATCAACTGAAATGATTGGAACTAAATCAATGATTTGTAAATCAAATTTAATACATTTTATAATATCAATACCCGAAACTATAGAACCAACAACAAAAGCAATTTTGTTACACTCTAAAATTGAAACAGCATTTGCTTTACCTTTTAATTGAATTGTAACATCATTACAATTACCAATGAATACAGATTGATGCATTTCAACATCAATTATCATTGGTTCACCATTTGTATCATGTTTTGAAAAATGTTGTATATTCCATTTTGTACCATCAATTAAATCTTTCTTTGGTTCTTTTTTAGTTTGAGTTTTACTTAAACTTGTTGGTTTCTTTGGTGGTAATGGTTTTTTTGGTGGTTGTTTTCTTAAATCTGGATTTTTATGAGTCATTTCTGATTTATCAACTTTTTTAAGACCAGAAGTTATATTTGAACCTTGATTTAATTGTTCAAAAACAGCATTCATACCTTTAGATTCGGATACCTCAGCTTTTTCTTCAAAGAATGATGGTGGTGGAGGTGGAGGAGGTGCTGGAATGGAATCACCACCCAAATCATTTAATGTTTTACCTTTTACATTCCATGATGGTCCAGTAGCATGATATTCTTTTACATATGCCTTTAATTCATCAAATAATTTCAGAATTTGATTTACCCAATCAATATTAATCTTATCTTTATCTTTAAATTCTTTTAAAACTCTATCCGACCAAAATTTAGCAGAATCTTTAATATCTGAAATATATGAAACAGGAGTGGGAACACCAATCCAATAAAATACACTAGTAGATTCACTTAAGGTATTTAAATGACTGAAAAATTGTGATTTTCTACTATCATCTTTTAAATTACTAATTTTTGTTAAAATTTCATTTAATGGGCTTAATAATTTTTGAAATTCTGGATCTTCCATTTTTGGTTTCTGAGTCAATGCAACAATTTTAAGAAATTTTAATTGTTCATTAAATGCATCACCTAATAATTGAGCAGATTCACCAACAATTGGATCAATTGAATTTGAAATTGTGATAAAAGGAGCAACAAAATCTGAGATTAATTTTTCAAAAGCATTGATAAATTTTGGTAGTTCTGTTTCTTTTGGAGACTCTGATTGAAATGTTGCAATAGCATTCTCAATAGTTTTAGGTTCACCATCAATTGACTTCTTTTTATTTGCTTCTTCTTGAAATACAGTAACATCTTCTAATCTTGAAGTAGCAGCCTCTAATCTTTTAAGAATAGTAACAATATTATAACCTTGAACATTAAATTGTTGATCCTCACTTGACATTTTTATTAGTGGTTGTTGAAAAAAATAAATTCTGAAACATCAAAATTTATATCGAATGGCACCCGTACCAAAAGAAGGTGAGTTGCCACCACAACAGATCCATTATCTAAGAGATATTTCATTTAATAATTATAAACCAGAACCATTTTACCAAAATTACCAACAAGATGTACCAATTGCAATTGATTTAGGTACTTTAAATTGGAGAATTGGTTTAACTAATTCATCAGAACCAAATAATATATTTCCTGGTGTTATATCACGTTATAGAGATAGAAAAGCAATGAAGACTTTAACTTTGATTGGTAATGATTGTTTTGCAGACTCGGTTCTTAAATCAACAATGAAAACTCCTTATGATGGACCATTAATTACAAATTGGGACTATATTGAATTTATGTTGGATTATTCATTTGAACATTTAGGTGTAGTTAGTGATAATGGTAAATTAAATAATCCAATAATAATGACTGAACCAATAACTTGTCCACATAATCAAAGAAAGAATATGTATGAATTATTATTTGAAGCTTATCAAACACCGAAAGTCAGTTTTGGTATAGATTCATTATTTTCATATTATTATAATTCAAATGGGAGATCAAATGGATTAGTAATTGGTACTGGTAATCAATCAACTTCAATTATACCCGTAATTGAAGGTAAAGGACTAATGTCACAAGCTAAAAGAATAGATTGGGGTGGTGATCAATGTCAATCATATTTATCCCGACTATTATCTTTGAAATATCCTTATTTTCCAAATAAATTGAATTCAAGTCATACTACTAATTTATTTAAAGATTTTTGTTATATTTCAAGTGATTATCAAAGTGAATTATCTCATATTCTAGATATGGATGTATTGGAAGAAAAGGATATAGTTGCACAAGCACCTGTTGAAATACAAGTAAAAGAAGAATCTAAAAAAACTGAAGATGAATTAGCTCAACAATCTCTCAAAAGAAAAGAGCAAGGTAAAAGATTACAACAACAAGCTCAACAGAAGAGAATTGAAAAACTAGCTCAAAAACAAGAAGAATTTGATTATTATACTCAATTCAAACAAGATAATATAAATACACCAGTTGATGAATTTGAAGATAAATTAATAAATGCAGGTTTTGATAATCTCGAAGATTTTAATAAATATTTAACGTCATTAGATCGTTCATTAAAAAGGGCTCAACATAATGATGATGAAGATGATGAAATTGATCCTGCTCAATCTTGGCCATTAGTTGATATACCCGATGATCAATTAACTGAAGAACAAATAAAAGAAAAAAGGAAGCAAAAATTACATAAAGCAAATGTTGAAGCACGAGAACGTAATAGAGAATTGAAAAAACAAGAAGAAGAAGCAAAAATTCAATTTGAAAAAGAACAAGAAGAATGGAGATCAAGAGATTTAGACGATTGGTCTACTACAAAAAGGTTAGAAGTTGCAGAATTAATCAGTGCATATAAAGAGAAACAAAAATTATTAGAATCATTTAAGGATCGTAAATCTGCTGCTGCTCAACAAAGAATGAAATATATTGCAGATTTAGCCAATGATGAAACTGGTTCAACTTCAGCGCAATCTAGAAAAAGAAGACGTAATGCAAATGCAACTATCGATAATGATCCAAATGATAATTTTGGTGCTAATGATGAAGATTGGAATGCATATAGAGAAATTACAAATTCTTCATTAGAAGATGAGTTAGAAGAAATTAATAAAAAAATACTCAAAGTTGAAGATGAATTAATTAAATATGATCCAAATTTTCATATTGAAGATACATTTGCAGCTGCAACAAAATTTGATTGGAAAAATCTGGTTTTACATAAATTTATACATGGTCCCAGACCAAATATAACTATAGCAATGCAAGCAGAAGGGTTGTCACCAGAAGAAATTGCAATGCATCCAGAAACATTGAAAAAAAATCATCAATTACATTTAAATGTAGAAAGAATAAGAGTCCCTGAAATTTTATTCCAACCAAGTATGGGTGGATATGATCAAGCAGGCATATCTGAAATTTCATCAGATTTATTAAGAAGAAGATTAGATGGGAATTTTTCACCTGGCGGTCAATCTTACAATTTAAGTCAAGATATATTTGTAACTGGGGGATTAGCATTGTTACCTGGATTTCAAAAAAGATTAGAAGTTGATTTTAAAAGTTTTTTACCAACGGGTGCTCCATTAAAAGTTAGAATTGCAAAAGATCCAGTATTAGATGCATGGCATGGAATGCAAAAATGGGCAAATTCAAGTGATTCTCGAAATGCATATGTTAATAAAAAAGAATATGATGAATTTGGTCCAGAATATATTAAAGAACATGGTTTAGGTAATTCTTGTATATTTGATTTTTAATTTATATCATGGGTTAGGTGTCTAATTTTATAGGCTATCCCATACCAAAAGATTGAATTTAACGCAAATATTGGCATAAGCCCTCGCGCTAAAATTATTCGCTATAAGCAGTTTCTTTAAACCTTTTTTATTTAACGCGACAAAGTAATTTCTCGGGCAAAAAAAAACCACCTCGTACCAAATATATTGACTTATATATCATGAACAAATAATTCTCTTGAGATAAGTACCAATGAAACAAAATCAGGAACCTCAAGTTATACAATTTACATATTTGGATCTGTAAATTTCAATTTCGAGTTGTCATTTCGGACAATTTTCATCATACAAAAATTTTGCAAAAAGAATCCATATAAGTCTAAATTAGAGGCCAATACTTTCATTTAAGCGAAGCATTACGCATACCATAACTCAAAGGAAGGTATGGGGCTTGATTCAAATTGATCTAAAGTGAAATTCAAAATTTTCAAAATTTTCTCATAAGTATGGGAGAATTTGAATAAATTGATCTTACGAATATTCCAACTCCACAATCGAAATCGCAAAAAAAGTATGATAAATTTATTCGGACTTTTAGTTCCTTCAACATTATAAGCCGTGAAAACTTTTGTGTTAAGGTATTCAAAATTGGAAAAGCAATTTTTCAGAAGTGGTTCGAAATTTTTGCAAAATTTTCAAAACAATTTCAGTGCTTTGGAAACGTCACAGTAATAAAACTAGATGCTAAGTGAACCGAATCGGTTACCATAGAAGATGCCAAATAGGTACAAGTAGTGATTATTTCGCAATTTGACGTTTTTTTCAGTTTTTTAAATGACGAAAAAGATCAAATTAAATTTTTTGAAACTTAATCATATTAGTACACTTCAGTTTGAATTGGAAACTCTAATGAAGCAAATTTGAAAACAAAAGCTCGAATGTTCAGGAAGTTATTTGGGAATGAAATTTTAAGTTAAACTATACGAAGACTGCATATAAGTCAAAATTTTTACTTAAGATAAAAATTCGGGCCGAAGTGGAACGAGAAGATAGAGCCAGAATTCGGCTGGAGAATTTTATATTTAAGGCGAGAACTGGTACCAAAGCCTGTGCTAATTTCAAAATATGAAAACAAAACATCGGAGTCTGAAACTGGTTTGATCTAAAATTAAGCTAAATCGAAATACTTTATATTTAAACTTATATTTGACTAATTTTACAAATTTGGATTTATACCTTTCTTTTTCATACTATATTTCTTTGATTTTTCAATCAATTCTTTATCTTCATCATTATTAAAATCAGCAAAATCATCATGTATAATACCTTCTTCTTCTAACTCTAATCTGGCTGCATTTTCTTTTTCCTTTGCACCAGCTTTTGAAATATCATGAGGTGAAGGAGCAATTTTCTTAAATTTTGCAACATAAAATCCATCAACATTATAAGTATGTGGATAATATCTTCTTGTTAAATTTATTTTTGAATTAAAATGTTTACCTCTATAAGATGTAAAACCTTCTTTACCAATAGTTAAACCCGTATCTACTAACTTCACATTTGGTCTTTTTCTTAAAGCATAATCTACAACTGCTTCATTTTCTTCAACTGCAATTGAACAAGTTGAGTAAACTATTATACCACCAGTTGCAGAATTTGCATCAACTGAATCAATTGCAGATAATAATAATTGTTTTTGTAAATGTGGAATCTGCATAAAATCTTTTTCAGTTCTTGAAACCTTGACTGATTCATCTTTTGCAATAACACCAGTACCTGAACAAGGAGCGTCTAATAAAATTCTATCAAATCCACCAATAACTTTTGGAAATTCTCTTGCGTCATAATTACAAACTATTGTATTTTTGCAACCTAATCTATGAATATTTGCAATTAATGATTTTGTTCTTGCTTTATTTGCATCATTTGCAAATACACAACCAGTGTTTTTCATCATTGCTGATATATAAGTAGTTTTACCACCTGGGGCAGCAGCCATATCTAAAATTCTTTCATTTTCTTGTGGTTCTAAAGCCATAACTGGTAAAAATGAAGAAGCAGCTTGTAAAATATATTGACCTGCTAAATATTCAGGAGTTGCACCAATTGGAACCTGTGAGTCAAAAATTTGTAAACCAACTTTTGTCCATTTACCAATTGGTTGTAAATTAACACCTCTATTAACTAACGTCTGTGCTAGATCTCTTCTTCTTGTTTTTAATGTATTTGTTCTAATTGTAATTGGCCTTGCAATTTCATTAGCTTCAAAAAATTCCATAGCTTCACTTGGTGAAAATAAATTAAATAGTTTTTCAGCTAAAAATTCAGAATATCCAAAATAATCACATATATCTTGGATTAATCGTGTTGTATATTCTGTTCTTGATTTTCCTTCTTCTGCTAATTCTTTAAAATTTTCCAAAACTTTTATAATTTCCAACATTCTAGTACGTATCATGGTTATATCCTTTGGTTGTCCTTTAGTTTCCTCTTCTTCTTCGGCGGTAGGTAAAACTTTAGCTCTTGGCTGTTTTAAATCACCTTCAATTAATTCTTGTTCTGCTTCTTCTGCTTCAATTTCATCTTCTTCATCTAATTGTTTTGAATATGCTTCCATATTTTCAGCATTTAAATTTTCCAATTCATCTTCATCTTCATCGTCGTCTGAAAACATAGGCTTAGTATGTACTTCTTCGTCTGAGTCCTGGAAATCTTCACCACCTTCAATATCAAATTCATCATTTAATTCTTCTTCCTCTTCTTCTGACTCATCAAATAATGATTTTCTAGCAGATGATAATTCTTCAAGATCAACTTGAGGTAAATCTTTAGGTTCTTCCTCAATATCTTCTTGCCTTTTCTTAGATTTTTTGACCTTGGGTATTTCTGCTTTTGATTTTTTAACAGGTTTATCAACAGTTTCTTGGCTTCGTTTTCGTTTATGATCTTTCTTATTCTTTTCAGCTTGGAATTCTTCATATGAAGGAGGCACTCCTTGTTTATTCTTAGCTCTTCTACCCATATTTATTTAGTTTTGATAAGATCGTAAATAAAATTATCTGATGAGATGAGTGAAAAAATAAATTCTGAAACAAATTAAATTCTGAAACAAGATCAAAATGACTGATAATATTGAAATAGGTCAATATGTATTAATCAGATTACCGTCTGAAGGTGTGAGGATATTCAAATTACAAGAAAATGGTAGAATTGGTCTTGGTAAATTTGGTTCTTTTGATGTTTCAAGTATTTTAGGATTCCCACTTGGAACGGCATTTGAAATTATAAATGATCATAAAGTTAAACCAATTCATAGTATTTCTGAATTAAATATAGATGAAGAAACAGATACAAATATTCAAAAACAAGAATTAACTAAATTTTTCTCATCAAGTGCTGAAAATAATCAAAATATAATAGATATAGGTTCCAAAATTCAAGCATTAACAAATGAAGATATTGAAGAATTGAAAACTTCTGGTGCTACTTCAAATATTGGACAAGTTATAATAGAGAAAATGATAGCTGGTCATGAAGGATTTGATAAAAAGACTATATTTTCACAACAAAAGTATCTAAAAAGAAAACAACAAAAATTTTTAAGAAGATTCATTGTGGAGTATCTTGGGTCAAGTCAGTTACTTGAATCTTTCTTAGAAAAAGATCATTCTAAAACTTTTGACTTATCCATTGAGACACTTGGATTAATGATGTCGTATGGGAATGTAAAACCAGGTGGTAGATATTTAGTAGTTGATGAAACTGGAGGAATATTGACTTATGCATTATTAGAAAGAATGGGATATGAAGGTACTATAGTATTTGTACATGAAAATGAACATGCAAATTTAGCTGCATTAAAGTACTGTAATAGATCAAATGAAATTGATAATATAGTGAAACCTATAAATTGGTTGCAATTTGCTGAACCAGAAAACGAACGAGAAAAATGGGAAGATAAAACTGAAGAAGAAGTTAGAAAATTAAAACATCCTGAATCATATCATAGACGTCGTGAAAGAGTATTGAAAACTAATGAAGTTATAGATTTAATTGAAGAAGCCAATTTTGATGGTTTCTTTGCAATATCGACATTATATTTACCTGAAATATTTGAACTAATAATACCGAAAATTGGTGGATCAAGACCAATTGTAATATATAATCAATTTAAAGAAAATTTAATGGAAATACAAAGTTTATTAAATAAAGATAATAGAGTATTGGCACCAATGTTGATCGAAACTAGAGCAAGACCATATCAAACAATACCAGGTAGAATGCATCCAGTAATGACAATGAAATCTGGTGGGGGTTATGTATTTTACGGTACAAGAGTATTTCCAAGTGAATCAATTCAAGCTGTTGGTAAAGGTGTGAAAAGAAGAAGAGTAAATAATGAAACAGCTTCACCAGAAGGAACACCAGAGCTTAAAAAGGAGAAAGAAGAAAAAATAGAGTCAACTCCAGAGGTAATTATGGAATCATAGTCATTAATATACATAACTACACAAATCTTTTAAGGACTTAAATTTACCATCAGCTTTCCATCCTAAAACACATCTAATCTTCTCTGCTGAATCTTTCATATAACCAACTCTCCAACCATTTAATTTAGCTACTTCATTCACTAGATCAGCTTGTTCTTTATAACCTAATTCAAATACAAACCCGTCAGCACTTGAAGGAAAGACTAAATTATATAGTAAGTTATAGTAAAATTCACCATTTCCAACTAAAGCTAATTTTGGTTCATGTAATTTAACAGATTTAGATACTCCATTTAACAAAACCAGTTTATTATAATCTTCCTCTGGTATATAAGGAGGATTTGAAGTTATTAAATTAACATCAGTCAACTGAAGTTTATCTAAAATCTCCTCATCAAATACATCACCTAAATGAAAATTGACCAGTAAATGGTGGAACTCATTATTCTCTTTAGCTAAGTCATACGCTTTACCAGAAACATCAAATCCATGTATATCTAAGTTGGTAGCTGTTGATTTTAGCTCATCATTGATCAACAATGATATACAGCCAGTACCCGTACAAGCATCAATCATCAGTAACTTTTCCAATTTCAACCCTTTAATTAAATTTGCCAATTTCATACACCATTCTTCTGTTTCCCATCTCGGTATCAATACTCCATCTTTACATAATATATTTAAATTACCAAATGGTTGAGTCTTCAAAATATATTGTAACGGAACCCATTTTAATCGTTTATTTACGGCTTTTCTCCATTCATTTTTGGGCAATTCACATTTAATCCATTTTAGCTCCAACAATGCTTGATTGATAGATCTATTAGCAGGTAGCAACGGTGGTAAATATGGAGATATGCTTCTAGCCTGTCGTATCAATTTAGCAGTTACACGAGTCATTAGGTGAAAAAAAAATTGCTGCAAAATAATGTTTGTTTATTTATTTACAAGTTCTATATATAGTTTATGCCATACCTTTTCTAGCATACCACATATAAGTTCTATCATGAACATGTTCAGGTAATGGAGAGATAACTTCTGAATGACCAGGTCTTGCAATTGGATCTCTTAAATATACTGCATGGCATGTATCAAATGAAATTTCAATATGAGAAGGTAATATAGCAAATGGTGCAATAAAAGGTTTAGGATACCATGGTGTAAAATAACTTCTATTTGGATCTTTTCTACCATACAAATTATTCAAAAATTTGAAATCAACTTTAGCCAAACTTTCATCTTCTGAAACTTCTTCTTTATTTAATTTGGGGGTATATTTTAAATTGTTGACAAGTTTTTCATTATAAAATTTACCTGTTAATTTATCTTCTTGATGTAAAATTCTTATTCTTTCATATTCACTATTTTTCAATTCTCTTAATATACTATTAATTTGTCTTTGTAATAATTGTTCACTGTGTTCTTTTTCTTCAGATTTAACAAAGAATTGCTCTATTTTTTCATTAGTTGGTTCAGTAACTAAGTAATGATTTATTGATTTTAATTGTTGATAAATTTGTAAACATTTTGAATTTGAATTGTTTTTAGTACCAAATTTTTCAAATATTTCAATAGTTGGTTCTTTTGATTTATTTCCTATTAGTATAATTTCTTTCAATATTGATTCTCTAGTTATATTTTTTTGTAATTGTTTCATTGTAATTTCTGAATTTGTTTGATTATTTGATTTATTTTCATTTATTTCCATATTTTGTATAACATCAAATGAAGGGGGTTGATTTTGTTTCATTTCATGAAATAATTTTGGATTAGATCTAGCTTTTGAAACATAATTATTCCAAGCACCAATTATCTCATTAGTTAATTTAATTGATTTATCTAAACCTGGTTTTGATTTACCCAAGGCATATAAAACTTTTTCAGGATTAACACTGAACACATCACCTTGTTTTAATGGGAAACTTGGATGTTTTATAGTAACTCCATTAACTTTAACTTCACCACCTAGTATAAATTGTCTTGCTTGTCTTACAGAAGAAGCAAACATTGATCTAAATACTGCAATTTCTAATCTTTTTTCAATAGTTGCAAAAGTTTGTAAAGTAATTGGAGTTGGGGTATTATCACCTTTTAAACTTGAATCTAATTGTGAATAACTTTTCAAGTTTGAATCAAATAATACTTTCTTAAATTGTTTTTCTCTTATATGATCACCATGATAAGTTCTTGTTTCAGATTTAGCAGCCCATTTTTGTTGATATAAAGTTTTACCAATATATTTCAAAGGTTCTTTTCTGTATAAATTGAATAAATTTTCTTTATTCATTGACATGGTCATTTGACCTCTAGTCAACTGATATACCTTGTCTACTTTCCTAGGCATAACTCAACCACCAGCTGTTCGTATTGAAAAATTTTTTGATCTTAATAATTTTTTCGACTGGTGCAAAAAAATGAAACAACTACCAATTCATACTATCAGATAAGTAAACGGTAGTATATTATAATGGTAGAGGTGAGTAATCCTAGAGAATGGTCCACTGAAGAAGAAATACAATTGTTTAATTTAGTTTGTGATTATAAACCTGCTGGTAAGTTGAAACATGAAAACATGGGAATAATTGTAAATAAGATTAATGAAATATTGGGTATTAATGAATCATCAAAGATTACTGAAAATGATATATGGACTAAATTAGAGCAATATTATAATTTGAAGAAAGTTGATGCTATGGAGGATAATAGTGATTTTACTTATGAACTGAATACAAGTGAAAAAGAGAGTCAAGAAGATATAAAAGAGAAAGAACCAATAAAGGTAGAAGTAGTAGAAGAGGTAGAAGAAGAAGAAGAAGAAGAAGAAGAAGAAGAAGAAGAAGAAGAAGAAGAAGAAGAAGAAGAAGAAGAAGAAGAAGAAGAAGAAGAAGAAGAAGAAGAAGAAGAAGTAGAAGAAGAAGAAGAAGAAGAAGAAGAAGAAGTAGAAGAAGAAGTGAAGAATGAGGAACCTGATGAGAAAGTGAAGGAAGAGGAACTTCAAGAGGAAGAGACACCTACAATTGAGGTAGAAACTCCTGAAATTGAAGAAGACAAGGAAGAGGAAGAGCAACCTGAAGAAACAAAGGAAGAAGAGGCGGAAGAAGAACCAGAAGAAGAACCACGTAATAAATCTGTTAAAAAAGAAGAACCAAAACCTAAAAAATCACCACAAAGAGCAACAAGAAGTACTAGACGCAATTTACGAAATCTGGTTGTTGAAGAATCATCATCTGATCTTAGTGAAGTTGAAGTAGAAGAAAAAGAAAAAGAAGAAACAAAAAGTCCACAATTAGACGAAGCTGAAAAGAAAGAGAAAGAGAAGGAGAATACACCCGAAGTGGAAGAAGTAATGGATGAAGAATCAGATAATGACGTAGTTGAAAAAGAACAAGAGGAAAAAGAACAAGAGGACAAAGAACAAGAGGAAAAAGAAACAACTAAAAGGAAGAAAGGTCCTAAAAAGAAAGCAACTACACCTGCACCTGCAGCAACCAAGAAAAGAACGAGATCAACTGTTAAATTTGAAGAACCAGAAGAAATTACTGAAACTCCAGCTAAAAAGAAAACTAAAAATGCATCTCCATCTCCATCAGCATTGGGTACACGTCGAAGAACAAGATCAGAAGCACACCATGAAGAAGAAATGGAAAATGATGATGATGTACAAGAACAACAAGATGATGTAAAAGAAGAACCACTAACGAAACCCACAAGAAGAGGACGAGGTGCCACCAAATCTGAAAAACAAGAAAAATTACCACCACCAGTAAGAAGAAGTACCAGAAAGAGGTAATTACTGTATAGTATATTTTGTATTATTAATTAATCTAATGAATGTTTACGACTGAAAATTAGTTCTAAATGCACAAACTTGGACCCACATTGATACGACAATAAAAAAATCTCAGGGCCAAATTTTAAGGCGACACATTCAATTTTTCTCGTTTCTGAATTTTTCACATTTTTCACTTTTGATGCAAATCGAGGTTTTGTGAGGTTTTGTGAGGTTTTGTATTTGGCAACACAAAACACGGTTATAAAAAATTAATGCTAAGATATGGTAAATCATTTCAAATTATATCAAGATCGTTTATTAAATCAACATCATGTCTAGCTAATTCCAGGTCTAGTAATCTACCATTAGAAGATTGGGACAGGGGTGGCAGAAAACAAAAAACCACCACCAAAACAAATTCTATTGATCCCAATGTTGATTTTTCACCAGTATTTGCAAGTATTAAACGATTAATGGATCAAAATCCCGAATGTGTAAGTTTAGTTCAAGTTGGAAGTTTTTATGAATTACATTTTGATCAAGCTGAAGAATTTGGACAGAAATTAGGTATAAAAGTTGCATATAAAAAGACAAGTAATCATATTATACCGATGGCTGGATTCCCCGTATCTCAATTGAAAAGATTTGTTGAAAAATTGGTGAAAGAACAAGAACAAACAGTAGCTATTATAGATCAATGTAATTTTACTCAACGTACTACTCAAAATTTAGTTCATCGTAAAGTATCAAGGATTATATCACCAGGCACATTAATAGATGAAAGTTTTATGAATTTTGATATTAATAATTATTTATTGGCTATTTCTTTCCCATTGAAAGTATTTCAGCTACCTCCTAATCCAGAAACAGAAATTGGTTTGTCTTGGATTGATGTATCTGTGGGTGAAACATTTGTTCAGAAGACAACATTGGGGAATTTAACAGCTGATATTGCAAGAATTAGTCCTAATGAGATATTGGTTGCTGATCATCATAATATTAATCAGGATAAATTGAGCAAGTGGTATCCTCCATTACAAGAATTACGTAAATATTTCATGAGATTTCCAAACATGAAACAAGTGGAATTACAAAGTAAATTTAAATGTAAATTGCAACAATTGAGAAAGTTCACCGAGGAGATTTCAATTAGGGAACATAATGCATTAAATATTTTATTATCATACGTTGATGTTAATTTACCAGAGGCTAATTTATCGTTAGATTTACCAATTCAATATTTAAGTGATACTTGTTTACAAATGGATGCAAGAACAAGAGAGGCATTAGAATTGACTGAAAGATTAACATCTGGGAGATTATCTGTTGTTGGTTCATTATCTTCAACTATAAAAAGAACATGTACTCCCTCAGGAACAAGATTATTAAGTAAATGGATAAAATCACCATTATTAAACATAGATAAGATTAAAAATAGACAAGATTATGTTAAATTATTTTATGATCGAAATTATTTAACAACTGCATCAAGACAATATTTAAGAAGCATAGGAGATTTTATTAGAATATTTCAAAGGTTGTTGATTGGAAATAATAGTGTGAGTAATTTAGTTACATTGGCTGATAATTTGGAACAAATACAAAAATTCAAACAATTACTTGAGAATGAAAATGAGAGAAAAGAATCGAAAGTGTTGACTCAATTTTTACAAGATTTTAATGTTCCTATTGAATTAGCAAATGAGATAAGAAACACAATTGAGTTTGAAGAACCACCTGAAGTAGATAATGTTGAAGGCGAAAACTCAGAATCTGAATCTGAGTATGTCGACAATGGATCATATTCAAATAGTTTCCAAGAGAAATATAGAATTAAACAAGAAGATAACTCATCAACCAAGTTTTATTCATTAAAGAAAGATTTCAATCAGGAATTAAAATTAGCCCATGATGAATTAAACGAGTTAAAATCTCAAGAGCAAACATTCATCAGTGACTTACAAAACGGATTGTCAAAAGTTGATTCAAATCTAAAAGTCATTTTTCGATCACAATATTATAAATTTATGCATGTTCTTGCGATCAAAGGTAGCACAAAATCAATAACTTCCATATCTAAAGAATTACATGATGATATCCTACAACGAAAACCACAAAGTATAGTATATAGATCAAAACAATGGTCACAACTTCAAGGTCTAATTGACTCAAAGAAGGAAATGATAACTCAACTAGAACGGAAAATAATCGAAGATCTCAAGATCAAAGTCATTTCACGTAATAGCCAACTAAGATCAATGGGCAAGAAGTTAGACTTTTTCGACGTGACTCAATCATTTGCAGTGTTAGCAACAGAAAACAATTGGATTTGTCCTAAATTAACAAAACAACCAATATTTAATATATCGCAAGGTCGTCATGTCGTTGTAGAATCGAGTTTGAAGTTAGCTGGTTCTAATTTCATAACTAATGATTTAACTTTAGATAATTCAGTTAAAATCTGGGTCATTTCAGGTCCTAACATGGGTGGAAAATCAACATTTCTTCGACAAAATGCATTAATTTGTATCCTTGCACAAATGGGATCTTACATACCTGCAACATCAGCAAAAATTGGAATTGTAGATCGGATATTTACTAGGATAGGTGCCTCTGATGATTTATATAATGATTTGAGTACATTTATGGTTGAAATGATTGAAATAAGTAATATTTTAAATAATGCAACGGTTAAATCATTTGCTATTGTTGATGAGATAGGACGAGGCACGTCTGGGAAAGAAGGATTAGCTATTGCTTATTCTACTTTGTTACATTTAATGAATCAGAATAAATGTAGGACATTATTTGCTACTCATTACGCAACTGAAATTAACGGATTATTAAGAAACAGTGAGATTGATATATACAATGTCAAATATTATCGAACTAAAGTGTTGAAGAATGCAGAGGATAGATTGATTATAGATCATGCTTTAGAGCCTGGAATTAGTGAAAAAAGTTATGCTCTTGAAATTGCTCAAAAGGCTGGTTTTCCATCTATTGCTTTAAATAATGCCCGTCAAGTATTAACAATGTACATATAATATAAAAGTTTACTGATTTGATGGTGGTGGATACTGTTGTTGATTAGGTGGATATTGTTGATTTTGTTGTTGATTGTATTGTACTGTTTGTTGTATTATTCTCTGTAATTGTTCTAATTGACCTGGGAGTACATTTGGTTGTAAATTGACCTGTTGAACTACGTCATTAACATTTAATTGTGGTTGTTGAGGTGCATATTGCTGTTGATTGAACCGTTGTGGGGGATATTGTTGCATTTGAGGTTGCAGATATTGTTGCATTTGAGGTTGCAGATATTGTTGGTATTGATTTGGTTGTGAGTAATAATGATTTGGTGCTGGATTATATTGATTTGGTGCTGGTTGTTGAAAATTTTGTTGATAATTGATTGGATGTTGTACTAATTGTTGTTCTTGATATTGTTGATGTTGTGGAGCTTGTTGTGTTTGTTGAGCAGGGTACGTTCCATACCCTTCATTACTTGGATAATAAGGTTGTGGATACAGTTGTGGTTGATTGAAACTATTATAAATGTTACTCCTTTTAAAATCTGCATTCCTTACATTTCTAGATGGATTAATTGGTTTATAACTTGGAACAGAAACATTCTGTCTCCTATTAGTAGTGGTTGTACCTGGTCTTTTGTTGTTTTCTTTATTTTTATTCTTCTTTCTTTTTTTGGCTTGTTTTGCAGCTAATTCTTGTTCATCATCAGAAAATTCTTGTTCTTCAGGTGGTAACTCTTCATCATGACAATTACTTGCATCAGTACCTTTTAAATGTTTAATTGTATCAGTGTACAAAAATTGTGAATCTGGAACAACATAATAAACAATTTCACCTTTCTTATCCTTAAATTTTTCAAATTCTTCTTTGGTACTAAATTTAACTGAGTACACAGGTTGTTGTACTCTTCCAAATATTTCAAATAATGGACCGATGACAGTCTTATCTTTAAAACAAAATATACTTTCTTCTTTTAAAATTCTAAATTCTCCTGATGTCTTAGCTTTTATGATTACAGAATTATCAACTAGTCCTATAATTTCACCAATTTCTTCAATTGGAGTAGAATCTGAAATTTCGTAGTCTTCTGGTAATGATGGAATTTTTTCATTTTGTTCATTTACTGATTTAACTGGACCTTCGTTTGTTTCTCCTTCATCATCAAAATCATCATTCGCAGCCTCGTAATCTACTTCTTCTTCTTCATCTGATTCTGATTCAGAATCGGACTCATCTGAATCACTATTTTCACTCGAACTTGAGTCGGATAAATCATCGTCCACATTAATATCATCATCTGAAAATGCTTTAATTTTTTCTTCCTCATTTTCTGCGTTAATAAACTTCTGTATATTATCTTCATCTGTAGGTTTATCAACTTCAATATCATTAGATTTAATCTCTAACTTATCTTCCGTTATAGGTTTTTCTGTTATATTATCATTAGATTCTTCAACCTCTTTTATTTCATTATTTGCATTCAAAGTCTCTATAGAAGTGGCAACTTCCTTTTCATCACTATTATTATCTATGGGGATATCAGGCTCAGTATCGTTTGATTTAACTTCTTCTTCATCTACTCTCATAGTTTTTTCTGGTATATTGTCATTCGAATCGCCCGCTTGGGTTTCTTCTTTTTGTATACTTTCTGTCGATTCAGTTTCTTGAGATACTTTCTGATCTTCAGTTTCTGGACCTTCAGCTTGTGGTAATTCAGATAAACTTGGCTTTTCTATAATTTCCACAGAATGTCCATGTCCTTCAACATTTTCGGAATTGTCTTCTTGGTTGTTTTCAGGCTCCTTCTCTATTTCTTGAGATTTTTCCTCAATTTTAGATTCTATGACCCCATTATTCGCATCAAACCTTTCTGATACTTGATTTATATCTATATCTACATTTGATTCTATTGATTCTGACATAATTTTAGTATTAATTTATGCCTTTGCGTCGGTGATGATCATCTCACTATTTATTTTTTCGACCGGTACTCCATATTTTGAATAATTATGTAATCGTCTGAATTTGAAGTTACAAATTTACATATGAGCAAGTGCATATAAATGAGCTTTACGTATATTGATTAATGCCTCGAGTAAACCAATTATTAAACAGAATTGCAATTTTGGGATAGACTCCATAACAAAATGACGCATCTACAATCAATACAATTAATGTTAAATGAACAACTAAAACCATCAGTTTATCGTTTTGAACTATAATTCTAATGCTGTAGAGTTATTAGGAATTGTTATTTTCAATGCTTGAAAGTATTAATAGTATATCCATCGAAAACTCATTTTTTAACAAATTTCGTGAAAAATTGAGCTCAAAGGAGTGTTTAGTAAATTCGGACATTTTTGCATACATATAGAGCACCAACGTTTTAGATAAATCAATGGAGTATATAAATGTAGATCAAGCTAAGACTTTTAGACTCACATTCATATTCAAATCAGTTTGAACAATGTACAAGTCTATCTTTTGTATTTGTATTTTTTATCGAGCCTAATTTACTTATCAAAATCTCCACGCACATGGTTTCTAGGTCAAACCAATTGATATGATCATAAAAATCTTTATTTAGTCATTAGAAATACATTAAACCCAATGTATATATAGTTATTGCAAAGATAAGATGTTCTAGGTATGCTGCAAATATAGTATTTCATTTTTTTGCAGCCAACATTTGGTAGCGCAAAATTGTAAAACGTGCAATTTAGGGCTCCAACCATAAGTCTTGAATTTCAACATTTAAGCGCACATAAAGCCAGTCCTACCTTCCATGAAGACTTAAATCTATAGTAAGCATATTTGATAGCGTTCCGATTATTTAGCTTCGTGCATATTAGTTTCGTTGAACTTAATTGTCTCATCAAAGTGGAACACTAACATCGTATAATTATTTTTTTGTGGCCCAATTTTGTGTATTATTCGCACCAAATAATTTTTTTTTTTCACGAGTTTTAAAAAATTTTTCAATTTTAGATTCCATCTTCTTTCAAAGAATTAACCAAATCACTAGTTAATCAAAATGGGTGCTTACAAATATTTAGAAGAGTTACAAAGAAAAAAACAATCCGATGTTATGAGATTCTTATATAGAGTCAGATGTTGGGAATACAGACAAAAAAATGTTATTCACAGAGCATCAAGACCATCAAGACCAGATAAAGCTAGAAGATTAGGTTACAAAGCTAAACAAGGTTTCGTTATCTACAGAATCAGAGTTAGAAGAGGTGGTAGAAAAAGACCAGTTCCAAAAGGTGCTACTTATGGTAAACCAACTAACCAAGGTGTTAATCAATTAAAATACCAAAAATCATTAAGACAAACTGCTGAAGAAAGAGTTGGTAGAAGAGCTGCTAACTTAAGAGTCTTAAACTCATACTGGGTTAACCAAGACTCAACTTATAAATATTTTGAAGTTATTTTAGTTGATCCTCAACATAAAGCTATTAGAAGAGATCCAAGATACAACTGGATTGCTAATGCTGTTCATAAACACAGAGAAGCTAGAGGTTTAACTTCCGCTGGTAAAAAATCAAGAGGTATTAACAAAGGTCACTTATTCAACAAAACCAAAGCTGGTAGAAGACACACTTGGAAAAAACACAACACTTTATCATTATGGAGATACAGAAAATAAGCAATTTAGCTTGTTTGTTGAAGTATTTTCACGGGTTATTCATTTAATGAAGCACATTAAGCGTATAATTTTATAGTTGAATTTATATTGAAGGCCCGTATGATATTAAAATTCGAGATTGATCAATTCTTACACCGAGTAAATAATTGACTCTACTAGAAATAAGCTTAGAGGTTCAAAATTAAGCCTTTGAGGCGGTAAATTTGTTATTAAAGACCTAGTATATTCGAAAAAAATGGCTGCAAAATTAATTTCGGCGAAATGGAGGGAAAGAAGAATCCCCCGTAAAATTTATCGATAACACATCAAAATTAATACAGAATATAAACATTGAATGATTAAACCCTCAGAAATCATAAAAATACCTTTTCATCGAAATCTAACCTCGAACAACTGTAGTTTAAACATTAATTCTTAGGGGGTAATTTATATAATTACACGAAACACGATCGTGTATCAACCAAGAGAAAAAATCTAAACCAGTTAATTAATCAATCATTATCTGACTTCTATTGCTTATATGCACACTAAGCGTAATACTGAAAAAATTGTTAATTAGAAATCCTTTTCTTTCCCCTTGAAATTTATTATTAAATCCCATCCCATCTCAATTATAATTGATTGGTTTCAGCTGATAATTATTTAATTTGAAAAGTCAATTGTATTAATAAAATTTCAATTCAATCATTGTATAATTTTAAAAACACTCCTTTTTTAATTACATTGATAGCAACCAATTATATTGTTTCAGAATTAAATTATAATGAGTGATTCTGAAAAACAACAACAAACAGCTATTTTATCAGTTTATGATAAAACTGGTTTATTAGATTTAGCTAAAGGTTTAGCAAATGCTGGTGTTAGAATTTTAGCCTCTGGTGGTACCGCAAATTTAATTAGAGGTGCTGGTTTCAAAGTTGAAGATGTTTCATCAATTACTCATGCTCCAGAAATGTTAGGTGGTAGAGTTAAAACTTTACATCCAGCTGTTCATGGTGGTATTTTAGCAAGAAACATTGATTCTGATGAACAAGATTTAGTAGCGCAAGGTATTGATAAAGTTGATTTTGTTGTTTGTAATTTATATCCTTTCAAAGAAACCGTTGCAAAAGCTGCTGTTACTGTTGCTGAAGCTGTTGAAGAAATTGATATTGGTGGTGTTACATTATTAAGAGCAGGTGCAAAAAATCATCAAAGAGTTACAATTTTATCAGATCCAAAAGATTATGCACAATTTTTGGAAGAATTAAAAAATGGTGAAATTAAAACTGAAACAAGAAATAAATTTGCTTTAAAAGCTTTTGAACATACTGCTGATTATGATGTTGCAATTTCAGATTTTTTTAGAAAACAATATGCAGAAAATATTTCACAGTTACCTTTAAGATATGGTGCAAATCCTCATCAAAAACCAGCGCAAGCTTTTGTTTCAGAAGGTATTTTACCATTTAAAGTTTTAAATGGTTCTCCAGGTTATATTAATTTATTAGATGCTTTAAATTCATGGCCATTAGTTAAAGAATTATCAGCTTCATTAAATTTACCAGCTGCTGCTTCATTTAAACATGTTTCACCAGCTGGTGCAGCTGTTGGTTTACCATTAAGTGATGTTGAAAAAAAAATTTACTTTGTTGAAGATATTGAAAATTTGTCACCATTAGCAAATGCATATGCAAGAGCAAGAGGTGCTGATAGAATGTCATCATTTGGAGATTTTATTGCATTATCAAATATTGTTGATAAGCCAACTGCCCAAATTATATCAAAAGAAGTTTCAGATGGTGTAATTGCTCCAGGTTATTCAGAAGAAGCTCTTGAAATTTTAAAGAAGAAGAAAAATGGTAAATATTGTATTTTACAAATTGATCCAAATTATAATCCAGATCCATTAGAAATTAGACAAGTTTATGGAATATCATTACAACAAAAAAGAAACGATGCAATTTTTAAAGGTTCAAGTTTTAAAGAAATTGTTTCAAATAATAAAAATTTAACTGAACAAGGTGCAATTGATTTAACTATAGCTACAATTGCATTAAAATATACCCAGTCAAATTCAGTTTGTTATGCTAAAAATGGTATGGTTATTGGTTTAGGTGCCGGCCAACAATCAAGAATTCATTGTACTAGATTAGCAGGTGATAAAGCTGATAATTGGTGGTTAAGACAACATCCAAGAGTTTTAGGTTTTAAATGGGCAAAAGGTGTCAAAAGACCAGAAAAATCAAATGCAATTGATTTATATTGCTCAAATCAAATTCCAACTGATGAACCAGAAAAATCAGAATATGAAAGTAAATTTGAAGAAGTACCAAAACCTTTATCTATTGAAGAAAGAAAAGAATGGTTAAAAAAATTAAATAATGTTGCATTAAGTTCTGATGCATTTTTCCCATTTCCAGATAATGTATATAGAGCTTCAAGAAGTGGTGTTAAATTTATTGCTGCACCATCTGGTTCAGTTATGGATAAAGCTGTATTTGCAGCTGCAGATGCTAATGATATTGTTTATGTAGAAAATCCAATTCGTTTATTTCATCATTAAGATAATAATAATATATATTTTTATATGGTAATCCAGTTGGTAGCACAATTCTAATTATTCGCTAGGTGAAAAAAATTTAAGAACACGTCAAAAAATTTTAATATAGGTTCGTTAAGTATTATGGCTTCTGAATATAATTATGATGAATCTGGTGAAACTTGGCCATTTTTCATATTAGCTATATTATCATTATTTTTGATACCTTTAACAATTAAATATATTTCAAGAATTTTATCAAATGAAAATCCAACATTATATAATGAATCAATTAAAGGTTCAATAAATTTAAAAATAGATTTAGCAAATAAAGATGCAATTGAAAAATTTCAAAATAAACAAAAATCACTGAAGATATTTAATAAAACTTTGATTTTATTGATTATAGGTTGGTCAATTTTAATTTATATTGGTAAATATGTTACAAAAGAAGCTGATTTAACTGGTTTATTTGATCCATATACAATTTTAGATATTTCATTTACTGCAAGTGAAAAAGAAATTAAGAGTAAATATAGAAAATTATCATTAAAATATCATCCTGATAAATTACCAAGAGATTTAACTGAAGAAGCACGTCAACAAATGGAGCAAGAATATATTAGAGTAACTAGTGCTTATAAAGCTTTAACAGATGAAGCAATCAGAGAAAATTTTTTGAAATATGGCCACCCAGATGGTGAACAATCTACTGTTCATGGTATTGCCTTGCCAAAATTTTTAGTTGATGGGAAATACAATTATTTAGTTGTTTTATTATACTTTGTAGTTATTGGTTTATTATTACCTTATTTAGTTGGCAAATGGTGGAGTAATGTTAAAAGTCATACAAGAAATGGATTGCATGTCAATAGTGCATCCAATTTTGTTAGAGCGGTAATAGATCGTGATCCTGCAAAGATCATTACCCCTAAGACAATATTAGATTGGATTTTAGAAAGTGAAGAAATTAATCAACAATTTAAACATTTATCTAAAGAAGAAAGGTTAAATTTGGTTGATTTACATTTTAATAGAAAATTTGATAAGGAAAGAGAAGATGACAAAATTGAATTGATTTCAAAATTACCCTTTTTGATTAATGGATTAATTGATATTGCTGTTGCTTTCAAATTACAAGATGTTGTTTTGCCCGCGGAGGATGTAAAAAAGTGTGTAATTTCAGCTACACCCATCAACGGAAAATATCATGAAATTTTACAATTACCGTTTGTTGATCCAAAAGTTGTTGAATCACAAGATGTTAAAAAATTGGGTAAATTATTTGCAATTACTGAAGAACAAGCAAAAGCAGCTTTGGGTATTAAAAATGAAAAGGAATTTAAAATAGCAATGCAAGTCGCAAGTAAAATTCCAAGTTTGAGAATCCTCGAAGCTGAATTTAAAGTACCGGGAGAAGAAGATGGTATTGTCCCACCAAATTCAACAGCACATATTTCATTAAAATTTTTAGTTAAATCACCAAGATTAAAATCGTGTCCTGATATAGATGATGAAAAATTAAAAGATGAAGAAAATTTAGAATACATGAAAAATCCATTATATATAAATGAAAAACAACCATCATTACCATATTCATATGCTCCTTATTTTCCACATCCATTTAAATTAAATTGGTCATGTTATTTAATTAATCAAAAAGAAAATAAAATAGTTGAAGATAGTACTAAAATTTTATTAGAAAATATAGATTTATCAAATTTAGAAATTAGTCAAGAAGAATGGATAGATGAAAAAAATGAGAATTTGGTAATTTCAACTTTTAAAATTCCGTTCACTCAACCAACTGGACAAATTGGGAAATATCATTATAGATTAATTATGAAAAATAATGCATATTTTGGATCAGATTTAGATATTCCAATTGATTTAAAAGTTACAGCAATCCCATTGAAAAATTTAGATAATTTGAAAAAGAAATTGGAAGATATAGGTAAAGAAAAAGAATCAGATGATGAAGAAGATTCAGATTCAGATATTTCTGATCCTGAAGAAGATCTGTTGGCAGGTGCATTAGCTGCATTGAAAGGACAAGCAGTTAAAAAGAAGTCTAAAAAAGTTGAAGAAATAGATGAAGATGAAGAAGAAGAAGAACCCTTCTCTGATATAAATACAGATACAGAAGATGAAGGTGATAATTAATATATACACTATACAGTTAAACTATGTAAATAAGCATCTGGATTTTCTAAACCTTGATCTTTATAGTAATCTTTAATTTCAGTTAATTGTTTAAACCCTTTTTTTTCAAACCATTCAATTGCTTTTTTATTATCTGTATGTAGATGTACTATAATCTCATGTATGAATCTGGATTTAGTTTCTTCAATTAACCATGTTAATAATTTTGAACCAACTCCCAAACTTTGATACGCTTTTAAAATGGCAAAACTTTCGATATATACACAATTTGGAGTTTTATTTGAAATATTTGAGCTTATAACTTCTTGGAAATTAGATTTTGATTGTGAATTATTAAAAGTTTTTGCCTTCATTCCACCAATTGGTATTTCTGAATAATAAGCTAATTTAACTATTGAATCTGAAGATTTTAAAATTGAATCATACCAAGATTGTGGATAATTAGTACCTACCGTAACTTCATTTATTTTCTTTAATACTCCTACATTATTTATGGTTAAATCATCTAATGCTATTATATCTCTACCCATTATTCTATTATTATTCAATTGTTGCAATTGATTAAAATTTAATAATTTTTCAAATAATTAAGGTTTGAACAATTAACACGACCTATCCAGTCCACATTTTAATTTTTTGGTCTATAAATACTCGATCAATTTCCTATCAATAATTAATCATATTTTGTTTACGTAAATGATGACCTTATACTTCGAAATGAGTCAGGAAATCGTTCTTTGATAATGAATACTGGTTTGGTTAATAAGTATCCATTTGATAATAAAGTGTGTCATTTACTCTTATGTATATATAGGGTGTATAAGTGTATATGTCAAAAAATTGTTTTACAAATAAATGTTAACTCATTTATTAGTATACAACATACATAAATCTCACAAAAAGTGAAGATTTATGGTATTATCAAGACTTAGTTGCTTGACTAATATCATGGATTGATTCAGTGTGTCTAATATATTTTTATTGAATGATTGTCTTATCAAATTGTTGATTAGATGGTTAATTAATAAAAATTGTGTTTATTATTTGCATCTGGGCAAATACATAAGATTTTTTAAAAATGTATAAATTTACAACTAGATGTACTACTAACAATTGCATGTCATTGAGTTTAAACAGAATTGAATATGACTGTATTGTGATGTTTTGATTGTTCTTACTCTTCATAATTTTGTATGATATATATTTGTGTAAGACTATATTTCAAATTCCAATAATTCGACAACAACAACAGCACTGAAAGTATAACTGATTGTGTTGGAATCAGAAAATAACGGAGATTCAAATGTATTCAGTCTTGTGACAATAAAAACCATTCTTTTCCTTTTTAATTTACAATTTACATTTTTAACTTGTATCGTGGTAATTGATTATTCAACAAGCTTATATCGCTGCAATTTTAAGAATATTATTAGCAACATAGAACAAATCTACAATTGAGTTAATTTCTGCGTAATAGAGGATATTCTACATAATATATGATCAATTTAATTTAAATGTTCAATAAAGAAAAGTGGTAGAAATTGAGATTTTTATTTGTGTTAAAAAATTTCGGACCTCTGAAAAATAAAACCGTTAATAACTCTTTCTACATTAAGATTCACGCAAAGTTGTCATCATACTTTGTTTTGTTTATTTGAGCTAGATCTATTGATTGATACTAGCCACATATACATATGTAATCAGAATTTACAAATTGGTCAAAAATCACGTGATGTTAGTAATGGCGCTACCACGTATCATGTGACTAAAAATTAGTTTGTTAATTTTGTGGCTTTACAGGTACGCTGCAGCTTTGAAAACTATTTCGTTCGTTTTTAAAGATGTTTCGTTTTGTTTTATTGGCTCCAGATTTTAAGGTTGCAGTGTTAGATTTGTTGTTTTGTTAATTTGATCGATTTAACAGCCTCTTGTCGTATCAATTTTTATGCGACACGTTCGTATTGGTATGATTAAATATTGGTATGATTTAATATTTCGACCAACGATAGAAAAATATTCAAACACAGCATCAATCGTCTATAAGTATATCATATAGCTTTCACAACACAATTTACAGTTCGTTTTCGTTGTATAGTACACATTAGTAATATCTCATCAGTTATTTGTTAATTTGGTATGATTATGTAGTCGTATAAATTTATTATGTAAATGCGAATCATATGCTGCACTTTCTAAATTTTTAGTTTCCAAATTGATTGACAGAACTCCGCTTAAAATTACAATTATATAAACTAAACTCATTCTTTCTTAATCAATAAGAATAATTTATCATGTTAACTCAAATTATAATCATATTCATCATTTTATATTTTGCAAGGAATATATATCAAGAATTTTTCAGTAATGGAACCAATCCATTATCATCAACCGAAGAAAAAGATTCTACTATCGTTGAAGGTAAATTCACTCCCAAAACATTAGCAAAATATAATGGAAAAGATTCTCCAAAGATATTCATTGCTGTTAAAAATAGAGTTTTTGATGTTACTCAAGGTGCTCAATTTTATGGCCCTGGTGGACCGTATGAAAATTTTAGTGGTAGAGATGCTAGTAGAGGTTTAAGTAAAAACTCATTTGATACAGAAGTATTAACACCAATTGATCAACCAATTGATAAATTATTAGATTTAACTGATGTAGAAAAAGAGACATTGGATGGTTGGGAAGAACATTTTGAAAATAGATATAAAATAGTTGGAACATTAGAAGAAAATAAGGACTAGAATAACCTAGCTATATACCTTTAATAAACATTGTCGTTATACTGCTTCTCTATGTTGATGATGTTTGATAATGGAAGTGTAAATTGTTCAAATTATTTTTCATCTATTAAATTTTTTAACTATACAACCAATACAACTAATTTCATTAATTCATTATAGCATTCTTACTTTGTCATGAGTTATCGTGGAAGAGGAAGAGGTGGTTTTCATAATAGTTTTGGTGGTGGTGTTGGCGGTGGTACTAATCAACAAAATAATAACCGTGCCAATTTTGGTCATCATTCACAACAACAACAAATTGATGCATTTACAAATTCAAATCAATTTCCCGTGGAAATTATGGGATGGAGTGGTGCTAGTTCATCCGAATGTATTAATTTCATATCTAGAAAATGTAAAGTTGTAGTACAAAATTATAGTGTTGATTCAAATACTGGTATTTTAAAAGGTTATGTAAAGAATGAACAACAAGCAAACTTATTATTAAATTGGTCAGGTGTTAAATTTGCTGGTCAATCATTAAGATTTATAAAGGGTACTTCAAATCAAGCATCAACAACCACCAGTTCCTCATCTACAATTGAAACAATTACACAATTTTTAAAAACTAGATATAATCCAGAAATCAAGATGTTGAATTTGTCAAATGTAAAACAAGATCCAGCATTAAACACTCATGGTTTTTTCAGTTCAGTTTCTATAACTGCAAAATTTTTCCCTGCGTTATTTAAAGTTGCAAATGATTTAAGTCTTGAAGTTATTAGTATTGATCTTTCAAATAATGAATTATCTGAATTAAATCAGTTAGTTTCATTACCACAATCATTTCCAAAATTACAAAATCTATCATTTCAAAATAATCAATTTAATAGAATAAAAGTATTTGAAACTTGGAAAAATAAATTAAATAATTTAAGAGAACTAATAATCTTTGATAATCCAATAGTGATAAATATAAACACACCCCAAGATATAAATAATCTCAAACTTGAATTTATGAAACTTTTCCCAAGATTAGTGGTACTTAATGGTGAAATATTAAGAGATGAACCAAAATTAAACATGAATTTAACATTCCCATTTGATTCAAATTCCATGTTTTTTGAAAATGATGATTCTAGAAACCTTGCAACTAATTTTTTAGCAAATTTTTTTAAATTATGGGATTCAAATCGTGGTGATTTAATGATTTTATATCAAAATGAATCTCAATTCTCAATGCAAGTAGATACTTCACATCCATATTTAATTGATTCAAATAATTCAACTGATTTTGGTAATTACTTATCTAATTCAAGAAATTTAACAAGAGTTTCGGGTATGAATTCAAGAATGAATAAATTGGCAATTGGTCAAGAAGCAATTTTTAAATCTTTTCAACAATTGCCAAAAACACAACATGAATTAATTAATAAACCAAATTTGTTTAGTGTTGAATGTTATAAATTTCCTTCAAATAATTTAAATGGGTTAATAATTACAATACATGGTATTTTTGAAGAAATTGGACAACCTGAATTAGAACAATCTAATAATAATATTCCATCTGGTCCTAGATCAAGATATATACCTCAAAATAAACATAAAAGACATCCACTTTCAAAAAAATGTTTCGATCGAACATTTACTGTTATACCTGATTTACAAGGAAGTATGATAGTTGCATCTGATTTATTATTAATTAGACCATATACTTCAGAAAATGCATGGGAGAAATCAAAAGAACAACCAAATATAACTACTCAACCCCAACCAGTAAATACACCATCACCAGCACAACAAGCAAATATTCCATCAATTGAAAATCTCCCCCTTGAGATCAAAAATAATCTTTCACCAATGAATCAAGAAATATTGGTCAAAATTTTAATAGAAACTAAATTAACTATACAATATGCATTAATGCTTTGTGAACAAAGTAATTGGAATTATCAATTATGTATGGATAATTTTAAAAACAGTGTTGCTTCATTACCAAGAGAAGCATTTGTATAAAGAAATAAACAAAATTGTAATATTATAAATCAATCTAAACATATTAAGGTAGCATTCTTACAATTTGACATTCTTATAAATATTAAGCTATGTTCATTGACTTCGTCTCAGTATTGGGCCCAACCACGTATAAACTTCGAAGCATCGCTCGGTGCATCGCTGTTTTGAGGATGGGCGCATTCCTCGTCGATTTTTTTTTTTTTTTTTTTTACACTCGGAAATTCTGAAACAAATTTATCAACCATACCAATTTTCAAACTTAAATCACCAATGTCATCAATATGCCTTATAATATAGCTATGTGTACGGATTTTTTTTATCCACAACCAGGAGGTGTTGAATTTCATGTATATCACCTATCTCAAAAACTAATAGAATTAGGCCATTCAGTAATTATAATAACTCATGATTATAACAACAGAAACGGAATACGTTACCTAACAAACGGCCTTAAAGTATATTATGTCCCATTTTGGCAAATTTATAGATCATCTGGCTTTCCTACCGTATTCTCATTATTTCCTATTTTGAGAAACATTTTCATTCGTGAGACAATTGAAATTATACATGGTCATGGATCAATGAGTACATTTGCACACGAAGCTATTTTCCATGGGAGGACAATGGGTATGAAGACTGTATTTACTGATCATTCATTATTTGGATTCAATAATTTAGGAGATATATTAGGAAACAAGGTTTTAAAATTTACAATGAGTGATATCGGACATGTAATTTGTGTATCTCATACATGTAAAGAGAATACTGTTTTACGAGGCAGTTTGAATCCTAGTAAATGTTCCGTCATTCCTAATGCTGTGATAAGTAAAGATTTCCAACCTGCTACTGAGTCAGAATTGGAGAGTAAGAATAAAGATGAGATTGTTATTGTTGTAATATCAAGATTGTTTCCTAATAAAGGTGCTGATTTATTAACTGCTATTATTCCAAAGATTTGCGAGGTTAATGATAAGGTCAAGTTTTTAATTGCTGGAGATGGTCCTAAATTTCTTGACCTTGAACAAATGAGAGAGAAATATTTCTTACAAGAAAGAGTCAAATTGATGGGGACAGTAAGACACGAAGATGTAAGAAATGTAATGATCCAGGGGGATATTTATCTCCATCCAAGTTTGACTGAAGCTTTTGGCACAGTTATTGTAGAAGCTGCAAGTTGTGGATTGTACGTTGTTACTACTAAAGTTGGTGCAATACCTGAAGTATTACCATCTGATATGTTTAATTTTGCAGAACCTGAAGAAATTAGTTTGATTAGTGCAATTAAATTGGCAATTGAAAAAATTGAAAATCAGGAGGTGAATACTTATCAGTTTCATAAACGAATAAATAATATGTATTCTTGGATGAATATTGCAAAACGCACTGAAAATGTTTATAATTCATTGAATTTAGATAAATTGAATCAACCACTAATAAAGAGATTGTCTAAATATTATTGTTGTGGGATTATTGCTGGTAAATTATATGTTCTTTGCGTTATTGTTGATATTTTCATTTATACTATATTGGAATGGTTATATCCTAAGAAAATTATAGATTTGGTGACAAAATGGCCCACTAAGGTTGAAATTGATGATGATGCAATTGATGAGTTTTGATGAAATTTATTTATAAACAACATTTCAGAATGACCAAAATCTAATGAAGCTGACTACATTTAATGACTTTATAGAGAAAGTTTTAAATTTATGTATTGATAAGCTATACCTCATATTGGTTCAATAACATTAGAACTAGAGAGCGTATTTGATTTCATTTGAGAATAACAGAGCTGAAGCTTTATATGCATGTACTATAGCTGATAATGAAGAAATTGATGATTTTTAATAGATTCATAATTAACAAAATTCTCCCGATTAATCAAATGTTGAACCCTCTCATTCTTATAATCTTCAATTTTGACAGGATGAATAGAACCAGCTAGCTCTCTCAAACTATCAGAAACAACATGAATAGGACTTAAACTCTTGAACAACTTAGGTCTCTCAATTGGTTTCATATATGATAAATCAATATCATTCAATATTTCATATTTTTGTTTCATGTTTAATAATTTCTCTACCATCTTCATCTTTTCATTGTACTCTTTTTGGGAAGTAATATCAGTAAACATATTCTTCTCAATATTTTCATCTTCAAGAGAATGGATCTCTCGATTCAATTCATCATTTTCAATTTTCAAGGATTCAACAATTTTCATTTTGTCATTTAACTTCTGCTTTATTTCCTCATTTTTTGACTTCCATTCTTCAATTGTTTTTTTGTTCTCTGCTGATAATGATTTCATATATTGTTCAAGCATAGTAATATTCAATTTTAAATCTTTCAATTCATTATCCTTTTCAATTATTACCTTATTTAAATGCTCTTGATTGGAGGATGACGTTGATTGCTTACGTTTAGGCACGTAGTCATAAATTGACGTTATTTCCTTTTCAACTTTTTTGAATTCAGGAATACTTGATATTTTTTGTTCATAATTCGTACCATTTTTATCAGCTTCAGCCTTTTTTAACATTTCCTCATCGATTAATGTATACTCAAGCTCCATAAATGATATATCATATGAATAATCTAGTGTATTGAGCACTTCAGGAGGTAGTTGATCCCTTGGATTTAAATAACATGCTTTTCTCAGACAATTTAAACTATGAATTATTAAATTATAACATGCAACATTTTGAAATTCATAAGCTGAAGTTTCTGATCTTAATTGAATAAAATTTGAATCTGGATTTAGTAATTTCCATAATTCATCACCGTATTTTGTAAATTTATGGGAAATTTCTCCATATGGTTCTACTTCTTCGAGCATATCTTCAAATTGGATACTGTCTAACACTTTAACGATGTCAGTTAAGGATTCTGTTAGATTTTGATTGTGATAATTATATTCGATTAACTTCACACCTTCATTCAAATTGCAAATAAGATGCTCGAGCAAATAAGTCAAGTGTGGAAAATCAGTTTCATTTAATACAGTTGATAATTCAGAAATTTTTAGTTTATGAAAGTATATTAGATCGACTACTTTCTTATCCTGATGTACTAACGGTCGTCGTATTCTTTCACTTAAAACTTCACATTTTGACTCAAGTGATTTCAATTTCAATTCCTCATTCTTAGATTTCAATTTCAAAGCAAGTATCTGTTGTTTCAATAACTTATTCTCATGCTCGTAATTATTACTAGATTGCTCTTTCCTAGGTTCTGACTCCAATTGTTCTATTTTCAATTTATTCTTCTTAATAATTTTTAGTAATTCGGAAATCTCATTTCTCAACTCAGTCTCTAGTAGCTTTTGATCTTCCTCCAATTTGTTGTTTAAATCTACTATCTCTTGTAAATCAGATATTGTTTTATTCAATTGATCTATTGTCTCATTTAAAGTATTATTCTCCATTGTCAAATTCTCAATTAAAGATTCTAAATTCTGAAATGACTCTATCTTCTCCAACAAATGCCTATTTTTCTCTTCTGCTTCTTTAAATTTGATATCCATGTCTTTACCCACTTCAAACTCTTCCAATTGCTGAATTAATTCTTTCTCGTGTTCATGAGATTCCTTCAATAGTTTCTCCAAATTTCTGTTCCTCTCAAATATTAGCTTTATATCATCATTAGTCATCTCTCCAATCTCTAAACCTTCCATCGTACTCACTATTTCATTATTAATGGCGAGTTCTTCTTGTAACATTTTAAAATCACATTGTAAATTAGTATACTTCTTATTTATTTCAGCCACTTTACTCTCCAAATTCAGCTTCGTCAGTGCTAGGAAATCATTATCAACTTGAATCATCTCCACTTTACTCTCTAACTGAACTATCATCTCATTTTTACTTGATAAGTCATCATTGATCGATTTCAATTGTATTTTATACTTTGAAATTTCATTCGTTAATTTCTTCAATTTGACCTGTAGTTTATCTATAATCCTTAAGAAATGATCGTTACTCTCAACTCTAGTTATCATTGCTTCTCTGACAAATATACCATGATTTTCAGTAGTTTCAAAGTATTTAATACCTTGTACCATTCCATTATTTTTCCCGTTTGGTTTTCGTAGCTCTATTCCATACCATATACCAGTTGAGAATTGAGTATCGCCAATATATTTAATAATACCTTCATCATCTTTAATCTTTACCAATTGACCAATTTCAAACATTAAATTTCCATTTTCGTATAAATTCTGAAACACGAGAAAAAAAAAAAAAAAATTAAAATTAAAATCAAAATCAAGATCTTGAATAAACAACTATCAATAAATGTCATTCATTGGTCGAGAAAGAATAAGTTCAAATCATAGTGTAACTCCACAAAAAAACAATCGAGTAAATAATAACACAATTATCAAAAATGAATTATTAGATGAACAAAAAGCAGAAATTAGAGAAGCATTTCAAATGTTTGATATGAACGGTGATGGATGTTTAGATTATCATGAATTAAAAGTTGCATTTAGAAGTTTGGGTTTTGATTTAAGTAAAAAAGAAGTACTAGATATTATTAAAGAGTACGATATGGATGACTCAAGATTGATAACTTATGACAATTTCTACAAAACAGGTATGTATATGAGAAAATGAGATGTTGGGGGTTGATACTAATGTTATTTTAGTCGGAGAAATGATAATTCGAAGAGATCCAATTGAAGAAATAAGACGAGCTTTCAAATTATTTGACGTAGATGGTACTGGTTCAATAAGTTTAAGGAATTTAAGAAAAGTAAGTAAGGATCTTGGTGAAAATTTGACTGATGAGGAATTACAAGCTATGATTGATGAATTTGATTTTGATGAAGATGGGGAGAGTACGTAAGGATGCAAAAACACTGTAAGGATGTATAAACTGTCAGGATGCAGAAAAACTGTAGTAAAACAGTAAGTATGCGATATATCAGTCAGGATCCAACAGTACAGTAAGAATGCAATTTAATTGATTTAATACTAACCAATTTCAGTTAATGAAGAAGAGTTTATTAGAATATGTACTGAGTAAATGTAATATTAATATAAGAAACTGTGTTTTTATGATTCAAAAAGATATACCAAACAACAAACACCAGTCTAAAAGTCATATTCTGTTTAAAATGTAGCTAAGTCATGGCTCTGTTGTTAATACTCTCTAATATGGTGTAAATGTTTCATCTGAAACACAATTGGTAGCTATTCTATTATTTTGTAGTGTTTTAATCGAATTGAAAAATTTTATACTTAGATTCACCAGGGTATTATTGATTCATTATGTCATGGGCAGTTAGAAAGAATAGATTTATGAGAGATATCTCAAAATATACAGAATCACATAAGAAAGAAATAATTAAAATGAAACAAATAACATCCATGCCAACTTTCCAAAATTTTTTCCCAGATAAATTACCAAGATCAAAACAAAAAACTCAATTTGAAGCAGGTATAATTGAAGGAGATTTTGCATATATTTCACAAGGTAAACATAAAGGTAAAATTGCACAAGTTTTAAATTATTCAACAGAATATGATACTGTTGCATTATCAAATATTACATCACAAAAATTATTACCAAAGACATTTTGGCCGGAGGGTCAAACTTCTCATGTAATGGAATTTCCTGATTTCATACCTAGAAAAGATATCAAAGTTGCCGGGAAGGAAAAAGTAGATGAGAAGATTAATTATATAGTAGCTGATGAAATAGTATTGAAGGATAAGTATTATGATGAAAGGTATAAGAAATGGATTCCTCGTCGATTCATAAAACATCATGAAAATATAGAAATCCCATGGCCGAATCCGTCAAATGTCCTTGAAGATAATGAATTGTCAACTCCTGAGGAAATAGTAATGGAAAAAACATTTGAATTTCAATCAATTGGAAAATCTCCAATCCCATCTGATTGTTTAAATGAGTTAAGAAATCCATATTCAAAATACAAGATTAAGAAATTGGATGGATTACAAGTTTCAAAATTAAATGGTGTTGAAATGCCAATGACTAAAGAACAAAAAATATGGAAATTAAAACAAGAAGAAAAACCAAAGAAAGAATTAGTTCCTTTGAGTGATGATATTAAAGAATTTATTGGTGAGAAAATGGCTAATCATTTGAATAAGATTGAATCTCCTGAATTGAAATTACATTTAGAACATTTAAGTAAATTGAGAAATAGAGATTTTGAAAATACAATGAAAAAGATTAATGGTAATAACTTGTAAATAGAGAATATAAATTTGATATAAATTTTGATTTGGCTTAGTTTTCTATCTCACTGAAACTAGTCTTAAATGTTTATTGTACCCTTACCCACTATAGATCAAAATTTAAAACCATTGAGAGTATTGGCGAAAAAAACTGTGAAGAATAAACTAGTATATTTTCTTTATTTTAGTTGTAAATTTGGATCTGAGAATGCCCGGGGCATAGATCTATAATGCCTTGGGTTTACGTGATCTAATTTAGTGAATTTAAAAAACAAGCATCTTACATCTTTATTTGCGTCCTTACAATATCCTTTGATATGTAGAGACTATCAAAATACTTGAAAGATGAATTATATATTGATTATAACCTTTAATAATCTAATTTGCTTTTGATTTTGTTACTTTTTGAACTGGTTCCATTATGGAAACTAGTATTAAATGTTTATACCATCTTTACATTTTTGAATCCTTCCTTACGTCGACTACAATTTCTCATAATCCAATTTACCTTCCAATTTCTTAGATTCTGCAACTTTTCTCACAGCTTTCATCATATCATTTTGTAAAATATAATCTCTATCATCTCTAATTGCAAAAAATCCAGCTTCAGTAATTACATTTCTAATATCAGCACCATTAAAACCATCACTCATTTTAACAGCAGCTTCAAAATCAAATTCACCTTTTTTAGATATTTTTGAAGTATAAATTTTAAAAATTTCCAATCTACCAGATTCATTAGGTAATGGAATTTCAATTTTTCTATCCAATCTACCAGCTCTTAATAATGCTGGATCAAGGGTATCTGGACGATTAGTAGCCATTATAATTTTAGTTTGTCCTAGTGTATCAAATCCATCCATTTGATTTAATAATTCCATTAAAGTTCTTTGAATTTCACGATCGGCAGAAGTACCTTCACTAAATCTTCTACCACCAATTGCATCTACTTCATCCATAAATATAATACAAGGTTCATGTTCTTTTGCATATGCAAACATTTCTCTAATTAATCTTGCAGATTCACCAATATATTTATCGACAATTGCTGATGCTGGTGAGAATATGAAATTTGCACCAATTGTTGCTGCTACTGCTTTTGCTAATAATGTTTTACCTGTACCTGGTGGACCATATAATAATACACCTTTTGGTGGTGTAATACCAACTCTAGTAAATAATTCTGGATTTTTCAAAGGTAATTCAATAACTTCTCTTAATTCTCTAATTTGTTCGGTTAACCCACCAATTGTACCAAATGAAATTTCACCAGGTTCAAAAGTAGTCATATTATAAACTAATGGATCAACTTCTCTTGGTAAAATTCTCATAATTGTTAAAGTAGTCATGTCTAAAGATACTCTAACACCATTTTTAAGATTTTCTTTCTTGATCGTATTTCGACATCCAACTATATATCTTGGACCAGAACTAGCTTTAACTATAAATCTTTCATCATCTAATTGTTTTAAAATTTCACCAATTATTTGACCAACTGATTGTAATGCTTTTATATCATTTTCAGTTTTTTCATAATCTTTATCCAAGTCTCGTATACTTAATCTTAAATCTTTTAATCTTGCATCCCATTTTCTATGTTCTAATAATTTATCTTTGAATTTGGCAAGTGCTCTTTCTCTTTCGGGGTCAGCACTGGATGCTTCTTCCCTTGTCTCTTGATTATCATCGTTATTATTATTATTATTATTATTGGTTTCTTGGTTCAATGCTTGTAATAAAGGATCATTCTCATCAGTACTCATATTCAACTGTTATATTACTAGTGGCAAATAAATATAAATTGGTTGGAAGATTGAAAAATAAAATTATCATCAACACATTTTTACACGACTAACTAAAATCAAATTTTTATTACTACCAACCAGTCTTGAAGAAGAGTAGTATAGTACTTACAATGGAGTTCACTGCGGTTATATTATGTGGAAAGGGTAAAGAATTATCTCCATTCTCTTTGAGTTCAAGATCAACTGGTTTTCCCAAGGCTATTTTACCAATTGCAAATAAACCAATGATTGAATACGTTATAGAATGGTGTTTCAAAGGTTTCTTTGCAAAAATATTGCTAGTTACTTACGATAATGAAGAAAATAGTATTAATGAATGGTTAAACAAATACAAAAAACAAATGGAACTAAATCAAGAGTATTCTCCATCAATTGACATCCTTACCATTTCAAATTCAAATTCAGATGAATCAGGTGCTATCTTATATCACATATATCAAATACAACCAACATTAGACAATTTCATATTATTACCTTGTGATTTCATAACTAATTTACCACCACAAGTGCTTATTGAATCATATAGAAATAAAAATGAAAATGATCTAGGTATATTATTCCATTATAGAAATACATTAGATTTAGAAGATAAGGTTAAATCAAAGATGTTTAATAAAAATTATACAATTTATTCTGAAATTGAACCTGATTATTACAACTTATTGGATATTTATAGCAAAGTTGAAATTGAAAAATTTCATAAAAATTTAAAAATTAGAAGTCATATGTTATGGAGATATCCAAATACATTAATAAGTTGTAAATTATTAAACTCAAACATATTTATAGGCTCAAATGAGATATTTAACATTTTTCAAATGGAGGGTGATAAATATAATGAAACATACTTTAAATATCGTCCAATTACGAAAATAATCAGAGATTTGGCTAGAAGATCCTGGTCACATTCAAAAGCCAAAGAGACAATTGGATTTCAAATTATCCCCAAGGAAGCTTCTTTTTTGAGAGCTAATAATTTACCAGTACTCATGGAAGCAAATCGATATTTCATGAAACAACAAAAAACAAACAGACAACAAGAAAAAGGATCGCATATTTCATCAGATTCCATAATTGGTAATAATACGACATTTGGAGAGAAGACAAATGTTAAGAAATCAGTAATTGGTGACAATTGTATTATTGGTAAGAAAGTTAAAATTAATGGATGTTTAATATTTAATAATGTAGTAATTAAAGATGATATCCAATTGGAAAATTGTATTATTGGATCAAATGTAATTGTGAATAATAAATCTAAATTGGTTAATTGTAATGTTGAGAATGAGAATGAAGTAATTGAAGGTACTCAATCTAAAGGTGATACTTTATTATGTTTAACTTTGGAAAACTTAAAAACAAATGAGGATAATGTAGATACTACTGATGGTGATGTATTATATAGCGAACATGAAAGTGAAAGTGATGATGATAGTGAAGAGGAATCTGATGAAGAGGAATATCATGATGAGTTTACTGGTAATGAAGATGGTTTATTCGCATATTAAAATTAATTGACAGAACTTAATCTTGTAAATTGACTCTATTACTGCAAAACTACAAGTGCATCTGCAACGAGTTTCTATTTTAAATTTGTGAAATTAATTAGTAAATATTCAGACCGCGATCAATTTTCAAGTTTGAACTTGGTTCAAAGTTTAACAACGGTATTGCCGAGTGAATATTGAAATATGGTAAGTGAACGTTAGAAATAGTCCTTGCCGAAAAGCATTTAAGTAATAAATCTCGAAATGTACGAAATAGATTCAAGTTTAGCTCGGGCAACGGTGTAAGCTCTCGCCCTAGTTAAACATTTTTCCGGCCACTCATCTTGTTTCAGAATAACCTTTTATACGTATTCGGTTTGAGAAAAGAAAAAACTTTACTGATGCGACAAATTTTATTTCTCGCCGCAAGTTTAAGGCGACTCGTACTAGATGTATTGGTTTATATGTCATGAACAAGGCAATTTCTCGAGATAGAAACTAGTTTGATGAAATCAGGAGCTCTAAATTATGTATTCTACATACTTTAAATCTTAAATTTCAAAATTCGTTTTTTTTTGAGTTATCAAGTTGGCGATTTTTCATCATACAAAAATTTTTCAAAAAATGTAAATCTATGTATCTTCTCATCTAGGCCCAAAACTTTCGCATAAACAGCTGATTTTATATATCGTAGCTGAACCAAAGATGCTGGACCTGATTCCCAATACTTTCCATAAAATTTGAAAATTTGCAGAATATTCCCTTACGTATGGGAAAAACTGAATGAATCGACCTTACGAAAAGTCAAACACCACATTCACCTTCAGACTATATCATGATACAACTATCTCTTTTTGTAGTTCGGCTCTCTGATATACCTTAAATATTCTTGTGTTAAGGTATTCAAAATTAGAAAAGTAATTTTTCAAGAGTGTTGTAATTTTTGAAAAAATTTCAAACCAATTTGGACGTCTTCAAAGCATCATGAAAAACACCTGTGAGATCAAAGGAACCGGATCAGCTATGCAAGAAGTCGTCAAATGAGATCTAAGTGATAACTATCTTGCAAAATAGCGTTATTTTTCCATTTTTTTTACGACGAATTATGTCATCAAAATTATGTTTAACCAATGAGAATTAACACCAGTCTATTCCAAATGAGTGACATTTATATTAACATAAGTTTGAGAATGAAAGCTTGAATATTAACGGAGTTATTATCAATTTAAATTTCGAGATTTATCTATGTAAGGACTGCATATAACTAAATTTGTTTTTGATTCATGAAAGAAGGTAATTTGGCGCAACAATATATTTTTTCGCGCTAATTTTGAGGCTACCTTGTAATACATGTCGCCCTGAGAATTTTGAGGTTTCGCTTAATAAAATAGCCACCAGTCATAAGTTTGATAAACGTTAGAGGTAAAAACAAGAAACGAAGATGGTTATTAAATTGTAAAATCCTATATAACCCTAATAACTCCAAAAACAACCAACTATGCAACGTATGAAAATAAATGCTAAATAATGTACCTATTGTAATTTCTTCTTCTTCTTAAGTGGTGAGTGCTTTCTTGAACCTTGTCTTTTTCCATTACTATTAGTATCCAGTTCACTCTCACTTGTCTCATCAGATGGTGAGCTACCACTACTATTAAACAGTTTCATTTTTTGTAATTTTTTTAAATTACTATTTCTTTGTTTTAAATTATGTTGAACACTTAATGGAGGAATACTAGGTCTAAATTTACTTGGTGGTTTTAAATCAGAATTAAAATAGAAATCATAATTTGAACCTAATTTAAAATCATCTGATGGAGTTTTTGGTTGTTCTTCATAAGTAGATTTTTGCTCTTTTAATAATTCTGCTTTTCTTGTTAATACCCAATTTTCAATATCTTCATCATTAGTTAATATTGAACAAAAATCAGTTAAACATTGTAAATAACCTTTATTAAATAACTGGTCGTGTTGTTGTTGACTTAATTTATATAATGTAGCTACTGATTTAGCAGCAATTGCAAAATCGGATTTAACTGACTCTATATTCTGACTATTATTTATTGAGGAATTATATAATGAAGCTACTGATTTAGCAGCATCTTTGAAGTTGCTTGTTAATTCATGATTTATATCTGAAGTAATACTAGTTGAATCTTGAGATTTTGTAGATCTTTCTTCTTCTTCTTCCTTTTCAGTTTCTCTTCTTTTAAATCTTATTGGTTTTGAATGTGGTAAGTTATTTGATAAATTAGATAAATCCATAGTTAATCAAATTCGGTGATGATTTTTAATTTTTTCATTATCAACAAATATAAAATTATACACTACCACCACCAAATAATGGTTGAATCTACTTTGATATATAGATATGATGGTAAGTAAGGATGCAAGTAAGGTAAAGGATGTAGTGGTATTAACATATATATCTAGCACTTCCATTATGTGGCTCAATTGATGATGATGATACAAATACTCAATTATTAGATCAAAAGAAGAAATGTAAATTATTAATATCAAGAATTACACCAAATTCAGAACAACAAGCAACTATAGAAAGTGGAAATTATAATATTCATTATTTAATTAAGAATCAAATCATATATTTAACAATCACAACCAAATCATATCCTCGTAAACTTGCATTTTCATATTTAGTTGAAATTAGTAATGAATTTGATAATTCATTTGGAAGTGATGCCTTAAGTTCTCAAGCTAGACCTTTTGGCTTTTCATCATTTGATAATTTTTTACAAAAGACAAAGAAAATCTATTCGGATCAACGTGCTCAATCGAATTTAGATAAATTAAATACTGATTTACAAGATGTTAAAAAAGTAATGACTAAAAATATTGAAGATTTATTATATAGAGGAGATTCATTAGATAAAATGAGTAATTTAAGTTATAATTTAAAACAAGATTCTTTGAAATATAAAAGAAGAGCTCAAAGAATTAATTTTGAAGCTATGATTAGACAATATGCTCCAATTATAGGTTGTGGCTTGATATTTGTAGCTATGATATACTACTTATTTAAGAGGTAAGGGTAGCAATATAGTTAATATTAATATATAACATACAATTGTTAGTATAAATTCTGAAACTGTTGATAATAAATTCTGAAACACCACGTAAAAAAAAAATTACCACTTATGTCAAATGAATATTTAAGTAGACCATTATTACCAAAACCATCATCATCGACATTAAATGTACCAACAACAGCTATATCTTATGAGAATGTAAATTCAGAAATACAATCTATAAGATTATCATCTCCTGATCAAAAATCAATATTTACAGCAGCACCAACTAATAACGAAGAAGATGATCAAGAATCAACTATAGATCTAAATATACCTAATGTAACACTACCAAACACATCTAAATCAATCACATTCCTAAATTTATTTACGAACCCAGAACAATTGTTTCCTGGCGAATTTATAAATAAGTATTTGGACTTAGATAAATCAAATAATTCAAATTTATTTCATTGTAAATTGAAACAATTCTTTGTTTTTTCATCTGCTGGTAAACCTATTTATTCAATGAATGGTTCTGACGATTTAGTATTGGGATATATGGGAATACTCACAACTATAATTTCATCATTTCAAGAAAAGAACAATAATCAAGACCAATTAAAATCAATCACAATGGGAGATACTAAGATCATTGTCCTTAATAAATCACCAATCTATCTTATTACTATCTCAAAATTGAGTAACGAGACTGAATCTATGTTATCTGGTCAATTGAGTACACTTTATGATTATTTATTGGCTATTCTTTCCAAACCTGCAATTGATAGACACTTCCAAAATAGATTAAATTATGACTTACGTAGAGTTTTGAATCCACTTGATTTTGAAAATCTAGATAAGTTATGCATGGATTTAACGTATGGTTATAATTTTGAAACTTATATTAATCAATTACTTTCTGCACGTCAGAGTATCAAAATACGACATACGTACAAGACCAAAATCAATAAATTAATTTCAGAATATAAAGACGATGATCTACTATTTTGTATACTAAGTTATAATAGTCAGATAATCTCATATGTGAAATTGAAACATCATGTACTAGGTAATAAAGATCTAAATCTACTATTTTTCATTATTGATTCATTGGAGAGTACAGAAGATCTTTGGATACCATTATGTATGCCAAGTTTCAACAATACGGGTTTTTTATACATTTACGTCCACAATTACAACAATTATAGAATAATATTAATAAGTGGGAACAAAAATTCATTTTACAATTTGAAAACAATAGCAAGTGAGATCATCAGAAGACTAGAGAATAAGAAAGAGTTACTTAATGGATTGAACACGGAGGTGACTATACCTTTAAGTGTTGAAATTCCATTTGTTATTAGACATTTCATATACAAGGATGTGATGTTGGAGCAGTATGTAATGACTGAAGTAAGTGACAGAGAATTGATTCTAGAGTTGATTCACTATTACAGTTCTTTAAAATATAATAAGTCATTGATTGTAGCTGATCAAGGATTGAATTATAAAAAAATGTCATATTTTAAATTTGGTAATGTTAGTGGGTTGATGATTTGTGATTTGAATTATGTATATTATTGTATTAGTAATGAGGTTATTCTGTCTAAGAAGTTGTTACTGTTGAGTACTAGTATTATTAAATGGTGTCAAAAGAATAGAAATAGGTTATTTTTGACTGTGTAAGAATGCAGTAAGGATACAAGTAGTAGATAAGGATACTTGAGAGATTACTGCATTATGAATGACTTTTTAAATTTCAAAGAGACTGTTGATTAGAAGTAAAAGAAGTATGATATTATGCCGAAATGATAAAAAAGGTTGGTTTTGACTATGTTAGATACCAAATACCAGATAAGGGTACAAGTTTTTGATAAATGGGGATGCATATAAAACATTAGGATGTTATGATATATTATATAAGGGGGGGGGGGGGGGGGATTTCGTACAAGTCATCAAAGGTTTTTTATGAAATCGATGCAAGTGGACCAGAAAGTGCAACAACTGTCGCTTCTGCTGTCGCAGGAGGAACTACTCCATCTGAAGATCTAGATACACCTCCAGAAAGAAGAGCTAAAGCTGTATTGGAAGTAAATCATGATATGAAGCTACCTAAATCAATTTAAATCAAATTAGACATACAAAGAGACAGTTCAATACATACAGCTATGGTATATATACAAATGTAAGAATGCCAAATATGACAAATAAATATATATAACTACTTTAATTGCATTTTTTTTATCGAATAGTTTTGATTTTATAAATTGTGGAAATGCCATTTATTAAATATATACAATTGCATCTATTTCAATATTTGCTTCTCAGCAGCTTTAAAAGTCTCAGTTAATTTATCAGTATATGTACTTAATAATCTATCCAATTCATCCAATTGACGTTTTTCAACATCAGAAACATGATGATGTTTCAAAGCACCTTGGAATTTGTTCCTTATATCACCTCTAATCGCATTCAATGAATTAGTCTTATTATGTTTAAATTTCTCAAACACCTCCTTCAAGTGCTTCACATCAGCAGTTTTACTTTCTTTAGTTATAGGTGGTAATGGAATTTTAATTTGGAATTTATTATTTGGATCAAGTACACCACTCATATTAAACTCTTCAATGATCCTACTTATAACATGCTTAGAGACACTTGGATCAAAAAGTGTAATTATATAATTACGTCCTTTTATTGACGTAGATGCAAGGTTGGTGAAAATTTCATCATTTATACTTAAGTTGTCGAATATTTTGGGATTCAGTTTACCCATTTTAATCTCATTTGAAATCTTGGTAAATTTGGATATAATACTTTCGAATTTTGATGTCACGTCGTTGAAATTTATGGTTGGTATTTCTACTATATGATCTTCTGAATCAATAGATACTTTATTACCTGCTTTTTTGTCCTTCTGTTTCCTAGCGCATGAAATTGGAGTTGCATGAAATGTAGATATTTGGATTGTTGATTTTGGTATTGATCTGAGTATTAAGGGTCTATTTATTATTCTAAACATTGGTAAAGTTTTGACCTTGCAATTTTTCAAATTTTTCAAATTTTTGATTTTTCACGACACACGATGAAAATGAAAATAGTATAAATGATTGAATGTAGAGTAGAGAATAAATAAAGCGAGTCTAAAATGATGCATACGCAAAGGTGATGTAATAGTTGATTCGTAATACATTTTGTAGACTGTAATTACTCTGTTTTAAAATTTTATAATTGAATTTTTTTTGAATTCAATTGAAATAGATTGTAATTAATCTATTCTAATAAACCTCAATGCGAGATCTCAACTTCAATACATTGATAACCTCTATGAAAAGTTTTCATTGATCATTTTCAGTACGAGTGTTGAATACAAGTACTGAATACAAGTATTGATGATCTCAATGAAAAGTTTTGATATCTCACCTTTTGATTAAAATGAATCGTATCAACAGAATCACAAATAAATTTTCATCAAATTGAACATTTGACAAACTTAAATTGTGTTCTTACCTTATTACACAACATAATTCTCGTGAAGGTCATAACATAATGATTATAGTCTTAGTGCAACTGCTCACCATCAAAATAACGGAAAGGTAGAACGAAATATCGCCAGTATTGACTATGGTACCTTATCATTTGGTACTATAGTCTAGATCACTCAAAAAATTGCAAGCTTACAAATCTCTTCCATAAATTTGATAATAATGAGAGTCGTCTACGATAAATAGTGATGCAGCTAGTAGTGAAGTATCAGCTAATCTTTTTCTTCAGCTAGCAGTGCACAAAACGCGTGTGGCTTATTGGCAACACTTCATGCAATCGAATTTTTCCCCTTCAAAATTGAAACCCTTAGCATCTAAGAATATTTGATATTGAACTTTCTGATATTTTTTTTCTAATGGGCCACAGAGGTAGTGTACTAATAACCAAATCCATTAGGGGGTAATCTTTAAGGGGTAATTAAATCATACTTACAAATTGTGGAATCTACGTTTATTCTTTCTGTCTTGAGAATATATTCTTTTAAATTCTATATAACAATAATTTCAACTAGATGATGCTGCAATATTTGATGACTTTAAAATCGTTATTCGTTAGTTTTATCAAAGAAACCTAGCAAAAACCTAGCAAATATCAATTAAATTCCTAATTTTATGATTATTTGTTGTTCCGGGTTGAGGTCCAATGCCAAAACCAGCATAATTGAATTGCTAAGTAACTTAATATTGAATACTTTTTATAATTTATATTCATTGTACTGTAATAATCATTGTAAATTGAAAGTTGATAATTTTTTAGCAAATATGCGAGCCGTGTTAAAATTTAAAATATTGCGTTTTTCGGAATATTTATTATGTAAGATCTTATAAATTATTATTTAACAATTTTTCCAATAATTAATGAAAGTTTAATTTGCGACTTTTGAAGTAAATTAATGAATGCCAAGATCATTGAAGCTTTATTGATTAACCCTTAAAACAATGTGTTTATTAAAGTTAACCAAGATAATTCAAGAAATAATGCATTATTGTCGACCTCGTGTTTGAGATCTTTTAGTTGATTAAAAAAAGAAATTAAGTGAACTGTACCGTTCGAAGGTAAAGTTAACTCAATGGGTGTTAGTATTTGCAAATAATGACAAGGGTCTGGGAAATTCTGCGGAATAATTCAACATCTATTAGCAAATTACCGAAATAGATCGACTCATTCCATCCATAATTTAGTGTTTCACGAAAAATTTCTTGTCGTGAATCCCAATCCCACGAGGTTATTAAAGTTCAACGAAAGAACCTTTTAGATTAATATAAATAGCAGAAGTTTTCCATTAAAAATGAATAATGAATAATTAACCAAAGATCAAAAATGGCTTTTGTATTCCCAAAAATTTTAAAAATTTCTGCTTTAGCATTACTTACTTACTTGTATTTATTCTCAGACTTTGTTGTATCAGCACCTGTTGATAATTCAAAACCAAAGAAACAAAACATCATTTTCTTTGTTGGTGATGGTTTAGGTCAATCTGGTGTTACTTTAGCCAGAACTTATAGACAAATTAGAGATGAATTATCATCGAATGATTTATTAGAAATGGATAAATATCTTATTGGTACTCAAAGAACTTCATCAAATTCATCATTAATTACCGATTCTGCTGCTGCTGGTACTGCATTAGCCACAGGTTTCAAAACAATCAATGGTAGAATTTCAGTTGATCCTGAAGGTAATCCCGTAGGTGCTATTGGCGAAGCTTTGAAATTACAAGGTTATAAAATTGGTCTTGTTGTCACAACTTCAGTTTGTGATGCCACCCCTTCAGTTTGGCTTTCACATGCTCTTAACAGAGGTTCACAAGATTTAATTGCTGAACAAATGGTAGGTGAAATTCATCCATTAGGAAGAATTGCTGATATTGTTTTAGGTGGTGGTAAAGGTTGGTTTTATGGTATTGATGATGGTGGTTTTAGAGAAGATAACAGATCAATTATTGATGAAATGAATGCTAATGGTACTTGGACTTTTATTGATACAAGAGAAGAATTTGATAACTTAGATGAAGGTCGTAATGTTCAATTACCATTAATTGGTTTATTTGCTGATGATGATTATCCTTATAGAATCGATAGAGATGATTCTGTTCATCCTAACTTAGTTGAACAAACGAAAGTTGCTTTACAAGCATTATCAAATGCAACTGAAGATGAAGATCAAGGTTTTTTCATTATGATTGAATCTTCAAGAATTGATCACGCAGGTCATGCTAATGATTCACCAGCTCATGTTTTGGAAACTTTAGAATATGATGAAGCTATTAAATATGTTTATGATTGGGTTCAAAATACTACAACTGATACTATTGTTATTGCAACAGCTGATCATGAAACTGGGGGTTTGAACTTAAAAGCAAATGGTGCTGCTGAATTCGAATATATTTTAAATGCAACTCAATCAGCTGAATATTTAGTTTCAGAATTGAAAAATTTTGAAAATTCAGATAATACTGATGAATTATATGAATTCGTTAGAAGTGAAATTTTTGAAAATGGTTTAGGTTTAACTAACTATACGGATGAAGAAGTTTCAAGAATTGCTGAGATTGCAGGTAGAAATACATCTTATTCATCTACTGATGGTGTTATCCTTTCAAACATTACTTCTTCAAGAGCAGGAACTGATTGGGGATCAGTTCAACATACTTTTGTTGATGTTGGTTTATATGCATTTTCAAATGCTGAACATTTAAGACAAGCAGCTATGAATGTTAGAACTGGTTTAGCAGGTTACCATGAAAATACTGATTTCAGTGTTTTTATCAAATCTATTACTGACATCAATTTGGATGATGTTACTGAAGAGATTGCAGACATTGCTCTCGCATACTAATTTGATATTGCTTTTGCGTATTAAATTATATCTAAAAACGTTTCCTTTCGGTTTTTTGTATTGTGAATAAAAGTATATATATACCATACTATATCTTTAATTACACTTCTCTATAGTGCTCTAAGATACGTCTAAGAATTGATTGTAGAAAATATTATAGGATGTGAACCGCTTTCAATCGAATTAATGGTTTCTGTTTTGAAAAAATATAGTCTATTATAATCTATTAATCTATCTATGATTTTATATTTTGAATTGTATAATCTTTATATAACTTACCGTCACCAATCTTATAAATAAAATGAACAAACATCATTGCTAATAAAACAAAAGCTAACAACCAATTTGCCCCATTGTAGTCCTAACCCATCATACATTAGTGTAATAAATAAAAGCAGCTCCTCTGGTACTTCTTACAAATTCTTTAGTAGCTAAAGCACTCACTGCAAATTTAGCATAAGTCTCTAACACCTTCTGAATTATCTACAAAGATTTGATCTCATTGTTTATCCAATGAACATACAGTTTTAAGAGTAAGACACGTTGATAGAGGTAATAACATAAATCATTTGAAGCCAAGCCAAGAAATTTCTCTCTGGTATTGTTTGTTTAGACGCTTAATTCCTTGAACAATATAAATACAAGTTTGTCCATTTCAAAAAGATCAAAAAGCTTAATTGTTTAGGATGTAACACGTTCTCTACAGTATATATATAATGCCATTGCGATAAGTTTTAACAATTAAAGATGCAATTCTTCTTACCCTTTATCTTATTGGGTTTAGTTGTAGCTCCTCCACCACCAAGTGAAGTATTAGCTGCTAAAAGAGCAGATGTAACTTTTAACTGTCCATCAGGAGCTACACAATGTGAACATAGAATGAATAGAGTATTATTGGATGTTGATGCCAATGATCAATACTCATTGGATAAAATTTACGACGAAAATGGAAATGAACTTCCAGTTTACATTGTAAACGTCAATGGTCAACTGCCAGGGCATGTAAAACACTAGTATTTTATTGATCCAAATACTAACTTAAATTAGAGTTGCATGCAATGTAAGAAAATTTATCGTCGAAAATTACAATAATGACAGATATTTTAATAACGAAGGCTATAGTGTACTAATACGTGGTTCAGCATATAATAGAAATCAAGTATTAAGTGGCTATTCATGTGATGGTCTGGGTCTCAATAGGGATGAATATCCTTTTAATCTGGCCAATCTGATTATTGAAGATATTTCAGATATTAGTGTGCTTTGTATTCCTGAATTTGATAACCTGGTAGATGGTTGTAATTTGAATAGATTTTTTTATGGTACTGAAGCTAGAACTGCTGCTAGTTCTGATCCTAATACTTCTCAATGTGTTACTAATGATAATTCATTTTATCATGTGAATGATCCAAATTCAACTCCAAGAGATTTTCAAATTGAACAAGGTCAAAAATTTGCGGTAGTTGTTAATACTAGAAATACTAATGGTTGTAGTGCTTTTGTTTAGTTTTGGATACTAGTTGGAATTATCACGAGTTATAAATTCAACAAGATTTAGGTAGTAAAACGGGCTTGGTTTAATCAAAAGTGAATTTGTTTTTCAAAAAATCTCAGCATATTACTTTACAAGTCCTCTTTGCCTTGTAAATCTAACATCAGTAGACTTTAAACTTTCATTCATTGGTTTAAACATCGTATTCTTCACTAGATTGGCAAAAATAAGTCCGCCAATCAGCATCTTAATTTCTCTAATAGCTATATACTTTATGTAGACGCTAAGCAGTATATAATCCACTACTATGATGCGTCGTTGGGCCCTGCCATTTTGTTAAACTATCAAAATTTTAATACTTGGTAACAATTCTGAAACTGCTTATATGCAGTCTCTTCGTAGTAAACCTAAAATCTTAATTTGTGAATAAGTCTATCAATATTCGACCTTTTATTCTCAACTTTTTCTCAATGAAATGCCACATTATTTTAGAGTATACAGGTAGTAATCATTTCCAAGTAAACAAAATTTCGATGAATTAATACATCATTTAAGAAAAGGAAAAACGCTATTTTGCAAAATAATGAACATTTAAGCTTCATTTAGCAACTTTCAGTATAGCTTAATCGGTTTATTTGGCCACAAAAATATTCTGGATAGTGCTTTAGAAACATTATTTTTTGGTCTGAAATTTTTGCAAATATTTCGAAACATATTTAAAAATATACTTTTTCAAGTTCGATCACCTTAGCACAAAAATGTTTAACCCTTATTAAAGTGCAAAACTACGAAATTGGATAGTTTCATCATGTCCAAGTTTGAGCGGCAAATACGGTGTCAGATTTTTCTTAAGGTCAATTTACTCGATTTGGCCTATACTCAAGGGAATAATTTGAAATTCTCTATTTTAGTTCCGGTCATCTAGGTTCAAGTCAGTCAGTTTTCTTTGAAGGTTAATATACATAATCCGTTGTTTTATTGCAAGTTGTGGTCCTAAATTTAAAGCATACTGAATTCAAATTATGGGCCACATTTTTGTACGGTGAAAAAATGCAAAAAATCTAAGTTGTAAAAAAAGATTTTCGAAAAATAGAATTTAAAATGTGTAGAATGCATAATTTAAAGCTCTATATTTCATATAAACGGTTTAATTCTCTGCAATTTGAGATTTTCATTACATATATGCCTATATATCTTGTTTGCGATCGCCCTAAGCTAGCACGAGAAATTTTTTTGTCGCGCCAGCATTTGTCGCGTTTAAATAGAGCATAATTAAGAAACAACTTATATGCAGTTTCTTATTTATGCTATCATTGTAAACGTAATATAAAATATTCTTAGAACTACACAAATTGCTTACAATATTTTCCCGAAGTTGCAAGATGTAACTAAATGCCAAATATAACTACTCCAACTTTCACAATTTGCAAATGGTGATTTCTGAGAGCTCTAAATTCCGATTAATCATTACATTAAACCCATGATATATAAAATTCTATATAGATAACCCATTATTTCTCTTTCGGTAATGCTTCCAATATTTTCAAACAATTATTTGCTTCTCTTCCAATATCACCACCTTCTTTCAACAACCCCTTAAGATTTTTAACTAATGTTGGTTTGAAAATATCATTCATAATTTTCATTCTAGTTCCTAAATCTTCAGTTGAAATAGAATCCAAATCCGTTATTGACAAAGCACTACCACCAACAACACCAGTACCATTTTCTTGTATTTCATTAACAAATAACTTTAATGGAGAATAAGGTTGTGGGACATTATGAGGTAATAAATATTTATAACTTTGAGGATGTATAGCAACATCAATTTTAATTCCGTTATCTATTTTCTCTTCAAACATTGTCTTTTGTAGAAACTTGTTTAATATTCTTACATGCTCGATTCTTGCTTTCTTTGAATTTTCATCATTCAATGATCCATTATTATTTATTGCAAGACTTATTGATTTCTTATCCTCATTTAAATTCCACCCCATCAATATAAAATAGTTCTTGAGTATTTTATTATAATAACTTTTTATATTTGAATAATCGATCAATATCTCAAGGAATAAACTTACCGTGTTTCTCACATTTGGTTGAATATGAGTCATTGCAGAAACAATAAATAATATAATTGATCTTAAATGTAAATCAAATAATCCTGGTTGTTTAATTGCAATCTTTTTAAATAATGATACCAATTGTAATCTAACCATTCTTGAATCATCTATAATTAAAGGTAAAATAGAACTTATTATTAATTTATATTGACTTGAATTAGAAGGTAAATGAGATTCCAACTGTATTAATATTTCTTTTCTAGTATTTGAAGAATGATGTTTTAATAATGATAATTCATGTTGTAAACTATTTGAATTTATAGTTATTGATTGATTTGGTAATGATATAGTTTTTGATTTAAAAGAAGTATCAGTATAATTATCAGGTTTGGCAGCAGTTTTACCAACTTTCAATTTAGCTTTCTTAAAGTCTTTTTGTTTTTCCTTCTTCTTCTTTGAACCCATGGTTGAATATTACTACCGATGAGACTACATATATTTTTTTTTTCTGAAACAAATTTAGCAGCATAAAGTGAACCAGTCGGGAAGAAGAATTATATTATTTACATGTCATTCGATCATGGATTATTGCTGAAATTATCATTGAATGATGAACCAAAATATAATGGCTTCCAAAATATACCTACGATAATTGATGATGAAATGAATTTAGATAATGATTATGATATGTCAATTGATGATCCCATGGATATAGATGATGAAGAAGTAGAAGAAATAGAAGATGATACAATTATAGATCAGTATGAAGTTGAAGAACCAATTGAACAACAATCAGTAAAGCAAGAAGATCATGAATTAAGTTTCTTATCATTCTTTTCACCAACTATGCTAGGTGCAAAATTGGCAATTAAAAAACCATTATTATTAATGCCACCTCCATCTCCAAAACCAATAGATAAAAAACCAAAGTCTCGAAAATCTTCATTTGATTTTGAATTTGATACTAGTTCATATCAACCTATAAATAATTCAAATGATTTACAATTAACATTACTACGAAATAAATCATCATTTCAACAAACTAATTTGAATTCATTATTATCGCCACAGCTACAACAAGAAAACAAACCGGTATATGATAGTAATTCCAATTTAGGTTTAGGTTTCAGTCAATCTAATAATAATTCACATTTTGCATTTAAGCAACCAGTCATGGTTCAACATCATCACCATCATTACTACTACAATAACAATCAAAATTCATCACCAACTATCGTTGAGCCAACAGACAAAGATCAAAGCGTAATAGAAGAGAAAAACCGTGAAATTGAGTTAATTAAACAAGATATTCAAAATCATTTAAATTATGAAAATAGAGTATCTCATTACGATCATAATCATCACAATGTTATTAAGTTGCCATTACCTTGGAAATCCAATATATCTCCAATTGAAAGAATACCATATTTGATAACATCATATTTACAAGTCATTTTAAATTTCATTGCATCTTTATATTTCATATATTTAGTCTACTACCTATTTTCATCAATTAACAAGGACATTACATATAAACTAAATTTACAAAAAACAGCATTACAACTAAATATAAATCAAGCAAGAAGAGCATATTATGAAAATGGATGTGATGAACCAGAAAATTTAGTTCCATTACTACTTGCAAAATGTAAATCATTTGAGAAAATAATGTTACAAGATCCAAATAATATAGGAAATTTAAGTTTAATTAGTGCTGAAATTGTAGGACTTGTTTTAAATTCATTAATTGAACCATTAAGTGTGAAATTTTATTTATTTATGATAATTTTTATTGTTACTATATTTGGATGCAATTTCACTTTTGGATATATTAGAGCAAAAACTTACTATGGAAATGAATATCAAAGAACTCCTGAATAGCCATTATAATTTAAATCAAACACCGGTTGAAATTGGATAAAGATTCGAAAAGATTATGCAAAATGAAGTTTTAGAAGTCAGCCTCGTTTGATTATTAATAATCCATCATGAATTAATCCGAGACAGGCGAGTTCTTATTTGAATTAGTGCAATTTTTCATTAATTATCGTTTGATTGTTTAACCCCGAGAGTTATTTTGTGTCGAATAATCGTTAAGTCCAAACCATATTGGAAAACAATAGAAACGCAATGTGTGGAGATAATCGTTTATGCATGTTTGCTTTTAAAAAAAGTTACGCTTATTGTTAATTATTATATATACGTATTTAATACATAACATCATACTTTTAAATGTCCTATGCGTTTTATTGCTGTATTTTCGTTCATACTTTTTTAGATCGGATTTATCACTTTCATGATACAAAACTAATAAAACCGAGATCTGAAAATACGAGCCGATGAGGCTTGTTTTTTTTTTTTTTTTTTTTTTAATTTAATTTTATGACGTTATATTTGCAGCCAAATTTGACAATAATCCAGGTGGCTTTGATGGTTCAGCGTTTCTTTAGTTTGTCTCGAGCACTTATCTATTAAATTTATTTATACATTTGCATTTCGTAAATCATTCAATTTGTTGATCTAATTTGATCTTCTTTAGCATATATATATTCAGCCGTTTATCATGCAAAAGCTAACTAGAAATCCTGTTTCCGCTTCTGTAGTCTACTTGGGAAACTTGACGACAAGGCTCGAAGTAGTGTTGAATTGCAACTACCAAACTTTAAATTGTCGGGGTCGAACTAAACGTTTTAGGATCATTGAAATCTAATTTCTTGTTAACTCCAGTAGCTCATCTGACTTTAATTTGAACTATAATTTCATAGTAAGTATTTTACAAGAAAAGAATCTAGGGTTTTAAGATACGATTTGAATCCTCCTTGTCGCACATATCCAAAGGAAACCAAAGTTTATAATCGATAGTTTGTTATAATAAATTCACTTCGGATTTAACTATATATTACACAAAATGGAATAAAAATTTTGACAGAGATGCACTGCATATTAAAAAAAAAAAACCATGAAACTCTAAAAACATGAAAGTGATAAAAAATAAAACAATAAAAATTTAAAAAAGGACAATCATATAAAAAGCCATTATTTCGTTCATTTTCGTTCATTTTCCTTGTTATATAAATATTCAATTATATTTCCTTTTTTCCATTACTTTTGAATTTTTTTGTTTTAAGGGTTTAATCCAATCTACATATCTATTTCTAATTATCAAATAAAGATTTCCCATGGGTATATTTGGTACTTCTAAAGAAGAAGAAGAAAAATTGAAACACGTTGCTAATTCAAATAACCAACAAGGACAACGACCATTATCATCATCTCAATCATATTCATCAAATACAGATTTATCACATTATGAAACGGCTGATGAAGAATATGAAAATGAACAAGATGCATATGGTCATATAAATCCAGAAAATGAAATCATAAATCCTGATCAAGGTGGATTTGTAAATGAACAACAAAACTCAGAAATCATAAATCCAGATCAAGGTGGATTTGTAAATGAACAACAAAACTCAGATAATGATGATTCAACTATAAAAAATCAAGAAGGTGATGATTTTAATCATACTAAAAAGCACGAAGGTAAACATTCATCATCAGATTTAGATAGTGCTAATCCAAAAGAATACATCGCTTCAAATTATAACGAAAACGAAGAAAATAGGTTAAACAGACAATACACCATTGATAGAATTTCATCTCATAAATCCATTGAAGAAGCAGCAGAAGATGAAATGAGACAATTGGAAAAATCAAATTCATCAAAACATACAAATGAACGAAAAGAATTGATTGATGTTAAAGATTTGGACTGGGATAGTCCAGATGATAAATCAAATCCTCATAATTGGAGAAGATGGAAAAAATGGGTTGTAACTTATTCAGCTTCTGTTATGTGTTTATGTTGTTCATTAGGTTCTTCATTATATACAGCTGGTATATCAGAAATTGCACAGAAATTTAATGCTTCACAAGAATTATGTTTATCAGGTTTAACTTTCTATTTAATTGGTTTAGCTATTGGTCCAGCAGTTGCAGCTCCATTATCTGAAGTTTTTGGTAGAAAACCATTATATGTTTTATCATGGCCAATTGCAATGTTATTTATAATGGGTGTTGGATTAGCTAAAAATATTGAAACAATATTAGTTTTACGTTTCTTTTGTGGATTTTTTTCAAGTCCTGCTTTATCAGTTGCTGGTGGTACAATTTCAGATATATGGTCAAATGAACCAAGTCAACAATCATTAGCAGTTGCATTATTTTGTTTATGTCCATTTTTAGGTCCTGTTTTAGGGCCAATTATTGGTGGATTTGCAGCTGAATATAAAGATTGGCAATGGGCTTCATCTTGGGTTTTATTAATGTTTTTTGGAGCAATTTGGCCATTTGCTATATTATCGCCAGAAACTTATAAACCAGTTATATTAGCTAGAAGAGCTAAAAAAAGAGGCTTAAATGTTGATGCACCAAAAGTTAATTGGGAATTTATAAAGAAAATTATTAAATTTAATTTGGTTTTACCTTTGGTATTATTATTTACTGAACCAATTGTTCTCTTTTTATCATTATATATTGCATTTATATTTGCAGTTTTATTTGGATTTTTTGAAGCATTTCCAGTTATATTTAGAGGTGTTTATCGTATGGATCTTGGAATTTCAGGATTACCATTTATTGGTGTTGGTATTGGATTATGTTTAGGTGTTGTTTTATATATTGTATTAGATTGGTTAATATTCTTCCCCAAAAATCCAGATGGAACAAGAGGTAAAAGAGATGAAAATGGGAAAATTGTTTGGGATGCACCAGAAAGAAAATTATTAGTTGGACAAATTGGTTCAATTTTTTTACCAATTGCTTTATTTTGGTTAGGTTGGACTGGTAGAACACCTTCAATTCATTGGATGGCACCGACTGCAAGTGGTGTACCATTTGGTTTTGGATTAATTTTAGTTTTCTTTTCAGTTGTTTTATATTTTGCAATGAGTTTCCCTCCAATGATTGTTGCATCAACAATTGCTGCTAATAATTTATTACGTTATTTATTAGCATCTGTTTTTCCTTTGTTTACTGTTCAAATGTTTGTAAATGTTGGTATTGGTTGGGCTGCTTCAATTTTTGCATTCATTGCATTAGCTATGATTCCTGTTCCATTTTTATTTGGTTATTTTGGTCCAAAATTAAGAGCTAAATCTAAATATTCATATGTAGCTTTCTTTAAAAAGATGAAAGAAGAAAAGGCTAAAAAAATAGAACAAGAAGCTAAAGAAGGTAAAGCTGATTTACCACCTCAAACAGAAAATACTGTTTCAGAAAAAGTATAAATTTAATACCAAACATTTTTAATAGACATTTAATAGACATTAATAAGTAATACATCTAAAAAACGATTTTAAACCTAGATTTTGGTCTTGAGTTGAAAAATTTCAATCAGGACCAAGTGGTAGCATAATTCAATGAAATTTTTGAAACTTTATTGGTTCCACTAAACTTCGCAAAATAAGGGAAAAGACAATATTTTGATCTCTGATTACTATTCATCTACTCGGTCTTCTATTAGGCTTTCTTTCCTTGTGTGCAGAGTGCCTTTCAAAATTATTCGTTATCAACAACTTTTTGCGAGGGTATAAAATTGATTTTAAAAAAAATCTCACATTATCATAATTAAAGTTTGCGGGTGCCTCATCAAGATTAATACATTAATTAATAAAGAATAAATGTATCAGCAATCTCAACAATCACCACCAAACTTAAATCAACAACAAAATCAAATAAATCAAAATAATCAACAACATCCACAATATCAACAACCTAAAACTAAACAGGAATTGGAAGAACTTTCCAAAAGACAATTAGAAAAACGGAAACAAGAACAACGAAAGCATGATAGTAATAATTCATTATTACGAAGTATGAGCTCATCTGCTTCTAGTGGTGCTGGTAGTGGTTCTGCTGGTGGTGTTGCTTTTGGTACTAATAGTGCTATCACTATGGAAAGGTTTAATCAAGTTAGACAGAAATTAACTGAAGTACAAAGAAAGATTCAATTATTAGAACAAAGCAAAAAGGCAGGTAATGCAACTCAGGAACAAATTGTAATTATAGATAAAGAATTAATTGAATATAGAACAAAATTTCAACAATTTCAAAAGATTGGTATATATATGAGGAATCAATTAGTACATCAAGCAAAACAACAACAACAACAACAACAACAACAACAACAACAAGGGAATAATCAAAATGGTCAAATTAAAAATCAAAATATGCAGAATAATCAACAAAATAATCAACAATCTCAAAATCATAATATTCAACATACTCAATCTCAACCAACACCTCAACAACAACAAAACTTTACTCCAAATCAGAATAATACTCAAAGTCAACCTCAATTTTCACCTCAAATGCAACAGCAATTTTATAATCGAACTAATATGAACAATGGTAATAATAATATAACGAATAAGCAAATATATAATTCAATGACACCCCAACAACAACAACAATTTAACAAATTAACTCCTCAGCAACAACAACAATTTTTCAATAGAAATATAAATAACTTGTCAAATAATATGTCAAATAATGTCCCAAATAATGTTTCAAATAATGTTCCAAATAATGTACCAAATAATGTACCACAACAGTATAATAATCAAATGTTACAACAACAGCAACAACAATTTAGAGCTAATATGCAAAAACAATACCAACAACAACCAATCCCACCATCTTCGGCTCCTACACCAATGCAACAAATGAGACAAACTCCACAAATGATGCAAAAACAAATGCCACAAGGTATGAATTCACAAGTTACTACTCCATTTCAATCACAACCAACCCCAAGTCAACAACATGCTCAAATACCGGTCCAACAACAAAGAAAAGTACCAAGTAGACAAGCATCAGCCACTCCACAATTTAATAATAATCAACAACAACAACCACCACCACCACCAATAATGAATAGACAAGGATCAATTACATCACCATATAAATCACAACAAACTCCAATTTCTCAACAACAATCAGTTCCACCACAAACTGGAACTGCAAGTGGAACACCTGCTTCAATTCCACCGCCTCCAGGAAGTGCCAAATCTGGATCACCTGGAGTTGAAAATAAAACTCGATCTCAACAACATCAATTACAACAAAGAAGTAAATCATCAATGGCATTAAATTTAGCAGGAATTACAAAACCAAGTGTACCTTCAATACCAATATCAAGTTCCATAAATGTTAAACCTCCAACAATAACTACATTTAATCCAAATACAAATCCAAGGCCAACTTTGACTGGAGGTGCAGCAAATTCTTTAAGTGTTTTATTAGATACACCATCTATTACAAAATTACCTACATTTGATTTAGAAGGTGGTAAAACATCAGTTGAAAATGGAGGTAGAATAATGAATAAACGTAAATTACATGATTTAATAAATACAATTGGAATAGATGAAGGAGATGGTAAAACTACAATTGATGGAAATGTAGAAGAAGTTTTATTAGATTTAGCTGATGATTTTATTAATTCAGTTACTAGTTTTGCTTGTAGATTAGCCAAACATAGAAAAGTAGATTGTATTGAAGCAAAAGATGTTCAATTAAATCTTGAAAAAAATTGGAATATTAAAATACCAGGATATTCAATGGATGAAATTAGATCAACAAGAAAATACCAACCAACTCAACTGTATAATCAAAAAGTACAAGGTGTAGAGATTTCAAAAGCTGTAAATGAAGATATAAATCCTTTATAATGTTACAATACTATATATTTATATTTAATTTATATTTATTTCTTTTCTTTACTTTGTTTACGTATTTTTTTAGCCCAATTTTTAAGTTCTTTATTGTATATACCTTGTTCTATACCTTTTAAAAATCCATTATTATCTTGTAATAATTGCCATGGAGACTTTCTTAATTGATCATTTTTAATTAAACAAAAATCTATAAATTCACATAATTTTGAATCATAAGGTATTGAATTGACAGGATTGATTTTATTTGTCAATGTTGGTGCTTTTTCATTAACTATTCTTTGCAATAAATCTAATATTCCTTCTGGTCCTCTAAAACTTCTATTTGAATCAGAACCTGAAAAATCTTGTTCATCTTCATCTAACCAAACAGGTAAACCACTTGCTAATTCAATCAACATTAATCCCATTGACCAAACATCTGATTTAATTCCATATTTTAAACCTTGAATTCTTTCTGGTGACATATACATTGAAGTTCCAACAAAAGTATCTGCCATTGCTAAACTATTTGTCAATTCTCTACTTACTCCAAAATCACATAACTTAAATTCACCTTTATGAGTCATTAATACATTATTTGGTTTAATATCTCTATGTATAATTTTATGAGTTTCATATAAATAAGTTAATCCAGATAATATTGCAAAAGACAACTTCTTTAATACAATTAATGGAAATTGTCGATTATCACATAACGGTAAAATTTTATCTAAAGATCCACAATTACAATATTCCATACATATCACAATTGTATTATTATTATTTAAAAAAGCTCCATAAAACTCAATTATAAATGGTGATTGACATTCATGTAAAATTCGCAATTCTCGAATAATTTGCGTTTGTATTACTGATTTTGAATCAATGTGTATAATCTTTTTAGCCATGATTTTTTGACTAGGTAAATGTAAAATCTTTGATACCGTACCTGAATTACCTGAACCCAATTGTTTCAAAGTTATTAAATCTGCATTATTTAATTTTAAACTTGATGTAGTTGAAATTGGTGATTGATTGTCAAAATTTAAATAAACTTGTGAGGTGGTGTTCGAAGAATGTATTGGTGATGAGCTTGTTGATTTTGTTGGAGATATTGAGGATATAATAGTCTGGCGGGATTTTCGATTATGATTATTTTTTCCATGACCACCATTATTATTATTCTCTTGAGTGTTTTTTAAATTCAAATTTGACATTTGATAATTTATAGAATCATCAACATTGATCCTCTTACTTATATTCAAAGTTTTATTACTATCTGAACTTGAATTTCTATTAGTGGCAGTGGGTCGATTTATCATTTGACTTATTATATTGCCATTTGAATGTGATGGAGATATAGGTTTATCAATTATTGAATCATTCGATATTGTTGAGATTGTACATGGAGTAGATTGTGGTAGATTTAGTATTGGTGCTGCTCTTTGTCGTTTTTGTCTTAAACTTTTTGGTTCTTTAATGTATAATGAATCATCAATTAGTACTTGGTCATTATCAATTACGGAAGTAGTAGAAGCTGCCGAATCTAATGATAATTTCTTACAATTCTTACGATCTAATGACTTGCCATTCAACATTAGATTATTATTTGATTGTTGTTGATTGAAATTTATTTCAGGATTAATTTGATTTATAGGTGCTACTGGTAATTCTTTCTCTTTGAATAAAGGATCTGTTTGACTATTCCCTTTCATGATAATCTATGGTATAAAATGTCTATAATGTTATTGTCAATTGTTAATTTATTATTGTCACTGTTAATTAATCGTATTCAATTTTAATTTTTCTTTTGAAAGGAACAAAATTAAATCATAATGAATTTCAATATATAATAATAATTAACTACTAGTAAATAATAAATATTATATAAGAGATCAGATATAGAATTGATCAACGTAGAATCAGAGTGAAGTTTGGCCTACTTTATTCCCTTTTATAACATTTCTATGTGCAGCAATAATGTTGAGTCGGCGAAAATCGACGCGTTCATCAGCATTTTACCTGTTGGAAAACTATTAACTATGTACGGTCAATTCTCTACTTTCAGCAATAAAAGTTATTAAGAGTTGTTCCAGCGATTGATAAATATACATCTTTACTCTAATTAATGCAATTTTATACTCTATTGATGTTGATGTTGTTGAGTATAATAATCTTGATGTTGCTGTTGTTGTTGAATATATGGTTGATGGAGTGCTAAATTTTGGTAACTTGATTGATGTAAATGAGGTGGTGGTAAAGGTTGACTTGAATATGGTTGTGTTACAATTGGAACATAAGATTGTTGACCATAAGGTAATGTAGTACCATATTGTGGAATAGTTGAAGTAGTTATTGGATGTTGAGCAATATGTTGTTGTTGTTGAATTTGTTCTTGATATGGCAGATGTTGACTTGATGAAGTTGGACTTGATGAAATACGACTTGATTTTGTTGTTGTTGTTTTCTTCTTTTTTGATCTACAATTTGAACATACTTTATGTCGACCATAATCATTTGGATCTAGAGCTTTTGTACATCGATTACAATTACCCATTTTTTCCAAATTTGTTCTTCGTATTTTATCATTTTCTCTACATCTTTGACAAACTTTATAATTATTTGCATTACCTTTTGTCTTTCTACTAGCCAAAATTTCATTACCATTTTCATCATGAATTGGGTTATTACCACCACTTAAATTTTCAGTTACAATATTACCCTTTTCATCTTTTAATAAAATTGAAGCATCTAATGGACCAGAGCAATGTACACATTTCCCTTGAGCAGCTCGATTTGCTTTTCGAGTTCGTAAATTTTGTCTACAACTTGGACATAAAACGAATTTTCTTTCTTCAATTGGTATATCTGAACCACATCTACGACAAACACCTAATTTATCTTTTGTCTTTTTTTGCCATCTTCTTGATCTTTGACGTTGTAAATCTCTACAATGTTGGCATAATTTAAAAATTTTAGGAGTTGTCAATGATTTTGAACTACCTGAAGCATCATTAACTTTTGGAATTATAACTGGTTGATCAAATTCTTTATTACATCTTGTACAACTTGATCTGACCATTTGTTGATTTTCGTTATTCGAAATATTAGAACTTAATAAATAATTTGTAGTTGAGTTTGATTGATTTTGGTTATCACTTTCATTATTTGCCTCTTGTTTGACAAACATTTGATGTTGAACATGTAATGGAGGTATTGGTGCAACTAAATTTTTATCATTTGCAGAATTAGCATTATTATTATAACTCAAAATATCTCTATTATTTTGACTACTTTGAGTATCTCTTGAATTTGTAGTATTATTCGAATTTGAACTTTGTTGTTGTTGATCTTCATATTTAGTTTCATAACTTGTTTGTCTTAAAGGTTGAGGTGGTTGTGGTTGTAAAACATATTGATTTTGTAATGAATAGGAAGTTTGTTGTGAATTATTTGGCAAATAATTCGAATGTATAGGAAAATATGAAGTAGTTGGATGAGGAGGTATTGGTTGTCTTTGTTGTTGTAATTGATATTGAGGTAATAAACCTACACCTTGTTGCCCCAGGATTTGTTGTTGTTGTTGTTGTTGAAATCTATCATTAAATAAATGTTGTTGAGGCAAAACAGATTGTTGATGTGGTGATAATTGATGATTATTATTTGAATCTTGATGTAATAGATTTTGTTGTGAAGAAAAATTGGATATTAAAGATTGCAAAGAAGGTTGTTGAGGTAATAAATGTTGTTGACTTGGTGTTGGTTGTTGCGGTTGCAGTTGCGATTGTTGTTGAACATTCGGGTGATGCGATTGATCCAAATGTGTCTCCAAATATGGTTGATCCATTATGAATGACTTATGAATTAAATTATTTGAAGTAGTTACCGACACTTTGAATGAATTTTTAATTTAAATATAATTCTGAAATAGTGTTAATAAGTAAAAAGTTGTAATAATTGAAACTAGTAAATAAATAATGATGGTAATTACCGATTTATGTATAATGATTAAATTTGATGTACTCAAGAATAGCTTTTCAAAATAACTATGTAGAAAATGGATTAAAATCTCTGGAATGTTGGAATTAATGATTCTAGTATGATATAATTAGCTGATAACTACTTAAATATTGATCAAATTGATAGAATCTTGTTGCAAACTATTAAATCAATTGTTTCGTTTAATCAATTAAAAAAAAATATAATAGAATATTTGGTTTTTGTTTTTGTTTCAAGATTTTTTTTTTTTTTATTTTAACTCTTTCGTCAGAAATAAATATTTGAAACCAGTTGGCTGTTTTTATGAACCAGAGACTTGGTTTAATAGTTGATTTTAATGCCTACTTTTTGAAATGTAGATCTAAGATTGCACAAAAATGAAATGGAAAACTTGTAATGAATTTATATTGCTTGTGTAGTGAGAAATTTAGACCAATTTATACCGTGAGGTCTAGATGATTTGGTTGCAATTGAATGACTTTTTTTGATGGATCTGATCTTGTGGTATGTATAGATCTAATTGTTACTAACGTGGTCTTGCTTGAACGTGGTCTTGCTTGAACCTGCTTGATCTTACTTTATCTTGCTTGATCTGGTATTAGAATACTAATACGTGATTTAAATGTACAATGCTAAACGATAAGGTGGGTTTGGAAATCCACTAAATATATCAATTACAAATTGGATAGTTGAAAAATTTATTAAATCAAGTTTAAATTGATGGATATGTATTTGATTTTATATTTTCAACAGAAAGCTGAAGAGAGAAACAAAGCTATTTTTATGCTATACAGTTAATTTGATAAAATAGAATAAATTACGGTTATAAATTTAATTTTATTTTAATTTATTTTAAACAATCAAGAAACTAAAATTAATGTAAGTTGAATTAAATTAAAGTTAACCCAAGTTACATGATACATATAGACTTATGTTCTTAAAATTCTTCATTTACAATTTGCTATTCATGGTGGAATTTATTCACACTTTACTAATATTTAATCTTGTATGTTGTGCATTTATGTGTGTATATCAGGTTATTCTTGCAATAATGCAATATTTAAAAGTATCAAATTTTGAACCATTACAGTTGATGAAAATTTAACATTTCGTAAATTGCCCATAAAATACTACAAATCTTTTATCAACGATAATAGTTTTGAGTAATGATGAGTCTTTTATTATAATCACGGAAAAACCTTGTTTAATTTCAAGTTGTCTAGAGACAGTCGTTATCAGTTTTTAGTAATAAGGGAGTAAAAGAAGTAGAATAATTTAAAGATGAAATTAATATGCAATAATCAAAATATTATTAATTTCTATATAAAATGAATATTTATAAAAAAAAAAAAAACTTCGTTTATATCACTTGTTTGTCTAGTCTGTCAACATTACCTTTTAGTTGTAATCTAAAAAGATAAAAAGATAAAAAGATAAAGAATTATTATTAGTTAGTTACGAACAAGTCTCTTTTTATGATCTCAACCTTACTTCCCCGATTTATTATTTTATTATCAAATAATCCTTTTTAGTTGGTTTGTTGAAACGACTAAATTATAGTTTTTTGAAGTATTATGAACAAATCACCCATTTCAATTATTAAACTTTCTCCTCAATCTCTGTTTCCTTTCAAAGTTTGCAACTTTCATTATTTCACTTTTTTTTTGAATCATCATGTAAAATTACTTGAATCATCATGTAAAATTACTTACCTTCAAATCAAAAACCTTTTCGTGTATTGTTGATGAAGAGATGTTTACATTTACTTTTCCACAAGAATCTTGGTATCATTTCCGTTTTGGGCAATCGGTCCTTATTGTCATCAAAAAAAAAAAAAAAAAAAAAAAGTTAAAAAAAAAAAAATAAAAAAACTACTTACAATTCAAAGAAATTGTCTTCTTCTTTTGATTTTCCTTTCCATTGTTCCTAAATATTTTTTGGTGCCTGTAATCTAATATTATATTTATTATATTTATCATATTTATCATAACTCTTAGATAGAAAACCGAAATCTTGAAAAGAAACTAACCAAAATTGTAAAATATCGTTTATAAAATTAAACCATATTTTTAGAATTAGGGGGATTGCAATAAACACTTTGGCTAGAAATTTGACAGCTTAGAAATTAAAATGCCGAAATGTTAAAAAAGGAAACAAGAATTTTTTACAATATTAGACTTGCACAAAATCATCCGGGTAAGTGTTTTTCCAGAAGCCATTACTCATATTATTAATTTGTTCAAATACTATTCAATATACCTTTTTGTGCTCTTTAGGAGATTTTAGAAATGCAAATTTAGACTAAGTTTTTTAGCTATTATATAATTATTTACTAATTAATTATAAATCAAACAATTGATTAAAATAACATCATTTTATTTTAATTTTCTTGATTCGCTTCTCTATTCGTTTCCATTTTCAATTTTGTAACTTGTTTCAATTTGACTTGTTTCAATTTGACTTGTTTGTGTAATAATTTATTCTCCTCCAAATGTCAACGTCAAAAAGTTTAAAGCTAATAATCTATAAATTGTTGAGATTTTTTTCGAATTTTTATTATTTTAATTTTAGTATTGTAATTTTTGTATCGTTTGAAAATCCTGGAAATAAGATCCAGATGTTTATATTACCGCTTTGGGAATCAGGTCCTAGATTATATATTGCAAAAGTTTTTGTTTTGTTTCTATTTACTTTTTCTTTACTTTTAATCTTTTCCATCTACATTATGTAAAAATTATCATCGTCTCGTTTCTCAATTTCGCAACTTGTTTCTCAATTTCACAACTTTCGATTACACTTCAGCAGAAGTTTATTACATTAGTACGTTACTAGAGAAGCAAAAATTCTATGTAGTATAATTTATAATAGTATAATAGTTTACAGAGTGGGGCGTTAACAGTAGTTTAGTTTTAATTTTAATCTTATAATTTCTTTTCCATGGAAAATGAGATATAAAAAAAAAACAATTATGAGCGTCTAAATTTTGTAACCGATATGCATAGAATGTATTTAGCGAATTACATCCTTTAATTATTCTTTAACTTTACTACTGTGCAACCAAAAAATCAAACAATAGTGTGTGTAGTTTTATAGTTTTATATCCTTTCAGTTTTTATAACAATTTTAAAGTTTTTTAAAAGCCTATGGTCTAATCTAATGAAAGTAATGAATAATAAATGATTAATTAGATAAAATTAATCATGACAGCAATTAAATATCTCGAATCAACTCAAGAAACTCGTAAATATGTCCTATTGTAGTTTCTTTTTAGTTAATTTAATGGTTTTACGCTTCTAGGTTTGAGTACTGGAAGAGAAGGAAATAATAATTCAACTAACTAACTCCAGTGGTATTTTTTTTTCCTCCTATTAATTCATCAACTAAGATAAAATGTATCCCCTTACATTTACAACTTATGACTTTGTTGTAACATGAGCCTCCTCTACGGATTAATCTTGAATAATTGGTTTTTTTATTTAATTCATTAGTTGCCCTGCGAGTTACACCACAAACAAGAAAATCAATATTAGTGTTAAATTATCAAAACCATGCCTAAATATTTATACATTTTTATCCTACAAACCATTTTTATTCTACAAACCATTTTTAGTGCAGAAATCGTAAGTTTTACATAGGAATAACCTATTATACACCTTATTGTTCTGATTTTTTGTTGGGATCAAAATTTTTTCAGTAATTAGTATCTATTCAGTCCAGATTCTTTTGATCAGATATACTAAACTAGATTTAGAACTTGAAATGAAACGAGTTTCTGCCCAGTCGCCTTTTAATTTTTTTTAGATCTTCGTTAAGTTGTATTCCATTCTTACCGATAAATCCAAGACTTTTAAATGTAAAGGAGGGGAAGGAAACTTGAACGAATAAAATAAATTTAAATCATCAAAAGGATGTTGCAATAATCACAAAATCTAATTTCTAGAAATCTGTCAAATTGCGGAATTGCGGCCTTGACTTGTTGAATCGATAAGCTTCGATTGCCTAATGATAGGTTATGAGAAAAATCTGATAAATAATAGCAGTGGGGGAAGACAATGAAAAGAAGACATTGTTGTATGTTGACACTGTTCATCGAAGTCAAATCTTTAGCCTATTCTCTTATCAGTTGTGGAGCATTCAATTAGAATTTTGTACCTCTTGACCAAAGACTCAAAACCAACGGAAAATGATTAAAACAATAATTACTAAAATAAGATAAAGCCATTTCATTTGTAAACTACGTATTGAATCTTGAGGAGTCAATTTTGATGCCATAGACAATTTCATTTGAAAATATATTCGAATGAAAATGATAATCCCAGAATTGGAAACCCTAACATTTAAACTTTCGCAATGTTGCGCAATTGTGGTTATTCTATTATGCAAATTTCTTGACTCTCAAGTGAATCTAAATTTATTCAAATGCTCAAACATGAAAAATTTCGTTTCACTACGGTTGCTTGACAGTGGTACATATCAGTAGACCAATCTGTTCAATTTTCCGTCTTGGTCAATTCAACATGAAGCATTTGGTGTCTAACCAACGTAGAATAAATGACATCAGTCGTAAACGAATTCGTAATGGAAATAAAATATTTTTAAGTTTTAGCCTTTTCGGCATTTGAGATTTTTGTACGGGCTGTTCGATGCGTCAAAGTTGGATCGATGCGTCAAAGTTGGATCGATGCGTCAAAGTTGGTTCGATGCGTCAAAGTTGGATCGATGATGTACAGTAAATATTTTACAAAATTAAGAAGCGAAAGATCGATGATCCAACGTACCTTAGATGAGAAAACAAAGCAGAGTATAAACTGTCTTCTACCACTTACATCTAACTGGAACAATATTTGAATGAAAAAACATTGAGTAATGCTTTATTTGCAATTGTGTTTGAATACTCGAAGCTGGGTTATGAGTAATTGCTGGTTACAAAATTAATCATATGAAAATTAACCAGAAATTCTGTAGTTAGATCAATAACTTGAGCTCTGAGTGTAAAACATACATTTAGATACTATATACAAACATGATTTAAATCTCACATTAAACTGACTAACTAAACAAACAGTTGCTTGATACCTCAAGTGCTTGGGCACAAAACTTTATGATCCATATTCTATAGTCTCGTAGAACTATTATATACTGTCTGAGTCGAGTTTATGCTTGATTATTCGATATAAGTGACATTCATATTGATTGCGAACCATTTTTATACTCAATCTTCAAATTTAGCAGTGACTGCTTAATGAATCCACTATCCTCCCGAATTTAAACTTCAACCTAATTGCAACCGCTTTCCAATGCAATCAAACGCACATGGCCTTCATTTTTCATCTATAAACATTTTTTAAACCATTATACAATTAATACTTTTTTTAAATATTTCCAATTACTCTCCCACTTCCAGATTTTTAGTAATTCTTAATTTGATCCCAATCCAACTCATTTAATGTTTTTCAAATTTTCTATTATATAATATTTGTAAAACTTCTCCAGCTCTATAAGCACCTAACCCAAACAAAATTACACCTAATCCTTTTACTGATTTTTGCCACCAAAGTGGGTTTTTATGAAAATCTATCTTTCCCAGAGTTTTATCCTTGAATTGATTTGAAGTAGATAAATAAAATCCACCAATTAAACCCACCAAAGATTGTATAGTTGTACAAGATAAGCATTGTTCTGCGATTTCTTTATCACTGAAATCTCTAGGAGGTGGAGGATTAAAAATCGAAGCAATATTGGACATCAATAACTAGTATTATCTTCTCGTGATGTATTTTTCAATTTCTAAATTTTTCCACCATACATTGCCACACGACTTGAAAATTTAAACCAAGATCGAAACATGTTTAAAATCAAAGCAAGAAAATTAATAAACAGTAGGATACCATTATCACGATGTTTGAAACGTAATTATTCATATCACTATAATTATCAACAACAATATAAGCCAAGAACTTCATTTGCTCAAAAATTCTTATATACGATCGTGGGTTCAACTGTTATATCTGGTTATTGTTATTATATGTTTTGGCCAAAACATACATTTCCAAAATCAGTGGCTAAAATATTACGAAAAGGATTATGGGCAGAATCAGAGCGTGGAGAATTTGATTATCAATTAGCTTTAAAATATTATATTGAAGCATTATTACATTGTAAAGAAATTAACATGGATCCATTATCTGATGAATACACAGGTATACAATTAAAAATTGCAGAAATGTATGAAAGATTGAATATGTTATCTGATGCTGGATTTGTACTTAATGAAATTGCAACATTGTATCTTTCTGCATTGACTGCAAAAGATTCAAAATTGTCAAGAGATAGAAGAAGACATTTAATTCAAAAAGATTTAAGAATTGCTTTAAAATTAGTTGAATTAAATAAATTAAATCCTCAATTAAGTAAAGCTATTTTAATTACACATTTGATTATTGCTCAAGATGAAGTTAACAAAATGAGTAAAGGAAAAGGTTTAAATCTTGAAGAAGGAGCAAGTAGTGGTGGTACATTTAAAGCTGTTCCTGATTCCGATGCAATTATAATTAATGATGAATTAGGTAAAGAAGTGGGTAGGGTCGAAAAAACACCTGAAATATGGTATCCTTTCACTGATGAATTTTTCAATTGTATGGATTTATTATCTGCTATATGTATATCTACTGGTGATTTATCAATGGCTACAAAAATTAAAATTTCAATGTGTGAATCTATGTTATTAGCAGATATTGAACCTTTTAAAATGTTATTAAGTCAATGTAATTTAGGAGGTTTATTATATATGCAAGCTGAAGAAATAGAAGGACAAGAAATAAGAATCAAGAAAGGTAAAGAAGAAATAGATAAACCTGAATCAGAATTAGAAAAATTGGCGAAGTCAAGAGAGGTTTGCATTAATCTTGCCATAAAATCATATTCTTCAGTTCTTGAATTTGCTAAAACTATACCAAAAGATGTCATTTCTGAAAATAATGAAATTTTGGAAACTGTTGCATTGGCTACTTATGGGTTAGGTGTTATAAATTTACATTTGCAAAATTATGATAAAGCTGAAAGATTATTAAGAGAATCAAGAGTAAGGTCAAGACAATGTAATTATGGATATTTGATACCTGAAATTGAAAGAGAATTGGGTAAATTGTTTAAAGAAAGAAAGGAAGTTAAAGAAGGAAAAGATCCAAGGAGGAAGAAAGAAGTTAATGATATTGAAATGGATATACACTTGAAATAACTGTAAATTTTAAAGATGTAAATAAATATATATGCAAATCTAATTTAGTAATCTATACTATTTATACTTTCGCAATTTATTTTGAATTTAGCTCAATCAAATCTGTTGATTGTGTAATTGTCTAGCAATTTTATAATTATTCTATCAATCTATTAGTTTCTTCATCATTTGTTGTGGCTCTTTTACTAAGCAATTTTTGCAACCAATTTGGTCCATTTTGTTTTTTAACTTTATATTTCAAAATTCTTTCCAAACTTGGTGGTTCAATTTCTTCAACTACATCACTAGGTAATGGTACATTTGTATCAAACGATGATATTGAAGCAGTATCTGATTTAACAGGTTTTATAGATGGATTTGATAGTGGTTTCACACCTGTTGTTAATAAATGATCCAATTCAGGTCTCATGGTTGCTGGGTTCCTCGCCATTGAAGCAGCTGATAATTGATTAGTGTTATCTATTTCAGTAACATTAGATAATCTTCTTTCTGAAGTTGCACCATAATTTGAAATTGAATTTGATGATAAATTAGTTGAACCAGTACCATGATATGAGAATATACTTGATTTATCATCAAATACAGAACCCATTTCTTCTAATGATAATCCTTTAGTTTCTGGGAATAAATACCAAACAGCAAAAAATGAAATCATACAAGATGTAGCTGGTATTAAATATGTTTTCCATTTAATTTGATCTAATAAAATAGGCGATACTAAACCAACAATGAAATTAGATAGCCAATTTGTAGCAGTTGCCAAAGCAGCACCTTTTGATCTAACACTTAATGGTAAAATTTCAGATGGAAGTAACCAACCAATTCCACCCCATGAAAAACCAAATCCAAAATTGGCAACTATGATACTTGTTACAACTACAGCTGCAGTCCAAGTATCATTTAAATATAATGAATAACCTGCAATATACAATGGAATACCCATAACTAGTGCACCTAATTGTAATAATGGTTTTCTACCCCATGAATCAACAAGATACCAAGGTGGAATAGTAGATATAACATAAATTATTGAATTTATACCAGTCATGAAAATTGCTTGTCTTCCTATCCAACCAGCACTTTCAAAAATCATTGGAGCATAATATGAAATTAAATTTATACCATTCATTTGAGAAAATAAAAGACCAAAACAAGCAACTGATAATCTCTTAGCATACCTTTTGAATAAATATTGGTATGAACGTTCACCACCTTCAACTCTATCAATTAAAACAGATTCTTTGATATTTCTATATTCATTTTGTGCATGTTCATCTTCAACGTCTCCATCTGCATACATGTCTGCAATTACAATCATACCTTCAAGATCGTGATCATGATTTAACAACCATCTAGGTGTTTCAACAATGATATAAGTACCTAATAAAAGTAAAATTCCCATTGCTAATTGTACATATAATGGACATTTCCAAGATAAATTAGATTCAATGAATGAAAATCCATAATCTGTCCAAATTGAAGCAGCATAACCTACTATATTACCAGTAAATTCAGCACATGCAAAGAATCCTCTAGATTCACTTGGACTAATTTCTGATTGGAAAACGGGGACTATGGTAGTTAAAAATCCAATTGCGATACCACCTATAAAACGACCAGTTGATAAAATTTCAATATTTGGAGAAGTAGCTTGTATTAAAGCACCAATTACAAATATAAATGAACCATATCTAATTGTTTTTTTCCTACCTACTAAATCACCTATCCTACCAGCTATAAAACTTGAAATTAATGCGCCAATTTCTAAAATTGAAATCATAAAACCAATTGTAGCAGGGTTAGGATTATGATAATAATCTTTAAAATACTTATTAGTTATTAATGACGACATTAAACCTTGTTCAAAACCAAATAAAAATACACCAAGTGAAATGAAAATTGAAGTGAAATTCAACAAAGCATTACCAACAAGAAAACTTTCTTTAATTTGTATATGATTTAAATGACTATGATGACATGATTCAACCATAATGAATGTAAGACATAAACCTCAATTAATAATACAATTTGAAAATAAGATCAAATGGAAAGAAACGAATGGTTGTAAGTTTTTTTTTATTCTTTTTTTGTTGATAAGTTGAAAGAACAAAAAAATAAAAACTGAATATAATAATGCAACACCCCAGATTTAGAAACAAAGAATGAGATGAATTCAACTAACTTACAACATAAGTATCTAGAAAGAAACAGTTGTAAAGTAATGTTGGTGATTTAAATCTTTCTTATGTGATCTAACTAAAGTTTAAGCTTTCTATGACCTAGTTAAACCTTAATGTCCAGTGGTAAAGAACAACCAGATCTATGAAACAAAGTTAATATGCAGTACTACTTTTGATCTATACACATACGTCATTTTTCTTTTTTGTTTTTTTGCAATCAATTGAAATTTTGCAACCAAAACAAATCAGTTGGAACAATTAAAAGATCTGCACACTAAGATACAATACCTACAGCTTCAAACGGAACTGATTGGAATTAAACGAAAAATCTATTTATAAATAGTTTGAATTTTTGTTAAATTCGTCAAAAACGTAAACAAGCCCCACATAGTCAAATTTCAAGGAATGAGTCTCAAGTCTTATGAATGACCAACTAACAGATTCGTAAGTTCCAAATCACAATAATTCGTACTCCAAAAGTAAAATACTATGTTTGTAGATAAATTCACGTTTAACAATGAACCCTGCGCGCATTATACTGTAATTCAAACATCCTAGAATTAAGGTTTGACTATTAGTGAGAAGAAACGATCATAATACAACGTCTAAACGTAAATGGTGTTTAATTATGACAATGGTTCAAAACTGGTCATGAGCTGCAAGCGACATTTACTTCTGGTCATATTAAAAAATTGTGTTTTACCGTTAATCATGATTCAAAGTAGTTTAGAGCTTAAATACTAAAACTCAAGCCTAAATATCTTGCACTCTGGTATGCTGAGGGTCTATGTTTATTTTTGCATTTTCTACATTTTACAATTCTAATAATTTCGGAGTTTTCTGTTGTACCGTGAATGGCATAATATATGATAATATGTTTATACTTAAAAAGTTGCCCTAAAACTAGTCAAAACTACAAAACATATAAAGCTTCAAACGGGCAATTTAAAGTGATATACTTTATCCATGAAAATGCCCATAGTTGCAATCTTATAAGGCAATTGTTAAAAATATACTAACAAAAGAGGGGGGTTTCACGTTTTTCTTGAAAAAAAAAATATTGCACAAAAAAAATTTAATAATTAAATTGAAAAGTATATATTTAAAAATGATGCTGCTGCTGCTAATATCTAGAGAAATTTATATTCCTCCTTCAACCACAGTTGAACCAGATAAAAAAAGGCAGAAACTCAATAATTTCAATTATAATATGTCAACTAAAATGTCAACTACATCGACAAATAATTCAAACATGTCTCATAATGTTAATAGTGGAACATTTACTCCAATTACTCAAAGTAACTCTTGTGAATCAATTACCAACTTACATAAAAATCATGATATTGAAATGCTCGATGAAGATCATTTTGAAAAGAAACAAAATTATGGTCAAATGCAATCCATGAGTTATTTGAAAATTAATGATAAAGATACTACTGAATGTCCTTGTGGTTATTTACATCCAAGAGGTGCTCATGAAGATATTCATGCTGTTGGATTAGCTGAGGTTCCATTATTAAGAGGTCCAGAATAATTTAAATTTGATAATAATGAAAATATAAATGGTGGATGGTGGATGGTGTTAGTGCGTTTTTAGTAGAGATTGTTTATAGTTTGATATTGTAATAATATAATAATTAATTAGTGATATTTTAGTTTGTTATCCTTTATTATTCCGTGCAATATTGTTTATTTAGCTACATCTCGGAGTTTTTTTTATGGTGATGCCGTAGATCGAAATATTATTGAAAGAGGGGATGAGCCGAGATTTATACGAGAAACAGAACAATTATAATGAAAAACGTGCAAAACGTGCCATATACTTTTTTCTAAAACAATGGTAAAATCACTCCCTAATAATTAAAGCATAATTTTTAATCTGATTTAAAAGCTCAAATTTGATGATACAGCTTTCGATCCTTCCACGTATACGAAGAAGAAGTCATATTTTAAGTTCAAGCAATGCAGTTGAAAGATAATGAATATGCGTGATTGTAGATAAGTTCCATGTTGATACTTATATTACTCTTTAAGTATCGAAAGAACGTGGTCATAAAAAATCAGAAAAGTTTTAATATCAGCACTTTGATCCCATTGACTAAAGCTGTGATGTCAAAGTCTTATCGGAGCCAGATCTGGAGTAAATACCAACATCAAAATCAACAACGAATATTTCTTTATCTTACGCAAGCCACAATCAACTAACAACAACAAGCTTAAGATTGCTGAAACTATTTAAACATCCCGGTTGCAAAATCTGTAAATGATTTGGTTGCAAAATTACTTTGGCTGCAAAAATCCATCTCTATATAAATTTTTTTCTTACACAAAATCTGAAATCTGAACTGTAAAATCTGCAACAATTTATCCCAATTAGGAAATCCAATTAAATTTGAAAAACACGTCTTCGAAAAAAAAAAAAATACATAAAAATTTTGAAACCTAACAAATTTTATCACAAAACGAATTTACTTCAAACACTGAGCTTCGTTTCACCCAATCTTAACAAACTAAATTATTGTCGATTTTATCCACCTTTTCACTCCTTTCAAATTTATTTACTACAGAATTAAATTATAATTAATAATGTCATCACCTACTCAAACTCCAAGATCAAGAAGAAAGAGACAAAATGAAGATAGACGTCTCGATGATGATGATGTATTAATGAATGCTTCATCACCAATAGGTAATGTTCAACCATCATCTCCTATAATGGGCAGCTCACCACATCAATCACAATTACCTTCTTCTCCAGCTATACCTTTTGATGCTGTACCCGATAATGAAGATGAAATTGATTTACAACAAGACGTACAGGGTTTAAATAACAGTGATGATGAAAGTGGTGATGATTTAATGGAAAATTTGGAGAGAGATTATAGAGCAAATGCAGAACAAGATAATTATGATTTGAATGATGGAAATATTAATGATACTGAAGAATTTGAAGAAATGGATGCAGCCAGTAGAAGAAGAATTGATGAACAATTAAATAGAAGAGATGCAATTTTACAAAATGCAAACAGATCAAGAAGTGGAGCATTTTTAGATGAAGGTGTAGATGATGAAGATGATTATATGGATGGTGTTAATCAACTAGGTTTACCAATTCAAAGAAGAAGAAGAAGAGGTAATCGAGATGAAGATGATGAGAGTTTAGATGATGATGATATTGAAATTGATCCGTTTAATGAAGAATTATCATTAGAAAGTTTGAGTGATGTTAAAGCTCCAAGTATAACTGAATGGATTCTACAACCAGCTGTTTCGAGATCAATTGCAAGAGAATTAAAATCATTCTTTTTAGAATTTACTGATATGAATGGTGATTCAGTTTATGGTAATAAAATGAGAACTCTTGGTGAGGTTAATGCCGAAAGTTTAGAAGTTAGTTATAAAGATTTAGCAGATTCAAAAGCCATTTTAGCATTATTTTTAGCTACTACTCCTGCTGAAATGTTAAAAATTTTTGATATTGTTGCTATGGAAGCCGTTGAATTACATTATCCAAATTATTCACAAATTCATGAAGAAATACACGTTAGAATTATTGAATTTCCAACTTTAATGAATTTAAGAGATTTAAGAGAAGGTAATTTAAAACAATTAGTTAGAGTTTCTGGTGTTGTTACAAGAAGAACTGGTATTTTCCCACAATTGAAATATGTTAAATTTGATTGTTTAAAATGTGGTGTTGTATTAGGTCCATTTGCTCAAGAATCAAATACTGAAGTTAAAATTTCATTTTGTACAAATTGTCAATCCAAGGGTCCATTCAAACCAAATGCTGAAAAAACTTTATATAGAAATTATCAAAGAATCACATTACAAGAAGCGCCAGGAAGTGTTCCAGCTGGTAGAATTCCAAGACATAGAGAAGTTATTTTATTAAGTGATTTAGTTGATGGTGCTAAACCAGGTGAAGAAATTGAAATTGTTGGTATTTATAAAAATGATTATGATGGTGGTTTAAATGCTAGAAACGGATTCCCTGTTTTTAATACATTTATAGAAGCAAATTCTATTCGAAGAAAAGAAAATGATTCTTTGATGGGTGGAAATAATTTAAGTATGTGGACAGAAGAAGAAGAAAGAGAATTTAGAAAATTATCACAAGAAAAGGGAATAATTGATAAAATTATTTCTTCAATGGCACCTTCAATTTATGGTCATAAAGATATTAAAAGTTCAATTGCTTGTTCTTTATTTGGTGGTGTTGCCAAAAATGTAAATGGTAAATTAACAATTAGAGGTGATATTAATGTTTTATTAATGGGTGATCCAGGTACTGCAAAATCACAAATATTGAAATATGTTGAGAAAACATCAAGTAGAGCTGTTTTTGCAACTGGTCAAGGTGCTTCTGCTGTTGGTTTAACAGCTTCAGTTCGTAAAGATCCAATTACTAGAGAATGGACATTAGAAGGTGGTGCTTTAGTTTTAGCAGATAAAGGAACATGTCTTATTGATGAATTTGATAAAATGAATGACCAAGATAGAACTTCAATTCATGAAGCTATGGAACAACAAAGTATTTCAGTTTCAAAGGCTGGTATAGTTACAACTTTACATGCTAGATGTGCAATTATAGCAGCTGCTAATCCTAATGGAGGTAAATATAATTCGACATTACCATTATCACAAAATGTCAATTTAACAGAACCGATTTTATCCAGATTTGATTTACTATGTGTTGTTAGAGATTTAGTTAATCCTGAAGCAGATGAAAGATTAGCAAATTTCGTAGTTGATTCACATATGAGATCTCATTTAATTGATGAAGAAGATGATGAAGAAGAAAATAATTCAGGTTCAGATTTAGATGAAGAGGCCGTTGTTTCTTCAAGAACTGCTAAAAAGAGTCAATTACAAAAAGAAAAAGAGTCAGAAATTTCTCCAATTCCACAAGATCTCCTTATTAAATATATTCAATATGCAAGAATGAAAATTCAACCAAAATTACATCAAATGGATATGGATAAAGTTGCAAAAGTTTATGCAGATTTAAGAAAAGAAAGTTTAATAACTGGTTCATTCCCTATAACAGTTAGACATTTGGAATCTATATTGAGAATTGCTGAATCATTTGCTAAAATGAGATTGAGTGATTTTGTAAGTCAAAACGATTTGAATAGAGCTATAAAGATTAGTATTGATTCATTTGTTGGTACTCAAAAGATATCAGTTAAGAAACACTTGGAAGCTAAATTCAAGAAATATACTTTACCAACAAGACAAAGAGTATAATTTGGTGTAACGTGAAATTTAGGTGTTTGGATTTATATAGTTTCAATTCTTTGTATAATGATTAATGTATTTGCGGTAAAATTTTGAGTTACTTTTGCTCTACAACTTTATATAGAGACAGTAGACTAAACTAGAACTATAATTTAAGCTTGAACTAGTTTTTTAGGGAAAGTTATCACTTTGATTAATTATAAAATTCTGTCTATTCTCGAGGCAGCAAAATTCATGACATGCTAGGCTGCTTATGACCAAAATATACACTGAACGAGTCAAATAAAACAATATAACTTACTGCATTACACTTAATACTCTTCTTTGACAATTTTGATAATTCATTCGTATAACGTCGATAGTCAATGTCGATAATCAATCAATCTCGTCCTAATTTTTTTTTTTTTTACCAAATTTGATAACGCGATTGAAAGTAAATTAATTAACTAAATTGATGCTAAATTTAGAAGAGTAAGCCATCCCAACAATAACAACCAATGAAAATCTAATACTAACATAATTTAGTACTATTGAGAACATCAAACTATGTAAATTTATTCCTGAATCAGATGTTGAAGAATTATGTTCAAAAGTAATAGAACTACTAATTTCAGAAGCTAATATTCAATCAATAGATGCACCAGTAACGATTTGTGGAGATATACATGGTCAACTTCATGATTTATTAACATTATTTAAAACTGGTGGTGCTCTACCTCAAACTCAATATTTATTTCTTGGTGATTTTGTCGACCGTGGGTTTTATTCCCTCGAATCATTTTTATTATTATTAAGCTATAAGTTAAAATATCCAGATCGTATAACATTAATTAGAGGCAATCATGAGTCACGTCAAATTACTACAGTTTATGGATTTTATGAAGAATGTATGAGAAAATATGGAAATTTGAATGTATGGAGATATTGTTGTGAAGTTTTTGATTATTTATCATTAGGTGCTATAATAGGAAACAAAGTATTTTGTATTCACGGAGGTCTAAGTCCTGATATTTATACTATAGATCAAATTAGAATACTAGATAGAAAACAGGAAGTACCTCATGAAGGTGGAATGTGTGATTTATTATGGTCTGATCCTGATCAAGATACAAATGGTTGGTCAATAAGTCCAAGAGGTGCTGGATTTTTATTTGGGGAAAATGAAGTTAAGAAATTTCAACATTTGAATGGTATTGATTTGATTGCAAGAGCTCATCAATTAGTGATGGAAGGTTATAAGGAAATGTTCGATTCTAAATTAGTAACTGTATGGAGTGCACCTAATTATTGTTATAGATGTGGTAATGTTGCTAGTGTACTAACTATTGATGATGCATTGAATCGAGATTATAAAGTATTTGAAGCTTCAAATCAAGATGTAAATTCGATGCCTTTGAAAAAACCACCTGCTGATTATTTTATATAAGAGGAAGAAAAACGATTAGATATTTCAGTTCTTACAAATTGTATTAATTATCATTTTATATATCTTGTATTAGTTTAATATTGATTCGATGTGGAACTCAAATTTATTCTTGATAATCCGTAATTGACGTGCCATAAGTTTGAAGCACAATAACAAATTTTTGATCTTCTCTGTACTGAGGGACACGTCTTAAAAAATTTTATTAGATTGGTGTAGATATTAAATTAGCATGCATTTTTCATGCTGCTTGTTGCGAAATTTACACAATGTATATTTCAACTCCTTACCATTTCATAATTCCTCGAAGTAAGAGTTATTTGAGAGCGCAAAGCTCAAACAATATAAATTCTTAAAATTCTCGTGTTTGTATCATTGTTGAAAGCATATCAACAATTAAAGACGCGACAACAAATAAATGAAAGAACTCGGTTTTAATGCATTCTAATTTCCGGGATTATTTTGCAACTCACTTTTTCAAATTGCATAACCTCGTGTATCATAAATACAATCAGATTAGTTTGAGCATTTTCCACACTTCCCGTTCATTGCATATGATGAGAAATCTCAAAATTCCTTACAATTTTCTTGGGTAAAACTCTTGGTTTTTTACCAAGCAGAACCAAGAGTTTCTGCAAGTAGCAATATTTAGAACTAAAATACTCTAAGCTGAAATTCACCTTGAAGCTCAGCCATGTTAAAAAGTATTAAAAACTCAAAGCTCTCAATTATATGAAGCTTGTTAAAATCGATTACAAAATTTCCAATCTTAAAGATTTAGAGTTTTTTGATCGTCGCATATGTAAACTTTTGTGTAAAAAGCTTTTATGTAAAAGGACTTAAATTAAACAGGGTTCATTATCTACAATTTTTAAAATAGTATAATAATATAATAATAGAAAATGTGTACAGACACCAAGAAATAAGAAAGTTCTAGACAATCAACTATTATTTTATTTACAACGTATATTTCTTCTTTGCAAACTTTTTAATAATAACTACCAAATGTATTTTTAAGACTACATATTATCTGATAATGTTTGTTTATTTGTTTCTATTTTTATATCTTTATTTTATGGGTGGCTTGTTATACTGGGCTTTTAAATTAGTAATTTTAAATCAAAATTAGTACACCGAGATTGAATAACACTAACTAATCTATGATGTAATAAACTAAACAATTCAATGGCTTTGACAAAATTTTGAATAATTTTGATTTTTCGTCTTGAAAATTTTTAAGATGTTATACTTTTATTACCCAAAATGCATATTTATCCGAATGTTGAATCAAGATAAGCAAATTAAAATTAGTAAACAACGAGCTTAAGCCATATTTACAACTATGCTCATATTCTCCAATAGTAAGATGATATAATATGTAGTATTAGAGTTATTTGACGTGAAATTTCTACTTTTTCTCATCATCATTATCATCACCATATTTTTCTTTTCATGTTTCATAATTTTTTTTTTTTTATTTTATTATTTTTCGGTTTTGTAACCGTAAATTTTTTGCATTTAAAATTCAAATTCTAATTCAAATCTTTTACATCTGATGTACAAAAAACTAACATACAACATTAAAGAAGTATATATACAGTTACATTTCCTAAGAATTTTAAAATATTTCTCTTCATTTTCTCCCTTTCTTTGATCATTTTACTTAGCACATTTCAAACACATAATCTTGCATTTTGTTTTATTCAATAGCCTTTCGTTAATTATTTCATTCCATTCGTATATTTCGTTCTATATATAAAGTAATATTTTCATTTAATATCAGCATTTTAATATCATTAGCATTAACATCATGAACTTGCAAATATTTTTAATATTTATGATATCTTACATATCCATAGTCACATCAGAAACCACATCAAGTTCAAGTTCAAATACAAGTGGATCATCATCAACTACCGAATCCCCTACTATGGTTTGGGTAACAGGTACAGATGCACTGGGAATAACAAGAACAACTCAATCTACATATTATCAATCATTTGCATCTATGTACACATCAACCGAATCACCAGAAAGTGCATCTATAGGAATGGGTTCAATAAGTGATGCTGATGAAGTTGGAAGAATTAGATCATATGAAAGGACAACTATAACACAAACTGGTAGTGCAAATTCATATATACACAATAATTACTTATTTAGTAGAGATTTATCGGTGGTAAAATTTATAACTTTGGGATTAATCAGTTTAATTACATTCATAGTAGTTATCATATAGTGTAACATTTAATACAAGAGAACTAAGTCAGTCAGTCAGTCAGTCAGTCATTCAATCAATATAATTTTTCAATGTACACGCCAAGTAAAATTTGTAAAATACAACCCGTTAATTTGAATCGTATTCTATTTTTTTTTTTTTCATACGCGCTACCACTTCAGATAAACTTTAACTAAAATTATCAAACTAACTAGAGATGAAGGAGTATTTCACTTAGCTCATGACATTACTTTACAACAAGGGAGAATAAAAATTTTAAACTTGGATTTATCGGTATTAAACCTTAAATATTACTTTTGCTATATTTAGAAACAATCTATCGTAAAACAGTTTAATTACGTGCATTACCCTGCTGATCAAACGCAATTAAAACTTCACTCTATTTATACTTGAGAATGTATCTATTATGAGTAATAAATAGTATAGAAGTGGCTGGACCAGTTTTGATGTAGCCACAGTTAAATTTTACCTAATTGGTCTAAAAATTTCATCACTAAAAAAAAAAAAAATAAAAATAAAAGATAAACAAGATCCAAGATTTCAAGATTTGGCCTAATCTTACATATCTTCAATGTCATCAAATAATAACAATTACGATTCGACAAATGTTACGGAAACAACTCCAATTAATAAAGATCGTGAGTCAATTAAATTAGACTTGCTATCTTGTAGATCTATCACTTTAGAAAATAAGGGTTCTGTTGCAAGAGATCATATGGCTAATGAAAGAACATTTTTAGCTTGGTTAAGAACATCATTAAGTTTTATAACATTAGGTATTGGTATGACTCAATTGTTTAGATTAGAACATCCCAATTCAAAAGTGAAGACAATGAATAATGTACTTCTATTAAATGATAACGAGGATAATTTGATTAGAAAATTGGGTAAACCTTTAGGTGCTACTTTTATAATTATTGGGATTTTGACATTAATATTTGGATTCAACAGATATTTCAAAGTACAAATTTATTTAACAAAAAGTTTTTATCCTGCTACTAGATTGAGTTTGTTTATTTTAATTAGTTTAATTTTAATTTTGACTATAATTACATTGGTAATGGTTTTGAAAACTGCGACTTAATTGTATTTGGTAGTTAAATAGTGAGTGATCTATCTAAGAGCTGCGTGGGGTAAATAATAATGGATTTTTACATTATTGATATAATAAGATTAAGTGTTTGGTCAAAGGCACTTTTGGTTTTATATTAAACAGTAGTTGGTACTGGAGATAATGATTTACGAGGCTTTGAGTATGGTTGTGACTAGTGATGTAAACTGCACTACCTTAATATTACAAAACTAGCTATGTCAAATCAGTTTTGGTTCACTCGAATTACAAGTAAGAATTGTTTGGGTATTGGGCTCCAAATCTTTAGTGAATTACTTTAGTGAATTACCTCCTGGCGATCTTTAAAATATTATTAATAAGCCAGATTTGGGTTATATTTCACATATACCTTAATGAAAGTTGATTATCATGCTGCAAATTGTGTTAATTAGTCATTCTTTCATTATTTTTTCACTAACCACAAATTAACTTCAAATAAGATTGATATACAAAATATGTAGAATTAGACTTAATACATCAAAATATACACGATTACGATCAATCGTAATTTCAGTTGTATTCAATTCCGATCAAACACTTAATATCGACATTGATTTACCTAATCTTTGAATCCAGAAGTTGACCAAAATAAATCAGATCCCGCGATCGATCAAATATACATAAATATCTCAATATCAATCTAATATAGTAGTATCTAAACTTGAAACTCTGGTTCGTATTTATCTTATAAGTCATCACATGATTTAGGGCTACAACTTAATGTATGGTCGCATTATTAATTTTTTTCGTTGTATTGCCATTCGCATTTTATCAAATAGTAATAGAAAATTTTTATATAATCATATAAACCTTATTTACTAATAACTAATATATCAAAATGGTATGTACAAACAGAACTTAGCAACTTATATTGAATGAATTAGAGTACTAACGATTTATCTTATAGGGTAAAGTTCATGGTTCATTAGCTCGTGCTGGTAAAGTTAAATCACAAACTCCAAAAGTTGAAAAACAAGAAAAACCAAAAAAACCAAAAGGTAGAGCATTTATGAGATTATTATACACTAGAAGATTCGTTAATGTTACTTTAACCAATGGTAAAAGAAAAGCTAACCCACAATCTGCTTAAACAAATTAATGTCAAACTAAATCATTTGTATTTTTATATTTGTTTAATTTGGGGGTTTTAAAATGCTATATATATAATATAGTTTATTTAATATAAAAAAAAAAAACATTATATTATAACATATTGAATTGGACTCTACATTTATATTGGATTTTACATGTCTGGGTGAGAGGACAAGTTAAGATTTCAAAAACTATCAAAATTTCATAACTAGATAGGAAGTAAGTATACAGATCGATGGAAACTGATTCAATGTCAACTACAGAGTAGGTTTCATATCAATGTTGTCCATCAACTAGAAAAATTGAGGCTCCAGACCATACGGAATTTATTTAACTTGGCCATCCCAAAATGTAATATGTAGATATCACAAGCTATTCAAAGTATTACATCGAAGTTATCGTTACTTAATACTCTAACATTGTCTTTTAATCTGCTTCAAGTAGATGAGACTTTAAAAACAGATGCAAATTAATCTGAACAATAGTTAATCTTCCACAATACTAGTAAAACTTTACTCTGGTAGTCCTATCTCTATCTTTTAAGCTAGAACCTACTCATAGTTACCCCTTTCAATAGTTGAATTTATAAACAGTCTTATAATTCTCAAATTCGATTTGTTCAATTGTCATGTCAAAAATTGTTTCTACTATCGACACTATTGCCTGATACAAAATAGACGTCATTCATAACAGTCGTTTCTTAGAATGAGCTTAATCATATCCTTGCCTTGTTTTCAGATCTTTGAATAACTGTTGGAATTTTTGTTCAATATTAGCAGAATTACGGAAATTGTTGGTTTCACAACATTTGAGCTACGATTCCGAGAATTTTAAAACATGATAGAACCGAGCCTATTCACCTCAGAATTGTAATCTTAGCGTTGATTATCAAGTAACTCAGAGAAGATGTGAACGGAGGTTTGGCTATATCAAGGTGGCTGCAAAAATCAAAGAATTTGAATTCAATAAACCATAACTAACTAGCCATTTCTTTTCAGTTACTAGCATACTAATCCAATGAGAAGAACCATGATACTTGAGCATCTAGCGTTATGCGATTTGAAGCTTCCAAATCACTTTCATGAACGTAATTTTCAAATTTGCATTTTTTCAACTGCATTAGCATACCCTAAAATTATTTTTATTCGAGCTTGGAGCTCGAGTTTCATGTCAAGGAACCTTAATTACCCTATATATAATGGATTGCAAACACCATTTTCATTATCAAACTTTTTGAATCTTAAGTGAGCAATTAGCGCGAACAGTGGTACTAGGCCGTAATATCGCTTCAAGACGGTACCAGGATAAGTCAAAAATTTTGCATATGAGTTATATGCAGTCCTATCATAGTTAACCCTGAAACTTAATTTGTAAATAACTCTTTCATTGTTAATGATTTTTATCTCAAAGTTAAGTCATGGAATTGTCACTAGGAATTGACTTGATTCATACTAAAAATGGCAGATGAAAGATAATTCAGGACACTTTAAACTTCATCTAAAAAATGTGAAGGAAAAGTAAATTGCAAGATAAACAATACTTGGACCTCATTTAACAACTACAGAACAATCTGATTCGGTTTATTTTAACCTCAAATATTGTATATATGTTGGTTTCGAGAAGCCATAATTGTTTTAAAAATTTTGCAAAATTTTCAAACCACTTTGAAAAATTAATATTTCAATTTTGAATACCTAAACACAAAAGAAGTCAGAATTGATCAGCCTCAGCGTACAAGAGCTAAAAAACTGGTTTGTTTTATTACAATTTCGACACGAGTTAAATTGTGCAGTTGGAGTTTTCGTAAGATCAATTTATTTGAATCTCGCTATACTTAAGAGGAAATTACGGAAATTTTCAATTTTGGGGTAGAACTATCAAAATCAAGATTAGCACTTTAGTTTGAGGCGTAATATCTAATCACTAATTTAATCTAAAATTATGGCTCTAAATAGCACTATATAAGGACTTTTATTTTTCAGAAAATTTTTCTATAAAAAAAAAAATAGCCAAAATGACAACTCAAAAAATAAATGTTAGAAATCTGAGTGTTGAACATTTGAGCTATATAAATAATTACTCTTAAATTGTGCTATACCTCGTAAGATTTCGTGGATCATGAGATATGCATCAGTCATTTTAGGTCGGGTCGCCCTAACGTTAGCGCGAGGAAAATTCTATTGTTGCACTAAAATTGGGCGAGAATCAGATACTTGAAAAAATAACGTTGAAACAAATGACCTACATGCAGTCTCATCAAAGTCATTGCCTTGAAGTTATTTTTTGAAAGCAGAAGTATCCTCAAGTCAGTTGTCTAAATAAAAGTATACTGAAGTCAGCATTGTGAAGAAGAATGTTTCAAAATCAGTTTTAAAGAAGAAAAGAGTGTTGAAGTCAGTTTTTTTAATGAAATCCATTATGGAGCGATCTCGCGTTAGTACTCTACTTCGCATTGATATTTTTTGATGGCACTAAAATCGGGCGAATCGTTGTAATTAGGTAATTAGACAGCAAATTTTAAAGTCATTATATTCATTGTTTGTATATAACCAGATTTATTACTCAGGGATTAAAAAATATGAGTACACTCTGCTTCTAATTTCTTTAGTTTCATCATCTTCTTCAAACATAGGTGACCAATTTTGCATATCAATTTGCTCAGATTTAAAACCATACTGTTTTGCAGTTTCAAAAAACTCCAAATCTGCATGTAATAAATGTGCTCTATGAGGACTGAAAACAACTAAACATTTACCACCGTTTTTATTTATTGATTGTTGACATGCGTTTAATAATTTATGATGTTCAGTATGATTAAAAATCAAATCTGATAATATTATTAAATCAAATTTATAATTTGGATCCTTGAGTTCCAAACTTTCATAAACATCATTACCCCAGATATAACCTTTAACTTTATAAGGACTAATTTTAGTCTTCTCACACAATTTTTCAAAATTGTAAGTTATATGGCTCATTAAATCTGGATCTGGATAATCTGTACTATAAACTTCATTTGCATTATTCAATGCACAGATTAATGATGGTAAACTAGCAGCAGCACCTAATTCAAGTACATTTTTACCTTCAATTAAATCTTTATGTGAATCTAAATAGTTTGCTGTATATATACCTGCGTTCCATAACATATGACCCCATAAAGGAGATTTTCCCACCAATTTTAGTTCAATTTCTTTGGGATTAGCACCATCTATTTTCCTTTCATATTTAGCAAAATGTGATTCTGGTGGTGGTGGTCTAAAGCCATCTGGTTCTTCAAATAAATCTCCATTTAAAATATTATCTTCTTCATCGAACATATTGCAAATTTATTTTGCAACAAAAAAAAAAAAAAAAAAATTATATCAAATGTCAAATTGGTCAAAAGTATCAATTGAATTAGTACAAGATCCAAATAATTATAAACTATGGTTTAAATTAATAGAGTCAATAGAAGCAAAGAATATAAATAAAAGTTCAAATGAAGAAGAAATTGAAATTTTAAGAATAACTTATGATAAATTATTAATTCGATATCCTTACCTTTTTAAATATTGGATAAAATATGCTGAATGGGAATTTAACTTGGGAAATGCTGAAAAAGCTAATGAAATATATCAAAAAGCATTATTTCAAATGAGTTATTCAATTGACTTATGGATTGAGTTTTTAAAATTTAAAATTTTAACAATTAGTAATAATCAAATTGAAATTTTGAAATTATTTGAAAAGGCAAGATCTTTAATTGGATATCATTATTTCAGTCATGAATTTTATCAATTATATTTGGAATTTTTGAAAAATTACAACGAAGAATCAAATCAATTTATGGATAAATATTATATACTCCTACGTATTATTATTGAAATTCCATTATACAATTATGAATATTTTTTCAAAATTTGGTTCGATATTATTAAAGCAAAGCCAAGTTTGATATCAGTTAACGAGAGCTTGGACTCAAATAGTCTACGAAAATTATTTATTGATGTTTATATAACTACTCAGTTCAAATCATACGAAATATATCAATTTGAGAAAAAGATAAATCCACATAATTTTAACTTTAAATTAATTTCAAATCAACAACTTCAGAATTGGGATGCATATTTTGAGATGTTAAACTTTAAACATTATCCACTGGAGATGTTGGAGATGAATTATCATAGATATTTATACGTGTGTTTAGGTTATCCCGTGGCGTGGATAAACGTCGCAGATTTTTATATTTTTAATCACAAGTATAATAATAGTAGAAGGATATTAAAGCTAGGATATAAACTAATCGGGGATTATAAGATACTTCTCAAGTTAATAGATTTGGAAATTTTTTTAAAGCAATATCAATCTGCAAAATCATTAATTGCTGATTTTTTGAAATTTAATCAAAATGTTCCAGTTGAAATATATGAAAAGTTGATTAGTATAGAGAGGTTATTTAAATTTCATGACGATGATTATTTATTAAATTTGGTTGATAATGTAATTGATGAAAGTAAAGAAAGTTGGTTTTTTAATATATTACTAAATTTCGATATCAAAAAGGAAAAGCTAGTGAAGTTTTTGGATGACCATAAAGAATTGTACCAGAATGACAAATATTATAAAAATGTTACGAAGACATTAAATAATAAAATTGATAAGGATTATGAAGGTTATGATGTGATTATAAATAAAATTAAAATATGACAAAAACACGAATAATTTAGCCTTCTTTGTCACTCATAATTTATGACAATTAGGAATTAAAAGAGTAATCAAATTATGTGTATAGATGTAATGTATGAACGAACTTTTGAACTTTTGAATCTATTAAATTTAGGATTGATAATTCTATTTTCGTCTGGCGTATACGAAAATAATTACGAGATCTAATTTTAATTCACCACAATGATTGAATTAATGAAAGGTTTACATGAATTACCTGCTGAATTAATTAGATTAATTATATGAATAAAGCTTATCAAGTTAGTTTATTATATTATCCATATTTAAAACCAATTGCATTACAAATGATTATGCAGTGGGTGCTTATTAGTATAATAAGTGCAGAAATTGCACTCAAAGAGTTCAACATTGATATGAACAAGATTACAGATAAATATAACGAAGAAGATCAAGATGGAATATGTACATTTGATGAAAAAGAAGGATTTTTCAAAAAGAATACAATTAGATTTAAAGTATGAGTTTATGAGCTGAAGTAATTAAAAAATACAAAGTTTTTTCCAAAATTCTTAGTACAACTAATATATTTTAACATGAAACAAGATACTTATTCTTAATTAATAAAAAACCACTAGTTCGTATCATTTGGTTAAGAAAATTCTAGAATGAAAGTAATCTTAGAGATTTACAATTTGTTGAAACTTCATTCACATTAAAAATATCAGTCATTAGAAGTGAAAATTCAAATATTTGAAGAATATGATTAGGTTAAATAGTAGTGCATTACAAGCAAGACCTATAAAATTTACTGATCCAAAGTTAAATTAAGAGCATTGGGTGGTGTTAAAGATATAACGCATTAGCATAATTTAATCAACTAAAAACATTGAGAATAGTACGTAACAGAGGAATACCCTTTGCGTTCTTCAATGAAAAAAACATTATCAGGTCAATTAAGTTTATACCCTTCAATAACTAAACTGGAATTAGAAAATAAAGAATTATCGTGTTATGAACCTTTAATGAATTTGAAACTTTCAACCTATTTAAAAGTCAGCAATTCTTTATTCCCTTTCGATCTTTTTACAGATGTGAGTTAATCTTACAAATTTGCAAACTTTTATTTACAATGTGCCTGAATATTTGGTAGATGTGGCAAGAAATCACCGAATTTATGATTATTATCGTTTATCAGACAGAAGTGTAATCTTCCCAAGAAATATCAAATCATTACAAATTAACTGCATTAGATTAAAATTGAGAATATCGATTGAATTTCCTAAATTTTTTAATCATTTATGTCTTGAAATTAGTAATTTTAAAGGAGTTTTTCAGGAAAAACAATAACCATTGGATTTGAGAAAGATTAAATTTAAAGACAGAAGTTTAATGCAAGTTATAACTTAAATATATTCTCATAATCACTCGAAATTTCTGAAATTTAATCTCTTTATGAAGATCAAGCAAAATAGAAATGTGGTCTCAGCGCGTTGCCATTTCAAGCAAAATTAGTTGAAGTAAATCTAAGAGCCTTTCCAGACCATCTATCTCGGTTTACTTGTTGTTTGACTAAGTCTTGAATGTAATCTATCTATTTAAGATCTATTTTTAGATTCTCAAAAGCCGCACACGACCCTTTTTTTTTTTGGAAAAATCGCGTTCGTAAATAATTACCAAATGAATTGATATTGAAAATAATTAAGGATTTAGATAGAGAATATCATGCTTGTTTCTTATATGATAAAGTCCTGTATGTGGTTGTTGTTCCCATTTCATTGGAAGTAGTATTGGTATCAAAAAAATCAATTAACAAGACTAAACTTGATATAAAAAGACAATCTGAGTGTAAAGTTCCAAATTTAGACCTTAAAAGCTCATTTGAAACATTATTGGATAATAAATCTGTAAATATAGCATTATTCAAGTCAACTAGTTCATTAACGTGATTTGAAGATACAGATATATTTCAAGAATATTAATCAACACAATTTTTTCAAACAACGATTTGAAATATATAGATATAATTAACAAGATCGGATATATGCATTTTGCTTTGTCAGATTCTAAATATGCTAGGTTTTAAGACTTACAACTAATCTCAACTCCATATTCATTACACATATCATTTTTATATCAAGAAGAATTTTTGTTCCTTGAAAATGCATCTGCTGTGCAAATTCTGGATGCAAATATACTCACAATCTTGTTACCTTCAATTAATAGTAGTGTTAATGATTTAAGAATTGGAATTAAAGATTGTGTTGAAAGTATTAATCATGCTTTAGAATTTTTTCCAAATATAACTAATCTTGACATCTATTTTTGGCTGCCAATACCACCTGGTATAAACTCACAGTCATCAGCAGCCATTACACTATCGCGTTTACATCATTATCACATGGTTTCCTACAACCAATTTAAGAAATTTTTCAATTTGAGAATTTTATATGTTGTCCATTCCGACTTTCTTCATGATTTATTTAAGAACTCAAACGATTTGATTAATTTACAAGTCTTTCAATTTTATTTACCTAAAACTTTTATGTCTACAAAATACAAGTATTTTGTACCTTGATAATATGCTTCACTTTCCGTATGGTCTACAAACTGTAGATATTTATTGTCATGATATTATGATGGATATTTCTACTAACTTTAATGTCATTATTGATGCTACGGCTGCACTAAGATTTCCGAAATCAATGAAAAAGTTTCACGTCAAAGCATTTAACTTCAATAATGGTGGTTTAATTTTAATGACATGCAAGTATTAACTCGCTATCGATCACGAAATTAGAGATGAAGTAATTGCATACAAGATCTCGTGAAATGAGTTCAAATAGGTAAATAAATATCATGATCATCGTACATTAATTCAACTCTATTTTAAATACAAATTCACCCCCGTAATTGCTAAATACCAAATAATTAAAAATGCACCAATCTTTTTATCAAATCTCCACAGATTAAACAACAAATAAATGATAATCAATATAATAGTAAGAATCAAACTCATTGTATCAATGATTAAATTTGAAGTAAGATTAAATTTAATCTCTGATTGACAATTTACTAATAATACAATTAACCCATTCAAGCCAATACCTAGTAAAATAATCAATAGTGGTGTTCCCAAACATGAATTTATACCTAATATAGGATTAATTTTAGTACTTAATGTTATATTTGTAATTAAATCGTTTATGGAATTTGAAATTGCAAAAATTAATAAACCTAATAAATAATCTGAAATTTTCCATAAAAAGCCTAAGTTCTTTAAGATCTGTAGTATTAATATTGATATGTTTGATATTAATATTAGACTTGCAACTATGCCTATCAATGAAACTGAAATGATTTTGAAATTTCGTGGTAAGTAATATTTAATAATAAATTGATACAACACTGTAGATATTAAAATGAATGGAAGTAATTTAACCAATGGAAATTGAAAAAATTGATAGTTTAAAAGTATTGGTATTCCTACATTAAACCATACTACCAACATTTGATGATATTTGTTCAAGTAGCTATTTTCTTCATATACTGGAATTAACAATAAGAAAGCAACGTCAATAAAATTAAAAAATATCTCAATTAGATTTAAAATCGTCAATGGTTTACCCGGTTCATTTTCTTCTTCATTTATACTTACCGATGGACTTAATTGTTTTAATGATGGTGATGGTGATCTTGAAATACTTCCATAACTTACCAATTCATCATTACTCAATACATTCAATGCATCCTCTATGTTGTAAAGATGTTCATGTTCTCTCTCATCATGTGTTCTTCTTGGTTTTGGTACAATTTCTTCATCTTCACAATGCTCAATTATTATTTCCTGGTCTAATACTTTTAATTTCTCTTTCTCTTTATCATATAAATTCAAAAATAGGATATATATCAAATACATACCACACATGATTCCACATTCCACAATTGTGATTTTCCCATCTGATAAAATATAAAAAAATAAACTTAAAACAACTAAAACCCAAATCAAATCAATCAATATTAAATTTGGTGGTCTAATTTCAATCTTTCCAATAATTAAACATATCAAACCAATTATAATCGTAAACATAATTAATAAGCTACCTATTAATTGACCAAGTACAAGATCTACATTATTTGAACTTAATACAATATGATAATTAATCAAATCGGGGAGTGAATTAGTTAATGGAACTAATATGAAACTTAAAATTTGATGACTTAAATTTATTTTCAAACATATGCAATTTAAATTTTTGAATAAATAATTTGAAACTAATAAACTTAACGAAATTAATAAAATGATAATACAAAATACAATTAAAATGGAATAAAAAATTAAAGTAAATAAATTAGAATTGAAATGACAATAATAAAATTTTGAAATAAAGTAATAATTTGAACAATTACTGATTATTGATGAACATATATCATGGCCGTTCGTGATATTACATTGTTGAAAATCTTGATCATGAAGTATACTGATACCCAGAATGGGTAGTATAAATAAATAAAATAGCAATATATAGTTAAACATGTAAATAAATAGTTATTCTTCCAGTGTTATATCATTATTATTGGGTATTTGGTGATATCCTTATCTTTTTAAATGTTTGATTGATAGCAATTTTATACTTTCGATTTAAATCGCACAAGATCTAAAAATTTCATTTTAAATTGGTGCTACCAGTTGTATTTTGGCTGCAAAATCATGGAATAAATGGGTCTAAAAATAGATAACTGATCAAAAACTAGAGGTAACGCCTACAAGATGGCTTATACTTTACATGCTGAGATTATACTTGTTTTTGACTCATACAAGCTGTCAGGGTTGACATTTGACATAAGATCATCAGATCAACAATAAAAAGTTTATTCACAGCCTGGTTATTTATTATAATAATTGTATGCATAAATTCAACAGATACAAAAAGAAACACCTAACATAATTATACAGATAACGAAGTATTTTTAAATGAACAATCATCTGACCGATTATTATCAATTTCATAGATTTGGATTCTGTTTCAGATCTAATCCAAGAAAATCAGAAATTAAGAAAATTAATATACGAGTTTGTAAAAAGCTTAACGATTCTACAGATGTAACATTGCAGAACTATTAAAAACTACTTTATCAAATGGTCCTACTGTTGCATAATTCCCGACAACTTAGTAAAGATATATAGATGATTCCTTTTAATTTAAGAAATTTTAGATCCAAAAAAAATGATAATCGATTTGCTAAACATTTTGGTCAAATAGATTAGATAAATTTATTATCGATTTGTTAAATATCCCAGTCAAAAAGAGTAAAAGAATGCATCAGAATCATCGTCTCCATGTAAAAGTCTCAGCTAATTTTAGTCAATTATTGAAAGGAAAGGATTACTTCATGAACAATTGATTAATTTGGTAGTAGTAAGTTTAACTTGACACGACTCTTCGCTGCCCTTAAAATTACAGAGAATAGTAGAAGATGGATTAGCTAGACCTTTGTTAAACTCTGTTTAATTGACTCTTGCCAAAGTTTTCAAAATATATACCATGCGCTTTTTATTAGAATTTCATTAATTAAATCTATTAAAATGTTCTATTCTATCTACAATAATATCTTACTCTAATTCATCTTTAAACTTTTTATAATTTGGTTTTTCCAAAATATATTTTGAAATTTCAATATCTTTATTTATATCATTAATTAATGCTTCTTTTGTAGTATAGTTCAATTCAGGTCTAACATATCCCAATAATATAAACTCAATTTCACAACCATAAAATAACTTACATTTATTAAACTCATTTATTATATGAACTTCAGCAGCTTTTGATCTATTTTTATAAAATGGATTCCAACCAATTGACATAACCATAGGTAGAACTTTTAGATCATTAGAATTTAAAAACTTACCATAATTGAAAATGATATGTTTACCAGTAACTGTTTCTTCTTCTGTTTCATTTTTGCTTGTATTTGGTTTTAATTTACACCATCCGTAATATATTCCACATTCCAAATTATTCAATTCTGGAGTTATTGGGATATTAGCAGTTGGTATACCTAATTCAGAAGATCCTCTACCAAAACCAGATATTATAGTTGCATTTTGTTTAATTGGATATGGTGGTGATTGTGGTGAATCATATATTATAGTTTCTGGTCTTGTCATGAAATATTAGTAAGTAATGATTTGATTTTGATAAGAGAAAAAAAGTGTTGATAAAATAATTTTTCAACTTTACTAATAAATTAATAGAGTACAAAAGAACAAGTATTTACTATCAAGACAAAATTGTATATTGTTGACCAAATTAATTAGTTTAGAATTTTTTTTCCAATTGTTCTAATAAAGTAGCAGCATCTTTACCAAATGATCTAATACCTTGAGCTAATTTTTCAGTTGCCATGGCATCTTCATTTAAAGCTAATCTAAATTTAGCTTCATCATTAATAAATGAAACTTTATCAATTGATTCAGATTTAGCTTTTGATGCATCCAATTGTTTTGGAACTTCTTCAGTTGAATTATATAATTCTTCTAATAATTTTGGTGAAACAGTTAAGAAATCACAACCAGCTAAAGCTTTAATTTCACCGGTATTTCTAAATGAAGCACCCATAACAATTGTTTTATAATCATATTTCTTGTAGTAATTGAAAATTTCTTTAACAGATTTAACACCAGGATCAGTTTCAGCAGTATATGATTCACCAGTCGCATTTTTATACCAATCTAAAATTCTACCAACAAATGGAGAAATTAAAGTAACTTTAGCTTCAGCACATGCAACAGCTTGTGCAAATGAAAATAATAAAGTTAAATTACAATGAATATCATGTTTTTCTTCTAATTCTTTAGCAGCTTGAATACCTTCCCAAGTTGAAGCAATTTTAATTAAAATTCTTTCTTTTTTAATACCTTGAGATTCATATAATTTAATTAAACTTATAGCTTTATCAATTGTAGCTTGTTTATTAAATGATAATCTAGCATCAACTTCTGTTGAAACTCTACCAGGAACAATTTTTAAAATTTCTTTACCAAATTCAATTAATAATCTATCTAAAGCAATATTTGCCAATTCTGATGGATCTTTTGATGAACCTTGTTTTTTAGCATAATCAACAGCGACATCAATTAATGAAGCGTAATCTGGATTTTTAGTAGCAGCTAAAATCAAAGATGGATTTGTAGTAGCATCTTGTGGTTTATATTTAGCAATTTGTTCAAATTCACCGGTATCAGTAACAATTGTAGTACCAGTTGATTTTAATTGTTCTAATGAGTTTGATGACATTGTTACTAAAACTAATCTATAATAAAATATTGATCAATTGAATTATAAAAGAAAGAAAAGTAGAGAAGAATAAAAATCCGAAAATCTAAGGAGTGGAAATTATTCTTCATTTATATATTCACTGTTAAATTTATTAGTGTAAATTAGCCCAATTTACATTCCACCCAATAAATTGTTATAAACGAAATAGTGATGACGGAGTACAAGGAATGGGATTACTATTACTATTATATTACTATTATATAGCGCTATTAATAATTTATTACTATATAATCGCTTCCAGACTTTTCCATTTATTATATACATCAGATGTAAATCTGAAACTTCTTATTAAACATATTATACTGTCTTATTAAACAAATAATACTGTCTCATTAAACAAATAATACTGTCTTATTAAATATGTTGTAAAATATTAGAATTGGACGAGATTTACGTAATTTTAAAAAATCTATAATGGTTGCAATTGCTATTGTTTAACCATGAGCAACTACTAAATACCCCTTAAGAAGTGTTCCTTTAACATTTGTTGTTTGGGTCTGTTCACAATTGAGTAGAACTGTTAGAGCATAATAATTTTGTTTATTTTATATTTGTACGCTATACACGTTTCTGTTTATTACTTTTCTTTTTTTCTTTTGCCATCAAAAGTAATTGTGAAACTGAAACGTTGAAAAATAAAAAAAGTTGGTCATAAATTTTGTTGATAATTTTTCAGACATGGCGTGTTAAATAATCAATAATGCCGCACACCTCGATTTGGCAATTATGTTAGATTTTGTAACTTAAAACTGAGAATTAGTGTAACATTAATGTAACATTAATGCAAATCCTCTACTTTAACCCCCACCCCCACCCCCAAAGTTTATAATAAACAAGAGATTGAATGGAGGTAGGTATATTGGAGGTATATTCCTCGAGTAATCAATATTATTTGTCAATAACTAGATGTGAAAGAAGTTTAAGTCATAGACTTTTGTCGTCGTATTGATTCCATAGGGGTATAAATGAAATGGTCTAGGAAAAGTAGTGTACTTGATGAGAATTGATTTACTATTTAACAATCTAGCAACTAAATGTTAACTAAATTTCCACTTTTTTACCACACATTTATCAATACATCAACTTTACCAATGTCAATCATCAAAAGGTTATTCATTAAGGTTAGTAATTCATATGATTCAAATTTCCAAATAGTACCAGTTAATACTGAGCAGCCAATTGAAATCAAATCTGATATTGGTGTTTTTAAATTAATTGTAAATATCAAGAAATTTGATGGTGCTAAACCACATTTAAGTAATTCATTATACAATATTGGTGATAAAAAGTTTCTTAATAATGAATCAATTGATTATACACCAAAAGAAATCACCAATTGTCAAACAACTCCAAATTTAAGAATTAATATTGAATATACTCCAAATCAAGATATAAAAGGTGGCGAATTATTATTTGGAAATGATTTTACATATCCAATAAAAGATTATGTACCAACTACATTATTATCCACAGGTTTAAAATTATTTAATTGGTTTATAAATAATACTGTAAAAGGAGATATATATAATGAAAAACCATTTTTGTATGGATTAGCTTTAAATAGTTTTACATACTTAGGTATAAATGAATCAAAACCCGAATTAGTATCAGATTCAAAAAAAGGTGATGAACCAGTTAATTCAAAAGAAAATTTAAATTTACAAAATGAAAATATTCCAACTGATTCAATTCAAAGAAAGAAATATTTCAATACTGTTGAAAAATGTAATGATGAATTTAATTTTAAAAAAGATCAACATTATAATTTACAATTTGATACTGATTTTTTAAAATTGGGTGATTCAAAATATTCTGTTGCAATACCTACATTTGATATAGATGTTGGTAATTACGCAAATGAAACTTTAAATAATGTAAATTGGGTAGTTAAAAAGAATGGTTATGATGGTGTAGGTCAAGGAGAATTGGGTTTAATTATAAATTTTGCTTTATTAGATGAAGAAAAAGAGGATACAGAATAGAGTTAGATTAGATTACGAATATATACTTATTTATTAGACTTGTATTGGTTCTCTTCTATTCTATTCTTTTTGTTTTTTAGTTGTATGTTTCATAATTTTGCATCCATTTGTTTCGCATTTCGTTACCAAAACAAAAATAAAAAGATTAAAATATTAAATATTTAGTTATCTATAAGGCACAATTTATGATATAAAACAAGAGGATTAGTTTAATTGTTTGATTATGAGTCAAGAAGATGATCCAATAATAGATAATAATAATAATCTACTAAACAACCAGAATGAGAAAGCAAATTCAAATCAACATTTACCACGGCCATCATCACAACAAGAACATCAACAAGATTCGGACTTGGATTTAGAAGATGCTATAGGAGATGTGTTTAATCAATTTAATTTTGAAGGCAATAATGAAAATACTGAAATACGACATCATCAACAAAATCAAGATAAAGATCAAGAAAAATTATCACAACAACTACTATCCAGTGAGATACGACATACTTCCGATAATAAACATTCAGATGATATGAATAATGCTATAGATGATACATTCAATGATATTTTTCAAACTAATCAACAACATTCACAAAATCAAGATTTTTCACCTCACGGTCAAAATCAAAATATTCATAATAATGCAAATGATGATAATATGGATTTAAATAATGCTATAGGTGATGCATTTGATGGTATGTTTCATGAGGAAAGTGATCGACCACGAGAGAGTGAATACGCAAATACTGATCCAAATCAGGATTCAGAAAAGAATAAGGATGATGATGATTTGAGTAATGCAATAGGTGACGTGTTTGATAATATGTTCAATAGTGATCGCCAAACTCACCTGGAACTGAATCTACGGAAACAAACAGAAGATGAAGCAAATTCGAGGAAGAATCATAATTTACCACCGCCTGAAAAGAATAACGTACAGAATGATACAGAAGAAGAGAGTCTAGATGACGTTATTGGAAATGCATTTGATAGTATGTTTAGTGGTAACGAAAATACAAAACCGAGTGAGAGTAATCAACAAGCAGATGATAAAGAAAATCTATCGAGTCAAGATAAAGATACAATTGCTCTAAATCAACAACAGCTGTCTGACAATCATCAAATATTAGCTAACAAAGATGAGGACAATTTGGATGATGCTATAGAAATTGCCTTTGATAATGTTTTTGAGCAACAAAAGCAATCCAATGACCTGGAAAAATCAACAACTGAAAATAATGCAACTACAAATGAAGCTAGAGACAAAAATGATGCAAAAGAAACAATTAATAGGAGCGATGATTCTAAAAGCAGTGATGAGGATAATCTAGATGTTGCCATTGGTGATGCATTTAATAATAGTTTTGAAAATAACAATAAATCAGCTGAAAAATTAAGTACTTTAAATGAAAAAGGTTCAAGTAAACTGATACGTAATACTAGTAACGAGATAGAAGCAGATAAGCAAGAGGAAAACTTGGACCATGCTATTGGAGATGCATTTAGTAACATATTTGAGGCTCAAAATCAAAATCAAAATCAAGAAGGAAATCAACTACCTATAGAGAATACGGAAACAACATCAACTTCAAACAAAGGTGACAGTGTTTCCAATGTTAATAAGGACGATTTGGCTCATATAGCAGATGAATCTAATAAAACTGTTACAAATATAAATCATGAAAACACATCAATTCAATCATCGACAACATCAAATACATTACAAATCAGAGATAGTAACAACAATAACGACGACAAACCGGAAGAAAGTTTGGAAGATGCAATTGGAGATGCTTTTAGTAATATTTTTGCTAATGAAAACACATCCAAACATTCCACATCATCAAATGATTCATCAAGACAAACTAATGATAAAAATACATCAAAAGATAAAGATAATGATAAACAAGAAAATTTGGATTATGCCACTATATTTAGTCGGCAAAATCAACAATATCTCAAAGAAAAACCACCAATAACCAATGTACTTGAGCATATACCAAAATCAATTAAGGCAGTTCCAAATGCTAAATCAAATGTTAAATCCACTCTGCAAGATGAATTCATAGATCCTGAATTAAGTAATTTAATGTCTGAGAGGTCATCCATAAGTTTAACTAAACAAAATAAAAACAAAGCTACTGTTCCTAAACCTTCAACTACTATAGAAGAGCAATCAATTGATGATGAATTGAATAATGCAATTGGTGATGCTTTTAAAGATATGTTTGGAAAATCTAACATTGCACAACCTGACTCAAGTCCTAAGACAACTACTGCTCAACCTAGTGCAGCTCAAGATTCAAACAATTTAGATGATGATTTAGAAAATGCAATAGGTAGTGCATTTAGTGGAATTTTTGGAAATCAAAATAAACAAGCACCTCCTAAACCTCAACCTCAACAATCTTTTGATAAAGTAACTGGTTCACTGAAAGAAGTAGATGATGGTGACTTAGATTCAGCACCTGTCTCAGCAATCAAGGATATTTTAGGTGTTTCTAAACCAAATGATAAAGTTGAAGAAGATGATTTAGATGATGTAATTGGTAATGCATTTAATAATATTCTACAACATGAAAAAGAATGGAAAAAAGTTTCATCAACTCGTAAAGATTCATTAGTTGGAGATGATGAATTAAATGAAATTGTTTCACAATCATTTCAACAAATTTTCCAATCTCAACCACAACAACAATCATTACCAAAGGAAGAATTAGATGAAATGGAAGATGCAATAAGTCAAGCATTTAAATCAGTAATGAATAATCAAAGAAAACCATCAGAAGCAGTACAAAATTTAGTTTCCCAAATACCTCCAACTATACCGAATAAAGAAAATTATGTTAAAAAATTAGCTGTTGAAATATCACATCAAGTGCAGGATCATTTGAAACATGATAGAAATAGATTATCTCAACAACAACCATTTATATCTGGATTACCAAGACTAGATGAAAGTATATTAGCACATTTTGAAACAAAAGACACTGGTTCAAACTCTAATGTTGCAGATTTAGAACAATTACAAATGAATGATATTTTACAAAATGCATTTAAAATGGCTATTGAACGTCCAAATGAATTACTTTCAGATTTGGAAATTGAAGAAGAAATACCTAAAGAAATTTCAAAACCAATTTTTAGACCATCAATAAGAAAACTTGAATCTCCAATAATTGAAGAACCTAAAACTCGACCAAGTTTACTCTCAAATCCTGCAGTTACTTCACAATTATCATCAGTTATAAGTTCATTAACTTCAAGAATTAATTCTGGTGAATTATCAAATGCAAATATTTTATCAGTGATTAGACAGATGACTGAGGAGTTATCAAGTGGGAGAAGTTTAACTTTAACATCTTCATTTTTAAAAAAACCAATTAATGTAGATACTATAATTGAATCATATAAGGCTGAAAACTTACTTAAAATTATAAATATTTTAAAATATTCAATTAAATATCTCCAAATTGTAAGTTCAATAGATGGTGATAATGCAATAAATATAATACGAAGTATAATTAGAAAATTTGATCCAATGAATGAAAATGAAGAAATTGTAAGTCTTGAAATTGGTCAAATTGGAGAAATTACAAAACTTTTTAATTTTACAATGAGTTTAATTGTGAAATATTCATCGGGGAATAGATTTAGTCCAAGTACTTTATTATCAATTGAGAAGATTAAATTAAATGGTCCAAGAATCAACTCATCTAACAATTCTACAAATTCACAAATTCAAAATCAAATATCTCAAAATCTGGATACGAAAAAATTGGTAACTGATTTATACAATTTATTTTCTGGATCTTTATCATTAGATAATTCATTGTCAATGGTTATATCCACAGCAATTACAATTTCATTTGGAATATATTCAATAAAGACACCAGAATCATCAATTGAAGATTCAATCAAGGGCTTAGAAATTATTTTGATTTCAATTTTTGAGTCAACTCCAGGTATGACAAATTATAAAGATGCATCACCATTAAATAAAGATAAATTACAACAATTGTTATTATCTACAAATAAGAGGAAAAATGAAAATATTGATGGAAATGAATATAAACGAAGATTTATTTCAACTGCAACTGATACTGAATTAAATTATTTAAATCTTAAAATGAAAATGCCAAGTTATAAACGAAATTCAATCATAAATGATAAAACAATTACTCAAGCAAATAACGTTAAAACGAGTTTGAAATTACCAAGAAATTCACCATTTTTATCAAATAAAATCAAATCAACAACTCCTAGTCCTTCTACTGTTTCAGTCTCAGCAAATTTGAAAAAACCAGGTAGTTTCCAAAAACCGACTAGTTTTCAAAAACCAAATGCAACTGGTGAAAAACATAAGGCTTCAAGTTTGGGATTTCCAAAATTATTTTCTACTTCACATTAAATAAAGATTAAAATATACGTCCTTTTGAATATAAATAATAGTTGAATCTGACGCCATCTAATTGCTTGGGATTCTTGGTTATTGTAATATGAATTTTGCAGTTAAACATCTGTACAAAATAATCAATTTTAGCGCGATTTATTAAGATACGAGATTTGACATAAAAAGTAAATTATAACGAGAATGCGAATAAAAAAAATTAAGAAAAGCCCCTCAATTTTGCTGAATTCAATCAACTGCTATACACTCGGTTGTTATATCTAAAACATATCGTTCTTGGTATCATTCTAACGAGAACTTCTCGATGAATTTAAATATGACACTTGGAAAGTTGCATTTTTTATTCTTCTTAACAAAGCCTAGTATTAGAACAAATCTGACCACTAAAAGAGCGTAAGTTTATCGCAAATTAATCTCATCTCTAGTGTATATTTTCTACATTTATATCTATAACGGTTTTGTTTCATTGATCAACCAGTCATAAGCTCTTTTATCCCCAATTTCCAATAATTTATCACCAAATTCATTCTTTATATTTTCATGATAATTATTTATCCATTGAATTTCAACATTACTCAAATAATTCAAATCAATTAATTTCTTGCAATATGGAATCTTTGTCAAATAATTAAAACCTAAAAATTTTGCACCATTTTTAGTTCTTCCACCATCTTCAACTTCAATTATTTCCAATTCAGATTCAACTCTAAATCCAACTTCACCATCAATATAATATCCAGGTTCATCTGTAACAATAGCTCCAGGTTTAAATAAATCTAAATCTTTAACACTTGGTTGAGTAGGAATATACAATGGTCCTTCGTGTATAGTACCAAAATGTCCAACTCCATGACCAGTACCATGATTAAAATCTAATCCTTGATTCCATAATGGTTGTCTAGCATAAGAATCTAAAATAAATGGAGTGTTTTTTGAATTTGGTGGGAATTTAGCCATTGCAACAGATATATGTCCTTTTAATACCAAAGTGTAATACTTTTTATAATTTGAAGGAATTGTACTGTCTCCAAATTTGAAGGTTCTTGTGATATCGGTAGTGCCTTCTAAAAAATGACATCCAGAATCTATTAAATATATTCTATTTGGATCTATAATTGAATTTTCTTCCGGTGACGGTGAATAATGTATAATTGAAGCATTTGCACCTGTTGATGAAATTGTATCATAACTTAATCCTTTAAAATTAGGTAATCTGGATCTAATTTTGTAAATTTTTAAAGCTGCATCCCATTCATTAAGTACTTTTTTCTTGTTAATTAGTTGATCTTCCAACCAAGCAATGAATATAATATATGCAAATGAATCTTTATATTGTGCAATTTTGGTATTGAATAACTCAGTTTCATTTTTGAATACTTTAATATTAGCAATAATTGATTCATGTAAAATATTATCAAGTCTAAATTTGTCACGAATGATATTATATAATGCATAATTTGTAAAAGCTTTACTTGGTAAGGTAATATTATCTTTTAATTTCAATTTATACAAATCATCATAAAAACTTGTATAATCCACAATTATAAGATTTTTAATTGAATGTAAATATTTGTTTAATTCTTCATCTTCTTTATTTAATTTCCTCTTGTCTATATATAATGTGACATTATCCTCACTTACAATAGCGTAAGCATAAAATACAGGAGTAAAAAGTACATCTTGATCTGATCTCAAATTAAATAACCAAGCAATTGAATCTAATTCACTTACGATATAATATTTTGAATTTGAATCCTTTAATTTTTGTCTAATTTCTTTCAATTTACCATTTGTATGTTTTCCACTATACTTTAAATCATAATAATACACAGGATCCAATGATCTAATTGGTTTTTCAATTGTATCGTTCTCCCAAACTAAGTCAACAAGGTTGGTAAATTCTGGCTTAAACTTGAAATTTGAGTGTAAACTTTCTTTCCTAAAATAATCACCTATCTCAATTGAGATCAAACGTGGGTCTACTGAAATAGTGGAACTAAACTTATTTTTGACTGCTTGGTTTACAATATATTTATTCCATGGAGGTTGACCAATATTTCCTTGTTTTAAAATTTTCCATACCCTGAGATCCAATTGTTTTTCAGCTTGTAAAAAATATCTACCATCAGTAGATAAAAGAGCTTCACCAGATAATTTAGATGCATCTTCTAATGTAATGATTGCAATTCCTGCACTTCCTGTAAATCCACTAATATATTCTCTTCTTTTTTCACTTAAAGAAGTATATTCACTAATATGTTCATCTGATGATGGAATTATATAAGTTCCAATATTATATTCTTTCATCGATTTACGTAATTGATATAGTTTTTCACTTGCTGAGTAGCCAGATTGAATAGTTGGTTGTATAGGATAGTTGATTTCTTCTTCATCATCTTCCGAATCATAATCACAATATTTAGGACTGGATTTTGTAAATTTTGGTAAACAAGTTTGAAAAATATTTAATGATTTAAAGATTTGATAATTAGAAGTTGATATTTCATCTTCTGCTTGTATTTTCTCAATTAATGGTTGCCTCTCTGATGAATATATCATGGTTGTTATGTGTAATTGTACTCCGAACGGTATTTTTGATAAGAAAAAAGATTTGTCGATTAAGTGTGGCACGAAATTTAAAGCCGTTTAATGCCGGAATTTATTTTGCAGCCAAAAACAAAAGTATATATTGGATCTAATTAATTTTAGGTGGTGGTGGTAATGATTTTTTACCAAGACCAACAATTTCATTTGGTGCATACATATGTTTACTTAATCGTTTGTACATATCTAAGTTTGAACTGATGAAACATGTAACTATCTTTGTATCATAAATCTTTTTCAATCTTTCATCACAATAAATTAACCTACCATCATATTTATCTTCTAAATTATGCCTCTTGATATATGACCATATAAAATTATGAACATCTAAAATTGTAGCTTTTCTTCTACCCATTGCACTTGAAAGTGGTAACGAAAGAATTCTAAGTTGATGTAAACCAGTATTAGATTTAGCTTTATAATTTGGTACTAATAATTTTGCTGGAATTTGCTGTTGGTGTTGAGCATTTATTAACACTTTTGCTGGAATTGATTTAAAAATAGGTAGTTGCTTGAATAAAAAAGTTGATGGAAACATATTTGAAATTTGGAATTGTTTTGAAAAGTTGTGCTTCAATTGTTTCGAAAGTATCTCTATTTATACATGAAGAATTTACATTTTGCTTGACTCTGTCAATATTAGCTTGTTATTTGTGTATGTTTGGAATTGGTACCTTTGTAGACTCAATTTGGTAATTTTTGATAAAACCGCTACCAATTTTACGGAATGTGCTACAAAATTCATGTTCCTTAGGTCGACAAAATAGGTAATAAAAGTAGAATGGTGGACCAACAGGATTGATTTTTCGTAATTTACTCTCGTTTATTTTTAGATTTGATTATCTGACGTACGTTTGCAAGATTAGAGTTAATCAATTACATGGTTTCTTCCTTACTCGCATTTCTCATTCAGACTGAAACAGTCTTCTTAAATTATGACATGAAACGAATTGTAACTCAAACACTTGCTGATTTAATTACGGCTTATCAATCTGATTACCAAGCAAATTAATTGGACTACGAATTGATCAAATAAATTAGTTTTCAGTAATCAAGATTAATAACGACACAAAAGTTCTTCAATTAGAATCGAAGCTGTTTACACACATGGGAATCTTAATTAAGTTACATAAATTTAATTAACATATAAATCAATTCAAAATCTTAGATGAATGAGGTTTATTAAAAAAATCGTATTTCAGGTAACATTAAAATAAAAGCTTCATCCTAATATATCGAGAATCTGTATATATTAAAACCTTCACCATTAATAATTATTGTTTACTTCTTTTTAGCATCAAGTTTAACTTCAATCAAATGACCATTCAACATTTTCTCTAAATCTGTGCCACAATTGATTGCTTCTTGATTTAATACAGCTTTTAAATTATCATCACATCTAATGTATCTAACAGAAACCCAACCATCCAATTTTTTAGCTTCGACATAATTCCAAAATCTGTTCATAATTTGTTGTTTTGTCATAATTGGGATATCATTTCCAATAATACTTGACAATTTTTTGGAAACTTTATATTTTGGTAATGTTGAAAAATTTCTAATAATTCTCATTTTGTATAGTTTGAAACTAATACAATTGTGGAGAATGTTGGGCTATTTATAGTTTTTGAGATTTGATCAATTTGTTTCACATTTTAATCTGAAATATCAATTTTGTAAGATCTAGATTAAAATTTGTTTCAACTCGTAATGTTACTAAATTTAGATTCTAGGTACATCTTACACAAATAGATTGTCATATATTGAGCTCTAAGTTTGTTTAATTGTAACTACAAGATAGCTATACTATTAGGATGTTGACATTTTAAATTTCGTCTTGTAGGCTTAGCACGAACTGGTACCAGATGGCGTCATGATATATAACCTCGCGGCCGTGATTTCGCGTTGCAGTTATTTTTTCGTTTGACTCGGAGACTGCATATAGTTTGTTTCAGAATTGTACACCAAACTTCCTATTTGGGTAATTTTGAAAATGTTTTTGTCTCATGTTATTCAAAATCGAAATAGTGCGACAAAATATTTTCTCGCGCTAGCATAGAGGCGACCTCGTACTAAATGTATTGGATTGAATTTCATGAGCAATGCAATCTCTTGAAATAATTACTATTTGAGTCATATTAGAAACTTTGAATTCTGTATTCTACATATGTGAAGTTTTCGAAATCATTTTTTTTTCGCCTTGAATTTTTGGGCTTTTTTCACCATGCAAAAAATTTTCGAAAAATGATAACTCAGATAATATTTTATTTAGGGCCATGATTTGCAATTAACCAACGAATTATATGTAATATGCTTCGAAATAACTTGCTAGATTTAATTTTAGCACATTTAATGTAAAATTGAAAAACTCAAATTTTCCTCTTAACTATGGGGAAAAGCGAAGAATTGACCTCACCAAAGATTTAACTCCACAATCAAATTCACAATAAAAGTATGATAAAAGTATCAAGATTTCTAGTTCTGTTTGTAAATAAATCTCGGCTTTTTTTGTGTAAGGTATTCGAAACCGGAATATTAATTCTTTAACAGTGCTTCGAAATTTTTGAAAAAAATTCAAACCGAATTTGGCGTCTTGAAAACACAATTAAGTGACCTTCAAGAATCAAACAAACCTAATCAGCTAGGTTAGAAGTTGGTAAACGAGTTCTAAGTATTATTTGTATCGCAATATAGCGCTTTTTCCATTTTTAAAAAGAAAAATAAAGTAAACAAAGTCAGGTCGTAACCAGAAAGACTAGTATCCATATACTCTAACTCAAAAGACAATTTCGATGAATTAATGTTGAGAACGATAGCTTTGATACTGAGAGAGTCAATTGCGATTTAACCTTTGCGGTTAACTATGAAGAGACTGCATATGAATCAAACATTTTCAGATTATATTTTTTTGGCCTGACTTAAACTTTGAACCGAGATTGAGAGGGATCGGCACCAGAGAATTCTACACTCATGGCTAGAGCTTGCCAGCTTTGCGGGCGGGTTTAGGTCGACCAAATAAATTTTTCAATTGCTACCATTCTCAGCACGATCGCGCATCATATTCATACGAGTCAATCGATGAGCATCGCATTATAGATCCATACACGTCGTTGAAAATTAGGTAATCGCATTGCATCAAAAAATTTTAACCAAATCGAGTATAAATAGCAAATCAGCAAAAAATTTTCTTACTTTTTTTCTTTTTTTCTTTAGCTAATTATACCGGGACACTTGCATTGAGCGGTCATGCTGGTACATCAATCAAGAATTGGTATTACCCTAGTGTGGACGTACTCTCTAGCCCGGGAAATTGAATTTGAAGTGCTAATGTTCAGTTATGATTAGAAATAATTCTGTGAAATCTTGACTCTACGAGCTTTCAAACATTACTATATAATTAAAATTTATTAATATTGAGAAAATACAAACATTACAATAATTAAGTTTTATTAATAACGAGAACATACTGACCATTGTTATCGAGTTGTCGACACTTTATGTAGTTGCGTTGTGAAAAATAAACGTGGTATCGCCATATATTCAAATTAGAACGATCATTCCATGCTCTTGAAGCTGAAGATTAGATGAAATGAATTAGTAGTTTGTGTATTCCAAGTTTAAAAAGAAGTTTCTTTAAAAGCCCACTGCCCACTGCCCACTGCCCACTGGTCAACCTTTTACTACAAGTAGAGTACAATATATAATCGCAATAATAAACCCATTTCTTTTCAAACCATTAAACCTAAATAAAAAACACTAAAAAAACTAAAAACATATAATACAAAATCTGCTCCCTAATTTGTTTTACCTAAGCAAAAAGTAATAGCTTGAGGTTGTTTAAAACTTTTACTTCTTCTTTCATTATTATTTTTAGTTAAACATCTTTTATTATAATCTTTTTTCTCATCAAATTTTGAAAAACAACAACTCGAACCAGTTGAAGTATTCAGTGATCTTCTTGAAGAATTTAATGAAGATGATGAAAGAAATGACCAAGAATCAGTATTATTGGTACTATTATTGGTACTATGATTTTCCTTCTTGTCTTTCTTACTAAATATTGACATATTAAATGAATTTACAAACATAATTAAAGTGCTAATAATAATCTATTATTAATAACACATGATATAATAAATGTTGACACTAATACAAAAAAATATGAAAAATTGAAAAATTAGTTGGTAGTGATGTTTTTTGTTTTTTTTTTTCTTAAGGGGGAGAATAATGGTATTGAAATGAATTCTTGTTTATTGAAAATGAAGCAAAAGGATTTAAACTTCTAACAAATTTGAACCACACTCAAATAAATTGAAATGAAATGAAATGAAGATTGTAAAAAAATGAAAAACTTTTTAATAAAACTTGAAAAGTAAGTAAGAAAGATAAAAACAAAATAAAAGAAAAATTTTGAAACAAAACAAATTTTATATATAAAAATATTTTCAGTACCTTATGTTTTTTTTTCCTACTTACTACGAAAGTTTACTGCATAAATTCAAATTTTTATTAGGGTAATTTCTTTAAATGAATTTTATTTTATTATTTTAGTTTTTAATGCGAGATTTTTATTATTAATATTATTGTTACGATTTATTAGGGGGCTATTTACTTGTTTTGTTGATATTCCATATAGTAAAAACAAGTATGAAATCAATCTCCTTACAATCTCTTGTCATTTCAACTGAACATCATCTGAAAATTAACAACTTCTCTGAAATCACCATACAAAAGAAACTTTTTTAAGAGGTCGTGTAATTTTACTAATTTCTATTTCACTAATATAAGTAATTCTTGCATATAAAATTAACTAACAGAGTTAACTATGAGGGATTTTTCAAATTATTATTAACAAATTATACAGTAGTTGTTTGTTTTATTTATTGTAAGACAACAACAATCTTTAATTGGTAATTTATTAAGAATTAGTAACGCAACTTAATAAATTAAGACATCTGGCAATTGCGAGATATCTTCCTTAATATAGGTTAATTTTTTAACGTTGATAGAACAGATACTGATTGTTGTTATTTGATTGTTGTTATTTGATTGTCGTTATTTGATTGTCGTTATTTGATTGTCGTTATTTGATCGTTGTTATTTGATTGTTGTTATTTGATCGTTGTTATTAGCTAGTATCTCTTGATTGTTTTTTATTGGTCATCGTATATTACTTTGTTCTTTCATCATTATACTTTTTATTTTTCTTTTTTCGCAGTCATCGTTTATTTTTAATGTAAAGTTCTGTGATGATCTATTTATTGAACTATAAGTTTCTTTTGAAACATGGTGGAGACTAATTTTTTTCGAAGCTTGATGAAATTAATAGTAAGACTATTTTACTAGAGTTTGATTGGTTAAAAAAGATCTCTTCTCAAAAATTTAATAAGTTAATCAAAGTACATCTTAGTTAAGCCTATTGTTCAACTGACGATTATCTCCTATTGTTTATAACCGAGATATAATAATATCAGGATCATTTGTTTGAATCTTATTTGTTTGAATCTTGTTTATAATATTTAATTATAGATATTTGATTAAATGCTTCTCAGGTAACATCTTAAATTTATTAATTTTTTCTTAGATATTATTTCACAGTTTTATTTCACAGTTTTAATTCACAACGTATACATTACGTCATTGAGTCAGGGTTTTGTTTTTGGCTTATATATGGTTATTCTAATTTAAGTAACTCTATATAAATTGTAAATCGTTGAAATCGTGATTTTTTTTGTGTAGTGTTGATTTATGCGTACCTTATTTAAATTGATGCCATTCTATTGTTAAATATAATATTCAATTGGCTTAGCAATGAGATTGTCTAACATTATTTCTGACCCAACAAAAATCAGTTTTACCTCTCAAGCATTAGTAAAAATAAGATAGGAAATAGAATTAGATTGTAATCCGAATAGTATGAAGAAAAGGGATCATAAATATTTAGGGTTAATAGTTCCGTTAAATAAGTGTATTACAACAACATTCACCTGTGCAATTCAATTGTTTATTGTTTTATCTAAGTATGAATCGAGATTAACTATTTCGGGACTGCATAGAAGTTGTTTCATAATTATATTTTTGTGTGTATTTTTTACAGCGATTATTTGGCGCGACAAAATATTTTCTTTCTCGCACTAAATTACGGCGACTCGTACCAATTAATTGGTTTATAATCCAGAATGAAAAATCAAGAATTAAAAATTAAAAATTAATTTATCTGAGCTACGTAAGTATCTTAAGTTCTACAATTGACATCAAAACGACTGTTTTTATTGTAAAGCATTAGAGTAGATCCAACACTCACGTCTATCTTAAAATTTGAACTTCCAAATTTTATTGAACTATATATTGTAGCCATTTAAAACTCATAGTCAACTGGTCAACTAAAATAGTTCTAAACTCATTAATATGTATTCATTTAATCTATTTTGACCCTATTTAAACTGGTCAATAAGTCAATAATTACCATCAACCTAAACCAATATTTTCTCAAATTCATCCATATTCTCCAATTCATCTTGTTGAGTCACTCTCTTCAAAACTTCCTTCTTTGAACTTTCCTGGATATGACCATCAATCATAAATTCATCCAATATATAATAAGCTTTATTAAAACCAAATATAATGTCTAGTTCACAGACATTACCATATAATTTATCCATCAATTCAACGAATCGATGTATAATTTCAAGTCCTATCAACTCGTTATCCAGTTGATCAATCCCAATAATGAAAAACAATGAAGCATATCTCTTGTATATGATTTTCAAATCTTTATATTCTAGGAAATTGCACATTTTTGACCTTCTTGATAAAATGATTGTGGACAATTCTCGTATAATTTTTGATTTCTCTTTTTGGGGTATCGACTCAAACCATTTACTGAGTCTACATTTTCCTTGACGAGAAATCAAAAATAAGAACTTAATTGCCATTTTAAATTGATTAATAGTAGGTCTGTTGATAATATTATGCTTTTTTTTTTTTTTTTTTTGCCCTGGTTCAAAAAAATCAACAACAGAATAAGATTTATTTTATTAATTTGTCAATTATTCATTTAATTCTAGGGATTATATTCATTGTCTTTTAGGATGAATGAAATCCTAATGTGAAGCCATTTTTGATTTTCCGGAAAGTATTATGGTAGATTGTCCCCTTGAAAGTATGATTATTATTGATTTCGACGTACCCATTGTTTAATTGCCATTTGCCTAGTCTTGGGATCACAATTGAAGCATATCGAAATTAGGTTTATTAAAACCTGTATTGTTGGAGTTCAGATTTTAAGAATGTAAAAGAATAGTTTGATAGGGTAAATAAAATTTTAAGGGGTAGTAATGTTTCGTCCAATCTAAAATGTAGGATGAAGGCTTATCCATCCATTACTATGTCATCATTTGTGCCTGAAGCATTTAATTAAGGCTAGTACTGGTCCTCAAAAGGCTCTCTCGTGAGAGTAGGGCGATTTTAAATATATTCGACAACGTTTCAATTTCGTTAATCACCACATTCAATCATCCATTCAGAACAAGAATAAAGATTTAAATGTATTGATATATTAGTAAATTATATAACTGGCCTCTGTGACGCTCGTTGACGTCTATAGTAATTGTCTTCTCATTAAAGAACTGTTCCTTATTTAGGTAAAACTTAAATGCTGGGTATAACAAATCCTTTGAACACTTTTGACACATATTTTTTATGTCATCATCGTCGTATTTCTTATCCTTAGTTTTATCATCAGTTAATGTTTTTGTTGTAGATGAATTCAGCCCAAAATAAGAGTTCAAAAAAATGAACCATCAAATAGTCAACATTTAGCATCTTGACCTGCTCAACCAATTGCTATTCATAATCTAACACTCCATTGTAAAACTTTTTAATTTATTGGAGTTCTAACTAATGCAATTTCAAATTTCAATTAAACTCCATCTTCCAATACTGAACTAAAATACCTATTACAACTTAGATCAGTAATTCCAAAATCTTGATCTATATCACAAACACATTTGTTATCTATATAAGTATTTAAATCTTGTGGACATTGTAAGTAAGGAGAATGATAATATCCAATATCATCAAACCAATGAATGGATGATTTATTTTGAAATAATGCAATACCTAAAGTATGAATAGGAGCATCACCCCATCTCTCATAATAAAACCCACCGTTGCTATCTAAGAACTGAAAGAAATCATCATAATCATCATTGAATACTTCTAAATTTGCAATTTCAAAATTAGACCAGAAGTGACATAAATTGAACCATCCAAATTTATTAATAACCAATTCAAAACTATCTTTGACTTCAATATCTCTTAGTTTGATATATTCAAGGACATTTTGCCATAACGTCGGTATTGTATCACTATATTCGAATAATGTAAGCACATACCCATACAATTTACCATTTTGTTGCATGTATTGAAACACATCATAATTCACATCACATAACAATTTCACACCAGGTTCTGTTCTCCAATAATATTGATATTGTTGCACTAGTGGATGATGATAAAAAAAACCTGAGTAAAATCTACACATATGTCGATAAGTTTCGGAATCTCCGTATGGTACATCTACAAATGATTCTCTAACTTCTCTTGCTTTATCTTGATCTATATGAGGTGGGTAATTCCAGTGTGCTTGTGGTATAAGACCAAAACTGATTTTGCCATGGGGTATAAAATTTGAAACCAAATATATGAACTCTTGTGAAAATGGAACATCATTGAAAAATGTATAATCATAATGATATCTCTTATTAAATCTATCTTCAAAATTTTGAATTGTTTCTAGTACCTCAAATACGTCTTCATTTCTACAAAGCATTAAAATTGTTGCATTTTGTAAATTTATTGGTGATGATTTTCGAATACAAAAATTTGATTGATTATTTGTTTTGATAAACTGTTTTAACTGAATACTTGATGAGTAAACAAAGCATTGATCTTGAGTATTATCTTGGGTGTAATATTTGTATGCAAAGTATGTGATCAAAGATATCAAAATATATCGTCGCATATCATCGTATCTGATCGACAAATTTTGATAACATAATATCGCAGATGAAAACTTTACGACATTCAACTTTAGATTTTGACAGTAGTGTTTCGGTGATCAATTAATTTAGAATAATATTTAAATCTTAATATTCCTATTTTAGAACCTACACCTTTAACTAAAGATAATTCTTGAGTGCAGAATAAAAATTAATTGCAACAATGATGAAAAATGGAGCGATAAGAGAATGATGATCAAAAGTTCGTTGTCTGTTTACTTTATATGGACATATAAGGTTAGTTACTGAGCTTAAAGTGTTATTTATCAGTTGAGAATGCCAGGTTGATTTGAATTTGCTTGAAAAATTGCAAAAAATGTTAGATTGTTATTGGTATCGTGCATAATTCATTGAATTAACATTCTAGGACAATTAATCACCGAAGCAAATACTCAATGAACGAAACAAATAGTTTTATTTTTAAAAAAGTTGCCATAAAGTTTTAAAAATTCAAACTTTTCTTGGAGTTAGCAATTCTAGGCAATCAAGAATTAGACGCATCCAGAATTGGTAATTGAGTAATCATAAACAAGATTTGATCAAATATGTTTGCTACAATTTAGTAATTATAATCATTCCAAATGTAACATATAATTCGTTATCTTTTATATCATTTATAAGTTGTTACATAATAAAAAGATGCTACCAATTTAACACGATTTGTGAGAGATATCACTTAAATTTCTAAAAACAGTTCAAGATGAGGCTTGTTTAAAACAAGAAGAATAGTATACAACTACAAGAACACGTTGACATGCCCACATGTTTAAAAAATAAACAAACATAAACATAAACATAAACAAGGTTATGATAAGGGGCAATTAAAGATGAACATGTGGAGGATCTTTCTATATACTTTGTTGTTATCAACTCAACCTTCGGAGTTCAACTTTTTTTAACCATTATATATGACTTTTTTTTTTCACTTTTGGTCATAGTTTAAAAAAAGGTTATTACTTATTTCGTCAATATTGTTAAAACCATCATCATCATCAAAAAATAAACAACAATCATCAACAGAAAAAAAAAATTACCATTTATAACAACTTTATGGAAGAAGATAATATTTCTCTTCAAAGGCTCAATATAAATGAACCAACAGAAATATCGCCATCTTCATATCTACCCAATACAACAGCAACAACAACAACTCCCACAAATAGTGATCTACCTATATTAGGTAGAAAAGCAGCTAAAAGTTTGCGTATCTTTAAAAATATTCATAATGAAGATGATGATCAAGCAAAAACAGAAAAAATTCAAAGTACAAGTACAAATCATCCACCAGTAGATTCAAATATTGATTTAGAACCTGTTTCATCAGCTACTTATTATCCACATACACCTATAGATTTTGAATCAGTACTTCCCAAAGATTTATCAGAACCTATACAACCTATAACACAACATTTAACCGCAAATTTAGAATTTGATCATAATTTAAATGGTGATATAACGAATTTATTTTCGTTTGAAAATGAAGACGATAATATTCATGTGCAATTTCCATTAACTGTTGAATTAAGACCGTTTAAAAATAAAGTTGGTGGTCATACAGCTATATTTTCATTTTCTAAACAAGCTGTTTGTAAAGCTTTAGTAAATAGAGAAAATATATTTTATGAAACTATTGAAATTAATCATCCAAATTTATTAAAATTTATGCCAAAATATATTGGTGTATTAAATGTACGATATTCAAGTGTTATAAATGAATCATCAGAAACAAAGAATTCTTCAAATGAAAGTTTACCACCAGAAGTTTTATTGGATGATAATAAACATATAATACCAAATACTTTGTGGAAACATTTAAGTCATTCACCAAAATTAGAAGCAACCACATCACCAAAATTGGAAAGTTCTTCACCAGGATCAACTACTATAAATAGAGCATTACAAGCTGAAATTTTAAAAGATTTAATAATAAATGGTCATACAAATGATAGAGAACCAGATTTGAAAAAGCATACAAGATTTGAAAGGTTTATATTACTTGAAGATTTAACTTCAAGTTTGAGAAATCCACTGGTTTTAGATTTAAAAATGGGTACAAGACAATACGGTGTCGATGCAAATGAATCTAAAATGAAATCTCAAAGATTAAAATGTGTAAAAACTACATCTAGGAAATTAGGTGTTCGGATTTGTGGTTTACAAAAAGTTACAAAAGAGGGAAACATTTATCTTAATAAATATTTTGGTAGAAAACTTGATAAGAATCAATTTGTTAAATTATTAGCATTTTATTTATTAAATGAACAACAAGATATTTTAAAGAAAATTGATAGTGCAATTATACAACTACAGCAATTGAAATATATAGTATCACAGTTAAAAGGATACAGATTATATGGACTGTCAATTTTATTTTTGGAATCAGCAGATCAAGATTTATCTATTAAAATTATTGATTTTTCAAATTCAATAACTGATTTTGAAAAGGGTAAACATTCTTTCCCTATGAAAAATCCTTCATTACCTGATTTAGGTTATATAAAAGGTATAGATTCAATAATTATTTCCTTAAAGATTATATCACTGACATTTTCATCAAATTATGATCAAGCTAGAGAATCACTTTTAAATTTGAAAAATACAGATTTTAATTTAACTAATGATGACGAAATTTTTAAATTTCCTGATTTACCAGAAGATGACGAAGGTATATCAGATTAATATATAATGATAACGAACGTAAACAATGCTCAACAAAAATTTAAAATGACTGCGAACGTCGTTAGTAACCTTTTCATTCTCCTTAATCTAATCTGGTTTCAGATTATGGCTTAGACTTGCATAGTTGCGAATTATTATGTCCTTACAAGTAGATAGTTTATAATAAAGTCATGATAATCAAGATTAACTTTCCATTAATTTTTCTTCAACAATAAAGTTGCATAGAGCGTTACATTGTTTATGGATCTAGCAACATTTAGTCCACATATTACTACGTATTGGCGTACCCCAGAAATACTAAACTGGCATAAATCTGCGCCCCAACTTTTCAATAAAAAGAAATAAATAGACGACACAAAAAAAAAAAAAAAAATTAAACCGTCATCATAATAAAAAAAGTAAATGGCAAACAAAATCTATTACCAACAGTTTCTCCAGCGAATTAAATCTATGATATCCGACTCTGAGGCAAAGGTGGCTATAACTGTATCTTTTTGTTTCACATTTCTCATCCAATAGCAATTAAAAATTGACATTGATTCTCTGATGTAATTATATAATATGCCCGCGGTCAATTACATAATCTGACAATTTTATTTTTAATTCATTTTCATCGAAACTTTTCCAATTTATTATCAAACTTCTTTATTTAATTTATTCAATAATGCCACGTCGTAATAGTAATGCTCCATCTATACCTGTTATAGCAACAATAGATATTGGTACAACATCTGCAAGGGCGATTTTATTTTCACAACAAGGTCAAGAAATTGCTAAACATCAAATTGAATATTCGACAACTGCTTCTGAAGCTCCAGAAAACTCTAAAAATACTGATCAATTTAGAAGAAGGAGTTCTTTAATGAGACATGAAGATCCTATATTTTCAGCTGAAGGTATTGCTATATCAATTACTGATAATGTTGAAATTGAAAATAATAAATCTAGTGTTGGTCCAACTTTAAGATTTCCACAACCTGGTTGGGTTGAATGTATGCCTGTTCATATATTAGCAAACGCTGTACAATGTTTAGTTGCATGTTTAATTACCTTGCGTAAAATTAATCAAAATCCAAATTTACAAGTTAAATATAAAGTTAAATGTATTGGTATCGCAAATATGAGAGAAACAACAATTGTTTGGTCAAGAAAAACTGGTAAACCATTAAGTGGAGGAATTACTTGGACTGATACAAGAACTTCTGAAATTGTTCAACATTTAGAAAAAATGATTGATGAAGATAGGAAACAAGAATTAAAAGAAAAAACTGGTTTACCATTATCTACATATTTTTCAGCTGCTAAATTAAGATGGTTATTGGATAATGATGATACTATTAGAGATGAATATGAAAAAGGTGATGGTAATTTAATGTTTGGTACTGTTGATACATGGTTAATTTATCATTTAACAAAAGAAAAATCATTTGTTTCAGACATAACAAATGCTTCAAGAACTTATTTTATGGATTTAGAAACACAAGACTATGATGATGATTTATTAGATTTTTGGGGTATTGATCCACTGAAAATTAGATTACCAAAAATTGTTTCAAGTTCAGAATTTTATGGTTCATTTGCTGCTCCAAATTTATCAAATCTAGGTTTTCATAATAAAATTACTCAAGAAGCCTATGATATATTAAAAACTATAACTGGTGTGCCTATTTCAGGTTGTTTAGGTGATCAATCTGCATCATTAGTTGGACAATTAGCATTCAGTTCTGGTTCTGCAAAATGTACTTATGGTACAGGTTGTTTCTTGTTATATAATACTGGTATAACTAAATTGATATCGGATCATGGTGCTTTAACTACTTTTGGTTATTGGTTCCCAAATTTGAAAGGAAATCTGGGTAAACCTCATTACGCGTTGGAAGGGTCAATTGCAGTTGCTGGTTCAATTATACAATGGTTAAGAGATAATTTGAAAATGATTGAAAATGCTAAAGATATTGGTCCATTAGCTTCACAAGTTGATAATTCAGGGGGTGTTGTATTCATACCTGCATTTTCTGGTTTATATGCGCCATATTGGGATAGAGGTGCAAGGGGTACAATTTTTGGTATGACACAATATACTTCATCATCACATATAGCTAAAGCTGCATTGGAAGGTGTTTGTTTTCAAGTAAGAGCCATTTTAAAAGCTATGGCAAGTGATGCTGGTGCAAGTGAAGATTTCTTGGAAGAAGCTTTAACTTCACAAAACGAAAAGAAACCATTGAGTACATTGGCAACTGATGGTGGTATGTCAAAAGCTGATGAAGTTTTACAAATTCAAGCAGATATTTTAGGACCATGTGTTACTGTTAAAAGAGCTCAAATATCTGAATGTACTGCATTGGGTGCTGCCATAGCTGCAGGATTAGGTGCTAAAAATGAAGAAGATAGAATTTGGAAAGATTTAGATGATGTTCTTGAAAAAATTACTGGTGGTGACGCAGAATCAAATATATTTGTTGCAAAATTACCTGATAATGAAAGAAGAAGAAATTGGAAACGTTGGGAAAAAGCTGTTGAAAGAGCAAAAGGATGGTTAGATCAAGAGGATTAATGATAAATACGATAATAGACATAGACTTTGAAAATTATTTATTTATTTTTTTTGACTGCAAAATGAACCCTAGTGTTCAAATGATGAATTATACTCTAATGAACATTCTTCTAAATTTTCTATATTAAACGATGAATCAAAATCTTCTTCTTTCTTGAATATGTCAGTAAATGCATCGAACTTCTTTTCAAATATAGTTGAAGCTTTTTTATTAAGAAAAATTGCTTGATTATTTATAATAGAAGCTTTTCTTTTAACTTCTTGAATAAAAGTGTCTGATTCATCTTTACTTAATTCTTTTTTTGTTTCTATAAAAGCATGTTTATATATATCTTGTTTACCTTTTGATTTCAACTCAGATCTTTTTAGATCTTCAATTTGTTTTGAAATTTGCATCATTCCAAATCGTTTAATTTCACATAACTTTTCATATTCTTTTAATTGAGCTTGTTTATTCATTCAATAACAGATCTTTATTTATATTATTGATCTTTTCTATATTCTGTTTATTTTGTGATCTTGGTGTTAATACAAATGACATTGACGGTAAAAGAAAGAACGCTAATAGTAATTGGTTCTATTATATGTTACTTTACCTATTTAAGCATAAATATAAACAATGGCAATTAGTATCACGTGCACTATTTAATCCCAACCATTTTTTTTTTTTTTTTTTCTGGATCAAACTAAAACGAAACGAACGAAAAAATTACACCAAGTATCAATCATGAGTTCTTTTGCCAAAATCAAATGCTTTTTAGCATCATTTTTAATCTTTTATACTTCATATTTATACTTCTACAAATGTCAAACATTAACTCCTTTACAAGAAGTAGGTGAAAAGATTTTACATCCATTACATTCACATCATTCTCAATTATGTGAAGTTTTACATAATGGTATTAATTATGTTGAACCATATGCTACAAAAACTCATAAATTCTTAGATGATAATGTTCATTCTCATCCATTATTTATTGAATATAAAATTCATGAAAAAATTGAATTTGCTAAATCGCAATTTATTAAATATGTTTATCCAAGAATTTATGAATTATATCAATTAACTGATCAAGTTGAAGCTAAAGCTTATGATCATTTTACTGGATTATATCATCAAGTAATTGAATTTGGTCAATCTAAATTAAAGAATGATTAATTAAGAGTTGTGTAATTATATATTATTGTATACCAATTTATGAGAGAATAATACCCAATTGATACTCAATTGTGTATTATTCATGAGATCGTATTTAGTTTATAGCGAAATATATATATTGATTTTAAATTAAATTTCAGCCCTATTAATTTTTCTTTTCCACTTTTATGAGTGAGAATGGTGATGATAATAGATTATTAACTTCAAGACATGTTTCATTTATTAGTTTCGGAGGTATAGTGGGTACCGGATTATTTATTGGAATTAAAAACACGTTGATAACTGGTCCAATCTTTAGTTTATTAAGTTATGGTTATATAAGTTTAATTTGTTATTATATAATTCAAGCCGTGGGCGAAATGTCATGTTTTATGCCAGTTACTGGTTCATTATGTCAATTTCAGTTTAAATTCATATCAGATCAAATAGGTTTCATGAATAATTTTATATATTGGTTAAGTTGGTCAATTACATTAGCTTTAGAATTGTCATTAATTTGTTCAGTTTTAGAATATTGGTGGGATTTAAATACAACGAGCACAATTTTAATTATATGGATATGTCTCGTGATATTCAACTTATTACCAGTTAATTATTATGGTGAGATAGAATTTATTGTAACTAGTTTAAAAGTTCTATTTATGGTTTGTTGGATTTTTATCGCAATTTGGTTGGTACCTAAAAATGGGTTCAAATATTGGAATAAAGAATTAATATTAGGTAATGCAAATCCAATGACTAGTTTAGTTTCTTCATGTTTCACTTTTCAGTCCATTGAATCAGTTGCTTTATGTTCTGGTGAAATCCAAGATATTCATAAAAATTTACCACGAGCTATAAAATATATTGTTACACGGATATTAATTTTTTACATGTTGACATTGTTTTTATTGACCTTGATGATACCTTGTACTGATCCAAGATTGAATAATGATGACGTTATGTCGTCTCCTTTTTTAATTGGGTTAATGAACCTCGGTGTTGATAATTTCCTAGGAGTTTTTAATTTTATAATCTTAGTGTCTATGATCTCAGCTGCTAATTCAAATATTTATTTTGGCTCAAGATGTTTGTTATCAATTGCGGAGGAAGGATATGTGACAAAGAGTATTAGTAGAAGGATAAACGGTATACCTTATTTGTCAGTTTTGTTGACTTCATCAATTGGTTTAATCTCATTATTTTCGAAATACAAATCAATCAATATATTTTTCAAATTGTTGATCAACTTATCAGCTACTTCTGGGTTATTAATGTGGTTATTCATACTGATTAGTTATATTAGATTTAGAAAAGCATTACAATATAATTTATTAGATTACAAACATTTGTCGTATACTTCAAATGTAAACATGATTTGGTTTAGTTATTTTTCAATAATTAGTATAATATTAATTATTTTCATAAATGGATGGTCAAGTAATGATATTGATTCGTTTTTAAGTTGTTATTTAACTTCAATAGTGGTGATACTAGGCAGTTTTCTACTAAGTATCAAATGGAAACAACCAATATTAAAACCAATACAATCTATAGATATATATACAAATCAATCTGCGAATGCATTTAATATATAAAACATCATGAAACATCATAAAAATTGTATTACCGGTTGGTAGCACCGTGGTAGCACGCACATCACGAAAAAAAAATAATAGTAATTTGTTTATTTACATATCAACCGTACGTTAATCAATGTCTCGTATTAACTATATCATACCATCAATATTCATATATTTAATATATGTATGGATTTATGTATGTCCAAACTCAAATGATTCAATTACTCCTATAAATTATCATATTTGTAAAACAATGCAACCAGTTATAGATCCATTAAATAATAATTTTCATATTGATGAAAAGATAAATTTAGGTATAAATTATTTAAGTAAAATTGATGATTCAATTGGTATTAGCTCTGGTTTAGCTGATTATTTACAATTAACAATTGATTATTCACAAAATAATATAATACCAATAGTGGAAAAATTGGGTATTTGGGTTGAATCAAAACTATATAATTATTTCAATTTGGCACGTATACAATTTGAAAATTACGTGAATCCATATTTTGAAAATGGTTGGGAGTATCTTAGATCAATTTCTTGGATTAATCAAGTTATTTTATTTATAGATGAATATTTTCAAAGATTATTACAATCTAAACATGCAATTAAATTACAAGAACGTAGTAAATTTTTACAACAAGAATTCAAGAATTTAAAAGTTGATTTGAAGAATTATTTCATACCTACAGATTCAGAAGTTGAAACTGTAGTAATTACATCAACTGTTGAAGTCACTGATTATTCAATTGAAACAATGGTTGAAGATCCAATATATGAAGAAATTAGACAATGGGATACTAAAATTGAAAATACAATAATTTTAGCAAAGAATAGTATTGAAAATGATATGAATATTAGAACAGATTCAATTATAGATGATATAAAACCAATTATATCTGAACATTTTCAATATTTACAAGCTATAAATCATGAACAATATAAAAATTTAAATTTAAAAATTAAAGAAATTAATAAAGATTATGAAAAAATGACTCAATCAAATGATACAATAATAGAAACAATAACAAGACAAGAAATAAGAGATGATATAAAACGATCTTATAATTCTGCTGAAAATTGTTCATTTTTAGTTCAAAATGAATTAACTAAAAATCACCAAATTATAATAGATCAATATTTTATAAGTCTACAAAATACAATTGATATTTTAGAAAGTTATGCAGATTCAACAATGAATGAATTATTAAAAATTATAAATAATTATGAAGCGAAAGATGAATCTGAAAAATGGAATTTATTACAGAAATTTCATGGTTTAAAAAATAAATTGTTTGATTTTAGAGATGAGCTATTTAATAATGCAAATGCTTATAAAGTAGATAATAAAAAGAATCCAGACGTGATAGGTCTTAAAAAATGGAATGAATATTTAAATAATGTTGAATTTCATTTAAATTATTTACTAAGAGATAATACGGAATATTTAAGATTGATTAGAGCACAAGCCAATATTGCATTTCAGTTAAGGGAAGAGTTGACTAATAACATCAATGATAAACAATAAATATAAAATAATATACGTTAATTAATAATAGTGAGTAAAAAACATTTTTTTTTGGCTACACCGCCGCCTAAGTACTACCCCTTAAAGAGAATTGATCCTGAAAACAAATCAAACGCAATCAATAATTGTTGCTTGTTGAATGATACTAACCAAAGTCTATTATTCGTGCTTTTATCCTCACAGCACGACAAAATAATTTCTCGCCTTAGCTATAGGGCGACTCGTACTAAATATTCTGGCTTGTATGTAAAGAACGACGAATTCTCTTTAAATGAACATGTGAAACCAGAAACCTCGGATTATATATTCTACACATTTGAAAGCTTAAATTTTAAATATTCTTTTTTTGAGTTGTAATTTTGGATTTATCAAAAAATAAGAATCAATGTGTACTCTTGTTTAGGTCCATAACTTCGGATTAATCAACGAATTAGATATATTGGAAGGCAGATGAAAAAGTTTCACATGCTTCCAGATGATCTCTGCTCTAAAATTGAAAAATTCCAAAATTTAATTATGGGGAAAAACGAATAAATTGACCTTACGAGAAATCCAGCTCCACAATCAAAATTCAATTTAAAATATAATGAGATTACCCAATATTGTATTTCCCTCTTCTAGTATACTTCAAATGTTTTGTTGTTAAGGTATTCGAAATTCAAATAGTAGTTTTTCGAAGGTGAATCGAAATTTTTGCGAAAATTTCAATCCGATTATGGCGTCTCGAAATAATTATACAACACATCTCTGGTGCCAAATTAACTGAATCGGCCATACTAGAAGTTGCTAAATGAGGTCTCAATGCCAACTATCTTGCAAAATAACGTTCTTTTGCATCTTTTATATGAAGAATAAAAAGATGAAAAATAATGTCTTTTTGAAGGATACTAATATGGATTTACTCCATGCAAACTGAAAATTTCGATCAATTAGTTCGAGAATGAGAGTTTGAATATCGATGGAGTTATTAACAATTTGAATTTGGAGTTTAACTACTATGAGACTGCACACTGTTTCAGGTTAACAAGATCCGCTTATTTCCGCGACCATTTTTTAGGGCGACGGTATCGCGCGAGGTAAATAATTCTGGTACTAATGCTCAACCCTATCTACAGTGATATAGCTCTACATTATAAGATGGTGAATAATCAAAGTATCAAAGATCTTTGTTTACATAGCAAACTTCGATAACATTCCCAAACCCCCTAGAACCATTAGTAATCCAAACCCCTTAATTATAAGTTGATAGAATGTCTAATTTATATAAGTTATTTGCATCTTATCTTTTATTAATTTTTTAGCCACCACATTTTTAACACCAAATGCCACAGTCAACGGAACTATATATATAGTACAATGGATCTACAATTAATCTAAAGTAGTATAGATGGAACTACACAAAGTCACAACTGCCAAGACAGAAGCAGAAAGTTTGACAAAAGATAATTATGAAATAAATGAACAGGAGATTAATGATAATGATACTTTTAATTCAGTTCCATTTATCGATTTAACTCGACCGGTTCAAGAAGAAAGTAAATGGTTTAAGTTTAAGAAATTCATATATGATGGAGTTGGTAAAAACAAGAAAGAACAAAAATATTTAGCTAAATTGGATGCGTTTTTATTAACATCTTCATGTTTGGGATATTTCATAAAGAATTTAAATCAATCAAATGTTACGACTGCTTATGTTAATGGCATGGATGAATATTATAATATGACTCAAAAACAGTATAATATAGTAGTTACAATGTTTACTGTTGGATATATTCTTGGACAAGTACCTAGTAATTTAATAATTACCAGAGTATCCCCTCGTTATTATCTTGGTGGTTTAGAATTAATATGGTGTTTTCTTACAGTTATAATGGTTGCAGTTCCAGCTGATAATATTGGTGGTTTATATGCTATTAGATTTCTTATCGGTTTTACTGAGTCTGGTTATTTTCCTGCAATGGAATATTTATTAGGATCAAATTATAATAGACATGAATTATCAAAACGATCATCATTCTTTGCTGTATCTGGTAATTTAGCTGGTATAATTTCAGGTCCATTACAACAAGCAATTATTAAACATTTTGCACCTACTCATAGACAATTGCCTAGTTTTAAATGGTTGTTTGTTTTTGATGCCGTTATAAGTTTCCCAATTGCATTATATACAATGTTGGTAGATCCAAATACACCAGCAACTACCGATGCGTTTTATTTTACGGATGAAGATAAATTAGTAGGATTAGAAAGAAGAAGATTGATCGGTGCACCAACTAAAAAACATAAGAAATTTTCTTTCAAAAGGGTTTTATCATATACTAAAAATTGGAAATTTTGGATCTTTCCATGGTTATTTTTATGTTATAATAATTCATGTTACCCAAATTCACAACCAACATTTCAAAATTTTTTGAAAATTTCATTAGGTAAACCAAGTTCAGTTTATAATATTTACCCAACTTATGTTGCCGTTACTGGAATTGTATTGTGTATTATATTTGCATATATTAATGACTTCCTAGGTGGTAAAAAGAACGTTTGGTTTATAAGTTTATTTTTTGTTTTGGTCATGATTGGTTGTTCAATGTTATCAGCTTGGGATATTGCTATTGGTGGTAAATATTTAGCTTATTTCTTAGTTGGAGCTCCTACAAGTTGGGGACAACCAATGATTTTTTCATATTTGAATAGGTTATTAGTTAATGAGGATGATGAGAAGAGATCATTCATTGTTGTTTGCACAAATACATTAGCTTATGTTACTGGTGCAATTACTGTTAATTTTGTTTGGACTGGTCCACCGACTTACTTCATTGGTTTTACTTATACTGCTTGTTTATGTGCATTGGGATTGGTATTAACCGGAGTAGTTTATTATTTAGATCAAAGGGATGAAAAAGCAAAGAAACTGAAGTTGTTACTTAGAGAAAGTTCTAGTGATGTAAATAGTTTTTGATAGATAGTTTTTGATAGATAGTTTTTGATAGATATATGATGCATGCAAAGCATCGAGTAATGTAATTAGATTTGAGTAGACATATGTTGTAAAGCATCGTTGAGTTGATAATTAAGATTAAGGTTTTAACAAATGCAGATTTACGTCTACTAAATTGATTGCTAAATCCCCAAACATATCTATTGAAAATTGAAGACTCGACTCTGTAAACAATACTGAAGGCAGAATTAGAAATGGGTGGTTTAAATTGCTAGCATTGTCTATTTTTTTGGTCGCGAAATATACAACCGCCGTGAGGTTAAGGGTTTACCAAATCTATGAAAATTAGGTTACCGAGATCAAAATTAAAATAGAAACAACTCGTAATTTCAATATTCGTATAAATTAGATGAATCTTTTCTATTGATTTCTTTTATAGGCTTAATCACTATTATTTTTTATTTTTAAAAAATCCCATTAAGAAAAGGTTTTTTGCTAATTAAAAAATGATAGATAAGAGATAACGAAATTAAAAATAAATCAATAGTGGAGATTAGAAATTAAATTAAATATGTTTCAGAATGGTCCAAGACAAAAAAGGGTGATTCTAATTGGTCTAGGAATGTTTTAAGTCGAAAAGAAGAAGTATTGAATGATTTGTTAAGTATTCAACTATCCAGATAGTTGTATAGAAATATTTATGGATAATTGATGGCTAATCAATGGAAAAAGAATCTCTTGCGGCTTGATCTAATCTCTAAATTTAATGAAAATGTCACAAGATTATTATTTGATAAGAATCTATTGGTCGATATTATTACTCATATATTTGGTTCTAAATTTAGCAAATTATATGCAGAAATCTCAATTATATTATATGAGGACAAGCGGAATAATATTTATTTTTTCAACACCGTTTACCGAGCATTATCTAGCAGGTGAAAAGAGTTGAAACTTCCTTTCAAACGATCTTTGGCTAAATAGAGGATGATGAGATGGAAGATTTATGATTGGGTTTAAGGCGATGAGAGCAGCTGGTCAGTCAGTTGCATCTATTTTAGTAGTGACATTTCAAGCTCTCGTAACCAATTTGGATAGGTAGCAAAAAATAAAATTTCGCTTCGCGCAATCTTTCCGATTTTCGTATTAGAGAGGGGCGTGGATTCGACCCAAAAAAGAAAAAAAATAATCATCAAACGCTGCGTAAACATTGAAACACTTGCTAATATAATAAGCTATTTTTTTTTAGACTGGTTGAACAAATTCCCTCATACAATTGTAGTAAACCTGAGGGTCAAAAATAAACCCTCAACTAGCATCTAATTATGAGTTTAGAAAGTTGAGAATGGAGAGAAATAAAATTGTTGAAGCTTTAGTTAAGCTTTCAAACTGTATACAGAGATGTGTTTTAAATAATCGTTATCAGGTAAGATGATTGGCTGTGATAACATCAATCCCAATTATGACAGGTCTATATAAACTTAACTCTTGTGATATTATGCAGAAGTTCTTTTATTTCTTTTTAATTTAAATTTTTTTTTTTTTTTTTTTTTATTATCCTGGTTTCTGTTGGAAAAAAAAAAAAAGAAAGTAAAGTATATAACAAAGAATTTATCCAAAATTTAATTTCAAAAATTTTCAACTCACTCTTTAGTTCTGCATTATAGACTTCATTTCATATAACAATGACAATTTCATTAACAGAAAATACTGCAATTTTATCACAATTTTTAAGTTTACCTCAAAACGGTAAGGTTTTGGCGGAATATATTTGGATTGATGCTGAAGGTAATACAAGATCAAAATGTAAAACTTTATCAAAGAAGCCATCATCAGTTGATGATTTACCAGAGTGGAATTATGATGGTTCATCAACTATGCAAGCTCCAGGTCATGATTCAGATGTTTATTTAAGACCAGTTGCTTTTTATCCAGATCCATTCAGAAAAGGTGATAATATCTTAGTTTTATGTGAATGTTGGAATAATGATGGTACTCCAAATAAATTTAACCATAGACATGAATGTGCTAAATTAATGAAGGCTCATGCTAATGAAAAAGTTTGGTTTGGTTTAGAACAAGAATATACTTTATTTGACCAATATGACTATCCTTATGGCTGGCCAAAAGGTGGTTTCCCAGCTCCACAAGGTCCTTACTATTGTGGTGTAGGTACTGGAAAAGTTGTTGCAAGAGATGTTATTGAAGCACATTATAGAGCTTGTTTATATGCTGGTATCAACATATCTGGTATCAATGCTGAAGTTATGCCTAGTCAATGGGAATTTCAAGTAGGTCCATGTGAAGGAATAGAAATGGGTGATCAATTGTGGATGGCTCGTTATTTGTTAAATCGTTGTGGGGAAAGTTTTGGAATCAAGATTTCCTTCCATCCAAAACCTGTTAACCAATCAACAATCAATGGTTCAGGTTGTCACACTAATGTTTCAACAGTTGGTATGAGAGAAGAAGGTGGTATGAAAGTGATAGAAGAAGCTATAAGTAAATTGGCTAAAAGACATAAAGAACATATGTTATTATATGGTGCAGATAATGATTTAAGATTAACAGGAAGTTGTGAAACAGCTGCAATGGATAGTTTTTCATCTGGTGTTGCAAATAGAGGTGCTTCAATTAGAATTCCAAGACAAGTTGCAAAAGAAGGTTTTGGTTATTTTGAAGATAGAAGACCTGCGTCTAATATAGATCCATATCTTGTCACTGGTATAATGGTCGAAACCATATGTGGTGCTATACCTGATGCTGATATGTCAAAAGAGTTTGCAAGAGAAGCTGAAGATATTTAGAATTGAGATGTTTGATGTTTGCAGATAATAAAATTTAATGATTGTTTTGAACTTTTTTGTTTGAAGTTTCTGGATAATAAAAATTAAAACTTGATCTGAACTTTTTGCTCTATTATTATAATCTGATACATTCAGCCGGTGATTTGTATCTAAGCAAATGTCCGTAAAGGTGGCTGGAGAAGTCGAAAATGGATAAAACTATTTGGTTAAATCTGTTGATAATGAATGTTTTGCTTTTCGACTTTGTATACAGGAAACGCATGGAAGCGCAAAAAAATTAACCATGGAAGAAAAATGGCTGCAAAACTTACCTTCTACGTGGTATAAAAGTACAACTAAATAATTTGATGATCCACTATTTGTTTTGAAGAAAGAAAATTGACTTGGCTTTCCATTTATAGTGTTTTCATTGCGTGAGACAGCAAGAATATGTCTTTATACTTTAGCTTCCGTTTTAGGTAATTGATATTTACACGCGGTTAAAAGCACTGCATATAAAAATTGTCATGCTGATTTCTTTTTATTTTAAGGCGAAGAATAATAATATTTAATAAGAAATGAATCCGGGCAATTGTTAAATAATAATTTAACTAGACAAGAAAGGTTTCATGATGGAATGAATGAATCACGGATAATAGTAATAAGCAGTTCAATAAAAGTAATTCAGATCATTATGTTCAAATATGATGAATGAGGCAGAATTTCCTAGTTAGATTAAAATAAACGGTTTATTCTCTAGTATAATAAGCGACTCTGATTAGATAGAAAGACTCATTTATATATTGATGTAGGGGTGTAAATTCTCATCTGTCAGTTTCAATTTTAGTAAATTATGACATATGAAAAAATTTTCATCTGTCTAAATCAGGATAAATTAACTCATCTAGATTCATTTATTATAAACGAAAGGGAATAATTTCCTGTTAAAAGAATAGAAAATTATGTTACTATTCATGAGTTGCATTTATGAGTTGTACATTAGATTCTTTGTCTATAATTAAAATTTTATATACATTGGGTGTGTGATGATGTACTTTTTGTATTTTTCAGCTCTTTTATACTGTTCGTGAAGCTCTTGCTGGTACAAATGTTTATTTGAATATGCCTAAATAGCCTTGTTACTTACAATTGGCTATTCATTGAGCAAATATTAGTTTTGAAGAAATTCTGATGAATTTTCGAGAATCTGCACTTTTGTTGATATTTTGCAACAATTATTAAATAAGATGAAAACATAATAGAGCTTGATATAAATGCCATCAAGTATTACCAAGAAACATGACTTATTTTAGGCTTGGTAGAAGATCAGTTGAAATAAAAAACGAGAGTATAAAGCTTGTATTTATGATATTATTTTTGAACCAACAATTGAATGAACTAAATCACTCTTTACTCAATACAATACTATATATTATATTGGATTATATACCTTACTTCGTTGACTACTCAAGATATTCAACTAATCAGCTTGGTATTCAGAATAGAATATACTTTGACATTTACAACAATGTTCGAATTCACCAAAATTTGATGTCAACAACACCTCAACTTCGTTAAATGACTTACAATGCAAATGAGGATAGCTTAATTTCTTAGGAAATCTAAAACTTTCTTGAACACTCAAACATCTAGATTCAATATATAATTTTGCTAAATTTTTGGAAAACTTGACATTGTTATTCAAAGCAAACAAGTACCTCTCTCTATAAACAAACAGTGGAGAATGTATATACTCAAAGATCTTTAAATCTGGAAAGTGATCTGAACCATCTGTAAATAACTCCCTTGGAAACACAGAATCGTAAATTCTAAAAGTTTTAGATTGGTTAAACTCTTAAGCGATTCATTTTGATGATTAATTCTGTTAAGTTTAATGGGATATCAATTTCAAATATTCTCATCTCTTTCCAACATGTTAAATGCAATTGAGATAAATTTTAAAAAAATGATATGAATTCATTTATGCGTTAAATTATTTTGCCCCTAATTGTTAAGTGTGTGATTGAACTAATAATGGTTCTTTCATTATGGAATTTATCAACATCCCGTATATCAAGTGTAGTTAAATATTGTAAATATTGAAAATGTTCATCTTTGAAGTAAATATATAAAGTGGTCGACATTCGTAGTAAATAGTTGCAAAAACTTGACGTCTTCTGCCTTTTCCGAACTTGGGAAGAAATGAGTATTACCAATCAGATTCAATAAATTGATAGTTTCATATCTAGTCTCCTTGATTAATTGTTGACATGCTAAAAGTTTGGGATTAGATATATACATTTTCATAATGTAAATTAATTCATATAACGTCTCAAACCAAATAGCATCAGTAAAAAATTTGTAGTTTGTTTTCAAAACAATAACTCGTTCTAAAATTGTTAGTGGAATACAAGATCTAAATTGTTTATCATATAAGAAACTCGATTTATATTGCAGATCTAAAAAAGATGCTATTAATAGAACTAATTCAACTGGTAACTCTGTCAATCGTTCAATTAATCTTTGATAGTTTGAATCCATAATAATTAAATGAATATACAAAATATGTTGCCAAAATAATGAATGAAATTTACAGAATAAATAGACGATTTCGGACCCTAGATTTAGCCATTTTCATGTTTCAGATTTGGAATGTTTATATACAGGATATACCAAATTAGGAAACTTTAGCTAAATATTCAATTTATAGGCAAATATTAGTATAATTTATTAAAGTAAGCTGGTTTGATTTAATACCTAAAATTATCTCTACTTATCAACCTTTGTGTCAATTTTGAGAACATCTGTATACTCTAAAAGAACTTCACTCATTTATTACTCCCTATATCAACATCATTAATTACTTTTTAAAATTTATAGGCAAGATCATGAAAGCTAGATGATTCTTAATATGACTCATTTCAAAAGGTACCTGGTGCTTCTAAAACCTAGAATATATTCTTTTCAATCTAAATTTGGTAAAACTAAAATCTCACAGTGCAAAAAGATTTCCAGTCTTTTTGAAATCTTCTGGTGCTGCTACGACATTAGTTAATTTACCACTAATAATTGAGCATCTTTTATAAATGATTGTGGATGAGAGAGGTTGTCTAAGTTCACAGCAACTACAAATAAGGGGTTTAGATTAAAGGATTTTGATATTAGATTTCACTTACGTCTTTGTTGCATTTTACGTTTTTATTGTATCCTTAAAAAGTCTGCCTAGCTGTATGAGAGAGCCACAAAGAAGCATATCAAGGTATCCCTTGATATGCTGCAAAAAATATTATAGAGCTTGTTTATATGCTGGTATCAATATATCTGGTATCAACGCAGAAGTTATTCCTTCACAATTGGAATTTTAAGTAGGTTTTTGGAAATGGGAGATCAATTGTAGATGGCTCGTATTTGTTAAGTCGTTGTGCAGAAGGTCTTGAATAAATCAGTTTTCATTCAAAGGTTGTTAACCAATCAACAACCGATGGTCCAGGAAGTCTCACTAATGTTTCAACAGTTGATATGAGACAAGAAGGTTGTATGAATGCTATTGAAAAGATCATACGTAAGTTAGCTAAAAGACATAAAGAATATATGTTATTATATGGTTCAAATAATAACAAAACATTAACTTGCGTGAAACTGGTAATTTCAACTGATGTATCTCAAATTTTAATGATAATTTAGCTAAATTTGGTCTACAATTGATTTCTTGCAGACTATTGCTCACATTCTAATCTGTGTTGCTTGTTGTTCCGTGAAAATACACTTGGTAGCGCCCACCATTTTTTGCAACATTTTCTAATCGTGTTCAACTCAAAATATTGAAATTCAAAAAACTTAATCTTATCGACAACAACCAATTGAACTACCATGACAGAAGAATACGTATGTAAAATGATCAATGACAAATTGACTAAGTACTAACCTAATAGTCACCATTAATAATTGACTCTACATTTTTGTCAGATTCCAAAAAATTTATAAAAGAAAGAATAATGCCGTGGGAAGGTTTAGCAAGATCAGGAATTATAACTGAAGATGATGCAAATAATATTAAATTATTAGAAAAACAATCAGTTGAGAATAGAAATTCAACAGTTAAAGCTCAAGTTGATTTATATGCAAGTAGTTTATTACATGTTTTATCCAAAATTAATGATAAAGATGATATTATAAAAAATATACTTGCACTTATAAATGATTTATTATTAGATTTACCAGAATTTTCAAAATCATTATTAAATTTATCATCCGCAGATAGTGGTTTACCATTTAATCCATTTTTGAAACATTTAGAAAATAAAGATTTGTTAATTAAATCATTAAGTTTATATAATTTAACAATTTTATTAAAACAAAAGAATCATGCAGATAATGAAGTATTATATAAGATCTTCAATACCATAACTTCAATGTTTGAATCAGACAATAATTATATCATGATTATAGTTCAAATTTTACAAGATTTATTAATTAAATATAAATCAGTTTATCAAGATTATTTAGTAAGTTATTTCAAACCAATTAATAATTTAATTACTCAATCAGCAAGTCATCCAAATGCAACAGGTTTACAATTATCATATAATATATTATTAGCAACTTGGATATTATCATTTAATTCACAAAATAATAAAATTTTAACTCATAATTTCCCACAATTAGCTGGAAATCTTTTAATTATTGCAAAAGATTCAATAAAATTAAAAATTGTGAGAATTTCAGTTGCAATTTTGAAAAATTTCGTATCAACTGTTAATTCTCAACAAGAACAATTTAAAGTTATAAAATTATTACTATTTCATGATGCTTTAAATACAATTAAAACTTTAAAAGAAAGAAAATTTGCATCAAATGGAAGTGATGAAGAATTGGCAAATGATTTGAATTATTTGAATGATAATTTATTAGAAATTGTCAATACAAAATTGACTTCATTTGATGAATACATGACAAGTTTAGAAAATCCAAAATTAATAAGTTGGGCTTCACCAATACATAAATCAAATGAATTTTGGTTAGAAAATTCTTATAGATTTAAAGATTCAAATTTTAAATTGGTTAAAAAGATATTTGACATCATGAATCATAATGATGGTGCTATACCAATAATTTTACTAAATGATTTACAGTTTTTAATCAAGAATTTAGGTCAAGATTTAATAACCTTCGTAAATAATCATAGTCAATACAAATTATTGGTTATGTCTTATTTAGATCAAGGTAATAATGAATTAAAATATGAAGCTTTGAAAACAATTCAATTATTGGTTGGTCACAACTTTTAAATAGAAATGTACAATCAGAGTATTAAAATAAAAACCCATCGTCTATATTATTCTAATTTTGCGTGTGCCTGATTTTTTTGCGCTTCCAGATCAAATCTCGTAAGCTCGCTCGACAGGTAATCAATTAATTAATCGACTCAGATCAAAATCTATGCTTTGTATTAAACTACGCAATGCATTTTCCCAGTTTTTTCATTCGATTATCAAAACAATAACCAATTAAGAATTTGAAAATTGCGGATTGAACTGCTCTCTATGCACAATTGATTATGATCGCAAAAATCAACAAAAGCACAATAAAAAATGGAACAAAATCGAATGAATAGTAGCTATTGTTTATTTCCCTTTATGTCATAATAGCAATGTTCCTGAACCTGGAGATACTTACAATGTAGAAATTTTCACCAATAAAAATTCAATTTTTCACTTTGCGTACGGCTAGAATTGAGATCAAATGGAAAATACTTCTTGTAGTAATTTTTTAGATTTCAAAATGGCAGTTCAATTTAACATGTGGGGTGATTTCTTTACAAATTAATATGCATCTATGTATAGAATTATCAAATTTATGAAAGTCCAAGGCAATTGGATTTTGACAATAGTGTAAGTATTAATATCATTTGGAGTATGAAAGAAGTTGTTTGTCTGAAACTTATAAGTAAATCAATCTATCGCAATTCCATATTAATACTATTACTAGCAATGTCATATTCTTCTGCCCTGTGAGATAATCTTCAAACGTTTTCAATGTCATGTCTTGTCTTGATGCGTCTTGATAAAAAGATCAAAATAAAATTTCGCGCTTATTTATTTTTATCACCGAATAGTTATTATTACCAAATAGGTAACAATGGTGTTTCAAGAAGATATGATTCATAGAGATCATAGAGCTGATACGTTTAATTTACCAACTGGACAATATAATTATGAATGGAGAAAAGAAACTAAAATAGTGAATAATATTGATGTTTTAATTGATGCTGGTTTTTATTATTATCCAACCAAATCTCAAAAACATAGAGTGGTATGTGCTTATTGTTATAATGAAGGAAAAGTAAAGACCGAGAAACAAGCTAAAGATATAACTAAAAATCATTTATTAAATAATCCGCAATGTCCAATGTCCTTAGTGTTAGAAACTTATAAAAAATTTCAACATCTGAAACATTGGAAATCATTTAAATTTATACAAGATCCATTATGTGAAGAATCCACCCAATTTAGAAAACAATTTTATATGAATTATCCTGGAGATAAAGATGGTAATAAAATTAACAGTGATACATTATCGAGAGCTGGTTTTATTTATTTACCACAAACCTTACAACATGATCGTGTGGTATGCATGTATTGCAGATGTGCATTAGATGGTTGGAATGAAGAAGATGATCCAATTGTAGAACATGAAAAACATACAACTGGATATTGTTACTTTTTGGACATGTATTATCATGGAAATAAATCAGAATCAGATCTGACAAATGATTCGTACGATTCTGAAGACGTTGAAGAAGTTGAAGTTAAATATAAAGAAAGAATAGATAAAGAGAAGAGTGTGGAACCTGAAAATAAAAATATACTACCTGAGAATGAAGATGTGAAATTGGAAGAGAACAAGAAATTGAATAAAAATGAAACTCCAGAAATTCAAGATATACTGTTTACATCACCATTAAAGAAGACTTATAAGAAACAAAGAAACTCAGGAGAAAAAAACAGAGTTGTAGATTATTCGGGTGATAGTTCTGTTGATGAATTACTGGATGATTCTTCAAAATTGTCGAAAGAAAAAGAACCAGAAGACATTGTCGATTCAGATTGTAATGATGATTCAACTCCAAAAGAGAATACAGAACAAGAAAATATACTGAAAGATTCACAAACAATAAATTCTACGGATTTGAAAAAATTGGATATTAAAGATGACCTGGAAGTAGCTGATTCAAGTAATGAAGAGAGTGGAGGTGAACAAAAATCAGATCATTCAGATAATGGAAAAACGGATAATGAAGATGAGGATATGGAAAGTGATGCAAAACAAAATACTAGTGATTATGTAGAAGAAGATGAGGAAGAAGATGAGGAAGACGATAATGATAAAGATCTAAGTTTTGTCGAAACTATTAGAAGACGACCAAGTCGTAGATTTAGACCATCAAAACCTAAACCTAAACCTAAACCTAAAAAGCAACCTACAATTATAGAAGAAGAATCACGACCAAAAAAGATTATAATTCAAAGAACTGAATCAACTCCAACTCCACAACCAATAACATATGATACAACAGATGATAATTTACAATACGATGATGAACATATTGAGAAATTGGAAAAGAAGATAGTTAAATCAACAATTGAAGCACCACCTGGACCAATAAAAGAAAGCAATATATTAAAACAAGATGTTGCTCCGCCACCAATTAAATTCACTGCATCTATAAATAAATTGGAATCACCAATTAGGAAAAAAAAGAGAAGACATGAAAAGGAATCACCAGTTAAGAAAAGTAAGAGGATATCCAAGGTTAATATTTTTGATCATTCATTTGATGCTGTTGAAGACATATCATATTCAAATAAAGGATTATCGGCATTAAGATCCAACTCACCAAGAAAACTGTATTTAAATTCACCACATTTAAGTTTAATAGATAAAATATGTGGCCCAGAAGAAAAAGAGAAGACTCAATATGACAATATACTAGACGGAATACATAATCAAGGGAATCTGAGTGTTGCACAATCAGATAAAGATGTAATACTTGATGATCAAATATTAAAGGATGAAAAATCAGATAATGTGGAAGATGCAGTTGTTGATGAAATTGAAATGAATCCAGTAGATCGAATAATGAAGTCTAGTGGTGCAAATCCAAGAATAAAACAAAATAAAGTAGATTACGATGAGTATGAACAAGATGAAGATGTTGATTTATGTCATAGTGAATCAGTAGAGGATAGTAAAACTTCAGGGAGGCCTATTTTGGCGAATAATGAACAAATTGAGTCCAAAAAAACTATACTCAAAGAAAACCACCTAGTGGGTGAAGCTAAATTTAATAAACTTTCAGATATTCATAAATTAATTCAAAAGGAAATTGATTTTTCGCAACATGTCGATAAAAATATGATGAAAATTGGTCTGATTGTCGATCAATCTCATAATTTAGCTCAAAAGAAAGATAAGATTGAGAGAGATGATAGAATGATGAAAATTGATATGATTATTGATCAATCTCCTAACTTAGCTCAAGATAAAGATGAAATTGAAAGTGATGATAAATCTGATGTAGCTATAGACAAGGCAGAAATTGAAAGTGATGACAAATCTGTGGATGTCCACAATTTGAATGTAAGTATAGAATCACATCATGAAGAAAAATTATCTACTACAATTGATTTAAATGATACATTACCTCAATTTAATGAATCAATTAATATTCAACCTAATATTGATGAAACTCCAAGTGAAAATAACTCAATTCAAAAAGTAAATATAGGTACACATCATGAAGAATACGGTTTAATGGAAATTGATCTGGATAATAACCAACCTCAAAAGACTGAACAAATTAAAATAGGATCTACTGATAATAAATCTCGTGAAAATTTAGGTGTAAATGGACAAGTTGAAAAGGAAGTTGAAGTTTCACAACATGAGAAGAATACCCTTGTTTCAAATGAGATAAACAAAGATATGGATCAAGATGACGTACCAATCAAGAGTCGATCTACATTAGACAAAGCTCCAATAGCAAGTAAACCATTTGAAGAGGAACCCAGAAAGTCTATACATGAAGAAAATCCATTTACAACAAGTAATATGAAAAATGATCCAGTTCAAGATGATGCACAGGTTGGTAAGGAGTTTGAAAATCATGGAACTCCAAGTGTGAATGGATCAATTGAAGAGGTGGCTACGGAACCACAACATGTTGAGAATACTATAGATGAGAAAGATAGAAATAATGATATACGAGTTAATGAGCAAGGTAAGAGTAGATCTGATTTGATTAATGAGTCATTTGGTAATGAAACTAAAGATGTACAAAGTTATGGTCACAGATTCAATAATAAAGATGCATCCAATGTATCACAAGATAAAGAAATGCAATCAGTAGTTGATGAACAAGAATTGAATAGGGAAAATTTAATTGAAGAAGCAAAAAATGTACCAGAATCAAGTCTTCATGAAACAACAATAGTTGAATCAAAATCCAATCAAAAAATCCCTTCACAATCAAATTCACAAATATTACCCCAATTTTCACCAATCAAACTTGATTATTTTAAATTTTCATCATCTACTCCAAATAAATTACCAATGACGTCACCATTAGCAATGAATTCATCATTAAGTGAAGCTAAACAAGTATTTAAATGGCAAAAGAAAAGTATGAAAGAATTTGCTGATAAATTGCAAAATTTAAAATCAAGTTCCCTGGAATTATTAGATTTAGTTAATTCAGAATATGATTTACATAATGATTTACATGGTGAATTAACTAGATTTATTGCTGAAATGCCTGAAGACGAAGAAAATATGACTATAAAAGAATGGATTGAACATTGTGCTATTAATTGTAGAGATATTGTATTACATTCTTGTGGTGAATTAAATGAATTTATAATGAATGAATATGATCGAGCTATTGAATTTGTTGAAAATTTGCCAATTATAGATGAATGAATAAATGTTAGGGTATATATTTCGTGCATTACAAATCTTGCATCCTTACTTTGCATCCTGACTGCATCGTTACATTATACTTTGGATCTTGACCGCATCCTTACAATTGGTAGCCTATTTGTTTTTTTTTCTATGACTTCTTTTTTATTGAGTACAGCCAAAATTATCAAAATCAAACAACGATTGTTGCAAGTGACAATATAATGTCATTTTGGCCATTTACTAATTCATTAAATAGTAATAATGCATTACTGAAATATCTTGATTCAATACAAGATTTACAATCAGTTTCTGTCAGTGATTTAATTTCTGATCCAACTTTATCACAAGAATTAGTTAATGAATTGCATAATGTTAAAAACAATTATAATCAAAAAAATGGAACTACAAGTTTTACATTCTCAAATATTCAAAATGATACTGACTCTGCATCATTATCGTCAAATAATGAACCTGTAAATAATACCAAAGATTCAAAAGGAACAAAATTGATAGAATTGTTAATTCAACCTCATATACTAAATGGTTTAATTGAAGTATTGGAAAATAGTGTAGATTATTTTAAAGAACAAGCTATAAAAGAAGAAGAAGAACTAAGGAGAATGATTGAAGAAGATGAACCAAGTACAGATATTCAAGAAGAAGAAGAAATTGAAGATAAAAAAGAGAGTTTTGATGATAAAATAAAAAGACAAGTTCAAGCAGCAGCTGATATATTATCTATTGATTTATGGATAATACTGAATAGGATTATAGAAACTGAAACTATAATGTCTAAATTATGGCAATTGATAAAGTTAGATCTCACTGAAAATTCACCCACGGTATCTTATTTAGTTCACATTTTAGATCAATTAATGGATACAAATAGTATAGAATTATTAAATTTTATAAGAAGACAACATGATTTAGTAGATACATTTTTAGATAAAATAGAAGTTCCAATGTTGATGGATTATTTTTTTAGAATTATTCAAACTGATAAACCAGATTCACCAACTGGAATAATAGAGACAATTTCACTGCAAAATATAATTATAAAATTGATAAATATTTTAAAACCACAGCAAAACCAATTTGAACATGAGAATTATATACCAAATCATCAATTATTTTTCAAGCAAACAGCGGCAACTGATTTTTTAAAGGCATTGGTGACTATATCTTCAAATACGGCATTAGCAGTAGTACTAGAAACTAATATAGGTCCTAATCAATTGACTAGAGAATTAGTATCACCTGAGATCATAAATATAATAATTAATGAAATCATGTTGGTGAAAGTAAATATAAATGGTAAAGTACAAACAAATAAACATGGTATAAATAATTGCGTTAGTGTAATTATAGAACTAATACGTAAGAATAATTCGGATTATGATTTAAATTGTGGTACTTATTCATCAATGTTAAATAATGATCAAGAAGTAAATTCATTTGTAATGTATAAATATTTAAAAGATTTTGAGCAAAATCCACCTGGACCAAGAGATCCAATATATTTAGGAGATATGTTGAAAATATTTTCTGAAAACTTGCCAAAATTCCAAGAATTATTAGAAATTGAACCAATACCACCACCTAATGCAAGTAATATACTTGGATTTACAAGATTTAAAGTGTCAGAGTTGATTGCTGAATTACTACATTGTTCAAATATGATATTGCTAAATTCTAGAAAGATCAAAAAAATTATAAATGTGAGAGATCAAGTTAGATTTCAGAAGGAAAAACAATTATGTAAAGCATTAAATGAAGCAATTACATTCCCTGATATAAATGAAGTAACTTCTGGTCTTGATGATGTTTCATTAGATGATATACATTTTAAACAACCTTCAAATATTGAAGAAGATGATTCAGAAGATGAAGAACCTTCAATATCAACAGATAATCCATTTGTATGTAAAGAACGAGATGACGCAATTAGATCGGATCCATGCGTGGGTGATTATTTTAAAATAAAATTAATAGATACAACAATTTTAAAATATCTATTATCATTTTTTTTCCAATTTCAATTTAATAATTTTTATCATAATGTTGTATTTGATATAATTCAACAAATTTTTAATGGGAAATTAAATTCATATAATAGTTTTTTAATTGTTGAATTATTTAAATTAAAATTAACTACATTGATAGTAGATAATTATGAACAAGAACCCATATCACAAGCTGGATATAGAGGACATTTGATTTTAATTTCAGAAGAAGTTGTTAAATTTACATCATTATATAAACCAGATTTAATTTCAGGAATAATATTACAATATATAAATGGTAAAGATTGGTCAAATTTTATTGAAAATTATTTATTAAAAACTAGAGAAATTTATAATGCGATTTTGGGATCCTCAAATGATGATGAATTTGATGAAAATGGAGAACAAGAACCTGATACAGAACAACCACAAAAAATTATACTTGGTGATTCATCAAATCATGATCAATTTATAAATGATAATCAACAAGTAGCTGAAATTCAAGTTAAAGATATGTCACCAAGTGGAGATTTAACAAAACATCAATTAGATGATGAAGATGATATTACTGATGATGTTGATGATTCGCCAAATAATTATTTATCTGGTAGTTTATCTGGTAGTTCATCAGATGAAGAAGATGATGACGATGATGTTGTTGATGAAGAAGAATGTAATGGTAATGAATTACGAAGAGTTCCGATGCATAATGAATAGATATGACTATTTTATTTTTTTCTACTATAGATTACTTTACCATTTGGTAGTTCAACTTTTTTACCTCTACTCTTTTTCTTCTTAGGTTGTTGATGAGTAACTTCTATTTCTTCTACTGGTTTTTCATAATGAATTGTAGTATCTATTTCACCTGCTAATTTCCCAATAGTTAAGTTATACAATTTTACCGGTAATTTAAATAATAAAGTTTCTTTAAAGCCTGGATTTATATTAATTTCATTTGGATCAATTAAATGATCACCATCATCAGTGACTAAATAAACCAGACCATTATTTTTAACTAAAAAAACTTGATCATTTTCTTGATTTGTAATTTTTCTATCTGAACCATCAGCAGGAGCAATTTTTGAATTCCAAGCTTGTAATTTAATTTCATCTTTTAAATTTTCAATTCTTTTATAAGCTTGTTTTCTATTGATTTTTAAAGCAAAATAATGCAAAAAACTAATTAAACAAAATACGATGAAGATAGTTAATATAAAACCAGGTCTATATTTTGTATAATAATAACCAGTACCTTTCCATTTTGGAAAACCCTTGGTATAAAAATAATCATATCTTCTTCTTAAAGATTGATCTCTGAGGATATTACCAACTAATGATAACCTTTGAAACCTTTCATTAATCTTTTTATCTTTATTCTTAAACTTATCAGGGTGTAATTCTTTCAGTAATTTACGATAAGCTTTTGTTATTTCTTTTAATGTTGATTTTGGACCATTTGTCAAATTTAACCAAGAATAAAAATCAACATCGATTCCCAAATCTTGTTTTATTTTATCATTTAAACTGAATATTTCATAATCTTCTGTAGACCAATTAGCAACAACCAATGAAGATATGAATAATAATATGAATATATATAACTTCATATTAATTGATGCGAAAAATTATCAATACTTTTTTTTTCAATGTCAAATAGAAATAGAAATATTCAATATCAATTACCATTACACGAGAAGATTATATTGTTATATGATGTTAGTGGTGCTACTTTATGGTGGTGTTGTTTGGGTAGATTATTAATATTATTACCTTTGGTTGGTAGAAGATTTTTACCTGGTGGTATTGCTGATTTCTTTCATATTGTTGCAATTACTCCTTTTATAAATAGTATATTTTTCAAGTTTAATAAGTTTAAATGGTCAAATTTATGGTCAATTATAAATAGCATCAAAATTGTATGGTTATGTTTTGGTTTAATATCGTCATTTACTAGAATTGCAAAACATACAACATATTCAATATTGATTTTTTCTTATTGTTTACAATATGGTATACATTATAGTTACTATGCTTTTAGAATTAAATTTAGAACTACTCCATGGTTTTTATTTTGGTTACAATACAATAATTTTTATTTAACTTATCCATTACAAACTGTTTCTGAGATGGTGCTTATATTTTTATGTTTACAATTCACACCAGATGATTCATGGTATGAATTAGGATTAAAAGGTTTATTTCTTGCTTATATACCAATTGCTTATTTTGCATGGCAACATTTTGAACTGAGGAAACAAGCTAAATATACTTCAATTATAGAGAAACAAAATGCATAAGTACAATGGGTATATTCAATCGACCGCCACCTCTTTCAGCTCTCTATACTGCATATTTCTCGAGTATTTCGTTGTTCCATATATTTTGCAATCGTTTGTTAGTAAAATTGAAAAAAAAAAATTAAAAAAAAAAAAAAAAAAAAATTCTGAAACATCAAATAGTGAAAAATGATAACGAAATATTTTCAAAGTGTTAATGTTAAGTTTAATCCATTTCAGTCAAATAATAAAGCTTCAAGATTGTTCTTAGCTAAAATACCATCAACCAGTAAAATAGAATATAAAGTTTTAAATTCAAGTGATTCAAAACCAGAAGTAAAAGTTACATTTAAAGATAAACATTCAATTATAGTTGATCCAACAAATATGAAATTAATAGATTTAGAAGAAAGATTCGATTCTCATTCAAGAAAATTAGCAATTAAAGATGCTATAGAGAATTAAAATATTAAAGTGCTTGTATATAGTCTATAAAGCATTAGGGTATACTTTTAATAAATATATCATAAGTATCTGATACCTTGGTAAATGTTAGATATGAATTCGTTATATCTGGATCATTTTGTTCTTCTCTATTAAATTTTAATTTATATACCTCTATCTCATCTACTAGTCTAATTGAACTAATCCATGAAATCATCATTTTATACCATTGAAAAATCATTCTTGTATCGATTGAACAACGATGAGTTAAAAATATGGGTGATAGTTTGATTAGTTTGACTATTTCCTCATCATTTTATATTTTAATCAGTGATAGTTTCAAATCGAGTGTTCTGATTTCAAGAACATAATGTTGACAATTGATAAATATATTTTGAATATATGTAGATAGTCGCTTTTTAATTAATTTATTCAAATTTTTGATCTTTGAGTCATTTGACATCTTTGAATGTGTCTTGCATTCAATATAATTGTCTAATCCATGTTTAGGCCTAATTTCACAATCAATTTCAGCAGTATATGTGACATCAACATTATCAATTGAATGTTTAACTACACTGTAAAGATCACCAGAATCATTGGGATATGTAATTACTCTCTCAAATTGTAATCCAGCATATTATTACTATCAATTGTCCGTTATATGAAGGTACAAGAGGTTTATGGAATGAAAAGTATATCAATTTGATAAAGCCTGGTGCATTCTTGGTCAATACATACGTATTTGAGAAATCTGATGAGGCACAAACGTACTAACATACATCGAGCGCACGAGGTTTCATTTGTAATGAAAATGACGTTGCCAAAGCAGTCAATTTTGGTCATATTCGGAAACTATCACTAACTTTCGTAATTTGAAGCTGTCTATTGGTCTGAAACATTATAGGAGATTGGATCGAAATTGAGTCAATAATGAAATACTTTATTTTGTGGAGCAGAAAACCTAGAAGTAAGTTGAATAAGGTTTTTTCTTACTACCAAATTCTCGAATCCATTAATCGAATCCATTAGTATTCAGCAAAGTTTAATCTTAAATCAATTCCATTTTGCAGCCATTTTTTTTTCTTAATAGTAAAATCCCGGTTCAAATAATCCGATATCTAACGGGGCGACGAATTAGTGCGAGTTAACTTTTTTACTATTGGCTAGAATCGAATAATGGATGACCTATTCTTCATATCGTATATGCGATGATGGAATAAATCATATATAATGCATGTAACTAATCAGTAAGATCATTGTTAAACTACTTTTAAATATAATTGTAGCTCCTTCCTTTTTTTGCAACCTTTTTATTGGGTAGTTCTTTAGTGGCAATTTACCCCAGATTTCGATGTAAACTAGTCTTAAAGAAGCTTTCAACACAGCAGTTTCGCTGAAAGTTGTTCCATATAAGCTTCTTACCCGCTAACTTCTACACTATTGATTTGTCTATCTTCTACAACTATTCATTGTCCAAAAATAGATGTTAATATCTTATAATAGAAAGGTCATATAGTACTGTATATAACTATTAGCCAATCAAATGCAAGTAAAAATAAGCATTCTATATATAATACTAAGTTAAAAAAACCGCACTAAAAATTAATAAGGAAAAAAAACTATCAACAAAATTTTCCATTGATTGAATCAACCCAACCCAACTTTCCAAATAACTCTTCAGGTATAATATCATTTATTTAATTTGATAGGTTTTATTATTATTTATTATTCATATTTATATTCACATCTTAGTCATAAATCATACACAAAAATATCATAATGTTTAGAAGTATTCTTCGTAATCAACAAAAAATTTCATTAAGAACTTTAGCTACTCAAGCTACTGAAAAAGCTCCAAGAATCAAAAAATTCCAAATTTATAGATGGAATCCAGATACTCCACAAGAACAACCACAGATGAAAACTTATGAAATTGATTTAAATAAATGTGGTCCTATGGTCTTAGATGCTTTATTGAAAATCAAAAATGAAGAAGATGCAACTTTAACATTTAGAAGATCTTGTAGAGAAGGTATTTGTGGTTCATGTGCTATGAATATTGGTGGTAAAAATACTTTAGCATGTTTATGTAGAATAGATCAAGATACTGCAAAAGAAACTAAAGTCTATCCATTACCACATATGTTTGTTGTTAGAGATTTAGTACCTGATTTAACACATTTTTATAAACAATATAAATCAATCGAACCATATTTACAAAGAGAAGACCATCCAGCTGATGGTAGAGAAAATTTACAAAGTATTGCTGATAGAGCAAAATTAGATGGTTTATATGAATGTATATTATGTGCTTGTTGTTCAACTTCATGTCCTTCATATTGGTGGAATCAACAACAATATTTAGGTCCAGCTGTTTTAATGCAAGCTTACAGATGGTTAATTGATTCAAGAGATCAAGCAACTGCTCAAAGAAAAGCAATGTTACAAAATTCAATGTCACTTTATAGATGTCATACAATTATGAATTGTGCAAGAACTTGTCCAAAAGGTTTAAATCCAGGTAAAGCAATTGCTGAAATTAAAAAACAAATGGCATTTGATTAGAAAACTTTTTAATGACTACTGTTTATAGTATACAATTCATTTCTTCATTTAATAAACAATTATTTATTCGAAATTAAATGTATCTATCTGCGTTGGTATTTCTATTAGATATTTTCTATAAATTATACTTAAAATGTTTTCTGTTCAAAAAATCAAGGGGTAGTTTTTTTGGGGCCAGATGAACGTCTTTTTTGGAGTTGCAAACTGGCATTAACATTAACTATTGATGCTTGATTTGGGCCGGAAAAACGACCAATGTGTTCTCCTGAAGCTGAGCTAACTCTTGGTAATCCATAGAAAGCGAGTTCAAAGAATACTTTGATTGTTGTAACTAAATTTTATAAAAATTATTGTAAACTTGAGTACAAACTCGATGTTTGCTTGTTTTCTCTCATGCAATCATAGGTCACTCCTTCTACGTAACAGGTTCATTGTAATTGGTACTTTTTCATTGAGTTATAATCACGTCGAAAATTTCACGCATATTAGAATCAATTATGAACACTTTTTGCGCGTAAGGGTAATATACAGAAACGGTTTTAATGCATTTATCTAGTAATTGCTTCAAAGGAGTATCAAATAGCCATTTAATTTATTTCCATTGGAATCTATTTTGGTTTAATTATACCACGTATAATTAAATTTAATATTTAGTGCATCGTTTGCGTATTTTGCATCTGCTACATTTCCGTTCGAATTGAAGAGATTATTCTTAATTGTTGGAAGCTTAAAAATACTGCAATGAAGCGTCCCTAACCAATTAATTGCTATTCAATAATTGTAAAGAATCTTAACCTTAAATACTCTTGAAACATGGTCGCACATTGGTCCCTTTATAAGTAAAACGTTTGATGATTTAAGACAAAGCTTAAGCTTATATGGTTAATTCTAAAGGGATCATAATATTACAAATTAGATGATCGTACTATAGTAGATAATTATCCCCACAAATTGTCTTTGTCGGTCGATTTCTTAGTCCTTATACGCACAGAAAAAATTATTTTTCCATTAAAATATCTCGCATCGTATTAAAAAACTCGGTTATCGAAACAACCTTTGATAATGATTAGTTTAATAATGGTAGTGTAAATAATTACTACTCCGAGATAATTATTAAGATTAATAGTGGGTTAAGTGGTTAAGTTAAGAGGGCCTATTATATTATTTTAACTCAAAAAAACAAATTACATTTATTTCTTGATAATTCTTTACCATTCGAATAATGAATCAAGGGGATTATAAATATATCTTAATTTCTCACCTTTTCATTCTTTCAAATTATCAATTCAATTTGACTTAATATATAAATCAATACAATCTACTACTAAATCAATTATTATTTAAAAATGTCTAAACCAGTTTGTTTAATTATCTTATATGATGGTAAAGAACATGCAAAACAACAACCTAAATTATTAGGTGCTGCTGAAAATGCTTTAGGTTTAAGAGAATTTATTGAATCTCATGGTTATGAAGTTATTGCTACTTCTGATAAAGAAGGTGAAAATTCAGAATTTGAAAGAAATTTAGAAAGAGCTGAAATTATCATTACTACTCCATTCTGGCCAGGTTATGTTACAAAAGAAAGAATGGCTAAAGCTCCAAATTTGAAAATTTGTATTACTGCAGGGTATGTATTAGATTAAGGTTAAATTATTAACCTAATTTATTAGATTGAATTTGAGGTAGTGAAGAATTGTTAAGATCGCACAAAAAAGTAAATCGCGCGTTTTAAAATATTTGCGCCTTTTTCAGCCAATTAACGTTCAAGTACTAACACAATTATTAGGGTTGGTAGTGATCATATTTCTTTAGATACTGCTAATGAAAGAGGTATTAGTGTTGTAGAAGTTACTGGCTCAAATGTTCAATCAGTTGCTGAACATGTTATTATGACAATGTTGATTTTAATCAGAAATTATAATGAAGGTCATTATCAAGCTTTATCAGGTGGATGGGATGTTGCAGCTGTTGCAAAGAATGAATGGGATATTGAAGGTAAAGTTATTTCAACTATTGGCGCTGGTAGAATCGGTTACAGAGTTTTAGAACGTCTTGTTGCTTTCAACCCAAAGAAATTATACTATTATGATTACCAAGACTTACCAGCTGAAGCAGTTAAGAAAATCAATGATGCATCTAGGTTATTCAATGGTGTTGATAACATTTTAGAAAGAAAAGAAAGTCTAGAAGATATTGCCAGAGAATCAGATATTATCACTATCAATTGTCCATTATATGAAGGTACAAGAGGTTTATGGAATGAAAAATATATCAGTTTGATGAAACCAGGTGCATTCTTGGTCAATACGTATGTAAATCTCGAATATCGAGGGTTCAAAGTACTAACATACATTAAGCGCACGAGGTGCCATTTGTAATGAAAATGACGTTGCTAAAGCAGTCAATGCTGGTCATATTCAATATGGTGGAGACGTCTGGCCAGTGCAACCTGCTAGAAAAGATGCTCCTTGGAGATCAATGCATTATCCAATCTCATCTGGTGACTCAGAAAACTTGGATACTTCAAGAGGATATTCTTCAGATGGAGCTTTTGTCGGTAATGCTATGACTATTCACTGCTCTGGTACTTCATTAGACGCTCAAGCTAGATACTCAGCAGGTGTCAAAGATATCTTAACTGAATTCTTCAACAAAACTTACAATTATCGTCCACAAGATATCATTTGTATTGATGGTGATTATTACACTAAAGCTTATGGTCAAAGAACTAAAAAATAGGCTAACTGACAATCTCAAATTAATTGATAACCTCAGATATGTTTACTAACTATAGTATAATTAGAATACATATTTTACTTTGGTTTTATATTTTAAAGTAACTCACTTGGTAGCGATTCTTTTTGTTTAAAATTATTATATTCAGCGCTACCAGTTGTCAAAGTGTTTATATTAGCGAAATATAACATTAACCAACAGGCAATAGCAAATCTGGGAACTATCAATGTTGAGTATAGAGCCTGGCTGTATTACTCATCTCTTTTTTTTTTTGTCTTGCAACTCTGAAATTTTATTGATGCCTTGTATAATTTTAGGAAATATCAATTCATGTAAATGACGCTTATTTGATGTACAGGATCAAATATATAGGAATGAACAAAGACTTCGAGCCTCCCCTTTATTGTAATTTATCTTTTTATTTATAGTAGTAGGTTTACCTTCAACTAACACTGATTCTAATGTATTTGAACGAAAATGACGTTGGAATCAGACGACAAATCAATATTGATTTCCAAAACTTACCAAAGATAAAATACATTGCTTAGAATAAATACATTCAATGTGTCAATAGAGGAAAGAATCCAATAACATTCTTTCCAATTAAATACAATGAGCCACTGATTCTTGATGTTTGATAGTCACATTCAGTTGCTAGGCTAACTTTGTTACCTCAAAGAGTGAGCTCAGTCGCTGCTGTATAAATGAAATTAATTTATATCTCATCAGCGGAATAATCAGATCTCCTTAGATCTTAACGTTCACATTTCGGTGGTGTTCATGAATAGGATACTGCACATAATTTTTTTTTTTGGTAAAATTACTCGATTTGTAAATCTGAAACATTTTCGTTTACTATTAGATCTGAATAAGAAATAGCTAATAAACCGTTGTCAATACAACCTATATCGTCAAACTTAAATAAACCAACTCAAAAGAGTTCAATTAAAATAAAATCAAGCATTATGCAGCTTCTTTTAGCGCGTACACATTTTATTTACACCTATAAATAATATGCAATCCTCACTTTTCAAATTTTTTCACATTTATTTTACATGTATAATTCATATGAGCTTGATGAATATATTAAATTTCAAATTGATGAACATATCCATAATGAAAAAGTTAGAATTCATAATTGTTATCAAGATAGATTAAATGGTCTAGCTAAAATTATTGAACAAATGAGTAAAATAATTGCAGATTATCAAAAAAATCAACCACAACATATTAAATACACATCACAAGAATTACAAGGACCAATTAATTTAAAGAAACGAAAAATACAGGAAGTCGAACAAGATGATGTTAATTCTGGTACTGATTCAGATAAAACTTATTACGAAGTTATTAGTGATGGTACTGTTGATGATGAAAGTGATGAATTGACACCAATTGATTTTTTATTTTCCTCAGAAATTGATAGTTTTAATACTGCTACACCAGATGGTCAAATTGTTGATTTTGAAATTTCATTTGAATAATTTGAATAGTGAATAATAAATGTTGTTACGTGTATCAAATCTCTTGGTAGCGATTTGAAAATTATGAAAATTATCATGGCGAATTAGGCGATCGGAATTAACCCAAATTAGATATCTCCGAAGCGATCAAAAGTGTATTTAAGTTCGAGTTTTTCCAGTTGATCCAATTTATCAAGTATGACTTCAGAACAAGCTTATTATGGTAAAGGTTATGATAAATCAGTATCATCTACTCATGCATGGAGAACAGTTAAAAATAGTGCTGAATTTGTTATCCCAGTTTTAAAACCAAATTTCAAAGTTTTGGATGTTGGAAGTGGTCCAGGCACAATTACATTTGATTTTGCTAAAAATTATTTAACAGAAGGTGGTAAAATAATTGGTGTTGAACCTACACAAGAATTGATTGATGAAGCTAATGAATATAAAGCAAAAAATGGATCACCAAGTAATTTACATTTTCAAATAGGTTCAATTTATGAATTACCATTCGAAGATGACTCATTTGATTTAATTTATTGTCATCAAGTTGTCATACATTTACAAGATCCTATTCTCGCATTAAAAGAATTGAAAAGAGTATGTAAACCAAATGGTTATGTATGTGTTAAGGATGCTGATTTAATTTCATCAATTGTTTATCCTGAAAAATATCAACCATTGGCTGATTTTTATGCAATTAAGGCTGATGCATCAATTTCAACAGATTCAAAAGCAGGTAGAAAATTATATGAAAGATGTATAGAAGCAGGATATGATATTACCAAACTACAATATTCAATGTCACATTGGTTATGTTATGAAATTGAATATAAATTAAAATGGGCAGATGCAACTATAAATAGAATCAAAAATTCCAAAGAAAATCCATATCCAAATGATCCATTGAAAAATCAACAAACAAAAGAAGAAGCTATTGAATTATGGAATCAATGGAAAGATGATAAAAGTTCATTCTTTAACTTGAATCATTTTGAAATTATATATAAAAAATAGACGAAAAAATTTCTAACCGTATAACCGAGAACAAACAAATTTAAGCCAATTTTTTCATCCTCTTTTATTCAACAATTGTTTATCAACATGTCAAGTAATCATGAGGAATCAGATACTGATCAGGAGTCAGTTTTAGAATTTGAAAGATTAGAATCAACTTTACCTCCTTCATTAAAAAGATCTGCTTCATCTTTATTAGAAGCAATTCAATCAACCCCAACTCATAGTTCAACATCAATTCAACATGATTCAAATATTAAACAACCACAACCTAGACATCCAAATGAAAATAATTCATATCAACCAATTCCTGGAAGACCAACAACAACTCCAAATTTAAAAAATTCTACATTTAGACAAAATTTAATCAATAAATTATCGAAATCTGAGAATGGTAGAGAATCTTCACCAATTCCATTACCAAAACCAAGATTTGATGAAAGTATTTATAAACCTGCATTAAATGCTAAATCCTCAACTGGTGTTTTATGGGCAACTGAAAGAGCTGGTGAATATGGTTATAATCAAGAATCAGTTGGTGAATGGGCAAATTTAGGTCAAGGTTCTCCGGAACATGGTGATACTATTCCTGGATCTTTTCCAAGACCAAAATCTATACCTATTTCAGATGACTCAAAAGGTTACGCTCCTACTGCAGGTATTACTGAATTAAGAACAACTGTTGCTAATTTATATAATGAATTATATCGTAAAGAAAAACAATCAAAATATACTTATAAAAATGTGTGTATTGTTCCAGGTGGTAGATCTGGTTTGACAAGAATTGCAAGTATTATAAGTGATTGTTATTTATCATTCTTTTTACCCGATTATACTGCTTATGCAGAAATGTTGAGTTTATTTAAAAATTTTGCACCAATTCCAGTACCTTTAAAAGAAGCAGATAATTATGAAATTCATTTAAAAATGATAAAGGAAGAATTACAAAGAGGTGTATCTGCTTTATTAACTTCAAATCCAAGAAATCCAACTGGTCATTGTATGAAACCTGATCAATTAAAGGTTTTACATGATATGTGTAGAGAAAAATGTTTATTAATTATGGATGAATTCTATTCTCATTATTATTATGATGATGGATGTACTGGATCATCAATAAGTTCAGCTGAATTTGTTGAAGATGTTAATAGAGATCCAGTGTTGATATTAAATGGTTTAACTAAAGCTTTTAGATGTCCTGGTTTTAGAGTATGTTGGATCATTGGACCTGAAGATTATATAAATGCTTTATCATCATCTGGTTCTTATTTAGATGGTGGTACAAATGCTCCTTTCCAATATGCTGCTATTGATTTTTTGAAACCAGAAAAAGTTTTATCTGAAATGAAAGCTTTACAAGTACACTTTAAAATGAAGAGAGATTATATAATTTCAAGATTGACTAAAATGGGATTCCATTTCAATGAAAAAAATACACCTAATTCAACATTTTATTTATGGTTGAATTTAAGTCATTTACCTGGGAAATTATCAAATTGTTTAGGTTTCTTTCATGAATGTTTACATGAAAAAGTTATAGTTGTACCCGGGTTCTTCTTCTTGATCAATCCACAAAATTTATCACATTTAGAAGAAGTAATTTGGTATAATTATGTTAGAATAAGTTATGGTCCCGAAGTTGATCATTTGGTTAAAGGAATGGATGGTATTGAGCGTATATTAAGTAGATTTGGATGTTTACCATATGACATTAAACAATGAATATATAAGAGACCCGTATATGTTTAAAAGTTTTCATTTGGTAGCAACCAATTTATTCTATTTTTTACTCCAAAGTTTACTAGATCATGGATGAAGAATGGGAAGGCGAATTGCAAACTTCTTTCATTAAAGATGTGTTTTACTTTGGTCAATGGCTATTTGTGAAGGTACTTAATTTGGTTCTCATAGATATTCCAACATTCATTATTAAATTATTATCTAAAAATTTTGAATTTAATTTGCATTTATCATCATTATTATTATTCATAATTGGAGCATTAATATTTGGTATTATCATAATTCGATATTTTTATTTAACTGGTTATTCCAAGGATAATACAGGTAAGAAACAAAAAACATCATCAATTCAACAACAACCAAATATATTTGTTGAAAAAAAACCAAGTAAGAAACCATTAAACTATTTAGATGAATTCTTGGCTGCTATTAAAGTTTTCGGTTATTTAGATAAATCCGTCTTTCATGAGTTAACTAAATCTATGACAACTCAAAAGTTGGCACCTGATGAAATTTTATGTCTTGACGAGACCTTGGGCTTTTCCATAGTTGTTGAAGGTACTGCTCAAATTTATATTAAATTACCAAAAGATAATGCAAAAAAGATAGAATATGAAATAGATGAAGAAAGGAATGAATTTTTAATGTTGGGTGATCAACAATATCAATTATTAAATGAAGTGAAGAGTGGTTTACCTTTAAGTTCATTAATTTCAACATTGGAATTATTTAAACTTCGATATCCAGATATTTTAACTCCAGAAAGAGAAGTGTCATTGAATCTAGATTATAATGTAGATAATAACGTTGATGAAGATGATGATTATCCGAACATTATCGTATGTCCAAAGAAAAAGAGGAGTGGTGATACTATAACAATTGCAATTATACCCCAATCTGCATTTGAAAGAGTTCAAAATAAATACCCAAAAGCAACTTCACATATTGTAACTATGGTGCTCACTAGGTTATATAAAGTTACAATGAACACTGTACATAATTATTTAGGATTAACTAATGAATTGATGAAACTGGAGACGAAATTAAATGAACAAACTCCAACTAATTTACCAAGATATTTAGTCGATGGATTATTAGAAAAATTGAATGAGAATGAGAATCCCAAAAAGAAGAAACAAAAGCAACATCATAGACTTCCATTAATCAGATCATCATCAAGATATGTTTTATTAGATTCAAAATTGAAAAGTAATCATCCTGGAGATTTATTATCCTCAGTTCCAATATCAAGAAATGATAAAAAGAAAAAATTTAAAGATGATGAAAAAAGATCAAATTTTACAGATGAAATTGAAGAAACTGAGGAAAATTCATTAAGAATAGCTATAATTGAAAATATATTCAAAATAGTTGGTATTTCTGAACCTAGTCATTTCTCATATGAAAATGGTTTTAGCAGTTCTTCATCTGCAAATAGTTCAGTTGTAAACTTAAATAACCTTCAAAATTTATCCAAAAGCTCAACACCTGGAGGAAAACGTCATAATGTATTCAAACATGATAATTTAATGAATACAATACAAATGTCACAACTTAAAAAAGATCCACCAATTCCAAGATTAAGTCAAAATATGAAAAAGAAATCATTATCAGATATGAATGTAAAAGATGCATTTGCAAAAACATTGGAAATTAAATCTATTGGACCAAATACAACATTAATTGAAGAAGGATCATTAAATAATGGATTATACTATGTCATTGATGGATCATTAGAAGTTTTTCATTCTTCTGAAAATAATACAACCCATCAGTCATATAATAAACATGTATATACTGTTCAATCAGGTGGTATAGCTGGTTATTTAACTTCAGTAGTTGGATTCAAATCTTTAACATCAATTAAAACTCCAAAGAAACAAGGTGCAATAGTTGCATATATTGCAAAAAATGATTACAACAAGTTATTAGACAAATTTTATTTTCTTCAATTACCTGTAGCTACAAAATTGAAAAGTTTATTATCTTATCAAATTTTAATCATTGATTATGCTTTAGAATGGTGTCATATTCCTACTGGAAATGTTTTATGTTCACAAGGTGATTTAGCAAATGGTTTTCATGTTGTTTTAAGTGGTAGATTTAGAGTTGTAAGAAGTGTTAAAAATGGAGATAAAGAAGAAACTGAAATTTTAGGGGAGTATGGACATGGACAATCAGTTGGAGAAGTAGAAGTGTTGACTGCATCACGAAGATCAAATAGTCTTGTTGCTGTTCGAGATTCCGAAACTGCAAGAATTCCAAGAACTTTATTTGAATTGTTATCATTTCAGAATCCATCAATCATGGTTAAAGTTTCAAGATTAGTTGCTTCAAAAGTTTTATCGCAAGAAAAATCAATACAAGCTCCAAAGAAATTTGTAGTTTCATCAGGTGCTGAAACATTTGTATCTGCAGATTATAAAACTATCACTATACTACCAACTGTTTCAGAATTACCAGTTAAAGAATTTGCCAATAAATTATTACAAGCTTTTAAAATTGTTGGGAGAAATGTAATTGCATTAGATCAAGCACTGACTTTAACTCATTTAGGTAGACATGCATTTGATGAATCATTAGCAAGATTAAAATTATCTGGATATTTTGCATATTTGGAAGAAGAATACGAAACAATTATATATATCTGTGATACACCAGTTCAATCAAATTGGACATCTACATGTATTTCTCAAGGTGATTGTATTTTATTACTTGCCGATGCACAAGATGAAAATACAGCAACTTCAGTTGGAGAATATGAACAATTATTAATTAAATTGAAAACTAGCGCCAGAACAGATCTATGTCTAATTCATCAAGAAAAATTTGTAAGTCCAGGATCAACTAATTTATGGTTAAAAAATAGATTATGGGTACAAGGACATCACCATATTCAAATGTATATAGAAAGAAATAATGATTCATTGCCAATCAATAAAAAATCATTTATTAATGATTTAGCTACTAAATTATCAAGAAATAAATCATTTATCTCAAAATTTGAAAATTCAGCAAGAAATATACCAATGATTAACAATTTAAACGTTGGTTGGAAGAATGATAATATAATCCATAATGAAGATGTTACGTTTAAATCTCACAAGAATGATTTTTTAAGATTAGCTAGAATTCTATCAAATGAAGCTGTGGGATTGGTTCTTGGTGGTGGTGGATCAAGAGGTATTTCACATGTAGGTGTAGTTACAGCATTAGAAAGACATGGAATTCCAGTTGATTTAATTGGTGGTACTTCAATTGGATCATTTGTTGGTGGATTATATGCTAAAGATTATAATATTGTTTCAATATATGGTAGAGCTAAAAAATTTTCAAAAAGAGTTGCTTCTGCTTGGAGAATGATTTTTGATTTAACATATCCTGTAACTTCATATATTACAGGTTATGAATTTAATAGAGGTATATGGAAAGTTTTTGGATTTACTGAAATTGAAGATTTTTGGATTAAATATTACTGTAATTCAACAAATATAACAAATTCAACCATGGATATTCATGAAACTGGTGTTGCTTGGAGATTTATTAGAGCTTCTATGTCATTAGCTGGTTTATTACCTCCAATTGCTTATAAAGGTTGTATGTTATTAGATGGAGGTTATTTAGATAACTTACCGGTTATGGAAATGAAAAGAAGAGGTGTTAAACATATAATTGCCGTTGATGTTGGATCAGCAGATGAAAGAACTGCAATGAATTATGGTGATACATTATCGGGATTTTGGGTATTATTTAATAGATGGAATCCATTTTCAAAACATCCCGATATACCAAATATGATGGATATTCAAATGAGATTAGCTTATGTTGCAAGTGTAAATGCATTAGAAGAAGCTAAAAGAACTCCAGGTGTTTATTATTTACGTCCACCAATTGAAAACTATGCAACTTTAGATTTTGGTAAATTTGATGAAATTTATCAAGTTGGCTTAGGTTATGCTGATAAATTATTTACTGAATGGGAAAACACTAAAAAATTACCACCAATTGCTGGATTTGTAGATAAGGAAAATATTAGAAATGGTCATGAAAGAAAGCATATATATAGAAGAAATAGCATTTAAAATTTCCGCATTAATGATTTATATTATACTATTGATGGTATAAACTATTTTTACTTATATGGTAGCTGTTGATGTAGTCAATCTTGATTTAAATGGTAATTTTTGTTGTCCCAATTTATGATCATTTGCTCTAGTTAAAGATTGATAAAATTTAACAACTTTTGGGTGTGTCATTACTTTTGATTCATTAAAATTTAAAACTTGTAATCCATTTCTTGAAGTTGCTCTAGATAATGCAACATAAGCTTGACCATTTTCGAAAGTTCTTCGTAAATCAACTTTAACTTTTGATAATGTTTGACCTTGAGATTTATGAATTGATAATGACCAAGCAAGCATTAATGGGAATTGAACTCTAGATAATAATACATTTCCTTCTTCATCTTCAACTGTCCATTGTTCAGGTTCAACAACTACTGTTCTGGTTGAAACACCATCAGGTAATAAAAATTTGACTAATGGATATCTTGTATTTTTAAAATCACCTAATAAATCATCTGATAATTTTCGTTTTGAATCTTTTTCAGTGTCAGGTCTTGCAATCTCCCCAGTAGTTTCAATTTTATCATCATCATTGAATATGAAATCTTTTAATTTTCCATCTTTAATTGAATCAATCATCTCATTTGAATTTGTTTTCATATAAGTATCTCGATCGACGAAGTCAATGACTTGTCCGAGGCTCCCGTTGACGAGAGCCTCATCGAAATTCTTAATGCACATGACTTGTGCTTGTGTTTTTAATTGTAATTCAGAATTTGCTAAAAAATTTCCCAATAATTGAGATCTTTGTGGTTCTTGAATTGATCCAGTGTCTATAGATTTATACTTGACTACATCACCAGGTAAAGATTTTAATCTTCTTGAATTTGCAGCATCCACTTCACGTCTTGTTGGATATAATTCAGCAGGTAATATACCATTTGAACAATCTAAATCTCTTTGTAATTTTGAAAACTCAATTAAGGAATCTGTTGATATTTTACCATCTCTTATTTCATTCAACATTCCAATAAATGTTTGATCGCCCTTTTGTCGGAATATCTCTTGTAATATTATTGTTTGTTGAATCGATTCCTCCCATGAATCAGATTCAAAGGAGAAAACCGTTTTAACATCCAGATTATCACTTCCATCAGGGTTAACTTTTTTCACAACTGGGGGTAATTGATAAAAATCACCACATGCAACAATTTGAATCCCACCGAATGGTTTATCATTCTTTCTCAATTTTTTGGCTACATGATTTAATTTATCAAATAATTCACCGTCAATCATTGAAATCTCATCTATGATTAATACTCTGGTTTCTATCCATCTTTTGACGGCCTTTTTGTTTTTTTTAACTTTTTTTAGCAAGAGCTCAATTTTCCCATTTGCTAATCCCATTCCAGCAAATGAATGTAATGTAATCCCACCAATATTACAAGCTGCCAAACCAGTCGATGCTGTAACTGCAACTCCAGAACTAAATTTATTACGTAACTCCTTAATTATCGATTTTAATAAAACTGATTTTCCAGTACCTGCACAACCAGTGTAAAATAACGAAGTACCGGATAAAACTTGTTTAAGGACATATTCTTGTTCAAATGATAAAACAATTGGTTTTACTGCTTTCTTTTGTGGTAATAATGATTGTGAATCTGAGTGTATTGGTTCGTTGAGTGTTGGTTTTTGAGTTGCTAATAGTAAGGTGTGATATTGATTATTCTGTTGTCGTTTCTTTTCAGTTGCTGATGAAAAATTTCTTTGTTGTATATGCGGGGGTGATGATATAGTTGATGAATCTGGTTTTGAAGAGATATTAAATTGTGGTGATAATATAGGTTGCGGTATATTGATTTCAGAAGATGGTGATTTTGAAGTTGTAGAATTTGGTATTTTAAATTGTGGTGGAGGTAAATTAAATCCAGAAGATGATGAGTTAGAAGGAGCTGCGGAATCTGGTTTTGTAAATTGTGGTGGTGACCGTTTTGAACGTATACTGAGTTCAGATGATGAAGATTTAATTGGTGATTTTGAGGAATTATATGATTCAACTGGTGATTGTGTTATTTGTGGTGTCCTTTTCTGTGATGATTTGATTGGTGATGATGATGTGACTATGTATTTACATATTCTTTTAGTTGGTGGTTTTTTAATTGGTGAAGGTGATGAAGTTAATGATAATATATTTTTATTTCTTAATTCTTCACTTATTGGACGTTTAACTTGATTAGCAGTTGCACTTGAATTTATCACTTCATTTGCAACATGCCATATTTCTTCATCATCACTAAATTCAAATGAAGATCCTTGATTTATGCATTTTGATTTTTGACTGTTTGTTTTATTTGAAGATGAATGTATAAATGAACCAGTTATGAGTAAATTACTTTTTTGTTCTTGTTTAACCTTTTGAATTGGTAATTTATTGATGTTTGATCTATTTGAGGATGATAATGTAAATGAGTCATTTATGGAACATATATTACTTGCTTCTTGTATTTTAAGTTTTGATATTTTTGATTTGTTTTCAGTATTGGTAAATGTAGCAGGTATACTACTTTTAATTCTTGGAGTTTCTAATCTTTCAGGTCTTTCACTATTTACTTTATCAGAACTAAATGTAAATGAATCAGATGTCAATGGTTTAAAACTTGTTTCTTTTGTATCCTTGGGTACTTGCGAATTTGCAATTTTCTTTTCGGAACTTAATGATAATAAACTTTGATCTGATTTCTCTTGAGTCTTTGGTTTTTCAATACTTTTGCTTTGGGAGTTGAATGTAAAAGAATCAATCAACGAAGGGTCATCAGCTTGTAATTCCTTAACCAGTTTATCATCCGAATCATTTTTATTGGTTTTACTAAATGTAAATGAGTTATTAATAACTTCTTGAATCAGTTCTTGTGAATCTTTTCTCTTTAATTTATTTTCAAATTTAATTTCTCGAATCAGGGTTTGAGATTGAGAATCACTAAAATCAAAAGAATCTTGAATTATATCTCTCCACTTATCTTCAGGTTCATAATGAGTCGGTGGAGCAATTTCTTCAGCATCAGACTCAGTAAACAAATCTTCTTCCCAACCATCTAATATTCGACTTGGATCGGTTTCAATCATAGTCATATTGGATGAAAATTTATATGAATTATAACGAATTTGATTTAAATTAAAATAAAATCGTTGTCTTAGTAAATTTATTGAACTTTTGACTGTTTTCATTTAATTTCTATACTTTATTATCTTTATTCTTCTTTTGAGTTATCATATACGCGTTAATATCAGTTGTTGGTTATTTTAATTGATTGTTTCAGGTTGTAAAAGGAATAATTAGTTTTAAGAAAAAAAGATTTAAATTGATACGAGATAAAGTGCTACCATATGTCTTTGTTTACAATTTTGCAATAAAGATTACAGAACGCGTTAGATCATATTAGTATAGTTTGAAATAGCGCATAATGATGAATAAAATTAGGAATAGTTACTTTTGTAAAGAATAGTTAGTTCAACACAGTTTAATTCGAATCTAACACCAAATTCTAATTTGAATTACAATAATTTATGACCTACTACCGTCAGCAACAATCTAGAGATAGCATCCAACAAATCGCAACTAATAGCATCCTAGCTTATTAGCACCAATACTCCGATCTAACTCATCAGTTGTCTATTTGCATCCTTACCAGTTAAATATTGAAGAAACCAATTTTGTCGTATATAAAATATGCAACTCGATGTTCCTGATTTCATATATTTGTAGATTCTAAAGTATCTAATAAGAAATTAACAACTAAGTGCTTGAGAAGGCTGAAATCACTTTGAAGACCAAAATAATGGAAAAGGGAAATATATAAATAAATCGACAATTTTAGAGGTTATACTACTAAATCAAGTTCATAGGACAATGTAATTTAATTAAGTAATTCGATAATGGTTCTGAGCTGAAATGCAAGTTTCTTGTATTAAATCAGCCGAATTTTATAAAGTTAATGAAAATGGTGAGATTGAGAATGTAGATTTCAAGAAGAGAATGTGCCTGATTTAGATGTCCATGGTGATAAGCTACAAGGTAAATTATTAGTAAGTAAGAAATTTAATACTAAACCAAGAAATAATCAAGTTAATGCTAGTATACCAAAATCTCCATCTTTGAAATAGATCAAAATTGTAAATAGATAACCAATAAAGGCTTTTAATTAGCGAAAACCTTCCAAGGATGCATGTAATGATGCAATAGGATAGGTAGTACAGATGTAAATTTGTAAGGATTACAAAGAGTAGTAGTGAATTTATCAAGTGATCATTTGATTTGTAATTCTAATATCAACAGGAGAAGTTATTTGCAAAGACATGAGTACATGGGATCAAAAGTACTACGTAGTTATTCAAAAATGATGCTAGTTTCAAATCTTTAACTTAGATCTCGTAAACCAAAGGCATTATAGATCTATGCCCTGGGCTTTTTCAGGGTCCATTTTACTTAGATCTATGCCCCGGGCTTTCTCAGATCCAATTTTCTAAATAAAAGGTAGACTATATAGATTTTGAATGCTTTTAATGGCTTTCAGAGTTAATAAATAACGTAAGGATGCAATTGATAGATAATTATAAGTATGTAAAGACTGAGGATTAAAATCAATATAACTACAAAATGAATGAGTTTCAAAGGGAACTTGCCATATAAAACTTACTTCAGTAAATCTCAAAGTATCTATATCGTCCACTCTTATTATCGTATGCAATCAAAAGATATTTTTTAGATCGGTGTTTTGGGACATTGGGAATGTTCATACTAAGAAATTCAAAGAATTTAAATTCTAAAATTATGCAATAACTTCATCCTCAATGGTTTTAGAGTAAGATGTTCCGTATGAAAGATGCTCGAATTAACTTGCTCTATTCAACTATCTTAATCTCAAACTAGGATTGTTCCAAAAATTTATTTTCGAAGCTGAAACACTTGGGATGCCAACTGCATTAAATAAAAAACGATTCCATCCAACTTCACTACCCAATGCACCGCTGAATTCATCTAAAAAATGATTTTTAAACGCATCTTAAAATATGACCAGGATCACTCTAATGCTCATTCGAAGATGAGTAATTTTTATTAGACAATCATGTATTTAGAATTGAAATTCATTAGGATATTCGAAGTTTTAATTTACATAGTGATATTCAATCATAAAAAAGAGCTCCTGAGCTCGTAAACTTGAAACCGGTCGAAGCTACTTAAAGGGAAAACTTGAATTACAAGGGAATGCAATTTAAATTATGTATTAGTTGATAATAAGGTCGGCTACCAATTTCACGGTAGTATCTCGTATTGCAACCTCTTGCAAGAGTCATTACAATACCAACAAAACAAAACGTCAAGAATCAAAATAAGGGAGACATTGGATCAGAAACACAAGAATGAAAAAATTGAGTACAAGCTGAGCAAAACATTTTTATTGGGTTTGATTTGGAACTTGCAGTTGAAGGTGTTTCTATGATTGATTCAGTATTTTCCTAAGTCTTTTCTTCAGAATAATTTCTTTAAGTCTTCTAAATAATATGCTTTCTCATTCATTTTTGAACTGTGACCAAGTAATGATGAACCGAAAGTTTACTGAAATTTATAACTATGCATAATCTAGGAATCTACAAAATAATTACTAATATATAGATTTCAAAAGTTTAAATAATTGTTAGTACGAAGCCTCTTTATTAGATTTGGTTTGCAACATGCTCTTGAAGATGATTTGATCTCTTTCCTATTGTTTCTGTAACAATAATGAATTTCTTTACATCTTTAATTGTATAGGTATTCATATTTATCACTAAAAGTTTACAAAACAAATGCCTCGATCAGAATCTAATTAGCATTTAGCACATCTGGGTTGACACATTTTAGAAAAGTTCACTTCAATTAATACTCTTATTGTTAACTAAATTTCTTAATTCAATTCAAAATTTATAAGTTTGTGTTGATTGCAATTAGTTCTCGCAAAACTAAACACTATCAGCATCAGATTAGTATCAATTAATTCCTTTAGTTAAACTGAGAATATCCGTATGAGCAGATCTTTGGTACTTTGATTATTCATCGAGTTATTCCAATAAGGAGCTATAGGGCCATTTCGCTCCAGGTTTGGCTGAAATTTACAACCGAAAATATTATTTTCTACGACGTGCTCGCACCAAAAAACTCATGGTCACAAAGAGAAACAATTCTGAAACAAATTTTTGCTTATATGCAGTATCGTGGATTTAATTTTAAATACTTAATCTATAAGTAACTTCGTCAATCACTTGTTCTTAAACTCAATTCATTAAAAATTCTGTCAGCTTAGAGTGTAATAATATTAATACTTTTCAAAGAATCCAAACTTCGACCACTTTTTGCTTCCTCTGAAGCATTGCAGAATACGTTAAATTGCAAGACAATGAATTTTTAGAAACGGTCACGATATGATTACATATGTATAGTACGTTAAATTAACCTTACATTCATTAATTATATAAAACTTTCCACGAGGAAATAAGGATGTCATTACAAAAATGTAAGGATGTCATATTTCTTATGTAGTATCAAATTGGAATTTTACCAATTATCTTGCACTTTATTAGTCTTCTATTTGCATCCTTACCGACTTGCATCCTTACCTATTAGCACCAATAGCCCAACCCAAACCATGAACAAACAAATTTGAAATCTTTTCACCAGCATTATTAGTAGAATTAGTAGCATCGGAAATAATATCATTAGCTAAATTTGAAATATTGTTTAATTGACGACTGGAATAAGCATCCTCCTCCTCCTCAATCTCATCATCCACACTTATTCTCTTTTCAATTTTATCATTTACTAAATTCCATTGATTCAAAACAATTTTAACATTAACACCCAAATTTAGCTTCTGTATCATTAAACTCAATATTTCTCTTTGTTTTATTAAAACGTCTATAGGCTCGATACTCCAGTTGGGTGATTGGAATTTCCCAACTTGATAAAATGTAAGCCATAAATTATCTTCATCTTTCAAGTTCTCGAATAATTCAATTGATGAAGTATATGCATATGTGAAATTATCATCAATTAATGCAGATTCAATAACTAATGTTTTCAAACTATTAAATACATCCTCTGTAGTATTGGAATAAAGAATTAGATCATTTGTAATTCGAAATAATTTTTCAAATGCAAGATATGATTTCGGATTCTGTTCCAATATGGTAGTAACTAATTTCAAGACGTTTGATTTGAATGATAGGAGTTTTGAAGGTGTTAATGGTGTTTTATTAATTACAATTTTGAAATTTTTCACTGAGTTTATAGCTTTAAATAGGTGCTTGAGGCGTATTATTTCATCTTGGTTTGATTTTTCTAGGTTAGTCAAGTGGGATAATATATCTAGACATTGTTTTGATTCATGTAAATGACCTATTTTCTCATTTAAATTCGTGGCTTCATTGTAAAAACTCCAGAATTTATCCAATACGATCGTGAATATTTCATTACTTGATATGCTGAATTTATTAGTTTCTATCATTTCGTTTATTATTGTAAATAGATTGGAATTGAGTAGGTTTTGTAATATTGTTTTTTCAATTATTGGCGTTTCTGAATCAGATATGAATTGTGATTGGAATGTCTTAACTGATGTCATTAACGTATCAAAATTAGAAACTGTAACATTGGATAAGAACTTTGAAACTTCAGCTTGAGTATCTATTTCTAGTGGATTAAATTTGAATTTTAAATAATTGGCTAGTGTGAGTTTATTAATTGGATATAATTTTCGACATGTATCAATTGCATCATTCAAGAATCCCATATTTTCAACTTTAAATAATGGTGATAATGGATTTCCCTCTTTTCTAAACCCACTGAAATCAGTAAGTACGTCTGCAAATCTAATTTCTAATTTGGTTGATTTTTTCTTATCGAATAAGTTCAATGTCTCCTTAATCAAATCATATGTCCTAATGATTTCAATAGATGCAATTTCAGATTCTTTAAAACTGTAATAATAAACAGCTGATAACCAATATTCTACTAATTTTTCAAAATCTTTTAATTGAAAATTATCAATTAATGCAGAAATAACCAATTTCCAAACTTCGTATTTCTTAACTATTCCAAAATCAGTATTAAACAAGTACTCTATTAATGTATCAAATGCAGAACTATACTTCAAAGATGGAATAATTACAAATTTAATCCAGTTCCCTAAATTATGTACTTCATTAAATGGCTCTACTAAAATTTCAAACTTTTCAGTGGGGTCAGATTTTAAATAGTCATTAAGTGTTGTTTTTCCAATATGTGACCAATAATAATCAAAAGGTTGAATAATACAAATATACCAATTATTAAATTCTTCAAATTCAATATTTGAAAATAATAATTCAATATCCTTAACATCATTAAAATAAGAAGATAATTGAAGGATCTTAGCTTGTACAAATCTAAATAATAATTTATCATTTTTATCACCTGGTTTGAATCCAAGCAATTGAGCTTGTGAATTAGTATCAATTATTAAATCATCAGCTGTTTTAAATAACGACACTGGGTTCTTGATCTCTATTCTATTTTCAAATTCAACATCTTCTACTTCTATATCGTTGTATATGATAGATTTGGCTAATTCAATGACTATATTCCATTGAATATTACATGGCAAGGTATAAATTAATAATAAATTGAGTATATTATATTGATTTGTATATTTTAAATCTGGATATTGGCCAGTTGTATTCTTCAAACTATTAAAATGTGATATTAGCTCTAATGTATCATTACTACTTAAATGTTCAATCGTAGTTAAATATAAATTTGCATCAATTGATTGTTCCATCTTTCAGTTGAAAAAAAATATATTATCAACACTTTTAATAATGAGTGGGTTTAATATTACATATCCTAATGAATCAAAGATAACTGATACTTATATACTGGAACATTCAAAATACTATGAAGAATCATATTCATTATATTGTAAAATTAGAAGAGATTTACTTAGTTTCACCAAAACTGTATTAAAAGAAGGTGCTGATATTAACAAGAATGGGAACTTGATCCAGTTGAAAAAATTAGCTTATGATCTCGAGAAATATGAAATGGATTATAAACGGAAGCTCAAGGACTACGAGTTATATCTTAAAAATCTACAATTCGACGATGGTATATTAAAAGAAATAAAAAACAAGAGGAACGAAATTCAAAATGATTTAAAAGAGTTAAATAATAGAATAGATCATATTACAAACATACAAAAACCAATATTGGACAAGATAGAAACTTTGAGTAGTAAAATCAAACTCAATCTAAACAAAAACACAGCTAGATTATTACATCGATCCCAATTGAAAAATAGATTAGATTATGATGAAACTAGTCTTGATATAAATTATGCCAGTCTCAAATTTAACCATGATGATATTATAAACATAGATGAGAAAACGAAACTCGTGGAGTACTTAAACAACAACGCAATCAAATCTATTGAATCACTTAAGTCAGTTGACGGTTTCCAAGATGATGATTTATTATTCAACTTACAGAAAAGTATTGTTAGTGTAGATACTGATGAATTTACAACTATGGATCAATATGATAAATTAATAAATGAAACATTAGCTGAAATTGATGATTTACAGTCTCAAAAACTGAAAAATAAAGGTAAATATATGAAGACTGCTAATGTTGTTATGAAAATTAAACAAGTATTGGACGAAGAAAGTAAGGATGTAGAAATGGAGGAAATATAGAATGGCAAGGAAGTAAAAATGGCATTGAATGCAGAAACGCGAGAGATATAATATTTGATATCTGGTAGAGTACTCTTTACATATTGAAATTAGTAGTAGAAGAAGAATTGGATATAGAAATAGAAGTGATATAATACTAATATTTTGTTACATCCTTACCATGGCTCATTATATATTATATTTAGTTTACTTAATTTATAGCATCCTTACTCTATTATCGGACTTATCAAAATAACAGAATCACCTCTAACAAAAACCATCTCACTCTTTTTAGTCATTGGTTCATCATCATTTTCATTATATATATATTCTAAAGCATCACTTAAAACCATATTACAATGAGAATCAAATCCTTGTAATTTCCCCTTTATTTCTCTTGAACCTCTTAATTTGACAATAATATATTCATCCAATTGATACCTTATTAAGTCTAATGGTTCTTCTGCTTGTTGATGTGATGTTTGAACAGTACTCATTCTTAACTATTTGTTTTGTTGATAATTAAACAGAAAAAAAAATTATCAAAATTTTTCAACCAGGATAAAACAGTTGAATATGGTGAATATCATACTAAACAGGAGTATAAGTTCAAGTAGCTGTCTACTTGCTAGGAGTTTAAAATTTAAGGATCTTTCTAAAATCAAATTAAGAGAACCGATCTTACCTACAATAAACAACTTTGAAGTATCACCAGATCATCCATTATGGCAATTTTTTCCACAAGGTTCAAATACAACAACTCCCATTAGACAATCAGAAGATTTAGATTTAGATTCAAGAGGATGGACATCTGCTGAATTACGTAGGAAATCATTTGAAGATTTGCATAAAATTTGGTATTTATGTTTAAAAGAACGTAATATACTCGCAAGGGAAGTTAGAACTGGTGAACTGATTGGTATGATGGATTTTAGTAGATTTAATTCGATAGATATTAAATTAATAAAAACACAAAAGAGAATTAAACAAGTATTATTAGAAAGACAAATTGCTTATGAAAGGTCACAAATTGACTTTACTGAAGAGAAAACCAAATACTTACAAGAATTTAGAGAGTCATTTTTAAACTGTGAGGAAGGAGAGTTTGAAGAACAGTATGAAAAGTTGATTCGTTTACAATATGCATTTTTTGGAATTCCACCAGAGTTGAAAGTTGAAAATTTGGATGAGGATATTACTATTAATTTCATAAATGGATTAGAATATGTTTCAAATTTGAAATTGGAAAGATATTTAAAAAATAATGATGTTGAATTTGAAATGCCACTCAATGGTCCAATGGAACAATTACCATTTTTGTTGTTTGATGTAGAAGAGGCAATTAATCAAGTTAAAACCTTAAGAGAAGAAGGTATAAATATTAAATTGAAGAAGATTGAAATTATACCATTTTTGAAAAATGCAATTACTAAACATATAGAACAAGAAGAAGAAGGAGAAACAACCATGTAAATAGACTAATATACAACTCCTTCATATTTACGTTTAACTTACTTGATTTTTAAGGCATTCAGCTCGTCTGTATTCTTAGCAATTCAACTTGTCTAAAATTTTAGTCATCAGTCTCCTTGCATCCTTACATTCAACTTGTATTCTGGGGCATTCTTACTATCAATTCTTTTTATTTTGCACCCATTTTTTCTTCATTTTGTACCTATTTCTTCAAGTTTGATCGAAATTGAAATTATACCATTTTTAAAGAATACCCTTTCGAAAGATTGAAATTGCTAAATATATAGAAACAGAGGAAGAAATAACCGTGTAATAGTCAATATATAATGTAAATATCAATTGGTAGTTCTATTTCAATCTTGGGTGCAAAATATTTTTAAACCAATAGAAAAAAATATTAACCATTGGCAACTATCGACACTTTTTAACCAAACTATTTGTAATGGGTGGTAGAATACATGGTTTTCTCGGTGGCGTATTATTAACTTCAACAATAACGTATCTCACAAAACAATATATCGTTAAAAATTCATTATTTATTTCCGATTCATTAAGATCATCAAATTATACAATACAAAATAAAATATTATCAAATAAACATTATGAGAATTTAAGTATACCTAATAAGCATACAACTGATGAAATACGCTCATTTAACGAAACTTGTAAAGATCTATGGAATGAAGAAATTATTAAAATGGTAAATTGGGTATATGGAATTAATTGGTATAAAATTGGAATGAAGATTGATGAAAAGACTGGTGAGATTTCGAGTAGATTGGTTGAGCTGTTGAAAAAAGAGTAAGGTAATAAGATAAAGATGCTGCAAAAGCAAGGATGCAACAAACAGACGTTAAATCTGAGGTTGTCGTATTAGAAATACTATTTGCTGTATAGTCAACTATTGAATGTACAATTTATTAAAGTTGGTAACTAATTTAACTCTCTATTTCTGAAATAGTCTATAATTGGCAGGAATCAGAAACAAATGTAAGGATACCATATAAGAAATTAATTGTAAGCCATATATTTATTGAATAGTCAGAATTTAGTATAAACATTACCAGACTTTTCACCCACTATCTGTTATATCTTTATTGATAAAATAATTTACAATAGGTTGAATCAAACTAAACACAAACCCAATCAAAACTTGCAAAACACTCCAATTTCTAGGATTCATTCCCATTGAAGAACAAGCCAAAACCCAACCAATAAAATCAGTATAAATAGAATCATAACCCTTATTCAATTGATCTAATATTATTGCAGCACATTTATCTCCAGTTATAGGATTACTTGGCCCTTCGATCTTTTTCGTAATTTCAGGCTTGGTTTTCTGTTCTTCTTCAAATCCCTCACTTTGAAAATTACCAGGATAGACACATACTACTCTATAATTATAATTGAGAAGTTCTTGTCGTAATATGATTGATAGTGATTGAATTGCTGATTTCATTGGAGCATATTGAGAATATCCAATGAATGGAAAATAAGAAACCACGGATGAAAATAAAACAATGACTCTCTGTTTCTTAAACTCTGTCTGTTGTTTGAATCCAGTATGAATGACGTTTAATGAAGTGTTATAATTTGTATTTATCCCATTGGTGAAGTCATTGGCCGTGAGATCTTTGAATAGTTTGGGTATACTTGATCCAGCACAACAAAATATAAAATCCGGATCGTAGCCTTGATTTGACAATTCTTGCCATAATTTTACACATGAGCTATAGTCAGACACGTCGCATTTAATATATGATACCTTGGCTGTTGTGGTTTTAGTTGATAATTTTTCAATTTCAGCTACTTTGATTTTCAATTTCGATTCTGTTCTTGCTACTAGTATGATTGAACAATTATTGGAGTATAATTGTTTAGCTAGGTTAACTCCTATACCTTGTGATCCACCAATTATTAATGCTGTTTTATTTTCAACTTTGAAATGATTAAACCAAACCATGAAACAAACAATATTGGCCAAAAAAAAAAATTGAAAAAATCGCGTTCATGTCGCGCAACATACATACGCGAGAAAGGCCCTTGTACTTGTCGCCCCACAAAACGGATGGGTCGAGCTCTGGGTCTACTATAATATTTATACCAGTAGAATACAATAATTAACTATTCTACCTACTTAATATAGTGTAATATCTTCGTGAATTGCAACCTTGAATACAAGATGGTCTAATAAAAGTTAGTCACTTTCGAGTGAACATTCAATTGATATCAGTCATTAATCAAGATGTGTTTAAAAATTATTTTTTAGATGAATTCAGTGGTGCATTGGGTGGTGAAGTTGGATGGGATGGTATCGTTTTTCATTTAATGCAACTGGCATCCCTAGTGTATCAGCATCGAAAATTTTATTTTTGAAATCATCTGTATTTGAATTTACAAGATTCGAATAGAGCAAGTTTATTCGAGTATCTTTTATATGAAACATCTTACTCCAAAATCATTGTTGATGAAGTTATTGCATAATTTTAGAATTTAAATTCTTTGGATTTCTTCGTATGAACATTCCCAATGTCCCAGAACACCCATCTAAAAAAAATCTTTTGATTGCATACGATAATAAGAGTGGATGATATGGATACTTTGAGATTTACTGAGTAAGTTTTATATGACAAGTTCCCTTTGAAACTCATTCACTTTGTAGTTATATTGATTTTAATCCTCAGTCTTTACATACTTATAATTATCTATTAATTGCATTTTTACATTAACAAAAAGCCATTGGAAGAAGAATTTAAAAAATCTTTTTATTATCTTTCTTCTATTTAAAAAATTGGATTTGAGAATGCCCAGGGCATAGATCTAAGTAAAATGGACCCTGAAAAAGCCCAGGGCATAGATCTATAATGCCTTTGGTTTACGAGATCCAATTAAGTAAAATTGAAACTAGCTTCATTTTTGATTAACCACATAATACTATACTTATACCTTCGCACGATAAGTACTTCTGTTGATATTAGCGTTTGATACATAGTAGTCAAAGTCAAATTTCATTTTATATAATTTCTACTCTTTGGCATCCTTACAAAGTTCCTATGCTATTGGATCCTTACATGAATCATTACGTGAATTAGGGGGAAGTTTTTTACTTATTGACATCGTTTATTGAATAACTATTTACAATTTTGATCTATTTTAAAAATGGTGATTTTGGTATACTAGCACTTTGATTATTTGTTCTTGGTTTAGTATTAAATTTCTTACTTATTAATAATTTACCTTGTAACTTACCACCATGAGCTTCTAAATCAGGTAAATTCTCCAATTTATCCTTCAAATCAACATTTTCAACCTCACCATTTTCATTAACTTTATAAAATTCAGATTTACATTTCTCAACCACTTCTCTAAACTTCTCTTCCCCATTTGGTCTCAACTCAACTAATTTATCAACATTTAATTTGGTCAAGTCATCCAAAGGCAAACCTTGTAACTCTAATCGAGCTACTATTTTACCAGTATACCATAATTTAAATTCATATTCACTATCGACTAATTCAATCACGGACATTGGAGATTTGTCTTCTGATAATCTAGGTTCTAATCTTAAAACTCTGATAAACCCATTTGATCTATTAATATATCTTGATCCAAACTGACTAAGAATTTTTGTACCTATTTCTGATCTATCTAATGGTTGGAGAAATGATAATGCGCCCAATTTGTGAAGTTTTTGATTTATTGGGAGTTGTGATAATGTTGGGTCTGAGTTTATTTGTTTTGTTTCTTTTATGACTTGATTTAAAAATTTTTCTATGTATGGTTTTGCTTTTCTTGCTTTTGATGCTGTTGTTTGTATATATTCATGTTTAATTAAATTTGCACATAGATTCTTACGAATCATATTATATTGTCTGTGACGATTTATTTCGAATGTTACTACTTTTGGCATGTTATACTGTTAGTTGATTGATTTGATAAATTTTTCAATGCTTCAGAAAAAAATTAGACAGTGAAGTTGGTAGCGTTGGTAAGGATGCTAAAGTAAGGATGCATTGATAGTAAGGATGCTATGATATTGATGAAGTTTTTCACCGTGACTGAAGAGATTGGTATTACTATTACATTGTATATATTTGATTTTTTAGTTTGTCCTAAAAATTTATTGGTTTATCAAAAGTAGCCAATGCCGCCTCTTTAAAAGCTTCAGATAAAGTTGGATGAGCATGACAAGTTCTTGCAATATCTTCAGTTGAAGCACCATATTCTAAAGCTAACCCAGCTTCAGCAATCATTTCACCAGCATTTGGACCTATAATATGAACACCTAAAACTCTTTGAGTTTCAGCATCAGCAATAAATTTAACAAAACCATCAGTATCTAAATTAGTTTTAGCTCTTGAATTTGCAATAAATGGAAATTTACCAATTTTATATTTAATTCCTTTTTCTTTCAATTGTTCTTCATTTAAACCAACCCATGCAACTTCAGGATGAGTATACATAACTGATGGAATATTTGCATAATTAACATGTCCATGACCTTTTTTAATATATTCAGCAGCTGCAATTCCTTCTTCTTCTGCTTTATGAGCCAACATTGGTCCAAATGTAACATCACCAATTACTCTAATATGTTCATGCTTAGTTTTAAATTGATCATCAATAATTAATCTACCTTTATTATCAGATTCTAAACCAACTGCTTCAAAATTTAAACCTTGAGTATATGGTCTTCTACCGATGGCAACTAATAAAACATCAGCTTCTAAATCTGATTTTTTACCTGATTTAACATCTTCAACTTCAATTTTAACAACTTCACCTTCACGAGTACCTGAAATAACTTTTGTACCTAATTTAAAATCTAATCCTTGTTTTGCTAATAATTTTTGTGTCAGTTTTGCTACTTCTCCGTCCATACCAGCACCAATAGCATTCATAAATTCAATAACGGTAACTTTTGAACCTAATCTAGCATAAACTGAAGCCATTTCGAGACCAATAATACCACCTCCAATTATAGCCAATCTTTTTGGTATATCTTTTAATGATAAAATTCCGGTACTTGTAACTATTCTTTCTTCATCAATTTCAATACCTGGAAATGGAGTTGGTTCTGAACCAGTAGCAACTATAATATTTTCAGCTTCAACTTCAAAAGCTTCCTTACCTTCTTCAATTGGTTCAATTTTGATAGTATGTTCATTAACAAAAGAACCAGAACCTTTCAAATAATCAACTTTATTTTTTTTTAATAACATTTCAACACCACCAGTTAATTGTTTAACTGATTTTTCTTTGGCTGCCATTAATTTTGGAAAATCAACTCCGACTTCACCTTGAATTTTAATACCACGTTCTTTAGCTTCATGTTGAACTTGGTGTAATAAATGAGAATTATTTAATAATGATTTTGATGGAATACATCCAACATTTAAACATGTACCACCTAATGCACCTCTTTTTTCAATACATGCAGTTGATAAACCTAATTGACCTGCTTTAATTGCAGCGACATAACCACCTGGTCCACCACCAATAATAACAACATCATATTTTTTAGTTGATGCAAATCTAATAAATTGTGATGATATTTTTGGTATGGTTTGTTTTTTAATTGATCTTAACATTATGAATAGTTAGTTCGATATTGACAAATGAAAATAGAAAAATTTATATAAATGTTTCACCGGGCAACTCTCAATTATATATACTGAAATACACGACTATTGATAATTTGCAGCCAAATATATTTATTAGTGTCATTGATTGACTGGAGATAAGATAGAGCGAATGATAGTAGTTAGTGTCTATTTATGATCTAGGTACAGTTGATTACTAAACATCTTCGTTATTAGCGTTTCTTTTCATTTGGTAGTCATCGCATTTATTAGTCCGGGATCATTTAAACTCCGATGATCTAAATGACTCAAGTATAATTAAAATATAACAGGAGACCATTATGCATAGTTGACAATCATCAAATGTTGGACTATGCATTTGCTTTTGGCTTGGTGTAGATGAGTAGCTGAAACTGTATCATACATCTTTGAATAATATTGATTATATAATTGGTAGCGTTTTAAAATCAAGTTGCTTCTCTGGTATTAAATTAAAGTGATGAAAAATCTATTTTACTCCAGTAAGAGGTCGGAATCTAAGCTGATCTATGTTCTCAATCTCTGAATAGCTAATAGATTGCCCTTTCAATCAAATATAACCTCACTGCACTAAATTATATAATTTTACCCCTTAACGTTGAACATTTGAAAATAAAGCACCAAACACTGTTGATAGGTTCTTAGTCCAATCAGGATTAAATGCTGTGATTTTATATTGAGTAGGATATTTTGGAGGCTAGCTACTGCTTATCCTTTTTAAGGGGCAAAAAAATGAGTCCAGTATTCGAACCAAATGCAAAAAAATACTTCATGCAACCTATTTCAGGTCTTTTTTTAAGACAGCCCTACGCGGGGCTCGAACCCGCAGCCTTGAGATTAAAAGTCTCACGCTCTACCATTGAGCTAGCAAGGCTTTTTGATGTTGTGCTAATTTGCTTTATTACTCAGATCATAAGACTTAATAGCTCGTGACCAAAACTGACTTCATAACTCAAAGAATTACATTTTTATTAAAGGCCTCAAATGTATCTAATAATTGAAATTTTAAATTTGATATATTAAAATTAACGGAACAATATTCATTTAAATTATTTATTGATTGTATAATTATAAATAATTTATCATATCCATTAAGTTTATTATCATTAAGTATTTATTTAGCTTTAAAAACTACAAGATTACCATTATTAATTAGTGAAACAAATGATGAAGAAATTGCTAAATTACCTACATTTTCAGATGACTGGAATGATTCAAAATATTTAATTGAATTATCAAAAAATGGGAAATTTCAACCTCCAATTTTTATAACATTGGGAATAATTGGAAATAATTTAATATTTGATCCTTCACAAGAAGAAGAAACCGTATTGGAGAATGGATTAATAATAAGTTTCTATAATAATAAAGTAATAACACCAATATCAAATACAAATTTTGCATTAAATTCAAATAATTCAAATTTTAAAGGATTAAATAAGAAAATTATAATTGGAGCTTTAAGTTTGGGTAATAAATATTGTCCAATAATATTAGAAGCATTAGATAATTTAATAGAAGAAGATATCAATGATAATGATGGAAATATGTTTTAATAAATATATTATATAAATAGTAATGAACTCAAATTTATAAAAAAAGATGTCATACCAGCTACATGTATAATAACAGTTCTATATACCCTATTAATATCTAAATACCTTCAACTTTAATTTTGTGTGTGCAATTTATCATCATCCTACCAACCTCTACCAAAAGAGAAGCAGCAGACCAACTAGACCAGTAATTATACTTTAAGTGCCTTTAAAGCCCAAGTATCATGTTATTCTTATTATTAAGTAATCTTGACTTGCTATAATGTTAAATAATTTCACAAATCTTCAATAGGTTCATTATCAAAGGTTAAATAATCCCAAATATGTATAATCCAAACACTTATCTTAAATATCGTATGAAACAATAAAGCAATTAACAACATGATTGAATAATATAATGTAGTTTTGATGATTGATAAAAGCATAAATGTAAAAACTGTAGTGTTTGGTAATTTGTTATAATTTTGGCATTTTGTTGCAAATTGGTCAAAAATCAACAAATATGATATGATCAAACAACGCTACCAGAGTTAGATTGAACACTTCATATTTGTTATAACGACTAAAGATTCAGATACTATAGTAACTCAGTCAATAAGTAACTTACTGAACCTAATTAAATGTGCAGTTTTACTAAAATATTTTTAAGGGGTATTATAGTAGCAGTACGCACTATAAATGCATATACCCCTTAACTCTAGAATGTTAAATTACATCGAAAATAACACAATGTATCAGCAAAAATTCTACATTTTCTACTTAGTTTTAGTCACACAGTTTGTAAGCTGCATTAGAATGTTCCTGGAACACCTATTTGGTCAAGTTTTGATTAAACATTCACTCTTTAATTATTTCCATAACGTGTACCATTATGGATTTCCTTCAAGCTAATGATTTTCTCATTGCAAAGTTGCTATGATCGAAGCAATTAGTATTAGACTATAGTCTACATATCCTATGACCACTATAAACGAAGAAACTACTAAGTTGCTGAGTAAATTGAAATAATATTAATTTTTTTGCAACCATTTTAATTGTCTCGGTTATGGTTGCAAAAATAACGCCAAAATTTCTTTTGTTCCTCGAGTTAGAGATGCGTCCAATTTCAAATTTGTGGAGAGCGAAAACACGATGTAACCAATGAAACAAATCGTAAGTCTAAGTCTAATTTCCATTAATCTTAATTATTAGAAATTGTTAATAGTGCAATTCATTTAGTGCTTAGAAAGAGCCTTCTAGCCTAATTTGTCGTGTCAATCACGTCGTATAATGTATATAAAGGAGGAACAAAATAAAATCCGATTTGTACCCGGTCAGTATAAAATGTGAAACATTAAATGCCCCGGTGATTTCAGGTTGAGGGAAAAAAATAATAAATAATAATTGAATCATCAACCATCATCAACCATCATCAAATTCGGAGTTAGTAATTGGTCAATTTCGACTGAGAGAATGACTGGAAACTCTATATAATTCTATGTAAATGAATGCAAATGGCCATTAATCATATACATAGTCTAATCAATCTCTCTTACTAATTGTTTAGTATTGTAAATCGTGTTTCAATTTGGAATAATTTTATTCGTTTAAATTAACCAAAAGCAAAATAATTTTTTTTTTTTTCTTTTTTCAACCAAAGTTTGAAAACTTGTATAACTTCAAGAACTATTCAAAATGTTATCTAGAAGTGTTAAATCTTCATTAAAACGTACCTCATCAGTACTTAAACAATCCAATGTTATTAAACAATCCAATGTTACTAAACAATCTTTCAAAATTTTAAATGTTCAAATATCAAGATCATTACATTTAAATAATACAAACACTCCAAGATTTCAATTAAATACTCCATTATCATTCAAAAGATTTGGTAGTACTACTGTTAAAGTACCAGATATGGCTGAATCAATTACTGAAGGTACTTTATCAGCTTTTAACAAAGAAGTTGGTGATTATGTTGAACAAGATGAAACTATTGCTACTATTGAGACTGATAAAATTGACGTCGAAGTTAATGCTCCTGTTGCAGGTACAATTAAAGAATTTTTAGTTGATGTTGAAGCTACTGTTGAAGTTGGCCAAGATTTAGCTATAATTGAAGAAGGTGGTGAACCTGCAAAAGGTGCTGCAACAAAAGCTGAATCAAAACCAAAAACTGAAGAACAACCTGAAAAGAAAGAAGAAGCTAAATCAGAATCAAAAAAAGAAGAATCAAAACCAGAAACAAAAAAGGAAGAAAAAAAACCAGAACCAAAGAAAGAACAACCTAAAAAAGAAACAAAACAAGAATCAACTCCATCATTCACAAACTTTTACAGAAATGAAGAAAGAGTTAAAATGAATAGAATGAGATTAAGAATTGCTGAACGTCTTAAAGAATCACAAAACACTGCAGCATCATTAACTACATTTAATGAAGTTGATATGTCAAATTTAATGAATATGAGAAAACAATATAAAGATGAGTTTTTAGAAAAAACTGGTATTAAATTAGGTTTTATGGGTGCTTTTTCCAAAGCAGCATGTTTAGCAGCAAAAGATATTCCTGCTGTAAATGCATCAATTGAAAATAATGATACGTTAGTATTTAGAGATTATACTGATATTTCAATTGCTGTTGCAACTCCAAAAGGTTTAGTTACTCCAATTGTTAGAAATGCAGAATCAAGATCAATTTTAGGTATTGAAAAAGAAATTGCATCATTAGGTAAAAAAGCAAGAGATGGCAAATTAACTTTAGAAGATATGACTGGTGGTACTTTTACAATTTCAAATGGTGGTGTTTTTGGTTCATTATATGGTACACCAATTATTAATATGCCTCAAACTGCTGTCTTAGGTTTACATGGTGTTAAAGAAAGACCAGTTACTGTAAATGGACAAATTGTTTCAAGACCAATGATGTATGTAGCTTTAACTTATGATCATAGAGTTTTAGATGGTAGAGAAGCTGTTACATTCTTGAAAACAATTAAGGAATTGATTGAAGATCCAAGAAAGATGTTATTATTAGAATAAATTTATTTATATATATCGCATTAAAAATATATTTATCAGTAAGGATGCTATCGTAGAAGTAAAGGTAATGATGCAACAGACTGTAGACAATCATAGATGTAGTTGCAACTAAAAATTTTATTTTCTTAAGAAATGCCTTCTAAACTTTCGAAAACATAAGCTAAGCTCGTGGAATATACTTAGGTGATACCGATTATTATATTAAATCATGTACCAGGTCATTAAAAGTCTTCACCTATATTTTTTCTTGTACTCAGCTGTTGTTTGATAATTATAATTATTTGACAGTAGGTGAAATCTAATTATATTTCCTAATTAATAAAATGGTACATGAGATCTGAGTATGAGATTTGTAACCGTGTTACCTAATTAGGTTATTTGTTTGGATTTCATCCTAATTAGGCAAGTGTAGCAAAATTCTAAATTAAAAAAAAATTTAACCATTAAAAATTTAATATTAAAATTCACACAAAACTCTATAGAATTCTATACATCAATTCTTTATCAATTATCATTTACTATTCATTGAATTAGTTGTATCAAACTGTACTATTTATTGATAAAAAACTAACTAATAATCAATCAAATTGCAATTCATTAATTTTCAAGTGTTTCAGATTCTTTGATTTATATCATGGATAAATATAACATATTTGATGATCTACCAATAAATCCAACAAATTCAAAATCAAATAATAATAATATTCCATTACCAACTGATAATTTTGATCAATTTTTTCAAGATCAAAATGAAATTGATTTTTTATTTAATGAAACTTTGAATAATTTACAAGATTTAGATGTCCCCAGTGGGTTTGCACAATTAAATCAACCACAACAACAACCAGCAGCTCCAAATTCTCATAATTATTCAAGATCTAGATCGGGTAATGCTCATGGTCATTCACGTCAATTATCAGGTACTGCTATATTTGGGTATACGCAACATAATCGAGATTTATCAATTGGTGAATTTTATAAAAATCAGACTAGTCAAACACCAAAGAATTATAAACAACCAACTGATTTAAAATCAATAAGTCCAGGAGACTTATTAAAACAAACAAATAATAATAACAACCTAAATGATTTTGTCGATAATGAGATTTTAAATTTCAATTTTGAAGAAAAACCAGTATTATTATTATTAGAAGAAGATGAAGAAGAAGAAAATAATGATAATGTCAAATATCAATCATCCCCAATTAAACGAATAACAACTCCCAAGACTCAAATTAAGAATACTACATCAATTACACAACCACGAACTCAAAAACAAAATGAATATATTGTGACTAATGATAATCCCAGAAGTTATAAATTCCCACCCTCTCCAACTCCAACTAGAATACAGCCAATACAGCAACAGATACAACCACCAAATGTATATTCAGCAAAATATTTACAATCATTGAACAATAAACAACCACATGAATATGTGGATGATATTGAACCATTATTACAAGATCAGAATCAATTAAAGTATATTCCAATACCAATCCAAGAACCAAAACCAACAAATAAAGTACAACAACTACCACAAGAACAACCAAAGAATATAAATCAAGGTCTCAATTTCAATACGTTTTTACCGCCACCAACACCACCTACATTATCTAATGGATCACCAGAGTGGCAATCCAGTCCAGAACCACGTAGTCCTTCCCCAGGAAGAGCACCATTACAAAACAATCAAGATATCTCACCAACTAGAAATGTCCAACAACAACAAAACCAGTCATTTTATACACCATTATTCAATACAAATACATTGGAACAAATTAAACAAATACAAGATCAACAACAATACTTACAATTACAATATCAACAAAATCAACAACAAAATTTATCTTCACCATATTCAACTATAAATTCATCACCAGTAAGATATAATGAAGTAACACCAGTAAAACAAAATCCAAATTTAAATTATACACCAACTAAACAAATACTTGAATGGTCCCCTGTAATCTCACCAAATTCAAAACAATCATTATCAAAACAAATCAAAAATACATCATCGAGAATAAGAATTAAGAAAACAAGTTTGTTACCACCGGGTGAATTGGATAATTATTGGATTGGACCAGATGAAAATAAAATATACACATGTACTTATAAAAATTGTGGTAAGAATTTCACAAGAAGATATAATGTAAGATCACATATACAAACACATTTATCTGATCGTCCATTTGGTTGTGTTTATTGTCCAAAGAGATTTGTAAGACAACATGATTTGAATCGACACGTTAAGGGTCATATGGAAGCAAGACAAAGTAAATGTCCATGTGGTAAAGAATTTGCAAGAATAGATGCGTTAAGAAAACATCAAGAAAGAAATATATGTATTGGTGGTAAACAAGGGATTATATCAAAACCAAAAAAAAAAGAAATGATGAAATTGAATGAAGGATCAACTAATAAAATATTGGATAGCTTGAAAATGGTGGTTCAAGAAGAAAATGAGAATAATAATGTTTTTAATTAATTAATTTATAATTCATGATAAAGTGAGTATTTATTAATATATAATCATAATTGAGTAATTAATATTATTTTTGATGTCCTTTGACAATTTTGATTGGTTTAAGCGCCTAAATGCTACCCCTTAACTGCATTCAATCCAAATAACACCTCAAACGTGAGCAGTAGTGTTCTAAGATACAAGCAAGCCAAGTAAAACGCTTTGATTAATACTTTAAATTGTAAGTGGAGTCTGAAATAATCCTCTAATAGCGTTTACTGGAGCGTGATAGCAAGATTCTATTGAATAAAATTGTGCCATATTTGAGATAGCGCGACAAAATAAGTTCTCGCCCTAACATTGAGGCGACTCTTACTAAATATATTGGCTTATATGTCATTAACAACGAATTCTCTCTGGATAAAAACAAATTTAATAAAATTAGGAGCCTCGAATGATTTATTCTACATGAATGAAATTTTGAAATTTGAAAATTTATTTTTTGAGCTGTCATTTTGGTATTTTTTCATCATACTAAAAAATTGTTAAGAATGTGAACTCAATTTATTAATTATTTAGAGCCACAATCATCAATTAAACAATGGAGTATATTTTCTGAGTTTCAATTTATACTGCTGGACTTAGTTTCGATGGATGTGATTCAAAGATGAAAAAATTTTCAAAATTTCCTCTTATGTATGGAGAAAATCGAAGAAATTGACCTAACGAAAAATCTAACTCTACATTCGAATTTCAAATTAAAGCATGATAAGACTAACCAAATTCGTTGATTCTTGGACTCTATTGTGTTAAGGTATTCAAAATTGGGAAAGCAATTTTTCGAAGTTGGTTTGAAAATTTTGAAAAGAATTCAAAACGATTTTGGCTTTTTGAAAACAATATGCATAAACTCGTTGCGATTAAAAGAGCAGGTTCAGCTATTTTAGAAGTTGCCAAATGAGGTATAATTTTTCATTTATTTTGCAAAATTGCGTTTGTTTCCATTTTTTTAATGACCAATAAAATGGTCAAAAACATGTTTTATTAGATCAAAGTAGTGAAGTACAGCTCTAATATCTCTGCAGTTTTAACGAAAATAGTTTGCCAATTACTGCTTGCTTACTTAGAGAGTTACTTGCAAATTAAATTTTCACTTGATAAAATACTATAAGACTGCATATAAGTCAAAATTGATGTTTCAGAATTGTGGGATTTGGTTGTCTTCAAGGCCAATTTTTAGTGCGAGCTTCATGCGAAAAAAAATATATCTGATGCTAAGTCTTAGCCCCTTGTTAAAGCGTAATGGCCATAAAATTCGTTTTTGAACAACTTAATGAATAAGCAATGTGTCAAGAATCTGTAGATATGATTATTGTTAGTAATACATAAGATATTACTTGAAACACGTTTAAAGTTAACAGCAGCATTTTTCACAAAAACTAAATTTTGATTAGCACATAAATCAAAACTATATGTCGATCTTATATTCAGACCATGTAAGGAGTTTTCTTTGAAAAATAGAGAGTTTTACAATATAGTGATAGTTTTAAATCTAGTATTCATTAATATAATCATAATTTAGTTTCATGTTTTTTACCTTCTTCATCCTGTGTATTTTCAAATTTTCATTTAGATTACCAATCTTAAAAATTTTGGTTCCTTCATCATAAATGATCATAATTCTTCTTCTTTTTTATTTTCTTCTTCTTGTTTATGAATTTTTAAATGTTGATTTAAATTATCCGATCTTGAAAATTTTTTATGACAAATTGAACAATCAAAAGGTTTATTAAAAGTATGTAAAGATCTAAAATGTCTTTTTAAATGTTCATGTCTTTTAAATCTTCTTGAACAATAATTACAAAGATAAATTTTTGAAGAATCAATTGCATCAGCTTCTTTATTTTCTTTTCTACCTCTTGTTCTATTCTTATTATTTATAATTGAAGTTGGGAAAATTTTCGTATCTGGAGGTAAATCAAGACTAGCAAGATCAACTTCAATCTCAACACCTTTTGAAATCATAGTTGCAACTGGAGTATTTAAAGATGCAATTGTAACTGCTTTTGATTCTAAATCATCTTCATCAACAAATTCATCAATTTCAGATTTAAACTTATTACTTGATTTTTTCTTAGAAATTCCTAATAATCGTTTACTTGTAGTTGCAATTGATGAACTTTCTGTTGGTTCTTCAATTATTGAACTTTCTTGTGACGAAGTAATTGAAACATTATTCCCACTTACATCATCTAAAAACGAAGATTTATCGGATCCTACATCTGTTTTATTTGAATTTTTATTCTTGAAAAAACTAGATGATTCTTCCTTTTTAATTTTTGGTTTTCTATACCCTGTAGATACTATATTTTTCCTCTTACCGACATTTGAAAATAATGCTGCATAATCCGGTTCATCCTCAATTTGAGTTTGAACCTGATTATTGGTCATAATTGATGGTGCTCCACTAGATCCATTTGCAGATAAAGTGGGACCATCAATACTACTTTCATTTTCTTTAGTTTCGTCTAATAAAGGTATTTCATCTACTTCTTGTTTACCGGGTGCATTACTGCTTTTAAATCTGGTAAACAAAGATCTCTTACTTTTCTTAATTTTCTTTGTTGGATTTTCAATCCCAAATTCTTCTTCTTTCGGGCTCATTATTAAATACTCATCATGACTTAAATCTGAAGGTAATGTAGTTGAATCATTTTCATCAAAGGGTATATTCTGTTGTTGTTGTTGTTCATTATTTAATATATTAGTCTTAAATATACTCCTTATTAAATGCCTCGATTGGATATTTTGTTGTTGTAATGATGAATTAACATTACTTGGTGATCTTTGTATTTGATTTTGTTGTTGTTGATTTTTTGAATCTCCCATAAATGGTAACATATTAGTTATTGAATTTGTAAAACTTGTATATCTTGGATTTCTTTGTTGTTGTTGCGATTGTTGAGAGTCCATTGATGGTCGATTATAAATATCAATTGAAGGTCGATGTAATGAAGAATTTGTAGTTTGTTGTTGATCAAATGAATTTCTAGTTAAATACTGTTGTGCTGAAAAAAATGAAGGTTGTGTTGAATGAATTGAAGATGATCGAGAAGTAGTAGTAGTTATTGGTGATAATTCATTAAATTTTTGATTTTGCGTTGGTTGTTGAACATGATTTATTTGATTTTGTTGTTGTTGTAATTGATTTTGAATTACATTTGCAGCATAATAACTATCTATTGAACCATTTCTTAATCTTCCCCTGGTGAAATTACTATCATGATCATCAAAATATAAATCTCTACCATTTATGAAAAATGAATTGGGTATAGCTTGTTGATATGAAATATTTTGAAATGAAGATACTCTTGAACTATCATCAAATGGACTATTGTGATTTTCAATAGGTTGCGTAGGCGTAGTTAATTGTTGATGCAGTAGATGCAAATGCGAATGCGAATGCGAATGAGATCGAGAATGAGAATGCTGATGTTGATTAAATGCATGTACTTGCTGTTGTTGTTTCATTAAACTTGAGTCTTCTTGATTATTAATTGGATTTGTACTTGTTATAATTGAATTATTATCATTAATTTGTGGTTCAAAATATAAATCCGATTCAATAGTAAATGGTGGACTATCATCTATTTCCATACCTTCATTATTATTATTGTATGCACCAGGCATATTTATAGTAATTTGTGGATTTATTTGATTTAGATTATTTATATTATATTGATCTTGTTGTGATGATAAGTGAGGAAATTGTTCAATATTAGTATTAGTAGTATCATAATTATTAAAATTTATAGTGGTATTTGGATCAAGTTCCATTATATTTATATCATCAATATTTAAAGGTGAATATAAATTATTATTATTATTATTATTATTCCATTTTGAATCAAAATTATTTGAATAAATTTGACCTGGGGGTTGAGGCTGAGATTGAGTTTGGGTTTGTTGAGGGTATCCTTTATTATTTGAAGATACTTCTTGATCTAAATCCATTTGAATATTTACTATGAAAATTAAATGATCAGAAGGAAGGATGGTGAATAGGTGTTGTGTTAAATGCTAAGTCAAATTGGTTGTAAAAATTGTACGGTATAAAAAAATTAATGATTAAATTTAAAATACGGTAATAAATTGGAGGTCGTGTATAATTTACCAATATTTTATTAAACAATTTATCGAATATATAAGAAAACTACAAGAAAAGTAGTTTATTACTATTACTAGTGTGACTAGGCTATAAGATTCGATATAAGAATAATTTAGAATTAAGGAGTTATTTGTCTTGAAAGCCAATAAAATGTTGAAAATTTCTTTATTGGACTCTCGATTTAAAGCCACTTAAGAAAATGAGCGCATATTTATAAATAGAAACCCATCCTTACAAATCATCCATATATTACAATTAATTATCTTATTCCACCTTAAATCGACCAGATGGTGTTCTAAGCCTTAGATTGTCCTTATTTGATTCACCATTATTATCAATTATACTATCAAAATGTTTTTCAATAACTTGACTAAATCTATCACTCTCATCATCATAAACAGAACTCTTATTCTGCATATGTTCGTCTTCTTCTAGTATTTCAGGATATGTTTGATCCTCCTCATTATCTTCTGTCACGTCTGGATTCACCACTTTCAAAATACTTCTTCTTTTAGAACTTACTAATACTTGTACATCCATTTGATCATCAACAGAAACTAAATCTTGCTCATTTTCATTTATTTCATTATCACTATCATATTCAGTTGGATTAATTAATTGTTCTGTTGATGTTAATCTTAAACTTTGTAATTTTTGACTCTTCTTTGTTATCAATGGACTTGTGGGAGGTGTATTTGAAAATGAAAATGATTTTTTAAGATTTCTTACTGATTTATGAACTGGTTTCGTTGTTATAATTGGTAAATTTTCACTTAGGTCAACTTCTCTCATTTCTTCATCATCTACCATATTTAAAGTTTCATTAGATGCTAAATAACTATTTCTTATTTTTTGTTTATTTATATCATAATCTTGTCTTTTCTTCATCCATGAATCAATCAGTGCTTGTCCACTTAATGTCAGACTCAGATCATTTACATTTATATACATTGGTGAATGTTCTTCATGTCCAATTGATGGAGGATTTAAATAATTGAATTTATATTCTACTTCTTCATTATAAGTTTCTTCTTGTTTTGATTTCTTTCGTTTAAGAATATAAAATATTATAAAACCAGCTATTATAAATATTGAAATTATAGGTATGACTGTACCCAATATAATTTTATTCTTATTAGATGAGCTTTTGGTTGTGTTTGTAATTGTTGGTATTTCAGTATTTTCTTTAATTGATTTAACTTCTGTAAAAGTATTAGTATCGTATAAATTCACTTTATATTCAATTTTATTTCCATCCCTTTTATTTATATCAGTCAGATTAACAACTACCAAAGTATTAAAAATTGTAGCTGCTCCTAAAATCTCATCCAATTGTAAATTTGACTCCGTATAATTCCAATACCAATTATTTAAATTCATATATAATTTTGAATATATCGGTGTTGATAGTTGCTCATGTTCCATTTCTCCACCAATCATTAAAATCTCATTAATTTGTAAAGTGTCATAAATTGAATTACTTGAATTGTTATTTATAGGTTTAAAAATAGGTAAAACCAATGGAAATTTCCTCAGATTTATTAATTGTTCATCATTTATTTTATTAATTTGTTTAAATGACCAACCACTATCGAAATCCCAAGTTGCCAATTGATACATATTTAACCAACCACCAAATGTCAGTTGTCCACCAATAACTAATTGAGTTTGAGGATTTGGTGAAATTAAATTAGAAGCACCATAAAAAGGCTGTGGTTTAGTTGACGTTGTAATATTGGAAATTTTACCATTATTTAAATCAATAGATAATAATCGAGAAGATACCTCTGCTGAATCTTGACAAATACCTCCGTATAAGTATATAGTTTCATTATTTGTCGGATTTGTTAATATTGTAGGATAAGAATAAAATGAACCGTCTAAAATATCGTTAAGATTTAAATTAAGTTTTGAATTTGTCCAAGTATTTAAATTTTCATTATATTTCACAATTGAAATTATTCCATTTCCACAAAGATCAAGATTGGAAGATTTTGTGTTTCTGTCTGATATTAATGCATACAAATTATCATTGAATATAAATAATGTTGAATTTGAAGGTGGTGATGTTAAACTTGTTAATTGTTGATTATTTTCTAAATTATATTTTGATATATCATCATTTTGAACCGATATTGAAAAATTCAAAACTAATAAATCATTATTTGTTAAATGTAAATATATTTTACTTTTATTATAATCATAAAGTGTATTCCAAGTCATTAAAGATGCAAAAATTAAACTTGAACAATTGATTTAATGACTATTCTGACTTATTTACAGAAAAGAATTTTTAAATTATTGGAAATTTGGACCTTAATATTTGTTTACATTTTTCTAAATTAGGAAATGAATTGGAATCATAATTTAAATTGAATCGTAAAGTGCTACCACATTTCTTTGCATGAATCTAGAACAATAATAAAAGTTAATGTATCATCTACACATGTAAAACTCGGAATGATTGGAGACTAATACCTTAATCCCATCTCTTTAAATTGGCCACGGTGAAAAATTGTTCTTCAGTTAAACATTTTTCAATTATAATTCTGACATAAATTCACAAATATCTTACATTGTACAAAATGCCGACTCCAAAACCAGAACAAACAAAAAACTTCAACTTTGTAACTTAGTTTGATTTTGTACCTATTTAATTGCAAATTTTCAATTTTTTCTCATCTTATCAACACAACGATGCCAATTACAACATATAATGAAATAGATTTGAAACATGATTCAATCAAATTAAAATGTCCATTTGAAAATTGTAACACAACATTAATCAAATACTCACAAGATCTTCAATTAATAAATGTTAAAAATTCACCAAATTTAATTAAAGCAACTGCTGAAAAACCAATAATGAATGAATCACCAATTCAATTTTATAAAATAGATGATGTTTGGGCATTTGACAATATTGGAGTAAGTAAACCAACTGAAATCAAAACAGCACCAGAATTTGAAAATGAAATTATTCAAGTTGAAAGGATATTAATTTGTTCTGAATGTGATAAAGGACCATTAGGATTTGCTGGTATACCTTTGAATAAAGATAATGATCATAACAATTTAATATATTATTTAAATGTTGAAAGTGTATTGTATGAATATTAAATTATTATACGAATGGTATATAATTTTTTTTTTGCAACACATTTATATAATTAAGGGTTTACAATTATTAATAAATTCAATTGCATTACAAAACTATTAAATTGTTGGCTTACTGGTTGAAGAAGTTGTTATTGCTGCATTGACTATATATTATTGAAATTTATTTGGAATTTTACTGTTGCAAGAAACTATAAATTCGAAACTTATTAGCAAACTAAACTTGCAACCAACAATATCATTAAATTTAAGAGTGGTAAGAGCTGTATAACTGCTGTTTCTATTCTATTGTCATTTGTGATTGAGAACTTATTGGTGTCGTATATACGTTAGTTGAATTAGCTGTCACTGCTGTTGTTGTTTGTATAATCATTAATCAAATTATAATTATTGTTGCATACTTAAAATTGATTTACATCCATATACATTATGCCGCCTAAAAAAGGGTTATCACAAGAAGAAAAGTTAAAATTATTGTTAGATTGGTTTCAATCCTCACATTCATTTTACACATTAAAAGAAATAGAATCAAAGGGAGCCAAAATTTGTAAAATACCTTCCATGCAAGTAAAAGATTTAATTGCAAACTTAGTAGATGAAGGTTTAGTAGAACTGGAAAAATGTGGAATTGTGAACTTATATTGGAGTTTCAAATATCTGAAACAGAAACAATTAGAAAATAGGGCAGGCACCTTAAAATCAGAAATTGAATTAAAGAAAATAGAGATTGAAAATTTGAAAAAAGAAATTATTGAAGCTGAGAAGTTAAGAAGTGTTGAAGATATGCCTAATAGATCTGAAGAATTAGCTAGATTGGAGGATTTTAATAAATTGATTGTTGAATTGACTTCACAAGTTGCTTCTAAAAAGGTTTTTGATAATTTGAAACATGATATTAAAGCAATTGAGTTTTATCATGATCTGATTGAAATGATTGTTGATCATTATAGTAGAAAATGTAATTTACCAGTTAAGATGTTGAAACAAGAGTTGAATATTCCTTTGGAATTAGATGATCCACCCCCAATTCCAGAAAATTAGATGAAAATTGATTAAGAGTTAGTTGAATATTCCTTTGGAATTAGATAATCCACCCCCAATTCCAGAAAATTAGATGAAAATTGGTAAAGAGTTAGATTAGAAGAAATATATATACCAGTAATTAATCAAATACTTCATTTATACTCAATAATTGATCTTTGAGCTTGGCTGGTGTCCCACCCAAATCACTATCAGTGATTGTCTGTTTTAGATTCGAATTAACTCCGAGATCAGACACGACACAAAATTCGAATCTTGTAAATCTCAAGTTCTGGAGTGCGCGAAACTAAATGTGTATAATTTCACAAGACTGGGTTAATCGATTCGTGTACGAAATTAAATCTGTTGGTACGGAGTGGCTCCAAATATGGTTATAATATCCGTTCCAAAAAGGGAGATAGAGGGGCTAAACAATATCGTACTATTATTATTACGTGAACTCCACTCAAGTCAATCGTTTAAACTAACACGTGAAAACAACCGTATAATATATTATTTTATTTTTACCCTACCCCCAGGTTTTTTTAATTTCTTTCTAAATCAACAACTGGCATTATTAATTATTAACCAATTCATTTCATTATGTCTTCATTTTTACCAGATCAGGCTGATTTAAAACATGTAGATACTTTTTCTTATTTAGCAGATGGTATATTTCATGACACTACAATTGAAAATATTAAAGATATTGTACCTGACAACTTTACTCAAGATGATTTAACTAAATATATTTCCACATTTACAAAACCATCGGATTTACCTAAATTTAAACAAGTATTATTAGATTGTATAAATACAAATACCACCAAGGCAACTCAATTATTTATAGTTTTAACTACAATTTTAGATTCAAGAATTTTAGCACCTACATTAACTAATTCAATGACATTAATTAAAGATATGACAATTAAAGAAAGAGAAAATTTATTAATTACATGGAGAGATTCTCCAATTTCAGCAAAACGTAGATTATTTAGAATGGTTTGTAGTTTAACATTAAATATTTTAATGAAATTAGGTGATGAATTACATTTTAAAGCTATTGGTTACCCAGGTAAAGATTTGAATGAAAAAGCTTATGAAAGTCAAGAAATTGATCCATTTAGATATCAATTTTTACCAAAACCAAAATATGAAGATACTGAATTATATTTACCTGACATTGATGCATTGATAATTGGTTCTGGTTCTGGTGCTGGTGTTGTAGCTCATACTTTAGCAAATGATGGGTATAAAACTTTAGTACTTGAAAAAGGTAAATATTTTCATAATTCAGAATTATATTTTGATGATTTAAAAGGTATGAAAGAATTATATCAAACTGGTGGTACTTTAGGATCAACGAATCAACAAATTTTTGTATTGGCTGGATCTACTTTTGGAGGAGGTACTACTGTTAATTGGTCAGCTTGTTTAAAAACACCATTTAAAGTTAGAAAAGAATGGTTTGATGAATTTGGTTTAGATTTTGCTGCTAACGAATCTTATGATAAATGTCAAGAATATGTTTGGAATCAAATGGGTGCTTCTACTGATAATATTACTCATTCTTTAGCTAATAAAATTTTAATTGAAGGTGGTCAAAAATTAGGATATAAATCAAAACCAATTGAACAAAATTCTGGTGGTCATTTACATCATCCTTGTGGATTTTGTTATCTTGGTTGTAAATATGGTATTAAACAAGGTTCATTAGTTTCTTGGTTTAGAGATGCTGCTGCTAATGGATCACAATTTATGGATCAAGTTAGAGTATTGGAAATTATTCATAAAAAGGGTAAAGCAATTGCAGTATTATGTCAAGATGAAGAAACAAAAATAAAATTTAAAATCACTGGATTTAAAAAATTAGTTGTATCTGGTGGTTCTTTAAATACACCAGTTATTTTAAAAAATTCAGGATTCAAGAATAAACATATTGGTAAAAATTTAACTTTACATCCAGTTACAACAATTTTTGGAGATTTTGGTAAAGATATTCAAGCTGATCATTTTAAAAATTCAATAATGACCTCAGTATGTACTCAAGTTGATGATTTAGATGGTAAAGCTCATGGTGCCAAAATTGAAACAATTTTAAATACTCCATTTATTCAAGGTGCTTTATTACCATGGAGAAATTCAGATGAAGTAAGAAAAGATTTATTAAGATATAATAATATGTGTGCAATGTTATTAATTACAAGAGATTCTACTTCTGGTTCAGTTGAAGGTGATCCAAATAGACCAGAAGCATTATATATAGATTATAAATTATCAAAATTTGATAAAAATGCATTATTACAAGCATTTTTAATAACTTCAGATATTTTATATATTGAAGGTGCTAAAAGAATTTTGAGTCCTCAACCATGGGTACCTATATTTGAATCAAATATACCAAAAGAAGAAAGAGATATAAATGATAAAGAATTTCAAGAATGGAGAACAAAAGTTGCTAAAATGCCATTTGATGATTATGGTACTCCTTATGGGTCAGCTCATCAAATGTCTTCATGTAGAATGAGTGGTAAAGGTCCAAAATATGGTGCTTGTGATACAAATGGTAAATTATTTGAAGCTTTAAATATTTATATTGCTGATGCTTCTTGTATGCCAACTGCTTCTGGTGCAAATCCAATGATTTCAACAATGACAATTGCAAGACATGTTGCTTTGGGAATACTTGATGATTTAAAAGTAAAAGCAAAATTATAATATTTATGTTTTACTATATTACAATATATGTGAAATGAAGTTACTTAAAATATTTATACAAATTTCTACCAGGTAAAAAATTCTTCGAGACGAAGCTTTCGTTTCACGTCGGTCCAAAACTCGATACCGTAAAAATTGACTAATTCTGAAACAAATTTGTTTATATGCAGTCCTTCTGTAGTTTATCTTGAAATTTAAATTGTGAATAACTCCGTCAATAATCAAGATTTCTTTCTCAAACTAATTTCATTATAGTTTTCGGAGTACTTAGACTATGTAGATGCTAATATGCATTAGAAAAACTTAATTTTGATGATTTAATTCATCATTTAAAAAATGGAAAAAATGCTATTTTGCAAAATAATTGAGACTTCATTTAACAACTTCTAATATAACTGAATCAGTTTGTTTGACCTTACGAGGTAGCACGAGGTCGCCTTAACGCGAGAAATTATCTGGTCGCACCGATCTTACAGATATAAAATTTAAATTCATAATACGATATAGTAGAAACATATATATAAAAAATTATCACAAATCCAGTGACAATAAGTACGTATTATCAGAGCTTATGTTGCAGGTTATAGCTGCTATTTAATTTTATCGAAAAGTTTGGAACTTAATTTAATAATACTGAAATATATATTTAATCTATATTTATCATCTGTAATAACCTTGTTGATTTGGGTATTGTTGTTGAAATTGTTGTTGTTGAGGTTGACCAAACCCTGTAAATTGAGGTTGTTGTTGTTGTTGCATTGGAAATCCAGTTTGTTGTGGTTGTTGTTGAAATCCAAATTGTGCAGCTGTAGTTTGTTGTGGTATTTGAGGAGCTGATTGAGCTCTTTGTGGAGATAGTTGTTGTTGATTTGTAGGTTGATTATATAACGACATTATATTTGCTTTATTAGTTTGTTGTTGTATCAATTGTGGATTTTGCATATTATATAATTGTTGTTGATGTTGAGGATTATTTGGATCTAAATATTCTTGACCACTTGAATCAACATATAAAATTGCACCAGTTATAGGATCAGTATATTGATAAATTTGAGGTTGACCAGTTTGAGCTGGAAATTGTTGTGATTGAGTAGCTTGTGCATTATTGATTCCATTTGAGTTCCACCAATCTCCACTTGGTTTTGGATCTAATAAATTGGAAGATGACGTCAGTTGAGATTGAGTTTGTGGTCTTCTTTTAGGTAATTCAGGAGCAGTTTCTTCCTTTGTTGGATTTATTCTTTGATCTTGTTCCAATATATCAATTGCTTTATCTATTACACCATTAGATAATAATAAACTTTCCAATATTGCATCATAATCAGTAAATCCTAACGATTTAATTTTATTTACTTGAGTTTGATATTGTGTATACTCATAAGTTGTTAATTTCCTATGAGTTAATTTTGGAATAGCACCAGCTCCAAAATTTGAATTTGATCTTGATCTACTCCTCAGTCTTGAATCATTTGAATATTTTGATAGTCTATCAGTTTCATAATCATCATTTTCAATATTATCATCTCTAAATTTTCCCAATATATATTTATCTCTAATATATTGTTCTACAACTGAAATATTATCATCTCCATCAAATGGGAATGGAACTCTTTTTGAATTCCATTTCCTTTTTGCTTTTTTATTACCAATTTTTCTTAAATGAGAAATTTGTTCATCTGACCAATTATCCAATGTTAATGATTTAACTTTTGAAATGTTATAATTTGGTGGACCTAATATTCGTTTATGTACTGATGAACAACGACCACATAAAAATATACCTAAATTATAAGAAGCCCAAGTTGGATATTTAGTGCCACATTCACCACATTTATTATCATTAGCAGATGAATTAACAATGTCTATTAATTGTTTCTCAATGTTTTTTGCATACTTCTTTGACATAATATTTGTTGGTATTGGGGTGGTGATTAATTATATATCAACGTAAAAAAGAAAAAAAATAGTGAAATTTCAATTTCTGGTTATTTCGGAATTTACAATCACGAGGCAAAGAAAAAGACATATACTACAATACAATACAAAGAAAACTTATATTAAGGACTCTTAAGGTATAGTGTAGCGTGATGTAATTGGATAATTGGATACTGACCATTGTTTGTAGAATGCTAATTGCAACTTTGATTCGTTAATTCTTTAAATTTCTCTATTAAAATCGTGGGGTGAATAAATACAAATTATGAGACAATCAACCATAAAATAAGTACAATCTTATAAAATTAGCCAGTGAGTTTCAAACAATAAACTTCTATTTGCTTCTTAGGATAAGAATTTTTCAACTTGAACAATCTTTGAGCAAACTCTCCAATTTTATAAATGTAAGCTCAACCATCAATGATTTATCTTATTGGCAAGTTGATTTTTTCATTAAATGTTAGTCCGTCTGAGTAAACATAAGACTTAACCAATTCAATATGATCAATCTCAATTTCAACCTCATCCAATCCATTTAAATGAATCCCTTTGATCTCATTATCCAACTCTTGGAAATGTTCATAATCATCAATTTGTCTAGTCTTATATCCTTTGGCTTTATAAATTCCAGTCCTTACAGTATTATGAAACTTTTTAACGTCTCTATAAATAAGTAAATCATCAGAGACGTTAAATTCATCAACAATGGTTTTTTGTAACTCAATTAAGTCCACTAAAAACTTCAACTTCTTTCTTGCAATTTCATCATCATCAATCCTCAACCCATGTAGAAGGAATATACGTTTATATACATCCGAAGATCCACCTAAACTGAACTTATCGTCTAATTTCAATTTTATAGTTTTCCTCTTTAGTATACTACTTAGCTTAGAATTACTAAATTTTGAGCTTGTTATATCTGTCGGAACTGAGATTTTACTTATTTCTGACTGTAGTTTCTTCTTGAAAGTATTTTGATGTTTTTTTGGGATGGCTATTCCTTTAATCGTTGTAAAATGAAAATTATAGTTCGTTGTTTTAAATTGATTCCAATTATAATTTTGTTTCAAAAATGATACTTTGTCTAGAATCTCGTTTGATGCTTGATATACTTTATTTCTTGTTTGTATCGGTATATTACATGGTATACTTAAATAATACTGAATAGTTTTATTCATCTTAAAAAAAAAAAAAATAAAAAATACGAGAATTAAGAGGTATTTTGGATTAAGGGGTAACATATATATTTATTCTATTAATTTAAATTTCTTAGTCTCTATTTCACCATCGTTTATAGTTACATCCAAATCTTGTACTTTTATATCAATATCTTTCAAATCTTCACCTAAATCAATTGCCTCGATCTCAGATTTAACGTTGTTAAATTCTTCATCATTTAATGCCTTCTTCTTTTGATATCCTGAGGTTATTGAGATATGTAAGTTATCTAACCAACCAACATCATATTCCATTTGATCCTCAGGTATCATTTCATGTCTTAGTTTCGATAATTGATTGAATAATTGTTTTGTCAGATCATTTTGTTTAATAGGTATGGCTAAAAACAAAACACTAGGTAATTTACCAGGATATAATGTTATTTTCCCAGTTTGTGTAGGTAGATTAATACAGTTTTTTTCCTTATTTAATAATTGAGCTAGCTTATTATTGACCTTATTTAAATTTATGGACGATACACCAGTTTTACTTATTAGTGCCTTGGGTAAATCTAGTTTCCTAAAACCTTTTTCAAATTTATCTAATAATTGAACTTGATCTACTGAATTGAAATAAAATAAATCACCTAATGAAATATGAAAACCAGTATTTCTTCGTAGATCTCTACTTAATGGGATCCAGTTATAATTCTCGGACAACATTGGTAATTGAGATATAATTTTATTTGAAGCTTGCTCCAATTGTCGTACTTGTAAATGTGATGGTTTCCAAATTATGGATAAATACATGGATGCTAATTTTGATTTAGACATGTGTGAAACTTGTGAAAATATGACTAATGGAGGTGGTGATGGTAAATTTGAACCCTTTTTAGCTTTCTTAACTTGTCTATCTTCTTCTTCTTTCTCTTTCTCTGATTCAGTATCTGATGTATAATTTTGGATCAATTCCATACAATGTTATCTTATTCAACTGGCATACTTTTGATAAATTTTTTGTCGTGGTTTTTTGTCGTATTTTTTGTCGTATTTTTTGTTGTAGTTTTTTGTTGTAGTTTTTTGTTGTAGGTTTTTGTCGTAGTTTTTTGTCGTAATTTTTTGTCATAGTTTTTTGTCGTAATTTTTTTGTTTCAGAATTTTTCAGAATTTTTCAGACACTTTTTTGATGACACATTTCTTATCAAAACAGGCATAAGAACAAAACTTTTAAGAGAGAACAATAAAACAGTAGATCAAATTGATTTCTTAAATAATTTAATTGAATTTAATTGTTGTGTTTTAATAGATACAGTCTCAATCTCGATAATTTTAACTCTTGACTGACCGTAATTGATGGATTTATTTGTCATTAGTGGAGTAAACTTTATCGAAGTTTATAGGAGTTAACTAAATTGATTTATACATATTTGAAATTATCATAAGAATAAAAAAGCCCAAAGATCTAAGATTAGATTAAAACCAATTAAACTACGCTTAATTCGGTATTACTTACGATTTCCAACTTTAGCAATTGGTAGCCCCAATTCAACTTTTGTAGTAATAGTAATACGGTAGTAAGCAAGTAAAAAAAACTCCGCAATATAGTCATTTGAGTTTTTGAAAGGATAGCGATTATCGTTTAAATTTAAATCACATTCATAGTCCGACATTTACTTTGAAGTAGTAATATAAATTTTAATATAAGCAAAATAGTGGCATATTTTTATATTATCCGCTATCCATAATTATTTTATCGTATCCATGATCATTTCATCACTACAACAAACAAACAAACAAACAAACTAGAACAACACAAAGTTTTTCAAGCAGCTAACTAACAAACTAACTAACAAACAAATATATTATCCTTGATCTGTATTGCTCAGTTGTAAAAAGCTTTGAAGTAGAATGATGGTAGAGATAAGGAAAGGAATAGGAAAGTCGAACGATTCTCTTTCAATCAACATAAAAAACGATCAATCAACATAAAAAAACATGTAGATATATGTTGATTGAAACACTAAGTTATCTAAGTTATCTAGTTATCGAAAAAAAGTTGATAGTAGTATATTTCGGAGTTTATAGATAACACTTTTGTGTTCTGAAAATTCTTTGTTCTCTAATTAAAGTTTTGAAGTCTGATTAAGTGGAGATGAAGAAAAAATAAATAAAAAAAAGCCCCTCTCCTAATTGATTTTCCCCTTAACCAAAAAATCAATAGTGTATAAAATTTAACACAAGAAGAAATTGAAATTAACTATGTATTACATAATCCATCATACATAATACATCTCTCCATATTTAAGAAATAAAATATATATAAAGACACCAAATTCATTTTGACATTTATTCTCTCTTACACTTTATTTCTTTACTTCTTTATTTATATATTTATATATTTGTATATTTATATATTGACTTATTTATTCAATTCATCTTATACATATTTATTTATTTATTTATTAATTAATTAATTAACTGGCTAACTAATTGCTTGGGGCTTATTATTATACACAAATTATATACAAATTATATACAAAAAATAATACATCATCATCATGTCTACAGAAATCTTGATACAATATTGGTATTTCACTTTAATTGGTGTATTTATATTATATCAAATTATATCATTTTTAAATACCAAATATTTAATGAAAAAATTAAATGCTAAATCATTTGCAAATCTTAGAAGAGATGGTTATTTTGGTTTTAAAGCTGGTATTATGGGTATGAAAGAAACTAAAAATGGTACTTTAATTGAATTTAATCAAAAGGTTTTTAATGAATCTGCACTTCCAGAAGTTGGAACTATGAAGACTTTTATATTTGGTATCCCTATAGTTTTGACTAAAGATCCAGAAAATATAAAAGCAATTTTAAGTACTCAATTTAATGATTTTTGTTTAGGTAGAAGATTAGAATATTTTGGTCCTTTATTAGGTAAAGGAATTTTCACATTGGACGGATCTGGTTGGAAACATTCAAGACAAATGTTAAGACCTCAATTTGCAAGAGATCAAGTTGCTCATGTTAAAGCATTAGAACCACATTTTCAATTATTGAAAAAACATATAAATACAAAAGGTGCAAAACCTGGTGGTTATTTTGATTTACAAGAATTATTTTTTAGATTTACTGTTGATTCAGCAACTGAATTTTTATTTGGTACTTCTGTTGAAAGTTTAAAAGATGAATCAATTGGTTTTAATCAAGATGACGTTAATTTTGCAGGAAGAAAAGAATTTGCAACTGCTTTTAATCAATCTCAAATTTACTTATCATATAGAGCAATGTTGCAAAAATTATATTGGATAATTAATCCAAAAAAATTTCAAGATTGTAATCTGATTGTTCATACATTTAGTGATTATTATATTAATAAAGTTTTAAATGCAACTCCTGAAGAAATTGAAAAACAAAGTGGTTATGTATTTTTATATGAATTAGTTAAAGAAACTAGAGATCCTCAAGTTTTAAAAGATCAAGCTTTAAATATTTTATTAGCTGGTAGAGATACAACTGCTGGTTTATTATCATTTGCTATATTTGAATTAGCTCAACATCCAGAAATGTGGGAAAGATTAAGAAAAGAAATATTAGGAGCTTTTGGAAATGATGTAAGTGAAAAAATTACATTTGAATCATTAAAGAAATGTGAATATTTAAAAGCTGTTCTTAATGAAACTTTAAGAATGTATCCATCAGTTCCAAGAAATACAAGAATTGCAACTAAAGATACTACAATTCCAAGAGGTGGTGGTCCAGATGGTATGTCACCAGTATTGGTTAGAAAAGGTCAAAATGTTGTTTATTTTATAAATACTACTCATTTAGATCCTGCTTATTATGGTAAAGATGCTGATCAATTTAGACCAGAAAGATGGTTTGAAGAATCAACTAGAAAATTAGGTTGGGCTTATTTACCATTTAATGGAGGTCCAAGAATTTGTTTAGGTCAACAATTTGCATTAACTGAAGCTTCATATGCTATAACTAGATTAGTTCAATCATATTCAAAAGTACATATTAAACCAAATTCACAATCATATCCACCAAGGAAAATGATTCATTTGACAATGTGTTTATTAGATCCATTATTAGTTTCATTTGAAGAATAAATTTAAATAAATATATATATCTTGTTGTTATTTAATGAAGGAAAATTTTTTGTTTCTTTATATCTTGTTTAATTGAGCACATTAAATCTGATGGTTGATTACTTCTTAAACATTTATGTTGTGGAGCATCAATGACTAACATTCGAAACGGTGTTATGAGTTTAACCTTACCTTTCTCTAATCTTCTCTTTCTTAGCTTATACTCAATAAATGTTAATGGTGGAATAGTCATATAATTTGGTTTATAAACCAATTGAACAATTTCATTTTCATATAAATCACAATTGAAAGTTAGTATTAACAACATTCCATAACCAACTCTAACACCCATAGCTAGATTAACACCAACACTAAATCCAATAGGAATAAAACCAAAGTGTAAATCAATATAATTTTCAATTGATAATTCAACCTCAATATAAATGTCTCTTCGTAAATATCCACCATTTCCATCTTTTGAATCAAGACAGTGAGTAGCGGGTAACCAGTAATCATAAGGTCTGATTTTCAAAGTATCCAATGGATTAGTTTTAAGTATTTCCGTCCATTTATGATACTTATGATTATATTGTAAAGTAGATTGAGTTAATTTGAAGAAGAAAATACTGGACTTATCTTTTAATTTATCTATATGCGAAGATATTTCATCTATTGAGTTCAATGCATATACTTTGGGTTCATCTGAAAGGACTGACGTCGTTGAATTAGTTGTTAAATCAATGTACTGATAATAAGCTGTGTCAATGGCTATTATAAATCGGAAATGTACAATTATAAAACAAAATAGCAACAAAACATGCATTAAATGTATTAAACATTTAATATCTGATTTTAGACATCTCTAAGGACAGTTGGTCATCTAGCATAACAAAATAACAGATCTAAATCTAAGCTTTGATTTTATAAGGCTGCGAAAAAATGGCTGCAAAATTTAACTTTTGTTCGTATATTTTTTATTTTGTGTAATACTGTACAAAAAAAGCAAATTATTCAGTAGGCACCGAACATTCCATGAAATTAATCCATAATTAGGCCCAATGAGACACTGTAAACTAGAATTAAACTCACGAATGATATAGCGGAATAACAACTAATTGGTCTGAGACCTTGTATGTTGTAGAATCAACCAGATTGTTGTACTACGTTCTAGTATATTCTAGTATATTCTATATAATTCTAGTATATTCTGAAACATGATTTGCTCATACAAAAAAAAAAAAAAAAAAAAAAAAAAAAATAAATTAAAATCGTATTGAAGTTTCAAAATGGTTTATTTTAATCACCTTATATAATAAATCAAATTATATAAATAGAAGATCAATTCCAATTTCATTTGCTGCTTTTTTTTATTCTTTTCATATTACATTTTCATTAGTTTTTAGTTTAATCAGTTAATAATATTTGTTCAAATATGGATGAAACACAATACACAGATAATGCATTGAAAATAATAACCAATGCGCAACAAATAGCAAAAGATCAATCAAATACTCAAATATTACCATTACATTTTTTAGCTGCTTTTATACCAGTTGATGACGCTGAAGGTACTACATTATATTTAAAAACTTTAATTCAAAAAGCCAGACTCGAATGGCCAAATTTTGAAAGAACTGTTAATAAGCATTTAGTTAGATTACCGTCACAAAATCCTCCTCCAGATGAACTTAGGCCAAGTTATCAAGCTGGTCAAGTTTTATTAAACGCAAATAAAATTAAACAACAACAAAAGGATAATTATATAGCTCAAGATCATATTTTATTAGCATTATTAGAAGATTCTTCAATTAAAGATATTTTTAAAGAAGCTGGTATTAATATTGAAGGTATTAAAAATCAAGCTATTGAATTAAGAGGTAATCAAAGAATAGATTCAAGACAAGCTGATTCTTCAAGTTCTTATGAATTTTTAAATAAATATTGTGAAGATTTTACTGAAAAAGCAAGAGAAGGTAAAATTGATCCAGTTATTGGTAGAGAAGAAGAAATTAGAAGAGTTATTAGAGTCTTAGCAAGAAGATCCAAATCAAATTCAGTTTTAATTGGTGATGCTGGTGTTGGTAAAACTTCTATAGTTGAAGGTGTTGCTCAAAGAATTGTTGATGGTGATGTTCCTAATGTTTTAGCAAATGCAAGATTATTTGCTTTAGATTTAGGTGCTTTAACTGCTGGTGCCAAATATAAAGGTGAATTTGAAGAAAGAATCAAAGGTGTTTTAAATGAAATTTCAAAATCAAAAGAATTTATAATTTTATTTATTGATGAAATTCATATGCTAATGGGTGATGGTAAATCGGATGCTGCAAATTTATTAAAACCAATGTTAGCAAGAGGTGAATTACATTGCATTGGTGCTACTACATTTGCTGAATATAGAAAATTTATTGCAAAAGATGGTGCTTTTGAAAGAAGATTTCAAAAAATTGATGTTCCAGCAGCTACAGTAAATGAAACAATTGCAATTTTAAGAGGTTTACAACCAAGATATGAAATTCATCATGGAGTTAGAATTTTAGATTCTGCATTAGTAATGGCTGCTCAATTAGCAAGTAGATATTTAACTTATAGAGCATTACCAGATTCAGCCGTTGATTTAGTTGATGAAAGTGCTGCAGCAGTTGCAGTTGCAAGAGATTCAAAACCTGAAGAATTGGATAATTTAGAAAGACAATTACATTTAGTTGAAGTTGAAATTAATGCTTTGGAAAGAGATAAAGAAGCTGATTCAGCATCAAAAGATAGATTAGAATTGGCTAAAAAGAAACAATCTGAATTAGAAGAACAAATTGGTCCATTAAGAGAAAGATTTAATCAAGAACGTGCTGGTCATGATTTATTAATTAATGCAAAAAGAAAATTGGATGAATTAGAAATTAAAGCTCAAGATGCAGAAAGAAGACATGATACTGCAACTGCAGCAGATTTAAGATATTTTGCAATTCCTGATGTTGAAAAACAAATTGAAGAATTAGAAGTTAGAGTTGCTGAAGAAGAAGCTTCAAATATGGAATCATTATTAAAAAATGCTGTTGGTCCTGAACAAATTTGTGAAACTGCTGCTAGATTAACTGGTATACCAGTTACAAAATTATCACAAGCTGAAAATGATAAATTAATTAATATGGAAAATATTTTATCAAGTGAAGTTGTTGGTCAATCAGAAGCTGTTAAAGCAGTTAGTAATGCAATTAGACTAAGAAGATCTGGTTTAGCAAATCCAAATCAACCACCATCATTTTTATTCCTTGGTTTATCAGGATCTGGTAAAACTGAATTGGCTAAAAAATTAGCAGGTTTCTTGTTTGCTGATGAAAGAGCAATGATTAGAATTGATTGTTCTGAATTGGGTGATAAATGGTCAGCTTCAAAGTTATTAGGTGCAGCTCCAGGTTATGTTGGTTATGAAGAAGGTGGTATATTAACAGAACCATTAATTAGAAGACCTTATTCAGTAGTTTTATTTGATGAAGTTGAAAAGGCAGCACCAGAAGTTTTAACTGTTTTATTACAAATACTAGATGATGGTAGAGTTACTTCATCACAAGGTAAAGTTGTAAATTGTTCAAATGCAATTTTCATAATGACATCAAATTTAGGTGCAACTTATATTAATGCATCAAAAGGATCAAAATTAAGTCCAGAAGTTAAAGATCAAGTTATGAATGCAGTTAAAGCACATTTCAGACCAGAATTTTTAAATCGTATATCCAATATTGTTGTTTTCAATAGGTTATCAAGAAAAGCAATTGCTAAAATCGTAAGAATAAGATTACAAGAAATGACTCAAAGATTTGCAGCAAATGGTAAGAATATCAAATTACATTTAGATGATTCAGCAATGGAATATCTTTGTAAGAATGGTTGGTCACCAGATTTAGGTGCAAGACCATTGAATAGATTGATACAAAATGAAATATTAAATAAATTGGCTGTAATGATATTAAAAGGTCAAATTAAAGATAAAGAAACTGCTAAAGTTGTATTAGGTGAAAAAGGTTTAGAAGTATTACCAAATCATGAAGTGGAAGATGAAACAATGAATGATGTAGATAATTGGCAAGATTCAGAAGATGAAGATGATGATTATGCGTATTTAGATAATGACAAACTTGATTAAAACAGTATTTATAGTTAATTAGTATACTAATATATCAATATTTATATATATAACGTTATCATATTTTGCAATTTGTGTAGTACACTACCCTCTTAACATAGAGATGAGAATAATTTTTCATATAAGTAATATTTTATTTTGTTTTATTTTATTACTCATTTATAATCAATAATGGCTACAAGAACACAATTTGAAAATTCAAATGAAGTTGGTGTATTTTCCAATTTAACTAATTCATACTGTTTAGTTGCAGTTGGTGGATCAGAAAATTTTTATTCTGCATTCGAAGCAGAATTAGGTGATGTTATACCAATTGTTCATACAACCATCGCAGGTACAAGAATTGTAGGGAGAATGACAAGTGGTAATAGAAGAGGTTTATTAGTTCCAACACAAACTACCGATCAAGAATTAATGCATTTAAGAAATTCCTTACCAGATTCAGTTAAAATTCAAAGAGTTGAAGAAAGATTAAGTGCGTTGGGAAATGTTATATGTTGTAATGATTATGTTGCATTAGTACATCCAGATATAGAAAGAGAAACAGAAGAATTAATTGCTGATGTTTTGGGTGTTGAAGTTTTTAGACAAACTATTGCCGGTAATGTTTTAGTTGGATCATATTGTTCATTAAGTAATCAAGGTGGTTTAGTTCATCCACAAACTTCTATACAAGATCAAGAAGAATTAAGTTCATTATTACAAGTTCCGTTAGTTGCAGGTACTGTTAATAGAGGTAGTTCAGTTGTTGGAGCGGGTATGGTTGTAAATGATTGGTTATCGGTTGCTGGATTAGATACAACAGCACCAGAATTATCAGTTATAGAATCTATATTCAGATTACAAGATGCTCAACCAGATGCTATTGGTGGTAATTTAAGAGATACATTAATTGAAACGTATTCATAGATAGATTATGTATGTTAATGGAAAGCTTAATCAAACTTTACGACGGAATGGTATAAAAAAATAAACGTTTGTAATTTAGACGACATAGAAATTAGGTTATGGTACTAAATATTAGTTAGTTACGGATATAAGGTAAGGTGATGATGCCTAATGAAACGTATTAATTGATCTATTGTTCAGCGTAGAAATTAATTATAGATTAACTAGAAATAGTAATAATATTGTAGTAGTAAAAGCCATACATAAGAATTTTTTTTTTTTTCTGCCCCCCGCGCCCCACCCCAATTTTATTGGTACTGCACGGGCTTCGCATGTGCGCTTAGTTCTCAGTATAATAGAAATACGAATTTCAATTTGTTGTCTCACATTTCATTCCAACGTGAATTTTATTTATTGGACTCAGTTTTCTTTCTTTCTTCCTTGTTGCTTTTTCCTTCGTCGTTGCTGAAAATTTGTTGGTATTAAGTGTCCATGGATTATTTGGGTATAACTCGTGGTTCAATTAGAGCTGAAGCTTTAAAAAAATTAGCTAAATTAACTGTTGAACATCCTCCTTCAAATTTAAAGGAGATAAATACGGGGATTCAAAAAGATGATTTTTCAAAATTATTAACTTCAACTTCAAAAGAGTTTAATCCAAGAAGACAATCTTTAGTTAATGGGTCAAAAAATTCGAGCGGTTTAAATTCAATTGCTATAACTCCAAAAGAATATGAAGTTTTAATTGCATTATGCGATTCAACTTTTCAAACTATTAATATTGAAAATCAAATTCAAATTTTAATTGAAAAATTTAAAGTTTATTTATTTGAATTACCTGATCAAAAATTTTCGTATCGAATTGTTTCAAATTCTGAAAAAATTTCTCCATGGGCTTTATTAGGTGAAAAATTAACAAGTGGGTTAATAAATTTAGCTTTTCAAAAAAATTCAAAATATTTAGATGAAGTAATTGAAATTTTTCAAATCTTTATTGAAAAATTTTTTAATAATGTTGAGCCTGAATTATCAAATTTTTTAACATTGTTAGGTTTTCTCGATGGTTTGATTCAAAATCCTAAATTTTTAGCTTTAAGTTCAAAAACTTTTAAAATTTTTAATTTAATTGATTCAAATATTGATAATTTTGAATTTTTAAATGATATAGAAAATTATTCAGATTTCTTATATGATGAACCAAATGAATATCAAAATTTATTAGAAAGAGATTATGTTATTAATTTTTCTCCAATTATGTATTTAGAAAAATTATCAAAATTACTGTGTGCTATAATTAATAGTATTGTTAAAAATGAAAAGGGAAGTTTATTACAATTTGTATTAAATAAAGTTTCAAAAGATTATGATAATGATGATGGTGATGAAATTCATAAATTAAATGGTAATGTTATTAAAAATAATCAATTGGAATTCTCAAGAGGTAATATGGAAATTGTAAAAGTTTTAACTGAATTATCTTTAAGAAAATTGGAATTTTTAGATCGTGGTGAAACTTATATTGTTTATTCAACTTTTTCAAGATTAAAATTGGGTTATTTATCAAAAAGTTATAATTTACAAGTTTTAAGTTGTGGTATGTTTACTGATAATTTAGATATTAAAACTTCAAAAAGATTATTTAAATCTTGTATCGAGATTAAAGATGTTATGTTAGATCCAGATTTGGGTTTGACTGTTTTTGAATTTGGTTCATTATTAGTTTATAAAGATGAAACAATTGGTCCATTGTTAACAAGAGTGTTTACTTCAGTTATTGCAAATCCAAAATCAGATCCAAATTATTGTTTGAATATTTCAAAAACTGTTGGCTTAGGATCTAAGAAATTACCACAAGATGCTGTCGTCACTACAATTTATTCATTAACTAATTTATTATTTGTAAGTAATGAAGGTTTACAATTGAATTCAAAAAGTGCTAAACGAGTTATCAAAGGAGCTTCAACAAATGGGTTCGATGATCAAAGTTCATTGAGCAGAAATTTATATGCATCACCAACATCATCAAGAAGAACTTCAGTTACTAGTTTCTCACAAGTATTTTCCAAAGGTGCTCATTCTGGTGAATTTGATGAAAATGATTATAGAAAAGTTTGTGAAAATGCAGTTGTTGCAATTATTGAAATTTCAAAAGCGTGTAATGATGATAGTGTACCAGCATTAGCATGTACTATTTTATCACAAAAAACTACTAAATTAGATTCACCAATTAGTCAATTAATCTTGAAAGGTTTAAGTTCATGTGCACCATTTTTACCAGAAAGAGAATTCATTATATTAGTTCGATTATTGAATAAATTATCATTGGAGAGTTTAGAAAAGAAAAATATGATTTTATTAGGTAATTTATCCGAGGCAAAGATTAATTTAGCTTCTAAATTAGATCAAAAGAATCCATTATTCAATGTTTATTTACATGAATTATTGCAAGTAATAATTTCAAAAGGTAATGTTCAACAATTAGAACATCATAGATCTCATAATGAAATCACTGAAGTTGGAGATCAAATTGCAATTTATTTAAAACCATTAGCTGCATTATTACCAAATGTAAATAAAAATGAAGAACCATTAAAGATTGATTCACCTGAAACGGTCAATTTATTTAAAGATATTTGGTTTAATATGGTTGTTCATGGTTATAATATCAATTCCAAAAATACTAAAGCTTTCAAAGAAGAATTGGAAAGAATTGCATACAATACACCTCCGTTAGCATCTGAATTAAGTTGGGATAGAACTGAAACTTCAATTGAATTAAATACAGTCTTAAGAAGAGGTTCATCAAATCATAATATCAAAGATCATAGACATCATTTAGGTGATATTTTTGAAGTTCATAGAACTTTATCATATCCAAAATTAATGTTTTTATCAGCAGCTGTATTTGTTGAAAGTTTAAGAGTTAGAAATGGAAATTGTTCAAAAACATTATTATATTTTACTGATCCATCAATTAAAATTTCTGGTGTTGATAAATATCTTAGTCATATTTCGTTTAAAATTGTTAAAGATTATATTCAATTAATTAATACTGGTGCTAATAAACAATTTAGTGCTGTTCATATTGCTGAGCAATTAACTACAATGTTAACATTGTGTTGTCATCCAAATGAAGAAATGCAAGATGCAGCTATTCAATGTTGTGATTTATTAATTTCAAAAGTTCCTTCAAGTTTATCTCATAAAAAATCATTATTTGTATTATTTGATTTATTAAATTTGTTATTTAAAGGTGTTGCAGATGCCGATATTCATGAATATGAACCAACAACAACATTTAGAGCAAGATGTACAGGTATCAAAATTTCATTAAGTGATGATTATCATTGGAGAACAACTACATTTAATAGATTTCATGAAAAATCAAAATATTGGATGAGAATTGTTTTATATAAATGTAATATTGATGTTAAACTGTTGATACAATCTTATATTACAGCAAACGAAGAAATGCAATTTGATACCCCTATTCAATTTGGGTTATCATTTGCTTTAGAAATGGCTGGTGGTATTGGTTCAGATAGAGAATTATCATCAATTACTTATTCAAATCCATCAAATTATTTAAATACTTTACCAACTATAGTATCACAATTATCATGGAGATCAAATTTTGTTTCTGAATTAATGCTTAAATTACCTTTAAGAACTAATGAAGAAAGTGACCTTGCATTCAAAGCAATTAGAGAAAAAGTTTATCATATTAAATCAAGATTAAGATTTGATAAATTTAATGACTATCCAACAAATGATGAAATTATGAATTTATTAACTGAAATTGCTGGTTTAACATTATTAAGTGATGTAAATAATGCTGAATTAGTTAGATATGTTGTTGAAATTCCATTTATTATGTTTGATCCATCAACTATGATTAATGCAAGTGGTGTTTGGTTTGCAATTATGAAAGACAAACCACAATTGTCAATATTATTATTAAGTGAAATTGCTAAGAAGTGGGAAGAAAGTATTGAATTAGGAAAAGGTTTATTTAGTCAAGATTTAGATATTGCACATCCAGAATTTGATAAAATGGAATATGCACCAAGTAATAGACAAATGGTAAATAGATTAGCTGAAAAAGCGCAAAGATCATTTGGACCACATTTAGAAATTATTAGATTATTTGCATCAAATTTTGAAGCTACATTAAATCAAAGTGATCATTTATTAAAATTATTTACAAGATTTGTTGAAATTGGTTTGAAAAATTTGAAAATTGCAAGTTATCATCCATTATCAAGATTGGTAAGATTAGAATTAATTAAATTTGCATTTGAAGTTTTAAATTATCATGTTAAATTAGGTTCAAGATCAAGTCAATATTTATTAGATTTAATATTAGATGGTGCTTTAACTTGGTTTAGACAAAGATCAACATATCCATTTGGTGGTAATACATTAAAATTTAAATCTGAATTAGTATTAATGAAAGATGTTGCAAGAATGGCAAGTTCAGTAAGTACAACATCAATAATTGAACTGAAGAGATCAATTTTATTATATTTCCTAGATGATGAAATTAATAAATTTACAATTTGGTTAAATTCATTAAATCCAACAGATGTTTCAGGGACTTTTACAAAACATACAATTACTGGAAATCATATCAGTAAAGCTTATGAAATTGATCCAATTTTAGCAATTAATCTTGCTTTAAGATATAAATCAAAATCTCATGATGATTTGTTACAACAATTATTAATTAAAAATCCATTACCTGCTTGTTCTTATCCTGATGCTGTTCAATTTTTAATTGGTTTAAATGCTGGTGTTCATATGCCTTCATATCATTTATTATTTTGGGCTCCACTATCACCAATTGATGCAATTACATTATTTTTACCACCATTTGGTTCTAACTCATTTATTTTACAATATGCTATGAGATCATTAGAATCTCATGATGTTAATATTACATTCTTTTATGTTCCTCAAATTGTTCAAAATTTAAGATTTGACGCAAAAGGTTATGTTGAAAGATTTATTATTGAAACTGCTAAAGTATCACAATTATTTGCCCATCAAATTATTTGGAATATGTTAGCTAATAGTTATAAAGATGAAGATTCAACAGAACCAGATGATTTAAAACCAATATTGGACAAAATTCAAAAAGAAATGTTGGAAGAATTTAATGAAAAAGATTTAGCATTTTATAAAAAAGAATTTGGATTTTTTAATGAAGTTACTGATATTTCAGGTAAATTAAAACCATATATTAAAAAATCAAAAGCTGAAAAGAAGGAAAAAATTGATCAAGAAATGGCTTTAATTAAAGTTGAACCTGGTGTTTATTTACCTTCAAATCCAGATGGTACATTAGTTGATATTAATCGTAAATCTGGTAAACCTTTACAATCACATGCAAAAGCACCATTTATGGCTACATTTCTAATTAAAAAAGAATTGACAGATTATGACGAAAATGGTCAAGAACAAAAAGTTGAAATTGAAAAATGGCAAAGTGCAATTTTTAAAGTTGGTGATGATTGTAGACAAGATGTTTTAGCATTACAATTAATCTCAATGTTTAGAACAATATGGTCAAATGCCGGATTAGATTTATATGTTTATCCATATAGAGTTACTGCAACAGCTCCAGGTTGTGGTGTTATTGATGTTTTACCAAATTCAACATCAAGAGATATGTTGGGTAGAGAAGCTGTTAATGGATTATATGAATATTTCAAAACAAAATTTGGACCAGAAAATTCAATTGAATTTCAACAAGCAAGAAATAATTTAGTTAAATCACTAGCTGCTTATTCAATTATTTCGTATCTTTTACAATTTAAAGATAGACATAATGGTAATATTATGTATGATGATGCTGGTCATATTTTACATATTGATTTTGGTTTTTGTTTCGATATTGTACCAGGTGGTGTTAAGTTTGAAGCTGCACCATTTAAATTAACTCATGAAATGATTATGGTATTAGGTGGAGGAGATGATACTCAAGCATTTAAATGGTTTGAAGAATTATGTATAAAGGGTTATTTGAGTTGTAGACCATACATGGAAACTATTGTAAGAACAGTTACTCCAATGTTGGAATCTGGTTTACCATGTTTTAAAGATACAAGTATTAAAAATTTAAGATCAAGATTTGTCCCTGGTAAATCAGAAAAAGAAGCAGCTGCATATTTTAGAAAATTAATTAAAAAATCAATGGAATCATTTTATACTAAAGGTTATGATGAGTTCCAAAGAATTACAAATGGTATTCCATATTAGAGATTTTAAGTTGATTGCGTTGATTTTAAGTTGATTGCGTTGATTTTAAGAAGATTGTGTTGATTTTAAGTTGATTGCTTGTTTATTAAGTTAGCTTTATATATAAGTTTGTGTATAAATAAAATATAAAAATATTGATAATATTAAAAGACTTTTTTCTATATGGCGATCATTCAAGACTGTGTTGATTATCATGGCTTAGAAAATGAAGTATAATAGATGTATCATATTTGAACAGTAAATGTTTTAAAACTTCGTGTATTTTGTTCATATTTTTGACGAAGTTTCAAATCTTGATGCGTAAACTCAAAATATAACTATAAATACACTTCGGGCAGAGTTGAGAAACTTTGTCCATTCTACTCGATATTTGAGTTGTTTTGGAGATTATTCTTTAAAAGTCGTTGACATTTTGATTATCCCGACTTGAAAGTACTCAGAAATCGAGAATTGTTGCAAAATTAAGATCTTGTGCCAAAATTTACTAAAAATAAGAGTTGAGAAACTTTGTCCATTCTACTCGATATTTGAGTTGTTTTGGAGATTATTCTTTAAAAGTCGTTGACACTTTGATTATCATGACTTGAAAGTACTCAGAAATCGAGAATTGCTGCAAAGTAAAATCTCGTGCCAAAATTTACTAAAAATAAGAAAAATGAGTACTTTTTTCAAATTCAGTTATAACCATACAGTTAATCATAGACACCGAATGAGCCCAATCAATGCAGTGGCTTGTAGAGAGTAGTATCTAAACAATGTCATTTACATCGAAAAAGTAATTGGTAACCCTTGTACTTATTTGCTGATAATAATAACATTTCTATTTTTAGTAACTGCAATGTAAATAATAAACTTTGCATTGCCTTCTTTAATCAAAAAGCTTAATTAGGTAATTATTGTAAAGATATACACTACCTAGAGATATTACGACGTTAAAATTATATATATCGTAAGGGGCTATCATAATAATATTATTAAATCGTTAAAGGAGTATGACATAGTACTACGTGATTATTATATATAAAATTCTTAGTATAAACAACAGTGCTACTATTTCTTCATCATTTCTCTTGGTAAATCAATAAATTTCGTGGTTTGTTTCAAAATAAAAAATAAAAATAAAAAAAAAAAAAAAAAAATCTGAGATCAACTTTTTTTTTTACAACAATTTACAACACAATTCATTCAATTAGATTCTAAGTTTAGGACCATCAAAAATTTACTATTACTTTTTATATTATATCAACTTATTATCCAAGTAAATTACAATAACTATCAAGGTATATAATACATTTTAATTCATCGATCCACGTTTCGAGTGTCAAGTTTCAATTTTTTTTTTTCGCCCTACGATATCAGATTGCTAACAATTTATCAACTACTGGTTTTAAAGTTTTCAACTATATTTCATAGTATCAAATTATAGAAAAACTGTTATTATCATTTAAAACTTGATTTTAATTGTATTATTTTTCATTATCAATTTTAAAATTAACCTTTTTATGTCATTTTCAATTCAACAATAGATTATTTTAAACTATAAAATTTTCAATATACTATTTATAAATATTTACTACACATATTTACAATATACTATTTATAAACATTTACTACACATATTTACAATATTTACTACACATATTTACAATATTTACTACACATATTTACAATCAATATAATTACATAATATTATAATGTTATTCCAGAATATAATAAATGTTTGGTTAATAACCTGTGTAACTGTTATTTCTGCAACTAAATATATTAAATCAACTTCATTATTAACATGCATGGATAATTCACAATTTACAGCTTCATATTTCGATATAATATTTTATCCTGATAATTCAACTGTTTATTTTAATGTTAATGCTTTATCTTCAATTGATACTAAAAATGTTACTGCAAATATTAATTTAATTACTTATGGTTTAAATGTTTTACAAAGAAATATATCATTATGTGATTTAGATTATATAAATGAAGCAAATCAAAATAATAATCCATTATGTCCATTAACTTCGGGTCATTTAGATTTAAATTCTCATTATCAATTAGGTGAAAGTGTTACTTCCGAAGTACCAGGTGTAGCTTATACAATTCCCGATTTAGATGCTAGAGTTAGAGTTGTTATTTATGAATCTGGTACTACTAATCAATTAGCTTGTGTTGAAGCTACTTTATCAAATGGTAAAACTGTTCAAACTAAATATGCCGCATGGCCAATTGCTGCTGTTTCAGGTTTGGGTGTTATTACTTCTGGTGTTATTTCAGTTATTGGTCATTCAAACACTGCTGCTCATATTGCTTCTAATTCAATGTCTTTATTTATTTATTTTCAAAGTTTATCAATTACTGCAATGATGGCTGTTGCAAGAGTTCCACCAATTGCTGCTGCTTGGGCTCAAAATTTCATGTGGTCTTTAGGTATTGTTAGAGTTGGATTTATTCAAGATATTTCAAATTGGTATGTTCAAGCAACTGGTGGTACTCCAACAGATGTTGTTAAATCTGATTATTTATCAATTTCTGTTCAAAAGGCAAGAAAATTTGCTAAAAGATTTGTTCAAGAATATACATCTGAATTTACAACAACTTTAATGAAAAGAGCTAATATTATGTTAGATTCTGATACTTTTGGATCTGCTGATAATTTAGATAGTTCATTATATTCAACTGATGAAAAAGCTACTGATAATGCTGGTAAAATTTTGGTTTTAAGAGGTATTCAAAGAGTTGCATATTTAGCAAGTATTGAGATTACTGATATTTTCATGACTGGTATTATGTTTTTATTATTTTTCATGTTTGTAATGCTTGTTTGTTTAATGTTATTTAAAGCAATCATTGAAATTTTAGTAAGATCGAAAATGATGAATGAAGGTAAATTTAATGAGTATCGTCAACAATGGGGATTAATTATAAAAGGTACTTTATATAGATTATTGGTTATTGCATTACCACAAATTTCATTATTATGTATTTGGCAATTAACAGCAAGAGATTCAGCAGGTACTATTGTTGTTGCAGTATTTTTATTAGTTATTTCATGTTTATTATTATTACAAGCTTCAACTAGAGTTATTATGAAAGGTAAAAGATCAGTTAAACAATTTAAAAATCCAGCATATTTATTATTTGGAGATGGTAAATTTTTAAATAAATTTGGATTTTTATATGTTCAATTTAGAGCTGATAAATATTGGTTTATTTTAGTTTCATTGATTTATATTTTCATTAAATCACTATTAGTAGCTGTTTTACAAAAGCATGGTAAACCACAATCAGTTATTATTTGGGTAATTGAATTAATTTATCTTGTTGTTATTTGTTGGATTAGACCATATATGGATAAAAGAACAAATGCATTCAATATTACCATTGGTGTTATTAATTTTATAAATGCATTATTTTTCATGTTCTTTTCACAAGTTTTTGGTCAACCAACTGTTGTTTCATCAGTTATGGCTGTTGTTTATTTTGTATTAAATGCTGTATTTGCATTATTTTTATTATTATTTACAATTGTAACTTGTGTATTGGCATTAGTTTATAAGAATCCAGATACAAGATATCAACCAATGAAAGATGATAGAGTTTCATTCTTACCTAGATTTGATCAAAATAACAAGAATATGAAACAAGATGATATGGAATTAATGGCTCTTGGTGAAACAGCAATGAAAGGTCATGAACATGGTGGAAAACAAGGTTCAACTATATTTGACGAAGATGATTCTTATGAAGAACAAACATTTACAAGAACAAATAAAAATCCATATCAAATAACAAGAGATTCTTTTGAACAACCAGCAACACAACCAAGTTCAACAATAGTGGGTAATTCATACAATGCTTCAAGTTCATTAGGTTCAGCAAATACAGGTTTTAGTTATGGTAAAACAGGTGCACATCAAGGTTCAAATTCTTCGCCGAAAAATCCATATAACTATCCTAGACAATATTAAATAAAATATTAAATGTATATTATTCGTTGCTATGATTGATCTTTACAAAATTTAGGTTCTCCAAAAATTGAATAATGGAATAAGTTATACCAAGTTATAGGTTTACAGTCATCATCATCTGAGAATTGAATAGATCTTTTCATGATTTTCTTTTTTGTTTCTTGTAAATTTATCACTTGTGAATATGTAGTTTTCCTAGGTGGATTATCAATTTGTGAAAAATTTAATAATGAAATTGGAAATGAATAAAATCCTTCATTTTTAGGAACTGGTGCTTCATTCATTTTTTCAATATATGAATTAACATTATTGTATTTTGGTAATTCTTCTTCATTTCTTTTACTGATATATGAGTTATCATTACTATATTTAGGCAATTCTTCAAAATCTTCTTTCTCATCAATGTTTAAATTATCATAATGTAATTTATCATCAAATATATCATCAATATATTTGTATTTCTCATCGTATTCTTCTTCTAATTTTTCCAATTTTGATTTATCAAATATTCTAGGATCAAATTTTAGTGCTGATATTTTATGCTTTGTTCTGATTAATTTATCTGCAACTGCATCTGTCTTATCATCTATAAAATCAGCCTTATGTTCAAGTACTGATTTGACTGACGTTTTCTTATCATCTAGTTTACCTATTAAAGCATCTTTGGTATTGACAAATTTAGTCTTTCCAACATCGATTTTATGATCAATAGCTTCATCTATTTCTTCAATTGTTTCTTTAGGCTCATAAAATAATGACTTTTTGAAATCAATCATACCTTTTTTCTTATCCACTATTGCATCATGTAATTGTCTAATCGCTTGAGATTCCACTTCGTCACTATCACTAGCTTCAACTTCTTCAATTCCCTTTTCATCATCTTTAGCTTCTTCAATATCAACTGTTTCTTCTCTTTTGTTCATTTTTTGATATTTGTAGATTGGAAATATGTCAATATTTGATGAACTAATTTTAACACAATATGGACTGTCTTTATAATGTAAATTACAATAAATAGCATGAACTAAAGAATCATAATTCAATTGATTTAACCAAATATTAGCAAACTTATCAAAGAAATTACTAACTGGTGCTGTTTCCTGTTTTAGATAATTCTTAATATGTATAATTGGATTATTTTTAATCAATTCTTTCTTGGTCTGATTGAACATAAACACCATCATTGGTTTATTTTCACTCAATTGGTTTCTAAATAATGGTAATTGAGACTTTGGTAAGTGAATTAATGAATTTTGATAAATTGAAACATTTTTAAAATATGCAGAAGGTAATACCAAAAAATAATCATGTAATTGAATCAAATCTGGAATACTAAATGGAACGGAATTGATTAAAAACTTATTGATATCAAATGATTTATTATTCTTGAATATGTTAAATGGTTGACTATCTTCATCTGTCCCATTAAACAAGAAAAATGTCTTAAAATCTTTAGGGAGTAATATATGTTCAGTATTAGATAAATTTAACCATTGATCTCCTATCGACAGAAGAATTGTAGGATTTATTAATTCTTTAGGTAAGAAATATAATGTATCATTTTTATTATATGAATAATTTTGAAATTCTTCAGTTATATTTGAAAACAAAGATTGCAAATTAATTAATAATTTTTGTTTTGTTTCTTTTATTGAATATAAACTTGGTTTAACAATACTTGTCCAATCATGAGGCAATAATAATGAATATCCAATTGATAAATACAATAATAAATATACTAGCTTCATTATAGCTTGATTTGATATGTTAAAAAAATTGTGTGTAATATAACAAATGTTTGCAAAATAAAACCTTAGGCGGTAATTTGTATGTTGTAACAAAAAACTGGCATTAAAAAATCAGAAACTTAGAAAGTATATACCAAAATCTTATTCTTATGTTTATGCTGACTCTTTTCCATTTCATTATTTAATGCATACATTTCTCCATGTTCATTTAAATAATATTCTTTTAATGGTGTTCTTTCAGGTGGTAAATCATTATAGTGTTTTTGAGTTGGATATTTCTCTGGTTTTTCAACAGCTCCTTGTTCTGCAAAATCAAAATTTATATCTTCTAATAAATTTAACCTTGATATGTATAATGTAGTAATGAACATAATTAAATTACTTAACCAAAGGAAAGTAGATATGATAATAAAAGCACCAATACACCTCCTAATTGACCAAATTTTATTACTTATATGACTTGAATCGGGGAATATCACGGCAATAATGATTATAAAACTAACAAATTTCATTATGGTAGCTGCAAGACAATAAAAACTTCCATTCCTTTTCTCATAATTTATAATTTGAAACATGAAAAGCAATGAAATAATTAATGATATTATGCCATCAGCTATAAAATATCTATAATAACCATCATCTATCTCATTGTCAATTTTGATCAACACTGAAGACAAAACTATAATGATAATAGATACTAACATTTCAAATAGATATAATAGGAAATTTATCGTGATTGTTAATTTCCTATTATGAAATTGTTCACCGAATCGATCGGCCTTAATTGAAATTAAAGGACGATTCATTACTCGTTTAACTAAATCATGTTCAAGATGTTGCTGTCGTGATAAAACACTAGAATTATCTTCTTCGAAAGGAAGTTCCTTATGTTGTAATGATCCTAACTTTTCTTGTGGGGTAGGTAATGGAGGTAAATCATTTTGATTATCGATTATTGATTCAGGGTATGGTAAAAATTCTTTTTGAGATTTTGTTCTTATTGGTATTTCATCTTTTGGAGGTAGACTAGGTGGTTGACTATTTATAGTATCTTGAGGTACTTGAATACCAACTGAGAATCGTACTTTATTTTGTTGTCTTTGTTTCGGAATATGAATTGATGATTCGTCAGATATGTAATTTTGTAATGGTTGATATCTTCTATTTTGTTGACCTTCATTTATTTTTGAACTATATAATGGTATAATTGTATCTAATGTGACTTTACTCGACGTTGTATCTTTTTCATAAATATCTGAATTAGTAGGTGTTGAATTTCTTGATCCTCTTAATTTGGGGAAATTATTTTGAAAGTCAAATCTCGAAGCATCTGAAACAATTCTAATATCATCACTTCCATAAGGTCTAAACATGAAAGGCTATTCTAATGGTTTTGATTCTCCAACTTGAGAACAGATTTTTTTATGCAATTTATTTAAAATTTAAATTACTAGTCCAAATAGGGTTAATTGTAAACAAATAAAAATTTAATGTCGTGAGGCTTTTACAAATTGCGCTCGCGCGCGTTTTTAGATCTAAAACAGACTAAAAATTGAGATCTGAGATCTGAGATCTCATAATAAAGGGCGTTTATTTACATAATATTATTTTTTCTTTGTAGATAATGATTTCATCAATTTGTAGCGTTTGGAATCTTCATAGTTTGTATATATGATCAACCTGGGATCAATAATTTCATTGAACCATCTCTCATTAATCATCAAATCTTGTTTCTTTAAAATTAATTGTAAATTACCTTCATTTCTCAAATTTTCAAATATCTTATTCTCAAATATGTCTGGTGGTAGTATCACATTTAATAATGGATCAAATTTAATCTGTACTATCTTTAAATCATCAAAATAACAATTTTTCCTTAATTTTTGAAAATCTGAATGATGTAAATTTATACCTTTTGGAGATATGTAATTTGGAATCTGTTGAAAGTAATTAATCTCATCATATTCTTCATCAAAATTGTTATCATTTACGAAATTAATTAATGTGTTTATTCCATCATACCAATTATCGCAATCCAACTCGTTTAAAAAACAAAATATTAATTCATATGTAGTTAAATTTAATTTGAAAATTATTTTAAAACTGTAGGTATAATTTATGAATAATCCAGTAGTGTCATTATTCATTATCTTGCATTTCATCAATGGTATTATAAATTTTATTGAATATTTCCTGAATGGAAAATAATGATGATGATGTTTTTCATATTGACATATAATCAAATGAGATTTAAATAATAAAACAGGACAATTTTCGATAACAGGAACTAATGATTTCATGTATATGATGTTAACAAGTCCAATAAACATGGGATGTCCAAAGAAATTAAAATCATAAAAATTAGGATAAGTTTCATATTTCAAATCAATCCAAATCAACTTTTTAAGCTCCAGCTGTAAATATGCATTCCTATCATATAATTCTCTAGATTCTTCATTTATAATCTTTAATTTTCTACTCGTATTCCAATATTCTTGATCTTGATCAAATGTAAATCCATGCTTTAATTTCACATAATCTTTTCGAATATTTTCTATAAATAGCCTGTATTTTACTATCCTATCTATTGGTTTATGTGACAATGAAATAAATGATAAATCTTTACATTTTAATATTGGTTGAGCACCCTCCATGAAATTTTGCCAACCTTTAAACCAATTTGTATTATCTGAATTTCCATTCCTAATTGAAATATTTGTAATTAATGAAGACATGAGCTCATGTAAAGAACAATACCATCGATACCAATAAACACAAATGCCATAATGATTAATTAAATCAATGATCTTGTTACCTTTGATAAATAAATCTGATTGATTATTAAATACTTCTCGAATTAATCTATGTAAATTTTCATGAATTTGACATAATGAAATTAGAATAATGTTGGTGTTTATAATTGGAATTGGAATTTCTATTTTTCTACTTGAGTTATTTATTAATTCTTGATAATAATTTGCTTGTAAGCTCTTCAATTGATTAAAATAACTTGATTCAGATAATTCTATTTCATTCAATATACAATATAAATTTTTTTGTATGTTCAATTGTTGAGAATGTATTGGAGAGTAGGAATTATTTGGTTTTGGAGATATCATTAAATCTGAATATGACGATGTTTGTATTATTGGCCAACTTATAGTTTGAAATTTGGGGTGTTGTTCATTTATAATTGTTTCTTTTTTAAATGGTGTTTTGTGTGATATTTTTGGTGATGGTGATCTTTGTAATGGACTATCTTCAATTACCGTAGTTAATGTTAATGCTTCTCTAACTAATGCATGGTTCTGTTCACTTAATGTTAATGAAGTACACGTCAGTGTCTTATCCATGATAATTTATACTTTGATATACAATTTGGTGATAATTTTTTTGCAGCATAAACAAAAAAAAGGTAAACAATAACGAAAGATTAATAATTACTAAAATAAAGCAGAAATTGAGAGTAAGACTTATATTTTATTCTTCAAATTTAACCAATAAGGGATCCATCAAACACATTGTTAAAAGTGATAATTTTCTAGGTGGATATTGAAATGAATTTGGTTTAATACTTAATTTTGAACAAGTTTGAACTAATCTTGCAATTACATATGATGCTTCAGTTAATGCAAATTGTTGACCTAAACAAATTCTTGGACCGCCATTGAATGGTAAATAAGACCAACCTAATTTTCTAGTAGATTCTTCAAACCATCTTTCTGGTTTAAATTCTTTTGCATCTTTACCATAATAAACTTCATCAAAATGAGTAGCATTTATATTATAAATTACAGTTGTACCTTTTTTAACTAATATTGGAGAATTACCATCTGGTCCACCACCTCTTGGAATTGTTGTGTTTTTAACTGCTACTCTTCCATTTTTAGGTACACTAGGATACATTCTTAATGATTCATTTATTACAGCTTTTAGATACTCACATTTCTTCAATGATTCAAATGTTATTAATTCACTTACATCATTTCCGAAAGCTTCTAATATTTCTTTTCTTAATTTTTCCCACATTTCTGGATGTTGAGCTAATTCAAATATAGCAAATGATAATAAACCAGCAGTTGTATCTCTACCAGCTAATAAAATATTTAGTGCTTGATCTTTTAATGTTTGTGGATCTCTTGTTTCTTTAACTAATTCGTATAAAAATACATAACCACTTTGTTTTTCAATTTCTTCTGGTGTAGCATTTAAAACTTTATTAATATAATAATCACTAAATTTATGAACAATTTTATTACTTTCTCTAAATTCTTTTGAGTCAATTAACCAATATAATTTTTGTAATGTTGCTCTATTTGATAAATAAGTTTGTGAAACATTGAAAGCTTGTGCAAATTCTTTCCTACAAGGGATTTTATTGAGTTCATCTCCTTCTTGATTAAACCCAATTGCTTCATCTTTTAAAGAACCAACACTTTCACCAAATAAAAACTCGGTAGCTGAATCAATTGTAAATCTAAAGAATAATTCTTGTAAGTCGAAAAATGAGCCCTTGTTTTTAATAATATGTTGTTTCAATAATTGAACATGTGGTTCTAATGCTTTTACATGACCAACTTGATTTCTTGAAAATTGAGGTCTCAACATTTGTCTTGAATGTTTCCATCCAGAACCATCTAATGTGAAAATACCTTTTCCTAATAATGGACCAAAATAATTTAATCTTTCACCAAGATAAAAATCATTAAATTGAGTACTTAACAAAGCTTTTATATTTTCTGGGTCTTTTGTAAATATAGTTTCCAAACCAAAAATTAATTCTGTATAGGTGTGAACACTAGGGATTTTAACATTTTCATACTTACTTGATAATAATTCAATATGAGTACCTTTAGGCTTTGATTTGATTAATTCATAACCAGATCTGAAACCCAAAGATCCATCATAATTTTGATTTGTTGCTGGTTTTGCACCTAGCTTATTTGCAACATGGATGTAATATAATTTTTGAATTATGATTTTGAGAATTATAAGTGATAATATTGTGACATACCAATATTCTATTAAAATTGAATAAATCATAATGTAAATTTAATAAATAATTCAACGGTAAATTTATTGAAATACAAAGACAATAAACAATTAATGATAATATTGAATAATATTTGATAATGCGAAATAATTTATAAATGATAAATTTGAATACAATATAAAAAATCAATGATAATTGAATAACAAATTCTAATAAATTTATTAATAATTGAACGTGAATAATTGGAGAAAAAGAAAAATTGAAGGAATTCTGATTCATTTAAATACTCAAAATCAAAAAATCGCTGTCAATTTTTTTAAGGAACAATGAAACGCAAAATTTATTTTAAGATATTAAACGCTTAACCCTCAAATTGATTAAATTAAAAGTTTAATTGACAACAAGACTATATGCACAACTTAAACTAATGGAGTTTATTACATTGGATCTAAGATATAAGAATAATTAGAGTATGTAAATATAAATGTAGATCATAGTTTTTGATTCAATTCGATCTTGTCTCACCTATAATTATTATTAAACTGATAAATAATGATTTACGAATTTAAAAGGGTCCAATATTTAAAGCTAATTTAAGTTTAGATGCGTCAACAATATAAGAAATAAATTAATGGTTAGTGGTTTGCAACTTGGATTGGTAAGTATTTTAAATTAACCAAATATGATTTGATACGTAGGGCACTTTTTCTTTCATTTTTTTCAATTTATAATTCAATTATAAATTCGTTGATAACTGGGCACATAATTTATCCGGAGTTTTTATCCGGAGTTAACAACACAATGGTTTCAAATTATAACACAAAAACAAAGTTTTTTTTTTTTATTTTTTTTTTGCGATTATTTATTTTATACTATATAATTAAACTTTCAATTTCAATCTTGGACGTGGAGTTTAAAAAAATTGGGGTTTTTGATCACTCTGTTTTTCAATTGAGGGATAAGCATAAGATGCAGTACGATCAAGTTTTGCTGTATCAATTGCTTCTTTTGAATTCACTATACTTCCATTAACACTCCTTCCATTAACACTCCTTCCATTAACACTCCTTCCATTAACACTCCTTCCATTAACACTCCTTCCATTAACACTCCTTCCATTAACACTCTTATTTCTATTATCAAGTACTTCATCAACTTCTTGTTTATTCAATCGATATGTTATTACATCTTTTTCATGTTCAGCAGTTTTATTCACTTGAACAGTTTCTCTAGGTTGTGTTTGTTCAAAACCTGGTTCATTCATTTGACCTCGTTGACCTGGTGGTGGTTGATTATAATAATGATGTTCATTAATAACTGGTTGTTGTGATTCTTGACCACGATGAAATGGTCTTGTCATAGATCTGAAAAACATAAACATCATTGGAAATTTCATTGCTCTTGCAAATCTACCCATTCTACCTTGTCTCTGTTGTTGATTTACATTGATATTCTGATTTACAGTTTTATTCTTGTACGTATTTCCAGTTCTTCTATTATATCCATAACCTTCTTGTTGTTGTTGTTGTTGTTGTTTATATTGACCTTGTCTACTTTGACCTAGTCTATTTTGACCTTGATAATTATAGGACTGATTTTGCTTCTGTTGTCGATTGTAGTGATTAGTATATTTCTGTTTTTGTGGATTATTGTATTGTCCTTTTGCTGGTTGTTGTTGTTTATTAGATTGATAGTATTTTGTTCTATTATGTTGTGGTTGACTATATGAACTATAAGGTCTACCATAAGATGAACCATAAGATGAACCATAAGATGAACCATATGATGATCCACCATAACTAAAACCGCCTCCTCCGTATCTTCTACCGTACATGGTGGTGGTAACATGAAATGATTTACTAAAACTTTAGATCAACTAGTATTAGTTAACTTTTATGGAAAGTTTTAATAATGATACAATTAAATCATGGAGTGCTCATACCCCATATTCATGATTATGTGGAGTAACGTGATGTTAGCTGGAGTTGATGTATCTCAAACTTATAAAATTTTGCAGCTAAATTTTAGATAATAAAATTTACGAGAAATTATGCATAATCTGATGTAAGTCGACAGGAGACGATTTCTAGCACTATTTCCTGATTCTTAAACGTGTTACATCACAAAAAATTAACCAAAAATAAACCAAAAATTAACCAAGTTCTTAACTATGTTGCATTGAGTCTAAAAAATGTGGTCTCAGATTTCAAATTTTAATCCTGCTTCGTATTCGTATAAAATTGTATCACGCAACTACCGCACTAAATTAAAATAAAATGCAACGGGGTTGAGTACGCCGAGCGCTCAAGAACTTGAACGATAAGAATCGCTACCTTTACACTATAATAGAAAATCTCGGTCCCAAAATAGAATACCGAAAATGTTACTATATATAATTGCTCTTCTGACTATAAATTTAGATTTCAATATTTCATAATTTTCAATTCTTTTACAATCAAATAACATTGAATTATTGATCAATTTCTTTTTAAGTTAGAATATCTAAGCCATTTCATTAAGAATTTTATATAAGTAACTGTTATTGCCTCGAGTGAAATTTTGAGTTTGACATAATTAGGACAAAAATTTATTTTTACAATGTATTTACCACATCATTTAGAACCAACTATTAAACAACTTGAAGAAGATTTTGCCATTAGTGATGAATTTTTAATTAAAGCTAGTGATTTTTTTTTACAATCTATGGATGAAGGTTTAAAAGCACCGGAACAATCAAGAGAACACATGCCAATGATTCCGACTTATGTTACTGCAATTCCAACTGGTAAAGAAAAAGGTTTATATTTAGCTGCTGATTTAGGGGGTACAAATTTTAGAGTTTGTTCAGTTGATTTAAAAGGTGATCATACTCATGAATTAATACAAAATAAATATAGAATTCCACAAGAATTAATGAAAGCAAGTTCTGCAGATAAATTGTTTAGTTATTTAGCACAAAAAATTGAATCGTTTTTGGATGAACATCACACTGAAGCAAAAGAAAAATCTACTCAACCTTTGAAATTAGGTTTTACATTTAGTTTCCCAGTAAATCAAACAAATTTAGATGAAGGTACTTTAATTAGATGGACTAAAGGTTTTGATATTCCAGATGCTGTTGATAGAGATATTGTTGATTTATTACAAGCAAATTTGACTGTTTTAGAAATTAATGTTAAAGTTGTTGCATTGGCAAATGATACTGTTGGTACTTTATTAAGTGGAGCTTATCAAAATAATCCAGCTGAAACAAATGCAAATACTATAGTTGGTGCTATTTTTGGTACTGGTACTAATGGTGCATATTTTGAGACTCTTGAAAATATTCCAAAATTAAAAAATCCACCACCGGGTGCAAAAGGTATGGTTATAAATACTGAATGGGGTTCATTTGATAATACTTTAAAAATTTTACCACGTACGAAATATGATGAAATTGTTGATTCTGAAACTGCAAATAAAGGTTATCATTTATTTGAAAAAAGAATTAGTGGTATGTTTTTAGGTGAAATTTTACGAGTTATATTGATTGATTTATTTAAGCAAGATTTAATTTTCACTGATTTATATAAAGCAAGAGGTGGTTCATTACCTCATAGATTAGCACAGCCATGGCAATTAGATTCTGAAGTTTTATCATATTTACAAATTGATGATTCCACGGATTTAAAAATGTCTGAATTAATTTTACAAAATACTTTAAGATTGCCAACTACGAGAGATGAAAGAGTTGTAATACAAAGATTAACTCAAGCAATTTCAAATAGAGCTGCAAAATTATCAGCAATTCCATTAGCAACAATTGCAAAAAGAGTTAAAGATCAATATAAAGATGACGATAAAGATTTTGAATTTGGTTGTGATGGATCAGTTGTTGAATTTTATCCTGGTTTTAGACAAGCTATATTAGATTCTGTAAATGTTATAGATCCATTAAAAGGAACTAATAAGAAAATTCATATAAGAATTAGTAAAGATGGTTCAAGTGTTGGTGTTGCAGTTGTACCTGCATTAGTAGAAGAAATCCAAAAGAATCCACATAATTTATGAAATTAGACATATTAGACCCTATGTATAATTACAAGTTAAAAATATAAAACCGTTATATATGTTACTGTACATAAGAGATCTCGCTTACCAGATCTTAAAAATTTCTTTTTACTTTTATTTTTTTTTTTTTTTTATTTTTTTATTTTGCAGTTCTACCGAAATATTGTAACTTTTAATCTTAACTAACAAAATGTTCCAAATTTGCAATAGTTGATTTTGTGTTTGATTTACATAGTTACTCCGAAATTTTGCAGTGCTTTACACCCACTTCATCTCAACGATGTTTACACTCATTGGACAACTATAAATAGCGTTCAAAATCCCAGTATTCTCAATTCATCAATCGTAGATTTATAGACTATTACATTATGTCAACATTCACTTCATTTATTAAACCAGAAACAGATTCAGACAGAACAGTTCCAACTAAAACATTCAATTTAAATCCAAATTTATTCGAAAGATTTTCACTAAAAGGTAAAGTTACATGCATAACTGGTGGTGCTGGTGCAATTGGGTCTGCAATTGCTGAAGGTTATGCTCAAGCAGGTGGCGATGTTATAATATTAGATCATGCACATTCAGATAATGGATTAAGTGAATCATTAGCTATAAAATATGGTATAAGATCTAAATTTTATCAAATTGACGTTACAAATGGTGAACAAGTTAAAGAAGTAGTAAGCAGAATCGAATCAGAATTCGGTACAATTGATGTATTTGTTGCTAATGCTGGCATTGCGTGGTATACTGGATCTATCTTAAATGAAGATTCAACACCTGAAAAATGGAGAAAAGTATTTGATGTTAACGTTCATGGTGTATTTTATTGTGCAAAATATGTTGGTGAAATCTTTAAAAGAAAAGGTTCTGGTTCTTTTATAATAACTGCTTCAATGTCAGCACATATAAATAATGTACCAAATTACCAAACATGTTATAATTCCGCAAAAGCAGCTGCGATGCATATGGCAAAAGGTTTAGCTGTTGAATTTGCTGGTTTTGCAAGAGTAAATTCAGTTTCACCAGGTTATACAAATACTTTATTAAGTGAACCTATTCCAAGAGCTCAAAGAGCAAAATGGTGGGGTTTAACGCCGGTATGTATCAAAAAATTTTAAGAATGTAATAATTGAGTAACATTATACTAACATATTATCTTTAGATGGGTAGAGAAGCAGAAACAGACGAATTAGTTGGTGCTTACTTGTACTTAGCTAGTGATGCTTCATCATTTACTAATGGTTCAGATATTAGAGTTGACGGTGGTTATTGTTGTGTATAGGCCCCATTTATTTATACATTCAAATGCATATTAGTAGATCATAGAGCTCACATCATGCATACTAATAAACCATAACTTTCATATTCTGTTGCATTGAATTGTCGATCAATTTTGACGTGTAAATTTTTGCTACCATTTTTTTGATCTTCAACAATATTTCATATTTTTCACTTTAGATCAATACAACGATGAAGTTTCTTATTTTATTGCTACAATTGATATCTATAACACTAGCCATTGTGCCTAATGTAAATCATATACCAGAGAATAAAAAAGAACAAAACCCATTGAAATTTGAGTCTACAGAAAAATCATTATCATTACCAAACTTATTAACAATTGATTCAAAATCTCAAATTTCAAATTATGATCTTTCGAAAACTATAAATTACGATAATGGTAGATTGTTATTAGATAAAAACGGAGTAATGTGGTCAAAAAACACATTACCACAAGATGAATTTACAATTGAAGTTGATTTTAGATCGACTGGCCGAATTGAAGATTTACAGTTTTTAGAAAATCAATTATCCATAATCCTTGCTGAAAATATACAAAGTTTTGATAAATTTGATGGATTTAAATTTTTAATTAATAATCAAGAGCAAGAAGGTCTAAAAATTTTCAATAATGATGGATCAAAAACTTTAAATAATTTAATTGATGAAAGTATAGGTGATTGTAAATTCAGATATTTAGAAAGTAATGTACCTTTTACAATTAGAATTTCATATAAGAGATCAGAATCGTGGTTTAAAGTTCAAATTGATAATAATTTATGTTTTAAAACTAATAGAATTCAAATTCCAAATAATTCAAAACTAAGATTAGGTGTTTTTTCAATTATAAATAGATCATCAATTGAAGAATTTGAAATATTGAATGTTAAAGTATGGGATCATTTAATTGAAGACGCAATTGATGATCATGGATTAATGAATGATGGAGAAGTAAAAGTTGAATTTAAAACAATTGTAGTTGAAGAATCTCAAGCTACTGATGCTATTAAACCTGAATATAAGAGAGAGTCTTTAATGGAAAAAGCCCAAAAACAAAGACAAGAATCAATGCAAGTACAAGATTTTAATGTACTTAAAAAATTACAAGATCTAGAATACCAACAAAATGAAAAGATCGATAAATTGATTCAAATTCAAAATGAATTGAATTCAAATTTACAAAATCAAAAAAAAGAATTACAACAATTATTCACTACTCAATATGCAGAAATTTTAAGTTCTATCTCAACTTTGAATCAAAAATTAATTGGTGAAGTTAGGGAACAACATTTTGGAATGGAAGAATTGAGTAAAAAAGTTGATTTATTAATGAATAATCATAAAGAAATAGCATATCAATATGAAAAAAATCAAATCCAACAGCAACAACAACAACAGCAGCACATACAAGTACCAACATCTTCAGTTTTCGATAGTTTAATCAAATGGATCTTAGTACCGTTATTGATCATACTAATAATATTAGTCATTTTCGTTTATCGTCTTAGACATGATATAAAACATTCAAAATTATTGTAATGATATTTAGAGTAATTGTATAAATAAAAAAATAAATGTAAAAAATAAATGTATATTTATGATTTATTCGACGATGATTTTTCCAAAGTTAAATCTTCTTTTGAATTTGATTCAAATTGTGATGCTAAATCTTTAACTGATGATTTTCGATGTAAACTAGGTATGAATTTAGGTGGAGGAGTTGGGGAAAATTCATTATTTGAATTAGTGTCATATATGATATCTTTTTGTGAACGATAACTTACTGGTGATTCTTTTCTTGCTGATGATGATTCATCTTTGAGTAATGAACTTAAGTTCTTCTTTGTTGGTGACAAGGATCTTGATGAGAATTTATTTGGTGATCTTGATCTTGACGGTGTTTTCTGTTCCGATGGTAATGATGTCGTTGTGATTGAATTTGAAGATGTCGTTCTTTGATTTGCAGGCGGTGATGGTTGTGGTTTATCTTTTGTAACTGCTCTTTGTAATCTTGATTCTAATCTGGATTTAGATTTAGCAGCTAATGATTCACTTGGATTTTCTTTTGTTGTTGTTTTTGCTTTAGATTGAGTGCTTTTTGTTGAATTGTCTCTTGATACATTTCTACTACTTACTCCACTACCATTCAATTTTGATCTATTTCTTCTCAATTCATTAAATATAGTTTCTTTGTATTCAAATAAATCATTCATTAAATTTATCAAATGTTTATCTTTAGAATAAGTTTCTGGATTTGTAGTTGCATCTTGTTTTGGATTTAAAATTAATAAACTAAATTCTTTACTTAAGTTATTTTGTAATTTTTTAGCCAATTCTTCATCTTTTGATCCTATAATATTTATCAATCTTTTCAAATGTGTTAATAATGCATCTAAAGTAGCTAAATTACATTTTGGTAATTCACTCAAAACATTTTGTAATCCATTAATTCTATAATCTGAATCATCTTGATAGTTTACATATAATGATTTTATAATTTCATAATAATTGTTAGGTATGATTGAATCAGGTAGTTCCATGAAATATAACTTGAGAACATTTGTAATGACTAACGGGTGATTCAATTTCAATATCTCATTTATTGATTTTGCATCATTCAACTCATTTAATTGAAATCTCAATTTATGTACATTTGATAAATGAATTGGTTTCACCCATAAGTTAATTCTCTCTTCATCATTTACTAAATCAGGGTATACTGAATCCAAATGACTTAAAATGCATTGAATTATCATAGGTACACTTTTCTTATCTAATCTTGATAAAACATTTAAATCAACACCAAAAATTTGTTTAATATTTGATTCATAATAATTATCATATAATGTAACATGAGGTTTAAATTTACCAGTTGAATAATTTTCAATAAGAAACTTTAAATCATTTATAGGATTAATTGTCTCTTCCAATAAATTCAATTCTTGACTAATTGATTTTATAGTTGTTAAATTATTATTAAAACTTGAAACAAAATCAAATGAAACTTTTTTAATAGCTTTTAATCTATCCAATTCACATTTTTGCATAAATGTTAAATGATCCATTACTAATTCTTCAAATTCACATCTTAATTTATCCAATTCAGAAACTAATTTAAAATATTGTTGATCCAATTGTTCTACATCATTTAACAACTTATGGAATTGTGATTTATCATTATAATCAACTGATGAAACTCCAATTGCTTCTTTGACATCATCAAAATTAAGAAAATTTTTAAAATTAGTTTCCTGTTGATGATCTTCTGAAATTTGTGCCAATTCAAAAGATTTAGATTTCCATTGATAAAAAAATTGAGATGAATTTATAAATGATTTAGTCATTGATCCAATTATTCTTATAAATTCTTGTTTTAATAATTCTTGACCAAATTCCTCTGCTTTGTCTAAATTGTTTTTACATTCTGGTATATTTTTTAAAACCCATTTTGTTATTGAACTACCTGTTGATACATTATGATAAGTACCTAAAATAGCTACTTTATGAGAAATTCTAGGGATTGTTTCCAACATGTCTTTAATCAATATTTTCATTTGTTCTTTGGTGAATGTTAAACCAACAAATTCATAAATTTCATTTTCTTCAGCATCTTCACTTCCTTCTTCATTGGATATTTTTTGACTGAATGATAAGTCTTTCAACTCTTCATTTAATTCCTCTTCACTGTAATGCGATTTAAACTCCTCCAACATCCTGCATTTGTTAAAATATCTCTTTTGAATTCTTTCGACATTTGATTGTAATGTTTTCAACACTTTATATTTCTCATTGATTATAGATTCTGAGTAGTTCACTCTCTGGTCATGTTCTTTACACCATTTTTGAAAAGGCATCAATACATTAAGTTGAATATTTTCACCAATTTGTAAATGATTTAAACCTTGCTTATTGAAATTCTCATTAAATTTCAAAAAGGAATTTTTGATAGTTGATACATAATCGTCATTATTATATCTTTTATTCAGCGGTTTTAAATCAATTGAAATATTTTCTAACGAAGTACCATATAATATTTCCAGTTCCATTCTTTTTTGTAATAAGTTTATAAAATCATTATTTTCTAAAATGCCCTGGTGTAATTGATTAAATAAATTTTGAAACCCATGTTGATAATCTTGTGACCAAAAACTATCAGCAAATGACATAATAAGCCAACAACTACTAAACTATCTCAATAAATCTTGCGTTTCAACTGGTAATAATTAGCGAAATTGGCCTCCAATTATTTTTTTCGAAAGTGGAAATTGTTAGATCAAAAAAATAAAAAAAAAAAAAAAAAAAAAAAAAAAAAAATAAAAAATAAAAGTTCGTGTTTTTTTGTTCCTGAATTAAGAAATTTTAATGGTTTCATTGATAATTGTGTGATTGAAGAGTATTTTGCGACACTAGTGATGCTTTACGAGAGGGTCTAGATTTGCAATTGATTCTAATGTAAAATAAACAACAAATGAGAGCTAGTTTTCGGTTTTTTGCATTGAATTTATGGCAGCCACGCGTAACCGCAAGATTGACGTGTCTTAAAAGTGTAGATTAATTTAAAAGTATGGTATAGTCTATTCTTAAAGTAAATATAAGGATTATAAAGATATAAAGCTTTGGTGTGAAAAGTATCTTACTAATTGGTCGAATCCAGAATTTAAATTTTATGAGAAGGAACGTACATCTGGATTTCACAGAAGAATCAGCAAAGACTGTGATCTAAGCTTATTTGTAGTAGCTAAGGTTGGAAAGGGGGCTAGCTACTGTTGTAAATACAACAAATAGTCGATCGAAATCGTATTTTTAAATTCTCTTACAAATGTTTCAGATCTTGGAATGGTAGCGTCTTTCTCCATATAAAAAATTGTTTCATCTTAAATTCTATACCATATAAAAAATTGTTTCATCTTAAATTCTATATCTTATTCCATGATTAGATCAATTCGTAAGTATATACCCAAACAATGCTTCCATAGCTCAGTTTTTCAACTTCAACAGCTACCTCCACATAAAGACGGGTTATATTTTGGTAAATACACCAAGGAGGAATATGAAGATGCTAAAAAAATCATCCAAGATCAAATTTCCAAACTTGAAACTGAAATTAAAGGAGATTATAATATTAGAGAAAACATAGATAAATTCAAACCGTTTCCAGAAACTGGACCATCAACGGGGAAAATTTCAAACTTGACAGATTTTTTCAAAAATACGATAAAATTAACGGGTCCCATTTCATTAAGTGCTTTCATGAGACAATGTCTAACTCACCCTGAATTTGGTTATTATACAACACGAGATCCTTTAAATTTAAAGACTGGTGATTTCATAACGTCACCTGAAATTTCTTCTGTGTTTGGTGAAATGTTGGGAATTTGGTATTTTACAACATGGCAGTCACAAAATAGACCAAAACAGATGAGATTTATTGAATTTGGACCTGGGAAAGGAACATTGATAAATGATATACTATTGACTTTTAATAAATTGATAAGGAAGGTACAGGGAGATGTCAAAATTAAAATTATTATGATTGAAGCATCAAATGTTTTGCGAAAAGAACAATGGAAATTATTATGTGAGGAATCTAATGCTTTTGAAACTACAGAAGAAGGATTTAATAGGTCTGTTACTAAATGGAATAATGATATTGTATGGATGGATACCGAAAAGTCAATAAAGAAGGATGAAACTGGTCAAATTGCAAATTATATAATTTCTCATGAGTTCTTTGATGCCCTTCCTATTAAATCATTCATTAAACAAGATGATAATACATGGAGAGAGCTAGTTGTTGAAAATAGTGAATTGGTGGAGAATAAATTAGGTATAGAAGGTAGTGAAGAGACCAAAGATTTCGATGTTGATTTTCATTTAACTATATCTCCCAAAGAAACTCCAAGTTCAATGATTCCTAAATTATCTAAAAGATATAAAGATTTACCAGTGGGTACCAGAATTGAAATTTGTCCCGATGCAGAATTATATATTATGAAAATGGTTCAATTATTAAATGAAAATAATGGTGCTGTTTTAGTTGTTGATTATGGTACTACTGCATCTGTACCTGAAAATTCATTACGTGGTATATACAAACATAAATTTGTTTCACCATTTTACAAACCTGGTGATGTTGATTTATCAATTGATGTAGATTTTGGAAATCTAGTAAAATTAACAGAATCATTATCACAAGTTTTTGGACCTCTAAATCAAGGAGATTGGTTACATAATATAGGAATAGGTTATAGAATAGACCAATTGATCAAATCAACCACTGATGAATCAAAACAAGATAAGATATATGAATCATATAAGAGATTAACTGATGATGAACAAATGGGTAAAATATATAAATTTTTAGCATTATTACCAAAAGGTTCAAAGAAACCAATAGGGTTTTAACAAAAGTATATATTTTTAAATTATTTCTGGGTAGTATAACATTGCATCCATATTAATACCTAAATTATCTTTATCAAATTTATAAATATCTTCATTTACATATTTATTATATTTAACTGAATAAGTCTTCATTAATTTAAATCCCATTTTAGTATAAAATTTTCTATTAATTGGATTTGAACTTTCTAAATACATATAAGATTTCTTATTATCATTTAAAAATTTCTCCTTTGCATAATTAATTAAAATTCTACCTAATCCTTTACCTCTCATTGAAGGTAATGTTGCAATATCATTTAAATACCAAATATTTAAATCAATAGGGAAATGTTTACCCTTTTCAGTTCTTAAAATTTTGTTAATTAATACTTCATTTCTTACTTTTGTTAAAAATGGTAATTTTTCTTTAAATACTTTTGATCTACATTGACCTCTAATTGCTTTAAAATTAAATTTTATTGAAGATTTATGAATCGAATCTTTAAGTGATAAATCTCCATTCACAAAATAATCATCATCTGAATAATCGGAATCTGAACCTGAACTTGAATCAGAAACATTCATACCATAAATTTGATTCCATAAAGCACAACCTAAAAATGGGAACTTATTAACATTAATATCTAATTCTTCCAATTGAGATTCATAATTATTATCTTTGATAATATAAACTAAACCATCAGTTGATAAACATTCATAAGTTGCATATTCAAAATAAGATAACATTAAGTCCAATTTCTTTTTTTTGTAAATTGATTTTGAAGTTGTTTCTTTTTCATACTTCATTGTATTTAAAATATAATTTGTAAATGGATCATCCTCAAAAGAAATCATTAACGTTTTTGCAACTCTTCTATAATCCTTTAATTTTGCAATTTCAATCGAAATATTTAATTCATTAGGAATTGAAAATGATGATTCAGTCAAATTTCTTCTTTTAGGTTGTGAGGTAATTGATTCTAATGAATTTGACCTATCCTTTTTATTACCAATAGATGATGAGTCAAATTTGGAATCTGAACTTAAACTTAAATTAGCACTAACAGCATCATCTTGGATAACTGGAGTATCTAAATGAGTCTTTGTAGTTTTGATTTTCAGAGTTTTTAAATTGAATTTATCAGGAGGAACAACATTAAATTTCAGTCTCAGGGAGTTTAAATTATTAATAATTGAACTTGGATTTGGATCATCTTCTGAATCACTATCATTTTCTTCATCATCATTTTCAGGTAAACTTCTCGGAATTTTTGCTTGTTCAACATTAATAATTTTCAGGTTGTTGTTAAAAGTCGAATCATCTAATGATTTAAATGATAAAACTCCCCGAGACTGAGGCAGTCGTGGTTTCCTCTTTGAATTTGATTCATGGTAATCTTCTGGATTGAGGGCAAACATCATTTCTATTCATCTATCAAAAAATAATAATAATAAAAGGGTGTAAGCTTTTGTAAATCTGAAACAAGAAAATTGAAGGAAACAAATATTTTTTAATCGGCGCCACTCGCTATATTTATAATTTTATTTGATCTTATCAATTTGATCATTAGAAATTTCCAAATTGGGAAACAGGGAGCGCATCTGAAACATTTATTAGCAGCACCGAAATGGACACGCGAATAAAGCGAATGTTCGCATTAAATTTCGTTGTTCGTATTAACATTCCGTTTGAGCATAAAGCAAGAACGGTACGAAATTCGATTGCACGACGTCTTGTCTTTTATCTATTTTGACATAACTACTATAGTCTTATCATTAATAGGGTTAAAGTATGAATATAATTAGTTTTGTCCTTCTAAACTTTGTTTTGTTCTCTGCTTTTATTTTGGTGGAGATATGTTGTGAAATTCAAGGTTGCAAAATTAATAGATAAGAGATTGATCGGGTGTATGATAATTACAATAACGCGAACAGATTATAAAGATATGCAACGAGCTTCCCAGTTACATTGTAGCTAATAAATACACTTTATATTTTTGTACAACTATTCAATTGCATTGTTTATCATACTTTTATACCAGCTAATTAGATTATTTGTTGATAACGACGTTTGGTTGATAGTGGAATTAGATTTTCCTTAAAATTAATTCATTCGATTTTTGCCATAATTAAGAGATTTTTTTGAAATTTTTCAATTTTAGCTTTGATCAAACGAAATTTGCCCTGGATTTGACTTAAATGTCTATTGTATATAATCCGATGCTTAGTTGAAAGTTATGGTCCCCAAATAAAAAAAAAAATCAATTCATTCTATTTTTGCCATAATTAAGAGATATTTTTTCAATTTTTCAATTTTTCAATTTTTCAATTTTAGCTTTGATCAAACGAAAATTTGTCCTGGGTTTTACTTAAATGTCTATTGTATATAATTCGATGTTTATTGAAAGTTATGGTCTCCAAATAAAAAAATATATTTTGAAATTACAATTTTGAATAATTTTTGTATGGTGAAAAATGGCCAAAATGACAACTCAAAAAAAGTAATATTTGAAATTGGAAATTTAAGTTATATAGAGTTTATAATCTAAGGATTCTGATTTGATTAAACTGGTCTTTATATTGAGAGAATGTATTGTTCCTAACATATAAGCCAATAAATTCAGAGCGGGTCGCCCTATTCTTAACGCGACGTTGTTGGTACTAATTCAATTTGTACTTTTTCAATGGAATCATCGGCTTCACTTGTTTAAAAACCGATATTGTAATACACGAGGTAAATTATAATTGACTTTAGCCAATGAAACAGACTTGGCAAATTAATTATTATAAGAGTAGCAGCTAAATATTGGTCTCTCGTTTAGATTTAGTTTTTTTCAGCCATAACCATCTGGTTGTCATCTGGTTGTCATTATAAATCCCGAACCCTTATCAACAAAATGAAATTTAAGCCTCAGAAACTGTTTTGGTAAGCCCGACCCCGATTTTTCGCATCAAAGTTGTAGAGTAAAGAATTACGACTATGAAGGTCAGCTAACCAGCTTGACAATTTAGGCAAAGAATTATTAAGTTCTACGCTGCTGAATATAATTGAAATGAGCTCGTCAGGCTAAAGAATCTTTAAAATAGTTTTCGAAAAGTCCGTCATTTAGTATGCTTAAACAAATTTAGCCGAAATTTCACTAATCTGTAAGTTAGGAAAAATTAAAAAAAATTAAAAAAATAGTACTAGTATTCAGAAAGCGGTTTATATTACTTTTATAGATTGCAACTGCTTTTTAGTTGATCAAGGGTCTCAATTTGTATTCAATGCAACGAAATTGAAAAAGTTGCAAAATATTTTAAGGTTTGAAGTCGTGTCAATTTACTGAACAATATGTCTTAGATTAGCTAAGCATAAGCATTTTTTTTATTGTTTATATGAATTTTTCAGTGTCAAACTTTCCTGGCTTTTCAAAACCGAGTTGTTTTAGCCTTATTAAGAAATGAAATTGCATTATCATGTGTCGATATGCTTATAGGGCCTTTGATTATAGATGTTTCTATAAATAGATTATTATCACTAAAATTTAAATTTTAACCGTTGCAGCCAAATTTATTTTTCTAGATCCGCCTTGATTATTTTACACCTTTCAATTTAAAAAGGAGGAGCTGCAACTTCATTTGACAATTGAAGTAACAATAGATCTCTATTGCTCTTAATCTCAATGTCAAATGGACAGTAGCTCCACTACTACTCCGCGATGATCTCTAAAAGTTGGAGAAAGTTGCCAATTTTCAAAAAGGTTGCAAAATTAAAAATTGTCAAATTATAGTTTTGTGCTTTGTGTGATTTACAAGAAACAACAATCGACAACCATAGTGTGACATTTCTATACTTCGTTAATTACTAAGTATTACTTGGTCTAAACTTCGCTTACATCTGAGACTAAGCTCAAGGTCAAACAGAAATGAAACTACAAGAGCAATGCACAACGCGACAACCAATTCCAAAAGAGATTAAGAGTATTCTCGTCAGCCTGATATCTGATATCTGTCGGTAGTTCTATTCTAAATTTGATCTCCATTTATGTGTCTGGTATTAGATATACGATGTATGTATGTATTATGTATGTACGTATGTATGTATTAACAGTATATAGTGTATTGTATATAAATTTAATTTTTTACTTGCTGTGTTGTATGTTGTATTTTATTTTCATTTTTATTTTATTCTATTTATCAACTCATTTAACGGAGATTATACTGATTGGATTTAATAGGATACCCTATAAGTAACAAGCATTAATCATTAATTATAATAGAATATACTATATTCATAATCAATCGTTTTATAGTATATTAGATTAATTTACTCATAGTTTAGTTTTTTTTTTATATATTCTTTCAATTTTATATTATGGGTAATAATTCATCAAAACAAAATGGTGGTGGTGGTGGTGGTGGATCGAGTCATTTAAGACCGAATCATAATGGAAATGGTCTGCCTTTACAACGTACGGATACTCAAGGGTCTGCAAAATCATCAAGATCAATTAGACTGAAAATATCATCATCACTGAGTCTAAATCAATCAAATTCCCAAGGTCATAATAATAATAGTTCACCAGATGGTTTAAAATCTCCAAAATCAATGTCGAGAAAAAATTCATCAAATGAAACGGGTATGGAAAAACCGCAATTTTCAAGAAATAATTCATCTTCAAATATTTTATCAACTAGTTTTCAAGAAAATAAAAATTTACCACCTTCAATGATTCAAATTCAACCTAAAGAACCAATATTGATAAGACGAAATACAAATGATACAATGAATACAAATATAAGTGTAAGTGGATTAGAATCACCTCCTATAAATTCTCCCAGCAACCAAAATAGTATACCAAATAGTTCAAATAATTCACTACATAATTATCCATTATCGCCACAAGCTACAAATCTAGAAAACAATAATGATTCATCACCTATACTATCGAAAGATGGCAGTGTAAATACAAATAATGATGATTCAAAATCTATACAAAGTTCAAGAGCTTCTTCAATTACAGATCTACAATCATTGAGTAAAAGTTCATCCGTTGTTAATAATCATTTACATAGACAATCGACTACAAATAGTTCAATAGGAAATGGAAGTGGAACAATTGATATTGAAGATTTAATACAAAGATTATTAGATGCTGGATATTCAGGTAAACGTACGAAAAATGTATGTCTTAAAAACACCGAAATTCAATTAATTTGTTCAACAGCAAGAGAAATTTTTCTTTCACAACCTAGTTTATTAGAATTATCACCCCCAGTTAAGGTTGTAGGAGATGTACATGGCCAATATGGAGATTTAATTCGAATTTTTACAAAATGTGGATTCCCACCATCTACAAATTATTTATTTCTTGGTGATTATGTTGATCGAGGTAAACAAAGTTTAGAAACTATTTTGTTATTATTATGTTATAAAATTAAATATCCTGAGAATTTTTTCCTACTTCGAGGTAATCATGAATGTGCAAATGTTACAAGAGTTTATGGATTTTATGATGAATGTAAAAGAAGATGTAATATAAAAACATGGAAATTATTTATTGATACATTTAATACATTACCAATATCTGCAATTGTAGCAGGTAAGATATTTTGTGTTCATGGTGGATTATCACCAGTTTTAAATTCAATGGATGAAATTAGAAATATAGCTAGACCAACAGATGTACCTGATTTTGGATTATTAAATGATTTATTATGGTCAGATCCAGCAGATACCATAAACGAATGGGAAGACAATGAACGTGGAGTTTCCTATGTGTTTTCAAAGATTGCTATAAATAAATTTTTATCTAAATTTGGTTTTGATTTAGTTTGTCGAGCTCATATGGTTGTTGAAGATGGCTATGAATTTTTTAATGATAGAACATTAGTTACTGTATTTTCTGCTCCTAATTATTGTGGAGAATTTGATAATTGGGGTGCAGTAATGAGTGTTAGTGAAGAATTATTATGTAGTTTTGAGTTATTAGATCCATTGGATTCAGTTGCATTAAAACAAGTAATGAAAAAGGGAAAACAAGAAAGAAAAACAGCCCAAACTTTACAAAAGATAAACTCGAGATGAGAAAGTAAAACTCGCTAGTTAAAGTGCTTAATATATACACGATTCTAGAATGACAAAATTTTAATAAAATTTTATCAAAGCAACTGGTAGCGTCTTCAAATCTAAAAATCAGTCGTGTAGATCAAGATTCAAAACCAATCTTTAACCATTAATGTTTCATGTCTGATAATTCAATACCATTAAATAATTATCAATACTTATTAAAAACAGAAAACTTAGAACCATTAAAAGACTATGTAATACAGTTAACAAAACAAATACTGGAAAATCAACAGAAATTAAATGAATTAGTATATACAATTGATGAAAAATTGAGATATCCAATTTATTTACCATCAAAAGAACAATCAAAGGATACCGATGAAGTAAGATACATCCTAACTCAGAAATACGACCTACCTGAACCAAAAAAAGATAGAAAGGAAACTTTGAAACTAGATATAGCGTATCTAAAAAATTTGCTAGTGGGAAAGAAGAAAAAGAACCAAGAATTGTTACTGATTGTTCATGATTACGAGGAGTTTATAGCTAGTGTTATTCCAAGTTTGATTGAGAGTTTGAAAGACTTGGATTCTTCGAATGATGATGTATTAAGTGAGATACATACTAAGAAAAATGAATTAGTTGATGATTTATATTCCAAATATGTCAAGAATGTTGAAAAGATTGATTTAGTTGCATCTGTTGTCAACAAGTTCTTGAAATTGGTTGATGATAATGATGATTCAAGGGTCATCGAAGGTCAATTGATGAGTTTGAACAGATTAAAAGATAAATTGCAAAATGGTCCAATATGAACTTTTCATAATTAAGATAATGAGGCTCAAGTTAAATAGTGAGATGTTTAGTATCTGTTAAGCTGCATCTTTACTTGATAATGACTGAAACAACAATAGCAAGTTTTTCAAATGAGAGTGCAGTTGCAATTTTACATACATATGATTGAATCAAATGCAAGGCTTCAAATTTGGTTTAATGCAATTTATTATCAAAAATATTATAAGCTGTATTGGTCTCAATTTTAGTTCCTATGTTATGAAAACGCCATGAATTCAAGTTGTGAAATATCTAAACTTTAAAGTTAAATAACTCAACAACTGAGTAATATACGAGAAGGAGAACAATTAATTTGGAATCAGATAATCAAGGATAATCAAATACATCTCCTCAAGAGACGAATAAACCAGTCCTAGGCTAATCACATCAAAGAATATCATATTTTCAAATTAAGTTAAATTACTATAACGTCAGCTAATATTAGTACATCAAATAAACAACAAATAAACTAGAGCAACAGAAGATTACGAATTTTCATCTCTTGCCTCTTTATTTGTGGTCAATTATGAGTAATTTACAATCTAAAAAAAAGTTGCAAAAAGAAAAGTTGTCAATTTGTGGAGTCGTTTTTGTGTAACAAAAATTGGTTTTGCTGATGGTCAAAAGTTAGACAACTGAAATAGGAAATGAGGCTGTTAAATTATTAATCTTGCAAATAACTCACGAACTAGCAGATTTGACATGTTAATGTTTATTGGCAATTAAACTAGAGGTTTGGATCTACTAAATAAATGTAGAATTAGGTGGGTAGCATGAGTTTTGAAATTTCTTGTGTTTTACTCACCAATCATATCGCTTGATTGTGTGTGAACGCTACTAATCGTAAAGTAAATAAATGGTTTTTCAAATTTAAGTAAAAATTAGAGAATATTGGAAGCTATAATGCCTATTTATTAGTCAGTTGATGGTGAATAAGCAAATTAATGTTCTTTCTAACTAATTGATTGTTTATAATGTTTGTCATTTTGGTTGCAAAATAACGAACCATTACGATAGATACATCTCAGTTTAATAACTGAACAGAATTGCAAATGACCGTGTTTTTTACAGATGTCATTATAATCGTCGATCAAAAGTTGAGTAAATAGAATTAGAGTAAAATACAAATTAATTTAACTCAAAAAAAATCATTACTTTATATATATTCGAATTACGATATTAAACTATTAATATTCATATTTCTCTTATTACAACCTTCATTCTCATCATCATCCTCAACATCTTCTTCTTTCTTAATTTCTTTCTTTATTTCTTTATCCTTACTTTCTTCTTCAATATCATCCAATATCATTTCATCACCATCTTCATCTTTTTTAATTTGATTATTATTCTTCTCATTATTATTTAAAACTCCTTTTAGCCAATTACTTCTAATTTCATTATTTCCATAATTTATATTTCTGTCAATTGGTAAATTATTTATACTTGGAATTGTTTGATTACTTGAAGATGTAGTTGAAAATAAACTCATTGGAGATTTTGTGGTTGTTGTTGAATTTGTAACTGTTGATGCTCGTGGAGTACTCATTGAAGCAGTTATACCTGCTTTATAAATTGGTGATAATGGAGAAGCAAGATTGGGAGTTAATGAAACTGTTGAACTTGCTGATTTTGGACCCATTGGTAAAATAGTTGATGTAGATGATCCAATTGTATTATTATCAAAATTAAGACTATTTGAAGAATCTAATGGAGCTGATAAATTTGAATGATGTAATAATAATGGATTTGGTCTTCGTTTATTTTTTTCACTTGTTGGTGGAAATCTAATATCTTCTTGAGGTAATGGCGGTAATGGTTTTTGTTGAATTGTTGTTGTAGATGATGTTGTAGATGATGTCGATGTTGATGTTGATGGTGATGAGGATATTGATTGATTTGTAGGCGGAGGTGGTGGAGGCGGTGGTGGATTAAATGAATGATTCATATAATATTGATTATGATAAATTGGAGTAAAAGTAGGTTGTGAATGAGATGGTGGTAATATCGATGAGTTACTAGATGACGTTGTAGGTGTCGATGATGTTTTTGATTTCTTTTTAGATTTAGTTTTCATATCTGGATTATTTTCCTTCTTTAAATATGTTTCATATGCATGTACAGTTTGTTTATGTTGTCTTAAATTATCCAATCTTGAGAAATTTTTAGAACAATAGGGACATGTAAATGGACGTTCACCAGTATGTTTTCTTTTATGTCTTGCTAAATGTTCACTTCTTGTGAATGACATATTACAACCTGGATATCCAGTACATTGGAAAACACGACCTTTTAAACTTCTTTTTGTCTTCTTTTGATTATTTGAATTATTTGAAGTTTGCGATTCTGTTGATGAAGATGAAGAAATTGTAGCATTTGTTGCATTTGTTATAGTTGGAGTTAAATTAGGTAAACTCGAAGTTGAATGGTGATGTGCATGAATAGTATTTACTGAAGAATTTGATGATGGAGTCATTGGTGAAGGTTGTCTTAATGATGGCAAAGAATAATGATGTTGTGAATTTATGGGTGGGGGGATTTGATAAGATGGTTGAATTGATGATGATTGAATTGATGATGATTTATTAGTATTATATTGACCAAGAGGCGGTAATGAAGGTATTGGAGGTAAATGACCTTGATGATGTTGTTGATGTGGATGGATTATATGACGAGGTAAATTATGTTGTTGTTGTTGTTGTTGTTGTTGTTGTTGTTGTTGTTGTTGTTGTTGTTGATGATGTTGATGATGTTGAGTTTGAAAATTTTGAAAATTTTGAATGTGAGGTGATTGACGTGGTAATTGAGGTGGTGGTTGACAATTATTGGAGGTAGATTGTTGATTATTATTCTGTTGTTGTTGCTGCTGCTGCTGCTGCTGCTGCTGCTGAGATGGTAGTAATAACGGAGGTGACTGCTGTTGACTCTTGTTTAAAATATGTGAATTGCCCAACATGATTTGTGATCGTTAAGCTCGTATAAAGAGTGGAAATTTTAAAAATGAATGAATAAATAAATATAGTATAATTGGTTGTTATTTTTAGATTAATAGTGATTTATCATAAAATCTGGAACAAATATAAATATGAATATAAATATGAATATAAATATGAGTATAAAAGTGGCTTGAAATTGATATATGGATATAATTGATCTTTGTTGATAAATATTAAAAAACTTTGACGTAATAAATAAATTAAAATTTTTGTCCCGTCTCCTGTAATAATTTCAACTGAATAATAGTAAGTTAAATACACTTTATTTATTGATTACTTAACTACTGACTGATGGCTGATGGAATATTAAATTTGATATTGGGCTGTTTGGTTGTCAAAAAAACAAAGTTATTAATAAACAAAAAAAAAAAAAAAAACTCTTGAAATGAAAATTAAAAAAAATAAAAATAAAAAAAAAAATAAAATTAAAAATAAAAATAAAATTAAAAAAAAAAAAAAAAAAAATAAAATAAAAAAAAAAAAAAAAAAAATATAAATAAAAAAAAAAAAAAAGAATGAGTGATTGAAATATATAGTGAATTTTTAAACTACTAGTAATCCATTGTTCTTTTGTAACTGAATAATATATTATGTAAGGAACTGAACAGGTCGTGTACTAGTTACAATTTATCGAAAAGTCTAAAAATAATATACCAAAAAAATAAGTATAGACAAATATATTTTATTTGACGTGACTAGTCAAATTAATTGGAATCACATAGAGATTATAACACTGATAGAAGGAGATTAAAGACTGATAGAAGGAGATTATAACACTGATAGAAGGAGTATGTAAGATGAGCTGAAATACGTAAGGAATAAGCGTAATAACTCTACATAGATTATTATTACGATAATCAACAGTAATTTAAAGTGTTTCTATGTTTAGAATATTTATTATTTACTAATCTCCCCCTGAATATATATATATATATATATATTATATATTTAAGTTCTCTTGTTTTATAATCATAATTATATATAAATAGACAATGATTAAAGTTCTTGGAATTTTACAATATAATAATAAGAAATAGAAATTAAGGTCATGTCTAATTTAGTTACTGGTGATCATTTCATTGGTACTGTTCCATATTATATTTGGTATAGAATTAGAACTAGAATTATCTCGTTCCTTATTATTATATATTTTAAAAAAAATTAGTCAGGTGATGAATTTTTAGTGGTGAATAATCCCTTTGGTTGGTTTGTTTGTTTGTTGGTTGGTTGGATAATTAATTCAATTAAATTTCTTTAACTCTCCTTTATTGTCTTCTCTTGTCTTGTCTTTTAGTTCCAACTTAGTGTCATATATTTTTATACTAATGGAGATATCGTTAATATATTTGTATTCATTATTTGTAATCTATTTTACTATATTTTCCATTTCTATTTAAATTATTTATATTTTTTATTTTTTTTTTTTTTTTTTTTTTTTTTTTTTTTTTGGCTTTTTTTTTTTTTTTGGTGCCTTGCCAAATTTTCTATTTCTATTTTCTATCTATTGTCAATTTACAACAAAGTTTCATCTTTGTTTCATCTTACACGCCAATGAAAAATAAGCTTAATTTAGTATTCCATTTGGTATTCAAAGATTGAAACTAAAGATTAAACGATTTGTTTTGAAAAATAAAATATTTCATTGGTGAAGAAATACTAACAATAAATTCTAACAATAAATACTAACAATAAATACTAACAATAAATATCAACTATAAATAGTAAATGTTTCCAAACAAAATAACGATCTAATCATTACTCGACACACCGATTCACATAACCATAATATATAGTATACATAGTATATATAGCAAATGACCATGGAAACAAATGCTACTGGTACTATTATTCGTACTATTATTCCAACTATTATTCCATTTTAGCTGGTTTTTACTTTCTTTGTGTTTCGTAAAATACCCTATTTTCACTAAATCTTTTAAAAGAATTCTCAAATTACCAATATGTAGAATTACTTAAACTATTTTATACTTTTCTTCTATGCTCATACACTACTTTACAACAAAAAATAAAGTATAGAATACTAAGTTACTGAAGATTTTGAGATTCTCTTGGCTCAAATTAGTAATTGGTCTATAAAAATTAATAAAACTGAAGATCAATAGAATTAATGTAATTAATGTAAGAGCTACGAATTACAAATAATTCATTCGAATTACGACAATGGTTAATAATAACAACTCAGTGCCCCACTATGAATGTTAAATTAAATTGTTTGTAAATTTGTAATTTAGTTGTGGTTTTTTAAGCCCACTTAATAACTTTTATACAACATTTTTAACTGGCTAATATCATCTGGTAAAACGTTTATTAGTTAAAATGAAAGTTCAAAATTTCATTTATGACCTGATATCTGACAGTTTGAGTATTTAAGCTTGAAATGCAATGGTGATGTCACTTTTATCTAATTTTGTTTTTTCTGCTAGGAACAACTTTCTTGATTTAGAAATATTCTCTAAACAGAATTTTTTTTAGTTTTTGTGTCACGTTGGTTTTGGGTGTAATTGGATTTAATGGATCGAAACCATCTAAAATTTAGACAATTTATTACTTAAAACAACCACTAAAGATGGTAAAGATGGTAAAGATGTTATTAATACTCAAATTTTGTGAAATTTTGTGAAATTTTCTGAAATTTTCTGAAAGTTTCAATATTGAAATTTGAGATTTTCTTGAAGAGCAATTATTAGTTGAACTAAGCGAAATCATGTTATTCTAAATCAAGGCTCAGAAAAGAGTACCTTAAATTAATAATAAGTAAGAAAAGAAGCTACGTTTGTGAAGTCCACGGCGGCGATAATTGTGGATCAATCAAACACGAATTTTAAGCTAGTTGAAGTAGTCCATTTCTAAAGAACGTTATCTCTTATTGGTTGACGCCATTATCGATATTCTAAACTAAACACATTTAACACTCCTTTTCCTTAATTACAATTGCAAGTAAGGTTTAGATCTTCAAACCTTAAAATTTCTTTTAATTTTTCCTCGTATAAGCAAATTATAAATGAGCATATTTTCGGTACCTCGGGAAGCGCCGATTTATTGGAAAAGTTGAAAGGTTCAGGCTTGTTGAAAGGTTCAAGCTTGTTGAAAAAAGATTAGTATCATATGACTTATTCAAAGAATGTAATTGATAGTTGTACAAAATTTGAGTTTGAGAAATTAAGTTTTGTTCCTTACATTCATAGCGATCAAAAGGAAGGTACACAGGCTTCAAGTGTTCTATTCACTATTAAACTACCACACTTTTTGATTGCACTTGAATCGTGTTACCTTTACAACTGAGTCGTACTAAATAGAAATATACTTCAAAATACGTTCGGCGTGAAACTCGCCTAAATCGTGGGCAAAAACATTCCGAACCATCGTCATTAATGCATATATCATTGACACTCGCGCTTGTTTTTTTTTTTTACGGAAGCTTTGATACGAAGTCGCGTAATTTCAGGCCCGATAACATTGTGAAACATCGCACTAATCAATACTATCTAAAAAATTTTGAGCCCATTTGCTCCTATTAAATTTATATCATACTTGTAGACCTCATTTCAAGTCTAGTTTAATTTGACCATCATATAGGTGATCTCTTTCACTTACTTTACAACTTTTCATGGCTTAGAACTTTGATTTCGTATGACCTTTTGATATACCAATATTTAGCCAATCAGAATCTATAATAAAATTACCCCCTGATTTTTTTCGCTACCACTTAATGAATTGCATTTTATCAAATATCATCTACTTTGTAGAAATATGCGGTGATAAATAATTATTTGTATCGAAAGACAAGAGCTCTATATTATTCAAAACTTACATTAAACTCCAATCTGATATATAATTAAAACAAATTTCTACGAAATTCTGAATTTGTCAATCAATTTTCAATTCTCTAAGCATTCATTTAAAGGTTGAAAACATGGCTGTCACAATCTATTGGACTGCACAGATTTTATCTCAAAACATTATGCTGAAATCCATTTTGTTTTGTGTATTATTTATTATGTTAATCAAATTTAATATAACCTAAAATTAACTTGTAGGCAGCTTGTTTACGTTAATTCTATAAATAAACTAATTCAGGCACATAAATCAGTACCTTATCTTGTTTCAAAAGTATATGCTTGGCTCAATTACATTTCAATGACTTTTAATATAGTATTTTGTTCAAAAAGCAAAAAAATTACCCAATTAGGTCTGCAAAGGAAATCTTCTCGACAAATCAAATGATGTTTCGTGATGAATTATTACTCCAATCTAGTATGTATAATAACTAACATTCTCTAATTTATTAAATTCTGCTTCATTTTGAAGTTTACGTTTAATTTCGTCAATTTCATAATAGTATTACATGCATAAATTGCCAAATTCAGCCTGCTAAGGACACCAATCTCACGAATATGAAACTATATATTGCATAAATTACCAAACTGATTCGACTAAACCTATCAATTTTGAAACACCAAGTCTGAAAACAAAAAAGTATAAATTATCCTTCAATTATATTGTTCCGAATAATCAATTCAATATGAATATTTCAAATTTATTACTTGCTTTTATTTTATCAAAAATTGTTTATTGTTTAACTCCTAATTCAATTCATGCTATTATTCCAATAGCTAATAGTTCATTTTATTTAATTGCTGAAGAAGATCAAAAATTTTTACTTGTTACCGATAAACAAGAAGATGATAAATTGAATAAGAGATTTTGGAAGTTTCCAGGTGGATTAGGTCCTTGTTCTTTCGATCCACATAAGAAACGTGGGTTTAATGGATTTCAACCTTGTGAAAGATTAAGAATTAGCGGTAATAGAAGTTATTATGTTGATGAATAAATGTTGAAATTGCTATTCTTTAAATATACCGTTTTTTTCATTAAAAAATGTAGACTCTCTAATTATTCGATTTGATCTGTTAACCTAGCTATTTTATACCTTGTATGAAGTCGCATCGTTATGTATAAGTATCTATGATCTTTTTATTTACAAAACGCTAATTCTTAGAGTATGCTTATGTTGTTTAAAGTACCTAACAACAAAGTGATAACACCACGTAGAAGTCCCTGTTATATCAAATTCAAATAAATGGTACCATTTAACTACCTTTGCAATTTATATAAACTCCCATAAATAGTCTTGTTTTCCTTACGCATTCTGATGAAATCTAATCCAAGAATAAATCATTGACGGAAATTTTTGATTATTGTCACATATTCTTCGAATTATTTGTTCTTTATCACAAGAGAATGGCCATCAAATACGTCGTAAATATTGTATTCTTGTGGTACTTGACCGATTACGGGCAGGGATATTTTGCTTTGTTATATTGCCCGTTCTCTGTTTGGTTAATGTGCTACAGTTTCATTGTCTTCTTGTCGCTTTTGGTTGAGTGACGTGATTATGAGGTTTTTTCTTTTTATATCCCTAATGAAACAAGTTGATCATCTGATGGGTATTCATTGGCAATAAATTAAATGTCATGGCTAATACCATTCTAAACTCAGGTATTACTATCAAAATCATGAACTTCACTTCGCTAAAAACAAAGGTGATTCACAATTTGAGTTGAATTGATAGTTAAACAGATGATGCAGGTATGAAATTATAAATCTGCAATAAGATTGATTTGTTGAAACAACTTTAAGATACGTAATGTTTGAGCCACTTTTCATCCAACACATCAAGTTGATCAATAATTGCTGTCGGGTGCTTATTTGAGCTCAAATGTCAAGTCTATTGATCCCTGGAACTATAAGAGACTTATCCTATCATCTTTGTATGAAGGGGAGGTGTCTTTTATATTGTATTTAAGAATTTGCATATTCAAATGTGATTCAATAGGATCAAAATAATTATCACATATTGGTTGAATCCAAATGCACCAAATTCAAAAAGATTGAAAACCAATAATTTTATTACAATGTATTTCATAAATATGGAATATAGTTGGTTAATTTTATTGTAATTCCTCTCTATATGATAACTGTAAATTGTATTATATGTACTTGTAACTAAATATAACAAATGATAGGTAGTAGCTCTCTTCAGTATTGGAAATTCGATTTAACTCGCTTCTCCATTCATTCTTAGCTGATAACAACTGGTAGCTCGTTTTTTGCAGCAAAAATTTATAATGCATCGATAAAAAAATCCATACGAATTCCTTTAATGAGTGCTTATGCTACTCTACGTGGAAATTCTTCAAATTCAACAAATATAGAAGAAGATGATGTTGAAGAAATAATAAAATATCAATCAAATTCTTCGGATAATGAATCAGATGATGATAAAGATCAGCAGTTTGAAAGTTTACGACAACAAGCAGAAGAAATTCATTCTAATTCACAAACCCCAGGGAATTTAAATGATACAAGACCAGTGATAAGTCTATCAAATTTTTATCCAACTTGTAGCAATATACGATATTTCAGAAGTTCAATTGAATTTAAACTAACATCTAATCAATATATTCTAATACGGGGACAATTCAAATTTAAAGTAATTTCAGGTTCAATCAAATTAAACAACTTTCATATAATTTCAGAATCAGATGCATATCATGATATGAATAATCTAGGTCAAAGTGTTCCAATGATACAAAATCACTCAATCACTGGCTCTTCCACTATACTTATTTCTGATTTGATCAATGGAATTGAAAAAATTGTGAAATTACCAAATCCAACAAAAACCTATAGTTTTCAATTATCTTCAGGTGTTAATGCTTTGTACATTGATGATAAATGGATCGAATTACTTGAAAATCTAACGTATAAATCACAACAAATTATAAATACATCGCCAAATATGAGAAAAAGGAGGACGTTCATGGTTATTGGTAATAAAAACACAGGGAAGTCTACATTTGCAAAAACGTTATTAAATTCAATTATTGAGAATTATAACATGCCTGTTGTTTATCTAGATTTGGACCCTGGACAATCCGAATATAATCAACCTTTAAATTTATCAATGACGAAAGTGGAGAATGTAAATTATGGATCACATAGTTTCAATTATACAGAATCTCAAACTACAAAATATTATGGTTTCAATAATCCTGTATCTTTAATAAATAGATATGAATCAATAGTTGAAAATTTTGATAAATTATTTAATGATCAATATCCAATGATTATAAATACACCAGGGTATATAAAAGGATATGGGAAGGAACTACTAACGAAAATAACTAATAAGTTTCAACCTGATAACCTAATATTACTATCAAACAAATTGGACATAAATGCAAATGAAAATAAAGAAGTTGTTGAAAATTTACAATATGAAAATCTTAACATTATACCCGGTGTGTATCAATCAGTGAAGAATTCAATACAAATGAGAGATCTATCCAAATTATTATACTTTCATCAAAAAACACCATGTGAATTTGATTTCCGGCATTATTTAATTGATAAATCTCCATTAAAATTATCATATTCGACAAATGAGAATAAAGGATATATTAAAAGTTTTACAATTTTGAACCACAGTTCTACCGATCTTGATATGAAGGAGTTACCTTTCATGATTGAAGCACAAATATGGGCCATCTACAAAACAAAAAACTCAATAAATGTGGTATCTAACTCAAAATCGCCTAATTATTTAAATCCTGAAGAATTTGAATTCACGAATGGGTATCTTGGATTAATCATCATTCACTCAGTAAATATGAAAGAAAAATACGTGAACATGTACACTCCAAATCATGTTGTTGAGAAAATCCAAGATGCTGTTATTGATGGATATTCTTTGGTTTGTTGTAGAGGTGGTAATTCTGATTCAGAGGTTCCTAATTATGAGATGCTATATCCTAATTTCTTGAAATTAAAACAAAATGCTATCAAGAATGGAAATGGTAATAATTTTGATTTACCTTATATTAATTTTGAAAAGAATTTGAAAATTGGAGGTATTTGGAAACCAAGAAGGAATTTGATGAGAAGAAGCCACCAAAGATAAAGATAAAAACAAAAATTTGAGAAATGTATTATAAGATATGTTGAATAACGATTAATTAAAGCTTTAGGATCTTATAGAGAATTTAATAGACAATATCATCATCATCATCAACAGCCTTTCCAAATTTTCAAGATTATGATCTGTAAAATATCAAATGTATATGAATTAAACCTATTTACGTTATAAGATATAAAATGCCAAACTTAAAACTAAAATTAAAATTAAATAAAAAAAAGAACTAAATATAAATGAAATGGGATATCATGAAATTAAAATACTAATTACTCTAAGTATGTTTCTCTTTTGGATTATTGTATTTTCTAGCTGGTGGGTTCTTTGGAGTTGTAATCATAAAATTTATACTATTACCATTATTATTCTTTGAATTTTTATGCCTTTTTGACGTTGTTGTTGTATTATGAACATTTGGTGTTATTGCACCATCTCTATGCAGATGATCTGATTTTCTAGAATTGTTCTCGGGACTTTCAAACTGATGTGTAGGTACGGATTGTTTTGGAGGTTGTGGTGGTATTTGTTGTAATAATGGTGGTGGTTGTTGAAATACATATTGTTGATGATGTGGTTGAGGTGGTAATTGATGATGAGGAGGTTTTAATTGAGGAGAAGTTGAAACATAATATGGAACTTGTTGAGGTGGTGGAGGATAGCTTGATGCATTATAAACCATTTGATATTTTTGTTGATAAGGAGAACTTAAAATTGTTTTATCTTGAGTTGATGGTTGTGGTTGAGCCATCGATTGTGGAGTTTGATAATACACTGGATATGCATGAGGTGGTTGAACTTGAGCCATTTGATGTGAAATTACTGGCAGATGTTGTTGTGAATGATTTTGTGAATTTAAGTTTGAATTTTTAGCATTTGAATTTTGGTTTGAATTATGAGTACTATATTGTGGTGGTAATGGCAATTGATTTGTAATTGGTGGAGGATTTGGCGAATGAACTTTAGTATTTCTCAAACTTGAATCACTTGAATCAGAAACAATTCTTCTATGATGAGATATAATTGGTGATTTATTTGGTGATCTTAATGGAGAAACCAACGTACTACTTTGATTTTTAATACTTTGAGTTGTTTCTGAAAATGATGGTAATTGAGTATCTGAATGTTTTCTTTTAACGCCAGACGATTTATGTGATGATATTTCTAAAAATTCCTTCGGATTAAGTTTTGTTAATTGATTAATCTTATTTTTCAAATCTTCACTTGTTGTTGAATCTGATAAGAATATATATGCAAATAAGTCTGTGTCATTCAAATTTAAACCTTTTATTAGATTGATTAATTCGATAGTCAACATTGTAAACTCTTTCTTGACCTCATCTTGTTTTGTTCTTTCTTGTTCAATTTTTAATTTGATTAATTCATTTAATGTTTCCGCATTATATGACCAAGTATTGTTATGTTCAATATTCAGTTGTAAGCCTAATATCTCAAAAATTTTTTCATCGATAATCGATTTATTTGTACTTGCGGTTTTTTTAGTTGTTTCTTGGTGATTTTCATTTTTAATTAATAACTTATCCATAGATAGATGATGATGATAGTCTGGATTGTTCCTATAGGATTTCAAATTTTGTAAAAATTCCGAACTAGAATCCAATGTTTTGACGCCACCACCGCTTAAACTTTTAGTGGATTCTTCATCAGTTGGTGATGGAGTTGTATAATCATTAAACGACTTAGGTTGATTTGAATTACTTGCAGTTGAAGTTTTATGCTTATCCAACTCCTTGGCTGGAGTAGCACTCATTAGATTAACAATTGATAACACTTTGAAAAAAATTTAAACAACTAAATTAACATGAAAATCAAAAGTAAAATTAATTACTTTCTTTCTAATATTGGTTTTAACGAACGAAGGTGTTATTCAAAAACTGACAAAATCAAATATTCACCTGAAAATCTTATGAGTTATAAAAGTTGATGGGAATATTATAATTCTTTTATTTTATTATAATTGAATATATAACAAGCTTAAAATATAAATTAGTCCCAAACAACAAATTATATTTAAAATTTTTTAGATTTTAAAAAAATGATTAAAAGTAATAACAGTTGTTACATTTACTGTACTAACCAACCTTATTATTATGTATAAATATATATAGAATGTTGATAATTGTTGAAATGTATATTAGATGTTTCAATATTTTATAGTACAAAATTGGTTATTAACTGAATACGGAAGTTGTTAAGTTTGGCTGCGAAAAAAGGAAATTTCACTAAAAAAAAAAAAAAATAAAATAAAATAAAAAAAAAAAAAAAAAAAAAAAAAAAAAAAATAAAATTATAAGGAACAAAAAACCACTTAATAAATTATCAAACAATTATTGATTAAGCAACATCATAGTAAGAATCATAAGAAAATTTTAGGTTTATTAGTTGCATTGCCATGGATAATCAATTGCTGTTACATCTCCTACTTGCAGTTGTGAATCATCTATTAGTTCATTGTGTTTCTTTTGATTTATACTACGCTAAGGGGTAGCACTAATAAACTTTTTTTTTTTTTCACATACGTTTCAAATCAAAAAAAAAAAAAGAAAAATTACATGCTAAAAACCCTGATATTGAACTCTGGTTAGTGTTATCAATTAATATTGGCTAAGTTAAAAGTATCAATCACTTTTTGGTTGTAAATTGATATCAACCAAATTAATTACCATATTTAGTAATAGATCAATTAAACAACCTATTTTGGAATTTGTTGCATAATTTAAATAAGTAACGGTGCATAGAATTTGGATGCAAAAAAAAATAAACAAAATTTACGTACTACAAACCAAATACTAAACTATATAACACAAAGTATTTCTTAATTATGAGAATTTCATCCAACTAAGTTCGTTCTATCTCTTAAACTATTAGCAATGGTTACAAATCTTTCAAAATAAACGAGCTGCCTTTCTATTGCAGATAGGTTTAATAATTTCTCCGATTGACTGCAAACCAGAACAAAACTGGTTCATAATCTATTTGGACAATAAAACTCTAGATTCATCGAAGATTCTATAGGTTCATGGCTGATAAATAAATATTTTTTGATTCTCTGTATAGTTTTTTCGCATAATTTTTCGAATAGTCAACTAACTCCGTGGTGAATCAAACGTATAATTAAGCTTTTTCAATTGCTTATTGAATGATCCAAAGTCAAAACATAAAAACTTTTAGAACGTTTTGAAGAGGGATAGAGATGTCTTACAATTACATTTAAATTTGCATTTACGTTTACGTTTACGTTTACATTTACATTTTGATTTTGATTTTGATTTTCATTTACATTTACATTTACGTTTTCCTTTACATTTACATTTACATTTACATTTACGTTTACGTTTACGTTTACATCAACATGTATTGTTACAAAGTACTAGATTATTCTCTCCCCTCCTATCATAGGAATATTTCACAATTTAAACTTTGAACGTTGTTGTAAATCGTAAGTTACTGTAATGAAAATCATTGTACAAAGTTAAACTTGATAAACAGAATTTCTGATATCTATCAATGCACGTGAAAAAAAAAAAAAAATACTCTTCGCTGATAATGAAAAATAATGAAGTAAATTATAATAATAATAGTAATAATAGTAATAAACCAATTTTAATAGCTTTAGGTGGTCCATCTTCAAGCGGTAAAACTACAGTTGGTAAATCATTACATTCATTAATTTCAAATTCTGAATTATATCATTTAGATGATTTTTATATATCTGATTCATTAATTCCGATTGATAAAAAAACTGGTCTACAAAACTGGGATTGTGCCGAAGCTATCGATTTTGAAAAGTTTAAACAATTCTTGATAGATTTGAAAAATGATAAACCTGTAGTTTTAAAATCAATTCAACCAGAAACACGCGTAAAATTGACCGATAATGAAGAATCAATACTAAAGAAGGAAATCGAAAAAGCAAATATTAAAAGGAGGATTATATTTATAGATGGATTTATGTTATTTCATGATCCTGAATTAATCAAATTATTTGATATCAAGTTATTTTACCATTGTTTTTTTGAAACATTAAAAAGTAGAAGAGAGTCAAGAAATGGATATAATACATCAGAAGGTTTTTGGGTTGATCCACCAAATTATTTTGAAAAGATAGTGTGGCCAGCATATACAAAGAGCCACTCATACTTATTCAATAATCACGACGTAAATTCAAAACTAAAACCAGAAATTAAAGAAAAGTACAACCTTCATGATATAAGCAATGATTCAATTTCATTATTTGAATTAGTCAATTGGTCATTAAATATTATATTAGATAATTTATAGAACACTCTTTTTTAGATTTTTTTGATTTCTTCACTGATTTCATTTCTTTTTCGTAAATATCAGTGGCACTATCTCCGGTAGTTTTTCTTTTACCACTTTTGACACTGATTTTACCATTCTTGTCCTTGATTGCCTTTTTCATAGTGTCCTCATCCCAATCTCCATTATCTGAAATTGCATATTTATCCAAGTTCAATGCATTTATTAGTTCACGTTGTTTTTCTTTCAATTCTTTAACTACTTCATCACCAGCTTCATCTAAATCTTCTTGTAATTTTTGTTGTATAGCTTCATAATCAACTTTATTTTTTTCTTTTTCTTCTTCTTCTTCTTCTTTATCTTCTTCAATTTCTGGCATTTCTTCTTCTATAGCTTTACTTAAAACTTTTCTAAAATACGTCGAAAATTTTCTTATTATTTTAGCAAACATGGCCATTGATTGATTTGAAGGTAAGTTTAATTCTTTTGATATTTGATCCATATCTTTATGTTGCAAACCGATAGCTAATAAAATAGCCGATTGAACTGATGATAAACTAATTTCATTTCCTGTTTTTTTACTAAAATATAATTGAGAAATTAATGGTAACATATCTACTATAACATGATAATCTAATAAATTATTAGCATAAGAGTCTAACCTCTTCAAATCAAATGGTGATAATAATGTATCCAATTGATCTTTTGTTAATTTTGATGTTGAACTTTCCCCACCTTCACCTTCTTCGCCTTGTTCAGTTGCTTCAATTATACTTAAAGCTTGTGATGCTTGAAATTTCTTAAATTCATATGATAATAAAGATAAGAATCTTTTATGGAAATCTTTTGAAAATTCAATTAACCATTTATTTTCTCTCCCTGGTAAAACATTTAATACAACAGCAGTATGTTCACCAGTTAATTCATTTGGTGTTTGTCTTAAATAAACAGGTGTAAATCCAGATTTTTTCCAAAATTTATGCAATTGTGATGTAAAACCGTATGAAACACCTAAATAATGTAAATAATATGGTGGTTGTTCAGATAATTTTAATAATAATGGTGGTAAAGTTTTTGCATCTCTTAATTTAATTTCATCTTTTAATGAAGCATTTGCCAATTCTTTATCAGAAACCCTTTTGAGTTTATGATCATTTAATTTTGTTGATTCACTTATGTCAGTAAATTTACCAGAATAATAATCTCTTAATAATTCAATTGCTCTTGAACCATATCCCATACCTGAATACTCTGGATTTGTAGCAATTCTAACAATTCTGGCCCCGGACAAACTTGCGAAATCATCGTCTTGAAATTGTTGAGATACTAACCATGGTATTAAATCACCACCAGCCCTTTGACCTCTACTTAATGATTTACGAACACTTTCTTTTGAAATTTCACCTTCTAATGATAATTGTATAACACATAAAGGATCGGGTATTCGATTATCTCCTTGTTCAATTGGTGGTAATAATACAAATAATTGATGAGCTGGTGCATCACTCATTAATTGTAAATCATTTGGTGAGTTTTTATAATGTGAAGCAACATATAAAGCCATCATTTTATGTAAAAATGCTTCAGAAACTGGATGATATGAAAATAATGTGTCTCTATTAACATAAAATAAATTACATTGTGATGGATGTGGTGTTCCTTTTGTTGCAAATTTTGAATTCTTAGATAACGAAACATCAAGACATAATAATTTATTTAACCATTTCTCAATTGGATCTCCCATTGCATATCTAATCGGTTCATCTAAAACAACTTCCTTTAAATTTCTAGTTAATGAACCTAAATCAGCTTGTTTATTATCTCTGCTTATTATTTCTGTATCTTGTGGAGTATTTTGTTGTTGTTGTTGGTTTCTCAATTGTTGAATTAATTTTAATGACAAAGATCTACCAGTACCTTCATAACCATTTATAGTTGAAGCCATGAAAATCAAATATGGACCCATTAATTTTTTCACAATTGGTAATGGTATAGCAGCTGCTTCATCAATAATTAATAATTCAGCTTGTCCTAATACATAATTATCATTTGGTGAAATATATTGTATAGTTTGACGGTGTTCTCTTTTTATATCCACTCTGACAATAGCTTTATTAAATGATGGGTTTGTAGATTGGATGATATCATAATCCATATGTTCAGTATATCCTAAAGCATCAAAGCCTTTGAAAACGAATTCAAATAATGTTTTTAAATTCTCCGGACTTGGTGAAGTTACAAAAATATTTGAATAACCTTGACTTATTGCAGCTGCTATTGAAATACCTAAAGCTGCAGATTTACCTCTACCTCTTCCTGCAGTTAATGTAACTGTACTTCTTAAGGATTTTTCAGTTATAACATCAATGAAAGTTAAAATAGCTTGTGCTTGATTTATAGTTTTAGCTAATGCAACTAATGAACCAGCTGGTTGAACTTCACTCAAACTTTCTTTAAGCTCCTTTAATTCTTTTTGCTTGGATGTTTCTTCTTCATCTTCATCTTTCGGAGGTAATGGTTTAACATTTTTACCACCAGATACAGGTAAAACATTTAATCCATCATCAACAACTAAACAATTTTCACAATTACCTAAAGATAATAAAAACCTTTCATTGAATCTTGCAACAACATCATCATGAGCTTCTGTTCTATATCTTGAATGTATATCCATTGACATTGTATATAATTGTTTCAATGAAGTCATTGATTTTAATAAAATTACAACTAAACCTCCACCTTCTACAGTTTCAATAGTTCTTGCTAATAAATTTGGAGTTAATCCTTCAAAGTCTTGTAAAATACACATCCCATAAGTATTACCAAGGATTTTATCAGTTTCTTTATAATATGCATATCTTATATGTTGATTTGAAATGAAAGCTTCGAATGGATCTTGATCATTTGCTTCTCTAATCCCTTTCTTTATTTCCTTTTTAATTTTAGTTTCCCTTTTTTGTCTATGTGATGTGAAACCTAATAACTTCTTTTTATATGCCCATAATATTGATTTATTCATTTTTAAATCAGCACTCATCATTAAGTAATGTAAATTTGGTAATTGATTTTTAGCTTTGTCACCGACTATAATGAAAAAAGATCTTTGATTTTCTTGAACCCCATTACGTATCAACGCTGGAATACGCGAATCAATAGCTCTTTTAGGCATGATGGTACTCTATAATGTAGATGGTTAATTGTGAAAAATATATTCCAAGATGAGATGTATATTGGATGTCGTGTGCATTACAAGATCTAAATAGTTTGCAACCAAAACAATACTAAGTAAAACGAAACAACACGAATACAAAACGAAGAGAATAGGCTGATGAAAGAGTAGTGAGTCTTGTTATATGTTTCGCCATGGCATATTTTTGAAATCAAATTTTCAATGTTTTTGTTGCGAAATTTATTTATTTGTGTAAACATTGATTAACTGGCGGTTAAACATGAATTATAAACCAAGTTATAACCTAAGAGGTTCAAAATCAGATCCAACACATCATATAAGATCAAAAATAGCACCTAGATCAAGTTTACAATTTAAAATTGGACCACCATTTGAACAAACAATTGAAATTTCACCAATTTATATAAAATCTACAAATAAACAAGTACATCCAATTATTAGTGCAAGAATAGATAGAGGATTTGATTTAATTAATGATCAATGGGTAGGTTATAAACGTAACTATTTTTCGGTTGTTGCATGTTTTAAATTTGAAAGATATAGTTTGAATACAATTTTACAAAATAATCAATTTTATATAATTACTTCCAATGAGAACAAACATGATATTAAAAAGTTTCATATTAGACTAATTAGTAAATGTATTAATGATGATTCCAAAGTTAATATTGTTCAACATACAGCAAAAAGAGATAAAGGTCCAATTGTGTCACCACCAGTCATGCCAGTAATTAATGGAATTTTACCAAGTCATGTAGAAATTAGAGATTGTACAAATATAAGAAAAAATACAAAAGTACAAGAGTTTGAGCAATTATTTACTTTGAAATATGATAGTTTAAGTTTAAGTCAGGATTCAATTCTTCAAAATTATTCAATTAATTGTAATTTTATTAAAGTTGCAAAATATGAAAGATTACAATTTGCAGCAAATAATCCAAGGGAAACAGATGAAAACTTGACAAATAAAAGACAAGCAATTAATGAAAAGAAAAGATTTATACTACAAGTTCAATTATTAGCTGAATTGGAAGTAAAAGGTACTTATGCAATTATTGCAATTTCAAATACACCACCATTGACAATTAGAGGAAAATCACCAAGTTCATATCAACTACTTGCTAATTTAAAAGCTGAAGCAAACAAATCAAAATTGATCACTAGTACTCCAATTCAACCATTTGCAAGATTAATTAAAAACAATCCAGGTAATTATGATAATCTAAATTTTAAATTTAAACAACCTGAATCAATAAATGATACCATTAGTTGGAAAGAAAATGAAGAAATAACGGAATATATAAAATCAGTAACAGGAAATGCACCTGAGGGATATGATTTACTAGAATATCAAAATGGATTTCAAAAAGAAGGAAGTTCAAAGAGTTCAAATAGTGAATTAATGGAGTATAAGGAACCTTCAATATGTACTGAAATGTTGGATCCAAAATATCATTTAGATAAACAAATGAATACGAAAAATATGATTAGACTTAACTCAAAAAGTTTTGCAAGTAGTTTTTTACAAGTTGAAAAAAGCAATAAAGACAATAATAAGGACACTAACGGTAGATCAATTGATTGTATAGCTCCTTCATTAATAATGAAGGATTAATATAAATTTTGAACTCTTATTAGTAACATCCACTTGGTAGCAACAGTAGCTGTGAAATAAAATCTCTGAAAAAAAAACACCAATAATCAATACTTAAATTCAATGTTATTTTTCAGTTTCTTTAAAACTCTAGTTGATCAAGAAGTCACAGTGGAGCTTAAAAATGATATGGAAATAAAAGGGACCTTAAAATCAGTGGATCAATTTTTAAATCTAAAATTAGATAATATAACATGTTTGAATAGTGCACAATATCCGTATTTAAATGCTGTAAAGAATTTATTCATTAGAGGTTCAACTGTTAGATATGTTCATATGAATCCAAATAGTGTAGATTGTACATTATTACAAGATGCATCAAGAAGAGAAGCAATGGTACAAGCAGGTAAATAGATTCAAGAATATGTATTATTAATATAAAATTTATTAAATTGGGGGTACATCAGCATTACAATATTTTCTAGTATGTCCTAGTTTCTTACATTTTGAACAAACTACGTTTGATTTATTTTTTGGTTTCTTTGGCTTTTTAGGTTTAATTATATTAGGTTTCTCTTGACCTTCCTCTGATTGATTGAAATGTGTCTTTAATTGTGATTTGGGTATTACTATAAAGTCACCATTGTTTAGCTCATAATTACAATTGGGACACTTTGATTGAATTATGCTAACAAATTGTTCATCTATTATTTTGTCTTCTTTTCCTTCAATTTGAAAATTTCGTATATAATCATTTATGACTGTGAGTTTTTTATCGTACTCTTTCTTTAAGCTCTCCAACTCATTATTCTTTTGAGCTATTATCTTTGCTAGCTTGTCAATCTCAGACAGAAATTGAACGATTGACATGTACTATGAGTTTAAATCAAGATGTTTGTTTTATCCGTGCGAAATACATCGATGAAGTAATATGATGTATGAACGATCATTTGGTACTCAGCAACAAAATAGACTTCTTAGAGGCTATTTACTGATAGATTTACTATCAATGATCAATTTAACCAATGTTTTAAGAGTTTCAAGCTTAGTTTAAGTCATAAAAGCAAGTTTTATACCGAAGCACATGATCTGAATTCTTTGATGGAGTTTTGCGTAAACTCTTTTTAAAGAAATTTGCTGTGATGGCTTAAGCGGAAGAACAATTATATTTTGTAGCTCCTGCATTGTTAACTATTTATGGCGATGAAGTGTCCAGTTCGATCACTGCGGTAGACGATTTAGACACTTGAGTAATCAGTGATTCTTAATTGTTAGTAATTAATAATCTTACCACTGGAGGGAAGTTAATTCAGCACAGTAGATTATCCGTTGAGAGGCGACTCTGGATGACACATTAATTGTCTTTATTAATAATTGGAAGTTATCAGGGTTGTTCAACTCTAATTTTTTAATTTTTATATTCTGAAAATTTACCCACAAACTTAAAAGATATTGCGACATGGAAAAGAATGTAATCAGAGGTTTGAAATTACTCTTGAAGATTTGAAATATAATTGCCATACAATGTGCAGAAAATTTACTCATGTTTATGGTTGCCGAAATGCATTTCGCGGCAAAGTCATATCTGATTTGTTCAAGAATCCGTGTAGAAGGATTGCCTTTAAGTACAATTTTGAAACGAATTTGGCTTATATGCGTCTCATATTAGTTGTTTTAAAACTTAGATAGTGAATAACTCATTCAATATTGAAGTTTTACCTTTCAAACCAAACATTTATGTTTGTAGGTTAACCTAGAATTGAATGATATGAATTTCATTTGAAGAAACATAATTTCGATGGCTTTATTGATATTTTAAATATCGAGAAAAAACGTTTAGAATAAATAGCACTTAGATCTTATTCATCAACTTCTAATATAGCTGAATAAGTTGATTCAATTATAAAAAATGTATTGATAGTGATTCCAAGACACAATATCCATTTTGAATATTCTTCAAAATTTTTGAACTACTTCGAAAAAATACTTTTGCAATTTTGAATACCTTAAAACAATAAATTCTTAGCAATATCTCGAACAGGAACTACAAAACTGGGATGTTCCATCATACTTAAATTCGAATAGGAAAAATGGAGCTACATTTTTCTAAAAGTAATTTATTCAATTTTGCCCATACTTAAAATAAAATTTCAAAATTTTCAATTTTGGTTCAAATCAAGTAAATTAAGTTAAATACGTTCGTTTATGACTTAGTATTTATAATCCCTAGTTTAATTGAAAGTTATAGCCGCAAATAAATTACAATCTGCATTTTCATTTTTAGCAATTTTTTTGTATGATGAAAAAATGCCGAAATGACAACTCGGAATAAAAAATTTCTGAAGTTTGGTTTGTGAACTACATTCAATACACAATTTGATGCACTGAATTTTATACAAGTGGTTTTTATTTGAAGAGAATCTGTCGTTTATAAGATGCGATTCAATATGTTTAGGACGAAGTCGCCTTAATTCTAGCCCGAGAAATGATTTTGTCGCTTCCAAATCATTTAGTTTAAAAAATCTGCTCGAAAATCATTTTGTAAATCAACCTGCTTCAATGAAATAAATTCTAGATACATAGAGTAAGACGTAAAATATAATTCTTTCATGCCTGAAGATCACTTATTTTAAAGAATAGTGATATCATTTTGAGCAAACGCGAATAAAAGCGCAATTTTAGATCTGAGATCGCTTGCAGATCGAGATCTTTCCATATCTAAGATCTGAGATCTGACACAAAACAAAATGTATACCAACAACGCTCAATAAAAAAAAATGAAAACACCCCTAGTTTGAATCATATCACACTCTAACATTACTCCGTCAATATTGATGCAAACTATACTGTTCAAGATACCATTCGAATGAGAAAAATTATCACAATTCAAATTTTATAGTTAGAAAGTGCCATCTTTTTTATTTTCCTATTAAAAGTATGCAGTTATTTTTGTGCTAAATCCGATTAGAGAATATGCAATTGTAATTAAAATGCTAGTTTATATTCTCGACAATTATCTTTTTATATATTGTAATATTGTCTTTCTTTCCAAGTACATTAATTGACCCAATAACAAAACACAAATACAAAAACTCCAAACAAACTCATTTAAACTATTAGTCTTGACTCCAATTAAAGCATATTGAACAATCCAATAAATCAAACTAACCAAAACTGAAGGAATCACATACTTTACAATTGTTAAAGCATCAATCTCAAATCCATTAATTCTATAATATTTTCTAATATTCACTCCACAGTATATTATACGCATTGACATGTTCAAAATATTTGAAATTATTAATCCATTTATCCTCAACTCAAGTCTGCCTATCAACAATCCAGAAATAATCAATATTATTATAGATTCCATAGTCATGAATTTTGAATATTGTTTCATTTGAACTTGACTCATTATACTTGAATACAAACTCTCAAGTATCCCATTAAATGCCAAAAAAGGAATATATATGACATAATTTGAAAAAAGATCAAAGATCTCATTATACCTATTCGAAAGGACAATCTTGAGGAGATAAGCCCCATTAGTATAACCTGCAAATAATATTAGAATGGATAAGTTAAAGTAGAACAAGCATATTAGTTTGAGGTATGATAGGGATTCTTTATGATTTGATATTTTAGTAAACAATAATCTTGTACTTTCTTCCAATGGTTGAAATAATAACCTTGCCAATATTGATCCATAATTCGATATGATTGTATATATGCCTTGTTCCTTCACAGTACAAAGATATGATATCAATAATTTATCACCTTCCGTTAAAAATTGTTTAAAAATCATTTGAATAAAAAATGATTTAAATATACTCAATATATCACCTTGGAAATAATACACTTGTTTTTCTTCCTTCAATTTGACTAATCTATATTCTACTTGTTTAAATGATAAGAATGAATAAGAATATAATATGAATAAAGTAATTGAGTACAATAATTGACCAATTCCAAATGACAAAATAAATACACTGGTTCTGATTTCACTCAAGGCATATCTAGAAAATACTATAATTGAAGCAAATGTAGTTATACATTTCATAAAAGTAGCTATACTTTCAAATTTCAGTCTTTTTGCAAAATCCAATTGATATTGATATAAACAATAAATAGGTTCAATAACTAACTCCAAATAAACCGAAACTAAATAAGTACTAATTATCACTTTCCAATATGGTAAAGTTATTAAATTTTGTATATTATTAGAATACATTGATTGTATTGTAATTATACCAATAATTGGAATACTAATCAACAAAGGAATAAATCCAAAATTAACCACTTTTTGAAACACTCTTTTATCATTCTTGATCCTTTGTACTGACAATCTTACTGATTCTCTACTAAAGAATAGTATACTATTATATATAAACTCTAAATATGAAGAAATACCAATAATTTCTGGAGTAATGAATTTAATTAATAACTGATTTAATATAAATGTGAATAATTTAGTCAACACTTGAACAACAATCAATGATGATATTCCTTTACCTACAGAATACATAACATCTGTTGATACTACTAACTGGTGATACTACTAACTGGTGATCTACTGAAACTGTGTGGTTACCAATTTTCAGTGAAAATTATCAACAAAAATTTTCCAATTGATTGTAAATAAATATAACCATTCATATTTAGCGTATTAGTCAGTTAGTATTGGACAGTTAATATTAGTCAGTTAATATTGGTCAGTTAATATGGAGGCAGATCAGTCACAAATTGTAAGAGATATAGAATTAAGAGAACAAGATAGATGGTTACCAATAGCTAATGTTGCAAGATTGATGAAAAATACATTACCTTCCACGGCGAAAGTTTCAAAAGATGCTAAAGAATGTATGCAAGAATGTGTATCTGAATTTATATCATTTATAACGAGTGAAGCTAGTGATAAATGTATAAGAGAAAAACGTAAAACTATAAATGGTGAAGATATTTTATATTCAATGCATGATTTAGGTTTTGAAAATTATGCCGAAGTATTAAAAATATATCTTGCAAAGTATAGAGAAGCGCAAGCTGCAAAACAAGATCAACCGAAATTAACTAAGAAACAAGCAAAATTGCTACTATTACAACAACAACAACAACAACAACAACAACAGCAACAACAACAACTACAGGAGCAACAGGAACAACAACTAAATGATGAAGATCATGGGTACAATTATGATGATGAACAAATTGAAATACAGGATAATAATGAAGATGATGATAATGTAGAATTAACCATAGATAATAATCATAATGGGATACCCAATGGTAATGATAATCCGATCAGTGATGTTGGTTTACCTTCTGAAATTACAAATGGTGCTGATAATTACTTTTAAAATTTTAGATGTAACTATGATGAATGAAACTTCTTTATGTGTGTGTATTATTATAATATATTTTATAACTATAACTATAAATATAAACCTAAAAACGATCTTTTACCCTTCCCAATAAATAATTAACTTTTCAAACCTATTTAATTTGTTTCTATTTTCAATATCTGATTTCAGACGTGTGTTACATCCTTACAATCAACATTCTTGTATCTTGAATCATTCAGCTTGCGTGTATTTTGAATAGCTGACTTCAAACGTGTGTTACATCCTCACATTTAACTTCCTTTTTCTTGCATCCTTACATTTGACTTGCTTCTTTGTTGCATCCTGACTCTACTCTTGCATCCTTACTTTGCATCCTTACACATCGAGACTCTGCACGTCGGACAAGAATTTGAATAATTAATCCAATTCTTCAAACACTTATAATGAAATTGATGAAAACAACTCAATTCTCTAACCTCCTTCACATCAATTAACCCCTCAAGACAAATACAACAAGTATCTCCCTGTATAACATCCACCTTCTTACATATTTTCTTCAACAATATTTGTCTCTTTTTGAAATTTATATAGTTTCGACTCTTATTTATTAATACCTTTAGACTCAAATATGAACTAGGCAAAATATGAATGGGAATCGTATAAAAATATAAAAAAATAATAGCAAATCCACATATAAACATGAATTGGATAAGATTGATTATGAACTCACCAATATGAATCCAGTTCAATTTATACTCAATCCAATTTGCATATTCTTCTTCTTCTTCTTCTTCTTCTTCTTTTTCTTCATATTTTAATTGTTGAGTTAATTCCAATCCACATTTCAATGAAGTAAGTATAATTAATGGAAATAAATTTATGATTTCAAAACCAAATAATGTAATTAAAATATTATCACTCATGGATAACAAATTATTATCATTATGATAGACTCCTCTAATGTACAACTCAGTAAAGAATTTAAAAATAAGTAAAACATCAATGAAATTCAATATAATTAACCCAATGGATAATTTAATAAAGTTTAAGTTATTTCCTTTTGTAATATATTGTACCCTTTCCGATGATAAATAATGAAAACATTTCAATAATATAACACTAAAAAATAATACCAAAAATTTATTAAATTCAAGAAAGAGACCCAGTGGTTCTGATTTAAAATATACAATTCCTGTACCCAAACAAAATTCCCAAATTGTATAAACTATCTTGTCTTTAACTATTTTAAATTCTCTATTCGATAATTTACCAAATAACAACCATTTAATGAAATTTAAAAGAATGAATAATGCGAATATTAAAATATATGGTGATTGATGATGATTTGTAAAATTTTGAAATACCGGTTTGAATAAATTTGGAAAATTCACTAATATAGGTGATGATGACGACGATGATGATGTTGATGGTGTTTGTTTATTATTTAGGTTTCTGTATGTTGTTATACTGATTAATGCACCAAACTGGATATTTGTTAGTATATTGATCGATGTTACAGTGGTTGATTTTACTTACTGCTCCATATCGTAGATGTTTTTTCCTACTTGGTGATATATTATTCATGAGTAACTATTATGATATGGTATGAGAGGGTGTTATCTAATACCGTTGTTAGTCTAATACTGTGTTATCTAATACCGTTGTTAATCTAATACTGTTATTAATCTATTACTGTCGTTAATCTAACACTGTTGTCAATCTATTTTGTCGTTAATCTAATACTGTTGTTAATCTATTTTGATGATTGTAAATAAGTGGTTTTCGTTATCAGTTAACATTTTTTTTACGTGATGAAGTTTTAGTTTTGATGAGTGCAGCCGCATGGCGCATGGCGCACAACAAATTGATCAGGGCACCAAGACGCCGCGAAACTGATGCGAGATGGACCTAGAAAAATACGGCGAGTGACGTATAAAATTACGCATTCCGCCATGCGATCGAAAACGTTTAACATTATTATTCATTATTTTGACAGGTGATGAGCTATTGTCAATAATACTAATTCAGGAAACGAATTACTTCGAATTTCTATAGTAATACGTTTAATGTCACTTGAGTTACAATTTGCTTGAACGGGTTCATAACATCGTACGTTAGTTCCAGTGTCGTAGGACATAAGTCTAAAATTTTGGGTTACAGCGTGTAACTTAATTTTATCAATTATAATCAAAATTAGAAGATCGAAAACACAACTTAAAACTCACGAGTTGAATGATTCAGGTACTATAATTTACACCCTGATTAATCATACCACGAAACAAATAACTATTAATCATGTCAATCTATCGCAAATTAATAATAAATCTCGCGATGGGTGTTATAATTATCTCTGCATACATTTACGAGATCATACATTGCATAATCACACAACTCAGTAAATCAACAACCGGATTATAGTTTCTGTCTTTTCCTTCATTCTGTTCCTTATTCATAATTAATGACTTCTTCTCTCTCTTTTTTGTACAATTTCAATAATCATGTTACAAAGTGCCAGTGCCATACCCTATAATTTGCACCATAAAAAACTTATAAATCACGAAGATGAAGAATTAAACCACTTAAAGAAACTTGATTCAAATACATTTAATAATCATAATCAGGTACATGATGAATTATCATATATTTATTGGTTAGAAAACATTGAATCATTCTTAGAAACCTCAACACAATACCGATGCTTCTTTGTTCTTGATGTTATTCCAAGACAAGGATATACACAACAATACTTATCAAAATTAAATTCAGCTAAGATGGCATGTCTTAAGAACCCTCTAGTCAATAAATATTTGAATCAACAGATTTTTCAGCTGATTTCTCCTGTTTATTTCGACTTGGTGAATTTTAATAATACGTTTATTGATAATTTTGAAAGTTTGAAATTTTATTTCCATCAATTGATAAATTATAATTACTTGAATAAATTGGAGGATAAGTTACTATTAGATGTTAATGACGTGTTAGGTTTCTTGATCGATTTGGACGATTTGAGTAAGGTTTATAAATATATTTTTGGAAGGTTGCCCAATAATGATATCAAATTAGATTGGATAATGAAAAGTTTGAATAAAAATCATGAGAACAATGAGTTAAAGAAAAGCATTATGATGAATTGGGAATCAATACAAAAGGAGCCCAATTTGATTAGGAATTTATTGAGCCAATATTCGAGAGATCATCAGAGGATTACGAGACGTCTCTGAAATCGTTTGTATTTGTATATAGAAATGTATAACTATGTTTATGACATGCTTTTTCGTATTTGTTTAGTCACTATGCCGTGAGTAGATTATATAAATAATCTTGTTAATCAATGTTTCTGGAAATCAAAGAGTTAAAGATCATCATTTGTTGTGTATTAGAATGTATAACTATCACTGTGACATGCTTTTAAGCTATATTGCATCTCTTTTAGTTAGTACACCGTGACTCAAGTTTATAAACCCCCCACTAAATTAATAATCAAGTTTATCGTAATCATTTGCATGTATATTAGGATGACAAACCAAGCTATTGTCATTTCCTTTATGAATATTCGAATTGGCAACTGTTATACCAAGAAACGATTTTGTAAGAAAATCTACTTAGTCAGTTTCAAAGCATTATCGTTAAATTGTATATTAAAAAGTCAAATCTATGATTTAGCAGTAGCTAATTTCTTAAACAAGGTCCGTATCTCTTTCAAAGCTTTAATTAACTGCAAATGACTATTCAAATCATTTTCAACTTTCTTAATATCATTTTTATTTAATTCAGGGTCAGTACTTTCAATATTATAACTATCACCAACTTTAATAACGACTTCATATTCATTATCTAAATTTTCAATCTCAAGATTCTTGAATATGAAAGCAAATGAATCGTCATTAATGACTTGAATTCTAGCACCCATATAAGTTTGAACTTTATCTAATTCTTGTTCGTTTTGATCCATTTGTTGATACATTTGTTGAGATGATTTTAGAAACTCATCATCTTTAACTCTAATCTCCTCCGTGACCTGTTGTATTTCGATTTCTATTTGATTCTTAGTTTTTATTAGTTCATGTTTCTTAGTTATTAATTCATCACATTGTAATTTTTGAGTTTCTAATTTTGATAATTTTTCACGTAGTTTTGATTTCAAGGCATCTCTTTTCTCAGTTAATTCATTTACCTGGTTTGTTCTATTTTGTTTTTCTAATTGTATTTGATTTACTTCTTGTTGATATTTGTATATTGTAGATTGAGTTTCTTGTTGTTTTTTATTCAATTTTGTATCTATATCCGATTGGAAATCAATCATATCAATCTTCAACTTCTCAAACAATTTAATATTCTCTTGTAATCGTTCATAACTTCTAATTGTAGTTGATTCCATATTGGTGATAATTTGGTGATAATTTTGTTTTGTTTTGATTTTTCGTATACTGAAAAAAATATCAAATTTATACGACACCAGGTACAAGTCATCACCATTATAGATAATAGATTATACATTGGTTATAGATTTATGTTATGATATGATTGAATCAAAAGAGGATACTACAATTTCAATCACTGAAAAACCAATTCAACCAAAAAGAAGAATCAAATTATTAACTTTTAACACCTGGGGTTTAAAATTTGTATCAAAATTTAGAAAAGATAGATTAAAAGCAATAGCTAATCAATTAGCCAATCCAACAATTGACGAAGATGACTATGATATAATTGCATTACAAGAAGTATGGTGTGAAGAAGATTGGGAATATCTCAACAAAGTATGTGCCATTAGATACCCATATCGTAGAATTTTCAAAAGTGGAATCATAACTGGTCCTGGTCTTTCAGTGCTTTCAAAGATACCAATTTCAGAAACTTTTCTTTATAGGTTTCCAATTAATGGTAGGGCATCTGCTTTTTTCCGTGGTGATTTCTTTGTTGGTAAATCAATAGCAATTACTATAATAAAACCAAATGATTCAATTCCTATAGCATTATTAAATTCTCACATGCATGCACCTTATGGATCTGGAGATGCGAGTTATTCAACTCATAGAGCAGCTCAAGCTTGGGATTTTACTAAAATGGTAAAAATGTTGAAAAATGCAGGATATGCCGTTATACAAGTTGGAGATCTTAATTCAAAACCCGATTCATTACCATATAGATTGTTTACAATAGAAGGGGGTCTCAATGACTCATGGAATATATTACATAAAGAGAATGTCATTGCAAATGAAGAAATTAAGAATTTGTCTTTGCTTGATCAGATTAAATTGGCTGGTGTAACTTGCAACTCGAAGTTGAATAGTTGGAGAGAAATGAGACCTATTCATGAAGCATGTCGTTTAGATTATGCCCTAATCGATGACTACAATATTAAACCAATTGCAGCTAGTGTTAAATTCGTGGATAAAATTCCAAGGATTAATTGTTCTTATTCTGATCATTTTGCATATGCAGTTGAGCTTGAAATAAATGATTGTTTTGAAGCTAGAGATCAGGGAGATATAGAAGAGAAATTAAGAGTTTATAGAGAGTTATTAACTGAGATTAAACATTATCGAAATTTTACTATCCCATTCCAGGCTATTTGGAGAAAATCATATTTCATATTTAGTTGTGTTATTGTTATTGGGATGCATGTTGCTATTGTATTCGTTTCAAATGTTGCTGGTTGGGTTAGTGTTTTATTTTTATTGTTTACTAGTTTTATTATTATTACGGGGTTATTGAATGGTTTGATTTGGTATATGGGTGTTAGATCTGAACTGAGAGCTTTAGCTGAAGTTCAATTAGAAGTTGAAGATGCTTATAATTATTTATCTAAGGATATAAATACACAGTCAGGATGAATTAATCGATCAATTTATTATCCCTTTATACATTATGTCTCGATAAGGAAGCAATTGAACCATTATCAAACTTTCAAATGGAAACCAATGGATCAATCAATCAATCTAAACGCTTCGACAGTTCAAAGATCATAATATATTAATTGAAGCCAAAAAGGTCCAATCAGTCCATCTCTTCGTATAATTTTCTTCAATTTCAGCACTTTTTTCATGCAGAAAAACATTACATTTAGAAATTTAAGGATACAATGACTAATAATACCATATCAATTGCCCATTATAGCTTATATCTAATCTTATACCATATATTATAATTCCTACTTCTTCATTATCAACACTTTTTGCAACCATTCTCATCTCAGAAAAAAAAAATTAATACCTTACGCTTTTTCACTATATCAAGTATAAAACAATTACCAAAACTTCTAAAACCAATTAAGTTAGAAGTAAACATGCCAAAAAGAAACTTCAAAAAGAAACAAGGTAACTCTTCATTCAATCGTGATTCAAGAAAACCTAATAATGATAATGATAGATGGCAAGTAGATAGAAACAACGAAATATGGGAAAACTATTATAAATCATTAAAAATCATACCAGAATCAGAATGGGACGATTTTAAAAAAGCATGTCAGACTACATTACCATTAACTTTTCGTATAACGGGCTCAGCTAAACATGCACAAGAAATAAGAAATATTTTCCTCGAACGTCATTTTAATAATTTAAATGGAAAAGAATATGAAGGAATAGATACAACTCCAAAACAAATAGAATTCTATCCTGATAAATTAGGATGGCAGATTGATCTTACTAAATCAATTATTAAAAAGGATAAAAATTTTGCCAAATTTCAAAGATTTCTTGTAGTTGAGACTGAAGCTGGTAATATTAGTAGACAAGAAGCAGTGTCAATGATACCTCCATTATTATTAGATGTTCAACCACATCATTATGTTTTAGATATGTGTGCTGCTCCAGGTTCGAAAACTGCTCAATTGGTAGAAGCATTACATTCAGATATTCCAACTGGGTTCGTAATGGCTAATGATTCAGATTATAAAAGAAGTCACATGTTAGTCCATCAAGTAAAAAGACTCAATAGTCCAAATTTCGTTGTGGTAAATCATGATGCTCAATTGTTCCCGCGTATCAAATTAAACAACTCCGAAGAACATCTCAAGTTTGATCGTGTTCTTTGTGATGTTCCATGTTCAGGGGATGGAACAATGAGAAAAAATTTCAACGTTTGGAAAGATTTCAGAATTGGTAATGCATTAGGGTTGCATAATCTCCAAGTAAATATCCTAAATCGTGGATTACATTTATTGAAAAAAGGAGGCAGGTTAGTATATTCAACTTGTTCATTATCACCAATTGAAAATGAGGCAGTTGTGGCAAGTGCATTACGTAAATGGGGTGATAAAATTAAATTAGTTGATGTTTCAAACGAATTACCGGGTTTAAAACGTGCTAATGGAATAAGTGATTGGTTAGTATATGGTAAAGATATTCAAATTAAACAAAAAGGAGATGATGAGACAATATCTGAATCTTGTTTCCCACCGGCACAAGATGAAGTTGAGAGGTTTCATTTGGAGAAATGTGTTCGTGTTTATCCTCATTTACAAAATACTGGTGGGTTTTTTATAACAGTTTTTGAAAAAATTGAAGATGGTCCAACTAAGAGAACTAATGAAGGTCAATTTGAAGAAAAGTCACAATTTAAGAAACAGAAAATTTCAAACGTGTTCACTAATGAGGAAACTCCTGAGCCAAGTAAGGATGCAAATAATGGTCAGGATGCAAAAGAAATCCAAGAATCAGAATCAAAAGAAGAAATCCAAGAATCAGAATCAAAAGAAGAAACACCAGAAGTCAAAGAAATCAAAGAAGTTACACATGTAAAACAAAAGGGAACAAAATTACCAAGAGATGCAAACGAAGAACCATTTGTTTATTTAGATCCAAATAATCCAGAATTATTAAAATGTTGGCCTTTCTACGGTTTTAAAGATTCATTCAATAAAGATTGTTGTCTTGTTAGAAATTCAACTGGTGAACCAGTAAGAACAATATATTACACTTCAAAAATAATAAAAGAAATACTCACCATCAAGGATCAAAAACTAAAACTTATTCACTCAGGAGTTAAATTGTTTGTATCGCAATCAAAAAAGGTTACAGATACATGTTGTTGGAGAGTCCAAACTGAGAGTTTTAGCACTATTGAACCGTTCTTGGATCACAAAAGAAATATTGATTGTGATTTATCGGTTTTGAAATTTTTATTCTTTGAAGCATTCCCTAAGATTGACTCACTCATTGAAAATGGGATAGATAGTGGTTTTGTAGAAAAGTTGAAAGAGTCAGATGAGGGGTGTTTATTCATTACAGTAAAAAGAGGAAGTGGATTAGAAGATATATTTTTGCCTGTTTGGAAAGGAAAGACTAATATTAATTTGATGGTTAGTAAACAAGATACCCAGGAATTATTGTTACGTGTTTTTGATATTGAGACTAGTTCTAAGGATTTAGGTAAGGAAAAGATATATCAGGAAAAAGTAGAAGCTGCTAAAAAGGCAAAATTGGAAGGTGAAACTAGTGCTACTTCTGAACCTAATGAGACTCCTGATGCTGAGTCAGTTAAAGAAGAAGTGAAATAAGATGTTGATAAAATACATCATCAAATATCTATTAGATAACGTTGGACATTAATTTAATACATCACCAAAGAACTATTAGATAACAAGGGACATTACTTTAATATACATTACTCATAAGAACTACTAACTTAGTCGTCCTAATTCTAAATTGTCTCAATTATACCATCTTCTTACTACAATATTTTTTAAAACTCCGAAAGCAACCAATATACTCCATTTTCCTCCTCTGTATTCAAATCCATTACCATCTCATCTAATTTTGAAGCATCTATAGCATCTTTATTTGTGAAAACCATGCTAAAATATCTTTTAAATCTCCAGAACTAACCAATAAACTCTACTCGTCAGATTCACTACGATTTCCAGCTTCCTCTCCATTCAAAGTAGGATCTATATTATCTAAATCCTCCTCCTCCTCCTCCACGATCTCATCATCTTCATCTTCTTCTTCAATAAACATTTTTAACATATCTTTACTAATTAAATCATCACACCATTGTTCAATTAACATCCCCATAGTTAACAACACTTTTTCATCGAGACTTTCTCTTTGAATAGAATAAAATTTATTAAATCTACTTCTTTTAAATTTGGTTGTAGTAAGCTTTTTACTCATGAAATAATGAATCAGTTTCAACAAGTCCGAATCCGGTAAATCAATTTCTTCTCGACTAATCATAGGAATCTTCAAATCATCAGGTTTCAATATGTCCAATATTTCATCTGAAGGTACAATTCTACCAATAGTTCTAAATATCAAATCTTTCTCTTCACTATAATGTTCATTATTTCTATCAATGATTAAATTTAATCCACGTTTACATTCTTCAATTCTGTATGATTGACCGATTGGGTGTTGTTTCAAGTATTCTTTATTTATATCTTGACCTTGTATATATTCTCCATTTGTTGATTGATAAACATTCGATGCTTTAAAATCAGAAATTGATAAATTCATTGAAGAAAAAATAAAATGGTTGATATTGAAGAAATACATAGACATTATGAATTAAGAGAACAAGTGGATATAACTATACAAGAAGAGAATAAGCAACGATGGTTGAAGAAATTGGCATTGTTTCAATTATATATATTGAAACAAAGAAATGAAATAGATACTTTGAAAACACAATTATTGAAAGAGAAAGAGAAAGTGAAGGCATTAACTCCAAGAAAGAAAAAACCAAAGAAAGAAAAGATAGTGAAAGAAGAAGTTAGAGAGGTGGTGAATGAGAATGAACAAATGAAGGAATTGAGGATTCAAAATGATATACTATTGAATAAATTAAAACAAGAACATTCAACCAAAATCAAATTGAAAGATATATCAATAACCAACCTACAGAAAGAAAACGAGACACTTAAATCCAAGATTAATTTCATGCATAAATCATCACACAATGCAAAAACATATTCTTCAGCATTAAATAAGATCAAATCTGAAGGCTTTAGAACGTTGAGTCCAATTGGTTTCAAACTGAGTCCATTTTCAAAAAAGAACAAATTAGAATTCACTCCAATAAAGTCAAAAACTCAACTTCAAGAATTGAAAAATTTAATAGAAGAAAAATCAAAACCATTGGCAATTTCATCACCTTCAGGACCATCGAGTAAACGACTGTTAACTTTGACATCTCCGGCTAAATTCATTTCAGATTTCGATAAGGAAGAAGATAATAGATCAATAGGTACAATCAGAGAATCTCCTGAATTTACACCTCGAAAAATTGAAAAACCAAATTTAATACTGATTCATGATTCAATGGATGATACATTTGATATAAGTCAATCTAAGAAGAAGAAGAGAAGATTACAGTTGTGGAAATCAGAGACAAGTATTGGTAAGTTGTTAGAAGATGATCAATTAAATACTTTGAATTATTATATGGATGATAATATTGATATGTTGAGTCCGATAAGTAATAAAAGTTTAAAGAGCAAAGCTGATGATGATGGTGTCAAGCCCAAGAAGAAGCAGAAGAATGTGTTTAGGATTAATCAATGACAGTATGAAATTTAGATGATAATATATGATGATTTATATGATAATATATGATGATTTATACCAAAATTTATGATTATATGCCTTTATGATACCTTTAGTATCTTCGAAATTGTTGCAAACCTCCATTAATATCCTCTAGGCTCGTCACAGAGACTAGAGAGAAACTGAAGAGTTTATTCAAAATCAATCAATGCCAATATCAGTTCTGGTTTGTTCTTCAATACCTCTATTTGATTGCATTTAGAATGGTTGCAAAATTTCACCAAAAAAAGCCAAAGATTGATTGATAAGGCTAATATCGACTCAAAAAGCTGTACGTAGAATTAACGAGCAGAACATGTTATTTGAGTATCTCTCAAATTCCTTTTACAGACTCTTCTGTTTAGTTTTGGTTCAAATGATGGCAAAATTTACCAGGAAAAAGGCCAAAAATGAGCCTAAGGAACCAGAAAAAAGCAGAGTAAGATAGTTAAGATAAAAAGGTATCAGCTCACACTTCAGATACCTCTTAATATTAGTCCGTTCTTTCAATAAAAATGGTTGCAAAATTATTAGTTGGTTAAACGGTCAACGCTTAAAATTTTTTTTTTTTTCGAATCAAAAAATCAATACCGATCGAACTGAATCATTTTGCCACCATTTTCATTCTATAACTATTCATACAACTTTAGGTAATGATGATTAGAAGGATAAATAAGGACTTTAAATTTAGAAGACTAATTAGACTGGTTCATTTGAGTTCAACTCACGAAAGTCTTTCTTCAATAAGATATGAACCAAGTATTATAAATTCACCGGTTGAATTAAATCTACCAGGATTTATTAAACCTAATATAAATCATTTTCTTAATTCACTTGATGATTCACATTATTTATTTAATTCAAATGAAAAATCTGAAAAATCTGAAAAATCACCAACCCAAAATGATAAAAAAGATAAAGAAGATAAACCCAAAGAGAAACCAAAGAAGAAGGATCAAAATATAGATAAGAAAGATCAAAATATACCTACTACAACAACTCCTCCTCCTTCAACCTTACCTTCTTCATCAAGTGGTGGTGATGATCCCAAAGATAAGAAAAAAATCAACCCCAATACTCCAAGTGATGGTAACGACGGTGGTGACTCTAAAGATGATAAATTATCAGTTAATCAAAATGGTTTATATCCTCCATTTTTAGCTATCCCCATGAAAGATCGTCCTTGTTTACCAGGTAGACATTTCACAATAAATATAACTGACGCTGAGGTTATTAAATGTTTAGAAACTGCTTTAATTATGAGAGAACCATATTTTGTAATGTTTCATATAAAAGATCAAAATGATCCAGATGCTGAAATTGATGTTATAAAGGATAAATCATGGGTTCATGAAATTGGTACATTATGTCAAATAACAAAGAATATAAAATTGGGTCCTAATTCAATGAATGTATTAGCTTATGCTCATGAACGTGTTAAATTAATTGATTTATCTACACCCACCACAAAAAGTGAAAATATTGAAAAACATGATAAATTTGCCACAGATTATTTGAAAAATTACCAAGTTTCTTATGCTGCCGTTAAACCAATGGAAGATGATATCTATGATAAAGATTCAATTGATATAAAAGCATTAGTTCAGACTGTAAAAGAATTATGTAGTCGATTTCCATCAGATATATTAGCTTCTGAACAAGGTAAGAAGATCTTGAATAACCCTTCATTATTAGCTGATTATGTTGGATCTGTAGTTCATGGAGAACCTAAAAAAATTCAAGAAATAATGGATACGTTTGATGTTCAAAAACGATTAGAGAAAATATTAGACTTACTCAAGGCTGAAGTTGATGCTGATGCAATTAGATTAAAAGCTAAAAAAAATTATCAAAGAAAATTAGAATTAGCATCTGCTCAAATGATAATTAAAGATTACACTAAAGAGCTTTTAAAAGCTGCTGGTTTAGAAGGTGGTCCTGGAGGTCAAAAGGGTAAAAAATTTGAAGAAAGAATTAAAAAATTAAAATTAACTGAAGAAGCCATGGAAGCTTATAACTCTGAAATTGCAAAATTGGGTACTACATCAGATATGGAATCAAGTATAACTGAAAAATATCTAGATTATCTTACACAAATTCCATTTGGTGTTTATTCTAAAGATTCATTTGATATTAATCGTGCTAGAGAAATTTTAGATCGTGATCATCATGGATTAAAAGATGTTAAAGATAGGATATTAGAATTTATGTCAGTTGGGAAAATTTCAGGTTCTGTAAATGGTAAAATATTATGTCTTGCTGGTCCTCCAGGGACTGGAAAAACATCAATTGCAAGATCAATAGCAGAATCTTTAAATCGTAAATATACCAGAATTTCAGTTGGAGGTGTACAAGATGTTCATGATGTAAAAGGACATAGAAGAACATATGTAGGAGCAGTACCAGGAAGAATAATCACTAGTTTAATACAATCTAAGACTTCTAATCCGTTGATGGTTGTTGATGAGATTGATAAATTGGATAATACTGCTCGAGGAGGTGCAGCAAGATCATTTTTAGAAATTCTTGATCCTGAACAAAATTTCGGATTTGTTGATAATTTTATTGAAGTTAAAGTTGATTTATCAAAAGTTTTATTTTTATGTACGGCAAATTATTTAGATACGATATCGAGACCATTATTGGATCGTATGGAAATTATTGAAGTTAATGGATATACTAAAAATGAGAAAATTGAAATTGCGATAAGGCATTTAATTCCAAAAGCAAGTGAAAAAGTAGGATTAGATTTAGAACATGTTGAAATTCCAAGAGAGACAATTTCAAGGTTAATTGATAAATATTGTAGAGAAAGTGGAGTTCGAAAAGTTAAACATTTAATTGATAAAATATTTGGTAAAGTTTCAAGAAAGATTGTGGAACAAGTTGAAGGAGAACAAGAAAAATTGAAAGAACTTGCCAAATCTGAAATTGTTGAAGAAGTAGCTGCCACAGAAACAATTTCGAAACCTGAAAAATCACAAGAAGAAATTGAATTAAGAAAAGAATTAAAAGAGAATAAAGAATCTGAAACTGAACCCGAAATTGAAGAAATTAAGAAATTGGAAATCCCATCAGATTTAAAAATAACAATCACTCCAAACGAACTCAAAGATTATATTGGTCCAGAAATTTACACCAGAGATAGATTATATGAAACATTAACACCAGGTATAGCAACTGGACTAGCTTATAATAATTCCGGTGATGGTGATGCTCTATACATTGAATCAATATTAACTGATTCGATATCTTCAGGTACTTCAAATTCTGGACATTTATCAGTTACAGGTTCATTAAAAGATGTGATGAAAGAATCAGCATCAATTGCATATTCATTTGCAAAACAATTCATGATTAAAAAATACCCAAATAATAAATTTTTCGATATGGCTCAGATACATGTGCATTGTCCAAGTGGGTCAATTCCAAAGGATGGACCATCAGCCGGTATTGCCTTTACTTCATCCCTTATGTCCCTTGCATTAAATAAAGCCTTGCCTAATGATATTGCAATGACGGGTGAGATTACATTAAGTGGGAAAGTATTACCTATTGGAGGATTAAGAGAGAAGACATTAGGTGCTAAACGAGCAGGATATAATAAAATAATCATACCTAAAGATTCTGAATATTTATTAATGGATATTCCTGATGATGTTAAGGAAGGTGTTGAATATATTCCTGTTGATTGGTATTCTGAGGTGTTTGAACATTTGTTTCCTGATATTGATGAAGTTTATGCTAATGAGTTATGGAAAAGTGAATTTGATAAATTAGAAGAAAAGAAAAATAAAAAGAAAGATTAGATGTAAATAGTTGTAAATATAATTGTACATTTCAATTCGTTAATTGTCATTGTCTAATAGTAAGGATGTTAGAAAGGATGCAACAAACACTTTTGCTCCTCTGCTCGAATATTTATTAGTTCACCTCAAGTGTTTAACAAATAGCATCCTTACATTAATGTTTATTTGTTTGGATCCTTACATTGTTCTTTGTTTAATGGCATCCTTACATTGTTCATTATTTAATGGCATCATTACTCATTTTCTTCATTAAATTTACCAAAAAAATTCTTTACTTCATCTTCAGTTACAACTTTGCCTTGTTCAGCAAAAGGTTTAAAAAAATCTCTTAATTTAGATCGTATTTTATCATAAGCTTCAATCGACTCAATGGCTTTACCCTTGGGGAGGGTATGTAAAGCATCAGCAGCACACATATCTAAATAAGAAACAGTAGTTGACCATTCCTCTTCTGATTGATCAGTTGGTGGTTGATAAACAGGATCATCATCGAATAAATGCAGATTATTCTCGATAAACTTATAAAGTTTAGATGACTTATCCATTTTTTCAAATTCTGATTTTATCTTCTCTTTGAATTCAGACCCAAGGAAAATCGAATACATTTCTTTTACAGGTTCTTGACTCTTGTTTTCTGTTTTTATTTTCTTTTGTTTTGGTTCGGTTGTTCTTTGTCTTAATTGATTCCATTCTTCAATTGATTCTATTCCTTCGAATCTAGGTAATTTTTCAACTATTATTCCGGGAATTAGTGAATCTAAACTATTAAAAATTTCTTTAAATCTATCAACACATGTCCAACAAATATATTGTTCAAACAGATCCAATTTTGGAAAATATTTCAACTTCTCAATTGAGTCAACTTCATTTTCTTCTCCTTCTTCATTTACATTATCTTCTTTCATTTGTTGTATTTTCTCATCACTTCCAAGAAATTGTAAACCGGCATCTAAACCAGGAGGTGATAATTTATCTAATAAATTTTGACCATCAGCTTCTGATCTAGTTGATTGTTTTGGATTTAAACCCATTATACATTTATCATGATACCAATCTTCACCGCATGTGAAACCAAAATAACACTGAATCATATGACCAGTTTCCTCAACCGGATTATATATCTGTTCACAACCACAAAATTTACCAAAATAATTTTGATTATATGTATTGGAAGATGACGGTACGTCATCTGCAGATAATTCTAGATTAGATTTTCCCCTTCTTAATTTACATGCTCCATTTGGTGTATTTTTCATTCTAGTTGTTCCACAATCACACACAAAATTTCGTTTTGTGAATAATTCAACTAAATCATGATTTGAATGACATTGAATTGAACATGAATAACAGACTCCTATTGGATTATTATTATTTTCGTTTGAACATGTTAAACATGCAAATATAGTTTGTCTTAATTCACCTTTTGTATATGTACATTCATTTGGATCGAAGGGCATAATTTCTTTTGCTTGCTTTTCTAATTCAAATTGATTTGCAAGATAATCTACTGCTGTTAAAGAATCTGAATCTTGTGTTGGTCGAGTTTCTGAATCATTATTAATTGAACCATTGGATAGACTACTCATTATAATGTAATTTGGTACCTTAAATTTGCTTTACTTTTGATTGTTCTTGTTTGTTTGAAATTTTTATTTTTCTCGAGAATTTTGCGACATTGTTTTTTGTGTCGAGTTTTAATTTATGACACTGAATCGGGTTTAATTGATAAACTTGTAATGGAGATAGATAGTGACTGGTTAATGGTAGAGATTGTTGTTAGGAGAGTGCTGAAGCTCATTTGAGTCGCTTTAAGCGGAAGCCAGTCTATTTTTGCATGGTTTTATTGAAATTTTGCAGGTCACAATTTCAAATCAACAACTTTTAGTACTTTCTAATGCCATTATCTATTCATTACACTTAATATAAGTCTACTCACTTACTGCTATTTCTTTTACGATATCATCATAACCTTCTCTATAATCATCAGTTTTATCAGCATTTTTTTTAGATTTACCACCACCTGGTACAATCATAACACAAGAAGTTGGTCTTTTAGTAGCACCAGCACTTCCTAAATCTTCTTTTGAAGGTATAAAAATAAAAGAAACACTTGAATCTTCACATAATACAGGTATATGAGATATAACATCCGGAGGTGAAATATCACCAGCCATAATCACTAACCCCTTTTCACCTTTTCTTAATGCTTTAACAACTTCCTTTACACCTCGTTTAACATGTTTTGCTTTTGATGCTTTTTTAACAGTTTTTAAAATTTTTTTATTTAATTTTTTTGAAGCCAATGGTTTTGCAAATGGTAAAATAGCAGACATTCTTTTTTCATAATTATCTTGTTCAACAATGACTGAATCATCAGCACTCTTACTCTTACTATCCTTTTTACCCATATTAACTTGTCAAACTGATAAGATGAAAATTCAATGAGATGGATTGAAAAAAAAATATTATTCAACTATCAACAGAATTGGAAGTGGTACACTACACACTTTACTACCAGATGGCTGATATTAGTAACAGAAAGAGAAAGAGATATTATAATAACAACTACCACAGTACACTGCTGAAGAGTAAGAATCAATTACAATTGGATAATGATTTAGTGTTCACACTGAAATCAGAATTGGAAGAATCAAAAGTTATAAATTATTTAAACAAATTATCTTTAAAACAAAACACTAATAAATTATCATTAAAACAAAAGACTAATGAATTATCATATATAACTATTGTATTATCAAGTTCAGAAGTATTAGAATTAGAGAAATTGAATATCAAACAAGTATTGATTGAAAAATTTCAAGTTAAAGATGTTTCTATGCCGTACGCTAAATCAGGTACAATTGATCAATATTTAATAATTTATGGAAATAGTTTAGAATTGGCAAAAGCGTTCATTTATATCATATTTATACTCAATCTAAAAGTGAACCCTAACTTTGGAAATGATTTATTCACCTTAAAATCATCAAATTATAAAATTAACATACTTTTAAAATCAAATTCACAATTGACCAGCTTCAAATACATAGATTCATATAATTATGACATTAATGTTGATCATCATTTCATCCAAGGTGATTTCAACTCATTCTTTAATTTAATAACAACTAGTATTGAAAATGATAATACTATAGAATATACTAAAAAAAGTGAAAATATATTCGGATTCCAATTAGATCTGGCATTAAAACGATTATCCACCGAAAATCAAGAACTCAAAACTATATCTCATAAAAAACTACTAGAATTTTTATACTAATATACAACTATACTTTCAATAATGCTGGTTTTTTAGCTTTTCTTGATATTGATGCAACTCTATCACCTAAACTTAAGGCTAATCCTTGTCCCTTTGATCTTATTCTAACATGACCTATAATTGGACCATCAGTTTGTTTTTCAATACATAAATTAGCTAAAGCATCTTCTCCAAATGTAGATCTTGAATATAAATTTGCTGATAAAAATTGACATTCTTCACCAATGATAGCACCCGGAGTTAAACAATTCATATTTGTCCCTTTCATCAATTCTTCAAGATATATTTTTAATGACTGAATTGGTGATTTGATTGTAATTTTATTTTCCCATTCAAATTCATTCCACATTTTTCTAAATTGATTTTCTGAACATGTTGCTGGTTTAATATAATCCATTATATCAACATGAACATCATTTAATATAACAATTGTTGATTCATCTGAGTGATGTCCATCATATACTATATTACCAAATATAACACCAGTATCTGCCGATGTAACTTTTATAGTTGTTTGAACTTTATAAAATCCATGTGGTCCAACATTGGCAGTTGTTGGTTTATCAACAAGTTTTAAATCTCCCAAAGTTGCAAATTCAACTGATAAATTACGTAAAGTATCTGTTGTTTGATTAACTAATAAAACATCAAGAACAATATCATATTGGTGGACCTTGACAAATGCTTCAGCATAAATTGGATCTGAAAAACCAGTCAATTGAATAATTTTATTTAATCTTGAACTTAAATCTTCCTTCTTTTCATTTGAGGTGATATTTAAATCATCTATATTTTTACTTGTAGTATTATCATTATCCAATTGTCTAAATTGAATTGAATCATCAATTTGTTCTGCATTTTTGTGTAATTCATTAGTAATTTCTTCTTGTTTTTTACTTTCTGCTGCATTAATTTGTGTTTTAAATGCTTCTTTTGTATCTTCAAGAAAACTAGTTTCAATTTCAATTTTATCTTCTTCATCATTTAATATTTTAATATATGATAAAATTCTATCTGCTGAATCTTCATCAATTTTTTTTGAAACTAAATTTGATTCACCAAGTCTTAAAATTGAAACCATAATTAATAAAGCTTCAGCTTTTAATGCATTTAAAATTTTAGGAGTTATTTCCAATTTTTGTAATCTTAAAATTAATTTAACTAATGTTGATGATAAAACAGCACCTAAATAAAAATCACCAGCTAAGATTTGTTTTCTAATTGGTGGTTTATCATCATCTTTTTCTGTGGTTGTTGTTTCTGTAGTTAATGCAGTTTCTGTAGCATAAGTACCATCAGGTAAAACAGTTGGACCCTTCTTTTTATGTTCAGTTTCATGTTCTCCATTTTCTTCTTTTGGTTCTTTTGATTTTAATTCACTTAAAACAATTGGTACTTCACCAATACTTGATCTAATATATTTCCATGATTCTTGTATAATTTGTTCTTCTAAGTTATATTCACCAATTATCCATAAAGCACCTCTAAAAACTTTACCACTTTTAACAAAAGGTAACGCAGAAATTAATCTTTTAAGGATAGGTTGTCTTAAATCTGGAAATTTTTCAACAACTTCTTTAACAAATATAACAACTTCATAAGCTGCAGAGCTATTTAAATCACCAATTGAATCCAATAATAAATCAATGACATTCGCGGCAACTTCACTAAATTTAATAGCCAATTGATGAATTGAATTAATTAATAATTGTCTGTATTCTGAATTTTTATCATCATTAGATAATGCAGTAGATTGTAATTCTTTTTTCAATAATTTAACAACATCTTCAACATTTCTAGTAGTCATAAATTGTAAAGTAACATCTAAAGCTTTTTTCTTTACATCTAAATCTTGACTTGATAAAACCCTTAAAATTTCCAATGATAAATCATGTAAAATTCCAGGATATTGTTTATGTAAATCATTAATTCTTTCCAATGTAATTATTTTAACATTATTATCAGCTTCTTTTGTAGCCAATTCAACAAATTTATTACCTGCCAATAAAATTGATTTTGGATTGGATGTTAAAACAGTTAATGTATTTGCAGCTTCATAAATAACAACATTTGATGAACTATTTTCAATCAATTCAGTTATTAATTGTGCATATTGTGATTTCAATTGAGTAAATTTAATTGAATCTTTTTTAATAAATTCAATAAAAGCCAATTGTAATAAAGGATCTAATGATTCAATCATTAAAATATTATCTTGAATAAATTGTAATGCAGCATCTCTATTTAAATCACCAAGACAAACAAATGCATTTCTTTTACATACTGAATCCAGTTCATCAATTAAAAATTTATAAATTAATTCATCACAATCAGGACATAAATGATCACTTACTTTATAAATTGAATATAATGCAAATACTGCATTTTTACGAACGTATGCATGTCTATGTTCCAAACATTGTCTAACATTAGGAACTAAGGTTTCTAATAATTCAGCTTCTTTCAACTTTGTTAAATATCTTAATGTATTACCTCTTATATATTCATTTGGATGTTGTAAATCTCGTTGTATAGCATTACATACTAAAATCATTTCTTGTCTCATTTTACCATTTGAATCCAATTTAGGACATACTTCCCAATAATGATATAATAATTTTTTCAATTCTTTATTCTTTGAAGGCATTACAAATCTAATTATATGCATTAATAAATCAGGTAATGGATCACCATTTAACATAGTAATTAAAATTTTCTTCATTGTATCTACTTTAACATCATCTTTACCTTTTTCTAATAAGTTTTTAAATTCACTGACTGAAGTTTTACTAGCCGTATTAGGCTCATAGATCAATGTATATCCACTATCACTCATGAATTCAATTGGTTGTTGTTATTTATTGAATCAAGATTTACGTGTTGAAAAATTCGAAAAATTGAAACAATTCACGACCCCTTGGTGAAAAAGTATTACAGCAGGCGCTACCAATTGGCATGGAATTTTCTTTACTGCGACAAAAGAATTTCTCGCACTGGATATAGGGCGACGTCGTACTAAGTTTTATGGACTTATATATCATGAACAATAAAAGTTTAATAAGTAAGAACTAGTTTTATAGAATTATGAGCCTTGTTTAGGCGCTATATTTTAATCAATTACTAAAATTCTGATGGTTTTTTTTTGGAGTTGTCATTTTGGGCCTTTGGGCTTTTATCATTATACGAAAATTTTACCATGAAAATGTAAATTGTAATTTATTTGGGGCCACAACTTTCAATTAATCAATGGTTTATATATGCTAAACCTCAAACCAATATGCTGATCCTAATTTAGAGTTATTTAAAGTAAAATTAAAAAATTTCAAATTTTTCTATTAAGTATGGGAGAAAGTGAATAAAATGACCTTACGAAAAATCTATCTCCATAACCTAAATCGTGATGAATATGTAATAAAATTATCGGGATTTGTAGTTTTCGTAATCTGATAACACTTGAATATTATTGTACTAAGGTGTTAAAAAATGCAATACTAATTTTACTTTGCACCCAAATTTTTTTCGAATCATACGGTTCTTAGTATCGTTCAAATGTAAAAGTTTAGCAAAATCAGAATCTGACACTTTTTAAGGGGATAAATCAATGGATACGTATGGTAGAGATCAACTAGCTTATGATTGTGCTCGTTTAGCTATCAAAGCATAAATTATTGTTTAACCTCATGATGATTATGACATAATACCATCAGAACCACTTTCAAACAAAAGTGGTATCTCATATGAGCCAAAAAATCCAAATAACAATGGGACAAGTGATTCCATCAAGCCTTATGAGTTCTTCTGTTGCTTGTTTGACAGAGCTGTAAATGATAAAGGGTTATAAAAAAGGGTATCAAATATATCAATTGTCTATTTATTTAATCACTCTCACTTGAATAGTCTGGATTAGCTAATACCAATTTCGGTCTCTCTTCATCATCTTCATCAATTATAATTTGTTCCTGATTATTATTCATTTTCTCTCCATCAATATTAAACTCAGTAGTATCGCTTTCTTCATCATTATCATCATCTCCATATTTATAACTTCTATGTTGATAATAACCCAAAGAATTAATTTTATTATCAATTTTCAAAGAACCAGTTGAATTTAAAGAATTTATCGAACTACTTCTATTTCTGTTACTATTCTCAGTTGTTGAAATACATGATCGGGTGTCACCAGTGGGTAAGGAACCATCAGTAATTGTTCTTTTCAAAGAATTATCTCTCGATATCTTGTCACTATTTGAGTCATTTAATGGTGGTATTATATTCTTTTTAGGTGTGTTTGTTGATTCCAAATTGAATATGTTATTATCATCACGATCATCTACTTCACTAGCTAACAATCTAGGTTTTAAATGTCCATGTTTTAATTCAACCCCAGACTGTTTTAAATACTTTGATGATCTTAAATAATTACTATTTCCTATTAATCTCTTATATTTCCCATTTGAATTTTCTTTAGTAGCAGCTTTATCTATTGGCATAATTCCAACTGGTAATTTCCATTTCAAGGGTCCATTTTCATTATAAGCTGTTCCTGCAGATCTTCTAATTGAATATACGTAATAACTACGTTCACCTTCACCTGGTTTCAAACTCATAGTTTTCTTTAAAGCAGCTAGATTTACATTCCTACATGAATTTGAGGATTGGATTGATTTAATTGAAGCTTGACGATTATGCATACTTTGAGGATTTGAATTATATGAAAGCATAGTTGGTGATTTATTTAATGTGTATGATTGTGTTCGATTTGTATATGATGATGATCTAGTATGAGCTGGTGTTGAATTGGTATTATAATTATTTAAAGATGTAAATGATGATGAATTTTTATGAATTTGATCATAACTCATATTTGTCGTATCTGAAGATGGTACAGTAAAATTTATCGGTGAGGATAATGAAACTGAGGAAGATTTTGAGCTTAGATCAGCAATTACATCATCTTCTTCTTGATGAAATTGTTCATTTTGAATAATTTGTGGAGACTGACTTAGTGATTCCGTGGGAGTAGATAATAATGAATCTAATGGATATGGTGCTGATGACGGTGACTCAAATTCTGTACTTCGTGGTCGTAATGGTGGTGTAGTCACCTCTTGAGTATATTCGGATAAGCCCATTATTGGATCTGATCTAGTCATTTCATAATCATTAATACTTCTTTGTTCAAATGGATTAGATGTTCTACTTTTTGCATCATACATATCATTTGAATTATTCAGTGGTTCAATTTGTAAGAAATTATCGATTTCATGTTCTAAATCTGCTATTATATCTCTATCTGGTTGATTAGATGATGATGAAGTGGCGGTGGTGGTTGCTGTTGATTTTGTAGGTGATGTTAAATTTTGACCTTGGGATTCAAAATCAAATGAATCTAAATCACTTGGTGGTTTCCTCCTTAGTCTTGTTGTATTTGTAGATTGTGGAGATAAATTAGGACTATGAGAATGGGTGTCTAGTACTGATAGATGAGAATTTGTCTTTTTTGGAGTTTCATTGATTTTGGGTATATTATTATTAATTGATGGATTTAAACTCTGTAGCGATGATTTTTGCAGTATTGATTTATGAGAAACATTTGAAGTCTTTGCAGTTAAATTGGATTGTGATGATTTATTAAGCAACGGTTTATTCAATGGTTTAATGGTTTGGGGTTGGGGTGATGATGTTCTTGAATTTGCATTTAAAGCATTAGTTGTACTGTTATTATTATGATGATTGCCAAATATGCTACTTATTCTACCAAATCGTTTCTTATCTGATGACATCTTATTAGATATTATCTACCATTTACCAGTCAATGTGTTGATATTCAACCAAATATAAATGAGTTGCAACTTTCAATAATAATTTTTTTTCTGAGAATTCTTGGTCCCGTCGAATAAAATCAACGAACAAGCTTCGTTTACATATAAATAAGACTATATCACAAAGAAAGCTCTATAGATAAGAATTGGAGTATGCAATTGATTACTATTCTCTGCTTTTGGCATGAAACTCGCATAAATGGTGCCAATTCGGTCCATATTAGTATTCTGTTGCATACTTAATATTTTATTTTTTCTTTATCGACAGAAATTATCACCAAAATTATTTTATTATTAGCAGCAGTTGCAAGTATTATTCTTCCAATGATCATAATACAGTATACTACAAGCTTTAATGAACAATAATAAGAATAATGATAATGATTTAAAACTACTATATCATGGTAAATTAAAAAACTTAACTTCAATTCAATTTTATAATTTACAACAACAACAACAATCACAACCTAAACATTCACCTCATAAACAATTTAAACGAAGAACTAGTGTTTTAAGTATAGGAGAAGTAGAAGATGAATCAATAAGTTTAAACAAATTATATAACTTTTTTATATCTGTCCATTCATATAAATTTAATAAACTTTTATATATTAGTGAAATTTCGAGATTTGAAACTAATCCAAGATTTGAAGTAAATTTACCAATCGATAAAATACCATCAAATATAAATAAATTTATCATTAAATTATGGTTTAAAGAAGATTGCACTGATATTTGGGAAATTTATTCAATTTATAAATTGCATTTAATTAATTTGGTATATATTGGTGGTAGTTTGACCCTGGGATATTTTAAAAATAATTGTCTAAGTTTACAATTGGGTTCTAAATGGTATGCTTTTAAAGATATGTTGGTGAAGTATCCGTATATACGACATAATTCAGATTTAATACCGTCTTATTCATTCGACGCAATAAGGTCAATTAATAATTTATACAAATCCATAAAAGAGTTGGAGTTTTCAAAGAATAGAATTAGTAAACAGATTGACAAGTATATAAATATGTCCAGACCAGAGAACCTAGGGAATTTGAATAAAATAACTGAAAAATTGAAGTATAATAATAAATTAATAGTAGTACAACTTAATAATTTAAAAGATCGAAATGAAATATTAATTAATAAGATCAATAAATTGATTTTTGAACAAGATAAGATCAAGAAAATAGTGTCAGATTTTGAAGAAGAACAAAAACAAACTAGAATAACATTTGAAAATATGAAAAATGAAACAAATTCAATAAATTCCGAGCTTGATCATATTAATTCACAAACTAGACTTCTCCTATCCAAACATACAACAATAGTAAACCAAGTATTTTTCATTAATGAGGTTTCCACATCTAAGTACTCTATTATTGGTTTTGAATTTCCATCTAATATTAAATCATTACTTGATACAGTATACTATAACAAGCAAAACCTCAAAAATAAATACTATCAACCTAATTTCATTAATGAATTTCAATTAAAACAATTTAAGATCCTACAAATTAACTCATCGTTACGTTCAATTATACAATTCCTCAAAATAATTTCAAAAATCACAAACATAAACCTCAAATTTCAAATTATCAATATTCGAGATCATGTATTTATAATTGATGATAAATCTGAAAGATATCCAATTTTGAATCGACCTAATAATTATCAAAAACCACCATTTAAATTTCCTTTATTTTATGATCCTAGCCTAAATGAAAAGGTAAAAAGTAATGGGCAAGTCCTAATAATGAATCAAGAATTTGAAATGGCATTAAAACTACTCAACCTAAATATAAAGAATCTAATTGAATTGATCAAAAGTGAAATTTATCATGATGAAAGTCAAAAAAATTGGCTACCTATTGAATGCATAGATAATTATTTATGGAATTTAAAATATTTACAATTATTCATGACTGCATAAGTATAATTCATAGACTAATTAATAAATAATAATTTCAAAATCGTTAGCGGGTATAAATTAAATTAAAAACTTTTTCTATTTATATTACATTAATGCAATTGCTAAAGCACCCATTACGGCACCTATTGGAGCAGCAACCATTCCAGTTTTACCAATAATATTAGCAGCATTGACTGATCCAGTAGCTATAGCTAGTGAATCATTTGAAGTTTGAGATGTAGTTTGAGAATCTGTAGTTGAGGATGCAAGTGAATTACCACCACCAGCAGCACCAGCAGAAGAAGCAGCGGAACTTGAAGTAGCAGCAGCGGAGCTTGAAGCTGAATTTGAATTTGAGGAATCAGAGTTAGAACTTCCAGAAGCTGCCCCACCGGCATTTGCTTCAATTCTTGTATACCATGGTAAACCAGTTGCAAAATTTTCCAATGTTGTAACGTCGAAATCTGAATTATCTAATAATGTAGTATATGAATCATCTTGATATGTTATTACTTTAGTGGCAAAAGTTTCTAATTGTGATGGTACACCAGTTGCCGTTTGTAAAAATCTTAAATAATCAGCTCTATGAGACTGAAAATCATTAACCAAAGCAGTTAAAAAAGCAACATCTTGTTCATTAGCAGCGGAAACTAAACCAATAGTGGTCATTAAAGCACCAGTTATTTTTGAAAACTTCATTATGGGAATAAAAAAGTACTATGATTTATTATATTATTTTCTAGTATATTATAGTTTTAAAAAGTTTTTAAAAATGACAAAAAATGAAAGTCTATAAAAACAAAAAATGGTCTACTATGTGAAAATAAATGACGATATTTGGATCTATTTATAGTTCTGAATCATATACGATGATATATATATTTTTAATGGGGAGAAATATTATTTTTCTATTATTATAAATATGAGGTTATATACAGGATATATTACCCGATTTGGAAATACTATTGTATTATTATTACTCAAAGGCATCACCATTTTGATATATAATACCAAGATTTATGTAATTAAAGCACACAGAATTAAGCTTTTTAGTCTACAAATTGTAACGAGTCAAATTATTGATCCGCTTTTGCTTGAAATTTGACCATTTGATCATTTGAAATCCAAAGGCTTATGAGTCTAATGGTTTTGGTCGAGTTCACCACCTACCTGCATATAATAATTGTTGATCGTCAAGTGTCAATTTTCAGGAGTCATTGTCCGCTATATTGAATTTGATTGTTTTGTCTTCTCCATCAATCTAAAAAAGGTTAAATGAATCGTGGTTTAAAAGCTTTTTAGTTTATTGATTAGGTGACCTTTACATTGAAGACACGTGAAAGGAATCCATGCCCCTGAATTGGATTGTTGTTCTCCTTTTATTCTCATTCACGCTCATCGCCTCCTTTTGAATTGATGGCTGTGTTGACGAGCTAATTACTTTAATTAAGAGTGAGTGTTTGGTTTGGCATTGATAAATAATTGGCTGTAGGGTCGCGCGAGAGTTAATAAAAATTGATGCGAGACTCGAGTTATAATTCGGAAATCCAAGCGTATGAATGAAAATCTCGTCTAACTTGTTTTTTATCATTACTACAGGCTTTATACTTTGTGTTTCCTACCAGGATAATGTTATAATATCACTCAAGTGCAATTAGGCTACGCCAATATTTAGAAAAATGTATGGATTCTAGGTATTCAAATTCGTGAGTTTTTTGCGAACTGTCAACTCTTGAAATTAACACAACTTTCAAAATATCAGATTTGCCAAGTAACGCAATATGTATCTTTCCACGATAAAAAGAAATCACTGTTGTCTAGACGATTAACGTTTCCAATCAATGGTTTGAATTTCAAACTAAATTCAAACTAAATTTTTTTAGAAAACTGTCTCAATATCTTCCATCAAGGTTAATTTAAGGGCTTAAATTCTACTTGACATGTTAATATAAGTGTACTTGGAAGGATAACTAAAGAATAACGCACAATAATGTTTATGAGATATGATGCATTGTGAAACATTTTTTAAATAGCTGCAAATATATATCGGAGATTACTTATATAATGTCTATATATTCCTAAGATCAACATCTAAGATAATCTTGACAAGGATAGAATTTTAACCTATCTAAAAATTTCCTGAATACCTTGAATGCAACATTTAGATAAGGATTCCAAGAAATTGTATACTTTCTATTTTTCAGCAACAAGATGATTGGGATACGTACTCTGTAGTGACGAACAGCTCTGAAAAACGTTGGATTACATGCTCTTCAATTATAAATGTCGTTTTTCAACATTATAGCTTTTCTAATTCACTGGATCTATCAGATCTGTGAGATTTGTGAGATCTCAAGATCTGAAACACGCATGGAGCGCAAAAAAGATCTCGTAAATTTTCTATCAGAATGATATTAAATGTATGAAACTTATTTAGATGAAATACAAAGCTCGCTTTCAATTATTGATTGCTAGATATGAACTAATGATGGTTTCAGCTTCTTCAGTTGTTGTGAAAATGGACTCTAGACCTTTCTGTATCCCAGAGAGATGAAATTTTATCTGGGAATATAGAAAATCATTGTCTTCTGTTCAGTAAAGAAATGTTTAATTTGAAACGCCAAATCTAGCATAAATTTATAGTTACCTAAGTTTACGAAAATAAAAATCAAATTTTTTTTAACATGATTCTTATAATTTCCTTATCTCTATGGCTCAACTTCTATGATGGTAACGAGATCATTTTAATTGTAAACTCGTTTTGAATACAATACAAAATCAATTTCACATTTAAAAAATGGATTGTGGACAAAGCACTTCAAGAAAAGGCAGCAAAATCAATGTCAAAATAAGTAACAGTGTGTGTATATCTAATGTTGAATCGAATGTAGATGGGTATGCAAAGATGTTTTAAGATTCATCTATAATGATATGAACTACGGCAATTTAATCGCTACCAAATGAACAAAGTTACGTAATTATATGCATGTAGTATATATTTAGCAATTTAATTTTCAATCATAAAACTTTTCAACAAACAACAATCAAGAACCACCAAGATTTGAGGATTCAGTTGATTCGGTTTGTTAATACTCTATCATGATTTATTATTTGCTTGCATTGTTACTAATTCCAATTTCATTTTATTCATCTGCATTCATTAAAAATATAACTGGATCTAATTCTGGTTTATTATATACTAATTTAGATGATAATACAGTTTGTTATGTTCAAATTTATGGTGTTGGTTTTGATGGACATAAAAAAGATTCAGATTTTAAATGGGGGGTTGCGAAAGACTTATATACTAGTCCTGAATTAGTTATATCAAGTGTACAATATATGGATCAATTGTTAACAAATGATCAAGTTCATGAATTTACTGAAACTGTCGATCATTTACCTAATTATGATGAAAAAATGGATTATTGTCAAGAATTTAAGGAAAAAGTTGAATTTTGGAGTGATACAAAACATAAAGCTAGACATGTAAGTCATGTTGAACCAGCTGAACCAAATTTATTTTTAAGAATTATAAATTATTTTATTGCAATTTTCACAACTATTGATTAAATAAAACTATAGTAAAAGATGAATATATGACTTTGAAATTAAATTTGAAAGAAAACTGAAAAAGCCTTGGGTATAGATAATCGATCGAAGGCTGTTAGGTGCAAAGTGAATAAATTTATTAATGCACTTTATTGTTCAATACTTTCAATAGTAGCAATTGTATGGCTGGTTGTCAACAGCTTAGTTTGTAAAAATTCTCCCTGGCTACTTGAAATTGATTTGACCACCACGAACTTTACTATTTGCTTTTTCTTGTACATTCAGTTGAACTGATAACTGATAATTACCAAAACCTCAGTACTTATTTACACTTGCATAACGTACAATTGAAGACAAGTCGATACATTGTACTCTTTATAACTAATCAATTTCTTTTGTTAAGGAGAATTGTCAACAAACGTCTCTTTGATTTTGTTACCTGAGATTTTTGACAAAGAATTAGACAACAATTCTATATAATACAATTTGCATAAGTTGTAAAACGTGCCCTTTAACCTGTTGTGAATGAATTGCAGTTTATTTTAGCTTATATGACAATAACCAATAACATTCCACGGATAACAATTGATTGGCGTTATGAGAGATACTCTCATATAGTAAGCTACTACGAAGCAAATATTATAAATGCAATTTAAGCCATTTGTAGCTAAATTTTGAAGTTATTACTGCAATTTGATTTTTTAGTGTCGCGAATCACAAAATCGAATCATACATGAACAAAAATCCCTCAAACAAAATACTCGAGAACGAAACATTTATCAAATCTTCTTTCCAGCAGTTTCGGAGATTCAAAATCTAGTCGGTAGCTCTCATGGTTAAGAGCAAACCAATATAACCGAGCTTAAAGATCGCAATACCAGATTTTACACCGTATATATTTTTCTTGGCACTCGTAATTGTTCTTCGTTTTTTTAAAAAATAAAATTTCTTTTTTTTTTATTTGGCTGCAAAATAGCCAATTTAATTCAAAAATAGAGTATTTTTCTTTGCTCCTCAGAGAAACATAAGAATGTCGATAATCAAGAGATCAATAATTTATAACAATAATCAATTTCATTCTCTAAATAAAATTAAATGAAGAATTGAACAATATAACTAATTCTCTCATAATAACAATAAACCAGCAACAGCAGCAACACCACCAGCACCCATGTAACCAACATTAGCAGCACCACCAGTTGAAGATGAACCTGATGAACCTGATGAGCTTGATGATCTTGATGAAGATGAACCGGATGATGATGATGAATCTGATTTTCCAACTGCTGAAGCACCTTTTGAAGAGACTGATGATGCTAATGATGAAGTTTTTGAACCAACAGCTGATGAAACAGCACTTGTAGCTTTACTAGCAACACTTGAAGTAACATCAGCAGCATTAACTGCAATGAAAATAGATGATAAAGTAATTAAAGTTGATGAAAATTGCATTTTGAAGTGGATGTAAAATCTAAAGAAATGTAAGTTCGAAAGTTATAATTTCTTGGAAATTTTCCACATATTTATATACCTTTCAAAATTGCTCACAGATGAAATTGTGATATAATGATATTTTAAAATTCCTTGCTAAAAATAAATCATGAAAAATGTAAAAAATTAAAATGAAAGAGGCTCTATCATATTTACAATTTAAGTTGAATCACAGATTCGAAACTTTATTTAATTAGTTATTGTCTCCTATTACTGACCTAAGCCCATGTATTAAAGTTAAAGCTTTGAAGTGTTCTAGTAAATAATATTCTGATTCTCTATTAGACCAAGTTATTTTATTCCCTCATGTATTATAATTGTATAACTGAAATCTAAATTATACTCGGTTAAATGAATTACTAATTACATACCAGTTGTAATAATTCTATTGTTTTCTGTTTGTTTCATTGCTAATTGAAAAAGCGAAACCGAAATTGTGTGTTAAAATTGCTAATTAATTCATGTTTCAAGAGATGACGTTTAATGAGCAAAGCCATATATGCAACTGTCAAATATAATATTACGAACCATGATCCACAATAATCCCTCAAGATCTGCAATCCCCAAACAAGGCTGGAATTTGCTGGAATGAATAACAAAGTATGTTTAAACGTACTGTGCGCATAAAAAATAACCCCGTAAAAAATTACCAATAAGAATGAATTGTATTTTACATTGATCGATATTGCTATATATATATTGTTACAAAATTATTAAGGCTGATATGCTCCTGCTGCTAGGCATAAATTTCTTCTTGTAAAATGTACTTTATAAACTGGTGTCTTTTTAGTGAAAAATGCAGTCATATGATCACTACTTGCAATTACATCTTTTCTTTGTTGTTGAACTTGTTGATTATTTTGTTGTTGACCATTTTGATTATTTAATGAACCATTTGAATCTTTATTTTCTGTTCCTTCATTTGTAAATGCTTCTGGTTCAGGTCCAGCATCATTTATATTTTTTCTAATATCCCATACTCTAACTGATTGATCACTTGATCCACTAATTAAAATTGAACCATCTTTTGAAAATGTAATTGAATAAATTGATGATCTACCATGACCTTTCATAGTTTTTAATCGTCTACCAGTTCCAATATCCCATAAATTAATTACTGAATCTTCACCAGCTGAAGTTAACCATCTACCATCAGGTGAAACGGCAAGACAATTAATAGCACCTGTATGACCCATAAATATTCTAACACAATGACCAGTCAAAACATCCCACATTCTACAAGTTTTATCTGAAGAACCAGTAAATACATAATTTGAATTTGGATGGAATTCAACACAATCAACATCATTTATATGACCCGCAAATATTCTTAAAGCATATATATGATCAGTTGCCCATAATCTTGCCGTTTGATCATGTGAACAAGTTACGAAATAATGACCTAAAGGTGAAAATTTAACATCCCAAATTGGTTGATTATGACCTTTATAACTTACCAATGCAGTATATGTTTCTAATGACCATAATCTAACTGTTTTATCTTCAGAACATGATATAAGATATTTATTATCTGGTGAAAATGAAAGACCGTAAATTGGACCACTATGACCAATTAATTTTCTTGAATTTGATATATTATTATTTCGATCTTTCTTTAAAACTGATTTTAATGGTTTACCATCTAATGACCAAATTTTAATAAAACTATCTTGAAAACCAGCAGCTACTAAATTTGAATCTTTATTAAATTCAATACACGTCATATTATTATTGGTATTGTGGAATGTATACATACAAACAGAAGGTAAACTAGCTTGTATGGCACCTAATTTAATTTTTGATCTTGAATCTTCAATCTCAAGAATCATTCTTTTTAAATCTGCAGAATCTTTAATTGGTAATGGTAAAGATTCTCTTGCTGGAGAGTCATTATCTAATTTATTCATCTCTTGAAATTCTTCAGATAATGTTTTATTATTTATTGGTTCAATTTTCTCATCTTTAATCTTTAGTTCAGCTTCAATCTCTTTTGAAACTTCCGAATCCAAGGGAAATTTTCCTAGTTTTACTTGTTTTTCAGAATTAAATTTCTCAATTTCATTCGTATTCGCAATATATTCACTTATACCTTCCTCTGGATTTGCTTCCCCTTCTTGGTCAATTTTATCTGGTCTATTTTTTGAAATTACAGGTTCTAAATAGTGATTTATAATTCTTATTAATATTGCACCTCCAACTGCTTCATTTTCATGTAGGAAATATAATAATAAATTTAATGAAGTTTTTGAAACTAGGATTCTATATTTATATTTACGATAAGCCAATGCTAATTCATTTTCTTGTAAATGTTCCATTAGGGAAACTCCCGCAAATTTATTAATCTCATCTCCATGTAAAATATAATGATCATATTTAAACTTGTCGAAAAATTTCTTTGATTCTAATGTGAATCCTTTACTTATTAATTCTAAAAAACAATGAATAAATAATGGATATAAAATTCTTGATAATTCAGGTTTATATAAATCTAAAGATGAATCAACCCATCTTCTTAACATTGTATACGCTATGAAATATGTATCTGGATCATTTTCTCTTTTAGTTTTAGCTTCTAATAACTTCAATTCTTTTAAATCTTTCTCTTTTGAAAATCTAACTTCACGATCTTTTGCTTCTCTTAATTCTCTTTCTATTCTAATTTGTTTTTCTCGTAAATCACGTAATTCTTTCTCTCTTGCAAATAATTTATCTTTTAATTCTTTATCTTTATCCGATAATTTTGATGGGTCGGGGGTGGTTATACTTGTTGTCAATTCTTGTGCTTGTGCTAATGATGTAGTTGCTGGTGTAATTGGAGCAGTTGCAGTAGTTGGAGTATTTGAAGATTCTAATCGAAGCATTGATTCAGTACGATGATAACCTTTTTTATTTAAATATTCTAAAACTATTCGATTTAAATCAGCTTGAGAATATTGTGGTTGATTCAGCCTAACGTGTTGTTGTTGAGGTTGTTGTGGTTTTGGAGGTTGCTGTTGTTGTTGTTGTTGTTGTTGAGATTGATTGGGTGGTGGTATAACATTATTATTATTAGTTTGATTATTATTATCTGCCATGGTCGTAAAATACTGTTTCAAAATGTTTTGATAATTTTTGTTTTTTTTTTTCACTTCAATTTGAAAATGCTACCAAGTGTGTTTGTTTCAGAATTTATTATTACAATTTATATATATTACATTTCTTTACTTAATAGTTTAGGTTTAGCTATATCCCATGGTCCTTGTAATTCATTCTTATATCTTTGCAATGATAAGAAATAATATGGTATAATGAGTAGTATAGTAACTATTGATATTAACCAATATATTAGGAACATATAATTGAGTAAATTATAAATAAGATAACTTGTAATTGTAATTAGCACCAGGAATAAAATATAATGGAGTTTTTTATACTGTGAAACTCTCAATTTATAATCAAATAATGGTAGTAGTATATTAACTTGAATTGAATATAGTATGAACAAAAATACTTGTAATGTTGAATTTAATCTAGATGCTAGGACAATTGCATTCGATAATGATATATTAGTAGATGTAATTGGTTTATAATCATTTTTTTCATTTGTATACTCATGAAATATCGTATTTGAAATTGATAAAATGAACGAAATCGCCCAAATTGAGTCTGATGATGTAGATTTAGTCAAAGATTTAAGAATAGGTGAACAAATTAATAATATAAATGTAATTAATATGAATGATTTAAGATTAATACTTGTTTGAAATATAAATAGTATAATAGTTGATATTAAACTTGTTATTATTATAGATAATGTTGGATCCCATTCATGTACATAAATACCAATAAACATTAATATAACAAGTAATATATTAGTTATATAAAATACAATTAATGAAAAATCATCAATTAATTTTAAATAAGAATATTTTGCAACTGTTGTATTTCTTTTCAATTGAGATAAAAATGATTTATCTGTATAATTATCGGGATACGATTGTTGCAAATATAATAATTTCTTCCATGGTTTAATATTCTGTCGTATTGGACTTGAAGGAGGTGAAGGTGACAATAATTGTTTGCCAATATTAAATTTTGGTGATCCCATTCATTCGTATATAATTGTACAATTTGGTGATAGTAAAAAAAAAAAAAAAATTAACCAACCGTGCACCCAAAATCAAAATGAGTTCCAGTAATAACAATTTACAACCAATTAGTTCAAATAGTAATAAGTTAACTATTCCAAAACAACATCATTCTCATTCAACTTCTGTATCTTCAAATATGTCAAATTTATTTCCTCAATATTTACCTTCCAAACTGCATAGATCAACTTCAAGTTATGGTGGTATCAGTGGTTATAAGCTATCAAGATCAAATACAAATTATACAGAGAGTTCATATTTACCAAATAATGAAGATCAACAAAGTATAAAAACCATAGATAAAATACCAAGTGCAAAACCAAGTGTAACTTATTCAGATAAATTATGGACTCAAATTGATGTATTGGATGATGTTAAAAATATGGCTATGGAAGTTAGAGAAAAGGGAAGTTTTTTTAATGAGAAATTTGATAATGAATTAAACAAATTGAAATTACAACAGGAGAAATTATTACAAACTATGTCGTCTCAGAAATTTACTGACCTTGGCAAAAATAAAGAACATGAAAAGCAACAGTTGTATCATTTACATAATAATACAAGTAAGAACTTATTAAGTCAGGAGAATATCGTACATGAGGATGTAAATAATGAGAATGAATTCATCAAAAATAAAATGAAACAAGATAAAATTGATTCATTTTTCAAAGCAAATAATGATTTAGATTTGAAAAATCAGAAAAATGTTTATAATAAAACTAATTTCGAAGAGATTGATCAATATGTGGTACAAATAAAGAAAGATTTGAAAGGGTTGAGTGATGCTATGAAACATTTTGATGAATCAACTAGAGAAATATGGTAAGTATATGATAAATTTTAGAGGAATTACGCAAGCTTCAGGAGTTTTGGGATGTTGGGTGAGACTTAGTAACAGCTAACAACACATACACTTCTCAAGAAATTGTAGAGATGAAATTTTCGAATGACTAGGGTCTAATTGAAGCATAATGAATTTGAAGTTACCAGTTATTTCAACAAAAAGTTGAAAAACAATGGAAAAATGGATAGGGAACGATAATTGATTCGACGTTAGTTTTATCTCATGCAGGTCATTAAGATGAAAACGAAGATGATACAAGATGAATTTATAAAGTAACGTATTGATGGGTTTTTTATAATTAAGTTGATTTAGCAACTCTTCGACTAACAAAAATTGATACTCAATAGAATTATTACAATTGGATTAGCTTTGTATAATGCGATTACATCTATTTAAAGAGCTGAGAAGTAATTTGAGTAGTCTGAAATGCTATACAGAATTGATTTAAAGCGTGGACAAACACAAAACGTCCCAATATTAGAGTGTATAACTTGTATATAATAGATTTATAATGGACAAGCACAAATATAAACTCGTCAATAATACCTAGTCAGTAAGTACCATTTTAAATTAATATAAATTTACATTATAATCAAAAATAAACTTATATAACCTAAATATCTTGAAGCAACTTGAAGAAACCAAATCAAACACCAAAGTACTTGGTTGCTGACTTGATTTGTAAAGTTACTCCTCTTTCTCTCTTTTGACTGGTTCAATCGTATTTGAATTTAATCAGTATACTATGAACCTTAAAATTGTATCTTGAAAGCATCTGGTGATCAGAAAAGATGAATTTTCCTGGACACGACACGTCAAATGACACAAAATATGATTTTTCTATTTTCTGCAACGTTACACGACTTTTATTCGGACTATTGAATTTTGTTTTTATATACTGGCAAAATATTTCTCATCACCAGGTTCACCATTATTCGGAGGAATATTATATATTTATATATATATATATTGGTATTGGGGGTATTTCTTTCTTTTCATTTTACTTATTCATCTGCATTTGTTTAAATTATTATGGTTCATTTAGCTCCAAAGGCTCTTCAACATAGAAAAGGTACTTTTACTGATGTACCACCTGAATTGTTAAAAGAAGTTAAAAATTTAGAATCTCAATTTTATGTAAATGGTGATAAATTAAGAGAAATAGTTGATCATTTTGTTGGTGAATTAGATAAAGGTTTATCTAAAGAAGGTGGTAATATTCCAATGATTCCTGGTTGGGTTATGGAATATCCAACTGGTAAAGAAACTGGTGATTATTTAGCAATTGATTTAGGTGGTACTAATTTAAGAGTTGTTTTAGTTAGATTAGGTGGTAATAGAGATTTTGATACTACTCAATGTAAATTTCAATTACCTGATCATTTAAGAACTGGTAAATCTGAAGATTTATGGGTTTTCATTGCTGAATGTTTAAAAAATTTTGTTGACGAAGTATTTCCTGATGGTTGTAAGGAAACTTTACCCTTGGGTTTTACATTTTCATATCCTGCTTCACAAGAAAAAATTAATCAAGGTATTTTACAAAGATGGACAAAAGGTTGGTCAATTGATGGTGTTGAAGGAAAAGATGTTGTTCCAATGTTACAAGAAGCTATTGAAAAAGTTGGTGTTTCAATTGATGTTGTTGCTTTAATTAATGATACTACTGGTACTTTAGTTGCTTCAATGTATACTGATCCAGAAGCAAAATTGGGTTTAATTTTTGGTACGGGTGTAAATGGTGCTTATTTTGATGTTGTTAAAGATATTCCTAAATTAGAAGGTAAATGTCCTCAAGATATTTTACCTGATTCTCCAATGGCTATAAATTGTGAATATGGTTCATTTGATAATGAAAAATTAATATTACCAAGAACAAAATATGATGTTAGAATTGATGAAGAGAGTCCAAGACGAGGTCAACAAACTTTTGAAAAAATGAATTCTGGTTATTATCTTGGTGAAATTTTAAGATTTATTTTATTAGAATTAGCTGAAGAGAAACATTTAATTTTTAAAGGTCAAGATTTAACAAATTTGAAAAAACCATTTATAATGGACACTTCTTTCCCGTCAAAAATTGAAGAAGATCCATTTGAAAATTTATCAGAAGTTGCAGAATTATTTGAATCAAAATTGGGTATTACTACAACTGTTCCTGAAAGAAAAGTAATTAGAAAAATTGCTGAATTAGTTGGTGAAAGATCTGCAAGATTATCAGTTTGTGGTATAGCTGCAATTTGTAAAAAAAGAGGTTATAAAACTGCTCATTGTGCAGCTGATGGTTCAGTTTATAATAAATATCCAGGTTTCAAAATTAGAGCTGCTAAATCATTAAGAGATATTTTCCAATGGGGTGATGATATAAAACAAGATCCGATTGTTATTGTACCTGCTGAAGATGGTTCAGGTGTTGGTGCAGCCATAATTGCTGCATTAACTGAAAAGAGATTGAAAGATGGTAAATCTGTTGGTCTTAAAAATGCATAAATAGACTATTAGACTTTTATTATAGATTATGAGTAACGTTTATATATTTGTACTTATTACTATATTCTCTACGCAGCTCTAACTCACGGGATAACAGCCATTCTTAAATCATTATAATATTTATAATAATACTTGAGGTACACACTTGGTAGTTCTATATTTAATTTTTATCACCAACTAACTGTTTTTTCACCACATGTCAGCCATTACTAGAGAATCAGATAATAATAATTTATATAATATTTTAACTAACGAACAAACAGGCTCAGAATCTGATAGTTTTATGGATGATTTAACAGATCAAATTATTGTACCTGAATCAATAATAAATCGAGAATTATTAGATAAAGAAATAGAATCAATTGAAGAAGATGAAGAAGATGAACAACAACAACAAAAACAAATTAATAAAAGAGGTGCACCAGTTCAAACTAATCAATTAAATATATGGTCAATTATAAAGAAAAGTGCAATTAATTTAATACTTCCATTCATTAATGGTATGATGTTGGGATTTGGTGAAATTCTAGCTCATGAATTATGTTTTCATTATAACTGGAGAGGTGCAAGAGTGGAACCTGTTAAAAGATTAGAACAAAGAAAAATAAAACAAGAATCAAGTAAGTACTTGTAAATTAGAAGGTTTAAAATTAGATCTGATTTGATATTAGGTATAACGTATTTAGCTTTTAGGCAAATTTTAAATGTATAAAGTGGTTATAGTCAACTAGTGTTTAAACTCTTTGTCTTTCTGTCAATAATCTTAAAGAGTGCTAAGTTTTAGTTACATATAAATATGCGAGGTGTTTCATCTTCGCTAATTTTTTTTTTTTTTAGAACTCCGAAAAATAGGGACGGCAAAACATGTCAAGAATTGAATCAGATGCATTTGGTGAGATCCAAGTTCCAAATGATAAGTATTGGGGAGCTCAAACTCAAAGATCATTAACTAATTTTGAAATTGGTGATATTAAAATGCCAATTCCAATTATTAAATCATTTGGTATTTTAAAAAAGTCAGCCGCAATAGTCAATGAACAATTAGGATTATTGGATCATACATTATCTGAAGCTATTCAACAAGCTGCTAATGAGGTTGTCGAAGGTAAATTTAATGAGAATTTCCCATTAGTTATTTATCAAACTGGATCAGGTACTCAATCTAACATGAATGCAAATGAAGTTATATCAAATAGGGCAATTGAAATTCTTGGCGGTGTTAAAGGTTCTAAAAAACCAATTCATCCAAATGATCATGTAAATATGAGTCAGTCATCAAATGATACATTTCCCACAGTTATGCATATTGCTGCTGTTCTTGAAATTAATGAAAAATTGTTACCTAATTTAACAAAATTAAGAGATTCCTTACAAGATAAAGTACATGAGTTTAAAGATATTATCAAGATTGGTAGAACTCATTTACAAGATGCAACCCCATTAACTCTTGGTCAAGAATTTTCAGGATATGTCCAACAACTAACTAATGGAATAGAAAGAGTTAAATCAACATTACCTAATTTGTTATATTTAGCGCAAGGTGGAACAGCAGTAGGTACTGGATTAAACACTAAAAAGGGATTTGATGTTAAAATTGCAACTCAAGTTTCAAAATTGACAGGATATGAATTTAAAACAGCACCAAATAAATTTGAAGCATTAGCTACTCATGATGCATTTGTCGAAGCATCAGGTGTTCTAAATACATTAGCTGCATCATTGAATAAAATTGCAAATGATATAAGATATTTAGGTTCTGGTCCAAGATGTGGATATGGTGAATTAGAATTACCTTCAAATGAGCCAGGTTCTTCTATAATGCCTGGAAAAGTTAATCCAACTCAATGTGAAGCAATGACTATGGTTTGTGCTCAAGTATTTGGTAATAATTCAACTATTACATTTGCTGGTGCTTCTGGTCAATTTGAATTGAATGTTTATAAACCTGTTATTGCTTATAATTTATTAAATTCAATTAGATTATTAAGTGATGCTATGGATTCATTTAGGAAAAACTGTGTTATTGGAATTAAAGCAAATAAAGAAAAGATTAATAAATTATTATATGAAAGTTTAATGTTAGTTACTGCTTTAAATCCAAAAATAGGTTATGATAATGCAAGTAAAGTTGCTAAAAATGCGCATGCTAAAAATTTAACATTGAAAGAATCTTGTTTAGAATTGGGTATGTTAACACTGGAAGAATTTGACGAATGGGTTAAACCTGAAAAGATGATTGGTCCATCATAAGTAAAAGTTAGAAATAGAATATGACAATATATAACTTATGGTTTGAGATCTACTGCTGCTTTAGCATGGACATATCCTTATTAAATAGTATGTACGTCTTTGTAATGAATTTCTTTTAGTTTAAAACGTTCTACGCAACTGAGAGCAGTTCCTATCAATGTATCTTGAGCTTATAAAGTACATAAAGTAATAAAAAATTAAGTGTTCTTGATCGAGCTCTAGGAACTATTTAGAACTGGCAATATTCACCCTAATATAAAGCGCAAAAAAGATCTACAATTGCGCGACCTATTCTGAACGATATACCGAGAGCGCGAAAAGTAAAAAAAAAACACAAAACCGAAATAAAATACCTCCAATTCATAAGAACCTCCATTTAACACCACGAACTGAATAATAATTTAAAGTATGTCCAATTAGGTACCGTTCGAAAGGTAAAAATTCGAGCAATTCAAGTATGATAGTTTCAGAAATACTGCTTTGAATTTTCTTAAGTAAGTGAAGTTTTTAAGGATTTTTGACCAATAAAAACGTTATAATAGATTAATTATCACTTAAAAAAACAAAGCAATTAAGTAATTGAAAGCTTCACTATCGTAGAACTAAGTTCATACCAACCAATAGAAAGTTTGAGTTTGATCAAATTTTAAAAGTTAAAAATAGAACATATGTATCTTCTATCAACAAACTAAAAAGCGATTATTCATTTATTCTATCTTCTATTTTGTCTCAGTTTTGCGATTGGAATTACAAATTCGAAGGTGAAACGAGTGTTAAAGCGCATTGGTCTTGACTTTGTCCAACGTATGGTAGCAACTTCTGCAGAATAAAAATATTATTAAGTGTATTTTTACAACCAAAAATTAAGTTTTAACCTTTGGTTGCCAAAATGTATAAAGTTACCAAAAAGAACAATAGTAAGTTTTACTAGTTGGATAATAAGACAGTAATATCTGGTAAGATATTAATCAATAGATTATAAACCATTAGTTAAAGCTAAAAAATTATCATCAAAAGAAATTACATTAGACGAAGAAATTAAAATTTGGAAGATTCAGAAAGATACTTTAATTAAAGCTACAAACTATCTTAAACAAAAAAATCAGATTTCTCAATTAATCGATCAATGGAAATCGATTGCTCAGATGGCTTCAACATATGTTTTCAATGAGTATAAATTAAAATTTGATAGAATGGGTGGTTTTAACCAGTGGCAAACACAACAATATGAAATTAAAATGCAAACCATAATTGATGAAAAAAAAATTGCATTTGAAACTTACATGGAAAGTGAAGAGTTCAAACAATTGAGTAAAATTGAAAAGAAACAGATTGAATTAGATTATGAAAAATTAGATGAAGATGAAGAAGAAATTGAAGGTAAAAGACCAAATTTTAATGATGAATTTACAATGAAAGAATTGTACAAAATTTTGAATAAAGATTATCATTTAGTATTTGAATAATTGAGAAGTTGCATATAGTTCTGAGTTTCTTTTAGTTATTATGTTTTGATTTTATTCGTACAAATGCATTTTATTAATGTATAAGTCATTCAAAAACATCCTGCTCCAGCTTCTTTAGTTACTCTAGACAAAGAAAGATCCGTTGAAAAATTACAGCTAGCGACTTACTCCACGTAACGAATATAACGAATTGTAGCTTGAGGCTAGGAATTGCAATTTATCGTTCTAGTAGTACAATATGAGTCCAAATTTTACCCATAGATGAATTGTACGAAAAAATAATTTCTCGCGCCAACTTTAGGGCGATCTCGTACTACATATATTGGCTTATAAACCATAAATAAGACTGTCTCTTGAAATACAAACCAATTTTATGAAATCAAGAGATCTGATTTTATTTACTTTACATACCATAGGTTTTATATTATGAGCATTATTTTTTCGAGGTGTCATTTTGGCGTTTTGTCACCATACAAAAAATTTGCCCTAATAATATTGCAGATTGTATTTTATTTAGCGCCATATTTTCCATTAGATAGCAAATTATATATACTAAGCTCGATATTAGCGTCTAAATTATTTCTATATGATTTGGACTAAACTTGAAAAATTTCTAACTTTCCTCCTAAATATTGGGAAAATTGAATAAATTGGCTTTACGAAAAATCTGACTCCACGCATGATCAAATTTGAGCATGATAAAAAATCATAGATTTGTAGTTTCTGTTCGAAGTATTTCTACAAATCTTTTGTGTTAAGACTTTCAAAATTAGAATAGTAATTTTTTAAAGGTGAATTAAAATTTTTGCATTTCAAACTGATTATCACGTCTCAAAAGTTTTATACAAAACAATTTTGGGGTCAAATGAAGCACCTCAACTATTCTAGAAGTTGTTAATTGAGTTCTAAGTGCTAACTACTTCTTTAAATAGCGTATTTGAATTACGAGTTAATTCCTCAAAATTATGTTTATCCAGAACAAATTAATATTAATACACTTTAAGCAGCACGGCAATTATAATGAAGTTAGTTTGAGAGTGAACTTAATTATTGACGGAGTTATTTACAACTCAAATTATGACGTTTATTTAGGACTACATGAGTAAATTTGTTTCAGATTTATGTCGAAAAATATGTATTTAATTGATAGCACAAGACAAACGAATAGAACTTCTTAGAAATTCATCTTCACCATATTAAGCTGGTTTGGTTATAACTGAATAACTTAACTTAGATCTAATGCCGACATCGAGTCGATTAATTCCTTTTGGTTTGCGCGATTGTAAATATTAATCTTTAAATCGCGCTTTTTCAGAATAACTTTTGATTGGTCAAACTTCCTAATATTAATTTACTATATAATTATTACCCCCTAATTCAAATGAAGCTATTAACTCAATTAAAAAATTTACTTTTAAGCCATATTAGACACGTTATCATAGTTAAGTGTTCATTGATTCTTTTGAGTTGCTCTATCTGTCAAACATTGAATCCGTTCAACAGCTGGATCATTCGTTGAAAATAAACTCGAAGACAAAATTGGCAATATTTGTTCAATATCAGATAATAAAAACAGAAACTACCTAATGTCAAGAAATCAAATCACTTGATAGAGCCCTAATAAATTTATATTAAGTCTTTTGCTATAAATCGAAATTTTCTAGATGTAGTACTTATAAACCTGATAGAACAAATGTATATCTAGAACAGGTGACATTGTATGACCTACTGTTCAGACTCAGTTTTAGACCTTGCTAATTCATATGAAATCAAATATATGCCTTCTCAACTAATATAAACAGTTTCAGCTTTTTTGGAAAGGCCGAAAATGTACTATTTTTAACTCCACGTTCCAAAATTGAATTCTCAACAGTGAGCTAGTATAAACTATGCAACTATTGACATTTTAAAAGTGATTACTCATCTTCCGTATCATTTTTACCTTCTCTAATTTTTGTAGGAAATCTCTTAATTGCCTTACAATTTAAACATGTCCTAACTAATATATCATTATGTTGTGCTTTTGATTTTGATTTATTTTCGATATAATTAGATACACTTATACCAGGTATTAATAAACTATGACAATTCTTGCATATTGTTCTTTTAACATTTGAATGTATTTTCAATGTAGTTCTTTTTGAAATTAATTTTAAATTTCTATTCAACCCTCTTGATAAAATTGGATAATTATTACTTAATGAATTTGATGCTTGATACAAATAATTCAATCTACTAAAGTTATCTTTATTTGGTATTTGTTGTTGTTGATTCTTACCTTTCTTCTTTTTACTCATTTCATTTCTTGTTTCAAGATTTGAGAGGCAAAAAAAATTAAAATTAATTTTCATTATCAACAAGTTTAATAATGAGTGGTTACGATAGTGCATTATCTATATTCTCGTATGTTAGTAGAAATTGAGAGTTGAGATAGTGGTATACTAACTGTTTTAGTCCCGATGGTCATGTTTTCCAAGTTGAATATGCTTCAGAAGCTGTTAAAAGAGGTACTTGTGCCGTTGGTGTAAAAGGTAAAGAAACAGTTGTGTTAGGTTGTGAAAAAAGAACAACTTTAAAATTACAAGATCCAAGAATTACTCCTTCTAAAATATGTAAAGTAGATCATCATATATTATTAGCATTTGCTGGATTAAATGCTGATGCTAGAATTTTAGTAGATAAAGCAAGAGTTGAAGCTCAATCACATAGATTAACTTTAGAAGACTCAGTTACTGTTGATTATTTAACTAAATATGTTGCTGGTGTACAACAAAAATATACACAACTGGGTGGTGTTAGACCATTTGGTATTGCTACCTTAATTGCTGGATTTGATTCAAATGACAATGTACCAAAACTATATCAAACTGAACCTTCAGGTGTTTTTAATGCTTGGAAAGCTCATGCAATAGGTAGATCAAGTAAAACAGTTAAAGAATTTTTAGAAAAAAATTATACTGATGATTTATCAGAAGATGAAACTATAAAATTGACAATAAAATCGTTATTAGAAGTTGTTCAAACTGGTGCTAAAAATATTGAAGTTAGTGTTATGAAACCGAATAGTGTTATACAAACATTGACTATAGATGAAATTAAGAAATATGTTGATGAAATAGAAGCAGAAAAAGAGGCAGAAGCAGAAAAGAAGAAACCAAAGAATTAATGTATACTACTTCTTTTTACGTTTGTTTGACTTTTCTTTTTTATCATCAGCTTTTCTTTTTGGAGTGTCGTTCTTTACAACTGTAAAGAATCCATCTAATCTTCCTTGAACACCACCTTTTAATCCCTTTTTCAACTTATCAGCACCATTTGTAATTCTTTCTTCACTAAAACCTTTTTGTTTAACCATAAATTCAATTAAACCATTAACATCTGGTTCTTTCCATGTTAATTTTATTTTTTCACCCGGTGTAATATCAGGATCCATAAATAATTTTCTTGCTTCATTAAATGGCCAATTTTCAGGTACTATAAATTTAGATTTTGGAGACTCTTTTATAAATTTGATTATATTTTCTAAATTACCATGTTCTTTAATTAATTTATAAGCAGTTACTGGACCAACACCTTTTATAGTTTCACAATAATCACAACCTAATAATATACATAAATCAACAAATTCTGCTTTTGTCAAGTCTAAGCCTTCCATGGCTTCTTTATGTGCAATTTGATCAATTGGGATTTTTCTAGCTTCAGCAAATGTTAAATGTCTTAACATATATGGTGGATCATAACATAAAGTATCCATATCTTCGCTAGCAGCGGCATAAACTTTACCTGCTCGTGCTAATTCAGCACATTGAGCTTCAGCTTCACACGGTGCATCAACAATGGGTATACCCATTAATTCAAGTAATTTTTTAGCTTCATCATTTTGATCTTGTGATACTTTAACTAATCTTTTATCAAATTTTAATATATCTGCTACTGATCCATCATCTTTTATAGCTTCTCTATCCTTTTCGGCTTTTTCTCTTTTCAAATAACGTTTTTCTAATTCACCACCTTTTAAAACTGGTGGTTTACCATCAAATACATAAACTGGTTTAATATTATTTTCAACTAATTTAATAGTTCTATAAAATATACCAGATAAATGAGATGTTGTTTCACCTTCTTCATTTGTTAATTGTTGACCATCAGATTGTCTAACTGAAATTAAAAATTGATATAAACACATAGAAGCATCAATTGCAACTTTTCTACCAAATAGATTCTTTAATTGAAACTCTTTTATAGCATTTGGAGATTTATCTTTAAGTAATTGATTTAAACCTTTAACACCCATGGTGATGATTAACGATGAGAAAAACTATGGAGAAGACGCGTAAAAAAATATAATATATAAACACCTAAATTTATTTATCTAGTTGGTATACCAGCACTATACATTGGAGTATTTCTTAAATCTTGATTAGTATTACTCATAGACTGTGATTGTCTGTTTGGATTCGAAGCATTTTCTTTTAATGCAATTAATTGTTTTGATCTAAAAGTTTCATAATGAGTTAATGCTGTAGTTTCAATTAAATCTTGTAAATGAGTTCTAGTTAAGAAATCTCTTAAAAACACAAATTCACATTGTGAAACATCTTCAATATTGATGGCACCCCATCTTGTTTTTCTACCTCTAACAAATTCACCATTAATTTCAATTTCATGATCTGAACCAGCAATAGCAAACGGAATTAATGATTTAATATCTTCATTTAATTGTCTTTCTTCTTCATATAAATCTTCTGAATCATATGGATATATATTAAATTGATATTTTAAAAATTCTGATTGTAATAATTTTTTAAAATCATTTCTTTCATCAAGGGTAAGGGAATCGGATTTTGCAATAATTGGAACAACATTAGCAATTTCTGATAATTTTTTTAATGCTTGAACATCCAACTGTTTTAATTTTTGACCATTTGGTGGAATAAAATATAATATACAATGAACTCTTGTATCTGGTAAAAATTTATCTCTTTGAGCAGTTAATTCTTTTCTTAAATATTGTGAATGTTGTTCTTTAACATATTTAACTAATGGTTCCCAACATTTTTCATTATTAATTTGATCTCCAAAGCCTGGAGTATCAATTACATTAATATTTAATCTAACATTATTTTCAGTTAATGTATGAGAGCTAACCTTGATTTCTGTTGTTTTTTCAATAGGTTCACTTGGTGATCTTCTACCATGAGAATTTGTTAATTTTGATGAAAATAAAGTATTAACTAATGTTGATTTACCTAAACCAGATCTACCAACAACCATAATATTAAATTGGAAACCTCTTTTTAATAATCTACTTTCAATTTGAGTAGTAATTGTGTCGAAACCAACATATTTAGAAGGTTGTGAATAATTATTAACTGGTTGATCTTCCATGATAATTTGATAATTAATTTGGTATTTTGATAAATTTTGATTTTTCGTGTTTACAAATAGACAATTAAAATGGTAGAAACACGACTAACATAAGAAGCATAACTTAAATTAATAGCAGATTGAATAGGAGATGTTGTAAGAAGCCTGGAAAAGAGGGTGTCGAATGGATACATATATGGTCACAATATTTGGTAAAATTAGTTTGATACGGCATGATTTGAATAAGTTGTGAATTGCTCGTGAAATATCACTCCTAAAGGTCCAGAATTTTACTGATTCAAAACTACAGCCTTCTTTTACGACATTCTCTGTCTTTTCAATCTGTAGAGTCTTATAATCATGTATTAATCTTAAATTTGTTTTGTTACATAGTTAAGATTGAAATTTTATTATCGCCAAAAAAATTTTTTCAACCAACCAATGTCATTAGTTTATAGATTTGGTTTAATATCACAAACCATACAAGAAGCAGTATGGGGTATACCTAGAATACCACAGATATCAATAACATTACCTAAAAAACTACAAGAATTAAAAGAAAAATTATTTCAAGAAGATATATCCATCGATAATGGTTCAATATTAAGGGCCGTTCCAAAGAAAAAATTATCACATAGAAGACATAGAGTTAAACAATATGCTGCTGGTAGAAAACAAATTCAACAGTTAGAAAATTTAGTGAGATGTCCAGCTTGTGGATCTGTTAAAAGATCTCATTTTATGTGCATGAATTGTTTTGACGAAATTAAAACATTTTTAAAAGGTTTAAAAAGAGCAAATGGTTTGATAAAAGATACTGTTATAAGACCAATGGAAAATTTTGCAAATCCAAGAGATGAAACAATTATATATCCTGGTAAATTTACAAAACCAGAAGAAAGACAATTAAAAGCAAAAGAATATATTCCAAAGAGGGAAGAACCAATAATGTTTCAAAAGGGTAAAATGTTACATAATAAGAAAAGAGATAGATTAGAAAAAGCTGGCATCTATAAATAAAAATCTTGTATATAGTCTATGGTGCTAATCTAAATATTTCCCATTGGGAATTTTTAATATCAGTTCTTCTATATGTTAAACGATCATGTAATCTACTATTACCACCTTGCCAAAATTCAATTTCTAATGGTTCAATACGAATACCTCCCCAATATTCAGGGCATGGAATTTCTTCTAAATCTTTAAATTTCTCTTGATATTCTTGATTTATAGAATCTAATTCGTCTCTAGATTGAATAATTGAAGATTGTGGAGATGTCCATGCTCCGATTTTAGAACCTTTTGGACGAGTATTGAAATATCTAATGGAAGTTTCTCGGGTAACATGTTCCATAATACCTTCAACTCTAACTTGTCTTTGTAAATGTGGCCAGAAAAAGGTTAAGGATGCATATTTATTGGAATTAAAGTCTTTAGACTTTTTGGATGTTCCCCAATTGGAATAAATTAAAAAACCATACTTGTCTAATTCTTTAAGCAACACAATTCTTGAAGATACTCTACCACTTGGTAAATTTGCAGTTGAGAAATTAACAGCTTCTGGTATAATATCTGAATCTTTTGGTAATTCTCTTTGAGCTTGTATAAACCATTTATTAAATTGATCTAAAGGATTAGGTAATAAATCTGACTCATTTAAATGACCCTTCGTATATTGATAAGTTTCAGGAGCAAATATAATTGGTTGTTGAGTAGTTGTTTCTGGATCTACCAGGCGACTAGTTGTAGATTGTGTTGATATAGATGAAGAAGATAATGACATAGCAAATAGTTTAAGTGGTTGTTGTAATTTGTATAATTGCGTTGATTGTTGTTTAATCAAGAATTTAAGCATGGAAAAGAAACAAAATCAAATATGGAACAAAAACTAAAAAGTGAACTAATTAATTTAGTACCGTCACGAAGTAATATACATACACAAGAATAATACTAGAATACTAAGAGAATAGATTAATTATAATTCTACAGTTCATGACTTATAAATTTTATTATCACCAGATTTTTTAAACGAGATGGGCAGAGAGATGGCTCCATAAAAAATAAAAATAATTTTTCACTATCAAAGTATAAATGATTAAAGATACGATTAAGAGGCAAAGAATCTCCAGAATATACCCAAATAATCCTAGAAATATACTGATACATGAAATAAATAGTAAACAACATCCATTAAATGTAAAACCAAGTGGTAATTCATTTATAACTACTCCAGATCAATTGGAACAAAAGAAACAATTATTGGGTGATTTCTTTATATTTCAAGATGAGTTAATTATGCTAATACTTTCATATCTAGATATCAAATCACTTTTAAATTTATCACATACTTCAAGAATTTTATATGCATTTATATACGATGAAGAATTATGGAAAAATAAATATATAGAATTAGGTATTGAAAAGCCATGGCATGGTTCATGGAGAAATACAGTACTTGGTATATCTCAAGATGCATCTTTACAAATACCTAATAATTTACTATGCAGTGATTTATTATATAGACCTTTTCAAAATTCACAAATTGATTACCATAAAATATTCAAGAATTTGATAAATGAAGAAGAAATGTATCATAAACATTCAATAAATGGGGAGCTTGGAGATTTACCGCCTGGTAGAATAGATAGAATACAAAACATGACCATGGAAGAATTTAATCTGCATTATCATAATTTACCATTCATTTTAACAACTGGTGAATGGCCAAGTTGGACATTTGAAGAATTATTTACTAGATTTCCTAATGTACAATTTAGACAAGAAGCAGTATCATGGGATCTAACTAAATATTCACAATATCTTAAACAAAACAAAGATGAGAATCCATTATATTTATTTGATTGTAATTCAGAAGCAATGAAACTATTAAAAAAAGAATACTCACCACCAAGCATATTTACAGAAGATTATTTCAAAGTTTTAGGAATTTGTCGGCCATTTTTTTCTTGGTTAATTATGGGTTCTCAAAGATCAGGTTCTACTTTCCATAAAGATCCAAATTCAACATCTGCTTGGAATGCAGCTATACAAGGTAAAAAATTATGGATTATGTTACCTTCAAATATAACTCCACCTGGTGTAAGTACAGATTATGAAGAAAGTGAAGTTACATCACCAATTGGAATTGCAGAATGGGTAATTAGTGGATTTTATAATGATTCTACAAGAATTCCAGAATGTAAAATTGGTATTACATTTCCAGGTGAGACAATGTATGTACCTAGTGGTTGGTGGCATTCAGTTATAAATTTAGATGATTCAATTGCATTAACTCAAAATTTTGTACCTAAAGTTAAACTACCAAACGTTTTAAATTTTTTGAAAAATAAACCAAAGCAGATTTCTGGATTCAAATTGAAGAATGTTAAGGAATGTTTAGATGAAGTGGTGAAGGAAAGTAATAATGAGATTTTAAAAGCTTATGTAGAAAAATTTAATGGATTAACAATTGATGTAAATGAAGATTGTGGAGAAATCAAAAATTTACCAGAATTGCCAGTTTTTGAATTATTTAAACAATTGATGATTAATAATGGATACGAAGATGAACTTAATGATGCTATTGAGATTATGAATAGAATTGAAGGCCGGAATTATGCTAATGAAAATGGTAAGTCAAAAAAATGGGAAAAATTAACTGAAGTTGAACTGACTTCAGCTTTCTCATTCAATTTTGATGAAGAGTCCAGCGACGAAGAGTGATGAACTAATGAAAAGCTTATAGATTACTTACGATTAATGCACAATGCTATAATAGCTTAATCTTTAATATTATGTTCATCGAAACTTTAAAGTCAAAGTGATGAATTATCTTAATTGTAAATTTAAATGCACAAATGAATTCTAACCTCAATTTAAACATTCCACATCCCATATGAAGTTCAATTCAACTCTACAGACTATTAGAGAATATTAGACATCTGTTTCTCGTCACTTCTGATTTAGATAATTTACTCACTAATAAAAATTAGGTTGCAAAATTAGGTTGCAAAATTTGGTTGCAAAATTTTTTCGCAGCCTAAAAAAAATAAAGAAAATAAAAATAAAAATAAAAATTTCAAACTGATTCACATCACTTATACTTCAAATTTCATTTATATTCCGTCTATATAAATTAGGCGTTGATATATCTACCTAAAGATCATTCTAACAGACGTCTAATTCAAAATTTTGAGACAGTTTCAAAGAATGTTTTACCTTGAATGAAAGCAATTTCTTTTTCGGTTTTATTTGGTTGTCTTGAACCATCTCCACCAGCAAAAGTACCTGCACCCCATGGTGAACCACCGTGAATTTCATCGAAACTTGATTGTAATGCAAATGCTTTAGCATAACCAAGTGGAACAAAGATAATTCCGTGATGGACTAAAACTGATAAGGAGTTAAGAGCAGTAACTATTGATTGTGTTAGTAGTATTCATCAATTGATGGTTAAAAATTTGAGCCCAAAATCTTGATTTTTGCAAAAACTTTGCAAAAACTGAACTCAAATTTCGGAAAAACAACGTTTATCAACGTCAATTGAGCCACATACCTTCTTGACCTCCACCAAGGGTACCTGTACTGATAAAAACACCTGCTACTTTACCGTATAATTTACCACCTGGTAATTGTTAGTAAAAGAAACAATATAAATTTTGGAAAATCTTGGTAAATTTTTCAATTTTTCAATTTTTGCGGCATTTGGTAGCGCTGCGAAAATTTCAGTTGGGTTCAAAAAATTTACCAATCATGTTTTAAAACATCAATTTAAACACATACCAGCCCATAAACCACCAGTAGCGTCCCAGAAAGCTTTCCATTGAGCTAAATATTAAGTTAGTAAAGTTGTTCTTGTAAACCTTTTTTATCATTTCTAGCATCATAAAATGCTTTGAAAGATGATTTTTCATCCAAAAATGATTTAAAAATCATTTTTAAATTATTTCGCGTCTCAATCAAAAAAAAACATACCTGGGAAATTACCATATCTTGTTGGAATACCAAATAAAAACGCATTGTATTGTTCTAAAGTTTCAGTAGTAGCAATTGGATAGTTTGGTTTTTGAGGTGCATGCATTTTTTGTAAAACTTCTTCACTTAAAGTTTCAGGAACTTGATAAATATCAGCTTGACCACCAGCAGCTTCAATACCTGCTTTTTCTTGTTCAGCTAATTGAGCAATATGGTGGTATAATGAGTAAATAATAATTGCAACTTTTTGAGCCATTGTATTTTAATATCTAATTGAATTATTTTATATCTAATTGAATTGATATGGGTTAAAAAAAATTGATCAAGAAGAAGAAAAACCAAGATATATATATATATATTATATATTATGTGGTTGTAGCAGCAACAAATGAAATTGAATAAGAATACCAAATTTAAACCACTCTATTAAGAAACGAACAATTATTAAATTTAGTAATATAACACAAACGGTTATAATAATATTTTATTATTTATTATAATTTTCTTTCCAAAGGTTAAATTTTAGAAATTATGCATATTTCATTACAAATTATTTAGTAAGCAATGCTGGAGAAACATAACCATTTCGTTTTAAAAAATTATATTAATAGTGTATTCAACCAGAAGTTCCACAGAATTATACACTATTACTTGAATATTACACTATTATTTGAATATTACACTATTATTTGAATTTTACTAAAGATAGTAAATTAGTAATTTGTTTTGTTCAACCACAATCAATTATTAAAAAAGTGTTAAATTGTAAATTTAATTAGTAAGAGGTTGTATTGCCTAAGAGGTTATATTGCCTAAGAGGTTATATTGCCTAAGAGGTTATATTGCCTGAGAGGTTATATTGTCTGAGAGATTATATTGCCTAAGAGGTCATATTGTCTGACAGATTATATTGTCTACGAGATTATATTGCCTAGGAGGTCATATTGCCTACGAGATTATATTGTCTGAGAGACTATATTGCCTAAGAGGTTATTTGCCTACGAGATTATATTGTCTAAGGGGTCATATTGCCTAAGAGGTTATATTGTCTGAGAGACTATATTGCCCCTTTTCGCCACATACTAGAAGTGAAATGGAGAAAATGAAAAAGTGTATGGCTTGAATTGTTACAACAGAAAAATTAGATTTTTCATTGACAAATCACGACAATTCAAAACACATTTTGGGCCAATTCAAAATGGTCCTTACGAATAATTAAACTATAACTAACTGTACTATAACTAACTCTAAAGTTAGTTATAAGTTAGTTATTAGTTACAACTCTCGGTGAAACGCGGTGTCAAAAATATCTTACCATTTCTCTTAAAGTAGAAAAATCGATTCAAAATAGGTTAAATACAAAAAAATAATTATAATGCAACTCCTACTTTATCTTTTATGTTTGCTTACAAATTTATTAGTAAAATAATTTGTAGCATTGTTTAAATCCGATTATAAGTTTATTTTTAAAATATCTTAATTATGGCCATACAATTGAATTTTATATAAACTGTTCTTCAGTCAAAATACATTGAGATATCTCAATTAATCATCAATTAGTCATCCGATCTCGCTTATCAAGTTGGATCTTGTTAATGGAAAAATTTAATGCACATGTCAAAATCTAAGGTTTCTGGAATAACATTTTCGTATTTTATTTTATTTTATTTTATTTTTTTTTTATTTTTATTTTTTTTTTTTATTTTTTTTTTTATTTTTATTTTTATTTTTATTTTATTTTATTTATTTTTTTTTTTTTTTTTTTTTTTGCAATCATGAGATTAGATCCAAAAGGATATAAAATAAGTTTTTAATAATACAACAACACGTACACTTAGACTTTTAACCAGCCGCTGTTCATAATTATTATTATTAAAAACTTAGTCGTTCATTAATTTTGTGTCATGTTACTAATTGACAAATTACATAATGAATTATAATAAAATTATATAATAATTAATAATTTACCTAGGTTTTTCACTATCAATATTCTTTTTATAAACATTCGATCAATCCCACTTTGGTTTTTTTTTTTTTGCCCTTTAATTAATTTAATTTCGAATTTTCAAATTAGTTAAAGAAGAAAATATTCAGGATGAAAGTTGCAATTATTTACTATTCAACCTATGGTCATGTGTTGACTTTAGCTAAAGCTGTTCAAAAGGGTATCAAAGAAACTGGTGCTTCAGCAGATTTATTTCAAATTCCAGAAACTTTGAGTCCTGAAGTTTTACAAAAAATGCATGCTCCTGAAAAACCAACAGATATTCCAATTGCAACTTTAGATACTTTAACAAGCTATGATGCATTTGTATGTGAATTTTTACAATATCGATATTTTAGATTTAGATTTAGATTTAGATTAAGATTATTTACTAACCAATTAATAGTTTTTTGCAATTCCAACAAGATATGGTTCCGCACCAGCTCAATTCTTTGAATACTTTGCTGCAACTGGTGGTTTATGGGCTCAAGGTGCTTTATATGGTAAACCAGCTGCGTTTGCTGTCAGTACGGGGACATCTGGAGGGGGACAGGAAGGTATGTCGATTAATTAATTGACGTTGCTCAACGTTGTTTTATAGAAAAAAATTTGACTTCTTCAGTTGTTGCAAAATTTTAGACTCAAATTTTTAACGATCAATTTGGATACTAACTTTTAAACCAGTCACCATAAGAAATACTTTATCATTTTTGGCTCATCACGGTCTTATATATATTCCTCTTGGTTATGCAAAAGCATTCGCTTTACAAGCCAACATTGATGAAGGTATGTAATAATTATCATCTGAAATTATGAAAAAAAAAAAAAAAAAAATACTAACTTTGGAAAAGTTCATGGTGGATCTCCATGGGGTGCTGGTACATTTGCAGGTGGAGATGGTTCAAGACAACCATCTAAATTGGAATTAGAAATTGCTACAATCCAAGGTAAAGAGTTTGCTACATCTGCTGCAAAGTTTGTTAGTAGTTCAAGTGTTGCAAAATCTGCTGCTGGTGCTACCAATTCAAAATCAACAGCTCCAACAACAAATGCAAATAATAATGCTACAACTGCTGCTGCTAATGATAAGTCAACTGGTGCTACATCTGAAAAGAAAAGTACTACTGCTGCTCCACCAAGAGCTCAACAATCTACAAAAGCTCCAGAATCAACTGATAAAAGTTCATGTTCAAAATGTATTATAATGTAGAATTCTATATAATATTAATAGATAATGCAAATAAAAGTTAATAGAATTGTTAGTAAAAAATCTTTTAGACATTCAGTTATTATAACATACAAAAAACCAACATTCAAATTTAACCTATCTCAAGTAATGCACTGCAATTAAAATTAGTTTTAAAATTCATTCCAAATTCTCACTTATCAAATATAACTAATCAATATCATTGTCTTATTGTCTTAACATTTAATCTAGTCTTTATATACCTCTTAGCCTAATATAAGTTAGGTATTGCACCTATCCAAACTTTGGGATAGGGCAAAATTAAATCAAAAGAAGACAATAAGGTGATAAATGATACCTGACTAATTTGATGTTGTAGATTTTGTAAAAAACCTCAAATTGCGATCTTATGATAAGGTATCCTGTATAAATAATGAATCTATAAGGTTTCATAAGTAATACTTTAACCCTTGCATTTGGAAAAAGAACAATTGATGATTAAGAAAGGTTAAAGGCCAATTGCCCCTTTATGATGACCATCAAATTGTACGTTATTTCCACAAAAGTTATTTCATACTTGATTTGATTGGGTTTTTTTAATGTTGAACCAAACAAAGTAACCAGTAAACAAAAATGCAAACAACAACTGATGCTGAATTGAAAGCATTGAATAGGATACATGAACAATTATTCACATTGACAAGACTGAGTGGCTGGAGTACATTTATAGCAAAATTGATGAGTTGAACTCTTTTCGTATGCAAATAAACTACTCTGTTCTCAAACCTATGATATAAAATATACCATCAATAATGTCATGTAACCATTCAAACTCGTGAACTCAATCCAACATCGCAATATTTCCTAATGGAAAAGTTAGGTAAGGATGCAACAAACACTTGAGGTAAATGTCTTGAGATTCCAATAGTTTTATACCACCCACCATTTTCATAATTCACACCTTTACATTTACAATTTTGGATACGAATAGCATCTAATTTTTAACCAATTGCTTTTCAGTTACATATCATGAGCATAATCTCTATAAAGAAATTAACGATCAAATGAATGAATGTTGTAAAAAAAGTACCGAACTCTTTGTTTACAATTTTCAATTTTTTTCGTGTTTCCAATTTTTTTTTGACAACCAATTATCACCAATATTTAATGTTTGATGGGTAAATATAAATCAAAGAGTCAATACAATTCACATTCATCTAAATCATTATCAATACATTCAAATAAGCAATTACCACTATTATTCCATCAGTCATATTCATTACCACCTACTCAAAAAACAATAATCAAGTCTGAATCAGATTCAATTAAAAGTTCATATGAAGTATCATATATTTCAGATAGTGAAGAAGAATTAGAACCAATAACTTTAGAATCAATTAGAAAAAATAGTTTTGATATTCCTCTTGCTTCATTTATTACTAATGATGACATACAACATCAAAATTTTGCATTAATTTCAAATTCAAATTTAATAATTCAAGATTTTAAATTCACTAGTTTTAATAAATTAAGTAGTGATAATATTAAACCAGAAGATTTTGGTGTTGGTAATAATAATATAGCTGGAAATTTTTATACTTCACAACCGGTAATTTCAGATGGAGATACATCAGTAGATTCGATTCAAGAAGATGATGATGTAATTTTACTAAGTGATGATACTGGCTATAATTCAGATATGGAAAGATGTATAGCTGATAATGATGATACTGTGGAAATAGATAAAAGAGATATATTAGGTTTGGGTCAAAATATTGATTTTAAAAATGATGAAATTTTAAAATGTTCAACTCAATGTGATGCTGATGAATTTGTAGATAATGGAGTAGTTTCAAAAGAATCGATAGCAAGAATTGGATCGAAGACTCCAGTCTTATCATCTGAAGATCCACAAGATTCATTAAGATTAGGGTCTAAAACTCCAATTTTATCATCTGATGATAAACAAGATGATTTATTGCCTAAAACTGATGGAGTTAATTTTTCATCTGATGATAGACCAAAATCATCATCAACTTCAGCTACTATAGTGTCTTCAAATCATGGTAATGAAAATAAAGAAAATGAAACAACACTGAAGAAAGCTAAAGTTGGACCACGAAAAAGAATTCAACTGAAACCATTATCTCAATTATGTACTAATGGGCCAAGAGTTGGATTATCAAAAAGAGTTAGAATTGATTCATTACACAATATAAAGAAAAAACCAAAATTAAATTGAAGGTTAGGATGTTACGAGATTTATTTATTTAGAAAGGTTGTTGGGCTATTTTTTTACTTCGATTACATGTATTTTTGCTAGGTTATTTATTTGCTATGTACTTTAATGAATAGAATATTTTATATTTATGTAACTTGTCCCTCTAATCCTTCATGATAGTTAAAACAACCTACCTATTGTAAACCAATTTGCATTTTTACTATTAAAACCCCAACCTGCTTGAACTAGTAATCTTGGTAGAAGTTTTGCTCTTCATATTCTTTTCTTTCTTGCTGAACTTGAGCTATCCAACCTGATCTCATACTTCCAATTGTATGTTGTAAAATACCATATGTTGTTTTAATCTTGCTGCGTTCAATTTCTTAAGGTAAAGTCTTCTTTGCCTTTCAAGCTCTTGTTGTTGCCTAGACTCAAATTGTTCCATGTCTAATGCTCTTTGTCTATCCTCTGCTTGTAGTTTAGCTTTTGCTCGTTGTCTATCTTCAGTTGCTTTCTTAGCATTTGCTGCTTTCAACAGTTTTGCTGTTTTTTGCTGCTTCCTTCCTTTCAATCTGTTTTTTAATAAGAAAATCTCTCTTCTTTTTCCTCTGTTTTGCGTTTTTAGATTTAATTATGTAGCTGGTTGAGTTTTCATTTGTCTTTGTCTCAATTGTTTTGTTGATTAAGCTCTCTTTTTTTATTGTTTCAATTGTTGTGCTGGTTAAGTTCTCATTTGTCATTGATTAATTAATTGGTGGTAAATGAATTTTTAATTTATTCGTTTTGAGCCCTGAAAATAAATTTATGTTTCAAAATTTTCGGAGTTAAGTTTTGTGATTCGGCGCATTTCCTAATATGGAATAATCATCGATCTCGTATATTTTAACTAAATTGATACTTTATAAAACTAAAAACATCATGGATGAAGTAAAATCTTGATATTATTGGCCTTATTATGAATCAACTCTAATATACCCTTTTCAATTCCATTCTTCAATGGAACCTTACCAGTAATTAATAGCTGAACTTCTTTTGGATTAATCAAACCTTGATTAAATGCTTCAATTACCAATTCAAAATCTTTTCTTACATAACACATACTTCCTGTTATATAAATTTCATTCAATGTTAGACTCATAGGATATAAATCGACTGGAATTTTGGGCCAAATTGCAATATTTGTACCTACACCTCCTGCTTTTAATAGCTCAATCATAGCATGAAAGGTTTCCTTATTACCTGAACAATCATAAATGTAATCAAAACCAGAACTGTTGTTGGTCATTGCTCTTAATTCTTCAATTGGATGTTTTGGATCAAATATTCTTACTCCCAATTTTGCTGCCAATTTTCTTCTTGCTTCTGCTGGTTCACTCAATACTATATTGGTTACTTTATGACCTCTTAATGCAAATATAGTACATAAACCTATTGGACCACCACCTATTATTAAACTTTCAGTGTTTAAATTTGGTTCAATTTTTGATTGTCTCACACCATGCCAACTTACACTTAATGGTTCAATTAAAGCGGCAACATCATCACTAACAACTTTTGGATCATATGGAATTACATGTTGATCACTAATTACACAATAATCAGCAAATCCACCATCACTAAAACCTAAACCATAAAAATTTATAAATTCACAACAGTTATATTTACCAATTGAGCAACTATGACAAATTTCTTTATTTGTAGAATGTAAATATGGTTTATCTAAACAAGTCCCACAAGCTTCAATGACGACATGTTGACCAATAGATAAATTACGATCCACATCGGAACCTAACTCAACAATCTCACCAGAAATTTCATGACCCATAGCTTGACCATACTTAGTTTTTAAAGTAATTGGATTAGTCTCATCAGCAAAGAATATGGGACCATCTAAGTATTCATGTAAATCAGATCCACAAATTCCGCAATATAGAATTTTAATTTTAACATCATGAGGATGGATAAGTCTTGGTAATTCTTTATTTGTAGTATATTTTAAATTTTCACGCCCGTGACATTCAATAGCTTGCATTTTGGTTATAGAGTAAATACATAATTTAGAGCAGTTTATATAGTCTTTTTCAAAATTAGGGAGTTTTAGTGAATTCGAGTGGTGTGTTTTTTTCTTTTTTAACATCATTTACATTTGGAAACATCATCTTACTTTTCGACTAGAGACGTTTGATACAAGATTTAACATGTAATTAATTGAGCACTGAACTTTGGAGAGAGCTTCGTAAGAGATTCCACCATGGTGAATGCCATTTTGTTGATCATGTACATTTATAGACTATGATCCATGATCGGAGCTCAACAGAGATGAAAACCTACCTAGCCGATAAAATACGCAGCCATTCCCTTCTACGGCACAATATCAAAGTTTATTTTAATTTAGATTTGGATTATACTTTGTATCATTGAACTGTACATTTACCCCATATTATTATTTCGGAATACGGTTAATCAAAACCAAAAAAAAAAAAAAAAATTATTTTGGTTTGTTAATCACAAGAAAGCATTATCAAATTGAAACCACAATAACCATGTCTTCTTCTGCTCATTCAGAGAGAATTATATCTCATATGAATAAAGATCATCAATTGGCTTTAATTGATTATGTAGTTGTTTATGGTGATGTTGATCCAAAATATTTGGTTGAAGATTCAGTTCAAATTAAATCAGTTGATGAAAAACAAATAGTTATAGAATATGACCGTATTAAACCAAACCAAACTAAAACATTATTATTATATTGGTCAGATGCTAAAGAAAATGAGGATATTAAAGTCAATGGTTTATCTGATATTAAATCAAAATTAATTTCCATGGCTAAATATTGTGCAAATGAACAAGGTTTTGAAGTGAAGAAATTGACAAAAGTGATTGGTCCTACTTTATTGAGTTTACCAATGTATCCAATCTGGTTAGTATTAATTTTAAACTCAATTAATCCAATTATTTTAAGAAATTTATTCAAAAACGATAATTTATTGAACACAATTTTGAGCTATTTACCTTCAAATGTTCCTCATTTATATTCTCTCTTTGAAAATCATTCATTGAGAATTGCAATTGGCTTAGGTATTGTCCATGCAACTGAGGTTTTATTATTTACAAGAAATTATTTAAGAAAATATAGAACTCCTACTATTCAAAGATATCAATGGTATATAATGCATTTGATTGAAGGTTTCTTTGTTATTCTCAGACTTAAGAATGCTACTAAATAAATTTAGACGTAGAATTAATATACACAATTTTAATATGGCGTGTGAAAAATTGAACTTTATTTGTTAGGTGGCAAAATACCCCTTTAAACGCAAAACGGCTGCAACTTTCAATTTTGGTCAATTTTTTCCGATTATACCATATAGACCCCAAATAATAAGAATCAAACGTCTATACTATGACCTTTCAAACCTCCGTTAAGTAATATTGTAGGGTATGAATTCAGATTAATCCAACGCAGGATCAAAAAAATGGCTAAAAAATTGCAAAAAAATTGCATAAAACAAAAAATTCTATACAGATATTCTACAACTAATGTCAGGCCTTTAGTAAAACAACTTGAAGCATATTTTTTTCTATCCTAGGTCGATTCTGACATTTCCATCGTCTGATCTGATGTATTTGTTGATCTAAATTGAAATATTGATCTATTCGTGGAATGATTACATAATTTCTTAAAAATTTAAATTTCAAAACACATCAAGGTTCAATATGATCCCAGCTGGTAGAAGATCAAAAATTAGACCACCAAGAAAATCACTTATTAGTTCATCTGCTGCTGCTGAAAACTCAACAACTGATGCAGTTATAGATTTTGATAAAAATTGGTCAGTTTTAGCAAATGCAATATCTCAAATTCAAAATAAAAATGTATCGAATCTATCTTATGAACAACTTTATAGAAAAGCATATGTATTAGTATTGAGAAAATTTGGTGAGAAATTATATAACAACGTTGCAATTAAGATTCAAAATCATTTACTTTTTAAAAGGAAGAAATTATTATCAAATTTGAATTCTGAATCATTTATGTCTAGTTTATTACAAGAATGGGATGAACATCTACAATCTATGAAATTTATAAGTGATGTTCTAATGTATTTGAATAGAGTATATGTCAAAGAGAATAAAAAATTGCTAATTTATGATTTGGGGATCCAGTTATTTAAAGATTACATTATAAAATGTAATCATGATGAAGTTGGTTTTAAAGTTGTTGATGTTGTATTGGATGAAATAACAAGAAGTAGATCAGGTCAAGTCATTACTTCAAATATGTATATAACGAAGATTATAAGTATGATGGAATTACTTATTGAAGGTAATGAGATGCAATTATATGGTGAAAATTATTATCAAACTGTTTTTGAACCTAAATTTTTGAGCAGTTCAGGAACATTCTTTCAAAATCTATCACAAGAGTATATTTCGTATAATCTGGGATCGAAATTCCTACATTTAACAACACAATTTATAAAAGATGAAGAAAATAGAATTAAGTTTTATTTACCGTCATCTACATATCCTAAACTTATTGATTTAATGAATAATATATTAATTAAGGATAAACTAGATAAAATGATGCTAGAATCAAACCAAGGGTTGGAATATTGGTTGAAACCTATCACTAATAACATTTTCGATGGTAATGATACTTATCATTTCACAGATTTAAAACTAGCGTATAATTTAAATGGTAGATTTGATGATGAATATCAATTATTTAGAGTCAGATTAAGAGAAGCAATAGTCAATGCAGGTAATGCTTTTCCAGGTATTGTACGAAATTCAATTGAAGCATCAAAGAAAGGTAATTCCACTGCATTTGCTACGAAATGGATTGAAATTGTACTAAAATTCAGAGAGCAAATGAACCTAGTATGGAAAGACTCATTTGATCAGAATCCTTTATTAGAACAAACTATCACATTTGCAATGAGAGATTTTATAAATGGAACTAAAAGAAATCCAGTTAATGCACCAGAATTATTATCAATTTACATGGATTTCCATATTAAACAACAAGGTAAATCTAAAGAAATGACAAGTGGGGATCCAACACAAGAATTAATTGAAAATTCAATACAATTTCTCAGATTTATTAAAGATAAAGATGCATTTGAAGCTAATTATGCAAATCACTTTGCTAAGAGATTTTTAAACTCGAAAAATTCACAGAATAAAGATATCGATATTGAAGAAATGATACTTGGTAAATTAAGTGAAGAAATGGGTACTTCATCATTAGACAAGGTAATTAAAATGAATAAAGATATTAATTCCTCACGAGATTTAACTAATGAATGGAAGAAATATTTATTGAAAAATACAAAATTAAATTTGGTAGAATTAGATTTGAAGATTTGTAATGTAAATGATTGGCCAAAATCAATGACAAAAGATTATAAATCGTTTACTAAGTCTGAAGAACCAACAAGTTTCAAATGGCCAAGACAATTACGTTCAACAATGTCTGAATTTGAAGAATTTTGGTCAAATGGTAAAAAGAATGATAATAAATCATTATATTGGTCACCTAAATTTGGATCAATGGATTTAAGAATTACATATCCTTCAAGAACTTATGAATTTAACTTGTCTACGTATGCTGGGATAATTATGTTGTTGTTTGCACCACAATCAACTAATCCTGATGGTTCATTAGTGTCAGCATTCAAAGAACAAAAACAATTGACATATTTAGAAATTGTTGAGTTAACAGGTATACCAGAACAAGAATTAAAACGTCACTTACAATCAATTGCAGTTGCTCCTAAATCAAGGTTATTAATTAAAATACCAATGTCAAAGGATGTGAATGAAACTGATGTTTTTAAATTAAATGAAAAGTTTAAAGCACCAAGTGTCAAAGTTAAAGTTTTGACTGTTTCATCAGCAACCACAAAAGTTAAAAAAGTTTCAGAACAAGAAGAGAAAGAAGAAGTTGATAGTAATATAACCGAAGGTAGAAAGATTGAAGTAAATGCTGCAATTGTCAGAATTTTAAAATCCAGACAGACCATAAAACATAATCAATTGATAGAAGAATTGATCAAGCAGTTGAGTAACAGATTCCAACCACTGATTATATTGATTAAACAAAGAATTGAAGACTTAATAGAGAAAGAATATTTGAAACGTGATGATGAAGATAGAACACTTTATCATTATATAGCGTAAAATAAATTTTCGTAAAATAATTTTTTTTTTTTTTTGGTTTTATTTACTATCAACAAATATTCACGATGTCTGCAAATGATATATTGGATGTTTTAAACATATCGAGAGATGATAACCAACCAGCAAAGAAGAAACAAAAGACGTCTACACCCACAGATAATGGAAAGCCTTTAACTGGTATGGCTAGAGAATTATATAATTTGGTAGGGCCAAATACTCCCCCAATAAATTTATCTTCATCTAATTATATATCAAACAAGGGTAAACAAAATCGTCAATTCAGACCATCTCCATGGAGTAAAGTTAATTTCACGCCTGGTAAACATAGAAATATACAATTGAAGCATTGGGTCAAAGGTTCTGAAGAATTATTAAAACAAGAAAATGAATCAGATGAAAAGAAGGAATATTTTTTTGAAAAATTTAATATTAAATTAGACATACCTGAGTTTATAGATGAGGAGAAATATGAAACTTATATGAACGAATTTAAAGATGATTTTCGAGAAGAACAATTTACAAAGAGAAAAGCTGAAAGAATGAGACAGTTGGAGGAGCAAAAAAAGCAAAAAAAGATTGAAGAAAAGAAAGAGGAAGAAAAGAGACTAGAGGAAAAGAAGGAAGCGGAAAAACAAGAGGAAGTAAAGCAAGATATAAAGAAAGAAGGGGAGACGAAACAAGAAGAAAACTTTCTCGAGGAAAAAAAGGAAGAGCAAAAAATGGGAGAAAAGAGTGTGGAGCCTAGTGTGGAACCTAGTAAAGAGCCTAGTGAACCAGTAATTACAGAAGAAGAACAAAGAAGTGAAGATGAAAAGATAAAAGAAGAAGTTAAAAAAGAACTAGTTCAATTTGATTGGAGCTATCAAGAAACAAAAGAATTATTTAACCTTTGTCAAATATATGAATTAAAATGGCCAACAATACATGATAGATTCCCATCAAATCACAGAGTAGAAGATTTAAAAGAACAATTTTATAGAATATGTGTCAAAATATTGGAGACTGAAGAGAATAAAAATCAAAACCTAATAGACTCCCTTAAGGCATTTTCGAAACCAAGAGAATTAGAAAGAAAACAATATCTTGAAAATTTACTCAAGAGAACACCAGCTGAAATTGCAGAAGAAGAAAGTTTAGTAATTGAAGCTAGAAGATTTGAATTAGCTGCCAAGAAAATGTTATTAGAAAGATCAAATTTATTGACATTATTAGATTCTCCACAATCAACTCAAAATGTACTGCAATATCAATCATCTCAAGGTATTAGTAACCTTTATAATAATTTAATGATTTATGATAAACATCAAAAGAAGAAACAAGCGCATCAACAAAAACAGGAACCTATTCCACCACCTATTCCTTTAGCTGCATCATCATCAATAAGGAGAGATAAAGTATTCCAAACCAATTTACAACAATATCTTGCAAGTTTCTTAAAACAAGCACATCATACAAATCCTGCAATAAAACAAGAAGCAAATTCAATACAACAATTATTATCAAAACGTTTAACTCAAAAGGAAGAAGAAGCTTATGGTTTACATTATCATGGTACTGAGAAATTAACACCTGGTGTTACATTAAGATCACAACAAAAATTACCAGGTTCAAATCAAAGACAATCTGTATTAAAATCTGTTTCTGCAGTATTTCAAGAAATGGATTTACCAACTGCTGGAGGTACAATGTGGAAACCAGTAATGCCAACAAGAAAAACAATGAGTAAATATGATGAATTATTGAGATCAGTAGTTACAATGTTGGATATAAAAAGAGCTAAAGATAAATTAGAAGCTGAAATTAAATTAATTAAAAGTCAAAAGGGTATGCAATAATATATCATAAATCATAATATAAACAATCACCAGTAATTGGACGTGATAAAAATTGAATGAATTCGTTCTTCTCTTTTATATACTTATCTCTTGAATTATTATCAACTTGAACTTGTTTTGGATATTCTGAATTTGATTTGTTTATAGAAGCTAATGTAAATTCTGTGTGGATATTATATGGTAAATCAACTACATCAAGCTTACAATTAGTTACAACTTCTTGATCTCGATACCCATCAAATAAAAAGTAACCATATTTGAATAATTTAAGTACCATCCTTTGAGCTTCAAAATAATAATATATGGATGAATCATTATGGATGTAAAGTATCTGATTTATAGCTTTTAAAAAACCTTTGAATTTTTCATCAATGTTAAATTTTCCAAATTCAATATTCTCTGTGAAAAACTTTAATAAAATATGAATTGGTTCCCATTTTGTTTCATCATTTGCAACTTCGTTCATATAAATATAAATTGTTTGGTAGATTAACTCCGTACCTTCTTTGAATGTATACTTTTTCAAAACTTCATTATGGTCACCAGCATAATACACTGAATTAAAAAACTCAGCATGGAACATTTCTAACCTTTCCTTTAATGAACGAGTATGAAATTTTAATTGATCTAATTCAGATTTGGAAATACCTAATTTTAAACTTAATGAAAATAATGAATCTTGATCAATATAATCAGTCTTAACTTTCTTCTGAATTTCCTTTAAAATCTCAGAGCAAAACTCTTTATACCAAGTGGATGAAAAGTAATTATTAAACTCTGATGTCAAGTTCTTCAATATATTCTTAATGTACAATGTGATCTCTTCGGGTTTGCAATAACTTGAAATGTTCGATATGATTCTCTGCAATATTGATACTCTTGAGTTTTGAAATGTTTGTAATGTGAGTTCCTTCTTATTTAAATTAAGCGTCTTCCAATTTTTTAGTCTACTAATTAGCTTCCATAAGTTTTGAACTGATGTAGGATGAAAATTTGTCAATTCTTTTATTATTGTTCGGTTCAACATTTCTTTACAACTCAACAAATCATAAAATTGCAGAATCTCATGGTAGAAAAACAAAGCAAATTGTTCTCTCAGTTGGCGATTACCAGTATATGGAAAAGTTTGTAAAATTAATCTATCCCAATTTTCATTTAATATTTTAGCACATTTAATCCATAATGAGATACTTGTTTCAATCAATTCAGCGATTTTACCTTCTTCGGTAATACTAGGTAATGGTATTCTTCCCATTTGTAAATGTAGTATTTTTGAATTGGTATCTTGTACTTTTTTAATAACTTTAAGATCCACATATGCTTTGCTAGTAATTATAACATCACAAATTTTGCAAAATAACTTTAACAAGGGACCCAATATTTTATCTGGAATATCTGGGTTTATACAATCATTCAACTGCAAGAATTGAATTTGTATGTATAATGGAGTATTGTTAATTGTATTGGTTAAATAATTCGAATATTTCTTCCATAATCTTAAAATACCAGGTGTTGTGAATAATTTATTGTTAAAGCATGTTAACAATATTGATAATGCATCCATAGGTAATTTTAGATTCTTCTCAATTGATATATTTACTAGTGTCATCGAAAATTCTAGTATTACACTTGTCAATTTTATATCATATACTTTTTCAATTATATTTATTAATGGTAACAATTGACTTTTTAAATCAACAGTTGATAACAGTGATAATAAAGTCATGAAATTAAGTCTATTGATAAACATAATCATATGATCTTGATCTTTCTCATATTGAAATTCACTAGTGGTAAATAATTTGATCACTAATCTTTTAATCTTTGAAGCTTCAATTCCACTACAATACCAATATAAAAGTTGCATAAATCTATCGAAGAAGGTGTCACTAGGTAAATCAGACTTGGATCTAACTTGACTAATTAAATCAGGTACACCAATTTCATCTTGAAAATTTGCAAATTTCCTAGCTGTGATTGAAGAATATATTTGTAATAATACTTTCTCATCTAATGGCCAGTGTTTTCTCTGGTTTAATAAATAAATTATCTCAATATATTTATAATGAAACTCTGGATCCGTATAATCATTGATTTTAGAATACACCAATTGTATAACTTCCCATGAATGAACCTTACCCATGAGACACAAATTCAAAATACAATCTAATAATATCGAAATGTTTATTGGATCATACTTCGTTAATGCTTTAGATATCCACCGAGATTCAATTAATGAATATGCTATAAAGAATGATTCTGCTGCTTTACTTTTATTAGTCTCAAAATTGATTAAATTGAATGTTTCGTAAGTATATGAATCAAAAAATAATGTCCAATAAGCAATACTCAACTCTGCATTATCAACTTTGATGACTTGAGAATTTAAATCGGCAATTTTTGACATAGTAAGTTGAAATAATTGTAAATAGGGAAGGAGAAACAACACTGAACTTGAAGGTAATGAACTATTAATTGTGCTTGTGGTAATAACTTGAATCAATTTAATCTCCATTAGACTTGGAGGTTGTTGAATCATTAAATACCAAATTATTAATTGATGAATACAGTTATAGACACCGTTGATTAATTCCTCGTTATACCCCATACAATTTTTAATTGATCGATAAATTTTATTCAATAATCTTTCACTTGTTAAACGTGCTGCACTTGTTTCAATCAATGATAAGACATAATTCTCACTCATAAAATTAATTGTCACTGAATGTTTATTGCGTATGTATGTTTTTCCTTGGATCATTTCTTTAATTCTTTTCAAATTAATATCATTCAACATACAATCTTGATTAAATAATGGTTGTGAATCTAACTTTAATACTTGAGGTGCTGATGGGTTGCTAGTTCTTGTAGTATCGAGATATCCAGGATCAACCTCTGCTTCAAATACTGTTGTTGATAAGATTGGAGTTCTTGAAAATAAATAATCATTTTTATCACCTCTAAAATTAAGATAAGTATCAATTTTTGAATTTTTCCAACCCTTCTTATTCTTCTTCTTTGGCTTTTCATTTGCTTGTGGATCACCATGATCGATCAAAACTGAGCTGTGTTTGATTCTTGGTGCTGAAAATGATGTATTTGATTTTTGTCTCTTGCGAACTGTTTTGAACGGTAGTTTTATGTAAACATCTCCAGAAGTTGATGATTTATAAGTTCTTTTCTTTGATGGATGTCTACTTGATCTTGATTCTGAAGATGTAGACGATTTTGGATAGGCTGATTTTGAATATTTGTTCAAAGTGGATTTATACTGTCTATTACTCTTACCATAGCCAACACTTCTAGGTTTTGAGGTCCCTCTTTTTCGCTTTTTACCTGATGACGATTTATTGTTAGATGCAAACATATGATTAATGTGATCACTTTCACGAACTTCAAAATTTTGTATTTCATTCATATCACCCATGTCATTTTGTTCTGTTGGAGGTACTTCTTTATCCATTTCGAATATGTTTAAATCATCTTCATACTCCAGTTCTTCATCTTCACTTGATGATCTATCTGAAATTAGAATGGTTTCATATCTTGACATTGGTTTAGTTTCACATCTTGATATTGGTTCCATATCATATCTTGAATCAGGTTCTGTTGGCGGTGGTGATGGTGAATGAGTATATGCTTGTATTTCTTCTATTGGTTCCTCATATAGTTCATGATACAATTCATTTGCAGTGTCATAAGTAATTTCATCATCAACAAAACCATTAAAATCTTCTCTATTGATGGTCCTTTTCTTTGCTTTCCTCACGGCAACACCTCTTTTATATTCTATTTCAGCTTGTTTTTGATGATTAACCATCTTTGGCTTTTTATAAATATCTAAACGTTTAGCAGATTCCGGTAAAACACCTCTCAAAGCACTTCTCTCCTTTCTATATCTTCCACCGACTCTAACATAAGCTTCGTCAGCTTCACTTGATGAATTTGACATTTCATCATCAGATTGATCATCTCTAATAACTGGATGGTGTCTTTTTGATGGTAATATACATTCATCTGACGAATCTTCTTCTATTATTGGTTGGATTCTATTATTATGGAACTCGTCTTCTTCAATTAGTGAATTTCTGGGTAAGTTGAAAATATCATCTGTATCTAAATCTGAATATATTTGAGATGATAAAAGATCATTCAAATTCTCTGAGGGAGGTTCAAAATCTTTCTCATTACTTTCTTCAAGTTCTTTCTGTTTTGCTAATTGTGATTGTCTACCAAGAATAGCATAAAAATTTTTTGATTTATACTTATCATCTCGAGGATATGATTTTTTCAATTTTAAATAATTGTAATTTAAGTACTTCACTATTGGTTCTAAATCTTGATTATTCTCTTCATAAATTTCATTCAAGTAATTTAAATTAGATAAACCTAAATAATGTGCTTGATCAGCAAGGTAAGGATGAGTACTTGCAAAATTTCTTTTCCTTAAACTTCTTCTTGATGTTGTATTTGAGGATCTTAAATCTAGATAATTTTGTAAATGCAATTCATTTTCTTTCTCCTGATATTGTCTTGCTACTGCTTCATCAGTTTGAACTTGAGTTTGTGATTTATCTTCTGGTGCATTATCATTGCTAATCGTACTTAAATTTCTTTGAACTAAACTCAAGGTATCAGTTTCACTATCTTCACTATCTTCTATTATATCTTGATTATCTAATTCAAGAACTACTTGCTCTAACTTGTCTTGATTATTACTTTCTTGATCATTGCCTTGGTTATTTTCCAATTCTAGCTCCAGTACTTTATTGTTTGTCGCCGGTTCGTGATCTATACTTTGCTCCACCTCTTGCTCTATCTCAAAGTTATCTAATAATCCATCTTGATCTATTTGACTGGCTTTGACATTATCATTATAATTACTTTCTTGATCAACACCCTGATTATTTTCCAAATCATGCTCAACTTCCTGATTTATATTATGCTTCACTTCTCGTTCTATGTTGTGATAATTCATTACTCTGTCTTGATCTATTTCTTGATTATCTATTATTATACCCAGCGTTAAATTTTGATTATTTACATATGCAACTTCGTCATTATCATTATCATTAATCATTAAATTATCATTAAAATCATTATATAAGTTAGTTAGACTTCTAAATAGTCGAAGTCTTGTTTGTTGTCTTTTTGAAGGACTCAACCGTAGTATATTCACTTCTAATAATTCCGTTGAAATCATTGCTGAATCAATCGACAGCAGATTTTCTTGATCTGAGTCGGATATATAATCTTCCAGCATATTTATTAGTTATTGTTACGGTTTAATCATGAATAGATGGTATGCAAGTGAATTAGTTAATTAATTTGTTGTTTGTCTGGGCTGGTGTGAGATTAGTACAAAATAAAACGCGAGAAATATATTTTTTACGCGATGATAATTAGACAATTTAGCATTGAACAGTTGAGAGAAGAGATCAAACTAATAGCGATTAAATACTCTTTATTACAATCCTAACTGCTGCGTAAAATACATCAGTATTTGTAAAATGTATAAAATCTATTAAAAATCCACTTAAAGACATGGTTCCATAATAAATAATCTCTCTTTGTTAAATCTATAAAATCCTAAGCTAAAGGTGTACCAGTTCTATTTAACTCTGATTCAGGTAAATTTGTAATCAAATTTGAATTAATCTCATCATCTACATAATCTGTAAATGTTAAATAACCTTCAACAGTGTGAGTGTAAAAGAATTTACGATTATATGAATCTAAAACTAAATTTTCAAATAATCTTTTTGTAAAATCTGGATTTGATGTAAATGGTCTTGAAAATCCAATTAATGTTCTGTCATCTTGATTAACATCTTTAATTAATGTAGTGTAATGACGTAAATTACCATTTTCATCAACTTCCAAGTATTGCTTATTTGAAGCTACTTGTTCTGAATTTTTATAGTTTGTAGCATAACCTCCAGTTCTAATTACTTTACCAGAAAACAATTTTAATAAATCTTCATTTGAATGACCAGCAGGATCAGCATCAACTGAACCAGAAACTCGAGGTTCAACAATTGAAACATATGCAATTTCATTCCCTTGCTTCTTTTGATCTTCTAAAAATTTCAAAATGTATTCAACAAACTTAACAGGTTCACTAAAATCATTATTTGGATAATTCATACCATTATGAGTTGACCATGGAGTAATTCTAATACCAACTTTTTTTGACCCGATTTTTGCATGGTTAAATAATTTTTCTAAAATTTCAGTGACAAAACGTGTTCGATTTTCAACTGATCCACCATATTCATCTTTTCTTTGATTGGATAGTGGTGATAAAAATTGTTCAATTAAGAAACCTGAAGTACCATGTAATTCAACAAAATCAAAACCTGCTTTAGTTAAAGCGTTGACAGCAGTTTCAACAAAATCATTTTGTATTTGATGAATTTCATCAACTGTTAATTCTTGTAATTCAATACCTAAATCTTTTGCTTTTTGTTCTTGCGCTTCTGAATGATAAATTTTACTCGGACCAACTAATGGAATATTATGTTCTTTTAAAAGATCAAGATTAGCAAATCTACCGGGAGCAAAAATTTGAGCAGAAACAAAACTTCGATTGTTATGAATTTCATCAGCAATTCTTTTCCATGCCTTGCACTGTTTATCTTCCCATAAACCGGATTTAAACGGAGTTAAACCACTTGAGGGATGAACTATGATTGATTCTGAAACAATTAAACTACCCGGATATCTAGATCTAGATTTATAATATTCTAACAAAATATCAGTTGGTGTAAAATCAACAGATCTGGCTCTTGAAGTCGGAGCGTGTACTACTCTATGATTTAATTCAACATCACCAATAGTAATTGGCTTAATCAAGTTGGTTTGATTCAATGACATGTTGATCCCTGCGGGTCCTTGTGCGTCTTGGAAGTAATAATTACTGTCAAGAAATTTATGGGAATTTCTCAACTTTAAATACTGAAATCTAAGATTATAGATTTTCAAGATCTCCTATTTAGGATTATTTTTTTTTTTTTTTTTTTGCATCGTCAATCTTCAAAGCCATAGTTAAATTGAGATAACCAATTCATATTAGATTGGAGTTAGTAATTGTGTAACTAATCAACAATACATATTACAAATCCATTAATAGGTCAAGTTTTAGCTAAATTATCGGATATTAAATTTTGTTGCATTTTTCAGAGCTTATCAATTGTCGCAATTTTTCAAGACGCAATTTTAGCGGAATATTAAAACTCAGATTATCGATTATCGGTTGGTTCAAAATTTCATGTCTATTGAGAATCAAGACATACCATCTTCATCTAATTCACCACCTATACTAGAGGAGCCACAATTTCAAAATATCGTACATGAAGTAGAATTTGAAGGTGAAGTTTTAGTCATTGATTCAACAAATTGGAGAAATTCAACTTTATTAAAATTACAGATTTTATCTGGATTTTCAGTATTTATATTGTTTGGTCTAGCTGAACAAACTCTAGGTACTCTATTACCTAAATTACAAGATTATTATAAAATAAATGATCTACATATAAGTTTTGTATTTCTTGTTTCTACCTCGGGGTATTTAACTTTGGCTGCAATTAATAATATAACGCATGATGCTTTGGGTATTAGAGGTGTAGCTATATTGGGAAGTGTAGCAATGACGATCTGTTACTTGGTTGTGTCTACTAAACCACCATTTATATCATTATTATTAGTCTATTTTTTGAACGGTATTGGATTTGGTTCATTAGATGCTTCGCTCAATACGTGGATGGGTAATTTACATGATTCTAATCAATTATTAGGTATACTACATGGATGTTATGGTATTGGATCTTTAGTATCGCCAAGTTTAATTACTTACTTATTAGAAAGAAAAAAAAACCCATGGCATTGGAACGATTATTATATTATTTTAGCAATTGTAGGTGGGTTTAATATCATTATAATAGCATATTTATTCAGATATGAGACTCCAAAAAAGTATAAATATACTTCAATAATGAAACATCAAAAGGAAACAATACAATTGAGTAATTTAAAAGATGACGATCAAATTACTGAAACAGAAATTGAAATTCCACATAATGCATCGATCAAAGAAGCTTTGAAATCAAAAATTGTGTGGGCGTTTTCATTAATTTTGTTTATTTACGTTGGAGGAGAAATGCTGACGGGTCAATGGCTTGTTTCTTATTATTTAAGAATCAAAGATTGGACATATAAATCGAGTTCCCATTTATCTACAACATTTTGGACTGGGTTAACAGTTGGTAGAATATTACTCGGTTTTGCTACTGTACATTTTTTCAATAATGAATTAACTGCAAATCTAATTTATATATTGACAAGTTTTATAGGATCTTTTGCATTTTGGCTACTAACGTATACAAATGTAGTAATTCCAATCTTCATATTAATGTTTTTCCTTGGATGTGTTGTTGGACCAATATTTCCAACTACTATTGTTGCATCAGTTAATGTATTACCAGCAAAATACCAAACAATTGGAGTTGGTTTCATATGTGCATTTGGTGGTGCTGGAGCAGCAGGTATTCCATTCCTTGTTGGATTAATTGCAGAATCAAGTGATAGTGGATTGAAAATGTTTCCAATTTTCGTTATGATTATATTTGGAATTTTATTAATAATGTGGGCATTTATAACGAAATATTATTCAAAATCGTATAAAGTAAATAGACTATAAAAGTTATATTTTTCCACCTTGTTGTTGCCATTCTTCTGGAGTAAAACCCTTTTGAGTAAATGCATGAATTGATGCTATTTCATTCTTTAATTCATTATTAACTAATCTATGCCTTGCCAATTTATTTTTACCTTGAAATAATTTCAGTACTATTATAACGGCAAATGCTTGACCACATCCACCAGACATATCTTCAACTTGAACTAAATCAGCATTTAATCTTTCTTGTATTATATTTTTTAAAGAATCTGATGTTAATGACATTTTTACTCAGATCTGAGATGTAGATTGATAATTTTTTTTCGCATCAATTTTATTCGTCGTGTATTAACTTCTATACAATTTCGGTATTATCACCATTTAATTCATTACCAAATGATTTATATTCACTTTTTGAAACTGTTGCTCGGGAAACTTCATGGTTTACAATACCTTCCGGGTTTTTAATTTCAAAATTATCAAAAAATTGTGGTTGTTCTTTTAAAAATTTATCTATATTATTCATAATTTCTTTTGTAGTAATCTCTGAATTATTTGAAAATCCACACAATTCATAAAATTCAATTAAATCTGGTGGTATTATACTCAATTCTTCATGTAATTCAATTAATTGATTTACAACCTCTATTGCTAAAAAGTAATTATCTCCAGAACCAGGTTGAATTGTGGTTTGACCTTGATTTTTATCTTGATTTTGTTGATTCACTTCACTTGATTGTTTTGAAATTAAAATATTTGGTGCTATAACAGTTGCTAAATTATGTATATCCATTTTTGAACCTGTTTCTTCATCAATTTCTGAAAAGGAAGCAACCCAACTGAAAAAGTATAATAATACTTCAACTAAATTTCGACGACTTCTTGGCAACATACAATAAATTAGTTGCAATACTCTTTTTCTTAATACTAAATTTTGTTCACGTTGTGATGAAATCCATAAATCATATAAATTAAAAGTTAATAAAGGATTTGGTAATTCCCTAAGCCATTTTTTCATTAATGCAGCTAATTGAACCGCATTTTGTACGCTAAAATCAGGACTCTTAAATGGATTTTTGTTGATTAATTCTGTCAATTCACGTAATTTTTTAATATTACCATTTAATCTAAATATACCTTCAACTGACATATCTTTTTGTTTCAATGCTGAAATGATATCGTCAATTACGATAGGTATTCTCAATTTTGATGGTCCAACACCTAAATCAGAATCAATACCATATTTTTTAGTTAAAGTATTTAAATCAACACCAAATACACCAAGTGGTTTATCTTTTGTAGTTGCACCAAATTTAAATTTATCCCAAAATGTTGGTTGTTTTTTAGTTTGAATTAAATTTAATAAATCATCTTTATTAAAGCTGGGGTTTACATGACTCAATGCTTCAACTGCAATATGACGCATTATGAAATGTTCATCTTTTGTTAACTCACTATAATATTTTTGTTGTTTCTTTTTGATTGATTTTGTCGATGGTTGATGATTTAGTATTCTGTCCAATGCACCACTTGGAGTTACCATAGGACTTGTCTTGTTATTATTATCACCGTTTTTCAACCTTTGAGAATTATTTCTTTGATATAATGAATTATGATGTTTAAATGCATTTGGTCTTTGATCTCTTGCTTGTTCAGCAGCAACAATTCTTGGTATATCATCCAAAGTTAAAGATTTTTCATTTTTTAATAAATCAGAAGTACGATCTAAATGAGTATTTGTGATTTGTCGTTGTGGTTCATCTCGTATTTTCAATGATTTTCTTTTAAATTGATCTTGTTCTTCACCATTATCAAAAGATAATTGTCTTGGTTTTTTACCATTAAAACTGAATTCATTTAATTCTTCAGTTATGACATTTTCAATCTCATCTTGTTTTGCTTTATCTGCATCTGGTGTTTCCACAATTATTGATTTTCTAGCCTTCTTTTTTATAGATTTTGATAACTTTTGACTTTGACGTTTACTTCTTAATCTTGTTACATCATCTAAAGTTTGTGAATAATCATCAGAATCAACTTCATTACTTCTATATTCTTTAGTTAAATCAATTTTCATAACTGAACATGATCTTGATAATGCAATTTTTAGTAAATAAACCAATTGTGATAAATCACTTACAATTTTAAATCCTTGAACTATTTGATTATCAGTTTTACAATTTGAACAAATGATATTTTGTCGTATTATATCAAATTTAGCTTCACTTGCAAATTTTGAATCAATTTGTGACTTACATATTGAACATATAAAACACTTCAAATGCCATCTATTATTATCTAGTTTAACACAAGATTTTTCAATACTTTTTGCACATGAAGAACATGAATCTGTTGAACTTGAAGGAATTTTCAATTTAAAATTAATTTGTTTTAAATCATCATCTTTAAAATCGTATTCACTAACCAATTGTAGAAATTTTTCAATTGCATTTGTTGTACCATATAATTTATTCAATTGTAACGCATTAAATAAACCATATCTAATTAAAAGTTTCAAATAATGAGCACATCCAGTTACTAATGATAATAATTCTGCAGATAAACTACCTGATCTTGCAATTTGATCTGATTTCCTCAATATAGCTAAATAACTCATGATTTTACCCGTTATATTTCTAGGTTCTTTTTTTAGGTACTGAAAATATTCATATTGTTCCAAGGATTCTTGATCATTTTCAATACTTAGTCTACTTTGAAGTAATTCAATTGAATTGTTACATAGTAGTATAACATAATCTAATGCACTAAATAATGTTTCCAAATATAATATCAACTTCAGGGTGACTAATAAACCTTGATATTTATTACCAGTACTTGCATTTAACAACATATCAGATATACAAGTAGCGGTAATTTCTTCAAAACCACTTAAAGTCATCCAACATTTCATAACAATGTCTTCTATATGTTGTTCAATCTGTAGTAATAAATTTGAATCAATATTTAATTCTATTGGATTCATCAATTCTTCATTTGATAAATTATACAATTTTTGTAAACCAATTGCGTCTGGAGTTATATTAACATTCCAAAATTTATGAACCATATAACATTCAGGATGCCAATTTTGATTTCTACCACCTTTGTATAATTCAACAAATTGTTTAACAATACTAAAATGACAACCTTCACAATGTGATGCATGTAATTTTATATAATCATAATGACAATAAATAAAATTATTATGCTCATAATAAGATTCATTTGAATTAAACACTTTATGACATTTTGAACATTTAAAATGTTCTAGATGATATTTTTTACCTAAAGCAGATATAAAAGGACCTCGTAAAGCATTATTACATTCTGCACAAATTAACTTCATACGATAAAAAAAATGAAATTCACACAATGCAACTTGTTTATTTGGTTCTAAATCAAATGGGAAAAATTTGGATGAACATTGAATACCACAATCATTACAAATAAAACACTGAACATGATAACATTGATTTAAAGCTCGTACAAATTGACCAGTTATATCTAATTTACATTGATGACATATTTTCTTCTTTTTAACTTTAGTGGGTGTTGTTGCATTATTGGAGTGGCCATTACTATGATGTTGATTATGATGTGCTGGCTGAGGAGGTGGTAAATAAAAATCATTATGCGTATTCATGGTTGATTATGGACTATGTATATATATATATATTAGTTGGTGAAATTAAAATGAAGGAATGATAATAATATAGTTTATAGTTAAAATAACTTGGGGAGAGTGACTTTAATATAATAAAAAAGTTTAATTAATTAAAGACGCGGAATAACTTGCAATAGCTGAATTCTCTTTATAACAATATGATTTAATGATTCTAAAAGTAAATAATCCTGATGGTTTAACTTGATTGTTTGTTTTATTGAAAGCTTTTTTGATTTTGGTAATAATAAATAAAAATAATAAAAATTAATGTTGCACAATAAAAATAAACGTAAAAAAAAAAATGTAAATAAGGACACTAAAAATAAAAATTATTTAACAGTACTTAGTATTGGGAGTTATTGAATGATAAATTCTGAGTAAATTGATGAGTAAGTGAATTAATGAATGTATATAGTTAGCTATATCTAGTTTAATGAGTGACAATATAGTTCGAATGGTTTAATTTCGTTGATTATTGGTAAACTTCGAAGTTGGAGTGGTGAAAAAAAAAATTGCAAAGAAAAAAAAAAATGATTTGATTTAATTTGATTATAAGAATCGTCGAAAGCGAAGAAATATTACATGGTTCATTTAACGGGAGATCAAATAGGGATAAATCTTTTAGTTTCCTCAAATTTTGAGCGATTAAAACGGTCTCTAATTGATTGAATAGTGCTCAATTGAAATATTTTTCGTCAAACTGAGTCTTGACAGTTTATGCCCATCTCTCGAAGAATTATAAGGATTGATTGCCTCAAATCTCTTATACCAGTCTCATCCTTCGTAGAATGAACTGATAAATGGCTTTCGTTTAAAAAATTGGTTTACAAACATTGATTTAAAAATCAATTTCCTAAAAAAATTTAACGTCTTTTTAAAGTTTTGTGTCATGTCCGAATCGAGTATATAGATGTCTCAAATCGTACATCGAACTCAATTTTAGCCCCCAATTGAATTAACCAATCTGAACTAAAAATCTTTAAAGAGAGGTAAATTGTAAGATTTGTAAGATTTGTAAGATTTTCAGCTACTAGTATATAACTCGACGACATTGATATTTATACCCAAAAAGTGTTGAACAATGATTTGTTGTTTAAATTTGCATTTGGTAGTGTATGTAAATGGAAAGATCTTTATCTTCATGCAGTATCTTTTGCTCAATTTGTTTAAATGCAATACGTTTTGGTAAAAATTGTAATGCGTGAATGCATCGCGCCTTTTAATTTATTTGGACGACGCTATTTTGAAAAATGGAGTTAAAGTTGATTTACAAGATTAGATCAAAGTTAGATCAAAGTACGAACTGCCGTTCAAAAAGGTAATACTAAGTTAAATAGTTCAAACTATTAGTGCTAACCATCTTTATTTAAAATAAAATATTCTTTTACACTGTACCAAACTCAACCGCTCATCTTAAAGACATTCTGCAATTGTAGATTATATTCTGAATCATTAAAAATAGCTTTGAAAATGCTTCATTGTAAAAGTTTTAGAAATAGCGCGAATTTGGTAGTAATTAAACTTTTTGCAAAAATCTAGAGGCTGCTTGGAGGTGCGTCTGGCAGATTTTTGATCTATTTTTCAACTTTCCATTTCGTAGCTAAATTTAAGGTAGACTTTCAAAATCTACTGATAAAACTGAGTAACATTAGTATGAGAAGTTTTTCTTCAAAGTCTATAGTTGATGCGTTACTACCATAAATGTTTTTGTTTCATCAAAGAAGCTTTTTGTTTTTGTACTTACTAGTTTCGGTAACTCACTAGATTATCATCGAAAAAAAAAACTTTCTACAACATCTGTTGATTAGACCAAAATATTTGGATTATTTAGCCAATTTTGAGTAACATTAGTATGGCACGTTTTGCTTCATACTCTTTCGTTGGTGGATTAACTCGATTTAAAAATCTATTAAAAGTGGTTGCAAATCAAAGCTTAAAATAACTTGCTCTTTGAAAAAAGTTGAGACTCAGTAGTTTAAAAGACTGACATATTACATCAGTATAGGTGGTTTATCTTTATCATGTTTTAATGTCTATTTGTTTACTGTTTATTAGAGTCCATTAATTTTGCAGCCTTAGATAGATCGCAGGGCAAAAAAAAAATACGAAGCTTTAGAATTATTATCTTTTATGAAAAATTCACTAATTAGAACCTTTTATAAAACCTCCAAACTACTAAATGTTCCCCAGAATGAACTATTTAATTATAAACTACATACTGAAAAACCAGAATTTCCAAGTTCAACTGTTAAACCGAAAACTTTAACTACATTACAAGATGATCAAGTATTAAAACTTAATGAAATTATACCGAGTGATAGATTTGGCCTTTCTCATAACTACATTTCAATTATGGATTATTTTTATGGGAATTTACATCATTCACATCATGTTTTTTATTCATCATTAATTAACGAACGTATGAAACGGGCATTTAAAGTCGAAAAGAAGAAATTTATCGATTTAAAAATTATAAAATGTACTACAGGAAATGGAGGTAATGGAAGTATAAGTTTTTTTACCGACACTTTCAAGTCTTTTGGTCCTCCAGATGGTGGTGATGGTGGTAATGGAGGAGATATATATATAAATGTGCTAGATAAGAATAAAAATCTCAATTCATTACATTATTTAAAAAGAAGTTATGTTGCAGGTAATGGAGAATCGGGTAAAAGTGGGCAACTAGATGGTAAAAATGGACAGGATTTAATTATAGATGTGCCTTTGGGTACAATTATCAGATGGATTCCAGAGCCAACTAAAATAAAACCAATATTATCAGCTCGTGAAGGTGATTCATTAGATGATTTATATCTTGAATTTTATATGGATAATGAATCAAATATTCAATTGAAAAGAGATGGAGGGTATGAACCTGGTGAAGGATGGATTTTTAAACAAAATCCAAAAGAATATTATCTTGAACGTGATTTTTTCAATGATTTGAATAAGAAAATAACTGAATATGATTTAGATTTACAATCAGAAGAAGAATTTAATGATAGATTACCTATTGCTGGTTTAGATTGTAATCAAACTACAGAAAAACCAATTCTTTTATTGAAAGGAGGTAAAGGTGGTCTTGGAAATATGCATTTCTTAACACCAGATGTTAAAAATCCAAGATTTTGTAAAATTGGAAGAAAGGGAATAACAGTAAATTTTTTACTTGAATTGAAACTTATTGCTAATTTAGGATTAGTTGGTTTACCAAATGCAGGAAAATCAAGTTTATTAAAATCTATATCTAGAGCTAATCCAAGAGTTGGACATTGGGAATTTACTACATTACAACCTACAATAGGTACAATTCAACCTAATTCACTCAGAGATGATAGTTTTACAGTTGCTGATATTCCAGGTATTATAAAAGGTGCTTCTGAAAATAAAGGAATGGGGTTGGATTTTTTAAGACATATTGAAAGATCAGGTGGTCTTGTATTTGTTATATCATTGGAAAATAAAGATCCTTCAAAAGATTTAAAAATTTTGATTGATGAAGTGGGTGAAAAAAGAATGAATGGAAAGAAAGTTTTAGTAGTAGCTACTAAAGCTGATTTAAGTGAACACGGTGATAACTATAAAGTATTGAAGAAATATGTTGAAGATAATTTTAATGATTGGAAAATTGTACCTGTTTGTGCTGCAAATGGTGAAAATATAGATAAATGTATAAAATTAATGAGTGAAATTGCAAAAATGGAAGATAAATCAATGAATACTTGAAAGTCTAATGATAGCATGTATGTAGAGAATGCTGTATTACTGTTTTTTGTCAAAGTGGGGATCGGATACTAAACCAATTTGAGCCATTAAAAATATTAATTAGACAAATGTTTCAAATAGATGAGTTATGAGTGTAATAGACCTATAGATAATGAAGGTGCTTCTAATTATAGAATAGACTAAATTTGTACCCTAGTTTTAGAATTCGTATTTTTAAACCAAGTTACGAGGTTCCTTAATCGTAAGTCCATATTATTTTGAACACAGCTTATTTTATCGTAAAAAAAAAAAGACTAAAGATTAGAGTCATTCAGAGTAAATGTACTCAATTCTAAGATCTTCTTTTTGACTCTTCTTTTCGAAGATTGACTTACTCGATTTAAGGTTTTTTAGTACCTTCAATTTTAACTTTTTCAAAAACCTTTTTCCAGGGGTCATAATTCCTTCATATCCAACGACGTAATTCAAAATAAGGTTTTATAGATTGATCAAAAGAAAGTTGAATTGAAGTGACGAAAGTGACGTGTATATTTAGCAACAAAATAAAATAACTACTACAGTATTAAACAATAACTAAAGTATTCTGTAAATACGAAACAAATACAATTTCGAATGTAAAAAATAGAGTTCGAAGCATCAACTACATTCGGTGTTGTCCATGTACGTATATCCGTGGATCGATGTTTATTGCGTAAGCAAAGAAGTTCAATTTACCAAATTCAATCAATTATGTAATACTGTTGTTCAGATTTGTGAGCTTTAGAGTTCTCCTTACGTCAAATATGTCAAATATGTCAAATATGTCAAATAATTTCATTTAAACGTAATTCTCATCAAATATCTAATAATTCTGCAACAATTCACTTTCATTTAACGCGAATATTTTTTATTCGATTGTAGATTGGACTGGCATATAATCGGGACCAAAAAAAAAAAAAAAAAAAAAAAAAAAAATCATCGAAATTCAATGAATTATTATTATGACTAAAATTAAGGCTTTACTAAGAAATTTTAAATATAATAGACGTTAAAATGTGCCAAAAAAACTTTAAATAGGTGGTGACATAAGAATGATTTCATCAAGTATCTAAATAATATTTCTGACTTAATTCTAGACATCTCATCTCAAACTTCACATGTTTATCAATAGAAGAGAATTGCAACATTGACAAGAAGTGGTATAATTTTCACCCTTCAGTGTCCGCGAGAAAGATAAGAAGTGGTATAATTTTCACCCTTTAGTGTTCGCGAGAAAAGATAAGAAGTGGTATAATTCTCACCCTTCAGTGTTCGCGAGAAAAGATAAACTTTGGTATTCTTAGATCCAGATGAAGAACTGTTCTTGTAATAATATCAGATCTTTGATTACAACGGAGATAATCCCAATGGATTTAAAAAAAGTTAAATTATACAGGGTTTAGAAAAAATTTATTTTAGCAATGATAGCTCTAAATTAAAATTCTTAAAAAGACTTTTCTATGCAATTAATATTATAACCATATTTGAATATATTATATTTTAGACCTAGAAATTGCTTCCACTTCTATTGCTATATATTGTGGTTGCTTGGAAACGTGTTTAATCGATTTGTAAAATCGGAAGGATGTTTAACAGATCATGATTTATTTTTTTACAACAAAATATCTGATCTGAGTTCATGGCCTTGTTCCGAATTATCCCCACATATTATAATCAAGATCCATCCATTCCATTTATCAAATACGACTCAAACTTTAATTCCATATTAAGCCGAAAATAAAATAACTATAAAGTAACTAAAAAATAGAATCTTCGAAACCCACGCCGCCCCAAATTTATGCCTAGAAATTCGAATCTTGACCTAGAATCTTAAAAAATAATGTTCGGTATGGAAAAAAAAAAAAAAAAAATTAAAAAAATCTATTCCATATTTTTGCAACCATTATTATTTATGGAAAGCAATAGATGGTATTTATTTATCCTTGATATATTATATATTGTGGATAATAAGGTGTGCAGTCAATATTATATATCCATGAATCTGTAAATCATCGTGGGAAGAGTTTAATCTGATCTTTAATTAATGAGATGAGATAGAGTTTTAAAAATGTTAACCACTTTGAGACCTGCAAAAATTGATACAATCGAAATTGTTAAGAGATTACTAAAACTAACTTACGGGATGAAACTTCCAAATTGAGACCTTCGTAGTTTAGATCGAGTAAGTAATTATATAGAAATTTGTCTTGGATTTCGTAAAGTAACTGATTATGTAAGCGTCTATAAAAAATAAATAAATAAAAGAAAAAAAAATAAAAGAAAAAATAGAAAAAAAAAAAAAAAAATAAAAAAAAAAAAAAAATATAAAATATTTAAAAAAGGCGGTCCATATTATTATATCTTATGTATTTAAGAATCAAAATAATTGGTATATAAAGAAACTGAATTCCAGTTCAAAACATTTAACCAAGTTTCAATCTTATATTTGTTCATAACTTAACAGGTGGTGCATTTTAATTAATATTAATTCGAATCAAATAAATTTAAATTTACTATAAAATTGATTCAATATCTCCACTGATTTGAAATAGTTTTTTATTATTCATTTGTCAGCTTTAGGATTAGAAATGAATTATCTTCAAACTAAGAACCTATCATATGACTCATTCTTCCCATTAACACATCCACAGAACAATAATGAAAGAGAGGAGGACTCTTCAAAACGAAAAATACAATATACTCAATCATCATCAAATCAACAACATATAAGTAGTAAATCATTAGATTATTTTAGTATAAAACCAAAATTATCATTAGATATACATAATTTAAGTACTTCTCCAAATTATCTCAGTGATGCTGAAAATATTCATGATTTTTCAGATAGTGAAAGTTTACATTCAAGAGATGATTTAATTGAACCTTTTGAACAAGCTATAATTACAAATGATGATTATTCTCCATTGACTCCGTTTGAAGAAGATCATAAACCAAATCAAGCTCAACAAAAAGAATCTAAAGATTCATCCGATGCTCCATCATCAACTACCAATATGCAATTAATATTACCTAACTTATATCCATACAGATTTTTAATTGTTGATGATAATTTAATTAATCTAAAAATATTAAATAAAGTTTTACTTAAAATTTATCCAAAGGCTACAATTGTCCAATTACAAGACTCAACAAAAGTTGAAAAATTGTTATTTGAACAAAATTTGAAATTTGATTCAATATTTATTGATATTGAAATGCCAATTATAGATGGTATAAAAATTGCAAATTTAGTTAGAACAAGTGAAAAATTTGATAAAATTGGTTTAATTGCTGTTACAACTAGAAATTCAGAAAATGATTTGAAATTATTTAAAGCTAATGGTATTGATTATACTTTTAATAAACCATTAAATTTTAAATTAGATTTCATGGGTTCAATTATAGATGAAATAATTGAAAACAGAAAAAATGCATTATAAATCACGTTATAATTATCTTGTATTATATTTTATTTATTAATTATTGTTTATTATTTTATGACTTTATGATTATGATTATTATGGATTTCAGTGTATATTATTTAAGGGTTTCATTATTATCGTTATTATTATATTTAAGGAGGGTTTTTTAATTTATAGATTATATTTAGGCAATTTCAAATACACAAAAAAAAAATTGTCATTATGATTACAATTGTCCTCTAGAACGTTATCATCTCTGCTAATCAATAGATGAGTTCATGATGAGTTATGAAATGACTGTGCCTGCATATAAACTTAAGGCACGCCTTAAAGCAATAATTTTTTATCGAGAACTTTTTTTTTTTTTTTTTTCCACGAAGCTTCGATTTAAAAATTTTCAAACCTTTTGTATATTTCCATGCTCAGCGATTATAGTTATATATCCTAGCAATGCCTAACAATGTAGTAATAATGTGCATCTTTGAACAAAACGAACTCCAGTCAATATTGATTTGTAAATTATCTGCTGATGATTAAATTATAGTTATTCTTCTTTATTCTCCTCTTTATCTGCAACCTTAAGGCGTTCAATTATAATGCAATTTGTGTCACGATCCGTAAATTTAATTGTTGAGCTATTAAAATACAATTAATTTTATTTTTTGTCCCCTTTTTTTGATTTTTAATCAAGCATTTGGTGCCTAAATTCATAATTCCATACATTTTCCTCTTTTCGGGTAAAAAAAAAAATTCGAATCGTAGTCCGTATTGTTGACACGAAGGAAGTATGCAAGACAAGTGACTATTTGGTCACGGACTTGGGACGAAGAAATTTAAATCATGGCAATATAAGGGTAAATTTTCAACAATTATTCAACCAGGACACGTCCCAAATGCAAATTTATTTGATTCAGAACGGAAGAGGTTCGATTCATTAACTTTGTAAGCAAAAATTTTGTAAGCAAGGTAGATAGTTTTTTGTTGGTCACGTCCCAAATCCAAATCTATTTGATTCAGAACGGAAGAGGTTCGATTCATAAACTTTGTAAGCGTAAATTTTGTAAGCAAGGTGGATAGTTTTTGGTTGGTCAAAAAAAAAAAAATTAAAAACTTCAAAAATTGAATTTAAAACATAAAGCTCCAGCCCGGATTTGAACCAGGGACCTAAAGATTTGCAATCTTTCGCTCTAACCCCTGAGCTACTAGAGCTGGCTGTATTCCACTGTGCTATAAGCCAGTTTCGAAAATTCGTTATAAGGTTATAAATCATATTCTACCAAATAACAAACTTACTAATGTGTATTTTCAATATATTTGCAATATGTGTTACATTGCTGAAGTAGTACCCTTAATGGGTTACTTGAAGTTGAATGACATGTGGTTCACAATAAGAGACTTATGGTTGTGCACATGGACTAGGCTATATACATTGATAGTACGGGTTATCAACCAAGTATGTTAATAATACATACAAGCTCCCCTTTGGTGTTATCTCTAATGTTTATTGACGAAATGCATACAAACCGTTACAGAAATTGAGTAAGTTTATTTGATACATAATAGTTTATAGTTTGGTTGAATTTTGCGCCTAAATTGTATCTCTTACATCGAGAACAGTAAAAGAATAGTTTATAATGTAGTCCTAGCACTAGAAAAAGAATGTCCTTGTTATTTTAGCCAAGGAAAACCAAGTGTTTTAGTCGAATTCTGTTTGATTTTAATTTTATAAATTTTTGTCAAATATTGAAAATTATAACTAACATTCACTACCCCTATAAATTTATCCGTAAGATTATATTTGCTGATAATTAGGCATAAGCACCATTGAAAGATGTAATTGCTAACAAGACGAACGTTGAGGTAATGTTTCGAAAATTATTTCAATTTGGGAAGTATTCAAAATATTTAACGGGCTTGACGAATCAGAATTGCGATTTGACGAAAAAAAATAAAAATTACCAAATTGGGACATCTGAAACAATTGTTAACGATAATTAATAACTGCACTAAAATTTAATTTGAGGGCGATACAATCAAAACAATCTAATGCTCTCAATCCTGTTGCTTTACTTCTTAACTAATATCTGCATGACTTGTGCTTTTTTGTTATCACCTAAAGATTCCCAACCTTACAAATTTTATCTAAAAGAACAAAATGAATATGTCGGCTTTTCAGGTATTATGTCTTTTCACACGTTTGATCCATACAGAGAGAAATATATTATGTGTATTTAATTACATTCTTACACTTGATTGAAATCATGTCTCACATGATTTTATTTAATATTGAAAAATTTCAGTATTTCTTCGTAACTATGAGGAAAATCGAATAAGTTGACCTTACAAAAGATCCAACTCTACAATCGTAACAAGATGAATGTATGATAGAAGTAACAAAAATTGTAGATCCTGAAAGCTGTCAAACCCTATTATTATTTTTGTTAAGGTATTCAAAAGTGGAAAAGTAATTTTTCAGAAATGGTTCGAAATTTGTGCAAAAATTTCAAACTAATTATGGCATCGTGAAAGAACCATAAATATAGTCGCGGAGATTGAATCAACTAGAACATCTATAGTAGAAGTTGATAATGAAGTTTGAGTGGTAATTATCTCGTAAAATAGTGATCTTTCCCATTTTTTTAAGAAATAACATTATCAAAAGTAAGCTTATTAAGTTCAAACTAATATCAATTTACTCCAATTAAATGATAGTTTATAATGAGCTTAGTTTGAGAAAGAAAACATGATTATTGACGGAGTTATTCTCAATTCAAGTTTCAGAAGATAGTACTGCATATAATCAAATTTGTATTATTCATCAAAATATATACTTTTTAATGCTATAAGCATCGGGCGACTTTTACATTTTTGTCGTGCAAAAGTAAGACTGATTTGATGTGAGAAAAAGATCCTTGGTATTAATTTTATGCGAGCTGTACCGTGAATCGGTATTGAATATTTTTTTAGAGTCTTTCAATGGTGGCATTTATACGAACTGATAATTATTAGCATGTTCCATTTGACATGAATAATCAATCAAATTTCAGTTACAGAAAAAGAACGTCCATGTAAATGAAATATCTGCTCATTTGCCGTAGATTTATAAACCTCTAGGTATAGCAATACCTTTCAAAGCATCAGAATTTTACGATCTTCGTTTATCTGATTAAAATGGCAAATTAATGAGTTGCGTAATAATATTACACAAAATTGTTATATACAGTATTCCTGCTCTTCATCTTTTTTTTATTATCAAAACATTTAATCAATTTATTCATTTATGAAACAAGATTGATAAGCAATAAATATTCAGGCACACTATGACTATCTTGTTACTACAAGATCAGCAATTAGAATTTGATAGATCAATACTACAGAATTTATTATTAGACCTTTGTTATAATTTAGATTCAGAAAATTTACAAATTGATAAAATTGTTGACGCGGTCGAAAATGGTTTACCTAATTCATTAACAATAAAGGAGTATTATAATTTTGTATCAGAAGTGATAGCAAGTAGAATAATATATCATCCGGATTATTCAATATTAGCTGGGAGAATAGAAGCAAAAAATTTACAGCAACAAATACCTTACGCCTTTAGTGAAAATGTTGAAAGATTACGAAATTATAAACCAAATAAGAAAAATAGTTATTCACCAATATCGTTAAAATTTTACAACACCGTCATAAAACATAAAACATTTTTTGATAGTCTAATAGATTTAACACGAGATTACGAATTTACATATTTTGGTATTAAAACATTGGAAAATTCATATTTACTCAAAACCAATGGCGAAATAGCTGAGTCTCCACAATTTTTATTTCTCAGGGTTGCAATAGGTATCCATTTTGATGACTTACACTCAGTTGAAGAAACCTATACTTTGATGTCACAGAAATATTTTATTCATGCCAGTCCGACATTATATAATGCGGGTTGTGAATTTAACTATTTATCATCATGTTTTTTATTAGCTATGCAAGATGATTCAATAGATGGTATTTTCAAAACATTACATCAATCAGCATTGATTTCTAAAGCTTCAGGTGGTATTGGAATACATGTACATAATATTAGATCAAGTGGTAGTTATATAGCAGGTACAAATGGTACATCAAATGGTTTAGTACCAATGTTACGAGTTTTCAATAATACAGCTAGATATGTCGATCAAGGTGGTGGTAAAAGACCAGGTGCATTTGCAATTTATATCGAACCTTGGCATGCTGATATTTTTAGTGTACTAGACATGAAAAAGAATCATGGTAATGACGAAATGAGAACACGAGATTTATTTTATGGATTATGGATACCCGATTTATTCATGCAAAGAGTTAAACAAAATGGTGACTGGTCATTATTTTCTCCAAATGATGCAATGGGTTTAAGTGATGTTTATGGTGATGAATTTAATGAATTATATGAGAAATTTGAACTGGAAAACCTTGCTGTTAAAACTATAAAAGCACAAAAATTGTGGTTGGCTATATTGGAATCACAAACTGAAACGGGTGGTCCTTATATGTTATATAAAGATGCTTGTAATTTGAAATCAAATCAGAAGAATTTAGGTACAATCAAATCTTCAAATTTGTGTTGTGAAATTATTGAATATTCATCACCTGAAGAAACTGCTGTTTGTAATTTAGCTTCAATTGCATTACCATCTTTTGTTAAATCAGAAGATGATTTTGTTGAATTTGATTTTGAAAAATTACACAGTATAACTAAAGTTGTTACCAGAAACTTAAATAAAATAATAGATGTCACTAAATATCCAACAGAAAGTGCAGAAAAATCAAATAAAAAGCATAGACCAATTGCATTAGGTGTACAAGGCTTAGCTGATACTTTTTTAGAACTACGTTTACCATTTGACTCAAGCGAAGCAAAAGTATTAAATATTCAAATATTTGAAACAATATATCATGCTGCAATTGAAGCTTCAACTGAATTAAGTATAACTGAAGGTCATTATGAAACATTTGAAGGGTCACCTGCTTCAAAAGGAATACTACAATTTGATTTATGGAATCATCAACCATCTGATTTATATCAAGATTGGGGACAACTCAAAGATAATGTACAAAGATTTGGTTTACGAAATTCATTATTGGTTGCTCCCATGCCAACAGCATCAACATCACAAATTTTAGGATTCAATGAATGTTTTGAACCTTATACATCAAACTTATATAACAGAAGAGTATTATCAGGTGAATTTCAAGTTGTGAATAAATATCTAATTAAAGATTTAATAGATTTAGATTTGTGGAATTCTGCAATGAGAAGTAAAATTATGATTGAAAATGGTTCAATTCAAAATATTAAAGGTATACCCGAAGATTTAAAGAAATTATATAAAACTGTTTGGGAATTAAGTCAAAAAGTTATAATTGATATGGCTGCTGATCGCGGAAAGTTCATTGATCAATCTCAATCGATGAATATTCATTTACAAAATCCAACATTTGGTAAATTGACAAGTTGTCACTTTTACGCATGGGAAAAGGGTTTAAAAACTGGGATGTATTATCTTAGAACTCAAGCTGCATCAAGAGCTATTCAATTTACTATAGATGAAAAAGAAGCTGAAAAAGTAAATGAATTAGTACCGAAAAATACATTAAAAAGGAAAAAATATCAACAAAGAAATGAAGTTAAAAGAATAAAACAACTTTATGCAACTCCTGATTCAGAACTGTACGATATTTATGACACCACACCAGTTGCCTGTGAAATAGAAAATAAAGATTCATGTCAATCATGTTCTGGATAATTTGTATATTTGTTTTAATACACCATGTAAATATTATCTTTTCAATTTTCGATTTGCAAAATCAGCAACTTGTGACATACCATCTTTTGTAACGAAGAACTTTTTCTTAACTTTATCTGACCATATTAAAACACCTAATTCAGATGCATAATTTGATAAAATATCATACTCTTGTTGATTTGCAAGATCTTTAAATAGATAACCTTCAAAGGTTTGGATTCTATCTAATTCTAATTGCCATAGTTTAATTTGATCTAAAACATTTGGTGGAATAATTTCTAATTTGTGTTGTGAAATTACATTTTCATTCTTACTTTGTGGTGCACCACCAGCAGTATTTATATTATTACTGGTATCAAATTCAATTTTCTTATCTAGTCTCTCTTTAGCTAACAATTTCATTTGTGGATGAGCATGAGAATCTAAAAATTTAATGATTTGATCCGCTGTAATTCCATTATATAATGCATTTCGTATTGATTCTCTAGTAATTTGTCCACATACCATATTTGCAAATCTAGTTCTTAAATGTACAAAAAGATTTAAAATTGCAATTTCCAAAGGTGAATTTGTATATGCATAAACTTTAAAATTTGTTTCTATAATTATTGATTCTTGAATATTTCTTTCTTGAGCAGTTTCTTCGGCTTCTTCTCCCAAAGCTTGTTCAACAGCCATTGATGGAGTCTTCAAACCAGCTGAATCTGATGTTAATGTAGTTGCTAATCTTGTTGGATAGAATCTACCCGAAGTATCTGATCTTTGATAAACTAATCCATAATCTCTCAAATCTGCCAACATGCTTCTTTGAGTTTCACTTAAACTTGAAACTGAATAACTTTTACCCAATTCTAATGAACCTAATATAAATATAAAATTTAAAACATCAACTGGATCCATATTTAAATCTTGAGTTAAATTTAAATATTGTAATAATAAGGTCCATATTTGAGCATTTACATCTTGTAATAAGAATTGAAATCCAGAATTAGTAATTGATAAACCATTTTTATTTTCCATTAATCCTCCCAATTGTAATAAACTTAAAACGGATTTTGACGGGGTAGTTGTTGATTCAGTACCAACCATAAAATGTAAAATATTTTCCCATTTTTGTGATGCAAATTTATCCAAGAATTTAATATCAACTTTATGTTTATCATTTGTTAAACTTATACTACCAAAAGCATTTGGTTTTTGAGTACCCGTTAAGCAATCACGGAAATTTTTTCGAAAATTTGAATGTAATCTAATATGTGAACCTTTATTATCATACTCAACTAAATGTAATGCTTTTAATCTTTTCAATGCTTCATATTCTAATTTTCTCGACAGTGGTTTACACCATTTGTTTAAATCTCGAAGATTTACTGGTTTTTCATTAAAAATCATTGACATTATATAAAATTTAGCCATTGGAGATAATAATCTATAAATTGATAAACATGTTGCAGGAGCTTCATATAATTTCGATTGAACAGTTTTCGGTAGACTTTCTAAGTATTCATTAACAGTTGTTTTAAATAAATTGGAAGACATTAAATATAACCTTGCGTACACAAAATTATGTTTCAGAAAAAAATATTTGATGAGATCAAATTTATATAACAGTATATAATGTCAAAGATAAAATCAGAATCAGATGATGCTTTTAATGAACTACTAAAAGAAGAATATAAAGGCAAAAGATTAACTGATGAAATTAATACTGCTGAAGATAAATGGAATTTATTACCAGCATTTTTGAAAGTTAAAGGTTTAGTTAAACAACATTTGGATTCATTTAATTATTTTGTTGATACTGATTTAAAGAAAATTTTACAAGCTAATTCATTAGTTTTATCCGATGTTGATCCTGATTTTTATGTTAAATATTTAGATATTAAAGTTGGTCATAAAACAAATTCACCACCTGGGTATAAAGAAGTTATATTACCACCGCATGAATGTAGATTAAGAGATTTAACTTATTCTGCACCAATATATGTTGATGTTGAATACACAAGAGGTAGAAAAATTATAAGATATAATGATTTAGAAATTGGTAGAATGCCTGTTATGTTAAGGTCAAATAAATGTATGTTGGATGGAATGAATGAAAAACAAATGGCTTCAGTTGATGAATGTCCTTTAGATCCAGGTGGTTATTTTATTGTTAATGGTACAGAAAAAGTTATATTAGTTCAAGAACAATTATCAAAAAATAGAATTATTGTGGAAGCTGATGAAAAGAAAAATGTTGTGCAAGCTTCAGTTACATCATCAACTCATGAAAGAAAATCCAAAACATATGTTGTTACGAAAAATGGTAAAATTTATTTAAAACATAATTCTATAAGCGAAGATATTCCAATTGTTATTGTTTTAAAAGCTGCTGGTATAACTTCAGATTTAGAAATTTTACAATTAGTTTGTGGAAGTGATCCAAATTATCAAGATTTATTTGTTGTTAATTTTGAAGAAGCAGCTAAATTAGAAGTTTTCACTCAACAACAAGCTTTATATTATATTGGTAAAAGAGTTAAAACTATACGTAGAGCTGGCGCACCTAAATTATCTCAATTGCAAGAAGGTATAGAGGCTTTAGCAACCACAGTTATTGCTCATTTAACAGTTTCAGATTTACAATTTAGAGAAAAAGCTTTATATATTGCAACTATGGCTAGAAGAGTAGTTATGGCAATGCATAATCCAAAAATGGTTGATGATAGAGATTATGTTGGTAATAAAAGATTGGAATTAGCGGGTCAACTAATGTCACTATTATTTGAAGATTTATTTAAAAAATTCAATTCAGATTTCAAGGCAAATATTGATAAAATATTGAAAAAACCAAGTCGAACTTCAGAATTTGATGCATTACTTTCAATTAATATTCATTCAAATAATATAACGATGGGAATGAATAGAGCTATATCAACAGGTAATTGGTCATTAAAACGTTTCAAGATGGAAAGGGCAGGTGTTACACATGTTTTATCAAGATTATCATATATATCAGCCTTGGGTATGATGACTCGTATATCATCACAATTTGAAAAATCAAGAAAAGTTTCCGGTCCTAGAGCTTTACAACCTTCTCAATTTGGTATGTTGTGTACTGCTGATACACCTGAAGGTGAAGCTTGTGGTTTAGTTAAAAATTTAGCATTAATGACACATATTACAACTGATGATGAAGAATTACCAATTAAAAAGTTATGTCTTGCATTAGGTTGTGAATCAATTTATGCATTGGATTCAGCTACTTTACATACAGAAGGAATGTATGGTATTTATTTAAATGGTACATTAATTGGTACAACAAGATTCCCTGTTAAATTTGTTACTGATTTTAGAAGATTAAGAAGAAATGGTAAAATATCAGCATTTGTTTCCATTTATACCAATACACATCATCAAGCTGTTCATATAGCGACTGATGGTGGTAGAATTTGCCGTCCATTAATCATTGTCGAAAATAATAGACCAAAAGTTACAGCTGATCATTTAAGATTATTATTAGATGGTCAATGGGAATTTGATGATTTTATCAAGCATGGCTTAGTTGAATATTTGGATGTTAATGAAGAAAATGATAGTTTAATTGCATTATATGAAAAAGATATCAAAGAAAATTCAACTCATGTAGCAACTACACATTTGGAAATTGAACCATTTACTGTGCTAGGTGCCGTTGCAGGTTTAATTCCATATCCACATCATAATCAATCACCAAGAAATACTTATCAATGTGCGATGGGTAAACAAGCAATTGGTGCAATTGCATATAATCAATTTAGAAGAATCGATACCTTATTATATTTCATGGTTTATCCACAACAACCTATGGTCAAATCTAAAACTATTGAATTAATTAATTATGACAAATTACCAGCTGGTCAAAATGCTACAGTTGCTGTTATGTCTTATTCAGGTTATGATATTGAAGATGCTTTAGTTTTAAATAAATCTTCATTAGATAGAGGATTTGGACGTTGTCAAGTTGTACGTAAGAATACAATTCAATTAAAGAAATATCCAAATCATACAAAAGATATACTATCGGGTATGAGAGTTAATGAAAATAATGAGCCAATTTTCCCACACAGGGCTTTAGGTCCTGATGGTTTAGGAGAAGTTGGTAGTAGAATCGAAAATGGTCAAGTTTATGCTAATAAATATGTTCCAACTAATGCAGGTGAGTCTACATTAGGTGGTCATGATCAACCACAATCTGCAGAAAGTCATAGAGAATCATCAGCTGTTTATAAGGGACCCGAACCTTCATATGTTGATCAAGTTATGATGTCTGTTAGTGATAATGATCAAGCATTAATTAAAGTTTTATTACGTCAAACAAGAAGACCAGAATTGGGAGACAAATTTTCATCAAGACATGGTCAAAAGGGTGTTTGTGGTATTATTGTTCAACAAGAAGATTTTCCATTTAATGATGATGGTATTTCACCAGATATAATTATGAATCCGCATGGTTTCCCATCTCGTATGACAGTTGGTAAAATGATTGAATTAGTTTCTGGTAAAGCAGGTGTTTTAAATGGTACTTTAGAATATGGTACATGTTTTGGTGGTTCAAAATTAGAAGATATGTCACAAATTTTAATTGATAAGGGGTTTAATTATTCTGGTAAAGATATGCTTTATTCAGGTATAACGGGAGAATGTTTACAAGCTTATATTTTCTTTGGTCCAATTTATTATCAAAAATTGAAGCATATGGTTTTAGATAAAATGCATGCAAGAGCAAGAGGTCCAAGAGCTGTTTTAACAAGACAACCAACTGAAGGTAGAAGTAGAGATGGTGGTTTAAGATTAGGAGAAATGGAGAGAGATTGTGTTATTGCTTATGGTGCTTCTCAATTATTATTAGAAAGATTAATGATATCATCTGATGCTTTTGAAATTGATTGTTGTAATAAATGTGGTTTAATGGGTTATAATACATGGTGTACAACATGTAAAAGCAGTGAAAATGTGATAAAAATGACAATACCCTATGCTGCTAAATTGTTATTTCAAGAGCTATTATCCATGAATATTGCACCAAGATTAAGATTAGGTGATGTCTTTTAAATAGAGTATATAAATAGGAGTTAGTATAAAATAGTTTGCATTGTAAGACATATCAATTTATCATTGACGCGACACAAAACCTCCACAATTAAAAAAATATATATAAAAAAAAAATAAATAGACTGATCAATCTAACTCTTCGTGATTTAGGATGAATCCTGCTTCACCACCTGTAATAGTAATACGTGGGCAAATACATCAACCAACTAGATCGGTGTTTCAACCAAAAGTTTTGTTTATTTGCTCAACGATATTATTAGGTTTTTGGTACATAAATCAATTATTATTCGCTAATAATCAAATTGGCCTTGATGAAGTTGTATATTTAACAAGGAATTCATTTAGAGAAATTAAAGATCAATTTGAATTTGGTTTGTTCAATAAAAGAGATTTGATAAATGATGACTCAAAAATAGAAGATACAGATTTTGATTATCCATTGAATAACATGATTAATTCATTTTTTCCCGTTGATTCAATTATTAATTATAATACCACCGATAATAAAAATGTAACAACTCATGAGATAATTGGAAGGTATGCTGCTTTCAGTCCGGTGTTGAATTATAAATTGAATAGTGAATACAAAATTTTACCAATAAATGCATGTTCTACTGTTGATCTTGGTAAAGAATATAAAAATAAAATTCTTATAGTGTTGAGAGGTGATTGTACTTTTGTTGATAAAATTTCACATATACTTGATTCTAATTTGAATCCTAAAAGTATTATTATAGCCAACGATGAATCATATAGAGGGTTGATTACCATGTTTTCAAATAATTTCAATCAAGATGGAACTTTAAACATACCTATTATGTTTGTAACACATGAGGATTATGTTTCATTAAAGAAGATCGAAAATGATAAGATAATTTTAGAAGTTACTACGGCGTACATTGGTTCGTGGATGAGTTTTGTACTTTCAATGATTTTATCACCACCATTACTAATTGTCATATTTTATGCATTGATACTTTGCGGTCAAAAGATTAGAAAACGTCAAGTAAACATACGGAATGCAAAGATGGTTAAAAGTTTACCTATTTTCATATATAATATTGATCATTTAATATCAGCACCAAGAATTTACAAATATTTAAGAGTTACTGGTCAAACTAATATGGTACCAAAAGATTCTGAAAATACTCAATTATATGAATCACCTAAAAATTCACCATTTGCATCAACAACTTCAATTAACAAAATAATTGTTGGAGGAATAGATTTGAGAGCGTCCAAAAATTCATTAAATATCATTACAGCACCAGATGATTTTTTTCCAGCATATAAATGTTCCATATGTTTAGAAAAATATATCCCATTAAAATCAAAAGTTATGGTTTTAGATTGTAAGCATTTTTTTCATGAACGATGTTTATCAAACTGGTTAATAAATTTTAAAAGAAGTTGCCCATTATGTAACACCACGTTAAAATCTAAAAAGAATTATTTACTTGCTGGTCAAGAAATTGATGAAAGTTATGGAAGTTTAATAGATTTAGAAGCTGGTCAATCCAGTTTATTTACTCCCTCACAAGTTGAAAGTGATGAAACTGAAAATCCATTTCAATTACCACCAACAACAATGGAACACGAAGAGCCCGAGACCGCGTCATCATATTTTACTGCTCATTCTCATCCAATTGAAGGTTCTTCGAGACCAACTACCAATTCATCAAAACGACCATTTTTAATCAATAGACCACTGGAAATATTAAATAAATTTCGTCGTGGTAGTCCAAATAATAACGAATTAAGTGTTAGTATTGATTCCGGTAATAATTTATACTCCCCAAATGATACAAATGAATCTTCATCAAGTGACAATTTTGATGATTCTACGGTAAATTTAAATAGTGAAAATGTATAGTTTATATTTCTTCACGTGATACTCTTTCAATTTTTTTTTTATACGTTGAATGATTCATTTGTTTACCCCAGGTAAAATCTATGCAGTTAAACAATGAGTACGAATAATGGACAGGAATCAAAAGTGGAAAATGTTCAAACTGATAATAATATCAAACTAGAAACAAATCCACAGCCACTTGAAAAACCAAAGAAAAGAAAGAAGAAACTAGAAATAGCTTGTGTTTATTGTAGACGGTCACATATGATTTGTGATGAATCAAGGCCTTGTCAAAGATGTATTAAAAGAGGTATTGGCCATTTATGTTACGATGAACCATCAAATTCAAGACAACGTAAAAAGGCAGAAGCATTAAGAAAAACTCAAAGTGAAGGACCAAGTCAAGATAAAGGTGTGTCTCCTAATACACCATTACCATTACCACCATTACAATCATCACAACTGGAAATTGGACCTCATATAACAGATCAACAATATCAAAAACAACAATTTCAAGTTCCACAAACTAGAAATATAAAAAATTCAGTACTATCGCAAACTTTACCTTATAATCAAGAACCATTCTTCTTCTCAGAACATGCTGGTAGTGAATTTAGTTCATTAAATGATTTTTTATCCATGATTGATGATCCAGAATTAGTTCATGGTGCATTAAATGATGATCCAAATAGCATTTTGTTTGGAGTTAATAATCAAATGAATAATTTTGTTGGGGGAGGGAATAGTAATACGAATTTGAATAATGTTTTAGCCTTTTCACCAAATGCTAATTTATTTCAATCAACTTTCAATGAAAATGATTTTCAAGTACAACAACAAGTTCAACAACCCCAACAACCTCAACAACCTCAACAATTGCCTCCTCCAAAAGACCCTCAATCACCAAAATTAGATCAAAATCAACAACCTATAATATCGGACTCGGCAAGAGACAAATTTTTTTTAACTGCAGCTGATCCCACTACTGAAATATCGCCAGAAGAAAGATTGAAACAAGTTATTAAAGCTAAATTAGAGGCTGGATTATTACAACCTTACAATTATGCAAAAGGTTATGCAAGATTACAAAGTTATATGGATAATTATATGAATATATCAAGTAGACAAAGAATTTTAAAACCATTGTCAATTTTCCGTCCAGCTTTTAGAGCTATTGCAAGAACATTGAAAGACGTTGATTTAGTTTTAGTTGAAGAAAGTTTTGAAAGAATGTTGTTGGATTATGATCGTGTTTTCACTTCAATGGCTATACCTGCATGTTTATGGAGACGTACAGGTGAAATTTACAGAGGTAATAAAGAATTTGCTTCATTAGTTGGTGTAACTACTGATGATTTAAAAGATGGTAAATTGGCAATATATGAATTAATGAGTGAAGAAAGTGCGGTTAATTTTTGGGAAAAATACGGTGCAATTGCATTTGATAAAGGTCAAAAAGCAGTTTTGACAAGTTGTAATTTGAGAACAAGAGATGGTATAAAAAGAAAAAGTTGTTGTTTCAGTTTCACAATTAGAAGAGATAGGTATAATATTCCAAGTTGTATTGTTGGAAATTTTATACCAATTGATCCTTAATATACGTATTATTATTCCTCATCATCATCTATAACTATATCCTCTTCTTCTTCTTCTTTTCTTTTTTGTTCAGCTTTAGCCTTTTCTTCCTCTTCTTGAGCTTCTTTTAATAGTCTGAGTCTTTCTTCTTTTATATTTCTTTGAACAACAATGTATTGACCCAATGGAGTTTTATCCCATGCAAAATCATTAAGGAACATTTGAACTTCAGTTTTATTTGATGGTCCATATTCAACATTCGATCTCTTTTGTGATATTAAAATAGCATTTGCATTTAATTTTTCAATCAATTGTTGTAACAGTTTATTAAATTTAACATTTTTAGATTTCTTGGTGAATCTTCTTAATGATAAGATCGCAGGTGTAACTAATTCAGGGAATGCTATATTTTTAGCATATAAACCAAAGAATTCACTGGTTAATTCTATAAATTGTTCACATAAACCTTCTTGATAAATTCTTGTACCTAAATAAGCTTGATTTACTTTAATATTATGATCAAAATCAACAGCTTGTAAGTTTGATGATTTTGGTGCTTTTGTCATGGCAGTTGATGTCAAAATTTCTAAAATTAATGGGAACAATGGAATGAAAACACCTGTTGATTGAGATATTCTAATTAATGACCTGATTAAGTAAAATCTTAATGGGAAAAATTGAGCAGTTGGAATTAATCTTATCGTACCTAATGTAACTTGAACTATTGGATAAATTAATTGTCTTAATGGTGATTCTTTATTTTTATGGAATTGCAATTCTTTTTCAGGATTACAATGTTGAGATAAAACTCTGGACCAGAAATCTAAAGAATGACAATATTGCCAATTATAAACAGTTTTATAACCTTCTTTTGAGTTTGAAGTAGCATTTATACTATTTCTTAAATGGATAGCCAATTGTCTAACATATTCAAATCCAACTTGATAACTTAAAGTTTCATCAATACCAAATAATTCAGTAGCTGAATTTTTACAAAAATTAATTTGTGCCATACTATGAACATTTGTTTTTCTACAGTTTTGTAATAATGATGAATACGTTAATTTTAATATAGTTTCTAAAACTGATTTTGGATATTCTTTTGCTATATTGTTTAAATATGCAAATGTTGCTATTTGTGTATCAATTTCGGGAGTGCTTGCCCATACATCAACAACAGCAGATATTATTTGTTTTAATAACCTTCTATAAGATACGTAGTATGGGAAAACTTCATAAATTGATGCTAAAACTAAAGCTGCAGTTTCAGTATTGGTTATGTCTTTTAATAAAGTTATAAATGAACCAGCATGAGTTTTTAATATAGTGCCTAATTGAGTTACATTTTGATTCTTTTGTGGTAACGTTCTAACACCTTGATGATTTGTCTTATATTTGACTAATTTCTGTATAGAAATAGGTACTTTCTTCAATACTAAAAACATTAGTTCTGTGAACGCTTTGGGGTTGGTAACTGCATATTTATAATCTTCACCTTCAGAATTATTAATGTTGACAGCAGCTTTAAATGCAATGATGATATTTCTGATAATTTTTGGTGATGGTTTTTCCAATTGAGTATTCCATTTTTTGATCAATTCTGGTGTAATTTCAATTTTTGAACCTAATTCTTGTTTATTTTCAACTACTTCTTTTTCTTCATCTTCTTCTTCATCATCTTCATCCTCACTAATTGCATCCAATGGATTGACACCTTCAAAATCTAACAATTCATTATCATTTTCTTGCAAATATTTATAAAATTCGGGGTCTTTTTCTTCCAATGATTTTAAATTTTCCTTCATAGCTTCTTCATCTTCTTCTTCGGATGATGACTCTTCTTCAATATGATTTTTTCTGCTCTTTTTCTTTTCTTTAGGTACTTCAAACCCACTTTCAAGGAAATCATCTATTGACATATCTTCAAAAACTTCGTTACTTTTACCATTAGGACGTGTAGGTTTATTATCTTCATTTTTACCATTTTTATTACCTCTTCTTTTCGCTGCTTTTTTATTAAAATCTTGTACTTTCTTTCTATGCTCTATTGTATGTTTCAAATGTTTATTTTGAAACTTTTTGGTTTGTTTTGCAGTTTTCCCCATGGCTAAATGGTCTTTTAATAAATTTAATTTTTTCAAGAATTAATTCGAAGAGATGAGACAATTTTGTGGCATGCGCTACCATGCGATTGCTGCAAAATTTTAACATATTTGAGATTTATATAAAGAAACAAACCTGGGTCAATCTCGAAGGCTAAAACTTATAAAGAAATTGAAGGTACTGTTACAGATATGATTTTTTGACTTATATTGAAGTGGTATTTATCCCAATCCTGATTCTGCTGGAAAAAAACGAAACATGATTCGTTTCAAGTTCTTTCTGAACTATAGTAGCCTCTAGGAGTGCTGATAAACATTTCAGTAGTCACATAGGATGTTTTAACATTAATCGACTTAAGACAATAGATAAACAAAGAAAACTAAAAAAAAAAAATAATTAACGTAAGCTTCCTCCCGGAATCGAACCAGGGACCAACAGATTTGCAATCTGGTGCTCTACCAACTGAGCTAAAGAAGCCGGGCAAGTTTCACCTGTGCCATTTGAGCAAGTTTCGAATCGTCTAATTTTTTCTGGAAAGCCATTCAGATAATCCTATATCAAAATGGAACTAATTGTTGTATAAAATTCGCACGAAGAATGAAACGAGCTGTCGCTTTGAGTTTAAAATCGACCATGTTTTGGTTCTTGTAGGTCGACTGCTCATTATCCCAGATTATATCAAATTTAACTTATATGCAGGCGTTGTAACTAATCTTGGAACTCAAATTGTAAATAATTCCCACAATGCTCGAGCTGTCATCGTCAAACTTTTTTGGTTAAGACATAAATTTTGATTAAATTGTTATTAGTTCAATTTGATAAATTTAATTTATGATCACTTCATTCTACATTCAAGAATGGAAAAATGGTCAAAAATACCTAACCATTACACCACATTTAGTGACTTGCAAAAAAGCCGATTCGGTTCATTAGCAAGCCAGGGAGCTCTGAGTTTTATGGTTTATAGTACGTGATATCGACGTGATTTCGACTCTATTTATTATAATATTCAAATCACCTATAAAAACCCATTTACAAATTTCCCATTAAAAGCATTATGTAACCAATTGAATAATTTGTCATAAATTATTATATCTGCATTATTATAATATATTCCATGATCACTATCTGGAAAGATCATCATATCGTAATTTTCAACATTATTTAAATTGAATTTATTAATTAACCACATAGTATTTTGAAAATTTACATTATCATCAGCTGAACCAGTCATAATTAAAAACCGTTTAATTGATTTGAAACTTTCAATATCATTTATTCTTGCAAATTGTTTATAATTAGGATTATCGTTTGGTTTGTTCATGTACCTTTCAGTATATATAGAATCATAAAATAACCAATTTGTAACTGGAGCAACTGCCAATCCATACTTAAATGTCTTGCCTTTATCATATTCTAATGTCTTCAAAGTTGTGAAACCACCATATGACCAACCCCAAATTGCAACTTTATCTTTGGATACAAATTTATGCTTCGATATAAATTCTGATGTAATCAATGTTATATCTCTTGGTTCCCAATATCCTATTTTATTATTTGCAAATGATTTATATTTCCAATCTTTTTCAGTACCTCTAGGTTCAATGACTAAAACTATTGTATTCAAATTGGCGCTTACACTATTTACAAAATCAATTGAAAAGGTTTGCTTAACTGTTTGTGAGCCTGGACCACCATAAGAATGAACTAATAAAGGGTATTTTTTTTCTGGATTGAAATTAGGAGGTAGTATTACCTTAACATTATTAAATATATTATCTTTTTCAATTTTAACTTCTTCATATAATACAGTTGGTAGATTTGTATTTTTAACTTTGGTAGATAGATAATCAACGTTGTTGATAATTGGTGAGTTTTTTATTATGTCCTTAACTTCATCAAGGTGACCTGATTTTAAATGATGACTTATACTAGCTACATTGATTAGTTTTTGATATGGCTGATTTGGACCTTCATAAATCAAATTCAAATATTGTGCATCCTTCGAAAATTGAGTTTCATAATAACCAGCTTCTAAATCAGTTAAATTAAATATTTCATAATTTGATAAATTAATAGCAACAAGATGTGACTCCATTGAACTTTTGGAACTACTTTGAAAGTAAATGAAATTCCCAATTTTATCATAAGTAGCTTCATTTCTAACATCTGCAGCTAAGATTTTACTTGGTTCAATTGCTGATGGATTATCAAATAATGCCAATTGAACTTTATAATCTTTAACTATAATATCAATATATTTTCCATCTTCAAGCACACAAATTGCTTTCATCTTTTCAACCCAGCCACCGTATTCATTAGTCACATTAATTGAATTAAGAACTTTAACTTTTTGACCTGGTTGATAAATTTTCTTCGATAATACTGAGCTTGTCCTATCTGTTTCTTTAATTAAAAAATTTGAATTGTCTAACCAAGTACCTTGATACATTATATAGTCGTCACCCAAACTTTTATCACTATCTTTAATATCTTCAAGTAACTGATTTTCTAAATTAAATGCATGTAGTGATATTATAGGATTATTTAAACCTGGTTTAGGATATTTTATTGATGTTTTAATGGGATATTGATTGACAGATTGGAATTTTTCTTCATTTGATTGTTCATAAAGTGTACCTATTTCAGTATTTGTCTTAATGTAATACTCCAATTCAAATTCTTCGACTTTTGTATCATTAATTTTTGTAAATATCATATATTTCTCATCGGGAGACCACCATATTGATTTATCAGTAGGCATTACTTCCTCTTCATACACCCAATCTGGCTTCCCATTGAAAATATTAGAACTTCCATCATTTGTTATTTGAGTAAGTTTATCTGATTTCAAATCAAGTAAAAATAAATTATGTTCAAATCCAAATACAATGTAATTCCCACTTGGTGAAAACTCAGCAAAATGTAACTTATCTAGAACTTCAGTTTCAAAAGGTTTTGCATGCTCCAATTTCTCTTCATTTTTAGGAGGTTGTATAGGTTTATAAGTTGATGTAATAGGGTTGTAAATCCAGTATAATGAGAATTTCAGGTGTCTCCATTGTGTGATACTGTCTGTAATAATTATATGATGATTATTTAATTCTTCAACTGATTTTGATGGATTTAAAATTATGTTTTCGAGATTGAAAAAATCATTTTGGTACATAAATCGTCTAACATTAATGAAAACATCTTCAAAATTTGTATCAAGTTGCTGAATTTTGTATTGTTCGTCTTCATAAGCTAAATAATAACCACCATCTTCAGCACCTTTTGGATATTGCTCTTTATTTAACCATCGTATCATCTTGATATCAGGTTGATATCGTCCCTCCATAATCAGATGTAGACTTAGATTTGCAAAATTAGGATTATAAGCATTTAAAGTTATATTTTGACCATTAAAATTGACATTGGTCTGCCAATTTAGAATTGATAATAATTCATGAGGTGATGATTTAGAATATACCAACACTCCAGCAACCCATAGTATAACCAGTAATAATGCAAATATTCCACACAATTTTGAATTGAATGGTTGCTTTTTATATCTGTCGTAAATTGTCTGATAAATTGGATCAAGATTGAAATTCTCTTTACCAATTGCATTATATTCAATGTCTTCAAATACATTAGATATTGTTGAATCTGTTGAGCTTCTAGATGATGCAGGTGTTGACATTGATTCATTTGAAGATTGTTGGCGTGGCCCCAAGGCTTCTACCATTTCATATTCTTCATCTTGATCTTTAACTCTAGAAAACATAGCAACGTGAAATTATTAAAAATACCTATTAAAATCAATTCATCTACGAGCTTAACCAAAGGAATTTGTGTGGAGTAAAAGTCTATATTATATCTGTTTTATTGAATAAACTCAAAATTTCGTAAATTTATTTTTTGTTTATCGATTGCAATTTTGATTAAAATTAGACCAAAATGGAAATATTGAGGTACAAAAATGGACTATAGCCTTTAGTCATAAATATAGAGTCGTAATTATTCAAATGAACTAGTATATACATATATTGCAAATAATTATCTTAATTATTTCAATGGTTTATCTTTTAATTCTTTACCATCTCTCATAGTTCTGAAGAAATCCATACATGTGGTAAAAACAACTAATAAGATACCACCACCTGGACCTAATCTCAAGACTTTTGGTATGAAACCTTTATATAAAGCAGCAAAACCTTCTTCTCTTGCAACAACTAATAATGAAGGATAAGTCCATTTATATCTTGCAGAACCAGCTTGAATTCTAGATTTAACAACATCAAATGGAGTATTTAAAATAGTACCAAATGTACCACCAATTGTACCACAAGTTAAATCAATCAAAGTTTTTTGTGTTGAATCTTTTGGTTTTGGCATTAAACCTCTAACTTGATGAATTAAACCAAAATAACCAGCATTCCACCAAATATGTCTCCACAATGTACTTTCCAAACCTTTATACAAACCTAAAACACCATTTCTTTGAACTATATCTTTGACAACTTCTCCCATACCATTAAATTTAGTAGTTTTATCTTGTAATCTAATTTTAACTAACTCAAAAGGAACAACGACAAAACTTTCTGTTGCACCAGCTGTAGCACCAGTTAAAACTGCTAATGGTTGATTCATTGTTGAAACACCAAAAAATGATCTATAAATTTTCCCCCATTCATCATTTGCAGCAAATTTGGTAGCTCTTTTTGGAGCTTCCATTAAAATTGGAGCACTAATACCTTTATATAATCTTGAAAACCCTTCATCTTTAATAATAGTTCTAATACAATTTAAAGTACCTTTTGTGGCATTTGTTGAGTCCAACTGTTGTCTTGTTTTAACAACATCAAGAGGGTACATGACAAGGATCTCTGATACCCCGGCAACAGCACCGGATATAAATTGATATATGAATGGTAATGGTTTTGGATCAGCCATAATTGATTATTCTGTGAAAAATTAGTGACAAATTGATTATGAAATAAAGTTGGAATAAAGTTGCTGATTTACTATACAATTGATATGAACTACTTTAGATAGTCTGCAATTGAACGAAATAACGAATAAATTAAATTCGACAAACTCTTATATCGAAATTGAAAAATTAAATGGTAAAAAATCGTGAAAATATTTCTTTAGTTTATAATAAAATATAGAATTAGTGTAAAGAAGTCAATTTTATATTTTTGTATTGTGATTCATTGATTGATAAAGTGGGGACTTTTTCAGTACAATAAGGCGAATTCTAACCGATTTTAACCATAGTTAATTACTAGAGAGATTCATAAGGATATATAGTTTATAAGATTATTCATGGCCAAGTATTAATTGTGAATTGACTCGATTCAATTATAGTGGAGGTCGTCATCCGGTACTATAACAATTCTATCGTGAGTCAGAATGAATTTTTCAGTTGATACGAGATCGAATAAAAAATGAGGCCATTTTTTCCGATGCAGTGCACGGAATCAATTACCCACTAAACGAAATTTGAAACAGTTATAGCAGCAAATATTATAAACTTAATAATTGAGTTATTGTATTGAAAGTATATGAATGAGAAAAAAGTTCTATAGTTAAACTATGAAACATTTTAGTTCATTCATTTCTAGAGTATCAGTTTTCAAAGTACTAAAAGTTGTGACGACAACCATCCATAATTCATACTTTAAGCCGACTAATCCCCACAAACTTGATCTATTGGACTAATGACTAATGACTAATGAAATTTGGATTAGGTTTGATACTGAACTGAGCTACCTTTTAAGTTTCCTTCGATGCTAAATCGGATTTAAATTTAGCCGCTTTATTTTAACGCCCTAGTCATATTTGTACTTAATTAAACCTACTTATACCCATTTCAATTGATTTGTATCGTTGTAACTAAAAAGATCTAAAATTTTGCAACCATTTAATGTATGGGCTGCAAAATTCTCATCTCAAAATTTTTTTTTTTTTTATCGTAAATTTCAACTTAATAGCACAATTATTGAAATATGTCAGGTGAAGATAAAGATAAACAAGATTTAATTTTAGCTTATATTAAAGATTATGTTTCAAGAAAGGAGTCATTAAAAAGTGTTGCTAAAGCTTTAGATAAAGTTACCAAAGGTAAAAAATTCCCAGTCCTTACTGATAAATTGGAGAACAAAATTCAAATTGAAACCAAAGTGAAAGAAGAAGATTCATCGTCATCAAGTGATTCAGATAGTGAAAGTTCATCTTCATCCTTCTCATCAGACAGTGATAGCTCATCTTCGTCGTCGTCATCAGATAGTGAAAGTTCATCAGATAGCGAAAGTTCATCCAGCGACTCAGATAGCTCATCTATCGACTCAGAAAGCTCATCCAGTGAGTCAGAAAACGATAGTGATAGTGATAGTGATAGTGATAATGAAGTTGAAAAAGAAACAGAAGCTAAAAGTGAAGAAAAAGTCAAAAATAAAAATGAGAACGATGATCAGGAAATAAAAGATTCAAGCTCATCATCAGATAGTGATAGTTCATCATCAGAAAGTGATATTTCATCATCAGATAGTGACAGCTCATCCTCAGATAGTGATACTTCAACATCATCATCATCTGAAAGCGAAAGTTCAAGTGAATCAGACAGTTCCTCATCAGAAGGTGACAGTGATAGTGACAGTGATAGTGACAGCGATGAGAACGACGAAAAAGAAAAAGTCACCGCAAAAGATTCAAGTTCAAGTGATTCTGAACCAGAAGAATCTAAATCTAAAAAGAGAATACAAAATGATTTCGATGAAAAATTAGATATTAAAAAAGCAAAAGTAAATGATAACAGTGATAGTTCATCAACTACCGCTTCAATTGATTCAAATGGCAAAATTGCAGCTACTCCAGAACCAGAATTAAAACCAGGTCAAAGAAAACATTTTTCAAGAATTGATAAATCAAAAATTTCATTTGAAGATAGAACTTTACAAGATAACACGTATAAAGGAGCAGCAGGTACATGGGGAGAAAAAGCTAGTGAAAAGTTATTACAAGTCAGAGGTAAAGATTTTACTAAAAATAAGAATAAGATGAAAAGAGGTAGTTATAAAGGTGGTTCAATTACTTTAGCTTCTGGATCATACAAATTTATCGATTAATATGGGTACACATTTATATAGAGATTAGAAATTAACATTAATTTAGCATACAAGTTTGATTTTGAATGGTGTTTAATACATAGAAGTTTAATATAACATTAGACGATGATTACATAATCATTGCTTATAATTTTTATCTATGCAGCATTTTTTTTTATCTTAAATTAATAATCTTAAATCATTATCTAATGTCAATAAGATCAACAGAACCAGTGAATTATAGAGAAGTAGATGATGAAAACTTTTCAGATGAAGATGATGATATAGATAAAGATTTTAATATAGGTAATAAACGTAAAAATCAAGGAAACACAAATGATAACCAAAAGAAACGCAAGGCTATAGAAGCGATGGAAACTTTAAAACTTGATTTAAAAGATGAAAATTTATCAGATGAAGATTTAATAGAATTAACTCCAGATATACCCAAAGATTATATACCTGATGCAGTATCTAAAAATTTTGGTAAAAGTGATTTTTCATATTTAAAATTAAAACCTGATCATTTTTCAAGACCAATATGGATTTCACCAAGTGACTTAAGAATTATATTAGAATCATTTTCACCATTAGCGGAACAAGCTCAAGATTTCTTAATAACAATTGCTGAACCAATTTCAAGACCTTCGCATATCCATGAATATAGAATAACTGCATATTCTTTATATGCTGCCGTTTCAGTTGGTTTAGAAACTGATGATATAATATCCGTGCTAAATCGATTATCAAAAGTCCCAGTTGCTGAATCAATAGTGAATTTTATTAAAGCTGCTACTGTATCTTACGGTAAAGTTAAATTAGTTTTAAAACATAATAGATATTTTGTTGAAAGTACTCAAGCTGATATTTTACAAATGTTACTAAAAGATGAAGTTATTGGTCCATTGAGAGTACTAGAGAATGGTGAAAGTAAAAATTTAACAGAATCAGCAGCACCATTAAATGATATTAATATACCAGGAACTAAAAAACCAGAAGAATCAAAAGAAAAAACTGAAACTGAAGATATATTTGCATCTGTTGTTGGTAATAAAGACGAGGATGATGATTTGGATATTGTTCATTCGTTTGAAATTTCTCATGAATCAGTTGAAATAGTTAAAAGAAGATGTCAAGAGATTGATTATCCAGTGCTAGAAGAATATGATTTTAGAAATGATGCAAGAAACGTCGATTTAGAGATTGATTTAAAACCCTCAACACAAATTAGACCATATCAAGAAAAATCTTTATCAAAAATGTTTGGTAATGGTAGAGCAAGATCAGGTATCATTGTTTTACCATGTGGTGCTGGTAAAACTTTAGTTGGTATTACTGCTGCTTGTACTATACGAAAATCTGTTATTGTTTTGTGTACTTCATCAGTTTCAGTTATGCAATGGAGACAACAATTTTTACAATGGTGTACTATTCAACCAGAAAGTGTTGCTCTTTTCACTTCAGAAAATAAAGAAATGTTTGCTACTGAAGCAGGTTTAGTTGTTTCAACGTATTCTATGGTTGCAAATACAAGAAATAGATCTCATGATTCTCAAAAAGTCATGGATTTTTTGAAATCAAGAGAATGGGGGTTTATAATATTAGATGAAGTTCATGTTGTGCCTGCTAATATGTTTAGAAGAGTTGTTACTACGATTGCAGCTCATGCTAAATTAGGTTTAACTGCAACTTTAGTTCGTGAAGATGATAAAATTGACGATTTGAATTTCTTAATTGGTCCAAAATTATACGAAGCAAATTGGATGGATTTAGCTCAAAAGGGTCATATTGCAAATGTTCAATGTGCTGAAGTTTGGTGTCCAATGACTTCAGAATTTTATCAAGAATATTTACGAGAATCAGCAAGAAAGAGAATGTTGTTATATATAATGAATCCAACTAAATTTCAAGCATGTCAATTTTTAATACACTATCATGAAAAAAGAGGCGATAAAATTATTGTATTTAGTGATAATGTTTATGCATTGCAAGAATATGCTTTGAAATTAGGTAAGCCATTTATTTATGGTTCAACTCCACAACAAGAAAGAATGAAAATTTTACAAAATTTCCAACATAATGATCAAATTAATACTATTTTTTTATCTAAAGTTGGTGATACTTCAATTGATTTACCTGAAGCTACTTGTTTAATTCAAATATCTTCACATTATGGTTCAAGAAGACAAGAAGCTCAAAGATTGGGTAGAATTTTGAGAGCAAAAAGAAGAAACGATGAAGGTTTTAATGCTTTTTTTTATTCATTAGTTTCAAAAGATACCCAAGAAATGTATTATTCAACTAAAAGGCAAGCATTTTTAGTTGATCAAGGTTATGCTTTCAAAGTTATCACCCATTTAAGTGGTATGGAACAATTACCAGATTTAGCTTATGCATCACCAAAAGAGCGTAGAGAATTATTACAACAAGTGTTATTGAAAAATGAAGATGCTGCAGGTTTGGAAGTTGGAGATGATATAGATACAAATTTCATATCAAAAGAAAAGAGAGCAAAGTTGGAAGAATCTCAAGCTTCAAGAACTGCTGGTTCATTAGCTGGTTTAGCTGGTGGTGAAGATATGGCTTATATTGAATATAGTAAGAATAAGAATAAAGAATTGAAAGATTCTCATCATCCATTGATTAAAAAGATGTATTATAGACAAAAGAATAAAGAGAAGAAAGCTTTAAATAAATAAGTAGTATATTCAATTGGATACAAAGTCACCAAATTCATCTTCTTCATTGTCTTTTAATGTCTCGTCTAGATTAAAATTTAATTGATTGACTATATAAATCAATTGATTATAATAATACAGATGCTGTTCTTCTTTATACTTTTTATTATAAGATTCTAAAGCCTTTTCAAATTTCGAATTCTGTTTCAGATTAGTTATCTTTAAACATAAAGCAATTTGATCAGCGTTTGAAGTATTGTTTTCTCCATCAATTATTGGTTGATAGCCTGTATCAGGTAATTGAGCAATTATTTTGTATAAACCATCATCTATTTTAGCAATTGTTTCTTCTTTATCCTTACTTATGGGCTTTAGTTTCTGTATGGAGATATTTGCATTATTTAAATTTAAATCACGTTTATTCAAATCAATTGGATTATACCATGTTTCACCCCATAAATTGTCATCATTATACAATTCTAATTTGAGTCTTAGTTTCGTGTACGGACTGATTAAATATCTACGAGACTCTAGCTTTTTATGGTCTTCATTGTGGTCATTATTTATTTCTTCTTGTTCAATTAATCTAATTGACCCCTTCCATAATTTAGTACCGAAATCAATATCAGATTTACCACTCTCACTATTTATAGATGGTTTAATCAGGTATATTAATGCATTATCACATTGAAATTTTTCACTTGAATCAAATTGTATATGTTCCATACTCAATTGCAATTAATCATTTCATAAATATATCCGTTTTAAAATTAAGCGGTTTTAATTTTGAGGTACAAACTTTTTTTTCAAAAAACCCCCTTTAATTGTCGTGTCGATTTATTCAAACAATTTCGAATAAAAAAAATTTTATTAAACACTTAACCATGTTTCAAAGTTTAATAAAGAATAGTATACCTAAATGTTATACTAGAATAATACAGCACCCAATTAGAATAACTCCAACATCAATACGTTTCAATTCAACATCACAACAACCGATAAAATTTGACCAAGAACAAATTATTCAAGACCAAAATAAACCAGAATTAAATAATGAAGAACAATCTCAACAAAAATCAAGATCTGAACAACAGCTTTTAAATATTGACGAATTATTAAATATTTCAATACCTTCAATTGAAGATACATTACTAGATTCAAGATTTACAGAAAGTTATGCTTATGATCCAGTAATTAAACCTCCATCACCAAGAGATGTTGCAAAAAGTCATAGAGTAATGGGTACAAATGCTGGTAGAACAGTTGAAATTGATTATAATAATATTTCAAAAGGATTTGGTCAACTTAACAGACTACTTAGAGATAATAAAGTAAGGTATTTACAAAGAATTCAAGCAAGATTTATTAAACCTGCGAAATTAAGAAAACAACAAAACAGTGAACGTTGGAGAGCACATTTTAAGAAGCATTTTAAAGAAACTTTAAGTTTAATTAAAGATGCCAAAAGAAGAGGATATTAGAAATCTACTTGTATATATATAAACTAATATAAACTTTTCACGTTTCTTCTGATCTGATCTTTCTATTTTTCGCTGCGCTGTGTACAATTTTGTTACCAAAACCATTTGATTCGCATCTAAACTTTTTGCATACGAAGAAAACTTAGATTATATTTATATCCATTCCTATTTGCTAATTATAAAAGTATATGCATTTAATAATATAGAAATAAGATTCATCATTTGTGCATTAATTGCTAATTATAAAAGAATTTTGGTTATATGATGCCAAATAAAAATCAAAATGAAGGTATACCAGCGATAACGGGTCAAATTGACCCTACACGTGCGTTTCACGTATTTCCACAAGAATTACAACCATTTCGAAGTAGTCTAATAGCTTATGGGGCTTCATTAGCATCTACTTTAGTGGGTTTCCCGTTAGATACAGTTAAAACAAGGATGCAAACTCATAAAAATTTCAAAAATTATTTTGATTGTATTAAAAAGACATATATAAATGAAGGTATAACTGGATTTTTTAGAGGTATATGGGCTCCATTGATATCTACATCTTTTTCAAAATCAATTAGTGTCTCATTATTTACATTGGTGAAACCATATACTTATGCGGCCATTTATGATAATCTACTAAATATGGATAATTCTCATCCATTTATAAAAAATATACCAGTTTGTTTTGTATCAGGTTTGATTGCTGGTGGTGGAGTTTCAATCTTTGCATGTCCATTTGAATTTACTAAAATTTATGCACAATTGGAGAAGTTATTAAGAAACAAAGCAATTAAAGAAATACCGTCAAATATGCAAACTATTAATCAATTCCCACAATCGAGTTCAACTTTATATATAGTGAAACAAATTTTAAAATATGATGGATTTAGTGGGTTATACTCTGGGTATAAATTTCATATAATGAGAGATTCAATTTCAACTGGGTTTTATTATTCAATTTATGAATCAATGAAATGGGCAATGAATGATTTAATAAATAAAAACCCAGTAGAATCATCACCAATTTCAATTTTATTGTCTGGTGGTATATCAGGTGTTTTCAGTTGGATTATAATTTTCCCAGTTGATACAACAAAATCTTTAGTTCAAAAAGATGCAGTTACAAATATACTACGAAGAAGTCAAGGTTTAAATCCATTACCAAAAATTAATAGAAAATTACAAAAATTTAATAGAAGAGCTTATAGAGGTTTAGGTATATCTGTAGCAAGATCATTCATTGTGAATATGGTATTTTTCAGTGCATTTGAATTGGGAATGGTTTATTTAGCATGACATTATATATTAAAAAACGTTTTCTTCATTATTTATTTTACAATTATCTAGATCTTTTACGACCTCTATCATTATCATGATCATAAGGTTTTGTAGGTGCTGATGGTACGCGAATTCCAGATTTTCTAGTTGGTTGTTTTTCCAATTCTTTTGAAATATTTTTCATTGAATCTTTAATTGGAGATTTGGATCTTGTTCTTGAAGCTGGTCCAGAAATAGATCCAGCTGATGATTTTCTTGAATTTGCAACTGAATTTTTTCTTGAACTTAAATCAGGTACTTCTAATGTGGATAATAATGGTGAGCCTTGAGGTGTTTTAAATTGTCTAACTTTTGGATTAAATATTGGTTTTTCTTCTTCATTTTCCTCGGGTTCTTGTGATGGACCATAGGTTGATTCATATTTTAACGTATGATCGGGGTCCAATTCTTCAATATTATCTAAATCTAAACCATATAATCTTCGAGAATGTGGAAATTTCTGTTCTCTTTCAAATTGAACATCTGTTTGATTAGATTCTGATTTGACTTGCATTTCTTCTTCAGTAGTACTATCTTCTTCTGATTGAGCCTTTTCAATTATCTTATCTTCGTTATTTTCCACCTGATCAGAATTTACATCGATATCATTTTCTTGTTCAATAGGCAATTCTTGATCTGATTCTATATCAGTTTCAACATCTTCATTTCCACCACCAATAAAATTGTTACCAAATAATGAATTCTCAAGTATTCGTCTACTTTTCAATAATCCAGCTTTTCTTCTTTTTTTAAATCTTCTCATTGGACGTCTTGGTTGTAAAGTTTGAATTGGTTGTGATTTGTTTGATTTAAGATTTATTGAAAAACTAGGCAACGATGATTTAAATCTTTTTGCTGCTGAACTTACTGTATCCTCTAATTTATGCTTAAGCAGTGATATGGTGAAGTCACTCTCAAATTTGTTATCTACGTCTTCATTAGTCTTATTTCGTATATCCTCATCTTCATCAATTTCACTTGGTATATCTTTATCTTCTGTATTTTCAGCTTGTAAATCTTCAACTTGTATGTCTTCAAGTTCTATATTTTCAGTCTCTGGTTTTGGTTCTTCATCTTTCTTCTTTGGTTCATGATATATCGTTGGATCAAATTCTGAGCTTTGTCTACTTGATACAGAAGAAGATATTTCTTCAACATCATCACCTAATCTTTCTTCTAAGAATATAACGTCATTTGATTCATCAGCTTGTTCAGTTTCTGCAGTTGGAGGTTCAATGTCAATATTGTCCTGCAATATTTCAGTATCTCCATTAGTGTCATCATTATTTTCTTCCGTTTTGATTCGAAAATTTTCAGAATGTTCATTAAATACTTCTTGTTTTGATTCAGTTACTTCAAGTTCTGAACTTTGATGTTTAATAAAAAGATGAGGCTCCTCTTGCTCTTGATGACTTTGTTCAACTATTACATTACCTTCCATTTCTTCATCAATTATCAATTCAGTTGATGCTTCTTTACTATCTGTTGAAACTTCAGTATCTTGTATATCTTCAATTATGGGAACTTCAATTAATGGGAGATTTAAAGCCTGTCTACTTAATGTTCGAATTTCATAATCTTCCGAATGACTTGTTGATTCACCAGGACTATTACTATCCTCATCTTCTTTAATATGATTCGATATTGGTTCATTATTTTCATCTATTTCATCATCCTCTTCATCACTATGGACAAATAATAATTCTTCAAGCTCTTCATCATTTGAATCTTGTCCAATTTCGGTAGCTTCATTTATTGTATCAATTTCTGGTGCTGATATATCTTCAGCAATTGGTTCTGGTGAATTTGAACTTTCTTCTTTCTCACTTTCATCCTCGTTTTCATCTACTTTCTGTTCATCAAACTTTTGATCTTCTTCAAAATCAACACCTTCAAAATCTAATTGATCTCCTACATTTTGTAAATGCTCCTCAGTGCTGGCTTTTTCATCTTGATTCGCTTGCTCAATATTTTCATTTTCATCATCTTCTTCAGATTCCACTTCGGTTGATTCCACTATTGATTCAATTTCCGGTACTTCCACATCTTCAACTATTGTTTCTTTCATCATTTCTTGTCTGAACTCATTTCCAATATGCAGTGGTTGTTCAATATACTCATCTTCAACTTTATAATTATTCATTCTATCATATTCTTCTTGCACTTGACGTAATATTTGTTCATTATCCAATGTATTATCTGAATAATGTGATTGATTGAGGGTGGATTCATTAATTGTATCAGTTATAGGAATAGGAATGCTATACGTTGATTCAATGTTGTCCAAATTGGATTCCTTATATTCTGAAATTTCTTCTATACCTGCACTTTCTGCATGATCATTATCTTGATTGTAAGTTTCTGGTAAATTTACCTCTCCTAATTTTTGAATTGATCTTACTTGTTCATTAGATTTAAAAGTTTCCTCCATTTTATTACCTAATTCAATTTCTTCAATTTGTAAATCTTCTTCTTGGTTATATTTTTGTTCTGCATCAATTCCATCTTCAATTACTTGACTAGCATTGTCTAACCCATCTTCTTGTCCGTTATCACTTTGATCTTGTTTTTCAATTGGTTTAACATTGTTTTCTACGTCTTTATTAAATTGTTGTTCTTTAAATTCTGCATTATTTTCCTCCATTTCGATATTTTCTTCTTCTTTGCCAACATCATTGTCATATTCATTGTGTAATTCCATGTTTTCAACAGATTCTATCTCTATCAGTTCTTCACTTTCATTTTTCTGCTCATCAATTTTATTATTCTCGTCATTGTCTTCTTCTTGATCTTCATCTATATCTTCATCTATACTCGATCCTTCACTTTCAAAATTTGAACTTTCATCAATTGAGTCTAAAACTGGTGTTTCAATATGTTCTATAGTCAATCTAGGTTCAATTTCTTTAACTTCTGGTGGGTTTATAATTGTCAAATTTTGATTATCCGTTGTATCTATTTCCATATCGTCATTATCTTTAGATTCTGGAATTTCTAAAATTTTTCCAAGCGATTCTTCTAATTGTTTTACAACTTCAAGTTTTAAATTAAATTTCTTTTCAGTTTCTTTTAATTTTTGTAATACAATTTCTGGATCTTCTTCCTTGACAGTTTTAAAAACAGGAATAAGAAACTCATCTTGTTTTTCTTCTATTTCTTCTTCTTCTTGCTCTTCTTTTTCCATTTCAATTTCCACATCTTCACTTGGTGCTACATCTTCATTAAATGATTTATATTTCTTTTTCAATTTCATTGACTCAAATTGACTTTCATCAGCTAATGAACCTTCAGATCTATTTCCATCCAAATCATTAATTTGTATTCTTTTATTATTTAGTTCATGTGCAAAAAATTCTTGAGGAGTAGGTGCAAATTTTTTATTACTTGAATTCATTTTTTCAAATTCATTATCATCATCAAATGTATAATTACGATCAAATTCATGTGGCAGATAATTTTCTTCTTCTTGATTTTGTGGTTGTGGTTTATTTTGATTTTGAGTATCTGCAAATTCTGAATCGGCCATATATCCAGATTGACTGGGTTGTAAATTTAATTTATTATGTTGATGATGTCTTTGATGTAATGCTGAATTTGCTAATTTTAATAAATTATTATAAAGTGTAGATTTGCTATTATTATCACCAGCTGCACTTTCTTCATCATCATCTTCTTGATCATTATCATTTTCTTCTTCTCCTTCATAGCCTTCTATTGAAAGATCACCATCATTTGTAGAATGTACTTCCGCTTCTTCAATTTCTTCGTCTGATGATGATGATGGTCCCGACGATGATGAATCTTCTTCTTCTTCTTCTTCTTCTTCTTCTTCTTCTTCTTCATTTGCTTCATTAATTTTCTCTTCTTCTTCTTCTGCTGAATCTATAACTATCGGATCATCTTGTGTATTATCAATTTCATTTTCTTCTTCTTCTGGTTCCCTCATTTCCTCATCTTGTCGTTGATCGTCATAATCATAAGCTTCTGTATCATAAGGTTCTTCATTATCTTCAGCATCAGAAAATTGATCATTTTCTTCTCGGTTTTGATTCTCATATTTTTCATTATCGTGACGATCATTATTTTTAAATCGTTTAATATAATTTACACGTTCGTATTGATCATATTTGTAATCTTGTACTTTAGTATAATAATTAGTTTCATAAAAATCCTCCTCATTTTCGTTCTTTTGGTCATCTCCTTCATAATATTCCTCATTTTCATTGTAATGATCTTCTTGGTATTCTGCTTCCTCTTCATATTCATCACGTTCATGATAATCTTCTTCATTGTCATAAGGTCTATTTTTATCATACTTGTTTCTTTCGTAACTTAAATCATTGTCATGTTCTGATTGTTTATTTTCATCTGCTTCGTAATAATCATCATTTGGATACTCGTCATTTTGATTCTTTTCATTATATTCATCAGAATAATCACCTTCTTCGTAGTTTTCCTCGTAATAATCGTCATTTTGATCATAATTTTCTTTTTCATAATTGGTTGGTTCTTGGTCAAAATTTTCCTCCTCATAATTGGCTGGTTTTTGTTTATATGAGTCAGATAATCTTGGCCTTCCATCAACTAGTTTATATGAACCTAATTGTTGTTGTTTATTTGAATAGTGATCTGCTCGTAGTGGTTGATTGTAATTATATTCTTCTTCCTCTTCATCTTCATACTCTTCATTTCTATTCTCTAGTAATTCTCTTTCATCCTGGAAATGACTTAATTCAAGATCTTCTTCTTCATCTTCCTCATCTTCTTCATCTTCTTCTATATCTCGTTGATGACTATAAAATTTTTTATAATAATTTGAATCCAATTTTGGTTTTTCAATTTGTTGTTGTTGTTTTTCTTCTTCAGATGATGATAAAACTTCAATAACGTCATCATCTTCCTCAACTTCCTCATCTTCCTCATCTTCCTCAACTTCCTCATCTTCCTCATCTTCCTCATCTTCCTCCTCCTCCTCCTCGTGTTCTTCATCAAACATCTTTTGTGCATTTTCATCTTCGTATTCTTGCCCTTGGTCAATTTTTTCAATTTTATGATATTCTCTCAGTTTTAATGCTTCGGCTTCTCTTTCTTTCAAAAGTCGGCCCAATTTGTGAAACTCTTCATCAAACATTTTGTCCCTATATTCTTGTCTTAGTTTTTCTTCTCGTTGTTTATTTAATAATTCTTGTTCATCTTGAGCCATTGAAGCTTTAAATTTTGCAAAATCATCCTTGACATTCTGTATCCATTCAATTGTATTATCTACAGATTTAATATCTGGCTTCTTCTTTTCCATTATGCATTGATAACACTACTAATGATATGTTTTGTGATTGATTGATTGAAAAAGTTTAGATTCCATTCAAGTGTTTTTTTTTTTACCATTTACGTTTGAATAAAAACGGTAACATTTGCGGCGTCACATTAACGCTTAATTCGGATTTAAGTTTTTTTTTATCATTTACGTTTGAGTAAAAACGGTAACATTTGAGGCGTCACATTAACGCTTAATTCGGATTTCAAGATAAAAAAATATTTTTGCAGCCAAAATTCTGAAACAGCGCGAGGCTTGTTTCTTGCATCTAATCAAAACAATTTCAATTAATTTCAATATCATGTAAACTAAAACACTTAATGCTAGATGTCAACTATTACTAACGGCTGTACCAATTCTAGATCTTTAACAAACATTTTTTTCTTATTACCATCTCTGTCCTCGAGAAACAATCAGCAATCAGCAATCAGCAATCAGCAATCAGCAATTAATCTATGAAATGATCGAATTATGTTAAAAACTTAGGAAATTGAATTATTGAACCAAGATATTCTGCTAATTGTATAGGTTATATTACTAATTATCTACAACCATGTGCCATGTGATTCTGATTTGAATTTATTCAAATTTTACGAAATGTGTGAGAAGAGAGTCTGAAATATTAGTGCAATGCAATCCCTTTCCAATTAATATAAAATCTATTTTTAGAATTTAATTAATTAGATCATATTTAAATAATAAAATTTAAAATAGAATGTAACTGATTAAAACTAAAAAAAGGTGAAATTTTCGAGAAACATGGAATGATCAACATTGAATCATCAACATGGAACGATCTACTATAAAATGTTTATTTTTGAGTTTAATTTCAATGGATAAATGTTATCCCATCATGAAAATTATCATTCAAATTAAACAAATTTCAATCACTAAGTAAACTACTTTAGCCTCAACTAACTGATAATACAAAAAAATATTTTTTCGGAAATATGAGCTAAAAAATATTTTGTGCGGTACAAAGTCTAGGCCAAAATTTTAAAAACTATAAAGAATTATGCATAAAAATCATGAAAAATCATGAAAAATCATGAAAAACCATGAAAAACCATGAAAAATCATGAAAAACCATGAAAAACCATGAAAAACCATGAAAAATCATGAAAAATCTCAAAAGTAATAAGTTCATTCGTATGATATAACACTTGTTGACATTTTCTAATATAATTCAAATGTATATAATTTAAGAGTACAAGATAAAACAATATAAAACAATAGTAAAATTAATTAATTGATTAAATAACCAATTGTTAAAAATATTTTCTTCACTTGCATGAAAAACAATTAAATTATAAAATACCTCATATTAAAGAGATGCATTTAAAACTGATCAGCAAGCAAATCTAAACAATAGTAGAAAAACTCCACTATATATTTAACCCTTAACAATTACTATTGTACTACTTCTCCATCAATTGAATTCTCTTAATAGTTTATGTTCCATTTAAAAAATCAACTTAATCTACTACACCATTTGATGAAAAATTAATGACTATATATATTAAAATCTTATTATATTATTCGAATAGACGCAAAATATAAGAAAAAAAAAAAATCCAAATATAGAAAATTTAGATTAAAAAATATTCGAATTTTACGTTTCAAACGTTCATAACCAATTTGAATTTCACATACTTAATGAAATTGTATTGTTAACAAGCCTCTTTCTTTACTCTATATATTTCCAATATCTATTAAACGGTTAGGTTAATTAACTTTACACAAATTTAAAAAAGGAATTTTAGACTCAATTCGCCTTGTCAAAATTTGGCACTTACGCCAGTTCCAAGTAAAAGCTTTTCATTAAGTTAGTAGTAATTTACAGAATTTATAGTTTTATAGTAATTATTATAATATTGTTGCATTTGAAAATAGTTATTTTTTAGATTTTTTTTTTTTATTTTAAATTCGAAGAAGAGTGACCATCTCACTATAATTTATACGACTTCATTCAGTTGATTCAATTGAGTATTGAGCTCAACATTGAGATTATTAACAATTTCCTCCTTTATCATACAATCATATTGAGATGCAATTGGTAGTTTATTTACGCTTTAATTGGTAAAAAAAAAAATGGAATTCTGCACATTTTCTTTCTTTTTTTTTTTTTTATTTTTTTTTTATTTTTTTTTTATTTTATAAATTTTAGCTGCTAAAAAATTAAAACTAAGTATAAGCGTAAATTTACTATAAATAGTTGATGTAGGGAGTGAAATTAAGATTCAAATTTCAAGTATAAATATCAAACCAATTTCTCTTTTATATTTTATATTTTTGAAATTTGGTTTTATATTGCACTTGTAAATATCCATTATAATCAATTCCATTTTACTTATCCACCACTCCTTAAATATACATAATTTTACATAATTTTACATAATGACTATTGAAGAAAATAATAATGTTATTGATAATTCAAATATCAATTCCGGTAATGAATCAGATTTAGAAGCGGGTAATCCAGTTAGACCATTATACGAACCAAAATATGATGAACAAGACACTTCTTCACCTTGGAAAAATCATTTAATTGCTGCTTTAGGTGAATTTTTCGGTACTTTTATCTTTTTATGGACAGCTTTTGTTATTGCTCAAATTGCGAATCAAGATCCAAATATTCCACAACCTCCATCAACTGGTTCAAATCCACAACAATTATTAATGATTTCTTTTGGTTTTGGTTTTAGTGTTATGATGGCTGTTTTTATGTTTTTTAGAGTTTCAGGTGGTAATTTAAATCCTGCTGTTACTTTAACTTTAGTTTTAGCTCAAGCTGTTCCACCAATTAGAGGTTTAATTATGATGATTTCTCAAATTATTGCTGGTATGGCAGCTGCTGGTGCTGCTTCAGCAATGACACCAGGTGAAATTGCATTTACAAATGGTTTAGGTGGTGGTGCTTCAAAATCAAGAGGTTTATTCTTGGAAGCTTTTGGTACTACTATTTTATGTTTAACTGTTTTAATGATGGCTGTTGAAAAATCAAAAGCTACTTTTATGGCTCCATTAGTTATTGGTATTGCATTATTCTTGGGACATTTAATTTGTGTTTATTATACTGGTGCTGGTTTAAACCCTGCAAGATCATTTGGTCCATGTATTGCTGCAAGATCTTTCCCAGTTTATCATTGGATTTATTGGATTGGTCCAATTATTGGTTCTTTAATTGCCTTTGGTATTTGGAGATTATTAAAATTCTTAGGTTATAAAACGTGTAACCCAGGTCAAGATTCTGATGAATAAATAAATAGAGAAGATCAAAAAAATTAACAAAAAAACCTAAAAAAATTCATATAGTATAAAATATAATATAGAGGCATATAACTAATTAATAATAATAATAATAATAATAATAATAATAATAATAATAATAATAATAATAGTAAATTAATAATATATAATAACTAATCAAATTAATAATTCCTTCGTAGTTTTTATCGGCTATATTTCAATTCATAACCAAGAGGCTGAAAAGAATATCTAAACCTAAATCAAATTTAAGTCAATAAATAAATGGACTCGTGTCAAAAGAAACGGGAGCTACGTGTTTAAAGTATATAATTGAAAGAGTTGACACGAGTCAGGCCCGATGAAAACGTTTATGTCACTCGTATTGACCTCCTGAATTATTTAATATTTAAAAATCTTGCAACCGCGTTTGGCTGCAAAATTCTTATACAATATCAAAACACGTCTAAATAAATTAGGAAACATGTTTAGTCTAAACTAAGTCCAAAAAGCTACCACCACATTCATGTCATTTTTGATATTTGCACCGAAGTGAGGGTCGAGGATTGAAATAACTTCAACATAGGTCCAGGCCCTCGCATCCGTTTTGGTCGTTCTTCGTTTCAAATTCTATTATCTCGCCATAGAAGTCAGCATTATGGCCGCAATAAAAATATATCAAACGAATAAGTTTATTTACAATCATTATATAATTTAAAATATACACTATATATATGAAAAAAAAAAAAGGTTTTTATTTGTAGTTTTAATTATTTTATTTTAAATTCATATCACTCATAGTGAATAACAAATCATCATCATCATCATTATTAGTATTATAATTATTAATATTTGTATTTACAATTGAATTTCTGTTTTTATTACTATCATCATCATTATCTCTTTTATGTTGACTATCTTCTTCATCTTCTTCCTCATCATCAAATACATTTTCATATTTTGGATCTGCTCTTTTATAATCATAAACGGATGGAGTAGTAGCTAAACCACTAACTACAACTGTTGTAGTAGTAGTTGCAGCAGTTGGAGTAACTGTACTTTTCAATGTTGATGCTGGATGAATTGAAGATGTTGGTGATAATTGTTGTTGTTGTTGTTGCTGTTGTTGTTGTTGTTGTTGTTGTTGTTGTTGTTGTTGTTGTTGTTGTTGTTGTTGTTGTTGTTGTTGTTGTTGTTGTTGTTGATGTTGTTGTTGTTGTTGTTGTTGTTGTTGTTGCTGTTGTTGAACAATATTTGAACTAGATGAATTTGCATTATTTACAATTTTACTTGAATTTGTTCTATTTAAATTTGTTATAATTGAACTTGAATGTGGAATTAATGAATTTGTTGGTGTTGAATTTTGTGGTGGTTGATGTACTAAATTTGAACTTGTTGATCTTGATTTAATAAAAAATTTTGAATCATTTTTATATTTATCAAAAGAATTTGGCGTTGAATTTAAACTTGATTTTCTCAGACTTATAGTATTTGGATTATTACCATGTTGTAAAATGATTGATTGTGAAACTGAATCAGAAACTTGTTGATGTTGAAATTTCATTAATTGATAACGATTTAATGATGAACTAGTATCTGAAATTGTATTACTCGCATTTCCTAATCTTAAATCCAGTTTTGAATCAATCATTCTTACGAAATCATTTATATCATCATCTTCAGATGATAAATTACTTGGTATACTTGTACTTTGAACCATTTGTTGTGATGAAGAATGTTGTTTTTTCATTCTTGAACCAAATGAACTGGAAAAAATTGGAGTTGGAGTACGTATTGATTGATTTGAAATTGAAGTTTCAATTGGTGGAATATATGAGATTGAAGATTCTCTGCTAAAACTGTGTTGTTGTTGTGGTGGTGGGGGGATACTACGTTGTGGAGAATTTGATGATGATATAGTTTCTTTAATTCTTTCACCTTCAACAATTCTAAAATCACATAATGACCTACAAGCAACACTTATTTTAAAAGTACCATTTGAAGTTATAATTGGTTTGAAATTTTTTTGTTTCAATTCTTGAACAGTATCATCCAGTATTAATTTTTTACTTAATCCAATTCTTTGTTTTGATGTAACTGGTTTACTATTATTATTTAATATTGAACCTTTTATATTTAAATTTGTCTTCTTGAGTAACGTAAAAGCTTTCATAGCTCTACTAAATCCATAAATACTTCTCAACAATATTATTATATGTTTATAAATTATTGGAATTTCATCTATAGATGGTGAACCCTCTTTATTACTAGTTTCAAATTGATCAAACTCTATTAACCATCTTTCTAACATTATTTCACGTTTATTGGAATTTATTGAATTACTAATTATATCATATTCTTTATCATTATAATATAATTTTAGTACCGTGTTTAAATCATCAAAGGATACATTTTTAAGATCCAAATAAATTTCAATTATGATAGGAGATAGTAAACCTTTATTATCCTTAGATAGTTGTGGACTTGTTGTTGTTGTTGTTTGAACTTTATTTGATAAATATGTATTAAACCATTTATTAATTTTTGATTCATACTGATGTTGTTTAGATCTTGAAGTTATAATTATTTGAGTTGATTTTGTAAAATAATTACTTATGATTTGATCCATAATATAGAAATAAGAATAGATGGATTAATATTGGTTGTATGATCAAATGAATGATTAAAACTTTAATATATAGTTAAATTTAAATTTGTATGCGTAATCAATCAATCTGTTTAACTACTAACTAAAAAAATAAAAAAAAAAAAAAAAAAAAAAATAAAAATATATGACAATTTCTTAATTTGTTTATGCGGCGTTTGATATAATGACTCAAAATTGAAAAAATAGAAGCAATAGAATAGAAGTTTAAAGTTATAGAATGTTGAGTAGAGGGGAGTTGTAACTAACAACTGGATATGTAGTAAATAACAACCTCTTCGCTTGTTGTAAAGTGCCAATCTAATAGTAAATATTCGTTACTAGCATTTTTTAAATCGTATATCTTTCTTATCTATATGTAAGATCTTACATAATATTGTGGTTCATATGCTAAACAAAATCACTATTTAAGCAGTTTAATATGACCTTAAGGAAATAACAGTCATCATGATAATTATTTTTTGATTTGTAAGAAGTGGAGTTCCACAATTATAATGGATTATCTTAGACTCATTAAGCGAAACAGGACTCGAGGGATTATTTAGTTTTTGATTACATCATTGTTTTGACCAAAAGTTGAATGACAAACTATAATCAGTATCATTATACCAAGAGTACTTTTCGAGAACCAAAACGTACCACACATATCATTTAATTCGATAGTGGCCTATCATATCTTGAACCAGATTAAATGTAGTCAATTTCACTGCTCTTAAATCATCACTTTTACTTGCGTTTAATCTTATCACTCTGCTAATTACATATATTTTCAACGAGCCTGTCATTAAAATAGCATTAATATCTTATTTGTACTTTATTGATACTTTTTTGGCAGCCATCTACGCCGCACTACCGTATTGATTCAAATGATACACGTGACCGCGAAATTTTTTTGTTTTAGCACTATTTACATTTTTTTCTGATACCATCTTGATTTTACAACCTTTATTGATCTGTGTATTCGTATAGTTAGTTAGTTCATGAATCATTATGGATGATGTACAAGAAGAAGTAATGAGGACTCAAAGTCCCAAATCATATTTATATTCAACTATTGCACAAACTCATTTAGGTGAAATTTCTTCAATTATAATAACTACATTAATTTCGAACGGTCGATTAACAATACGAGAATTGAATGTTCGAACAAAGCTATCGATAAAAACAATTAAAAAAGCATTAGTTTCATTAATTCAATTAAATTGTATCTTTTATTGGCAAGAATTAAATAATATTTTTTATTCATTTAATGAGATTGGTATATTGAAATTTTTACATTCGGGAGATATTTTAAATCATATAACAAAGAAATTTGGTGAAGAAGAAGCAGAAATTATTCAAAATGTTTTAACTTTTGGTCATATTAAAATTAATGATTATCTTTCTGAATATGATGAAAAAACAAAGATTAAAAAACAGGAACTATTTATGAAATTATTTTCAGATAAATGGATTGTTAAATTGAATCAGTTTAATTTTAATCCTATTAATGATATTTGGAATAAAATTTTTCACGATATTTTGAAAAATACACCACGTTCATCTTCTCAATCTGAAATCAAAAGGGTTGCTGAAGCTAAAGAAAAGACGAGGGAACAATTAAAATTATTACTTGAAAAATCTCAAGCAAATATATATATCACTCAAAATGGTATCAAGAAATTAGATCCAAATTTAATTGTCACTTTCAATTTATCTAGATTTCAAAAACATTTAAGAACAAACGCATTTGTTAATTTAGCAAAACTGAGAATTGGTATATTGACTGCTGAAATTTATAAAGTTGCATTAGAAACAATTGAAAACAATTCACCAGATTTAACAGATGCAGAAATGGAAATTAATGGATTGTTGTCTGGACCAACTGATGTTGAAGATCATTTATTAAATATGGAAGGTAATTTATTAAGAGATAATAAAATTGTATTTAATGCAAGAGATATAAGTTTGAAATTGACTAAAAAAATAGTTTTAACAGGTTCAATTCAAACAGGGGGTAGACTGTCACAATTTGAACATGATGAACAACAACCAAGTAAAAAAATTAAATTAGAAAATGGTGAAAGTTCAAATATTGTAATAGAACATTCACAAGAAACGGTCCAAAATCATTTAAATTTATTAGCTTCTGGAGTAACAAGTTTTATAACTCAGGTATCACCAGGTAGATATACAGTCCCCTTTTATAACCTAACTAAAAAATTGAAATTATTTAATTTTGAATATTTAATAAAAGCAACCTTAAAAGAACATTCATTTAGAGTATTTCGTTGTGTGTTGGAACAAAAATTAACTGATGAAAAATCAATAAGTAATGCAGTATTATTAAAAGAAAAACAAGTTAGAACTGAAGTTTATCATTTAATTAAAAATGGATTTATTGAAATTCAAGAAATCCCAAGAAGTGCAGATAGAGCAGCAAGTAAAACTTTTTATTCATTTAGATCAAAATTAAAATTTGATTATGAATTTTTATTAAATTGTTTAATTTATGATCTTGGTGAATGTTTAAATATAATTCAAAATTTTAAATTTGAAAATAAAATTTTATTAGAAAAATGTAATAGAATTGATGTTAAAGGTAAAGAAAATGAATTATTAATGGAATCTGAATTGAAAACATTACATAGTTTACAGAATAGAGAAATTAAATTTATGGTTAAATTTAATAGAATAAAGTCTTTATACGATATTTTTAGTTTATGATGAATGAATATAAAAAGTAGATAGAGTGTCTTTGGCAAATCATCCTTGAGATAAATTGAGTCTCTATAACTGTACTATTCAAAATTACGATATATAAGCAAATGAATTTAATACGAGTCGCCCTGACGCTAGCGCCAGAAAAATGGTTTGTTGGTGCCAGATTTTAGCGAGAAATACATACTTAGAAATATAATTTCTGAAACAATTTAACTTATATGCAGCACTACCATTGTAAATCATGAAATTTAAATTGTAGATAACTCTTTTAATAGTCAAGGTTTCATTCTCAAACTAACTTCATTATAACTCTCAGATTATTTAGAGTAATTTCAAGTTAAATTTCACTGGATTAACTTATCTTTGATGACTTCAACCTACATTTAAAAAATGCCAAATACGCTATTTTGTAAGAAAATTGACAATTAGACCTCATTTTGCAACTTCTACTATAGCAGATGTGATTGATTTAACTCTGAAAATTATTTGTAAGATGATTTCAAGACGGCATAATCAGTTTGAAATTTTTTAAAAATTTTTGAACATTGCAAAATTACTTTTCCAATTTTAAATACAGCAACACAAAAGCTTTCAAGAAATACTTCGATTAGGAACTGGGTTATTTAATCATACTCGAATTTGAATAGAGAAAGTGGAGTTAGATTTTTCATGAGGTAAATTTTTTCAATTTTACCGATACTTAAGAAAAAATTCAAAATTCAATTTTAGTCCAAATCATGTAGAATCAAATTAAACACCTTCTTTTAGGGTTTAATATATAGAATCCGTTTTTAAATTGAAAGGAAGTTATGGCCCTAATCAAAATATAATCTGCATTTCAGTTTTTCACAAATTTTTTGTATAATGAAAAAATGCCGAAATGACAACTCAAAAAAACAATTTTTGAAATTCCAAGTTTAAGATAGGTGGGATATATAGTTCAAGGATCAGGACTCTATTGAGATGCTACTTATCTAAAGAGAAGCTGTTGTTCTTGACATATAAAGCAATATCGTTGGGACGTGACGACTTAGACGTAGGGCGAGAAATTGTTCCGTCGCACCAGAGTTTTCGCTTGGAAAAAAACATAGTTTGATTTATATGCAGTCTGACCAAAGTGAACGTAAACATAATATTAACATTAAATTAAAATCTCGAAGTGTGTAAATATAAAAAGATACTATAGTCGTATTTCTTACTAGTTGACTAATTTTGATTCAATTTTGAGAAGTTGTTAGTTTAGAAAATGAACCAATTCTTCATCGAAAAATTCACTTTGTAGTGAGATAAGACTGCATATAAGGTGATTTTGTTTCAGAATTAATTTTTGTGTGTATTTTTCAATGCGAAAAATTGGTGCGAGCAAATTTTTTTCTCGTCCTAGCTTTAAAGCGACCTCGTACTAAGCTGATTGTCTCATAATTCAGGATCCTCTCTTGAGGTAAGTCTCAATTATACGTAATCTAAATCCGTAAATTATATATACTACATTTTTCGAACTTGTAATTTCAAAAATTTTGATATTTACTCCAAAGTATAAGAAAATTCGAATAAAGTGACCCAATGAAAACTCAAGTTCCACTTTTTAAATCTGAATAAAAATATGATAAAACTATTTAGATTTGTAGATCCTGTAAGTTGATAAACCTTGTGTTTTACTTGTTAAGGTTCGGTAAATTAAAAAAGGAATTTTTCAAAATATTGTGATAATTTCGATTATATCGAAGCTGGCAATTCGAAGAAATAGACAAACGCGTAATTTTTATCAATTAGTGATGGTAATAAGCAAATCTATTTTTTTTTTTACCATTTCATGGTTTATTGATTATACAACTACCAAATTTTTTAATTTAAGCTTTAAATTCAGCTTCACCTTCTTCATCTTCTTCATCTTCTTCATCTTCTTCTTGTAAAACACCATTTTCAGCATCTAATTTCTTAGCAGCTTCTTTATAATCAATGACTTTACCTCTTGTACGTCTACCAGTAGATTCAATAATATTATTTGCATCAATTTCTAACAATTCATCATCATCATCTTCTTCATCTTCATCATCTAATTTACCAGTTTCATAATCTTCATCACCACTTTCTTCTTCTTCATCTTCTTCATCTTCTCCTTCTTCTTTTTTGTCAGCACCTTTTTCACCTTCTTCTTTTGGTAAATCTTCATCATAATTTCTTCTTCTTTTCTTTTTCAGTTTCTTCTTATCATCACCTTCAACATCAGCATTATTTCTCTTTTTTGAGTCATCAGTTGTAGTAGTTGAAGTTTCTTCTTGTTCTTCTTTTTTATCAATTGGTTTTTCTTCAATTGGTGTTTCAGTAGTTTTAATTTCGTCAGACATTAAATATAAAAAGTGTTGATAATTTATCAATAATTTTTTTCACCACACGACTTGAAAAAATAAATATTTAAACTTGCAACACATTAAATCATCATCAATATAATCAATATGGTATGTTCAATCTATATTATAGACTATTATGAGACTTATACTAACATGTTTTTTTAGTCCAAACCATTTATACCTTCAAATTTAAAATTATCAGATCTATTAAATTATCGACTTAAAATATCAACCGTAGATAATAAAAATTATATTGGAATCTTATTAAGTTTTGATGATAAATTAAACTTGGTGCTTTCAGAAACTGAAGAAACTAGAATAAATAAAAGAACATATGCTGAAATGAGAAAAAATAATAGTAATAATAATAATACTGGCTCATCTACAAATAATATAAAACCAGTATATGAAAAAAGAACATTAGGTTTAATTATATTAAGAGGTGATCAAATTGTTAATTTAACAATTGAAAGTACTCCTTTAACTTCAGTAAAAGATAGGATTGAAAAAGGTGCAAATAAATTTGGTAAAGATCGACCTTTGGCTAAACCAAGAGGCAAAATAAAAAAATTGGCATAAAAAGAGAGAAGAGAAGAATGTGAATAAAAGTTGTTTTGAACGTGTATGTATTATTAGTATTATTATAGAATTGAGTATTTGCATAAAGAGTGCATTAATTATAGTATTTGCATAATATATATGATTAATTTTTATCTATCATGAAACCTTTAAAATCGTATATTTTATAGTTAAATTGTTTAGCAACAATTACTATTATTTTTATTCTTCTTTTCTTGTGGAGCTGGAGTTAATGAAATTGTTGGACCATTATTTGAAGTTGGTTTTGCACCATTTGAACCATCATTTGAATTATCTAATTGATGTTTTGAAATCATTTCATAAATATTTTTTAATAATTGATGAAATGATAAATCAACATTATCACTACTTAAAGCAGAAGCTTCAGTAAATAATAAATTATTCTCCAGGGCAAAATTCTTAGCTTCTTCAGTTGGTACTGCTCTTAAATGGTCTAAATCAGATTTATTACCAACTAATTCAATTATAATATTTGCATCGGCATGTTCTTTTAATTCTTTTAACCATCTTGATACATTTTCATAACTTTCTGTTTTAGCAATATCATAAACAATTAAAGCACCAACTGCTCCTCTATAATATGCTGATGTAATTGCTCTATATCTTTCTTGTCCTGCTGTATCCCAAATTTGAGCTTTAACTCGCTTACCATCAATTTCTAAAGTTCTAGTAGCAAATTCTACTCCAATAGTTGATCTTGATTCTAAATTAAATTCATTACGAGTAAAACGACTTAATAAATTTGATTTTCCAACTCCTGAATCTCCAATTAAAACTATTTTGTATAAATATTCATAATCATATTCGTAATTATCACCACTCATGTTAAAAGCTTATGTATATATGTAATGTGTAATATGTAAACGTAAACGTAAATGTAAATGTAAATGTAAATATAAATATAAATGTAAATGTAAATGTGAAAATGTACAAATCAATGAATTGAAATTATTTGTATAAATTGTTTAATAAAATAAATTAAAATTAAAATTAAATTTGTAAACTAATGTGAAACTGACTGTTAATAAACCTAAACCTTATTGATATTTATGTTGTGTCAAACTTTAAATGATTGATTATAATAAATAACCAGTTAATCTTTTTATTTAACAACAACTTTTTTTAAAAATAATTTTTTTTGTTAAATAAAAAATCGATACGCCTAAATAATTCAAAATCAACTCGTAATAATATTGGCCACGTGAACACGACCTTGGTATTTATTAATAGTATTTTGCAACCATTATTCAATGTATGAATATTCACATTTATTAAATAAATTAGTTCAAGCCTCGTTTATTAATTGAGAAATTGGAATTTAAAAGGTTCAGCGATTTGCTTTTAATATTACTGGCTGTTGATAGTAAATTTATTAAACAAAACTTATACCCCTATACGTATTCGAAAGCAGGGAAGTAAGAATGCATCATCAAATAAATACAAAAGTAATTGTTGACATTATTAGAATGTATAAAGGACCATTTTAACTCTTCACCGAGCGCATGGTAACCTCAAATAGTTTAATGATTTAATTGTATCTCAGTTTTGGTTGCAAAAAATAAAACTCCTGCATTTAAGAACTCAAAAGATTATTGGTATGATTACCAACACTGGAAAAAAGAAAACTGCTGGAGCGTTTGTCAAGCCAAATGGTAATACATTGAATTTGTAGATGCCTAATGAGCATTAAAGGCGATTATTTGATGATATTTCTATAGATAAATCGAGACGTGTATAGGGTGTGTAGGGTGTAGAGATATGGGAATTCAATAAAGCTTAACAGAGATCAAATGTTAACAAGTTTTTAATGTCGTTTTAACAATTGATTTGTGTTCAAATTGAAGGTCCATCAACCCTGAGTATAAAGAAGTACAATAACAGCTTATATTTACTAAATTCCTTCATTTAAATCGAGACGTGTATAGGGTGTGTAGATATGGAGATTCAATAAATCTCAACAGAGATCAAATGTTAACAAGTTCTTAATGTTGTTTTAACAATTGATCTGTGTTTAAATTGAAAGTCCATCAACCCTGAGTATAAAGAAGTACAATAACAGCTTATATTTACTAAATTCCTTCATTTAAATCGAGACGTGTATAGGGTGTGTAGATATGGAGATTCAATAAATCTCAACAGAGATCAAATGTTAACAAGTTCTTAATGTTGTTTTAACAATTGATCTGTGTTTAAATTGAAAGTCCATCAACCCTGAGTATAAAGAAGTACAATAACAGCTTATATTTACTTTATTTCTTCATTTTAATGAAGAAATTTAGTAAATCATCAAGAAATTGATGCAACTATTGTAATATGAGTTAAAGAGATCTACTAAATCGAAATCTGAATTATAGAATACTACAATTAGTAACAACCAGTTTAGAGAACGTTCAATACACTAATTCAGGTCTATATGTTGTTGATCCGTTGTAATACTCAATGTTTAGTTCTTGCGAAATTCATTCGGTATTAAAATCAAAAAAGTGGGGTGGTGTGTCTTAAAAATTGATTAAGGATTCAACAGAAGTTTATCCTTGGACTTATAGATCCATTTATCTCTACGTTTATGCCTCATAATTCTCGATAGAGTTGTACTCTGCAATTGAATACTGACAATCACGTTTCTACAACGATTTCTACAACGATTTCTATTTGTTTTGATTGTTCATTTTAATTTTTGTGTAAGTAACGATTATTATTAAATTTGCTTCTATATTAATTTTATGTTACTGTACATTTTCTTTAGAACTTTAGTATTTAAGGATCAACTTTTCGGTAAAAAATTTAATTTTTAAAGAAATTCTATTCCTTATTGATTTATTTATTTGTTTATTTATTTATTTATCATGTCTGATTATTCAATTGACTCAATTGATACCAAACCTTTTCAAGATCAGAAACCAGGTACTTCAGGTTTAAGAAAAAAAGTTAAAATTTTTAAACAACAACATTATACTGAAAATTTTATTCAATCAATTTTAGATGCAATTCCTCAAGGTGCTAAAGATTCAACTTTGGTTGTAGGTGGTGATGGTAGATATTATAATGATGAAGTTATACAATTAATTATTAAAATTTCGGCAGCAAATGGAGTTTCAAAATTAATTCTTGGTGAAAATGGTATATTATCAACCCCTGCTACTTCTCATATTATTAGAATTAAAAACGCAACTGGTGGTATTATATTAACTGCAAGTCATAATCCAGGTGGACCGAATCAAGATTTAGGTATTAAATATAATTTACAAAATGGTGGTCCAGCTCCTGAATCAGTTACAAATAAAATTTATGAAATTTCAAAAAAATTGACAAGTTATAAATTAATTGATTTACCAAAAGTTGATATATCAAAAATTGGTTCTACTAAAGTAGGTCCAATTGAAATTGAAATTATTGATTCAACTAAAGATTATGTTGAAATGTTGAAAGATATATTTGATTTCCCATTGATTAAAGAATTTTTAAAAACCAGTACTGAAAAATTCAATTTTAAAGTTTTATTTGATGCTTTAAATGGTGTTACAGGACCTTATGGTTATGAATTATTTATTAAAGAATTTGAATTACCAGAATCTTCAATTCAAAATTTCAAACCATTACCAGATTTTGGTGGTTTACATCCAGATCCAAATTTAACTTATGCTAGAACATTAGTTGATAGAGTTGATAAAGAAAAAATCTCATTTGGTGCTGCCTCTGATGGTGATGGAGATAGAAATATGATTTATGGTGCTAGTACTTTTGTTTCACCAGGTGATTCAGTTGCTATTATCTCTGAATATGCTAAATCAATTCCTTATTTTAAAAAACAAGGTATATATGGTTTAGCAAGATCAATGCCTACTTCTGGTGCTATTGATTTAGTTGCAAAAGAACAAAATTTAAATTGTTATGAAGTTCCAACTGGTTGGAAATTCTTTTGCTCCTTATTTGATGCTAAAAAATTATCAATTTGTGGTGAAGAAAGTTTTGGTACTGGTTCAAATCATATTAGAGAAAAAGATGGTTTATGGGCTATAATTGCCTGGTTAAATGTATTGGCAAGTTTTAATAAAGAAAATCCAGATATTCCTCCTTCAATTAAAGTTGTTCAAGATAAATTCTGGGATAAATATGGTAGAACTTTTTTTACAAGATATGATTATGAAAATGTTTCAAGTGAAGGTGCAAATAAAATTATTGAATTATTGACTAAAATTGTTAACGAGCATAAACAAGGTGATGAATTAGCAAAAGGTTATATTATAAAAGAAGGTGATAATTTTTCATATACTGATTTAGATGGTTCAGTATCAAAAAATCAAGGTTTATTTATTAAATTTGAAAGTGGTTTAAGATTTATTGTTAGATTATCAGGAACGGGTTCTTCCGGAGCAACAGTTAGATTATACTTAGAAAAACATTCTAATGATTCTTCAAAATATCAAGAAAATGTTGATGTTTATTTAAAAGATGAAATTGAATTTGTTTTACAATTATTGAAATTCAAAGAATTTTTAGGTAAAGAAGAACCTGATGTACGTACATAGGGACATAAGTATATAATTGATTTGTTAATAAAATTCTAGCATAATTTTGATAAAATCTCATTTGATTTTTGATTCAACATTCTGTTTATTGATTCGTGTATGATTGAATTTTTTTGCAACCATTTTTATAGGACTTATCATTAAATTTAAATGCTAAATAACTCATCAGCTATTGATTATGGAGAAAATTGGGTCATATTAATAATGCTCATAGTTCTGTAAATAGTATAATCATCTACCTTTGATTCCTAATCGGCATTCAACACTTCCCAGAACTTTGAAAAAGTGTAATATTGATTCACATCCTAATCAGATTAATGGATCGTACTTCTGAATTAGATTGTAGAGCATAAACATATATAAAGTCTAATAGAAATGTTTATAAATTCTACTGTTAGGTAATTATGTAGTACGTAAATTAACATCTGTGACTTAATAAAGTACCATCTTATAAATATAAAATCGTGTCCTTTCTCCTAGTATCATTTCAATAAAAGAATCATCCCATAAACTCTACTAATGGAAAGATAGTTTCCTGTTGTAAAAATTGAATACTAATTTCCATTTAACTTGCAAGAATTTGGATATGGTGTAAATATTGAGCTTTAATTTTGCAGCCATTTATTAATTGACATTTATGAGCAATACTTTTTAGTAATATGGACATTACCCCTTAAAACCAAATTTATACGTATACAACAATAGATGAGGTCAGGCAGCTCCTTTTTTTGTGATTATCAAAATAAAAGCTATTCTTTGTATATTTAATGAGGTTATAGCTTTTCTGCGCTTGGAGATCTCTAAAAACTAAAATTACCCCCTAAGGGTATTTATGAAATATGAGCCAAAAATACAACTCACTGTGAACATAAACTTATTGTAATATATACTAATAAGCATCAACCTTCTAAAATTATTTGTTGATTAACTCCTTAGTTTATTGTCGCAAGTTGTATGATTTCGTCTTAAACTTATAAATAAAGATATCAATTTTGAATTTCACAGATAACTCATATTGAGTAGTGATAGATCATAAAAATCCTAACTTTACAATTTATCTACATTTTATATTTACCAATTATACAAATATATTATTAATTCAATTTTTGCTTTTTATTTGATTCATTGTCATTAACATCATCATTTTCATTTTCTCTTTTGATTGGTGGTAAAACTATTGGTTGTTCTTGATTTAAAATTTGTTGTTGAGGTTGAATTTGCTGTGTTATTTGTTCTTGTTGCTGTTGTGGTTGAATTGATGGTAATACAGGTTGAGTTTGAATAGGTTGGGCACAAGGTGAAACGGAACTATTAGTAGTTACTGAATTTGGTGACTTAGATTGTTGTTGAGTGATTGGAGCTTGTGTTTCTTTATTTTCTTTATTTTCTTTATTGTACTTTTCTTGTTGCTTTTTATATTGTGATACTTGTAAATTCAAAACTTCGTCTAATCTTTTCTTCATTGAATTTTCTCTTAATCTTGCAGCTTGTTCCATTGCTTCTAATTCCATAATTCTAGTTCTATATAAATCATTAACTAATTCTAATTCTGAAATTCTAGTTTTTAATAAAGTACTCTCATGTAATGCATCAAAATGAGGTGGTTGATTAGGTGGTTGATTATTATTATTATTACCTTGGTCTTGATTTTGATTTTGATTTTGATTTTGATTTTCTTGACCATTAGATTGATTATTTGGTGGTTGTTGTTGACTTGGTGATGAAGATTGGTGTTGATTTTGTTGGTTGAAATTAAATGAGTTATTTTCTGGATTTGATGCCATTTTATGTAATGGTGGTAAAGTAGGAGTTGAAGATCTACTACTTGCATTAAAGATTGGACTATGGCCATTAGACATTTTATTACCTATTGCTGGTAATTTTGGTGGTTGAACAACACCATTAACTGATGAGAAAATTGAAGATGAGGATATTGAATTGGACGATGAGTTGGATTCCAGATTTCTCAGGTTTTGACAAATTAATGAAATTGGACTATTATTTGTAAACGAAGATGTTTTATTATTCTTAAAAGTTGCACTTGGGCCTAATTCATTTGTAGACATCATATTTTCTAAAACACCAGCTGCTTGTTGTATTTGTTGTTGTTGTTGTGGTTGAACTGGTTCGTTTCTAACTGACGATGAGCCAGAAGTATTTGATAATAATAATGGAGATGTAATTCTTTGCAAACCAGGTGCAAATTGAGTTGGTGTTGATGATGGATAATGTAAAGGAACTTGATGTAAATGATTTGGTAAATGTGGATGATGATGAGAAGAATGAGTATGAGGAGTATGATGTTGGAGATGTTGAGAATGATGAGAATGTGGATGTGGGAAGATATTTGGATGTTGGATTGAATGTTGGTTATTTTTAAATGTAGCTGGAGTATTTTGTAAAGTTGCTGGTAATAATGGAGTCAATTCAGAAGAATTAGTAGTTGGATTTGGATTTGAATTTGAATTTGAATTTGAATTTGAATTTGAATTTTGATTATTATTATTCTTATTCTTCTTTGGTTTTGGAGATTTTTTACCACTTTTATTCTCACTTTTTACATTTTGATTTGAATTTGAATTTTGATTATTACTATTACTATTACTATTATTATTATTATTATTATTATTATTATTATGTTTAACTCTATTTCTTGACTTTATAACATTAGTTTTCAACGCAATTGGTCTACTTCTACCGTGTAATTTTAGAAATAAACCACAAGCATTACATAAAACATTTCCAGTTTCATCTCTTCTCCATAATGGAGTAGTTTGAGTATTACAATTTTTGCATAATGTATTTGATAAAACAGTTTTTGAACCATTATTACTTGCATTAATATTATTAGCCGTGGGTTGTTGTTGTTGGTGTTGGTGTTGTTGTTGGTGTTGGTGTTGGTGTTGGTGTTGGTGTTGGTGTTGGTGTTGTTGTTGGTGTTGGTGTTGGTGTTGGTGTTGGTGTTGTTGTTGTTGGTGTTGTTGTTGTTGGTGTTGTTGTTGTTGCTGTTGTTGTTGCTGCTGTTGTTGTTGCTGATTATTGGAACTAATTTGTTTAGTTTGAGGATTAATTGATGGTGAAGGTTGAATAATTGGTTTTGTAGCTACAACTTGAGGTGATGGATTTGAAGTATTTGTAGGAGGAGTAGGTAATTGTTGATTATTTGAAGATGTAGCAGATGGTACAGATGATGCTACAGATGGTACAGATGCATTTGTTGTACTTGACGGAATATTAGATGCTGTTGTTGATGGTAAAACGACACTCATGATTAATATAATATTGTCTTTTCTTATTCTTCTTCGTCTTCCTCTTCTATTATTCTTCTATTCCTTTTCTTCAAATTTTTAATAAATAGATAAGATGATTAGTTATAATTAAAATTTATTATCTATTAAATTATTGGATATCAGTTGATAAAAAAACCAAAATAAATAAAAAAAAAAAAAAATTTAATCTGAAATTTTTCACTTTAATTTAGATTTTTCAAAATCTGATAGTGAAAAATTGTATAGTATATAAACAAACAATGTATAGTATGATGTATGTATATAGTAGTATAGATTACTATTAATTAGTAGTGTACTTACCAGATTTTGAAAATTTTTTTTTAGCAATTATACACTTCTATATTTATAGTAATTTCTTATCTATGGGGGGTTAAAAAAGATAACCAAGCAAAAATCTATCTATAGATTATAAAGAATGATAAGATTAAGCATATTTCTAAATCAGTTTAAATATGCATACTTTATAAAAAGTTTAAAGTTGAATTATTACGTTTAATCTATTAAAAGGTGGAGTTATATATATTATCTCTTTTATTATATTGATCAAGTGAATTTTATCAATTGAATCAATTTATATTTAAATAGAAAAAAGTTTTAAGTTTATCTAATCATCTTTTGTAAAATTCTATGTATGGAAAAAATTTTCACTTATTTGGTAATAAACGGTTAAGATTTGGAAAATTGTACAAAATTGGAAATGAACGATTTTGAAAAAAATGTAGTGTATTAATGTAGTGTATTAATGATCAATCTTGAATTTTAGCAATGATGAAGAAAATTTTGACATTTCTTGAGCCAAATACACTACAGCCTTTTCAAATTTTTCTCTTTATCTTATCATTAAACAATCTTATCTTGAATATATATGTACTGCATTACTTCACAACTGTTTTAGGGTTTGGGAGAAAAAAATACAATTGAGAATTTCACCATAATTAAAAATTGTTGGCCATTTTCAATTGTTTTTGGTTTCTTTGGTTTCTTTGGTTTCTTTGGTTTCTTTGGTTTCTTTAATTCATTTACTATATACATGAATTCATTACTAAATTCTCGGAAGGCAATTTGATTTTTAGATGAACCGGCAATTTTTTTTTTTTTTTTTTTTTTTCTTTGGATTTCAATCAAAGTCTATTAACATTCCATTACACGGCCAATTAAAAACTGTAAGGCAATTTAATTTTACTTTGTACTATTCTATTCTCCCATTCTTAACTTCTTCTTTTTGATGTCAAACAAAATTTAATTAGATCATTTTGCAGTTCAATTAAATTTATAAATTTTTATCTCATTATTCTTGATTTTACAAATTATTTTTTATTTTTTTCGCTAAAACTTACTCAAATTAGAAATTACGCAGCGTGTCTGTTCTCATATATTTCTCATAGTTGTTAAAAGACTTATGCATCGATTCTATTTGTCTTTAGAAGTTGTTTTGCAATGAGTAGACTAAAGGAGTAGATTAAAGGAGTAGATTAAAGGAGTAGATTAAAGGAGTAGATTAAAGGAGTAGATCAAAGGAGTAGTTTATTAAGTATTGCCGGCAAGATCATTATTATGACAGATGAGAGCTATTGGTATAGATCTACTTGAGGTAAATTTATACGAATCCAATTAATTCTAGTATAGATCTGGAAAAAAAAAATTGTTTTTTTACTTACTGCAGTGTCTTCTTACTTAGATCTTAGTATTTGCAGAAAAGGGCAAAATTCTGAAACAAATTTGTTTATATGCAGTTCCAGCACAATTAATCTCAAAATTTGAATTATGAATTACTTCGTCAATAATCTAGTTCATTTTCTCAAACTTCTTTCATTATAATTTTCAAACATTTCAGAATAAACAGATACTAGCTTAACTAAATAAACATAAATTTGGACTTGTAATTCTTCATTTAAAATTGAAAAAAAAAAAAACTCGGTATTTTGTCATATAATTAGCACTTAGACCTCGTTTAGCAACTTCTAGTATAGCTGATTTAATCCAACCAACTCCAAAGATACTTTCTATAATAGTTTAAAGACGGTATATTTATTTTGAATTTTTTTTTTGAAAACTTCAAATCACTTTTGAAAAATTACTTTCTGATTTTAGAATACCTTAACACAAAACAAAATTGATGAATATCAAAACAGGGAACTACAAAATTGGATAATTTTATTAACTTTAATTTAAATTTTGGTTGTGATCCTGGATATTTTTAAAGGTCAATTTCTTCGATTTTTCCCATACATAAGAGAAATTCTTGAAATTCTTAAAATTCTTGAAATTCTTGAAATTTTTCAGTTTTAGAGTAGAGTAGCTGGAATTAAATCTAGTACATTTGTTCGAGGTCTAATATATATAATCCAATATTTTATTGGAAGTTATGGACCTAAATAAAATATACTGTGCATTTTCATTTGTTGTAAATCTTTTGTATGATGAAAAAAGCCCAAAATGACTACTCAAAAAATAAATGTTTGAAATTTGAAAATTCAACTATGCGATATATATAATTCACAAGGCTCCTGAGCTAATTAAATTGATCTATATCTCGTGACATTACGTTAAGCATGAAATATACGCCAAATATTTTAGTGCGAGTCGCCCTAAGTCCAGCGCGAGGAAAATATTATTGTGGCTCTAAATTTGGGCGATAATTAAATACTTGAAAAAATAGTTCTGCAACAAAAAATAAGACTGCATATAATTCTGAAACAGTTGCGTGTTCTTGTTGACTTTGCGCTTTATATTAAGATCTATGTCCTGTACAAAGCTAAAAGCATTTATCTGTACTTTTCAAAAATGCAGTATTATTAAATCCGAGTTCTACTTGTATCTAAACCATTTTTTCATAAGAAACTAACTGCATTCCTTAATTTCAAATCCAAAAAAAGATTTGATCTGAGATCTGAAAGGTTATACAAAGCGCGATTTGATTGTTTCAGCCGCATGCATATTTAGCTACTAAAATTAGTTTTCATGCCATTTGAATCGAAAAAGAGGTACAATTATGCTACTAAAATTTTGTAACTATAATGTGATTCGCCACAGTGGGCTAATCCGACAACATACATGAAGTTTAAAAGTGGAAGAATAAGAAATTAAATATACATTAATTAGATATAAAACCTTGCTTGAATAAAACTAACACCCTATATAAACTTAAGATTAAGAACTTAATTGATTGTATTTGAAGCTTGAATAGTAGAACCTTCAATTGGGTATATCTTGTACGATTTTTAATGTTTCAAAAAAATCTCTAAAATAACCAATGGCTAATATTTTGCTTCTTTAAAATCATTCAAATTATTTTCAAACATTTTAACTAAACTTACATGGTTTTCTATGGTTTTCATATACTTACACATCTGTTCCACAAGTTTTTGATCGATTCTTTTTCAAATTGAATCAGCTTATCTTTTACTAACACATTCGTATGTTCAGCAAACGGATTTTCAACAACAATTTTCTCTGTGAATACAACTTTACACTTTATCGAAATAGAGTTGATTTCTCGTTCTCTTTGAGCTGCATCTACTTTCAAAGATCTAATATTAGCTTTGATTTCTCTATTTTCATGCTGAACTTTTTCCAAATTAGCCCTCAGGCTTGTGTAATGTTTGATTATTTAATCTAATTACTATTTAACATTTAGCTAATGGGTTGTACTTTAAAGAAAATTAAATTCAAAATAGTTTGTTTGATAGCTATTTATACTTCATTCTAACGCTACCATATGTTTTGCAGCACATTTTATTTAATTGGTTCATAATTCTAGAAACAATTGAACAGGAAGAGTAATTCTATACAATTATATAACCAAGAATTTATATTAAGGTTAACGCATTTATCCTATACTTATAGATACAATACTGAGTTTATTAGTAGCCATAATTACTTATCATAAACCTTTCGAAGACCAATATTCTTTCACTTGTAACTTCTGAACCAAATCTCAGCTAAGTTTAGTAATTTTCTTATACTTCTAAAATCAATTAATCTAATGTATTATGCTGCTTCCATTAAAATTTATCTTTTGAAAATATTTTACCACATACCTTACAGATATTAATACCAGCCTTTAAATTCCATTCTAAACAATCATATTGATTACAATTAATGCAATAATTCAAACATTTACCATTACTATTGGAATTATAGTTATGAAAAAATGATAGGTTGATGAATTGATGTGATGAATAATTTGGACGTACATAGTGATAATTAAATGGAGATGTAAATGATTTTGATTCAAAATAATTAAACTCGATGTTTTGATAAGTGTAGATATTTGGTTTTTCAATCATAAAAGTGATAGAAAATTATCTACGGTTATTGAAGCTATTTAAATTGAAATTTGGTTGTAAAAAATGTGTATATTTATTTTTGTTTCAGATTACACATTACGAAAAAAGCTTATATTAATTGACGATTAGACATAATTAACAATTTTTATAATTGTGGATTTGAGCTACAACAGTTTTTAAACTGTTCTTTGATTTGTTGTAAATTGCTGTTATGTGTTTGTTATCATGTATAATCTTATTCGATATCGTATCTTCTACGTTTTTTTACATCAAAATTTTAAGATTTGTTAATCAATCAATTACATTCATCTCGTATTTAATCTACTACCAACTCGCTTGCTAATTTCGTGTATGTTTGTTGAATGAATTGCTTTTTCGTAAATTGTATCAACTTAGTTGTACTTCGAAATAAAATATTTTTTGCAACCAATTTGAAAATATAAAAACTCGCTACCACATGCAAGAGTGAATTTCGCTTTTTAATTTTTTATGCACTTCCAATCTTCAATAAAACAGAATCTCATTAGAATTTGATTCTTAGCAGTACTTGTTCAAAATTGAGAGATTTTTTTCGAATAATTCCACTCGTATTTCGTAAATTATTAATCCTTGAACCTAAGGCTAACTTTGCTCAAAAATGGATTAGTCGTTCTACTTTATCAGGGTTTGTATCGTTTATATTTTAATGTTCGATTTCGAGACAATAGTTCTGTGGTTCTAGATCATCGCGGAATAAAAACGAAACGAATCTCAGTCAAAATAACACTACTTCTCAATTTACGCGTCTTATGTAATTAAATATCATCTGTTCATCAAATTTAAATACTAAATATTTACTTACAAATAGAGTAAATTAGGTCATCAATTGGTACAATTGTAATTGATTTGTTGTTCACATTGAATTTATATAAAATGATGGGACAAATTTACTGAAACGATGTTTCAAATTTTGTGTTTTATAGCAACGCCTCCCCTTTAAAATTTTAATCAAAATTTTATTAACAATGCACATTATATTATATTTCAAAATTTCATCCACACGATCGAATTAAATTCCGAATTCACAATCTGAATATGATTAAATAGTAAATTTTAACCAAATCTAAATCAAAAAATCAACTTTAGTTTGAAACCGCGATTGGTTCATTATACCGCGATTGGTTCATTAGAACACAATTGTTTCCATTAATAGTCTGTCTATTCCGTCGTTTAGCTCGCAATGATGATAATTCTCTAATTAAACAATTTAATTAGGCTATGATTTTGTACCATAAATTTAGGACTTAACGATTTGAGTGGCCGCATTTTCAGTCCAAATTGATATAATCTCGCCGTAGTCTTGACAAATTAAGGGCACGGATATAAAATTATTAGTGCCAATAACTAGTGCGTGTACTCTTGATCAATAGAAAAAATATAATAATCTTACAATTTTTTTTTTTATTATTTTTATTTCTTTATAATTTTTTTACCAAAAATAAAAAATTAAAAAAAAAAAATATTAATTTTTTGTTGATTATTTATTTTTAACAGATATATCTCCTTTATTGATTAATCTATCCATCATCATTATATATTACAGATCAATTAATTAATCAATCAATCAATCAAATATATAAAATATTAGATCATTGTACAATAAATTTAATTAATTAAAAAAAAATAGAATTATTCATCCATAATCCATTATTTTTTATTATAATTTATTTGCTATAATTTTTCATTTTACATTTACGTTTACATTTACATTCCTTGTTAATATAAATCTCATATCATATTAATTTTAATACTCATATTGCATAATGGTTAATGGTCCAGCTGAACTTCGTAGAAAATTAGTCATTGTTGGTGATGGTGCTTGTGGTAAAACTTGTTTATTAATTGTATTTTCAAAAGGTACTTTTCCTGAAGTTTATGTTCCAACTGTTTTTGAAAATTACGTTGCTGATGTTGAAGTTGATGGTAGAAAAGTTGAATTAGCTTTATGGGATACTGCTGGGCAAGAAGATTATGATAGATTAAGACCTTTATCATATCCGGATTCAAATGTTATTTTAATTTGTTTTTCGGTTGATTCTCCAGATTCATTAGATAATGTTTTAGAAAAATGGATTAGTGAAGTTTTACATTTTTGTCAAGGTGTACCAATTATTTTAGTCGGATGTAAATCTGATTTAAGAGATGATCCTCATACAATTGAAGTTTTAAGACAGCAACAACAACAACCAGTTTCAACTTCTGAAGGACAACAAGTTGCACAAAGAATTGGAGCTGCTGATTATTTAGAATGTTCCGCTAAAACAGGCAGAGGTGTTAGAGAAGTTTTTGAAGCTGCAACAAGAGCTTCATTAAAAGCAAAAGATAAAAAAGAAAAGAAGAAAAAATGTGTTGTTTTATAATCTATCATTACTTATACTATACTTTTATACTTATACTTATACTATATACTTATTACTTGTTACTTATTACTTATCATACTTTATACTTCTGTTTGAATATAATTAATTGTTTATAAGTAATCAACTGTATTTGTTTACATATTTTTCGTGTGGTGAATTTTTTTTTGTTCAATAATTAAATTTCATGGGTTCGTCATTGAGATCATTTATTAAATCTGTTAGAAAAGCTAAAACTATCGCTGATGAAAGAAAAGTAATTCAAAAAGAATCTGCTGCTATTAGGTCAAGTTTTAGAGATATTGGAATTGATCAAACTACAAGAAGAGTTTCAATTTCAAAATTAATATATTTATATATATTAGGAGAAAAAACTCATTTTGGTCAAGTTGAATGTTTAAAATTATTATCAAGTCAAAGATTTGCTGATAAAAGATTGGGATATTTAGCATGTATGTTGATATTAGATGAAAATCAAGAAGTTTTAACTTTATTGACAAATTCTTTGGACAATGATATGCAACATCCTAATTCTTTTATTGTGGGATTAGCTTTATGTTGTTTGGGTAATATTGCAAGTCCAGAATTATCAAGAGATTTATATCAAAATGTTGAAACTATTATACAATCTAAAAATGTTTATTTAAAGAAAAAAGCATGTATTGTAGCAGCAAAATTAATTGAAAAAGATTCAGAATTAGTTGAATTTTTTATAAATAAAATACCCGATTTAATTAGTGAGAAAAATCCAGCAGTATTATTAGGTTGTTTGAGACTAATAAACTCATGTTATAATCATACAACAAATCAAGAAGATAGACAACTTTTAATTAAGACAATACCGAAAATTGTAAATCATTTGAAAAGAATAAGTCCAAGTGGATATCAACCAGATTATGATGTAATGGGAACAACAGATCCATTTTTACAAGTACAATTATTAGAGTCTTTAAGAATTTTATCCCTGGAAAATACTCAATATATTGAAGAAATAAATGATGTACTTACCCAAGTTGCTTCAAATCTAGATAGTGGTAAAAATCCAGCCCATGCTGTATTATATGAATGTGTGAAGACAATATTTTCAATTCAATCCGATCAATCATTAAAAATTTTAGGTGTTAATATTCTTGGGAAATTTCTATCAATAAAAGATAATAATACAAGATATGTTGCATTAGATACATTATTAACTGTGGTAAATATTGAACCACTGGCTGTTCAAAGACATAGATCAACTATAGTAAGTTGTTTAACTGATGGAGATATATCAATTAAGAGAAGAGCATTGGAATTATCATTTGGAATTTTAAATGATCAAAATATTAGAGTCTTGGCAAGAGAAATATTGACGTTTCTTGAAAATTGTAATGATTCAGAATTAAAAACTTATACTACTTCTCAATTAACAATTGCAATTAATAAATATTCACCAAATGAAAAATGGCATTTTGATACAATTATAAGAATGTTGAAAGTTTCAGGAAATTCTATAACTTCAGACATAGTATCAAACATATTAGCATTAATCTTACAATGTAATGATGAAGAATTGAAAAAACACGTCACATTAAAATTATACAATTCATGTTCAGAAAATCCAACACAATTTAGTTTAGCTTTAATTACTGTTTGGACAATTGGTGAATATGCAGATTTAATATTAGGTGAAGTTGCTGAAATTGATATATATAATTTAATTATGAAACTATCCAATTTGTTAATTTTCAGTAAAACAGAAACGATTCAATTGATGTCATATATATTAACATGTAGTATCAAATTATCAATTAGATTCAAAAACTCAGAAGTTGTTGAAAAATTAAGAATTTTCATTAATTCAAAAACTCATGATTCAAATTTAGAAATTCAAATTAGAGCAGTTGAATATCAAGAAATATTCAATCAAAAGGACGCAAATTTAAAGAGAGGATTGTTTGCAAAAATGCCTCCACCACCTGTAAAAGAAAGAGAAAACATAGCATTAAATTCAAAATCACAACTTAAACCTTTAAAACAACTTAATGGTCAATCTGAAGATTCGCCATCTTTATTAGAATTATTTGAAGATACTCAAACAACTAAAAGTAGTAAAACTACTAATGAAGAATTATTAGATTTATTTGATATAGGAACCTCAGCTACAAGTAATACAGAAGAAGAAATAATTGCTTTTGATAATTCCAATCTTAAAATCGTGTTTATTCCAAAATCATTTATTTCTGGTTTTGCAACGATTGAAACTATAATATCATCAAATACAAAGGGTAATATATCACAATTTCAATTATTAATTGCAGTTCCAAAGTCACAAAAATTAACAATTTCTTCAACTTCAGGTGGTGATACAATAATTGGAAATTCAAATGATAAAATTAAACAAATTTTGAAAATTCAAGGTAATGAAGGAAGTAAGATTAAATTAAGAATAAAAGTTAAGTATTTATTAGATGACTTACTAATTGAAGATCAATTCGATTTCAATAGTTTTAAAGAATCTTTATGATGATGCTTCAATGGTTCGAACCAGCTCACTTAACAATGTAAACATTTATGTAGTTTACATTTAAACTCCGAGATATTTCCGGAAATATATAAGAATTCGCAATCATAATAATTTAGATCTTTTTGCAGCAATATATAAATATGAGGTAATATCCCCAATAATTACCAGAATGTATAAGTATTATTATGTTTTCAGTATCTAACAAAGTTTTAAAACCAATTTCAAATAAACAAATTGTTTCGAAAATTATTGCAAGAAATGCAAGTATAAATTCAGGAACTTCTGGTATGTAAATTAATGTAAAAGATTCGAAAAGGGACTAACATTATCTCACAGGTTCCAAAACATGGCCAGATTTTGCTTCATTCCGTCGTGTTTTACAATCTGAACCAAGAAAAGTTTTTGGATGGTCAATTGCATTTTTCATTGTTTTATTTTCATGGCCCTTGGCTACTCATAATGGTAGTGATTATTTAGATCAAGTAACAAAAGCTAAAGGTCAAGAAGTTATAGCTACTAGAACCGGTTTTAATACTTTTGAAACAACAGTGGATATTCCTCAAACTTATGCTCCAATTGATAAAGAAGCAGATGATGATGAATAAGTAAAATAATGAATTGAATGTAAATTTGAATATATGATATTCCAGATCATCTACTTGTAGTTTGACTGTAAATGACAAACTATCTCAAATCAGAACACCGAATTGCTCTGAATTCTTCTTATTATTTGCTAACCTAATACCACATGATGTTCAAATTATAGCGATACTCTACGTTTAAGCCAATATATAATACAAATTGGTTTATTGATCAAATTCTTGATCAAGAAGTGGGTTAAGTTTAAAACTGAAATCTATCATCGATAAAAAATACACAGATTGAGCTATAACAGGTTTAAATTTTGAATGGTCAAATTTAGTTTAGACCAAGTTTAGGTCTATTTTTGATTTAAAGATTGAAAAATTGAAGAGGTATTTATAAAATCATAAGAAATACATTTATATTATACAAGGAAAATAAAATCTAGTAAGTCTATGTACTGCTTGCATCATTAAACCGAAAATTAAAATTAAAACGAATTGATTTGAAATATATTTAAATGAAATCTAGTAGTTTAAAAGAATAATGATAATGAAATGAAAAGTCCTGCTAGAACTGAAAACGATTGAGCTAGTTTGTTACCATAACCCTCGTATGTAGAAATTGCTGCTGTTGATGGGCTATCCAAAACACTTGAATAAGTAAAAGTAGTAGTTTGAAATACCTGAGGTAATTCTGATGACGAAGGGTAATTAGCAACAGTGGTAAATCCAGTCACTGATTTAATTGATAAATCTGAAGCACTTGCTTTTGCAGTATCAACTGATGTATTTGGAGCATCTAAACTTGCATTAGGAACTGATTCAATAGTTTTTGAATTTGTAAATGAGTTATCAACAGCAATATTAGTAAATTGATTATTGTAGTTATTTGTCAATGTTGTAAATTTTTGGTTACTATCACTTGTTGCTTCGATACCAGCTAGGCTAGATTCTCGAATAAGGCTGTCATTGCCGAATGCTTTTGTTGTCTCTTTTGATTCAAAATTACTTAAAGTAGCAGAACCAGATAGGCCGTTAACTTTATTTGTTTCACTTTCTACTGGAAGATAGGTAGTATAAATAGTTTCAATTGAATTTGTAGTTGTTGTAACGAAACTCAAAATACCTGGAGCAATTGTTTCCTGACAAATATCATTATTGCATGATGTAATTGTAATTAAGGTAGTCTGATCAGTATAAGTTCTAATACTTGCAACTGAAAATGAATTTGAATCCGAATTATCTGAAGCACTTACAATTCTCTCTATGGAATTCGAAGAAGTTGAATAAGATGATGTTGTTGAAATTGATTTATCATTTAAAAAACTTGATCGTGAGGATGATAAACTTCCATATGGAATACTATTTGAAGATGGATAAGAATGTGAATGATTATTATCATTTGAAACATTATTTGTCTCTGCTGATGGAGCCATAGATGTAGATGAGATGGAAACTAGACCATTTGAAACATTATTTGTCTCTGCTGATGGAGCCATAGATGTAGATGAAATCGAAACTTGACCATTTGATAAAATTGGAGAAAGATTAACTCCAGGAGTCACCGAGGTTGTCTTTGGATAGTACGTTGATAAACCAGCAGAAGCATCAACTGAATGTGGATAAGACCCTATATGAGAAACTGAGGAATTTTTATATAATGGATAGCGTACTGAAGTGTATGACGATGAATAATGATCAGAATTTTGCCAATTGCATGATGGATCATCTTTTTTACACATACTTATGCCGCTTGAAACACGTGGGAATGTTGTTGAAGTTGTATAAACATCATTTGATCGACTGACGATACCTGAATCTATAGAAATTGCACCTTGGAAGTCCGTTGTGGTCCAGGTTGAAATAAATATAACTTGATTTGAACTTTTCGTACTTGGAATTGCGGCAATGGAAGAACTGTAATCATTATTTTGTGAGCTGAAGTCATTTGTTGATGATGATGCTTGAATACTTTGTAAACTTCCAACATTTACAATTGAACTACTTTGTGAATTGAACTCATTTGTTGATGATGAAGATGCTTGAGTGCTTTGTGTAGCTGAAATACTTTCATTTGGTAAGCTACTTTGTGAATTTATATCATTTGTTGATGATGAAATGACTTGATTTGAACTTTTCGTACTTGGAAGTGCGGTAATTGATGAACTGTAATCATTATTTTGTGAACTGAAGTCATTTGTTGATGATGATGCTTGAATACTTTGTAAACTTCCAACATTTACAATTGAACTACTTTGTGAGATGAACTCATTTGTTGATGATGAAGATGCTTGAGTGCTTTGTGTAGCTGAAATACTTTCATTTGGTAAGCTACTTTGTGAATTTATATCATTTGTTGATGATAAAATGATCTCCGTACTTGGAATTGCGGCAATTGAAGAACTGTAATCAATATTTTGTGAACTGAAGTCGTTTGTTGATGATGATGCTTGAACACTTTGTAAACTTCCAACATTTACAATTGAACTACTTTGTGAGCTGAAGTCATTTGTTGACGATGAAGATGCTTGAGTGCTTTGTGTAACTAAAATACTTTCATTTTGTGAATTTATATCATTTGTTGATGATGAAACGACTTGATTTGAACTTTTCGTACTTGGAAGTGCGGCAATTGATGAACTGTAATCATTATTTTGTGAACTGAAGTCATTTGTTGATGATGATGCTTGAATACTTTGTAAACTTCCAACATTTACAATTGAACTACTTTGTGAGATGAACTCATTTGTTGATGATGAAGATGCTTGAGTGCTTTGTGTAGCTGAAATACTTTCATTTGGTAAACTACTTTGTGAACTTATATCATTTGTTGATGATGAAATGACTAGATTTGAACTTTTCGTACTTGGAAGTGCGGCAATTGATGAACTGTAATCATTATTTTGTGAACTGAAGTCATTTGTTGATGATGATGCTTGAATACTTTGTAAACTTCCAGCATTTACAATTAATCTACTTTGTGAGCTGAACTCATTTGTTGATGATGAAGATGCTTGAGTGCTTTGTGTAGCTGAAATACTTTCATTTGGTAAGCTACTTTGTGAATTTATATCATTTGTTGATGATAAAATGATCTCCGTACTTGGAATTGCGGAAATTGAAGAACTGTAATCCAAATTTTGTGAACTGAAGTCATTTGTTGATGATGAAATGACTCGATTAGAACTTTCCGTACTTGGAAGTGCGGCAATTGATGAACTGTAATCATTATTTTGTGAACTGAAGTCATTTGTTGATGATGAAGATGCTTCAATACTTTGTGAACTTAACTCTATAGTCGGGTTATGTGGTTCTAATACATGAATAACATCAGTTGAACCAAAATCCGCAGTTTCTGTTGATGTAGATTGGTAGGTTTCATCCCAAAATTCAGTAATATATGAAACACTATTTGATGGATACAAAATCTCCACAGTATCTGTATTCAATGGTCCATTTTTGATTGTGCTTGTCGTGATATAGCTTCCTGTCCAATATTTAGTTAATTCTGAAGTTGGGTTATGTGGTTCTAATACATGAATAACATCAGTTGAACCAAAATCCGCAGTTTCTGTTGATGTAGATTGGTAGGTTTCATTCCAAAATTCAGTAATATATGAAACACTATTTGATGGATATAATACTTCCACAGTATCTGTATTCAATGGTCCATTTTTGATTGTACTTGTCGTGATATAGCTTCCTGTCCAATATTTAGTTAGTTCTGAAGTTGGGTTATGTGGTTCTAATACATGAATAACATCAGTTGAACCAAAATCCGCAGTTTCTGTTGATGTAGATTGGTAGGTTTCATTCCAAAATTCAGTAATATATGAAACACTATTTGATGGATATAATACTTCCACAGTATCTGTATTCAATGGTCCATTTTTGATTGTAATTGTCGTAATAAAGCTTCCTGTCCAATATTTAGTTAATTCTGAAGTTGGGTTATGTGGTTCTAATACATGAATAACATCAGTCGAACCAAAATCCGCAGTTTCTGTTGATGTAGATTGGTAGGTTTCATCCCAAAATTCAGTAGTTGATGTTTCTGAATTTGATGGGTAATAAATTTTAGCTTCATCTGTCATACCTGCTGAATTTGACTCTATAATTGTTGTAGTGTAAGGAAATTCCCAAAACTCAGTCGTTGAGACAATTTGATTGTGAGGATACTCAATAATGACAGTATCTGGAGTCCCTGCTGACTCTTTAATTGTTTTTGTTGATGTAAATGAATTATCCCAGAAGATTGTCAAAGTTAAAGTTGGGTTAGGTGGTAAATTTATGAAAATCGAGTCTACATTCCCCATTGGAGCCGTAATTGTACTAGTTGAAGCGTATGTTTTATCCCACATACTTATTATAGTGGTTGTTGGGTTGTAAGGATAATTTATAATCACAAGATCTGTTGAACTTGGTCCATTTGTAAAAGTATATGAATTTATAATAGAATTATCGTAAAATGACGTCAAAGTAGTTGTAGGATTAGCTGGAAAATCAATAATAACGGAATCCACATCTCCAAATGTACCTGTTTGTGTTGAAGTAGATAAAATTGAACCTGAGTAAAATTTTGAGATTGTTGTTTTTGAATTAAATGGATACTGAATAATCACACTGTCGGTAGCGCCATAGGTTCCTGAAAGAGTGAATGTGCTGACTGATGTTCCTGAGTATAAACTAGTGACTGTGGTTGTCGGATTTCTTGGATAATCCAAAATTAAGGTATTGAGGCCACCAAATGAGTCTATTTGAGTTTCTGAACTTATAACTGAGCCAGTATAAAATCTGGTCGTTGTTGTAGTTGGATTAATAGGATATTTCACAATAACTGAGTCGGATGAGCCAAAATTTCCTGTTTTCGTTTCAGTAGTTAAAGTTGAGCCTGGATAGTATGCTGTCAAAGTACTAGTTGGATTTGAAGGATAATTCAAAAGTAAGGTATTGAGGCCACCAAATGAGTCTGTTTGAGTTTCTGAACTTATAACTGAGCCAGTATAAAATCTGGTCGTTGTTGTAGTTGGATTAACAGGATATTTCACAATAACTGAGTCGGATGAGCCAAAATTTCCTGTTTTCGTTTCAATAGTTAAAGTTGAGCCTGGATAGTATGCTGTCAAAGTACTAGTTGGATTTGAAGGATATTCAATTATAACTGTATCCACACCGCCCATTGAGCCACTTTGAGTAGTTGTACTAAGTATACTTCCTGAATAAAAACTTGAAACTGTAGTTTTTTGATTTTGAGGAAATTGAACAAAAACAGAGTCCGTTTGACCAAAAGAACCTTTTTTAGTAGATGTGGAAAGCACAGATCCACTGTAGAATGTTGATACTGTAGTTGTAGGGTTCGGTGGATAATATACAACGACCAGGTCAGTTTTTGAAAATGAATTCTTTGCAGTTGACATTGATAAGCTTGAACCAGTATAAAATGACGTGACAGTAGTTGTTGGGTTAGCTGGAACTTCAACTATAATAGTGTCTGTATTTCCAGGTGAATTTTTTTGAGTCAACGTTGTTAAAGATGATCCACTAAAGAATTTTGAAATCGTAGTCGTAGGATTTGCAGGATAATTAATAATAACGGTGTCCGTTGCTCCAAATGCTCCTGATTGTGTTGAGGTGCTAACTATACTCCCTGTGTAAAAACTTGACTTTGTTATCTTTGAATTTGAGGGATAAAATATTGATACATAATCGGTGCTTGCTGGTGGATTTTTTTCACTTACAGTGGTTAAAACTGAGCCAGAATAGAAACTAGTGATTGTTTTTGTTGGGTTATATGGATATTCTACAATAACCAGGTCTGTCGAACCCGCTGGGTTTTTTTGAGTTACAGTTGTCAAAACATTTCCTGAATAAAATGTTGTTAATGTTTCTGTTGGATTAAATAAACTTGTAGTAGTAAACCATGAGCCCTGGATATCTGTTGAAATTTCTACTACACCAGCACGAGCAGTAGCGGAGCCATCAATTGTGGTAGTCAAAGTCGTTGTATACTCTATTGGATCAGCTCCAGGTATTGCAGGTGGCAATTTGCAAGCTTGACATTGAGAAGGTACTCCAGGATTTGGTACTGGGCCCTTTATTAGGTTAGTATCCTCATATTTAGTTCTAATTTAACCGTGAGGTTTTTTTTTAATGTTCCAAAAAAATATTTTGGAATAAAAAAAATTGATCTCGGATAAAAACTTACCCCTGAGATCTAAAAAAAAAAAATAAAAAAAAATTAAAATAAAACATACCAGATAAGTGACGGATCCTAATATAGTTGATGGTAAACCAGCACCAGAATCAGTAACAATTGAAAATAATGAACTATCATAGCCTGTACCAATATTAAAGCTTTGTGTTAAAATACCTGCACCGTATAATTTTAAAATACCAGACCTATTATCATATGTATAACCTTTTCTAATAAGTGGAATACCAATCAAAGGTAATGTAAGACCAATCTTATTACCATTACCAAATCCTAGAACATTAAAAGTTTGAGGAGTTGAAATAGCTTGAGCTATAATTGAAGAATCAGAATCTGCTAAATAAAAAGTTTGACCATTTGAAACGGACAAAGCAGAATTTGCAATATAGATTGTAGCATCAAGTTCAGCTGTAATACAACCGGTACCTGAAATTTTAGTTTTTTGTTGATAAACTTGATTGAGTAAACATATTTGACCATTGTTGTTAATATTACCTAATGGTGCTCCTAAATTAACAAAACCTTGATCTCTTTTATTTTGTCGAAATACTAATAAACCATTATTAATCCAATTGGGTGATAAAATTGACATTGTACATGGTAAAATACCAGAAGCAGATAGATACATTTCACCATTATTTGTAAATGATGAACCAATTAAATTATAATTTGATGAAGTTAATGAGGCATCAGAATTAAATGATATAATACCTTCATTTTTAATTGAATTTAAACCACCTAATAATTGAATAGTTAAAGGTATAATAGGTGAAGTACTTGATATATATAAACCACCACCTTTTTCAACATTTATATCACCAGCAAAAACACTAAGTGCATTATTTATAATTGACCAATATTTGCCTCTATTTATTTGAATGCCGCCAGCTCTTATATCAATTGTGCCTCTAGTGACAACATTATCACTAATTGTTAAACCATTCACTAGCGACAGAAGTAACCAAAATGCGTATAATTTTAAGAATAACATTTTGAATAATTACTGATGGGGTTACAAACGTTTAGATGAAAAAAATCGAAAAATCCAATGATATTTATCTAAAATAATCTAACTAAAATTTACTGAAAAATAATCTTCTACTGAGTGTTAAAATTTTGTTTTGAATCATAGAATATTTAATAGAAGCTGCAAAACGAGTAAAAAAAGTATTCTTATGTGCAAAAACGCCTAAAATATATGAAAAGAAGTATTTCAATCTGTGGTTTGAAGCGAAAATCTCGTATTAAAAGTTTAATAAATTTTAGATTAAATAATTTACCTATTGATCACATAATTTGAGAGTTTTGACCATGCATGGAATCTTATAATTATTTCAACACCTAATTGAGAAATTAAATCATATATCAGATGATAAAATACATTCGTATCTTGTTATTCATGTAAGATTCACGAGATGATTCACAGATCGAAAAAATTTTTCTTGTACCCTTTAACGACTTTAAATGCAGAATTAAACATACACTTGCATTAGACATGGAAATGGAAGGATAAATTCTTCAAATTTTGGAAATAAAACAAAAAAACGCCGCAGTACTAAAAAAGAAAGTACATAACCGTAAATTATTTTAATATCGAAATTTCTAATATTTCTTAATTAGTATAAACTTACTAAATACTGTAATTTTGTATTGCTTGCCGTAAACTCTTCCAACCTAAGTACTGACTCAACTACAGTATTTTAGTTATTGATATATATAAAATCTACTATACTGATATCTAAAAGAAAAGCGTTTCATTTAAAAGGGTTTTTTTTAAGTTTTTTTTTAAATTATAATAAAAAGGAAAAACTCTTTTTTAGTTAAATTACACAAAACCAATGATCGTCAAGTTCAAATTTCAAAAACCCTTTTTAAATCTTACTATCAATAATAGGGCTCTTAAGATTTTTTAATTGAAGTGAAAAATTTTCACTAAACTTTACCTTGATCAAATTACGATTAGGTGTTTTATTGGTTAAATAAAATACTGTTTAGAATAATATTTATTCGAATAGGAGATTTTCAATCGGATCACAAAATGAAAAACAACGTGTAATTAAGCTTTAGGCTATTTCTTTTAATTTATATATTCTCACCTGATCTTACATTTTTAAATTTACTATTTCCAAAAACGGTATGTCATCCTTCAAATGTTTGGTGACTAAACATTTTTAAATATCCACAACAAAGTGTGAATTCGATATGACATTTTGCAAGAGGCTCTTTGAACGCCTTATTTGCTTCGGTTTAACTTACTTTATTAGATGAGCACGTACAAACTATTATTATTGTCGCGTTTTAAGTCTTCGACTTATACTTACATCTATTATACTACCGTTTCCGACTTATACTTACATCTTTTATACTACCATTATAGTAACGGTTTTGACTCTTTTTTTTTTTTCTCTTTTTTGCAGTATTGCGCGTTTCAAAGTAAAATTGCGCTTAGATTTAAAATGATTAGTAAAAGGTGTTCAAATTCATACAAAAACTTTCATCTCAAGTGTTTGTTGCATCCTTACTATAGCATATAATTATTATACAAAAAACGGTTATTATGAATAATAAATACATACAACTAATTGTTTTATTCCACATCCTTACCATGGATTCCTGATCAAACACAAGTGAAGAAAATAATTGTGAAGCCTTTAATATTAGAAATTGTACATGAAGGAATTTAATAGGAGGTGTTAAACTAACTTGGTCTTGCCTAGAAATTGCGTATTTGTGCATATATTATTTTGCAGATCTTTTCTATGGCGGCTGATTATAATTTGAATTTATTATTCTGAAGGTTTAGTTTTAAATACGATAGAAGATACAAGGTTGCTAATAGAGCTGACTTATTCGAAAATGTTATGATAGATGTTATGATAGATGCTATGATAGATGTTATGATAGATGTTATGATAGAAGATTAATAAGCATTATTAATTGAGTATCGACAAATGGAAGAAATTAAAATCTTAACATTTCTTAAAAAAATATTTATTTGAACAAATACACATATATGCATAATTCTATAATTCAGTTTTGTATCATTTTTTCAATTAACCGTTTGACTTCTATTGTCCTTGCAAATTATTTTAATTCTTATCGAGAGATTGACATCATGCATTTGTAGGGCAAACTCCATCGTGGAGAAAGTTCTTTAGATCGCCCTGATTTCTAGATCAAAGTGATGAAACAATACAATTAAGTGCTAATTGAGCCTTAGATCAAAGTAGTAGAAATCAATCTAGTCTGATCCGAGCACTTTATTATGCCCAAGATCTCAAATTTTGGTTTATTATCAGTAGAGTCTTCTCAAAAAAATTGCAGATTGGATATATGGTTTACGGATAAGATGATATGGCGATTTTCAAACCCATTGATTGTTAACGATTAACATCAATTATTTTCATCTTATGTATTTGCCGCTTTAGTATAGTTGCTTTGCTTTTGGTTATGACACAAAAAGTAAGTCGAAGTAATGACTTACAATTACTTAAAATGCATAAAATGTAAGACGGGAAAAATTTTACACATCCATTTACGAATGGGCATTTAACTGAGATTTTGCTATCGAAATAGAAAGAATTAAGGCAAGGTTGTTGCAAATCAGAACTTTCTTTTGCAGCGAACAACTATCAAACAGTTGATTAAAAATCTACCAAAGCAATTGTAAAGTCAATACGTCCTAATTTGTTATATCATTAAATTCAAAAGAATAAGTTTAAATTACTTAAAATCCTATGTCTTGTTCTTGGGGGTAGTGCGAATCGATTTAATGATTTTTTTATATGGATGTAAACTGTGCATTTTCCTGCATTGAATTAAAATCGTTTGATAGTTTAATTTCAAAGGATGCACCTTCCAATATAGGAAATAGCCTGCTATACTTGTCAACTGAAAGCTCATGAGTCTAATATAATAATAAATACGACTCGGGTTTAAGAACCTGTTTCTTTATGTAAGATTATTAAAGAGTTTAATAATAGGAATCGCGTTTTAAGCGCACATACGGAGATTTTAAAGTTCTTGTAATATAATAAATTATTGAGGATATGAGCTTCCACATTGTTACTTTTTGAGCAGTTATTGCCCAATAAAATGGGTCATTAAGATGTATTATACGCAAATAAATCATATTAAACGTAAATGACTTCTTCAGCTTTGACTTGATATGCATATTGTGTACATTGTATACCAGTATTAATTAAAGCAATGGATTGTTTACCATTGAAAAATTTTAGAAACTCCATCTTACGATTTTTTGTGAAGTGTGCAATTCAAATTTTATTCACTCATTTATATTCTTGTTAGCATAAACTAAAACTAGCCATAACTCAAGGACGGTACTTTACAACGAAGTAATGGTGCTGATTATGCTTATGAAGCCTATGCAAGTTTAGTACAAAGCTATCAACTAAATTTAGAATCAAATTACGAAACTAAAACTAAAACTATTGGCCAGACGATTGGGAAAAACTTTTAATTTGTTCCTTAAATTTAAACACGATCAACATGAATATAAATTGTATTAGTATTAGTCAATCAAGTGCTCAAGTGTTATTGACTCGACTATCAACCGATCTTTAATTTTAAATTTCAAAAAGCGTTACTCTATTGACGAGTTTGCATGTTGTAAAGATGGTTGAGTTAAGGTCAAAATTCGACTACGATGGAACAACGATGGAACAATTCTCCTCTTGTATTGTTAGTGTATTCGCTAATTGATCATGATTCGTTCAAAAAACGTTGTTCTCTGGACATCCCTACTGTGCTTTGATGGATTTTGAGTTTTCCGAAAATTGTGAAATCATTTGATTTCTCAGAAAAGGACGCTTCAATCTAGATATAAAAATGTAACTATGTAGGTTCCAGACCATTTATGCCATACATACAAGTAAACGAATTTGCGCGTATGTAATGTTATTTTGGTTTGGAATACAAAAAGTGTCTTTGTGATTATGTATCTAAAATGAAATATCTCTATAGATTCAAAACCTTAGGAAAAATAGTTAACAGAATCAAACTCAAAAGACTCATAAGAGTCAAATGTGACTAATTTTGAAAGAATCAGACCTGATTAACGTTTCTTACATAAGGAGTATCAAAATTTCGTTTTTACTTAAATTAATCCGTCATCATCCATCATTATCGCATTTGCTTAGCCCAAAATAGATTACTATAGTCTCTGCTAATGTCAGCTCCTAAAATGTGGTTATGATATTGTAATTTACGCTTCAAATGAATGTTGCAAAAATAAAAGTTGTCAACTTTGAATAGTTGTGTAACAAAATTGGTTTTGCTTTCGGACTGAATGAAGAAATCGCCGATTGGAATTGCTAATGTCTCGCGAAATAGCAGGTTTGGCAAATTCTAGCTATATACAGTTAAACTAGTACCCAAAATCTATAATTTGGTAACTATTTTCTGATAATAAGGCATTAGTTCTGAAACTTGAGGTGTTCGACTGCCCAATCAGGTTTGGTGTATGTGCTACCAATTGTAAGAGCATATTCTGTTTAGTAAATCCAAAGTTAAAAGATTCAAAAGATTGAAAATGTGATGATATTTGATAGTATTAGAGACAATAATGTATCTGCTCGATTTAGTCAATACAACAGTAGATATTGTGATTTGGTTTTAAGTATAAATATTATACATTCTCTAAAATTTCAGATTCTAATTGTGCTTGAGATGTTATTAATTAGGTTTCGTAAGATTTCATTACCTAAATTGATTTTTTGATATTAAATTGAAACACCCAACAACGATTATAACATTAACAGACATGCTCTTTGTATTTCAAACAATAGATTAAATCAAATCGTTCTCCCAAATTTTCAAAATGTTCGTTCAGTAACCTGATTACAGTTACAAAAAAGGTAAACTCTTTGGTTGAAAATTGTAAAGCTAAGTAATGCCTTTGCGATTTCTATAAATCTTGATTGTTCCTCAGAATCAAACATTGCAAACAAGCTTTGTTGTTTAAATAACAATATAAAATTAATTATATATTTGATTAGGTGTATTAAAAAATAAAACAAAATTATGAAACAAAATACGATAGGAGAATCTATTAAAATATTACGAAATTAAACTTGAAACTTTTAAATTATTAGCAAGCAACATTGTAATCGTTATAATTTTTGTAATAAGGATTAAAATGAATCAGTTGAATAGCTGGATCATACCAAATTGGTTGCTGTTGTTGATGGTATTGATGATGAAAGTGATGTTGTAGTTGTTGTTGTTGCTGTTGCTGTTGATGGTGTTGAAGTTGATAATAATGATGATTATTATTATATGGTGGTTGTTGATAAATTGGACTTGAATTATAGTAATTATAATTTGAGTTTGTATTACTAGTAAAATAGTAATTTGGTTCAATATTGTTATTAATTGAATTTGTTGGCGAATGATTATATTTAATAGGAGAAGAATTTAAGCTAGTTTCTTCTTGTCTCAATTTGTAAGTCTCCCAACATTCTTCAAGAACTAAAATATTTGATTCAAATTGAGTAGTAGATAATGAAAATTTGATTTCTTCTAGCCATTCTCTTTCCAATTGGTTGATTAATAATAAATCTAAATGACAAGCACCTGACCAACTCTTGTTTGTAAATGTATTATCATCATTAAACTTATTAGCAAGGATTAAAGCTATGACAATAAATTCAAAAATTTGCTCATTTTTCAAATATGTATTGTGTTTGGAGAATCTTTGATTAAGATATTCTAAAGCAATAATTATACTTGAAGTTGGTAATCTGGTGGCATACAAAATAGCACTAATTGATCTCGATATGTTTGATGCTGAACTGTTATACTCTTGTTTGAGAATACCATAAGAGCACCACGCTATAAAATTGGCCATGGTGTCCATGTTATATTGAACATTTTCTTCAATACCGCCAGTAACAACCTTGCTTTGAATTTGTGGTTGTTGGTAATAGGTATTACCATAGGTATTACCTAGATTGTTATAAATTATTTGATGTTGAAACATAACCTCTATAATGAATAAATTAGTTTTTTGAAAGATGATAACTTAATATCTCCTTCTGATTTTTTTTTTTTTGGTTAAGTTCAAAAAGTAAGAACTTAAATAGATTTGTTGTGGTTGGTAAATAATAAAAACTATCAGAGATATATACAAGACTATTCAATATATATATCTTTATACCTAATAGTTAGTTATTATGTGAATTGGTTGTAAAAAGAAGAACGAAAAGTTGGAAAAAAAAAAAAAAAATTAATCAATAAAAAGTTTTCATGAATTTTGATGAAAAAGAAAAAAAGAAAAAAAGAAAAAAAGAAAAAAACAATTTTGTAATAATTCTAGATTAGGTTGTGCGGCTTTATCGTTAAGTAATGTATTATGTAATCTGGGCCCAAAACTCAAAAGAATAACACAAAATGTGATGGTACAATTAAATTCATATGAACCAGTGGCTTTCCATAACTGAATATGAACTGCTGTGTGAGAAATAACGAGCATTTCCAAAGAAGAGCTATTTGACAGAAACGTTCGAAATGTAGTCCTTTGTTAACACAACAGACGGTATATAAATACCTTAACTACTTCACTTTAATCTATCAACAACTCATTAAATTAGGTAAAAGATTACATAAGAAAATAGAAAAATAGGAAAACAGAAATTTTTAGACTTGCACGAAAAGAAATTTGAAAAGTTTAATTAAGAAAAATTTTGAGACACGCACGTGTTTTTTGAAAAACAATTTATTGATAGTCAATCATCATGATTATCATTATTATTATCATCATCTTAATACTATTCTGTCTGATGTAATATTTGATGTAATATTTGTCGTTATATATCAGCAATACTAATGTTTGCATTTCTCTGAACATGACAACAACAAATTTGCTCGATGATGAATAAAAAGTCTTCCTACTTTAACCGCTGATTTTGTTTTAGATGATGAATGCGCATAAAATTGTTTGTTATATTGAATCTAGATTTGCATTACTATAGATCAAAATCTGAAAAATTGGTTTTAAGAATGTGAATAGTTATAACTTCTATAAAGCTTCAAGTATAATTATAATTGAAGATCATCAAACACATTTTGTTTATAACATTATAAACTATAAACTTTTGATATTGTATATTGTTCCTATTTGTTAAGCATTTTGAAGTATTTTCATTGATTTTTTCATCCCACTGTTCCGTACTCCTTTTTTTTTTTATAAAATAAACAATACCTGACCTATTATTTCTTTAAACTTCATGATAGTTGTTGATACTTTATAGGTATGTATGAATATCTAAATTTTAATCTAATTAACTACAGTTGACTATTGAAGTTATTGAACGTCAAGATAAAAAGGTTTTATCATCAAATCTAAATTTTAATCTAATTAACTATAGTTAACTAATGAAGTTTTATAACGTCAAGATAAAATAATTTTATCATCAAATCGTTGTATATGTATGTATTACATCGTTATAAAAAAACAAAATAACAAGCTCGCTTTTACATCCATTCTCAAGCAAATCTGAAGATTTTACATTAGAATGACTTTCGCTTTGATCCATTAAAATCTATATATAATTAATACTAAACCTTTTACATTTCTAGATTACCAAAACTAATTGATTAAATTAAACAAAGTCATTGATTTCAATACTTACTCGATTAGGTAGTCTACAGCCGCAAACTCTTAATTATCATTATATTAAAATATATTTTTTCTCGTGTACCCCATCCCAAATTGTAAACAAAATAAACAAAACAAACAAATAAACAAACAAACAAACAAACAAACAAACAAATCATCAATTTATTTTATTTAATAGAAATTAATTTAATCAGAATAATCAATCAAGTTCTTTCAATTAATGTCTTCAATTCCTTTATATCTTAAGATTAAAGATTCAGTATCAGCACTAAAAGATGATGGCTATAACTATAACTATCAACCATCTTTTAATCAAACATCAACAAGCTCTATTTCATTTAATGATGTAAGTTATGATTTTAAACAAATTTTAAATTCAAAGTCAACAAACTCAGACTATATAAACTTGATTAATTCACCTTCAAATTCTTCATGTATTATTCTTATGGGCCCAACGTCAAGTGGTAAAACAACATTATTAAAATATTTAATTCATTTAAAAATCAAAACTTTTTCAGATTCTTCACAAACGCCTTTCATTTCGAGTTTTGAAATTTCAAATAATAAAAATATAATCGATTTATTAGATGACAAATCCATTTCAATAATGAGTAATTCTGAAAATAATTTAACTAGATCTAAATTAACCATGGATATAATCAAATCAATTTTTAAAAAAAGATTAACTAAACCAACCAAATTTAATTCAAATAGTTCCAGACTGTGTCTTGTTATTACTTTCTATTATCAAGGTATAAGATCTACATTTATCGATTTAATGGGTAACGAAAAATCAGGGGAGAATAAATTTGCAAATTTGAATATCAGTTCAATTACACAATTAATGATAAATAAACAAAATAGATCAAATAATTTTATTACAAATTACATCTTCAAGAGTAAAGATCTAAAAATTGTTTTGAATTTGGATCCATTTGGTGATGAAAAATTAATTAAATCTAATTTGGAAAATATCGTTAAAGTTGTACTACAATTTAAATTTAAATTACAAGACAAGAATGTTGAAAATACCACAAGACTTTCACCTCCAAATTATACAAAACCAACAATGAGTTCACATTCATTTGGCGATAATAAAAAGAAAGAATTTAAAATATTCAAATCGCCTACAAAATCCGTTTCATCTGTTAAAGTTAAATTAGAATCAATAATAAAAGAGAAACTAGAATTGAAGAAAACATATCTTGAGAATGTCTTAGGTTTCAAGAATGATATTACTGAGTTTAGAGATGAATCTAATAAATTATTTACATTAATTAAAGATTTAGAATTGAAATTGACTCATTTAAATAATGAAAATAAAAGTATAACCGCTGAAAAAGAATCATATGTCAAAGAGTTAGATCAATTAAAACTGCAATATATTGACATTAAGGAAAATAAATCTAGATTAGAAAGTGATATAAACCAGTATGAATCAAAGATTTTAACACAAGATAAAGAAATAAAGAATTTGAAAGATTTAATTAGATTGAAAGATGACAACTTGAATGGGTTGAATGAATTAAAATCACAACGTGATGAAATTAAGAAATCTAAATCAGCTTTACTTCAAAATATCAATGAGTATAAATCTCAAATTGCAGATGTGAATAAAAAATTAGAATCAAAAGACAAGGAAATTGCAGATTTACATGATGCAAATTCATTAGCTAATGAACAATTGAACGAGAAAAAAGCACTAGAAGCAGAATACAAATCTAAAGATGCTTCAATTGAAGAGTTAAGATCAAGTATTCTTTTAAAAAATAATAATATTTCAAATTTGAATCAACAATTACTGGAAAATGAGAGTAAGATTAGATCATTGAAAGAAGAATTAGATAATGCTAACAAAATTTTCAAAATGGAAATTGCTTCCAAAGAAACAACAATTGAGCAATACAAATTAAAAGAGATTGACAACATTGGGATTATTGACTCTTTAAACTCACAAATTAAACAATTAAACAAAGAACATGTTAACGTCGTTGAGTCATTGAAGGAAGAGATTAAAAAACTCAAGTTAAACTCAGCTTTAATTGAAAAATATAAAAGCACAATCAACGATTTAGAATTTCAAAGAAAATCAGTAATTGAAGAAAAAAATCAACAAATTGAATCATTACTGAATGAATTACAAAATTTCAAAAATAATTTTAAGTCCGATGAATCATCAATTGAAGAGTTCAACAAGACTATAAATGAATTACGATCACAACTTAAAACAACGAATAAGGAAAAAGACGAAATGATTGACAAATTGAAGCAAGAAAAATTAGAATTTGAATCTCAACTTGATACAAAAGAAATAGCAATCGAAGAATATTATAGAATTATACATGACTTGGAATCGAGAATGAAAATCTTGAATGAAGAAAATGATAAGCAAGTTCAGCATTTAAAAGATAAATTGAATAATATTCAATCAAATGAATCCGAACAGATCAAATCATTAAAGGATCAACTTGAATCATTAAAATCATCATCTCAACAACAATTATCACAATCTGATCAAAAATTTAAAGCTTTAAAGTTCGAATTAGAATCGGATTTAGCAATTGAAAAACAAATGAATTTAGATTCACAAAATAAATTGAAAGCAAAAATTGAAAATTTAAAATCACAATTAAAAGAAAAAAACGAATCAATGAGTTTAGTTTCAAATTTCAATAAATTGGATGATACTACTAGATTTACATCTGATCAAATTTACAATGATGAAAATCAAAACATCTTTTTAGATAATAGTAATAATGATAGTTCATCAAGATCTTCCAGCTCATCACCATCTAAATCGAATAATAAGGATAATATATTAAAACTAAGTAATAAATTTGATAACAAAATGTCATACAAGAAGTTATTCAAAGAGTCAAGTAAAAATAATTTGAAAAGAAAGTTAGATTCTAGAAAATCTTCAATGAGTCCAAATAAAATGTCCAAAAACAAAGTTAAAAAATCTCCAACTAAAGATGTCATTACAATCACTTAAACAAGACAAAATCCAGGAACTCTTAAACCAACTAATAAATAATATCATATAATATACGTTGATTAAAGTTAACACACACGTCTACCAATTATTTAAAATTCTCAATCTAAAAAAAGAAACAAAAAAAAAAAAATGCGCGTTTCAGATCTAAGATCGGTTCAATCATAGATCTGAGATCTGACACAAAAATAATGTATACCGAAAACGCGCAATAAAAAAAAAATTTGAAAAAGCTATTGAAAATTAGCAAATTTCAAACTAGCATTACACACTCAACTTGCATTTAAAATATGTTGTTCTTGTTATCATTCAAAAGAGAATTTTTTGCTTAATCTATATTTGTTAGTTTAAAATTGACTGTTTTTATTTTTCTTAACAAAATCTGCATTTTTTGGCACTTGTTAAGCTGAAATTGTATAAAGTAATTCCAGATTTACTTCCAATGCTTGCAAGTTAAATAAATGGCGTGACTCTACATAGTTTATTGAATTGTTAGACCATGAAAAAATTTGAATTGGTTCTTATTCAAAAGTTGATGATAGGAATAAAGGAATAAATTTGGACAATTTGATATCATGCAACCTACATGTTGATCAAGCTGCTCTATAGTCAGTTGTCAGGTAGAGATTATTACGATAAAATAAATTAAGGCTGACCAGAGTACGGCAATAATTTGGTGCGGTTCTGTGAAGCACATAATGATGGCAGAGATACTGATGAAGTCAGATATGAACCAATCGGTGATAAAATGAAAGGTCAAAATATCTAAGTTGAAGGATATGATAAATAAACAGATCACAATGTAAGTCAAAATACTAATTTTGGAGAGTATGATCACATATTATAGAAAGAGAGAGTATACATACTAAAAAAGAGTATGGTCAATTAGAACATGAAAAGCAAGATGATCTAAAAGATTCTAGAGCTAAAAATGATGTATAGCAACTTTAGAACAGTATACCACAAATATTGGCATTAAATAAAGCACATCAGCTATACTAGAAATTGCTAATAAATGTCGAAGTGTTAGTTATCTTGTAAAATAGTGTTTTCTCGAATTTTTCAATGACGATTTAAACTGTCGATATTATGTTTATCCAGTAAAAACTAACATTAATTTACTCTAAAAAGTTTGATAATTATAATGAAGTTAGTTTGGGAAATAGAGCTTGACTATTGGTGGAGTTATTTACAATTTAAATTTCAAGATTCACTTGGGACTGCATATAAGGAATTTTGTTTCAGAATTATACTACAAGTATGCGCTATTCAATGCAAAAAAATGAAGCGGCAGAAGAGTTTATCGTGCTACCTTTGGGGCGATCTCGTGCTATCTAAATTTGATTATATGGCATGAACATCGCATTTTCTCGAGTCAATGCATTAATGCTTTACTAAATGTATTTTTAGAAAAGAAGCTATTCTGTAAATTTAATCATACAGAGATATAAGTATCTAACAACTTAAGAGACCGTAGACTAACTGAAAAAATAAAATTGGTTTAATGTTTTAAAATTTCGTTGATCTTTATAAACCGTAATCGAAGATTACAACGCATGGTTACGCTAGAAATCTAAAATCCAGTGGATTTAATCAATGAAATCTCATTTTTAATATCAAAACTTTTATATTATCATTATACAGTTCTTCTATCAGTTAAATATCTTGCAATTGGACCTAATCCAGTTACTTCAACAGTTTTTTCAAACCATTGTAATAATAACCCACCTTGCTTTTGACCATAATCAGTAGACATATTCTTATATAAATATTTTATTAATACATCTTGTTGCTCATCATTTAAATCAATTATGAAATTTTTTAAATCTGATAATTTTGAATTATTATTCTTGATTGAGCATAAAATTTCAAATATAGTTTTTGAATGTATTTCTTTAGTTTCTTCTTCAGCAATATATGGAACATTATCTAAGCCCAAGATTAATGCATTTTGAAATTGTCCCAGTGATAAATATGATCTAATTTGTTGTGATATTTCGATAATTTGTTGTTTTGTAGTTTCTGGAATATTTGTTGGAATCAATTCTTCTTTAGTTAAATGTGAATCTGGTTCTAATGCATCAATATCAATCTTTCTCCAATCTGAATTCATGTTGATTGTTTAATAAATTTGTTGATATTGTGAATATAAATTTGTATGATTTTAATTTTTCGTCCGTCGAAAAAAAGGAGTTCTGTTGCAACTATTAAATAGAAAAAGATAAAAAAATAAATAAAAGGTTAGTATGGGTAGAGGGATGAATGAGAGATGAAACAATGTGAATTCACATCATTCTCAGTGGACATAGTGAATTGAGCAGCAAGCTAAGCTAATTCTTGAAAAAGTTAATTGTTCTATATTACAATTATCCAATAATGTGATATGCTCTTCATATCTTATTCATACTTTGGTTTTCTTGCTTGTATTATCTTCCTCTTCATTTGTATTCTCCAATTTTTTACTTAATTCATTATCATAATCTTCTATAAACTTTTGAGTTTTATCAAATAAATCTTTTGATTCAACTATTATAATAACTAAACCATCTGATCCAACTTCATATTTAATTTTACCTTCGTTTGGTATAGCTATTGACTCATCAAACTGATCAAAAAATTCATTCATTAATTTGAAACTTTGTATGTTATCTAATAAAATTTCTTCCATTTCATTCTCTTTCTTTGAATTTTCTTCTTTTTCATCTTTAGCATCATCTATGTTTTTCATATCCTCTCCATTTTCATTAAATTTGTTGTCTATAACTAGTATTATCCTTATAGGATTATCTAATTCTTCATCTGATGGTATATCTGACATAATGTAATTTTGAAACAAATTAATTTTAATTTTTTAAAGATGAGAAAAATATAAAGAGTTGCAAAATTAAACAAATAATCTATAAAAAATACTTGTATATTATTACAACTTAAAGTCTCTACTTGAATTATTACTTTCCATAGACTTTAAGTCGTGGTTAGCTAGTTAATCTTCCCATTCTTTAAATTGGTTAATTAATGATCTAGTTGATGGATCATGAGTGTTAACTGGTTGTTTATCATCTAATTCTTTACCAATAACTTTAGCTAAAACTTTACCTAATTCAACACCCCATTGATCAAATGAATTGATGTTCCAGATAGCACCTTCTGTAAATGTAACATGTTCATAATAAGCAATTAAAGCACCTAAAGCAGCTGGAGTAATTTTTTGAGCTAAAATTGAAGTTGTTGGTCTATTACCAGAAAATTCCTTGTGAGGAACTAAACCTCCAGTAGCACCTTCTGATCTAACTTGATCTTCATCTTTACCAACCATTAAAGCTTCAGCTTGTGCAAAGAAATTTGATGCCAACATTCTTTGATGTAAATTATTTTCAATTGGATTTTGTGATTGAGCAGCCAAGATAAAATCAGTAGGTATTAACTTAGTACCTTGATGTACTAATTGGAAAAATGAATGCTGAGCATTTGTAGCCGGTTCACCAAATAAAATTGTACCAGTTTGGTAATTTGTAAAAACATTTGCTCTTGTAACTGATTTACCATTTGATTCCATTGAAAGTTGCTGAAGGTAGGCTGGAAATCTATGTAAATATTGATCAAATGGTGCAACTAAATGAGTTTGAGCACCAAAGAAATTATTGTACCAAACTGAAATTAGACCACCTAAAACTGGAATATTATCTTTTAATGGAGTATTTAAGAAATGTTGATCAACAGCTTCAGCACCTTTTAAAAAGTTTTCAAAATTAGTAAAACCAATGTCAATTGCAATTGATAAACCAATAGCAGACCATACAGAATATCTACCACCAACCCAACTTTCAAAACCAAACATATTTTTTGGATCGATACCAAAAGCTTCAACTTCTTTTTCATTGGTTGATAAAGCAACAAAATGTTTTGCAATATCCTCAGTTTTAGCTGTTTTTAAAAACCAATTTTTAGCTGAATTTGCATTTGTTTTAGTTTCTGCAGTAGTAAAAGTTTTTGAAGCAATTAAAAATAAAGTAGTTTCTTGATTTAAACCTTTTAAAGTTTCAGCAATATGAGTACCATCAACATTTGAAACAAAATAAACATTTAAACCTGGTTGTTTATAATGTTTTAAAGCTTCAGTAACCATAACTGGACCTAAATCAGAACCACCAATACCAATATTAACAACATCAGTAATTTTTTTACCAGTATAACCTTTCCAAGAACCATCTCTAACACCATCTGAAAATTCCTTCATATGTTCCAAAACTTCATTAATTTCTTTTGTAACATCTTTACCATCAACCTCCATTTTTCTATTTGATCTATTTCTTAAAGCTACATGATAAACAGCTCTATCTTCAGTAGTATTAATATGATCTCCTTTAAACATTTCATCTCTTAATTTTTCGACATTTGCTTCTTTAGCTAATTCGATTAATTCATCTAAAATATCTTTATTAATTAAATTTTTTGAATAATCAAACAAAATCTTTGAACCATCATAATTAGTGAAAATTCTTGAAAATTCATCAAATCTTTTTGGATCTTTTGTAAATTCTTGTTTTACAATTAATTTTTCACCTTGCGTTTTATATAAATTTTGTAATTCTTTCCAAGCAGGTAATTCAGAAGCTAATTTAAAAGATGCTTGAGACATAATTGAATAGTAATTAGATCAATTGAGTATTTGCAACACTAATTGAAAGAGTAAAAATATAAAATAATTATAAAATGTTGGAAAGCAATTGAAATTTATACTTTGAATTTTCGACTCTCTCCCGAATAAAAATTATAATAGAAAGAAAGAAAGAAAAAAAAAAAAAAAAACATTTAACCGTTGGTGCATTATAATTAGGGAACTACCATGTGTATTAAACTATTATTAATTTATTAATAGATTATTGTGGATTAACCGGATTTATCTTATAACTAGTTGCTTATTACTTTGATATAGACCAATTAATTATTACTGAACTTAGTTTCATTTCATTTTGATATAGACCAATTAATTATTACTGAACTTAGTTTTCATTTCATTTCATTTCAGTTCATTTCGTTTCATTTCTTTGTGTTTTTGAAATTACGAGAAATGACTAACCAATTATTAATTTTAATCTTAACAAAGAACTCAATAAACTAATAAATTTATAAAATAAATTTAAAACAAGTTCTTACTGTTATTATACTATATTATTCAAATGTTGTACCTGATGCAATTGTGAAATCATCTGATGTAATAATTAATGACAAGTAACAAAAGTAGACATCAAACAAAAGTAGACATCTAACAAAAGTAGACATCAAACACACTTATTTAACTACAAATGTACATACTCACAATAGACCTCGACCTCAAGTGTATATAATCGATTAAGGGTACCTACTCCAATTACTTTTTATCTTTTTTCATTTTTTTCATGGTTTATTGATTGTAGTTTTGTTTTCTATGCATGGAATAATTTTTTATTAGATATGCATATAATATTAAATTTCTTCATTTAAATATTATTTAACAAGATCAACAATTTTATATAATGACAGGATTAGCCTCAAAATGGGCAGATGATGAGTCTTTAATTAATGAAGCTAATTCCCAAGATAAAATTCATTCTCCAACAAAACTAAAAGGTAATCGGGATAAACCAATAAATGTCGAAAAATGTCAAAAATTACAAAGTAAATGGGCCGATGCTGATAATATTAATATACATCAAGATAAAGAAAAGAATAAAGACAATAATTTCTCGTATCTAACTCCACCAGCATCCAGAAATCTGCATCAAATAGAATATAATAGTGGAAATAGGAGATATGATACGCAAAATAGCGCAAGGCATCACCACGAAAGACTTAACAGACAGGAGCAGTATGTAAACGACAGACAAGGACGGTATACAAACGACAGACAAGAGAGACAAGAGAGACAAGAGAAGCAAGAGAGACACGAGAGACAAGAGAGACAAGAGAGACAAGAGAGACACGAGCATAATAATTACAAGCAGAATAAACACGATAATAATGATACCAATAGGCATGATCATAATAATAGGAAGTATATTAACGAACATTATTCAAATAAAGAACATCGTGGACATTTTAAACAAGGAAGAGACAGTAGACATGATAGAAAACATAATGAATATTATTCCAATGAGATTAGTTCAAACACAATTCATACTAAAAATGTTCAACATGGTAATGATTTCACATTAAATGGAAAAGATGATGATGATGATAGAATTGCAATGACGCCAGCTGCGAAAGCTTTGGCTGATAGACTAACATTGGCGACAACGAGTAAGTCAAATGATGATGTAGATTACAGCTATGCAAAAATAGATCATGATGAAAGAGAAAGAGAAATATCGAAGCATGAAATATCCAAGAATAATCCATTACTTGACAGACTTGAAACATTAAGTCTAAAGAATAAAACAACAAGCCGTTCTAATAAGAACCGTAAACAGAATAAACAAGTGTCAAGTCATCATGAAATTCCAAAACAAAGAAAAGAAAGTGAATTGGTCGAACAAGAGAAACAAAAACAATTGGAACAAGAATTAAAAGAAGAACAAGATAAAAATGATTTATTGAAGATGTTAGAAGATTTAGAAGGTAAGAAATTAGATTGGGCCAGTTTTGATTAGAATAAACTAGAAATTAAATTTATTATAGACCTTTAATTTACGAGATTATATTTTATATTTTTTTTTTTTTTGTCCCCATACTTTTTCTATCGACCGATTATACTAAAATCAATTATACATACATTAATTGATGATTATTAGAGCAATCAAGAATACTCAAAAACATAGATTCTCACAATTAAAATTCTCAAATTTATTTAATCAATCACGCTTCATTAATTTATCAACTCAGAAATCACAAAATTCAGCAAAATCGAAGTATGATCAAATCATAAAAGATGCTGTTAATCAACATGCAACATTGAATTATAGATCAAAAATACCAATTCATACTAAATTGCTTTTGGTTTTATTGGCTAGCTCAACTGCAATGTTTATATATGTCATGAGTGAATATTTCAAATTTCGTTATTCTAAAATTGACAAGAAAAGATCAATCTTTATACCTATATGGTTTAATTCAAATTTAATAAATAATAGATACAAGTTTTATAATGACTTAAAATATGTAGATGTTGAATATTTCAATTACGTTAAAGATAATGTTGATTTAAAAACTTTTCAGGATGAAAATATAAATTATGCCTTGCTTGAACAATTATCAAAAAATCAGAAAATTAAAGAAATCTTTGGTTTACCTTTAACTGTTGAAATATTAGAAGCTGATAAGTTTAAAATTTGGGTTGAAATACCTTCTAATGTGTCAGGTGTTCAAATTGATATGGGAAAAGAAAAAGAATCTACGTCATATAATCTCAAATGGATAATTAAACCCTTGAATTTCAAGTCTATCAGTGATTATAGTTCTGGAATAACTTTTGATAAATTAGAAACATCAAATGCCAATATAAAAACTCATGAAAACTCAAGTGGTAAACCATATGAATATGCAGAAGAAGGAGAACTGTGCAAGAATCGAAATTATTCAATTAAATTTGAAAATATGGTAGTTATAAAAGATAAAGATGAACAGAAATTAGGTTTAGTTAAATATTTGGGAATTATTGATTTTAATCATTTACAAATTAATAAAGGAGTTAAAATAATTGCAATTGAATTAAATTTTGATGGAATTAATTATAAAATTATATAAATTACAAGAATTGAAAAAAAATGTATGCAATGTTTTTAATTTTATTTTTGAAATCACTCTTGTGGTGGTACACTATTACCTCTTAAAGTCAATGGATAATGTTCTTCTTCTTCATCATCATCATTATCATCAACACCTAAACCTAATTTGAATCCAACATAATCCTCAGTATTTAATCCTTCTTGAGCTTCTTGTAAAGAACCTAAATCTCCAGGAGTCATTAAACCAACTTTTGATCTTGGTGAACCAGGTACACTTAAAGGTCTAGTTAATTTTAAATTTGATGTATTATTAAATGGATTTGCACCATTTTTAAACTTATCAGGATATGCTCTTTTCAATGATAATTGTCTTGCTTTAATATATTCCAAACCCATTCTTTTCCAATCTAATAAATCACTTAATCTTTCAGTTCTATTTCTTTGATTAATTCTTTGTCTTCTTGTTTTTTCACAAAATTCAAACATATAATCAGTTAATTGATTAATTGATTCATCAACACTTTTCATTCTTCTATCAACTATATAAATACCATAATCACTTGTATTTTCAATCAAATCTTCCATATAACAACCAAAACCTGATAAATTGGTAGTTATTGATGGAATTCCCATAACTGTACATTCAGCAGGTGTATAACCCCATGGTTCATAATATGAAGGGAAAACTCCTAAATGACAACCTCTTACAAATTCATCATAATCTAATGATAATATTGGATTATTTGCATTTAAAAATTCAGGATGAAAAATTATTTTAACTCTATCTTCAGGTCTATTAAATAATTGAACTCTTCTAATTTGATTTAAAATTGGATCTGTATGATCATCAACCATATTATGAGTAACAATTGGTGGTAAACCTTCTCTTTTCAATGCATAAATTCTTCTTTTTAATAAAACTCTATCGGCAGGTTTAATTAATTCATCAATTGTTGGTACTTCACCATGTAATGATTGACTATTTGGAAATCTTGCACAATGTTCAAATAATCTTTCACCCACTTTCTTTTGAACTTCTTCAATTGTTGTTTCCAATTGTTTAATAACAGCTTGACCTTTTAAAGTTTCAACAGTATAAGATTGTGTTTTACCAGGCATTATAATAAATGCAACAACTGTCATTTTAGATCCAACTTCTTTTAATTTATGATTTAATCTAGCTAATGATTCAATGAAAAAATCACAACCTTTATTTCTAAACTCATATCTACCAGCAATGAAAAAATATAATGTAGTATCTAATTCAAAATCATAATTACCATAAAAATGTCCTTTAACAAATTCATTAATTTTTTCCTTTTTAACAGCATGTAAATTTTGAAATTCATGAACAGCTTGAAATTTAACAACATTTAAACCATTTGGTAAAACACCATCGGGTTTTCTTTTTAATAAATGCTCCGATTCAAACGCAGTTATATGTGAAACAGTTGTAAAAACATCAGCTGAATGAGTTGCAGATCTTTCAATACAATAACGATGATATATACCTCTTTTACCAGCTTCTGCATCAACATCAAAATTAGCTAAATTATTATAAAAATCAATTGATCCAGCACATAAATATCTACCTAATAAAGTAGCATGAGTTGTAAAAATTGTAGTTACATCAATTCTTCTTTTTCTACATAATGGTAAAGCAATACCAGCTAACCATTCATGACAATGACATATAACAGCTCTTTCTCTATCATTATAAACCAATTCACCTAAAAACCATGCAACTAAATAACCTAATAATATAGCATCATTAGTTTCCAGATCATGATCTGGTGTTGGTATACTAGCAACATTCCAAAGATCCGCTTTCCATTCATTAAGATAATGACCAGCAGACCATATATCAAATAATAAAACTCTTGGAGCTCCTTCAATTAACCATCTACCATATAACCATTTAATTCCTTTTGAAGACATCGAATCTAAAGTTTGTTTCATTAACGGATCTTTCACAGGTAATTCTTCAACTTCAATTTGAGCTGAATTATAATTTAATGGTCCAGTTAATGTATAACGTTCTCTATATTCAGCAACTGTAATTGGAGCTTTTGATTTTAAAACTGAATAAATACCACCAACTTTATGAGCTACCTCAGTGGCAACTTCAAATAATAAATGATTCGTTATATCTCTTGTCATTTTGCTCTAATTATTTTATACAAAACTATTATAAATCAATCAATTTTGGAAATATGAAGAAGAATATAAATGTTTGACAAAAAATGCTGGTACTAAAATATAAAATTAAATTGTCCGAAAAGGGGCGACAACCAAACAAAATGAGAAAGAAAAATGGCACTAAAAAAAAATAATAAAATTACCTTTAATTAGTTTAAGTGGAGACAAACAATTTAGTTTATTAAATTTCACCTCTTAATTGGATTAATGAATGATACTATAACGGTAGGTTTTGTTATATGTAGTTTAATCGTTGTGTAAATGAAAATCCAAGGGCTTTTATATTGATAGGTGGGAAAAAATTGATCAAACCGATCTTTAATATGAGGTGATGTGGTCAAATTTATAATTTTAGACATGATCACCATTTAAATTACAAATAGCTTATCAATTTAGATAATCACTGACACTGATCTATGATGTTTAAAATGATTTAGCTGCAAAAGATATCGTTGATAATTCTTTTGTTGAGTTTAAATTACAAAATCAGATTATTTTGCAACCAAAGTAAAATCTTGTAAATCAATCTCAAAATAGAACAATTCGGATTCATTTTTGTTCCACTTCTATGTGCATAGTGTCAGTCCAATTTTGGAACTTTTTGAAAACAATAGTGAACTGAAGTTCAAGCTAATCTTTATAGAAGAAGATCTCAATGCTTATTCAAATTATATCGATCGAGTTTTTGCTTAAACTCCAGAAAATTATGAGCTTTAAAAAATTACTCAATTCAGAAAAGTTAAGATTTTGTAACATAGTTGTGTATTGATCAATTTATTATCACCAAATCTCTCACCACTTTTGAAAATCTTGACTAAAAATTTACGAGATTTTAACAAAGGATACACGACCTGGATTTATCGAAAAAGGGGTACATTGATAAGATAACTGGTCTGTACATTACGTCAAGTTTAAGTAATAGCAGTTTATTCTAGTTTAGAGCTTGTTGTGCATTTTATTTTGCAAATTCGAGTGGCTAAATTTAAACGGTACAAAGAATTTTACTAAAACTATCCTTTGTTGAGCTAGAAGTCGTCTATGAAATAAAACCAGTAAAGTTCATGGTTAAATTGAATAGATTAGGCTTCAACATGCGTATTAAATCCGGTGCATTTTGCGTTATAGCATTCACTTTGACTTTACCTGGTAAATAAACAATAAATAATACGCTACAATCAAACACCAAACTATTTCACATTAAATAAATTATTGATATCTGTAGATCAGAGTTCTGTAGATCAGAGTTAATAAAGCAAAATAATAGAATTCAAGGGCTCAATCATGATTTATTATTCAAATCATAATAATTTTTAGAATTATTCGTTACGCTTATTGAACGCATAATAAATTAAACAAAAATATTTTCAGCTTAATACGAACTTCTTTTTCACATTTATATAACTATTATATGTTGTTTTCAACAGAAAGTGAATGTATACCTTTTAAAGGTCGATTATCGGCATTTGCAACAAATAAGAAAAATCCATTTTGGAAACATCCAAACAAAATTATTCAATTTAATAGAAAATTGTTTTATGATCTTGATCTTGATCCAATTCAAATGGAAGTAAATATTCAATTTTTAAATGAATTATTAGAGAAAAAGCTTTGGTCATTCATTCTTGAATTGAGACATATTTATGTATTTTTCAATAGAAGTGTAAACGAAGATGCTTTTGATGCTACAGAACAAGGAATTACAGTAGCGGTTAGTAAATTAACATCAAATATTCCCAGATTACCAATGTTTATGTCTATAAAAGAACAAAGATTTTTATATAATAACTTTAGTACAATCTTTAAACAAAATAAGATCTTGAATAAAACAAATTCAAATTTCAAGTCAGTTAAATTTGATTTCTTTTACAAATTATATATGAAAATTCATTTGGACGTAACTTATCAAATTAATTTGAGTATTAGAAATAAATATTTTAATGGTAATTTAATGATGCTTGGAATTTTTTTATTGATGAATGAATTGTTTGATGTTCCAAATGATAATCATAACAGGCAACGAACTCCATTATTAAAAGCTCGATATCAAGGTTCAAAATAGTTTCAATTACATTAGTTGTATAGTAATATATTACATAGCAATTTCTAATTTCGTTAAACATTAAAGTCCCAATTTTTTCATTTCTGCTTTATAATCAAATTTTTTATTTTTAAATTGTGACAAGAATTCATCATAATTTAACATTTTCTCTTTAAATGATACCATTTGATGCAGTTTATTCATTTCTTCAACTTGTTTTAATGCATATAATTTAATGGAAGGATGAAGAGGATTTTTTGAATGATTTCCCATTCTTCTTTTTATGACACATTTAGGACAATTTAAATATGTCTTACATGCGGGTGGCTCATCTTTTGATCTAATTCTTTTACAACCACCACATTTTCTATCTGATGAAGATTTAGTTGAATTTGATTTTGATTTTGAAGACTCTAATTTTGGTTTCTTTCTAAGCCTTGCCTTACCATTTCTCAGGCTTTCATTTTTTGTTTTTTCTTCTTTATTCATATTCATATCTTCATTCTCATCATTTTCACTACTACTACTATCTGAACTTTCGTCATCGTCATCTTGTACAATTTCCACTTTTTTTGGTTCATCCTTTTTATCTTCTTCCTCAATACAATCATCTTCTTCATCTTTCTCTGGTTCTTCTTCTTCATCATCATCACTCGAACTCTGTTGATCATTTTCAATTTTCAAAAGTTCTTTAGCGTAATCAAACTTTTTCTTTTTGAATTTTGACATAAATTCGTCTTGTAACAAAATATCTTCAAATTCTGATAATTTCTTTCTATGAGTAGATAATAATTGTTTAAATGCGTATAATTTTGTTTGATTATTAAAATTCTCAAATATTTTAACATCTTTTGATGCCTTATAATATCTCGTTAATCTACAAATTGGACATAAAACCAACATCTTATCTTCCATTGGTTCATCTTTATATCTAGTTTGACTGCAACCAATGCATTCCTCAAACATTCAGAATGAATGAATTATGGATAGATTTAAACGTTAAAGTATTTAATTGAATTTTACTAAAATGAAATAAATTTCAGAGTTGGTAGCCACACGAATTTATATGTATATATCGATTTATATAATTCAAGTCTTTATATTAATTAATTATTGTTGTTTACATTCAGGTGGTGGTTGTTTCTTACCATCATCTTCTTCTTCATCATCATCTTCATTATCTTCACCTTCTTCATCAGAAAATTCTTCATCTTCTTCACCTTCAAAATCTTCTGGATAATCAAAATCAACTGCATCACCAGTAAACCAATCAATAGCTCTTGGAATTAATCTATCTTTAATCTCTTCACCTAATTGATAATCTAATTCTAAACGTCCAGTTAATTCGTCATCAACTTCTTCTTCATTTTCTTCAGCTTCTACATTTTCATTTGCTTTTGGATTTGGCGGATCAAAAAAATTGAAAAATGACTCAGTTGGTGATAATTTCTCTATTGTTCTTGTTTGATTTGTATTTTTATTTCTTTGCTTTCTTTTTTCAATATTGATTGTAACATTATTTTCCTTTGATTTCCAATTTATTTCACAACCATCTGCATGATCATATACAAAATCTCCGCTATAACCTAATTCAGCTTGATAATGATAAGTTTTTGTTAAAATAGTGTTTGAAAAGAATGGATTTTCTTTAAATTCAAATATTAATTCAAATCCTGGAGTATCTAAATATTCCATTCTTATATCAATTAAGTTTTGTAATACTTCTGAATCTCTATCAGTTATAGTTTCTTGAACTGTTGATAAGTTTTCCAAAGCTGTTAACCAGAAATTTGGAATACCTTTGCTTGTTTCTTCATCTACTTCCGCCTCTTCCTCTTCTTCTTCTTCTTCTTCTTCTATTTCTTCGCCCTCCGCCTCTTTGTCTTCTTTATCTAATTGTTCACCTTCTTCAATTTCTTCTGCTGTTGGTTCCAAATCACCATTAATAATCTTTTTTCTTTTTTCATATAACGGTTCATATTTCTTGAAAAATTTCTTTTCCAAATTTAATAATTCTTTTTGAAATTCAGCTTCTAATTTCATTTGTCTTAATTGTAAAGATTTTAAACCATAAATTCTATTTTTTGTTGGTTTTGATAATGAATCAATATAACCACTTTGTTTACCAACTAAATCACCTAATTTACCTTGAATCATACTTAATAACATTGGATTATTTGCAATAGTTTGAGCTGCTGCATTACTAATTTCACCTTCTTCTTCTTTTATAGTTGAAACTGTTGGTGGTTGTGATTTTAAATACGATGAAGTTACTGATGCTGGTGTATTTTGTGGTGTTGGTGCTTTAGAAATATCACCATTTTTTTTCTTAATTGGTTCAGACATGGCCCTTCTTAAATTGCGTTAAATTTAGAAATTTAATTTTGATGAGATTTTTTTTTTGTACAAGATTTGGAAAATCAAAATAAACGTGTGAGATTGCAAAAACTATTATATTGGTACGTACATTCATTTATTTAGTAGTTGTTGTTGTTGATGATTTTCTTTCTGGTAAAACTATTGAACTTTCAATTGATATATCATCATATTTACCATCTAAATATCTATCAATATCTTCTTTTCTTTTTTCCCATTTATCAATTTGTGATAATTTTTCTTCAATTTCTTTAATTTCAATATCAATACTTTGTAAATTTTCTTCACTTGTTAAATCATGTAACTTCCATTCACCTTTTTCTTCATCAGATATTTCTAAAATATAATCATGGTATTTCATTAATAAAGGTCTATGACTTAATGTAATAAATGGAATTTTTTTAAGTATTAATAATTCAAATAAATAATCTTCAACATCTGTTGAAACTGCATTTGTACTTTCATCTAATATAACTAATTTTGGATTTTTAAATAATACTCTTGCTATACTCATTCTTTGTTTTTCACCTCCACTGAAAACATCTTTCCAATCTTTAACAACATTGAAATTACCTTCTCTTTTTAATAAATATTCTAATTTAACTTCACGTAAAATATGATATAAATAATCATCATTATAACCCATTTCTAACATTTCAGTATATGTGTGTGGATAAATAATTTGATCTCTTAAATTACCAGTCGTAAAATATGTTTTTTGAGGTAAATAAAAAATATCATCATCATTTGGTTTTGATAATAAACCTTTATATAATGGCCATAATCCTGCAACAATTCTTGCAATTGATGTTTTACCACAACCATTTGACCCAAGAATTAACATATTTTTATGTTTAATTGTGAAATTTAAATTATTGATCAATGGAGTATACTCACTACCTTCACTAGTTGGTATTATAATTGGTATATTTTCAAATCTTAAACCATCATGATAATTGTTCTGTATTGTACCATGAATATCAGATATACCTCTTTTATCACCATAATCAAATCTTGGTGAATGAACTTTATGTAATTGAATTAATAAATTAAAAACACGATCAGTATAACCAGTTAATATATTGACATCTTTAATTGAATACATTAATCTTGAACCTGCATCCGCTAATGATAATAATAATCTTTTATTAGTAATAAATTGTCTCATATTCTTGCGTTCACTTGCTGAATCATTTTCTTTTTGTACCTTCTTTTTATCTTCAGCTGGCCATAATTCATCTAGGAATACAGGTAAACCTGCAAAGATATAACCCCATGCTGACCAAGTATATTTTAAAACATAATCTTCCAAAACACTATAAGCAGCAGTGATATTGATTTCTTTAGTTGCATGATCCATTAATTTTTTAAAATTTTGAGACAATTTAAATTTTTCAATCAAAGATCCTTTATAAAAACCAATTTCTTCTGAATTTGTCATTAAGTCTAAATGTCTATTAAAATAAACACCTTCGAGGTGAGCTTTTTCTGAAGATAATTTACCAAAACTTGGAGTAGCTCTTTTTAACAAAATCGCAGTTATAAGGTAATTTGCAAATATACCCATAATTGCACCAGTACCTAAATTATCTCTAAGATAAACTGAAAAGAAAATTAAGTCAATAAATGGTTTACCCATTGATGAAAATAGTCCACATAATGATTGACAGAAATTGGTTACATCATTGGTAATGTATTGATCAATATTTTCAATTTCTGATGAATTTAAATCTATTTTATAATATGCCATTGTTTTATCCAAGTACATATCATGAATATATCTTGTTAAATTCGTTCTAAAACCTAAAGCTAATCTTAATTCTAAATATTTGATAGCTGCATTAGTATAAGAAGCTGGAAATGCAATTAATAACCAATAAATCAAATCTCTTGAAAATTTTCTACCATTTGCAGCAATCAAATTTTTAACAATTTGACCATCTAATTTAGCAACTAATAATGATAACCAAGTTCTAAAGATTAAAAAGAAACATTGTGATAATAATAAACTTGTATTTTTACAATAAAATTTTGGAATTAAAATTCTCCAAATTATTGTTAATTGATTTAAAAATTTTGAATTAAAAATTAAACCCTTTTGTTGTGATAAAATTTCTTGATTTCTTGCAAAATCTTTATATAAATATTTATCAGCTGCATACTGATCATTATTTGGTTTTGGAATTATAATTCTAGTAACTGTACCTTTACCTTTTGGAATGAAAATCTCTCTTGAACCATTTTTTAAAATATTAGATGATTGTCTAATTAAACTTGGTCTTCTTAATCTTCTATTTAAAGAATATTCATTATATCTAGTAATAATATTTCTAATACCAAAATAAAATCCTAAACCAGCTGTTGTAATTAAAGTACTAAGGAATAATATAACTGGTCTTGATTGATAATTTAATTTAACTTTATTATCTTTATAAGTTATAACTAATTCTTGTAATAATAATAAAACATTTTTAATATCTTGTTTATTATAACCAGCCAATCGTGATATATTAATCATGATTAGAGATTTGATAACATCAACAATTTATCAATGAAAGGGAGAGAGAGATTACTTTTTTTTTTTTCCTTCTAAAGATTATTCGATATCGAAGTGTGGGGGCATTGAAAATTTGTATTACACTATTTAATGATTATTAACAATATATATTATACTAGATATCTACAATAGACTACTGAGAGATATTGATATCTTAGACCAATCTGATGCTATTAGAATCTTCAATTAATCAATTGAGGGTCACGTGATTGGCGATTGATGATGTTACACTACTCTCTTTTCATCATAAATAATGATCAAATCCTATTTACTATCGTTTGTAAGCTTTGTGAAATCAATAGATTTACTCATAGAACTACTTCGTTACCATTTCTTTCCCAATTGTTTTGTGACACATTCTTTAAATTTTATAAATTCCTTACCACAACCATCTCTTTTAATTGTATTAAATGTTTGTAGTATACATTGACCGTATGCCATTCCATCAGCTGAACACTTACCACTCGCTTCAATAAGTTTTTTACCAGGTCTAACTTTATTTAGTGACATAAATAATTATTCAAATTAAATTCTGAAACACACTTCAAAGATGCTTACAATTTTTTTTTTTTTTATTTTTTTTATTTTATTTTATTTTATTTTATTTTTTTTATTATTTTTTATTGTTTTTTATTGTTTTTTACCACGCATAAAATAATTTTGCAACTATAAAAATGAAACGAAATGGAACTAAATAGAAGATCAATTCCATTTATTTTTAGCTTCGTACTGATAAAATTATATATTAGTAGTGTTTAATTGGTTATGTTTCGATTTAAATTATAATCAATAAAACTTTGCTTTCCTAACCATCGATTTTTAAGAATTTCAAAAAGAATAATATTAAGCGGCTTTTTCTAAAAAAAAACTTGGTCGGACTAATTTTTTATCTCGTTTCAGGTTTGAATCGTTCGCTTGCCAAAGGTTTAAATTTGTTATCGCAAATTTCCGCTAAGCGAATTAGCCGAGTTATTTTTTCATCGAGTTATTTTTTCATCTGTCCCCAATTTCGAACCATTAAACGCGCAAAATAAATGATAAAAAAATTGTGGAATAAAAGTGAGTCACGCTACGTTAAATGTCAAAACCGTCATCTTCCTATAGATTCACCAATTGAGCATTCTGGAATAATTGTGTTTATTTTTTTATACGATAGTTCTACAACGTCTAAATTATACATATATTTTTGTATTATTTTTGTATTATTTTTGTATTATTTTTGTATTGTTTTTGTATTATTTATAATTGATTGAAATAGCTTAAATCTTATCGAAAAGAAATCTTATTATCAACAAAAAAAATATTTTTAAACTTCCAATTGTTTCATAACATGGACCCAACTCAGGATCCAAATTTCACTCCTCCTTCTCTCAAAAGGGCAATTGAACCAACTGCTCCTTCAGAGAAAATACCAACTAATATTCCTATACAACCATGGGTTTTAGAAGATTTAGGCGAAGCTTTAGATGGTCCAGCTCCTCATCCATCAAGTAGTAGACCGAGTATTTTAACTACTAAATCATACGATGAACCATCAGATGCTAAATATCATTCAAAAATACCTCGGAAACATACAGAATTAATAAATTCATCTTCAAGTGACGACGAAGATGGTATAGTTGAAGATGAAAAGATTATGAATAATTCAAGTAGTAAAAAAGAGATTCTTCCTCCATCAATACAAGTTAGATCATCACAAATTGCTGATTTAGAAGAAGTTCCTCATGGTATACAAAGACAAGCAAAAACTTTCGACAAATATGAATTTCCAACTCATAGATTAGCTACAACTATGTTAGATGGTTCAAAATATCCTTTGGTTATAGTTGCTTGTGGTTCATTTTCTCCTGTTACATATTTGCATTTAAGAATGTTTGAAATGGCTTTAGATGCAGTTATGGAACAAACAAGATTTGAAGTTATTGGTGGTTATTTTTCTCCTGTTTCATCAAATTATAAAAAACAAGGTTTGGCATCAGCACATCATAGAGTTAGAATGTGTGAATTAGCTTGTGAAAGAACATCAAGTTGGTTAATGGTTGATGCTTGGGAATCTTTACAGCCTAAATACACAAGAACTGCTTTAGTACTTGATCATTTTAATGAAGAAATAAATATTAAACGAGGTGGTATAATGACAAATTCTGGTGAAAAAAGAGGAGTTAAAATAATGTTATTAGCTGGCGGTGATTTAATAGAATCAATGGGTGAACCAGACGTATGGGCAGATCAAGATTTACATCATATATTAGGTAAATATGGTTGTTTAATTGTTGAAAGAACAGGATCTGATGTAAGATCATTTTTATTGAGCCATGATATAATGTATGAACATAGAAAGAATATATTGGTGATTAAACAATTAATTTATAATGATATTTCATCAACAAAAATAAGGTTATTTATTAGAAGAGGAATGTCAGTGCAATATTTATTACCAAATTCGGTTATCAGGTATATTCAACAACATAATTTATATGGTGATTCAGAACCAGTAAAGCAAGTAATGTCAGAAAGAGCAGATTAGATTAGATTTCAATTCATAAATATATATTAGATTAATCCTTTTTAATTACAAAATTACCATTCTTGAGCTTTAACCCCGTATTTAGATTTCTTACTACCTTTTATTGGTTTTATTAATTTTGATCCACCTTCCAAGAATGAAAATTTTTCCCTTCTTTTATCTTCATATTCTTTTATATATGACTCTTTTTGTAATGTTAATCCAATATCATCTAAACCATTAACTAAACAATGTTTTCTAAATGATTCGACTTCGAATTCTGATAAAACTTCACCAGTTTCACCATCTTTTATTTGTTGATTTGGTAAATCTATTGTTAATTTATGACCTAATTTAACTGGATGTAATAATTTATACTCTATTATATCTTGTGGTAATCTAATTGGTAATAAAAAGTTTTTAAATGAATTGTTGTAAAAAATATCACCAAATGATGGAGCAATTATTGATTTAATACCAAAATCTTTTAAAGCCCATGGAGCATGTTCTCTACTTGAACCACAACCAAAATTGTCACCAGTGACTAATAAAATTTCTGATTGTCTATGTGGTCCTTGATTTAAAATAAAATCTGTTTCGACATCTTTACCATTTGCATCTTTTGTAAATCTTGATTCATAAAATAAACCATTCTTCAAACCAGTTCTTTTTATAGTTTTCAAAAATTGTTTTGGTATTATAGCATCAGTATCAACATTTGCTTTATATAATGGAGCTGTTATACCGGTTAAAACAGTAAATGAGTTGACACCACCAGGAGCATCTTCAATCTTTGTTTTTTTCAATTCTGGTTGATCATCTTTTGGTATATCGTCAAGTCTTTCCAATTCAGTAGCTGGAGTATCTTCAATTATTTCTTTTTCATGTTCATATACTGCATCTTGTAATTCTTTATCTTCAACTTCATCATGTTCAACACTTAATTGAGGTTCATCGTTTGTTATAAAATCAAATTCTCTTATATCAGTGAAATGTCCTTTTATAGCTGCTGCTGCTGCCATTGCAGGTGACATTAAATGAGTTCTTGATTTAGCACCTTGACGACCTTCGAAATTTCTATTTGATGTTGAAGCACATCTTTCTTCCGGATCTAAAATGTCTGGATTCATACCTAAACACATTGAACAACCAGCTTCTCTCCATTCAAAACCAGCAGCTTCAAATATTTTATCCAAACCTTCTTTTTCAGCTTGAGTTTTAATTAAACCTGAGCCTGGAACAACCAAAACTTGTTTAACATCATCAGCTTTTTTGTGACCTTTTGCAACTTTTGCTGCTTCTCTTAAATCTTCAATTCTTGAATTTGTACATGAACCAATAAAAGCTTTATCTATTTTAATACTTTGTAATGGAGTATTTGGTTGTAAACCTTGATATTTTAATGCTCTTTCCATACCTTCTTTTTTAATTGGATCATCAGTAATTTTTGAAGGATCTGGAACGGATGCTGTGATTGGTAAGGCATCTTGTGGTGAATTACCCCAAGTTATAGTTGGTACAATATCTTTTGCTAAAATTTTAATATCATAATCAAATTTTGCACCTTCATCAGAATGTAAAGTTTTCCAATATTTTAATGCTTTTTCCCATTCATCATCTTTTGGTGCTAACGGTCTATTTTTAATATAATTAAAAGTTGTTTCATCCGGTTTGATCATACCAGCTCTTGCACCTGCTTCAATTGACATATTACAAATTGACATTCTTGCTTCCATTGATAAATCTTCAATAGCTTTACCTGCAAATTCAATAACACAACCAGTACCACCAGCAGTTCCAATTACGCCAATTACATGTAAAACTAAATCTTTTGAAGTAATTCCAGGATTTAATTCACCTTCAATCAAAATTCTCATATTTTTTGATTTTGTTTGAATAATAGTTTGAGTAGCTAAAACATGTTCAACTTCTGATGTACCAATACCAAAAGCTAATGCACCAAATGCCCCATGAGTTGAAGTATGAGAATCACCACAAACAACTGTAGTACCTGGTAATGTAAAACCTTGCTCTGGACCAACAACATGAACAATACCTTGTCTATCATCAGTCATACCGAAATATGTAACATCAAAATCTTTAACATTTTGTTCTAATGTTTTGACTTGTAATCTTGAATCATCTTGATCAATGAATGAATCAACATCTTTAAAATTTACTCTAGATATAGTTGGAATATTATGATCAACTGTTGCTAATGTACAATCTGTTCTTCTAACTTTTCTACCTGCATTTTTCAAACCTTCAAAAGCTTGAGGTGAAGTAACTTCATGAACTAAATGTCTATCTATGTATAATAAACATGATCCTGATTCATCTTTATGAACTACATGATCTTCAAAGACCTTATCATATAATGTTTTAGAAGCCATTTTTGTATCAAAATTCTATTGATGTTAATCAACGAAATTGATTTCTCTTTTTATATGAAAAATTGTTAGTCACATTGAAATTTGTATGATTGCGCAACCGGTAAAAAAAATCCGGTAACGCTGCAGGAATTTTTCATCCAATCAGCCGAAATCGAAATGTAAGAAAGTGATAAAATATATTAGACCGAAATTAATGTATATACGAAAAGAAAGTAAAAAGACTATGAAGTAGAAAGACCATTAAACAATTAAACAGTTGTTGTTGTTAAAACTGTAGTAGTGAAAGTAGCAAAAGAAGAAGACCATTAAACAATTAAACGGTTGTTGTTGTTATAACTGTAGTAGTGAAAGTAGCAAAAGTAGAAAGTCCATTAAACAATTAAACAGTTGTTGTTGTTAAAACTGTAGTAGTGAAAGTAGCAAAAGTATCTGCAACATCACAACATTCTTTTTTTGCAACAATAACGATTAATTCAATAGGTTCACAATGACATGCAATCTTTTTATCATAAATTTTGAATAAACATTTTTCATCAACTTTACAACTCCAGAATAAAGTTTTATGATTCAATGCTAATAACCATTGACCTAATTGATATTTAATCGAAAATCCTTTATCATAAATAGCTTTTGGATCTTCGCATTCAACAAATTTCAATTCATGATTACATGCAATTTCACCAGTTCTGTCACACTCATCTTTTAAAACAGTATTGCATAATGTAAAGAAAACATATTCATCTTTATCACAAATTTCACAAAATTTTTTATATTTACCCCCATAAGTTGAAATATCAGCAGCAGCAGTTAAAGTAGGAATAGTTGAAGGAATAGCCATTGATAAAGATGGAACTGAACCAGCAGCAACATCAACTTCATAACATTTATCATAATCATCAGTATCATAACATTTATCATAATCATCAGTATCATAACAATCTAAACAATCACATTTTGGATAAGTTTGACATGGATCACAACTATAAACAGCTTCACCACAATCATTTTCATAAACTAAATTATAATTCTTATCATCAGAACAATACTCTTTAACAGCTAAAGCAAATTTTTTATCAAATGTATAAAATTCATCCCAATGAAAACCACTTAATGATTTAGTTTCAGTAACTTCAGCACCTAATATCGAACCACTAACTAATGAGGATAATAATAAGGTAGCAACAGATGAAAATAACATTATATAAAAATTGATGGTGATAAAGATTTTAAACATTTTAAAAACTTATGGCCTATTTATACATTTCAAATTCAAAAAGCGGTCAAGCAAATTTTACGCATCTGCTGGTTATTTATTAAAGTTTATTGTTTATTACATGTAAATAAATCAAATTAGGAAGTTGATTAATTTATTTGTTTCAGATTTAGTTCAATTTTTTTTTTGACGATGAAAATTCTATTGTTTACGCGTAATTTGTGATCTTGAAAAAGTTTAATTTGTTTCAGAATGGAATGCTAAGTAAATTCCAATCTAAATAGGCAATTATTTATCCAAACGATGAAAAAGACACAAACCGATCGGTCTTTTCCATATTGATATTTACTCCACTAATGCAAGAATTTCATTGGTATCATTTGTTGTCATGTTTACGATTAATTTATTGTAATTACGAAAGAATCAACAAAATAGACAATAAAAATTTACTTGCAATTGATTAATAAACAATTTTGAACATTTTACGTATATGTAATGCATAATCGTCACCCACCAAATTGAAATTGTCGATTGATAATTTTGTAGACTTTGTATTTGAATCCAGTTGGATATAAAATCATGGAAATCTTACAAGAGGTTTTGTTTTAATTATAAGTCGAAATGCCTATTTATCATAAAAACTAATATTAATGATCTTAATTCATATTAACAATGAAAAGATGCAAGATGCATGGAAAAATTTCAAATAAACAGCTCTAGTCTAACATTTAGCATTAAATGTTTGTTAAAAGGCAATTTGTCCGAGTGGTTAAGGAGAAAGACTTGAAATCTTTTGGGCTCTGCCCGCGCAGGTTCGAGTCCTGCAGTTGTCGTTAATTTTATTTAAGTTGTGTTATATTTTTAACTACTGGTTGTAGGGTTTAAATTTCAATTTTATTTAAATAGTGTTATATTTTTGACTACTGGTTGTTAGGGTTTAAATTTCAATTGTCATCCAGAATATTGATATAGCGTACATATTGTTACATAACATATGTGGTAGTTTTGCATGTATCTGTTTTATATTTTATAATTTGAGTGTTATTTTGATACACAGATAATTAGGAGCAACAGTATAATTTTTGAAGCTAGCTCTAGGCTGACTCGTCTTAGATTTATTGTCTATGTCTAATGAACAACGTATACTCACAAAACAATGACAAGTTATATGAATAATTTTGGTTTGAATCAATGAGAAAAAATAATTCTTTTGTCGCTAATTTTGCGCGAGATTTTACTCGAAAAAGAAGATTTGGTTTTAAATTGGTTTAGATGCTATCTTGTAGTAGCTAATCTCAAAACTTGAATTGTAAATAAATCCGTCAATATTGAAGTTTTATTTCTCAATTTTAATGCATTATGTTTGTGTTTTGATTCAAAATTGAATGATATTAATTTCTCTCGAAGAAATTCAATTTTGAATATTTTATCGATCGTTTAAAAAATGGTACAAAACGCTTCATAGAGAGATAAATAACACTTAGACCAACTTCTAGAATAGTTGATTCAGCTCAATTAATTCTAAAGATTATGTCTATAATAGTTTGAAGACGCCATATTCATTTTAAATTTTTTTCAAAAATTTCAATTCACCTTCAAAAAAATACTTTTTACTTTTTGAATTTTGAATACCTTAGCACAAAAAAAACTGAAGTATATCAGAAGAAGGAACTACAAAAATTAAGATATTTTATTATAGTTTACTTTGAATATTGGTTGTGGAGCCAGAATCTTTGTAAGGTCAATTTATTCATTTTTTCAGATAGTTATGAGGAAATTTATGATATTTTTCAGTTTTAGACAAGTCCAGCTGACATTAAGTCTGATCCATTGTGTTTAGTTCTAATATATGTAATTCGTTGTCTAATTGAAAGTTTTGGTGATAAATCGCGAGATATAAGAGGTTAACACTATTGTCAAAATTTTTGTATGATGAAAAAAGCCCAAAATTACAACTCAAAAAAATATGTTCAAAATGTAAATCTTGAGACATATGCAATATACAATACAAGACTGGTGATCTTGTATAATTTATATTTGATTCGTGTGAAAGCTTTGTTCAGAATATATAAGCCAAAATAGGCAGAATGGGTCGCCTTGAGTTTAGGGCGAGAATTTATTTTGTCGCATCAAAATATTTCGTTGAAATATCGAAGAATTCTATAAAGTTTATGACGATCAGAGCAAGCTTTGCAAACACTAATAGTATAAGTTTCATGTAATGTATACAATACTACAAATGAGCAAAAATTCGCAAGTCAACAATTAAGATAGAGCTGGATGTACGCCAAACCATACTTAAGCTATTTGCTAGTATATAATAAGGAAATTTGCTTATTTGCTTTTAAACCAAAATGAACAAATGCTATAGTTGCGGAAGTATTTAGCGAATAAGTAATGAGAAGTAAAGCTAAATATTGAGAGAGTAATCTGTAGACTAAGTTTCAAATAAAATAATAATTTTATGACCGCATATAATTTAAAATCATGTGACGTGTTTCAGATTTCACAATAAAATTAGCGCCATTTTTCAACGCCATGATGTGGCGCGACAAAAATTATTTTTTGCGCTAATACTAGGACGACTCGTACCAAATGGATTAGCTTATACGTTTCAAAGAAGGCACTTTTTCGAGATATGAACCATTTTATTGGAATCAAGGGCCTTGAAATATACCCCTGACAAGTTTAGACTCTTACAAATCAAACGCTATTTTTATTGACTTGTCATTATAGCCTTGTTTCATCGTACAAAAATTTTTCAAAAAATCTAAATCAGTTTGTCTTTTAATTGAGGGCCAAAACTTTTAATCAAACAATGAATTATATACATTTTACCTCTATCAAAGATAGTGGACTTGATTCTCGTTACTCTTAACAAAAATTTAAATTTTTTAAAATATTCTCCAAGTATGACAAAAAACGAATAAATTGTCCTTACGTAAAATCTAGTTCCACTTTGGATATTCAAATATAAACATGATGAAATTACCCAGATTTATAGCTCTGGATATTGGTAGAACTTGGAGATTGTTTTGTAAAGGTATTCAAAATTGGAAAAGTAATTTTTCAGACATGAATCAAAATTTTTGCAAAATTTTCAAGCTAAACATGGCGTCTTAAAAACACTATAATTGAAATTCTTTGAATAGAATAAACCATATCAGCTATGTTAGAATTATTAAATAAGATCTAAGTGTTAATTATCTGGCAAAATAGCTTTTTTTTCCATTTTTTGAATGAAGAATTACATCTCCAAAATTTTATTTACCCAGAGTATACTAACGTCAATTCCTCTGAAACTATAATAAAGATGGTTTGAGGAAAACAAATTGATTATTGATGGAGTTATTCACAATTCAAATTTCAAGATTATCTATAATGATACTGCATATAAGCAAATTTGTTCCGCAATTGATTCAAATTTTGACTAAGCGTTCGACTGGTTTGGCATGAGAAAGGCCCAAGATTGTTGTACTCAATGCGAGAGCTAATGCCACTACCCGAGCCAATTTCCTTTCAATTAAACAACCGTATTAAATTCGACAGACCTCCGTTTTGACGTAGAGCTGCAAGCATTGATGCATGATATAGCCAAACAATGGAAAGCTCGAGTTAATGAAAAATAAGTCAGAATTTGGGGTGGAATATGTGAAGGTCTTTAGCGCTACCAGATATAAATGGCAGTGTTCTTTGAATTTCAGAAGTATTATCATTCCTACATTACATATTTCTTTGCAACTAGGTCAATATGTTAATGTCACATAAAACAGCAGCAATTGAAATTAAGTTAAAATACTTTGGAAAGTTCTAGTTATTGTAAATTTCTGTCTTTCTTGATAATTTTTCCCAAAATACAAAATTGTATTTGACATCACAAATGAGCTCATTTTAAGAAGGTTTAAAGTGATTAATAGCAATAGACATTAATATAACTCCAAATGTTAACATATGCACTTATTGACCGCCGTTAAATGAGGTTTAAAAAAAATTTCACGTGCCTAAGACTCAAAGTGTAACAAGCTTCCGTTTTAAGTTTTTCGAAAGTGGCAACTTGTCCGAGTGGTTAAGGAGAAAGATTAGAAATCTTTTGGGCTTTGCCCGCGCAGGTTCGAATCCTGCAGTTGTCGTTATATTTTTCAATTATTTTTTGATCTTCTTGTAAGTAACGATTGCTTATATTTTTTGAATCAAATGATGAAAGTCTCAATAATATCTCATATGAGGCTCGTTAATAAACGTTTATTTAATCTATTTAGCCTTTTTACTGCTTGTATCATCATCTATATCGTCCAATTTTCTCTTTTTATCAATTTCATCGTCATTATCACTTAAATCTAATTCTTCACCTTCAGAAGAATCTTCTTCTTCATCGTCATCATCATTCTCATTTGATAATGCTATTGCATAATATTTTAAAGCATTTAAATATAAATCATCAACAATTAAATTTGTTAATTCTTCACCATTTCGAAATTCTTTACCATGTTTTTCCCCAGTCCATTGAAAATATGCAAAAAATGATTTCATACCTTGTCTATAATTTTTCTTATCATCTTTGGACATGGTTTTGCCTGTATTTCTTTCTTTTATTTTTATTGGATTTATTGATTCTAATTCTTTTGGCCAAGTTATTTCTACTGGATCAGATACCATTATTTCTTCACCATTTTCATTTTTTCTATAATAAAATTTCTTTATTACTTGTTGATTTTCATTTAGTTCACTATTATTAAAATTTATTGTGATTTCAAAATCTCTAAAATTTTCTTTATCTTCTAAATTTGGATAATTTATAAAAATATCATCAATACATTCTAAATATTTTAAATCTTCAGGATTTATATAATCTGATAAATCATCATTTTCTGCAAATATTATATACCAAAATTTTGGAATTGTTTTGATGATGTTCCTTCTTTTTTCATATAATGGTTGTGTTTGTTTAATTCTATCAATTTCTAATTCTTTCTCAACTTGTGACATATCTTTCTCCCATTTTGACAAATCACCTAACGATTTTTGTAATTGTGTAGAATCAAATTCTGCCATGGTGAAAAATTATTTGTGTACCAAATTTAATATATATTTTTTTTTTACAGCAAATATTCAATCAATGATAAAAGAAAATGAAACAATATCAAAAACTTTACTTACTATAGATAAATATAAAGGAAACTTAATAAGCTTTAAGAATGCTATAATAGATGGTGATTATACTCCAAATAATGAAAATTTTAAACGAACTTTAATTTGGAAAACTTGTTTAATTACTGAAAGTTTAAAAATTTCAGTCTGGGAATCTAAATTAAATGATTCAAGAGTTGTGTTTCATCAGTTACTAAGTAGAGATGATTTGAAATTACCATGGTATAAACTAGATGCTGATCATTTATATTATCAAAATCAATCGTTGAGTCGAAAATCAAGTATAACAAGAAAACATCAACCATCATTAAAGAAAAAATTGCCCAAGGTTAATGTTAATTCTGATCCTTTAAGATATACAAATACAATTAACGATTTAGAATTATTAGAAATTATAATATTAGATATAGAAAGATTATTTCCAGGTGAAGAATTTTTCAAGTCACTATATGTTAAAAAACAATTGATTGAAATACTATACATTTGGTGTAAATGTAATAAATTTGGTTATAAACAAGGAATTCATGAGATTTTGGGACTAATATATATGAATTTACAAAAAGAATCAATTGAAATATCAAGTACAAATACTTTTTCGTCAGATGATTTAAAGATTTTGAAGCTATTTGATTTAAATTATCTTTGTCATGATGTTTTTACAATTTTTAATAAAGTAATGAATTCAAGTGGAATTTTAAAAAATTTTTATGAAAGTGAAGAGAATTTAATGTCCAGTATTGAAAAGTTCAATATGTATTTAATGAAAGTTGATCAATTCATTTATTATAATTTGCATACAAAATTAAAATTGGAAAGTCAACTATGGATTATAAGATACCTTCGATTATTATTACTAAGAGAGTTGGGTAATGATTTTAAAACTATAAATTTATTATGGGATAAATTAATAACTAATATATCTTCAATTTCCGAATTGATTAATTTTATAATTATTCATTTATTAATTCAAATAAAAACTGATTTATTATCAAGTGATTTTAGTGAATGTTTATCATTATTATTACATTACCCAATTAAATTTAAACCTAATGATAGAAATGTGTTTACAAAAAATTTATTCAAAGATTCTTTCAAATTGTATGAGAAACGAAGTGATGACTTAAAATTATATGAATATGGTATAAAGCTTAATCAAAAATATAATTCAAATTTAAAAATATCCATGAGCTATACACCTAGAAGTAGTCAAGAAGGTACACCACCACCACCACCACCACCATTAAACTCTTATGAGAAACTGAAGTTTGAAAAGACAAAATTAGAAATGAGATTAAAGAAGAAAACTCAACTGATGATAAAACCTTAAAACTTAAATAGTGTGTGTAAAATTATCAAAAAATAAATATCAATAATATTTCACCATGGGTAAAAGAAAATCATCAGCTAGAAAACCTGCCAAAAAGATTAAACAAACATTAGATACTACATTTACATGTCTATTTTGTAATCATGAAAAATCTGTAATATGTTCATTAGATAAGAAAAATTTCCTAGGTGAATTACATTGTAAAATTTGTGGTCAAAGTTTTCAAACTTCAATAAATGCATTATCACAACCAGTTGATATATATAGTGATTGGATAGATGCTTGTGAAGATTTAGCTGAAGAAGCAGGTGATGATGGTAATAATGAAGAAGAAGAAGAATATTCTGATGATGATAGACGAAGAGATACACCAATAGATTCAGACGAATAAAATATATATAAAAAAATCTATTATTTGTTTAAATTACTTAAATTATGTAAAACTTGATTATAAGTATCACTCAATTCATATGAATTATTTTCAATTTCAGTTGGTGGTTGTTCAATGTTCGGTAATTGATTAGCTTCAGATGATAAATTTTTTAATTTTGATTTTATTTCTTCAATGTTCAAAAAATCATGATCTTGTTCTTGATGTGATGTATTTTTATTATTAAAAACTTGTTCTAATGAAATACCTTGATTTTTAAGCTTACCTAAATATTCAATAATTTTATCTAAATCAGATAATTCGATACTCATCAACTTTTGTCTCAATTCTTCTCCTGATAATTCAGTATATGGTCTATTTGGACCATGAAAATCTTTCAATCTTGATAATTTTAATACTGATCCCTCTTGTTTGTCTAAATTGCTTAAACTTGTTCTTGAATCCAGTCTTGACATTGCTAATGGTGAATGACTTATTGGTACCTCAGGATGATTAAATTCAACATTATCTTCTGCTGATGCTGGTTGGGTAAATTCATTAGCTAATCTTGTATCATCACCTTCACCGACTTTCACCAAATATAAATTAGCCATGGAGGAGTTATTCTTATTGATTAAACTTGGATCAATTAATTGTAACCCTTTTTCAATACTTGAATCTATAAATATAAATCTAATTAAAGTCTCTTTACCATCTAAATCTAATTCATTTTTTAATTGTAATTTAAGTAATTCATCAATCATCAATTTAAGATCCAGTCTTATTGATTGAGCTTTTGAAATAAATTTGGTGACTTTTTGAGATAACAAGTCTAATTTTTGTTGTGATTTCAATTGTAGGATTTCATTTAGTTGTTCTGTTAATGATTCTGAGGCTTCAATCGATGGAATAGAAACGTCTGGCTTTTTGGAAGCGTATAATAATCTCTCCATGTTTCTCATTGTATATAAACCAATCCTTTCCTTGAATAAATTAGGGAATTCCTCTGAATCACAATCTAAGTTAATTAAGGTCTTTGAATTTTTAACAGCATTTACTAATGCACTAGCACATGTCAAATCAATTTTACTTCCAACTACTGAAAAATAACCTAAATTCTTACAAACTGGTAAGATTGTAGCAAATTCCAAGATAGATGATGGACTAAAATTTTCATTTTCAAGATGTAATCTAATTAATTTTGGGAATAATGGTAATTTCGACGTGAAATATTGCACGATATTCAATTCTAGATGACTACCAATACCAAATAATTTCTGATTGTTTGAAAAATCAAGATATTTTAAATTGGGTAACTTTAAAAATACATTTTCAAAAACTTGTTTGAATAAATCACTATATATTGAGTTTGTTGAGTTCAAACTAAGGAATGATATAGTTGAATTTTGCACAATTTCATTAAAATCAGGCCTTTTTGCAAAATCCAATAAAATCTTCAACATCTGAATACTTGAAAAATCATTATATCCTAAATCTAAGCCTCTTGCAAAATCTCTAAATAACCAATTATCCACTATAATTTTCAAATGTTTTGGTGTCAACTGATTAAAAGCTAAACCCAATCTTGAAGTTCGTTTCAGCACTGCTAGTTTAATAAGTTTACTAAAAATTTCAATGTCAGTTATACAACATCCAGTTAAAATCAATTCATCAATACCACCTCTAGCTACCAAAGTAGCTACAAATAATGACCAATCAACATCAGATCTATTGTCATTATTACAAGTCATTCTAACCATTGGTTCATTATACTTTTTATTCTCCTCTTCAATTTTCTTTTTCTTCTTTTTCAAAACATTAACTGTTAATGAAGGACACTGAGTTATATCCAACTTATTCAACACAGTATTTCTTGATAAAAACCAGCATAGTAACGACCAACCTTCTTCATTTAAAGGTGTATTTCTTAAACTTAATTTTTCCAATTGTTTCTTTGCACTCATTGATGATAATAATATTTTAAATTGTTCAACTGACAAACTGACCCCATCTAAAGAAACGCATATAACTGGCGCAATCCTCAAAAAATCAGCAAATGTTTGAATTTCAATCATTGTTGGACTTGGGTTTCTTAATTGTAAAACAGGTAAAGTAGCTAATGATCCTTTTGGAATTTGTTTTAATATTGCCGGGATTGGTAATATTTCACGTAAATGACAACAACGTGAATACATTGTATCTAGAGCCATTTTTTTCACTGGAACTGTATAGTCAACAGGTCTATGATGTACCATCGGTTTATCGATTGAAACATTTCTAGCACGTTGACTTATTGCTGGTTCATCTTCATCAGGGTCTGATTGTGATTCCAAATCAGGAGCTTGATGTGGATGATCTTGCTCATCTTTTTTGATGAAACCTAATGCTCCTGTACCACCAACTACTATTCCACCTCCCATACCCAATTGAGATTTTTCGATTGCCAACTTATCTTCTTCAGTTAATGGATTGATTTTTACAGTACCATTTGGCAATATTTCAACATTACCCTTTCTTGGATTTCTCGATGGAATTTGTTGTGGTGGATCTATTAAAAATGTGGATGAATGAAATGCTACTCTTTTTAAAGGTTTCAATCCTTTGAAACTTGGATTTAACTCGACACCTGAAATTGATGGAGTAGTTGCTGAATTCATAGATGGTGTTGGTGAAGTTACCTTTGTCAATGTCGATCCCTGATCATTTGTAGTTTTTGACACACTTGCTTTTCTTTTCAAAAAACTTGTAATTTTAGATGAAGAAGAGTCTTGATCATCCTCGTTTGACACTATAGATGATCTTCTAGAAGTTGTTGATAATCTTCGATCTTTCTGTTTATAAAATTTGATATAATCTTCCAATCTTGGATCTACAGTATCTTTTGAATATATAGGACTTGACATGGTTCGTTGTAAATGATTGTCATTAGCTCTAATATTGTCTATCTTTTCCGGAGGTAAATTATTTCTAGTTTTCATATCATAGTTTTCTTTGAATACACCTTGTTGGATTGGTTTTGGTATATGAGAATCAAACTGAGATTCTTTATGAAATTTATTTTTCAATTTTGAAAACAAACCACCAGAAGATGTATTAGATCTTTGACTTGAATGTTTGTGATCAGGTATTTGATTTGAATTTATATTCTCCTCCTGTATTGGAGCAATTGAAGGTCTTGTTTTTGTAACAAAATTGTCATTTGTATTTGATATATTAGAATTTAAACTAGATGATACAGAATGATGAGTTGGCGAATGTGAAATAGTAAATGAGTCATCATTTGGTTTGGTTTCTGACTTTTCTGATGGAGTTGAATTTGTTGTCGGGGGGATGGGTAAAGTAGGGTCTATTTTTGAATCTCTTATAAACCAGTCTACATCAGTATCTTTAACACCTTTTGTATATAGATTGGTTTCTTCTTCTAATAAATCTCTCATTTTACTTATATCTGTTTGACTTTTTGATTCTGTTGTTTTATAGTCAACGGATCTTGAATGCTCCATCGGATTAGAATCCATGATTAATGATAAGTTTGAATGAACGTAAGGATAACAATTAAATATGTGCTATTATTTAGTAAAAATGACTAGTGATAGTGATATATTGTTAAATGTTTTTATAAATGAAAGAATTGATTCAAGCCTTAAAGTTGGTTAATTTTGTGTTAAATTTTAAAGCTACCAACAATCAATCAATCAATCAATTTTATTGTCAGTGAAAAAATTCAATAGAAAACAGAATAGGTAATTGGCGAGGCTGTACTATTTTAGGCAATATTAGAGAAAACATTTCCTATAAATTTTATTTTTGATCTTCGATTATATCATCAAGTACAACTTCTTTGATTTACTATTGCTTATAACAAGTTAAGCCAACAGTACCATAGCTTTATGCTTTCAACTTAATCGTAAAAAGAATACTGTTGTTGGCTTCATTAAACTATATTTTTAGTAAAGGTTATATTTTATTTAAATCGTGCATTAAACAAAAAATTGTTTTTATTATAATAATAAATTGTATGATTATATTTTAATAGCAGCAAATATTGTAATAGTGAAAGATTTAAGGATAATGATTTAGCAAATCAAGTCTGAAACGAGCAATGTACCCAAAAAAAAATTGCGCTACCAAATTAAATTAGCGTCTAATTAAGACCGAAAGTCTAAATTTAGATTAAGCGGCTTTTAAGTTCTTTATAAATCGCGTACTCTAAATGACTTGTAAGTTTGAACGAGTAAATATGAAAAGTTAAAATATTAGCTACACTAGTGACACTAGTATCTACTCAACAATTTAACTTCATGCTGATTATTAAATTGAATCAAGCTTGAACATTTTACTCGAATGATATTATACTTCACTCATATAAGATGAATTCTCGATTTTAAAATCCATTAATTAGAGTTAAAAAAAAAGCTGCATAATAATCAAAATTCTCGATCTGCATAATCAAAAAATTTGGTCACTGATTTACTTTTGTGTATCAGCCCTAACAAAAAAAAATTACCTCGATGACAAACTAATTGAACTACCAATGAAACTGAAAAAACGGATCAAATAATCAGTACATGTTATTAAGTACATGTTATTAACGTCTTCAAACTTATTATCTACACTCGGGGTATCGTATATTAACATATTGATTTAGAATAAAATATATTCAACATTCAATAGTATATGCAAAATTGCTTTTATTATATGCTTGAAATAATTTCACCAATTTAGAGATAAAATTCAACAAGCAGAATTTCTTTTTAATTACTTTCTACATTTTGTTTTGAAACATTTATTAGTAAGCTTTGCCTTATATGTGGCTGATTTAGGAAATTTTTTTAATTTATTTTTATTTTTATTTTTATTTTTTTATTTTTTTTATTTTTTTTTTTCTCCAGATCTAATTAAGGTACAAAATCTAAACCCTGATTTTAATTAATTACTCCAACATGTGTTTACGACGAGAATAGTCGATAATTTTAAAACTAAACAATAGAAATTTTTAGACTATAAAAATAATCAAAAATTATCATTCTTTTTTTTTCAATTTAATCAATTTTTTCTATGACTACTAAAAAATCACAAAAAATCACCTTCAACATTTCTCAAAATTTCAAATTATTAAAGATTCTTGGTGAAGGTGCCTATGGTATTGTTGCATTAGCTATTCATCTACCAAGCAAAACCAAAGTTGCAATTAAGAAAATTGAACCCTTTGAAAGACCCTTATTTTGTCTTCGAACATTACGTGAAATCAAATTATTAAACAAATTTAATAATCATGAAAATATTATAAAACTCTACGATGTTCAAAATCCATTAAATTTTGAAAATTTTAATGAAGTTTATTTAATCCAAGAGTATATGCCATCTGATTTACATAATATTATTCGTACACAAGTTTTAACAGATCAACATATTCAATATTTCATATATCAAATTTTAAAAGGTTTGAAATTGATTCATTCAGCAAAAGTGATTCATAGAGATTTAAAACCTTCAAACATTTTAATTAATGAACAATGTGACTTGAAAATTTGTGATTTTGGCTTAGCTAGATTAGATTATGCATATTATAATAAAAATTCAAAAATTTCATTATTAACAGAATATGTTGCAACAAGATGGTATAGAGCACCTGAAATAATGTTAAATGCATCAAACTACTCAACTTCAATTGATATGTGGTCAGTTGGTTGTATATTAGCAGAATTGTTAACCTATAAGCCATTGTTTCCCGGAGTTGATTATATAAACCAATTAAATTTAATTTTTGATAAATTAGGTACTCCAAATGAAGAAGAAATGAATATAATGAAATCAACAAGAGTTAAAACTTTTATTAAATCATTACCTGAAAGACATAAGATTAATTGGTATGATTTTATAAACAATCACCCATATAGAAGAATTAAACATAGAGGTAGAGATTGTCAAGTTAATTCTTTGGCAATTGATTTATTGGAAAAATTATTAGTCTTTGATCCAAATAAACGATACAACATTAAAGAAGCTTTAGAACATCCTTATTTATCAGCTTATCATGATCCATTAGATGAACCAGTTACAACTTCAATACCAGTTGAAGAATTTAAATTTGATGTTAATAAAAATGATTTAGATATACTCGATTTAAAGATGCAAATATTTAACTTAATAATGTCTAAGAAATAAATATATATTTTATATTTTCACCTTTTCTCAATTGTAAAATAATGTAAGAAAATATAACCAAGTACAAGGAATATTACTGATAATCCACCTAAAAATGAAACATCTTTCCAAAATGCTCCAACTTTGAAACCAAATGTACTTAAAATTACAGCACCAGGTACTTCAATCGACAAACCATATTTCTTTTCTTTCAAAATTAAATCCTTAACTTCATTAATTGATAAAGCTTCATAGGCATAATGAAATACTGATATCCATTGTAACCATTTAATTTGAATATTTAGATCTTCACTATTGATAAATAAACCTGCAAATAATAATGATAACAATAATAATAAAACTCCAATCATTGTTGATGTACCAGGTTCTTTAATTAGAATACCAACGATTAACATTTCAATTGATACAGCAACGTTGAACAATACAAGCACCAAAACTGTCTTTATAAATGCATTATGTTCCATTGTTAATCCAACTAAAGGATAAGCAATACTAATCAAAATAATTGGTGGTAAAACTCTTAATGGTATAACATCACAAAATATTTTACTCAAATAATAACTTAATGGATGATAATAATTATTTGCTCTTTCTCTAATAAATATTATTCTTTCAGTTGCAAATGAATGTAAACCAGTTAAAGAACTAAAACCAAAGAATGCCAACAAAAAGAAAAACAACCCAAGTCTATTTTGAAACCCACTAATGTCATAAGATACATTATAATATAAATATCCACAAAACAAACCAACAAATAAAGATAATAGATAATGAGCAAGTAATAATCTTGGATTTCTATATAAATTTTTAAAAGTTCTTGATGATAAAATGACAAATTGACTGAAAAAAGTTGCTTTTTTAATTTCATGTAATTTTGTATCAAAAATATTTGGATTTTCTTTGACTTGATTAATTTCATCTTTTAACTCCAAAGCTAATGATGATTCAATAAATAGTGATGGTAATTTATTTCTTAATCTTAGTATAGTTTCTGATTCACCTGTTTGTTTTGATTTCCTTCTCCCTAAAATATCAGCATTATATTCATCACGATGTACAGCAAAATGTTCCCATTCTCTTGTAATATCTTCCTGACTTGCTTTTGGATTAACAAAATCTTCATGAACATTAGCTTCATGCAAATCAATCGAGGTCGCAGCGACAACTTCACTATCAGCATCTGAAACTTTAACAATTTTATTATGATCCACTGTTATATCTATCAAATAATCAGCTATATTATAACCCAATGGGCATTTATAACCATTTTTCGTAAAAAAGTCATTTGCTTTAATCATGTCACCAGAATAAATTAAATCACCATCACTTAATAAAATTAATTTATCAAATAATGATACTATATTACTTCTTGGTTGATGAATTGTGAACACAATTGTTCTTTCATAATCTCTAGATAACTTAACTAGTGATTCAATCACATTTCTGGCATTATAAGAATCTAAACCAGATGTTGGTTCATCTAAAAACAATATTGAAGGTGAAGTAACTAATTCACAAGCAATTGAAACTCTTCTTTTTTCACCACCAGATATACCACGTTTAAAATTGGAGCCAATAACTCTATCTTTAATATGTAAAATTCTCAATTCATTCAAAACCTCAATCACTCTTGCTTGCTTTTGTGTAAAGCTCATATCTCTTGGCAATCTTAATAAAGCACTATTCAAAACAGTTTCGTAAACAGTCAAGGTTGGAATTAAATGGTCTTCTTGATCAACAAATCCAACAATAGATTTATAATGTTTTGCGTCAATTGAGTTGCCATTGATGTAAATATTTCCAGAGATTTCACCATCTTTATTCTTTCCCGCTAAAATATCCAACAATGTAGTTTTACCAGCACCAGAACCACCCATAATTGCCAAACATTCTCTTGGTTTGACCAAACCAAATACATTTCTTAAAACTGAGCGTTTATCATCATTTTTACCAACTTTATAACCAATATTCTCAAATGATAACGTTGTCGGTTCAAAATTTTGGTTCATAATATTTGGATCAGTTTCGAAATTTTCATAATCATTTGATTTTTTAAACAAACCTGAATCACTAATGTTTCTTAATAATGTATAAACTACCAAGATACAAATTAACAAAACACCAACAATTGAAAATATATTACCCAAAGTTAATTTTGGATTATCAGGAGTTGAATATCCAGGAATTTCACTTTTATGCAAACATTCACCTGATTTACATTCTAATGTAATGTATGGATCACCAAAAACACTCTGAATTAATTCATTCATACTTGGTTCTGAAAATCTACACTTATTTTTACTTAAATCACATGTAAAATCACCTGGACCTTTAATTGTTTCAGTTAAAAACTCAGATATATCAATTGAACCAGCTTTACCACATAACATTCTATCTGGTAAACATTTGCAACCAATTGTTTCACAATTATAATGGGTAGTATTTTGATTTAAATCATATTGTAATTCACATTTATTTAAATCACAATAAAAACTTTCAACTTCATCAATCCAAAATTGAAAATTACAATTTTGTGAAGTTTTATTACATGAAAATGTAGCTTGTGGAATTTTACCATCTAAAATCTTTAAAATTTTTGGATTTGTAACATCACACATTTGATGAAATTTATTAACTAATATACCATCTTTATAACAAGTACCTTTGACGCCATCTGGCATGAATTTATCACAAACATCATCAGTTTCACATAAATTACAATTTATACCTGACCAGCCATCTTTACAATCACATATTTTATTCTTTTTACGTATGGGCCTATTTAAATTACCATCACTTAATGAACCACACAATGGTTCTGAACAATCCATACGTCCATAACCATCTTGACATTCACACATTCCAGTAAATGTATTACATTGAGAAAATTGTGTACATTCAAAGTTTGGTAAATTACAATTAAAGCATGGGGGACAATCTTTATCTTCATCAATATTTAAATTTTGGACATTTTTATTAAATTCATAATGACTTATAACACCTTTTTTATTTTTAGTTATTGAATTTTGTAAATCTACTGAATTATCAATTCTTATAGTATTAGCAATTGAAGTGAATAGTAATAATGAATTCAATAGTGATAACTTCATAAGTAGTTAATAATCAAGTTGCTAAAAATATAAAAATGCGAAATCCGGTAATAAGAAACCGCGATATTTACGACACGACACTGGAAAAATAAAAATTAATAACGAATAGTAAACAAATTTATGCCAGGTATTAAAAAGAATAGGAAAACTTATAATCAACCAGCTTTTAGAAAAACTTTAATATCAAAATTGAATGAATTTGGTGCTGTTGGTTTAAAAGATGATAATTCAGATTTATTAATATATTTAATTTATATAAATTATTTAAATGACTTAATTAGACAAAGTTCAACTAAAGAAAATGGATTTGGTAATGAAGGTACAATAACGGAAGAAAGATTGGAAAATGTTGATTTTAAATTATTAAAAAAACATAGAGGTTAATCTGGAATTAATCATTTGAGGTGTATCAAGAAATCTCAAGTTAATGTCAAATTTATAATCATGAAAATTACAAATGATGACAGGGCAAACAATTAACGAAAATGGTCCAAGGTTTGCATTTTAATATATACATGTTATATTAATTCTGTTTACAAGTCTAAAATACAGTATTTGGATTTTGTAATGTCTCTATCATATCTATAGCAGCTTTAGGATCTCTTTTATTATAAACAAATAAACCTTGTAATTGAGCTGTACTTATATTTTGCAAGTTTAATTTTCTATATTTTGCTAAAAATTGATCACATAAATCAAATTCATTTTCATAAAATCTTAAAAACATCTTTTTAACTTGATATTCAGTTGCATTATTAACAAGAACTTTATAGTCAACTCTACCAGGTCTCATTAAAGCAGAGTCTAGTTTTTCAGGATGATTTGTTGTCATAAATGTAATACATTCTTCAGCAGATGCCACACCATCTAAAGCATTTAATAATCCTGAAAATGTAACACCGTTGGTATAACCTTGTTCATTAACTTGTTCTCTTTTATTAAAAGCAGCATCAACATCTTCTAACAACAAGATAGATCTGTTTGGTATATGATTCATTAAATGATTGAGTCTATCATCAGTTAAATTATTCTCTGAAATATTTAAAATACAAATATTATAATCTAATTCACCCGCTAATGCTTGAATAAAAGATGTTTTACCACTTCCTGGAGGACCATACAATAAATAACCTCTTCTGTAAGGTATACCTCTTCTATGATACCAATCACTACTAGTTAAAAAATCTTTGACATCATTTAAAATATTTTCCGCGATACCTTTATCTAGAATCACTGATCCTAGTAATCTTTTTGATCTTGGTTGTCCAAATGGTCTCCATTCAGGTCCCCATGATGTGAAAATTACAGTTTTACCTTCTCTTAATTTTAATGCCATACTTTTTGCTTCTGATAATAATTCATTAAATAAATTTCGATCACGATATAATGTTGTTAATGTAACTGTTTCAAAAGGTGTACCACTAGTCATATCCAATAATTTACCACTTCTTTCACGATTAACCAACATAAAAGCACCTTTATATCGTATTAAATGTTTACCAGGCCCAGGGACTAATGAAAATTTTGTAGTAATTGCACCATTATCATGAGTTATAACATTAGTCTCAACTGATAAATGTCTTGATGAACGATGTTTGTATTTTGCCATCCATTCTAAAAACCAAAGATATGACTTATCTTTTGAAGGTATTTCAAGATCAACTAATAATTGTCTATAAATAAAACCCGAACTTTTAACAATACCCGATCTTGTTAAAGCCAAACCAGTACCCAATAGCATTAAACCACCACCAGCAGCAAAATAAGGATTATTTAATACAATTTCATTAAATCCAGTAGATATATAACCTTTAACAGTACCATCTGATTGTAATTTAATCTTTTCAAAATCAATCTGTGGTTGTGACATTTTTCATTTTTCAGTCAAAGAAAAGTAAAATTATTTTTGGCAACTAACAATCAATCAAATCATGAATGAAGATTCATCTAATATCGATGTTATTCATGATAAAAACCCATTTAGAAATCAATCAAATACAAACAAAACACATATATTAAACTCACAATTAATTGAATATCCTTTTAAAAGTTTAAATAGAATATTAGATGATATAAAATGGACCATTCCAATGAAACAAAAATATAATTATAGTATATTAAATAATAAACCAATTGATTACTCAAATTCATTAGCAAATTTGAATAATCAATGTGAAGTTTTAATACTTAATGAAAATTTAGATTATTGTAAATCTGTTGAAAAAATTGATTTTGAAGAAACTAAACAAACACTTTATATAATTCGTGGTTTGATAATAGATAAATATATAAATCATTTTAGAATTAGTATCCTTGAAGATTATTCAAATCCATTTGCTAATTTAACTGAAAAACATCAATATCATATAATACCAAAGGATATAATTGGTAAAAATGATGCTGAATTATTACTGACCAGTATTAATACTGAACAGGGTATAATTGATGAAGCTTATTTCAAGAGTTACAACTCTTCAACTAATCAACTATTGAATGTCACAATTACTAAACAAGAATTTACAAAAGAGGATTTTGAATCATTAACTGATGAAACAATTATTAAACAAAGATATCTATCAAAATTAGATCTATTTCCGAATTTATCACCTGAAAATATACCACATCCATCACATTGTTTAGGGATGTTAATAAAAATATTAAAGGGTCCAATTTTGAAACACCAAGATGAACCTACAAAACGTATCAGTTTAATAAATACGGTAATGGAAACACAAGTTGATGTCAACTTGTTATTAAACAAATTAGGTTTTGAAATGGATCATGAAAACGAAGAAGTTATACCACCAAATTTAAATGCTGATAGAAATTTAAGAGAATCGTACATTAGAAGGGTGCTAGAATTGATTTATTTTAATAAAAAATCAAGATATGATTCAACCTTTACATTCTCAGATAATATGTCACAAGTTTTTTCAGCCATTGTAGAATATGATAAATTACAAAGTATAACAAACTTCAACAAACCAAATAAAATTCCAGCTTTTATAAATCTAAGTTGTTGTCAATATTTCCCAGACGATTTAATAATAAAATTCTTTGTATACACAGTTCAATCTGATGTGAAAAATTCATTACATTATGTTGATTCATTGAAAGTAATAAAACAATTTCGAAATTCAACTAAAATTGATGCATATTTACAAAATCATCCAGATTTAATTGGGTATGAAGATTTTTTTGATTCAATGAGAATTCTTGGTATTTCAGTTGATACTAATGAGGTTGATGATGATATAATCATAGCAATGTATAGATCATCTTATCAGAAAGATCCTAGAAATTATCAATATTATAACAATCATCTTAAAAGAATTGCAAAAGTTAAACAATCAGAAAGGCTTAGCAATTTTATTGAAACAGAATTAAAACCAATTGATTTATCATTACAAGAGGTTGGAATTGAAGAAATTACAGAAGATGATGTTGTTATAACAGCTTATGAATTTAAACTAGATGACATTTTACAAGCTAATAATTTTAATCCAAATTCTATGGAAATTTTATCATTAAATAAAGCATTATTATCAGTTGCAGTACATAGAAGAAGTTATTTATTATTAGATTATATTGAAAATAAATTATTTGATATTTACAAGATCCCCCAATTTAATGAAATTACAACAATAAAAGCTTATGAAATTTTAAATGTAAATTCAACATCATCAATATTTGATGTTATACAAAGTTTTCAAAACAAGTATTTAAGGGAAGATGTTAGAATATTAAGATATGCAATGAAATTAATTGCAGAGGATAAAAAATCTGAAATTATACATAGTTTTTTAAAAACAGGCAAAATTGATTCTTCATTATTACCTACTGAAAATTGGCCAGCTGGCTTGGATAATATTGGTAATACATGTTATTTAAATAGTTTATTACAATATTATTTTTGCATTAAACCATTAAGAGAATTAATTTTGAATTTTAAAGAAACTGATTCAAATGATTTCCCAAAAGATAGAACAATAGGTGGTAGAAAAGTTGAACAACCAGAATTATTAAGATCAAATCAATTTATGTATCAATTGAAAAAATTATTTGAAGAAATGATTCATACTAATAAAAGATGTGTACAACCTAGTAAAGAATTAGCATATTTGTCATTTTTACCATTATCACAACCAGTTGAATTTAAGAAAGCAGAAATACAAGTTGAACCAAAAGAGATAGAAGAAATTGAATCTACTACAGAAGAAATGTCAGGTATTGAAGAGAATAAAGTTTCAGATGAAGAAGAACTTATTGATAATTTTGAAACTACTCCTGTATTGTCAATTTCAGATACAGTTATGCAAAACACTATAGAAGTTGGTACACAGCAAGATGTTACTGAAAGTATAGAGAATGTCACATACCAAATTGAAACTGCATTACCTCCAACAACATTAGAAAAAGATGGTGAGCAAATTGATTTTATCAAAGAACTTTTCCATGGAAAAACTAAACAAATTATTCAACCATTAAAAGGTGGAAAAGAAAGAATTTCAATTGAAAGATTTTTCAGTTTAATCATTAATATAAGTGAACATCCAAAGTCAATTTATGATGCATTAGATTATTACTTTAATGAAGATTTAGTTAAATTAGATGAAGGAGAAGCCAAAAAATCAATTACAATAACTGAATTACCAAAAATTTTACAATTTCATGTTCAAAGAGTTATGTTTGATCGTGAAAAATTAATGGCCTATAAATCAATTGAACCAATACCATTTAGTGATAAGATATATCTTGATAGATATTTGGATACAGGGGATGAAGAAATTATAAGTAAAAGAAATGAAGTTTTTAAATGGAAAAGAGAAATTAATGAATTACAATTGGAAAAAGATGAAATTTTGAAAATTGATTCTAATACCAGTTTATCAATAATTGATAATCTCAAAATAACGAAAAAATATTTGGAATCTAAAATTTTAAATGATGAAAAATTTACGATTGAATTTGATACAATACAAACAATTCAAAATGAGATTGAAAAATTGGAAAATAGATTAACTGACTTAGATGAAAAGATGAATTCTTTACGACACCAAATTGATCAACAATTTATAGATTATAAATTAGTTTGTTATTCAATTTTTGCAGTTTTCATTCATAGAGGTGAAGCAAGTTATGGACATTACTGGATATATATTAAAGATCCTCATAATGAAAATATTTTTAGGAAATATAATGATGAGATTATAACTACTGTTCCAGCATCTGAAGTATACAACTTTGTTGAAAATAATACTGCAACTCCTTATTATATTGTTTACGTTAAAGATGAATTAGAATTAGATTATATAGAACCATTAAAAAGGGTAATCAAAGAATAAATGCCATAGAACTAGTCTAAGAGTAGAATTTGAAAATGCTTGATCAATTCTGAATTCCAGTCAAAGAAGTCCATTATATTAGTATGATTGTTCAAGATCTAGGGTCCTAGATCTGAGATCCGAGATCTAAGATTTAGATTGCGCGTAGAAAAAAAAATAGACAAAGTATAGAAGGTTAATTATTGTACATTAGGTAATAGTTTATTCCAATTTTCTCTTTTTCAAATTAACATCATTGTTCAATGGTGGTAAGCTAATTAAGTCAGATACCAGTGGCAATTTAGTTTTGTGTGTAAAATAACATTCCTTTTCAACCGGATTAGGAAGTGACATTGTTCTTGGATGGTTTAAATCCATTTTCTGTTTAATTCTATTCTTCATACTAATTAAACTAGGGTAGTTTTGTAAATTATACGAATCAATAATTTTTATAAGTGAAAGTAAATCATTTCTTTGATTTTGATATTCATTACTTAAATTATTAAGCTTTGAATTGAGTACATTCATTTGATTAACTAAATCATCATTGGATTGTTGTTGAGGTGCAAATGAAAAATGTGAAAATTGAGGAGCTTGTGGAATTGGTTGATGATGAATAAATTGTGGTTGTGACATTTGTTGTATTTGATGAGGCAGTAGTAAACGTTCTTGACTTTCTTGTTGTTGTGGAATTTGTAGAGCAGGTTGAATGACTTGAATTTGAGGTTGTGGTTGAGTTTGTGGTTGAGTTTGTGGCTGAGTTTGTGGCTGAGAAAGAATTTGACTTTGACTTCTATGTCTTCTCACTCTTTTACAAATTGGAGGTGGTGGAGTAACACTTAAAGGTGATTTAACTTCTTCATCACCTTCTCTAATTTTTTCACTCATTGGTTTAAGATCCACTACTTCTTTTTGCATATTCAATGTCTTTGAACTTCTCCTTTTGATATATTGTAATTTATCATATTCACCTTTTTTAAATTGATTATTTGAATGTCTAAATTCCCATTGACTACCACCACTTTTACCTTGAAAAGTCTCATTAACTTTATGAAATCCATACATGTTTAATTGTCTAATGAAGCTAGCAATGTTTGTATGTTTAAAAAATTGTGATAACAAATTAGCGAAATCTTCATTTGGATAAATATAAAATGAATCATTTGAAGGAGCCCATTTAATTAAATGTGAAATTGATAAATCTTCAAGCATTTGATAAAGTTTATAAATGAAAACAACTTGAGTTGGTTTTTCTCTTTCTTTTGGAATTGTTGTTGCAGAAGGTGTTGAATTTGATCTTTTTAATGTAAATGTAGATAATTTTGGGATTTGAGGTTGTGACATTATTGAAGGAATTGGAGCTGGTGGTGGTGGAGGTGGTAAAGGAGGAGATGGTAAATATGATGAATAAGATCTGATTGAAATAGGATTTTTCAAATTCGAATTTGAATTATAATTTTGATTGTATGATGACGGATTAACTAATAATGGTGGTGGCGTAGGATGATATAATAAATTTGACATCTGTAACAATTTGAATTTTGGGTAATTGAAAATTGACTATCTAATGTGAATGTCAATGTGAAAATGGAAATTAAAATGTCTCAATTGTTTCACGAATATGCGAAATGCTAAATCTTAAGGCTGTAACTGTTACGAAACTAAAATCAGTTTTAGCAGCTTGTATTTTAGCAGCTTTTATTGTTTATGGAAATTTAAAAAATGATTCTGGAAATATGTAGGAAGTGCTAAATCTAAATTTCAAATCTTTTAAGGAACAATGTATTTACCTAAATAAATTGAATTGAATGAATATTATTGATTATTAAAACAATCGTTAAAGCAAACTGAATTGAATGGAAATTATTCTTAATTACGCCAGGTAATAATTTAAATTTTAATAATAAAGATGAATATTGATATTGATATTGATATTGATATTGATATTGATACCCGATCAATAAATAACAGTCAAAATAAAAGTCAATAATGAATGCAATAGTTAAACTTTTGAATAACTTATACTCAATAGTAATGAATATTAATACTTCTCTTGTATGGAAATAATGGAATCTGAATAAAGATAAAAGAATAGAAAGAAGAAAAAAACTCAAAATTAAAGTTTTTGTCGTCTATATTTATATTGTTTCCAACTTTTTATCATTTAAACTTTCGATTAATTAAATTACTCTTGACAACGAGCCTTTCAAATTTGTGTATATATTAAAGTTTTACTTTTGTATTAAAAAAGAATGTAAGAAATTAAAAGCTTAAAGTTTAATTTCGTAAAATTACACAAGATTAATTTATAAAAAAATTAAAATTCAAACTAAAAAAAAGCTAATTGACATTAAAACTTCAGTTCCAATCTCTTCGAAATTCAAATTACGACATGTTGCTAGTAGGCCTTGCCTTATTCATAACCATGTATCGTAACTGCATATATATAATATCTCTAATAAATAGTTTGTAGATCTGAAATGATAATTGCGGCTATAAAAACGCAATTCTATTGTATTTTATTGATGCATTTGTTGTAAATTAGTAAATGCGATCGAGGGTAATTTTTCTCAATTTTGTGGTATGCTTATTGGTTGAATACGATGAAAATGCTGGATGAAATACAGTGGTTCACCCTACTAGACTATCCATCATCAAATTAAGCTTTTTATAGGTACAGGTACTACTCAACGTGGCAAATGTTGAGGATGTTAAATTAGACTATCTTTTAAGATCACTATGATTCACGGGATATAAAAATATTTAAACTTTTTAATTTCTTTTAATTATTACATCCGCTGGATCATTCATTCAATTATTATAATAAGGATTCGGGGTATGTTCAATGATGATATTATTAGTCTCTGCGATGAGATTAAAACTTGTAGTTTATGTTCAATTTTTTAAAGTATTATTATTTAATCTCCATATTTTTAATTAGAATGTGTAACAAAGTTACATTTTCAATGTTTTTTATTTGGATTGTGAACTAACATCAGAATTACAAAAGCAGAGTGATTAACTTTCGATTCTAGAAATAGAAATTATAAAAAAAGTTAATTTTGTAATTTTGTATCTTTATCTTACGGAAAGAAAACTTGACTATTTTATTCCGAATGAAACTGATTATTCAGTGATGTTCTAATGAGCCTGATCTCTTTTTGTACCTCGGGATTGTTAATCTTTAAAACCCCGTTAATTGTTTAAAAGATTTTTTTTTTTTCTTCAAATATTATAAATAATCGTTAGTAAAACTTTTAGGTTAATCTTCTTGCCAGTTTAAATTATTATCTTGAAAGCAAAATTTTGATTTGCTTTGATTTGTTTAGTTTTAGTAACTGCATAATAAGTTAATTTGGTAGAATACTAAATTACACAATATTTGAAAAAATTTTAAACAAACGTTTTTAATTTAGATTTAAGAAATTAAGAATTAAAAGCTAGGGACGAACTAAATGAGATAAAATAAAATGAAGAAGAAGTACTATAATGATGTCCATATATTGTATCAAGAAGTTTCATTCAAAGATGATATATAGATGCAGTTATACTCTGTATTCCAAATGCACTGAATGTTGTCGAAATGTTGATAACTTATGGTATATTGTTTACTCTAATCTCGCCGAATGAAGAAATACCAGAATTAATTTTTTTTACCTCTTGTGCATAAAAATCTGAAAATTATTTATTAACTAAAATAATAATTTATATCAGGTGGGAATGATAAACGGGTTTATTTCAACCTGAATGTCTAAGATTCAACATCTCAGCCAATGACGGTTACTTTTGAATGGTCAAATAGTTATATTTTGTTACAAATAAATCATCTAGTTGTTTCTATTGTCGAGCAATTGTAATATCCTCTAAATTGCCTCTTTGAGTGGAAGAAGATTCTTTATCTTTGTGTTGTTGATTTTAAATTCCATTGCAAACATAAATTTTTATCCATAAGTTATAAAACCTTATAAAACCTTATAAAATCTGAAAAACAATAAAAGCTTAAAATTTTGGAGGTTAAGCATTAATGTTTAATTGGTTGTTAGGCACATGTTGCGTCCACATAAAAAATAAATATTATTCTTTATTGAATTTCAATTTCTGTTTTGGTCACAAAATGTAATATTTATGACACATTAGTACATTTATCTAACGGGCAGTTAGTTACGAAATTAATACAATACAATTATATGAATTTTGTTACCATGTTGCTTTAGTCAAGTCAGTTGTTGATTCAAGTCATAACTGTGTACGGCATTTAGTATAAAAAATAGGGAAAATCAAAACGAATTCCGCTTCAATGAGATCTGTTCAACATTTAGTATGCGTATATGCAGCAATAGTAAAGTTGTTGATGTATTATATTATCAATCTGTTGTTCAAACAAATCTAGTAGGGGAAAGGCATTCGATGATTATGAAACAAAGCTTTGGATCATCATAATCGTCAAATATTTGACATTTTGTCAATTTTTTTTCATGGGATGTATATTTTTAATTGTTGTAGGGGCTTGAAATTGATGTACGTTAACTAAATTTCGATGGTAGGTATGAAATTTGTAATATTGAGGCTTGGTAATGGTTTGAAATGGTTTGAAATGAAATTAATCAAGATTGAACCCTAAAATCATAAGCAAGATTATTTGCTGCAGGCAAAATGAGATGAAACATGCGTATTCTTCCACATATGTATGGTTTGTATACTTATTCATTATGTTATTCTCCTTATTACAAAACCATCTAGGACTTAATATCTACCCTGTAAAAAATTGAACTTGATTATAGAATATGCTGTAACTGTAGATGATAGTAAACAGCCATTAATGATTGAATTTCACATGAAACGCTCCAGACTTGAGTAATATTGTAAAAAAGCTTTTTGCTTTACGATAGGTAGTCTATTTTTTTCGCAGTGAACGTAAATCTACTTATAAAACAAAGATAGATCAGATAGTAAGTTCTGCTGATAATTTCATAAAAGATTGACGAATTTTCAAGTAGACAAGTTTAATGTGGGCTCCCATTCTCTTATTTTGCTTAATAGACAATGTTAATACTTTGCAGTAAAAAAAGAAAATATTATTAGAACTGAATATTTTAGCGTTGGACCCATTTTCAATGGAATCTAGATAATTCTAAAAATTAAGGGGTATTAGGGGACATGCGCATTTGGTAGCCATACTAATTATTTTTATATTTTTATATTTTTTGTATATTTTTTTTTTGGCAACAAAATAAATATCAATTATCAAAAAACACAGGATAAAACCAGATACATCTAGCTATATTTGTTAGAATTTACGACCTATGCTATCACTTTGTTGAATTATACCATTTTCAGCATGACTCAAGCTTTGTACTTATGTTTGCTTCAAATCTAACAATAATCAGCACTACATTCACGATGTATTTTTCAAGAGATTGCCATCCGATCAAGCTACTACAAAGTATTCGTTAACTATTCAAGACCCATCGTTTGTGAACCTTTCCACGATCGAATTTAGTGTGCTCATACTTTTATTATTGTTGTGTTCACGATCGAATTTAGTGTGCTCAAACTTTTATTGTTGTAGTATTCACGATCGAATTAGTGTGCTCATACTTTTATTCTTGTTGTATTCAACGATCGTGGCTTATTAAAGTAATTGAATGCGAATTGCAACATTACTTAATTAGGATGTTGGTTCCGTCTGCAAAAATTAAAAAGCAACAAAAAAAAAAAAAGAAAGCAAGAAAAAAGAAAGCAAAAAAAAATAATTACCTGAAACAAAAAGAAAGTGAGAAGATGACTCAATTTGCAATAGATTTGTATCCAATCATATAATAATGAAATGGACTGTGCTAAAGAAATATTGATCATTCTTGTCTTAACATGACTCTTGTATTGGTTATTACTTAATTTGAAATATGCTGTCGATGACTAAAAGAAAAAAATAATATTTTCTATTTCGATGACCATAACATAGATGACCATAAATATAAGACATCAAATAAGATAAATGTACCGAAGTATGAATGTAAAGAAAACCCTTAAAGTAATAGTCACTCAATTAAAGTCACGTAGACAACAATTTTTCTTGACATCAATAAAACAATCGTCAAAATTCATGAGGTAAGGACTATCAATATCGTAAAATAATAATCTAATAAATTAGTTTTACAATTAACAACCTAAATTGAAATATACTATAATAATAAATTTGTAATCCGCTTTAAGTTTACTGTAATTGGTTTTATAATATTGTAAAAAATTTTATAACCGATAATACCCAGAAAAAAAAAAGACAACGACTGAAATAATGTAACATTAAATCATTCACATTAGCCAGGTTTAAAGATAGTAAGCAAAGTAATAGAGTAGAGGGGGGAATCAGTGGTATATGAGTAATGGAAAATAAGTATAAGCCACGTTCAATGAAAAAAAAGTGCGGTAATTGATAAGATGTAGTTTTTACGATAAATTTGATGCCAGTTGTTTGTTGTTGTTTGTTCAATAAATAATCAAATTTCATATCTAAATTATAAGTAAAATTAATTAGTCACTTGTGTTTTACGTGAAACAAATTAAGTAACGAATTACATAAAAAATTTATACGAAAAAAAAAAGTTTATTCGGTGCCATCGCGCGCCTTGTCTAAGCCGATAGCGCATAATTGAGGTTTTGGTTTTTATCGCCTCTGTTTGTTAATTTAGGCTCAATGCAATTTATATAACAATTTATATAACAATAACTTGAAACTTAGTTTGAGGACATGGACGAATTCAAATATAAGACATAAAAACACAGAATAGACACAACTACTAACCACTTATGACGCTTAAATCATTATTTATGAAATGAGTTTACAGTTAGTTTTAATTTTAATACATGGACATGGACATGGAATTGATTGGAAGAATTTTAATGAATGTTAGGAACCGACCGATGACCAAATATTTACGACGACTCTAGTTTTTGTCACTAATCACTTATTACCCTTTATAAGTTAAATTACAATAAAAATTTAGTGGCGATACAACTTTGATTTCTTGATTATTTTAATTTTTTTAATTTTTTTTAATTTTTTTAATTTTTTTTAATTTTTTTAATTTTTTTAATTTCTTTAATTTCCCCGTACAATTACAATTTTACACCCCCTAACGAAAAAAACGAGTATTATCAACAAATATATTATAATTTGACAATTTTAGAATAAATTTGATGACAACAACAATAGTCAATAGTATAAACTTGAAACAATAAAGTATTAGTCTAAGTAGATTAATTACGGATAAATGATTTACAATCAATTATTGATAATTGTAGAATAGACCGCCTTATCAATAATCAATGTTTATTTATTTTTCCAATATTCAAATTTCATATATAAAAAGAAAAGTAAGAAATGGTAAAAAAGTCACCTGAAAGTCAGGTGAACACACATTAGTTTGGGGGATACTAATAATGAAAATATGAAAAAAGAAACAATGTTTCAACTCGTTTCATAAGAAATGAAGAAACAAAAAAAAAAAAAAAAAAAGAAATTACGTTACGTAATACCCCTTAAGAAAGTTACATAAGAAAAAGAAAACTGAAATGAAATAAAATAAAATAAAATAAAAAAAAATAAAATAAAATAAAATAAAATAAAATAAAATAAAAAAATAAAAATTTGCATTCCGTCATTTCACTAAGTTAGTAAATTTTACTAGTAAAAAGCTCACTTAATAATAAAGTTTATTAGTTACTTTTTCTGTTTATTATATATTGACTAATTTAATTAACTATACAATATATTTGTATAAAACCATATTAATTTGTATTAAAAATTTTCCCAACAACGAAAATAAAATTGTTAACATCATCGTCAGTTTTTTCATTATCAGTTTTTTTCATTATCAGTTTATAAACATATAATTTATTATAACTTGACAACCAAGTGTAATTTTTACTTAGTAATAATTTTATTGTTCATTTATATTAGTTTAATTTATTCCCAAAAAAAATTTCATTTTTAAAGACCTTTTTTTTTTTTTTTTTTTTTTTTTATCGTCATATTTTAACAATCAACAATTTACAACTAGAGAATAAAAAAAAGTAAAATATATCAATGAATTCACAACAACAACAACAACAGCAAAATATAACTACTAGAACTACTAGTACTGCTAGTAGTAATCAAGAACCATCTTCTACAACATCTTCTACTACTACAACATCAAGTACTACTCCTTCTACTACATCTTCTAATTCATCAAATTCATCGGGAGTGGCAACCAATAATGGTGCGTCATCAGGAACATTATCTTCAAATAATCAACAAATTATAAATAGTACTCCAAATACAACGACTACTGCAGCCTCACAATTCAGAGATGTCTGTTTCAGCAACTCAAGTCCAAATAATATTATACCTTCACCTTCATCAAGTAGTTCATCAAATAAACGTTTTATAAATTCATCTCAAGATCAACTGAAAAGAATTAAGTTAGATTTGTCTATAAATAACAATTCAAATAGATTATCTCCCAAAATCATTAGAAAATTTAGATCCAGGTCATTACCAATTATAAATTTTAATAATTCTAATTTCGCATTTTCATCAAAAAGATCAAAACAAATAAATAACACGTCCGTATCATCAATAACATCTACAAACTCATCATCTACAATCCCACCATTACCACCAATCAATTTACAATCACTTAAAGAAATTGATTTGCATGAAATACTCAAAAACCCGCAATTGCGTCATGATATATTATTTGATCCCCAATTACAGTTTAGACCGAATTTAGACGGTGAAAGAGGTAAGCGTAAAAAATCGATAATTGAGAAGTATTGGCTTGAAATTCAAAAAGAATGTCAACAATTTTTTGATGGTAAAACTAAAGTTTATTCAATAAATCGTTTAAGTATATTAATTACTACAATTCGAGAAATATTATTATCTTTGTTGCCAAGTAAAGATAGACAATATGTAGGTGAAATTATGGATATTGAATTAGTCGTACAACAATTAAAACATGGATCTTTTGATTTTGTAGAGATGAGTAAATGGTTGGGTGATGTTTTCAAAGCACATTGTGCTCCAATGAGAGATGTATGGGTTTCAGAAATGATAACAAAAATTCAAGATGCTTATAATTTCAATTCAGTAAGTTATTTAGTAAGTGGTCTTAGATCTATTTTTTCAATATTGGAAGCCATGAAATTAGATGTTGCTAATCATCAAATAAGATTACTTCGTCCAATTTTGATTGAAACAGCTGTTGAATTTGAAAAAGATTATTTTCAGACTTTACTTAGTCATCAAAAAATTAATATTCAAGATTCATTAAACTGGTTTTATAAGAAATTCACGAGTAAAAATACCAACCCCTCTGCAGTTATCAACGACTCATTACTCAAACCAATTATAATTTCATCCATTATTGATTTGTTGAGCTGTAGACAAATGGCTATTGAATTCCCATCAACTTTAGCTTTTGATCATACAAGATTAATATTATTGAGAGCAGATGTAAGACAATTAGTATGCATTCAATTATGTATGGTTTTATATAAACAATTGATTATAAATTCCAAATCAAGTAAGGAATTACTAAAACCAGAAAATTTAGATAAAGTTCAATCGGAAATTTTATCAATAGTAACCGATGATAATGGAAATATTAAATGGACAAAAAATATAACATCAATATCATTACAATTAGTTAAAAACTTGTATGCACCAGATTCAATTCCATCTGTTTTACCATCCAATTATATTGAATTTGCTCATAACTGGTTAATTAAACATATTCAACCAAATTCAAATGTCTATGGATTAATGGAAGTTAAAATCTTTAAAGAATTGTTAAATGAAATAATGGAAAACATGGAAGAAGAAGATAAGAATAATGGATTAAACACTACTACTACTACTACTACTACTACTACTACTACTACTACCACAACCACCACCGCCACCACCACTACCGCAACCACCAGCATAGCTATTAACAACAACACCAGTAGTTCAGAATTAAAATCAATTGCTTCTCGTATTGCCACATTGGTCAAATTTCATTGGAATGTATTTGGTAATTATTACGTTGATCATATAAAATTTCAAAATCTGAAACAATTGGAAGAAGAAAATAAAAAATTGATGAGTTTAAAAGCTAGAATCGGAAGTAAAGGTGATATAAGTATGGATAGTAAAGACAGCAATAATACAAGTAATGAAAGTAACGGAAATCATGGCAATAATGAAAAGAAAAATATGAATGGAAACAACAATTGTGAAGCTATTGATAGCAATCAATCAGCTCCTTTAAGTATGTTTTCATAATAGATGTTATAAATATATTAATTTATAGGTTATTTAATGGAGGATAAAGAGTAAAATTTTAATGTAATAAAATCTAATTTTAAACGAAACTGATTCAAACACTCAACCACTATAAATAATATTTATTAAATTTCGATCCAGCGAAATATTTAACCTTCAAATCTATTTAACTGAGTTCATAACAGTGTATTTTTGGTAATTGTTTCATCATTTTCATTTTCATTCGAGAATTCTTGATTAATGTCTGACTCTTTAATATTTTCATCTTCAGTTTCATTAGCTTCAATATTTTTATTTTCTTCGATTTCTTCAGTTCCTTCACTAGTTTCTGTTTCTTCATCAATATTTGACAAAGATACAGGTTCAATTTTAATATTTCTGCTTGTGGATTCAGCAATTGGACGATATTCTTCAAAACTATTTCCAGCTCTTTCATCCTCATTTTCACCTTCACCATTTTTACGTCTTCTTAAATAAGAATACCCATCATCATCTTCAAAACCAACTGGAATTTCTTCAATTATACCTTTCTCTTTTTTATTTTCCAACATTTTTAATTTAATTTTATCTTTTGCAGTTACAGGAGCAACTGGTTGTGGTTCTAATTTAATATTAACTCCTACATCTTCGTCTTCTTTTTTAATTCGTGGTGGATCGATTAACATATTATTTGCCTTTTCATCCCATATTTGCTCAAAGTTTTTAATTTCTTCAGGTATTGATAAACTAAATATAAATTGAATAGTTGATAAATTCAAACCAGAAATTACTCCAATTCCAATCCCAATATAAATTGAACAAATTATAAAATGTAAAGTAGTTATTAAAAATAATTCAAATTGAGTTTTAATCCATGATATATCTTCAAAAATTTCAAAATTTTCTAATTCAAGGAGATAAATTAACGGTTTCAAAATTGGTAATTTTATAAATGGAATATATAAACATATTGTAAATACTAAACTTACGGGTATGTAAACAGTATTAAAGAATATAAACTTATTGATTTCATGGATTGTTAAAACTGGTGATAAAAATATTTGAATAATTGGATTCATGTAAATATGAAAAGGAAAATGAATGTATGAAATTGAAAAATAAAGTGGGAGTGTATTCAAAAAAAAAAAAAAAAATCAATACCAAGCGTGTATTCACCAAATATTGACATAAAGACAAAGATAAAGTATACGAGCTATAATGATAGCTAGCTCGCACTTTACTGTTATCGACATAAAAATTCTTGCCTTATATAATTATTTGCAACTCAGTTGAAAGGTTGAAAGTCGTTAGCCTCGGACCCTTATCGCATTAGCGAAAGATAATCGAAGTCAAGCTCATGGCATAAAAATTGACTGGAGAGTTCCTCGCTCGAATTGGCATTGTTTTGAATTTACTGTTTTAGCATGAGTAGAGTAGCATGGGCAGCTTGAGAAGCGTTCAAGAAGCTCGAACTATAACATTCTTTATTGATAATTTGAACACCTCTTAAATACTGATTCAATAACGCAAACATTGTCCATACAGCTAAGAGATAACCAGATAACTTGATATTTACTAATACCACAAGTAGATTCCAGTTAGTAATTGTGAACTGCTACGCTTAATTTGCTGAAAGTAATTACCTATTGAGTCGAAATGCGACTCTACAGACGTTAAAAATCTTATCCAACAATTCTCTTCATGCATTATCAACTTAAAATTTATAAAATAGTTTTGCTAGCATTTATAACCTCTTATTAAGTTCATTTCAATTAGGTGTAAATCTATATTTTTATTTTTATTTTTATTTTTTTTTTTTTTTATTTTTTTTTTTTACATCTATTTCCTCTTTTGTAAATCTGAAACATTTTTGAGACAAATAAATTAGTCGAAGAATAATAAAAAATAATAATAAACATAAATTAATGAACAACATTACAACCAAAACAACAACATTATCTGAGCTTTTAGACAAACATTATGCTCAAAAAATTACATTTGAAAGCAATAATCAGCCAACAATGGTACCGTTTCCTATGTATGCGTCACAAATTGACTCAAACTTACCTTTTATGACTGAAATTGGGCAAAAGATTTATAATCATTTACATAAAATTGGAATTATTCAAGATAATATAGAGGCCGAATCACAATTAAGCAACTGTGAAATTAATGAGTCAGAAGGTAGGATCTATAATTGTAAATTAGAACTCTCATTAGTTCATAAAGAGAAACCTTACAATGTTAAATTACAATTAATTTATCAGGCAAAACCGTCTGAAGAGTCATTAACAATGTATGTTTCGAAACTGGAATTAAACTACTACTTAAAGTATAAATTGTTGAATTTAGAGGTGCACGATGGGGTTGAAAGTAAAATTAATTTTTTATTAACTTTAAAAACTATAAAAGGGTCCATAAATGATTTAGAAATTGAATTTTAACTTGTTTTATGTCCTGGACTTGGTGGCTCATTTCCTGATTCCCATATTTTTTGTTCACTAGTCATAAAAAAATCAATCAGACCACCATTTGTGAATAATGTCTCATGATCTACCCAATTTTGATTCCAATATTGATTATTCACTTGTATATTTTCAATATAAATATTCTCACTTGATAGATTATGAGCTTTAATTTCGAAATCTTTACCATTATCTAATTTAATCTTTAAATGTTCTATAAAAGGTGATGATATTAAATATGTAGTAGTTCCTGCGATTGGATAAATTCCCATTAATGCAAATATTACCCAAGATTGCATTGCACCACCATCTGAATTACCAGGTAAACCACCACTTCCAACTTGAAAAAATTTATCAACTATAAATCTAACTAGTTCGACAGTTCTAAATTGTTGATTAACATAATTGTATAAAAACGGTGTATTGAAACTTGGTTCATTACCTACATCAGCAATTTTAGTTCCATGTAATTCATACATATCATCTAATCTTTGAATAAAAGTTTCATCATCACCTATAAATTCTTTTAATGTAATTATATCAAATGGCACTGACCAACCATACTCAATTGGTTTACCTTCATACTCATCGTCACCCCAATAACATCCGAAACAACTTAATGGATCATACATTGTGTAATTAAATGATCCATCGGAATTTTTTGGCTGAACAAAGCCGGTATACGATTTGCCACTAGCTGTTGCATCGTGATTCCATATATTTTGCCAATTGGTTGATCTATCCAAATATTTTTCATAATCTTCTTCGTTACCCAACCCCTTTGCAACTACTGATAATGCAAAATCATCGTATGAATATTCAATTGTACGGCTAACTGATCTGGTGTAATTTCTTGTAATATATCCATATCTTAACCAATCTGGTAATGCACCTCTACCTTGTTTTGTTGATGCATCTGGTGCTTTTGGATCATACCAATAAGGAGGTTGGATTTCAGCATTTTTAACCATTGCCGAATAAGCATCCTGCCATTCAGCACCAAAAATTGAAATATTTTTAATATAAGCATCTGCCATTACAATATCTGAATTCGTACCACCTTGAACTCTACCATTTTGATTTGCTGATCTGCCATCTGGAGTCCAACCATCGTATTTATAAATGTTAATTAACGATTCAATAATTTCACCACCTCTAACTGGATTTATTATATTGATTAATGGATTTAGAGTTCTAAATGTATCCCAAATTGTAAAAAAATCATCATAATAAGTTGGTTGAACTGACCAATTTGGATTTTCTCCTGTTCTATTTGATGGGATTAGATGACATCCGTATAAATTAGTAAAAAATTGTGATTTCAATGTTTCATTTTGAGTTTCAACCTCAAATTTGGAAAAAACTTCCTCATTCCAAGCTTGTTTAGTCTCTTCAATTAATGAATAGAAATCATCTTGTGAATCTATATTTGAACATGCTTGTTCTTTTGAGATAAAGGAGATACCGACTTGACTTTGAATTTCAAAGACATCATTATCAAACTCGAACACCAAACCAACAGAATCATCTTGAGTAGTTGAACTTGCATGAGAGTCATTTTCTTGAGAGCTTCCTTGAAAGCTAATAATATTTGATGCATTGGTATTAAATTTTCCACAAAAATAAATTGTCCAAGGTTGTTGTAATCCCCAACCTCCTTTGATAGTTGTATACCCGGTATATCCACTCAATTCACCATCAATTGAACCGTTCACAAAGTATTGTGTCCACCAAGGTCTACTGGGTGCACTTAAATGATGTGAAATATTAACTAGAATTTTTGCACCATCTTCTTTAAAATTGTACTTAAAAAACCCACTTCTTTCACTCGCAGTAAATTCAATATCAACATTCGTAGTGCTTATTTGATATAAACCAATTTTCGCAACATCTTGTTGTGTTCGACCAATTGTAATTTCTTCATTATTATTAAATTCCCCCGTAAATGGTAATTGTGAAACTACCCCATATTCAGGAGCTCCTCCAGTACCCAGTTCATGCATCATTGAAATACCATTTATATCTCCATCTAGTGCATATCCACTATAAGCATCTCCGTATTTTGAATTTATAACATCAATCCCGACTTTGGCCATTCCAAAAGGCCTAGTTATACCTGGAAACATATGACCACCATTTTCAGTACCATAGAATAGATCTACATAATCGAAAACATCAGCTGAGTAAACTGATAGTATAAAGATGAATACTAAAATCATCTAATGGACGATTAATTCCATTTCATGAATTTTCTTATTCATGATCTATTTTATAGTAATTGAAATCTAAAACGTGGTAAAAAATTAATAATAATCGAAAGGATCTTTAAAATTTGACAACTAGAAGCCATTTTTGAGTTTTATTGTCTTTGATTTTAAATTTTAGAAATTGTTATTATTCTGTTATGTCGTATTGAAATATTTTTTTTTTTTTTATTTTGTGTACCTTACAAAGCGCAATTTACTGTCATAAAGCACTTTTTAATAAATTGAATTTCAGTGTCAAGTTTAATAAGAATCACATTATGATTAAAACAGATTGAAAGCTTCTGATCTATCTTACTATGGCTTTGCAGTTATACTATATAACTTATGAACTAACAGTTGTAGGTTAGCGTCCTTGTATTTTGTTGGTACCTACTTATCAACGTGTTTACTGCAACCCACATGGTTAAAAAAACTTTATATTATGTCAATACTAAATATTATTGTGGAACACTACGTTTTATTGGCTTAATTACGTACATATGATCCGATACATAACCGATAGATTGATAAGATATAATTAATCTATAAGCATTTTTAATTTTTCACAAGAGTGATCTAAGCCAAATTTATTTTAAATTCACTAAGCAAATTCGATTGTAATTTTCACTTATTGTTCACTGGTTAGTTTAGTTTTAACTCGTAAGACCAAAGCTGTTTAGCCTACATTATTTGAATTCGATTGTAGATGCAATTTTTTGAACCGTAACAGATCACAATCATTGACTCGGAAAAAAAGGAAAAGAGTTCTTTACTGCGGAACAAATTTCTAAGATTTAGTTGTAGTCAGTTTAATTGAAGATATCAATCTTTAATTATTAAGCGGCATTTAGGGGTAAAAAAAAAAGAAATATGAAGATGTCAAAGATGGATATCAAACAACCACAGCAGTAGGTAAGAACTGAAGCAGTTTTCTGGAGGTGGTAACTACAATAAGTGTAAACTGATCTAGTTGTTATGAAGCACGTACGATCAAGTAAATGGCATCAATAACTTTAATTTGCAAGTTTGAAATGTCCGTAGTGCGTACATTTCAGGAGTCGAATCATTTCGATAAAGGCAGCTGTATAAATGTTACAATATACTGTTGTTGTCAGATTTTAAATTTCTTAGATACTGAAACAGCATGTGGACGTGTTATGTGAGGTTACAGAGATGTTAAACATGCTTTCATAGCACTTTAGTACTACTGTCGAATATCAATGTTGATGCTCTTAATAAAGCACAATAAACTGTCAAATTAGTTATATTGTACATCTGAGATACATTTTAGATAAACCGGTAACAAATAGAGAATTAACCAACATCTAATTCCAATCAGAGTTTTAATATCATAAGTCATATACTGATGCAAGTCTCATTCATTGTTATAGAAACTTTGATAACGCAATATTAACAGTATAAATGGAATAGAGGTATGTTGTACCCACAAGGTCTAGACCATTCTTTGTGTGCTAATTTTATTGATGAGGATCATTCCATTCTGAAACAAATAATTAAAATTAATGTTTCGTCTATTTTATAAATTACTATAAATATACATTTATTTCTCAGATTCATTTTTTTTATTAACTATGAAAATGAAACAGGAAGAATCAGATATAGTGATAACACAGAGTCTTTCGATAATTTAAAGAATAGTGATTTTTATGATGATTTAAAGGAGGAAGAACAAGATGATGCAAAAAACAAACAAATAGATATCAATAAATCCATTAACGTTAATTTTCCAGGTTTATCAGCTTCTTTAGTTAAATATTTAAAACACATAGTGAATTTATTTACTTTCCATTAATTAATGTTAATTATGGTGTGAAAGTTTCTAAAATTTTAGCTGAGGATAGCAAAATTTTTAGAGTTGATCCAATTGAAGATAATAAAGAATTGGAAAGACAATTGAAAATTATTGCAAATCGAATATAATTAATCCTAACTTTTTTTTATATGAAACATGAAACAGAAAGAACATATATGGGTGATCCTACGAAACTGCTAAACAAAAAGTTGTAGGAGAAGAAGCTGATAAACAAGAAGCGAGTATTGACGCTAAGATTGATCTAGTTGATTTTGAAGATTAAATTGCACCAGGTGGTAATCATATCGAGGAAGGAGAATCCTTAGATTTCGAAGAGGTTTCTTTCGAGACTGAATAGAAGAATTTCTTGAAGTATAGGTTTAATGTTGAATAAACATCTTATCATTTTAGTCTTATTACACAAAATCCAATTATCGTCTAGATCTTGTAAAAAAAAAAAAAAAAAATAGTTCAATTAATTTAAATTGACCATGGACTAGTCAAATACGTTGTCTGATGCTAAATAGTGGAGAAAATTCGAAGAATAAGAGTTAAAAGATGCAATTTATAAAATAATTCCTCAATTAATTGAAGGAAATACTAATAGAGATCGAAAAAATTGCTACAGCACTTGGTAAATTTTTGATCTCATTGCCAGTAATAAACTTCGTGAAAAACTAGTAATCAGTAATTGTTTGATTTGTCGTCATGACTCACCAATTATGTATTTTATCCTCACACTTTAACTTTTATCAAAAATACAATTAGCAAAATTTCTACATTGTACATGAAAAAGCTCAAATTTAAACTCTTATCAAACTATGTTACTTTCTAATAAATAAATCAATTATTTATTATCTATACAGCAATTTATTTCTCTTCCCCATTCACTATTTAAAATTTGTTTACCAGTAATTCTTCTTTCAGCAACAGGATCTAAAATTGAATAAATTACATTTCTACATCTTGCTCTTTTTAAACTTTCAATTGGTTCATAGCCTTTTGCATCTTTTCTTTTGATTAAATATTCGTCAAAAAATTCATCCTTTTTAGGGTCAGCCAATTTCCACAATTGTCTACCAGTTCTCATAGCCATATATATTACACCACATGACCAAATATCAACACATCTAGGATCAAATGTAACTTGAGTAAATTCTTCTGGAGCAATGTAAGGACTCGATCCACAAATACCTTCACTGTATTGAATTTCATTTTCCCAAGCCATTTTAAAACATTCAGAATTACCAAAATCAGTAATTTTCAATACACCATCTTGTGTTAATAATAAATTTTCTGGTTTTAAATCACGATGTGCAACACCCATATCATGCATATAATTTACCCCTTTGATTAGTTGTTTGAAGAAGCAATCAGCTTCAGCATATTCCAATTTACCAGAAGCAATAATTAAAGTATATAAATCACCACCAGAACAAAATTCCATAACTTCACAATAATCACCTTTTGCATCTTTTAATAAATCAAGGGTATCGATTATATTAATATGTTTTAATGATGATGAAATACAAAATTCACTTGTTAATCGACGATTATATTTCTTTTCATTTTCACTTGGTTTTCTTTTAAATTCCTTGACAGCATATAATTTCTCATTACTAGTAGTAGAATCTAATCTTTTATGAGATATTCGAACAACTCCAAATGAACCTCTACCTATAACTTCTTGGCATCTACCATATTTTTCAACAAATGATCTACAATCAGGACCAGTTACATCTTGTGCGGTGACCACATCCGTTGTACCAGGTTGATGGTAAGGAGATGTATTATTTTTAACATGATTGACCAAACCAGCAAATAATGTTGGAGGTTTACCATTGACTTGTTGTTGTTGTATAGGTTGTTTTTGTAAAATATCAGGTACTGCTGACTTTGCTTCATCTCTCAATTTTTTTGCACCTAGCAAATCTTTCAACATATTACTTAATTTTTCCTGACGTTTAGCTGATCTTAAGTGATGCTCATGATCACCATTTTCCAACATTAAAAATCTTGGTAACGAAGGTGGAATATTTTGTTGAGATGATTCGCTTTTGATTGATGACTTTTGTTTTCTTGATGTCTGTCTTGAGACTGCTGGAGTATTTACTGACAGTGAAGATTTTGAATCAATTAAAACTGCTGGTTGAGGTGGTGAAATTACGGTGATATTACTTGATTGTTGACGCTTAAGTTTTTGATCCAATGATGCTACTGAAATTGGGGAAGTTGTAGTTGATGAAATACCATTAATTGGTGAATGAGATCTTGTTGATGTTAATTTAGGTGATGTAGTATTAGGATTCAATTGAGTATTGCTTGTTGTATAAGGTTGAGGTTGCTTTATATATTGTAATGGTGAAACATTGTCATTTTCAACTTGAGGTAGTATAAATTCTTCAGAATTGTTTTTTGATGATGATGATGATGATGCTGATTTACCATTTTCTTTAGCTTCCTTTTGATTATTATTGGTGTTGTTTTGTGAGGATATACTTGTGGAAGAGACACCTAATAATTTACCTAATTTTGAGAATTTACCTGGTCTTTGATCGCCCATTTTTGAAATCCAATTAAATGATATATAATGATTGAATTATAAAATGAAAAAAAAAAGTGAATTAATTGATGAAGGTGAAATAACAAAGGGGTGAAATAACAAAGGGGTTGGTTGCAGCTAACGAGCTGTAAGGTAATGAAATTGGTTGATAATGTATAAAATAAAGAAAATTGAAATTGGTTGTAAATATATATATATATAAATTTAAACTTGTATAATTTCTATAATAGTAATTTAGATTTTAATATTAAAAAAAAAAAAAAAAAAAAAAATTGTGATGGAATATGTACTGCATATAAATATATTGATTTTATATTGAAAAATCCCTCATAATAAATATACAAATTATGTAATGTCTCTAATTGTGATGACATAATTTCTATGGCAAATTGTATATTTATTTCATTTCATTCATCATAAGATGAAAATGTTTGTTTAATTCTATGTGAGAATTTCTATAATTTTACGTTCATTGAGCGCTTGGATAACGTGTTAATTCAAGAGTTGATTTGAAAGCATCTGATTTTTATCACTAAGATTGACTAATAATATTTTATTATAATTCTAAGGAAAATTTAAACTATCCATTTAATTACTCAAACGTGGAACTTGTCAAAAGTTTTTTTGTTATATCATCAACGCCAAAGGGTTATTTTGAGTTTTGGGGGTAGTAAATTACTGTTTAAAACAGAATGAATGTGGCATAGACATCACAGTTTTCTATTAATATCTTGATTGATTTACGAATTGTAGGCTGTAGAAGGTCATGATCTAATTTTAATCTATTATTTTAAAATTTGGCTGCAAAAAAAAAATTTGTCCTAAATCTTCGAAAGTCATTGATTCTCGCTTTAAAAGTAGTGTATGATAAATGTATGATAAATCTATCTTATGTTCCTCATTTGTTTATTGTCGTTATTATTCTTGGTTCGTCATTGAATGGCTTCAAAATGTAGTCAAATCTAATAACTTCCTAATCTGATCAATAAAGCGTTTTTATTTTTAATTTTTGTGCTTTTTTTAATTTTTGTGCTATTTTTATTTTTTTTTTTATTTTTTTTCTATGTTTACGAGGTAAATTCAGATTTAAAACTAACTTTAACATTCTGTTATCGAAATTTGAAATCAAACCAAATCTAAGCATCTAATTCATCTTGTTTCGGTTAGTTTTTACCCGTCTAACAATCAGGCTCTAAAGCTTTTCGGTTAAATAACCAATTATCATGGATATTTTAGTTATCCGATAAACGAAACATCGCCAATGTTAAAAAATAAAGATTGATCGCATAGCCAGGGCTTTTGACAACTACGTTTGACTCGTTTGACCATCTTGAATAATTGTTTAATCCTACTACGATACTAATCTTGAAATTTCTTGGTATTAAATAAATGGTACAGCCACATCATTCTTTTAATGAAGAGCCTAGAACTAAACGACACCGCAGTATTCTGATCAATCAAGGGTGACACTCTTGTAAAGTCTAAACTTGTATATATATGTTTTTATTATACTGTATATGTATATGAACTTAAATCCGGTGAACATAGATGAAACATGCGACCAAAAAATTTATCGCGCTAGCTCTAGGACGACTGGCACTAATCTCATTGACTTATACATCATGAATCAACAATTCTCTCGAGCTAAATATCAATTATATGAAATCAGGACCAATGAAGTATACATCTTAAATAACTCAAGTTTAAATATTTTAAATTTTTTTTTGTGTTGTCATTTTGGCTCTTTTTCATCATACAAAAATTTTTCAAAAAATGGAAATTTATGTTTCTTCAATTTAAGGGCCATAATTTTCAAATAAACAACGAATTATATATTTTATACCTCAATCATAGATGCTAGACTTAATTCTTGTTACTCTCATTCAAAACTGAAAAATTTTGAAATTTTCTCCAAAATATGGCAAATTTCGAATAAATTGACCTTACAAAAAATTAAATTCCCCGTTTAATACAAAAATTTAAACATGATAAAGCTATCCAAAATTTTAGCACTCCATATTAATACAACGTCGATATTTTTGTATCAAAGTATTCAACTTTGAAAAAGTAATTTTTCAGGGGTGTTTCGAAATTTTTACAAAATTTTCAAACTGATTTTGGCGTCTTGAAAACATCATGTATAAAATATTTATGAGCAAATACACCATGTCAGATGCTTTAGAATTTGCCAAATAAGGTTTAAATGTTGAATATATGGCAAATTGGCGTTTTTTGCCATTTTTTAAACGGATAATAAATGATCACAACCAATCTTGTACCTAAAAACCTAGCATTAATTTATCTCGAGTCATCCGAAGTTTCAATGAAAATAGTTTGACAAATGCAGCTTGAACATTGAGGAAGTTATTTACAATTAAGTTTATGATTAACTTATAAGACTGCATATAAGTCGGATTTGTCTTAGATATATTTCTCAATGTTTCAAATTTTTATTGTCGTAAAAGCATATGACTAATTTTTAATATATGGTTAAAAGGTATATATATCATAAAGCTCAGGTAAATATATTTATGAAGCCAAATTAAAGAGACTTTACAATAGAAGAGTCATTTAGAGTAATGTAAGTAGCTGGGAATGGTAAGGTAAGTTTGAATATAAATGATGTTCTCATACTGGGAAACTGTTCTTAGAATATAAAATTATTCTCACAGATTAAGCAATATACCTTTTGAAAATATATTCGTAAACTTGATTTGTAGTTCGTATTATCTAGTGCGTGCAATTCTCAAAATATTTTAAATACTGTAGCACTCTGATTGAAAAAGATATCGAAATTTGTTATTGCAAATTAAATCGAACTAAAACATAGAGCAGATCATGAAGCAGCAAATTGGCTCTTTGATAAGGATAATAACTTCATTTGGAGATTGAGTACGTCTGGTCAGGTTTTGATACTTTCGATTATTTTGCACACAATCTTTTAACGTATTATATTTGTCCCCAAAACACATTATTCTAACTCCAACCAGTTTGTTTTTGTTCTAATATTAATACAGAGCTTCTTTACTAGACGAAACACGTAATTCAATACATCGTACTATATTCACCCATTGTTTTTCGATATTTCTTAATACAGTAAGGTTGTACGCGTAAATAAATAAAAAAAAAAAAAATTATTATTGTTTACATCAAAGTTGAATCGAAAAAAAAAAAAATAAAAAATTATAATTAATCGTATTCAGATTCAGATTTGAGATTCCATAATCAAACCATCACACATATATAAATAGATCTAAAGTATGTTGAACTAACGTTGCTGTTAAAGGCTCTCAAGCTTTACTAACACTCATTCTTTTCAGTGGTTGAATTAACTGATTATCAACGTCAGGAGAAAGTTGGTGAAGGTACTTATGGAGTTGTTTACAAAGCTTTAGATATAAAACACAACCACAGAGTAGTTGCACTCAAAAAGATTCGATTAGAGTCGGAAGATGAGGGCGTACCAAGTACTGCAATCAGAGAAATTAGTTTACTAAAAGAAATGAGAGATGATAATATAGTTAGATTATATGATATAATTCATTCAGATTCCAACAAATTATATTTAGTATTTGAATTTTTAGATTTAGATTTAAAAAAGTATATGGAATCAATACCACAAGGTGTTGGATTAGGTGCTAATATGATTAAAAAATTCATGAATCAATTAATCAAGGGTATTAAACATTGTCATTCACATCGAATTTTACATCGTGATTTAAAACCACAAAATTTATTAATTGATAAAGAAGGTAACTTAAAATTGGCTGACTTTGGTCTTGCTCGTGCTTTCGGTGTTCCATTAAGAGCATATACGCATGAAGTTGTTACATTATGGTACAGAGCACCAGAGATTTTATTAGGTGGGAAACAATATTCAACTGGGATAGATATTTGGAGTATTGGAACTATATTTGGTGAGATGGTGAATAGAAAACCAGTGTTTCCAGGTGATTCAGAAATTGATGAAATTTTCCGTATATTTAGAATGTTGGGTACACCAAATGAAGAAGTTTGGCCAGATGTTTCATATTTGCCTGATTTCAAATCATCATTTCCAAAATGGAAAAAGCAAATATTGGGTCCTTTTTTTCCAAGTTTAGATCCAAAGGGAGTTGATTTATTAGAGCAAATGTTAATTTATGATCCAAGTAAAAGAATTAGTGCAAAAAGGGCATTGATTCATGACTATTTTAATGATGATGATGATAGTAATAATAATGATTTTGAAAAATCTATTAATATGGGTTAAAACAAATTCAAACAAAATTAAATAGATGATATTAGATTAGAATATATATTAAGTATACGTTAATACTGCGTAACTATACAATGATACTTTAAAATTGATCATACAAACGTGTTTTATTATACAACTGTTTCTCAAGTACGTATTAGAAAATGCAAAAAGTAATGTGATCAAAGACTGCGTTAATTGAAACAATAACTTATCTTAAAAGCGAATAAACATGATTTTGATAAAAACTAATTGATATATTAACATTCATACATAAAGTTATTAATAAAATCGAATCATTTATGTTTTGGAACTCTTTTTAACCACATAAATTATTCAATTTAATATTAAGAATCATGTATAGAATTGTCGATCTATTTGATTTGAAGACGCTATTTTAATGTTACTTTTAGAACGTAAGTATCATAGTGTGCATTAAAGTTTATTAATCAAAATTTAAATATTAGGTAAAAAATGGTGAATAATATATATAACTGATAATAATAAAAGATATCAGTATTTGTACTTTCCATAGTTTTATTTGACATTTGATTAATGATTTCATTGGCTGCGTCTGCTATTGGTCGTATTACTACTTTTGATCCTGGAGTTGATGATAGTTTTGACTCTATATCATCTTGAACTATATAATTCAAGTTTCTATGTAGTGAATTGCTATGATTTATGGTTGGCAGACTCAATTCTATATCGTCATTATCTAGTATGTTTGAAATATTTGACGTTGATTCATTATGTAGTTTCGATATCAATATCTTTTCGTCTTCAGTTAATACCGAAGTTATTAAATTTGCATTTGTGTAAGTTTTTGGAGATGCGTTGACTTGATTCAATATCTCCTTCTTCATTGACCTAAAACCTCCACTTAATTTATTGACATCACGTCGTATAATATGTATCTTGTCATTTATATTATCATTTGCATTACACAAATTCCTCAACTCAGTCAAGTCTTTTAGATTTTTATCCTTGATTTCATTAATCTCCGATTCTAATAAATTAAACAGATTTTTCAATTTATGATGAATTTGATCCAACTCAACTAAGCTTTGTTTTATGAAATCTTTACTATCCATTAAAACAATACTTGTATCATCAATTGAATCTATTTTGAAAACACTATTAAGCGCAGTCTCAAAAATTTCCCTTGCTTGAAATTTATTAATTTTTGAATAAATTCCTTCTGTTAATTCAACAATTTTTGTTTTTACTCGTAGATTACTTATATCTAATAACTTTAGGATCTTAAATAGTTGAAATGGCTCTATGAATGATTTACCTTCAGATATCATATCCCAATATTGATCAAAATTTGTGAGTGGTTTTTGTTTCGTTTTTATTGGTGTTGAAAAAGATTCTGGTGAAAGATATTCTATATTTATTGGTGATTGATCAATTGAATTTAATAATACATTTGCTTTAGATTTTGATAAAGAAGGTGGTGTTTCTGGTAAATACATATTATAAAAATATAATTAAAATAATATTAAATATGTTGGGTATGGCCAAAAAATGATTGATGACTTATTTCTTTGAAATGCAAAGCTACTAATGAACAATGTTTTATATTAAGGATTGTTTCTATATTCTATGTCTATATTTGTCTAATGATTTTAAATTTTAAATTGTTAGTCTTGTTGTTGCCAAATGTCAGAAAAGAGGCAAATTTGAATATTATATCAAAAATTGGTGGTTAATAAAAAATTCAATATTATATATTTGTTGTTATTTTGAACTGATTTACACTACTAACAGTTACCTATTTAGGTTACATAATTAGTATTTATGTACAACTACTTAATTTTATAGATCTTACGTATGCTACCAATTGACTTATTATTGTAAATTTTCATTTGTATATTTTATGGAGAACTAAATAATACTATAAATTGAATTAAATTCTACCATAATCGTATCAATCCTTTTTAATACTCCCAAAGCAATTAAAATAAGGACTGATGTTTAAAACGACACTTTTTTGTCAAAGTAAAGAAACCAAGAAGCTGTTACTCTTTAATTATTTTCTAGTATTGACTGTTGAGCTCATATTATGACCAATTTTCTAATCTGGATGAAATCTTCTCATCCAATCTAATACCCACGACTACAATTTCATTTTGATATTAGTTTGAAGCTTTACGACTATAGTTAAAGTATTTTCAACTTTTCAGTCATATCTTGTTGATTTAATTCGATTCTTTTAGCCTGTAGCTCTAGATTTTTCAACTCTAATTCAATCTTCATTTGTTTCTTCTCTAATACTAGAATTTCTTGATTTAATTGATTAGATTCTTTGAAATTTGATTCAAATTTTTGTATAGTTGATTCGCCTTTTAATTCCAATAAAGGAATCCATGGATTTCCATATTTATCTTGAATTTTATCCTTATAATGACGGTGATTATTTGGTATTGATGATGATGACGAACGATCAAGATTAGGTCTATAATAAGGAGCAGATGATGAACCTCTATAATTTCCTCTATAACCACCGCCTCTATAACCGCCTCTTCCACCTCTTGGTGGGTGTGAATATCTTGAATGACCACCTCTATTCATGATAAGTGTTTGACTCAATGATGTTTTTTTTGGAATTTTTTTTTTTTCGCTAGAAGAAAGAATTCTAACGAACAACTTTTATATTAACCAAAGGGTCAATTATTCAAACTCAATTGAAATATGTTAGAAGGATATACGAGTAATCCAATTGTATATTATGCAATTATTGTTGCTATATTAGTTGGTGTTTTTAAAATTACCGTTTTTTCTTTAAGTTTTATTTCATTATTACTTGATTTATTCATTTTACCACCAACTGATTTTGCTAAATATGGTGGAAATGGTAAATGGGCTGTTGTCACTGGAGCTTCTGATGGTATTGGTAAAGAATATGCATTGCAATTGGCTAAAAAGGGTTATAGTATCGTTTTAGTCTCAAGAACTCAATCAAAATTGGAAATTGTAGCTCAAGAAATCTCATCTCAATTTAAGGTTAATACTAAAGTTGTTGCTTTTGATGCTTCATTAGATTCTGAAGAAAATTATTTATTATTGGAAAAGGCAATTTTTGATTTACCAATTACAATTTTAATTAATAATGTTGGTCAATCACATTCAATCCCAGTACCATTTTTAGAAACAAGTACCAAAGAATTAAAGGATATAATCACAATAAACAACATTGCAACTTTAAGAATTACTCAAATTGTTGCTCCAATTATTATTTCAACAATTGAAAAAAATCAACACAAGATTAAAGGTTTAATTTTAACAATGGGTTCATTTGCTGCCTTATTACCAACTCCTTATTTAGCTACATATTCAGGTTCAAAATCATTTTTACAATCATGGTCAAATGCATTAGCTGGAGAATTACAACCACAAGGTGTTGAAGTTGAATTAATTATTTCATATTTAGTTACTTCAGCAATGTCAAAAATTAGAAGATCTTCATTAACTATTCCAAATCCAAAACAATTCGTTCAATCAACTTTAAATAGTGTTGGTAGAAGAAATGGTGCTCAAGAAAGATTTGCAACTTCAACTCCATATTGGACTCATGCTTTAATGCATTTTGGTATTAATAATACAGTTGGTGTTTATTCAAAATTGGCAAATAAATTAAACTTGAATATGCATAAATCAATTCGTACAAGAGCTTTAAAGAAACAAGCAAGATTAGCTGCTGAAAAGAAGGATTAAATAAGTTTATATATAAGTATACTATATATATATGCGTTCACGTGACTCACTGTAAGAAATTTCTAGAAGTTAACCAAATTTTTTTCGTCTCAGTTGCTAAAAAATCGTTAAAGATTTATATATATTTCAACAACTTATTACTTTATTATTTGTTTCAGTTTATAATATAAATCAATGGTTAAAGATAAGAAATTATATAATTTGTTAGGAGTGGATACAGGTGCAAATGAACAAGAAATAAAGAAGGCATATAGAAAAGCAGCATTAAAATATCATCCAGATAAACCAACTGGTGATGCAGAAAAATTTAAAGAAATTTCAGAAGCTTTTGAGATTCTATCCAATGAAGAGAAAAGAGAATTATATGATAATTATGGTTTGGAAGCAGCAAGAGGAAATGCACCAGCTGCAGATCCGGGAAATCCATTTGCTGGTGCTGGTGGACCTGGAGGAGGTACAAGTTTTAATTTTGGTGGTGGTGGACCAGGTTTTAGAAGTTCAGGTGGTTTTTCACAAGCTGATGCATTTAATATATTTTCACAAATGGGTGGATTTGGTATGGGAGATGATGGGTTTACATTTAGTTCAAGTAATGGAGGTGGTGCATCACCATTTGGTTCAGGATTTGGAGGAGGTAGAAGTGGTGGAATGCCAGGTGGATTTGGATCATCAAGACAACAACCAAAACCAGAACCAGATACGGTTTCAATGCCATTACCTGTTTCGTTAGAAGATTTATATAAAGGTACAACTAAAAGAATGAAAATTACAAGAAAAAATGCCAATGGTATAAAAGAACAAAAATTATTAGAAATCAATATTAAACCTGGTTGGAAATCAGGTACAAAAATAAATTTTACAAATGAAGGAGATTATCAATCAGAATGTGGTTGTAGACAAACAATACAATTTGTTATAGAAGAAAAACCAAATCCAACTTTTAAAAGAGAAGGTAATAATATATTAATGAATGTTCATTTATCATTTAAAGAATCATTATGTGGATTTGAAAAAGATGTAACAACAATAGATGGTAGAAGAATACCTTTATCAAGGACACAGCCAGTACAACCAAATACAACAACAACATATCCAGGTTTAGGTATGCCAATAAGTAAAACACCAGGTCAAAAAGGTGATTTGATTATTACATTTAAAGTAGATTATCCAATAACTTTAACACCGAATCAAAAAGAGATTATACAACAAAATTTCTAAGTATATAATAAAAACTAGTAATATATATATATTAATTTGTAATTACTTTCAAACGATTCTTGATTGATTTTATATGATTTTGTTTTTATTCTATTTTATTTTTTTTTTTTTTCACTCGTCAAATAATTAAAAATTAATGTCAGTTATATTAGCATCAGCAGGGTATGATCATACTATAAGATTTTGGGATGCATTGACTGGTGTTTGTTCGAGAACTATTCAACATACTGATTCTCAAGTTAACAGATTAGAAATTACTTCGGATAAACGTTTTTTAGCTGCAGCAGGTAATTTATACGTTCGATTATACGATATACGACAATCTGGCAATTCAGGTAATGGAGGAATATCAAATGGATCAAATAATAATAATTCAAATTCAAATTCAAATAATAATCCCGTAGTGACATTTGAAGGTCATGCAACTAATGTTACTTCATTAGCCTTTCAAGCTGAAAATAAATGGATGGTTACATCTTCAGAAGATGGTACGGTTAAAGTTTGGGATGTACGATCACCATCAGTTCAAAGAAATTATAAACATAATTGTCCAGTTAATGAAGTTGTTATACATCCAAATCAAGGTGAATTAATTAGTTGTGATCAAGATGGTAATATTCGAGTTTGGGATTTAGGTGAAAATCAATGTACTCATCATTTAATACCAGAAGATGATGTACCAATAAATTCATTAAGTGTTGCAAGTGATGGTTCTATGTTAGTTGCTGGTAATAATAAAGGAAATTGTTACGTTTGGAAGATGCAAAATCAAAAAGATTTAACAAGTTTAACACCAGTGACCAAGTTTAGATCACATTCAAAATATATCACCAGAGTGGTTTTATCTACGGATATGAAGCATTTAGCTACATGCTCAGCTGATCATACTGCAAGAATTTGGTCAACAGAACAGAATTTTAAATTAGAAACTACATTACAAGGACATCAACGCTGGGTCTGGGACGCTGCCTTCAGTGCGGATAGTGCCTATCTAGTGACTGCATGCTCTGATCATTATGTTAGATTATGGGATCTATCAAACAGTGAAACTGTACGTCAATATAATGGTCATCATAAAGGAGCTGTTTGTGTAGCATTAAATGATGTATAAACACTTATAAACAATCATCTGAGTCAGAAGTATAAAATATTGGAACTAATTCACCTAATGCATTATGAATTAAATATGATTCATTTTTGGATTCGAAAATTAAATTAACATTGGCAAATTTAAATAATTTTTTAAGACTTTCATGGGGTGAAACTTTTGGAAGATCTGGATGAACTCGTTGCACGTCAACTAATTGGTCTTCAACATAAGTTGACTTAACTTGTTTATATAAAAAATAACAGCATTGACACAAGTATTCGATTGGAATAAATGTTAGATTTTGGTTTAATAAATAATGTAACATTTCAGCAATATCCATGTATAAATATTCATCAAAGATTAGTTGTTTGGATAAATCAGATGGTATATTAACTAAAAACTGGTATCTTAATTGATATTTTAATTTTTCAATTATGTCATCATTGTTTATTAAGTCAAAAATAATTTTATTGAATGGAAAAGTATACAAGGGGAAAATTTTGTCATTTAGAATTTGTTCCATCAATTCTTGAGTTAAGTTTACTCGATTTTCAGGGATTTTGAATTCATCAATAGAATTTGATAAGTTTTTAATACAAATTTTAATTGCTGTAGTGTCAACTAATCTTAATAACTCTTTTGATACAGCTTTAAAATATAACTCATCATTTAATTCCATGTACTGGTCGCCATGAAAGAACATTGAAATAAAAAAATTTCGAATTGCTAAGTTTTTATAATACTTATCCATATTCAATTGGTTATTACATTTTAAGCATCTATCTTGTTTCATTATAAAATTTGGAGTTGCTAAAATTCCATGTAAGCTTGATGATTTAATTTTATCTCCACATTTATCACATTGTAATTTAAAAAATGGATCATAATTTAATTTGCATAATTGACATTGACAATTGAAAAAGAATCTGGAATTTAATTGAAATTTTCTGATTTCTTTAGGTAATCCTAATTTAACATATGTAACGGTAATCTCATCATTAACTTTCATTGGTAAACTATTGATTAATAGATATTTTCCATTTTCTTCTAATTGGAAACTATTTGGCATACAACTGTGATTTATTAATGCAAAATTTGGATCTAGATAAATACCAATATTTGATTCTTCATAATTATATAAACTTGAATAATTCATCAACAAAATTGAAATTATGTCATTTATAAATTTGAAACTTTTATATGAAACATTTGAATTTGTTATGTTATACTGTTTAAAGAATTTGGATAATATAGTTACAATTGGTTGTTTTAATATTTCCACAATTGAGTTCATATCATGATTTAATCTAATTTCTTTTTGATGAGTACATAAGTTATTAAATTTATTTCTGAATTCAGAATCTTCCAAGTAAATCAATAAACATCGAACGGTTAAATTTAAGATTTCTTTATTTGTGGAAAAGTTTGAGCTCAAATGGTTTTCATACTCTTTAATAAAACTTGGAATTGGTGAATTATCATTGTAAAAAACCACTGCAGTTGTGTTCAACTCCATAATACTTGATCCAACATTAAAATCGGTTTTACATATCAAACCACGTAAACCTGGATGTTTACTTTTATTAAATACTTCAATTTGTTCATTAGATATAGTATCATAAAACTCACGCTTTGAATTTTCATCATTTGGAAAACGATAAATGTCAGTGGTTGTAAAATTATCAATCAATTTATTTAATGTTTGACTATTTGCAACCATTTTGTGTTCGTGTAAAAAGAAAATAGGCGAGATAAAATTAAAAATAAATATATATTTTATATGCAGTATTATGACTTATTACCCCTTATTACCCCTTAATCTTTATCATATTCAAATGATGTTTCCAACAAATCGATAGATGCAGTATTGTTATTCTCATTTGGTTCTTGTTCTTGTATAATTAAATTTGATGGTCGTCGAAGTTCTTGTTCTTGAATAGGTAATTTCTCTTCAATTAAATCATCTTTGAAAAATCCACCCAACTCTACAACCCATGCTAAATATTCATCAATCCAACATCTAACAATCCACCAAGCACCAAAACCCTCACCACCAGAAAGACTGATCTCTCTTAAACATGCAGTTAATAAATTCGATGCTAATAATAAAAACAATCTTGGATTAATATCATTGAATCTACCTGGTAATTTACTCAAATAAGATGCAACACTTTGCATTATTCCATATTCATTAGTTTTAATTAAATTTGTGACTTCATGATTTAAAATATATGTCAAGGTATTCAAATTTTTATCATTATTACAAGGCATCTCTCTTTGAATTAATTCATTTAAATCTAATTTAATCCAATCTTTAAACATTAAGTCTTTCTCATTTAAATTAACTAATATTCTTGATGCAGGTAAACCAGTTTCAATTATTTTAATTAATCTATTCAATAAATTTACAAAATGTTTTGCTAATTTCAATTTCATAATGATAAAATTTTTTGAAACCTTTGAATTAATAAGAGAGTTTGATAAAGTTTTTAAATAATTTGTTGAAATAATCTTTAATTGCTCATTACTTACAGTATTTGGTAAAATAAATTGCAATTGTAACTTTACTAACATTCTCACAATTTTCTTATACATGATGGTATCACATTTTTTGACCCAACCAATTAAAAAATCTTGACAATACAATTTTGAAACAGGTGCCGTTAAAATATTATTAAAATTCACAAAGCATGAAAGTAACTTTTTCAATTGCATGAATCTAACAGACTCAAAGATTGAATTTATATGAACTTTATACAATGAATATAACGTATCGGCAATGTCATAATCAACATCTTTTGTTAAATACGGATATATTGAAGGTAAATTGATTGGTGAATAAGGATTTGTATCTGGTGATATTGAGTTATTATTCAACATTTCAAATAAGTTTGGTATATATTTCATATGAGAAACCGATGGTAGTTGATCAGCTAATGAATTTATAGATGTGGTAGTAATTGATGGTGAATTTATTGGAGTATAAGATGGTGTATTAACTTGACTTCTTGAAATAGGTGAGTCTTCGAATGATATTGATGAATTTGTTGAGCTAACTGGTGAGTGAATTGTAAAACCAGATCCTAATCCCATTTGTAACTGTTGAGGTTGTGGTTGTGGTTGTTTCAAGTTTAATATTTGTTGTTGCTGTTGCATTTGCATATTCTGATCACCTTTTAGTTTGACTCCACAATAATGATATTTTGATTGACCTCTCATACCTAATCTTCTTGTTGTTATTGAAGGATATAAAATTTTCACTAATTTACCAAAACTCGCTGGTGATAAAGGTGATAAGTTATTATCAGCGCAAACTTGAACATATCTTGCATAAATTCTATTCCTCGGTATAACTGCAGTTGGTGAAGCTTCACAAGAATTCAATAACCAAACCATACCAAATAAAGATCGTTGAGTCTCTTTTTGTTCTTTTATTCTACTCTGTTCTAGTTGTGATTCTTGTGGTAATTCATTCTCTAATTGTTTTATGCGCATGGCCAATTCCGATAATGGTACTTCTGATTGTTTTATAGCCAACTGTTTTAATTCATTTTCACCTGGAGGTTCATTTGACTCCAGTTTTTGTTTCTTTCTTCTTGGTGTAGGAGTTTGTTTAATTATTGGTTCATTTGGTATAGATTCTAAAATTGGTGGTTGTTGAGGTGAAATTTGTTGAGGAATTTGTTGCTGTTGTTGCTGAGGTGCAGTAGGAGGAGGAATTTGAGGTGTCTGATAATCAAATTGAAAACTTTGAGGTATTATATTTTCGGTTGATTGTGGTAATTGATTATAAAAATTTGGGTATACTTGTTGTGATAAATCTATTTGTTCTTGTTTTATGAATGGAAAATTTTGTGCATTTTCAATTAATTGTTGTTGTTGCTGATAATTTTCTGGTATTCTTTGTTGACCTAGTGACGAAATTGGTAATGGTTGTGAAAACTGATGCTGTTGTTGACGATAAAACGACTGTTGTGGAGAATGTTGTAAATTTTGATTTTGTTGTTGATGGAGGTATTGTTGATTTTGATTTTGATTTTGATTTTGAGTTATTTGTTGTTGTTGTGAATCATCTAAATTCATCAATTAAAGGGTGTATTTATAAAAAAAAGGTGTATGATGAATAGGTTTGGTAAGAAGTAAAAAAATTATTATGTGGATCAATATTTCTACTTTTGTCAAAAGAGGAAGTAAAAAAAAATAACTTATTTTATTAACTAACATGATTTAATTTTTTTTTTGGCTGCAAAATAAAAGGTGCTACCATGTGTCAAGTACTTTTTAAGAAAAAAAATTTAACTGCAAAATTATATTAACCCTAATGAGACAAAACCAAAATCGAAAGAAGTTAACAACAGTTGACTGGAGTTTAGTTCTATAAGCTTGTTTAGTTGATGCATTATAAGAGTGAGATGTTTTAAATACATTAAGTTTAGTGCATTCAACTTTCTGATGCCACAACATTTAATGATTGAAGCAATTTATCTAGAAACAAGTTTTCAAGTAAACCCAAGTTTTCAAGTAAACCCAAGTTTTCAAGTAAACCTAAGTTTTTGTAATTCAATTTCTCATTTATAAGTTTCTATGACAGTTTAAGAGTCAAATTACTGCATACTAGGTCTTTTGGAAGCCCGGTTAAACTTTTTATACCTTGTCATGGGCCATGACTTAATTTGAGCTTGATTGATGTTACACCTTTGCCACAAGGAACATGATAATGATAATATAAATTGGAAGCGACAACACTTTTACAGTTTTAGATTACCTCTATACATTGATACACTATATACCAAAATAATAGAGAGAAACATTTAGCTTGATGTGGAGAACGTCTAATTACAAGCCAACAATTTTAGCCACAATGTATCAGAAATACATTCAAATTGCTTTTCATTGTTTCTCTTGGACTATTCGGTTTTCAAAATTTGAATGAATTTAATCGATTCACCATCTTCGTCCAAATGAATGATCACTATTGAAGGCAAATAGTTAGATATTTGTGAATGTTGGTTAAATTCTTTATAAAGCCACTTTCAGAGTCGATAGTATTGAAGTCTCAAATTCCTGATTCAGGTAGATATATACAATAAGTGATACTTTCGTTTGTAGTTCATTTGCAAAAGAATAGATCACTATTCAAGATTTCAGCTAAGCCTCTAGCTTTTTTGTATCTTTAATATCTTGACTACTATCATTTAAACTTTTAGTGAACTTGTGTTTTCGTTTCCAAAATAAGAGCTAAAAAAAAAAAAAAAACCAATGAAGATTTTTAAAAGTGCATTATTTTTCACATTTTTTTGCAAATTTTCTGTAAAAAAGTTAGTCTTTACAATTCTGAAATAGACAACTAGACGTTTGGAAGAAGACCGGTTACCTATTCTTCGCATTCTATTTGAACAAAGTTGAGCACCTTTGAATATGATTGCAAATGTTGTTCTTGATTACACTACCATATTCATTTTTGGTCTCAATATTAATTTTTCTATTACGATTCTCATCTCACATCGAAAAAAAAAAAAAAAAAATATAAATTAAATACTGTCAAATATTGATTCACCATGGCTATTTTGAACTCAAATCCAGAGATACTTCTAAAGAAAAGAAAGAATGCTGATAGAAAAAGATTAGAAAAACAAGAGCAAATAAGGGAAAAGTTAAAAGAGAAACAAAAACTTAAAAAGAAGAATCAAAATAAATTTATTAGAGCAGAAACATTGGTATCAAATAATAAAACAAATGAATTAGAACGTAAAAGAATTAAAAATTTAACTAAAAAAGCAAAAACAGATTCTTCAGATTCGAATTACAAATTATTGTTTCTTATACGTATCCCAAATTTTCAAAAAGGTCTTAAAATTCCAGTTAAAGCATTTCAAATTTTGAAGATTTTAAAATTGATTGAATCAAACACTGGTGTTTTCGTCAAAGCAAACAATCAAGTTTTAAATTTATTGAATTTGATATCTCCGTATATAATAATTGGACAGCCATCAATACAATCAATAAGGAAATTATTTCAAAAGAGAGCAAGAGTCGCAATAAAAGAAGACAATGAAGAAGAACCAAAAGTTGTAAAGTTAGATAATAATCAATATGTTGAAGATAAGTTTGGTAATGATTTAGGTTTGATATGTATCGAGGATATAATTCATGAATTGATTAGTTTAAGTGATAACTTTAAAATTATAAATGGTTGGTTATTACCTTTCAAATTAGAGTCTCCAATTAACGGATGGGGTCCACAGTCTAAATTAGCAAGATTGAATTATAAAGATGATAATAAGGTTAAGCTTAATTTATCACAAGATTTAAAATTAAAAGAAATTGAAGATATCGATAAATTTATCGATCAACAAAATTAAAATAGAGGTGGATTAAGAAAACGTTCAAGTAATTGTAGATCAACCGAAGTTTATATTCATATTGAGGAACGTATAAGTTGGAATCTACTTGTGCAATCAAATTCTTTGCCCGATTTGAGAGAATAAATGAAAGCATAGATAAATATAAAATAGCGGAATTTATCTGAATATACGAAACTTTTACTATTATGATACTTCTGTTGAATTAATAGATGTCAGACTCGTGACTTGGAACTATTGTTGACGTTTTTGAGCGAATAGTTGACCATAAGGTGTCAAAAAGCGGTTTGTTACTTTCAACGATTTCATCGGTTGAGCAGACTTTAAACAAATAAGCATTTTTTTGAATGCAAGTCGATCTACAAATGAACTGCAAACATTATCTCTCAAAGAATGATATTTGGTATGTTTTGGTTTTGTTCGGATTTGTTTTGATCTAATTCGGAACGAAAAATTCATATGATGAAAACCATACCAAAAATAATAAGATATCAAACATCTGAGACAAAAAGCTACCAATGCTTTCCTCAAGAAACATGAAACAGTCTTATTTAGTTAGTTGCAACTAGATTTTTGTGTTTTAATTGCTGAAGCATATTGATGGTTTATATTGTAATAATTACATTTTATCATTAACACAATGTGTCAAGTGCAATACAAGTAACCCGGAGAGGAGGTATATTGAAAGAAATAAAATCTTTGATTGTTGATTATGTAGATCTACGACATAAAAATTTTAAATAGATTGGCTATAACTGGAATCATCGCTCGCTTGATAATTTTTTTTATTATTGGACTGGTGGTGCGAATTTAATTAACTATGATGAGGCTTATGGTATTAAATTAAATATACGTGTTCAAAGTGGTTAACCATAAAACTTATTCGGATCTTTCAAATATTGTTTTAAAGTACATAACTAATGTTTGTTAAAAACTGATTTTTTGTGTTTTATTGTTGCAATTACACGCCACAAAATATGTATAAATACTTAAATTATATACAGGCTTAATTTTTTAGTTGTTACCAGAAATCAAAACTATGGTATTACCGAAAACTTTAAGTTTATTTCCTTAATTTTGAGCTTTGATGTGAAGTTTAAATTTGTATATAATCTCGAGGCTAATTTTAACTACTCATTCGATTCAATTCGCTATGCAATTAAAAAATGAAAGTAAAATGAATGTCTTTTGTGGTATAATAAGTGGTTATAACTGTGAGCTGATAAATTTCAGTATATGTACGATTAATGCGAATCAGGTAGACCTAAAAAAAAACAAACGCACAAAGTATTAGAGTAGTGTAAAACAATTTAAAACCAACAAAAATATTATGATTAGATTCGACAGATCTACAAATAATTGCACAATTACACAACTTTTAGATCTTGTTGGTGCGCTCGTATTTCATGGAACTCCTCTTACTTTTGTGGAAGAAGAAAATGGTCTATTTTATTTCAAAAGTAAGGTTTCTACGTGAGATGTTTAGATTCACGTTTGATAAATGTATTCTTATTACTAGGACTTTTTATTGCAAGCTTTGATTTATACTGCTGCCAGTTCATAAAAGCCAAATATTCAACTTTTTGTAAGTTTTCCAATCAGGGGGGCTGGTGGAATTCAATCTCAAAAATCTAAAAAAAAAAAAAAAAAAAAAAAAAAAAAAACAGGGCGAAAGAAAATCTATTTTGTGCAACCAAAGGTTTTAATCAATTTCAAATTTGTATTAGTCAAATTTCCAGGATTCTTCCATTAAAAAGATAGAATATAAATAATCAGCTTCACAAACTGCTATAAGTTGCTCTCTCAAAATTCAAAAGTTAAATAAGTAACACATTGTTTCATTTTCCATTTTTCGTGGATCTATTCTTACAATTAAACTTTATATATGTCTCAGACTAAATATTAAAAAGAGAAAAGACTCTTTATAAATGCTTAGAAATTTTATTCTAATATCTAACCATTATTGGTATTGATTTGAATTATCAAAATGAAAATTTTTCAGTTTTTCATTCTTAGATGTGATGTTCACAATACGTTATTATTGATTCCTCGTTCTTTGTAATTTGGAAAATGTTGTTAATTGATGATGATAATAATATTATAACTTCTAATTATGCACGTCAATCGTTACACAAAATTATTTAGTAATTGTTTTATAATTATAATATTGTTTTTTCGATATTCATAATTATCAACAATTTATTTTTTAACAAGCGGGTTTCAGAATTCAAATGTACTTAGTGTATGTGGCTAATTTTTTCAGCTCTTTTCAAATTAACAGAGAACTGAAATTCCACTCATCTATATAGCCAGTAAGATTGAGTTAATTCAGTACGTGATGAATAACACACACGTTTGATTACGACATTAGTTATATCATATTTGTTTCTCCTCCTCCTGTTCCTAGATCCATCCATTATCGTTATGGATTTTCCATCAATCAGTACATTGTATTTCCATGCATCTTTACATCATTTTGAGGCTTCCTTTCCACGATCTATTTCATAGATCAAATGATGTAATCAAGTATACCAATGGTATTTGACTTACATCCTTGTGGATAGACGAATTTCTCAAGTATCGAAAATCTTCACATTTACGAATTTAATCATACTGTATCTTAGTAAAACACTTTCTAAGGTAGCATACAGAGAATTAACGTTTCTTTTTATTTATTTCTATTTTCCGTAGGTATTTTTTTTAACCAAAATTGCATATCCTTTTCTACACTATGATAACCAATCTTACCTTATGAATGCGTATAACGTATGTTTATTTTCAGCCTTTTTTCTTTAACAAGACGATTCGGAACTTTCATTTAGGGATATGGCAAAGTAATGGCAAAGTAATGGCAAATTGAAGTCTAAACTTTAAATTAAACGGATTTATTTATTCTCAAACTATTTAATAATCAGTATTTAGTAATCAATATTTACAAGGGTTAAATTCTCAACACAGTCTACGTAAAATATGAGAAACGTTTTTACAATTATTGATTGGCGCGACCTCATTCTAATTTTACTGAAAATCCTGATTAAAAAAAAAATAGTGAAAAATATAAAAATGGAGATCACATTGAATACTTTCCGTCCTTACAATCGAACAGATAATCAACTAGCCTCAAAATAAGCAAATACTTATCATTTTTTAAGTACCAATTTTGTCATATGGAATAGCTGGAGTTGTTATATTTTTAGCCAAAACCATTCTATCGTTTGCGTACAAAACCTTTATTTGATTACGGTATTGACGGGCTTCAAACTCTATCGCTTTGTGTATTCTAACTTTAAATATCTTATATTCTTAAATTCTAGTTTATTTGGTTTCAATTGTAAAAAAAAAAGAATAAAAAAATATAATTAGAGAGTAGATCAAAGTTAATATACTTAGATTTTTAATTTCAATCCGAAACCAACTTAGATTTTCAACTAACTGTTTAATTTTCAACTGACTGTTTAATTTTCAACTGACTGTTTAATTTTCAACTGTTTAATTTTCAGCTGTTTAATTTTCAACTGTTTAATTTTCAACTGTTTAATTTTATTTTCAACTGTTTAATTTTCAACTAACTGTTTAATTTTCAACTAACTGTTTAATTTTCAACTAACTGTTTAATTTTCAACTGTTTAAATTTGAAATATTGCTACTTTAAATTAATCTATTCCATTGAGACATTTAAAAAAAAACTTTGAATTTGACAATTTCTAGTAAATCTGGCCACTTAGCCACGAAACATGGCCAATAAGAAAAAAAATAGAACGAGAAGGAAAAAAAAAAAAAAAAGTTTATTTTCTGAAACATTGTGGGCTAGTAAAAATATCAATAAATATTTGAAGAAAGATGGACTATGTGAGGATTATAGATAAACACTTAAAGTAAATTTTCAATATATTCAACAATTGTTACATTTAAATGAGATTTGAATAGTTGGTTCAGGAATTTAACAAAAAAAAAAAAAAAAACTATCACGTAAGAACGAGTATATAAACCATGAATTTGTGTTAGGTATAGCAAAAATTTGGTATTACATGCCAAAAAAAAAAATATTGAATCTGAATAGAACACCAAGCAGGATTTATAGAAATTCAACTGTAAGGATTCTTAAGAAATGGCTAATTTTGTGTTGTCTTACAATTTATATATACAATTCTTTTTTTTTTAACATCTGATACAGTTAAAAACAAAATTTCTGTATACAAATGAAATATAGTTAGTTTTTCATGCATTAAAAATTCTATTACAACCAACTATACATTGATTATAAGGTAAATTATGCTGATGGTTCTATTTCTATTCTTTAGTATTTTTTTTTTAATTTTATATATATGGATTTATTGTTTCTTTAATATAATTTTTATTATGTCTCTCTTTACTAAAAGCATTTTTTATTTATTTTTATTTTTTTTTATTTTTTTATAAATACAAATTGAATTTCCTTTTTATCAAAAGTTTTTTTTATTTCTTACAACCAATTTATATTAGTTAATTATTAAATTTTGAATTTCATATTAATTAATTACAATTTGATAGTTCCATATAATATTTAGATAATAATAAAGTTTCATTAGTATAAAGTTTTTAAATTTTACAATTTTTTACCACGGCGACTTTTTAATTAATTTATAAACCGTCTATATTACGTTGAAATTAATTTAATGATATAGATTTATTTATTAAAAAATGACAGGAATACTCGATTTATTAAACGCTGATGATGTTATTAATAATACACCTCCTAATAAAGCATCTGGTACAAATAATTATCATAATTTGAATCAAGAAAAACTGCCACCATTATATAAACAACAACAACAACAACAACAGCAGCAAACATCAATGATCACTTCATTAACACCACCTAGTAGTGATTCAGATTTATCTTGTTCATTACCACCTACTAGTGACTCAGATTTATCTTCATCATTACCCCCATCCCCCCCTAAGTATAAAAATCAAAATCAAAAACAACAACAAAAATCCTCATCAAACAACCATAATAAACCCTTGATTGTTTTAAGAGATCAAGTACCTAAATCAAAAATCAATTTGAGTATTTTAAAGTCAAGAAATTTTGTTAAATTGGCTATACGTAGGAAATATTCATCAAAAAAGAAGTTATCATCATCAGCAACATCCTCGTACCCATCAAAAACACCACTCAGTAACTTAAACGAATCAAGGCAATCAAAGCTTCATATTAAATCTTTAAAGGCAGGTATTAAAATTAAATTGACTATTTCCTCGAATTTGTTCGATTTATATCTCGGTTTAATACCATTTACCGACGAAAGAAAAATCTACCCATTGTTTAAAGATGACGAATCAAAGGTGATTTTTGAAACCTTAATGAGGAAAAACATTGATAAAAAAGGAATGATCTCAAAAGGATTACAATTGATAAATAATAATGTTGCTGATTTGAGTGAATATTCAAATAAAATTATAAAATCATTCACTTCTGAATCACATTTAATTCCTACTTTTAACTCATTAGATACTGCAATTCACTCATTGTTTCAAGTTAAAAATTTCACATTAATTAGAATTACAAGATCTACAACTGACGATATTCATGGTAGCTGTATATTGAAATTAGAAACTGCAAAACCAGGGGACTTTAATTTAATTGATGATGAAGAAAATAGTGATGAAATGTTGCATTCATTAGGTAAAGCTGGTGAAATTCCAAATAATTTGTTCTTCAAGAAGATTATAGCAAGACCAAGATATAAAAGTAATATGAAAATTTATTTTATACCACAAGATTTGAATTGCTCATTATATACAGATTATAGAATGTTTGAAAGAGATTTATTTAATGGGATTATTCAAATCGAATTTAAGAATTTGATGGATGTCAATGATTTAGAAACTATAAGATTACAAGGTTATAATAGGAATGTTTATTGTACATTCCCAGTGGATGATGTATTGAGAAACTATAAATCAATGTTGATTGAATCAAAAAATAATCCTCAAGAAAACATCTTTCAACAACAACAACAACAACAACAACAACCACTACAAATACCATCATATTCAAATCGCTCACGTCCAGTGGATGATGTATTGATTAAAAATAAACATCAACAAGAACAACAAAATATTCATAATAAATTTATACCACAATTGCCAACTGTTACACAACAACAAAATATTAATACTCATCAACATCAGCAATATCCGATTCAACAACAAAATCCTTATCCATATCCATATCTGTACCCACCTCCACCTATGATTCATCATTCACATTCTTTTCCTCCTCCACCACCTTCGCATCAATCTCAACATTTGCCACAATTTTACGCGCATCCATTACAACATCCACAACCTCCAATTGCAAATCCTATATCTGCTGGTCCAGGTATAAGTACTTTACCTAGCTTTGTTCATTTGCCACCTCCAACAATGATAATGCAACAAAATACTACATTTACTCCAAGAAGTTCAATTATAAAGGAAGATGTATTAAATATGTTACGTCCATTCAATGATCGTCGTCATTCCAACTTGAATAATAGTGAGTTAGTTAATAAGAATCAAACACGTACTGGCAAAAGTATAACTGAATAAAAGAAATGAGATCTAGATTGCTTTTCAAATGTGTTTTTTCAAATGTGTTTTTTTTTAAATGTGTTTTTTTAAATGTGTTTTTTAAGGTATTGGTTTTTTAATTATTTTATTTATATTATTGTTTTATTTATTTTATATTGGTGATTATATTGTAATATATAGAATTATCGACGAGCAAAAGTTAAGATTTCCATCATTCTTTGATCGTATTTACAATGAATAATTCTGGCTTGAAGATTTTGGAATTGTATTATAGTTTTTTGTTTTTAATTCAACGACAAATTATTTCAGATTAACCACAAGATATTAATTTGTCGTTGAATAATTAGATTTACCAAAAACTGAAGACATCAAGTTATGACTGGGTTATTAGGTTTTGTCTTTTTCAAAAAACTATTTCTATTATAATTAGTAGCTTCTGATAACCACAAAATTAATTGAACAAACAAACCTTTACATGTCACTCATATTTAACATAAACGAAATATGTCCTAAAGCGAATTTGAAGTTGCTCATAAGTTTTTATAATAGTAATCACTAAAAGGTCAGCTAGAATTATAACAGAACTCAGGTAGGACTTTAGCAATATTGATATTCTCGGCGAGCTTTCTTATGTTCATTTCTATAGTTAGCTTCATATTATTAGCTAATAATGCTAAAAATTAAAAAATGCATTACGACAAGTGTTTACAACGAAGAATCCTTTTAAGGGGTAATGCTTAAGAGATAAATTTTTGAGTTGAAATCTGAAACACACTATATGCAGTCTTCAAAGCAGTAATCGAAATTTAAACTGATATTCAAGTTAGAGTTAAGGAGTAGTTACATATCCCCTTTTCAGCCAATAATACGTACTTAGATGGATTGAATAATGAACCAAAAAAGTTTAAAGAGGCTCACAAAGTGACTCATCTGGTGCCTATGAAATCATGTCGTTAAATGTCGGCATTTCATTAAGTGTTTTAAATTTTAGTTTATTTCTACAACGAGAGACAAATTTTTTGAACCCAGTTTGTATTAATATATACACAATCTTGTTTAAACTTTTAATGAAACGTTTTCTTTTGTAATGTATTTTTCAAAAGGTTTTAAGGCAATTGCAACATCATTTTTAATAAATTTTTCAGTTTGTTGTGGAGCTCTACCAACAAAAGTTTTTGGATCTAATAAAGAATCTAAATCGTCCCAAATTGGTTTGAAATATTCAGTCTTTTTGATTCTTTCAATTAAATCATTATCACCACCTTTTTGTTTTACAACATCTGAAGCTTGATGAGATAAAACTCTAATTTCTTCATGACAATCTTGTCTTGAACCACCTTTTTCAACCATTGCCATTATAATATTTTCAGTAGCCATGAAGGGTAATTCAGCATTAATTCTTCTTTCAATAACTTTTGGATAAACAACCAAACCTGATGTAATATTCAACATTGTTGATAATAAAATATCACAAGTTAAAAATGCAGAAGGTAAACTTATTCTTCTAATTGCTGAATCATCTAAAGTTCTTTCAAACCATTGGACTGAAGCAGTTTGTAAAGCATCACTATACAAACCACCTAAATGTCTTGCTAATGAACAAACTCTTTCACATCTCATTGGATTTCTTTTATAAGCCATAGCAGATGAACCAATTTGTGATTTTTCAAAAGGCTCTTCAATTTCTTTTAAATTAGCTAATAATCTAATATCAGTTGCAAATTTATGGGCAGTTGCACCAAAACTTGATAATGGAGCTAAAACATCAATATCAATTTTTCTTGAATAAGTTTGACCAGTACATGGATAAACAATATCAAAACCTAATAATTGACAAACTTTTTTATCCAATTCTTCAACTTTATCATGATCACCATGAAATAAACTTAAAAATGATGCTTGAGTACCTGTTGTACCTTTAACACCTCTTAAACCAATATCATTTCTTGCCCTAACCATATTTCTTAAATCCCATAATAATTCTTGTAACCATAAAGTAGCTCTTTTACCAACAGTAGTTAATTGAGCTGGTTGAAAATGAGTCCAACCTAAAACTGGTAAATCTTTATATTCAATAGCAAATTGTGATAATCTATCTATAACATTAACTAATTTTGGAATTAAAATATCGTAAGCATCTCTTAAAAATATTAAATCAGCATTATCAGTAACGAAACATGAAGTAGCACCTAAATGTATTATACCACTAGCTTTTGGACAAGTTTCACCAAATGTATGAACATGAGCCATAACATCATGTCTAACTTTTGCTTCTTCAATTGAAGCTTTTTTAATCTCTTCATCAGTAATAGTTAAGTGTTTTGACATTTCTTCAATTGCATCATCTGTAATAACTGATAAACCAACGTCTTTTTCAGCTTTTGCTAAATTTAACCATAATTTTCTCCAAGTTGAAAATCTATTTCTTAATGAAAAAATTTGCGACATTTCCTCAGAAGCATATCTTGAAGATAATGGAGTTGAATATTTATCATAATCTGACATATTTAATAGTTAATTGTCTTGAAATTAAGTTTATGGTAAAAAGAATTGAAATGATAAGATGGTATATATTTTTCAGTCTCATCATATAAATTGCAACCCCCTTATATAATCACATTTTGACTCTGAAACACGCTATTATTTTTTTTTTTTTTTTTTTTTATATACATAGAGGAATTGCTGCAAAATTTATACATTAATCAATAAAAGTTATGTATAGTTATAACAAGGGCTAATATAAAAACTTTGAAAATATAAACCGTGGACTATGGTTGTATATCGTACAAGCATATTTAGGAAAATGAAGATTTTAACCCAGCTGTGACGAATCTTTAAGCTTTCCTAGGCTTTCCTAGGCTTTTCTTGAATTTATTCTCCCAAGCTGCATCTCAAAGTTGTATAATCTTATTCTGAGCCTAATGGGGTCATTATTGAAAGACTATACACACACTTTGGAAGATTATATTTGAACAGATACAAATTTCAATAATTTCAAAAAATTGTTAATAAATCATGCTATATTTGACCTGTCCAGTAGTTCAGTATTATCATTACCATCTTCATCGTTACTTTTTTCTTGTATATGACTATCTTCCTCTACGTACTCTTCTTCTTCTTCTTCGTCATCTCTTCCATCATCATCACCTTCATGTTCTGTATATAATGTATATACCGCACTTTTGAAAAATGTATATATGAAACCAACTTTTGACTCAATTTGTCTTAAATTCTCAACAGTAATATTTGTTGACTTGTTATTATTATCATTTTCATTTGTTAATCCAATAATTGATTCTAATTCTTTTGATATTAATTTCAAATTATTATTTATAGATTGATACTCTTTTAGTATATTTATTTCCAACTGTGATAGTTTATTTGAATATCGGTCATAATCAATACTTGATAGATTAATCAATGTTATATTGTCTTGTGGTTGATTCATTTTAAATAAGTGTGTTTGTTATTCATTCAATGTTTTGAAAAATTAAAAAAAAAAAAAAAAAAAAAATCGGTTTTGTGTAGATATATTACATAATATATTATATAATACGTTGCATATATTAAAATTTCATTTTGCTATTTAAAACAATAATCATCAAATTTGTTCAATTATAGTTTGATAAGAATCAATTATCAATTGGATTGTTTTCATTGAAAAAGTTATAGTATAATGTCAGCTGCTACTACTGAAGAATTTCAACAACAACCTTTTCAGCCTCAATTTCAAGCATCACGTCAAGCACCAATTCACCAACAACGAATTAAGGAACAACAATCAACAACAACAACAACCACACCGGGTAATCAATTCCAAAAACAACCAATACAACCTCCACCACAATTTAATCAACGCCAGCAACAACCAGTTCAACGACAAGTATCAAATACACCACCCCAATCTCAATCAAAAACTACGAGTTCAAAATCATCTGCTAAAGATTCAGAAGATAATGGACCAACAAATGAAATTGACTCTTCCAAAAAGAAGAAAAGATTAGTTAGAGCTCCACCAACTGCAAATCCGTTAAAATATAAAGCTTGGTTACTTGGTCATTGTTTTACATTAATTTTTGGTACTATATCATTTATATTTCAAATTTTTTGGTTACCAAATAAATGGTACATTAATTCAATATGTTATAGATTATCATTATTAGGTTCAATTACTGCTTTGACTGCCACTTTTAGTCATAAATTTGGTTTACATTGGCTACCACCAATTGCAACTTTAATGTCACATCAAAATTTTCAATATTTAGTATTAGCTATAATATGGTGCTTTTCATTTAAATCAATTTTTAAAATTATTCCATATTATATTTTAAGTTTATTGCATTTAAGTCAAATGAAAAAAATTGATATTATTATGAAACACACAAGTTTTTTAGCATCAATTATTGCTTATGATGAATTATTTTTAATAATTTATTTAATTTTACGAACTTTATTTTTTAGAAATGCAAGTGGATATCAATTAACTATATTTTTAATCTTTTATTGGCTTAGAATTTTATATAATAAAGAAACTGGTAATTTATTTGCTGCATTAATTGAAAGATTAGATGATAAAACAAAAAGTATTAAAAATGCAAGATTTCAACATTATTGGAGTAAAACAAAAGGATTTATTAAAGAAAAACAAGCAGAAGAACATCAAGATAATTAGTATAATAGTAATTGTAGATTAATATATATATATATATCTATATAACTTTTATGTAATTAATAATGGTCAATGGCTGCAAAATTGGTATTGATTTGTTGCGTCGGTTGCATAAAAATTGGTAGTTCTCTGCAGCAAAAAAATATTATCAATTCAACAACAGTCGAGAGAAACTCCTGGTAATAATAAATAAATTAGACAATGACTAAAGTTCCTGCTGTTTATCAATTGGGTCATTTACCAATTAAAGATCATTGTTTTTCACCAGATCGTTCAATTTTAGCAATTACAAAAGAAAATATGGTTGAAATTTATAAAATTAATCAGTCAAATTTATCGTTAAAACCTCAATTAATTGCAACTTTAAATGATCATGATAAAACTGTTACTTCCGTTGATATTTCACCAGATGGTTCTAAAATTTTAACTTGTTCACAAGATAGAAATGCGTTAGTTTGGGAATTTAAAAATGGTGAATATAAACCAACTTTAGTTTTATTAAGAATTCATCGTGGTGCAACAGTTTGTAAATGGTCACCAGATGGTCAAAAATTTGCGGTTGGTTCAAGTGATAGAATTATTGCTATTTGTTATTATGAAGAAGAAAATGATTGGTGGGTTTCTAAACATTTAAAAAAACCAATCAAATCAACAATTACAACAATTGATTGGCATCCAAATTCAATTTTATTAGCTTGTGGATCAACTGATGGTCATGTTAGAGTTTTCAGTGGTTATATAAAAGGTATTGATTCAAAACCTGATCCAACTGTTTGGGGTACAAAATTACCTTTTCAAACATTATGTGGAGATTTTATAAATGAAACTCAAGCATGGATTCATGGTGTTAAATTTTCTCCTAATGGTGATGCTTTAGCTTGGACTGCTCATGATTCTTCAATTGGATTTGTTTATCCACAAGGTGAAGGATTAGAACCAAAATCAATTTTAAATTTAAAAACAAATTATTTACCATTTATTTCAGTTGTTTGGATTAATGATTCAACTATCGTAGTTGGTGGATTTAATTGTAATTTAGTTGTATTTAAAGGAAAAGAATCAAGTTGGAAAGAAGCTTATCAAATTGAAGAACAAAAAGATTTAACAAAAGAAACACCACATACTAATGATGATGAAGATCAAGAAATTAGTTCACATCAAGCTTTAAATATGTTTAAACAATTAGATTTAAAAGGTAGAGTTAATAAACCATCTCAAAAGCAAAGTAAAGGTTTAAAAACAATTCATCAAAATACAATAAATAGTATTAGAAATTTTAAAAATAATCAAGTTTCAACATCAGGAATTGATGGAAAAGTTGTAATTTTCAACGTTTAAAAACTGTTATATATTTATCTATAAAATAAATATCTGTATCATCAAGTTAGTATATTTATCTCTTATTTACATTTAATTTGTTTTTTAAATTTATTAATCAGTGTAATTCTAGAGCTTGGTAATGGTGTATCTTCAGATTATTTGGTTCAGAAGCAGAACTGATAACATAATTTTTTTCATCATAATAAATTAAAACAAAATACTGTTATAACATACCCTTGTCAATAGTTAGTATTTTCTAATTTGAAAATATGGTTATAGTTGAAAATCAGATGGTGATGCATGTGTTTGTCTATGGCTCATATAAATTCACCGGACAGAAAATGTAGGAACATATTCATCATTAAAAACCTATGAAGTATCTTAAAACATACTAATTTGAAGTTAATATGGACCCTTTGATAATATTCATTTTCATCAACTTATTAAATCATAAACGAAGAATTCCTTAACAATATGTCCTGCATGTACATCCTCAGTTAAAAAGTTATATCAATTGATTTAATCACAGTAAAATAATGATGAGAAATACTTGTAGATAAATTGTTTCAACATACCAATTAAAGATTGAAGTTTTGGAATAATTGTTGGTGAAAAAAAAATGATAATTCCATCTCGAAAATTTATAACGTGACTCCGGCGCTACCAATGAGAATCATCGTATTAATTTACCCAGCTTATACTCGGTTGGTATTCAAAACCTTTGCATTAAACCTTGCATCTGAGATAAACACAATTGAAAAAGTGTTGATTAACGAGTATCAAACTTTGTTTGATCAACACTGATCTCTTTTAAAATACTGTTTTAGTTTTAATTATTTTATTTTTAATTATTATAATCTGGACTAAACTTTAATGCTATTACAAGGATGAAATAATATTCAGTAAAAGTGCAATGTTGCGACCAATGATAAAATAATCTTATAATCATGTCTTGCTTGTTTCAAGTATTAGTTGTATCGATAGTTGGACAACGTAAAGTATCTTAAGTGAAGAATTAGGTGTTGCAACCATATTCTCTCGCTAAATATTATAACTAATAGTAGTAGTCCTTAACTCTACTCGATAAACGACCAATCCGGCAATCTATAAACTAATTAACATAATAGTCTCATAAAGTGCCCATGTAGAATCAATGTTTTGAGCGTACGGCATAATTTTGCAGTAATTCGACAAATAAAATACATCATCTGTCCTTGGCAAAAATGTTGATATTAAACGTCTTCCATTCTTAAATGTTTAATAAGACACGATGCTACAGGCTCGAATCTCTCTAGGGTCCGTTAGACAAATTTGTTCCTGTACTGTTTAAAAATATGTACAAAAAATTATATGCATATCTTATCAAACATATCACAAAAAATTATTATACACCAATATTTATTTGACAACATCATTTTATAATAACACCATAAATTTGCATTATATCATCTATATGGTATATAGGTAGGTTTATTCATAATTATTATTATAATTTGCATTATTTATTTACTTTATACAAGCTGTATTTTTAAGTCAAGCTTTATCGTATGCCATCTTCATCTGATTCGGAAAATCTGCCACTACTCAATAAGAATAACAAGACTAATTCAGATTATACTATATCTTCAAGATTATCAACTACTTCGTCATCGCCTCGTCATTTGAAACATACACAATATAGTTCGCCAGCTAGTTTATTAAATTTAAAAAGATCACGTTCAGGTGGTAATCTATCATCAAATCATAATGATGAAGAAGAAGGAAATTCATCTAATTTTACAGAATTTGAAGAATTTCAACATCCTAGAAGAAATTATTCATTTGGTGCTAAAGAATATCAAAATTTGAATCCAGATAAACCATTATATCAACGTTTATTATCAAATTATCAATCTGTCACCAATCCACAGTCTCCATTTGATAGTCATTATGGAGGTGGTGGTCATTATTTACCACTATTTTCAGCTGGAGATTATGAAGAACCTGGCAAATCTTTTGATCATGAACAAAGAAGAATGAGTATAGTTGAAGTTGTTAATAGTTTACGACCTACTAGATTAATTGGAAATATTCAACCATTAGCTAATTGGTATGAATATTATAAATCAAATATAAAATCAATAAAGAATAAACAAGTTAGAAAATATTTTGAAGAACAAAATTATCTAATTGAAAAATTTCAAGAAATTGATAATTTCTTAGATGCTGGTAAGATTCATTATAATATGTTAACTCAATATGGAGCTGATTCACTAAAATTAAATAAAATAGCAGAAGAAGATGAGAGTAAGAATGGAATTGTTACAACTAATAAAGCTACTGATTTAGAACATGGAGATTCTACTACAACTTCAAAATATTCAAGATTTTATGATGTTCCAGGTAATGTAGATCATGATGGTTCTAAATTTTTAGGTTATAATGAAGAAGAAAATAATTCACAAATTTTAGCTGCTATTTTAATAAATTTTTTAATTAATGTTTTATTAATGATTGGTAAAATAGTGGTTGCAATTTTGACAAATTCAATGTCGGTAATTGCATCATTAGTCGATTCAGTTTTAGATTTCTTATCTACATTTATTATTTATATAGTTAATAGATTGGCTGCTCAAAATGATTGGAAAGTGAAACATTCATATCCAATAGGAAGATCAAGATTAGAACCATTAGGAGTATTAATTTTTTCAATCATTATTGTAATTTCGTTTTTTCAAGTTGGTCAAGAATCTTTTAAACGATTATTTTTTTCAGATCCAAAAAATAGAATACCTGCTGCTATCGGAATTGATGCAATTGTAATTATGACAGTCACAATAATTGCCAAATTTGGATGTTGGATATGGTGTAAAAGTAATAAATCAAGTTCAGTTCAAGCATTAGCACAAGATGCAATGACTGATGTTGTATTTAATTCAGTATCTTTATTAATGCCTACAATTGGTCATTGGTTTAATATTTGGTGGTTTGATCCATTAGGTGCATTAATATTATCAATTTATATTATAATTAATTGGGGAATAACTGCTTTTGAACATATAAATAATTTAACTGGTGCTGCTGCTGATACTTTAGATTATAAAGTGATTTTATATTTAGCTTATAGATTTGCTGAACCAATTAAACAAATTACAGCATTAAAATGTTATCATGTGGGAGATAATTTAAACGTTGAAATTGATTTGGTTTTTGCTAATGATAAAAATTTAAGTTTTAAAGATTGTCATGATTTAGCTGAAGCTTTACAATATTCAATTGAAAGTTTACCAAATGTAGAAAGAGCATTTGTTCATATTGATTATATGTCAAATAATTATCGTGGGCACTTAAAATAAATATACATAATTATATATTCAATGAAAATTTATTCATGAAATCTTCTAGACTTACACCATATTTATAAAATAATCCAAAGTTAACCCTATTTATTAAACAAAATTTGGCAATGACAGATTTGATGTTTGCCTCTGCTTGAGCTAGTAAATCTCTATTAAACGCTTGTTGCAAATTTGTATTTGGATCTAGTATATGCTTGAGTAAGCTACAAGTGAATATAGCTGCAAAATAAAAACAAAAATGTAATTGATCAGATAAATAAGCAAAATAAGAATCATTTTGGATATTATTTATATGACTGATGGCTGCACTGGCATGTTCAAACATTTTTTGTAACATTTTAAAATCACAAGAATTGAGGACAAAGGATAAATTTTCAAAATCTAATGATTTATCAGTTTCATTTTTAATTGACAGTAGTTTAAATGAATAAATATATTGTATTAACATCATGCAAATATTATAATTAAATTCAATAAATTGTAATGCTGGCTGATTAAGTAAATATTCCCAAGTTTCATACCATTGAGAAATTTCATTCATTACTGATATAAAATTACGTTTTAATTTTTCAACACTAGTTTCATTTGAATTCAGTTGGATATATTTATAAGTAATGAATAATATTCCAATTTCGCTCACCATTCTACCATCAAAATTTGTAGCATTTAATAAACTTAATGCTGATGAACAATCTTTAATTTTATTTTCATCTAATATTGACATTCTTCCTGTAAATATACTATTAATTAAATGAACAAGACATAAATGATTATAAATTCTTAACATTATTAATGGTTCACGATTCTTAAGTCTACCAAAAGTTGATTTTGTAATAAATGTAGTTAATCCATTACATGATAACATCCAAGGATCCAAATTGAAATTTTGAAACATCTGCTTATCTTTCTCCAGAAACTCATCTATTTCATATTTATTCATGATTGCAGACACGGTTGATGATATGGAAGTAGAATAAATTGATAAAATAACCATTGATTGTAAAAATTCAAGAAATCCATTCTCATTGTCTTTAAAAGATGAATATTTCAACAAAGAGTCATCCAAGTCTAAAATTAACTGTCTAATCATCTTTAAGTATTTTATTTTCTCATCTGTTTCAAATTCCCTATCTGGATCAAAAATTGAATATTTATAACTTATTAAAATACATGATGTCAACAATAAGGGACACTTATCAATCATGTCACTGAATAGAATGTTTGTTGTTACTCCTGGTGGGAATGAGACCCATCTTCCATAATTTCTTCTAAAATCATCAATCAAGTTCATGATTTCAAAATTATTAAATATTCCTAAATTTGCGATAGTTGGTTTATAACCATTTATAGGATCAGGAGCACATTTGAAATTCAAATTCAGAATTTGATCAGGTATTAATTCATCATTTTGATCTTTCAATTGATTATTTACAATTGAAAATGGTGATGTTAAAAATCTATTCATTGGGTTTTCAAAATTTAAAGTTTGTGAAACTTCATCTATCGAATTCTGCATCGATTGAACGGTTTCAATTAATAATCTAGCATCTGAATTTGAATCTTCTTTGTTGTTTTTCAAAATTGATAAAATTTCATTTATGCCCTGGTGAATTTGATTTAATTTATCCTCTGAATTATTTAAAACAGTATTATTTGGCGGTGGTAAATCATTATCATTTTCAAATGAACATTTTTTACTTAAGAATTTACATCTTAAACATTTGTTAAGATCTTCTGGTACTCTAAAACATCTTGTTTTTTGTTTTCTACATAGTTCACAAGCTTTTAAAGTACGTGAAGCTTGAGCTAAACTTCTTGTTTCATTTTCTTGCTTTGATGTATTTGTTTTATGTCTTTTATTTTTAGATTGAGATTGTGCAGGTGGTGTATAATTTTGGTCTAACTCATTATTATTATTAGTATTATTATGATCCATTTTTAGATTGTTTGAAATATGGAATGTTCCGTTGGAAGAAACCGTAATTTTTTTTTTTTCCGCCTAAAATGATACCCATTGAAAGGTGAATTTTGCCAGAAAATTTAGCACCAAGTCGTTCTGGAATAACGCGAGATAGAAATTGTGTTAGGCATCAAATACGGGCGTGAGCTGGCGACAAAATCCACTAGCGTTTGTAGTTAAGATTAAATAAAGTGAAAAATCATCAAGTGGAAGCTCATATATTCATTATATACTTTACCATCCAAGTAAATTCTCTGCCTTTTCACAATATTCTTCAGACAATGAAGTTGAACAATCTCCTAATAATTTATTCTCTAATAATATTGTATCTTTATTATCTGTTTGATCTAATCGTTTTTGTAAAATTTGCGTTAAATAAGGTAATAACCCTCTAATATGTATCAATTTATTTGATCTATCAGCTTCACTTAAAGTAATACCCATATAATCATGATTTCCAATCTTGTCCCAATAAGCAATCGAATTGGGTATTAAGACGGATTTCCCATCTTGACAAGTAGATTTACCAATTGACCACGGTTCAGGAACAATATTAAAATCTAATAATGATGAAACATAATCTAATTGATAATTATTAATTTCGGGATCTTTAGATTTTGATAATATGAAAATATGAGGTCTGTATAATTCGATAAGACAACCACATTCTTTATTATGTGATCTTGCAATACCTAACAAAAATTTATTCTTTTCAGTTACATCATTTGGTAAGAAATTTTCCGGTATTTCAATTAATTGAGTACCACCTCTTAATTTTCCTGCATTATCATTTGCATTTAATGTATTAAAAGGAGGACCAGTAACTTTATTACATTCTCCAGATTTTAAATCACATTTTATAATTCTTAATGGATTAAAATTATAAATAAAATTGATATAATCATTATCATGCAGATTCATAAATGGTGCCCAATTCTTTTCTCTAAAACTTCTCTTTTTATCCTTAATTGATAACCTGATAATATTGACAGGGTCTAATAATGGTCGATATATATGCATTGCTCTAAACCATTTAATTTCAGTTCTTCTTGCATTGAATATAACTATTGGTTCTTGTATTGTTTTGCCATCTTCATTATATTCATTAAGTATGACTCTTGGATCTTCACTTCCTATAATTTCCTTCTTTTCTTTCTTTCCTATATCAATGTAATGCGGTAAAATAGTTGGAAATGTTAAATTTGAATTTGGAAATTTATAATCTTTTAACTCTTCCCAATTTCGATTAAATATTTGACCTGATAAAATCGAAATTGTTGGATTGTTTCTAGACCCTTCCTTTGTATAGACTATTCTGTTAATAGTGAAATAAACTCCGTAATTACTCATCCATACGGAACTACCGCAAAATTTAAACCACTTTTTCTTGAGTATATCTTCCTCACTTTCATGTTCCTTGTCTTGAAAACATAATTTATAAACTGCATTTGTTTCCGACATATTTAATAATTGATCCCTTAATGATTTCAAATCATCATCTTTATTTAAATTTATTAAAGGACTTGATTCTATAATATTATCATTAATCATTTTAATTGAACTGCAATCGAAATTCTCAGATTCTTCATCGTTAGGCACTTGATTTATAAATGAAAAGCCTGGAACTTCAAATGATCTAAATTCCGTCTCTAAAACATCATGATGTATTGGTTTTGAAGATGCTAGAATACTTATTTTTGACTTATAATTAGTTGATAAGAAATACCATGCGTTCAAATTTAACAAAAATAGTAGAATACCAATGATGATAACTGGTGTTTTAGGCCATGTCTTATTATATTTCTTATAGCATATTAGTAGTATAATCAGTCCTAGAGTTATTATTAAGCAACTTATTAAATATATTGTTGTAGTTATGTCATTTGGAATATCCATTATCTGTTGATCTAAAAATAAATTTTGTTCCTGGAAGAAGAAAAATGATTTCTTGATAATAGAAAAACACATTGAAACATAACAATTTCAATAGTTATACTTTCCTAAAATCAGAAATTGACACTTTGGAGATGCTCTACTGTTTATATCTAGTACTTGTCATGTGTTTTTCTTATTGTTGACTTCAAGGTTAAATAGGTCTAAAAATTTCTTGACCATCGATAAGTTGAACAGACATGTTATTGTTGAAGATTAGTTTCGTATATCATAAGTTAATTTTAAACTCAGCTTTCAACTTCGTATCTTAATGTGAGATCATGCAAGTGTAAAAAGTTAATTGTCAAATTTTCTCTCAAGTAATTAAAATCATCTCTGACTCATGTTTGGTAAATTAAACTACAAGTTAACGACAAGTTATATGATCTGAATGATATTGAAGCTGATCTGAATGATATTGAAGCTGACCTGTCAATTGCGGTACTAATGAAAATTTTCATAAAATAGGGGGTTATTTTTAAGTGGCTGACCAATGAGAGCTAGCCCAGAAATTTGAATTAACGAATTGGTAGCTTCTAATTAAATTTTTCAGTCATAATATGAAACATAAATAATAATATGAAACTAAGTTTTATTGAATGTTTAAAGGTCAAACTGCATTAATTACTGGTGGATCTAGAGGTATTGGGTATGCTTTAGCTAAAAGACTAGCTAAAGAAGGTGCTACTATTACTTTACTTGCTAAAAATGAAGCATTACTTCAAAAATCAGTTAAACAATTATCAACGGCTGAAAACCAACAGCATTCCTATAAAGTACAGGATTTACTCAAGCTAGCTAGTGGTCAAAGTGCTCCAAATTTCGCATCATATAATATATTGGTTAATTGTGCTGGTATCACTAATCGTACATTACTAGTGAGGACACCAAAGCAAGAAATTTACGATACAATTAATTTAAATCTAACGGCACCCATTATACTATCTCAATTATGTGCTAAATCGATGCTAAAAGACAAGGATCAGCCTCATTCAATTTTAAACATATCTTCAATGTTATCAGTAACGGATATTTTTGTACCGGGTACATCAGTTTATGCTGCTTCAAAGGCTGGCTTATTAGGTTTCACAGCTAGTTTAGCTTCTGAATTACGTGGTAAAATAAGAGTAAATAGTATCATGCCAGGATTAGTTAAAGAAACAGATATGGGTTCAATAGCAGCTAAATCATTAAAACCAATTACAATGGATCTGGTTATAACTAAATCAATTGATATATTATATGATAAAACTATAAATGGCCAATGTATAGAAATAAATGATATAGAGTAAAGATATATTCATTTTATCAATTGATGCAAATTATTTTTCACCACGCGATCTAAATTTATCCCCATATATAATGTTATTATTATTTCTACTAACTACAGTATTAAGTGATATAATAGGAGTTTCACCTGAAGATCAACATTTATATCAACCTGAAATCATAAATGGTGAAAAAAAATGGCATTGTTTAAATGATAGTTCAATTATATTAAATGTCAATCAAATTAATGATGATATTTGTGACTGTCCGGATGGTTCAGATGAACCAGGAACTAATGCTTGTCCAGTAACTCCGTTTAAATTTTATTGTAAAAATGAAGGTTTTATTCCAGGTTATATTGATCAATTTAAATTGAATGATGGTGTATGTGATTATGAAATTTGTTGTGATGGTTCAGATGAATATAAATTTGAAAATTGTGAAAACAAATGTCAGGAGATAAATAGACAATATCAAGAATATAAAGAAGAGACTCAAAAGTTTGTCAAAGAAGCTTTGAAAAAGAAAGACTCAATTATAAATCAAGCAAAATCTAAAAGAACGCAATTGATCAATTTATGGAATAAGTTGGAAAAGAGTTTGCCTATGAAGAAAATGGAAATTAATAATTTGAAATTGGAAGCTGAATCAAATCAACAACATGATTTAACTGTATTTGATTTACTTGGTGATAAAATCGTAAATTTGATTGAAAGAATTGAGAATCATAAGAAATCAACTATAAAACAACAGAATTCAATACAAGCATTAGAGAAAATACTTGATAGGCTATCAAAAGAATATAATCCAAATTTCAATGATTTAGCTGTAAAAGATTCAATACATAAATTTCAACATTATGTTTCAAATAAAGAAGAAGAAGTAAGTGAGGATATACATGAAACAAATCAAGTATTACATGATTTAGTTGAAAAAGCAAAAGAATTGACGCATTCAGGTGATTCTACCGAGCCCACTTTTGGAAACATGTTTCATCATTATTTCAAAACTATAATTGGAACATTCTTAACAAAGCCCAAAGATTCAGTAGAGCCAAAATCATCCACTGACTTATCTCCAAAAATAGGGGCTTTAGAAAAAGAATTAGCTGAGTATGAAAAGAGAATAGATGATATAAAGAATAATTTAAATATGAATTTCGGTCCTGATGATATACTAAGAGCTTTTGATTCATTAAGAATTACCAAAAAATTAGGTGGATATCATTATATAATTAACATTCTAGGATCAATAGTTCAAGATGATATATTAATTGGAAATTTCAAAGAATATAAAGATGGAAAACTTTATTACAACAAAGGTGCAAGATGTTGGAATGGACCACAAAGATCAGCAGAAGTTGAATTTCAATGTGGTAAAGGACCAGAATTAATATCTGTAAGTGAGCCTGAAAAGTGTCATTATTATTTTATAATTAAATCAGAAGCATGGTGTAATGAAATCACAGATGAAGAAATTACAGAAAATTTTAAAATAAATTATGATCTATTATAGGATAATTAATCAAATACAACTTTTTTACCTTGAAAACTTGTTTTTAATTTTGCTTCTGCTTGCTTTTTAGCTTCCCATGATGGATGAATCTTATCCTCTCTTGGTTTCGTTTCCTTGTTTTCTTTTCTTTCACCTATTGGTTCGTTATTTGCACCCGTTGGTTTTTGTAATTGTGCTTTTAATTGTCTTTTTCTTTCTCTTTCTTCAAATTCTAATCTACGTTTTTCTCTTTCATTAGCTATTCTTTCTCTTTCTTGTGTGACATGTTTTGCATTTTTACCATATTTCTTTTCCCAAATTTTCTGTCTTGCTCTTTGACCTCTTCGATTCTTACGTTGTGATGTTAGTTCTTTTATTATCTTATCATTATCAATATCACCTTCATCGTCAGATCCACCTGAACAATACCCAGTTGCTAATTCAGGTAAATTATAAGCTTCTTCTTCTTTTGATTTCTTTGATTTTTTGAGTGATGGTTCTTCTTCAAAGAAATCATCAACTTCTGACTCTACTTCTCCATCCTCACTTTCATCATCTTTTAAATCTTCCTCTTCTGATGGTTCTTCTTCTGTTATTTCATCATAATTTATATTTGGATCAAGTTCAAAATTCTCCTCTTCCCCTTCTTCTTTTTCATCATTTTCATAAACTGCAAAATTGTCATAAGCCTTCTCCAAATAAATATCCTCATCAGCATCATCTTCTACTTCTTGCTCTTCGTCTTCTTCCTCCTCACTTAACTCATTACTTTCATCGTCATCCTCTTCTTCTGGTTCATCACCACTTATAAATTCTCCACCAGTAGCTTTCTTTTTATCCTTCTTCTCCTGCTTAGTCAAATTACCCCTAACCATTTTGAAGCTCCATTCTATTTCATCCATTATTTTCTTTACATTTTTATTATTTGATAAATTTGAAATTTGATTATTTGCAATCTTGTCATTTTGACAATACTTTTTGAAAAACCCAGTAGGATTTGAATCGTTTGATTTATCTAATATAATTGATCTTATTTCTTCATTTATATAATTTGGAGGGTCCAATTTTAGTTCTTTTGAATTTAATATTGAATTTTGTATACATTTAAGAATCTTTGAAATTATGAAATTGTTCAATATAGCTTCATTTTTTAATAACTCTGTTGGTTTTTGTTTAAGTATTCTATTTATTTCCTTTTCCAATTTGTTATAACCTGAGTGATATTTATGTTCAAATGCAATTTTCTTCAATTCTTTAATTTGACCTTTGACCTCGTGTTCATCTTTAGGTAATTTTTTAACTAAATTAGTTGAATTTGTAGAAATTGACAATAGTAATTTCTTTGTATGATTGAATCTAGGAGTTGCTTTTTCAAATTTGGACTCTAATAAGTCTAGTTTCCATAATTGATTATTTGATTTCATTATGAGATGAGATGAATAAATATATTTAGATCTAACGCTCGTAAAAAAAAAATAAAAAATGAAAAATAAAACAATTCTGAAACAAATTGAAAATGGAGGAACCCAAAAATAAGAAACAAAAGATAATAGGTGAAGCTAGAAAAACGAAAGGTGGAATATCATATAGATGTGAGCATATTATACCTGAAAAGAATAGAAGATGTAATATGCAAAGAAAAGCAACTAATAAATTCTGCTCAGAACATCAAATTTTAGAAACTGAAAAACGAATACCTTGTCCATTAGATCCAAAACATACAATATGGGAAAAAGATTTGAAAAGTCATATGAAAAAATGTAATTGGAAACCAAAAGAGGAACATGATCCATGGTTTGAATTAGATAAGAATTGTACTTTACAAAATAGTGAGGATTTTAATTTAGAGAATGAAGAAACTGATGAAGAAGTTGAACTACTCATAAAATACATACCAATATTACAAGGTATTAAATTTGAGCCACTACCGATTAAGCAATTGCAGCATGATGGAATGAGCACAAAATTTGATGTGAAATTAATGCAAAAACATATTACCCAACAATCGTCACTAATTGAAAATCTTAAGTCATTGGATCTTCTCAATGCAAATACATTTTATATGGAGTTTGGATGTGGAAGGGCTGAACTATCGAAGTTTGTTCAGCAATGTATAGTCTATGATCAACCAAAAGACTCAAAGGGATATGGTTACGGTTTGATTGATCGAGGTGTCAATCGATATAAATGTGATAATCACCTTTTAAAAGAAACAGATTTAGAGCCGATTGTTAAAAGAAGTAGAATGGATATAAAGGATTTAAACTTGGACAAATTTATAGATGATAAAAGTGTTAATCATGTAGTCACTATTTCAAAACATTTATGTGGTGCAGCTACAGATTTAACGTTAAAACTGATTTTCAATTCAAATGAAACTAATAGTAAATTTGATGGTATGATTGTTGCAATGTGTTGTCGTCATCTATGTCAATTAGATCAGTTATTACCCCAATCTAGAAAATATTTACATGATCAAGGCTTCAAAACAATCCAGTCCTTTAATGTACTAAAGAAAATGGTTTCATGGGCTGTCGATTCTTCAAGGAAGGAAAATGATGAGCATATTTCAGGTTTGAATAAGGATGAACGTAAAGATCTTGGTTTAAAAGCTAGAAGATTAATTGATGAAAGTAGAGTTTTTGCAATCCAACAAATTCTATCGAATTCATATCAAGTAGATTTATTTCATTACGTTGATACATCAATTACATTAGAAAACAATTGTTTGTCAATTAAAAGATTAAGTTAATATATATTCAACATATCTAGATTTTAGTTTCTTTAACACCGTGTTTCCAGATAGCAACATATGGAGTAGTACCATCTTCTCTGTAATTTAATAAAACAATCATAGCATCTGGATCCATTGATTCACCAGTGTAAAAATCCCAATCACCAAATGAACCTAAAACTTTTTTAACGTATTTAGTAGCACCTTTTTCAAAATTTTCAACTTGATCTGGATCATTTTCAGCTAAATAAGCTTTAACTTTCTTCATATAACCTTTAATATAAGTGGTGAATGATTTTTTATCAAATTGAGTTTGTTGTAATCTGAATGAGTAAACAACATTGTTAACAGTTTCAGCACCATCTTCTAATGCTTCATCACCTTCTTCAGCTGATGGATTAGCACCAATATCAACATCACCTTGACCAACAGTGACCATTGCACAATCAGCTTCGTAAACAGCATCATCGACTAACTTGACATCGTAAGCATCTGATAATAATTCATCGCCTGAGATAACGTCGGTAAAAATAATCATTATTGAAGAATTGAATAAAGATTGAGATGGGGGTTGAAAAAAAAAAAAAAATGAAAAATTCAAATGTTGAAAAAAAAATTCTAAAACGCCTCACGTGCCCAATTAATTAATTATACGGCCATATAAAATTCTAATATACACATTAATCATACAAATTCATTCTCAAATGCTCTATGTAAAAAGTTTAATATTCTATCATAAACTACTTTAAACCCATTATGATAACTCATACCATGATTTGAATCTGGAAAAATCATCATTTCAAAATTTTCAACTTCTTCAACATTAAATTCATCTAACAATTGTAACGAGTGTTGCATATGAACATTATCATCACCAGTACCATGAGCAATAAAGAATTTATTGACATGTTTAAAGTTTGTTACATTATTAATTGAACCATATTGATAACCTGATGGATTTTCTTGTGGTGTTCTTAGATATCTTTCTGTATAAATTGAATCATATAGTTTCCATTTAGTAACTGGTGCAACAGCAACTCCATAATTGAAAACTGGATCTTCAACATCTGTTTCTAATGTTTTCAAAGTTAAGAAACCACCATATGACCAACCCCAAACACCTATTCTATCTGGATCAACATATGATTTTTCAACCCACTTTTTAGCAGTCGATATAATATCTAATGGCTCATATTTACCCAATTTATCTCTAACTATAAATTTAAATTTTGAACCTAATTTATAATTTAAATTATTAAAACCAGTGCCTCTTCCATCAACCGTTACAACAATTGCATTTAATTCAGCAGCAACTAAAGAACTGAAACTGATTGACCATTGCTTAGTAATTGTTTGAGATCCTGGTCCTCCATAAACATAAAACAATACAGGATATTTCTTCTTTTTATCAAAATTTAATGGTAACGTTTCCATTGTATTGCAAAGAAACGTTTCCCCACTTTCTTCATCTCTTAACTCAACTGTTGAGTATTTGATTTCAGGAATGACATAATCTCTCAATTTCTTTTTCAATTCTGCATTATCTTCAATGATTTTGACATTTTTATTCAGTTTCAAATCATTAATTCTTTGGGTTGGTACATTAGGACCTAAATCACTTAAAAATAAAAATCTTGCACCCGATGAAAAACTTGAAGAGTAATATCCTTCTTTAGTAGTTATATCTTTAATATAGGGTAAACCATTATTCAGTCTATCTAACAAATTAACCAGATGAATATGTCTTTCAATTGATGATTTCATTGTACTTGTAAAATAAACTTGATTATTTGTATAATCAAATGCAATACCATTCACAACTTCCCAATTACCTTTAGTTAATAATTGATAATTGGGATCATCTGGTGGTGAAAAATAAGCTAAATGATTAAAACCATCTTCAACAACTGTATCTATATAACCATCATATTTTCTACCCAATGTTTTATTTTTAGGGACAAATAAAGTATGAGTTGTAATTTCAAACCATGAATCTTTAGCTTCTAAAGATCGTATCAATTTTGATTTTTCATCATCAATTAAATAAATTTCAATTAAATCACTTGCACGATTTGATGTTTTAACTAATAATTGATCACCAATCCAGACAACTTCAGTGATTAATCTATTTTCTTGCTCTATTTTATTAGATTTCAATTGATGTTCAATTAATTTATTTTCTTTCAAATCAAATGTAACTACATCAACTATTGGATTAGGATAACCAGCTTTTGGATATTTAAGCTTGACAATTTCTGGATAATCTTCATATTTATACTGTGCATAGAATGGTATGATAAATTCTGGAACTTTAGTGTTGTCAGATTTTAAAAATGAAAATTTATCACCATTAGGTGACCACCATAATACTATATCAGTACCAAATACTTCTTCTTCATAAACCCAATCTGGTTTACCATTAAATATGTTTTTTGAGCCATCAGACGTAACTTGTTTTATTTCCTCCTGCGATAGGTTTTTTAAAAATATGTTATTTTTGTAAACAAACGCAATATTTTGTGAATCTGGAGACCATGAAACAGTAGATATCTTATGCTTCGTATCATAAATAGGTTTGATCTCTGAATTGTCTACATCCGCAATCCAATACAATGAATAGGATGAGTGTCTCCAAGAACTTGTAACATTAGTTTGTAATATAATCTTTGTCAAATCTGGTGAAGCTTTATAATTTTCAACTTTATATGTTTTGCCATCATATTCAAATGAACTACTTTCTATTAATATTTTTTCGTAATCTTCATCAGCAATTGATTTTATTATAACTTTGAATTCTTCATCATTTTCTTCAGCTTGTTTAATAACATAAGTACCCTTATCATTATAAATAGATGATGGTTCTTTGATCCATTGTATAGATTTTAAAACTGGTGATAATTCATGATCATCGTAGACTTGTTTAGTTAATGGTTTTTTACCTTTAAAATTTGTTGGTTTATTTGACGGATGGGCATATTTTGTAAAATCTTTACCAATATCCTGTATTGATTGTAATTTTAATGAATTTAATTTAAGAGAAAAGTTCTCTATACTTATTATTAAAAATGTTGAACCCCATATTAAAACTATGATTAATATAATGACCGTCACTAGTTTCTTGAAATGGAATGAATTTGTCTTCTTCTTTTGATGATGAATGTGAGTGCCAGAATCTGTCTCTTTTATATCAATATATCCATTTGACATAATACGCAACGGTATGAAATGAATATATAATAATTAATCAACGAATGAAGTAAATGAATATATATATAAAAACGGTAATAATGGAATGTGCCTTGCGTATAAATTACTTTCCTTGAAACAGAAAAAATTATAATTGCAAGCGACGTTTCTTTTTATTGGTCGTGCATTTTTACTAATGTACGGCTATATTCCATGCATGGAATTTATTTATGTAATTAGCCGAGTGTTTCTAGTTAACCACAGTAATATGACAAATTTGTGGTAAACTTGCAATTTAGATCAACCAATAGAATTAATGGTCAAAGAAAGTTCTACTAGCCTCGTTTAAGTACCAAAACTATAATTTTGAATGACGATTGCTCCAGTAACGTTGTACTTTATGCGCTAGCAGCATGCAATTAATCTTCAGAAAGCCCATGGTAAAGGCCACGCACTAAAAGAGCTTTAGTCTTTTAGCAAATTGAAACTCTAAGGCAATTAATAGTGACGACTGCTTATTATGTTTAACGAAGTGCTATAAGCTCTACCCGCAAGAACAAACAGGGAACTAATTATAAGCAAATTTTATTTGAGTTTAGATATAATTTAATTAAATAAGTGGCTGTTGATATATAAATTTTGCAGCCAAATCATGGTTTTGCAGCAAAAAAAAGCCGCTTAAAGCCGCCTAAAAATTCTCAATTTTCAATATACAGGAACAAAAATAATTATTATAAAGATATTGATGATATAATATTGGAAATTAAACTTTTCTTAAATGGTTGCAAAATTAGTTGGAATATTTAAGTTATATTGAATTGCATCGCTAATAGAGATGAAGGTTAAACCTGTCAAAATTTCTTATAGCTAACGATTGCTTATAGGCTCGGGTTTATATTTCCAATTTGCTGTTGAATAATTTTTCCAATGGTAAAATGGGAGTCAAATATTTCAATAACGTTTGCATCAAAATCTACTCCCAATTGTATTAGTAATCCCAAATTCATATAAAAACAAGGTAGTAAATCTCACGAAAGAAATTGCTTTAATTTATCAATCAGTTAAGAATGTCCGATGTTGAAAATATAGAATTAAGTAATCGATACCAACGTCAACCAACTCAACAGTCATTTATAAATGATACAAATTCAACAGCTTTATCAAGTGCTATATCAGTTGAACCATTAGAAGGTGGTGAAAATCCCGAGGATTATCCAGATGGTGGTCTCATGGCTTATTCAGTCATATTGGGTTCATTCTTAGGTCTTGTTGTTAATTTAGGCATTATTAATTCTGTTGGTGCTATTCAAACTTATGTTTCTAATCATCAATTGTCACATTTGAAGCAAAGCTCAATTTCATGGATTTTCTCCATTTATTTATCATTAAGTTATGCTGGTGGTTTAATAGTTGGTCCAATTTTTGATAAAAAAGGTCCATTAATGATTTTGATAACATCTACTGGGTTTATATTTATGGGTTTAATGGCAATTGCAAATAGTGTTGAAATATGGCAATTTATTTTAAGTTTTATCGCATTAGGAATTGGTAATGGTTTTGGAATGACTCCTTTAATTGGTGTTATATCACATTGGTTTCTTAAAAAAAGAGGAAATACAACTGGTATTGCAACAAGTGGTGGTTCAGTAGGCGGTTTGATTTTTCCATTAATGTTGAGATCCTTATATCCAAAAGTTGGTTTTGTTTGGTCAATTCGTATATTAGCATTTATTTGTTTATTTTGTCAAGTAAGTTCATTATTATTGGTTAAGGAAAGAATGATTCTGAAACATAATCAAGAGCAAAATAATGCTACTTCAGAAGAAATTGCCGTTGAAAAGAAGAGATTTTATGTCAGTTGGGATATGTTTAAAATTAAAGATTATAAATTTTTCTTTTTAGCACTAGGAGGATTTTGTGCTGAATTATCATTAATTTTATTAGTCACTTATTATGCTTCATACGCTATTGCACATGGTACGACTGAATCAACGTCATATTTATTATTAACATTATGGAATGGGACTGGAATCGCGGGTAGATGGGTCCCAGCTTATGTTTCAGATTATTATGGTAGATTTAATGTCAATATCATTATGTTATTAAGTTATTGTTTGAGTATTTTTGTTTTACTTTATCCATTTGCTTCAAATCAAAAGATATTATGGGCTTTTGCAGGTATTGGTGGCTTTTGTTCAGGTTCCATTCTAAGTTTATTACCTGCATGTTTATCGCAAATCACACCTGTAAAACAAATTGGTACAAAATATGGAATACTTAATTTTATATTATCTACTGCTAATTTATTTGGTATACCAATTGCAGCTGCAATAATTGATGATGGATCATCAAAACAATATAACAACTTTATGGTTTTAGTTGGTTGTTTATCAATTGGTGGTGTTTTATTCTGGGCAATTAGTAGATGTATTGTTTTAAAATCATTTAAATTATTGGTAAAGGTATAAGTTAGACTTTAAAATACATACATTATTTATTAGATCCATAGGCAGCTTAAGAAACGTTTTGTTGTTCTTCAATCTTGTGATTAGTCCTATTTCATATAATCTTGTGTAATTGCGTTATATGCCGTACTGAAAAATTTTACGAGCTAAAATTTCTGTTTCTTGACAAAAATGACACAAAACCAAAATATAAAAAAAAAAATAAAAATACGAGATTTCGGAAATCTCATATTCGGTTCTTGAGATCTGAGACATTAGTTGAATGGGCTTCCAAACGTCAAAACAGATCGACAATCAAACAGCATGAAGTAAATGAAGATTGTTTAAAGCTTCCATTAAACAGGATACAATAGGAGAATAATTACTCTGAGCTTATTTTAAGAATTTTTCTTATATTGTGCAACATTTCTTGTGCTACTTTTCGATGTTGCAAAAAAAAAAAGCAAAAAAAAAAACATAACAAAATAAGTACAATGTTGCATCCATTTGAGTTGCCAGAGTTATTAGTTACCTGTTCTTACTTTAAATAATGATATGATGATATTAATTTAAAAACCGATCTAAAGATCTCGAGGTGAAAGTATAATTTAAATTGAAAAATTTTCATGCATGAATTTCTCATTATATTACTAAGTTAGGTTTAGTACAACATTTTTCTCGGACATTGAATTAAACACATAATCTCTTGAAGAAAAGAAGTTTCCCCAACCGCGAATCAAAGCTAATTCCAACTGACTTCAATTTTATTCAGCATTTCTGCTATCAAAAGACGTACAGTTAATATGAAAAGACCAAATACGTTTTGATCAATTAACACTACCTAGTAAAACGTAAAAAGATTTCCTTATTTATTTTCAGTCAAAATAATTTTTTTTAACATACATTACATCATTAATAACAAATAAACTAGAACTTGGTTAATTCAACACTAAATAACTCATCACTTTATAATTGTTCTACCATTGTAAATGAGAAGACTCAAGGTTGGGATACGACCTCAACTTATTATAATAACGAGTTTTGCTAGTCTTTTTTCATTATTAATATTGGGGATTGTAACAGGAATATATTTTAGTGAAAATTTAACTCAGTTACAATTGGAAAGATTATTTGTTATATCACAACTTAAAACAACTCAAGTGGAACAAGCTATTGCTTATATTGCATATCAGTTTCTGACATTATCAAGTATTGATTCAATAACAATACCTTTATCTGAATATAGGGCAGGGAATAATTCACAATCAGTTTTTACAAATGCTCAAAATACTTTGAAACAATATATTGCATCAACTGAAACTTTTGCTGCTGCAAGATTATATAATTTAGATTTACAAGTTATGGCTTCAAGTTATAATAATGCAACTATTGTTTCAGAACCTGCAAGAGATTTTTTATTTCCATTACAACAAAATGCTTCAATTCCTTCAACTTTATTAAATAATCAAGATTCTTTATATATAACGGGGCCAGTGGCTAATGATACTAATAATGTTAATAATTCAACCTACTTTTTTGGTTTGACGTTACCTGTATATACTAATACATCAATAATTATAAATCAACCTTATGTTGCTGGTTACTTATCAATCATAGCATCTGCAGATGCAATTAATAGTGCATTGAATGCATCAACCGAAGGTTTACAAACATTTGCAATAAAACCAATTTATGGACTGATTGAAAATGGAATTGATAATTTAGAAGATAATACAAATACTAATGAAGAAGCTATTGCATTTCAACCAGTTTTCCCAATAGAAGGTAGTCAATTAGAACCGGGGCAAATTTACAATATAAATTCATCAGAATCAATTAAATATGCAATTACACATCAAGCTGGTCAAGTTGCAGATGTAACGAGTTTTAGTCAAAAAAAAGTTAGTAGTGGTTTTACTCAATTACATTTTGAAAATATAATTTGGGAAATTTTAGTAATTCAAGATAAAAATGATTTTGATCAACCAATTGATCGATTAAAAAAGATCATTATTGGAGTTGTTATTGGTATTGGTGCATTTATGTGTTTAATTACATTTCCATTAGCTGTTTGGTTTATTAGACCAATTACAAAATTAAAAACTGCAACTGAAGAAATCACAAGTTACAAAAAACTGAATCAAACACATTCTGGTAATAATAAAGATAATAATGATAATGATGAAAAGAAAAGAAATAGTGTATTTTCAAATGTAGGTTCTGAACATTCATCTGGTATGAGATTACCTACACAAATACCAAGATCAAAGAAATTTTTTAAAGATGAATTGACTGAATTATCAGAAGCTTTTAATATAATGAGTGAAGAATTGGATAAACAATATACTCATTTAGAAGATCGTGTTAAATCAAGAACAAAAGAATTGGAAGCATCTAAATTACAAGCAGAAGCTGCTAATGAAGCTAAAACTGTTTTCATTGCTAATATATCGCATGAATTAAGAACTCCATTAAATGGTATATTAGGTATGACATCAATTGCCATGGATGAAGAAGATTGTACAAAAATTCAAGATTCATTGAAATTAATTCATAGATCTGGAGAATTATTATTACATATTTTAACTGAATTATTAACATATTCTAAAAACACATTAAATAGATCAAAATTGGAAAAATCTACCTTTCAAATATTTGAATTAGTTTATCAAACAAAGTCAATTTTTAGCAAATTAGCTCATGATCAAAGAGTGAATTTGAAAATTTTTGTCAAACCAAATATATTTAGAAAATTATATCTTTATGGTGATTCAAATCGAATGTTACAAATTATCATGAATTTAGTTTCTAATTCATTGAAATTCACTCCTATTGAAGGTTCAGTTACTGTTACATTCAAACTATTAGGAGAATATGATGCAGAAAAATCAAAGGAAGAAAATTTTGAAAAAGTTTATATTAAAAATGAAACAACCACGATCAAAGCTACTGGATCTGAAGTTAAGGAAAAGAAAACATCAAAATCACTACGCAAGCGGTCATCAAAACCAGAAGAAGAAGTTGACAATATACTATCTTCAAACGATGATATGAGTATTTTAACTTTATCAACACAAGAATATGAAAATAAAGTATTTGAATCACAATTCAATCTTAAACCATTACCATCACCACCATCACAACAATCAGAACCACCAACTACAGCAACTACAGACGACAAAAATGATTCTATATCAAGTGAAACCAAAAACATATCATCATCATCAGATTCTGACGAAAAGGAAAAACCAAGTATACTACCTACACAAGCAGAATTAAATAAAGTAGAAACAAGACATAATGTAATGCCACAACCAAAAGATTATAAATCATATACTTCATTTGATAAAAAACCTGAGTATGATTTAAGTATGGCACCACTGGCAGATTTTGGTGGTGATAAATATCGTGTTCGTAAAATGTATAAATCTAAGATTTGGGTAGTTCAAATTGAAGTTGATGATACAGGACCAGGTATTGAACCAGCTTTGCAAGAAAAAGTTTTTGAACCATTTGTTCAAGGTGATCAAACATTGAGTAGAAGTTATGGAGGTACTGGTTTAGGTTTATCAATTTGCAAACAATTGGCAAAAATGATGCATGGTACATTGACATTAAAATCAACAATTGGTAAAGGTTCAAAATTTATATTAACATTACCTATTCCACAAGTTGGTGAAATTATGATTCCATTAGCAGATTTGGAAAAACATTCACAAGATGAATTCAATCCAAGTGCGAAAATAAATAGAAAAGTTTTATTTAAAGAAGATGAAGAAGTTATAGAAGAGAAAGAAGAAATATTGGAGAAGGAAGAAGAAAAAGATCAATTAGATAATGGAGATTCACCAAGAAAGAAGAAATTACCACCATCAGTTAAATTAAAAATTGATAAACCAAAATTATTTACTCGAAGTTCAACAGGTACTGCAATGTCAGATGAAAATAAATCTTCACAACCAACATCACCAACTCCAACACCACCAGGAACTTCATCATCAAACCATTCTTCATCATTATTAGATGATATGTCACACTTGAAATTATTAGTTGCAGAAGATAATTTAGTTAATCAAGAAGTTATCAAAAGAATGTTGAAATTAGAAGGGTTTGAAAATATTACAATGGCTTGTAATGGTGCAGAAGCAATTGAATTTGTTAAAGAAGCAATTGCAAATCAAGAACCATTTGATTTAATATTTATGGATGTTCAAATGCCAAAAGTTGATGGTTTATTAGCAACTAAAATGATACGACAAAATTTAAATTATAAAAATCCAATTATTGCATTGACTGCATTTGCAGATGATTCAAACTATAAAGAATGTTTAACTGCTGGTATGTCAGGATATTTACCAAAACCAATTAGAAGACAAAATTTAAGAAAAATTATTGTTGAAAATGCTCATATTTTATTAAATGATTTAGTTTTAACTCCTCATAGCAATAATGAAGATAAAAGATTAGGATATGGTAAATCATATATTCCACCACCGCCATCAAAAGAATCACCAAAATCAAATCCACCAACACCACCAAAAGATGAAAAAAATCTAACAAAAAAAGATGATTCAAAACCAACTACACCAAAAGCATAGAAATAGCATAAAATTTAGCTTATAGAGACACTTTTAATGACATAATGACTGTAATATTATTTTATATTTTATTTTTTATTTTTTATTTTACTCTATTCATTTGATATTAAAGAACTTAAACCCAATATACCTAATAAACCATACTTAAAATAAACATTTTCAGTAATTAAAATAGTAATATAACCAACAAATGGTAAATAACCAATTACAGTACCAACTAAATCCGTTTTTGAATTTAAATATTGTTGTTTTTTTGAATATAAAGAAATATCATCAACTGCATTATTATCACCTTTTGTTAATAATAATTGTTTTTCAAAATTATGATGTTCTCTCATTACTCTATGAACAATTGGGATATTTTTACCTTCAATTTCATAAACAACAATATCACCAACTTTTTGTAAATTATTTCGATTCCATAAAAATAAAATATCACCTCTTTGAAAAGCAGGTTCCATTGAACCAGATAAAACCACAACTATTGGAGAATGAGAATTAGCTATTATTGATAAAGATTTCCATACTATAAAAGCTGATGTGAAAACATAAGCTAATGATAAAAATTGAGTCAATTGCTGACGAATATTCATAATTTATTTAATAGTTGATAATTTTCAATTCTTACGTGTTTTATTTAACAAAAAAAATTATCAACAAATATTTTGCAACTATTCAAACAAAACAAGATTATGAGTATTTGACAGTAATCAATGTGACTTATGACAGTATAAAGTAGTTTTTTGATATATGTTACGTGTATTGATATATTAGGCTTTTTACACGGGCGCAAGGCATCAATTTTAGAGAAGTTTAGTCAATTGAGCCCAATTTACTTCAAATCTTGGCTTAATAGTCAATATACTCTGGAATCTATACAACTCTATTCATTACGATACATATTATATACTTATATTGTATAAATGTGTTGTAAATTGGTTGGTATTTTCATATTTTTGTTTTTTGGTAGTACAAAAAAAATTTTATTTCTGTCTCCATAAAAAATATTAACAAGAGTCAATTTAATTCATAACAACATTTTGTTTAATTTAACCGACAACCAATTTATATTATATACTTATTTAGATCAAGTTTTAATTGTATAACCATCGATGAATAAATCATCAGTTGCTTCAGAGCAAAAATCATCACAACAACCTCAAAATTCCTCAGATCAAGAAATTAGCAAGGATCATCAATTACATCAACAACCCTCATTTATACCTCCAAAACGTATTAAATCATCTACAAATACTAATAAAAACGAACAATCTGCTCCTAAAATATTAACAAATAATATAACTTCAACTCAAGGTCAAAGACCTGCAATTAATCCATTAAATTTAACAAATTCATCTTCAACATCAAATACAAATACAAATATTCCACAAAATATACCTGTTAGAAATCAAAGTGTTTCATTTAATGATTCAGATCAAGAAAGATTAAGAAGATTTACAATTTCTGCTCAACCATCCTCTGCGAATATTAATGAACAAAATAAAGAAAATAATATTGAAGAACCACATTTATCTACTTCTAATGTACCATCAAGACAATCATCAGTAAAGAAAAGAATTCAATCTCCATCATCAAATTTTGATACATTAAATTTTATAGCTCAAAAATCAAATTTTCAGTCTCCACCACCATCTCAATTTCATAAAGATTCCTCACATTCTCCAATTTCATCAGATGGTATAAGAAAAGGTTTTAGTTTTGATTCAATAAATAATGAAGCTACTATTGATGCTGCTGCTTCACAGAGAATTACTAGTCCTAGTCCACCACCATTTAGTAAAGTTTCAGGTACAACATCAACAACTACATCTCCACAACAACAACCACATAATATACAACCTATTAAAATTACAGGTACAAATTCAAATAGTTCATCACGTAGAAGTTCAATTAAAAAATCAAATAAAACAATTGTTGCATCACCAGTTGGTCCACCAGTTCCATTTCAGCAATATTTATCAAAAGAAGATGATGGAAAATTTCATATTTTATTAGCATGTACTGGATCTGTTGCAACTATAAAAGTTCCATTAATTATTGATAAATTATTTCAAATTTTTGGTACAAATAAAATTTCAATTCAATTAGTAGTTACAAAATGTGCTAGTCATTTTTTAAGAGGTTCAAAATTACATAATGATGTTAAGATTTGGAGAGATGAAGATGAATGGGCAAATTATAACGAAAATAATAAAATTATGACAACAACAACTACAACAACTACAACAACAACTACAACTAATAATAATAATCTAACTGTTAATAAAAAACCGAAAAATCCTTACGATAATTTAATTTTACATAATGAATTAAGAAAATGGGCTGATATAATGTTAATTGCTCCATTATCTGCAAATACTTTAGCTAAAATTTCAAATGGAATTGCTGATAATTTATTAACTTCAATCATAAGATCTTGGGCACCACCATCAACTGTTAATACTCAACAAATTAAAAAACCAATAATGGTTGCACCTGCAATGAATACTTTTATGTATACTCATCCAATTACAGCAAAACAATTAAAAATAATTGGTAGTCCTGATTTTGGATTTGAAATTTTAAAACCAGTTGAGAAAGTATTAGTTTGTGGTGATATCGGTATGGGTGGTATGAGAGAATGGACTGATATTGTTGATATTTTAAGAAGAAAAATAATTGCATTAAAAGCAGAACAAAAAAGATTAGATGATGAAAATGAAGATATAAATGAAGAAGAAGAAGATGACGATGAGGAGAAAGATGAAGAAAATGATGATGATGATGAAGATGAAGATGAAGATGAAGATGAAGATGAAGATGACGATGATGATGATGATGATGATGATGATGATGATGACTACGATAATGATGATGATAATACTGATGAAATTAAACAAGATGAACAAAATTTTGAAAAAGATCCACAAGATGGAAATACCAATAATAATGATGATAATGAAGAAATGATTTTTGAAATAACTGATCAAGAACAAAGTGAAATAGATGAAGGTAATAATAAAGATCGTTCATTATCACCACAAGTATCACATCGTCAACAAAAAATTACAATACCTAAAGAAACTCAGAATATTATTTGATTATGATATATAATACTGAATATACCTACCTCTTAGCATACTTCTTTAATTAATGGAAATATGCTCTTATAATTTAAAATTTCTGGAAGCGTAACTCTGAAACAAGCTTGTATGCAGTCTCGCCATAGTCAATCTCAAAACTTAAATTGTAAATATCTCTTTCAAAGTCAAGCTTTTACCCTCTGACTTTTTTCGCAAAATGTTCAATAATACTAGAGTAAGCTGATGCTAATTTTGTTAAATAAAACAAAGTTTTGATTACTTTATTCCACATTTGAAAAACGAGAAAAAAACACCGATATTCGAGATAAAAGGTACTAAGACCTCGTTTAGCAACTTCTAATGTAGCTGATTTGGCTCATTCAATACCAAAGATTATTTGAATATTATTCTCGGGATGCTAAAATCATTTTTTGAAATTTTTGCAAAAATTTCGAATCACCTCTGGAAAATTACCTACTCAATTTTGAGTACCTTAACATAAAAAAATCCAAGGGTTATTAAAAAGCAGAACTAAAAAACTGGGTAGTTTCATAATGTTTTAGATTGATTACTCAATGTGGAATTAGATATTTTGTAAGGTTATTTTATCGGATTTTGACCATTCTTCAGAGAAATTTTTGAAATTTTTTAATTTTAACTTTAACAAGATAAATATATATCTAGTACCTTTATTTGAGGTATAATATATATAGCTCTTAGTTTAATTGAATGTTATGGTCCTAGATTTTTATACGTCAATTCTTATTTTCTGCAAAATTTTTGTATGACGAAAATAGGCCAAAACGACAACTCGAAAAAAAAACATTTGAAATTCAAAAATTAAAATATGTAAAGTATATGACTGAAAGCTACTGACTTCATATAACTGGCATCTATTTTGAGAAAATACGTTGTTCGTGGCATATAGGTCAATTTGTCTAGTAAGAGTCGCCCTACAGCGCGAGAAAATATTAGGTTACACCAGATTTTTCGCATTACAAAATTAGGCGCAAAAGCAAAAATTGCGCGTATTAGATCTGAGATCGGCTGCAAATCTATAGGTACGAGATCTGACACGAAAAGAAAATTAAGAATTGCTCGGATTAAAAAATAATTATAAAGGTCGTTACTTTTGGATAAACTTCGATTACGCATTAAGCACCCAAATCTTATTCAAAACAAATGGTTCTTTGTACTATTCTAACGAGATTCGTCAGCTCAATTTGAATTTGGTGGTTTTAAAATTACATCTTTTAATTTTCTTAACAAAGTTTGATTTCTATGCCGTTTTGGCATTACAAAATGCTGGTAGCTGCGCCTTTTATGCACATTTCAAAGCTCACATCATTGCCTTTGTCTATAAAACTCATAACTTCTGAAATTTGATCAGGTTGGTACTATACAAATTGGTTGTTGTTTTAGTTGAATAATTTGATTGTCCTACAATAAAAATATTGCATACCAATTTGTGCAGTCAAATGTAGTGAGCTACAAAATGATCAAACTTTCAGCTATAAATAGCATGCGAGGGCAATGCGAGGGCAAAGTTGGTAGTAGGACTCAATACGTGTCATTCTATGGATAAAGTAGTTATATTTTGTATATCTGATTTTATTCTAGTATAATTAAATCTAAATTTGATGCGTAGATGCTTTGGCGCAATCAAAAAATTTCTCGTGTCAATTTTAGGGCGACTTGTACTAAACTCTGGCTTTTATGTTATGAATAACCCATTTTCTCGAATTGAGTATCATTTTAATGAATTCAGATCCTTTGAATTATAAGCTCCACGTATATCAATTTTCAAAGTTCAAACATTTTTTTTTTGGGATGTCATTTTGGTCTTTTTTCACCATACACAGGTTTTTCTAAAAATGTAAATAATTCTGTCTTTTTATTTAGGCCCACAAACTTCAGTTAAACAACGGATTGTATGTAGTATACCTCAAGATAATATGTTGAACTTAATTCTAGTTGATGCAAATCAAAATTGAAAATTTTCCTTAACTATGGGGAAAACTGAATAAATTGACTTTACGAGAAGTGTACGTCCACATTCATTACTCAGATTAGAACAAGATAAAACTATCGCGATTTCTAGTTCCGAATTTTGGTTAACCCAAACACTTTGTGGTAAGGTATTTGAAATTGGAAAAGTAATTTTTCAAAGGTGATTCGAAAATTCTACGAAAATTTCAAAATGATTTTGGCACCTTGAAAGCATGATACATATAATAATCAGAGTCAAATAAACTGAACAAAGAATTTTCGAAGTTGGAATACGAGGATTTAGTATCATTTATGTTGCAAATTAGCGTTTTTTGCCATTTTTTAGATGTAGAATAAATCCACCAAAATTACTTTTCTCCAAGAAACTTTGCTGCCACTTTACTCTTATTGTTTTGATATTATAATTCAAAAACGTTTAAGAGAAACTCTTCCATTTTGATGGAGTTATTTGCAGATTTAGTTTTAAGAGAAACTATTAAAGGACTGCATATAAGCGATTTTTATCTGAATTATTTGTAAAAGTGTGAATTTTTCAATGGGATGATTTGGTGCGACAGAAACAACTTCGCGGTAGGTCCGAGTACTACCTGTTCGCTTAAATGTCTTCAATATGGAAGTAATACAGGCAACCGTTTTACTTGTCTAAATTGATATATGCTGTAAAATGACGTGAGAATGAGTATTGTCGAAACGACCTTTTTCCAATATGAGAGTTGGAGCTATTTCAAGTGCAAAAATTAAATCATTTCAACAACATCGCAAGAAACTGTGCATATTGTAAAACAGACTTAAATATAGCATGTAATTATATATCAAACTATACATTAACCAATTTCAATCACTCAGATTTAAAACTTGGATTATTGGTCTTGTCTTGGATTTGTCGTGTTAATATGCCGGACGATAACGGTGACCAAGATTCGTATTAAAATAAATTTCTTCCTATTGTTTAGTAGAAGATTAGGGCCAAGTTTGGCGCCAATAATTTCTTCGAAATAAAGTATAGAGATTAAGAATTTGTAAAGGTTCGTTTATGAAAAATTATAAAACAATATGGTTCCCAAGTAAGTATAAAAAAAAAGTTAATCCCAGTATATAAAAATAAAAAAAAAGTCAAACTCTAACAACATCTTCAAATTTTGTTTTTTGTTAACATTAATTTAGCAGTTCGATATAAGTATTAGTTGGAGTAGCAATTCCCTGGAACGCACACCATCCACCAACCAAAGAAACCAAACAACCAAACACACAACCTGCTTTAATTACGGATTCTTTATCAGCTAAATAACCAGCACCTTGTAATAAAAATGTAAAAAATATAAAAACAAATAATATAACAAATGATAATTCAGATTTTAATAAACATAATAACATTAAAAATGAAAATATAGCAAAACCCATAAAAAAGAACCCCACTGCAGATTTCATTTGTAATGGATCTTTAGTCATATAAGCAGTTGTAATTCCAAAAGATTCAATAAAAATAGCACCATAAGATAGATAAAATGAACCATAAGTAATCAAAGCAGTCATACCAAATGTATTACCACATACACCTTCCCAAATACCAGCAAGGAATTGCATTGTACCCGCATAAAAAATAGCTAATGAAATTGCAACATTTGGAATATGAATATTTTTTGCATTTAGTCCATATAGATTAAAAACTAATGAACTTACAGAAAATGAAGCAAGGCCTAAAGCAGCTGCATTACCAAATTTATGAGGATTTTGAGGATGTAAACCAGGTTCAAAAGTACCTGCAAATGCAGATAATAATTCATGACGATAATATTTTTTATTGTCAATTATAACAAATTCATTACCATCACCAGTTGTTTGAACTTTACCAATTGGAATAGAATCATTCTCTAAATTTTGAGAACAATAAACTTTAGAAACAATTGATTCAGATTCTGAAGCCATTGTAGATGTAGTGAATAATTGAAATATTAAAAAACAAGATAATTTCGGCTCTATTTATACAATTTAAATTAGATGTTCCACATGAAGAGATGTGAAGAACAAAAATCAAATTTAATAATTTATGGATAAAAGACAGTTATTGTTGATAAATTTAATTCGGGGTACTTGTTTATTCCAGTGAAATTGGTAGCATTCTGGTACTCGGAAATCTTTTTTTACGAGATAGTTCAAGATTTGCAAAATATAAAAATATATTGCTGCAAAAGGGATTAAATTGTCGCCGATGTTTTTGTGGCGGGTATCTTCATCTATAAGCCACGTAAAACGACGATTGTAAATTGATCAACGAATTGATCAACGAATTGATTTTGGTAACGTTGATCGAAAATTTGGATATACTGATCACAAATGAATATTAATGAATATTAGTAAATTGAATGTCAAACTTAAAATTAACAATGAACAACGCTGCAAGAAAATATAAAATAGAAGGGTGTCAATTTTGTGTATTCTATGTATGTGCCTTGACTATTTTCTAATTTAAAGCACCACAACTGTCAACATTTTAACCAAATTAAATGAGCAATTAATTTCAATTCTTGGCTTTTATACCACGATCATCAAGTATTGGTTGGATTAAATCTAAATGAATTAATTTCCTCTCCTCAACAAATTTATTAAAATCTAGATCTTCGTTAACAAATTGATCAAATATTTCTAAATTTCTAAATTGATAATGCATAGTTAAATTATAAAATAATGAATCAATCAAATCATCTAATTTATTCTTATTATCTAATTGTAAGTAATCCATTAATTGATTCTTCTTGCTTATATCTCCATTAAATCCAGGCAATTCAAACATATTCCTATTATACCAGTTCACGAATAACTCTTTTCTTATCTTTTTCGGATTCTTCAGTGTTTTGAAAGTTGATTCCTCAATATAATTATAAAACCAAAAATGCATCATCTTCTTCGGTTCCATTAACATAACAAAATTAGGATATAGGTTATTAAATATTAAATTTTCAAATGTGAAATTCTTAAGTATGATTGGTAATGTACCCATATTTGGACTTCCAGATGATCTAGTCCTTTGAGCTTCCATAATTACCAAATCTGAATTATTAAATTGTAAATCATTTATCATTTCCTTCGTTAAATGTATTAAGTATCTCTTATCATCAAATATTGAAGCTTTATTAATCTCAGGTTTAAAATTAATACCATATCTTTCATCTAAATTTAATTTATCCCATTTTTGAACAACAATTGGACCTGTCGAGCAAGGAATGCATTTTGACTTGCAATATGAAAAATGTTTAATACCGATATCAATTGATGATATTTCAAAATTGGCTTTGGGCTTGAAATGATTAAAATAAAACTGATAATTAGCAACTAAAGTTTCAATCCTACTTGATTTATTATTTGTCGGATTTTTCAAACTAGATGAACCACATAAAACATTTAAACTATTAATAGTAGGCAATGTAAATTTCTTTAATTTATTAATTAATTTATGTTGATTAAGTTGTTGCATCCATATTCCATATTCGAAATATTTTTTTTTGCTGAGGGAACTACCAATTGAAGGAAAATTATACGCGTATATTAGATAATATATTACATAAATTACTATCCAATTTAATCCACTTTAAGAAGCACTAAAATGACGAGACACGACTTTTACTCTATTTTTACTTCTTTTGTATAAATTATTTACATTCCATCAACAAAAGAATGAAAAAGGAAAGAAACAGAAAGAAACAGAAAGAAAGGAACAGAAAGAAACACAGAAGAAAAAAATTATAAAACAAGAAAAATTTTTATTAAGGCGGACTCAAAATTATTGATATGGGCCAGTTTTGTAATATTATTATACCAATTGAGAGATGTAATATAACGTTTCTATTTTGTCTATTTTGATAGATTACAATAAGGTTGATATTCTATTTGATGGAAAAATTATAGAGAGGCTATGTAGTAACAAATTGTAAATTAAGCACATATTCATATGTTTTCAATGTTTCTAAAAATAACTTTCGTCTTTTTCAAGTTTTTACTATTATACTATTTTTGATTATATAATTGATATTTAACCCATTTAACTGAAATACGATAGAAAAAACAATCTCGATTATAAATAAAACACGATAATTAATCAGTTTGAATGAGGAACGAAGATTGTAAAATTTAGTCAAAACTTAAAATAAAAGCCACGATGGATTAAAATTTTCAAAAAATAATATGTGATGAAACATTTCTAATACGTTAAATAATAATTGAAACCAAGAATATGTAAGATAGTTAGATTAGTGAAAAATGTGGAATGAAAATTCAACTATATTGAACCACGTTCTTTAACCTTTTGACGATAATTATTGAAAATAATGTAGTACTTTTTCCCCTATTTGATTGAAAAGGCATTGCAGATTAGTCTATGTGATCATCAGTGTCACTCTCAAGTACGAATCTAAACTTGAGATATAGTACACCATTATAAACCTTAGCAACCTTAGAGATATTGGCTACTAACCAAAAGTTAAATTTCAATTTTGGTTAGATATAAAATGTTTGGGACCTGTATATAATCATTTCTTGGGACCAAATATGTTGAAAAAGTTTAAAATTGTTATCATCATTTATGTAATCTTAGTGGGTTTGATTACATAATAAACCCTAATTTAAAAATTTGTAAATATTGAGAAAAAATTTTGCATCTTTTTAAATTTGATTAAGAATTTTAATATAAATAGACAACCTATTTCTTCTGTAAAATTTTTTTTACTTTTCCTTCTTTTTACTCACACATTCACATTCTTTTATAATTATAATGCAATTCAAAACTTTCATCATTGCTTTAACTGCTACCACTTCATTTGTTTTAGCTGATAATCATACTACTAATGCTACTACTGCAGTAAATGCAACAAATGGTACTTCAACAACTACTTCAGAAGGTGCTGGTAATATTCAATATGCTTCTGCTGGCGCTGCTGGTGCCTTAGCTGCTGGTATAGTTGCTTTAATGTTTTAGAGAGACAAAGAAAGATTGAATATTTGGAAGTTTGTACTTTAGTTTTTTTTGTATTACTGATTTTTTAAATTTAAGTTATTTGTTTTATTTTACTCATTTAATTTTACTTATTGTTAATAAAGTTTCGATTTATATAAATCAAATGGTTGTTTTATAAAGTTACTTGTTTTTATTTGCTTTAATATAAATTTAGTTTTATTTACTGATTAATGTAGAATTACTAATTATTTAATAAGGTACCATTTTTTCGCCGCGCGCAAAATTACACGACTATTGAAATATAATAGACGCTTGACATAATATACTAAAAGCAATAGCTCAATAAGTCTAAAAGTATGTTTTTATGTAGCTGATCAATAATATCCGGTTAAATTGTATTAATTTTTCTGTCCCTGGCGCATCAACTAAAATTTTCTCTCCACTAACAGAGAATTACTTTAAATATTAATTTATTTATTATTGAAGTACGTGATCATTAGTCATGATTCTATTTACATTTATCTAGCTGAGTGTTGCATCCTTACTTTAAACTTAGCTTACTTGCTACTTGACAGCAACCTGACAACCTCCTTACTTTAAACTTAGCTTACTTGCTGCAACCTGACAACCTCCTTACTTTGGTTTTGCCATTGGACCCCAATTCTTTGTTGGATTTTCTTGATATCTAACCATTTTAACACTTCTCAATTTTTGAATTTTTTTATTTACTTTATTATCAGTTTCGAAATCAATCTTTATTTTTAAATCTTCTTCAGGTAAGTATTTAAAATTTGACATTATTCTACCACCAGGAGAACTTGGCTTCAAATTAGCATTATATAATAGATCTTTTTTTAAATTTTCTAATTTGATTTTCTTATTTTCTTTTAATTCTTCTTTCTTTGATTCTTCTTCTAGTTCTTTTAATAGTTTTTCATTTTGATTAATTACCCATTGTCTACTAATTAATAAATTAATCTTCCATGGTGCATTTGTCTTTACACAATTTTTTCTAGCATGAGTTAAACTTACATCATAATTTAAATTCCCAATAGCTTTACAATAAGAATCTATTGAAATTGGAGGTGATTTAAGTAATGAATTTAATGAATTTAAATTGAAAAAAAATGGAGTGGTTAATTCAGATTTAGCTAGTGTTAACATACCTTTAATTCTTTCTGAAGTTTTATAAATTTCCTTATCTGATCCTTCATTAATTTCTAAAATTTTATTTATAAATTGATTATCATGTAGATTTCCACCATACATTGGACCTGCAATATTATAAGAATTATTACAAAATTCACAACTTGAAGTAATTGGTTGTAATTTTGGATATGTGAATTTTGATTTATTCTCACCTTTGGTTCTGATACCTAATGGTTGTAATATTTTGTTTCCACATCCATTACATCCAAAAGTTATCATTGTTTCAGAAGCTAAATTCTTAACTTTAATTGGTGATGTTTTAACTCTGATGAATATTCTAAAATAATAATCTATTGATAAACTTAATAATGGTTCAATTGATTTTTTATACCTTGCGGCTGTATTTGCAATTAAGTTCAACATTAGTCTAATTCCAACTTCATGATTACATTCAGAATTAATATAAGAATTTCCAAAATTATTACCACCATATAATGCAAAACATTTTTCATGATATCCAGCACCAGCTAAAACCGCAGCATCAGTACAAGTAACTAAAAGGATACCATCTTCTTCAATTGCTTGAATTGCAGAATCAATAAATGGAGTAGCAGTACCATATGGATCTAAATCGATAATGTGGAATTTTTCCTTTGTGGATGACATGTACTTAATAGCATCTGATTCATTTGCAACAACTTTAGACTCAAGATTATTATGTTTTATATTTCGATTTATATCAATAACGGCCTCTTTTGACATATCATTAGCTACAATTTTATCAACATTGTCAATTTCTAAACCATATCGACATGAACGTAAACCAGAAGCAGATAAAGCTTCTAATATTTTTAAACTTGGTAATTTTCTTCTTTTAACATTTTTACTTTGTCTTAATTCATCATATGCTTTAATTGCCATAATTGATAAATCTCTATTAAATTGTTGTATTGGATTATAGAATACTTCATCTTTCTTTGGTGTTAATATAATAGCTTTACCTTCTTGAGCAGTATTGAATTCTTCAATTGACACGGCCATTTTAAATAATCTTGATGCAAATCTTTTTATCATAATTTTTTTTTTCACCAGAACAATAATAATGGCTGATAATAGTATACAATATTATGAAGAAGTTACTGAAATTGATGAGATAGAGTTATTAGATTCTGATGAGGATTATACTAGTGATGATTATGATGATGATTATGATCAACAATTATTATCTGCTCAACAACAATGGGATGAAAGTATGAAACAAATTCAATCTTTATTAAGTTTTGTTGTATTTCCATTAATTGGTAAATTATTAGGTAGAAGATTTAGTAAGATTATATGGAGAAGAGTGGCTAATTGGATATGGAGGTAGTCAATTGCATGCTAATATTATATTTTGAATTGATTGTAATTTAAAGAAAAAAAAACATGGTTTGAAAGGGCACCAATTTGAAATGGTTTACTGTAGCTGTTGATTCTAAGGTTATAATTGCTGCTGTAGCTTAAATCTAGGAAATTAGGCTGATTGGGTGTGTGCTGATTGAATACTGTTCATTTTTCAATTTAGGATAATCACCGCAGGGCGTTTTTAACTAGGAATTACGATTTAACATAGACAAATAAGATAAAGAGAATGAGCTAATACGGAAGATGGACTAAATTTCATATAAGCTGGTCTGACAGAAGGTGTTCAGAACAGAATGTCCTGGTAACAATATAATCCACTCAAATTTTAAATAATAGAGTTACAAGCAAATAAATAGAGCTAATACATTTACATAATGTTCCCTCATATATATTAATTCATTGTAGATTATTAATCAACTTATTAAACTCATTACTTATCTCACCTTCAACCAATTCTTTATAGATTAAAATTATAAAAGGTTGAATAATACCAATACTCAATCTATCCAATATTCGATTTATGATTTTTAAATATTCATCATTAGTTAAACTTGAATTACCAGAATTTAAACTATTAGATGAGAAGATTGAACTCAGTTCATCAATATCTTTATTACTCAAATAATCATCATTAATTAAATTACACTGCAAAATCTTATAAATTTCAATAAACAACTTAAATATAATTTTGTAAATAAATAAATTATCTAAATTAATATTAATCTCTAGCTTTTCAATCAATAATTGTTTTGAGTTTAGTTTTATTGGAGATACATTTGAGTTATTACTAATTATACGATGTGGAGTACCTCCAGAAACAACAGAGTCTCTATTATTCTCAGTTATTTCACTTCCAATGTCGAAATTTTTCAATATTTGGAATAAATTCTTTACGAATCTGATTTGATATGTTTGTAAAATAGGTAGATCTACTATTTTATTATTATTTTTAAGAAACTGTTTTTGTTGTTGATTTTGTAATTTATGTTGTTCTGATTCGTTATTCATTGTTTTAATTAGATTTCCTAATGAAATACCCAATTTTAATAATTTATCACTATCAATGGGGAATTTACTTGTATAATCATTTAATTTAATTAATTGACTATGATTTAACTTATACACTTTAAGGAAATGACTAGTAGAATTTGAATTGAATGGCACTGAGTCTATTAAATCTTGTAAATATATTATTTCATCTTGTATTATAGAATTCATTATATCAACTGGTTATATATTTTTTTTTCTTTTGTTGATAATTGATGATATTTAAATTTATATTACTATTAACTATAATATGTACTATACTAGCTATTATTATACTATTTGGTGATTCACCAAGTTTAAGAAATACTATTATACAGAAATTTAGAATAAGACTACTACAATTGTCTGGTAAATTATTCACTGGTTATGAAAAACTAGATAAGAGATTGGATGGAAGGTTACTTTATTATTTGAATTGGTTGGTACCCATTGGTTATATCATTGTCATTACTACTTGTTTTCATTTCTTCTTTATGTTTAGTTATCCATTACTTGATCCAAGTTATTTGACTCAATTTGCTATATTTTCAATCATTTTATCAGTTTACATTTCTACATTTTTAACTATTTTTACCAACCCAGGAGAAACAAAAGATGAAAAATTAATGAAAACTTATCCTTATCATCCTAATAGTCTTATATTTTTTAATGGTCAAGTATGTCATACTTGTAATTTAGTCAAACCAGCACGTTCAAAACATTGTTCAGTTTGTAATTCATGTTTTTTATTATTTGATCATCATTGTATCTGGGTAAACAATTGCATTGGATTAAGAAATTATAAATTTTTCCTAATGTTTTTATTTACCAACATTGCAATGTTAACATATGGAGGTTATATATGTTTTAATATATTATATTCACAAACTAGTATCAGTCATTTTTGGAATTTGATAACTAGAACAGATGAAGCTAATAAAGTGACTGGTACTTTTTTATTACTTTGTTGCATATTTACATTACTTGCTTCTGCATTCACTATTTTAAATTTAAGGTATATCTATCTTGGAGTAACAACTAATGAAGTTTCAAAATGGGAAAATATAAATTATTTAATTGATTTAGGATTATTAAATAAGATTAGTCGATCGATTGATAATGAGCAATATGCTGAGGAGTTTAATTTGAAAGGGGAGATTATATATATTAGTTTAAAAGATGATAGAATATTAATTGATAAGAATAATCGACATGAGTATGATATACAGAAAGTTGAGTCTATTGAAGAGATTGATAATGTTTATGATAATGGATTTTGGAATAATTTAAAAGAGAGGATATTTATATAGACAATTTGATGAACAATACACACGCATCAATGGTCATTTTTTTGGCTAAACACCTAAACACCTAAACACCTAGACAACAGCAGCACTCTGAAGCATGAAAAGAAATTATAGAATCAGAAAAAAATCAGAAAACTCTAGGAATCAAACTGCAAATAATTTTGAATGGATTAAGCCCTTCCTAATGCTTTTATTTGAAAGTTTTAAAAATTGGTGTTTCAATAATATAACCACTTCGTTTTAAACTAGATCCCAATTTTTTAAAAGTGAGTAGAAAAATAAATTGTAGGGAAACAAGTAAAGATGCGAAAACGTAAGGATGAAATAGAGTAATTTGAAATTTTACTCCGTATTTAGTAAGTATCCTTCAAATGAATCAACTTTGAGCAGTAATAAATCAAGTAATATGTGTATCTAATATAAAACAATGAGTAGGACTCTTCTGGAGATCTGGAGACCATTTGTCGTTTATGGAAGTTTGGAATGTATATGACGTAAATTGATTAAAAAAAAAAACGCTACCCCTTAAAAAGAAAACCACCCCTTAAAAAGTTAGCCTTTAATTTCAAAAAAAAAGAATTCAGAATGTAGGTTCAGCACATAGATAATATGTTTCGGTAAATTGTGGTCAAGCATGAAGCTATAAGGATACTTTATCAAAATATCTACTGATCATTTTAAATCAATCCTACCTTACTTAATAGAGAGATCTAGGCTGATTTTACTTCAACGAGCTCAATTCGATTATTTTCAACTTATTGTCAACTCAATTCGATTATTTTCAACTTATTGTCAGCTCAATTCGATTACTTTCAACTTATTGTCAGCTCAATTAATGAGAAGATTATGAAGTATTTTCGTATGATCATTCAGCTTATGCTAGTATTTCAGAATAGGAGTATAGCCAAACCTTAATTTTACTTTTATGTTCCAGTGGTTCGAATATATTTTGGCATGGGCCACACCCACACTGTATTGGCTTAATAAATAACATAATTCCATTAAATATCTTATTTAATTGATTAATTTCACTTAATTTCACTAATAGTTTAAGCCTTTGGACATTATTAATAGAATAACATAACTCAATTGTTCATAGTATCAACCTTATTTCTTCAAAAGTCTAAACCAATGAATGGAAAAAAGTGACAATATATTGAATATGTATAAATATTACACAAAAAAAAATAAAAAAAAAAATAAAAAAAAAAAATTTCACTTATCAATAAAATTTCAATATTAACCAAAACGAGATACAATATTTTTGACAGCCAATTTTCTACTCCAATTAGATTTATTCGTTACCATAAGAAATCATAAATTAATGTTACATTATGAGTGTCGAAAATAGTCCTTCAAATCTGATTAGTGATAAATCTATCTCTAATAAAAATAATCATAATAATAATAATAATAATAATAATAATAATAATCATAATAATAATCATAATAATGATATCAATCATATCAATCGTATCAATCAAAATAACGAAATACCTCATGATTTATCAAATAATTGGTTTCTAAGTGATTTATATAATTTTAATGTGCTACCTAATCAAGAACGATATACTCCGATCAATTCAAATAATACTCCTCAACCTGCTCCATCAATTTATAATCAACAATTACATAGTCATTCTCCGATTCAACATTCACCATTATCACAATCTCAACATCCATTAAACCAGAACTTACCTTCTAATCTACTACAGTCTACTCAATTACCACCACAACAATTACAATCACAATCACAATCACAATCACTAGCTAAAACAAAACAAAAACGTCCTTGCGATCAATGTAGAAGGAGGAAAACTAAATGCGTTTTAGTTCCCAATTCAAATAATTGTGTTAGTTGTGAAACTAAACAAACTATATGTACATTTACATCACAAGCATTAAAAAGGAAACCAATAGAAATGGAAAATGATCAATTAAAAAAGAATAAAACTGATTTTTCATCGCATTTATTACCTAATGAATCAATTCAAGTTCCTGATGTACCTATACGAGATGTTCAACCGATACAAGATTATTCATCAATAAATAATTCATTACTTAAAAAGACTTTACTGTTGCAATTTCCACGATCGAGTTTTTATATTGGTCCAACTTCATATTTATATGATATAAATTTATTAGATTTAATAATAGATAATCAAAATAAAAATATAACAAATAATAATAAGATAGAACAAGTAAGTCTAAGTGATTCAATATCTTTAAGAAAAGTTTCTGAAACTACTCAATTTGTTTTAAAAGATGATCAATCTCCACAATCTTATCAGACTATGTCAAATGATGTAGATACAATTGAAAAATTTGTTTCTCCACATGGTCAAATTTTGATAGACCTATATTTTAGAATTATTCATCCATCATATCCCATTTTACATAAAAAAGTATTTCTCGAAAAATATTCAAGAACTCATAGAGAATTTAGTGCTCCTTTATTAGCTGCTGTATATGTATTAGCTATTCAATGGTGGGATTATGATCCACAATTAAATAGATTCCCTAAACCAAATGTCGAATTAATTTTAAAAATTGGTTTAAATAACTATTTATTAGAAATTTTAAAAAGACCAAAATTAAGTGCTGTTCAAGCTGGTTTATTATTATTACAAAGAAAGCATATTACAAATTATAAAAATATAAATGGAAGTTTACAAAAACAAATTCAAGATGGAGATACTGAATATTCAGATTGGGTGTTATGTTCACAAGTTGTTTCATTATCTGAAGAATTAGGTTTAGGGCTTGATTGTAATAATTGGAAATTACCAAAGTGGGAAAGGGGATTAAGGAAACGATTAGCATGGGCTGTATATATGGAAGATAAATGGTTATCATTAAATAATTCTCGACCATCACATATAAATGAAGATAATTGGATAGTTCAACCTTTACAATCTGAAGATTTTCCTGAAAAACATGGTGATGGAGATTTAAAAGAAGGTTCATCAGATATAGATAATGGGAAAAAAATATTTATAAACTTAATTGAATTATCAAAAATACTTTCAGATATTTTAAAATCTTTTTATTCAATGAAAGCAATGAATGAAATTATTGAAGTTGATGATGTTTTAAAAATTGCAAAACCTTTACAATTAAGATTAAGAAATTGGTTTCATTCATTACCGGTAGAATTACAAATGTCATCTGTTCAACCAAGAAAATTATGTTCAAATGGATATTTACAATTGGCTTATTTTGCAACTGAATTAACATTACATAGAAAAATAATAACGATCATATATCAACAAACAAAATTGGGCAATCAACCATCAAATGAATTAATAAATGTATGTAGAGCAGCTGCAAAGACAAGATTAATGGCACTGATTGAATTTGTAAGAGATTTAAAACCAGAACATATTCATTCATTTTGGCATTCATCATCAAGTTCAAATTTTACATTAATTGGAACATTTGCTGCTATTTTATTTATGTCATCACCAACAAAAGAAGAAACTGATTTTTATAGAGATCAAATTTTCAATTATCGTTGGGTTTTGAAAATTTCATCAAAGGGATTTGATCAAGTTGCAGAAGCCTTAGTACAGTTAGATTTAGTATTAGCTAATGTACCTGGATTATTAAATGATAATGTTGATTTACCAATGGTTACACCAAACGTACCTGATCAAAAATCACCTTATTCACCATTTTATCAACAAGTAAATAATAATCATTCACCAGATGGTATATCACCAAAAGAGAAAAAGACAACGGAATCTCCATCTAAATAAAATATATTTTGAATATTTGTTGTATACTTTTTAATATTTGTTGTATACATTTTAATATTTGTTGTATTATACAAGTACTTTTTGCATCCTTACATGCATCCTGACCTAGTCAAATGGAATTAAAAAACTTTCAGCTATAACTCTTGCTCTTGCATTTAAAAATAATTTCATCTCACTAATTTCTTTATCTACATCTTCCATAAATTCAATTATAAAATCAACCAATTTATCCTTCAACATTTGTTCAGTATGAAAATTAGTAATTAAAAAAGATATATCATAACCTTTTATAGGAACTCTTCTTAATATAAAGAAATTTTCAGCTCTTGAAGTTAAAAATCTTGTAAATTTATGAACTAAAATTTGTTCAATTTCATCAGCTTGTTTAATTTTTATACTTATACGAATTGAATTTATTGAAGTTTCAATAAGAATAGATTCATTTTCATTTCTTGATATAATCATGGGATTTAATATTAATTCGGGGTTGTGAGTATTTGAAACTTCAATTTCTGGACGATTATGTCTTTCGACTAATTGTGATGAAAAATCTTGTAAACATATAGCAGCAGTTAATGATGATCTTACGGCAGTTAAATACGGTTTTAATGATTGTGACTGGAAATTGTTAGTAATAAACAATTGATATTTTGTTCGTTACTTACCATTGATTTGGTTAGTGTTGAAATATTAGGAATTAGAGGAAAAATGAATTATCAACATTTGGTATACATTACACGACTTAGTAATTTAGTGAAGTTTTCAGTTTCTTGGTGTCATTGGTATCAATTGGGTCTTCTAATGGACGTTTCTTTGACTCTGATGCTGGATTTTTACTTATATCTAAGAATAATTCTAATGGTGTTGAACCCGATCTACCGCATAATTCAATAAATGCATCTTCATTCTCAATCTTAGGTAGTATATCTTTAAATTCGGTATCTATAGTAATCTCCAATGCTCCTAGTAACTTTTTAAACTTTGCTCTGGCAATTCTATCGAATGTATAATTTTGTTTCATTAAATTTGTAATTTTTGAATTTAAATTCTTGATTAAATTAGGATATAATTCAGATTCATATAGTTTGAGTATGTCCAATTTTGTAAGTATGTTGAAATGATGATTGCTTTTAAATCTTGAATCGTTAATCAAATGATTATAAAATAATTCCCATGTTTTCGAATTCATCACCAAATTTGAATTATTGTTTAAATAGTTTTTCAATTCAGTTAATGCTTGATCTTTTTTGGTTCTTATCATTTCCTGATTATCTTGTTTCAATTTATCAGTATACTCATAATATAATCCAGCTAATTCCAAATCTGACATCATTGAAGTTTTGAAAATTGGATTTTCTTCCTCGATTAATATTTTCTTAATTGTTATCCATCGAGTATCTTGATTTAAACTACCTCTAGATTTTAAATTCTCTAATTGGGTAGTAAAATTCTTTTTAAAAGTTTCTATTAATAATGATTTATTTGATAACTCTTCTTGAAATTTCGTTATTAGGTACTCTTCATATAATTGTTTACGTCTTATTGAACTTTTTATACTCCAATAATCAGGTTTATCAATGAAAGTTTCCATCACTTTTTGAAATGACCATGTGGAATCAACATTATTATCTTTTAATAATTTCAAAAAATCTTCACCGGATCCATCATCTTTAATGTCCTTCATTAGACCATTCACTATCACTGGTTTATCCTTTAGCTGTTTCTCTATCTCACTTTCTACCTCTTTTGGTTTCTCTTGAGTCTCTTGTTCTTCTAATTCTTTTGGTTTATCCCAGGTTGTTTCACCAGTTGATTCATTATAATAATATTTTTGACCATCTGCAGTTTCATATTCCTCCCATTTAGATTCAACAACTTCTTTTGGTTTTATAGTTGCTCCTTCTGGTAATATCCACCTTGTCTCATTTGTCTCTGAATTGTAATAATATGTTTCATTATCTTCAGTTTTCAACTCTTCCCACATTATTATTGAATTAAGTTATGCGCAGGAAAAATTAAAATTGAAAATCTGAAACATTTGTTAGAGAAAATTTTAAAGAATTCAGTAGATTCCTTTAGGAATTTAAAAATGTGTTAGTTGGTTAACAAATGATAGACTGTCATCTGATAGACCATATTTTTCAATATACAACTTTATATTTAGCAATTAGACGTTAGACATTGTATCACGGTCTTCTCAACTTTTACAAAATTCGAAAAATTTTGGTATATTTTGGGTGCAAAATGTGAATAATTTCCCAAAAAGTAGAATTATAATACGTGAGTAGTTTCTAATTACACGCTGCAGCCCAAAAACACTTCTTAGAATTAACTGAGCTCAATTAATCAAGTATAGCTTTCAAATAAACAGTGCTATATGCATTTTAGCAGCGGATTTGAATTTCTATTTAGGTGACCTTTACGAATGGGTAAAGAATAAGCCGACCTCGTATAATTGGATAAAATCTTAATAATCTTATTCAAAAGTATGAGACTAGTAGATAAAGGCGGATTACAGTTCGAAAGGAATTTTTTATTAGTGATCTTATTGTTGAACTCTAACCAATAATTCATCTCTTCCCCAGTCAAATAAAAACGCCGTACATTATCAAATATCATGATTAATTTTAGATTTGAATAACTCATTCCAATGAAAAATTATCCATTAATCAAGATCTTATCGGTTATAGAGATCTGTTGTTGATTAACCAAGTGACGCAATAAAACATAATATAAACACTGATTAATCTAAACTTTATTGTTAGAGAATTGAATTATTGTTACATTCATAGATCGGTAATAATTTAGTAATAATTGCTGATCGATTGCAAGAAATTTTTTTTTTAGTTATGGTTTGTATACCCCTTAACTCAACAAAATATTCCCTTCCCCACCAATTCGAAGCGTTAACAAAAGAAAATTCGGATGAGAATTTGTTCTGATTCCGAGTCAAAATCTCTATTACGACATTCCAATAAGGTACACGATTTCAGATTTCCAGATTATCCGAACTGAAATGAGTTGGTAATCAAAGTTTACCTATTTCATTCTCTATGGTTACAATATTTAGGCTCAATGTCACTTGTTAGAGTTAGTTAAATATGTTTGCTGCTTGTTTATTCGACTTTGACTTTGTCAGATTGAGAAAGATTATTTTAGTTTATTGTCTTGTAATCGTCTATAAAAAATCCATAAATCATTCTGCTATATAATATCCGGGGACAGTAATATTCAGTACGCCTGTAATTACTCCATCTCGTCTTCTTTTATCCAATCAATGATGGAATTTGAAAAATTTGATATTTCAAAATTACGAGCTCTGAAATGATCCCCCACGCCCGGAAAAATTAAAAAAAATAAAATAACTAAAATTTTTCTTGTTGTTATTTCAAGTGAGTCTAACCATGAAATATAGTTCAAAACCTATTAATGAAAAGGATAGTTTAAACTTTTCCTTGGCTTGAATTCTCTCAAGTCAAATGTAAATTTTCTCTTCTCTACAGCCTCAAAATTGACAGTCAAGCAAATTGAATATTTGCTTGGAAGATCTCTTTCTCGTATAATTTTTCCATCAACGAGATTAAAGAATCCGCGATCATTTCTTTATTTTGCAGCAATTCCAATGGCATAAATTGCTATAGTAACAAAATCAGTAACTTCATACGAAGAATATTTAGATACTGTACCCCACCTCCAGAGCATGTAATCTTTGCTAAAGTTCATAACGGTGAAAAGTTTTTATTATCCTCCACGAATTAATAATGACACAAAATTAGTAATTTTTTTTTTTTTTTTTTTTTTTCGTTTTGCTGCGAAAAACTAAACCTGAAACAATGAAATTCAAAAGATATAAATACTGAAATTTTGCAGCTTTAAAATTTTTTGTAAGATCATTTTTAATAATAAAATAATGTCAAAAGCTACTACTTCACATTTAGAGAAATCTGAAATATCTCATATTGAAAATGAAGATAGAAGTTTAACAGATTTGAAACAATCAGAATCAGAATTTGCATTTTCAAATGAAGTCGAAGATGAATATGCTAATTTACCTGAATCATTACAAGGTTTAACTCCAGAAGAATTAACAAAATTAGAAAAAAAAACTACTAGAAAGATAGATATTAGATTAATGCCAATGTTAATTTATATTTATATTTTAAATTACTTGGATAGAAATAATATTGCAAGTGCAAGATTAGCTGGTTTAGAAAAAGATATTGGTTTGGTTGGTAATCAATATCAAACATGTATTTCTGTTTTATTTGCTGGTTATATCTTGTTTCAAGTTCCTTCAAATATGTTGTTGAATAAATTAGGTCGTCCTTCAATTTATATCACTGTTGTTATGACTATTTGGGGTGTTTTATCTACTTGTACCGGTGCTGTTCAAAGTTATGGTGGTTTATTAGCTATTAGAATCCTTTTAGGTGTTGTCGAATCCGTATGTTAAGCATAAATTAAATTTTTTCAAAATTTCAAATTAATTAATATTGAAGAGTTCCTTCGATACAGATTGATTTGAATACATCAAAGACATTGTACTAACAAAAGCTATGCGTTTTTTCCTGGGGCTTTGCTCATATTAAGTAATTGGTATGATAAGAAGACATTGGCATCCAGAAATTCAATTTTATATGCTGGAAGTTTGATCAGTTCAGCTTTTAGTGGTTTGATCGCAGCAGGTATTTTGAAAATTCCAGGTTTAAAAGGACAATCATGGAGATGGTTATTCATCGTTGAAGGTGGTTTAACTGTTGCTTCTGTTCCATTTGCTTATTTTGTGTTACCAGATAATCCATCAAACACCAAGTTTTTATCACAACAAGAAAAAGATATCATAATGTGGAAAATGAGTAAAGACGTTGGTGTTAAAGACTCAGATCAAGTTAATGAAGAATCTGATTTGCAAGGTTTCTTTAGTGCTTGTAAAGATATTAAAGTTTGGATTCTTTGTGGTACTCATTCATGGTTAGTTGCAGCTTGTGGTGTTACTAATTTCTTCCCAACTGTCGTTGAAACATTAAACTTTTCGAGAACTATAACATTAGTTTTAACTGCTCCTCCTTATCTTATTGCTGTTGTTGCTACTTTCTTATGGGCCAGACATGCAGATAAATCAGGTGAAAGAATGTTACACGTTGTTATTCCATTAATATTATCGTTAGTCTCATTTATTATTGCTGCTTGTACTTTAAACACTGGTGCTAGATACTTTGCAATGTGTTTAATGGTTCCATCATTATATTGTGCTTTCGTTGTCATTCTTACTTGGATTTCAAATACTGTTCCAAGACCACCAGCTAAAAGAGCAGCAGCAATTGCTATTGTTAATTGTTTGTCAAACTCAACATCAATTTGGAATGCTTATTTATATCCTTCTGGTGATGGTCCACGTTATATGATTGCATTCATTTGTAATTGTGTTTTCATTGCATTAGCTATTGCATTTGCATTGGGATTAGCTGTTAGATTAAGAATATTAAATAAGAAGATTGATAATGGTTCATTGAATTGGGAAAGAGAATTTGGTAAAGGTTTTGATGCATCTAAAATTAATGCTGATTTTAGATTCTTACATTAAACAACTGGTTTGTTTGTATGTATTATCATGTAGTAACGAATAGACGAATTTATGTTTCATTTGACTAATTAGATCTCTTATTTTAGTCAAAGGGTTTTTAAGATTAATACAACAAGATGGAATATAGTCGTGCGCATTTTACAATGCGACGAGTAGGTGCCACAAAATTATTTTTTCGCTCCAGTTTTAAGGCGACTCGTATTAAATGATTCGGCCTATAAATTATGTACAACGCATTTTCTGAAGATCTAGACCAGCTTTATCAGATCAAGAGCCTTGAACTATATTATCTTTATATGTATGTCAAAACTTACGAGTAAATTGGCCTTTTTTTTGGGTTTTTGGCCATTTTTCATTATACAAAATTTTCATCAACAATGAGAATGCTATTATTGTTCGATTTAACACCACAAAGATTATAACGAATGTATCTAGCATGTTCTTAAACTATCCAAGATAACTTATTTTTCATCAATATGAATAAGGATTAATTGAACCCAATATCAATTTTGATTGGCCAGACCTCCTACAAATTACCTCTTAAAATTAAATTTTACTTTTTACTTTTAGAGATTATTCCTAATATTCTAATTCTGTACGTATATTTCACGATTAAGGCTACGTAGTTTATCCAACATTACAAAGGTAGAAATGCACTGCCGCATTGTTTACAGTGATAAATAATCTACCGCAATAATAAAGGAGGAAAATTAAAATGTTAAATAAAAGAGGTTTTCAGTTGAGAAAAACGTTTTATTGGATAATTAGATTTCCCTAGCCATATATGAACGCCGCGTTATTCAGCACAATAATAAACCTTAAATCAGATTATTATAATAAAATAGGAAAATCATCCGGAGAAAGTTCCATTTTTTTCTTGCCATCAAGGCAATTTCAAAAAATAGCCTATACAAAACTTGGAATCTAGTTTTTTCCTTGGCTTAGTGTCGTATAGTGAATATAAACGTTTATTCATCGACAGTCACTTGAGATTTAAATTTCACTGGTTAGATCTCTGCCTTGAATAATTTGTCCGTCGCCAAAAATTGGTTCTTCTCCGTGGACAATATTTTTTTGCAACCAAGATAAATTTATATACAGGAGGCGGAACATTCCATGTAATTATTATTATTTGAGTCAACAAGCAATGATGAAAAATTATGATATCGTCATTAGAGCTAATTCATGACTAAAGTATGTATTAACAAAAACGTAACTTAATTTGATCCTTTCCAAACTTTGGATGGTTGTGATTTTTCTTGATTTTTTCTTGAATTTTTAGTAATATATTCACCAACTAAATTTTTTGTTGAATTGTTTATTTAAACATACTGAACCTTAGTTTATAAGAGCAAAATAGTAGATAAATGTCGATACATTAGATTTCGTAGGCTCGGGACTATACAGAGAGTTATAATATACATAAACTAATGTCTATACTCGTGCTATTGATCTCTTCATCAGTAAGGTACTTCGTCGAATCGTAAGGCAGAAGCACAATCTACGAGTTCTTTTAGATATTCTACCCCACCTTGGAGTTTAATTAAACTTTTCTGAAACCTAATACGAAGAAAAATATCAAATGAATTAAGAATAATTCGTGACACAAAGTTTAATAATTTTCTATTTTGTTGTTTTATGGTTGGTTGCAAAAAATCCGATACAATGAAATTCAAATCTGGAGTATAAATACAGCGACTTTATATCTATGAATTTGTATAATTAACTAAAAGAATGTCAAAGGATACTATTTCACAATTAGAGAAAGCAGAAATTTCTCATATTGATAATGAAGATAAGAGTTTACATGATTTAAAACAATCAGATTCAGAATCAAATGCTGAAGATGAATATGCTAATTTACCGGAATCATTACAAGGTTTAACTCCAGAAGAATTACAAAAATTGGATAAGAAAGTTACTAGAAAGATAGATCTTAGATTAATGCCAATGTTAATTTACATTTACATTTTAAATTATTTAGATAGGAATAATATCGCAAGTGCTAGATTAGGTGGATTAGAAGAAGATCTTGGATTGACTGGTAGTCAATATCAAACATGTATTTCAATTCTATTTGTTGGTTATATTTTGTTTCAAGTTCCTTCAAATATGTTATTAAATAAATTTGGTCGTCCTTCAATTTATATATCGGTTGCAATGACTATTTGGGGTGCATTGTCAACTATAACCGGTGCTGTTCAAAACTTTGGTGGATTATTAACTATTAGAATTCTTCTTGGAGTTGCAGAATCCGTATGTTAATCATTTTTCAAATTTTCAAATTTTCAAATGTTTCAGCATCGAAGTGATCCTTCGATACAGATTGATTTGAATACACCAAAAATCTTGTACTAACGTATTTCATGCTTTCTTTCCTGCAGCATTGCTTGTATTGAGTAATTGGTATGATAAGAAGTCATTAGCATCAAGAAATTCTATTCTTTATGCTGGTAGTTTAGTCAGTTCAGCATTTAGTGGTTTAATTGCAGCTGGTATTTTGAAAGTCCCTGGTTTGGGAGGTCAATCATGGAGATGGTTATTTATTATCGAAGGTGGTTTAACTGTTGCTTCTGTTCCATTTGCTTATTTTGTGTTACCAGATAATCCATCAAACACCAAGTTTTTATCACAACAAGAAAAAGATATCATAATGTGGAAAATGAGTAAAGACGTTGGTGTTAAAGACTCAGATCAAGTTAATGAAGAATCTGATTGGCAAGGTTTTCTCAATGCTGTTAAAGATATTAAAGTTTGGATACTATGTGGTATGCATTCATGGTTAGTTGCAGCTTGTGGAGTTACTAATTTCTTTCCAACTGTTGTTGAAACATTAAATTTTAATAGAACTATAACATTAGTTTTAACTGCTCCACCTTATTTACTCGCTGTTGTTATAACATTTTTATGGGCTAAACATGCAGATAGATCAGGTGAAAGAATGTTACATGTTATTATTCCTTTAGTATTAGCATTAGTTTCGTTTATTATCGCTGCTTGTACTTTAAATATTGGAGCTAGATATTTTTCAATGTGTTTAATGATTCCATCATTATACTCTGCTTTTGTTGTTATACTTACTTGGATTTCAAATACAATTTCAAGACCACCTGCAAAAAGAGCAATTTCACTTGCTATTGTAAATTGTTTATCTAATTCAGCATCAATTTGGAATGCTTATTTATATCCACTGAGTGATGGTCCAAGATATATGATAGCTTTTATTTGTAATTGTGCTTTTATTGCATTATCAATAGCATTTGCAATTGGGTTAAATTTGAGATTAAGAGTATTAAATAAGAAGATTGATAATGGTACAATGAATTGGGAAAAAGAGTTTGGTAAAGGTTTTGATGCAAGTAAAATTAATGCTGATTTTAAATTCTTACACTAGTTATATAAATTTTAATGTATATAGTAATTGGTAGCATATTGATGTATCGGAATTTAATGCATGTCGGCTTTTTCTAAATTGTAACGACATTTGAAAATAATGCGATTGTAAATTTACTGACAGCCATAATAAAAGAAAGCTTATATTGCAACAATGCCACCACCTTCAACACCATCAAGTCGATCTAATAATCAGTCAAATAACTCATCACATACTACAGATCCAAGATCAACTAATAACCAGGTACAAAGATTTAGAAATGCTTCAACAACTGCAAATAGACAAGATTTACCACCCACTTCATTAAATTCATTAAATTTAATCTCAGATTATATGTATAGAAACTTACAACCTTCAAATGAACAATATTCAGATGAACATGAATCAAATTTTAGATCAAGAATTTTACAACATTTTAGTGATATTCATAGATTACAAAATCATTTTGAAAGTTTAGTTCAATCAAGAGAAGACAATAGGAGAATTGATGAAGAATTAGCAATGAATACAATTCCAATACAATTAAGAAATTTAACTAGAACAAGAGGAGGAGCTTTTGAATCAGAAGAAGATGATATGGATTATGAACCAATTGCACATTCTGATAATATAGATGAAGATAGTATTGTAAGCGAAGATGAATTACCAAACGAAAGATTATTATTATCGTCAGCTAGACAACATACAAACCCAGAAGGTTTATTCTCACCAAATCAAAGAGGAATTCCATTAAGAAGACAAAATGCGATAAGCCGAAAAGATGATGAGAAAGAAGAAGTTATTAATAACGAAGCTGAAAAATTATTAAATGAGATGCAAACATTATTAAAATCAATTAAAGCTATATCTCCGTTGTTTGTATACACTTTTCAAATGAAAAGTTTGAGACAGATATTATCATCATTAAATTCAATTGATGAGAGTTTAAATTTGGATACTAAACTAGATAGATACCTACAGAAAAGAAGAAATCTCTCATTATGGGCTCGAAATAATGAAACATTACCACCACCAACTACTGCCAGTAAAAGAAAAACTGAAGCTACTAATAGACCAAGGAAAAAACAGAAAATATCTCAAGATAATAATGAAACTAAGGTCAAATATTATAAAAGTTATAATTCAGTGGAAAAAGATAGCATTTTAAATGGATTACCAAGCTCATTTTTCCAATCTGGAAGTAATTACATACTTAGTATCAATAACAAGCCATCAAGCCAATGTGAGTTCATAATAAATGATGTTCATGATTTAAACGGAGTATTCAAATTTTCAATTGAAGAAAGTTTAGAAACTACACTATTGAAACTACATAATTTTACAAAATATTTTTGTGGATTTGATGAAAATTCTTATAATCTACCTAGAAATAAAATACTAATTCGAAAATTAAATGTATTAGATCGAATATCAGTTGATAATAAAGTAAATTATACAAAATTAAAGGGACATCAATTAGTTTTACCATTTCAAGGTCATAAAATTGATTTTAGAAAGAATGATTTACGATTTTTATCAGATAATTCATCAACTTCATCAAGATTTAGATCAAATAAGATCAGATTACAATTACTTGAATGGATGAAGATTCAACCTTTTAAACAATTTAAAAAAAGTTATTTTACAAATTTCATATTAAATTTAGATTTTCATTTACAAACATTGAATGAAGATAGACTTAAAAAATCAAAAAAAACAGAGACAATTAATTTAGCCAATGAATTTAGATTGAATGTAAATGAATTAACAAAAGATTTTTCGAATTCCAAGTCAACTAAGAAAAGTTCCAAAAGGTATACTGATTTATTTATGGAAGATTGGGAAAGAAGTTTAACTAAGAAGTTATGTGACGAAATAACAAATGAAGAATCAATAAGTTTACTTAATGTTCAATTAAATTATATATTATTTACAATTGATTTAAATATTTCAAAGTTTTTAGATTTATTTATGGAATTTATATTCAATAATTGTAAAGGAGATTATATAAATAACTATAAAAAAGTTTATAACAATATATTAACTGATGAGATTAAAGATTCAACAAGTTGTGCAACATTATTATGTTCTATTGATAGAAAATTAGGAAATATTGAAATGGAAAATACATTACCCTATTTACATAATAAAGATTCAAAAAATAATAATGTAATATTATCAAGAAATCAAAGTTTAATTGATTTTTCAGATAGGAGTACTTATGTTTTTGATGATTTTGAATTATTTGATGATGAAATACCATTAAATTCAAAAACTTTTAATTCAACAAATAATTTTGAAAATATTGAAACAAGATTATCAGGGATGATTAAAATGATACATCCGGGATGTGATATATCATAATAAACTATATACAATACAATTAGTTACTACCAACCCCAACCTTTTTGACCTTCTCTTTTATCTTTCTTTTTTTTATTAAAGAAATCTTTTCTACATTCTCTATAAGCATCAAAGAAATCTTGACAAGCATATTTATCATCTTGATTTCTATATAAACAATCCATTGAAGCTTGTCTACTTTCTTCACAAGGATCGTAAAATTTTGAAGGTTCTTTCATCGTCCATTTATATTTATGAATATGACTTTTTGGATTATCAGGATAAAATTTAAAATCCTTTGGGTCACCTTTTGTGAAATCAATTTTGTTTTTATCTTTCTCTACATAATCAGATGTTAAATCTCTATTGGTCTGTTGCTTAGTCTCTTGCTTAACAGTTTGTTCTTCTTTCATTAAATAATTTGACACGACTTGAAAATTGCAACAATTTTTTTTTTTTTTTTTTTTTTGGTTTTAGAATAATCGTTCAGTTAAGAGTTTGATACGGCCATGGTTTTAGCTGATTTAGGTTCTAGGTTAAGAGGTGCTTTATCAGTGGTAGAACTGGGTACCAATGATGAAATTCAACAAATGTTAAAAGATATATGTTCTGCTTTGTTAGAATCTGATGTTAATGTTAAATTAGTTGCAAAATTAAGAAATAATATTAAAAATAAAATCGATGAATCAAATATACTTAAGGAGTCTTCATCTATAAATAAAAAGAAGAAATTACAAAAAATTATATTTGATGAATTATGTGCTTTAGTTGATTCAAGTATTGAACCTCCAAAACCTAAAAAATTATCCGATAAAACAAAAACTATAAATGGTAAAAAAGTTAGAGTTTCAAAAGAATCAAGTCATGTAATTATGTTTGTTGGTTTACAAGGTGCTGGTAAAACTACATCTTGTACTAAATTGGCAGTATATTATAAAAAAAGAGGGTTTAAAGTTGGTTTAGTTTGTGCTGATACTTTTAGAGCTGGTGCTTTTGATCAATTAAAACAAAATGCTATAAAAGCGAATATTCCATATTATGGCTCTTATTTAGAACCAGATCCTGTTAAAATTGCTTATGAAGGTGTTTCAAAATTTAAACAAGAAAAATTTGATATTATAATAGTTGATACTTCTGGTAGACATCGACAAGAAGAACAATTATTTACTGAAATGGTTCAAATAAGTGAAACGGTTCAACCTACTCAAACTATAATGGTTATGGATGGTTCTATAGGTCAAGCTGCTGAATCTCAAGCAAAAGCTTTTAAAGAAAGTTCAAATTTTGGTTCAATTATATTAACAAAAATGGATGGTCATGCAAAAGGTGGTGGTGCTATATCGGCTGTTGCAGCAACAAAGACACCTATAGTTTTCATAGGTACTGGTGAACATATTGGAGATTTGGAAGTTTTTAAACCAACTACATTTATATCTAAATTATTAGGTATTGGTGATATACAAGGTTTAATAGAACATGTACAATCATTAAATCTACATCAAGATGAAGGTCATAAACAAACTATAGAGAATATAAAAGAAGGTAAATTTACTTTAAAAGATTTTCAAAATCAAATGAATAATTTTTTAAGAATGGGTCCATTAACTAATATAGCTTCAATGATACCTGGTTTAACAAATATAATGTCACAAGTTGGTGAAGAAGAAACTTCAAATAAAATAAAAAATATGATTTATATTATGGATTCAATGACAACAAAAGAATTGGAAAGCGATGGTAGAATATTTATAAAAGAACCTTCAAGAATTATAAGAGTTGCTAGAGGTTCAGGTTGTGCAGCAGTTGAAGTTGAAATGATTTTACAACAACATAGAATGATGTCAACAATGGCCAAATCAGCTATGGCTGCTCAAGGTCAACAAGGACAACCCGGTGCACCTGGTGCTAATCCACAATTTCAAAGAATGATGCAACAAGCACAGTCTAATCCTAATTTCATGCAACAAGCAATGAGTATGCTAGGTGGAGGAGGAGGTGGTGGTGCTGGTGGTTTATCAAATATGATGAATCCACAGATGATTCAACAAGCTCAACAAATGATGAGACAAAATCCACAAATGGCACAACAAGCGCAACAAATGATGCAAAATCCAGGGATGATGCAACAAATGATGAGACAATTTAATATGTAAATATATATTCCAATTTATCTGTAAAAATCAGGTCTTGTAGCATTTATACCATATTCACTTAAAGCATTACTTAAATCTTCCATAGTTAAAACAATTTTCCCATGTTGATTACCAGCATTTGAATGGGATTGCTGAGCTTGTTGCAGTTCTCCACTTTCAGTATCAGCTAAACTTTGTTGATGAGCATATTGTTGACCTTGTAATAATTGTTTTGCTCTAACTTGTGGATTTGATGAATTATAAACAGCAGTTGAACTTCTAATTCTACTATATTCATAAGCATCTTGAGCAATATCACTAATAAATTTTTGAGTAGCTAAAGCTAATAATCTCTTAATTTTAATATCAGAAGTTTCAAAACCATTTTTAGCTAAATAATAATCAGTTACAGCATCAGGTATTATTGGAGAAAATTCATCATCCATCATATCTAGTACTTCTTTTAAAGTTTTATCTTTTCTTGATAAATCTGGTAAATCTGGTATTATAGTAGCAGCAGCTTGTGCACTAGATTGAGCTTGAGCTGATAAAGATTGTTGACGATGTTTTGATTTTTCTTCCTTTGATTGTTCCTTATTGGTTGTTGTTGATTCTGATTCTAGTATAATATGATCATCTACATCATTAAATTCATCCATATCAATATCTTCTCCTTCATTAGACATTTTGGTGATAATTGTTTTGGTGTTATATTTTTTTTTTTTGTTGCAAATATTTAAATCAATGGTTAATCCAAATGATTCTACTACATTTGGTAATTCTTTATCTTTAAGAGTAGATGGTGCGATTGGTGCTATGTCTTTATCCCCCAATGGGAGAGACTGTGTTTTAGCTGGAAGAAAAGGTTTATTTATCATTGATTTGGATGATCCTTTTACTCCTCCAAGATGGTTACATCATATAACTTCATGGGAAGTAGCTGATGTTCAATGGCTGCCACATCATTTTATAAAACCTTCTTGGGTTATATCTACATCAAATCAAAAGGGCTTATTATGGGATTTAAGTAGACCTTCAAATAATGCAATTGCAAATATTTTACATTCTCATACCAGGGCAATTTCAGATATAAATTTCCATCCTTTTGATCCTGAAATATTAGCTACTTGTTCAATTGATACTTTTATTATGAGTTGGGATATGAGAACGCCAAGGAAACCAGTTGCGAAATGGGCTGAATGGAGAGCTGGTGCAATTCAAGCTAAATGGAATCATGAAAATCCGTTTGAAATAGCTTCAAGTCATGATAATTCTTTTTATGTCTGGGATACAAGAAAAGGTGCATTACCTGTAGTTAAAGTTGAAAAAGCTCATGAAGGTAAAATTAATGGGTTAGATTTTAATCAAGGTTTGAAAAATGTAATAACTTGTTCAAATGATAAGACTGTTAAATTTTGGAATTTAAAAGATGAAACAGCTCAAAAACATATATCAGAGTTTAGTTATTTTGATTTAGATCTGAATAAGGAAAAGTTGTGTCCTAGTGTTATAATAAAGACAGATTTCCCTATAGCAAGAGCAAGAACTTTACCATTTGGATCTGATAAAGCGTGTGGAATAATGCCATTGATTGGTGGAAAAGATTCCATTTATATTGCAAATTATGATGCTGCATATCTGGAATATTTAGCATCAGGTTTAACTCAAACTATTAATTTAGATTCTGCGTATACATTTAAAGGTCATAGTGGTCCAATGAAGGATTTCTTATGGAGAACTAAACGTAAACAATATGAAGGGTTTGAATTAAAAAACAAATGGGAAGATTATCAATTGGTTACTTGGGCAGCACAAGAATATGATTTAAAATTATGGCAACATGATGAGGAAATGTACAAACTGGTAAATTATAATCCAAGTTTCCTTAATGTATTTAAAGATGAACTGGATTCAGAATCAAGACCAAGTACTCCTGCAGAAACAAACCAAGAGTATAATTATGATACATATTGTCATGAACCTTCAGTTACAATTGATGATTTAGCGAAAACCAATGGAGGTGATTTATTATCTGCTTTAACTTTATTACAAATAGCTGAAAAACATAAACAATTAGGACATGAATTTAATCAATTAAATCATTTAAATTGGATTTCAGGTGTTAAAATGGGTCACGCTGGTCGTGATGATCGAAAAGTTAGTTCTACATCTACTTTAGAAGATGATGGTCCAACAAATCTTGGTGAAGAAGTTAGTATAGTTGGTCACAAGTTCCCAAAAATACGTTTTGAAAAAATTTCGGTGTCAACCGGTGAATTAGTAATTAGTTTAAATGGTCCTATACCTAATAAAGATGAGGAGGAAACGGAAGAAGAATCAAAATTGGTATTTGTTAGAGTAGAAATTACATTTCCCAAAAATTATCCATATTTAGATGCAATAGATTATGAAAGAAATTTATCAACTAAAAAATTGGTTAAAATACTGAAACAAAATTTAATTAAGTTTAATATTGAAGAAACTCATGAGTTGGCAAAATCAATTAGAGATAAATTACAAGATGGTTTGAATGAAATTGCCCAATTCTATTGTAATAAATATAATCGATTTTGTTTAGAACCTTGTTTAAGATATTTATTAGGTGATAAAGTTGAATTAAATGATGAATCAATGATTGATACAAGAGCTGAAACAAATGAAGAAGATGATGAATGTATTCAAGAAGTTGGAAATGAAGCTTGGGTAGACGATTTATTAAATCAACAACCTGGTTTTAATGAAATCTTATCGTCAGCAGCTGCAGAAAATGGATATTCTTCTGGTGACGAAGATGCAGAATTTGGAGATTTATTACAAGATGATACAAAATCATTAATCAAACCAGAAGTGGATGATAAAATTGTTGATTCAACTCCAATACCAAAAGGCTGTGGAGCTGTTTGGTCACCATCAGGTCAATTAATTTGTTTTTTCATACCCAAAAATAAAGATGATGATAGAAAACACGAGTTTGATACATATGCATTTGGTGAAAAAGATGGATCAATAGCATCTGATTCCGAGGTTGAAGACAGTGATTTGGATAAAACTGATGATGCTTTAATGAAGAAAATGACTAGTACTTCATCAGATTCAAGTTTAAAAAATGATTGGAATCAAATTATAAAAGATGATGCTTCCAAGAAAAAGCTACCTGGTTTATTTCATTTAGGTTTGAATAGTAGATTTGATCATGAAAGTAGTCATAAATCTTCACTTAATAGATTTACAAGTATCGATGGAGCTTCTAACAATCGCTCTACAAGCAGGAGTTATAAGAAATTTGATAACAATAAAAAGCATAAAAATATCGTTGGTATATTTGATTATAGTCATTTATTACCTGATAAATTAGATTTAGCAAAAGAGTATAAAATTTCAAATGAAACTCCTGAAAATTTAGCAAATTATAATTCAAAAGTCGCTTTAAAACATGGATTAAAAGATATTAGTGATATTTGGAAAATTTTAGAAATTATACTAATGAGGAATAATAATCATTCATTACAATTTTTTGATGATTATTATTTGAAACAATTACCTAATGAGATTAATTTAAGTTCTCAGAATTTCTTTTGGGGTTGTCATCCTTTTTCAAAATGGTTAATTAGAGAATTGTTTAATTATTTCGAACAGAGACAAAATGTACAAATGCTTGCAATGATGGCATGTATTTTATTTGAAAATCCAAAGAAGTTTGAAAAAGTCACACTGGTTAAATCTCCAAGTCGTAAAAGCACATTTCCAAATTTATTTGGTCAACAATCAATTTTATCACAATCATTTAGTTCAAGTTTTCCACATAGTCAACCATTACATTCAAATTTTTCATCACCACCAGAATTGAATCATAGAAATTCATCCTTTGCTAGTGTTAGAAATCCTCATATCAATTATGCTCCTTCAATTTCATCTTCAATAGATTCCAATAGCATTCATAATGAATCACCAGATAAGTTTAGTTATTTTCGAAAAGCAATGATGGGTTCTCCAAGTCAATACCCTACAAATAACTCATATTCATCATTAAGTGAATTAATAAATGAACCTAAATCATTATACAAGAGAGTGTCAAATAAATTTATAGAATCTAGAAAACCAAAGAAATTGGCTAAAACCAAAATAAAAGAACCAACAGTCACTCATGAATTTATGAATTCACTGGAATTAGATTTATTTGAAAATGAATTTAATGAACCATTATTAAATTCAATTAATCAAGAAAAGTTAAAATTGTACAGAGAATTATATTCTGATATGTTATATAATTGGGGATTAACAATTAGTAGATTAGAAGTTCTTGAATTTAATTTTATGAATAATAATGAACTTTCAAATACTCATGATTGTAAAATCGGAGTTCGGAAAAAGATTAAACAACAACCAAATCAAAATTTTATAAATGCAATTACAACAATATCAATGAAAATACCTAATTCATGGAATACAAAGAAAGGAAATGCATTGAAACATTGTATATTATGCGATTTAATAGTTTCAAAAAGTTTTACTTTATGTACTGTTTGTGAACATGTATTACATATAACTTGTGCTAATGAATGGTGGCAAGAAAACATTGAATGTGCTAGTGGTTGCGGTTGTAAATGTTTAGAATATAGTATTTAATATAATTATGGTTGACGAGTATTTACAATTTGATCTTTTAATTTTTCATCCCATTCTTTCACAAGTTTATTAAAATAAGAAGCTACATCTTCCAGTCCTGTTGTATCAACTTCTTCATATGAAAGATATTCTTTACCAAATCTAGTACATGCAGACCCTGTTTTTATAGCTTGTTTTGATTTACCTAAAGCGGCTGAAACTGGTGCATTTGCAGCTATATAACCTGAAATATTATGATATGGTGAACCTAAAAATCTTGCTAAATAAAATAACATCAACATTCCATAATAAGTAAATACATTTAAAAATTGATAAAATGAAAAACTTGTAAAAATACCTGGATGTACTAAATATTGATCAATTCCAAATTTCTTCAAATTTTTATAAGTACCATAATGAAGTAAATCAACTAATCTTTTTGAACCTTCATAAGATTCAGGACTTCTTAATAATTGTAAATCATTAAACGATAAATATTTAGGATGAGACATTAATGAACTAATCCAAATAATTTTCCCATGATCTTTAGCTAATAAATGTTTAATTTTATGTATAAAGTAATAAGGACCAAATACATTTGCTTGGAAAACTAATCCCATATTGTCATTACTTTCAACTCCAATTCTTTGTAATTTATAAGTTGGACTAGTTACTGCATCTATGGGATTTTGTAAAACTTCAACACATGCAGCTTTCCAATCTATACCTCCATAAACACCTTGCGCTGCATTTACAAATAAATAATCTATATGAGTATATTTTTGATCTAATTCATAATAAGCAGATAGAATAGATACCATATCGGTAAAATCAACTAATATATAATCAAATTCAACTTTATTCTTCTTTTCAGGTATTTTTTCATGTATATATTGTTTTATATCATTTATTGATTCTTTAACTTTTGGTAATGTTCTTGAAGTTACAATTAAGGTGATGTCTCTACTTGAAGGTAATTGTTCGAGTAATCTAACGGCTATATTAAAGCCTAGATTAGAGGAAGTTCCAGTAATTAATGCAACTGTTGAATCTTTGATTAATGACATGAAGATAATAAATTTTTTACGCGGCTCGTATATTTTTGTCGTTTAAGCTAACCATATATCATTCCATCCTATATTCTTTCTAACAGCGTTTAAATACCCTTCATTATATTTAACCCAGATTCTAGCAGTCTTATTTTGTTCCGTGGTTGTTTGATCTTGTACTTCTTGATATTGACCTTTGAAAAAATCAATACTATTCCCATTTAATTTCACTTTTTTGACCTTAACTTCAGCTTCATCTTCAATTGGTCGTTTAGCATTTGCTGATTTTCTAATCATTTCAAGCCTATCCAATTCTGCTGTAATTAGTGGAAATACAATCTGACGGTTGAATTGAATTTGTTTAGATAATGAAGTAAATGACACTGGTGCTAAATGATTTTCAAAATTGACTATTGAGTCCCAATTTGGATTTATTTTTAATGAAATTAAACCAGTTTCAAAATCTTTACTATGTTCTAATGATATATTAAAATCTTTGACTAATTTTGTGAGTTGTTCAATTTTCTTCTTCTCAATATCATTCAAATTTGATTTTACTTTTGATGATATACTTGGTTGAAACATTTTGGATATGTAAGGTAGGAACTCACATGATATATCTTTATTGCCTAATGCTATTTGAGTATTGATAGGTAGATTCTGTACAGCATGTCTTGCAATAGTTTTATTTGTTTTCAAAAGTTCATTTGATTCATATTCTAAGTTTCTTACATTTGGAATTAAACTCTGTGTTTTATTAGGATTGATTTCTGAAAATAATGACCAAATTTTTAAACTTGTAATTGGATAATATTGACTTAAATCCATTTGATTAAAACCACTGAATTGATCATAGTAATGTAGCCAATCACTTAGTTCACATGGATTTTTTAAAGAATCATCTTGATAATAAACCGTATTTAAATATCTATTAAATGCACCTTTAATAACCTTATCGAAAGAGTTTGAATTACCACTTACTGATTTTCCATCACCATTCATATATTTATCAAGTAATCTCATAAAATTTTCATCTTTTGATAATTGTGGATCTCTTTTAAATAATTGATCAACCATGGTGAACCAAGATAACTGAACGTCCATTATCAGATTTGTTTTGATACTTTTTCTATGAAATTGAATATGATTAATACAAGCACGAATATCTCCATCACAAATATCTACAATTTCTCCTAAATCTTGAAAACTTAAACCTAATTTTTCCTCTTTATTGATGTACATCAAATGATCCTTTACCGATTTTACAGCATTACCACTTAATTTTGCACCTGAAATTGTAGTTGAAGTCATTGGTTTCTTAAATTGAATTTGTTGACTGATTGGTCTCAATTTATCCATTGGATTTGGACCAAGTTTTCCTGAATTATAATTATAAATATCGTTGGCAATACAAATTATTGGTCTATTTAATAATAAATGTTTCTTGCTCTTTTTTTCATCTTGTTCTTTTCTCATCTTTTTACTATATGCTTTTTGATCAGAATATATTAAATCAGTTAAAGTTTTAACGACTTCATTTGAATTTCCTAATGAATCTATTTCATCAATTATTAAACATGATGGTTTATTTTTATTTTTAAGATTAATTGCATTTGAAGTCAATGCATTAATTATTTTTAATTTTAATGCTGATGAAGTTGATGACTTATCATTTTGGGGTAATGCATCTAAACTATTCGCTGCATTTAGTTCTTGAATAGAATAACCCAATTGTTTAGCAATGATATGAACAGCCGAAGTTTTACCAATACCTGTTGGACCATGAACTAATAATATTTTATGATGTGGTCTACCTAAATTATCAACAAGATCAGATTGAACAAACTCTTCTCCAAATACGATTGGTGACCATCTTTTCAACCATAATGAAATAGATCTATATTGTTTATCATTACCAGCAGAACATAATTGTACAAAGTTCTTTGGTCTATACCTTTCTGTCCAAATTTGTGAAGATTTTACTTCATTTTTGGTACATTTCATCGCATTAATTTTCTTATCATTCTCCTTGACTTTGTTATGTAATTCCGCTTTCTTCATTAGTAGATCCATATTAATATATGTATCTTGGTATATTTCGTCAGTGAAAATTTCATTATTCAGCTTCTCTTTATATGGTATTCGCAAAGTATTTCCATTTGATAATTTTATTTTTAATGGAGGTTTTGAACTAGGACTAAATGATTGTAAAGCAAAAGTTTCAATTTCTGTTTGTTCAACACTAGAATTGAACAAAGCAGATGACTGAAAGTCTAATTCATCCTCCATACTCATTCTGGTTGAGATCTATAGATTTAAAGATTTGACATCCAAGATTTGAAACGCGAAAAAAATGAAAATAAATAAGACGCGTCCATTTTCTATACACCAAATGTTTTTAATTGTATCTCTGATTCTTTATCATGTTCATCATGACTTGTACCGTTTTTCTTAGTATCCAATCGTACTATTTCTTCGGTATTCTTCCTCTGTGAATCTGTTAGTTTCTTATTTGCAACTTTTTTAAAACATTCTGAATTATGTTTAATTAGAAAGATTAATTTATCTTGTAAATAAACTTGATCTAAATCTGATTTAACTAATAACGGTATCAAGATTGAATACAATGCAGTTAATTTATTTTCTTCATTTATAGTTTTTGTAAATAACATTAAAATTTCTGTTGAAACTTTCAAATCTATTGAATATTTATTTTCAGATCCAATTGCGTGCCTGACCAAAATTGATATTAGACTCTTTATGACATAATTATTCTTTGAATATTGAATTAATGATTTCACACATTGTATACCAGTTGCAGCAGTATTTGAGTTTTCAAGTAAGTTTATCAAAGCTTCAGACAACATTATGGAATCTTTTTCGTCAAGTTGTATATCACCATTTGTAAGTAATATCAATGTTGTAATAACAGTATAATGTTTTTCAGAATCAATTGTAAATGTTTCTTTTACATTTCCATAAAATAATTCAATTAATCCAAATTTCTTTGATTCAATAATAATATTCTTCAAATATGGAATTATAACAGATATTAATAATTCAGTTTTGGTCTGATAGATTCTTGCAAAAATATATAGTATAACTGAATAAACATCGGATTTAACTAAATCCGGGAGTTCGTAAATCAAAGGTATCAAATTTTCAAAAACTTTTTTCAATACTAATAAATTTGATGCGCTATCAGCTCTTGCGATTAATAATTTATTATTTGCATTGTGTGGATCAAAATCAGATTTTAAAAATGGTAATAATTTAAATAATGGTAACATTACAACTCTAATTAATTCAAATAATTTGTCAAATCCTTTTTCTAAATTTTCTTTATTATTTTCAAGAAAAGTTTTATAAATGGTTGTTGTTATTGTAATTAAATTACATTGAATTTCAGTATTATCATCGATTAAGATCAATCTATCGAATAAATCTATAATTTCACCAAATATTTGATCATTAAATAATAATTCAACCAAATCTGGATTTTGTACTAATCTATTAACAGTAACAAGTATTTCAGCAGTATCTTTATTCTTGATTAATGATTCAACACATTGACTAAATAAAATGAAAAAGAAATTCTGTGCATCTCCACCTAAATGTTGTTCGATATCTTTACGATTAATTTCCAATTCTAAAGTTAATATAGTAATAAAATTTAGGAAGCAATTTTGATACATTTGTAATTCTCTACTTGATGACTCCCTGTATTTCAATGCTGAATATTCTCTCAATGCTAAAATCCATAATGAATTTAATAAAGTTGAATATTTGTCAAGAATTTGATTAAATTCAGGTTCTACTTCAGTATTAATTGATTCAATCTTAAGAATTGCCCAACAGTTTGAAATTGAAAGTTGAATTGATTTCTTACCAAATTCTGACATATTTTCTAAAAATCCAAATTTCAAAAATTTATTTGATGAAATTTCTTCTAGTAAATAAATTAATGTTTTCAATATTCTTTGTTTTGAATAAAACTTGATCTTTGGTAAATTTATAAATTTAGAAGCAACGTGAATAGCTTCAACAATGACTTTATAATCATTACCTGGTGTAAAACATGGAACTAATGCACTTATAATTTGAGCTTGTTGTTGTTCTAATATTGAAACTGTTGGATATAAAGGATCAGCTAGTTCGCCAAATAATCCTAAAGCTCTATCTAATAATTCAATACCTTGTAATTTAATTTCAGTAATTCTTGAAGTTGAACCAAGAAACGATAATTTAACAATATCTTGAATTTTACTTTTCAATTTATCAACCAATTTTGTATTTCTTTTTGCAATTTCTAATAAATGATTTAATAACTCATAGATGAATAATTTGAATTCCCATGAAATTGGTTCATTTTTATCCTCGGATTCTTCACCTACTATATTTTCAATCTCTTCATCTCTTAAATCAACATCAACCTTCTTTTTACCTCTTTGAGATAGTGGTAATAATTTATTACTATAATTTGTTTCAATAAATTTACCAGTTAATTTTTTTGAACTAACTTTAAATAACGAATTTAAAATTGTAAACCAATTTTTATCTAAACTTGATTCTAACCATAATCTAATAAAACTTTTTAAAGTATCACAAGGTTGAATATTCATTGAAACCCATAATAAATTAGCTGTTTCATTTGACAAAATATCAACACCAAATATTTTAATCAATTCATAATAACATTCATAAGCAGCTGAATATAAATCGAAACTTGAATTAAATGGAAATATAGCATCAATGTTTAAAAATGTTGGTGATACAGTTGCTATCGATACTTTTAAATTTTTAGATATTATCAAATTTAACAATCTAGTGAAAAAGTTGATTTCACCTTCTATTAAATTTTGATCGAATATAATCAATTCTTGGAATAAAGCTAATAAATATTTATAAACTTCAATTGTATCATCTAATGTTGCAAGACCAATTCCATAACTTAATGATGTGATTAAATTTTTCAATTTTTGTTTATCATTATCTTGCCAATCTTTTAATGCCGGACCTAAAGAACTAACAAATAATTTTAATAATCTTGTAGTCAAAGAAATTGAACTATATTCTGATCTTAAATTGATTAACATCATATTGTTTAAATTGTAACCAAAATTATCATCTAGATAATTTGAATATAATTTATCTAAAACATTTGGTATTAATGATAATTTGTCTAAATTCACTTCAAATATTTCTATTAATGAAAGTAATGAATAATGATAGATGATTGGATTTGGATCACATAGCAATTGAACAAGTATATTATAAACATCATTAAATCCAATTTTTGTAGTTGCATAAATTTCAGAAAGTACTAATATTGCAAAGCTTCTTTTATAAGGATCAAACTCAGCGACTATCTCATTAACAAAACTAGCTATCTGTCCAGATACATCATCTATTTTTAATAAAGTAACTGCTAATCCAATTGAAGATGAATTGATTTTGATTAATTGAGAGTTTTTTGTATCAATTTTTTTGATAACATCGATAATAACCAATGTAATTTCATTTTCCAATGTCAATTTCTTTTTTATTATATTTGATAATAGACCATGTAATGCAACCGATACATTTAATTTAACAGCTTTTAATCTTAAATTATCAACTTGATTTCCAGATAATGAATTTCTAATTTGTTCAAGTAATGAAAATTGAATCTTGGTACTTAATTGAGGGAACACCAATTGAAATAATTCAATGGATAAATCAACTAAGGAAATAACTAAATTAGTTGAATACTTTTCCTGGGATGAATAATCTTGAGTCAATAAAATATTAGGATCATAATTTATCGAATTATCAACTGATGCAAATGAAATATCTTCAAAATTGTCAAACCAAGAACCAAGTTTTGGTTCAGAATTTCCTTCAATACTTGTGTTGGGCAATTCTTTGACTTTTTTTGTAAATGTTTTTCTTAACCAATTAGTAGATTGATGAGATTGTTCAAATGGAAATTTAATCAATAATTCATCAATCTTAGAATTGAATTTAAGTTTGCTTGTAACTCCAAATGAATAATTATAATCTTCGTTAAGCAATATAGCATCTTCATCAGTATAATCTGCAACCTTGCCTAAACCCTTCCTTTTTGAAACTTTTTCATTCTCATTTGGTGGAACTCTAGAAAATAATTTAACATCACTGAAAATTCTAATTAAAAATATAATCGTATTTGAATTTATATCACCTTTAAAAATTGTAGTCAATTTAGTAAAACCTTGCAATATAATTTTTTTATTATATACTATCAAATTTATCATCATTTTCTCTTGAGAAATCTTTTGATTATATGAATAATTAGTATATAAAATATTATTCAATATATTTGGATTATAATTAGATTCATTAAAATTTATATTACTAAAAGTTGTAATTGCACCAACTGAATCAATATTACTTTCTAAATATGATAAATAATTATATGATTTAGTTAATAAAAATTGAATTTGTTTTAATGATTCAGGTGTTGAATCGACTGAATTTAAATAATTTAATAAACATAATACACTCAAACTTCTTAATTTTAAATTTGCCATTATTTCATTTGTTTGTGATTCAATTGTACTTCCACTGATGAATTGAGAAGTTAATAAACTTTTCCAAAATACTAAAAATTGTGAAGAATTTAATTTAACATATTCTGAAAAATTGTATAATGAGACTAATGATGATAAAATTATCCAACAACTTGTATTTTTAACATTTGATGTAGTATTATGTTTTAAATTTTGAGTACAGAAACTTAGGATTTTTACAATTGCAGAATTTTGTAATAATGCAGGATCTGTTTGTTTAATTAATGCAGATAATCCTAATGAATAACTTGTTAATCTAACCAAGGAAATAGGGCAAATATTTTCTTCACCTTTACTTGATTCTTTATCAGAATGTTTATACTCTTGATCAACCAATTTGAATATTTGTAGAATCAACTGGTTTATTTCAGCTTGATTGGTTTCTGCATAACCTAGTAATGATTGTAAAGCATAATTTCTGATGTATGAATTATTATTGACTATTAAATTTAGTAAAGTATCCTTGATAAACAGACTTTCTTTTTCCTTCTCAGCAAAATTAACTCCATAAGGTAACAACATATTTACAATGTATAATAATAAGTAAGTTTGATATGAATTAGTATATGGAGTTATTGATGCATTATTTAAATCCTTTTGCTTAGTTTTAGGTTTGAAGAATAATTTAGATTCCCTTTTCCTTTCTTTTGATTCTTTACTTGCAGTTTGTTGGGAGAATTTGTTGTAAAGATAATCACATAAAACTTCATGACCAGTTGAACCAGTTTCTTGTATCATATATTCAATAACGATACTCCATCTTTGTAATATCAAATTCCATTGTTGATTTTGTACGTGTTGTGCATTATTCAAATCATCAAACTTTTTCAAAATTAAATCAAGTATATTTATTAGATTATTTGAAAGGTAATCATGGTTTTGAAATTGCTCCAATTGAATGTAAAATATAAAAGTTTCAACTACACTTGATTGGAATAAACTTAATTCAACATTAGATTCAATAATAGCGTCACTATCATGATTCAGTATGGTATTCGTTTCTTTTCTAATTTCAGTAGTCTCATCTCTTGTTGTTAATGTGGAGTCATAAATATTTAAATTTTGTAATGGAAATAATGCAATAAGGTACTCTATTGGATTATACTTACCAGTAGGTACGAAATTTAATAATAAATAAGCTAATAATTCAACCATGGCAATTCTTACTTCTTTCGAATAATTTGATAAACAATAGTTAAAATACTTCTCATTTGATTGTAATAAGTTAACTTGAAATTGATGTTGTTGAGTCATTATAGCTTCTGGTTTCATTTTAGCACCAGCGGAGCTTGAAGATGTAGAACCAGCTAATAGAACCTCATAATTTGTTGAAACTGCTAATAATAATAAGTTTCTATAACACAATATATAATTTTTCTTGACCAAAACAGTTGATGAACAATCTTGAGTGAATGAAACTGTATCAAATAAAGATTTAGTGACAATTTTCAATAATTTAGTTTGTGTTTTGTCATCTATATCTGATTTTGTAGCATTTTTAGTAACTGAATTTAATAAATATATCAATGAACTGTCGATATTTGGATATTTCTTGATAATCTTATAAATTTGTGAAATTGCATAGTTTATTAAAGAACCTAAATAACTTGGAAAGTTTTCAAACAAATCAATTAATAACATTATTGATATTTGACATTTTTTCGATAATTCATCATTTATTAGCGTAAGGCTATTTAATAATTGATTTGTTAAATCATTGACCTTTGATGGTAATTTTTGTAACACAAGTATGAGATTTCTTGATAATAATTTGAATAAATTTGATGATATATCAATTTCTGGTTTTATTTCATCCTTCTTTTTCTTTGATTGAATTTGATCTAATTGTTGATGAAATTTTTCCATTATTTGATACAATTGTGAAAAGTAGATATGGTAATCTGATTCTTGTATATCATTCGATAATAAACCACTTAGATTTGTTAAATAGTTAAATATTTCATAGTTATTAAACTTATGTAGTAAAGAATCGAATTCCATAATTGGTTGTATATTTTTTTTTTCTATACAATTTTAAAAGTTTTTGACAGTTTTGGTTTTTCTTTAAAATCTTGATTTTTGGTGGGAGTTGGTGAACCATTTATAGATGGTAGATTCAGAAATCGTTTACTATATGATAATCCTTTCTCTGATTTAGTTGTTAATTGTGTTGTTGACGGTGATTTTAATACTTTATTGGATTTTGAACTATCTAAAAATGCTTCAATGTCCAATGTAAGATTTTTCAATTTTCGTAATGAATCAGACTTCTTTATTGTATTACCTTGTCTTATTTTATTAGGTGGTGGTGTTGATTTTAACATATCTTTAAATGAAATCATCAGTACATCTCGATCAATAGTTTCCAATGATTCAATTTTTATTTTTAATTCTTTAATTTGATTTTCATAATTTGTTAAGAATAATTGCTTTTCCATGGAGCTTTTCTTTACTCGTTCGTAATCATCATCTATTAATGCTATTTTTTCTAATAATTCATTATTAAATTGTTGTTGTATTTCATATTTATTTTGAATGACTCTATCCTGTGATTCCATCGAATCATTTATAATTTCAATCTTGACTAATTTTTGCTGTAGATTATTAATCTCTTCATCCTTATTTAGCAATAATTCTTGCAAATCGCTACTTTCCTTGGTCAAATCATTTATCTGTGACTTTAATTTATTTAATTGTTTATTGAGCAGATCAATTTTCTTTACCAAATTTAAATTATTTAATTCTAATTCTTGTAACTCATCTTCTAATGCTTTCTCTAGATCTTTACTTGACTCTTGAAATTCATTTAAAATAGCCTCGGACTCTAAGACTTTTAGTATTAGGTCATCTTTTGAAAGTAATTTCAATTGTTGTTCACTCATTTTGAGCTAATTGTAAACAGAAAAAAATTTACGAGAATTGATTTCAAAGTTCGTATATTGTACAGGAATAGACATTGAATGAACACGAAAGGTTTAACAGTAGAAGCTTCATGATTTGAGCTATTATCTATATTGGTGAAAGAGATGCCCATGGCATTCTTGAATTTTTGAAAAATCGTGAAAGAAAATAAGGTTTCAATTTTACACAATCTAGATCCATTATCTCAGTTAGATGCAGTTTGATTTGCGGCATTCCATAAGGTAACTTGATTACAATTAGAGCTAATCGTGATTGAACACGGTTGTAGAGAACCAAACGTTTTTGGAGGATTCTGCTGCTTGTACCATATCTAACGGCAATATACACCCCCCTCCCCCACCACGACCCCAAACTTAATTTATACTACTCAACTAGATCTGATACAAAGTTAAATCAACCTACAAGAGGCTTACTTTGGAAAAGGTAATAAGTGCTTCAACTTCAAATCACTATAACTTAAAAAAGATCTAATGTACTACAAAAATAAGACACTGGATCGAAATATTAACTGTTTATCTTTCGTTTATCTTACAATCGACCCCACAAGTGACTGAATTGTTGAACATTAAAAGAAGATTCTTTAGTTAGTTGCGCGGATTAATTACTTAATTAAGGTTATAAATTTAGACGCGGCAATAAATTATGACGCAGCCATTCATCTTTACTAGATACTTACTACAAGATGATGTTTTCGAATCTTATTACTTCCCCACAATCATGTTAGATCTATTAATATCAAAAATAAGAGTCTGTATTTAAATGAACAAGAATTTTGGAGTTTTAAACTTTGATATTCATTAACAGAATGGAGAAACCAACAGTTGAACATATTTCACCAATTTCATCAATTCAAGAAGTGGAACATCAATTATTTGATGAAAAACCTGATTTATCATTACCTGCTATCAAACATTACTTTGCCTCTAGGCTTTCTACTTTGTTTGACTTACCTATGTATCATACTGATGAAAAATGGTATAAATTAATAAATCCATTGTCTGGGCTTAAACATGTTACAAGATCAAATTGGAATTACTATCTATTAGGTTATTTGGCATGGACAATTGACGCTTTAGACTTTTTCACGACGTCCGTGGCGGCCCCAGAAGTAGCCCTATCCTTGAACGTGCTGGTTTAAGATATAACTTGGGGTATAACTTTAGTTTTGTACGTTGATTTTTGAGTGGAAACAGCTTGGGTACTTTTTGAAACCATACTAACAAAAGCTTTAGGATGTTAAGGTCTGTTGGAGCCATAATCTTCGGGACTCTAGCTGATTATATTGGAAGAAAGTTCACTTATTGTATCATCACCTTCCTTTTTATTCCGATAGAAATAGCCGGCGGTTTCGTCACAAATTATCAACAGTTTCAAGGTGTTAGAGCTTTGTTTGGGATTCTAATGGGTGGTATGTATTCCATAAGTATGGTGACCGCAATTGAGGAACAAGACGTAAGAGCTAGAGGTGCCTTGTCAGGTATATTCTTGCCGGGATACAGTTTTGGATACTTATTAGCAATGGTTTTTTATCGTGCTTTTGCTTTAACTGGTAAAAAGAATGAAGGATGGAGAAATTTGTTATTCTTCACAGCTGGTTTATCAGCTATACTATTAATATGGAGATTATTATTTCCAGAAGGTCCAAACTTCCTCAAATTGAAGGAGAGGAGAAGACAATACAACGAACAAAATAAGGAAAAACGTGGAAATGGTTTTTTGAGTAAATTTGATTTATCCATATTTCGTGTACTCAAAACAGAATGGTTAATGTTCAGCTACTTGGTTGTATTGTATGCAATCTATAATTTCTCAACACACTCCAGCCAGGATCTTTATATTTCAATGCTCACAACGCAGTATGGTGTTGATTTGGATTTGAAAACGATTATTATTGTTGTTTCAAATTTGGCTGCTATGGTTGGAGGTTTGTTCATGGGTAATGTATCAGAAATTCTTGGCCGTAGGTTAACCATCATAATTTGCCTGTTATGGAATATTGCATTAACTTGGAGTAGTTTCAATGATGCTAAGAAACATTGGCCAGTGTATGTTTTCCTACAAGCTGGGGTTATGGGTGCTTGGGGAGTAGGTCCAATTCATTTAATGGTCCAATTCATTTAATGGAATTAGTTAATCCAACTCATCGTGCTTTATTAGCTGGTTTAGCTTATCAATTAGGTAATTTAGCTTCTTCAGCAAGTTCAACAATTGAAGCCACAATTGGTCTAAGATTTCCATTAGGTGAGGGAATGTATGATTATGGTAAGGTCATGGGTATTTTTTGTTACTGTGTTTTTGGAGCTATGATAATATGTTTAGTATTGGGACCAGAGAGATTTCATAGAGAGTTGCAAATTGTGGATGAAGAAGAATTAGTTGAAGAGATCAGTGCAAGTGATTATAGTGTTAAAGAACGAGTTTAACGATAAAACTACATTTGATCTTATGAGTATACGATTAGATGATCATAATGCTTCTCAAGAGACTCTTTTACTCTTTTTTACGAACTAAACGAACCTGAGTAGTTTTACTTGGTTTAAAATTTATCAAAGAAAAATCACTAATAAATAAGCATGCTTAAGTTTTTTTGACTCTAACAGAATCTGAGTTTCATCACATTATTATAAACTACTAACTGCGGTCTTTTTCGAGGTAATGTGTGATTATTTCAGCAATGTGCTATTAGATACTTACATCCATTCGTGTTTATAGTTAAAAAATATTGCGATTTTACTATTCACGCTTTAAAATTGCAGGCTGAAGGAAATCTTAAATTATTCATTCAAACTCATTGGTGCATCTCCAATTTTGACAAATATTATAGAGCTACGTAGTTTTAATGAGTATATTGAAATTGTGCCAAATACTTGAAACCGGTTCAATGTAATCAGTAAAAGCGTGACCGCAGTTGGTAGCGTCATTTCTAAATTGGTTCTCCGAATAATATCTTTATAATTATCCTTTAAATTGCTGCAAAAGATACAGAAAATTCAAAAGACTAGAAATCCATTGCAATGAGAGCTCAAAAATTTCTATTGGGGTAAAGCATGAGTATAATTGGTTCATAGGTATTTTGCTACTGTACGCGTGAGAGTTTTCCGATATGTTTATTATTATTTAAGCCAGAAAAATTTCATGAAGAGTTTCAAATTGTGAATGTACAATTACTTCCTTATTTAGTATCTCTAATTATAGTCCTGGATTGTGTTTGACGAGGGAATTTGATTCTATACATCATGCTAAAATCTTATTAGTATATGTAGAAATGATTATAAAGGTTTAAAGTGACATTCATTTGAACTATGCCGGAAGTAGTAATTTGTTAGCCGCCCAAATAAAAAAATGTCACAAAAAGAAAATCTGAAACAAAAATAAAATAAAGCTAGAGCTTAATTTGTGCCCATAATCAAATTGTATTAACTAGTTATATCATATCATTTACCTTTCAATAGCATCTCCTCACTAAACTTATGAGTATAACGTTTTTGAATTTAAACATTTTTCTTTGCTTCATTAAAGCTTATACTTTTAACGCTTGTTTGAACGCGGCACTGTTTTAAGAGCTGTGTTAACTTTTTCTTGACATCTATTTTTGCAACAATTGATATAAGATAAAAGACTTAATCTATACCCCACAAAAAAGAAGTTTTCTTACTTGGGTAAGAAGAAAACCCAATAATGTATAAAACATTTAATAAATCACGATAGTAGATTCTCAAATCAAACCAAAATGGAACCTTCAAAACCAACCACAGAACATCTAAGTCCATTCTCATCTATTCAACCTGTTGATAGTCAAATAACTGTTGATAGTCAGTTATTTGACAAAGAAGATCTTGACTTATCTTTCAAAGCAATTAGTATTTATTTTGCTACTCGATTTTCAACGTTGATTGACTTGCCAATCTTTCATCGAGATGAGAAGTGGTATACATTAATGAATCCAATATCTGGGGTCAAATATATGACTAAATCAAATTGGAACTACTATGCGATGGGGTATTGTGCTTGGGTTTTGGACGCCTTGGATTATTTCTGTGTGGCTGTCGCAGTACCTGAGATTGCCATTAGTTTGAATTCAAGTGTTACTTCAGTTACGTGGGGTATTACACTTGTCTTGTATGTATTTTAAAAAATTGAAAATGTTTTGAAATTTTTTTATTAACCATTTTAGAATGTTGAGACCAGTTGGAGCTACAATTTTTGGATTAGCAGGTGACTACTTAGGTAGAAAATGGACTTATATCATCATTGCAACGCTCTTTATTGCAGTTGAAGTAGGTACCGGATTAGCTCAGACTTACCTGCAATTTCTAGGTGTTAGAGCTTTATTTGGGGTTTTAATGGGTGGAATGTATCCAATAGCTATGGTAACTGCACTTGAAGATCAGCCAACAGAAGCTAGAGGGGCTTTATCAGGAATATTCTTACCTGGATATAACATGGGTTATCTACTTGCTCAAGTGTTTTATCTTGCTTTTGCAAGTACAGGTGCAGAAAATGAAGGTTGGAGAAATTTGTTATTTTTTACTGCTGGTTTATCTGTAATCCTAATTGTTTGGAGATTCTTGTATCCTGAAAGTCCAAGTTATTTAAAATTAAAGGAAAGGAAAAAGATTTATAATGAAAAAAGAAAACAAACTGGTACGGGGTTCTGGAGTAGAATTGATTTAACAATTTTGAAAGTGCTCAAGACGGAATGGTTAATGTTCAGTTACTTGGTGGTGTTGTATGCTTGTTTTAACTTCGCAAGTCACGCAAGTCAAGACTTGTACGCTCTGATGTTGACGAACCAATATGGTGCTGATTTGAATTTGAGAACGATTATAATTGTTGTTTCAAATATTGGGGCAATAATTGGAGGTTTATTTATGGGCAACGTTTCAGAAATTCTTGGTCGTCGATTAACAATTATTGTTTGTTTATTATGGGCAGTGGCATTTACATGGAGTAGTTTTAATAATGCTAGAGAGAACTGGCCATTATATGTTTTGTTACAAGGTGGTGTTATGGGTGCTTGGGGAGTTGCACCTATTCATTTAATGGAGTTAGTTAATCCCACATATCGAGCTTTTCTCGCAGGACTTGCTTATCAATTAGGTAATTTGATTTCTTCAGCTAGTTCAACTATTCAAGCTAGAATTGGTGAAAATTTCCCACTAGAAGAAGAAGGAATGTATGATTATGGATTTGTGATGGCGATTTTTTGTTTTGCAGTATTTGCTTGTCATATTCTATGTGTTTTCTTGGGTCCAGAAAGGTTTCATAGAGAACTTAGGATTACGGATCGTGAAGAAGAGATTGAAAATACAAGTAGTAAAGACGATGGTAGTAAAGATGATGGTAGTAAAGAGAATAGCTCAAACACTAAAAAACAAATCTAGTAGTTAGAATATACATACTAAATATATATATTATGCACATATGAATATATACTAGATATCCAAGTTATGGGTATACGCTCGATTCATTTGGTATTATTTTCAAAAAAGCGCGATTTTCCGTTTGGCGATTACGTTTTCCAGAAATTGTTTCAACCACATTTAAATCAGCCGCGGGCATTCCGCCCTATATTAATTGTAGACTTTCGAAATAAAGGACCACGCCTTTTTTGAACCGGTTTACGCCGGGAATGAGACATTGGCTGCATTATAGGACTCTATTAATTGCTATGATAATTTTCTTAACCCTTTTCAGATAAAATCGAAGATCGATTTGTTCCATCAAAAAAATTAATTCTTGATAATTCCAAATTTTCAAAATTTTGAACTAATTCATCGAACCACGAGGGCATTACATTCTTGATAAATAGTCCGTTCACTTTTGATAGATAAGGATGTACCAGTATATTTAAAAACACAAAGGATAAGTTCTCAATTGAATCATTTAAAAATATCAATTCTGGGGTTTCAATATAATCAATGCTAAAATAGTCCATATTGTTGATTTCTCTAAACATATCTTTTGAGAACCCAATCGAATCAAGTTGACTGTCAAACGTTATATCTCCCTCATAATCAATTTCTTATAATCAGACGGTGCTACTCTCAAACCTAATAAATGTGTAGTTAATGTGCTGAAAAATGGATACTTTGCAATACAACTTCAAACTCGTTAATGAGTTGGATATCTTCACTTGAATAGTTTTCTTTAAATGAATTAAGATCATCTGTTAATGTAGAAGCAAATAAAATTTTTGAATAGATTTTATACTTTTTGATCATTTGATATAATTCTTCAAAGTTTTTAAATTGTAAACCGATTTGTGATAAGTATTCATCTTTGGAGATGAAATGCAAGATTTCATTTGTAAATTTATTACATGTGGCATTTGAAGCTGAAATGAAAGTTGCCAATAAACCAGTAGCAACAATTTTGATATACCTATCCATAAGACAGCTTTTAACCAATTCAGTATTTAAATTTGATAATATTTTCCTAATTAATTCCTATGGAAGCTCATGTAAACCAGTTATCAAATTGTACGTGTCAGTCATTTGATTAATTAATTTTAATTTTTAGATACGAGATCTAAATTAAGGAGAAAAAAATTATTTATGGTACGGCGTTACCATAATACTACAAATTTATCATTTCATTAAATATTAATATATTAAATAATTTCATGCTAATCTATTTATCTTTCTTTTTTTCTTCTTCACTTTCTTCTTCAGATTCATTATCACTTCTTTCATCTTTTTGTTCACCAGAAACAAATAATCTATATAATATTCTAAAGATTAAAAATAACCAATAAATATTTACTAATTGCAAAGCAAATATTAAAAAGAAAGTAATTGGTTGTGAAATCCAACATTTATATTGTTGAGTATCCCAATTTAAGTCCCATTCACCAACTGTTCTAAATTCAGTTAAAACAGAATATAAAATTCTTAAATTCTGATAATGTCTTAAATAAATCCAAACAAATATAAATAAAATGAAAAATTGTGGTGTATAAGCTGAATTTAAATAATTTAAAGTTTTTGATAATGCCAAAAAGAAATCTGAAACATCCATGGTAATATAAACAGCTAAACCCATCCAAGTAAAATGAAATCTATAAGAACACCAAATTAATGCAATTGTTATAATATGATGTAAAACTAATTCTTTAAAATCTTTTCTTGGTTTTTCCAATTGCAAAATTAATACTACTGATTGTTGTGCCCAAAAAGCAGCTTGACCTAAATAATAAATTTTAAAAAAAATATCATGAGTTTTATGAGGATATTGTAAATAAAATGGTGTAGTTTCAAAATACCATAAAGGTAATCTTGACATAATCCATAAACCAAAAGGACCAGTCATACCATAATAAAACATTGCATAAGTTTGTTCCATGAATCTTTTTTGTTTACCTTCTTTTTTTAAACCAAAAAATATTGCCAAAGGTTTTAAAACACAACACATCATAAATTCACGTAAAAATGTGAAGAATATAGCATAAAATCCAACAAATTTAAAATCATTAACACCTTTACCGTATTGATCAGTACCTGCAATATAATAAGAAGGAATCATCATATCTTGTAAAAATTGATGTATTTTACCAGTTGGACTACTAATATAAAAAGTACCATAACTTAATAATAATATAATTAAAGGTATAATCCAAGTTTGTCTATAAGTTAACTCTCTAAAACCATAATATAATTTTTTTGCAATTGCAATATCTGATTTTGAATCTTTTTGTAATTCAAATAATCTTGCATTTGATTTTCTTCTTGATGATTTAGAAGTGTCCATAGTTGATAAAGAAGGTGAAGTATCGCCAACATTAATCTGACCAACAGAAGAAGAACGACGACGACGATTAGTAGTTGATGGAAGTGACGAACTCATTGATGTTATGAGAAATTGACAAAAAAAAAAAAAAAAATAATACAATGAAAACAAATACAAATAAAATGCTAAGATAAATAACGTACATACAATACTAATATAGAGTACATAGCTATAAAAAACACGAGAATTATCAATTATAAAAGACATAGAACCGTGTTAAACTACAGTATATCCCATTTTAAATGGTTGCAAATTCGAGCTGGAAATTGGTAGCATAATTTATAGGGGAAGTTTAATTTAATTTTTATTATCACCAAACCTGTATATAAATAATTTATTATTAACCAAAATTCCTTATGACTTTAGATAATTTAATTAATAAAGCAACAGATCCAACTTTAACTTCAGATAATTGGCAATATATATTAGATGTATGTGATAAAATATCTTCAGATCCTGAATTGCAAACTAAATCTGCTATTTCTATTTTAAAAGATAAATTATCAACCAGGGATGCAAATGTTATATTAAGATCATTATCTTTACTTATTGCTATTGCTGAAAACTGTGGTTCAAGAATGAAACAGGAAATTGCTTCTAAATCCTTTTTACAAGATTCATTAATCAAAAAACTTGATGATAAAAAATTACATATAACTGTTAAATACAAAATTATTGAAGTTTTACAACAATTATATCATAGTTTCCAAAATGATCCATCTTTAAAACCAATGACTGATGCTTATAATAAAGCTAAACTGGAATATCCACAATATTTTAAACAAATACAAGGCCCTTCAAAACCAGCAAAACAAGAAAGAACTCAACAAGATAAAAATAAAGAAGATGAAGAATTACAAAGAGTTTTAAAATTATCATTACAAGAATATGAAAGAGAACAAAATATTAAAAAAGACCATTTAAATAAACCATTACCTGAAACTACAGAAGAAGAAGAAGAAAAGGAAGAAGAAGAACAAACTGTTGCTACTGTTTCCAAAGTTCGTGCTTTATATGATTTAATATCTTATGAACAAGATGAATTAAGTTTCCGTAAAGGTGACGTAATAACAGTTATTGAATCAGTTTATAGAGACTGGTGGAGAGGTTCATTACCAGATGGTAAAATTGGTATATTCCCATTAAATTATGTTACGCCAATCATAAATAAATCACCTCAAGAATTAACAAAAGAATTAAATCAAGAAGATCATTTATTAAATGTTGAACAAAAGAAAGTTGATAAGTTATTACATTTATTAAATCAACCAAATCCAAATGAAGATGAAATAACTCATTTATATAATGAGATTATACCATTAAGAATTCAATTGGGTTATTATATTGATAAATATAATGTTAGAAAAGAGGAATTAGGAGTGTTAAATAATCAAATAACCAATGAAATAAAGGCATATAATGAACTATTAGATAAACTGATATCAAATAGAACAACAAAGACTACTGCTGTATCAACAACACCTTACCCACAACAACCATTTCCCAATTATTCAGACGCAACTGGTAGCAACAGATTTTAATATATAATATTTCTAATATACAGGTATAAAAAAATATATAACCATGACTGATTCATTATATTCACATAGAGAAGATCAAAATAATCAACGATTTGATCACTTAGCTTCTACTTTACATCAATTTAGAAATACTGTTGATAGAGATATACATGGTCAAGTTCAACAAGAAGATAGTTTATTAAATAATTTAAATGAAAATTTTCAATCTTTAATGCATCTGGTTCAAAGAACAAGTGGTGATTTAAGAAATGTAATGAATAGAAATACAAGTTTAACAAGAATAATAGGGATAATATTATTAGGGTTTTTTGTTTTATGGATGTTGTATAAATTAATATAACTACTTACTTTTTATTTACTACATCTGATCCTAATCTATAATTACCAATTGCATTACCCCAATTAATATTTGATCTTGTAACAGGCAATAATCTTCTTAAATTTTTAAATTGTTGTTGATTTAAATTATTAAAATTTTCAATAAGTTTTAAAATAATTTTTGATTCTTGATTATTTATAAAATTGAGTATATTTGATGAGGTTAAATTATCAATTGATCCAGTTACTCCTTCATTAAATTTTAATCTAACATTACCATCTTCAAAATAATGAATATCTAATTTAATTTTACCTGAAATCTCACCATTTGATTTAATTGTATATTTTGAATTCCATTGACCAGTATAAAAATTAGCATTATTTGATCTTTGACCAATCAAAATAACATGAATTGAATCTTCATTTGGGATTATTGTACTTGCAAAAGTTGAAGGATAATAGTCTTGACCATATTGTTCTAATTTATCAACTAGATCATCAAAATAATCTGGATATTGTTGATTTGGTGCATAATCTTCTAAATCTATAATTTTACCTTGTTTAAAATCTACATTGAACAATTGTTTTCTTATATAATCAATATATTTTGAACTTTGTTTATCTTTATTTAAATTTGATATAATATAATCTTGATAAATTATACCATTTTCTTCAATAAAAGATAATATTGAATCATCAATAATTGATTGATCATTAGTTAATTTGTTTATTAAGTTAGATACTTCTTTTAATTCTACTGGTGGTGATGATTCAATTAAAGAATCAACTAGTTTTGATAATTTAATTGACATGGTAAATGGTGGTAATTCTGGATAAAAATATAGTAGTGTATTATTGAACAAATTGATAAAAAATCGGTAGTGTAATTTTGACAAAAATGCGTTAATATTTTAGCATGCAGTTAACAGTTACTGATTATATAGGTTATTTGACTTTCTCAAATTTGACTTTGGGTAAAGGATTGGTTAAATATGTTGATAATATCATTTTTATATGCACACCATTTATTCCAATAATAAAATCAACTAAAGAAAGTAGTACTTACTTCAAAGCTCTTGATTTCAAGTAAATAGTGTTTATCTCGCGGATATATTTTGCTCATGCTAAACAAGCCAATGGGTTTAGTACGAGTCGTCTCAAACTAGGGCGAAAGATTACTGTCCTTGGACCAATTTTTCGCGTTAAACTTACATGTAAGCCGATAAATGTAATACGAGTTCGCCTCAAGCATAGTGCGAAAAATTATTTTCTAGCTTTCAATCATGAGGCCTCAGTTCATATTCATATTAAAGTATAACAGTAACAGATATCTCAAAGTGCATCACATATTATGCAATAACAAGCACGCTATATCATGGCTAACTTTCTAGATAATACTAGTTATCTAGTTAATGTTTACAATTTTGTAAATCAACACACTTGATAGCGAAATACGCTGCCGAATTTGCACGAAAAGTGTTATTAGTTCTCGCCCTGAGTAAAAGTCTCCCCGGCCATGTCCTCGTTTTACTTAGCTCGACTGTTCTTGTTGCAGCTAAAAATTCTGACAGAATTGACTTATATGCAGTATCGCTTAGTTTATTTCAAAACTTGGATTGTAAATAACTTCCTCAATATTCAAATTTTGAGAAGGAAAGTTTTGAATTTATAAGATCAGAAACTTTAGAGTAAATTCATGGCAATATCTTTTGAAACAACATACTTTTGATTATTTCATTCTCTTTTAAAAAATTGGCAAAAAACGTTGTTTTCGAAGATAATTAATACCTAGATCTAACTTTGCCACTTCTAATATAGCTGATTTGGTTTATTCGACCTCGAAGATTTTTGTGCATAACGTTCTTAAGATGCCAAAATCATTTTGAAATTTCAATTTCAATGTAAGTCAGACTAAAATAGGTTCAGCATATTAGTCAGAGGTATAAGATATATAAAATTCGATGTTTAATTGGAAGTTATGGTCCTAAATTTCATGTACTTTGCAGTTTTGGCAAATCTTTTGTATGATGAAAAATGGCCAAAATGACAACTCAAAAAAAACCATATTTGAATTTTAAAGCTTGATATATGTAATTTATATAGTTCAAAGCTCGCCATTTCGAATAAATGTTTTTAGAGAAACTATGCTGCTCTTGACGTACAAGACATTACAGTTAGTACGGATCGCCCTAAAGATTGCGCGAAGAAATAGTTTGCAGCACCAAATAGTCGCATTAAAGTAAACATATTTTTAACAAATTTGACTTATATGCAGTCTTGTAGAAGTTGATCATAAAACTCAAATTATAATTCAACCATTAATCTCATTCTATTAGTTTAATTATTTCATCATATTCATTATCGTATCTATTTAACTTAATAAAAATGCACCAGCACCTTCCTTAATTGCAATTAATAATTTTTCTTTCAAAATTTCTTTTGAATTATAATTTGGTAATTTTAAATAATTATGACAAGTCATTGCTGATGGTAAACTATTTACATTATCTTTTTTAACAATTGTTATTTTAAAATTACCCATCGGTTTTCTAGGACTACCAGTTAAAAACATCATAAATTCTCTAACTTCCTCTTTTTTAAATTCACTTAAAACTTCAATTAAATATTTAATAACTTGACTTTCTTTTGAATATCCATGATCCGCAACAATACAATTTGATATAACATTATAAGAAAAATCTTCTTCTAAGGAACCAAATAAAATTGATAATTCTGAAGGACTAAAAATTGATAAATTACCAAACGGGAAAACTTTTGAAAACCCATCTATAAATGCTTTACATTGTGGTAATATACCATGAAATAAACTAACTTCAATTACTTTTTGAATATATTCATCTAAATTATCATTTGTAACTTTGTTTTTACCTAATGAATAACTTTCACAACCTGGTATTATATATGATAAACCTAATTCATCAATTGATTTACCTTGATTTCTATATTCAATTAATTTCTCAAATGAATTTGCCAATTTTATATCAACTAATGCTAAATTTTCTAAATTGGCTATTTTTTTAATTATAAGTTTATGGCTTGTACCTAAATTAATCATCTGAATTAATTCTAAAAAAATTGGATTAAAATTAAAATCAATTAATCTTGAATCTAATAAAGCTCGAGCTATAAATTTCCCCAATGATGAAAAAAAATATAAAATCTTTTTACCATTCTCAGAAGTAATTTGTTGTTTAGATAATACCATTGGAAATAAACCTTGCAAATTATAAATATATTCATCTTGAGTTTCATCAGGTCTCCAAAGTTTTAATTTTTTTTTACAAAATTCTTTTGAAACAGTGGAATAAAATTCTAAGGTTGGACCTAAACCTGAACCTACTTCATCAAAATATTCAATTTCCAAAATACCTGGAGTAGTTCCATATAATTCTAAAACTTTCATTGCACTTTGTAACATCATTTTACGAGATATCCGAACTTTATGTCTTGTTGGTCTACCTAATTCACCTTCATTACCACTTCTTAATTGCCAACTATGAATTAATCTAGAATATCCATAGGATGTTGATTGCAAAAAAAATATTCTTGTTTCCATTGGATATAAAAATGGAAAGTTTTTAGTTGAATATATACTCCAAGAAGGAAGCAATCCACTAGCTACCACTAAAATTTCTTCAAGTTGTCGCCTTAATTTATGTGATAATTTGAAATTATTAAATTCTTTTGCAGGTAATTTTGTATTCATTTTGAATAAAATTTTCAATAATTTAAGTATATCAGAAACAAATCTACCCAAAACTTCGGGTGTGTTATTAGTAACTGACATGTCAGTAACTTTTACATCCCTAAAAACTTTTCTAAAACTAACTTCATGTACATTTGAAAATATAGTTCTTGAATCAACCGATTTTTCAGTTTTTTCTTGTAATGATTTATAAATTGCACCATAAATTGTTGTTTCATTGGGTATAACTTCACCATTCATTAAAAATTCAATATTCATTTCATCAAATTTAAATCTATTTTTAAGAAATTCATAAACCGTTTTAAATGTTGCAATTGCATGAACTGATAAAATTAATTCTAAATTTTCATTATTATCTTCATTAAATAATTTTAATTTAACTTGATTTGCCATTGATGCTTGATTTTCTTGTTGATTGGTTGATATAATTTCAAATGATTCTGATCTGGTTAATGCTTCTTGTAATTTTGAAATTAAAAATCTTGCATCTTCTGCATCATTTTGAAAAAATACTTCTTTGAATGTTTTTTGACAAATATCTTCTTCAAATAAATTTAATAATGTTTCAATTAAACCAGCATTTAATAATTCAAAACTGGATATTTGTACACCACTTGAAGCTCCATTTATTGCAAATTTTAAATTATTCCAAATATCAACCCATTGTAATTTGTTAATTCTATTCTTTTTAATAAGTTTAAATTCTTCAAGTATTTTTAAATGTTCCGGTATGTTATTTTCAACTTTAGTTGATAGGTATAATTCTTCAATTTGAGTTGCATATTTTAAAATATTTGAATAAATTTCTCGACTTGATAAAAAATCATAATTAGATCTTGGTTCGTAATCCAATTTTTTTTCTTTAACTTGAAGTAAAATTTGTAATGTATCACTTATAATTCCTTCTTTTTCGAAATATGGTATAAATTCCGGCGACTTTTTGAGTATATTATGAGTAATTTGTAAAGCTGATTTTAAATGCATTAATTGGGGTAATTTTGAAACATCTTCTTTTTCAACATCACTATCTTCATCGTCATCTTCCATATCTTCATCTTCGTCTTCATCGTCATCATTATCCTCCTCCTCTTCCTCCTCATCATCATCATCATCTTCATCCACACTTTGTTCAACACGTATACAAGAATGATATAGATTGACAACTGATGCTAATATACCTGCTATCTTTCCAAAATTATTAATCTTTTCATAATCAATTTCTGATGTGATAATTTTATAAATATTGATAAAAACCTTTCTTCTCAATTCTAAATCCATTGTTGCTTGAAAACTTAATAAAAGAAAATCCCAAACTTCATTAACAAATTTTAAATAATCATTAGCAATTTCTTTATATAAATGAACTCTTGATTCATTAATTTTCCTTCTTTCATCAGTTTCTCTAAATTCTCTTATATACAATGGTTCTGTGTAATTAATAGGTAGTAAAATTCCTATTAAAATCATTACATGTATAGTTGTCTCTTTCAAATTCATTAAATTTTCAATATTTAAATTCTTTATCAAATCCTTTATTAAATTATTCGTTATGAAATTTTTCGTAATCTCTATACTTGTATTTACCAATATATTCAACGATTTTAACAATATTAAACTTGACGATTCACTTATTTTATTTGATTTATAATTTGCAATTACATTTACAATTTGTTTAAGTAAATCTAATTTTTCATCAAATAATTCTTGTAAAAATTCAGGTTGATTTTTAAAACTTTGTATTATTCTTGCAATTGAAATATAAGCATTTTCAACAATTTGATTATCTTGATTATTCAAAACATCAATTAAATTTCCAATTATATCTTTAATTTTATTAAAATTAGTAATAGATATATTTTCAGTAGTATTTTTAATAATTTTCATAATTTGTCTTTGAGTATGAATTGTATAAAAATCAAAAAATAAAAAACATTTAGATAATCCATCATTTTGTATAATTGAATTATGTGATATAATTTCTTGACTCATTATTTCTAAAGTACCTAAAACTTGTTCTGTTAAATCGATATATTCTATATTATCCAATTTTGAGCAAAGTATTGGAATTGAATGTAATGTATTATGAATAAAATCTTGATTAACTTCTAAATAATTATATAAACATCTACATGCAACTAATTGCAATTCTAATTCTTGTTGAAAATTTTCATTATTTAATATTGCAATTATATTTGATCCTAAATTTGTTGGTAATATTCTTTCTGCAATTAAACCATTCATCATTAATAATCTTTCACTTAATTCATTTAATGATTCCATAACTACAAAAGTGTCTGATGAGTTTAAATTGTTATTTAATGAATTAATTTCTGATGATTCTGGTATATTAACCAGTTGAATCATATTTAGAAATGATTCCATGGTTGGTTGATAAGAATAATTACTTAGATTGATATACTAAAAAAAAGAAAAAACCGAATGGCAAAAAATCTTGTCGTGAAAAATTCTGGAATTAAAAAATCCGACATTACATATAAAAGTAGATTAATCGACACTAGATATTTGTGAGTTGATTGAAAGATGTATCCTTTGATTGAAGCTGTAATTCAGTTAGCTTGAAACTCTAGTGTATAGTGTTGTAATTCTTCCTTTCAATAAGTGTATCATATAATATTTCATTATAGCTAGGGAATGAGACTCTCGGCTTGAAATTTTGAAGAGCTTTGATTGTTTATCAAATTTGTGTCTGTGCTTGATCGGATCAACAGTATGGGTCCTGTTTCATTCAAATTTATCAACTTCGATCTTAAGGGGTAATTAATAGAGGGCTAACGAATGAGAAAAAATTAAAAAAGCGGAAAAATTGCGCTTTGAACATAATTATGAAACATCTAAGCTACCAAGTGAGGCTATTTTGTTACCACATAAATTTTTCACACAACCCCAATTTATCTCTCACGATGTCATGATATCGTTTGTCAAAATAAAACATAATTCAAATAAAATTCGAGCATGCTACTTAACTTACGTGAAATGTATTCAAAAAATACCCAGACTTTTCCAAAATTCAGGATATATACAATCTGGAATTTTGGAAAAACGCTGATAGCTTCAAAGAGTTAGAAGTGAAATATCTAGTCTAATTAACCGTACTGAGATATTGAAGAATCTATTTGAACAGAATCTTTAATGACTTTAAAGTGAAAATGAACAACCTTAGAGCCTCAATTTGATGTATTAGCGAGCATTTCCTCAATTCTAAAGCTATTTTGACTTCTTGTGGAATGCAGATTATTTAGTAAACTGATTTTCTGTTTCAGAGTTTTTTTCATATTTGAATTCACCGAGAAACCGTATTGGCTGTACCATACTTTAATTAATATTGGTAAATGCACGAAGCTCTATTAATATGGTTCAGCCACACCATCTGATAAATCTAGATTCATTGACATTTGGTCTATAAGATTAAAAAAGTCTACAGAGTTTTATGGAACTATTCACTATTTTGCTACGAAATTTTCAAATTATCAAGCAGTAAGCTTTCCCTTTTATGTTCAATTGACGTTTTTCCTAATTATACTGTAGTTATTTGTTGTTAGTTTTCTATTGTTTATTTAATGTAACATTTACTATTCTAGTAAATTATTAACAACTATCAAAATAAAAAAAAAAAAATAAACGAGCAGAAAAAATAAAAAAAAAAAAAAAAAAAAAAATAAAAAAATAAATAAATAAATAAATAAATAAATAAATAGTTTTCAATTTACAACTAATAATTATGTCAGAGATATATATTGTAATCAAAAATTTTACAAGTCGTCTTTCAGATGAACTTACATTAAAGATTGGTGATAAAATAGAAGTATTAAGTGATGATTCAGAATATAATGATGGTTGGTATTTTGGTAAAAACTTATTAAGTGGAGAAGTTGGTTTATACCCTGCGTCTTTTACAACAAAATTTGATGCTGATGTGAAACCAACTATTATGAGATCTAGATCACGTTTGAATAAAGCTAATGTATTACCTAATATGACTATTAATTCATCAGAAAAATCAGTTGAAAATGTATCGACAGAGAAGTTATCACCAGTATTGGATAAAAATGGTACAGATAAATTTTCGCCAATATTGAATAAAAATAATACAACAGATTCATTTGAAAAATCTACAACTCATACGAATCAAACAACTAATTCCGCAGTTGGTAGTAATGTTTTACATTGGACACCAGAAGAAGTATCAACATATTTAAAATCTCAAGATATAGAAGAATCAACTGCTAATTTATTTATTAAACATCAAATTAATGGTGAAATTTTATTGGAATTAGATCTTGCACACTTAAAAGAAGAACTAGAGATTGCAAGTTTTGGTACCAGATTTAAAATTAATAAATTAATTCAAGAACTTAAAACGAAATTAATGCAAGAAAATGATATTTCTTCTACTTCGAATAAATCAAATGAATCACCATATACTGAAACAACTACAACAACCACACTCATGCCATCTGCTGATTTTAAAAAACCTACTGAAGAAGAATTTTTTAAAAGGACGTCTAGTGTTTATGATAATAGAGCAAGTGTTAATGGTCATAAAAGGCACAGTTCGTTATTTTCCTTTTTAAATGAAAGTAATTTAAATGAACCTTTTAATGATACAACTTTAAGTTCCCCACCAAAAATTAATGCATCAGCAGATCAATATTTAGATATTGATAATACTGAATTAAGTCCAAGAAAAAGAGTTGAAGTTCGTTCACAAAGTGAAAGCGCAGCTATTACAAATTTATCTAATCAAAGGCCTGGTGCTTCAAGATTAAAAAGTTTAAGAACTACATCTACTCAAAATTTTAAAAATTTCACAGGTTCAAGAAAACTGAAAACTTCAGCTTTTCAAGAAGGTATACGTGATATTACACCTGATGAAGCTATTAAATCAGCAAATTATTCAGGTTATATGTCAAAAAGATCAAGTAATACATTAGCATGGAGAACAAGATATTTTACATTACATGGAACAAGATTATCATATTTTACATCATTAAAAGATAAAAGAGAAAAAGGTTTAATTGATATTACAGCTCATAAAGTTATACCAATAAATATTGAAGAAGCTGAAAAATCAGATAAATATGCTGCAATTTATGCATCTACAACATTTGCTGGTAATTTTTGTTTTAAATTAGTTCCACCAGCACCAGGTTTTAAAAAAGGTTTAACATTTACCCAACCAAAAACTCACTATTTTGCAGTTGAATCAGAACAAGAAATGAGAGGTTGGGTAAAAGCATTAATGACTGCAACTATTGAATTTGATGATAGTGTACCAGTTGTATCATCGTGTAGTACACCAACAGTTAGTTTGTTAAAAGCACAAGAGTTATTAGCAAAAGCAAGAGAAGAAAATAAATTAAAAGATGAAGAATTAAGATCAAAAGGTTATTTAAGAGATCAAGAAGAATTTATAACAAATGAAGTACCAAAATTAACAATAGATACAAAGAAATTATCATCACCAAAAACTCCACAATTGACAAAATCGACAAGTCAAAATGGATTTGCATCACCATATTTATTAGCTTCGGGGTTGTTATCACCAAGATCAGGTAATCAAAGTTCACCAAATGATTCAGGATCTGGTTACTTTGAGAGATCCAATTCTCAACCACCATCTAGACAGAATTCCCAAATGTTAAGTTATACAAGTGATGGATCAGAATCTCATACATTTTATATGAATAAAAAAAAGTAGTACTTTACAATATATAATATTTTTTTAATGCGCAAAAATTATAACAAACTATTACTATGGACGAACAACCACAACCAATATATTTACAACAATATCTACGATCTTGTATTATAAATTCTATAGATCTGTTTAATTATAAGAATGCTGAATTTCTAAGTGAAAGATTATTATCAGTTAATAATGAATTGGATTCCATATATTTATATTGTTTATCATTATATAAACAGCAGAAGATTAAGCTGTGTTATTTTAAATTAATAAATACAAATTTAAATCATTTAGGTTGTTCATTTTTATTTGCAAAATGTTGTTTAGAATTAGGTAAATATAAAGAAGGTATATATCAATTAATTAAAGTTGAAAATTTATACGAAGGTATTCAATCAAAATATGAGTATGAAAATAATAGAGATATTATTCCTGATTCATCTGCAATATATCATTTATTAGGTGATTTATATAAATCAATCAATGATGTAAAGAATAGTGGTTTAAATTATACCCAAAGTTTAAAATTAAATCAATTTAATTTTGAAGCATTTCAAGAATTATGTAAATTGGGAGTAAATGTAAGAGTTAAATCTATTTTTAAAAGTTTTAATGATTTATCAAATCCATTTAACTCAAAATTGAAAACTCCAACTGATGAATTTAATTTTTCAACACCAAGAATTAAAACTGAACCATTGAAAAAGTCAAATTTAAATACAAATAATGATTTTGAATTTACGAAACCAACTAAGAATAAAACATATTCAAAAATAACATCAAGATTAATACTGGCACCACAAGAAACTCCAAAGAAAAGGACATTAAAAAGAAATCAAGTGGAAACTGTAAATACAGCATCTACAAGTTCAACAAATTCATCGATAACAACCACCAAAGAAATTGAAAAAAGTGAGAAACATTTATTAAAATTAATTACAATATTTGCAAAAGGTTTTAAAAGTATGTGTAAATATGATTGTTATAAAGCTATACGAATATTGGAAAGTTTAAATGAAACAGAGAAAAATTCACCTTGGGTTTTAGCAAAATTGGGTAGATTACATTATGAAATTGTAAATTATAAACAATCTGAATATTATTTTAATAAATTAAGAAGTTTAGATCGTACAAGATTAGAAGATATGGAATATTTTTCAACTTTATTATGGCATTTACATAAGAAAGTAGAATTGACATATTTAGCAAATGAATTACATGATTTAGATTCACAATCGCCAATAACTTGGTGTACAATTGGGAATTTATTTTCATTAACTCATGAGCCAGATGAAGCAATACGATGTTTTAATAAAGCAATTAAATTAGATAAAAAATTTACATATGCTTATACATTAAAAGGTCATGAATATTTTGGAAATGATAATTATGAAACAGCATTGGAAAATTTTAGAATTAGCTTATTATTAGATCCAAGACATTATAATGCATTATATGGAATAGGAATGGTTTATATAAATCTTGGAGATTATGAAAAAGCAGATTATCATTTTAGAAAAGCAGTTTCAATTAATCCAATAAATATTATATTAATCTGTTGTGTTGGAATGGTTTTAGAAAAATTAAATAAAAAATCATTAGCTTTAAAACAATACGAATTAGCAAATAAATTACAACCATTAAATCCATTACCAATTTTTAAAAAAGCACAATTATTATTTAGTCAGCAACAGTATAATTTAGCTTTGAAGAATTTTGAAATTTTAAAAGATCTTGCACCAGATGAAGCAAGTGTACATTTTTTACTTGGTCAATTATATAATATTCAAAATGATAAATTTTTTGCTATAAAAGAATTTACAATAGCATTGAATTTAGATCCAAAGGGTAATTATTTAATACGAGAAGCAATGGAACTGTTGAAAGATAAATAGGAACCGTAATAATGCACGTTACACTATAAAGTTTACGTTATACTATAAAGTTTATGTTATTTGGACCCTCCATTCGTCATGTCCTGCATATAAGTGATCTAAAGATTATTTGTTTCGTAAACAAAAACTTTTGAAATATTGTTTCATAATTTATCATTAAATGATTCTAGTGTTTCTACTATTAATAACACTTATTTATGGGTTTAATGTTGGATTCTCTCCCAATTATTATCAATTTGGTGATAAGGTTGATTTATTAACTAATAAAATTGAATCTGACAAAACTCAATTACCTTACAGTTATCATAAGTTACCATTTGTTTGTCCTCCAATGGATGGAGCAAAACCTGTTCATTTATCATTAGGTGAAATTGTAAAAGGTGATAGGATATGGCAAAGTGGTTATGAATTAAAATTTGGTGTAGATACGCCATGTAATAGATTATGTGATTTAAGAGCCAGTGAACGTGGAATATCAAGAGCTGATCAATTAATTAAAGATGGTTATGTTATTCATTGGTTAATTGATGGTTTACCAGGTGCTACTACATTTGAAAGTTCAAATCAAAGAAATAAATATTATGCTGCTGGTTTTCCCCTAGGTTTTGTAAATCAAGGAATTAGTTATATATATAATCATGTAATGTTAGTTATTAGATATCATCGTGAAAAACAAGGAAATGTTATAGTTGGATTTGAAGTATATCCTAAATCAGTTATAAATGAAGAATGTCCAGGTTCTTCAAAAGATTTTCAAAATTTTGCATTGAAATATAGAAATGATAAACAGGGGAATTTAATTAAAGAAAAAACATTAATACCGTATACTTATTCAGTTTATTGGAGAGAAGATAAATCTATAGATTATGAATCAAGATGGGATTTATATTATGAAAATGATTCTGGTCATGTTCATATTCATTGGATTTCATTTATTAATTCATTAATTTTAATTGCACTTGGTTCGTTAATTGTTCTGATTGTTTTAATAAAAGTTTTAAAAAAAGATATAAAATCACCAGCTACATTACCTATTAATAAAGAAGAACCAAGCTGGAAAAATTTAATAAATGAAGGTAATTCATCACCACCTGGGGTTTTATATTTAACAATTTTAGTTTCTGGTGGTATTCAAGTACTCATTACTGCAATTGGAATTGTAACATTATTGACTTTACCTTATCATCAAAGTGCATTTGCATTATCAATAATTTGTTTTATACTATCTGGTTTAATTAGTTCATATATTGGAATGGTTCTTCATAAAGTTTTTAACAATGATAATTTAAATCAACCTTATGATAATTTTAAATCAATTATATTATCATTATGTTTTACTGCTGCTATTCCAGTAGCTATATTTTTATTTATTTTAATTTTAAATTTCTTTGTATGGTTTAAAGAAGCTTCAACCGCATTACCATTTGGTACTATAATTGTATTTATATTAATTTTTATACTTATTCAATGTCCATTTGGTATAATAGCTGGAACATATGGAAATAAAAAGAAATTTGATGTTAAATCACAACCCAGTGAAAAATCAAAATCAATATTAAGTTTTAGACAGACAATTTCAACATATTTTAAAAGAGTTGTAGTTTATGGATTAATACCGTTTGGTATTGTTTATGTTGAATTATTATTTATCTTTAACTCAGTTTGGCTAGAGAAAACTACATTTTATTACATGTATGGTTTCCTTTTTATAACTACTATAATGCTTATTATTATCATTATGCAATCATCGATTATATCCATCTATATTTCATTAGTCATTTATAATGATCCAAACTGGTATTGGTTATCATTTCAAGTAGGTTCGAGTATTGGATGGTATATTTACATTTATTCAATTTATTACTTTTTCAAATATTTAAATGTTGATGATTTTGTAAGTATATTATTATATTTTAGTTATATGGGTATAGCGAGTTTCTTAATTGGAGTTGCTGGTGGAGCTATTGGAGTTTTAACTGGGTTAATTTTCATACGAAGAATTTATAGAGCAATTAAATTAGAATAAATATATGTAACGTTTCATTTGTATATTTTGTTTGTATTTTGTTGTTTTGTTTAATCTAATGATGAAGCACCAGTAATAATATCGACTAATTCATTAGTAATAACAGCTTGTCTTGTTCTATTATATAAAATTGAATAACTATTGATCATATCACCAGCATTTTTAGATGCATTATCCATAGCATTTCTTCTTGCAGAAATTTCGGAAGCATAACCTTCAGCCATTGCAGTTAATAAATTATTTGCTAATGAAAATTCAGATAAATCTTTTGTAATTTCTTCATTTTCTAATTCATATTTATTAATACCAGGAGCATTTGCAATTGCATCTGAAGTAAAAATTGAAAAAGTAGATGGTTCAAATGAAACACCAGAAACAAATTTATTATATAAAATTTCAACATTTTCATATTTACCTAATTTTGAAATTTCGTCAACAATTAAAGCAACTTCAGTAAAATTTGGAGCTTCTTTACCAACACCATTAAAAGCTAATTTAACGTTATCACCATGAGTTCTTGTCAATTGAGCTTTAACTTTATCACCAATTGCAACAATATCAACATTACCATTTAAAGCTTGAGCTCTTTTTCTTGCAGATTTTGAAATTTGTGAATGAATTGAACCACATAAACCTTTATCTGAAGAAACAACAATTAATAAAGTTTTATCTTCTGGAGTAGTGGCTGCTTCAGCACCTTCTTCTTTTAATTCTTCAGTTTTTGCAGGATCAGCATTTTTGTTAAATTCAGCTTCACTTTCATTAAAAACTCTTGAAGCTTGCATAGCTCTTTGAGCTTTATTTAATCTGGTTGAAGCAACAATTTTCATAGTATTTGTAATTTTTTCAATATTTTTAATTGATTTTAATCTCATTTCAATTTCTCTTAAAGTAGCATAATTTCTGAAAACCCAGTTAGTAACAAATTTTGGTGATTCCTATTGTAGTTAATTAACATACCTCGCTTGTGGAGCTGCCGCTCTAGCAATTTGTTTTGCACCTAAACGAAACATGGTTGGTGGTAAATGTTGTCAATATTAATTTTTTTTCAGCTATTGAATTTTGTTTAGTTTAGAAAAAATCGGGTAGCATTTCTTTATTCATTTTAATTGGGCCAAAATATTGGTCCATATTACACGACTATATATAAAACAAATAGAGATATGGAGTATAACTGAAGTTTATATATATTGATTATAATATACATTGATGGTTTGTTGATACTGGTTGTTTTTTCTATTGGTGTTGTAGCTCCTGGGGCATAATTCGTGATATTTTGAAGATTTGAAAAGTTGTGATTATATGCATTTTTTGAAGAGTAGTTGACTTATTTACTTGGGTCATTCTTTTGATAACCTTGATAACCTTGTATTGGATAAGATTCCAACATTTTTAAGTATTTTAATATTAATGATTTACAATTTCTACTTGCATCATCATGATGATATTGTCTACATTTTCTGACAGCTTCGTGAGCTATTTTTAATTCTGAAACTTTAATCCATTGTTCTCTTAACATTGATTTTCTTGCATCTTCAACTTGTTTTAAATTTGAATAATTAATATCATCAAATGATACTAAATCTGGTCTTTTATGATATTCATAACTATCCAATTTACCTAGGAGGGAAGTTAGTATTTGATTTGATTTGATTTCTTCTCTTTCTCTGTCTTTAAAACATACCCATTATGTTACTATATTATATAAGTTCTGTGTGTATTATGGTAATCTATCAAAAATAGTATATATATATTTTGTCTTTATGTATAATATGAAAAACATCAAATTTAACTGGTAGCTTATGAAAATTTACCATTTATACACGCACCATTGAAAATTATATATTTATTGATTGTTGCAACAATTGATAATCAATTGGTTTTATAATGACTGAGGATGTAAAGTCAGTTGAAAGGGTGACCGGTAAGCTGGAATTATTCGCATTTAATGCTAGTATAATAGCACATCTTCACACTTTATTTGCATCATCATCTTTTATATTTGCATTATTAGTCGGTTGTTATTTACATTATTATAAAATTGTTAAAAATGCTTCTTTTGGTTATCCTGATGAATGGTTCCCAAGTGTTTCTGCTACTATTGGTGATAGATATCCTGAAAGATCTGTATTTCAAATTATTATAGCATTGACTGCTGGTCCAAGATTTTTATTATTAGCGTTTAATTTTATTACTTTATTTAAACAAAATTCTTATTTACCTTATATTGGTTTAATTTCAGGTACTTTACGAACTTTTACTGCTGGTGGTTGGATGTATATTACTTCGACAGATGATCATGATGCTCATGATGTATTTATGATTAGTTATATGGTTTTAACTATACCTTGGACTATCATAAATACTTTATTATCACCAAAAGGATCATTTCAAAGAAATGCAAGGTTTTATTCAGCTTTTAGTTTTTTCAGTACTATTATTCCATTAATTTATTGGTTTATTCAACATAAAGTACATATTAGACCGGGTGCTTATTCAATTTATGCATATTTTGAATGGGGATTAATATTCTTTGACATACTTTTTGATTCTTGGTCAGCTATAGATTTTAAAAAAATAGATATAAGTATAAATTCAAATGGAATTGAATTTAAAAAACTGGAAACTAAACAAACTACAGTAGTTAAAATTAAGGAAGTTGATAGTATTGATACATCACATTTTATAATCAATATCATTAATTCATATATTTGTTGGACAGTTGTAACTTCTTTATTTTTATGTGTTTGGTATTTCCCACTATGGTATATGGGTTTATCTGGATATGAAGCAGTTATTACATCAATGTTTATAGCTCCATTATTAATTTATCCAAAATTTATTCAAAATTATTTAATTCAATATCCTCAAATAACAAGATTTTTAACTGTTTTATTTGGTATTGGAGCTTATAAAATTCAAGATCCTGAACAAAAATTGATTTCAATTACAATTGCAAGTATATTTGGTATAATTTCAACTATTATTGAATTTCAAGCAATTTCCAATTCTCCAAAGAAATTAAATTCGTATATTACTTCATTTATACTTGGTTTATTAACAACTTCAATTTTTAAATTTATGAATTATTCAAATAATCCAATTTGGCCAATTATGCATAAAGAAAATGGTGGATATAATGAAATTGGAATAATATTAGGATTATTAGCTGCTTCATTTACAACTACGAATAAGCAAACACCAACAAAAATGAAACCTACTGGTTCCTTGATTTTAGGTGCTATTGGTTTTGGTGGTTATTATTTTTCAATTTTTTCTTATTTATCAGATTCAGGTACTCTTGCGTTATGGAGTTGGGATGGATTCCCAATTAAAGGGCCAACTCCAATAACTGGAGCAATTCCACATTTTACAGCATTTATTTTGGGTGTGTTATTAATTATTAAAAAACATCCAAATTTTATAAGTAGTTGGAATTATAATTTAATAATTGGTGGTGGATCAGCTTTTATAATGTATTATTTTAAAAATTGGTATGGTTTTATCGGTAGTTCAATTTATACATTTTATTTAGTTTCAATAACTCCAATTATTTTCCAATCAATTCAAGGTTATAATTTATCAATTTCATTCTTCATTGGATTTTTTGTAAATATTATATTAGCTTTAGGAAGTGTTTGGATTGTTGCTTATGCTTTCGTCCCTGGTGGACCATTATTAAGAGAAAGATCAGATATAATTTTGACAGCTTCTTATTTATCTATACTTTGTGGTGTTGCAAATTATCAATTTAAAAAATTAGAAATTACAAAAATCAACTTTAATAGTGTTAAATTAATTAAACAAACAACAACTATATTAACTATATTATCAGTAATTATAATAGCTACATTTATAAAAAGATATCCTTCAGAAGTACCAAAACCTTATAATTCAGATTCTCAAAGTTTTACTACTGGTATTTGGTGTGTTCATTTTGGTTTAGATAATGATATGTGGTCAAGTGAAACTAGAATGTTAAATTTAATTAAAGAAGCAGAAGTTGATATTATTGGATTATTAGAAACTGATACACAAAGATTAATTGGAGGTAATCGAGATTTTACACAGAAGATAGCTGAAGAATTAGGAATGTATGTTGATTATGGGCCAGGTCCAAATAAACATACATGGGGAGCAGCATTATTATCTAAATTTCCTATAGTTAAATCAAGTCATCATTTATTACCTTCACCAGTTGGAGAATTAGCACCTGCAATACATGCAACTTTAGATATTTATGGTCAATATGTCGATATTGTTGTATTTCATTCTGGTCAAGAAGAAGATGTAGAAGATAGAAGATTACAAAGTTTAGCATTGGAAGAAATTATGTCGAGTTCTTCAAATCCAATGATTTTATTAAGTTATTTAGTTACTGAACCTTTGGTTGGAAATTATAATACTTATGTTTCTGAAAAATCAAGAATGTATGATATTGATTCTACTGATTGGGATAGATGGTGTGAATATATTTTATTTAGAAATGTTAAAAAAGTGGCATATGCAAGAATTTCAAGATCAACTATAACTGATACAGAATTACAAATTGCAAAATTTAAATTATTAAATGATGAGGAATGGATAGATACAGATTTAGATTTTTATTATGGAAATCATTTTATAAATGAAAGTGAAATTGATGAGTCATTAAGAATGCCAAAATTGTTCAGAGGTGATGGAGTTAGAGGTCATAGATATCATGTATTTGATGAACCTAGATATTTTGCACAAGAGAAATGGCAAAGAAAAGTTAAATTACAAGAAGTAGAATGAATGTAAAATCATGTATTTAATAATCCTTGTGCCTCTGCTTCTAATTCATTTTGCTCTGGTGTTCTATCTTGATTACATCTTAATTCATATAATCTAACTATTTTACGAATTCTTTTCAATTGCCAAGTTATAGGTATTATAGGTAGTATTCCATGTTTTTCTTCATATAATTTTAATCTTAACCATATTATAACAAACGTCCAATATAAAATGTAGGCAATTACACTTCCATAAGTTGCCGTATTTGTCCATCCTACCATTGCATTTAAAACCATCCACCAACCATCAGTTAATCCATTACAACAATTTACATGCCATATAGTATTTGAAATATCATATGAACCAGGACCTGAACCAGTTTCACTAATATCTAATCCACCACATTTACGTACAAATGATTCCAATTCTAAAAACCAAACACCTCGACTTATTAAACCAGCACTTACAATATATAAAACACAATTTGAAAATATTAAAAAATATTGTAATGATAATTTATTACCACCTTTATATAAAATATAACCGATAATTGAGCCAAAACTTATACCACAAATTATTGAAAGTGGTATTGAGGTTAATGGTTGTGACATACCTATTCCACCAATGAAAACAACAGCTTCTAAACCTTCACGTAATGTAGTTATTAAAGGTAATATAGCAAGGAAATATTTTTTACTAAATCCAGATTTATGTTTTTTAACCTTATGTTTAATTCTATTATTAGTTGAAGTTAATGGAATACTTTCACTTTCAGAACTAGATCTAGTGCCTCCGTAATTTTCAGGTTGATCTTCTTCATCTGCTAATTTTGCAATTTCTTCTTCTCCTTCTTCATTTATAGCTTGATCATCATAAGCATCGCCTAATTTAATCCACCATTTTAATTTCATAACTTTATTAATTCTTAATAATCCAATACCCATTATGGTAATAATTAAACTTGATAATATTGAAAATATACCTTCCCATAATCTTTCAGTATATGACCAATAATCTTTACCTATAAAATAAAATACAAGAATAAACAAAAGACCAATGATAAAACAAATTAAAAGACCAAGTATAGCACCGAACCAAACTTGAAATTTCAAACTTTTTTGAACTTTATCTAAATTATTGTCAACAGCATTTGTAGTCTGTTTTGTATGAGATCTTTGATTTATAAATGATAACAATACAGATATAATTATAGCAGTTTCTAAAGTTTCTCTTAGAATGATGAAAAATACCTGAATTGAAAAATAATTTTCAAACGCAATCATTTGAAAAGAACCAAATATAGATTTGGTAAGATAAGATTATAAACTTTGATTGTTTAAATGAGTTGATAAGTTTTAATATTTTTCAGTGTTAGAAATTTTTCATTACATAATAATCATGCATCACCTTACATAAAATCTTGATATGCTTTAATAATCATCGTATATTTTATATATTGATATTCTAACTATTCTCTATTGTATTGGAAATTCAATTTGAGCAGTTAAACAAGTAATATATTCATCATCTTTTGTATATGCTCTTGCATTAACTAAATATTTACCTGGTGGAACTTCTTGTGGAATTTCAACAACTTTTGATATAATTTGATTTCCCTTTTGAATTGGACATTCTAAATCAACTTTTTGAACTTCTTCACATAAATCAAATGTTTGATGAACTAATTTAATAAATCCATATCTAACATCAACTTCAACATATGCACCATCTTCAATTGTTTTACTTATATAACCAGTTGCTGTAAATGTTAAATTTGATCCTGCTTTAGGAGGATTAGGAGCAATTATAATTTCTTGTAATTTTAATAATTGTGATTCTTTAAAATCACAAATTTCAATTGGAGAATCTCCAGGTACAGGTTTTGTATTATCTCCACCTGGTAAATTATCAATTGAATATCTATTAAAGGAAAATAATTTTTGAGAAATTGAAACTTCTTGCGGTTTAATTGCTGATAAAGCTTTTAATAAAATTGAAATACATTGTACTTGAGTTAATAATATTGTACATATGAACAAATTCTTGAATGAAACCATCGTTGTTACCTAGTTGTTGATAAGAGAAAAAGAAAAAAAATTGTGTTTGCGTTCTCGCTTTTTGATAAAGTTCCATCTTTATTAAAGTGTGGTTAGTTACACAAAAGTAAAATACTATATTAACCAGTTATTATTAAATTAGCAGTCATTGTATCAAATCTTTCTCTGATTAATTTTGCTTCGATTTCCAATAACTCATGATATATTTCTTCTCCTTTTGATCCATGTTTAATCAACATCTCTTTTAATTTTAATTTTGATAATTTCCATACAATTGAATCATTTACTGTTGTATAGGTAAATTGTCTATATTGTGAAGCATCATCTAAATCTCCAAATGCAACTAATGGTAATATACTTGAATGTAATTCTCTACCTTCACTTTCAAATTTGACTACAGTACGAATTAATCCACTTTCAACTATAAAAAATGCTGGTTCATCATTTAATGTATCATAAAATTGTAAATTTTCAGGTATTGTTTCTTTTATAAAATATGGTGCTAATATGGACCAAAATTCAGTATCTTTATTAGATAACCCTTGAAATGTAATCATAATTAAAGGTAATGGTTGTTTTTTAAATAATGAATTTGAATGATATTTTGATTGAAATTTTTGTTCATCATAAACTGTTCTACTTGCTGCTTGATAAACTTGAGTTGTTCTTGGTGTACCAAATTCATTAAATTTAAATGAATTATTTTGTGATTGAGTATTTATTTTTTGATTTGTTGGTACTTGTCTATGATTAATTTTTTTAACTGATTTATAAGTTTTTAAAAAAGTATTTTCACACCATTCTAATGCATAATTCAAAGAACTAAATAATTCAATAGGTACAATTACATCATCAAATAATCCAGCATCTCTTAACCCTTTAATTGTATCATCTTCTTCAACAACTGATGATATTATCAATTGAGTTTTAAATTCATTTGTTAAATTTAAAATCCTTCTAAATCCTTCAGCTGCTGAAAAATCTAAACTTATAACACCTTTCATATCAACTATTAAATATTTAATTGGATTTAATTTAAATTTATCGTGTTCAAATATTTTTCTAATTTCTTTTTCAACACCTCCTATGGATCCAAAAAATATAGTACCTTGTAATTTAACAATACAAATTTGTTCACCAACATTTTTTAAAAATTCTTGTTGTTTTGGATGTCTTAAAACTGTTGATCTAGCTACACTTCCAGAATATATACCTTGAACAACTGGTGTTCTACCTGCTTCAACAACAAAACTCAAACAAGCTAATAATATCCCAATACCAATTCCTGCAACAAAATCGATTGCTCCCATAGTAACAACTATAATTATAATTGTAGTATATTCAATTTTCCTTAATCTTCCCCATGTATCATAAATTGATTCTTTTAATAATTCATATCCTAATAAATAAATTAATGCACCAACAACACAAACTGGAATATAACCAATTACAATGGGGCCTGCCATCATCACTATACCAGTAGCAATAGCCAACATTACCCCAGCTAATCTATCATCAGCACCTGCTCTAATAAATAAAACTGAATTTGTATAAACTAAATAATTTTGAATTGATCCAACTAATCCAGATAATGCATTTGAATAACCATGAGCAACCAATTCTCTATCAACATCAATTTCATCCATTCCAACAGAAACAGCTAAAGCTGGAACATTTATAGGAACATGTAATATACCAAAAAATGTCAATGCTAACATTGTTGGTAATTGTCTTAATATAACAAACCAATCAACTAATTGAAATTTATATAATGTATAAAAACTATACCATGGTTCATCATCTTCAACTGCAAAAAATACCCAACCATCATTTCTTGCATCAAACAAAGTATAATTTGGTATTAATAAAATAATAAAATGAAATAATATAAATACAGTAATGAAATAAAGTGGAACCATTAATGAATTATGAATTCTATGTTGAAGTAAAACTAAAAATAATGCTAAAATTATTGGAATTGTCCATTCTAATAATGTAATATAATTGAAAAATAAATCTTTAAAAGTTTCATAATCATAATTTAAACCACCTTCTAATCTTGAACTAACTTCAATACCAGTTGCAATTAAGAAATAACCAACACCTCCAATACAACCAACTAAAATATGTCTTGGGAAAAATCCAACCAATATACCTAATTTTAATTTACCAAGTAAAAAAAAGACTAAACCTGTAACAATCGATGAAATTGCATATGATGTAATTGTAGTTGCAATTATTGCATCTTCATTATTTGTTGACATTTCTTTTGATATTGCTAAGGCCATTGTATGAAAGAATGGTGTAACTTCAATCATTTCAGATCCAATACCTGCTCTAAATGCTGAACCACCTAATGAATAAACTAATTGAGAAACAATACATGAAACATAAAACATCGATAATCCAACGGGACCTAGCCCACTAAAAACTTGATCACTTACAGGAAACATAATCATACCATATGATAAACCATCCAAAATATTTAATAAAGTTCCTAAAAAGACGCCGGGTATAAATTTAAAAGGTTTTATAATTAATTGATGTATTGTTGATGGTTCTGGTTTTTCTTCTGGTATACTACTAGACAGTACTTCAGCACCCTCATTATCTGGTTTAGACGGTATTGTTGTTTTTATACCCACTTCTTGCTCATAATCAGGTTTAAAATGTTGTGTATTTTCAGCATAAAATTTTTTTGGTGATGATGATAATGACGATAATAATGGAGTTGTACTTGTAAAAGTTTGAAATGAACTTTTTCTATTATTAATTGGAGTTGGTTTTGAGATTGAATGTATTGATTCATTTTGATCTAGTATTGGTTCTTCAATTACCACATTATTTAAATTTTCATCTGACTCTTCTGAATCTCCTTCAACAACACCTATATTAGCTAAATTTGCAGTTTGTTCATGAACTTCAATACCAGTATTAATTTGTGGAGATATAGTATTTGAAATTATACTTGGTCGATGAACCATGGACACATAACTTCTACCCCCAAAATCAAAAGTTTGATTACTATTATTATTTGAGTTATTATTTATATATGCATCAGTAATTGAATAATTTTTAAGTTTATTAATATTATTATTATTTACATTTACACTTGCACTATTATTTGAAGATTGATCCACCACATAATCATCATTTGAATTTACTGTGGCTGATACATTCTGATGATTTTGATTTTGACTTTGACTTTGATTTTGGCTTTGACTATTAGTATTCTTTGGTGAAGTGATACTACCAAAACTACTTAAAGTATTAAATGAGAATGAACTCATTAAAAAAGTCAATTAGCTAATATTTATTTAAGTTTGATAAATAAACTTGTTAAAGGATTTAAAATGGTTGCCAAAAAAAAACTTTATATTGGAAAAAAATTTCAGAATCAAATGATAAATATATTTTCGAAAATTATGAAACAGTGTAAGATAATCAATTAATTGGTAAAGGATCAAAAAACAATTTAAGGATTCAATACGTTGAAAAAGTTATAATTGAATTTTTATCGGGTCTATCAGTTTTTATATTTTATGTTTTAGCCCAAGGTCTGTCGGTATTATCAATTTATTATTATAAACTAAGCTTATACCTTGCCTTTTCTCATATTTTTTACTTATTTATTAGTCTTGGTGGAACTTAACTTTAAGCAATACTACGTTACTGTATTTATAAGTTAAATAATAATTATATGTTTTCAAAATTTATTACAAAACCATTTCTAGAATACAATACTGATGGAAAAAAAATCTTGAAAACGTTTTTCTTCGTCTAGTTTAATTATCAACAAAAGTCTATTTCTATGGCAGTTAAACTAACTGTACGTTTGAAAGTACAAGTACTTACTAATTCTCATTTTACCTTATCACTTTATCGTTATCAATTTTTCCTTATCAAGTGCATTTTCGCAATTCATTGGGTCTAAATAAAAAGAAATGACATAAAATAATAATTGACAACCGACAATTTAGAAAACTACCAATTACTCTTGATAAACTAATCTCACGTTATTTGATGGTAACTGAAATACCTCTCTTTTCTTTTTCATTATTACTCCAGACGAATATAAGCGAGAGCCCTTTGATTTAATTTAAGTTTTTTATTTTTTTGCAAATATTCAATAATTTTGGACCTTAGCAAATTTCGCAGCCAAACTAAAATCAAAGATAGTAGTATGATACCATCCTAAAAAAGAACACGCTAAGAGACTGAAAGAAAGAGAGTGATAGAAAGAGAGTGATAGAAAGAGACGGAAAGAAAGAGAGTGATAAAAAGAGACTGAAAGAAAGAGACGGAAAGAAACAGATTGAAAGAAAGAGGCTGTAAGAAACAGACTGAAAGAAACCAACTTTGCATTAACTAACAATCTTTGAAAGAAGAAATATAGTATATCAAATTCTAGCTGATTAAGAAGATAGACTTCTCTAAAACAAAATTTATATATTACTCTACTAAAATCTCTCACAAATATAAAATAAGTAGCCACACATAGACTTTTTTAAAAGTCCGCGAATAAGTTGATTCCATTTATTTTTGATTTTTTTGGATGATAATTTTATTATTATCATTAATTAAATTAGCATATTTTGAATACTTACCACCCAATCTGTTGAAAATCATCTTCAAATCAGAATCAATATCTGATTGCTTAACATTTTTATAATCACCACCATACATTAAAGTTAACATATCATGAGCTAATTGTTTGACATCATCCGTGTCTTTAAATTTAACATTTTTGATAGCTGCTTTATGATCATTACTTAAATCGCACCGGCGAGCAGAAAAATCTAATTTTTCGTCATAGTTATAACCCAAAATCTCAGCAATACTAGCATTCACGATATTTTGATTAATTCCGTCAATCGGATCAAGTTCTTTCAATAAATTTAAACCTAAACCTAAGTTGAATAAGCTGAAACAAGCAACAACACCTTTTAAAAAATTAAAACTGACCACCTTGTATTAATGTATCTTTTTCTCACTAGAACCGTAAATAGGTAATGAAATACGAGTAGAAACTTGTTTTCTTAATAAGGAACAGATAAGAAAAAGATAAGAAACATCAAAAAATTGGCAGAAAAAACGTAAATTTATACGGTACAAAATCGTATCAATACTTGAAAACACGTCATTGGTTTATGGTATTAGATGAATTTAAGCCATGTTCAATTGTACAAACAAACTTTTATAATCCACTTTGGTTACTAAAAGTCAATTTAAAAAACTCTATATTAGAAAGCTAGGGTGTCCTCAATTTTATCTTATTGTCTTACAATAAATACCGCGCAATTTTTCAATGCGATGATATGACAGGACCAAAAAAAGAATTCTCTCCCTAGCTTTAGGCCAGCACGTGCTAGAGATAAATTTCATTTACATGAAATCAATCAGCCCTGAACTGTATGGCGTATATACTTCAACTATTTAGTTTTGAAATGTTTTTACTGACCTGTCATTTTGGTCATTTTTCATCATACAAAAAAATTTGCCAACAATAGAAACGCAACATTCTATTAAACAACGAATTATATATATTTTAACTCAAAATAAGGTACTGGGTACAATTTAATCTCACCAAAACTAAAATTGAAAATTTTCAGAATTTTCTTGTAAGTATGGCAAAAATCGAATAAATCGACTTTACAATAAATCTAACACCACAATCAGAATCGTGACGAGAGTATGATAAAAGTATCAGTATTTGTAGTTTGCCATTTTGATATATCTTAAATTTTTTTGTGTTAAGGTAAGCAAAATAGAAAATCAATTTTTCGCAATTGGTTCGAAATTTTTAAAAAAAATTCATTTCTTGAAGCAGTATGGAAACATCTCTGAGGTTAGATAAACCGAATCAACTATATTATAGGTTGATAAATGGAGTCTAAGTGTTAATTATCTCCTAAAATAGCGTTTTTTGCCAATTTTTTGAAGGGGAATAAAGTAATGACATGTGAGCTTATTAGAAAACTATTACATTCAGCTTAATCCAAATGCGCTAGAATTTCAATGCATAAAGTTTGATTAGTATGGCTTGAATTTTGAGAAAATTATTTGCAATTCAGGTTTGAAGATTAAATACTATAAGACTACATATAAGTAAAACATTCCAAAAGTTGATTGTGTTGTATCAAGCTTTCGCCCAATGTGTGGCGAAAAGGTAAATTTGTTGATGAGATGGAGGGGGCCTCATAGAATGATAAGAATCTAGGTTAATTTTTGGCTGTTGGGGATTATGAAGATGTTGCAAAGGAACAGTTTTCATCGAAGGCGAGAATTATCGTACCAGGCCGTGTTAATTTTCTATGCATTGGTCCATATTTCCATAAATAAAAAAACATCCCTTTTCTTGCATAGATTCAAATTTGATTTCATCAGTAACAACATAAATCGCTGAACTTGCCTTTTATATTAATCTCTACTGATTTGTTGCAATACTAGACGACGAAGTAGGTATGTTAAATCTATCGTTAGCAGTTCACGAATTAAAACACCAGGAATAACTATGTTGGAGGTACCACAGTTTGATACGAATTTAAAAGAAAGATGTATCTCATTTACCAGATGAAGTTAATTTTAGACATCAATAGGTAAACTGTTAAATTGAATTTATTTGGTTTAGCCGTTATCTGAAACGTATAGACGGTTTCTTTCTAAAATTAATTTGCAAACAACATCATTGATTGCAAAAGGTAAAGTTGGAATTATTCTAACTTTAAGCAGTATTATTAGAGAGTTGATAGATTAATTTTTATTATCTGGTTGTAGTTAATCGAACCAATGTATAGTTTGTTACGTCAATATGACACCTGCATATAAATTGACCATCCCAAAAAAGGTAACTTGAGATATGACTCAAAATTAACCGCGCTCAAACTAATAAGAGAAAATTTTTTCAATCGATTTTTATAAAATTGAACAAATATATCCTCATATTATATATTTTTAAATAATATAAAATATTATTAATGATAATAACTACGAAGATATTGTCTAATCAATTAAGAACAATATGCAAACAGTCAGTCAAAACAAATTCTCTCAAACATACATATAGATCATTTTCATCATCAATAATAAAGAATCAATTAAAATATGCCGGGGGAGATTTATTAAAAAATTTTAAAGATGAAAATGCATCAAATTTAGTTGATGTTTCAAAAGTTTTAGTCATTGGATCTGGTGGATTATCAATTGGTCAAGCTGGTGAATTTGATTATTCTGGTTCACAAGCTATAAAAGCTTTAAAAGAAGCTAACAAAAAATCTATACTTATAAATCCAAATATTGCAACAAATCAAACTTCACATTCATTAGCTGATGAAATTTATTATTTACCTGTTACACCAGAATATATGACTTATATAATTGAAAGAGAAAAACCAGATGGTATATTATTAACATTTGGAGGTCAAACTGGTTTAAATGTAGGTGTTAAATTAGATAAAATGGGTGTTTTTGAAAGATATGGTGTTAAAGTTTTAGGAACTCCAATTAAAACTTTGGAAACATCTGAAGATCGTGATTTATTTTCTCAAGCATTAAAAGAAATTAATATACCAATTGCTGAATCTATAGCTGTTGTAACGGTTGATGATGCTTTAAAAGCTGCTGATTCAGTTGGATATCCAATAATTGTTAGATCTGCTTATTCTTTAGGTGGATTAGGTTCCGGTTTTGCAAATAATGAACAAGAATTGAGAAATTTAGCTGCACAATCATTAAGTTTAGCTCCACAAATTTTAGTTGAAAAATCATTAAAAGGTTGGAAAGAAGTTGAATATGAAGTTGTTAGAGATCGTGTTGGAAATTGTATAACTGTTTGTAATATGGAAAATTTTGATCCTTTAGGTATCCATACTGGTGATTCTATAGTTGTTGCACCATCACAAACTTTATCAGATGAAGAATATCATATGTTAAGATCAGCAGCTATTAAAATTATTAGACATTTGGGTGTTGTTGGTGAATGTAATGTTCAATATGCATTACAACCAGATGGTTTAGATTTTAGAGTTATTGAAGTTAATGCAAGATTATCAAGATCTTCAGCTTTGGCATCAAAAGCAACTGGTTATCCATTAGCTTATACTGCAGCTAAAATTGCATTAGGTCATACATTACCAGAATTACCTAATCCAGTTACAAAAACAACGTCAGCAAATTTCGAACCTTCATTAGATTATATGGTTACTAAAATTCCAAGATGGGATTTATCAAAATTCCAACATGTTAAAAGAGATATTGGTTCAGCAATGAAATCAGTTGGTGAAGTTATGGCAATTGGTAGAAATTTTGAAGAATCTTTTCAAAAAGCAATTAGACAAATTGATCCAAGTTATATTGGTTTTCAAGGTGATGAATTTGAAGATTTAGATGATGTTTTACAAAATCCAACTGATAGAAGATGGTTAGCTGTTGGACAAGCATTATTACATGAAAATTATTCAGTTGAAAAAGTTCATGATTTAACAAAAATTGATAAATGGTTTTTATATAAATTGATGAATATTGTTAATATGTATAGAGAATTAGAATCAATTGGGGAATTATCAAAGATTAATAGTGATTTAATGAGAAGAGCCAAGAAATTAGGTTTTAGTGATAAACAAATTGGATTATGCGTTGGAGCAAAAGAATTGGAAGTTAGATCAGTTCGTAAAGAATTTGGTATTTTACCATTTGTTAAAAAAATTGATACATTAGCAGCAGAATTTCCAGCAAATACAAATTATTTATATACAACATATAATGCAACATCATCAGATATTGATTTTAATGAACATGGTACATTAGTTTTAGGCTCAGGTGTTTATAGAATTGGTTCTAGTGTTGAATTTGATTGGTGTGCAGTTTCAACAACAAGAGCATTAAGAGAAAGTGGACATAAAACTATAATGATTAATTATAATCCAGAAACTGTTTCAACTGATTTTGATGAAGTTGATAGATTATATTTTGAAGAATTATCATTAGAAAGAGTTTTAGATATTTATGAATTAGAAAATGCCAATGGTTGTGTTGTTTCTGTTGGTGGTCAATTACCACAAAATATTGCATTAACTTTACAAAATCAAGGTTGTAAAATTCTTGGTACCAATCCAGAAGATATTGATAAAGCAGAAGATCGTCATAAATTTTCACAAATTTTAGATTCAATTGGAGTTGATCAACCAGCATGGAAAGAATTAACATCAATTCAAGAAGCTGAAAATTTTGCAAATGAAGTTGGATACCCAGTATTAGTTCGTCCTTCATATGTATTATCAGGTGCTGCAATGTCAGTTATAAATAATCAAAGTGAATTAGATTCAAAATTAAAAAATGCATCAAAAGTTTCAAAAGAACATCCTGTTGTTATATCTAAATTTATTCAAGGTGCTCAAGAAATTGATGTTGATGCAGTTGCAAATGAAGGTCAAGTTTTAGTACATGCAGTTAGTGAACATGTTGAAAATGCAGGTGTTCATTCAGGTGATGCTACATTAATATTACCTCCACAAAATTTATCACCAATTATGATGAATAGAATTAAAGAAATTACTGATAAAGTTGCAAAAGCATGGAATATAAATGGTCCTTTTAATATGCAAATTATTAAAAATGATAAAAATGGGAAATTAAATGATACTGATTGTCAATTAAAAGTTATTGAATGTAATATTCGTGCTTCAAGATCATTCCCATTTGTTTCAAAAGTTTTAGGTGTTAATTTTATTGATGTTGCAGTTAAAGCATTACTTAATGAAAATGTTCCAAAACCTAAAAATTTAATGGATTTAAAATATGATAGAGTTGCTACAAAAGTTCCCCAATTTTCATTTACTAGACTAGCTGGTGCAGATCCATTTTTAGGTGTTGAAATGGCTTCAACTGGTGAAGTTGCATGTTTTGGTAAAGATTTATTAGAAGCTTATTGGACTTCATTACAAGCAACAATGAATTTTAATGTTCCAAAACCAGGTCAAGGTATATTATTTGGGGGAGATTTAACAAATGATAAATTAGGTCAAGTTGCAAAGATATTAAGTGGATTAGGTTATAATTTTTATACTGCTAGTGAACCAGTTAAACAATATTTAAATAATTATGTTTCTGAATCAGTTGAAGTTATTGAATTTCCAAAAACTGATAAAAGAGCATTAAGAGAAATATTTCAAGATAAAAAAATTGGAGCAGTTATAAATTTAGCAAAATCTAGAGCTGAAGATTTGTTAGATGAAGATTATGTTATGAGAAGAAATGCAATTGATTTTGCAACTCCATTATTTAATGAACCAAATACATCAAAATTATTTGCTGAATGTTTAAAAGCAAAAATTGGTGATAAAATATCACTTGATGAATTACCAAAGGATATAATTATACCATCTGAAGTACAAAGATGGAGTGAGTTTATAGGTGGTAAACCAGTATAGATAAATAGATTTAATGAAAGCAATTTTCAGAATCATATCTCTATTAGTTGTTATCAATTAGCGGCTATATGAAATTTTGAGCCCAAAAAAAAGAGTTACAAAATCGAGATTCCATGCTCCATTTCAAATTCGACAACAAATTATGAGATATAGTGAGATCTGAGGATAACACTCATGTGAAACTGAAATATCTTGAGACGCTAGCATATTGTTTGACCTTTTTTTAACTTCGAAGTAAATGGCTGCAAAAGGAAAAAAGAAAAAAAAAAATAAAGGTTGTGGAGCAGTAAAAGTATTTCAAACGGTTTACCAAATCCACCTTATAGAACATAGTAGTTGGGTCAAACGTTTGATAAACGAATCAAGTAATTTGATGCGTTTTAGCTAATCTAAGTTCTTCAGCATAATTTCCGATTTTTTTTTGCCCGCTTATTACCAAATTGATCAACGAACGGTGAAATTTAAATCACAAAATGGATAAATTTAGATAACCCCAACTTAGTTTATTGAGTTCATATATTAGTATCCAGTTGCCAATATGAAGTCAAACTCTGAAAAGTTGGTTTAACATGACTGATCAAGAGAAGATTCTGTTTCAAATTTCAGATCATGATTTAGTACCCGGTACTGTTCAATTAATAGACATTAATGGAGATTTAGACATTAAAAAAGGTGATAATAATAATATAATTTTACAACCTCAACCATCTTCAAACATTAATGATCCTTTAAAATGGACAAAACGTAAACGTAATTTTCAATTTGGTTTATTATGGTTATGGTGTTTTCTCCAGTCGAGTACTTCCAATTTCACTGGTCCTTTATATGACGTTTATGTAACAGATTTAAATACGAATTATACTTCAATTAATAATTCTGCTGCTTTATGTTATTGTTTTTTAGGTATTGGAGTTGTTTTAATTCAACCTACTGCATCTAAACTCGGAAAACGATTTATATATCTTAGTGCTACTATACTTGCCATTATTGGATTAATAGTTGGTGGTGTTGCAAAAGATATCAATGGATTGAATGCATTCAATGTACTCAGTGGTTTAGCTGCTTCTCCAGTTGATTCATTAGCCGAAGTTAGTTCAACTGATATGTTTTTCCAACATGAAAGATCTACTGCTTTTAGTTTATTAATTTTGGCATTATATGGTGGTTGTAATTTGGCTCCCGTTGCTGCTGGTTATATAGTTGATGGAATAGGTTGGAGATGGTGTTATTGGGTTCAAGTTATAATTTATGGTGTTTTATTTGTTATCTTGTTTTTCTCTATGGAAGATACAAATTTTGTAAGAGATTTAACAAATGAAGATGAATTTGAGAAATCGATAATTGAACAAATAAAGTCAAAAGAAACAACTAAAGAAGAAGTTAATTCAATGGTTTCGGAAACGGGTGTGAAGAAAACATACATTCAGAAGTTGAATCCTATACAGACTGAGTTTAATGATTCTAGATCATGGTTATGTATTTGTATACGACCATTTATATTGTATTTCCCAGCTATAATTTGGTCTGGTTTAATTTATGGATGTCAAATTTTAATATTAGCTTTATTAAGTAATACACAAACAATAATATATTCAGCAAAGCCATATTATTTTAATGCTGATAAAGTTGGTTTAACTAATTTATCTGCATTTGTCGGTAATATGTTTGGAATGTTATATGGTGGTTATTTTGTTGATTATTTTACAATTGAAATGGCAAAACGAAATAATGGTATATAAGAACCAGAACATAGATTATGGACAATGATTCTACCTACTACTTTAAATGGTGGTGGTGTTTTAGCTTATGGATTAGGTGCCTATTATCAATCACATTGGGCAATTTCTGTAGTTATTGGTCAACTGTTATTAGGGTTTTCAATGTCTGCATCTGGAACAATTTGTTTAACTTATGCAGTAGATTGTTATCATAAAGTAGCTGGAGAAAGTATTGTTTTAATATTATTTGTCAGAAATATGATTGGTATGATATTTTGTTTTGTATGTCAACCATGGTTAAATAATTGTGGATTAATGTTAACTACATGGTTAATATTCCTAATTACTACTTTAATTAATAGTAGTTTTATATTAATGGTGGTTTCAGGTAAATCATTTAGAAGAAGAACTATTAGGTTGTACGATAAATTTTCAAATCCATTATTTGGTGAATTATTTAAATAGGTTTTATAATAAATCATCATTTTCTCTTGCAACTACACTAGTTTTAATTTTTAATAATAATTGAGTTTTTAGTTTATCTAATTTACTAAATTGATCAAATTCAAATACTTTATCAGAAAATCCTTCTATATCACCGTTTTCAATACTTTCAAATATATTTTCAATTAATTTATATTCTCTTGTTTGTGACCAACTTGGATCATCTGAAAGGAAATAATCTCTCTTTTTTTGTGCTTCTGTTATATCATCTAAACATAAAATACATAAAATATTTTTTAAAAAATAATCTTTTAAACTCCATTTAGTTAAAGAATTATTAATTGAATTTTTTATAATCTGATCATATAAATTAATTGCTTTTTTATAATCACCATTAATTGCAGATAAATCAGCACATTTTAAAAAAGCTTTATTGCTTAATGCCTCAGCATGATCAGTTGTAAAATAATCACCAGCTTGTTCATAGGCAACAATTGCTTGAGAAATATCATTAATTGATTCATATAATTCACCTAAATCCATTTCAAAATTAGCAGCTCTTCTAAATTGACCATTTATAGTCAAAAATATATGAATTGCTTTCTTTAAACATTCGATCGCATCTTGTGGTGAATTATTTTTAAAACATTTATAAGCTTCAATTAAATGATTAGCTGAATCGTTATGGTTTTGCAATTGTTCTTGTAATTCACTAGCTTTTTTAAATTGCATACCAGCTTGATTAAAATCTTTTGCTAATCTATATTGATTAGCTGCTTGAATATACAAATCAGTAGCATCTTCTTTTCTTTGAGAACTTGAAGAACCAGATATAAATGAAAAGAAACCCAGTTGAGGTTTTAATAAATTTTCAGCTTCTGTTATAATTGAACGTGGATCAGACATGGACACCTATTAGTTATTACTTCTTGATCAGTTTGTATTGATTGATTAAGAAAAATATGAAGTCGTGTTAAATTGATAATTTATTTATATTTTTTTTTTTTTTTTTTTTTTTCTGTTGATTTCCTAATTCGTATTTGTTTGTGTTTCAGAATCAAAACTATACAAACAAATGTCATTAGAATCAACAAAAGTACGATATGAAAGATTAAAATTAGTAGCTAATAAAGCATTAGATCAACTGATTAATGAATCATTAACTAATCAGAATATTATACTATGTTTTCCAAATTTATCAACTACTAACTTAGATGTTTTATTATCAATTGTATCTCAATTACAATCATTTTGGTTAAATACTTCATTAGATGAGTTTGAATTAATTTATAAAGAAAAATTAATACAAGAGAAATTAAATGAATTAGATGAAATCATATATGATGCTCAATTTAGGAGAAATGATCCAAATGAAAAACCAGATTTTGTAGACGAATTAACACCATTGGAAATTATAGATTCAAATATAATGAGTGATTCTACAGATATTTTAAATAATCTTCGACTGATTCATGAACGATTACAATTGGAAAATAAAGATTTAACTGAAGAATTAAAAGACCTAGTGTCTCTATCTAATGACAAGAAACAATCCATAGTTTCAAATATTGAACAATTACAAAAAGACGTTAAATTAATTGACTCAACTGATTTACAAATTGATAGACTTTTAAATTTATTAAATGAATAAATATTTACAAATTGATAGACTTTTAAATTTATTAAATGAATAAATATTTACATGAATGGTCAATCTCTATTTCTTACCATATAATAATTCATAATTTTGTTTTGCTAAGTCATTATAAGAGTCAATTCTATCTCTTAATGCTTGTACTTTTTCATTTTTTACTTTCATTGATTTAGTTTCTTTAACTAATTGTTTATCACCCCATACTTTAAAATCTTGTAAATATTGTTTACTCATTGCAAATTCTCTAATTATAACATCATCACTTAATCCTAATTTTGCCAATGTATAATAATATCTTTCTGGTGATATTTTTTTTAAATATTTAAGGATTGATTGTCTTTGATGTACTAACTGTTCAACTTTAACTCTTGTAGTTACATCTTTTTTAAATTTTTTAACATGTTGCATCATAAAATATATCTTTGTGGTCAATACACCAGCTACAACTTCTGGTGATGCTGTATCTCCTTCATTTATTTGCATTTCTTCAACTGCATATTTTGTTGCTAATTTTCTTTTATCTTCAGCTGATGTATTTCTTGAATTTAATATAATTTCAATTGCTTTTTTTTTATGTTCTTCAATTGTTTTAATTGAATCTCTCATTGTTTCGTTTGAACTTGATTGATCTATTGATAATTTTTCAGCTCCATATAAAACTTTTTCAAATTCAATTCTATCTATACCATAACTTAAATTCATTTCTTGATTATCAATTTTATTTAAGATATTTTCAATAAATTTACAATTTGAATTTCCTAAAACTGGATCAACTGAAAATGGAACATTTTTTAAGTCATATTGTTTAAGTATATTGACTTCTTTTGTAATTTTTTTCTTTAATTTTTTCTCTCTTCTTCTTAATTTTTTGGCCTTTTGTTTGGTTGTATAATTGTCGGTGAATTGTTTAGCAGCAAAATATGTAGTTAATGGTGGTTGTGATTCGGATATCACTGGAATTGCTGGTTTTAAATTTGTTGTGTTATTTAATAAACGTCGTCCATTGCTCAATAGACGTGTGTGGAGTTTCAACATGCTAATTTGATTTCAATATATTGTTGCAACTAGTTTTGAAAAATTTTAATAAACCAAAAAAAATAAAAACTGTTGATTTTAGTATTGGCACACGACCTATCATATTTTGCAGCCAATGTTTAAATGGTGTTTAGATAGAGATAGAAGATTATGTATTCTATGAGACGCCTCGGAAACAATATGTATTCATTATGAAAGAGTTAACGGCTTGTTTTCCAGCATTAAAAATGGTAGATTTGAATTTGTTTGTCTTTAAAGTCGCTTTTTAAGTACCTCCTGAGTAGAGTTAAACAGAAAAGACTCCTAGATGTACTTTACTACTGTCCCTTTCATTTCTACCCATTCCCTACGCTGGTAATACAATATATCATTAGTAATAAATGGCTGCAAATTTGTTTCATCAAATGTGTCTCATAAATTTTAATAGAAAAAAAAAGAAAAATTTTCAAACTTGAAACCATATTTTATCATTCCATTTTATAACATAAAATGCAAAGAGTTTTATTAAAATCATTAGGTTCTCGCAATGTTAACCGTTCAATTAGATTAACTAGACCTACAATATCATTATTTACTCATTATAAACCACAAGCATCATTTATTGCCACTAGATTTAATTCAACAAAAGCAAAAGATACCACTCCAAAAGAAGAAGATGTAAAAGAAGAACCAAAAGAAGAAGTCAAAGAAGAACCTAACCAAGAACCTACCGAAGATCCAATAATCACTGAATTAAGAGAAAAATTGGAAAAAAAAGATAAAGATTTAGCATCAATGAAAAATCATTATGCTAGATCAGTTGCTGATTTCCGTTCATTACAAGAAACAACCAAGAAAGAAGTTCAAAAGGCAAAAGATTTTGCATTACAAAAATTTGCCAAAGATTTATTACCATCATTAGATAATTTTAATCTTGCGTTAAGTCATGTAAAAGAAGAAACATTAAAAACAAATAATGAAGTTAAAAATTTATACGATGGTGTTGATATGACAAGAAATATATTTGAAAAAACTTTATCAAAACATGGTATAAAGAAAATAAATCCCATTGATCAAGTATTTGATCCAAATTTACATGAAGCAACTTTTGAAATTTCTCAACCTGATAAAGAACCAGGCACTGTATTTTATGTACAACAAGAAGGTTATACATTAAATTCGAGAGTTTTAAGACCTGCTAAAGTTGGTGTTGTAAAAGGTGAAGAAGAAGAAAAGAAATAGACTGATTTCACTATAATGACTCTTGTAAATAGAACTCGTATAAAATGTATAAGGTAACACATGACTCATAAAAATCATGCCAATGCCGTTTCGCTTTAATTTTGTGTCCAATTGATTGATGAGTGAAAAATTTATCGAGCGAGCGCTTAAATTTATTGCTTAAATTTATTTCAACCAAAGTATATTCCAACCCCAGGCTTCTTTTTTATTGATTGTTACTTCATTAGCTGCTTAATTTTGTTATAATTATGTTAAGATCAATTCGTTCATTTTCATCAACTTCTAAAATGTTAAAAACATTAAAAATAGGTTTAATCCCTGGTGATGGTATTGGTAAAGAAGTTATACCTGCTGGTAAACAAATTTTAGAAAATTTACCATCAAGTTATAATTTAGATTTTGAATTTGTAAATTTAGATGCTGGTTTTGAATTATTTAAAAAAACAGGTACTGCATTGCCTGATAAAACTGTTGAAGTTTTAAAAAATGAATGTGATGGTGCTTTATTTGGTGCTGTTTCTTCACCACTGTCTAAAGTTGAAGGTTATTCATCTCCTATAGTTGCATTAAGAAAAAAAATGGGTTTATATGCAAATGTTAGACCTGTTAAATCTGTTGAAGGTATTGGTAGACCAGTTGATATGGTTATTGTACGTGAAAACACCGAAGATTTATATGTTAAAGAAGAAAAAACATATAAAAAAGAAGATGGTACTAAAGTTGCAGAAGCAATTAAAAGAATTTCAGAAACTGCAACTACCAAAATTGCAAAAATGGCTTATGAAATTGCATTACAAAGACAATCAATTAGAGAAAATACAAAAACAAAACAATTGCATTTGAAACCTTCAGTTACAGTAACTCATAAATCAAATGTTTTATCACAATCAGATGGTTTATTTAGAGAAACTTGTAAAAAAGTGTATGATGTAAATATAAATGATTATCAAAATATTGAATATAAAGAACAAATTGTTGATTCAATGGTTTATCGTATGTTTAGAGAACCTGAAATTTTTGATGTTGTTGTAGCTCCAAATTTGTATGGTGATATTTTAAGTGATGGTGCTGCTGCATTAGTTGGAAGTTTAGGTTTAGTTCCATCAGCAAATGTTGGTGATAATTTTGCAATTGGTGAACCATGTCATGGTTCTGCTCCAGATATTGAAGGTAAAGGTATAAGTAATCCAATAGCAACAATTAGATCAACTGCTTTAATGTTGGAATTTATGGGTTATCCAGAAGCTGCTGCAAAAATTTATGATGCAGTTGATGCTAATTTATCAGAAAATAAAATTAAAACACCAGATTTAGGTGGTAATTCAAGTACTCAAGAAGTAATTGAAGATATAATTAAAAGATTTTAAAGAATGTAAGGATGCAGAAACAGAAACTATGTAAGGATGCCATCTGTATATATGTAAATATATAAGAAACACTGTATATTTCTAATAAGGTTTAAATTTTCTATCTTTCTTTTTTGATTTATGTTTTGATCTTGACTTATCTTTCTTAGATTTTTCCACCTTTGGTATAGATAATTCACAATCTTCCATATCTACGTCTTCAACATCTTCAGCTAAGGAATATGTTTTCAATTTATTAGGTAATTGCCATAGTTTTATACTTCCATCTTCACCACAAGTCAATACTTTATCATTTCCGACCAATTTTAAATCTCGTACAACTTCTTCACCATGAGCTTCAGGAAAGTGCACAATTTTATCAACTTTGAACTTTTCTTTCTTTGGATTGAATGGTATTAAACTTAGTTTCGATTCATTATTACTTCCATAAGCTACAAAACCTTTTGGATCTATAGTTATCACATATTTACAATTTTCCCATTTATTTCTTAAATCTCCAAATTCAATAAATTTCCCTTGATTTTCATCTTCATAATTTGTATCATTTAAATCATGAATTATAAAAGTTTCCATATGAGATAATATTGAAATTCGATTCATATTTGAAAAATGGCAACTGTGTACAGAATTAAAATTTATAACTTGATGTAATGCATCATCTTCATCAATTTCATTTAAATTATAAATATTGACATATCCATCAGTTGAACCAGACATTAAATAATTTTTCAAAATTGGATGAAATTGAATGCTTGTAATATCATCACGATGAGAATCTATAAATGATCTTTTTAGAGTATAAGTTGTAGTATCCCAAATATGTAATTCTGCATCTTGGCCAACCAATTCAGTACCACTCGCTAATAAATTATTATTGAAAGCTAATGATAAAAAAGTTGAATTTTTAGAATTAGTCAATATTTGAAGTAATTTTTCTTCTTTTATATCCCAGATCTTAACACCATCGATGGAACAAGTTGCAATTTTATTATTTTTGAGTTCTATCATATCATTAATACATGAATCATGAGCTTTAATTTTAAATAATTGGGCAAAAGAAGTTAAATGATAACCTATTATATAACCATTACTAGTTGATACTATGAATATATCATCATTTATCACTATAATTTTTAATATCCATTGATCTATAATTGATGAATTCCAAGTATATAATAATTTAGCATTTTCCATTTTGCAGTAAAACGAGATGAAACAAAAAAAAAAATATTAATTGATAAACAGTAGTAAATAACAACCGATTAATCAATGAGTTCAATATTAAAGAAAGGTAGTTTAACATTTAAACCAAAAGTAAAACCAAATATACAAAAGAAATCATCACAACTGAAAACATTACCAACACCACCATCAACTCAACAAAGTCAAACACAAACTTCAAATGACTCATCTAAATCATTCCCTGGATTAAAATTGAATTTAAATTTAGCTTCACCTGAATCTAGTCAGAAAAAGAGTAAAGATGATGATATAGATCCTAAAGATACTTCCAAAAATAATGATCATGCTATTGAATCAGATTCAGGAAGTGAAAACGATTCAGATGACTCGGATTTATTTAAATTACCAAATAAAAGAAGAACATCAATTGTTCATCAAAGAAGATTATCAGGTATAAATACTCCAGGCTATAGAAGTCGAAGTGCTTCCGTATCATTAAATCAAGAAAATCAACCACCAGCAGCAAAGATTAGTATTCCAGTAAGTAAACAAATTAAAAGAAGAAGATCATCTATTCAAATAAATAAAGCTAAAAAAATTCAAACAAATGCAGTACCAATAATTTCTACTACCGCTCCCATAAGTAAAATCATCAATGTTAAACAACCAACTCCTGAAAAAACACCAGAACCAGAAACAATACCGAAAAAGCCAATAAATTATGTTTCTGATAAATTTGTAGTTGGTTTATGTCCAATTACAAACAAGTTAAAAAAATATAGAAGAAAAAATGCTTCTAAGAAAGAAGAACAACCTGATGGATATGCAATGATTGCAGATATAACTGCTGATGATTTACTTCCTGAAGAACCAGATAATTTGATCACTACAATAACAAGTATTCATCAAATACCCAAAGATATTAAACCAGATGATATTGAATTATTTGCAGAGGTAAATTATGATTTAGAAGAAATGACAATGGCAGATTTATGTAAACCAACTATAAATTTAGGTAAAGTTTCATCAAATTATCAATTAATAATTGAAGCTGAACAACAATTAAAATTGAAAAAAGAACAAAGAAAAAGAGATAGAATATATGCAAGAGAGAAAGGAATATCATTAGAACAAGCTACAATTGAATTAGAAAATGAAAAAAGAAAATTAAATGGTGAAGAACCAGTTGAAAATAAAGATGAAGAAGAAAAGGAAAGAAATACTTTATTTGATAATTTAGATCAAGATGAACCAAAATATCAACATTCAGCTTTAAAATTAACTTTACAAAATGGTAAAATTGGATATAGTGAAGAATCACAAATCATAACAAAGCCAAGAGCGGATGCAAGTTCAAGAACATATGAAGAAGAAAACCCATATGCAAATCCAATCACATCAACTACTTATTCAAAAAGAATTCATTCTGAACGTTGGCAACCTGAAGAATTGATTAAATTTTATCAAGCTTTATCTATGTTTGGTACTGATTTTTCATTAATATCTCAATTATTTCCATATAGAACTAGAAAACAAGTTAAATCGAAATTTACACTAGAAGAGAAGAAATTCCCCGAAGTTGTTGAATTAGCATTGAAGAGAAAATTACCTACTGATTTTGAAAAATATTGTAAAGCTGTTAAAAAAGATTTGAAATCATTAGAAGCATTTAATGAAGAATTGAGAACAGTTAGAATTCAACATGAGAAAGATATGGAAGAAATTGCAATTGCTAAAGAAAAAGCATTTAAAGAAGATGCTGAAGCTACAAGACAAAGAGAAATTGAAATTAGAACAGGTACTAAACCAATGACTAAAGCTGAAAGAATCAAAGAATTAAGAAAGAATGAACAAGTTGTTGGTTCAATTGATGATATAAAAAGAGAAAGAAATGCTTCTGTATCGATAAATCCTTAATATTAAACGCTGGTCGAATAATAAAAATAATTGTGGAACATTACTTTGAACATTACAATGCTTGATTATGTTGTGCTTTTAGTAGAATACAGTTTGTATAGTAGAAAATGTAATTTATGTGACTACAAATAAACGAAATTTGTAATTAAAATCGGGCTTTGAATTTTGATAAGATCTCTTCCAAACTCAGATACGAGATCTTACACAAAACAAAGTATATCGAAGGCGCGCATTTAAAAAATATTTTAAAAAGCCAGTAATTCTTTGCAATTTTCAATTGAGCCCGATTCTTCCAGTTTTTGTTTAAATGCATTGTTCATGATACCATTCAAACGACATTTTTTAGCTTAGTTCATATTTGTTGGTTTCAAAATCACTCCTTTTCATTTTCTTAACAAAGTCTCCAATTATTTATGATTTTGTGGTATTTTTTGGGCATTTTAACTCAACGACGTTTTATTTTCAGTTATCTTTTAATTTAATATGAAAACTTAATGCTCTATGAGATAGTTTCATTTGTTAGTTTGAGTTCGACGGCGATTCCTACCATATTTTAAAGCATCAAAATTTTACATGCTTGCGGCGTAATTCTGAAATTTTGAAATACACCTTGAAGTTAATGTAAAAATGTCAAAGTAGAAATTAAGAGTCTCTAAGATATTCCATATTATCAAGTCGGGATTAAGGATAAGTCGAGTTGCATTATTCACCGAAGTTCATTTACTGGAAGTTAAATTAAGCAATATCATGTTGTATACCGTATTCAAAGATTCAGATCGAAGTGAGATTTTTCGTTTGAGAAGTACCAAGAACAATATGATTTGATTTGTGTGTGTAATATTTAATTGTACTTTATTGAACACTGATATTTTTGATTTATAATTCACTAACGCGCGATTTCAATATATTTTTGTATGTGTTAGATCTCGTATCTGAATTTCCAATCGATCTTAAATCTGAAACGCGCAAAATTTCAATTTTTTTTTTTTTAGTCAATCACATTGAAGAACAACCAACAGAAGCAAGTGGGGCTACATCAAGAATCTTGTTACCTGTCTATAGTATGGGTTACCTTCTTTTTCGAGTATTTGTTTTGCTTTTGCAACAACAGGCGCAGAAAATGAAGGATTAAGAAATTTAATACTTCAGTGCTGGTTTATCTGTAAATTTTAGTGGTTTGAAGGTTCTTCTTTCCGTAAAGTTCAAGTTATTTACAATCGAAGAAAAGGATAAGGGTTTATACTGAGGAAGAAAACAAACTGGTGAAGAATTTTGAAGTAGAGTAGACTTATCAATTTTTGAAGTTTCTCATGAAGGAATGCTTAATGTTCAGTTACTTGTTGATTCTGTATTCTTGCTTTAATCTAGCGTCCCGCATCTCAGGACCTCTACACAACTATGTTGACGAACCATTTTGGAGCTGATTTGACCATTATATGTTTTGTTATGAGGTGTTGTTATGGGTGCGTGGGGAGTAGCACTTATTGATTGAATGGATTCAGCTGATCTTACTTATCGTGCTTTTCCATCAGGTTTTGCTCATCAGTTAGGTAATTTAATTTCTTTGCTAGTTCAACTAACCAAGCTAGTATTGGTGAAAATTTTTCCACTTAAAGAAAAAGGAAAGTATGCTGATGGATTTGTGGTAGCAGTTTAAACCTGACATGTGTGAAGAGGCTTTACTGGTAGTCTAGATTTAATTAAAAATTATTCTCAAGCAGAAATAGCGTTACTAATGTATTTTCTACGACATAATAATAGAATCTTAATAACGAGACGTCAAATTAATCAAAAAGCAACACATCTAAGCGAAGAAATAGTCAAGAGCTGTTTTCAATTTTGACTGCAAGTAAGCACTTGATAACAACGGATAAATTAATAAGGTTACTAACAAACTAAAAGCTGTAATTTCTTTTAATCTCATTCTGCTACGCCCTATTTACTTTATCAGGAGACTAGTATTTAAAAATAGAAGTAAGTATTTATGATCTGATTATGGAAAATCTCGGATTAATTTTTTAGATGAATTTTTCCTCGCTTAATATTAATCCATCTCATGATGAAGGCTGCAAAATAAGCTACCATTTCGGACATTAAAATGGAGGGAATATAAAAGGGAATGAAATCCAGTATGTTTTTGAATCATCATCATCATTCAATAAGTGTCAAGTTTTATTTAATGTTGTTTAACATTTTGAAATCTAGAAGTCCAGCAGTTTTAATTCGTAAATTATCTCAATCTTCATTTTCAAATAATAGTAAAGATAGTCAAAAAGTTATGGGATGCATTGCAATTTATGGATTTACAGCTTTAGGAATTGCTCAACTTGCTGAAAAGAACGATAAGGGTTATATTTTTAAACAATTGGGTGGTCATTAAATAAAAGGGTTTTAATAGATTTTCGTTTGGTTTTCAATTAGTTGTGATGTTTTTTTTTAAATTGGGTTTTTTATACAGTTGGTTCTATTAATAAAATATATATTCTATTATATTATAATTCTACTTGATATTTAGTTTGTTTTAGTTTATTTGCATTAGACCCTTTCCTGGTATTCGTCGATAATATCTTTTATTAGTACCAAATAATAATTGTCTACTTAATCTCCAAACATTCAATAATATATTTTTTCTAGGTAAATAATTAGGAAATACAATTTGAATTAAATTATCTTGATTATCTGATTTAGTTAAAATACATAAATAAAATATAACTTGTCCATATCCATGAAAACCTTCATGAATTACAAGATCAATCATATTATTAATTGGAATAAAATTTGTTGTCTTTTGAAATGATCCTTGATTAATAAGTTGAATTCCAATTCCTTTCATGATTATAATTGAATCATATGAAGCTTGTTTGAGAACTAAACTCAAAAACAATAGTATTAAAAATGCAGCCACTCCAACAGTAAAAACCTCTACTTGTTTGATTTTCTCTAAGTTTATGAATGAGTAAACTATGATTATGCATGATAGTATAATAATATAAATGATTTTGAATCTGTCTATTATATTCTGTTTCTGATTCGATACTTTGAAATTCAAAATGTTCAATTCTGAGAAATTGGTCTTCTCAGTAATGGTTGGTTTGATTTCCAATTTATATTCTTTTGATGAAGACATAGATCATTGTTGATATTTTAAAAAAATATTGGTTGTGAAATGATAACTAAAGAATATAAGAGTCAGAATTTAGAGTCTATGAATATTTCAGAAACGTGATATCAACAAATTTGGTAATTACACATTGATGGTGCTACCAAATATATGATTTTTCATTCTGACCTATCAGAGCAATCTTGCACTATAAGTGATTACCCCTTAAAAATCAAACTCCTTAATATTGAAGCATAAACACAATGAATCCGCTCAATTTTGGATGTTTTTTAAGGCTCAACGCGCTACCAACTGCATTAATTGAGTTATAGGGTTTCTCATATTAAGTTATACAAAATTTACTAAAATGAGTATCTGCCGAAACAAACATATCTAATAATGATAGATCAATAATGATAGATTAATAATGATAGATCAATAATGATAGATCAATAATGATTAATCGTTGAGTGGAAATGTGTCGTGGCTCATTGATAATTTTCTCATTTTAAAACATCATTTATATTATCATTCAAATATGTACAAGTTAATTAATTAATTAATAATAACCCTATTGGAAAAGTGGATAAACATCATTTATATTATCATTCAAATATGTACACGTTAATTAATTAATTAATTAAAATAATAATAACCCTATTGGAAAATTGGATAAAATTCATTATATTTCTTAGCATAATAACCAGTTGAAACAGAACCTAAAGCTAATAATAATAATGGAATTGGTTTTTGAAATGAAGTTTGAAAAGATCTTGATAAACCAGCAAATAATAAAACAGAAGAAGTAGCCAAAGCTAATTCTAAACCATAATTTGCATTTTGTTTTAATAAATAACCTGCACCACCATATAAACCACTAATAGCTAAACCAGCAATTAATGAAGGAACTGAACCTTTTCTAAAATAACCAATTAATCCACCAATTGCACATAATCCGGATAAAGTAAAAGCAGGATGATCTAAACCCATGTTAAATTATTTAATAACTGTTGTTTTTGTTGTTGTTGTTGAGAATTAGGAAAAAATAAGATTGAACAATTAGTAGTAGTAATTTTTTGTTCAATTAAAGTAAATTCAGGGAATTTGTTTGTATTATTTTCGTTGTTATTTTTTTCTGTTGATTTTTTTAAATGCGAAATTAATTAGAAAGCCATTTAAAACCGATAGATAATTGAAACAAAAGGTTTTGATTTTTTGATTATGTTTTTAATTTTGATTTTGATTTTGTTTTTGATTGAGTTTAAAGTTCGGATTTTTGAACCTGACTTACTTGTATAACCTGAAGCCATTAATTCGGAACCTAACTAACTAACTATATGCTGTTGCACAACATATAAATCACAATGCAATGGCATCAAAATGGAACGAGTTAGAGCCACAAAATGGCCCTAAAATATTTTTAAAATTTGTCTGTACTTGGTTTGATGTTTCGTCCAGATCTGTTCCGGGCGCAAACTTTTTTTTTTTTTTTTTTTTTATTATTATTATTATTTTTACTTTACTTCTTTTACTTTTACTTTTACTTTTTTTATTTTTATTTTTATTTTTATTTTTATTTTTGTTTTTATTTTTTCTTTTAATCCACTATCACGAGAATCAAATTATTGACCAACCAGAGCAACAAATTTAATTTAATAGCTCACACAATTAAAATAACTCAATTCTTTAGCAAGTTTAAGTTATAAAACTTACTTATAAAAATTTTAGTTCTATTTAATAAGCGTTAATCTGCATTATAATAGAGATATTCATTAATTTATTAATTTTCACCAAACCGTTTTAAGAGCTCAAGATTAGAATTTTAGAACTACAAAATAAACAAAATAAACAAAATAAACAAAATAAATAATATAAATACACAATATAAACTTGAACTTCTTACCATATTAAAAGTATCTAAAGTGTTTATATTATAGTAAAATCAAAATGAAAATGAAAATCAAAATGAAAATCAAAATCCTTTCATTTTTTCTCTGGTTTCCATTTAGTAATATGAAAAATTCAGAATTCAATTATTTTAATAATAAAAATTTTCCAATTCCCAATTCTTTTTTTTTTTTTTTTTTTTCTTTTTTCTTCCTGGTGTTTCAAGAAATAATGTAGAATTTTAAAATTTAAATTGTTTTAAGCGTTTGAAGGAGTGAGTGGGAGTAGTGAGTGCATAAAAAAGAAAAGAATGACAAAGAAAAATAGAGAGAGAGAGAGAGAGAGAGAAAGAGAAAGAGAGAGAGAAAGAGAAAGAGAGAGTGAGAGAGAGAGAGAGTGACACAAGAGGCAGTAATTTATTTGAACTAAAAGATAAGTAAGTAAATCAGATAATAGAAATGCAACTATCGTAAAACATTTTCATAACAGTATATTAATAGTATAGTATAGTATATTAACAGTATATATAGTATATTAATAGTATATATAGTATATTAATAGTATAATTAGTATAGTATAGTATATTATTAGTATATTAATATTTCATAACAGTAAAATTTATACATAGTAAATTTTATATATAATAATAAATTTTATATATATATATATATATATATATATATAATTATCAAATAAATTTTACTATGTATCAAAATTTACTATGTATATAAAATTTTCTATAGTATGTAAAATTTACTATGAATCAAATTTTACTATGTATCAAAATTTTACTATGTATCAAAATTTTATTATAGTATAAAAATTTATTAAGTATGTAAAATTTACTATATACAAAATTTATTATGTATATAAAATTTATTATGTGTGTAAAATAAACTATGTATATAAAATTTACAATATACAAAATTTACTATGTATCAAAATTTACTATATACAAAATTAACTATGTATCAAATATTCTATTGAGTGTGAATGAAATAATGAAATGAATCAATCAATGAATGAAAAAAAAAAAAAAAAAAAAAATAAAAATAAAAAAAATAAAAAAAAAAAAAAAAATTAAAATTTGTAGTGATTTTTTATTAAACAAACAAAAAATGTTTCGTTTGTAATAGTTTCATAATAAATTAATTATTAGTTAAATATAATTTCTCTCTCTCTCTCTCTCTGTCTATTTGTTTGTCTATATATTTCTTTCTCTCGTCGTCATTGATCGCTTCCAATAATAATTGATTTTTTAATTAATTTTCCTTCTTTTTAAATTAAAAGTTTAATCAATAAATTTAATCAATAATTTTACATAGTATAGTATAGTCTAGTATAGTATAGGATTTAATTATTTATATTACAAAATAGTAGTTAAATAATAGTTAAAAATAGTTAAACAATAGTTAAATAATAGTTAAATAATAGTTAAATAATAGTTAAATAATAGTTAAATAATAGTTAAATAATAGTTATTTAAGATGAATATATCTAGTATGCTTTCTTCAAACGAAAGTAATAGTATTAATAATGATGGTAATATTGATAGTAATAATAATAGTAAATTGAATGGCAACCAAAATTATACACCTTTACAACCAGCAAATTTACCAAATTTACCTCCAATACAACATCATCAATTACATTATCAACAACAACAGCAACATCATTCACCAACACAATTACAATTCCCATTTCAAAATCAAAATCAAAGTCAAAATCAAAATCAAAGTCAAAGTCAAAATCAAAATCAAAATCAAAATCAAAATCAAAATCAAAATCAAAATCAAAATCAAGATGTTCAATATTCATATCAACAATGTTCAAAATCTCAATTAAATTTTAATAATAATAATGGTAGTAATAATGGTAGTAATAATGGTAGTAATAATGGTAATAATAATGGTAATAATAATGGTAATAATAATGGTAATAATAACGGTAATAATAATGGTAATAATAAGGGCAATAATAATGATAATAATAATGCCAACAGATTTACTCCAACTACTCCGTTCCAACCTTTATCAACTGATTCAACTTCAATTATTCATCAACTTTTACCTACAAATTATTATATCGACAATAATTATCATCCAAAAATTGATCAACAATATAAATTTCAAATGGAAAATAATCTAACTATAATTAATCAACTAGATCAATATCAATTATTAAATCATGATTTAAAATTATTAAAATTCGATGAAATTAAATTAAATAATTATTTATTAAATACTCATCAATTTACTTCAAATTATATAGATAGAGTTGTTGCTGAAGATATTAGTAGTAGAAATAATAAAATTTCCGATACTAATAAGTCAAAAGAATTACAATTAATTGATTATTCAAAACCTTTACATCATAATTCAACAAGAGGTAAAGAATTTAAATGGGGTTCAACAAGAGAAATTCATAAAATTGAATCAAAAAGAAAAAGAAAACATGATGAAATTAATAATACTATTCATGTACATAATCCTTCAACTACAAATAATAACAACAACAACAACAACAAAAACAACAACAACAACAATAATAATAATACTGTTACTGTTTCACCTTCAAAAGACTCAAAATCTAAAAAAGCTACTCCTGGTCAAATCACTATAAAACCAAAATCGGCAGAAGGCGTTGTTCGTCGTTCGAGTAGACCAAAAGCTAAAAGAAAGAATTATGAAGAAACTAATGAAGATATAGATTTAAAAGACTTTGAAGATGATGATTCCGAGTTTGAAGATGAAACTGTTATTGATGAACAAGGTAATGAAATTAAACGTCAAAAATTAAATCAAGGTAAACCTTCAAATATGACATCAAAAGAATATAAAGCAATGATTAGACAGTATGATAATACTTATGTTGCAATTTGGAAAGATATGTCGAGAAAAGATGGTCCAAAAGTTGCAAGATTAATTCAACAATCAACTCAAGCTAAAAATATTAATTTAAAGAAAACAAGTATATTAGCTGCAAGAGAAGCAAAAAGATGGCAATTAAGAAACACAAAGAATCAAAAAGATTTAGTTACAAAATCAAGAAGAGCAATGAGAGAAATGTTTAACTTTTGGAAACGTAATGAAAGAATTGAACGTGAATTAAAGAAAAAATATGAAAAAGATTTAATGGATAAAGCTAAAAAGGAAGAAGAAGAAAGAGAAAGTAAAAGACAAAGTAGAAAACTAAATTTCCTTATTACTCAAACTGAATTATATTCTCATTTTATTGGTAAAAAAATTAAAACTGATGAAATTGAAGGTTTAGATGCTGATCCAAATATTAAAAAACCAACTGGTAAAGAACATTATGATAAATATATTGAAGTTGATGGATTGAAAAATGATATTAATACCCTTGATTTTGATAATGATGATGAAGATGCTCTTCATAAAGCTGCTGCTCAAAATGCTCAAAATGCTTTAATGGCTGCACAAGATAAAGCTAAACAATTTGATGATTTCAAAAATCCAGAAGCTACTGATGAAATGAATTTTCAAAATCCAACTTTATTAGGTGATATTCAAATTCAACAACCAAAAATGTTGAAATGTACCTTAAAAGAGTATCAAATAAAAGGTTTAAATTGGTTAGCAAATTTATATGAACAAGGTATTAATGGTATTTTGGCTGATGAAATGGGTTTAGGTAAAACTGTTCAAAGTATTTCAGTCCTATCATATTTAGCAGAAACTCATCAAATTTGGGGTCCGTTTTTAGTTGTTACACCAGCTTCAACTTTACATAATTGGCAACAAGAAATTTCAAGATTTGTACCTGATTTTAAAGTTTTACCATATTGGGGGAATTCAAAAGATCGTAAGATTTTAAGAAAATTTTGGGATAGAAAATCTTTTAGATATGATAAAGATGCTCCATTTCATGTATTAGTTACTTCATATCAATTAATTGTTCAAGATATTGCATATTTTCAAAAAATGAAGTGGCAATATATGATTTTAGATGAAGCACAAGCTATTAAATCTTCACAATCATCAAGATGGAAATCTTTATTATCATTAAGTTGTAGAAATAGATTATTATTAACTGGTACTCCAATTCAAAATTCAATGCAAGAGTTATGGGCTTTATTACATTTTATTATGCCTACATTATTTGATTCTCATGATGAATTTAGTGATTGGTTTTCAAAAGATATTGAAAGTCATGCTCAATCAAATACAAATTTAGATGAACAACAATTACGTAGATTACATATGATTTTAAAACCATTTATGTTGAGAAGAATTAAAAAGAATGTTCAATCTGAATTGGGTGATAAAGTTGAAATTGATTTATTTTGTGATTTAACAAATCGTCAAAAGAAGTATTATCAAATGTTAAGATCTCAAATTTCAATAATGGATTTATTAGATGCTGCAAGTTCAAATTCTGATGATGCTACAAGTTTAGTTAATTTAGTTATGCAATTTAGAAAAGTTTGTAATCATCCTGATTTATTTGAAAGAGCTGATGTTAAATCTCCATTTAATTTTGGTAAATTTGCTGAAACTTCAAGTTTCTTGAGAGAACAAGAATTGGAATATTTTTATGCAACGGAAAATTTGATAAATTATAATTTACCAAGATTGATATATAATGAATTATTAACACCAAATGAAAAAATGGATTCAAAATCATCAATTTATGCAAAATTTAATATTTATAATGAAGAAAATTCAAGAAATTTTGATTGGATAAGTTATGTCAATACAACACCAACTGAATTAAATAAGTTGATGAAACAAGATATACTTACAAGAGCAATAAATTTGAAACCAATAGATTTAAAGAAATATGAATCAATACCGAGAGATAAGAAATTATTACTAGTTTCAAAATCAATAATGGATGAATTATGTTCAATTAAAGATACAGTTTATGAAGATATGTATATAAAAAATCTTAATCCATGTTATATACCCAATGCATCAGCACCACCAATTGAAGTTATATGTTCATCCCAAAATTTTAACAATTTACAACACTCAGTATTATTTAATCAAAATATAAGATCATCATTAGTTCCATTAACTTTAAATCAAGAATACGATTTGATGCAAAAACAAATACCATTTAATCAATATCCAACATCAAATTTATTACCCCCATCAATTAACAAATTAATAGATTATTCAAATATTAGAATGCCAAGTATGGATAGATTTATAACTGAATCTGGTAAATTAGCTAAACTTGATGAATTATTAATACAACTTAAAAAAGATGATCATCGTGTTTTAATATATTTTCAAATGACTAAAATGATGGATTTAATGGAAGAATATTTAACTTATCGTCAACATAAATATATTAGATTAGACGGTTCTTCAAAATTAGATGATAGAAGAGATTTAGTTTCTGATTGGCAATCTAAGCCTGATTTATTTATATTTTTATTAAGTACAAGAGCCGGAGGATTAGGTATAAATTTAACAGCAGCAGATACTGTTATATTTTATGATTCTGATTGGAATCCAACTATTGATTCACAGGCAATGGATAGAGCTCATAGATTAGGTCAAACTAAACAAGTTACAGTTTATAGATTATTGACAAGAAATACAATCGAAGAAAGAATGAGAGACAGAGCAAAACAAAAAGAACAAGTTCAACAAGTTGTTATGGAAGGTAAATCTATGATTACACCAATTTCAAATAAAAAAGATGAAACTGTAAATAAAAAGAAAGATGTTGCTTATTTATTATTGGGTAATGATGATGATAATAATGTTGATACAAATACAAATACAACAACATCTTCAACAACAAATAATTCAACTCCACAACCAGAAAATAATGGAAATAAAAAGAAGAAGAATAATGATAAATTGGATGATAAATTGGATGAAAAATTACAAAACATGTATCATGAAGGAGAAGGTGAATTTAAATTAACACCAACTCCAATGTGAAAACGTAAGTAACAAAGAATTTAATGTAAGTAATGACTAAATAGTTATCAACTCTTCATCTCTATACCCGTGTTCTATGGTTCTAATATTTCGCAGTAATTGTACCTTGATCTGCATATGAAGATTCTATTCAAAACAACCTGCATATAAAAATATATATTTTTATAACAATTGTTTTTAATTGACAATTTATTATCATCAAAACATCTGTTTATAATTTACCAGATTAAGATCAAATAATAAACCGTTACTAATTCAAATGAATTATCACATATGAATTTTTTTCGATCTAAGAAACCAAACCAACAACAACAACACCAGCACCATGATGACCTCACTATAAGTAAACATATTTTATCATCAGAAATAAGCGACTGGGGTATTGAAGAACCAAGTAATTTAACTCCATTGACTGCGAATTCAAATCATACATTATTATCACCAACAGTTTCAAACTCAACACATACAACAAATACAAATACATTTTATTATCCACCTCCAAATCCACAATTTTTGAAAAATAATAATAATATAAATCAACGACGAATATCAAATGTTACAACATCGAGTAATAATTCAGATAGACATTTTCATTATCCTAATAAACATCTTACGACTAATTTATCATTGTTCATTAAGAAGTATTTATCATTAGAGAATAAAAGTAATGAATTTTGGGAGAAATTTAAGTATAATTTAATTTTGTCTAATTTATTGGAGGACTCGATGATATTGAGTAAGAATGAATTAGCAATAAAGCAAGAACAACATAATGAGGAAGTAATATCTCGACGAAGTATTAAATTATCAGACGGTACAACTTTGAAAATACTAGATTCAGAATTTGAAATTACTTATAGTTCAAGTTTGGATAATTTCAACTTAATTATACTCGTTATAAACCTAATTATATATTTATTGAAGCAACAACAGGCTTATCAATACGGAGAAAAATCAATTAGTCAATCATCACAATATAAAATGTTCAAAATTTTGTTAATTATAGCTTGTAAATTGATTAAGATACGGAAATTTAAATTAATCATACATACGAGTCGAATATTTGGAAACTTAAATCAGTACTTATTGTTCAATTACAAACTCAACAAGAAGTTAATCATTAATCTTTTGAAATTTAAAGGTGAGAATTTGAACCTAATTGAAAACTGCAATGACACGAAGCACTTCCTTATCAATTTATTAGATTTACTAAATTTGAATTTTAGAGATTCGATAATTAAGTTTTTACCTCTCATGAATGGAGAGTTATTTCAACAATACCTTACAATCAACAATATTAACTTAAATATTTTAAATCAAGAAATTGATGATGATGTTGATGATCTACCCATGTTTAAAATAAACAAGTTTAATCAATTACGTAAATTCTTCATATGTGAATTACTTACAATTAATGAAAGTACAAATTTGGATTTTTTTACATTGAATTTAATCGATCAATTTGGAATAGGTGATGATCCAATATACTTGGACAATTTAAGCAAATTAGAATTAATCAGTAATGTACTCAAGGACAACATAGGACTACTAGAAACAATAAATGACTTATTCAAGAAATATGAAACAGTAAGAACCATCTACACACAACCATCAAATGAAGTTTCTCTCCCACCAGCTACAAATTTAGACAATTTAATACTCAAAATGGATAATTTAACTACGAATCTTAAATTCTTCAAAAAGTATAATCAATCAACCAAAGATAATTCAGAGGAGAAGATTGAAAAGATTGAAATATTTAATAAATTCATGGAAGAAGTTGATAATATCAAAGCAATTCACAAATTAACATTAAATGATTTATCCTATGAGCTATCAAACCAACCACAATCTCCAGTATCATCATATTCAAATTCAAGTGCATCACCAATTCAACAACAGGGACAATTTACAATGAAACTGTTTCATAATTCATCAATAAAGAAAAGATTCTCATTACCACCAAACAACAACAATAATACTCCTAAGAAAAACGGGTCTAGTTCCAAGTATAAACGGTTATCAACAGGTTTACAACTAGGTTTATTGACTGTATTTGAAGAAGAAACACCAAAATCACAACCCAAAAGAATCAGTACTTCAAATTCAGCACCTCCTTCATATGATGACAATTATTTAAATATATTACCACCATCACAATATGAAACTTATAATCTTGCAACTTTAGATCAATTGACAAAATGTAAGAATAATAGGTATAGTTTAAATTCGGTACAATCTAATATTTCAGGATTAACCGATTTAACTTCATTTGAAGATGAGTCCAATACGAATAGGTATACGAAAGATGAACTTAGGATGAAATTGGAAGAGAAATTTAATTTGAAGTATAATGAAAAACCAAATATTAATAAAGTTGAATCTCTTGAATCTCAGGAAGATCAAATAGACCAGGAAGATACTAAATTTGAAAATAAGTTAAACAAATGAGGATAATTATTCATTATTAATATTGAATAATTTTGAGTACTTGTTGAATCTCAGGAAGGCCAAATATAACAAGCAGATACTATGGAGTTCTAAACAAGAAAATCAAATGAGGATATTTATTCATTACCACAATTGAGTAAAATCTCATGACGATACTATATGATTTCAGGAAAATCAGTAAATACAATTCACACTATTTATTACTTTAATATATTTATTTATTTATTAAATACAAATTATTTACTCACTTTTTTATCCAAATCCTGGGCCCGAACCCATCGAATTAAACCAATCTGTCCCAATTGTCTCACCAATACTCTCCGCTTCATTTAAATTACTGGCACTACTAATACTTCGATTATGTTGTATAGATTTTGATGTCTCTTGATTTTGTGGTTGTTGATTATTTGTATTTGTTGCATCTTCAAATGCATCATCATCAAATAATAAAGTATTTGTAAAATATGCATCATCTAATAATCCACTATCTGTTTTACCCATATTCGTAGCTCCTTGTTGATTATTTTCCTGCTCAGGTAATACGAATTGTACTGGATTGAACAAAGTATCAAATGAACCTTTCTCTTCTTTAATTGGCTGTTGTTGTTGTTGTTGTTGTTGATTTTGTTGATTTTGTAGTTGATTTTCAAACATAGGTGCAGATGGTGGTGGTTGTGTTATATTCTGAGTACGTGGGGATTGTAATTGTAATTGTTGCTGTTGTTGTTGAGCTTGCTGTTGTTGTAATCTTTGTTGTTGTAAAAACCTTTGTCTTTGTAAATTATTTTGATTTTCCATTTGTAATAAATTTGCTTGATAATCGTCAATACTTTGAATATTAAATTTTGAATCCATGTTTAAATCATGCTGTTGTTGAGGTTGAGGTGGTTGACGAATATTCGGTGGAGGTGGTTGCATTGGATTAGTTGGAGTGTCTATCGTCGACGAAGGTCGTGATGATGATGGTCTTGATGATTGATTAGTAGCAGCTGTAGATGACGCTATTCCTGCTGCTGCTGCTGCTGCTGCTGCTGTTGCTGCTGCTTGTTGAGCTTGCTGTTGTTGTTGGAATTGTAATTTCAATTGTTGTAATCTTTGTTGTGGTTGAATTTGATCTGGTGAATTTTTACTAATTGAATTAATTCGATTTGGTGTTGGTTGTTGCAGCATTGATTGTTTTTTAAGATCTTGATTCACGCCTCTTTTCAAAGCCATTTGTTGTTGCTGTTGCTGATATTGCTGTTGTTGTAATAATCTCAATTGTTGTTGATGCTGTTGTTGTTGTTGTGGCGTTAAATTTTGAAATTGTTGTTGACTCAAAGGTTTTGGTTGTGCAGCTTGTGCCTGTTGAGCTTGTACCTGTTGAGCTTGTGCCTGTTGTTGTTGTTGTTGTTGTTGTTGTTGTTGTTGCATCATCCTTTGATGTAGTAGGAACTGTTGTTGCTGTTGTTGTGGGTTCAATGGTTGTTGATTCTGATTTTGAGGGGGTGGGGCCATAAATTGATGTTGTGGATTATTTGACAATACTTGATTTAAATTTGGATTCATTGAACTTTGCAATGACCATAACATGCTGAACCAGTTTAATAGGTATTCTGGGTCTCTCATTGAGTTCAAATTCAAATTATTAATGTTCTTATTATTTAGAATGTTTTTAGGTAAATTATTGACATTTATACATTCTGATAATAATGAATTAGCTGAATCTTTTAAATTATTTGACATAAGGTAGTTATATAAGTATATTATTAATAATTGATGAGGATTCTTTGCTAGTTTTTCAGATAATAAATCTGATTCATTAAACAATTGATTATTATTTGATTCATTTTTATTAGAGGTGTTTGTTATGGTGTTTGGTGTAGTTGATGACTTATTCTTTTTTATATTAGTAAAAGAATTAGACATTTAATTGAAAAATACAAATAGTTGATCAATCAATCTCAATTTACAATTATATTCTTTGATTGAATTATTATTTTGAAAAATGATGATACAAAATTGAAAAAAAAAAAAAAAAAAAAAAAATTAATATAAAAATATAAATTGGATGAAACTTTAATTTACAACTACGTAGTAGTAAAATGACTGAATGAACCGTAGCCAATCAATGACATTCGATTAATATCTCTTTAAATGTTGGTAAAATGAGAATGAAAAGTAGCTGAAGATTTACAATTTTATTATCTAGATAACTGGATAGTAAACGATACTAAATGCTACTAATTTATAGTACTCTCCAGTTACATTAGAAAGATCCAGCCCTATTACTCTATTGCAGCAAGAAACAAGAAAGTGGTTATTTATTATTTCTGTTAAAGTTAGTATAAATTTGGCTTTTCATGGAAAACTCAAATCTGACATTGTCAAATGTTTAAACTGACTGCAAAATGGATAATCTTTTGACTGAGAACAATAACATTAGTAACGAGAGCTGGTATTTAAATTCTTCATGTGAAAAATACCATAAAATTATCACTTAAGAGTTTAGTTTACGAGTTGCTATATTTATTGTGGTTGAAAGGAACAACGAAATCTCAATTAACTGACCTATATTGGTTATAATGATTTAATTGTTTCGTAGTTTGCTCTATGGTTGCAACGTTGATCTATTAGACTTTTTTTTCCGTGTCTGACATTATAGTAATTCATTTTGTGTCGTATTAGTAAAGACACATCTTCCTTCTTTCTAATTTTATTAGAAGGCGTGTTACTCGCAAAATTTTTGACGAGATCGCGCTTATTTTTATAACTTGCGCTTTTGCTCGCTTAGATCTTTTTTTTTTTTTTTTTTTTATCTTATACTTTTATTTATTAAATAGTCATTATAAATCATTTTCTAAAATTACCAAACGGCCCTTTTGGCGTAACATTATTCTGTATTCTCTCTGCAGCTAATTGTAGTAGTTCATCTGGATATTCTTTTGAATCATAAATTGGATGGAATTCTTTTGTTTTCAAATCCTTTTCATAATATATTCCATGAATCATTAAGTTCTCCAAACTCAAAAACATTATCGACAAGAATTTAATAATTGGTTTGATTTGATGAACTATATATGTAGTAACCAAAGTATCAATATTCATTGGATCTAAACCATATGAATCATTAATTATATCACATTTACATTTATTAATTACTTCACCTTCTTCTTCTTGATCTTTATGGAATGCTAAATGTAATGTATGTGCTTGTCCTTTAAATATTGGATATGAACTATATAAAAATGTCTTTTCCTTGATCGGTATACAAACTTCTCTATCTGCTTGTAATTTACCTAAAATATATCCAATTAACATATAATAACTACTTTGTAAGTCTATATCTTCATCTTTATCAAAAAATTCATCTTCTAGTTTCTCTAAAACTAACTGGCATCCCCAACATTTACATGTATGTAATAAACTTTCCATAAAATCTGGTTTATAATAAACAAAACTTGTAAAAAAATCAGGCAATTGTAAAACTTTTAAATTTGTAAGTAATGGTAATTTATCATTTGTGAAGAAACTTAAAAAAAAAGCTTCCATTAAATGTTCATTCAATTTATTTAGCAAGTAATTAGATAATCCTAAATTATTATCAAACATCTTAAAACCAGGAGTTGAGAAATCTATAGTTAAACTTGATAGATTACCCAATGTTTTTATAAATCCACCTAATGGTACCAATATATTTTCCATTTGTTGATGTGGTCTTAACCAATTTAAATTTGGATATGATTCAATTTCAAAATTTTTAAGATTTGGTAACCCATTATTTAATCTTGAATATTCACTAAAATCATTGAAAAACTTTTCAAAACAATTGCACAAACTATCTCTATGTTCATTACAATCGACTTTTAAATATAAATGAGATAAATAATTTATATCAATTTTGGAATTTATTGATTCAAAGTCTAATTTCATGGGTTTGATTTCTTCATCAGACGGATCTGTGTTTAATTGATGACTCTCTAACATTAAATCTTCCATATCATTTGGTGTAACTTTATGTTTATGGAATATAGTTAATCCTTTTAATTTCAATTTCATTCTTGGACTATTTAAAACAATTTTATCCAATATACTTAAACCCAATTGTTTCGTAGTTGAAACTGTTAAAGTAAACAAGCTATTAAACATGTTATAAGGTTCTGCATTGAGATTTATCGACTCTCTGACGACATCTTGATCTTGTAACATCATAAATAAATTTGTCATATTACTCGGTACAAAAGGTTCAAATAATTCGGACCAACTAGTAATTAATAATTTAAACATTTTATTCCTTACATTTGCATTTTTAAGAAAATTTGTTAATTTAACTATCCCTTGGTTAAAATCAATAAATGAAATATGCAAAAAATTTAATCCAGTACTATACTTACCAAAGAATGAAATGAAATGGTTTTGTAATATTTGTAATTTCTCTTCATCTTTAAATAAACATTTATCAAATATGAAATATTTGATAAATTGAATTAAATCAAAATTTAAATTTAGGGTGGTTATAAATTTAATCAAATTTTCAAATTTAAAAATTAATGATGAGTCCATATGTTTTAAACCGTTTTCAATTATATAATCTTGACTATTGGAATATTTCACTGGTAATTCAGCATTTATAATTATAGTTATCCTTTTATATAATCTCTCAATTGATAATCTATAAAAATGAGAACAAGTTAAACATAAATTAACTAAATCAAATTGGCTGACATATTCAAGGATAATAGATATTATATATGGTGGTAGTTTCGATATTATTGAATTATAAGGTTGTGAAGTTGTTCGTTTTGGATATTTTTCAAATAATCTCGGATATTGTTTAACTGGAATTTGATCAAGATTAAAGCTTAAATTTGGATTTGTTACAAATTTATTAATATTAGGAAATTCATCTATTAACATTTCTTCATCTTCATCTTCATCTTCATCATTAAATAATGAGTTACATAGAAGTCTTGAATCACTCATGGTGTCACTTTATCGTTTAATATTTTCTTTGAAAAAATTGAAAATAGGAGATAACCAAACACCGATAAGAAATAAATATACTTCAGTAATTATACAAGCTGATTAACCACTTCAAATGAGCTTCAATAGAATTACATCTACATTTACATTCTATCTTTGACATCTCGCCTGTTTCAGTAGATGTATAGAATGTGTCAAATGATTTTTACGATGTGTAATGCTTTCTACACGTGATTGCTTACAAAAATTGGTTCCATTTTGTGTAACTTTAGTGTTTCGGAAAATTCATGCTTTATATATTTAAACCAACTACAATCTTGTTCCTAAATTAACATGAATTGCTTTTGCTTGAGTATACATATCTAAACCATATTCTCCTAGTTCTCTACCAATACCAGATTGTTTAACACCACCAAAAGGTATACGAACATCTTCATCATTTGATGAATTAATCCAAACCATACCACTTTCAATTTTACCAGCCATTGAATGAGCAGCAACTAAATCTTTAGTAAAAATAGAAGCTGCTAAACCATATTGAGTACAATTTGCTAATTGAATTGCTTCATCATCATTTGAAAATTTAGCAATTGAAACGACAGGACCAAAAATTTCTTCTTGGACAATTCTCATATCTGGTCTAACGTCAGCAAATATAGTTGGTTTAATAAAGAAACCTTTTGATAATTCACCTTCGGTATTCTTTTCACCGCCTAATAAAACTTTTGCACCTTCTTGTTTACCAATATCTAAATATTTTAAAATTTTATCATGCTGCATTTTGGAAACTTGTGGACCAACAATACAATCTTTATCAAACATTAAACCTTGTTTATATTTAGATTTAACATGATCAACTAATGATTTGCAAAATTCATCATATGCAGATTCATGTACATAAATTCTTGAATTTGCAGTACAAATTTGACCTTGATTTGACATAATACCAATTGCCGCCCATTTAATAGCTTGATCCAATTCTGCATCTTGTCTTATAATCATTGGAGATTTACCACCACATTCTAAAGTAACTAATTTCATAGTGTCAGCAGCAGTTTTTTGAATCAATTTACCAATTGCAGTTGAACCAGTAAATGCAATTTTATGAACTTTTGGATGTCTTGTTAAAGCATTACCAGCACTTGCACCATAACCAGAAATTATATTAACAACACCAGCTGGAAAACCAACTTTTTTAAATAATTTGGCAACAACCAACATTGATAATGGAGTAATTTCTGAAGTTTTTAAAATAACAACATTACCAGCAGCTAAAGCAGGAGCCAATTTCCACGAAGACATAGCCATTGGATAATTCCATGGAACAATTTGACCTATTATACCAATTGGTTCATGAACAGTATATGCCAATTTTTTTGGATCATTTTGAATAACTTTACCGGTAACTTTATCAGCCCAGCCAGCATAATATCTAAAACATGAAATACATTCGTCAATATCGAAAACAGCATTTTTCTTGAAATTTTTACCTGAATCCCATGCTTCAACAGCACCATAAAATTCTCTATTTTGTTCTAGTTCATCAGCAATTTTATTTAATAATAAACCTCTTGCAACACCAGTTAATTTTTTCCATTCTGGTAAAGCTTTTTCAGCACAATTAACAGCATAGTCAACGTCTTCATCTAATGCTTCATAAACAGTAGCATTAACTTCACCAGTTGAAGGATTAATTGATTCAAAAGTTTTACCAGCTTTTGATTTTATAAATTCATTATTAATGAATAAACCAGTTGGTTGTGAGAATTGAACACCATTTGGTAAAGTAATTTCAGTTTCTAATGGTAATGACATAGTGAATAGTTAATAAATATAATGAGAAAAAGATAAAGAGATATAAATATCAAAATGGACGGGGAATTGGTATTTAATTTATAGTGAAGAATACTTGTTGAAAAATTAATTATGATAAGAATGCGCACGTACAAAAAAAGGCGCTTTGTTTTAACCTCCAACGTTTTGTAGTCCAATTATAATTGATACATGCTTACTAGTGGTATTGCTATGTAAGTTCATTAGTCTATTATATTCCTTGATAGATTCTAATGTCCCAATATGTAATTTGATGTAACTGAAAGGTGTTACAACTTTGAAACAAATCGATTAATACAAAAATTACGCTCCACAAAACGAAAATTAAATAGGCGCGTAATTTCCTAATTGGGCATGTGGATCCGATCAGGTATATAATTGGTAGAATTAGTAATAGAATCGATAACTACTAAGAAGGGATTAAAACTATCTAGTTATTCACTCAATATCTTTTACTCTACTCATAAATCAAAAGGACGTTAAAATCCATTTTTCAGAGTATTAGCTCATAACTGTTTTAAACTCCCCCAGATCAATTGAAAATGCATATGCACATACTAATTGTTGACCGCTTAAATTTGAAGGTTGAAATTGGTAGCATTTATTTCATTTTTTATCCGGTTTTAAGAGCCTGTCATTGAAAACAAATATATACTTCAATATAATCTTGACAATTTTAAATATATTACAGTCGGTTTTTACCACTTAATTTACGAATCAGATTTAATCTTTGTTTCAGAAAACTATGGATTATTCGGTGTTTACAGCTCAATCTCCAGCTCATAATGATTTTCGTAGTGATACATTTACCACTCCCACATTATCAATGGTTCAAGCATTATCATCTACTTCATTAGGAGATGCAGTTTATTATGAAGATGATACAACAAAGTTATTAGAAGCTAAAGTTGCTAAATTTACAGGTAAAGAAGCTGGATTATTTTGTGTTTCAGGTACATTAACAAATCAAATTGCAATGAGAACAAATTTATTACAACCTCCATATCTGATATTATGTGATTCAAGAGCTCATGTTTATGTTCATGAAGCTGGTGGATTAAGTACATTAACTCAAGCAATGCCAATGCCAATATACCCAAAAAATGATAAATATTTAACATTGGAAGCAGATATAATACCTAATTTTACTCCAGATGATGGTGAAATACATGGTGCTCCTACTAAATTAATATGTCTTGAAAATACATTACATGGTATGATTTATCCACTTGAAGAAATTAAAAAAATTAGTAAATTTTGTAAAGAAAATGATGTAAGATTGCATTTAGATGGTGCTAGAATATGGAATGCAAGTGTGGAAACTGGTATATCTATTGAGAAATATTGTTCTTATTTTGATTCCGTGAGTTTATGTTTATCTAAAACTTTGGGTGCTCCAATTGGATCAGTATTAGTTGGTGATAAGAAATTCATAAATAAAGCAAATCATTTTAAGAAACAAAATGGTGGTGGGATAAGGCAAAGTGGTTTAATTGCAAGTATGGCGATCGTAGCAATAGATGAAAATTTATCAAAATTGAAACAAACACATGAATGGGCTAAAGAAATTGGTAAAGTGTGTGAAGAGTACAATATTATTTTGGAACACCCAGTTGAAACAAATTTTGTGTTTGTAGATCTACAAGCTAGTAAGATTAATCCAGACAAGTTGATTGAAATCTCGGATAAGTATAAAGTTAAAATTTACAGTGGTAGAATATCATTACATTATCAACTTTCAAAAGAGTCATTGGAACTGTGTAGAAAAGTATTGATTGAAGTGATAGAAGAAGCAAGAAAGAATCCGTATGAAGGTAAAGGAAATATGAAATTCTATACTAGTGAAAATAATTAATACAAATACTTTTTAATAAAATAGCCTTCTTGAATATTGATGGCTACTAATCTTTGAAATTGTTCTCTTGAAATTAATTTTTAGCTATCCTAGCCATTCTTTAGCCTTTCTACTCATTTGATTATGTGGTTTCGTGATTTATTTTCCTTATCTGGTTGTAGATGTCGATTACGTTTCGAAATGAATCAAATATAAATCTTGATACTTTGAGCACTCTACGTACTTTGGACCTAGCTTTATATCTGCTCAAAATTTCACTGCCATTAAGTGAGTGTTAATAATACTGAATATATATCGAGTTAAAGCTCAATTTTGCAGCCATTTTGCAGCCATTTTTTGGATATCAAAAAAAAAAATAAAAAAAAATAAAAAATTAAAAAATTTATGACTATCAATGAATCATCAATACAATTATATACAACAAAGCTAACAAAAGAATTAATAGAGTTCTTTGAAGATGATTATAACTTTGAATGTAGCTTAAGATTACTCAGGGACTTGAAATTACTGGCTAAAATTCACTCCGTAAGAGATAAACATCAAAGATTCAAAATAGTACTATCCAATTTATTCACAAGGCACATATTCAATAAGATGATTGGTAAACCAAGTTTTGAGGAAGTACCTTTCAAGTATAACACTTTTGGAAAACCATTACTCGATAATATTCAATTTAATTCAAGTAGTTCAAATGATATAATTGCAATAGTAATAGCTCCAAGTCAATCACCAATTGGTATAGATTTATCTCATTCTAGACAAGATTCAATTTCAGAAACGGATTATTTAACTCAATTTGCTCCAATTTTTACAGAAAATGAGATTGCTCAAATTGATTCATATTTTAAATTTAATCATTTCTGGACTTTAAAAGAAGCATTCACGAAATTATTAGGTTGTGGATTAAATATTGATTTAGCAAGTTTTGAATTTATAGTCTCAGATGGGTTTAATGAGGATGTTTACAATGCTTCAGTTGAAAATAATGAAATTAAATGGTTCGATGAGATCAGGATAAATACTGATAAATTGGTAGATAACAATGTATATCAACAACTTCCAAGTCATGACTTTTACTGTTATAGTTCGATATTACAAAAGAGAACAAGGGATGAATTACCAGTGATAGTAAGTATAATTACACTAGAGAAAGTTGAAGAAGTTGCTAATTATACCGACTTCGAAGAAACCTTATACAAGTGTATACCCTGATGCAGCGGAGTTTGCAGCATTATGTTTATTAAATAACAAATTTTTCACGGAACTACTGCTTATATACTAACTATCATCAAACTTCAAAACCATCATAAGGTAACACCTACAACTAGGGACAAACTAAATTATGTATGCTACAAAGAGTGTATAACTTATATACAAAACTAATATTTCATACAATCTCTAACTCTTAATCTAGTTGAATAGAATACTACGATGAATTCTCACAATAGTCAGTAATAATATTGCAAACAAAAACCCCTTCGAAAATTACCCCTTAAACAACTTTTGGTATTTCTGAAATTTTTGAATAGTTCAAGATACCTTTAATGTATCAAATATAGACAAACACAATTAATTTATTTTCGAAAATAAGCTCACGTTGAGTCTCATGACTCATGACTCATGACAAATTTTACTGGACATCATATCCCTTTAATAATTTTCCATGAATTTCGGCGAAAATTTAAAAAAGGGTAAAAGTTCTCAAAATTTAGGTAAGCCTTTTAGGAAATGATTTACTATTATCAAACTCTAATTAAGGATAGCTAGTTAAAACTTATCCTATATCTCAAGTTTAAGGTTATAAGTAGTGGGTTATCACTTGGCGGCTTTTTCGAATTTTATTAGTGATCACATGAGCCGCATTTTTTTTCAATTTCAATTTTGGATGCCATACATTTAATATTTTGTTTATTTCAACGATTATAACAAACTTCCAACCCATATATATTCAAATCAATATTCGTAATTCAGATGACTATATAATATTATAATGACAGACTTAGAACAAAAGAATGGTTTAAATAATAATAATCAACCAGTTAAACAAGTATGTAAATCATTGATTATTTTGGTAAACTTTACGAATGGCATACTAACAATTTTATAGAAAAGGAAAAAGACTTCAAGAGCTTGCAATCATTGTCATAAAGCTCATATGACTTGTGATTCAGGTAGACCATGTCAACGATGTATACAAAGAAATTTAGATGCAACGTGTGAAGATGCTCCAAGGAAAAGAAAGAAGTACTTGGAAGATGTACCTAATAAATCATTAGAAACCACAATACCTAATTATAGTCAGCAATATCAAGTTCAACAACCTCAACAACATCAACAACAGCAGCAACATCAGCAAAAACAGCAAAACCAACATCAGCCATTACCAGTACCAAATCATACAACTTATCAAGCTACTATGTTTCAACATAGTTCAACAGCTCCAGAATTAAATCAACCCATACCCGATTATTATTTTCAGAATTTAGTTAATCAAAAACAACAAGCGCAGAATAAATCAAAAGCAAGTCGAACGAATTTTTTATCCACGGCTGCTGATTTAGAATATGCAACTTTATCAAATATTCTACAGGATAATTTTGGTCATCATACAACTTCAAATGAAGGTACACCTAATAGTCGCAATTTTTCACCAGCGTTATCTCCAAGTACAAATATGACAAGTAATGGATTACCCACTGTAGCTCGAATAACGTCATCTGGACATTCACCATTAAGTCAACAACAACAAAGTGTCACAGTTAAGCCTAAATTTGATGAATCAATTAATCAATATAGTATTGGATATATAGAATCAGATCAAATGGTATTATTTCCAGATATTATAACCGCAATTGAACGAATTCAGACAAACGATCCAGTGGTTAGATTTGAAGAATCACAACAGAATCCTAAACTGTTATTATCATTTACTATAGGTATACTGCCTGAGGATAACAACGGATCAGATGATGCTACAATTTTTAAAGAACCAGAAGAAATTTATGCTAAAGTTAAAAAACCATTTTCTTATACTCCAGGATATCATTCTTTAATTGCTTATCTTAGAAAAAGATTTCCTAAAGAAATGTTGGTTAAAATGGCTGAATCAATGGCTTCTTATCGACCTTCATTTATTGCATGTACAAATTCATTAAAAGAACATGATTTAATTTTCATGGAACAATGTTTTCAACGTACTTTATTAACTTATGATAATTTTATTAAAATTAGTGGGACTCCAACTATTGTATGGAGAAGAACAGGTGAAATTGCTTACGTGGGTAATGAATTTTGTATATTAACAGGATGGAAACGAGAAGATTTAATAGGTAAAGATAAAAAGAAATTCATAGTTGAATTATTAGATGATAAGTCAGTATTGGGATATTTTGAAGTTTTTTCAAGAATTGCATTTGGCGATTTTTTAGGTGCCACAATGACTGAATGTACTTTATTAACACCGAAACATGATGTTAAAATAAGAACAGGGTGTATGTGGACATTGAAAAGAGATGTATTTGGTATTCCAATGATGATAGTAGGTAATTTTTTACCAATAATTAAGTAATGTATTAATATTGTATAATTTATATGTAAAAAGCCGCTTAATTTTATAACCGCTTAATTTTTTATTTTTCATTTTTTTGTCTCCCCATATTTTGATTTGATTTGATAACGCACAGCAATATCCTTAATCCTTTATCAATGTCCGATTCAACAAAACAATTGACTTCACATTTACTAACTTCAGTGTTTATAATATGTATTGGATCATTACAATTTGGTTATCATATGGCAGAATTAAATTCACCTGAATTAGTTTATTCATGTAAAAAATCTATACCAGGGTCAATTCCGTATCATGATTCATTTTTTAGTAGTCATTTCAATTTTAAACAATGTATACCATTAAATTCAAATCAAATAGGTTTAACAACTTCAATTTTTTCAATTGGTGGTTTAATTGGATCAATGTATGTAAATCAATGTGCTAATAAATTAGGTAGGAAAAAGACAGCTATGATTTCACAAGTATTTTATTTAATTGGATCATTAATTAATGGAATGAGTAATAATTTTGTTAGTTTATTAATTGGTAGGCTTATTAGTGGATTAGGTGCTGGATTTGCTTTAGTTATTACAAGTTTATATATCAATGAGGTTAGTCCAGTTGAATCAAAGGGATTATTGGGATCAATGAATCAATTGAGTATAAATATAGGTATATTATTTACACAATTGTTATCTTTAAGATGGACAAATGATAATGATTGGAGATGGTTATTAATCATGGGTGGAATAATCGCAGCTATTAATGTTGTATTATTATTAGTTTATGTTTCTGAAAGTCCATTTTGGTTAAGTCAACAAGGATATCCAGATCAAGCATTTAAAGAATTACATAAACTAAGAGGAGGTAGTTATTCAATAGCTACTGATGAAGTAAACAGTTGGAGAGTGAAAGATTCAACACCAGAACTGGATTCATTCATTGAGGAGAATAATAGTCCACAAGAACAGAGCTCAAAGGTAGTTACACTTAGACAATATCTCACTGATTCAAATTATCAACCTTCTTTAATTGCAACTACTGGTATTTTAGTACTTCAGCAATTTGATGGAATTAATTCAATTATATTCTATGGTGTATCTGTTTTAGTTTCAATATTTCCAAATTCATCAATATTAATTAATTGTTTAATTTCATTAGTTAATGTATTGATTACTTTTATTTCAGCTAATCTTGTCGACAAATTAGGTAGGAAACCATTATTGATTACTTCAGTTTCATTTTTAAGTATTGCAACTTTCTTAATGGGTAATGGTATAATATTCAAAAATTCAATCTTATCTATAATTGGTACATTTACATACATTTCATTCTTTGCTATTGGATTAGGTCCAATTCCATTTTTATTAATTGGTGAATTAACTCAACCAAATGCAAAGACAATTGCACAAAGTTGGGGAGCGAGTTTGAATTGGATATCTACATTTATAGTCGGTTATACATTTCCAATTTTATTACATTGGTTGGGTGGATCTGTTTATTTTATATTTTCACTAATGTGTTTATTTAGTATATGGTTTATTAAGAGATATGTGCCAGAAACAAAGCAAAAACTCAGTTATGAAGAAGTATGGGGTATCTAGAGATATAACAATATATAATGCGACACTAATATAAATTCAAATCATCTGAGATCTGGTACCTGATTTTTTCAGATGTCAGAACTGAAACCCTTATTAAAATCACGCGCACTAAAATAGGGCTATTTTAGAATGTGCAATCACCAATTATTCTTAACTATGCGACAAGATTGACTATGTAGATGGTAGCATTCTCATACTCTCACTATTAACAAAATAGAGATATTGAAAAAAAATCTTTTACAAATTTTCATTTTAATATAATAATCAACAACAACAATGCCTACTAGATTAACTAAAACCAGAAAACATAGAGGTAACGTTTCTGGTATGTACAAAATAACTAAATAAAAGATACAAGTTTTGGAAGTTGAATTGGACAAGTATAGGGAGATTTATTCAAGATTGAAAAATTAAAGATTCAAGATGGGATATAGAATTTGACATCATGACAACTTCACAGAGTATTTTCAAATGAATAGAGTACTAACCATTTATTTAGCCGGTAAAGGTAGAATTGGTAAACATAGAAAACACCCAGGTGGTAGAGGTAAAGCTGGTGGTCAACATCATCACAGAACAAATTTAGATAAATACCATCCAGGTTATTTTGGTAAAGTTGGTATGAGATATTTCAGAAAACAACAATTACATTTTTGGAGACCAGAAATTAATCTTGATAAATTATGGACTTTGGTTGAAAGTGATAAAAAAGATGAATATTTAAAATCATCAAACAAAACTGCTGCTCCAGTTATTGATACTTTAGCTCATGGTTATGGTAAAGTTTTAGGTAAAGGTAGATTACCAGAAGTTCCAATTATTGTTAAAGCAAGATTTGTTTCAAAATTAGCTGAAGAAAAAATTAGAGCTGTTGGTGGTGTTGTTGAATTAGTTGCTTAAATGAAATACTCTGTATATTTAATATAAAAAAGTCATAAACGTTAATCAGTAATTAGACTATTCTATTTCAAATCATCTCAGATTTATCTTTGACTATTCCTGTATATAATTTAAATCTGACATTTACTTAATTTGGATTTGTTTCATATTTTAGGTTTCTAGGGTTGTAATTAAAATACAACCAAATAATACCAACCATATATGATATTGAAAAGTATATTACCATCTCATTGCATTAGATTAACCCATTTTTCATTTAATAGATCTTATAGAACAAAATCAATCATGAATTCAATTAAAAATTTAACTATTAATGAATGGAAACCAGAAGATTCAATTTCCAAAAAGATTAAAGATTTATTAATACCAATTAGTAAAAATGGTACTATTCCAAAGATGAATTATATGCTTGCATTCTTACAAATCATTAAATCATTAAAATTTCAGAAAAGAACAGGATGGATTGACCACGGCATACCTGTTCTAAAAACTGAAAGTATTGCTGATCATATGTATCGTATGTCAATTATATCAATGATGGTACCTCCAAATATTGATTCAAATAAATGTGTCAAAATTGCTGTTATTCATGACATTGCTGAATGTTTAGTTGGTGATATAACTCCATTTGGTGGAATTTCAAAAGATGAAAAACATAGAAGAGAATGTGAAACTATAAATTATTTAAGTGAATTAATAAAACCGTATAATGCTGAATTTTCCGAGGAGATGTTGGAATTATGGTTAGATTATGAAGAAATTAGAACTATTGAAGCTAGATATGTTAAAGATATAGATAAATATGAAATGATTCACACTGCATGGGAATATGAATTAGAATATGGTTTGAAATATAATTTAGATCAATTTTTTACAGCTAGAGCAGCTATAAAAACTAAAGAAATTGGAGAATTGGCTGATTCAGTATTGGAAAAACGAACAAAATTAATGAATGATTTAAAAGAAAAAGAACAAGAAAAGGCAAAAGAGAAATTAAAAGATAGTAAGATAACTACATCAACAGAAAGTAAATCAGTCGATGTACAACCAACATTATAGAATCTTGCAAGTTACTACGTCAATTCATCTCCAATCGCAAGTTATATTGTTTGATTCAACATACGAATCGTTTTCTAGAGTCTATGAAAATTGGTGTTATATATATTATAGAGTTATAGAGGGAATAATCATTCTAAATCGAATCGTATTCGAATCTCTTCATCTTTATTGTTATTGACTACTGAAATCACACAGAGGACCCCAAACAATTAACTAATCATCAATCTCTTAATAGGTTAATCAATTGCCAGAATCTTGAACGCAGTTTCAATTCACGTTAAGTTATATTCTTAATCATCATTGACCCAAATTTTTGTTATGATTTACTTTCTATACAAAGACATAATGTGCATGTATCCAGACAATAGCCTTATGTTCAAAAAAAACTCTACTTAAAGCTTAACCAGTAGAAGTCAAAACAGATCATATAATCAAATCTCCATTAAATGCCAGAATTCAGTATTCCCTATCAACTTGTTAAGTTACAAAAAGAAGAAAGAAAGAAAAAAAAAAAAAAAAAAAAAAAAAATTATTTTGGTTAAATCACGTAAGGTGATTATCGAATTATCAAATGTCAAATACAACTACAACTACTACTAAAACTACAGATAAAGACTCAAATGATAATAAACCAGTAATAGGATTAAGTGGACGTAATATAGTATACGATAAAGATGGTAAACCGTGAGTAAATTTATCAATTTGTTTGGTTTTTTAATGGCAAATATTAACTAATATTAGGTGTCGTACTTGTAATACATTATTAGATTTTCAATTTGCAATGGGTAAGAAACCAGTAATACCACATGAACCAAAAGAAGTTAAAAAGGAGAAATTATCAGGTTATACAAAAGATTATCCACCAGATGTTTCAGAATTGGGTAAATCATCATGGACTTTATTACATTCAATAGCAGCAACATATCCCGAAAATCCAACAGATCAACAACAAAAAGATTTGAAACAATTTATTAATTTATTTTCTGGCTTTTATCCATGTTGGTATTGTGGTGAAGATTTTAAAATATATATCAAAAAGAATGAAATTGAAACAAAAAATCAAGATTTATTTGGTAAATGGTTATGTAATGCACATAACGAAGTAAATAAGAAATTAAATAAACCAGTGTTTAATTGTGAATTATGGAAGAAAAGGTGGAAAGATGGATGGGATGAAGAAGAATAGATTATATTATATCGTATAGATCTCCTGTATATAAAAATTTCATTATCAACAAAAAAAAAAATAGCCACTGTAAAATTAGCAACCAATCTATATTCCAATTATTATTGTATTATGTTCAGTCTTAAATTATCCAGATCAATTGAAAAATCAAAATTTTATAGATCTTTTTCATTAACTAATTGGTTTAAATCTTGGAAAGATGCTGCTCAATCTCAAAGATTAATTTATCCACCACCTCATTCACAATTTACAACTAAAAATAGAATTATAGATATTTATATAAATGAAAAGCAAGAATTGTATCCATATTTAAATGTTAAACAGCCTTTATTATTACATTTCACTTATGCAACACAACAAAATAATAAAGTTACAAAAGCTTTATTTGATGTTTTAAGTGATGCAAATAAATACCCATTCGGAGATCAAGAAAATAAATCTGTTTATTTAGTAAATATCTTGTGTGATTCTCAAGGTGGTAGAGAATTAATTTTGGATTATGTTGTTGGCTCAAAAATACCTTGTGTTTTAGTATTGAAACATCAATTACCTACTGGTCAAAGATTTATACCAAATGTTGAAAATTTCAATGAACAAGATGTAATTGAATGGTTACGAACTATATAAATATTAAATAAATAGACAATTTATAAAATTATATTTATAACTTTTTATTGGTTTATTGATTTATTTTCAACATTCTATTAATTTGCCGCACCCGAAAAAGTATATATTAATTTCACAAATTACTAACTCCTTCGTTTTCACTTAAGGACAAAACGAAATATTATGGACACCACGGCAACATGCTTGATTTTATTTTTGAGGTATGAAAACTCAATGGCTCTAGATATTTAGAATTATTCACTAAATAAGCAGCGCTTTCAATTATTACGTATTGAATACACGGAAATTTATAAAATGCTTCACTAAGTACCATATCTGTAAATGGAATATGTAATTATTTTGAACTTGAGTATAATTGGTATTTAAAATTTATCACACAGATTCATGAAATAAATTGAATCTCTCGCCACAAAGATCTCTTCTAATTCGCCTCATTCAAGTGTGGTCGATGTCACTAAATTTTTTTCTTGTGGGCGTGCAAACAACACCATTCTTGTTGAAGAATTTCAAGTTTTTCAAATAGCGGTTTCGGATTTATAATTGAAAGAGAGACAATACAGATAAAAAAATCATTATTGTATTTGACAATAGAGCTTAGATATGAAACTTATACATCAAAAACAGATGTAAAAAATCGGGAAAGCACAGAACTGAAATTGAGCAGATTTGAATTCACCAAGGGCATGTTGCTCTGGTGGTTTCTCTTCTTCAGTAGTAATATGAAATTTGAGTACCAATGAGCTTGGAATCAAATTTATAAGCGTTTAGTTGTAGTTGTGTCAGTAATTAGTAAGTAGTATAATTAGTAATTCATTATCAATTGAAAATGAAAAATTATCCTGTATATAATCCTGTATATTAATAATGTGGAGCCTTTTATTTTTTGCCAATTTTTCCATTCAATTCCCATACAATTTCAAAAAACAATAAAGAAACAAATACCGAGTTTCAATATTGATAGATCTATTGACAAGAGTCTTTCACTGATAATTGCAACTCCAACTATTTAAATAAGTTGAATATTATTTAATTTCTCATACATTTTTTTTTTTATCACACAACCCGAAAAAATAGATTTCGAAATTTTATTATGACTATTTCAATCATCACTACAAGAACCGAATCAATAAATAAACAACAATATAGAGACAGCAAAGCTAGTAATAACTCATTCAATATAATGGCTTCTTCAAATAATGGAATTAGTAATAAGGAAACTAGAAATACAAAACCAACAAAGATCAATCTAGATTCATTGAATCATAAAATACCGAATATAAATGATATATCGATAGTTTCACCACAACTAACCCCAAGTAAATTACCTTCCTCAACTGAGTTAAACAATTTGAACAAATCAGAGTTAAATTTATCACCAAAGCAACCACCAATAATTTCCAAAGAAGCTAGAGATCAATGTGGTTTACCTGATGACTTACCCACGGTCAAATGTTTAGCGAGAGCAAGAATACCTACTACAAAAGGAGAAGAAATATTCTTACATATTTTTTGGAACTCATTAGATAATAAGGAACATCTTGCAATTGCATTTGGAGAAAATATTAGATCGAGATCATTATTCAAACAAAAACCGAATGAAACTCAACAAGATAGAATGACAAGAGGTGCATATTTAGGTAAATTAATACCAGGTAGAACTACCGCAGATACAGATCCAACAACTGGTCAATCATTAACATTTGATTCTCAAGGTAATTTAATTATCGACGAATTAACATATCAAGATCAAGCTTTAGTTAGAATACATTCAGAATGTTATACTGGAGAAACTGCATGGAGTGCCAGATGTGATTGTGGTGAGCAATTTGATGAGGCAGGTAGATTAATGGGTGAATTAGGTCATGGATGTATAGTATATTTAAGACAAGAAGGTAGAGGAATTGGTCTTGGAGAAAAGTTAAAAGCTTATAATTTACAAGATTTAGGTGCTGATACGGTTGAAGCTAATTTAATGTTGAGACATCCTGCTGATGGTAGAAATTTTTCATTAGCAACTGCGATTTTATTAGATTTGGGTTTGATTGAAATTAAATTATTAACTAATAATCCTGATAAAATATTAGCCGTTGAAGGTAAACATCAAGAAGTTAAAGTAATTGAAAGAATTCCAATGATTCCATTAAGTTGGAGATTAGATTCTGAAAATGAAATTGGAATAAAATCAAAAGAAATTGAAGGATATTTAAGTACAAAAATAGAAAGAATGGGACATTTATTAGAAAAACCAATAAAGATATAGCACCACCAAAGCACAATACAATCAATATTTCACTTATAGATTAATTTCAATGTATATATATTTATTATATCGATTTTTCAGTCACGTGAACAATTACTTTACTCATTTTGAAAAATTAAAATTTTTTTATACCAAAGACTAGTAAACTATAACCATGGCTGATTTAATTTCAAATCTCACAAAATTATCAATCAATAGTGACTTATCAAATACTAAAAATAAGTTCCCAGAATTAACAACTGAAGAGAAAGCAATTGGTGCACAATTTGAAACATTATCAAAAAGATTTACTACCGAAACTGAAAATTTAAATATATTAAATGATTCATTAAGATCAAAAACATTTATGGTTGGTAACAAACCAAGTGAAAGTGATTTAATTGTATTTAAAAACATTTATCCAGTTGTATCGGAATGGAAATTGGATGATTCTTCTATTGTTGCAGAATATAGACATATTTTAAGATGGGTAGATTTAATCCAAAATTTATTAATTACTGTTGAATCTCCAATCAAAATTAATTTTGAAATTGAAATCCCAAGAGAAATAAAAGAAAAGAAGAAACCTACAAAAGAAGCTACTCCAGATAATAAAAAAGAAGTCAGTCCTAAAGATTCAAAAGATAAAGACGCAAAATCTGCTGGTGCCCCACCAGTTAGAAAAGAATTAACAGAAGAAGAAAGAGCTAAAAAGAAAGCAGAAAAAGAAGCTAAAAAAGCAGCAAAAGCAAAACAAAATCAAGCTAAAGAAGCAAATAATGGGTCTACCGCACAAGCTCCAAATCCTGGTTTGATTGATTTTAGAGTTGGTTTTATTGAAAAAGCTGAAAAACATCCAAATGCGGACTCTTTATATATGTCAACTATAAATATGGGAGATGAAGAAGGACCAAGAATTGTTTGTTCCGGTTTAGTTAATTATATTCCAATTGAAGAAATGCAAAAAAGATATGTTATATGTGTTGCTAATCTAAAACCCGTAACAATGAGAGGGGTTAAATCTTGTGCTATGGTATTATGTGCATCAACTGAAAATAAGGTTGAATTTGTAAATCCACCAGAAGGATCAACACCAGGTGATAAAATTTTCTTTGAAGGTTTTAATCAAGTTCCTGAAAAACAATTAAACCCTAAAAAGAAAATTTGGGAAGCTTGTCAACCTAAATTCTCAACAAATGAAAACTTTGAAGTCACATATACTGAAGAAGGTAAAGAACCAGTTAAATTAGTTAATGAAAAAGGTCAATTATGTAAAAATTCAACAATTGTTAAAGCTGATGTTAAATAGATTAATGTAAATATATATATTAAACGTCTATTAATTCATCATCATTATCATCACTGTCACTATCATCTGGACCTACGAATTTTATACCATTGGAAGGTTTGGAATTTGGACCAAACCAACCTGCTTCATCATCATCTTCTTCTTCTATAATACCTTCTTTTTCTTCTTCGTCTTCTACATCTTCCATTTCTTCATCTTCATCTTCATTCTCGTTTTCTTTCTTCAATCCTTTATTCGCATTTATAAATTCTAATAAATATTGATTTCTTTTACCCATTTTCACTATCTCTTTTGCATATTTATTTAAAAATCGACTTAATAATTTCAAACTACTTTGAAATTTAAATTTATTACTCATGATATATGTTCCATGATTAATCAATAAATTCTTTATCCAAATTAAATAAAATTCTATATGTGGTGAGTTATTCTTGATCAATAAATTTCCAATAATTTCTAAAATTTTATTTACATATATAATTGGAACATCATTACATATTAAAGGTATATCTATCAAAGGAATAGATTCCAATATTCTATGAATCAAATATGTCTCATTCAATCTTAATGACATAATCAAAGCCACTAAATATTCTTTCTCATTTAATGATTCAATTATAGATTCTGGAGTTATATCAACATCTAAATCAAAGGGATCGAAAATTAAATCTGAATTTATTGAATAAATAAGTAAACCTTCTGTGGTAGCTGCTGCAAATGCAGAATTAGTAGGAGAAAATTCTAAACTTGTAACTCTAATTTCTGGTCTTGTGTTTCTCAAACTTGCGTCTCCTCTTTTTGAACCAGGTATTGAATTATCTATCCTATCTTCAAGATCTGATGCTTCTCTTTGAACATCTATCAAATCTGAATTTATACCAGAATCAGTTATTTTTGAACTATTTAATTTTTGTAATGTCCCATCTAATGACATATTCTCAGATACGACAAATCTTTTAATCAATACTTCATTTTCAATATCATACATACATATTGAATTATTATTACCACCAGCCAATAAAGTTAATCCATCAAATGAATAACAAATAGTATTGAAATGTTTACCTCTATTTGAATTTTTCAGTACAAACTTATCATTTAAATATCTACCTTGTAAAATATCCTTTCTACCATCTATTAAATGTAATTGTTTAGTATCTTCAACATCAAAAATTGCAATATGTCCATCTAATGTAGATACGGCAATTTCTTTACAATCGGGTCTCATAGTTAAGCTTAAAACATCACTTTGTATTTCAATAGGTTCAACAGTTTGATTTCTAGCAAAAATATTCCATATTCTTATAGTTTTATCCCATGATGAGCTTGCAAGAATTGATGAATTTTCCATTCCAAATGATAGACAAGAAATTGGACCTTCATGACCAGTCAAACTATCTAATAATTGACCAGTTTGAACTGACCAAACATAAATTTCAAAAGTATCTTGAGATCCACCAACTAAAATTTCACTACTTGGATCAATTGCTAAACAAGTAAATTGAATTCTTTCAGTAGTTGTAAAAGTCTTAAAATTTCTGAATCTAATTAAATCATAAGCTCTTATAGTCCCATCTAAACTTGAACTAAATAACACATTACCCTTTTTGGAGAATCTTACCTGTGTAATTGATGAAGTATGTTCAGTAAATGTCATTAAACAAAATCCAGATATAACATCCCATATTTTAATTTTCCCATCTTCAGAACCAGTAACTAATCTTGAACCATCTGGAGAATAACATAACGTATTTAATGAATCAAAATGACCTTGTTGTTTTAATATATAAGATTCTGATTGCCATTCATAAACTAGCAATTGTCCCAATTTTGAAGAACCAAATGCTAACCATTCACCACTATTATTAATTTCAACAGTATTTACAGTATTTTGGCCCATTGATAACAGTTGAATTAAATTAAATCCATCACTTAATTCATATATTCTAAATTCACCATTTGTAAAACCTACAATTAATAAATTTGATTCTGGTCTAAAGCTTGCACATTTTAATTTCCCATCAGCATAAAAGAAATTCTTTTCTGTAATTCTCCAACTACTTGGTTTGTTTTCCTCTTCGTCTTCCTCGATATATTCCCATTTAAATAATGCTCCATCTTTACTTACACTATATATTATTTCTTGAGTACTATTAAAAAATGCATTTATAACGTAATCTCTATGACCTGAAAATGTCATACCAACGTCTTTTTCATCAGAATTTAAAGAATATAATCTTGCAGTCATGTCTTTACTTGTACTTAATATAAATCTTGAATCTTTTGACCATGAGATATTTAAAATATCATTAAAATGACCCAGATATATTCTAAATCTTATAAATGGTGAGAATTGTCTATCTTCAGTTAAATCCGGAGTTTTCCAAATTTGTATAAATCTTCCAATACCAATTGCAAAAAATTTACCACACGGTGAAAATTGAATAGTTTGAATTTTAGATTTGAAATTGAAATGGTGCAAAACAATTCTGGAAACAAAGTTGACTAGTATAGCTCTACCATCTTCATCTATTGATATCATTAAAGTATTTTGTTTATTTAATGCAATACATTGAATATTTTTACGATGTTGATAACTGAATGTAAAGGATTGATTTTTATTTAAATCAAAACATGAAACTCTATTTCCAACTGGTGATAATAATTTAGTACCATCTGAAGTAAATATAAGATTTCCTTTCCTATAAATAGTACCCAATAGATTTGAAAACTTGAAATCTGATTTCATATTTCGTGGTGATTGGTGCCTGGTATAAATTTATTTGATGAGACTGAAAAATAAATTTAGATTTCTTCTCATCGCATAAAACTATATCATACTATAACGAACAAACACATATATACAATGTCCTCAGCTCTATCTAATAGAGTCATGAATATGAAATTCATGCAAAAAGCAGAAGATGTCAAAATGAATGAACAAATAAAAGAAGAACAACAACAATTGAAAGATTTATCAGAATGGGTATTACCATATCTGGAGAAATTACTCAAATTATCCAGTTTAAAACCTAAAATAGAGACGATTGGATATGGTGGGATAATGAGTGATAGAAATTATACTACAAAACGATCATGGGGTACAAGTATAAAAGTTGAAGATATGGATCAAGAACCAATGGAGACCAATGATTTATCAACTACAAAAGATTTGAACACCTTATGGAGGAAAAGAAAGTTGAACAACTCAAATGATTCAACCAAAAAGAAACGAATGATATAATGAAACTATCATAAAGTCATATATTAAAATTGCATTACTTTTTCTTCTTCTTTGTATTATTATTAGTATTATTTTCATTTGCATTGGCATTTCCACTTACATTATCAAAGTTACCTTTTATAATAACGTCCCTGGCGGCTGAATTTATATGTTTAAATCTATCTGGTCCTAAATGAATACCACCGTACCATCGACTAACAACAATGAGTATATTCCACACATCCATCATCTTAAATAGTTAGTATAATTAATAGATATAATTGGTGTCACATACCTGTAGTAAATGTAGTAATCTTGAACCAGCTGCTGTTTCTCCATCATCATCCCAATCTTGATAACTAACTCCATTATCCATTTTGATTCTCCAACTGGATATGTTATGAGTAGCCTTGGAGATTTTCTTATCAGTAACTAAGTTAATTAGTAAATCTTGTGCATCTTGTAGATTATTCACTCGTCTGGCATAAGCTATAAATGTTGAATTTCGGTCTATTATAGGATCAGATTGTAACCAACCAATAGTTGGATCTATTACTTCCACAAGTGCCTCTATTTTAGGTGTAACACTTCTCTCTTTCTCTACTTTCTTCTCAACTGGTCTAGGCTCATTCTCTGGGTGTTCTTCAAGATATTTATCAAAAAATTCTTGTAATTCAGTTAACAACTCAAATAATACGACTTTACCGGACGTAAATACTTTCTCTAGTATTTCAGTAGCATTTCTTTCCAAATAATTCGTATCTGGGAACCTCGAAGCATTATCATTTATAATTTGCAATAATTCCGGTTTTGAATCTGGATAATTAATTGGAAAATTTAATTGTATACTAACCAATTCATGACTTGGTATTTTTATAGTATGAATCTGTGATGCAATATTAGTAATAGTGTTCGGATAAATAGCATCAATTGCAATTATTTCATCGTGTAACTCTTCTATCGTCATAGAATTTATCACCAGGCGATCTTGTTTCAGATTTTTTTGTTTCAAAAAAAAGTTATCAAATTTATGCCAGTCACTTCTGAATCTTTAAAAGTTGAAGGTAATAAAGCATTCAGTGAGAAACAGTACAAGAAAGCTGCTAAGTTATATGGGGATGCTATTCAACTAGATATTTACAACCCTGTTCTTTATTCAAATAGAGCACAATGTTTTTTAAATTTAAAAGATTATACGAGAGCTTATCAAGATTGTATTAGTGGATTAAATTTAGGTGGTAATTTACAGATTAGCATAAAATTAAACTATAGAAAAGGGTTAGCATTAATTGGACTTAATAGATTTAAAGATGCTAAGGCTGCTTTTGAAAATGTGCTAGAATTAGATCCTAATAATGAATTGGCAAAACTGGAATTGAAAAAGTTGTCTGATTTGGATGAGGATATAGATGATGGTGAAGTTGACGAGGAAATAGATATACCTATTGAAAAAGTAGATGAATTGCCAAAAGAATACGCAGATTTACTAAAAACTAGTGAAAAGGTCGAGGAAGAAGATGACGAAGAGGAGGAGAAAGTACCTGAGTTGGAACCCTCAGAAGAAGCTAATAAAGAAATAAATGAATTATTTGGTTCTAAATCAAACTCAGAACCAAAGACAACTAATATTCCCAAGATTGAAGAAAAAGTGGAAATACTGCCCATGCACTATCTAACTACTTTAAAAAAATTACCAGATGATAAAAAAGCAAAAGGCTATAAATATGTTCTTACTTTAACTCGTGATGATTATGCAAATGTATTTGGTTCAGCAGGTATAGATACTGAATTTTTAGAATTCTTCCTACATGCAATTTTATACTGTTGCAAAAATACAAACTTTTTATCGAATTGGAGTCAACTAGCTTTATCTCATTTGGATCAATTTTCAAAATTCAAAAGGTTTGATCTTTCAATGATGATGTGTGATGATAATGTCAAAAAACAAATACTACAACATATAAACGATAATGACGATAAACGAACTTATACTAAATACTTTAGCTAACTTTAATTTAATAATGCTTAATGATTAAATCATTTCTTAACCCCTTGATACTCGAAACTTTCTCCATTGGTTGAATTTGTAAAAAATTTGGTAAATATTCATCATAATCAATTTCATAATATTTATTAATTAAAATTGGAACAACAAATAAACTTGAAAATAAAACCAAACTAATTAAAAATAATAAACAAAATAATATTGATTGAAATCTACGTTTTCTCTTTTGTCGTTTTGATAATATTCTTGGTCTAATTTGATTACTTGGTTTTAACCAAAATAACATCAATGTATGCCATTTATCAGCATAAGGAATAAATAAAATTGGAATTTGAGCATATAATATAATATGAGCAGCAATTAAATCACCTGCAAAATATGTCATTTCAGTTAATTTACAAACAAATTCACGTAATGGTTGAGTAAAAATATAAAAGCCTAATCCTGATGTTGCCCATTTACCAGACCACCATGATCTATTTGATTTATCATGTCTAAATTCTTTTGAAACCATGAAAATTGTAATCATTTGTAAAAACCAAATTTGAATTAATATAGATAATGTAAAGCCTAATATTGTTCTTGAAAAATTCCAATTTTGTAATAACCATAATAATTCAAAAAAGAAAACATGATTAATTACTGCTAATCCATGTGAAAATGATGCTATAAATGATGGGAATTTCTTACAAACTAACGTGGCAATTGGACCAATAACAACTGAAATTATAAAACATAATAATAAAATTAATAAATTTATAACAATTGGAGTAAAACTAATGAATAAGATCCTAAAGATACTATTAACTGGATATGTACCTCTTGTATCATTTTGAGAATTTGTAAATAAATATGCAAACGAAACAATTGCAATTGTTGATAATTGAAATACTGATTCAGTTAATGCTAATTTAAATCTTGAAGGTTTAACCTCACTAACAACTTTAATTTCTTCATTAATACTATATCTCTTACTTTTAACTCCAACAATTCTACTTCTTTTTAGTCTTGTAAAATTAATCCATGAGGATAACCTTGGTTTACTATTTCCTCTATGTAACCATTGAACATAATCTTTATAATCTAAAAAGAAATCAGTCCATGAAAATTGATTAGGATTATATAAAAATGGACAAATTAATAATCCAACAATTGTAATCCAAAAATAAATCAACAGTGGTGTAAACATTGATAATGAAGTATACAAAATTAATAATCCACATAATGCTCCATAATATAAACTTTCCCCAGCAAATCTTGAATATAAAGTTGCAAATGGAACTCTAATTGTTGCAAAACCTCTACCAGTTGCTAAATATCTTGCACCACCAATTGAAATATCACTCGATAATGAATGGCCATATATTTTACAAACAAAAACTTCAAATAAGGGTGATAATGATGCAAATTGTTTACTTAATCTTGTAACTGCTTTGTAAAACCCTCTTTCAGTCAATTCTTGAACTCCTAATGGAACAAATGAAATTATAAAAACAATAAAAATTGAAAAAATACACCTTTGTAACCATTGAACAACTGGAATTAAATTTTGACATCCTGTAGGTCTTTTTGGATCAGTAATTGGTCTATATTTATCATATTCACAAATTATACTTTCTTTAGTTAATGCTGCTAAATTAATACTAACAAGTAAAAATAACTGAATTGAAAGCATGATGAATAAATTATTTAAATGAAAACCTGAATGAGCATAATAAAATGATAAAAACCTATCTAATGGTAATTGAGTACCTAAATAAAAATATTCTCTTGATAACATTTGTTCACCCATTCCAGCTCCAATTTTAGTAGTAAAGTTTAAAATTGATCCAAAACCTAAATCTCTACCTTTACCACATTGCATATATTCACAATGTTTGATTCTACCACCTCTTAATAAAACATTCATACCAGCATAAATATCTTCATTTAAATGTAATCCCTTTTGAGCTTTTGAAACACCACCTCTTGTAGTCATAAAAATACCATTTAAAAAATCTGGATGACCGTAATGTAATTTACCACCAATATGAGCTAATGTTCTAGCATATAAAGTACCAAAAGTTTGTTCTTTACCAGCAGCAACATCACCAAGAATTCCAATATTTTCTGAAAAGATATATTCTCTTGTACCAATAATTGCAACTGGATATGCCAAATCAGTTGCTTTTAAATCATTAACATAAGGATCTAATGGGAAAGTTGCTTCTTCAAATTCAGCTAAAACACTTCTGATTTTTAAACATTCTTCTAAATAATTATCTTGATTTGCATCGACTAACTGAATATATTCACCTCTGCAAAAAATTAAAGAATGATTTTGATTATCTGATTTACCATCACCTAAAATTGGATTTCCTGATAATCTAATTCTATATTTTGGTTCTCTTTCACCATTTTCTAATATGGTGCAACTACCATCAACTAATGCTGAATAATAAACAACTTCACCAGTTTTTTCATCAACTTCTTCATCAAGATAACAAATTTGAAGTTCAGGATATGCTCTTAATAAAAATTCAGTATTTTCTTTTTCTTCCAGATTAAAATATTTCATTCTTTGCATTGAAGTAATAATTCTAAATTTTCTATGAGCCATAATAGCAGCTTGTTCTAATTTTTCAGCTTCAGAACCAAAAACATTGACATCTGGATTTTCAACATCAAATAATAATTTAATTGCTCTTGAATAATTCATAAAACCTGAAATTGTTCTATAAAGAGTTTGAGATCTCAATGATGCCCAAATTCTAGTTCTTAAAATATATTCAGGTGTTGCAACTTTGAATCCAACTGAATAATACGGTAAATCATCAACTTTTTCTTTACGTAATTCTGAAGTTGATGAATCAGTTTCAAATTCTTCTGCAAGCATTTTTGTATCTTTGACAAAACAGCTCCATTCTAAAGGATGTAGTTGTTTTAAATATTCCAACATTGTAACGTGAGAATATTGTTCTTCTTCTCTTATAATTTCTCGTAATGATAAAGTAATCTTTTCACTATAATGTGGAATTAAAACAGTAAATGACGGCATCAAATGAATTGGATTAACTTCAGGCATGGGTGTTGATAATGATTGAGCAAAAAAAGTAACTCTTCTTTGAGCTTCAGATTGGTTTTTAAATAATGATGATTTAATTGATTGATCTTCTTGAGATACAAAAAATATAGGCTCTTTTAAAATTGTACCATTTTCAATACCTGGAGACTCAATTTGTTTATAAATTAATTTCTGAACATGCTCAATTGAAATTAAATGCTCCCTATACATTGAGATAACAATTGAATTCCAAACTTGAGATACCAATAATTTACTTTTAACATTCTTATCACCTGAAACCGCGATAATCTTGGAAAAGATCCTTTTTGGCAATCTTGAAAATATATTTCTCCATGGAGTCCAAATTGAAACACCAATATAAAATGATCGACACACTGAAAATATTGTATTCCAAATAATATACCACAAATAAGTATCAAGGAAAAATAAAACTAAATCTGTAATATAAATCAAAATTAAAACAATTGAAGTTTGTCTTGAGCATAACCAACTGCCAAACCATTCTTCACCTGAACATCTGGTAATTTTCATAATACTTAATTCTCTAATTGGATCTCTAACTGATAATGTTAAAAAGAAATATGATTCAAGGAATTTGGATAAGAAAATGGCAAACCATAAACTATATGAAGCTATTTTATCACCTTCAGTTAATGAATAAAAGTTTCTAACAAAATAACGTTGAGGTAATGATTTTCTATCATTTGGTTTTGGTGATTTGGTAAACACTTTTCCCAATGGTACAAATGACAAGTATAATGTAATTAAGATTGAAAATGAAAACTGTAATGAAGATAAAACTAATCCCAAAGTTGTTTCTAGATTTAATGGTAAAAATACAAATAAATAAACAGTTGGGCCAGTATTAATTAAAAATGAAATTAACAACATAATTAATCTACTTACAACAGGTTGAGCACCAGACCATTTTCTTGGAACAAAGTTTAATTCAAATAAAATACTAATAAAATCAATTAAAATCGCAATACTACCAGCTAATGATAATACTGATAATCTTGCTTGTATTGTTGGTTGATTATCTAAAGTTGGATCATAATTCTTCGTATATAAAGTTGGTGAATTAAAAATTGTGTAGTACCAAAATACTGCAATATGAACAATCCAAATTCTATTAAAATTGACTAAGACATGAGACCAACCTCTTGTTTCTTTGAAAGTTTTATAAAATGCTTTTTCCCATAAAACTTCATTTAATTTTTGATATCTTTCACCAGGTTGAATACTCATTAATTTAGTTTTTTTATCAGATAAAACTAATCTTTCTAAACCTTCTTTATACCAAAATAATTGATTCATATCATCATATCCAATAACTGATTCATGATCTTTATCGCGTCTATGATATTTACCATCCATTAAAACATAAGATTGGTCACGATAAAATTTATATAATGGAGTAATAATATGATCTAAAAAACTTGGAGAAATTGTTGCAACTGGAGTATCAGGATCAATTGAAAAATAATAATCATTACAACATTTAAAAATAAAACAAATACATTCTGGCATAAATCTAACATTATTTGCTTCACCCCAAATTAATAAATATAGGGCCAATTGAATAATTGAATCAGTTGGTGATAATGATAACATATTTGAAGACCATTGATCTTCGGCTTGATCTAAATTTGGTAATGCTTCATTTGTATTCTTAATCCTATTATTTTTATTAATATTATCAAAACCAATATAATCATCAAAATCTAATTGAGCTGCAAAATACCACTTTCTGAAATTTGAATTATATCCACCAACATAATCAGCATGAACAGATCTTAATGCATGAGTTGGTCCTAATCTTGAAGCTCTTGAATCTAATAATCTTAATAAATAATCAAACATATTTCTTGTATTATCAAATTGAAAACCAAAAATAGTAGTCAATTGTAGAAAAATCGCTTCAATATCTTCTCTTGAAATTGGAACACTTTCTGGTGGATTCCATGCTGGATAAGGATCAAATTTATTTGAATAAATATCATAAATACCACTTTCTGCTAAAATTTCACCAGGGTTACGTTCATAACTTTTATCATCACCTTGACCTAAATTCTCAACTTCTTTCCATCTACTTGAATTAACATATGGTGTCTTAAATCCACTTAATGGGAAAGTAGGTGTATAACCTTTTGAATCTTGTTCTTTAATTACGCGTTAGTAACAATAAAAGGGAGTGATTATATCCCTATCTCAAACCGGTTAAATCATACCAATAGCAGTAGCAGTTCTTTTTAATAATTCAATTGGATCTGATTCGTCTTTAACACGTTGCAGTGACTTTGATTTACGCTTCTCCATGAATTGGAATCAAATTGGTTGTAAAAAATGTGTGCAAAAAAGAATTAATTTGGTTAATTTTATGGAATTAAATTTAAGCGTGTATTTACAATTTATTACTATTAGTTTGTACACTTACAATTCATCATGATCATCATTAACTACTTCTCTTGTAGTATTAATAACTTTCGTACTATCCACCGAGTTTTCATCTGTTGTACTTACACTTACTTGATGAATTTCAGCTAATTTTATGATTCCATGGTAAACTTTCACAATTGAAAAGCCCACTTAAATGCTTCAAAGCTACTATTGTGCTGTATGTATCTTCTGAAGTACTCAAATTCCCAGTCTGAGAATCACGCTTGCAGTATGACTCAGTAAATTTCTCATCTTTAAGTCAGTAATCTTTCTGAAAAGCACTTCCTTTGGATGTAACAAATTTAGGTTGTATCTTATGCTTGACTGGGATTTCGTTAATCAGTACGTAATTCCCTTCTGGTTTCGCAATATCTGTAAATAATAAATGTCCTTCACTACTATAAATATGTGAGTTATTAAATGAAAACTTCCATTGTTGTATTCATAATGTATTCCTCCAATAACTAATCCAACTTCATTAAATAGAGCTGTTAGACTTTTTAAATGTGCCTTGATATCCACCTTCTACAAGCCTAGATCCGGTAATCTTATTCTTTGGAGTCACTTTTCGTGTAATGGTCGCCTCAAAGCTAGTGCGAGGAATTAATTTGTTGCGCCGAATTATTGCACCAAATATTCATACAAAAAAATAGAATTCTGAAACAAATTTACTTATATGCAGTCCTATAGTAGTTGATCTTGAAATTTAAATTGGATATAACTCAGTCAATAATCAAGCTTTCGTATTCAAAGTAACTTTGAAGTAAACTGAAGACGGTGTGCATTGGATGAATTTAATTTTGATGATTTTATACTTCAATCTAAAAATGCAAAAAAGCGCCATTTTGGGATACAATTAACATTTGGACTTCATTCAACAACTTCTAATAGAGTTGATTCGGTATATTAGACCTCAATTATTATTCGTATAATGTTTTCGAGATTCCTCAATGGCTTTGAAAACTATGTAAAAATTTCGAAACAACTCTGAAAATTACTTTTTCAATTTTGAATACCTTAACATAAAAATATCCAAGTCATATTAGCATGCGGAACTACAAACTTCTTTAGTTTCATCATGTTTGAATTTCAATATTAATAGTGGAATTAGATTTTTTGTAAGGTCAATTTATTCGAGTTTTGCCATACTTAAGAGAAAATTTTGAAATTTTTCAATTTTTGTGATGAGCAATAGAAAACAAGTGCGGAATATTTCTTTGAGCTATAATGTATAGACTCTGTTGTTCATTTGAAGATTTTGGGCTTGAATAAAAGCTACACAGAAATTCATTTTTTGTAAAATTTTTGTATGGTGAAAAATCGTCAAAATGACAACTCAAAAAAAAATTTTAAAATATCCAAATTTTAAATCTGTAGAATATATATTTTATGGCTTCTTATCTCATAAACTTGGTACCCATGTTATGAGAATGCTTTGTTCTTGCCGTACAAGCCAATAAGTTTAATACTAGTTGCCCTAGAGCTAACGCGAATGAAATATCGTTGTAGTACTAATATAAGCGAGAACTAAATACTATAAAAAATAAATTTGAAACAATAAATGTTCGAATATATTCGAAACAGAATTCTAACTCTAATTTCAATTTTAAATCTAATTCTAATTGCAATTCTAATTCTAATTCTAATTCTAAATCTAATTCTAATTCTAATTCTAATTCTAACTCTAATTCTAATTCTAATTCTAATTCTAATTCTAATCCTAATTCTAATTCTAACTCTAATTCTAATTCTAATTCTAATTCTAATTCTAATTCTAATTCTAATTCTAATTCTAATTCTAATTCTAATTCAAATTCAAATTCTAATTCTAATTCTAATCCTAATCCTAATCCTAATCCTAATTCTAATTCTAATTCTAATTCTAATTCTAATCCTAATTCAATTCTAATTCTAAATCTAATTCTAATTCTAATTCTAACTAATCCTAATTTTAAATCTAAATCTAATTAAAGATCTAGCCTAAAGTTTACTTTTAATTTCAAGAATATAATTCCAAATTATTTAATAAACACCATCTTCAATTTCTTCTTCTTCTTCTGGAGCCTCCCATTCAATTGAATCTAATTCTCTTCCTCTTTCTTTAATACCATTATATAAAATTCTATTTGGTGTATGTTTTCTTAAATATAAAGATGATTTTACTATTCTATTTTTTGCAGCCATATCAATCAACGTAGCTTTAATATATTCAGGTTCAACACCCTCACTAAGTAAATTTGCAACCAAACCAGTTACTAAAGGTGAAGCCATTGAAGTGCCTGATAATACTTGAGATTTATCAACATTTTTTGCATCAACACTTTGAACAAATGCTCCACTTGCAAAAATATCTACACATTCACCCCAATTTGAGAAGGTAGTAACAGCATCTGTTGAATCATCTATTGCGCCAACGGTAATTGCATATTTTGAACTTGCTGGACTTGCCATACATGCATTTATATTTGAATTACCAGCAGCAACAACAAATACCAAACCAGTTCTAGTAGCTTGCTCAATAGCTTTATTCAAGACATGATTTTTGAAAGCCCCTAATGATAAATTTGCAACTCCTTTTTTCCCGCTATTCATTCGATGATTTACCGCAAAATCAATTGCTGCCAATATGGTACTTAATGAACCTGCACCTTTACTATTTAAAGCTTTAATCTCAACAATATTCACATTCTTAGCTACACCATAAGTTGCAGAACCAATTAATCCAGCTACATGAGTACCATGCCCATTTGAATCACCAGAACCTTCACCAGTTAAATCAATTCCAGCACTAGCTCTACCTTCAAATTCTGGATGATTCACTTCAATACCTGAATCAATAACATAAGCGTTAACTCCTTGACCTAAAAAATCATTATCATACAAATAAGGATAAATTTTATTTGGCCTCATTTTACGTTTTCTACTTATTCTGGCCAAGTGTCTAGGAGCGTCAGTCTGTAATATCAAATCATAAGTGGTAAATTTAGTATCCTTGATAATCTCCAGAACAAAGGGACATTTTTTTAATCTTGAAACTATATCTTTTGAAAATCTACCTGAAAACCCCTTAAAATCTCCAATATTAATTGAATTGATAATTAAATCACGAACTTGTAAATGCTTTGGATACTTTGCATCGTACTCAATAAATTTATCTAATGTCTCTGTTGTCTTTAATGATACAAAATATGCATCCTCGTCGTTATTAGCCTTACATTGATTAATTAATAATAGTACAGCATAAAAAACACTCTTAACAAGCATTCCTAATAGCAAATTTTTCAAAAGGATTATAGAAGCTGATAGTAGGTCATTTATATTGATGAGTTACATAACATAATATTTTTTTGTGTAATTTTTATGTTTATGTTTGTTATGCATTTGCAACCAAAAATATTCTTCACCAATTAGTATTATCTGAATCTTCACCTTCATCAACTAATTTGTGCTCTACTCCGTTAAATGCTATTCTGTTAGGAGTTCCTCTTCTTAATAACATAGAAGTTTTTTTAATTTTATTCTTTGTAGATAATTTAATTAGCTCCAGTCTAATAAAATGAGGATCAATACCTTCACTTAATAAATTTGCAACTAAACCACTAACTATAGGAGCTGCCATTGATGTTCCAGATAAAGTATGAACTTTTTCAAATGAATTTTTATCGATACTTTTAACAAATGCTCCACTTGCAAATAAATCAACACATTCACCCCAATTTGAAAAACTTGTAATTGAATCATTATAATCATCTATAGCTCCGACTGTAATTGCATATGGTGAAGAAGAAGGACTAGTCAAACATGCATTTAAATTTGAATTTCCAGCAGCAACAACGAAAACTAATTCCGTTTTTGCCGCTTGTTCTATTGCATTATTTAAAATGTTGTTTCTGTAAGCACCTAATGACAAATTGACAACACCTGGTTTCTCCGTATTAATTCTATGATTCACAACAAATTCCAATGCTTTAATTACTGTACTTAAATTTCCAACACCTCTCTCATTTAATGCTTTGATATCTATAATGTTTACATTTTTAGCAACTCCATAGGTATTTGATCCAATTAAACCAGCAACATGTGTTCCATGACCATTTAAATCTCCAATACCAGTATTTGTAAAATCTTTACCCAATCTAGCTCTACCTTGTAATTCAGGATGTCCAATTTCAATTCCAGAATCAATAACATATGCGTTAACTCGTTTACCTGTAAAGTGATCATCGTAAACATATGGATATTCTTTCCTTGGCTTCATTCTTTTACTTCTTGATAATCTAGCTAAATGTCGTGGAGCATTTTGTTGGTACTTAACGTCATAAGATTCTAATTTAATATCTGGTGATATTTCATCAATTAATGGACATCTTTTAAATCTTTCCAAATGTTTTTCAGTAAAGTTTCCAGAAAACCCCGTAAATGAACCAATTTGAAATTTTGAATCTATTAAATCTTTAACTTGTGATTCAATTGGATAAGTAGCATCATATGCAATAAAGTTATCGTAAGTCTCTTTGGGTTTTAACGACACCAAATAATTAACACATAAACCTAGTTTTAAAAATATCAAAAAACAAATAAACATTGGTTGCAAAAAAAAAATGAGCGTTATAAAAAATAACCTCTTAAATCGTTACTTTTTTATATTAAACGTTTCCCCTATTTATAAAATCTATCATACAAGTCTAAAAATTTTATTTTAATGAATTTAATACTTTTTCTTTTTCTTCAATTGAAAGATTACCAAAGAAATCTTTCATTGCTTCAATTCCATTTGTTGGATTTTCAGCTAATAATTTTGCAATATTTCTTCTTGAACATTCAATTTTCAATTCTTCAATTCTCTTTTGTAATTTTGAATGATGTTCTTCAATCCATGTACTTACAGCTTGATCGTCTTCATAATCAACAGTTGGCATCCATGATTTTAATCTTGCAACTTTTTCCAATTTAGTTGCATTCGAACCAATTTGATCAGTTATCAATTTTAATACATATTCTTCATTTAATCTTCTTCTTAGTCTCCAGAAAAAGAATCTTCTAGCATTTGACCATTTAACTTCTTGTCTTATAACACCTTTAGCCAACATTCTACCTGATCTATCATGTAAATCAGCAAAGTGAACTGAAACTTGGGCATAAATTGGTAATAATGCCTTTTCTCTAGCTGTTAATTTAACTGAAACATTTGAATGTTCCTCTGATGATAAACTTTGATCATTCATTTTTGATTTTAATTTTGCATAAGTTGAATCTAATCTTTCTATAGTTGATAATAATTTATCTCTTCTATATTTAATACCAACCATACCTTCTGGTTCCAAAACACCACCTCTTGATTCTACATCAGCATACATTTCCATCATATCTGCATTAATACTTGGATCAACAACAACCCATGAACCACCTCTCAATTCTCCATGTGGAGGAATGTAAGTAAAAATTGGTTGTTTAAAATCAACTAATGCATCAACAATAAATGAACCATATTTCAAAACTTCATTATACATATCTCTTTGACCACCTGAAAAACCTCTCCAATTTGCTAAAATCATTAAAGGTAATTGTTCACCATTATTAAAATCATTAATTGCTTGAGCTGTTTTGAAAGCACTATTTGGATACCATACTTGACCCGCTTCTTGAGTTAAAGATTCAGTAGAATTTGGATTTGCAGGATCTGCTGGTACTAAATTATCAATAGTTCTTGATTCAACACCAATAACACCGATAGGAATACCACCTAGCCTTGCTCTACCAACAACAACACCTTTTGCCCAACCTGATAAAGTTTCTTGAAATGAACCTTTATCAAATAAACCAGATTCGTATTCACCTTCATCATTAGTTTTACCTTCAATCATCCATCTAACGTCATATGGTTCTTGTTTTGGTGGATAATAATCAATATCTCTATCCCATGAATCTTCATTATCTAAAATGGGTACTGGCATATCCCTTTTAGCAGGAACATATGATAACCATTCTAAAATTTTTTCGACACCAGCTAAATCATCATTTGCAGTTAAATGTGAAACACCATTTCTATACATAATTTGAGTACCACCTAATTGCAAATTTGATGAATAAACTTCACTACCTAATAATTTATTAATAGCTGGAGCACCAGTTAAGATAATTGGTTGACCTTCAATTTGAATAGCTCTTTGACCTAATCTAACTAAATAAGCACCAATACCAACTGATCTACAAGTAACTAAAGTGATTGTAAAGATATCTTTATAAGCTCTTGAAGTTGCACCTGCAATTAAACCAGAACCTTTTAAACATTCAACACCTAAACCATCTTCAGCACCAATAATTGAAGTAATAATAAATCTTTCTTGACCATCTTCAACTACTCTTTCAGTTGTAACTGAATTTGACTTACCATCAGCTTCCAATTTAGCTTTAGCTTCAGCAGTCAAATATAAATATTTGAAACCTTTATCTGGTGAATCTTCTTTGTTCCAAGCAACTTGGTAATATGGCATTAATTCTTCAGCAACACCTAATCTTGCACCTGAGTTTGCTGATAAATAGATTCTTGGAATTCCCAATTTTCTTGCCAATTCAGTACATTTATTAAAATAATAATCTTCTTCTGGACCAAATGAACCAATTTTATGAGTTATATCATTTGCAACAATAATAAATTGTCTACCTCTTGGATATTCTGGAGTTTTAGCAGTAACTTTAAAACCAACCATACCAATTCTATTTGAACCTGGTTCTCTTTCAACTGCTGTTAAATTTAAATCATCACCCTCATCACTAATTAATTCTAACGAAGTAAAAACATCTTTTGGTGCTTTTTTACCATACTTCTTCCATTGTGATAAAGTTGCTTGTCTAAATAATTCTGGGAAATCATAAACATAAGTAGTACCCATATTATGAGCTTTATAACGTTTTGGTTGCAATGATTCTTTAGCTGGATATGGAGTAGAAATAGGTCTTAAATGCATTGAACCAGGATGACCAATTGATTTGAAAACCCAATCACCTTTTGGATTTTTAACTTCCATATATAAATCTGATTTAACAACATAACCTGAAACATTATTAATGATAGCTCTTAATGGGAATGAACTACCTTGAGAATCAACACAAACAATTCTAATTTCAGCACCGGTAACTCTCAATCTCCACAATCTTCTACCAAATCTTTCCAAAAATGAACCAAATGCAGCTTCAACTTCTTCTGGTTGAACATTGAAAGTATTTGAAAAATTAATGAAAATATGATTCAAATCTGAATTTGAAGTATCAGTAACTTCCAAAGTATCTAAAATATCATTCATTAATCTATTGGATTCAGCAATTAAATATTCTGCAATAGAAATGTCATCTTTAATAATACCAGTTCTAACAATACCTCTTGTAAAGAATCTTTTATCACTTGGAGCATTTTTACCAACAGCTTCATAAACATGAATATTTCTGTTATTTGTGAAAATTGGTTTAATGTTGAAATTATTTAATCTTCCTAATTCTAATTGGAAAGCTAATGCTGGTTCGATATGTCTAATAACTTTATTTTCCAAATATTCTGGACCAGTAAATGTATAATATTTAGGATATTGACCAACTTGATGAGCAAAAACAAATGTAATACGACGAATATCATTATTTTGAAATTCTTCTTTGAATTCTTCAATAATTTCATGAACTCTTGCTAAAAATTCTTTTTCATTTGAGTAACCATCAGTATTTGTAATAACAACATTAATAACATTTAATAAATTACGTTTTGAATCTTTACCTGCTTCAAAACTAATACCAATACTTGATTGCATTTTATCTAAAGCTGCAATTAACATTTCATCAACATCATCTAATTGTTTAGCTGGAATTAAAATACCTGTTCTTGTTAAATGTTCAGTCTTTGAATCAACGACAAATGATAAATCACTGACTGATGCAGCATGTTTCATATTAACAGCTGCAGCTTCATCATCAAAAGTATTTGATTGTTGAATACCACTAAATCTTGAACTTGTAACATTTGTTGGTAATCTGAATTTCCATTCAATAATTGGTAATCTATCATGGAAATGATAATCAATAGTACCTAATTCATAAGCTCTATAAGCTCTTCTAACGTAAACTTCAGCAGCTGCAATAGCAACCCATTCATCACTATTGACAAAGAATTGTGATAAAACGTCAAAAACAGTATGTTTTGAATCAACAACTTCTTGGATATATTCTAATTTTGGTTTTCTATGTTTAGCATAAATTTCACCATATGAAGTTTCTAAAACAGCTGATCTTAAAATATGTTCTAATTGATCTGATCTTTCTTTAATTGATGGTAATGAACATTGAATTAAAATTTCTTTTGCTTTAACAGCAACTTTCAAACAACCTCTTGAAGCTAATTCAACAATCTTTTTAAGTGATTCTCTAATTGAAGAAGCAACTGATGACTTTGACTGCAATAATGGTTGATACTCTTCTAAAATAGCCAAGATTAAATTATTCTTAGCACTAACTCTTGAATGTGATAAACAGATATTAATAACCTTTTTCAAATCAGTTTTATTTTCATCTCTTAATTTTAAAATAACATCATCTTCTCTAACATTCTCACCATTAAACAAACTTTCAACATTATAATATTCATCCAATAATGAAGCAAAGAAATTGTATTCATGTTCAACTAAACCATTCGAATACTTTTGTGCAATTGCAACCAATGGAGCAACAACTTCATTAAGAACAGCATTATCTGGGGCATCAGCAATTGCTTTATTAATAACTTTCAAAATTTGTCTTGCTGGAAATTCAGCACCTCTAGACTGAGTCCTTTCAATTAATGTATTCAAAGCTTCATCTAATTTTGCGGGTAATCTTGAGTGTAAAGCTGAAATAAATTGTTTCCATTCTGAATATGGTAATTCTTTATCTTTCAAAACATTAATAATTTTTTTTAAAGTTGAATTCATAATAACTTGATTATCATAACCAGCTAAAATATTTTTCAAAATTGTACTATAATGTTGGAATTTATGAACTGGTTTTGAACCTCTGACATTTGGTTCTCCTAATTCTGGTAATGTATTTTCAAATGGTTTAGCATGTTTAACTTTTGAAGGATCATCTAATGCCAAAATAGCTAAAATATCTCCTGCATTAACTGTAGAACCAGGTTGTTTAATTAATTGAACAATACCATTTTCACCAGCAATTAAAGGCATACACATTTTCATAACTTCAACTTCAGCATATGGTTGACCAGCATTAACATGATCACCACTTTCAACTAAATATTTAACTAATTTACCTGGTGATGGAGTTCTTAATTGAGTTGGATCATTTTCAACTTCTAATAAACATGTTTTACTATCAACTGATAATCTTGTAGCTGAAGCTTCTTCTTTCCAATAAACTGCATGAGATTTACCATTCAAAGCACATAATAAACCACCATCTGATAATGGTCTTGCACCAACAACACAACTTGAACCATTTAAAAATAAAGTATATTTATCTTCAGATGATTTTGTAGCTGTAAACTTATATCTTTCACCTTCATAAATAAAATCAATTGGGAAAATAGTTTTTAATAAATTTTTATGTGGAACTTGACCTTTTTCTAGTGATTGTATGTAATCCTTCTTTTCTTCTTCAGCTTTTATATAAGCTTTTGCAACAGCACCACAAACAACAGCAACTATTGGATCTGGTCTTTCAGCAGTTAATTTTTTAGTAATTAATTCATCTAACCAACCAGTAGTAATTGTATTATCTTCAAAATCTGGAGTTTCTAACAATTTAATCAAATATTCAACGGTTGTTCTAAAATCACCTCTAATACTCAATTCTTTTAATGCAACAACCATATGTTTTCTTGAAGCTTGACGATTTTCACCAAATGCAAAAATATGACCAAATTGAGAATCTGAAAATGAATGAATTGATGATTGATTACCAACTGAGAAATAACCCCAAACATTTGATGAAGATCTAAAATTTAATTCATGTAATGAACCACCACTTGGTTTAAAACCTTCACCTGGATCTTCTGAAGTAATTCTACATGCTGTACAATGACCTTTAGATGATGGTTTTCTTTGACTTGATAATGAGCCTTCAGTTTTAAATTCAAAATCAATTTCAGTTGAAGTATGAGGATCACAACCATATAATGTTCTAATATCTCTTATTCTATGCATTGGAATACCCATAGCAATTTGTAATTGAGCAGCTGGTAAATTAACACCAGTAACCATTTCAGTAGTTGGATGTTCAACTTGTAATCTTGGATTTAATTCTAGAAAATAAAATTTATCTTCTGAATGTGAATATAAATATTCAACAGTACCTGCAGAAACATAACCAACTAATTTACCTAATCTAACAGCTGCATTTTCCATTTGTCTAAAAGTTTCTTTTCTTGCAATTGTAACTGGAGCTTCTTCAATAATTTTTTGATGTCTTCTTTGAACTGAACAATCTCTACCAAATAATGAAATGTTAGTACCATATTGGTCAGCTAATAATTGAACTTCCAAATGTCTAGCATCACCAGCTAATTTCATAATAAAAATTGGTGAACCGGGTATTTCATTAGCTGCTTGATCATATAATTGAATAAAATTTTCTTCATTATCAACTTTTCTAATACCTTTACCACCACCACCTTCAGATGCTTTAATCATAACTGGGAAACCAATTTTTTTAGCCTTTTCTAAACCATCTTCAGGACTTGTTGAACAGCCTTTTGCATAGACTTCATCTGAAACTGAAACTAAATTTGTTGCTGGATCAATTTTAACTTCTCTAACACCAGTACCTGACCATGGAATACAAGGAACATCAGCATGTTGGGCAACAATTGTTGAAGAAATTTTATCACCTAAACTTCTCATTGCACTTCCTGGTGGACCAATAAATATAATTTTTTTAGGGGAACTTGCCAATCTTTCAGGTAATAATGGATTCTCACTTGCATGACCCCAACCAGCCCACACAGCATGAACATTTGTATTTTCAGCAATTTCAACAATTAAATCAACATTTGCATAATTATTATTATTTGTACCACCAGGTACTTCAACAAATTGATCAGCCATTCTTATATATTCGGCATTTGCTTCCAAATCTTCAGGAGTGGCCATTACAGTAAACTGTATAGCTCTTTCATCACCAAAACTTTCATAAGCCCATTTTCTAATTGATCTAATTTCTTTAACAGCTGCAATACCATTATTTGCAATTAAAATTTTAGAAATAACTGTATGACCTTGATGAGATTTAACAAAATTTGTAATTTTTGATGGTTCTGCATTAGTAATTGAATTTAATCCGAGAAAATGTGGTGGTAATTGATCATGTAATGATTGATAATCTAGTGAGTCAGTCAGACCGGTATTATTACTCATATTGTCTATAGATGATGACATTGTGAAAAATCTATGATTTTGATAATTAGGGGGTATTAATTGAAATAATTTTTTGGTAGTTGTATAAATAAACTTGTTTTTTCTATGAAATTTGAATAAAGTGGCTTTTTTATTGATAAAGCTATTAATTAATAATGTAGTAAGGAGTCTACTAATACATAATAAGTTAGTAATGTTACTTTTGATTTTATTTGATTGAGATGAGCATTTCATAAATGGATAGAAGATCTTGTTTTCAGACTGTTGCAGTTCGATCTTGTGACTTCTTCAATACTGCAAGTGTGTCTTTTGAATAATTTGAAACTTTTTATGTAATTATGAATTATGGAGCCGTAAATTATATCTAATCTTGAATTATACGTAGGTTGGGTATTTTTTTTTTTGTCTATTGTTTAAAAAATCTCGAAATCTCGGAGTTAATGGAGACATTGAAAAATTGACATTGAAAAATTGACATTGAACAAACAAATCTAGTTTGAAATGAAATGGTGGAATATAATCTTCAGTGAGCCCGGTATACGATGTTAAATAATTGAAACAATCATCTTCTCATGAAATGTCATCTCAAATCAAAAATGCCCGTGGTATTTTGAGTAAAATACATACTGTAGTCTATTAAACGTAGTTTTTATCTTGTAATTATGAGGCTTTTATATTATATTACTCTTGATACAATTGTTAATCTTAATAATATTAGGGGAAATTTGAAAGATTTAACTTTGTTGTAAATTTAAAATAATATGATATTAATATGATATATGAAATTGACGTGGTTTAAACTTGTAAAAATTAAATTAACAACTCTTTAGAATGAATTGATAAATGATATTAATGATTGAATCTATAAATTTAGTGAGAAGAAATCTGGTTTGAATATATAGGTTTCCTTATATAAATTTAATTTATATATAAAATTTTTTATTATGTAAGAAAGTAGATCTTTTCAGTTAAAATTATATACAGTACTGGTACTCTCAACAAAATTATACTAACTAGTAAACAGTTAGCTCTATGGTTAAATACGCGATTAGTGATGTCAATTAAGAGTTGAGAATGAATGTTGGCTTAAAATAATGCTTCACAAATAAACAGTTCGACAAGACATCAAGTTTTGAGAGATATTCATCAACTAATTCTGGTATGATTATAAGATCAATTTACCTCTGGCTTTAAGTTTTAAATCTCTGGCCCTAAAATATAAAATCAGTCCAGAACTCTTGGCTAATCTCGAACCAGATTCTTGCTGCAAATTGAATTTTATTATATAATTTGCAACCCAACTTTAATTTCATCCCAACGTTTTCTACATGAATATTTTTTTTTTTTTTTTTTTTATGTTTTTTTTTTTTTGGGTTCCAAAAAATTTTGCAACAATTTATATTTTTAGTTTAATGCATAATTATTGATGTCACAATCGATAATCAAAAGCTTATTTTGAAGATTATTCGATTTTTAATCAGCGTGTAGTAGTTGTATATTGAATTTGTTCTATAAAAGTGGCTGAAATCTTGGTAATATAGGTTGAGGTGGTGGTAAAGGTATTGGAGATGATGTTGAGCTAGTATTACTACCATTTATATCTTCTAAATTACTCAAGAAGTTAAATCTTTGTTGTTGATTATTTATTGGTGGAGGTAAATGAATTCTATCTCTACTATCTTTTTGGTTCATCTCATATATTGGTATTGAATTTTGTACAAATACTTCAAATTCAATTAATTTTTCCGTATTCTTGAATATCTTTTCTATTTCGAAATCTGTTTGTATTATTTGTTGATTATACTTTATGATTATTAGACAATCATGAAGTTTGAATACTTGTTTTACATTTTCAATCAATTCATAGTATTTAGGAGTTGCTTGAAATTTCAAAGGATAAAAAAATTCAATAACTTGGTTGAAAAATTTAAGTAATACTCTTTTCTTAGCTATTGATTGAGCATCATTAATAGTATTTCCTGTGTTTGTAGTTGTCATTGATGTAGAAGTAGATGGAGCAGTTGATGACATTGTGTTTAATGTATTTATTGTTGTTCCTGATGATGCACCTGTATTAATTTGTAAATTTGTAGCCACTTCAGCTAATTTTGATAATGAATTTGACGAGATATTGGTATAGTCATTATTATGGTTCATTAGGTCAGACTTCATATAATCTTGTGCTTTAAATGGTATGGAATTTTTCACAATCAATGGGTATTCATGTAGTATAGACACGTATAATATCTCACATATTAGATACATTATATCTTCAAGTCCATAATCTATTATTAATCCACCTAGTATAGTATATAATGAAGTAATTGCAATTTCATCATTTATGATTATTTTACCATTTGTCTTGTATTCTTCAAGTGTTCTGAAAATATTAGCTAATGACAGATCACTACTTAGTTTATTCCTTAAATATTGTATCAGCTGTAGGTTTAGCATACCAAATGATTTTTCGAATATGTATCCAATACAAGATGCAATTATATTCTTACCCAAAAATTGCAAATTTTCAGATTTACAAGTCAAATTTGATTCATTACAAGTTTTTGATCTTTCTATTTTATTAATCAATATCGATTTTGCAAAATTACAATCAATTTTTAATTCTTCTATATCATTTGGCGGTATACTTTCATTCTTCTTATTTCGTATTATTGGTGGTAATCTAGGTTTAACAATATTATCAATAGTATTTTTTGCACGATCATTAATTGTAAATTGTTTAGCTTTTGAATAATTCACATCATAAACTTCATCTTCATTTCGTAAAACATCATTAAAAAAAGTTTCCCCAGGGGCAGTTTTATTGTTTTCCACTTTCGATTTCTTCTTTGGTTCACTTTGAATCGCATCATTGTTATTTTCAAAATAAATTTTCTTTGAACTTCGTTTTCTATTTCTTCGTACACTTTGAATTGCAGCTCTTACTAACTTATCAAAATCTTGAGAATAACTTAAATCATAACCAAATTCATTTCTTAACGTTTCAGCAACTCTTTTAATTTCATTATCTTGTTCACTTGCTTTTTTTAAACTTAAATCTAAAGTATCAATTAATTCTAGTCTTCGAGCACTAAAGCGCTTCCATAATCTTTCATCTTTAAAGTTTAATTTTTCTCTAATGGCATGAGTTACACCAATTTTTTTATCACTCATGATCTAGTCTGATGATGATTAATTAATTGGTTATTGTCTCTAGGATGACTATGAATCAAAAAAAAAATGTTTTGGTTATCTATTATGTAATCACTCCAACTTTTATTTGTTTTTGAGTCATGTATATCTTCATATATTATTCCTAATAGACCGTGAAAGTGCTACCAATTGTTGAATATAACATTTAGTTCAAATATCTTATAAAACCCAACAAGTAAATGTCGAAACAATACTGGGATTACTATAGATTTATGTAGCAACACTTAACAGTTGTTCTTAGCTGCAAGCACAATCCAGCATCTTGGAGGGGGGCGGCGGGGGGCGGGGGTTTCATTGGTAACGCGAATTAATTTTAACTGGCCAATCATATTGCTTCTCTCATATTAACATATAATACCCCTTAATTTCAATTTCTTGAATACAGACACAATTTGCATTGCAAAGTATCATAAGATGATTAAATCAGATTGGGCTCATTATATTGAAGCTACTCGTATGCTGGTTTTGTTTATTAAGTACAAATTGAGTATTCTGATCCTTAAGGGGAAGTGAAGTGGTAGTATAAATATAGTTATTAATAGTAGACAAGTTTAAAGAATTGTATAACATTTTCAATTAAACCTAATAGCTCTTGATGAACGCTTTATTTATAAAAAGAACGCTCCACTCCAACTGGACCATTACATTTTTAAAATTTTGCTGAAATTTTGAAAAAAATAGCAAAATTTTAAATACTCTTCAGCATACTGTTACTAATATGAAAGAGTTAAGAACATAACACTGTTTCCAGTTTCGTGCTTACTGATTTTGAAACAAGGTGGCACATTATTTTTTTTGTATCAAATTGAATTACAACAGTACTGTACATTAAATTGCGCTTGAGCCCCTGAGTGATCAAGTTTGAAGCTGAAAACACAATACAACATATTTCTTTGATAAGAACTATCATACTCTTAGAGAATTGACTATATTAGTCGATTAGCTATGCATGAAACACTTTCAAATGAGTCAATTCATTATCATTAATTCATACACTACCAATATGACTAATCGGGTAATTGATGATGTGCGCGCTTAATTTTTCAATTTTGACCATTCCAACTATTTAAAGGAAAAAAATTCCGACAAAATAAAATTTTTCAATTCAGTTTAATAGTTCTTTTTTAAGTTTTTATATTTAGTTTTTTATTATGTCAAAAGGTAAAGTTTGTTTAGCATATTCTGGAGGTTTAGATACTTCAGTTATATTAGCATGGTTATTAGAACAAGGATATGAAGTTATTGCATTTTTAGCTAATATTGGACAAGAAGAAGATTTTGAAGAAGCTGAAAAAAAGGCATTAGCAATTGGTGCTACTAAATTTGTTGTTGTTGATGTTCGTAAAGAATTTGTTGAAAAAGTTTGTTATCCTGCAATTCAAACAAATGCAATTTATGAAAATGTTTATTTATTAGGTACTTCATTAGCTAGACCAGTTATTGCACAAGCTCAAATCAAAGTTGCTGAAGAAAATGGTTGTTTTGCAGTCTCTCATGGTTGTACTGGTAAAGGAAATGATCAAGTCAGATTTGAATTAAGTTTTTATGCTTTAAAACCTGATGTTATTGTAATTGCACCCTGGAGATTACCAGAATTTTTCAATAGATTTGCTGGTAGAAATGATTTATTAGAATATGCAGCTTCAAAGAATATCCCAGTTGCTCAAACTAAAGCAAAACCATGGTCTACTGATGAAAATTTAGCTCATATTTCATTTGAAGCTGGTATTTTAGAAAATCCAGATACTACACCACCAAAAGATATGTGGAAATTAACTGTTGATCCTTTAGATGCACCTGATAAACCAGAAGTTTTTTCAATAATATATGAAAAAGGTTTACCTAAAAAATTAACAATTGGTGATAAATCATATACTGATCCAGTTGAATTATTTATTCAAGCAAATGCATTAGCTAGAAGAAATGGGGTTGGTAGAATTGATATTGTTGAAAACAGATTTATTGGTATTAAATCAAGAGGTTGTTATGAAACTCCAGGTTTAACATTATTAAGAAATACTCATATTGATTTAGAAGGTTTAACTTTAGATAGAGAAGTTAGAGCAATTAGAGATCAATTTGTAACACCAACATGGGCTAGAATATTATATAATGGTATGTATTTTACTCCTGAAGGTGAATATGTTAGATCAATGATTGATCCATCACAAAAAACTGTAAATGGTATAGTTAGAGCTGCTTGTTATAAAGGTACTGTTACTATATTGGGTAGATCTTCAGATACTGAAAAATTATATGATGAAACTGAATCTTCAATGGATGAATTAACTGGTTTTTCACCAGAAGATACTTCTGGTTTTATTGCTGTTCAAGCTATTAGAATAAAGAAATATGGTGAAGCAGCAAGAGAAAAAGGAACACCATTAGATTTATAAGGTAAATAATTGTACATTATTTAATATTCGTTACTCCATGATTCCAATTTTTGTAGAAATTGAATTGGTTTGCCAATTTTATCAATTGGTATTGACTTTTTTGCAGTTATGTTTTTCTTACTGATTTCTAAATGATTTGATAAGTGATTAATCCATGAGGTAATTATCTCTTTTGCACCTTCTTCATCTTTTATATCATTTATAAATTCCTCTTTATTATTCAAATAATAGTATGCACTTAGCCAAACTACTTTATTAAACATTGGAAATCTAAATTTCCCTGGTACTTTAGTCACTTTTTCAACTTGATTAATTTTCAATTGCATATTCATGTCTCGAAGTGTTAAATAATTTCCACCAATGACTATTGAATCCTCTGGTGTATGAACAGAATGTATCCAGCCACTAGGTATGATAAATAAATCACCTGGATTTAAAGTAACTTTAAAACCTAATTCTGGTTTCAATTTATTCTTCCCTGTATAATCTGGATACCATATGAAATTCTGTTTTGGTTCTAGATTCCATAATTCATATAATTTTAAATTATGATCAGTTGGTGGAAACATTAAAAATGTTTTCTTACCTTTTAACACAGTATAATAAACTGAAGTACCACCAAAATCTAAATGAAAATCAGTAAATGAATTTCTAACAGACATTAAACAATATTTTGTCACCTTACTTCGTTGTTGCTCATCATTTTTATCCCATACTTTATCTACAAGATCCATTTCTTCGACTGCTCTAGGTCGTACAAAATTTTGACCAAGACTTGAATTTGAAATTTCTAAAGATATGACATTCCTAATCCTATCTCGTTTTGATTCTGGTGTATTAAAATATTCTCTCCATTTAGCTAAATTCCACTGTGGTTGAATACCTAATTGTGAAATTACATCCATTACTTCTACTGGAGTGTCTGATCCACAAGATTCAGTAATGTAATCTACCGTAATTTCTTCTTTTGGTCTAGGTAGTTTCATTCCCACTTTTTTTAAATCAACATTGGGTATATATATGGGTTTTTCCATCTTGGTAGATAACATATATTCTTTAGTTAGATTATCTTGTACATATAATTCCTGAGTACCTTCAAATTTTAAAAAATTAGGTAATTGAAAATGTATTGATTTATCTAATGCAAATGTTTCACCTTCATTTAATGCAACATAATCAATTGATACTCTTGATCTTTTCAGTTTTCTTTTATATATCAGTGGACCGACTTTCTTTATACATTTATCACAATGATAAGAAACAATTTCATTAATATCTAATTCATTCATTTTCAAACATTTGATGTGATACCATTGTTTACAATTTGAGCATTGGATCCAAGATACATTCCCATCATTATCCTCTCCTTCTTTCTTTATACATAATGGACAATCATCTAGTGTCATAATGAATAGTTCTTATATAGCACGATTATTATTTATTTCTGGGTCGATTTTTTTTTTTTTTTTTTATCGGCCGGTTCTTTTTTTTTTCATTATCAACAGAAATTGTATGAATCATATAATCAAATGATCTTAAGACATTATACTAAAATACCTTATATGCGAAGAATAGTATTCAAACGATATCTTAGCATATCGAAAGAAATTCAAGAATGTCAACAACAAAAGAAATTTTTAAAAGAATATAAAATTAGAACTAAATTAGAACAACCAATCATTCATTATTCATCAAAACAGTTACCTAAATTCTCGATGCAGAAATTATATAAACAAAGTGAAAAATTATCAAATGAATTTATTTTACAAAATGCAAGAGACACGATAGAACATTTATTAATTTATAATGCTAGAAGATTAAAAGAATTTAGAAAATTACCTTATCTTGTTGTTTTAAATCCATCTATTTCAGAAAGTTATGATATTTACCTACAGTCCATGTCACAATTATTAAAAGCAAGTGCTTATATACCACATAATATAGAAGAAAATACTAAATTTGCAACTGAAATTCTTGGTGAATTTATTGATATTCATGCTGATACATTACCATCATTATCAAAAGGATTTACAGAAGTTTCAAATTTACTTTCATTCTCACAGATTAAAAAATTCCTAGATCAACATTTGAAAGAGAGGATAAGTATGAGGTTAATTGCATATCAACATATTGAATTAACTAAATCGCTAAATAATGTGGAGAAATTTGTACCTGGTGGTAAATATAATGGTGTTATTAAAATGTTATATATTCCCGATGTTATAAAGAAAAATGCAGAGATTGTAAATGATATCACAATGATGAAATATGATCAATCAGTCCCAGTTCAAATTGATACAAATTTATTACCTGTTAATTATTGGTCACAAGTTGAACCAGAATTTAATAAATCGGAAGAAGAAGTTTTACATTTTCCATATATTGAGTATCATTTAGATTATATATTAATGGAACTTTTCAAGAACTCCTTTAGGGCACAAATTGAAAATAAAGTAACTGATCCAGTAGTAGTTACAATTTCAACCAGTCTTGAGAAATCAAAATATTTACAAATTAGAATAAGAGATAAAGGTAAAGGAATACCACCAACAACATTAAAAAATATATTTGATTATAGTTTTAGTACTTATGAAAGTGGAGAAGGTGATAGTTATAAAACATTAAATGTGCCACCTGGATTTGGAGGCAATTCAGTAGCTGGAATAGGATTTGGACTACCATTAGCAAAACAATATATTGAAGTGTTTAATGATACGATAAGAAAAGAAGACGAAGAAGAAGAACACGTTACAAAAGGATCATTAACAGTACAAACCTATAATGCATGGGGTACAGATATTTATTTAAAAACAATTGGATACTAGTGTATAGATTTCAAATAGCGTGTAATAAAATGACTCACGTGATGCTATCGTTTTTTATTTTTTTTTTATTTTTTTTTTTTTTTTTTTTATTTTTCAAGTTTAAACTTTCCAAGCGCAAAATATTATACATAGAAACAAGAAAAGGTATTGGAAGAAAAGCCAAGGGTAGAAACAGAAGATAAGAATAAAGAGGAGATAAAATTAGTTATATGTATTTCATCAATGATATCCATACCTAATGAATTAGCAGGTGCTCCATCGTTAAAACATTCTTTCCCATCTACGATTTCATTACCGACGGCCACACGAGATTATCTTGAAGATGAAATATCAACAATATTGATAAATAGTGATTCAAATGAATGCAACGAAAATTTTTCAATCTTTATTAAATGTATGTTGGATAATTTATATTGTGATACAACAACTTCACCAACCTATCAAAAAATATCAATATACTCATTGAAATTATTAACTTCAAATATGTTTACCAAAAACTATAAGTTTCTAATAGGTAAGATATTAGCCTTTCTTGAGACGTTTACAAATATACTTCAGTCAGTTATGGATAATGATGAAGAGTATGAAGAGAGGATAATTTATGAAAATGAATGTCTTAAAGAGTTTTTATGTATCACTTTACTTTTGTTACTCAAGTTGAAGAATACACAGGAGGAAGAACATGATCAAGGAATTAATATGATTGATATAGATGAGTTATATTACACTCTTTCTAAATTTGAAATTATAAAAATCATGAGTCGATTTATAACGACTCAAATATTAGCAATTGGTAAACAAAAGTCATCATTTGTGATATTGAAATTTAGTTGTGATATTATATTTGAGTATTTATATCATATGGAACTACTTAATGATTTAGAATTTAATGAATTGATGAAGAATGAACTAATAAAAACACTAGTCAAGTACCTTTTAATTAATGATGATTTCAATAATTATGATTTCGATACTGATGAGTTTACAAATGAAGGGAAATTAATAGCATACGAAGAACTCAAGCTACTATTATTAATCAATGAGCAATTTTTAATGAAGTTTTACAACCTCGGTGGAAACTTTTCCAACCTTGTATTTGATGAATTGATCAAGAACTCAACAAATTTGAATCACATAGTCAAATTTATAAACCTATTAATCTACCATTTGAATAGAGAAGAATCACAAATTATAAAGATTCTAATATTGAAATTCCTATATTTGATATTCACGACAAGTTTCACAACCAAGTTAGTTTATCTCAATGATTTAAAGATTTTAATTGATATCCTTATCCGTGAATTGAACAATATAGATTATGCATCAAATGATAACAAAATACTATTATTGACTTACTTACGTGTATTCTACCCCATTTTAATGTTTTCACAAATCCAATCTGAAGACTATAAAGTCAAAGAAATAAGAGAACTACTCACCAACGTCATTTTAAACTTTGAAGAAACAGATGAAGAAGATAAAGTAATACACAAACTAGCAAACAAATGTCGAAACATCAAATGGCTCAGGGATTCAAATACAATCATTCCCAAATCTGACTCACCATCATCTACAAATTCATCAGATTCAGATTTGACAGAATTTAAAATATCAAAACATGCTTCAATTAAAGCTGGTCTTAGAAGTGATTATCATAAACATACAACCGTTCATAATTTTATGGAACGTAGAAATAGTGAAAAAAAAGCAAGAGAATCAATGATTATGGAAAATAATGCAAATGTGTTCCTATCCAATGAAATGAAAGAACCAGAACTAAATTCAACTGAAGATGAAGTTCAAGAATTCAAGGATTCAAATATATTAGATCTACCTACTGAATATCTAAATTCAAAACCACTTCCAAAGATACCTATTCCCAAAAAAAAACAAAATCAAATTTATGCATCGAATAATTCATCATCAACTTCAATTGGATCAAACAATTCATTGAAACAAAAAGCATTAAAGAAAACTGCACCGCCGCCACCTGATGGGAATAATAAATCTAGAATTGTTCCTCCTCCACCACCACCTAGACGAAGAAAATAAGTGAGGATGCAAATGGTAAGGATGCAAATAGTCAGTTGCAAAGTCATTTCTTGTAAGAATACAATCAACAAACAATTAAGGTACATATACAAATAGACAACGTAAGTAAGGATGCAACAAAGATCTCTAGATGGATGCCACAAACATACAATAAATAGACAGTCTATATTTCTAAATTCTACATAGTTATATCCTCTTTAAAACTCAAAACATCATCAAATCTCAATCCATTAATTTCAGTCCTAGTATAACAATCCAATTCTTTCCTAAGCAACTCATCCTGTTTTTCATTTTCTTCAATGTTGTCAGAAGAAGCAACAAGAATCAACCCTCTTGACCTTATCAAAGGAATCAATTTCGGAACCAAATTCAATAAATGTATGCTCGTTATCAATCCTATTAAATTGTTGTTTATTGTGAAATTAACAGCTTCTTTAATTGATCGAATAGTCAATTCTTGATAATTATCAATTTTTTCATTTTGGATTTTCAAACCATTAGTTGACCTTTTTTCAAACTCATTCAGTTTGGAGTCATATGTTATTCCATTCATTATCAAAAAAACTGGGAAATTTGGTTGTTTCCAATTTAAAATTTTACAAATTAGTGAATTTGAAGATAGGAATATAATTGATCTTGTTCCAAATTTTTTACTTGATCTAATATGATTGAACACATCATTAAGCGTGAAATCTATGAAATTATTTAGATTGTTTTGTAAATTTCCATTAAAGGGAAGTGTATCCAACTCGTACAGACTAGGAAATACAAGCTCAAGATTGAGATTGATTTCAATGTTTAATACTTCTAATATGATGTCTAAGGGGAGGTAAATTATTTTGAGTAGTTTTTTAATGTATGAAATGTCTTCAATTGTCATATTCGATAAATCTTTAATTACTTTTGAATAATCGAATAAGTCATTTGTTATTGAAGTCAACTGTTCCAATGATAAATTAGGTAAATACAAGTCAATATTTTCAGTTATTGAAATTGACCAATGTGGACAAACTATAGGTGTACCATCATTTAAAAGACAAATTTTAACTCGGAGGTATTCTCCAGATAGTGATGTAGCTGTGACTATTGATGAATTTGATGATATTTGTGGTTGTTGAGATGTTGGTATTTCAGTGTTTGGTGGCATTATTGTGCTTGCATTTGGACTCAAGAAATTATTTGGACTTAATCCACCAGCTGCATTTAATTTTATCAGCTGTCTATTCTTAACAAAATTGGTTGATGATTTCCAATAAGTATCAAATTTTGAAGTTTCTAATAATGTACCTGAAAATGGGAAAATAACTTGATAGCTAAATTTCAATTGTCCAATATTTCTTAATCTTAAATCAAAAAGTGGTAATTGTATTGAATTAATTTCTGGTGATGTTGTATCTATCTGTGAAAAATTAAGGGCTGTTGTTTTTGCAATTAATCTAGTTCCAAATTTAGGAAATATTTCAAAATCTATCCTGAATTCATTTAAGCTTTCCACATCAGTTTGAAATACGCAATTGTTACTATTATTTGATTTTTCATCGTTGATAGGTAATAATATATTACGTGGAACAATGTCTGATATATTTGAAGTTAATGTAATTCTACCTGGTTTTAAATCAGTAGATAAATTAAATAAATTTATAAATTCCGAATCATTTGAAAATATTAATTCAATTAATACTTTCTGTTCTAGGAAATTATGTCCATATCTTCTTAATGGTAATATTGGTGGTGGTAATTGTAAATCAGGAATATCTACATTATTATTATTTGCTTTTTCTAGACTTCCTGAATCTTCTTCACCATCTGAATCATCAGCTTCGTTTACATCACCTAATATAGCCATTGAACTTGAATCTTGAATGATGGAAGATTGCAACTTTGAATTATTATCGATATTCAACTCATTTCGATACTTGAGTAATACATTAATTACTTCAATGTGACCTTCAACAACACAATAATATAATACATTATATCCATCCTCATCTACTATATTCAATTTAGCACCAAATTTAATCAATTCTTGAGTTGTCTTTACATGTCCTTCTGAGGCAGCATAAAAAATTGGAGTCCATTTATTAAGTCCATCTAATTTATTAACTACAGCACCATATTGAATTAATAATTTAATTAATTGATAATGACCAGCTCTTGAAACTACCTGTAATGGTAATAATCCTTCAACATCTTGTTGATTTAATAATCGTTTAAAATTAACATTTTTCAAATTTGATAATAAGTAATCTAATAAATTAAAATCACCAAATTTACAAGCATAATTGATGGGGAGGTATTGTAATTTTTCCTTATTTGCTTCTGGAAATGGATTTGATCCATATTGGACGAGATTTTTAATTATATTCAAATTCCCATGTTTTATAGCTAATAATAATGGTGACATTGAATCATTATCTAAATCGTCAACATGTGATGATGGAAACACGGGAAGTAATAAATTTAATAAATCACTTCGATTATTCTGGGAAGCATAATGTAAACAATTTCTTCCATTAAAGTCTTTACATATTAATAAATTTTCATCAGTAGGTGAAATATTATCAATTATGAATTTTACAATGAAATATCGAGTATGATTAATTGAATCTTGATTAACTACTTTCACTCCATTATTTATAATTACATTCTCATTGTGATTTACTATTGGTATTGAACAACATTCATGTAGGATAGTTTTATTATTATTAAAATCATGATTTATGAATTTAAAATCAATATCAAAATTAATCAACTTTAAAAATGTCTCAAGAAATTGATCAGAAATCTTTAAATTGGTGATGGAAAGTAAGAATATCTTAGACACTTTTCTTCTTATCTCATTGGTAAATTTTTCACTTCCTTTATTTGAACCATTTACTTTGTCTACCCACCTTGCTAATAATGACATATCTGGATCTTTTATAGTTGCAACATTAACAAAACTAGAATATAATTCATCAATTTCGGAATTATTACTCATTGAAGAAGCAGTAATTGAAGAATGACGAGTGAATATTGGTTTTTCACCAGGTGAAGAAGGTGGTTCAACAACTTGATTTTCAGTCTCTTCCGGTTGTTGTTGTTGAATTTGTTTAGATAAATCATTATAGTTTAATAAACAAGAATAATCTCCATCCATTATACTTTCGATATCAAAAAGTGACTGAGTAACTAAATCACTCAATTCATTAATCTCATTTTTATGAAATATGGGTTGAACAGAAACAGCAGTAGATATAAACAATTCCTTAGTATGTGATTTTGATCGTTTATCCCATTTCTTAACAACTTTGGAAAAACCAGTCTCATTTAACTCTATAAATTGTTGTAATCTAATTAAATCCTGATGAATTTTTTTAAAATTTTGATAAAGATTCAAAAAAGATATGGAGTTTTTGAAGTTAGTTATTATTTGATTATTATTCCCCAGTCCATGTTCTATGTCATTTTGTTTTATATAATTATTAGCCTTTGTAAAAATTTCATTCTTTTTCATAATCAATAAATTTAAGTTAATCGATAAATTAGCTTGTTTTTCAAGATAAAATGAATTAACCTTATCTAACTCTCTTTCTACTCTAAAGAAGAAAGATGCTTTATTTTCTTTTAATGTCTGTTGTATTTCAGTAATTGAAGCTTCTCCATTTATTGTATTTGAATTTTTAGGTATAGCTAATTGTTTAATTAATTTTTTTAATGATTTATAATCTATGAAGTGACCTGAATATTCAGGTAATTCTAATTGTCTAGATGCAAGATATTTACCAAACTTCATTACCAGCTAATAAAGAAAGAACAACCGTTGTTTAATATTTGTTGCCAATTAATATTGATTGCAAAAATTTATCAAATCGTGTTTTTTTACTAAACACGTTTTCTACTAAAAATATAAGAAACGCATACACAACATAATATATATGTATGTATATATGACGTATTGAGCTGAAAGTGAGGCGGATTGAGAGATCTGAATTGAGAGATCTGAGATTGAGAGATCACACTGACCCAGTTTGAGAAAATTTGAAGAGTAGTAGTGACTTGTGTGTTATTTCATGTCTGTTTTATCGAAATTTACGAGCGCATGGCCATATAAATTCTTAAAATACGAAATATAAGGCACAGATCAACATCTTATACTAGCAAACTTTTCTTAATGCAAAGTATATATTATAATCAAATTAAAATCCTATATATCAAACAGTTTATGCTGAGTTTGATTTTTTAGCTTCATCGAAATATTCTTTAAATTTATCAGCATTTTCTTTATTACCAAATCTAATTGCTAAAGTTTGAGCTTCAGGTTCTTCACTTTCGGAAACATCAGCAGTAACGTTATAAACCCATGATCTATCACTACCAATATTTGATTTTAATTCATAATCTGGTAATATTAAATGATTTGCACAAATTTTTAAAGTTTTATCTCTTCTCATTAAAATTCTTGTTTTATTTGTTGTTTTATGTTTCAAAAATTTAACATCTCCAGTACCTCTTTCTTTCCATTCTTTTGTATCAGCATGAAATCTAAATAATTTAGCTCTAACTTTATATAATACTTCTTCTTCTTCTTCATTGGTTTTAACTTCAACTTTCTTATCTAATTGAATAATTGGAGTGAAATGAACATCGACTTCTTCTTCATCTGCTTTATCATCATCTTCATCTTTATCTTTTTTATCCGAATCATCTTTTTTTGGTTCTTCATCTTTTTTATATACTTCGTTTTCGTCCTCTTTTTTTTCCTTTTTAGCACCAAACATTGAGAAAACGTTTGAAGTTGGTGGTTTTGGAATTGAAGTGGTAGTTTCTTCTGTTTTAGGTTTAGTATCTTCTGATGACATTGTTATTATAATAATTGTTGATTTAGAGAAGAAAAAAATTTTTTGATTGTTTTTGATGTAATTTCAATATGCTACCAGTTGTATCTATTTTATATATAATTATATATAAATTTCTATATTTACAAGTGTGTTTTTACGTGATTATTTAGTTCTTGTTAATATTGAATTTGTTAATAATTCTAATGCACTTCTTGCGTCTGATTCAGGTAAAAATCTTAAATTATTCAAGGCTTTTAAACAATAATCAGTTGCCATTTCTCTTGTCTTTTCTAAACCATTATATTTTTCAACAGATTTTCTTGCAATTTCAACATCTCCAGGTTGATTAAATTTTCTTGCTATTAATTCACCCAATTTTGGTTCTTTTTCCCATGCAAATAATATAGGAGCAGTAGCTAAACCTAATTTTAAATCAGCTTGTGATGGTTTACCAAATTGAGTGTCGGAGCTGGTATAATCCAACATATCATCAACAATTTGAAAACATAATCCTAAATTTCTACCAAATTGATAACTTTGCTCAATTATATCATCTTGTGCTCCACTTAATACTGCTGCTGCTCTACATGATTTTGACATTAACAGAGCAGTTTTTAAATATGTTTTATGTAAATAATATTCAAAAGCTGCTTCCACATTTGTATCATGATTTACTAAATTAACTGAATATTCATGTTGTTTAGTAGGTACTTTACCAGTTGGATCAGGTATTCTTTTTGATTCACCATCATTATTTATTTCATTATCTACTTCATTTATAACTGTATTTTTCAATTGCATAAATTCACCTTCTACTAAATTTGCAATGGTTGTAGATAATAATTCTATAACTTCTGGATTTCTTAATCTTGAAATTGCAACTGATGCTCTACCTAATAAAAAATCACCAGCTAAGACTGCCATTTTATTTGTAAATGCTATATTCCCACTTGGTCTACCTCTCCTTGAGTCTGATAAATCAATAACATCATCATGTAATAAACTTGCAGTATGTATCATTTCAACAATTTCTGCTAATCTTCTTTGTTTTGGTAATATACCATTTAGTATATCAAATTCTGGTAATTTATCCATTGGTTTACTTAATGGATCTAATATAACTTTTGGATTTATACCATGTAATATAGCTAATGGACTTAGAGAATCATCAACTGATTTACCTGCAATTGATGAAATATTTGTTGGAGTTCCCTTTATATGCAGTTGTTCGGTAACATCATATTTATCAATTGAAATTCTATTTCTTTGTTCAATTGGTATTTTCAGTAATGCTTTACTTAATAATAATACAATTAATGGTCGAACATTTTTACCTTCAGCTTCGAAATAATATGAACTTACACGATTTAAAGTAGGATGTCCAGAACCTATAAGATTTGCAATTGATTTTGCTAAATTTGACATTTCATGACTTACTATACTGAAAGGATCATTAAATTTAGTTGATGAAGGTGATACTAATTTTTCAGCAGTATCAATTGCTGTTTTAAATGAAGAAGATGAATAACATCTAAGTCTCGTAAATCGTGAAAACATGGAAAACAATCCTATTCTATTATTCTTTATCTATATCTTTTCTGCCTGGGTAATAATTGATGTTGAAATTGTAATATATTGGTTAATGTTTTATCAATCTTTAATTAATTTCGTTTCTTTAAGTGGGAAATAAAAATATTGAAATTTTTTCGCCATACGAATTTATCGATTAAGCTAACAGTACGTTTGAATTAGTACGACTCGAGCGAATATAACAAGCACCCTTATGATGATGCATATGGAACGATATAATAGTATTATTCTACGAGCCGGTGCTTCTTTCATCGTTGAAGAGTATTTTTGTAGCATATTTTGGTGAACTTAACGATAAGTAGCACTTAAGTATTTATATATTTATATAATCATTTCTATTTATCATTACATTCAAATGTTTTACGTTGATCTGGTGACATATTTCTCATAAATATTTTTGGTGGAGTTAAAGTACCTAAAGCTCTTTGAGCATATAAACTTAAAAATGTTAAACCAAAAACATAACTTGCATTGACCCAACCAAAACCTTCAGTAGCAACACCTTTAAAATCTAAACCTTGGTTTCCATATTCTGCATCAACTTTATGTGGTACTGCTCCCTTTGTAACATTATATTTTTCAACAACTACTCCATTATAATCAACAAATGATTTAGTCATCATAAATAGCCATCTATAAGCTAATCTTTTTGCAATATTATTATAACCATAATTGTCTAATCCGATCCATGCTAATATTTGTTGTGGTGCCCAACCAAATGGATAATCCCATTGTCTTGATGGTCTAGTTAATCCAATGTCACCTCTAGATTTTAAAGTTCCAGATGCTAAACCACCATGTTCCTCAAATTTAGATAATGTATTTTCAATCATTTTTGAAGCTTGTTCGGCAGATGATAATTTTGCATATAACGGCCAAAATGTAGTTGCTGATTCATAATCTGTTTGTTCTTGATCATGAACATTATAATCATAATAAATTGAATCTTGTTCATTCCATAAATATTTATCAACAGCAATTTTTCTAGCTTTAGCTCTTTCTTTCCAAATTTGGGAAGTATGTGTTCTACCGTTAAATTCTAATTTATTATCAAAATGAGTCTCTAAAATATATGTTATATCATTTTCATATTTATATAATAATGAATTTAAATCAACAGTAGCTAACCATGCACATTTACCTTCTAATCTATAACTTGTATCATGACCACTTTCTCTTACTGCTCTATCATGTAAGAAATATATATCTAAATCAGGTTCTATAATTGTTCCAGAATTATATTTTTCAATAAATTCATCTTGTGAAATCTGATATTTAGCAACATATTTCTCCAAAACTGCATTAAAATGAGTTGATTCAGTTTCGGGTGGAATACCTTTACCTTCTGGATGATAACATGATAATCCAGTTTTTTCATCCAATCTAGGTTTTGCACACCAAATAGTTTCATATTCTTTAATTGCTGCAATTGTGGATCTTTTTAAGAAATCTAATGAATCTAATTTATCATCAGGTAATACTTCATTAGTTTTATTGAATATTCTTATAGCCATATCTGTTAAAAATGGTGGTTGTGATCTACCTAAATAATAAGATCTATTTGCATTTAATATTTTCCCATAATGATTTATTTCATATATGAAATTTTCAGCCATACCTCTAGCTAATTCTAAATGGCCTAAATTTTTATCATGTGAAATATCAGTTAATAATCCTAATGTTTCCATATATGAATCCCATCCATATAATTCATTAAATCTACCTCCAGGAACAACATAAGGCCATGAAATTAAATTTTTTGGATCATTTGGATCAGGTTTGGTTGCAATTGATAATAATCCTGGCTTTTTATTAATTGACATAATATAATCAGCATCAATTATTTCAGGTAATAATTGAACTTCTAAATTTATATCTTTATTTTGTTGTTGTATCGTTTTAAAATATTCATATTGATCTAATCTATTATGAGGTACATAAATTCTATGACTTTCTACTAAATCTATAACTTGACCTTTTTCATTTTTAATCTCATCTTTAATTTTAGTGTCTTTGGACATTTCAATAATATTATCCTTTGTAATTCTTCTTGTTAAATTTCTCCAAAATTGGGTTGAAATTAATCTCTTCATTCTATTTAGTGGATTTTCATTTAATCTAGCTTCATCTAATAATATTTGATGTCTTCCAAATCTTGAAGCAATTGTTAATTCTTGTAATAAATTAGATAACATATATGTACCTCTAACTGATTTTTGATTGAACCCAAGAGAATTAGCAGTACCTAATCTTAAAACTTTTGGTCCAGTATCTTCTATTGTAATTTGACAATTATTATCAGTATCTTCATTTTCTAATAATTCTTTTAATGTAGCTTGAACATCAGGAATATAAAATTTTTTAGGTCTAATATTTGAATCATCAACTGAAGCTCTTCTAAAATGAAATTTATCACTTGATATTGAATTAACTGAGTCTTGTGAAGTTGAAGTTGATAGTTGTGTTAATTTAGAAGCTGAGTTTTGATAAATTGGTACTATACTTGGTCTTTTAGTTAATGAATCAGCATCACCTTTAAACGATTTTGGATGAGGTATAACAGTTTGAGTATCATCAGCACATGATTGAATAGGTGTTGGAATAGGATGATAATCACCTACTCTGTTAGCACTATGTAAAGGATCTGCTTCAGTTGAATCTTCCTCATCGGGACTTTCTTCATCATCTGAATGAAAAGCAACTTGTTGTTTTGTTTTACCTAAGTTTAAACTAAATTGAACTCTTGGTACATTATCATCTATTGGAGGAGTCGGAGATGCCAGTGAAGCAATAGAAGATGTTGGTTCACTTCCTTCCGGTATTGAATTTGGTATTGGATGTTGTTCATTTAATTTTCTAATAAAATCTTGTCTTGTAGTTTTAGTTTCAAACGCACTAAACGTACGAACTCTATTTAATGGTGAATTTTTATTTGCAATTTTTTTAAGATTTATATCACCATAATAATTTTCTGCAATATCAAATGGATCATCTTCCAGCGAATTTGAAAGATTTCTTTGATGATTTTTGGGTGAATGTTGCAGCATTTATAAACTAAGTCTACTTTATAGTAGGATGCAATTTGTGACGAAACGCGATGTATTAATATAAAAATTTGCAAAACCGTTATAAAGAAAATGATGTTGTAAAATGAATTGTGTAATAAACCTTAATTAATAAATTTCTTGATAAACTAGGAATTATAATATTTCGTGGAGATAGTTACAATTTAAAAGAAACGACGAGAAAAAAAAAAAAAAAAAGTGGTCACCTGAACTAAAGAGCGGTTAATCTTTAGCAACAATAAACAATGATGTAATAAGGATTTTTCAAGAATCGAATGGTTATCAGAAGGAAAATGGTGTTCAAGGTTAAACAGATTAGGAACAAACCTAGACAATTATTCTACTCTCTAGTTGATTTACCTTCAAATCAAATGGTGTAGATATAATCTTCATAGCAATTTTTAACTAGTAGATTATGTAATTATTTTGGCTGCAAAATTGTAAATTGGTAGCAGTTGCTATTTTGCAGCCAAATTTAAATACTGGTAAAAATATAAGAAGCCATTTAAAACTATCAACTACCTGTTCTATTTAGCTGGAAACTCCGTAGACACGATCTGCTGCTAGTTGCTTACATGCCTAAGCAGTTATTTTTTATTATCAATCAAATCTATAGCAGAATTTTGAGTTAATTAGGGACGAATAAATCTTTCATTTTAATGTCTCATTTTAATGTCTCGGAATAGTTTGAAAATAATTTTGTAAATTTTCGAACAATTTTCAATTTCAACGTTTTGATTGTGTAATACAGAAATCGTTATTGATTCAATAAGTAAGATTGCTTAAGTATAAAAGCCACTTCTAATAGTTTTTGGTAGTAATATTTGTCCTAATCTTTCCGAGGTCCCGGTGCAATACGATAATACGTAAGTAAAGTAAATTTTGATTTTTTTGCCGCTAATTAATTGCCGTAAAAAATAACATGTGGGATTTTTCCTTACCCCAAACTTTTTTAATTAGAAGTATAAATAGAATTCCAATTTCCAAATATTCCATTTTTTAAGTTTATACGAATTTTTCAATTCTATTTTATTTATTTATATTTATTCAATTACACAATTATAATTAAAGAATTATGTCAGGTTTAAAAGTTTCAGTTTTAGGTGCTGCTGGTGGTATCGGACAACCATTATCATTATTATTAAAATTAAATGATAAAATTGATCAATTAAGTTTATTTGATGTTTTCAATACTCCAGGTGTTGGAGCTGATTTATCACACATTAATACCGATTCATCAGCAAAAGCTTTTTTACCAACTTCAAAAGAAGATACTACTCAATTAGCAGAAGCTTTAAAAGGTTCAAACTTAGTTATTATTCCAGCTGGTGTTCCAAGAAAACCAGGTATGACAAGAGATGATTTATTCAATATTAATGCTGGTATTGTAAAATCATTAGCTGAAGGTATTGCTGAAAATTGTCCAGAAGCATTTGTTTTAATTATTTCAAATCCTGTTAATTCAACAGTTCCAATTGTTGCTGAAACTTTAAAAGCAAAAGGTGTATTTAACGCTAAAAGATTATTTGGTGTTACTACATTAGATATTGTAAGAGCAAATACTTTCATTTCACAATTATTCCCAGAAGAATCAAAAGCTTCAGATTTTAATATTAATGTTATTGGTGGTCATTCAGGTGAAACCATTGTTCCATTATATTCTGTTGGTAAATCAAAATCATTTTATGAAAAATTATCAGAACAACAAAAAAATGATTTAATTCATAGAGTTCAATTTGGTGGTGATGAAGTTGTTCAAGCTAAAAATGGTACTGGATCAGCTACTTTATCAATGGCTTATGCTGGTTATAAGTTAGCTGAATCAATTTTAAATGCAGTTTCAGGTAAATCTGATGTTGTTGAATGTACATTTTTAAATTTTGATGATTCAATTAAAGGTTCAAAAGAAGCTAAAAAATTAGTTGGTGATTTAGATTTCTTTTCATTACCAGTTTTATTAGGTAAGAATGGTATTGAAGAAGTTAAATATGAAATTTTAAATGAAATTAATGATGATGAAAAGAAATTATTATCAGTTGCAATTGAACAATTGAGTAAAAATATTGAAAAAGGTGTTGAATTTTCAAAAAAATAAGTTAAGATAAACTAATATATATTATTTATTATTTCTTTTACGGAACTAAACTTATAGATGAATAATTTAAAGTTTTCTTCTGCGTTAGAACCTAAAAATTGGATAAACCCAGGGAGATTAAGCATAAGGAAAACTAGTTGTTCGTCAGATAAGTTAGCTTGAGCAGCCTCTCCTTTAACATCAGCTAATTGAATTACCAGATATAGATGATAATGATAATTCTCAATTAATATAGTTATAACTACAGATTTACCGGTTTTCAATATTTTTCTTTTGCAACATAGTATAAACTTGAATGTCGAACTTACTTAATATAACAACACTTGATTCTCTAAACAAAACAAATAGCTCATCTATTTCCTTTTCTGTACCGTCATCTAATCCAGCATCCAATAAAGTAAATAGTAAACCACTTTAAAGTTTAATCTGTCGTTACGTTTAACATAACTAATTAGCTGCAAAATAAATACAAGATTAAGCGAGATTAAATCCAAGCAATGTCATAAAAATTTACGACAATAGAGCAATAGGTTCGTGCCATCCCCATGGCGAATTATTGATTTTTTAATGCCCCCTTCGCCCCAACTCCTATTTTATAATAAAAAGCTTAGCAAGAACCGTAGAAGATCAGAGAAAAAGCTGGTTGCTACATTGACTACTATACAATACTATATTTACATTTACCATTGTCTCTTCTCTTTAGTATCTTGACAATTGTCACTTGTTTGTCTTTTCACTATCAAATATTCTGTTTCAATTTATTGAGAACGAAAAAAAAAAAAAAACAAATTTGACAACACCAATCAAAACATCACCAATAAAATTAATTAAACAATTATGGAATCGATATTAGATTTCTCACAAGAATTAAATATCAATCTATTTGATCAAATTGTTGAAACATTTTATAAAGGTTCTGGTAATGATCAAAAACAAGCTGCTTTAATTCTATCTCAATTTCAAGAGCATCCTGATTCATGGAAATTAAGTGACAAAATTTTATCAAATTCATCAAATTCACAATCAAAATATATTGCTTTAAGTTGTCTTAACAAATTAATTCAATATAAATGGAAAACTATAAGTGATGATGAAAGAATTGGTATTAGATTATTTATTATAAATATGATTGTTTCATTATGTAATAATGATGAAGAATTTGAAACTCAAAGAGCTTTAATTAATAAAATTGATTTAACTTTAGTTTCAATTTTAAAACAAGAATGGCCTCATAATTGGCCTGAATTTATACCTGAAATTGTAGTAAGCTCAAAATCAAATTATAATGTTTGTGAAAATAATATGATTATATTAAAATTATTAAGTGAAGAAATTTTTGACTTTTCAGAAGACCAATTAACCACGGCCAAAATTTTACAATTGAAGAAATCAATGGAATCTGAATTTGAAGAAATTTTTAAATTATGTTATGAAATTTTAGATAGAACCTCAAAACCTTCATTAATTATTAGTACTTTAAATGCTTTATTAAAATATATTCAATGGATTCCAATAAATTATATATATGAATCAAATTTATTAGATTTATTAAGTAAAAAATTTTTATCTCCAAATGATACAAGAGCAATATCATTAAAATGTTTAACAGAAATTAGTTCATTAAAAATTGATCAACAATATGAAGAAAAGACTATTTTATTTTTCAAAAATGCCATGGATGAAATTAAACAAATTGTACCACAAACAACTAACCTTAAAGAAAGTTATAAAGTTGCAACTTCATCAGATCAATCATTTTTACAAGATTTAGCAATGTTTTTATGTACGTTTTTATCAAATCATTTATTATTATTAGAAAAATATGCAATACAATCAGAACCATCAATAAAACAATTATTGCAAGATTCTTTGTTTTATTTATTAAATTTATCAAGAATTGAAGAAAGAGAATTATTCAAAACTTGTTTAGATTTTTGGTCTAATTATGTTTCTGAATTATTTAAAGAAACTAAAGAAGTTTCAAAACATGATTTATCCCCAATTATGCAATTAGCAAGAGGTGGTTCACAAGGTGCACCAGATCCAACATTATTAGCAAAATATAATCTAAGACAACATCAATATCAGGAAGTTTTATCAAAATTAAGATTAGTGATAATTGAAAATATGGCAAGACCAGAAGAAGTTTTAGTTGTTGAAAATGATGAAGGTGAAATTGTTCGTGAATTTGTTAAAGAATCTGATACAATTCAATTATATAAATCAATGAGAGAAGTTTTAGTTTATTTAACTCATTTAAATGTAATTGATACTGAGCAAATTATGCTTGAAAAATTAGCAAGACAAATTGATGAAAGTGAATGGTCATGGCAAAATATAAATACATTATGTTGGGCTATTGGTTCAATATCAGGTGCTATGAATGAAGATATGGAAAAAAGATTCCTTGTTAATGTTATAAAAGATTTATTAAGTTTAACTGATATGAAAAGAGGTAAAGATAATAAAGCAGTTGTTGCTTCAAACATAATGTATATTGTTGGTCAATATCCAAGGTTTCTTAAAGCACATTGGAGATTCCTTAAAACTGTTGTTAATAAATTATTTGAATTTATGCATGAAACTCATGAAGGTGTTCAAGATATGGCTTGTGATACATTTATAAAAATTACAAATAAATGTAAAAAACATTTTGTGGTTATACAACAAAATGAAACAGAACCATTTATAAATGAAATAATAGCAGATATTCAAAGTATAACTGAAGATTTACAACCTCAACAAGTTCATACATTTTATGAAGCATGTGGTATAATAGTAAGTGCACAAAATAATAACATTCAAAGAGATAAATTATTGAATGATTTAATGAATTTACCAAATATGGCATGGAATGTTATAGTTCAAAAAGCAAGTTCGGATCCACAATTATTAAGTGATACCGATACTGTTAAAATTATAGCAAATATTATTAAAACAAATGTTGCAGTATGTAAGGCTTTAGGACCTGGTTTTTATTCACAATTGGGAGTATTATATTTAGAAATGTTAAATTTGTATCGATCGGTATCACAAATGATTTCCAATTTAGTTGCAGAAAGTGGTATAATTGCAACAAAGACTCCAAAAGTTAGAGGTTTAAGAACTATTAAAAAAGAAATTTTAAAAATGATTGAAACTTATATAAATCAAGCTGATGATACAAAGCAAATTGTTAATGATTTAACACAGCCATTATTTAATGCAACTCTTGAAGATTATTCACAAAATGTTCCCGATGCAAGAGATTCAGAAGTTTTAAGATGTTTAACTGCTTTAGTTTCAAAAGTTGGTAAATTAATACCTGAAGGTGTTGTGTTAATTTTACAAAATGTATTTGAATGTACCTTGGACATGATTAAAAATGATTTTATAGAATATCCAGAACATAGAGTTGAATTTTATAAATTATTAAAAGAAATTAATTCAAAATCATTCCAAGGTTTATTACAATTAAGTGGAGAAGCATTTCAATCATTAATAAATGCTGCATTATGGGCATTTAAACATAATAATAGAGAAGTTGAAGATAATGGATTACTGTTAACTTTAGAATTATTAGAAAATGTTGAAAAATTGGGAGATACTCCATTCACTCGTGCTTTTTATACAAATTTTTATTTTCAAATTTTATCTGATACTTTATGGGTATTTACACAACCTGATCATAAAGCTGGTTTTAGATATCAAGCTCAATTATTAGCAACATTGATACATTTAGTACAGGATGATGTTATAAAAGTTTCATTATATACTCCAGATCAAGCACCACAAGGTACTTCAAATCAAGAATTTTTAAAACAATATTTATCTAATTTATTATCATCAGCTTTTGAGAATTTAAAACAAGAACAATTAATTACTTTCTTAACTGTTTTAACTACTACTTATAATGATTTATTTAAATTTAGATCAATTTTAAGAGATTTCTTGGTGCAATTGAAAGAATTTGGTGGTGAACCAACTGAATATTTATTTGCAGAAGATAAGAGATTAGAAAAAGAAGAACAAGATAAAAAACAAAGAGAAAAAGATTTACAAGTTGGTGGATTAATTAGACCTTCAGAAATGGATGATGAGTAAGGATTGCGTAAAGATGCAATGATCAAATCACTTTGATCATGATCGTTCAATGGCTATTCTTTATATAAACTAATATAAATATACAAAGTAGTGTAATTAACCAATTTGGTGTGTATAAATTTGACCACTCGAAATTTTTCATATCTTTTTCTTCTTTTCTTTTCTTCATCACCAGAAGATCAATTTCAATCGAACATGGTTCTTGTCTTTTCCCAGAACCATCCGGGAATTGTCTTCCTTTGTCAAATGGTGTTCAATTTAATTTTTGGAATTCAATTTATTTATACTTTTAGTATTGAATAAATTCTTTACTTTACATTTTTCAAGTTTTTCAAGCTAGGTGGTTTGAACTAATTGAAATAGTAAAGGTCAGAATGCAAGTAGTGTTTACAACTCTTCTATTGATAAAGTCTAGGGATGTGGTAAACTAACTTACAGCATGCAATAATTCACGTCATTGTATATGTAAGAGATGGAGTTCATTTAGCACTGATCATATTGCTTACCAGTTGCAGATTTAAATGCATCCTTCATTAATTTAGTTACCCATTAAATACATATATTATTTTCTATTTACATTGCTTCTTTTTCTATTTGATTTTTTGAAGTTGCATATTTAATTAATGAATCTTGTAATTTTAAAATTGCTTTTCTTGGTCCTGGTATTGAACCTTTAACAATTATAATACCAGCATCAGCATCAGTTTTCAAAACTTCAATATTAAATTTAGTATTATTTTTACCACCCATTCTACCTTCACCTTTATGACCAGGGAAAATTCTACCAGGATCTTGATTACCACCATGACCACCAGCTTTTCTATGAGTTTTAGTAACACCATGAGTAGCAGGTTGACCTTTAAATCCCCAACGTTTCATCCCACCTGCGAAACCTTTACCTTTAGTAATACCTTTAACATCTATCAATTGACCTTCGGCGAAATAATCAGCTTTAATTTCAGTACCGAGTGGTAACTCACTCTCTAATGAGTTTCTTATTCTAAATTCTCCTATTTTATATTTTGGTGCAGTTCCTGCCTTGTCGAAAATTTTCAATGTCGATAAACCAAGTTTTAAATTTTTAAATCTATCTATAGTTCCTAATAATATTGAATTATAACCAAATTCATCTTCAGTTTTATGTTGTAATACTTCTACTGAATCTATTTCTATTACTGTTGCCGGTAATTGTTCACCCTCGGATGTAAACCAAGTAATCATACCTCTTTTAATACCAAATATACCTGGTCTTTCCAACAATTGTCTTCTTTTATTACGCTCTTCTATTGTATGTTTAACCACTGGTGGTTTTGTTTTTATTGATGGTATTGAATGTATGGATGTGATCTTAGCTGCATTTCTAATCTGTATACGAGATCTGTTTGATTGTATAACCTTATTTATACTATTTATAAACATATTATTGACCCTACGATATAAAAAAAAATTTTCAAAGAGAACTACCAAGTGAGTTTAATTGCAAAATAAAATGTCATATATATACAAGAAGTAGTAAGTTTCACTATTTAATCTTTCTTTCTTTTAATTTTATAGTCTCATCATCAATAAATATACCTTTACCTTTATATGGTTCAGGTTTCTTCCATAATCTAATTGATGCAGCAAATTGTTTAACTTTTTCATAGTCATTCCCTTCAATAATCAATCTTGTAGGATTTGGAGTACTTACTTTTATCCCCTTTGGAACTTCTAATCTAGGGGTAAATGGAAATCCCAATTTTAAGCTTATAAATTCTTTATTTTTAGTGGTATCTTTTTCAATAATGGCTCTGAAACCAGTACCTACAAATTTAACAATTGATAAATGACCTTCAGTTATTCCGATTAAATTTCTTTGTAATATTGCTCGAGTAGTACCCCATAATGATTTTTGTAATTTATTATTTGGTTTTTGAACCCCAATTAATAATTGATTTTCTTTTTCATCTTTTGTAATTCTTATGAATGGTGCTATTTCTTGTTTAACTTTACCTAAAGGGCCTTCTAATATTAATTGTCTATTTAATTCATAAGTATCTGATTTATTTTGAAATTTTTTACAAAATTCAATGGGGATCTGTTCAACTGAATATGAAACACCATCTAATAATCTGACTGGTTTTTTACCAATATTGGATAATACTATACTAGAACCCGAAAAGGAACGTATTGAACATAGTCTGACCATAGTACACCCACTATATCTAATTCTTAACAATTGCCCTGGCTTGAAATTTTTCAAATTGATAAATTTTTTTGATTCTGAAACACGAACAAAATTTTGATTCCATTTGATAAAGAGAATCAAGAACTCATCTCATATATAAAAGGTTAAGTTAATATGGTTAGAGCTTTGAAACATCATGAGAAGAAACTACTCAAGAAAGTAGACTTTCTTGATTGGAAACAAGATCAAGGACATAGAGATACTCAAGTTATGAGAACTTATCATATACAAAATAGAGAAGATTATTTTAAATATAACAAAATATGTGGTGATATACGTAAATTAGGTCATAAATTATCTATGCTAAAACCAACAGATCTGTTTAGAATAAAACATGAACAACTAATATTGGAAAAGTTATATAATATGGGTATATTAGCCACTAAATCAAAAATATCAGATTTAGAAAATAAAGTTACTGTTAGTGCTATATGTAGAAGAAGGGTTGGTGTTGTTATGTGTAGATTAAAAATGTCAGAATCATTGACTGATGCAATTAAATTTATTGAACAAGGTCATGTTAGAATTGGACCTAATATAATAACAGATCCAGCTTATTTAGTAACTAGAAACTTAGAAGATTATCTCACATGGGTAGATAATAGTAAAATCAAAAAGAACTTGCTTAAATATAAGAACAAAATTGATGATTATGATCTTAGTTAGTTGAAAATAAACGAAATTTGATTTTGACACTTGGTAGTGCCGTTTTTTCTTTTGAGATGATCTTCGTATAATCTATTATTGACCATGGCTTCTTTTCTGGATCTTGGTGTTTCTAAATGGTTATGTGATTCTTTGGAGTCTATGAAAATTTATAGACCTTCTCAAATTCAACAACATTGTATACCTGCAATTTTAAAAGGCCATGATTGTATAGGTGGTGCCAAAACAGGTTCTGGTAAAACAATAGCATTTGCATCTCCAATTTTAACTAAATGGTCAGAAGATCCATTTGGAGTATATGGATTAGTATTAACTCCTACTAGAGAATTAGCATTACAAATAGCAGAACAATTTAGTGCTTTGGGGTCTAATATGAATATTAAATGTTGTGTAGTTGTTGGAGGGAATGATTTCGTTCAACAAACTATTGAATTACAAAAGAAACCTCATTTCATAATTGCTACTCCTGGTAGATTAGCTGATCATATAATAAACAGTGGTGAAGAAGTTATAAATGGGTTGAAAAGGATAAAATTTTTGGTATTAGATGAAGCTGATAGATTATTATCCAATAGTTTTGCGTCTGATTTACAAAGATGTTTTGATATATTGCCTTCAAGTGATCAAAGACAGACATTATTATTCACAGCGACTATAACGGACGCAGTTAAGACGTTAAAAGATAAATCACAATCTAAAAATAAACCACCAATATTTATGTATGAAGTAGAGACAGTGGATAAAGTAGCTATCCCAACAACTTTGAAAATTAATTATGTATTCATTCCATCACACGTTAAAGAAGCTTATTTAAATAGTATTTTAAATTTAGAAAGTTTTACACATAAAATTGCAATTATATTCGTGAATAGAACAATAACGGCCGAAGTTTTGAAAAGAACGTTGAGAAAATTAGAATTTAGAGTCACTTCTTTACATTCAGACATGCCACAACAAGAGAGAATCAACTCCTTACATCGTTTCAAAGCTAACTCTGCCAAGATATTAATAGCTACTGATGTCGCAAGTAGAGGTTTAGATATACCTGAAGTTGAACTAGTTATAAATTTCGACATACCTGCTAATCCAGATGATTTTATTCATAGAGTAGGTAGAACAGCAAGAGCAGGTAGGAAAGGTACTGCAATTTCAATGGTTAGTGAAAAAGATATAGATAGAATACATTCAATTGAGGAAAGAATAAATAAACAAATGGAATTATTGGAAGATATAAATGATGATATAGTTATAAAGGATTCTTTAGCTATAACATCAACTGCCAAAAGAGAATCCATGATGGAAATGGATAAGGAAAATTTTGGTGAACGAAAGAAGATAAATAAGGAAAAACATGGTAAAATAGTGAAACCAAAGACAACAAAGGCAAAGAAATCCAAGAAGCGTTAATACAATATACATTTTGCATCTTTTAAATAACCTTCCACAATGATTAAAGTGTTCGAAATAGCGAAACTAGAGAAAACACGTCTATACATTATGAATCTTCTAAATACCCTTCTATAATTAGTAAACTGTTTAAACTAACCAATTTGTTTACAACTCCAGTCTTATATAGACTTTGCAACCTGTAAATTTCTTTCTATGTCATTGTATAGTGAAACCAAAAAAAACGACGTTTAATAACCATCAATGTACATCATGAATCTTCTAAGTACCCTTCTACAATCATTAGAATGTTTAAACTTACCAATGTGATAACTATTCCAGCCATACATATCACAGTAGATAAGTTATTAAAATTATAAGTTGATATTTTTAATTTTGCATATCTATTAATTGTAATAAAATAGTTAAACCCGCTAACTACCAATACACTAGATGACAAAAATAATAACATATATGAAACAACAATTGAATAAGTTTTATGATAACAATTATCATCTTTATCATGATTTGATTCATTTCCCGAAGTATCAAACTTGAAATTTAATAAAACAGCCAAAGCTGTAAAAAATAAAGCAGTTGAAAATCTAACAAATGATAAACAAGTTCTCTCTGATTGTAAAACATCTCTTGGCTCTGAACTTTGTACTTTTAATATCAAACTATATGGGAAACCCTGTGATGGTAATATATTTGAACATTGTTGATCTTCTAATTTTGAATCTTTCGGCCGATGTAATAAAGTAGAAGCATCTGGATTATTTATAGCAGTACTATTCCCTTCTATTGGATCATATTCCTCTATCTCATTACTATTCCTTCGTTGTATATCATTATCACTCATTGTGGATACTTAGTGTTCTCACACAAATAAAAAAAATATATATTTCTAACTGTTTATACTTCACGCTATTGAAGAGGATATTGGTTATTCAAAGTATTATGATTAGTGATGAGTAAAATAAGAGGTCAAAATAAATGTAAAAATTGTGGGCATACCCAATTTGATACTAGTTATACTACTGCTGGTGATATTTCATGTATGAGATGTGGTACTGTTTTAGAAGAAAATCCAATCGTTTCTGAAGTTCAATTTGGTGAATCTTCATCTGGTGCTGCTATGGTTCAAGGTGCTATGGTTGGTGCTGATCAAGCCAGGGCAACTTTTACTGGTGGTAGACAAAATGCAATGGAATCTAGAGAACAAACTTTATTAAATGGTAAACGAAAAATCAAAAGAATAGCAAATTCTTTAAAAATTCCAGATTATATTGCTGAAGCAGCTGGTGAATGGTTTAGGTTAGCTTTAACTTTAAATTTTGTACAAGGTAGAAGATCAAATAATGTTTTGGCAACTTGTTTATACGTTGCTTGTAGAAAAGAAAGAACTCATCATATGTTGATTGATTTTTCTTCAAGATTACAAATTAGTGTTTATTCATTAGGTGCTACTTTTTTAAAAATGGTTAAAGCTTTACATATTACATCATTGCCATTAGCTGATCCATCATTATTTATACAACATTTTGTAGAAAAATTAGATTTTAAAGATAAAACAACTAAAGTTGCAAAGGATGCAGTTAAATTAGCTGCCAGAATGTCATCAGATTGGATTCATGAAGGTAGAAGACCTGCTGGGATTGCTGGTGCTTGTGTTTTATTGGCTGCTAGAATGAATAATTTTAGAAGATCTCATGCTGAAATAGTTGCTGTTTCTCATGTTGGTGAAGAAACTTTACAAAGAAGATTAAATGAATTCAAAAATACAAGAGCGGGTAAGTTATCAATTAAACTGTTTAGAGAAACTGAAGATATTAAAAGTTCAAATCCTCCAAGTTTTGAAAAAAATCGTAAATTAGAAGTAAAAATTGCAAATGATTTACGAAGAAAAACTGATGAAATTAATGATATTTCTAAATTAACAGATGAACAACAGAAAGAATTCTTGGCTAGTTTACCTAAAGAAGAAGCTCAAAAACAATTATTAATAAATACGATTCTTACAGATATGTCAATTACAAAAGAAACATTAAATGAACAAATGAAAAGAATTATAAATATGAAAAATACAAAGTTAAAAGATTCAATGTATCTAACTCCTCATGAGTTAAATAATGGTGGTTCAACTCCAGATTTCACTAATGATGATGAGAAGGGAAAAGAAGAATATGATAGAATTTGGAATATGAATTGGCCAAAAAATTTAGTTGAAAATTTACCTAAAACTGAAGATATTTTAAAATCAGTTAGAGATGATATCGAATTAAATTCTGATGATGATGATGAAATTGTATTAGAAAGTAAATTAACAGAAACTGAAATTGAAATAAAAGAAAGAATTTGGACTGGGCTAAATCATGATTATATGATTGAACAAGAAAAGAAAAGATTAAAAGAAGAAGCTGATTTAATTACTGGTAATACTCAAGGTGCAACAACAACAAAAAGAAGAAAAAAATCACCAACTAATTCTAATTTACCACCTGAAATTCAAAAAGAGTTGGGTGATATGGTATTAGATGAAGATGGTGCTCCAACTTCAGCAGCTGATAGTGTTAAAAGATATCTATCATCTACATCAGTTTCAAAAAAATTAAATTATGAATCATTAAGTGGTTTATTTCAAAATGACAATATGGGAGGTTTTTAATAAATATATACAGGAGATTGGTTAATAATAACGTAGTTAGTTAGTATAATAATATGTTATAGGAATAGAATATGGTTATAAATTATCAATTACCTCTTAATTAATTTCAGCCCCCTAAGCGATAAAATAATTTTTTTTGTTTCAGATTTTCTTTTTTACGGGGCTGCTCATCTCTAAAAAAATGAATATATTTTTATCAGATCGTTATCAAACTAAGAATAATGGCTAAGAAGAGAAGAGCAGCTATATTACCAACTAATATAATACTCTTGCAAAATGTTGTAAGAAGAGATCCAGAATCTTATCTTGAAGAATTTTTACAACAATTTTCACATTATGAATCATTAAGAGATTTATATTTATTAAATCCAACTGGGGCAGATCAAAATTCAACAACTGAATTAATAGAATTAATTGGGTTTTTATCTGCTGTTTGTAATTGTTATCCCAAAGAAACTGCCAATTTTCCAGAAGAATTAAAGACTATATTATTAAATAATCATCGAGATTTATCTTCAGAATTAAGAGAAAAGATAATACAATGTTTAACAATGTTAAGGAATAAAAATGTTATAACAGCAGAATCATTAATACTGACAATTTTCCCATTATTGGTATCATATTCCTCTGGTTCATCAGGTCAACATATAAAACAAATGAGAAAACAAATATATTCAACATTAATATCATTATTAAAATCAGTAAACACTGGAGCTAAAAATCAAAAATTAAATAGATCAACCCAGGCATTATTATTCAATTTATTAGAACAAAAAGATAATCAAGGTTTATGGGCTACTAAATTAACTAGAGAATTATGGAGAAAAGGGATTTGGGATGATTCAAGAACTGTTGAATTAATGACTCAAGCTGCTTTACATCCAGATGTCAAAGTTTCAATAGCTGGTGTTAAGTTCTTCCTTGGTGCAGATAAAGAAAGAGAAGATAATTTTGAAGAAAATTCAGATGATGAAGGGTTTGATATGACTGAATTAAAACATAAAATGCAACATAATAAAGCTTCTAAAAAACGTACTAAAAGATTAGAAAATGCCGTTAAACAAATGAAGAAAAAGCTGAACCTGAAACATTCTGCCACTTATTTAAATTTTTCAGCTATTCATTTATTAAGAGATCCTCAAGGTTTTGCAGAACAATTATTTGATAGTCATTTAAGTGCTAAAAATTCAAATAAATTTGATTTAGATCAAAAGATAATATTTATGAATTTAATTTCAAGAATGATAGGGACCCATAAATTAATAGTATTGGGAATTTATACATTTTTTCTCAAATATTTAACTCCAAAACAAAGAAATGTAACCCAAATAATGGCTGCTTCAGCTCAAGCTTCACATGATTTAGTACCTCCAGAAAGTATAGAAATTGTAGTAAGAAAAATTGCTGATGAATTTGTAAGTGATGGTGTTGCTGCTGAAGTTGCATCTGCTGGTATAAATACAATCCGTGAAATATTATCAAGAGCTCCATTAGCTATAGATTCAGCATTATTACAAGATTTAACTGAATATAAAGGATCCAAATCAAAAGCGGTTATGATGGCTGCAAGATCATTAATTTCATTATATAGAGAAGTTGCACCTGAAATGTTACTTAAAAAGGATCGTGGTAAAACTGCAAGTATTGAATTACAAAAAGGTGAGAAAACGGGATTACCTAAATATGGTGTTGAAAATACTATTACATCAATACCAGGTATTGAATTATTAGCAAAATGGAGAAAAGAACAAGGACTTGCGGAAGGAGATGAAAATGATGATAAAAATTGGGAAGTTGATGAAAGTGAAAACGATAGTGATATTGAAGGTGATTGGGTTACTGTTGAATCAGATAAAGATATAGATATAGATATATCGGATAGTGAAGATGAGAAACCAAATAAAGATGATGAAGTTTCAGATTTGGAATTATCTGACTCAGAAGATGAAGAAGTAGAAGTAGAAGGACAACCAAGTGAAAAGAAGGCTAAAACAGAAGAAAATACGGTAAATGCAGAACAAGCAATGACTGAATTATTATCAAGTAGAATATTAACCCCTGCTGATTTTGCAAAATTAGAAGAATTAAGAACTGAAGCTGGTTTATCTAAATTAATGGGTACTTCGAATGAAGAAACTGTTGATTCAACTACATTAGTTGGAAAAGTTAAATATAAACAATTGAGAGAAGAAAGAATTGCTCATGCAAAAGAAGGTAAAGAAGATCGTGAAAAATTTGGTTCAAGAAAAGGTAAAAGAGAAGCACCACATTCAACTACAAATAAAGAAAAAGCAAGAAAGAAAAATTTTGTAATGATGATTCATAAAAAAGCAGTTCAAGGTAAACAAAAATTATCATTAAGAGATAGACAAAGAGTGTTAAGAGCACATATTGATAAACAGAAAAAGAAAGGTAAAGTAGGAAATAATAAATAAAACTATGAATAATAGACGATATTTCAGTATAATATATTCTTATTCGAATTTTAAAATTAATCCATGAGACTGCATATAAGCCATTCGTGTTTCAGAATTTTTAATACCTAAACAAGCAATTCTCGCCCCAATTTGGTAGCAAATAAATACTTTTCTCGCGCTAGCTTTAGGGCGATTAGTAGCAAACTCATTGGCTTATACATCATGATCAACAAATTCTCTGGTGCAAGTACCATTTTCATCAAATCAATACCATTAAATTATATATTTTACATGTTTTCAAATTTTTGATTTTAAACTTTTTTTTTTTGAGTTGTCCGTTTGGCCATTTTTCGCCATACAAAATATTTGTCAAAAATGAACATGCAGAGTGAATTTTAGTTAGCGCCAAAACTTTCAAACTAAACAGCGATTTATATATATTGGAACTCAAGCTAACGTACTAGACTTAAATCCAGTTGTTCTAATCCAAAACTGAAAAATTCACAAATTTTCTCTTAAGTATGAGGAAAATCGAATAAATTGACCTTACACAAAATTCAACTCCACAATGAATATCAAGACTTAGATATAATAAAAATATCAAGATTCTTAATTTCCCATTCTGATTTGGTTTAATTTTTTTTGGGTTAAGATAACCAAAATGAAAAATTAATTTTTAAGGGTTGGTTTGAAAACGATTTCCAATAGTTAGAAAAGTGGTTTTTCATTGTTTTAATTATAAAGTCTTTATAAATTCGTATAGGACTGTGATAATGAAATTTCAAGCATGATGGTAATGTTTTTGATTATGAAGTATCGTCTATATTTTAGAACACAAATGTTGCAACTTCAAAGTTTTATCAGACACCGGATTAGGCATAGACTAGCAGTTATTTAATTCAATGACAATTTAGAACTCAGTTTCATCAATATCCAGTCTCTTGATTTCCATATACTCTATGATACATTTGTTTCAGAATGATATATTAAAATTACCCTTTTTGGATGAAAATGCGCTACCTGTTGATAATTTTTTTTTTTTTTTTTTTTTTGTTTCAAATCAAAACAAATAAAAGCAGCATTCTTTATTTAAATGAAATATATAATAGTATATGTTCCATTCTCGAAATAATATATTCAATCAAGATCAGTCAACTCCTGAATCTACTCGGCATCCAACAATTTCTAGCTTTCACCCCAATAATCCACCATCTCAACAACAAAATTCATTTTTTCAAACACCCACCAACCCATTTCAACAACAACAACAACAACAACAACAACAACACCAGCCAAATTTATCATTTCATTCAAATAGTTTTCATAATGATAGAAGTTTTGATCGAAGAATTATATCACCCGAAAACTCTAGTGTGTTTAATTCACCTCAGGCATTTGATCCAATGTTTACACAACAAGAAGAATTACCTACTGATTATGTTCAATTGATTGATGATGACGAGGACGACGATTTAAATATGTTAGCTTCATGTATTAAAAATGAAGCATATGCTGTTCAAAAAGTACCTGGTATATTATTAGGACAAGTTAGTGATATCAAAATTCAACAAGGGTTAATTGTACGAGAGATTATATTTGCATTACTAGGTTACGAAGGACATTATATCCAATTTGGTAAGAAATATAATATTGATTCAATAACGAATAGAATTGAAGGTCCAGATTATAAAATTGCAAAAAATTTAGATATAAGTTTAAAAGTTATAACTAAGAAATTAGTTAAATTTGGAAAATTTTATACTGGCTTAAAGAATTTCATACAAGTTTATAATAATGAGAATTTTGGTAAGATTATTCAGAAATTTTGTTTTTGTGTTAGTGAATTTTTAACAACTTATCATTCTGTCATACTACGGATTGAAAATGAATTCAAGAACAATCTACATTTTAATTTAAATATGTTAGATCAAATAGTACATCAAGAAGTTGCTGATAATATATCTCACCTATACCACATATCAATTAAAATTCACTCAGTAACTATCGAACGGTCAAAGTTGACTCAACAAGAATTACAAGGAAATTTTGAAGAAATAATTATGAAGAATACTGATTTAGAACCTAATTTATATTTTGAAAAATATAATTGTTGTAAAGGTGGTCTTGTTCTACAAATTGTTCAAGAAAGAATATCCTTTTATAAAGGTGATCCAATTGCTTTAAATTTTTTAATAAAAGTACTTGATATAATAAGTTATGATTATGTTGTAATGTTAAATAAATGGTTATCTGAAGGTATTATAGAAGATCCATTTGATGAATTTTTAATACGAGAGAAGAAAGTATCATCTCCATTTATTGAAATATTTCAAAATAAAAGTGAATATTATTGGAATGAATTGTTTTTAATTAAGAATGATGGATTATTAGATCAATTTAAAAATAATGAATTGCAGATGAAGATATTAAATACTGGGAAATATCTTAATATATTCAAACGATGTACTGGTTTAAATAATTTTGAAACTTTACAAGAGAATCTACAAAGTATCAACAGTCTAACATCATCTGATTTGGAATTGAGAATTAATGAGTATTTGCATAGAGCTAATAAAATGTTGCTTAAAGTATTATTTCAAGGTTTTGACTTTCCAAACGTATTGAAAATTTATCAAACATTATTTTTATTTCGTGATTCATATAATATTGACAATTTTATAACAAAGACATTTTCAGAACTAAAGAAGAACAAGTTTAAAATTTCAGTAACTAGAATACAGAAGCATTATGATGACATATTCAAACCAAAATTTATTAATAAAGTAGGTTTAAAAACAAGTATATCAGAAGTATTAAAACAAAGTCAAAAGTTTACAATTACATCAGAATCATTTTATAAAATCTCAAAGGAATTATTAGAGAAGAACCTGGACTATGCAATAGCTGATGATAATATTAGAGGATTATTTTATAAAGTGCCTGTAACAGATCAGTTACTGCCACTGAGAGCTCTGACGGTGATGTCTCATGATAATCTAATTGAAGAAAAAGATGAACCAACTATAACCAGTACAGATTTAAGTATATCATTGCCATTCCCATTAAATTTAGTCATGAATCAGCAAATTTCTTATCAATATGAAATAATGTTTAAATTATTAATACAATTGAAGTTTTTAAACAAATATTGTGACTTAAATTGGCAAGAGATTAATAGTTCAATAATATGGTGTTATAAAGGATTTAGTCCTGAAATAAAGAAATGGATTTTAAGATGTAGAGCATTATTATCAAGGATAAAAACCTTCATCAATGAAATTCAAAGTTATATTTATTATGATGTGATTGAGGATAATTTTAAAGAGATTGCAGATTTACTAAAACAAGCATATTTGAATTTAATGAGCAACGATCTAGGATCAGATATGTCAAACTCAATAAATAAACAAAATGAAATATTCAATAATACAATATTGGGAACAATTTCAAATAACTCAATCTTTGATGTGAAAATAAGTCAACGACAAAAGGAAATAAAATCTCCGACTCAAACAACTTCATCAGTAATCACTGTTGACCTTTTAATATCCAAATTATCAGATTATTCAAGTACATTACTTAATGATTCATTAATTACAAAATCAGAATCATTAGATCAATTGAATGAAATTTTTGAATTTATATTTCAATTTAATAATTATATAATACAGTTTAAAAAAGTCTTAATTTTATTAAATCATGATTTATTTGATAAATTTTCAGAAGAATACCCAAACAAATTTAATAAACCAATGGATGAAATTCTGATAAACAAAAGATTTGATAATTTATCAACGACATTTTTAAATCAATATGAAATTTTTGGTGAATATTTAGGTACTTTTTTAGATACAATTAAATACCTTGGTCAAACCGAAAATAAAAGCTTATTAGAATTAAGTGATAGATTAGAATTCTGCTTTCCAGAATAATTTTGTAACAATATATAATCGATATTTATTTATTTAATTTAATGCTGCATTTCTTCATCAGTTGATTGTTCATTTAATTTTTTTATAATTTCATCAGTTTTCTTATCATCATAGATCTTAAACCCTTCTTCTTTTGTAACACTAGCTAATTGAGCATTTTTAAAATCTAATTTTTCTTCCATAACTTGTTTTAATATTTTTAAAGCTAATAATTCAGCTTCTTCCAATGTTAAAGATTTATGATATTCATTGTTTAATTCAGCTTGAGCACCTTCAGAACCAGAACCAATTGCTTTAGCTTCATATCTATAAAAAGTACCGCTTGGTTCAGCATGATATAATTGTGGACCTTTATTTTCATCATAACCTGCAATTAATAAAGCAACACCAAATGGTCTACTCATTAATCTTTTTTCACCACTGGCACCTTCACCAAATCTTAAAGCTAAATCACAAACATTTTGTGTTAAACTTTCAACATTAATATCTTCATCATAATACAAATTATGAGTTAAACTTGATACTCTAGCATGATCAATCATTGATCTTGCATCTGCTGTTAAACCAGACATTGCACAACCAATATGATGATCTATTTCTACAATTTTTTCAATTGATGATGATTCTAATAATGATGATGTTACTCTCTTTTCAACTCCTAATATTACACCTTGACTTGTTGATATACCTATAGCTGTTGATCCTAATTTTATAGCTTCTAATGAATATTCAACTTGAAATAATCTTCCTTCTGGTGAAAATGTAGATACACCACGATCATATTCACTTCTTGTTAAAAACATTATTATAATTGAACTAGGATTGGATATAAAATTGGTACAATACTGGTGGCAATATACACTAATAAATTTTCAACTTCAACTTTTTTTTGAAACAAGAAAAATCGCTACCAAGTTTAAAATATTGAAATTTATTAAATCTATTGATAAAGAGAAAGGTTTATTCTATAATTTTGTACCTAGTAGTTATATTTAATTTTTTGGTGGGCATAATGAAACAATTTTTTCAGCAGCTGGATCTAAATCTTCAAAAGCAAATAATTTTAATCCTGAATTTTGAATTAATTCTTTTGCTTCAGCCATATTTGTACCTTGTAATCTAACAACAACTGGAATTTCTAATTGATGTTTCTTTGTAGCACCAATTAAACCTTGTGCAACATAATCACATCTAACAATACCACCGAAAATATTAACAAAAATACCATTAACTTTTTTATCTGATAAAATTAATTCAAAAGCTTTTTCAATAGTTTCTGGAGTAGCAGTACCACCACAATCTAAGAAATTTGCTGGTTCACCACCGTATAATTTAATAATATCCATAGTAGCCATAGCTAAACCTGCACCATTAACGATATTAGCAATATTACCATCTAATTTAATAAAATTTAAACCATATTGTGCAGCTTCAACTTCTTGTGGATCTTCTTGAGTTGGATCTCTCCATGAATAAACTTCTTCTTGTCTAAATGATGCATTATCATCAAAACCCAATTTAGCATCCATTGCTAAAACTTTATGATCTGGAGTTTCTGATAATGGATTTATTTCAACTTGAGTACAATCTCTTTCAATAAAACATTTATATAAACCTTGAATAGATTTAGCAGCTTCTGGAATAGCTTCTTTTGTAAAACCTAAAACTGATGCAATTTCAGTGGCTAATTTATCTGAAACACCTTCTTCTAATGGAACTGGGAAAGTTTTAATTGCATTTGGATCTTTAGCAGCAACACCTTCAATATCCATACCACCTTGAGATGAAGCAACAATTATTGGAGTTTGTTTTGATCTATCCATTAAAATAGCAACATAAGCTTCTGATTTAGCATCTCTTCTTTCAACAATATAAACAGCAGTAACTTCTTTACCAGCAGCACCAGTTTGTTTAGTAATAATTTTATGATTTAACATTTGACCAGCTAAATCTTTTGCTTCTTCAGCTGATGAAATTAATTTAACACCACCTTGTAAACCAGAATCAAAGTGTCCTTTACCCCTACCACCAGTTAAAGCTTGAGCTTTAATAACTAATTCATTAGTACCTAATTTTTTGGCAGCATCAAAAGCTTCTTCTGGAGTAGTAGCTGGATAACCTTTTGGAATTGGAACTCCATATTTTGATAATAAAGCTGCTGATCTATATTCATGTAAAGATAAAAATCTTTTTTGTTGACCGACAGACTAGATGACAAGTTAGTTAGTATCAAAACTTATTGAATCTATCCAATGGCATCAGTAATATCATTATCATGGATCAACATATAATCAAATAATCAATTGAGATCGGAATCAAACTAATTTTAAAAAACGTGTAACCCCATGGACAAAAAAATAATCTCTTTTCCCCGGGAGTCGTGATGATTCACTAATGATAAACAACAATTCATCTCGACAACCATTGATAAATGGTCTGAGATGTCGAATAATTTTCGATTTTGTGATTCTGAAATCTTGATGCTAGGAAAAATTTAGATTAAATTGATATGATATCTTAAAATTCACGTTGATTATTGTAAAATATAAACATACCCTTGAAAAACGTTGAATTGATCTTGACAACATTGTATTAAATTCTATTAAAGTATGATATTAGTTAAATCGAATGAATAGCTATAAAGAAGATTTCAATATTAATTGAAGTTTTCTATTCGTTTGTTGGAAAACTAAATTTAATTTGTTGAAATTTTTTTTTTTTTTTTTTTTATATTAGTTTTTTTTTTTTTTTTTTTTTTTATTTTATTTTTGTTCTATTTTTTAATTTATTATTTACAATTACATTACAACTACCACCTATTATTATTATTATTACTATTATTATTATTATTGTTATTATATATGTTCGATGGATGATCAATTAGACATGTCCGCGATAAAGAAATGTAACTGCTTTTATTTACTTGTATAATATTGGGCGTACATTTATAGTTTATAGTTTATTCGGTATTATATTCATTTTTCCCAGTCGAACAATTCACACGTCAAACGAAGAAAATTATTATATTTTGCCGCTTAGTTCCCCTCCTTAAATTCTCAATTTTGAGCGACTTTTCTCTTTTTATGCCCGATTTTCGCATACTCTTGTTTTGGACCAAATTAATTGTAGTTACACGAATTCTTAAGTGGTAAATCCGAAACATTAACTGAAATATACTAACCAAATATTAGTTAATCAGATTGTAATTTTGCGTAATTATACCAATAAATCTTTGAACAAGTTTATCGTAAATTTAAAGAATCAACTCAAAATTTCAAGACAAAGAGTGTATAAAGCACAATGAAGACCTTCAAAAAATATAGGTTTAGTATATTTTTCGCACTTTCATAATCGATGATCACGGTACAATCGCTCAAATTGTTCTGTTATTATATAAGTCATCTTAAACCTCTATTATTACGATAATAATGGCGAGTATTATGAATATGGGAATAAAATCTAAAATTAAAGTGCTTAAATTGTGGAACGACAATGAAATTACATATACACTATATATATGGTAGCGTTAAGATAGTTATATAGTGGTAGTGGTATAGTACTCTGATAAGTGACAATGTTTGGGTGTTTCTTTAACTTATTTTTGTTTAAGGGGTAGTACATTAAGGGGTGTGACCAATGAAATTTTATGAAAATCGTTCTTAAGTATGATCAACTGCTTTTGATTAAATAAGACAGCTACGAATTGTAAGTGCATTTCAAATTACTAAGCTAATTTGAATCAATATTTAAGAAAGCACTTGATGTGGTAAGAAGTTGAATATAGTCTAGATTTTGATGTCTGGCAATTTTTTATTATTTTGCAACAATTTCAAATATATTTAAATAAAGTAAAGTTATTTCAAAGATTTAATTCCCTCTTAAAGAGTTTGTTATTGATAAATTGTATTTCAACTATTACCTATTACAGTAAATTGAAATTCTTTGTTATCAGTTCTCAGTTCTCTGCATTTTACAGGCAGTTCTCGTAAATTATAACGAGATCAATTTTCACTAATAAAAAAAAATATTGCAGCATACTATCTCATCACTATTAATTGATAAATTATTCATAAATATGGCACAACAAAAAAGAGTGAGGCCGTCTTATTATGATGAGGAGGATTATTCAGATGATGAACTATCGTATGCATTGAATAAACAGGAAAAAGAAGATTCTTCAGATGATGAATTATCAAAAATGTCATTTGAAACATTAAATAAAGCACAATCAAAACTACAAAGACAGTTAAAGGAGGAGGAAGATGGTGAAGAAGAAGGTTTTTTTGATTCCGATTCCGACTCAGATGCTCCACCAGAAGAAACAACCTCAAAATCCTCAATCAAGGGTAAGAAAAATAAACATGCCCCATCCGAATCATCATCCAAAAAGCCAGTATCTAGAATCAGAGATATACCTGGTCTTCCAACCAGAAAATCAAATACCTTACATACAGATATACGATTTGATGCAGCTTATGGTAAAGCAGACTTAAATAGAATAAGAAAAGATTATGCATTTTTAGATGATTATAGAAATGAAGAAATTAAGCGAATGGAAACAATTTTAAAAGATAAGAAATCAAAATTGAATGAATACGAGAAAGATGAATTAAGATTAAAATTTCAATCATTAAAATCAAGAATGGATACTTTAAAAAATCGAGATTTGGAAAGTAAAATTTTATCTGAATATAAGAAGAAGAATACTAATGGTGATAAACCATTCTTTATTAAACGTGCAGATAAGAGAAAGATTTTACAAAAGGCTAAATTTGATTCAATGAAACCTAAACAAAGAGAAAAAGTTATGGAAAGGAAAAGAAAGAAGAGATTGGGTAAAGAATTTAGACAATTGGAATTTAAACCAACTAATAGATAAATCCGTAGGTTAAATAAATAATCAAAATTTATTAAATTAAATTATTTTCTATAAAATTGATTGAAAAAAAACTAAAACTTATTGAAAAGACTATATGACAAGATTAAAATAAAATAGGAGAAATGAATTGGATTGTTTAATTGGTTTTTGTTTTATTTTCATGAGATACCCAATCTTCATAACTTCCAACATAATTACCTCTTTTTTTATAACCAAAAGTACTTGCTAATTCTTCAGCAGCAGTTGATCTAACACCTCCAAGACAATAAAATACCAATTCTTTATCATTTGCAGGTTTATCAAAACCAAAAATTTCTTGAAAATCTTCTTCCGGTAAATCTAAAGCACCTGGACTACTTTTAAATGGAATATTTATAGCATTAGGTATATGTCCATCACTAAATTCTACTGGTTCTCTAACATCTACTAAAATTGAATCTGGATGTTTATCTGGATGAGCAGCAAGATCTTTAACATCATCATATTTATAAATTTTTGCCTCTGGTGATTCAGTTAATACTGAATAAAATCTTAAACCATTGAAATTTTTAACATTATTTGATAAAGTTGTTTTTGTTATTATTCTATTATTTTCTGATATTAATGATCTTGATAATGAACGTGTAGTAATTGAACTTAAAATTGGTGATGATTGTTTTATCAATGTTGTTCTCAATGTTGCTCTCAATGTTGGAATTGATGATTTAAAAATACTCATACTTCAAAATAAAATATTGACTGATATAGATTTATGTAGAATGATTGATATGGATATGTACTTGATTATTAATAGATGTGGATGAGATGAACTGTTTCTTGTTATCTATGATTTGTTTGACAATGGAAAAATTTTACGTATTAGAGATTAACTGAATCATTTGTTAAATAATTTATCATCAACTACACTACAAAAAAAAAGTATGCTACCAGTTTACTTTTTGCAGTCAAATATAATATATATTAACTATGTTGAAAGTTGTGTCGTTATATAAAATAATCCATAATCATCATTCATAAAATTTTGTTGAAATAATTTTAAAAATTAATTTCTCTAATCTAAAGTCGTAAACTACTCTAAAATAATCCATCAATTTCACCATTTTCATTGACTTCAACATTCATGAAACCACAATGAGTTGGTAAACCAGGAATTGTTTGAATTTCAGCAGCTAAAGCATATAAATAACCAGCTCCAGTTGATGCTCTAACATCTCTAATTGGAAATTTGAAATTTGTTGGAACACCTTTCAAACTTGCATCATGACTCAATGAATATTGTGTCTTTGCAATACAAATTGGTAATTTATTAAATCCTTGTTTTGTATATAAAGCAATCTTCTTTTGTGCTTCTGGTAAAAATTCAACTTCTGAAGCACCATACATTTCTTTTGCAATTGTTGAAATTTTATCTTCAATTGATGGTTCCAATCCATAAAGATAATTAAAATGTTTGTCATTTAAATTAGCAGCTTCAATAACTCCATTTGCTAAATCTATTGCTCCTTTACCACCTTCTTCCCAATGATTTGAAACTATAGCATCAACTGCACCTGCTTTTAAAGCTTCTTCTTTAATAACTTGATGTTCTTTATCAGTATCTGATGACATTTTATTAATTGCAACAACAACTGGTAAACCATATGATTTTGCATTTGAAATATGTTTTGCTAAATTTGAACAACCAATTTTTAATAAATCCACATTTTCTTGAGTATATTCAGGAGCTAATGGAGCACCTGCTTTAACTTCCGGACCACCACCATGAACTTTTAATGCACGAACAGTGGCAACTATAACAATAACATCTGGAGTTAAACCTGATGATCTACATTTAATATTAATAAATCTTTCACCACCCATTGTAAAATCAAAACCAGCTTCAGTAACAACGTAACCTTCATTTTCTTTTCTTTCTTCTTCTGATAAATCAGGTGAAGTACCAGCTAATTTTAATGCAATTTTATCAGCTAAAATTGATGAAGCACCAATTGAAATATTTGCAAATGGACCAGCATGAACAAAAACTGGTGTACCTTCTAAAGTTTGCATAATATTTGGTTTTATAGCATCTTTTAATAAAGCACTTAATGCACCAGCACAACCAATATCTTCACAAGTAATTGGAATTCCGGATCTTGAAGTACCAATAACCATTTTACCTAATCTTTCTCTCATATCTTTTAATGAATTTGCCAAAGCCAAAATTGCCATACATTCAGAAGCAACAGTAATATCAAATCCAGTAGCTCTTGTAAAACCTTTTTCAGTTGGTGCTTGACCAATAGTTATACCTCTTAAAAATCTATCATTACAATCAACAACTCTTCTCCATGTAATAGATTCAGGATCAATATCCAATCTTGCAAATTGAGTAATTTCTTCTGGAGTTAAATCATTTGGATTTGTTTTATCAATACCTAATTTTTTCAATCTTCTCAACATTGATGATGTAAATTTTCTTTGACCTTTTTTTTCAGGTACTAATCTTTTATATAATGGACCATCTTTTTGAGTTGATTCATGAAAAATTCTTGTATCAATAGCAGCAGCTAATAAATTATTAGCCATTGTAATTGCATGAATATCACCAGTAACATGCATATTAAATTCATCCATTGGTATAACTTGTGAATAACCACCCCCAGCAGCACCACCTTTAATACCAAAAGTTGGACCCATGGAAGGTTGTCTAACATTTGCAAATACATTTTTTTGTAAATGAGCACCTAAGGCTTGAGCTAAACCTACTGTAGTTGTTGATTTACCTTCACCTAATGGAGTTGGTGTAATACCGGTAACTAAAACATATTTACCATTATTTTTATTTTGTAATCTTTTTAAAATATCTAATGAAACTTTAGCTTTATAAAAACCAAATGGTTCTAATTCAGAATCTAAAATTCCCGCTTCTTCAGCAACTTGAGTAATTCTTTTTGGCTGTTGAGCTCTTGAAATTTCAAAATCTGATGGAACTGGTTTTTGTAAATTTAATTTTAATGGATTTGTAAATTTTGGAGTTTCATTATTAGCTTTATAATGATTTTTAGCAGCAATTAAAACATTCTCTAATAAACAAGCAACAGTCATTGGACCTACACCACCAGGAACTGGAGTTATTAATTTAACTTTTTCCTTTGCAGTTTCAAAATCAACATCACCAACCATTCTTGAACCAGATTTTTTAGTTGCATCTGGAATAAAATTTGTACCAACATCAATAACAACAGAATCTGGTTTTAACCATTCACTTTTAACAAATTTTGGTTGACCAATAGCTGCAACTACAATATCAGCATTCTTTAAATATATCTCAATATCATTAATTGGAGTTCTTGAATGTAAAATTGTAACATTTGCATTTGCTTTAGTTAATAAATTTGCGATTGGTTTACCAACAATATCAGATCTACCCAAAACAACAGCATTAGAACCTTCAATTTGAACATTTGATTGTTGTAATAAATACATAATACCTTTTGGAGTACAAGGTAAAAAATGAGGAACACCATCTTTTTTAGCTAATTCACCAACATTAAAAGGACCAAATCCATCAACATCTTTATCAGCTAAAACAGCATTTGTAACTTTTGATTCATCAATGTGTGATGGTAATGGTAATTGAACTAGAATACCATCAACATCTAAAGAATTATTTAATTTTTCAACGTTATTTAATAATTCAGATTCTGAAATATCTTCAGGCAATTTTATAATTTCACAAATAATTGAAGCTTCCTCAGCTGCTTTTAATTTCATTTTGACATAAGTTGAACTATCTGGTCTATCACCAATTTGAATAATACTTAATGAAGGTTTAAAATCAAAATGTTTGGATTGAAATTGATTAATTTCATCATGTAATGTTTCACGTAACTGAAGGGCAATAGCCTTACCATCAATCAATTCAGCAACCATTGATGAAAAACAAAACTAATTGAAAAGAAAGAAAGAAAGAAAGAAATATAATAAAAATCTCTAGAATAATTAGAAACAAAGCACACGGTTGAAAAGATTGAAAAATTTAAATAACCGCACTTACTCCTTTTTGACTCTGTCGTATCAGAACCACTAATACGATAATGCATGCGATTAAATGATTAAGAGTCGTTCTGATTCGTTCTGATTCATTTATTTCAGCCCGTCTATACTCTCTATATCATCTATATTAATTGATCTAAGTTTGTACCTTTTATTAATCAAATGTAAAACATTTCCAGGGCCCAAATTATACAATGTATCAATATTTGAATTTTCTAGAAATGTCATTGATTTTAACCATTGAACTGGTTGATAATTAGCTTGTAATGTATTGTTTATAGTAGTTACTTGATTAGTTGAAACTTTACCTGTTAGATTTGCTATAATTGGTATATTTTGTTTATTTATTTTACCATCGAGAAATTGCCTTAATTCAGGTACTATAGTTTCTAAATAATGACTATGAAATGGGACTGAAACAGGTAAATTGATTGATTTTAGTATTAGTTTCTTGCTTTTCAAATTATCCACCAATTTATTTATCTCCTTTAATTCTCCCGATAATACAATTTGAAATGACGAATTTATATTAGCTAATAAGTTACATTCTTCAGCATATAGTTTAACCTGATCATAATTATTTGGTTTAATTAATAATGCAGTCATTCCATAAATTTTATCCTTTTCAAAAAGTTGTTCCATCAAATTACCCCTTAAGCGTACTAATTGTATCGCGGTTTTAAAATCCAAAATACCGCTTAACAATAAAGCTGAATATTCACCTAATGAATGACCTAAAATATACTGTGAATTATTGATAAATTGAGGGTTACTGGTCTGTTCAATTACCTTCAGTATTATATAAGTTGATGATAGTATTGCTGGTTGAGCATTTGAAGTCTTATTTAACCAATTGATCACATCTTGTTCTGATTGTTGTTTAAACAAATTTGCTGAGAAATTTTCACCCAATATGGAATCAATATCATCTAAATAACTCTGATACAATGGTTTATATTTAATAATTGACTGTAGTAGACCATTTTTTATGAAACCTTGACCAGGGCATGTAATTGCATACTTCAAAGACATGATAATAACGCAGTGCTTTGCTAATTAGGTTGGGTTCTATTTGTAGTTTAGTTGATTTGACGTTTGTAATGATTATTCTGAATTGTTTTTAGTTTCTACTTGGTAGTGTAATCATAATTGGCATTCAAATAATTTTTAGTTCCACTAAATTTTTAAATTTGGTACCAAAAAATTGAAATTTAAAAATTCTGGGTGGAAATTTGGTTTGATCCTGAAATTCTGTGAAAGAATTAAAATTTAATGCGAACGGAGGAGCGAAGAGAGAGAAATTATTGTTTTTTGCACTCCGTGGTGGCATCATTAATTTTAATACGTAAGCAGAAATTTAAAAAAATCGTATTGTTATGCTTGAGAATGCGACCAATAAAACTATTAAATTCCCCCCAAATTTCTAGTCATCATAACAAAAAATTGGTATTATTATCGGCTTAATTAGGGAAATTTTGGTTATGGAATTAATTAATTTGGTTCTAGAGCAAAAATGGCCACGCCCATTTTTTTATTTATTTGTTCTGTTTTGTTTTGTTTTGGTTTTAAAAATTTCTTCGTACCATTTTGCACATCCCCTCCTCCCATAAAATTCCAAACAAGTTTCTTCGCCTTTTCGTGTTATGACACGCCAAATTTTAATTTTTCTGGTGAAGTATTTAAATCGCTCAATTTTTCCACCACCAATTTTTTAGAAATCCTTTTTGTTTACTTCCTCGTCTAATTTGTTTATACTTTGAAACCGTTTAATACCACGATATTATAATTGAAAATTATCTGGTACCATTACATTATAAATTCATTAAGTCAAACAAATACAATTGGATTATCGATTAATTATGTCTGATCAAGAAGCTGAAAGATTGGTTGTAAAAGATGCTTTTGTTGCTTCATTAGTTGAATTATCAAAAGTTGCAGTTAAAACTGCTGAAAAAGCAATTGATTTTGCAAATGCATTTGGTGGTAGTCAACAAGTTGATGTTTCAAGTATTAAATCTGTTAAATTAGCTTTAGATAATATTTTATCATCTGGTGTTAAAAGAGAAAGAGATGCAAGTGATGCTGTTGATTCAATTTCAAAAAAGAAGAAGAAAGTTGAAAGAGATCCAAATGCTCCAAAAAAACCATTAACTATGTTTTTCGCATTTTCTTATGATTTGAGAAAAAAAATTGGTGAAGAAAGAAAAAGAAAAGGTGAATCTTCATTGTCTGCAATTGAAACAAATCAAACTATTAAAGAAGCTTGGGATAGTTTACCAGATTCTGAAAGATCAAAATGGAAAAAGAAGTATGATGATGAAATGATTATTTATAGAGAAGAAGCTAAAAAATATGAAGATTCATTAAAAAATGGTACTGAATATCATGCTACTCTTGCTCATGTTCAATCTCCTCCAATTCATGCCCCAAAAGTTGAAGAAGTTGAAGTAGATGAAAGTGAAGATGAAAGTGACGAAGAAGAAGAAGTTCCTGCTCCTCCACCACCAGCTCCTGAAGAAAAAAAGAAAAAGAAAAAGGATAAAAAAGATAAAAAGAAGAAATCTTAATCAAATCATTATTAAACTGATTAATTGTTTGATTTCCGTGTGGTTATTAATTGTTCTTAGGTTTTTGTATTATTAATTTTTTTAATATTTAATGTTTAATGTAGATTGATTTAATTCAATTAATTTAACCATTCTTCATCATCTTCGATATCATTTATTTCTAAATCTTGTAATAATTGTTCTGTGGCTAATTCAGCTTCTTGTTGAATTTTCTTTAATCCACAAATTTCTTCAAGATATTCATGATTATTTAAACAATTCCTTATAAAATCCCATCCATCCTCATTATATTTATCAATTACATATTTTGAACAAGCCGAGCAATGTGAATAATTTGGTGTATATAATTTTGTTTGACTGAAACTGTTCAAAAACCCCCTAATTTGATGTGGAATCTCACCAATTTTAGTAGATTCATTATGTTTAACCAATTGTTTATTTGGATGTTGTAATAATGAAACTAATAATTCAACAGCTAACGAAGATGCAATCAATGCACCACCAGGTCTAGTAACTGTACACATTTGATCTAATGTTCTATCTGATAATGAATCATTAGGTGCAACAACATCATTACAATAATAACAACCTAATCTATCTCCATCTTCTTGTTTAATACTACCATGTCTCATAATTAAATAACTATCGAATCCCAATGCTGCATTAATTACAATTTTATCTTTAGCTGCACCTAAAACAGTAGGTAACCATCTTGATTCTCTTGAATCCATTAGTAAAAAAATCACATCATTTTCATCGAATAACTTCTCTAAAGTTTCAAAATTTGTCCTTTGTCTTGTTTCATCAGTTATTGGATGACCAATCATCGGAACTTCTAAGTTTACACCTTTTGAATTAACACCAGGATATATTTCTTTTAATGCTTCAGCACCTCTAATTGCTTTAAATTCACCTTGTTGATTCTCACTACTAAAGCAATCTTTGAAATTGAATAAAGGTTGTCGTACCGGATTAGAATATGATATTCTTCCATTATCTAGTAATGTTATATCTTTGAAACCCCAACCTAGTAATGCTCGTGAAACGTATGATCCTAAAGTACCTGCTCCTAATAATAATACCTTCTGTTGTCTTAAAATATCTAAATTTATATCTGGTGCTATTCTCCATTTCATCAATTTTAAATTTAATTCAGTGGCTTGTTCAGCCAATAGTCTAGGATTAATTAAAGAACCTAAATCAGCTAATTTCGGACCTAATTTACCTTGATTTGTTCTTTCCCAACCTGTACATTTCGGAGGATTTGAGAGTGACTCACAGCCTAGACTTAATTTTTGAGATGTTCCGTCCTTGCGATAAATTATTAAATCAACCAGTTTTAAATTTTTGATAGCTAGTGTATATAAATAGTTTTTCAACTGAATCGACGGTATTTTACCTAAACTTGAATCTATATAGACAAAGGTATCTGGTTTAGATTCTCCTGTTGAATCTTTAGTCTTACTATCATGAAGTTGGTAAAATTGGGCATATGATTGTTGCAACTGTAACTCAATTATCTCAATTGTCTCAGGTGGAACATCTTCTTCTTTCTCAATGATCCATTTACTTGATAAAGCAGGATAAGCAACCCAATAATAAAACTTATAACTCTTTAAATCTGAAAAACTCAATATGAAAAACTTGTTAAAATCTAAATAACTCAATTGCTCCTGGTTTACTATTTTCTCAAAAAGTTCATTTCCCCAATCATATAATAATTTTTGTTTATCCAAGCTTTTAAACTCTTGAATTGTATTAACATTCAATAAATCACCATAAACATAAACTTTTGAATCATCTTTAACCGTTGGGTCATCAAAACTATCACTATCTAAATTTAAAATAGGTGTGTCATTAAACTTGTTTAATTTTGTTGGATGTGGTAAAAACCCATTGATTTTTTGACTACTTGTATTTAATTTATATTTATCTAGTTTCAATTGAGATAATTTGGTAAAGAATGAAGATTCAATGAATGATTGCAATGGTAAATACTTTAGTTCAGTCATGGTTTGTTGTTAATGCGAGAAATAAATTCGGAGCGCGCGATAAGATAAAGTATAAATATTTATATGTAGTAATGTGTATATTTATTAATTCATTTCAGTATCTTCTAATTTCATATCATCTAATTCATCCAATAATTCATCTATAGCAATTTGAGGAGCGTCATCATCTTCATCTTCAACTTCAACATCAGTTTGGACATTATTTTGTTGATCATGTTTATATAAATTAATAGTTTGTCTTAATTCTTCGTCTTCTTCTAATTCTTGTAAGAATAATTCATAATCTCTTTCTGCTCTTTCTTGCTCTTGTCTAGCTTGTCTTGAATCATCATTAGCAACAATATCATTATGTTCTTTAGCCATTCTTTTAAGTTTCCATTGTCTCTTTTTAGATTTTTTAGATTTTCTTGGATAATGTTTCTTCACAATTACTACTTCTGGTGTATTATCAGTATCTAAAGTATCCCATAATTCTGAATTTATGTTTGTATTAGTCAAATAATAACCTAAACATGAATCACCAGGATGTAAAATACCACCTAAATGAGTTCTAACATAAAATGTTTGATCATTTGAACCCAAATCACTTGCTCTGCTTACTTCTATATCAGCTAAAACATGTTTACCTCTTATATCACCAGTTGGTTCCACATCTAACACTATAAATTCTATCAATTGTGTTGCATCTATTAATGATGGGAATGGTGCTCTCCAATATACTTGTGATGATAAATCTGCAATTTGTAATGAATTGCAATCAATAAATTGTATCATGTTATTAACTTTATTACATAATACCAATCTTGATATATTTCCCAATGAATTTGCCAATTTTTTAGGCAATACAACTAAATCATCTCTACAAATTGGAGCAATTTCAATAGAATATGAAAATTTATAACTTGAACTCCCTGAATGAATATCCGTAGAAACTAATTCTTCGGACTTTTTAACTTTTACAGGTGCAACAGAAGTTAAAAAATCAACCATTTTTGAAGCATGATTCTTTTGAGCATAAAAAAAATCTAAACCGTCTTTAGTTTCTTGTATTGATACAGTATCCATATGAGCGTTATGTTTTAAAATTAATTGTTCTAAATATAAAAAAGTTCTTTTATGAGGAACTTTTTGTCTAATTTGAACTGTAGCTCTCCATGTATTTGTAGTATAAGATTTTGCACAATCAGGACATTGCATTGCAATAACAACATACTCAACTTCAAAAGTTTGCTGTACTATAGTATTAGCCATAGCTTCACCTTGTACTGTTAATTTAACTCTTATTCTTCTTGAATGTGGTTCTGTCCATATAAATGAAGCATCAATTAATCTTATTTTATTTAAACCTTTTAATCTCCTAAGACATAAGGCTAATAATTCTCTTGATTCCAATTGTGCTCTTACCCATTGACCAGGTGGCTGTAAAAATCTTTCACAATTTCTACAAAATGAAACATTTGCTTCTCTTGGTATACCTTCTGTTATATCAACATTTAATTTAATACAATCATAACACATGACTAAACCAGATGAACCATCCATTGGAACACCACAATTACAACATAATACAGTAGCAACAGGTCCTTGACCTTGATCTACTGGCGTCGTTTGAGTATAATTTGACATCTTTATCTTAATTAGTAATTTGTTGCAAATTTATTTTCCATTCTCATCTCTTTATTTGTAAACTGCTACCAATCACATGATAAAAAATACGAAGGGCAAAATCAACAAGAACCGAAAAATTTAATTATGTAAACAATGTATTGAATATTATATTCAAATGGCTGATAAAAGAAAAATTATACGATCAGATGATGAAGATGAAGATGATATACCATTAAATAAAAAAGCAAAAATAGAGAAAGATGATGAAGATCAAGAGTATGAAGAAGAAGAACGTGAATTAGATAAAGATGAAGAAGAAGAAGAATTAGAAAAAGATTTGGAAGAAAATGAGAAAAATGGATCTTCAAAAGGAGAACAAGGGGACGAAGATGAAATTGAAATTAAACAAGAAGAAGATGCGAATGAAAAAGAAGAGAAAAATGGAAATGGTAATGCGGAAAATGAGGAAGAGGATGAAAATGAGGAGGAGGAGGATAATGACGATGATAATGACGAAGATGATGAAGCAGAAGAACGAAAACGAATATCTACATTTAATTTTGATGGGGAAATTTACACTTTTAAAGAAAGACCATCTGTTATTGAAGAAAAAGAAGGGAAAATAGAATTCAGAGTTGTTAATAATGATAATACAAAAGAAAATCTTATAGTTTTAACTGGTTTAAAGAATATTTTTCAAAAACAATTACCAAAAATGCCTCGAGAATATATTTCAAGATTAGTTTATGATCGTTCACATTTATCAATGGCAGTGGTTAGAAAACCATTAACAGTTGTTGGTGGTATAACATATAGACCTTTTAATAATAGAGAATTTGCTGAAATTGTATTTTGTGCTATTTCATCAACTGAACAAGTTAGAGGTTATGGAGCACATTTAATGAATCATTTAAAAGATTATGTTCGAGCTACATCACCAATAAAATATTTCTTGACTTATGCTGATAATTATGCTATAGGTTATTTCAAAAAGCAAGGTTTTACCAAGGAAATAACGCTTGATAAATCTGTATGGATGGGTTATATAAAAGATTATGAAGGTGGTACGCTAATGCAATGTTCAATGTTACCATCAATACTAAGGTATCTAGATTCTGGTAAAATATTATTATTGCAAAAAGCAGCAATTGAAAGAAAGATTAAATCAAGATCAAAATCAAATGTTGTTAGATCTGGATTACAAATTTTCAAAACAAATAAAGATATAACATTATCATATGATAAAATACCTGGTTTATTAGAAGCTGGTTGGTCAGAAGAAATGGACAAATTAGCTCAAAAACCTAAAAAAGGTCCTCATCATAATTTTATGGTTACTTTATTTTCGGAATTGCAAAATCATCCAAGTGCATGGCCATTTGCTGTACCTGTTAATAAAGAAGAAGTACCAGATTATTATGAAGTAATAAAAGAACCAATGGATTTATCAACAATGGAATCAAAATTAGAAAATGATAAATATGAATCATTTGGTAAATTTTTATATGATGCAAGATTAATATTTAAAAATTGTCGAGCATATAATAGTGATGCAACAACCTATTATAAAAATGCAAATAAATTAGAGAAATTTATGAACAGTAAAGTAAAAGATTCAGTTGAATATAGTCATTATTTAGATTGAGTGATATAAATTGGTTACTGTGTAGCTTTACTTAGTATAAATCTATTATTAATATTTGGTAGCAATTTTGGTCGCAATTTTCTTTTTGTCCGTCCCCTTAACAAGCCAAAATGACAGCTAAAGTATTTGCTTATTCAGAATCAATTGATGTTGCTACTGCAGTTGGTAAATATATAATTGAAAATCAAGATAAAGCTTTAAAAAAACATGGTTCATTCAGTATTGCATTATCTGGTGGTTCATTAGGTAAAGTTTTAAAAAAAGCTTTAATTGAGAATAAAGAATTAGGTGAAAAAATTCAATGGAATAAATGGAATGTATATTTTAGTGATGAAAGATTGGTTCCTTTAGATCATGAAGATTCAAATTATGGATTATTTAATGAAATGGTTTTGAAAAACTTACCAGACTCAATTGAAAAACCAAAAGTTCATACAATTGATGAAAAATTGTTAACTGGTGAAGATGGTCAAGTTGACGGTGCTGATATTTCAAAAGATAAAGAAATTGCTAATGAGTACTCAAAATTATTACCTTTTAAATTTGATGTTATCTTATTAGGCTGTGGTCCTGATGGTCATACTTGTTCATTATTCCCTGGTCACAAATTATTACAAGAAAGAAGTGAAAAAGTTTCATATATTAATGATTCTCCTAAACCACCACCAAGAAGAATTACAATTACATTCCCTGTATTAGAAAAAGCAACTTCAATTGCTTTCGTTGCTGAAGGGTCCGGTAAAGCACCAATTTTAAAAGAGATTTTCACTGATAATTCAAGTAGATTACCATCAAAACTAGTCAACGAAATTTCTACAGGTGTACAAATTAATTGGTTTGTTGATTCATCTGCAATTGAAGGTGTAGATGTATTAACTAGTAAATATTAGACTATCAATATACGCTTGTCATATATTACATTACAATGTCTCAAAATTGGTGGTTCAGTCACAAGAAAAAAAGAAAAATATTTTTTTAAAGATAACCAATTAAGTATAAATGGGTATGGCGATAATTAATCAATTGCATTTCAGAGTCATTGATACTAACTGTAACAGGTTTAGGTGTTGCATTATGGTTATGTCCTAAAAGGAATACTCAAATTTATGATAAAATTAATACTTTACAATGTTCATTAAATACTTTATTCCCCGATCAACCACCAAGATTTGAACCTCATATAACTATAACTACAAATATTATCATTGATTTAGATGATCCACAAATAACAAGAGACGATGTGGATAGAATTTTATCCGCTAGTGTAGTTGCAATTAGATCACTTCCCAAAAATCATGAAAATTTAATCAAGTTAAGTAATATCGATAGTCAAAGAAAATTATTTAAAAAATTATATTTTCAAGTATTACGAGATCCAAATTTAATATCATTTGCAAGAATAATAAGAGAATTATTTGTTATCATACCCAGTGATATTGAAAAAGAAAATCAAAAACAAAATCCACATTTATATACGCAAGATGTTAATGGTGTTACAATTAAGAGAAAACCGCTGAAAAAACATAAGCATAAAGAAGAACAATTACCAATTAAAAAGTTTGATACTAGTCATATTGAAGCTGCTGCTGCTTATAAAGCTGCTGAATGGTCACAACAAGAATATGACCCTCATTTATCTTTAGTATATAGTAATTTATGGCCTATTGATAATGCTTTATGGAGAACTATAAAAACAAGAATATCAGATAATTTAAATGTTGAAAGTTGTGATGATATAATAAATACTGGATTAGGTTGGGATGGTGGTGTTTTAAAATTGGTTTTATGTGAAGGTGATGTTAATGAATGGGTTACTTTAGGTAGCGTTGATATTTAATATTAATATGTATAATTATGTATATGCCAATTATTTTACTCTTAAACTCTAAATGTATTCATTGGTGAAGATATCTTTCAATGCTTTGATTGATTACATAACTTATTTTAGCTATTTGAACTTTTTGAATCCTATCAATTGCCATGTTTCAAAAGTAGATTTTCAATTGACAACTGGAATTTGTATTTATTATCATGAGTATTAATGCAGTCGAAGATATCGAACCTCAAGAGGTCGGTTTCATGATTAAGTTTAGAACAGCTGCAGGTAGAGAGGAAAAAAAGCAGAAAGGAACGCTAATTGGGAGGAATTTGATTTAAAAAAGTTGTTTCAAGCACCTGTTAAGCATATGAGGAAATTCTTCATGTACATATTCAATGAAGAGAAGAGGGAGATGAAAAGAATAGTGAACGGCAACGATGTACCTCAAGTGCCAGGTAGCTTTGGTGAACCATTTAAGGTAACTGGAAATGAATCAATTGAGCTTTATGCATCTAAAGATGATATAAATACTTCTTTAAACTCAAAGCGAATACAATCATGGAGTTTCAAAATGTATCTGAAAAGCGCCTGATAGCTGTGATAAACCAATTAAGGTGACTGAAATTTAATCAAGTGAGGTTATTGTACCTAATGATTATATAATTGAAGTTGAGTAAGGATGAAATTGAAGGTGAAACAATCTTGCACCTTCAACCGTATTTGAAGAAAAGCCGAATAACTATGATGAACCTGTTAAGGATATTGAAACTGAATCCAATGAGGTTACTGCGTCTAATGTTGGCGTAAGTACACTTTTAAGTTTGAATAAAGATGAAAGTAAAAACCAATATGTTATACTTGATTCTCGTGATAATGAACCATTAAGCGTTTATTGAAATGCCTCTTAACTTTCTTAAAAAAAAATTCTTTTTTTGTTTCGTATAATCAAGTAATAAATTCTGAAACATTATGAAATTACTTAACAAAAACAATTGAACTATCCCATTCATTATCTCAAGTAATGTAGCAGTAGCATCTTCGGAATCAATTGTAATGTAAAATATAGGTAATCTTCGTTCATTGATCCTAATTCGTCACGTGACTCAAACTGGTTCTTGTCACGTGAGCATGTTTTACACAGAAACTACTTACTATATTCAAGTTGAAATTGTAAAAAAAGACATATTAGTTCGGGTGCTTAGAAATTGTTTTGTTAACAATCGATGGTTTTGCTTTCATGTCATGTTTTTAAAGTATAACAGCCTTTCTTGGTCTAACTATTGAATAAGTTTGGATATGTTGTGAGTTCGAACAAGCTTGATCTGTTATGTCGTGTTTCAGAATTTTTTGCAGCAAATTTTAATGCGCATCGAAAACGAAATTTAAAAATCTTATTCCAGGCCAAAGGTCTAAAATATAAAGTTATGTCAAATGATTATACATGTGTAACATGTTCAGAAACCTTCGGCCAAGATATTCAAAAACATTTATCTACAACTAGACATAAATCAGTTGAATTAAATTTCTATGATGATGAAATTTTACAATGTGAAGACTGTTCGGATTCAAATATTCATCAATTAACAATTGCAAGATATGGATTTAGTGATATGTCGTTATTATGCTCATTATGCTTAGATAAAGAAAACAAACTGAGTGGAGAAACTCCAAGTGCATCTTATTCATTATCTAATGGTGCTATATTTATAAAATTACAACAATATTTAAAATTTAGAGACCTTGAATGTTCAAATTGTGGAGATGATTCTCATTTATATGTTGGTAATACTAAATCAGGACAAATTATAAGCTGTAGAAAATGTTTACCTACTTTTGAAGCTGAAGGCTTAAAATTCACTAGTGAAAATGATGATAATTTTTTAAAAGAATTATTAGGATTAAAAGAAACAACAGCAAAGAAATCAAACAGAAGAAGAAAAGTAGGGAAAGGGAAAGGTAAAGGTAAATCTGGTAAAAAGGGAAGAGGTAAAGGCAGAATAAAAAAAGAAGATCCAGAAGCTGAAGAAAGAAGGGCTCATTATTTTGAAAGTAAGAAATTTGCTCAAGGAGTAAAATCAGGTTCAACTGTTAAAGCAATAGGTTCAGAAGGATCTGCTAAACCAGATACAAGAGTGAATAAAAATGATAAACGAGGTTTTAAATCAAGATCAACACCATCTAGTGGTAAACAATCACCTGCTAAACATACACCAGCTAATAGTGGTAGAAATACACCTTCTAGAAATACTCCGACTAATAGTGGTAGGCTGACGCCAAAACCTTCATCAGCAAAACCTTTAAAATCAAACTCTGATCATAAATCTACAAAATCATCACAAGGTTCATGTATCAAGCCGAATTCATCTAACAACTCATATGTTAAATCATTAGATGGTCCATTATCTAATCCTCAACAATCCAAAAGTATCAATAGCAAAGTACCAGATGATCCGATACCTAGTGATAAAATTAAAAGGTCTAATAAAGGACCAAATAAGAATGGCACTAGCAAAAATGTTACAAAATCATTCAACGAAGATCATTCTAAAGCTATAATTAAACCTACACATAGATCTAGAGATAAACCTTCAAGTAAATCTACAATTAAAGGAAATGGTGTTTCAGCACATGATCACTCTAATAAATCATCCAAACTAACAACAAATACAAAGAACAATAAAGAAGCAACACCTAGCTCAGATGAATTTATAATACCAGAATATATCACTAAATATCTTCCATCATCAAAACCTAAGCTTACCTACGATTCAATTAATGAATATTTCAGAGAAATGAGTTTCAATATGTTTCTAGAAGATCAATTAAACAATGTATCAAAATTAATGGATTCTTCATTTTTCACAATTGAATGGTTTGAAGACCAAGATAAAAAAAATAATCAATTTAAATTATCTATCCCTTTGAAAAATATTGAAAAATTTGTATCTCAAAGACTTAAAAATTTGAAAAAGAATCCATTTAATGTTGATCAAGCATTATTTTTAATTTTAGATAATGATATACCGTGGTATTGTAAAATTGCAACAATGGATGAAGTAAGAAAAAGAGATAAACTGAAAAGACGCAGGGGTAAATCAAGAGTGGGAAGTTCAGAAGTCATAATTGAAATGATAATCACATTATTTAAATGGAATGATCAACAATTACCTAAAACTGTTCATGTTCAACATTTACAAATGTTACCTGCATCAATACCTGTGAGTAGAGTTCTTACTGCCATGGACAATTTATCAAATCCAACATTTATCAAAATGTTATTAGGTAAAGAACCTATCAAACAGATTAATTTTAGAAATTATGTTAAATTTTCAAAACCAGCAATTAATGATTCACAAAAAGTTGCCATTCAATCAGTTTTAAATAATGCTATTACTGTATTACAGGGGCCACCAGGTACGGGTAAAACATCAACAATATTTGAAATCATATTACAATTATTAACTAGTTTAAATACTTATCCTATTCTCGTTGTTGCTGCTTCAAATATTGCAATTGATAATATAGCTGAAAAATTAATTGAAAGTGGTCATGGGAAAGATATTTTAAGAATAACAGCAAATGAAAAAGAAAGAGATTATGATTCATCGCATCCATTAAATTCAGTATGTTTACACAGCAAAATATATAATGCATTATCATTGAAATTTAAAGATGTGGTTCATGATTTACAATTTAATCCTTCTAAAGTGAGTGCTAATGGGTATAAGAAATATCTTGCTGAAAAGTTTTTAATAACTAAACAATTTGTAAGACAAGCTAAAGTTATATTAACCACTACTGTTGTTGCTGGTGGTGCTCAATTAAAATCAGTTAAAAAATGTCCTGTTGTTATAATGGATGAAGCTACTCAATCGTCAGAACCAACTTCATTAATTCCATTATCTATGTCTGGAGTAGATAAATATGTATTTGTTGGAGATTCAAAACAATTAAGTTGTTTTACATTAATTCCGAGTTTATCATTATCATTATTTGAAAGAATATTATTGAATGGATCTTATAAGAATCCACACATGTTGGATACTCAATATAGAATGCATCCCGATATAAGTGAATTTCCAAGAAATAGATTCTATCAAGGCTTATTGAAAGATGGTATAAGTAAAGAAGCAAGAATAGTTGAAAATGTTTCAAATTCGGTTTATTTCTGGGATACAAAGGGTCAAAATCCTGAAAAATCAATAAAGAATTTCTTGAGAGAAGATCATGGTTTTACATATACTAATCCAGGAGAAATTGAAAATATAATAACAGCATTAAAAGTATTAATTTATGAAAAGAATGTCAAACGTGAAAACATAGGTATCATTACTGGTTATTCTGGTCAAAGAGATTTAATATCTTCAACTTTAATCAGGAATGAATTTATAAATGTTGGTCAAGAAGAATTAAAATTAGAAATAGATCTAGATGATATTGCAAATGATTCAAAACCGGTCACGATTCATTATGTTTCAAATATTATGATTGCTTCAATTGATGCTTTCCAAGGTAGAGAGAAAGATTTCTTAATCATGTCTTGTGTTCGTTCAAATGAACAAAATAAAATTGGGTTCCTTAAAGATGAAAGAAGATTAAACGTTGCTTTAACAAGAGCAAAATATGGATTAATCATGATTGGTGATGTTAAATGTCTAAAAAATGGTGATAAATTATGGAATGAATATTTGAAATATCTTGAAGATAAAAAATCTATACATGAAGAGTTTATATATTAAATATTCTATAATTCAAGTATAACCAAAAATAAAAGAATCCTATAAATGATATAGTAATGTTTAAAATAACCCATAGGTCAGGATACCTAATTGGTGGAGAATATAAAGCATCTATGAAATGATAAATAATCATAAGGAAATAAGTGCTATTAATCACTAAATTATTTAAGTTTAGTTTCTTTGGAAGTATTAAATCAAATCCAATTAACCAATTGATTAAAAACTGTAATACGATATATTGCATTATTAATCCATCTTTTTTCAATAATGGATATAAACTAAATGTTCCAATGTTATTTATCCATTGTATAATTGTTATATTGTCTTTATCAATAAATAATAATAATAAAATAGGCACTAATGGAACTAATATAGATTTTTCATGAACTTGAAATGAAAATAAATAAAATGATAAGGCATTTGATGCAAATCCATATAATAATAATGGAATTTTAAGTTTATGATTTTTTTTTATCTTGTAAAAAATGTAACAATTAACTGGAATAGTAGCTAATAAAGTAGCTATTAATGATAATTGAGACAAACCTAAATTTAAATTTCTATACTTGAGTAAGGTATTTGTAGTACACCAAAAGTTTGCAACCTTATCTTCAAATAAACCTCTATTAAATGGAAAGACCCTAATGACTATTTGTTTCAATGACTCTGGGTTTGTAGCTGCAAATGGTAAAACATAAATAAACTGAGTTATCAAAACTGTAGCACCAACGAGTATCAATTGAAAGATATCCCTAATTTGATTCAAAATGTAAAAAAAAATAAATAATGAATAGTACAACCCCATTTGTTTGAAATTTATACAACTTACAAACCAAAAACTAGCCATTATTAAATTATTATTTACCAATTCTATCACTGAATATACAAAAAATCCCAACATTACAGAATTATATTGAAAATGGCCATGATCAATCAAGATCAAATGAGGTTGAGTTAATATAATTAATGATACTATAATTTGATCCATTCTTCCAATATTAAATTTTTTACCTAATAAGTTCGCAATTAATAAAATAGCAGGAATATATAATATCAATTCACTAATTATTGAAGTCACTCTCATGAAAAATTTCAAATCATTAGATTCAGCACCTCTTGAATCATTAAATGCAAACCAAGCAGAATTGATAAAAGAACCAATCATACCTAAAAAATATGAATGATAAGCAGTTAAAGGAGGATAATCTAATCCCCAATATTGTAAATCAAAATAATACCATTCTGAAATTGGTAAATTTATAGTCAATTCCATCCAATGTCTTTGTGCTTCAAAATCTCCAAACATTGGAGGTGTTTTAAAACCCGAATATGTACCTAAACCAACTGCTGTTCGAAGTATAATAGCTGTTAAAATTAATATATACCTAGCTGCCCATTGATCAGGAGCTCTTTCAAAATAATGTAATAATTCATAAACTGGTGAGTTTTTAAATATACTTTTAGTTTGATTATGATTATGATGATGAAGATGCTTTGACTCGGAAACTACTTCAGTAGGCACCCCTACACTTTTGACATCTTTGACATTCTTTTTCTTTGTTTTAGCCATGGATCAATTAATTTTCGTTGGTTGAAATATTTGATGTGCGCGTGGTTCAAGAATTGAAAACGTTGATAATTGATGAAACTTAATCAAGGATTGCTATCTGTTAACTCAAACATGGACCAGGTTAAGCACTAAATTATGTTAAAAGGGATAACGTGAATTAAAAAGATTAGACTTTTGTAGTTTCGTTATATCTATATTAAGTAACGTAATTAAACTTTGATTGATGCACATTACTTCAAGCTGCAGCTGTTTTATTGGCCAATATCCAAATTTGGATTATTATTTCCTTAAATTGGACACTGTATCTCTCACTAAACTTAAAGTTTATCAAGATTCTAGTTTATACTAAAAAGTGAAAATTATTATTATTCAAAGACGCGTCTGTTTACTTACGCGTATATTTAAATATGCGTTATACTACAGATCTAGATCTAGATCTAGACCAAATCCCAATAAGATCTTTCTGCTCAAGTAAACTATAATAAAGTGTATCAACATCTCTTCCATCCTCTATAGCTCATTATTACTGATGTCTTACTGCTTTGTAAAATATTAGAAGTGAAACATTATCAGTATATAATTTTATATAGTGTGATTACATAATTTATTTTTTTCGTGTAGAGCTTCTTTTTTATTTTGAAAAAAAATATAAAGTAACCATATCTATAAGACAACCATTTATATATTCATTCGTTATTTGTAGATCCGATACTTATAATGTTTCAACAGCCTAGTTATGATCAAGATCCAAAACATACAAGTACTTCATCGTCAGTATATTCTCCAATAAACAGTGAATTTCCGCATAATAGTACAACTTTTCATCCAGCTGCAGGTACAATACACGAAGAAGTCGATGATGATAATAATAATAATAATAATATTGAAACTCAAAAAAGATTAGTTCCTGATGAATCTTTTCAATCTTATATGACAGCTAAAACTAAATTTTATCAAAAAAATAATTCATCTTCATTATCATCATTAAATGAATCTATGCAAAATCATTCAATAACGAGTATAGATAATGATAAAACCCCTATTTTACAAAGTAATTCAAAATTTGATCAAACTCCAAAAGTAGATGAAAATGGTTTCTTACAAGTAATGGAAGACGAAGAAGAAGAAGGAGAAGGAGAAGAAGAAGGAGAAGAAGAGGAGGAGGAAAATAACAGACCATTACCACAACGACAATTAAGTAATAAATTTAAAAGATTATCTGTTAAATTACAAAATCAAAGAGCTTCAACTGATTCTCATAATTTTCTAAATAATTTTCAACAGAACCTAGTAAAATCAACAAAGGAAAGAACTAGTTATTATCAAAGATTAGAAGAGAATAAACCAAGTAATGATGATGGATATATAAGTAATTCGTCTGAATTAAGTTCAGTAGCTTCTACTATTTCCTCAAATCGAGATTTAGATCATAATAGTACCAATTCATCAAATCAATTTGTATTCAATGGTAATTTACCATCTTCATATAATTTACGAGGTTCAAAAGTTGGTGATGATATACCCGCACGTAAAGATTTAGTAGAATCAGATAAAATTAAAAGATTAAATGATAGTCAAAGTGATCTTGGTGGATTAAATATACTGGTTAAAGATAAGGAGGAGGAAGAAGAAGAAGATTTATCGTCACTATTTATCAGAGCTTTACATTCATTTGATTCTTCAACCTTACAATCTGAATCTGATGCTTCTATTTGTTTATCATTTGATAAAAATGATTTAGCCTTTGTTCATACTATTGATGAATCAGGATGGGGTGAAGTTACTTTAATTGAATCATTACAAAGAGGTTGGATACCTATGAATTATTTTACAATTGCAATTACTGATAGTGAAGATGAAGAACCGCAAATGGAAGATGATGATGATGAAATTCCAAATAGTCATTACCTTAAATCATTATTTCATTCATGTGGTAAATTTTTATTAAATCCATTGAGTCATGAAAATCGTAGAGGAAAATTTACATTTTCAATTAAGGAGGTTAACTCAATACGAGATGGTGTTAGATTATTATTACAGCAAACTGATTGTTTATCTAGATCAAATGAGATAGTAACAAAGAGACCAATTGTAAGGAAGGCAAGAAAATCATTATTAGCAGATTGGTATAATTTAATGCAAAAAGCAAATGAATTCAAAGGAACTTCAAATTTTAATAAAATTGAGATTTTAACATTAATGGTATATCAAGTATCCAAAAAAGCTGTATATTTTTTAAAAACATGGTCAACTGAAAGTAAGAAAATCGTTAAAAGAGATAATGAAAAGAAATTACATGATGATTTAAATAATTATCCATTATTAGATACTCCACCATTAGCAAGACAAAGAATAACAGAAATAAATGGTATATTATTTTCATATCTTGGGTTAATTATTGGTAGATTGGATTTAATCGAACATAATAATATTGGATGTGATATTTTAGAAACTATAGCACATCAAATTATACTATTGTTAAGAGAATTATTATTCATTTCAAAAGCGGGTAGTGATTTTTCATCTGAGAAACCAAATAATTTAGACAGTTCATTAGATGGCTTATTATCCTTAGTTAGTGATTTAGTCAGTGGTGTTAAAAACTTAGTAATACGAACTTTAAATGAATCAGAACAAGATAGAATTCAAAATGAGAATTATCAATATACTGGAGAAGGTGAAGAATTGATACAAATTGCATCTAAAATGATTAAAGCAATAAGTTTGACAATAAATTCAATTAGAAAATTACTTGAAGTCACTGGTGATTTCAAATTAAATGCAGAAAGATCATATCCAGATTATACAAAGATGAAAATTGATTCAAATGAATTTATAAAACAATGTTCAAAAGGTTTAAAAATACCGAAAAGTAAAGGGAAAGTAAATAAATCAAATAGATATTCAATTGTTAGATCTGGATCTGGTGAAATTACGGAAGGTGGTGCTAATTTCTTACAATCATTAAATGATTCTCCATTTACTGTATCTGCTGCTGAATTTGAACCATTTACAACTGAAGGTAAAAGTGAATTGAATATAGATAGTGAATTATTAATTGAAAATGGGAATTTAGTAGGTGGATCATTTAGAGCATTGGTTTATACCTTAACTAATGAAGAATCTCCGCCTGAATACTTTTTTGTATCTACATTTTTCATATGTTTTAGAAGTTTTGCAACTGGATTAGATTTAATTGAAGAATTGATATCTAGATTTGAAGTGGGGAAAACATCAACTGATATAAATATAGAATTGGCTTTAAAGAAAAGAAGAAAGTTGATAGTGAGGATGTTTCAATTATGGATGGAAAGTTATTGGAATGAAACTGATCATACTTTATTACCTACATTGATAAACTTTTTTAATGAAGGTTTGAATAATCATTTACCTTTAGATTCAATGAACTTAATTGAAGTAGCAGCAAGATTAACTACAAAACAAGTTGGTGATAATAGTCGAAGAAATAAACAAAATAAACAATTGATAGAAAGAAGTATTGCAATTAAACCAGAAGCAAATACAAACATATCTCGATATTCAATGGTTGATGATTATGAATTATCAAAAATTAATACAAATTCATCAGCATCTTCAAAAACAATCTTACCTATGCCATTAGGAGTAGGAAATCAAACATCATCATCAGGATCATTACTTACTAAATCTCAATTATCAACAATTGAAAAATTAAACTTAACGTATAGATCAATATTGAGAACTTCATGGACTAATGAGAAATTTTTAACAACTCCATATGTATCATTGGAATTATCTGGATTATTAACCAATTTTTACTTATGTTGTGATCAAAGTTGGGTATTATCAAATTATAGACCAAACTTGTTGGATTTTAATGGTTTGGAATTAGCTAAACAGTTTACACTAATTGAAAATCAAATTTTTTGTTCTCTAAAACCTGAAGAATTGTTAAATCAAAATTTTACGCAAAAAAGGGCACATTTAAAATTAGCACCAAATGTAAGATTATCATTATTATTTACAAATTCATTAAGTGATTATGTGATTGAATCAATTTTACAACCAAACATATCTTCCAAAATGAGATTAAATATAATTAAAACTTGGTTAAAAATAGGTATTTCATGTTTATATTTACGTAATTTTAATTCATTAGCAGCTATAATAACTGCATTACAATCACATTTAGTCACAAGATTAACTAAAGTTTGGTCAGAATTGAGTGAAAAATACGTTGAATTGAATTCATACTTATCTTCAATAATACATCCCGAGAAAAATTATGGAGTTTATCGATCATTGCTAAGAAACTTTCTTTCTCAAAATGTTTCAATCCCTATAGTTCCTTATTTTTCATTATTCTTACAAGATTTAACATTTGTAACTGATGGGAATTCAAATTTTAGAAAAGCAAATACGTTCCTAAATCAAAAATTGATAAATATTGATAAATATTTGAAAATTACCAAAATTATAGCTGATGTTGAATGTTTACAAGTTTCATATGTGAATCCAAAACAGAATCTTAAACGAAATAGTATACTTTCATTTAAAGAGGAAACTAAACCTGATGATTATTTTATTAATCCTTTGCCTAATTTACAAGAATTAATATTGTTGGAATTATGGAAAGTTGTACAATTGAATAAACAAGAAGACGATAGAGCATGGAAATTAAGTTGTGTAATACAACCAAGAGATAATTAAACGTATCTTCATATATAAATGTATGTATCAATAAATATTTTTTACGCGTATAATTTTTCAAAACAAAATAAATGGATTCTTCTAAATCATTTCATTTTCAAACATTTAAACAAGATTATGATAGCTCAAATATAGATGAAGTAACTGATCCAAGGAATCTAATCTCAAATGATATATTAAATCAGCAGAAGGATATATTCAAAAAGCTAAAATTTATATATTTAGAACAAGAAACGCGTGATAAATTTTTAAGAAAAATTTCAAATATAATTGATATTGATGAAGAATTGGATATAACTGAAATACAAGATGATAATAAAAAGAGTAAGATGATTTTGAAGGAGTTGAAACTGCAAATGAATGAGAGTGTGGAAAAGTACAAGTTGATAGGGATCGAAGTTAATCAACTGTATAATTTATATGAAGAAAAGTTGAAAGAGAACGAAAAATTAAGCAAGGAGGTTGAGCAACTAGAGAAAGAGATTGAGGAACTTGAGAAAGAGATATAACAAGGGGTCAAACTTGTGTTTATGATGTCTAGTTAATGAATAATGATTGATACGCGAAACCACTACTCTCTATTTGCCCGCGGCATCGACAACTACTCTAAACTTCGTCATCTCGTCAAATATCTAGCTTTTACTCTATCTCGGAAATTTACTTATTGATTGGCCTTGGTTGAATTTTTCACATGTTGTACACTACCATTTTGATATTGTAAATTTTAAAAAAATGTACGACCTCTCCAACATTTCAAGATAAACTTTTTAACCAATGGCTGTTTCTACAATAATAAACAACAGCTCACCTAATACCATCAATACCCATAATATACCCGACAAAATTAATATTAAAACTAGTAACTCATTAGAAAAGCAAAAAATTATAGATAATCTTATAAATTTAGCTAAACAAGAACAATTGAAAGGTAATAAATCAATAACATCAGATAAGTTAAATAAATTAGAACAAGCATTAAATCAACAACAAAAATTCAAAAAAAGAGAAAGTTATAGTAAATTTAGTTCAACTCCATTGCCTCCACCACCGAAATATCCATCAATTTACGAAAAATTTAAGATTAAAAAGACTATTGAAACTTCATCAAAACCAAGTGAACCAAAACAACCACCGAAGGAAATTACTAAAAAGAAATCAATTTATAAACCTACCACATTCACTTTTAAAAAGTTTGAAACTATAATCATTGGCATTCTTGAAACTTTAGCTAACTTTTTAGATAATTTGCATTTAATTTCAAATTTGCCAATGTTTCCAAATGCAAGCTTCCTTACCAAATTGTTGAAAAATACAAATAAGTTATGGATTTTAATTTTAGTATTTTTAATAAGGAAGACAATTACTCAATTGATAAATGTTTATAAAAAGATAAATAAGATAAATGTCGAGTTGAATATTTTGAATAAACAAAGTAAAGGTAACTTAAACCATGATATAAATAAAAAATACAACAAGATATTAAAAGATTTAAAATTTGATAGAATGATGTTGATTATTGAATTGATTGGTAATTTTATGGATTTATTATTTAATTTAATTGAAGTTAATGGTATTAATTTACCTGATTGGTTGATGAGCTTATTAAACTTTTCATCTATGGCAATGACAGTATACAGAATGAATAAAGATGATGAGTATATAGATGATGATATAACTGAAGATTTAATATAGAATTATGGTATTTAAATCTCGAATTTTGCTCTTTTCACTGATGATCCATAGATAATTCTCGTAACAGATACCACAAGAGTTCCAATGTATAAGTAAATGCTACTGTTGTCAATAAACTGATCATCGTCTACTGAACATGTCTTCATCATTGCATTCATATATCAAAGTATTTAGTATGAGGTTGCCCAATTATTTGCGCGAGAAATTTTTTTGTCGCACTAAAGCGTCGCATTAGGATAAATAAAATTTGCATGATAAAATTTTTTGCAACTCTGTATATTTCGCCCCAAACTAGCGCCCCAGAAATATTTTCCTCGAACTAGACTTGTACTATTTTTCGATGGCTTATATGTCATGTTTATCTCACAAGATATCGATTTTAAACCATGAGATCTATAGAGAATACACCTAAGCTCTCCAAATCATACTAAATCGGCCCTTATCTCTAGAAACGACGTTGTTCTTGGTATAAAAACCAATGAGTTTAGTATGGGTCGTCTTAAAGTTAGCACGAGAAACCATTATGTCGCTCCGCATCGAAATTTATAACAATATCCGGATCTCTACATTCGCTTTCTCGTAAAATTGCGCTTTGAAGATGCAGATCCTAATTTAAGCATTAATGTCATGAATTATTCTACGACACTACGTGGACTACTTTTTACAACGCAAAAAAAAAGACATTCAAAAATTATTATTCACCATGGCAGATCAAATTGAAGATAATCAATTGAATGAATATATTGAAACATTAAAACAAGCATTTAGCTCTGGGTCCATTAAAAAGACTAAAGAAGTTTCACTAGAGGAAGAGACAGACTGGGATGATAACTGGAATGATAACTGGGATGACGAAGAAGAAAATGAAAATGACAAGAATGAAACTTCAAATAAATTAACCACCACTCAATTAATACAAGACATAATGCCATTGTTTAATGAATATGATTCATCACTCAAAATATATCTAATAACCTCCATCAAAGCATTATCAATTGTTGAGTATCCATCACTTGCTAATTCATTTATCATGTATAACGATTTTCAATATTTATCACAGAAACTAAAAGATGAATCAATGCTAACTTTTGTTGAATCATTATGGAAACAAGTACTCAAGAAATTTTATGAAGAACTTAAAATACTAATAGCGTCCTTGAATTTAAATACTGTACACACTCCAAATTCAGAAGAAGGTATCCTTGATGATTATAACTTGAATCAACTATCGTTAATATATAAATGGTTTAATATTTTATTTGAGGAGAAACAATTCAAGTCAACAAATCCTGTAAAGTTCAAAGAGTTAGTGGTGAATTTAGTTGAATATTTAAATAACTACCTCATTCGAAAAGTGGTAAATTTGATTGACATATCAGAATTTCAAAGTGAACAAATTGGCTTAATTATAGATAACTTGAATAATGTCACTATACCATATATTTTACAACTCGAACTTAAGAAGGATGAAATTGAATCATTTAATAAATTGAAAAATGTCAAATTTTTAATTAATAATCATTTAAAAGATATAATGGATAGATTTTATCAAGGTGAATTATACGATATAGATACAAATGAACTCGTTAAATTATTGAGGAACACATTTATTCAAAGTGAATTAAGAGATAATTACATAAATGAAATTATTGAATTTAGAAATATGAATTGAATATACACAAAACTATCTATTGTACGACTTTACCATTATTAATTTTTTTACCTGTTTTTGCAATTTTATTATAAATTGTATCGTAATCATTTGTAGTTATAACATCAACAGTTTGTTGATCTAAGGAAACATCAAATTTTGAAATGCCGTCGGTTTTCAGTAAAACTCTTTCAATAGCTCCGGAACAACCAGAACATGACATTGAGACATCGAAATGATATTTATGTTCAGCCATTCTTAATAGTTTATTATATAAGGTACTAGTATGGTAATAAATGAAAAGTTGAAGTTGTTGCAAAATTTGAAATCAATTGGTAACAAATGAAACAAAAAAAAAATTGTGGATCTAAGAAAAATCGGCAAAGCAAAATTCACGCAAATATTTATATGTGATTACATAATAGTTTTGAAGATCAAATAGATAACTTGTTTTTGCAGCCATTTTCAAATTTGCAACCATTTGAATTTGTCAATATAATGATTGTAGAAGCTAGTGGTGCTTGATCTTGACAATGTTTGCGGTCTTAAAGTATAGTTTAGACCTAGGGCTTCTGTTTTGTAAAACCTATTCTCCTTCATTGATGAGTCAGATTTGCACCAAATTTCTCAAAATATCTGAACATCGAGACTCATTAGACTTACAAAATATTTGAATAAAAGTGTTTTGAGGAAAAGTATGAGTAAACAAACCGTCGCAAATGAATACTTATCGATTATTTATGAAGATAAAGCCATTAGAATGTTACATATTGTTATAGATAGTCGCATATTATAGGCAAAGAAAATCCGATAGTAGAATAGACACTAAATTGGCAAATATGCTGATCGCAAATTATTCTAATTCTAAGTATCAGGTCAAGTAGAGGTTCATCGATGAATTGACACTTAAATATTTTCTTGAAAGAATCGTTTCGACGCTTAAGTATTTTCTTGAAAGAATCGTTTCGAAACGGTATATTAAAATGATCAAATGAAGTTCTTGTACAAACTTTGGAACTGAATATCAAAACTTGAGCTCATCATCTACTCTTATAATTCCTATTTTAAGTTGCAAATAGTTTGATTTAATTCTAGATGTGGAATTTGAAGATCAAGGCTAACATTTGAGAGTCCAAGCTTCATCAAGGATGTACTTACTATTTTTGAGTATACATTTATAATTGAGGTTGCGATGTTTAGATCAATTCATTGGGAATTTGATTAGATTCCCAAATTTTGAAAACTCAAAGCTTTAGGATTTTGCGTTTGATGATAATTTGCTTCCTAACACCCCCACTTTTTGTGATTCAACGACAATTCAATAATATTTTTTGAATTTTAACTACTAGCATAAATCCAGAATCAACTTTAGTTCAGTGCTCAAACCTTTTTCTACATGTTGAAAATTTTTTAAACATTTACCCACGCGGAAATACTTCTTTTTACAATAGGTTGTTATGTAATGAATGAAAGCTAGTTTAAAACCTTGTTATCCCTCTTCTTCATTTTATAATTATAATGAGACAACACAAATCATACAATCAATTAATTCAGTGTGCATCTTTTGCTTAATAAAATTGAAAGAGGTTCAGGACAACATTTTTCGGGACATGTATTATAATTACAATTTAGACCATACTTGAGAGATTTTTTAGTCAATTATGCATAGAACTCTTTTTCGATCAATAGATTATACATATACAATTAGCTTGTATATTGAGTAGTGGCGCACAATAGAGCATATGTCAGATGTCAGATCTAGCTAGCTCAATACGAAAAGAGAAAATATTGAACGTTGCAATCTGATACTCCTTATCATTCTAAGTCATAATTTTGCCATACATAAAACGGCCAAAGAATTTAAATTTTACTTGGCAAGAGCAAAATGGAAATAAAGTTGAACAAACTCCTCCAAAGTCTCTATATTACACAAATGTTGAGAATGAGTCGATAGTATTGTTTAAATCTACAAACCATGGAATTTACATTGATTAGTTGTATAGCAAAAGAAATACCGAACATTGTTCAACACAACATGCATGGTTAGTATAATCTTGATTTAACATTCTAACTTTGATACAATTCCATATCTGTTGTCAATTGCTATACTTTGATGAGTCTAGTTCATAAAATTTGATGCTCAAATATGCTGAGGTCGCTCATTTAGCTTGTAAACCAAATTTTTCAGATTTCAGATCTCAGATTTGACCTTTCGCACGCTTTTCTGAATCGACTGTACAGAAGATGTGAATAGTCTTGGCATTTTAAATACGTCAAAACGCAAATTTCAACAAACGAAAATATGACCAATTATTATCGAATATCTAAACGCACGATAGTTTATAATTAGTTCTATTGTTTTAACAATGGTCAACAATAGCATGAAGCGGATGATGAGGAGATATTTCACCACGTATGAAATAATTCGGAAGGTCAAAATTGCAATTGTTTGAGGGTAGATTTAGAAATTATAAAAGGTCGCTATTTTCACCATGGTTGCAAAGTTTATCATCTTCAATTAACTCCATTAATTATGGTTTCAGTTTTCTTATTTACAAAACAAGTCTTTTTAACTTTAGCTTTAGCTTTATTTGTTCAAGGTTTAGTCATTCCAGAAGAACAATCTTCAGAATTAACTCTAGGTAAAAGAGGTAATGGTTTCTTAGCTTTAGATTTTGAAGTCAAAACTGAATATGCTCCATTATCAAACTCAACTAATGCTTATGGTGTTGTTACTGAACAAAGAGATGGTAAAATTATCAATGTTGACATGGTTAATATGCAAACTTATTATTTATCTGACATCGGAGTCGGTTCAAATAACCAAAGATTCAAGCTCGTCATCGATACAGGATCACTGGACTTGTGGGTGGCTGCAAATAACATTCAATGTCAACCCCAAGATCCGAATTTAAATTTGGCTGCAGACTACTGTCGTCAAAATGGGGTGTACGACGCTTCAGCTTCATCAACTTCTCAAAATACTGGTCAATATTTTAGAATTGGTTATGGTGATGGTTCAGGAGCTTCTGGAACACTTTACAAGGACGATGTCAACATCAATGGAGCTGTAGTTAAAAATGCTCCTGTGAACAGTGTAGATTCCTCAAGTGTAATTGGAAATGGGGGGATTCTAGGTGTTGGTTTCACCACCAATGAAGCTATGCGTCAAAATTATGACAATATTCCAGTTCTTTTAAAAAAACAGGGTTTAATCGACAAAAATGCTTACTCAATTTACTTAAATGATCCGAATGCTACTAAAGGATCAATTATCTTTGGAGGTATCGATAATGCTAAGGTCGATGGTCAATTAAAGACTTTACCAATCCTTTCAAATACCGAATTAAGAATTAAATTGGACTCACTTTCTGTTAATGGACAAAATATTAACATCAACTTACCAATGCTTTTAGATTCAGGAACTACTTTATCTTATTTCCAAAGTGATGTTTACAGCTCAATTATGTCAACCCTTGGTGCTCAATACTACAATTCAGATATTGGTTACATTATGCAATGTAATACTCAAGGTAATTTAGTTTACGATTTTGCTGGTCAAAAAATTACAGTTCCTTACTCAGATATCTTATTACCATTAACTTATCAAGATGGTTCTCAAGCTCCATTCTGTATGGTTGGTATAATTCAAAGTTCAAACAATATTTTAGGTGACAACTTTTTAAGAAGATCAATTGTCGCATATGATTTAGACGCTAAAACAATTGGTGTTGCTCCAGTTCAATATACTTCAGCATCAAACATTGTTGCTTTATAGATTAGTTATAGCACGTAATTAATGTATATTTAAGTCTATTGTTTTCTTCTATTTAATATTCTTGAAAATTCTTTTTTTGTGTATACCGGATATGTTTCAATTTTATTAATTAAATCTGGTAAATTGATTTTCATTCTGTCCATGTATTGATCAAAAATCTTTGCAATCTCATATATTAAATCATCTTCAATTTGATTAAATGATTTACCTTCAGCTGTTTCATTTAAAATTGGTAAAAGTCCTTGTAAAAAATCTGCAACTGTTTTACGACTATTGTATAATTGAAAATCAGTCAAATCTTTAATCCAATCTAATCCCCATTTCTCTGTACGTTTTAAAATTAATGACCATTCTTCTACTAATTGTGTTACAGTTTTAATATTACTATTCATAACAAATTGTGGAATATTTTTATTGGTCTCTGGTAGACTATCAACTTTTTGACGTTTGGTAATTAATTCATCAGTTATTTTATTATCATCAGATTCAACATTTTCATCTATTCTATAACTACCACTTGAGCTTGAGCTCTCTCCAACACTGCTTTCAGCATAATTTGGCATAACACCTCTATGTCTCAAATAATTTTGATCCTTTGAAGTCAGTGGTTTTCTTAAACTTTGAGTATGATTACTATCACCACTTTGATCAGATACTGACAGAGTTACAGGAGCAGGTTGTGGTAAAGCTGGTGGATCTGGATCATTTGTGAAAATTAAAGGTGGAACATTTGCACCTAATGAAGAAACTGAAGAAGAAGCACCTGAATTTGTACTTGGACCATCGTCACCATTGTCACTTGCGCTTGATGTACTATTTGTAGGATTATGAGTTTTTTCATATTCTTTTAAAAATTCCTTAACTATCTCAAAGTTTTCAATATCTTCAGAATACAAATCAGGAAATTTTTCAACATTCAAAACATGTAATCTTTTAAGTCTTGTTAAAATCTCTTGTAACTTTTTGACTGAAATGTTTGGTGTTTTTAATATAATATCCTTTTCATAATAAGCTTTAATTAAATCACCTGTCAATTTAAAATTATCTAACTTTTCTTCCCTGTTGCAAAATGATGCATAGCGGTTAAATTCTGAAACATACAACCGTTTATTTGATACTGACAAGCCACTTAAAACATTTGATGTTTTATACATTCCTTCTAATTTCGCAAGTAACCTTTTTTCAGCAACAGTTTCACCATTAGGCTCAATTGATTGCTCAAGGTCAACTGATTCTAGAAATTTATTCAAAACAAATATAATTTCACCTTCCGAATAATCTAAATCATAAGCTAAACAATTTAATTGATGAAGTTTTAACAAACTTGTTCTTAAGTTCTTTAAATTATTTTTTTTAGTTTTGTTAACTGTGTAAGTTAAAAAATTTGTTAAAATATCTTGGTCGATGAGAAAATTATCTTTACCTTGTTTAGCAGAGAACCTGACAAATCTTTTAATATCAGTTGCATAAGCTTTAAACGTATTCATTGTTAAATTATCTAATAAACCCTTTGTCTTTGTAGATTCTAAAACTTCTTGATCGAACTTCTTTAACAAATCCAATTCTCCTTTATTTAATTTATGTTTTGTCGATTCACTTAATTTAAAAATAGAACCTGAACTTGAGCTCGAAGGGGTGACGATTTCTTCAGTATCATCTGTATTAGGCAACAACCTTTTAGACTGTGACATTGAGTTATCTCCAGTATCAGTTGACGTTGTTGTTGCCGTGGCTGTTGTTTGTTCCAATGGTAAATTTGTTGAAGAAGAGCCACCAACTGGACTTTTTTCTAGTTTATTTAGATTTGACATAATATCTTGAATGAATTGATCTCCTAATACTATATTTGGCTGTTGTGTCGAATAAATTAATTTGTTCATATAATATAATTTATTCAATGGAGATCTAATACTTTTCACAGTATTCTCACTAATTTTATCTCGTTTTTTAGATAATGTACTAACAATTAATTCTTTAGCTAAATCAGCAGTAACTATAAAATTATCAAGACCTTTATTAGCACAGAATCTAATGTATCTTTTAATTTGATAAAGATACTTTTCTTGTGTTTCCGGTTTCAAAGATTTAATTGAATTGATTGCATCCTCATTCTTAACTATATCATTTTCAAACTTTACTAATAATCTTCTCTCGGCCTCAGATATGTTGAGATACGAATGAATCAGTAACGATCTGTTTGGTGAATCATATCTGAAAATGCTTGTTGAGGTGGGATCCAATTGATTTTCTACTGGCTGTTGTTGATTGTCAAGAGCTGTTACATTTTTTGCAGAAACTTGTTGATTTTCATTAGTAGATTCAAGATTTGTTTGATCTGCCATCTTAAGGATTTTCAAAATTCATGCAATATTATGTCGAGTAGAGTAAATAATACTTCTAATATAGTATGCAGCTGAAAGAGAACCCGTAACTACGTAATAAAATTAGTGCAATAATTTATAATAATAATTATTAATTAAGATATCGTTTTTGTGTAAAAATTGAAATATTATAACTTGTTTCAAAACGAATAAAAATGCTACACTCAAATTAGCATACAAAGATATTAGACAAACGTGATTGAACATTAAACAATGTGTCTTTATTTAGGAGAATAAAAAGATAAGTATTTGAGCTAATCCAGGTATCGCAATTAATCGTTAAAGTTTATTCATTTGAATGTTAAATTGAGTTATAAATCAAAAAAAATAGGTCGGGCTAATTCAAAAGACAATCATCTACATTATTGATTACATGATGGGGCAAAATCATTGGCTCCATGTTGAGTAGATGTTGTAATTCGGATGAATTTGATGAAAATCCTCTTAGGGGGTATAAGAGGGGTGCACTTTCAGATTTGGATTTTATATTTAACTTTAGAAAAAGTTTATTCTTAAAACCCATTATACAATCTGAGCCATAAGGCGATTACTAATCTATAAACAAGAACTTTAACTTTATATTGTTGTTCTGAAATGTACATATCCGTAATAATTAATCTACAAAGAATATTATAAATTTCTTCTATTGACAGTTACGCGGTTATTTCATTGGACTATGCATAAAATTGATTACGATACACGTAAACAACAAATAGCCTAATTATTTACAAAAAGCTTAACTACAAAGACTCATAAGTAATCAAATTGGTACACTATATATTGCTCTTTTATGGTTGACCAAAATCTTCAGCTACAATATTTGATTTATCACACATTTCCCTAAATACAGAATCTTTATTTTTAAATAAATTCCATGGTTTATCAAATTCCTTAACCTCACCTTTATCTAATAATAAAATCTTATCATAATTTATAATAGTCTTCAATCTATGAGCTATACATAAGATTGTACAGTTTGAAAATTCTTTTGCAATTGTAGTTTGAATTTTTGAATCTGTTTCATAATCAACTGAACTTGTTGCTTCATCCAATATTAAAATTTTTGATTCACGAACTAATGCACGAGCAAATGAGATCAATTGACGTTCACCTAATGAAAAATTCTCCCCTTCGTTTTCAACAGTTTGATCTAAATGAAATTTATTCAATTGTTCTTGATCTTTTTCATTATCAACATTCTTTGAATCTTTTTTAGTCATATGTTTAGCTTTTTCAACTTCATCCTTTGTTAATATACCTGATCTTCTTAATGAACCCCATAATTCTTCATCTGAATGTTCATTAAATGGATCTAAATTACTTCGTATAGTACCATTAAACAATACTGGATCTTGTGGAATTATTGACAATTTTGATCTTAAATCTTTTAAACCAATCTCTGAAATGTCAACATCATCAATGACTATTTTACCACTTGTTAATTCAGCTATTCTATATAGAGCAGTCATAATTGAAGATTTACCCGCACCTGTTCTACCACAAATACCAATTTTCTCGTTTGAGGCAACATCAAAGGATAAACCTTTTAAAACCAATGGTAATTCAGGTCTATAACTCATTTTAACATTATCAAATTTGATTACACCTTGTGATGGCCAAGAATCTTTTGGTTTAGTTGAATCAACTAAATATGGAGCTTCTTGATCTAATCTTAATGCATAATGACTAACTCTTTCAGCTGAATTCATATCATTTTCAACAGCAGTAAATGTTCTAATTAAATTTGTTAACTCACCAGCCATTTGCAATGAATAAGTTAATAATAAACCAACTGAAGCTGGACTAATTGAAAAGACTTTCATTGAACATAATAAAGCAACCAATAAAACAACACATTCAGCTAATATATCTAATTGAATACCAATCCATCTTTGATTAGCATAAACAACAAATGTTGCTTCATTTGCTTGATCTAATAATTTATTACTAATTGTAGCAAAACGATCAACGTTTTTATAAGCTTTTATTGTATTCATACCATTCAACATTTCATTAACGTTATTATAAACATGAGATCTTAATATAGCTTCTAATCTTTTAACTTCTCTATTTGATGCTTGATAATAATTTGCAACTAAGAAAAAGATAAATAAAACAAATGGTATAGCTATAGCAACCCAAGGAATATAAATGATGAATAATATAAAAACACCAATCATTTTAGCAATAGCTTGAAACATAAATCTCATATTTTCTGAGATTTCATTATCTAACGCATCTGTATCTTTTGTAAATCTATTAATAATTCTACCCATTGGTGTTGTATCCATAAATGACATTGGTGCATATAAAATTCTATTCATAGCCATGAGATTCAAATTCTTTGATGAGATAGTAGTCATTGTGATTAAGTAAACAAAGGTGATTGTTAAAAAGATCACCCATAAACAATTAAACATCACATAAAGACCAATATAAAAGCCATCACTTCTTCCTTCGAATTTATGGCCAATCCAAAATGATAACCATGTATTTGTAAAAATATCACAGAATGTTGCAATAGCTAATAATAATGAAAAAATTGGAACAAACCCCCATGGAGTAATTTTACCAGCACCATATTTAACATAATTCTTGTAAACTTCATTTTTAATACGATTTACTGCTCTTTCTTCTTCCTTGATTAATTTACCTTTTGATGCATCTTTGTTCACATTATAGTCAATTTCTTCTTCGTCAAATTGAGTTGTTATCACCTTTTCATTTGAATAATCAGTTGTTAAAGCTTTTTCATCTATGATTTCTTCAACTTCCATATCGTGTTCCTCTTCAGTTTCTTCTAATTTACTAAATTGCATTAACTTTTTAAAATTTTCATTTCTTAATAATAAATCATTCATATTACCAGAATCAATAGATCCATCACCATTTAAAAATATTATTCTATCTGCTTGACCAATTAAAGCTAATTGATGAGTAGCTAATATTCTAGTTTTATCTTTTAATAAACCTAAGAAACAATGATTCAAAATATGTTTACCAACCCTAGCATCAACAGCACTCAAAACATCATCCATCAATATTATATCTTTATTAGCATAAATAGCTCTAGCTAAATTAATTCTTGCCTTTTGACCACCAGATAATGTTATACCCTTTTCACCAACTTCGGTAAAATCTGAACCTTGAAGATTATCTAAATCAATATGTAAAGCACAAGCTCTTATAATTTCATCGTAGAATTTTTGATCAAAATCTAAACCAAATATTATATTTTCTCTTATTGTATTATTTTGAATCCATGGAGCACCACATAATAATAAAGAACCATTAATATCGATTTCACCTGATTCACATTTCATAAATCCTGATATAGCATTTAATAATGATGATTTACCAGTACCAACTAAACCTGTTATCACCACAAATTCACCTTTCTTAATGGTCAAATCAATATTATTCAATCCAACAAAATTACCTTTTTCTGAAACACCTAATTCTTTCATTTGCTTTTCACGTTGTTCTCTTTCTAATTGTCGTTCTTTTCGTTTCTCTTCTCTTTCCTTTTTCTCTTTCTTCAATTTCTTCTTCTCTTTACGTGATAACTTTTTATTATTTTCCTTTTCTTCAGGACTTTCTTCTTCTTCATCAGATTCATCTTCAAAAACGTCCCAACTGAAAGTAGCATTTTTTATTTTAACAGCATCTCCTTCAATTGATTCATCATTAACTTTATAACCTTCATATGGTTGTTCTTCACTTGCTGATAATAAAGCACCAATTCTTTTAAAGCCTAAAACCATATCAGCAGATGTAGATAATGCTTGTGGAATGAAGAAAACCAACATTGCCAAAATTTCAAATGATGAAACTGATGAAAATATATTAGCTGGTGAACTAGTTCTACCTCTAATAGCATACAATATAATAAATGCAATCATTGCTGAAATACCACTTAATGTCATAGCAAATGAAAATATAACATTTCTCAAGGTCTGTATCTTTAAAATCATATCAACTTCTTGACCTCTAACCTTGACTAAACTATTTTGATAAGGATGTTCCCAAGAATAATATTTAATCATTTTCAAATTATTTAAAATTTCTTTAATCAAACTTACTCTTTTATCAGTTATTTTCGAAACAATATCTCTATAATCAAACAATTTCTTTGATCCAAAACCTAAAAACACTAAAAATATGAAAAATAAAACAATACCAATAACGGCAGAAACATGAATATTAACAATTAAAATAACAATAGCAACAATAATTGGAACAGGTAAAACAATTAAAATAGGCTGAAATAATAACGCAATTTCAATTCTTGATAAATCTGTTGTAATCATTGATGTTAATTTACCAGATGGAAAATCATGTCTACCTTTTGCATCTAATTTAAATGATTTTTTTAAAATAGCATTTGTTAAAACGCTCTTTGCTTTCACACCAACTTTTTGGGCAATATAAAAAAAATGACCAAATGCTAAACCAGTAGCTAACATAACTAAAGCAACACCAAATGAATATCCTATACCTTTACCAATATTTGGTTCAATTCCTAAACTTCTTCTTTCGACATAATTAACCAAAGCTTTAGTTAATAACGGTGTGACTGCCCAACCACTCATACAACAACAAGCAATGATACAACTCATAATAATTGATCTTTTAAATGTTAAAAATATAATCGTACCAACATCAACCATTGATAAAACAAAATCTTGTAAATCTTCTTCTTGAGTTTTACTACTTGATTCGATAGTCTCATTCCTCTCTTTACATTTCCGTTTAATATGATTCAATTTAGCTTTTGTCATTTGTAAATCTAAATAGACATTAAAAACTTCTTCATAACTCTCAACCTTCATGTAGTCTGGTAATTTCCATAGATCATTTGGTTGTAGAGTTCTAGTATAACCAACGTTCATAATGGGATATAACCACCAAAAGAACAACCTCATTATATAATTCGAATTCTTTTCAGGATATAATTTTCTTTCATCATCTTTGGGTATGGGATAATCTTTATTTTTGAGTAAAAACGATAGTAGTCTTTTTTGTGGTATGTATTGTTCATTATTCAATTCTAATGAGCTTAGATCATCGATATCCATCTTGAAATATTAACTGTCTTCTAAATCTAAAATCGCAAGGTTATTTAAAACTTGATACGATACTAATACTTTTCCTAGTAAATTATTACAAAAGTATAATTGATGGCGAATTTGAATGGATTTATATAAAATTGAATTACAAACGGCATCATTGTTTTAAATGAATGCACAAATATTTTTTTAATCAATTTTGCAACAATTCCATTTTTAGAAGCGTACGGTGTTAATTTTGATCAGCTAGTTTTAAGTTTTATACCATCGTCGCCCTAAGTTGGTACGATCGTTTCTTCGCATTCGGATAATTTTACGACAGCCGGATAGTTTTATGTGACTAAATTTATCCACCTACATAAATTTACATTGAATAACAGAATAGAATCGATGTCTCAAATCAATCAAACACAGTTATCAATGAATAGGAGATGGCTGTCTTGATTTTTGTGCGTTTTTCACAAGTAATAATAACAGTGGCAAACGGAGAAGATTACAAAAAGCAAATGGAGTTAATCGATGGAAAGGATCGATATTCGTACTAAAAAACTATAATTAGCTTAGCTGCAACATGAATTATTTATATGTGACTCAATTCTAAAACAAAACAAATAACGAATGATAACCAAATCATTTCAAATGTACTACTTTGGTCTATGTTATTTATAGTTTAGATCCACATGCAGAGTTTAAAGTTTAATCTTGATAACCTTTTGATTACGTATGACACAATTGATCGTCTATCAAACAAAAACAAACATGTAGAGCAGGCCACGTTGATTTATAGAATGTATCTCGACTTAATCCTTTCAATCAATATCAATGTCTACCTTAATTTCTGATGATTCGAGTATTTACGGAAATCGAATCTTAATTAGGAGCGCAATTTTTTTTTGATCTGAAACGGCTTTAAGCACAAAATGCGCTTTTAAGATTAAAACATTCCGAGAAAATTCCGCTTTCGAAATTTTCGAATTAACAGTTTAAAGTCCGAATCAATAGCCATAAACGGAATGATGATCAGTTTTGAGTAAACACCTGTTTCATCCAATGATCTACACGGCAACAGATTGCGTAATTAGAATTGTGGTTACAAATTTTCGGTTCATTAATTGAAGGTATAAATTAAGTAAATATACTTCATTACAATATCAACGGTTATCGCAAAAATCCATGGGAAGAAGCCGTATTTGATTTGGTCTTTGCAATTACCACATTTCGTCAAGATGCTCACTTACTTGTAAATTGCCACCAACTTCTTTGATTAAATTATCAAGTTCATTAATTTTCCAATTCTCTTTCAATACAGTTGCAATTGTTCTTAACTTATTTCTTGCTTTCAATAGATTTTTCTCATAAATTTCAACTTCCTTGTCATCATTCACCGTAGGTATATTGAAAATTAGCGCTCGTAATTGACTTAAATGTGATTTCACATTTTCATATTGATCTATCTTAGTTTCCCAATCCTCTACTAACCCTTGTATATATCCTACTATTAAAAACCGTTGAAACCCAGTTTGATATCCATATTGTTTTCCTTCTAATAATTCATCTCTTGATGATTGTAATTGACCTTCTTTAAAGCCTTTTTCATAATTCTCAACTTCCAAATTTAGTATTTCATCAGTGTCTAAATTTATATCAATTTCATCTACATCATCTAGACTTATATCTGTAGTTTTGTCATCTGTTTTTCTTCGTTTTGTAGCATCTTGATCCATTAAAAAAAATTATTTGTTTTTCTATGCAAGAGATACTATGTTAAATAATGCAAAAGAAGATGCAAAATTGAATTATGGAAACTCATCTGAGAGTGAAACAGAATTGAATAATGGTAATGGTGTGCTTGAAGACGAAAAAGATGATATGTTTGCTGATATAGATGAAAAGATTGGAAAAGATGATGATATGTTTGCTAGTGACAATGAAAACACTACCGGAAGATCAAATGGAAATGAGAAGAATAGTGAGGAAGAAGGAGAAGATTTTGATGACGATTATTATAATAGTGTTGAAGATTTTGAGAATCGAGAATTTAGAAACAAGAATCTACCGAAAATAGAAGCATTTAGTATGAAAGATGATGAAGGTATAGTTGACGAGGATGGAAACTATCTACCTCAAAAAGAAGAAAGCGATGAAGAGGAGAAATGGTTAGATGAATATAAAAATTCAGATATAAAGAAAGCAAAACAAGCTCAACAGGAAAGATTAGAGAAGTTGAATGAGTCGAAATCTGTTAATATGGAACCCATAGATGAAATACTATCAGAATTGATAGAGTTGCTAGAGCCGGTAGAAACTTCATTTGAAGCATTAGCAAGACTAAATATTAAAATAAAGAAGAAAAATAAGAAAACTCAAGATCAACAACTACAGACACAGATTAAGAAAGACATACAAAGAATTACAGATTTGTGTTCTATATTATCCAATAAAAAATCAATGAATGACGTATATGACTTAACGAAGGAAGAATTAATGAGACTTTATGAAAGAGAAACAGGAAAATCCTACAATCGAGGGATCAAAAGACCAAGAGAAGAAGAAGAAAACGAAGAAGTAAATCAAGAAGTCGAAGATTATGGAGAGAAAGTATGGGAATTCAAATGGATTGGAGAAGATGAAATATACGGATCATTCTCAGCATACGAGATGAATTATTGGAAAGAGTCATATTTCAACAACAATGTACTAGTTAAAAAGATTGATCAAGATGAATTTAAATCTATTGAATCTATACAAACTTTTAATTAAATTCATCCATTAAATAATCATTAATTGGTACATCAATTGATTTAGCTAATCTAGCTGCTGTTTTCCAATTAAGATTACATTTCCATCTAACTCTAGCACCTAAAATATCGGAAGATGCAGTTTTACTTAAAAATCCTAATGAATATAATGTTGCAACTTGACTATTTAAATCAATATTTTTAGTTAATGTAAATTTAGATTTTTCAACTTCTTTCTTTTCTTCATTATCAACAATTTCATCATCGATATATAATAGATTTTCCTTATCTGAGTGATTTAATGAAATAGAATGATTTTTATAAATGACATTCAAAATAGCTAATATTCTTTCTAAATCACAATGAGCAGCGGATAACATTCGTGAATCAATATCACCTTTAGTCATGTGTAATTTCTTCTTTGGTGATTTAGTTGGTGATGAATGTCTTTGTTTATATTTCACAACTTTAACTTTTGAATATTTATGTAAGTCATTTTTAGGATGTCCATATGAAGCTAAATATGAAGCAATTAGGAAAAATTTAGAATGAGTAGGTAAATCATGAACATTCCCACCACCTTCAGTTATCAAATCATTTTCAGTTTCTTTATCGTCATTATTAGTGTCTTCTTCGATTAATTTAATTGCAAAATCTATGATATCCCAATTACATAAAACATTTTCATTTATAAATAATTCAATATTCTCTTGGTACAATTTAACCAACTCATTTGAGTTAATTCTACCACTTTCAACAGGTTCAATAAATCTTGGCCATAATTTATGCATCACATCATACAACTTAGTCAAATCAGATCCCGTATATTGATAAAATGCGTTAACTATCAATTTTACAAATTGATTAAATAATTCTTCACCACTTTCCAAATCATTCCCACTCAATTCATCCATCTGTAGTATCTTTATAAGTTGTTCTTCTTTATATGGTTTAAAATATATTTTGGGTAACGAAAAAGTAACTACTTCATTTGGTATATTTCCTTCTAAAATTACAATTATTGATATTGATTTTATACTTGAACTTTCTCGTAATTTGGAAAATGAAGCTAATAACTCATTTGTAGTTTCAAAACATTTATCAAATCGATCTAACACGAAAAAGTGATGAGTATCGTCAATGTTAGGTAATACTTCAATTGCCGAAATTAAAGCTGCGACACTATTAATTAATGGAATTTCATGATGTTTCTTCTTTTTATTACCTACTGTTTTCTCCACTATTATATCATAACATTTTCTCAATAATGATAATTTATTTAAACAAACATCACAATTTATAACTGAAAAATCAACTCCCAAGGTCTCTAAAAACTTTAAAGTTGTAAATGTTTTACCAATTGATTTATATCCATATATTATAGTACATGAAGACAGTATTAATGGGTCCTTATTCACATAAGCATTTAATAAATCAATTTCAAATTCTCGTTCAATTATTGTATTCTTTAAATAATCTAATTGATCTAATGTTAAACTCATTAATTTTGATTTTTTTTTTCATGAGAGATTGTTGCAAAATAGGCTGCAAAATACGAATTAAACATAACACGTTAACTTATATTACTATATTCTATTACTTTACTTTCATTTCTTCAATTAAACCTTTTAATAATTGTAAATTATAAAATTTGGAAATATTATTGAAAATCTGAAATTTTTTCTCTACGTCAATGGAACTTATCGTTTCAATCCATTTACCAGAACATTTACAATGTAAATCTAAATTGCATTGTCTTATTATTCCACATTTATTACACTTTAAATCTTGATTAAAGAAATTTGTAAATAAATTATTAAACTTTGAAATTATCTCTTCTTCTAGTGCTATTTTATTATATGGTTTTTTACAATTTGAACAATTCCAAATTTGAATTTCTTCTTCACGACAGAAATCAATATCTCTAATGAAATTACAATAATCACAAATAATATGAGGGATTTTTAATGATGAACTTGGGTTTTGAAATTCTGATTCTCTACTAAATTCCTTAATATTAAATAATTGTAATAATTCTTTACGTAATAATCTAACTTCAATATTTCGTTTCTTTGAGATACTGAATATTGAACATAAGAATTTAACAAGTTCTAATACTGGATTTTTAAGATTTAAATGTGATCCAGATAATTGAGGAAATTCATATTCTTTTCTAAATTCAGGATTTAAAATTGCATCAATTTGTTTTTTATATAATTTTTCAATTCTTCTAGTTAATGGTTTTCTGAAAATTTCAATAACTCCATTTGTTAAATCTTCTTCAATTTCATTTGATTCAAATTTCTTTTGTCCTTTTAATATATGAGCAATTTGAGTGATTCTTGGAGTTCCATTATTTTGAGTATTACCAGTTAAGTTCTTAGTTTTGAATTGAGTTAAAGCATCTAAAAATATTAAAATCCAATCTTCAAATTCATTTTGGAAAATTATTGGTAAATATTTTTGAATTTGCCATTTAGTTTCAGGTATTAAGTTTTGAAATTCATCATTTGTAATTTCTAAACATGATCTACCACCATAGTTAAATTCATCCATCCAAATTAAAATATCCCAATATTTAAGAATCTTCAAATCTAAGAAATTGAATAATGGTTTTAGTCTAACTGCTTTTAAAATATATTGACCATATGCATATGAATTCTCAACTGATATTTTTGTAGTTTGAATTAATAATTTATTTCTATTGGCAAATATAACTTGTGATCCCATTTTTTTAAATTCACCAATTAATTGTAATAATGTTTTTGAAGTTAAGTTGTGAACATGATAATGCAACGAAGGATCATATAAAAATGAGTCTTTTCTTTGAACCCAAGTAACTAATGTATTCATCATTGAATCTGCATTATTATTGTTTCTAACTGCATCATCCCACCAATCTTTAACCATTGATTTTAATATAGATAATGCAGGCAATGAAAATGAATCTTCAGCTAATATAGAAGCACCATTATTGTTATCATAAATTATTGAATCATCAGCTAAATCAGTACCTTCAGCTTCATTAATTAATGAACTTGTTAAAATTGTATTTATAGTTAATGTACCAATTTCAACTTCTAAGGAAGCAGTTTCATAAATTTCTGGATTATTAATAGTTGGAAATTCTAAATTATCAAAATCTAAAATATGATCCATTTCGAATCCTCCATGATCTGGTAATGGTTGTGGAGACCACCATAAAACAATATTATTTTCGCTTAATCTTCTTGCATACTCTATATCTATTAAATAACCAATATTTTCAATTTGTAGATTACATAATGGAATATTACTATATTTAGATAATGAAATCAAGTTCTTGATCCAACTAGATAAAACAAAATAATGATTAATTATTCTTTTAGTTAATGAAACTTGCCAACCAACAGCAGGTAATGATAATTCACTAATTGTCATTTTAATAGTTGGAAACTCAGCAGTTAATAAACTTAATATTCTAGTTGGATATGGTGATTGAATAGCTAACAATGCTTTATTATTTCTATTCTCATGAATTTTATTCAATGTTTGATTTAATTTCTTGAATAATTTAGTATTATCATGATAATAATGAGTTTCAAAAGTCATTTCATCTGGATATCGAACAAATATAGCTTTACCTAATTTATCCTTCTTTGCTTCATAAATTTCATCATACATCTTATGAATATTTCCAGGTAATTCTTGTGCATTAGCTGAAGGTTTTAATACAAATATACTTGATTGATTTTCCCAAGTTTTAAAAATTGTAAAATATTCATAACTATTAGTTACTATATGTAGCAAATAAACCATTTCCATATTAAACCCTCTTAAATAAGTTTCAGATTCAATTTTAGTTAAATCTTTATAATTAAAACCAATTTTTAAACCTTTGCCCAATGCACCAACTTTTGTATCATCAAATTTAACAACATTTCCTAAATCTATAATTGCACGATCAACTGGATTTATATTACTTTCATATAATCCCAAAATATTTGAATCTTGTAATAAACTAGTTGGATCAGAAACTTGCTCTTGATAAACAGACTGTGGCATATAAAATTTGTATAAATTAGTAGCATCATGACCATTTGGTAAAATAGCATTTGATTTTTCAATCTCACAACCTAATATATTTAATCTTCTTTCAGGTAATTCAGTTTTAAACGAAGCAAATATCTTTTTTGGAATATGAAAATTAAATGTATGTACTTTACCACCAACCAAAATATAAACTTTTAAATCACCTGGATTTAATGGATCTAATTTATATTGTAAAATTTCCCAATTTGTACCTGCAATATTCTCAGCTTGTTTTCTAAACATTCCTCCAACAGTTGATCTTTGTGAACTTTCAACATTTGTACCAAATAATTTTCTTCTTCTATCTCTTGAAGCTGCTTGTACTCTCCATTTTGCTTTTTGATATTGTAAAAATCTACCATAATCTTCTTTCAATGAAGGACAAGGACCATTTAAAATTGCCGCATTTCTTTCTTCTTCTTCTTCTTCAATTATTGGATTTTTACCTTTTCTTTTCCTACTTGTAACCTTACTAACTTTTGATTTATATTCAGTATCAACTTCACCAAAATCTTCAATATCTTTAACTACAACTTCTTCCTTTGTAGTTGAACCAAAAAATTTTGAAATTGAACTTTGTTGTTTTAGATCTTCTGTTGTGGTAATTTTCTTTTTCAACCAATCTGGGTGGGAAACTCTTGGAACTGGATTTTTAACGTTTTGTAAGGCGGCGGGAATAGTGATAATTTTTTGAATAACTGAAGCTAATCTTTCATAATAATAATCCCAATCAATTACATCTCTTGGATCAAATGTATTTAATGATGGATCTTTTAACCATTTTTTCAAAAATATTTCCTTCTTTTCTGAAGAAAAGATTTTAACAGGTATAGCTCTTTCAGTAACTGGTGCTCCTATTGGTTTTGAACTTATGATATATTTAGTAGCTAATCCTGCATCTTTAACCATATCTTCACCTAAAAATTCACCTAATCTTTTTGCAGTTGTAATTGAAGTTGATTTTTGTCCTTCATATTCACTTAAACTTTTTGACATTGATTTATTTTCACAAATTAATTCAATTAAATCTTCATCTTCCAACATACCACCTTTGGTATTCAATACATCTAACCAGTTATTAGCAACTGTTGCAACTGATTGATAACAAGATTCTAATGAATCACCTTCAAGAAATAATTTAAAAATATCAGATTGAAAATTTTTAATCAATTGTAATTCACCTCTTCTTTTCAATTCAAACCCTTTTAATTCTGCTAATGAACCATCATCGTTGAAAACAGCATATCTTTTTTTCAAACCTTTACCTTCTTCTTTTGATGTTGGTAAAATCATAGCTTTATATGGACCATCAACTTCAAAAAAAATTGAATTATCTGATCTTGTTTTATATTTAAAAGTATCCGGATCAATTAAATCTTGATATTGATGATTTGTAAATCTTTCATGAACTAAGTAATTCAACATTGAACATGGATATTCTAAAAATATCTTTTTACCATCTTTACATTTTAAATTAAAATTTTCAGGAAAAGGTTTTGGTAGAATACACCAAATACCATCAGTATCTAATTCTAATGGTCTCCCTAATCTTTCAACTAACGCCCTTGCCATTTGAATTATAGTCGCACCAGTTAAACAAGTAACACCAGCCATTTCCATTGAATACCATCTTGATCCTTTTCTCATAACATAACCATAAAATGAATTTAAAATAACTTTATGAGCTAATTGTAATGAATCATATAAAACAACCATTTTTTTAGCTTCATCTTTTCCTATTGAATCATCAATTTTGCTAATTTTACTTTTCCAAACTTTTGCCAATCCTTTAAATTCATATCTTCTATCACGGAAACTACGAACAGTATTTACATAAAATGGATTTTCACGTTGACAAATAATAGCTTCTCTAGTTACAACTTTACTTTGTTTAACTCTATGATAAACTTTTCTTGAATAATCACTTAATCTCTTTTTAATCTTTGATGCTTGTTCAGTATACGATAACTCATCAAATGTTCTTTGTGGTAACCAAGGTTTCAAACCGGGGAACATTTCATTTTGTAAAGTTCTTTTAATCATATTATATTCATTCATTTCCGCTGGATAATATTCACCTCTCCATGACCATGGTAATCTACGATCACAATTCTTTCCAGGTCGATTAAAATCACAAGCAGCACAATCTTCTTCCAGTTTCATTGAATCTGGTTGTAATCTATTTGAGGTCATAATATTTGGATACATTGAAGCAACATCAACATGGTAAATTAATGGAGTTTCTGTTCTATTTGGTTTATTCTTCAAATCCAATAATTTAGATTCAATTTCATTATAAATTTCATTAAAATTTTCGACATCTTCCATTTTCTTTCCATTTTCAACTTCAATACAAAATTTTATTGAATTATGTAAATTCCCAATCAATTCATCAATTGCAGTTGGATCAATTTTAAAATTTGTCGGTATATCGCTTCTAAAAACACCAGCTTCTAAAGACTCAACATGACCACCAACATAAGTTTCTGATTCTAATAAATGACCATCATAAAATCTTTCGATTGGATCTGAATGTTTATTTGGTAATAAAATGTTTGATTCATAAGCTTGAACAGATAATAACATTTCACATAAGGTACCGGTACCTTTACGTAAAACTTCATCAGGATTTAATGGAATAATTGTACATAATGAAAAAATAAAAGGATGAACATATTTATAATATAAATAATAGGTTGCAACAGCATCAGAAACTGAATACTCAGATAATAATTGTGGTTTTTCATAAGCATAAGGAGTCATTAGTTCTGGATCTAATTCAGTTGGGTTATAACCTAATTTAACTGTTGTAACAGCTTTTAAACCTTGTGATCCTTGAGGTAAATAAGAATCTCTTTTAACCCATCTAAAGCAATCCATATGAACACAATATTTTGATTTATATTCATCTTCATTATCTTTTGCAAAACCGATTTCATCAAATAAATCCATATCATGAAATCTTGTTCTATTTTCAACAAATGGCCAATCAAAAAAATCACCATTAAAAGTCGCAATAACTGTTGGTCTTACTTCTCGTATATGTTCAAAAAATCTTATTAACACATGTTTTTCATCAGGTTCATTAAAAATTGTAAATAAACCAGGATATTCTGGTTTTGGAGTATATTCAAAATCTTCAATATCTTCAGATATAATTTCTCTATTAGTTATAAGAAAACCTTCACCATCAATCATATAAGAAATCATCATAATTTGATCAATTTTTGAATCTGGGAATTTTAAAGGAGCTTTTGTTGTTTCAATATCAAATGCTAATACTACTGGATCAGCAAAGGCTATTTTCTCTTTATCTTCAATTAATTCAATTTCTGCATGTTTTGCATAAACATCATACCATTTACCAACTCTTACTTTATTATCGATTGATACTCTTACATGATAAGGAACATCAAATTCTCTTATATCATCTATAAATGTTGATGGATCTTCATTTTCAATTTCATAAATATTTCGTGTTTCTTTCTTTAGTTGATTATCTTTTATTATTGGATTTAATAATCTTCTTGCTTGTAGTAGATCTTGAATATTATGAAATGATAATTTGATTAAAGTTTTTTGTAATCCTAGTAAATGATTTGGTAATTTTAAATCCTCTTTGACAACTCTTGAAAATTGTTTAACATTACACAGTTCTAAAAATTTTTTGAGCCATTCTTCAACTTCTGATTGATATTCATTTGATATAATATCTATGAAAAAATATGGATCATATTGTAAAGTAGCTTTAAAAGTACCACCTTCTTCATCTAAAAAATAATAATCAACACCTGAATAACCAGTTAAATACTCTTCAGTAGGTATTATTGTTGAATGAAAATTTATTAACCAACCTTTTCTTGGTTTCATACCATCATTTTCACCATGTTCTATTCTATCAAACCCCATTAATTTATCAATATGGTCAATTTTTGAAACTAACTCTTTTTTAGTTATTGAATCATTTAACATTGGATTATTTGCAATATAAGGATCTACAGGTTTGACATCTTTTTTGAAATTTTTAAATTTAGTAGTTCTTTCATTCTTATTATTCTTGACAAATCTTGCAGATGTAGATCCTCTAAACTGTTTTGACATTGACTAATGAAAGATGTATTGAATGTATTAAAGATCTAATTAAGAAGTATAAATTAAAAAAAAAAATAAAATCTGAAACGCGTCTGGCGAAAAAAACTCGCTACCAATTGTGTATAATATTTATATTTTCATCTATTTACTCATATAAAGTATAATTAAACCTTGAATTATAACTGAATAAATAAATAAAAATTGTATTCTTATCTTTCTTTGTTTACTTGTAATATTATCATTCATTGATGAACTTGTTGAATTACTTGGTAATATTATAAATCTTAGACTTCTCATTAAAAAGATTGATAAATTAATGATCAACAATATAACAAATAAATAATAAAATTTACCTAAAATTGAACCAAACAAATGTTTTAAACATAATAAAACAATAATTGAAACATATTTATAACCAGCAAAACTTATAATATCATAAATTTTACTTTGAGAACAATTTAATAAATATAAACCAATTTTAAATATAAATACATCTAAAATTGAAAAAGCTAAAGTTTGAGAAGCTAAATAACCAAATAACTGAGGATGAAAATCACCTTTTAAACCTTGAAAAGCAGCCCATAATAAAATATAAGTAACAAAAGACATTAAAGGGATATATAGATCAGGAGCATTTAAATCAATTGAAGCAGGTAAATATTGTTGTTGTTGACCAGTTTCAGTAGTTGATAATAATCTATTCCAATCTTTATGTCTATAAGGCATTAAAATTAATAATACTTTTTTAAATACATAAGAATTTGATACTTGAAAATAATATTTAATATCACCTGAAAAACTACCAAAATTTTCTTGTAAATATTGATTTGATTGTTGAAAACCTGATCTTGCAAATTGAGAAGCTAAAGCAGTTGCAGGATCATTTAGAAAGTTGAACTGATTTTGTTGTTGATTAGGTATTGAGTGAGGTTGAGGATGTTGTAAATGATGAAGTTGTTGTTGTTGTTGTTGTTGTGATTGTGGTTGTTGCTGATTAAATTCAGTACCATAAGGATTATACATGATGAGTATATAGTTGTTGATTAATTGTTATTTTTTCTGTTGATGTGAAATGATCAATTGGTAGTTCCATTAGACAATTGGTAGTTCCTTAGTCAATTGGTAGTTCCTTTAGACAATTGGTAGTTCCATTAGTCAATTGGTAGTTCCTCTAGACAATTGGTAGTTCCATTAGCCAATTGGTAGTTCCATAGCCAATTGGTAGTTCCCTATTGAATCAATTGGTAGTTCTTTAGCCAATTGGTAGTTCTTTAGTATATCAATTGGTAGCGATGGGTTTTTGGTTACCCTCAATGTTGAGACTCTTTATTTCTATCATTTCTATTATTGCTTTTCCATATACCCCCTAGCTTTAAACTATATATATATATACAATTGACATATAACAACCAAACAAACGATGGTCGGTGGGAAAGTATTAGTAATATCTAATAGATTACCCGTTACTATTAAGAGATCTGATGATAGTTCTTATAATTATTCAATGTCTTCTGGTGGTTTAGTTACAGCCCTTCAGGGTTTAAAAAAATCAACTGAATTTCAATGGTATGGTTGGCCTGGTTTAGAAATACCTTCAAATGAGCAAGATAAAGTTAATAAAGATTTACTTGAAAAATTCAATTGTTATGCTGTGTTTTTAAATGATACAATTGCTGATTTACATTATAATGGTTTTTCAAATTCCATATTATGGCCTTTATTTCATTATCATCCTGGTGAAATGAATTTTGATGAAAATGCTTGGGCTGCTTACATTGAAGCAAATAAAAAATTTGCAATTGAAATTTCAAAACAAGTTAATGATAATGATATGATTTGGGTTCATGATTATCATTTAATGTTATTACCTGAAATGTTAAGAAGAGAAATTGGTCACTCCAAAACAAACATTAGAATTGGTTTCTTCTTACATACTCCCTTTCCCTCATCAGAAATTTATAGAATTTTACCAGTTAGAAGAGAAATTTTAGAAGGTGTATTAAGTTGTGATTTAATTGGTTTTCATACTTATGATTATGCAAGACATTTTATAAGTTCAGTTTCAAGAATTGTTCCCAATGTAAGTACTTTACCAAATGGTATTAAATTTCATAATCGACAAATTAATATTGGTGCTTTCCCAATTGGTATTGATGTTGATAATTTTATTGATGGTTTAAAAAATGATCAAGTTCAACAAAGAATTAAACAATTGGAAAATAAGTTTAAGGATGTTAAAGTTATAGTTGGTGTTGATAGATTAGATTATATAAAAGGTGTTCCACAAAAATTGCATGCGTTTGACATTTTTTTACAAGAAAATCCCGAATGGATAGGTAAAGTTGTTTTAGTTCAAGTTGCAGTTCCATCAAGAGGTGATGTTGAAGAATATAAATCATTAAGAGCAACAGTTAATGAAATGGTTGGTCGAATAAATGGTGCTTATGGTACTGTTGAATTTGTTCCTATTCATTATTTACATAAATCAATTCCATTTAATGAATTAATTGCTTTATATGCAATTAGTGATGTTTGTTTAGTTACTTCAACAAGAGATGGTATGAATTTAGTTTCTTATGAGTATATTGCAACTCAACAACAAAAAAAAGGGTCCCTAATTTTATCTGAATTTGCTGGAGCTGCTCAATCTTTAAATGGTGCAATAATTGTAAATCCATGGAATGTTGAAGAATTAACTGATGCCTTAAAAGAAAGTTTAACATTACCTGATGAAAAAAAGGAAACAAATTTTAAAAAATTATTTAATTATATCTCAAAATATACTTCTGGTTATTGGGGTGAAAGTTTTGTTAAAGAATTATATAAATGTAATGCAGAAAAGGAATTAAAATAGGTGTAAATAAATAAACTAGCGTTAATTCATTAAAATTTCAATCTATAAAATCGTGTTGTAAATTTGAAACAGTTTGTTCAGTTAAAAATAATGGTTTTTTATTGTTTTGATTTTCTTTATTTTCATCATCTGAAGGAATTGTAATTACTTGTGGACGTATACCAAATGTTCTTAATAAGGAATTATTATATATTGGTGGTGGTGTTGATGGAATAATATGAGTATCTGAATATAATGATGAATTAGGTAAATTTGCTTTATGAAAATATGGTTTCTTAGGTTCTGGAATTTTCTTTAACTGTTGTGGTTTCGTTATCGATTTTGGTTTCACCTTAATTTCCTCTTTTTGTTCTTGTTTATAATGACTTACATCATCCTTAAAGTTTTTAGCAGAATTAAAAGCAGTCATTAAATATGGTAATTCTTCAGTTATACTAGATTTATACATTTGACTAGTAGTCATATCATATGATGAATCTTTTTGAGTTGTAGTAGTTGTAGTAGTTGTCAATGAAGCAGGACTATGACCTGTTATTGAATGAACTAAAGGTAAATATTGAGATGAAGTTATTGAATAATCAGAAAATGAATCATCTTGATTATTACTCGAATTTGAACTAGTCTCAGAGAAGGTCTCATGATAATGTTGGGAATGACTCTCTTCAATTGTTCTCTGTTCTAATAATTTTTCAATTTTGAATTTTTCAAACATTTGTTCAAGATCATTTATAACTGCCAAACATTCAAATTTGGAATCAAAATCACAATCATTAATAGCTTTATTTAATTGTTTTAATAATGCAATTATAAAAGATTTATAATATTCAACAATTGAAAAATCATCAATTAAATCATCATTCTCTAATTCTTTACCTATCATTATTAACTTAGCTTTAGCATATGAGATAGACAATTGATCGATTACTTCATTTTTAATTTTAATCACTCTAAGTAATAAACTAGTCAACATTGCTCCTTCATCACTCATTAAATCTCGTGCAATTAACATTTTTGAATTCTTACTTATCAAATCAATATCTGAGGTTATTTTAGTCATATTTTTATTGATTTCATTACATGCATTAATGACATTATTTGCAACATTAGTATTAAAATTTTTAATATTCGTGTCTTGACCCTCGTCAAAATGTGAATCTGAATTGAAATCAAGTGATAAAAATTCCCAATTTTTAAATTTTAATCGAGTGTTTTCTAAATGTTGTAGAATTTTGAACGCTGTTGAACATAGTTTATTTATTTTACGTTCTTGAATGTTTTTAATTAAGTTTATTAATTGATTTGATTTAGTTGAATCTTTATTTAAATTTGGATCTCGCACTAGCGATAGTATTGGATCATTATATGAGTCTATATCAGTCATGAGAAATCAATTGAAGATAAATATGCTGAGGTAATGCTGTTGGAATGCTGTTGTAAATTTGGCAACGTTATATAAAAAAACAATGATAAATAAATTATAGAAACTCCAAAGAGTATAATTAATAAATGCAAATATGAATAAGTATATAGTTAATGATCACAATAGATATGTTTGTGTTAATAGTTAATATAAATGCAATAGTATCTCGTATTGATCGATGGTTTGGATTGTAAACGAATCGAATAAAGGGTTGCGCAAATATTCTATTTTCAATTTGTTACCGCGAAAATAAAAATTCAAAAAAAAAAAAATAAATCAGTTCATTTGCAACTCAGATCTCAGATCTACAAACTTCATTATAAGATCCCTCACTTGTTTGGGCGTCTGGACAGTTATTACTCTTGATGTGGGAGATCCCGAGCTTTCTCTTTATAATGGACTATTAGTTTTGAGTATTCTTCACAGTATGATGAGAGCGAAATTCGATAAACCGAACTAGAATCTTTGAGATATCTCATAGTATTACTCATTAATTTAAAGATCCTGGAAGTTTCATTGTACTATAGTACTCCGAAATGGATTTTCCAGTCATTTAGAAGCGTAATGAAAAATGTCTAGTCAGGCAAAACAGTATTTTGGCTGTAGATTTTGAAGAGTGAAGGACGAAAAATGACTGCAAAAAAATTTTGACATGTAGCATAATTTTGCAGCAAATTGATAAAGCTTAATCCTTAGAGATAATCAAGCAAAGCATAATAATGTATATGATTAGTCTACAATGCTATCAAATTAATCCAGTACAATTCTGTCATTGTTAACAAATGAGTATAATATTACCAATAAGGAACCGAAATTGGCATTCAAACGGCAGTCAAAGTATGGAGAAACTGCTAAATCTTTCTCAAGTCATTTGCCCTTCAGATGAGATGTAAGTACCTTAAAGCTCTTTTGATTTGAACGATTTTTGTAGATGGTTTATGAATCAAAACAACTCTAAAAGATCACTTGGAGTCATTGCTGGAGTTCATAGTTTATTTGAGGCTAGAGTGTCCAATATAAACAACTAAAAATGCTATACAAGATCATTTCTATATCATATTCAAAATGAACTTTATTCCAAATTATACTCTCAGGAAATTTGAAACATACGAATTTGACTTATATGCAGTCCCTTAGTAATTAATCTTGAAAATTAAATTGTAAATAACTCCCTCAATATTCAAGTGATTCAGCTCAGACGTTTTTTTATTGAAGTCTGGTATAAGTGGAAATTGTCTGATGCTACTTTCGTTTAGTATTACTTAGTTTTGATTGTATAATTAATCTTTTAAAAAATGGAAAAAACCCTAAATTGCAAGATAATACCACTTAAACCTTGTTTATCAACTTATAACCTAGCTGATATAGTTCAGTAAAACAAGTAAAATACGTTGGTACTGGTTCTAAGACGTACGAATTGTTTAGAATTTTTGTTCAAAATTTTCGAACCACTTTTGAAAACTTACTATCTCATTTTTGAACGTCTTAACACAAAAAACCTCATGGTTTAACACCTAACAAGAACTACAAATTCCAACAATTTAACTAAATTTCCATTACATTTTTGATTGTGGAATTAGATTTTTTATAAGGTCAATTTATTCGCTTTTTGCCATACTTAAAAGGAAATTTTGAAATTTTTCAATTTCGATTTGATTTTAACAGAAATATGTCCAGCACATTAATTTGTTCTATATTATACATAAATCGTCGTTTATTCGAAAGTTCTGGCCGTAAATAAAATAATAGCCAAAATGGCAACTCAAAGAAAAAATGTTCGAAACATGAAACTTGGAATAATTAGAGTGAGGAATTCAGCAACCCAGATTTTATAAAATTGGTTCTTGTGCCCAGAGATCATTTTGTGCTTGACGTATAATCCAATATCTTTAGACGAGTCGCCCTGGAATTGAGGCGAGAACTTTTTTTTGTCGCACCACTGTACCTCGCTCAAGAATGGCGCAATTTTCATCCTCATTTTTCAGACGCATCACATGATTTTAAACTATATGCAGTTCTAAAATTGTTGATTATATATTAAAACTCAATCTACGAATAAATCTCTCTATGTTTTAGCTCTACTCCTCATTCCTTATTCGCTAAATACTTCGGCAATCTTAGCGTTTGCTAGTTTTAGTCCTAGCAGCAAATAATCAAAATATCTATTATTAGATGCTAGAAAATTAACTCAAGCATCATTTTGCGCATATTCATCTTAATTTTAATCGTTGACTTACTAAATCTAACCCGTCTATAGCCTTATACACATTACGTAAAATGATACTAGTAGTATTTGCAAAGCTTGTTCTAATCAGCCAAAACTTCGTAAAAGTCTCAGGTATTTGAACAGAAGGGTTTGATGCAACGAAATAATTTCTCAAGATACTGGTATCAGTTTAATTGCGGCGTCGTAGTGAAAAAAGCTTGACTTCGAAAGATTGAACGTAAAGGTAGTAATTTACGATTCAAGTTTTATGATTAACTCATATAAGACAACATATAAGTTTGTTTCAGAATTTTTCAAATCTGGATCAATAATCATTCAACCAATGTCAAACTAGATTTGAGCAGGAAAGAAATCCGTATATTCCAAATCAATACTTTTTTCGTAATTGTAGTTCATACCTAAATAGTGACAGTTTTACTTGGATTCAAATAAAATTATCAGAATTTGGATAGTCAAACTTGCCATTTTGTATTGTATTATGAACATTAGAATATTTCATAATACGCGAGAAATCACGTTGTTTAATTATCGCCAGAATGAAGCCCATTCACTCACTCTGGAAAAACATCAAATTCTTAGTTAGACGATGTTTATTTAGGTCTAAGAAGGTCAGGTTTAATCCATTTACGTGGTGCAATGGAGCCATTCACATATGATCCTCATTTGATCCATTTTGACGAATCGACAATTGAGAATCATACAAGTCGTTGTTGCAGACGTAGTAAACGGCTACGATCTAGATCCTGAGTATTCGTTTAACCCAACTGAAACGATATGATGAAGTGATTACAACTCAAAAATTGAATTTGTCAGTCATAATCTAAAATGAACATTGATCCAGCTTTACGTCAAAGATCTAGCGCGAGATATAATTTTGCGCACCATAGTTAATCGCGCTTATAATTTCAAATTTGTATGTGAATTCTAAAATTTCAACTTAGCAGGAATATTGATACAGAAATGAAAGCTGATGGGTAATTGTTTTGACTATCTGTCGAACAATCTCTAACCAATATCTGCACTATCTAGATGGTGTCGCTTGCTTACTTATTAAGTTTTTTATATTTATTTCTATTAAAAATCTAATTTAAACCCTTTTCATTTGCTATTCTATTTATCATTAATTTATACCAATCATCCAAACTTTGACCTTCTACTTGTATAGGTATTATTATTATAGTCATATTATCATAACCAACCCCAGTAAAATGATTCAGTAAACTCAATGATGTATTTAAGATATGTTCAACAATTTTATTCAATCTCCAACCCAATACTAATTTATCTCTTATTAATTGTATCAATTGTCCATTTTTAAAACAATCCCAAATTCCATCACAAGCAATTACAATAAATTCAGGTAAATTTTGTACTTTATAATCATATAATAATACATCAGGCTCAACAGTGACTTGAAATAATTCCGGAGGTAAATGTATCAATTTCTTATTTAAATTATTCATATTTTTTTGCAAATATTCATTTCTTGTGTTTTGTAAAAATTGTAATTTAAATTTAAAATCACCAAATGCTCTTGATAATGCTAAAATTTCATTAACTCGATTATTTATTATATAACCATTTGAATTTTCTATCCTTACTCTTTCACTCATATTATTTGGTTTATGATCAAATGATAATGTTTTGGGTTTACCTTTTATTGAAATTATACATCTTGAATCTCCAGTATTTGCAACATATATAATTGAATTTATAATAACTATAATTATTCCAGTACTTCCACAATTTATTAAATCAAATTGATGTTGCTTTGAATATAAATCATGATCTAATTTAAAAAATGAATTTTTTAATAAATGTATTACATTTTGAGGATTTGACCATGGATTTTGATTTTTATGAGATTTATGATGATGATTTAATCTTTTAAAAATATATTTTGGTAAATTTTCAGCTAAATACTTTGAACATTGATCACCTCCATGACCATCAAATACACCAAATACAATAATTGATTGATCTTCATTTATCAAAACATTATGAGCATCTTCCATTGATAATCTATAACCTTGCATTGAACCAATACAATATGATATTTTCTCATAATTCTTATAGTCTATTTCCTTTTCTTCAATTGGATGTGATAAGAAATTACCCATAGTTATTAATCAATGAATATATAAAAATTGTTGCAACACAGTATAAAATTAATATGGTTTAATTTTTTTGTTGGGGTGGTGATAAAATAAACTACTAACAAAATTGACTATACAGTGAGAATATGATAAACTATGATTAACCACCAAGTAATTGGAATGGAATATCAATAAACAAAGATCTATTAACTAGTGATGTAATTTATTGTTATGACTTGTAAAATTATATACTATATACGATTCATCCGGTATGTCATAAATTGTTATCTTGTGACATAGAAATTGGAAATGAACCAACTGAAAAAAGGGGAAATTGAAATCTCGAAAAAAATACCCCATAAGATCAATTTGCTCAATATGATGTTACCAATTGTTAATAAACATTCTTTCGATGGTGATATTAATTATAAACCTCCTAGAAAATTTCCAATTGGCCCATTCAAAAAATATAAACATAATCCCATTATGAAACCTGATCCAAATATCGAATTCGAATGTGCTTATCTTTATAATGCCACGGCAATTGTTATCGATGATAAAGTATTCATGTTATATAGAGCTCAAAATAGAGAAAAAGTTTCAAGTGTTGGTATTGCTTGGAGCAATGATGGTATAAATTTCACAAAATATAAAAAACCAATTATATATTCAACTGAATCTTATGAACAAGGTGGTGGAATTGAAGATCCAAGAATTGTACGAGATCCAAAATCAAAATTATTTGTAGTCACTTATACTGCATTTGATCTAAAAACTGCTAGATTATGTGTTGCTTATTCTGAAGATTTATTTCATTGGATTAAAAAGGGTCCAATTGTGCCTTCAAATTGGAATGATATAGCAATAACAACAAATGGTAATAAAATTATACGTAATGATTGGCTGAAATCAGGTGCTATTTTCAATGAACCAAGCATCGATAATAAATACTATATGATTTGGGGTGATTGTGAATTACATTTAGCTGAATCTGAAAATTTATTAGATTGGAAATTAACAAGTAAAAATTATAATGAAAATACTTGGGCTAGACAAATACTTGATAGGGAATCTAAATTAATCGAAAGTGGGCCAGCACCAATTAAAATGCAAAATGGAAATCAATGGATTTTCTTTTATAATGCTGCCACAACTGGTGGTAATGATTTACCAAAAGATACATATACAATAAATGAAATGTTAATTAATTATGATAATATTCTAAACGGTCCAGTGGCAAGATTGGAACATCCAATTTTAAAACCAGAATTGGAAAATGAAATAACAGGACAAGTAAATCAGGTTGTATTTTGTGAAGGTATTGTTCAATTTAAAAATAAATGGTTTTTATATTTTGGCCAAGGTGATTCTGAATTAGGTGTTGCAATTGCACCTGTTGATTAAATACTTCGTATCATTAACGCTAATAATTCATCAACATCTGAATCTAAATTATCAATGGCTATAAAACCATAGTTCCATTCTTTGGCTAATTCTTTACCTTGTTCAATCAAAGTAGGTGATGATAATGAATTATTGATTTGAGTACAAACTATCCATATTGATGGTTTATAATTATAATTATTTAACGTTATATTAGATTTTTTATTTTCTTTTAGTAAATTCTTTAACGCAATTTTGAATGAAAACATGTCTGTTTCTTTGCCTTGTTCCCAATTCTTTTTAAAATTATTATACTCTTCCCAGGCTTCATCTAACGCAATTTTCATAGTTTTGAGTAGATTAATCAGGTGGTTCTCTGGTAATTTACTTTCAAATTCATAACTTGGTGGATTATATGACGGTATAGATGAATAAACAAAGAAATAACCATTTGTATTACCATTTAATTCACTTGCACCCGATGCGACTAATAATGGATTAGTACTAACTGGTCTTCTTGGTTCATTAGCTAAATTATGTAAAACATCCTGGGGCAATTTTATATGTAATGATGCTTCTAAAAATGGTACAACTTGTTGAGGATTAAAACTTGGAGTGTCTATTAATTCGACTAGTATTGGAGATACTTCACCATCATTATTAATAGTATAGTATTTATTATTTACAGGTTTTAACGGTTGATTTATAATTACATTATCATCTCGTACTGGTTTATTTTGCAATATAAATTTTGCCAGTTTTGAACTTGGTTTATATGTGAATAAATTTGAATTTATTTGATGAGTTGGATAATAAGTATCTCTAAAATTTCCCATTATCAATTTTGATATAATTGATGTCTTTCCAAATCTCGCACCACCTAAAACAGCTATTCTTATAGGTTTATCATTATTTAAGGGTTCAGATCCAGACATTGCTAGTAAAAAGAAAAATAAAATTGTTGCAAAATAAAACGAGAGCACTACCGAGTGGACCAAATATAAAACGATGGTATATTTATCCCGTAAAAGCTGGACCAGCACCAACACCAGGAGTAATTAGACCATAAGCTGGTATTGGAGTAGCTCTACATAATGATGCTGAATTTGAGTATTTCTGTGATGTACCAATTGCAAGACAGAAATTATTTTGAACAGTACAAGCAGCTTGAACATTGCAACATTGTGAATCATCTTGTAAAAATGCACAATGTTCACCATTATAACCAATTGGATTGACTGGAGGTATAACAAATAATGACAGACTAGTATATAAGTTAAATTGAGGATCAGTTGTCCATGGATATCTATTCTTTTCACTTAATTCTTTTGACTTCTTACTTGGAATTCGAATCGCATTATGTCCACTTACATGAGTTATATTTTCAGATTCTAAATCTTCAACTAATGGACTATCAAGTAATTTTGATTCATCTTTTTTCTTTTTGAAAATCAGTTTCAATACATCTCGTTTACCAACTCTTCCACTAACACAATACCAACAAAAACATAATGAATAATCTTGCTGAAATTTTAGTTTGTATAATTTGGCAGTCACTTCAAATTGATCACCTAATACATTTTCTTCGACTTTATCATTATGATCAATTACTGTCTGACATGGACTCAGTTTACAATCTTTAAAATATCGAAACATTGTTAATTGATGAGTGTGCCATATTAAATCTATGTCCAATGTAGGTACTAACATTCTGTGATTAAAATCAGTTAAAAGTTCAAAATAATTTTTATATCTATTGAGTGACTCATTCATACCTTCAATTATAAATGGAGAATGTAACCAGTTGAAATTATTCATTTTCTCAACAAATCTTTCTTGCCTTAAAATACAACCAACTAAGTCTTCTCCAATTTCTAATGAATTTTGAACTGTTAAACTGACTAAATTGAATTGTGAATATAATTTGTAATACACTTCATCTCTATTCTTATTTCTGATATGTTTTGTTTTCTTCAATATTTGTTCTACGAATTCATTATAAGATAAATGTTTCAACCTCTCCCATTCTTTTCTTATATCATCTTTAGTTAACTCTGAAATTTGCATTGAATCACGTTTATAAAATCTTGGAGCACAAATAATACTTGAAAAATATTTAAAAGTACCTTGTATTGGACCAGTTCTAAATACATCAGCATACAACTGTAACATTTTCAAGTTATCTTGATTTAAAACTGGTAATTCAAGATGATAACAATAATTTAAATCTTGCTTCAAGGCAGTATTCTCAATTGTGAATTTACTATCAGCAAATCCCATGCCTGAATCATTACATAATGGAAATTGCCCAGTTAGTTTGACTTTACAATTTGGACAATATATCTCAACTAAATCCTCATAAATTGTAAAATTTCTAGTCGTATCATATTGTAAATCAGCAGCATCATTCGTAATTGATTGAATAATATTTATATAATTCATTTGATAATATTCAGGTATATTGTATTCAAAAGTCACATTATCTATAAATTTATTCAATAAATGTAAAGGTAATGGTAAAAATGCAAATTTTAAAAATTCTTCACGAATGAAAATATCATACATTGATGATGGGTTTAATAAAAATGAATGCCATACCATAATTACATCTAACGGGGGTATTAAAGTCTCCATCGTTTTTAAAAATGTTTGATCTTTATACATTGCTTCTTTAAATAATGACATTTCAGAAACATCTTCACCTAAATTACCAAATTTTAATTTCAAAGCCGTGACGAAAATAATAAATCGTCGAACTGATTTAGTGATGAATACTTGCCATGTCTTCATACTATATTCTTTATCTGTATTATTTGAAGGGATGATCTTGAGTTTCAATACCTGAAAAGCCTTTAATAATTTCAAGTGAGCCAATACTTCAACATGATTAGGTATAGCCTTTGGATCATGAAAATTCAGATCGATGAATTCAGGTTTTGAATGAGAATATTTGTAACTTTGAAATTGATCATCAATTGCACTTTCTAATACTTCAATATGTTTATGGAAATGTTTTTCTAGTCGTTTTTCTTTACCCATTGTTGCTTCTGATTTTTCAAATCCAAGAAAAAGTGGCTCTATTCATATTTTACGAGATCTGACAAAAATATTTTTTTTTTTTGATCCCTTGATTGATGTGATCTGCAGAACGCGTTAAAAAGCGCAATTTTGTAAAGATACTCATGACTAATTTTATATTAAGGTTAGGATGATACAACAAACGTATATGTATTTAATAAAATGGATATACAATTATTGAGTAAGTAAATATCGTTGTACAATGACGCCAATGAAAAATAAGGTTAAACTGTATAAAATAATAACGATAATTTGCCAAATTGAACAGTTGTAGATAGGTAATTCGAAATTGACCTGAGAAGTTTTGATCTTCTTTTTATTCTGATTGTCCTTTTTGAAATTTTCACGAACGTTTTCTTTTACGTCATTGGAGATAGTTGATAATTTTGATTGCTGTTCTAAACCATTATCACTGGAGATCATGATTTTTTGTTTGAAATAATCGGGCAATTGACGCAGCTCAGCCATTCTAGGTAACATGAATATACAAGTTTTGGATCAACTATATACCAAAAATCAGTGGTAACGCGCTTTGATATTTTGGAAATTATAAGATTCAAGTAGTAAGTTAATTACAAGAAAATTAGAAGATAAGAAAATAGGTTGTATCACAATTTGTGTATTAAAATAATACTAATAACCAGCACTTGCTTGACCAAGGAAAAACATACCAATAAAACCACCATAGATTCTAATAGTACAAAGAAAGATCAAGAGACCATTTTTTTGAATTTTCACTTTCTTAACTTTTTAATTACAGCTTTGCAACGGTCACAATCATATCTGTTATCTTCATCAAAATCTAAAATATTTACATTACTTTGTGGTTGCTCCTGTAATTCAATAATTGAGTCTTGTTGTTCTAAATTTGCATATTTAGGTAATTGATCTCCCGTACTCTTTAAAAATAAATAAATAGATCCTGTCAAAAAAAAAAACACTTGGCATTTTTAATGCATTATGTTTACTTTTGTCTTATAATGCTGGTATACAAATGGTAAAAAAAAGTCAGCATTAATATATATTCATAAATCATGAAACAACACCATGGACTACTCTCTTTGTACTATCAAAGTGCCAAAAAATCTCAATTGAATAAACGTCAATTTTTATTGTAAACAAGTGCAATAAAATCATTCACTCCAGACCTTTGAAACCCATCCAAAAAGCGAAAACAATATAAATGCAAATAAACCCCACGAAAATATACAAGCAACATTTTGTCCCCATTTGCTTGTTTCATTTTTCTGTATAATTTACAACATCTTTCACAGTCGAATTGTTCACAATTCGAGTCAATTCGATGAAAAGACTTGTTTGATTTGCGCTGTCCTGATGTGTCAAAAAATATGTCAAAAAAATAAAAGAAAATACAAAATTGAATTTTATTATCATTACTGATAAGGAAAGTACAAATCAACATCATATAATAGAGAATATATGTTCAAAATGTAGTAAAACAACATGCTCGTATTGTTAACGAATGTTTAAAGAAAAGGAAAAGATATATAAAGAAAAAAAAGATATAAAAGTTGCTTTGATTGCCATGTCAGCTGATACTGCTATTGTAATTTGTATTAGGTTGCAATGTCTGATTACTGTTTTAATTGATTGAGTTGCAATTCAAAAATCTTTGATAGGGGAGTTTTTTTCGTTTGTTTAAATGTATAATGGAGGTTGATCCAATATATATCAGAATGATTGTTCTTACCATCACTGAGTCTTTAATATTTGACAGTAGAGAAATCGTGGTCTTTTGTAATATTCACTGTTCGCTTTGAACAAGTTTTTTCCAACTACTGCTAAATATTTGCACCAACTTCCAGTTCAATTAAATCTATAATTTTTGTAACTTCAAACTAGTATAGGGCATCACACCTCGATCTGACCTTCTCTCGAAATTAATCTATAAACTAGCTAAACTCGAAGTTATATTTGAAAGTATGGCTTCGAAAGCTCAATATTGGAAAACTTAGCTAGATAGGACAAAGAGTCGCTCATTCTTAGCAACATCGTACCGAACTGTTTTTCTGATCATATCCTAGCTACTCGAAGTTTAAGTGATCTTCCTTTCGTAGTCCTTTTTAATACTTCGTTAGATCTCGAATCTCCTACCTTTTTTTAGATCTCGGTTAGATTTTTAATTTTTTTTCTTTATTTCATTTTATTTTATTCTCTTTTTTTTATTTTTGTTCTCTCCACTGAACCCAGAATAATAAGCGAAGACCGACTTAACCAAACTATATCAATAATGAATAAAGAGAATCTTCCAAAGTATACTGAACTACCTAATCAAATATTTGAAGCCCAACAAGAAAGTAACGGATCATCACAAGCGACGTTAGAAGTACAAGCTCAACAACAATCCCAACAAGAAGAAATAAATACACTACATGATCAAGATCTTGAAAGATCAAGTTGTCCACAATGTGAAGAATTGAAATTAAAATTAAAAGAAAAGAATAATGAGATCGCAAAGATTATATTTGTATTCTTGTTGATATCGCTAATATTTTTTGCATTTATTGTTTCTGGTCCTCGTCATCGTGGACCACCACATTGAGTAAATATAACAGGCTTAAGAATGAGTAGTCTAAAGTCAAACACATTCATAGGTAAGTTAATGAAAGAATCGTAGTCTTAAGAACATGACTGTACTCAAGTTTCAGGTAAATAAATTCTGAAATTAAATAATTATGGATGATTTCACCCCTTGAAAATATATATTAATTACATTTTAACACCAATAATGACTAGGTTTTGAACAAAGAGACTTAGTTGTCTATGTACTGTGTTATATCCTCTCGCTGCTGAATTTGCAAAACTGATTTTATTATATGAGTCTTGAAATGACAACAATATTGCATGAATTTACAAACTACATTAGTTTTGAAGTACCATTCGAAGAGAGTTTGTGGATATGAGCCCCAGTTGCTGCATTTTAAGAGAATAGTAAACAATGATTAATAATCCACATTTATGAAATATCAAATTTTAAGGGGTATTTTTTTTGTTGCGAAAGCCACTTAATTTTAAGACTAATACAAAATTAACTTTTATTAAATGCTATATATTACTATAAATTTACAATGGTATTTTTTAAATTATTCCTCTTTTCAACTTCAAACTGTCCCTCTTCTTTTCACTCAATGTGAAAAGATTTTTCAACGAACTGGTATTAGTATTTTGTGATTCTTCATTATCATTATTTTGTGATTGTTGCGATGTTTGTGAAGTTTGTGATGATTGAAATCCTGGAAAATATTCATCAGTAGATGAACAAAATGGAGAATCTAATGCTATTTGATCTTGATTATTTAGATTTAAATTAATATTTAAATTTAATGTTGAATTTTTTGATGAACTTCTTGATCTTTGTAAAAAATTAAATGCATTTGAATCTTGTTGTAATTGTTGTAATTGTTCTTCTGTATATGGTGGTGTTTGAGTTTGACTTTGATAATTTGAGGTATTTACATAGTTATTATTTATATTACTATTATTTGTTGAACTTATTGATGATTTATGTGATGTTGGTGGTGTTATATGATAATCATTCATCATTGAATTTAATTGAGCTTGATTTGTTTGTTGTTGTTGAGCTTGTTGAAATTGTTGTTGTTGTTTATTCATGAAATTATGTGGTACATAATCTTGAATTGATTGTAATGAATCAGCACTTATATTAAAATCATTATTAAACTGTAATTGGGGTCTTAAACTAGATATATTCCCTACATGTAACCAATTATTTGAATTATTTCTAGTTAATGATTGTTTTCTTAAATTTATAGATGATGATCTTGAACGAATTGAAGAAGCTGATGAATTTGTATTACCTTCCTTTTGTTGTTTTTCTTGTTGTTGTGCATTATAATTCATCAAATTCATTTCATTTAAAGATATTGAACTTATTGAATTTGATTTTAAATTTGAGTTTGTATTTACACATTGTATTGTTGTTTGTTCTGGTAATTTTACAGCTTCTGATTTATTATGACATAGTTCTAATAATCTTTTTCTAATTAACTGTAATATAATAGGTTGTAAATCATGATTTCTTAAACATTCCCTATTCATAATTGCTTGTTGATCAAATAAAATTTGACTATTTGAACTTTGATTAATTAATTGATGTATAACTTCATTTGCAACTCTTCCAACTAATCCACTAGGTGGTATTGAACCTGAAAATGGTGTTGTTGTAGGTTTGGATAATATTTCAATATAAATTTTTAATAATAATGAGTCAAAAGTATTTGTAAAATATAAACTATAGAAATTTTTCCTATTACTAACTAAATTTGGTTCATCAATGTCTGTGAGTATATCATCTGATTCATTTGAAGATTGATAAAATGAAGAATTGTTTCTATTCAATTGAGGTGGCTGAAAAAATGAAGTTTGGGAATTATAATTGTTATTATTATTAGGCACTTCCATTGGAGTTTTTAAAGTTTGATCAGTTGGGGTAAATGGTTGCGATTGTTGATTGGAATTAAAGTCTAATTTGTTTAATTTTAAATGTAAATTGAAATTTTTATTAATCATTGTAGTAATAATTGTTTATGAATTGAATTGAATTGAAATAAATAAATGAATTAATGCAAATTTATAATGTCTTTGTTGAACTAAAATTAAAATGAAAAAAATAGATTGAATGTTTTGCTTAATTTAATGGTTATGGTTGCAAATTAAATTATTTAATTAATGTTGTTATAATTATTGTTCTATTAATGTTTCTTGTCCTGTTTTAAGGCGGAAGATTGTTTTAATATTATCTTAATTATGAATTTCTCTTGATATATGAAATTCTGATGATGGTATATGTCTTTTTTTATCTTCTTGTCCTACCTTCTTCTTTTTAATGAACTAAAGTTCTTCTTATCTTATTCTTCAAATGCGATAATACTTTGTTTTATAGTAAATTGTCCTTTAAATATATAAAATTTCAAATAATGTAAAATGTAACTAAATTCTTGGAATAAGTTGGGAATGGGGGAAAATGAAATAATAAGTTGAATAATAATTATTATTGATGAGATTCTATTTAAATATGTCAATCTTAAAAAAAAATAATGATATATGTTGCAAAATTGAAATGGAAAAGAATAATAATTTATACTTATATGATAAATTTCAAATTTCAGTAATCGTTTGCTTCGGATTTGATTATCAAAAGAATGATAAATCTATTTATACTAAAGGGGTAAAAATACTTATATACAGGACGTGTTTTTTTTTTTGTTGATGTATCCTTACTTATTTTCAGACGCGTTTTTTTCTTTTATTTGTATGTTGAAAAATTATATTATACATATAAAAATAAACTATTAAACTATTAGTATTTACAACTCGATCAGTTGATGGTATCTTATCTTGGATTACTGATCATCAGATATTATGTTGAAAACGTATAACAATCTGTGGAGACGTAACCCCTATATCTTCTCTTTTAAACAAGAGTTAAAGTTAAAAAATATGCGTCGACATCACTAAAGTAGTCAATAATATATGTTATATTGTTGTATATTAATCAATGTTAACTAGACTAGAATGTATTTCACATGAATAATAAATTTTATGTGTTTAACTTATTATAATATTTCAATTTTTATTAGAATTTCATTACGTTGTGGCTATTAGCTTTCATTGGTAAATCTAGAAAACCCCTTCCAATGTAAATCACAATAGATAATGCACTTTGAATCTTGTCTAGATTAATTGATTTTGATTTTATTGTTCTTAATTTGAGTCTTTATTGTGAACAATGGAGGTTATTGTCCGGTCGCGTATATTGTGATTTGCTTTATCAAGAGAGTAAAAGTCTATTCCAAGTCTAATTCTGTTTCTAATTTATACAAATTAGGTTAATCATCTTAGTTTATGCGTTTTGTGTAATAATTCGAGAAAACCATCTTTGCTAATTTTAGATTTTTTTAGATTTTTTACACCCCCTCTTTTTCACCCAAAATTTGCTTACTTATACGAGATTTGACTATTTCAAATATAATTAAATTTGAAATTTCCTAACTAGAAAACCCAATCCCAACAGATTGAGAGTTCTTGTACGTACGTTTGGCTCATTACGAAAGCCGTATATTTCATGATGTTTCAAGTAATGATAGAGTGGTGTATTAAAGTTCTAGAATTTCTCGAACAAAACGCATTTTTATACTTTGTATCATCATTATCTTTGAGTCACGAGTCGGTTGACCTTCCCTGGGTAATTTTAGTATAAAATAGAATATCTGGAGAAAGTATCATCAGATTATAAATTCATCTTTTCTATATGCTACATGAATATTAGATTATTGTCACCTCCTATTCCATCGTCATTTACATCCTCATGATTATCTCCATCTTGCATATCATTATCATCTTCTTCTTGTTTTAATAATCCATCATCTTCTTGTATTATATTATTATGATGATCATCTTCTTGTATTATATTATTATGATGATCATCTAGCTTATCATTGTTATGCTCATTATCTTCTAGCATATAGCTATCGCCTTCTTCTAGCATCTCTTCGACTTCTTCTATCAAATCATCAGTTAATAGATCATTATATTTGACATTATAAGGTAATGCGTCCATTAACTCATCTGGCGGTTTGATTATACGTTCATTTTCCTCCTCTTCATGATGCTTATCTTTATCTTTATCTTTTTCCTTCTCATCACCTTTTAATTTTATTTCATCCTTTATATCTACAATTATATAATCATTTTTATTCAAATTTTGTAAATGATAATTTATCCTAGATAGACCCTTTCTATGATTTTCATTATTCTTTTTATTTTCATCAATTGGATGAAGCTTATCATTATTTTGAAACTTCATAAACTCATTCACTATACTTTCATCAGTATTCAAATATTTCAAATCATGACCCAATTTCAAATCCTTTTCAATTAAATAATTAAACCAATTCAATTTATCCTGGAATGTGATTTCATCCTCATCTTCCTCTTCTTGTTGGAGAAATTTCTGAGTGTCTACATTATTCAACTTGAGTGAATTATAATATTCTTGACGTTCTTTATGTTTTTGTCTCTTCTTCATTAAAATCTCCTCTGATGACTCCATGGGTGTTAATTTCCTCTTCTCTATCAAACTCTTAATTAATGATTCGGGAACTTGATTTAGCATTTTTTCAGTCTTGAATGTATCACTTTTCGTCACCCAATTTTTAAAAGATTCTACTCCCTTTGTATTATATTTTGATTCATTAAAATTCATATCATATATAGATGTAATGTTATTAACCTTGAGAAACCCAATGTTTATTAGAGTTTGAGTGACGTCTTGTATTTCCATATCATTTGATTGATTTCTTAAATTTGAACATTTCACAGCTTCTGCAGCTAATGAATTAAAAAAATTTAGATATATATCTGTTAATATGTTTACTATACTTGGTTTACATTTATCAAAACCATTTGCTTTTAGTATTTGAGCTATTGATATTCTTAAAAGTGAAAAATAGAATGAATCATCCATTGAAATTTGAAAATTGTTGCAAGGTTATATAAATTCGTTTTGAAAAAAAAAAAAAAAAAAAAATTACGAATTGGCATTACTACGCCAGTCGCTTTAGAAATTATTAATAGAGAAATGTTAGAGGACAACTGATTGTTATATAACTGTATTTCTGTATCAATATATGCTGGTGCATTCTATTGGTGGCACAATTCTGTCCACAGGACAGCAGCTACAAATTTATTTCATAATTTTATTAATTTGTATATTTTAACTATAATCCTTGTTGTAATCTTTCACCTAATTTCTTTGAAGCAAAACTTAAAGCATTGAATAACCCTTTTTCACTAATATCTATATTTCTTAAATTATTAACATCAATTTGATTTGAATGTGGTTTAGTAACTCTTGAAACAATAGTAGCTGGATCATATTCAATTATAATTCCATCATCAATAATTTCATCTAAACATAAACATAATAAATCATATTTTTCAAGTAATGTCAATTTATCAATTGAATTATCGAATAAAATTAATAATGCTTCATTAAAATTACTTAATGTACTATAAACTAAACTTTCATTTTCACTTAATGGACTAATAAAAATTATAATAATATCATTGACTTGTTTATAACAAATTAAATTATTCTCAAAAATTAAAATATCTTGATTAATTTTATTAATTTTGGAAAATAATGTTGATTCAAATTTTAATTGTTTTTCTTTAGTATCAAATTGAGATGATGAAAAAGTATTATTGGTTTCTGGTAATGTTGGTTTATAATATTTTGCAAATAATCTTTTACCTTCGTTATCTAATATTAGTACTGATGATATTGTATATAATGATAAATTTAATGACATGGTTAATGATTATGTTGATTCTGTTGATGAAAAAATATTAATTTGAAAAACACTATGAGATATTTGATTATATGCACTACAAAATGTTTCGCCTAATTTGGCACCAAATTCGAAACGATCTTTGGAGCGAGTTGAAAATTTCTTCGCCGTTTTTAACGCGAGCTTCTTTTGAAATCTATACGATAAAGATACTTGGATTTCGTATTTGTAAAGAATTATACATTATTTAGATCAACATGATACCTTAAATTTATTACTAACATATTCAAGATTTAAAGACGTATGTTTGGAAAAGTTATTCAAACGAATCTTCGTATATACATCAACAATTCAGTACAAAAGAGAAGTGTCATATTATTCAATGGTTTATCCCAAGTATCTGTAGGTAAACGATGAAATTCATTAAAGATTCGACATTTTTTGAATTATGTGACTCGGGATTATTCAGATACGACAGGATAAAAGAAAATGTTATGAACCATTCAGTTGACCAAATCTTAAACGTTTGCAAATGGCACTCAAATTGTAAAATTATTTCGCTAAAGTATATGGATTATGAAACGAAAGAAAAGATCTCTTGGTTTGAGGGTTAATAAAGGCTTGTAGTGAAAGGTGATTGTAATTAATAGCAAATTAAGAACTAGCTGTCATGACTATGAATTGACTTAGGTATGCTAACGTTTGATAGTAAATAATACGGCATAAGCTTATATTTTCATCTTAAGCGGCTTTACATCTCTTATAGCGGCTTTACATTTCTTAAACCGCTATTACATTTCTTAAAAGCAATAAGAAATGTAAAGCCGCTTAAAGATTTTATTACAACCTTTATATTATATAATTCAATATTAAATTAAACATTATGTTCCATAATTGGTTAAACCGTCGATATTATAGAATGGCCTGGATATAATATCCAGTAATATCTATACTTGTTATTTTTAATTTTTTCTTAATGCTTCGTTGTTCATTCGAGGTACATTATGGGTTTACTCAGTAGAATGTCAGAGCTAGAGTTTAAATAATTAAATTAAAATTGTCTTTTATCAAGTTACACATGTTCTTAATTTACAGCATCAATTACAAATTGATGAATTGTTTTGTGAATTGGATTTGTTGTATAAAATTGATTATCAATATCAATTTTTAAATTTCTCCAACCAAATATAAAATTTATAATTAAACCAAATAATAAACCAAATGCAATAATTAAAGGACCAACTGAATTATCTAAATGTTTATCACTTCTTTCCAATATAATATTTCTACGTTTTAAATAAACATAATAACCCCATAAACAACTAAAAATAGTTAAAATAAGATAAAAATAAGCTAAATAATCTGATAATGTTGAAAAATTTGATTTTTTTGATGAGTTATAAATTATAAATGTAAAAGTTGATAATAATGTTGTTACATGTAACCATCTATTAAACGTTCTTTCATTTGCTAACCAAACTTTTGGTTCAATTTTAATTGGTCCCATGTTTTTAATCCATTGATCAGGTTTTGAAACACCTGGTGGTAATTCAATTTCTTCATCTTCTGAATCAACATCAATTAATTTTGAAAATTCATTAGGTAAATTCATTAATCTAATTAAAGGATTAGGTTTAAATGTAATTTCTTCTTCATCTTCATCATCAAAATCTGATGATTGATCATCGGTGGTGACATTTTTTGGTGGTGGTGGTGGTTGTTGTTGTTGATTATCAGTTGCAGTTGGTGATAACTGTTCTTCATCAATAATTTCAACTCTTTTAGTTGGTTCTTCTTCTTCATCTTCATCTTCTTCTTTATATAATAAACTACCAGAAAATGAAGCGGATCTTGGTTGAAAATTTGAATTTGAACTTTTCATCAACATTGATTTAAATTTTGATAAATTATCATCATCTGATAATTGAGTAATATTACCTTGATTATTAACTTTTGGAGGTATTTTAGGTAATTCATCATTTATATCACCTTCTAATTCATTAAACCACATTGGAATATTATCTAATTTATCATCTTCTAAATATAAAGAAGCAACACCATGAATAAATTTTGAAAAATTTGGAATTTCTTTAACTAAATAACTTGAATTAATTAATTCATTAATCCATTGTAATTTTTTAAAATTCTTTGCACTTGATTTTTTAATTTTAATTTCCATTGTTGCAAATGGGAATTTTACAAATTCACCTTTTCTCAAAAATTGTTGTGGATTTTTTGAATTATCAATATCTAATCTATGCCATTGTTTTGGATCTCTAATTGGTAATTGAGAATCAAAAGAATCTTCTCTTATAAAAGTTAAATTTGAATCAATTATAATTCTAATTTTATCATCACCAGGAATTTGAAAAGCAGTTCTTTTATAAGTTGTTCTTAAAATTGGTTGTAAATTATTCTCATCAATAAAATTAACTAATCTTTTAATTGATTCTTCATCATCATTAATTTTAATTAATTTTTTAGGGATTTCTTTATTAAGAATTAATTGATTAATATATTTTTGTTTTAATTCAATTTTATCATCAATATGAAAATTTGAATTTATATCAAATTGTTTTTTTTCAAGGGTAATTTTTGGTTTATCACTTAATTTACCCACCCATCTAATTCTTAAAGTTGAAGAATTATTTAATTTTGTTAATTTATGATTATATAAATCAAAATGATCATTATCAAAATATAAACAATTGATGGTTTGATCACCATGTGATAAATGTTTAGTATTTTCTTCATCATCATCATCATCATCATCGTCTTCATCGTCATCATCATCTCTATCATGTAGATTATTTTTTCCATAAACTAATACAGGTAAATGTCTTAAAATTGTAGTTTTAACCTCCATTAAATTTTCAGGATGAATCCAAAATTTAAAACTTTGAAATTCACCATTTAAAGCACCATCATTAAATGAAGATAATTTACTCAAACTTTGATCAACTTCATAATTATCTCTTAAAAATTGAAATAAAGTACCAACTTTATATAATAAAGGAGAATAATCTTCAGAATGGAAAGGTAATTTTTTTAATCTAACATTCAATAAAGGTTTTACAGAATAATTCACATGTAATCTATCATGTTTTTTAACAATTTTAATGAAACCTGTATAATTTAATCTTTGAAAATGTTCTAAATTTTGTGCTTCATTTAATAAATTATCTAATTTTTTTGAAAAAGATTCAACATCAAAATTCGAATTTGCCAGTTTTTCAGTTTGTAATTGTAATTGATTTAATTCTTCATTTAATTCATCAAATTTTTCATGTTGAAAACTAAAAACTTTTTCCAAATTTTCATCTAAACAAGATACAAAACTTTGTTCATCTTTATCAGTCCAATTATTTTTTAATATAACACCTTCTTTTAATAATTTTTTCAATTGATTATAATTAATATAAAAATCTTTCCAAGGGGGATAAATTTCGGAGTCTAATTTAGTACCAAATAACATTTTTTCACTTTGAGGTTGAACACCGTTCGTTGTATTACTTTGTTGTTGCTTACTATTATTTTCTGGATTTGAGCTTGTTGACATTTGAAGTAAATTAAATTAAATAGGAAGAATTGAAATAAATAAATATGGATAAATCAAATTATAAAAATGAAATTGAAATTGAAAGTTGGTTGGTTGTAAACTTGTCCTAAAGATTTTTTGCTTTGTATATATATATATTTTGTGGTTTGGTTTGTTTCAATTCCTTTTTTTTTTTGTTTTTCGCCCTGGTAGAAAGTTATAATTGATTTATCAGTTGAATATATTCTATTAAGCAGTGACGAATAATTTGATTTGTTTAGTTAATGTGATGGTAGGTTTAATTCTTCTTCTTCCTTTAATTCTTATTTAACCGGTGAAAATAAATTAAATTTAATTTGGAAGTTAACTAATATAAATATAAATATAAATATAAAAAATTATAATCAATTGCACAATAATAAAAATTATATTTTTAGTATTTTCAGTCTAAAATTATAATTGTAACCTTTTTCAGCTAAGTAACCAAATAACTAACCAACTAACTAACCAACTAACTAAAATAATAAATAAGTAGAAAACTCCAATAGCTCAAATTGGAGTATAAAGTTAAATTTGGATCGATTTCTATACGTTTCTTATTTTTTATGTCAATTCGAATTCGAATTCGAATCTTCTATCTTTTAACTTTCAAGAATAACTTTAATATGTCAATTGATGCAAAGTTAAAAATAAATAAATTTCACAATGAGTTGCACAAAGTTAAAATTTAATAAAGTATGGAGTGGCTTTTAAACTAATTGGATTAATACTATTATATGAGATGCTCTTCTGATTCAGTGTCAAATAATAATATCTTTAAAATCAATAAAATTGGTAAATGCTGCTAAGAATTCAAATTGAAAGCTTAAACTTAAAAATTTGTTCGGTGTAGTTTCACATAGAAATTCGTAAAGATTGACATTATATTAGTCGTGCATACCATGACTTTTTTTTCTTATATTTTTTTTTTTTTTTTTTTTTTTATTTTCGTCTAATTAATAAAAATTGGACCCACGTTTTCGCTTTATTAATTAAAATTAGTATATAAACAATTGAATGGTTCACACTTGACTCGCAATCATTAGAAACATTAAACTACAGGATTATGCCAATTGTTAGCTCAAAGCTAGACACTTTTTCTATTATCTTTTATCTTTTCAATGTGAGATTGATCTTTAAACAAAGTTTGTTTTGGAAAGTGATGTAACATCATTTATCAGTCGTAACCTTTGTTATTTTCTTGATTTTATTTTTATTTGTTTGAATTTTTTTTTTTTTTTTTTTTTTTTTGTGTCTCTTTAGTTAAAAGCGTAATTAATAAAATATTGATTTGGTTTTTCTATTCTATGCATAAACTAAAATTAATTTTGTGTAATTTCCGAATTATAAACAACTCTGAGCCGTAATAATTGCAGGACCAAATCGAGCAAATCGAGCTAAATATTACACGATCCTACGGCAGTAATTACAATTTGACGCGACCGAACCGACTCAAGTATTAGTTTTGATTCGAATTCTTATAGTTGCAGGTCATTAACCATTGTGATTCAGGTTTGATTAATAATATTGAGTTATTCTAAGAACACAACAAAGCCATATTAGAGCGAAATTGTTCTTTTACATCTTTATTTGGCTTATTTGGCTTATTTGGCTTATTTGGCTTATTTGGCTCACAATAGATCATGTTTGATTAGTTTCATATCCAAAAATCAACCATTTTTTCAAATCTTGTCTCGTATAAAAAATAAAAAATAAAAATCCACGCTACCAATTGCATTTGGCTGCGAAAAAATAATCTATAGAAAGAACTCGTCTACATTTGAATTAAAGCAAAGAAGATCATAACAATAAAAGTTTTTAATTAACATACATTAACTTAAATCATATACCATAAAAACTCATTACAAAAATATAATATAACATTATAAATTAATTAACTCTAATACTTCTTCTTTTAAAAAAATCCATTACTTTTCTAGCTGCACTAGTTTCTTTTTCAATTGTCTTTTTTGAATTTGTTGAAGAGCCAGAATGAACTCTTTTTTGAGGTGCTCCATGTGATTGTGATTGTGATTGTGATTGTGATTGTGATTGTGACTGTGATTGTAGTGTTTTATTCTTATTTGATTCATTTGATGGTTCTAATGGTTTTTTATTTTGAATTATATTTGTAGAATCTTTAAGTGAATAATTTGATGAATTTGAAGTACTATAAAATGCTAACAAGCTAAATCTATTCTTCTTTTTATTTTCCTTAATATGATTTTCTTTATTTTCTTTATTTTCTTTATTTTCTTTATTTGTAACTGCTATCGAATGTCTTTTATTAGTTGGTGCTGGTTTCTTGAATTCTTCTGATTTTTTAATATATTCTTCAACTGGTATAATTGGTGATGAATCTTCCACTTCAATCTTAACATCGGATGAATCATGTTTTTCTTTTTCTTCTTTTTCTTCTTTAACTTTTTGTTCCTTTTTTGGTGATTCTACTAATTCTAATGTATCTATTTTATCTTCTAAATAACTCAACACTGAATTTCTTTTATTTTCTTCATTACTTAACACGCCATTAACGTGAATATGAGTAACTTCAGAATTTCTTCTAGAAATTTGTTGTTGTGGAGAAGAAGGTAAATCTATTGATGATTCCATTATATCACTATGTTGATTTGATGTTGATGTAGAAATATATTGACCAATTGGATTAGGATAAGATTTGTTAAATTCATTAGTTAAACTTGATGTTATAGATGATGGATGATACGAAGTTGGTCTTGGTTTTTTGGTTGGTGGTAATCTTGGAGTTGTAGTTGATGATATAATCAAAGGTACTTGATGTTGTTGTTGTTGTTTAGTAGGACTTTCAACAATTGTCGGAATTTTATAATCTAATGCTTTTAATGCAATACTAGCTGAAGAATATGAATTTGATATTGATGATGATTTTTGATGACCCTTTTGTGGAGAAATTGGTGAATTTTTCTTTGGAGATGGTGTTGTTGATAAATTATTTATAGTATCATTTGATTCATTTAATTTTGGTATTGCAACAGTTGAAGATGGAGATGAATATAATAAACTAATTGAAGTTGAAGAATATGATCTATTATGTAATGAAATTGGTTGTGGTTGTTGTATAATTAGTGATGCTGAATTTGTACTTTCATTAATCATTGAGAAACGTTTATTTGGTTGTGGTTCATGAATTATTGGTTTATTTTCTTTATTATTACTCAATTTATCCCATTGTGGTTGATTTATTTGTAACAAATTTTGATATTGAGATAACCATGGATGTTGTTTAATTTCTTTCATATCTATTCTTTTCCTTGGATCTGAAACAATAATTTTTCTTAATAAATCTCTTGCTAATGGACTAACATATTCAGGAAAAGTTAGTGGAGTTTTAACAATATAATGATATAATTTAATTATATCTGAACCATCTTCATTTTCTGGATCATCATCAAATGGTAAATAACCAGATAACATTGCATATAATATAATACCTAATGACCAAATATCAACTTTTTTACCTTCATACGGACTTTGAGTTAATACTAATTCAGGTGCTGCATAACATGGTGATCCACAACTTGTTTTCATTAGATCTGCTTTATCTTTTGAAAAAGAATTAACAAATCCAAAATCACTAATTATTACATTTTTATGTTTATCTAATAATAAATTCTCCAATTTTAAATCTCGATGAATTAAACCTTTTTTATGCATATAATCAACTCCACTAACTAATTGTGCAAATAATTTTTTGGCAATTTGTTCTTTTAAAAATTTATGTTGTAAAATATAATCAAATAATTCACCACCTGAACAATATTCTAATACAATACCAATATATTTACCACTTTTCATAACTTCAACTAAATTAACAATATTTGGATGATTTAATAATTTTAATGAATTAATTTCACGATGAATTTTAATTTCTGAATCTGAATCTTTTAATAATGTTGATCTTTTAATTAATTTTATTGCAACTTGACTTGGATGTTTCCCATCTTTTCTCCAACCTAATTTAACTTTACCAAATTCTCCTTCACCTAATGTTGAGCCTAAAATGTAGTTTCCAAATCTCACCTCGCGATGTACTTTTTTTGCAATTGAAGAATAAGAAGGTTGTGCCTGTGGTTGTGCCTGTGGTTGTAATTGTGGCAATGTGGGTATATCTACTGTTGTACGTGGTACAAATGACTGTTGATTATTATGAGATGTTGAAGTTGATGGATTTCCTCTTGGAGGTGGTGGTGATGAAGACGATGATGAATTATGATCAAAATTATTATTAAATAATTCCAATTGAGTTGGAACAACAATATTTGATGACATTGGATGAATTTGTCGTTATTTATGAAATCTCAAAATATAATAAACTAAATCTGCCTCGAGTAAAATTATTAGTTAATTTTTAATTAATGAATGAAAAATAAGTTGGTGTTTTCTTTTGGTTTCAAGATTTGTCTAATGTACTTGAATGAGACGAATTATAAGAAGATGTTGATGATTGTATAAATCGAATGATAATGATATGATGATTATAAAAATCTGGTTAATTTTTTTTGTAATTTGTTGTTTTGATTCAAAAATAAAAAAAAAAAAAAATATAAAAAAAAATCCAAATTTGTTCAAATTATAAACAAACAATTAGACAGAATGCTACCAATTACTCGTAGCCTTTCAATTAAATAATCAATAGTTTATTCAATAATGGACTGTTTTTGAAAGGACAAAATTTGTTGTACTGTCTGAAGCCCTGGGCTGTGTCTATACGATCTTTTTTAAATTGATGATTTCCGAAACAACCCGCTGATATTCAAGTTTTGAATGAATATGAAACAGTGTATCGCAAATCAAATGATGCAAAATTACTTAAAAGCTTTTATTTTTATTTATCTTTTTACTATAAAAAGATATTCAATATTATGGTAGTATCAACAAACGCTATTAATAATGGAGTATTATAATGCAACAAGTATATCTCCAAATAAAATTGAACATGCAGTGAAACTATCAAAGGTGAAGGAAAAGAAAAAGTTCAATATATAATTATTTTATTTATAAATATGTTTCATTCTTATGGCATAAAAAATTTCAAGAATTTTTACTTATTAATTTTTCTTCACATCACTTGGTAACCAATCCAGACTTTCTTTAATGACAAAATATTTTGAATAATGACCTCATTTTGTGATTAATTTTCTAAAGGGTTTTTTCTACGGTGACAAATGTCGTAAACTTTGTGTTATTAATGTAAGGGGTAATTTCTCATCCTTATATCTCCTATTTTATACCCTGTGATCTGAATCAATAAAATAACAACTACAACACACAAGCATGATGTAGATAAACTTCATCAGATGAACGAATTTTGAGATCTTTTGCAACTCCACTCAGTGTATAATTTAAGTAACTTAATGTAGTCGAATCTATTGTTTAATAGTGGGTTAGTCTTTTGCATTAATAAATGACCCTGGTTGACACGATAAATCACTTCTTATAATTTAAATTGTTCTCATTTAATTTAATAATTTTCAAACAATAACTTCGAATTATCGTACAGTTCGTATCTTATCAATCATTGTTTAAAGCTCGAGAAACATAAATTAGACAGTTAAATCGAGATTCTAGCTTTGTCGCAAATATCAATCCGTTAATTAAAATAGAGCATCAGTGTACAAAATTTCATGCGAGATTTTCAATATTTTGACATTTTTTATCTTTTTGGTCAAATTTACACTATTTTGAAAAAAAACGCAAAAAATAATGTTACAATTGCGCGATCTAGATCTCAGATAAAGCGAGTTCAAATCAGGTTTAAGTTTGTCTAGATTGATGGATCTTGTAATCGTGGAAAATATTATATAGAAATATTGTGCTAGCTTTTGAACATTGGAATTTGAAAAGCCAAAATGCATTTAATCTTTTTAAGGGGTAGGATCTTAAGGGGTAAAACTTCGTTCATTCGCATGAAATTAATATACTCTAACTTAGAGATAAACAATAATTCGACACTGGGATGTAATGCTCTAAACATACAAAGTTAACTTAGTAAGCAAAAAACAATCAAGAAATACTAGCTGTTAATATCACATTTTTATATATTTTAGCTAATTTCTTATTGTACAGCTTCAGCTTTACCAACAAAATCTAAAAATTTTCTACCTTCTTGATTGGGTTCAATCAATGGACCCGTAAATATACAATGTATAACCATATCAGGATGATAATATAATCCAGTTAATAATTTTGGTGTAACTAAGAAATATTGAGATTTATTATTTTGACAAGCAGTATGTACTAAATATTTATGAGCCATTTGTTCATTTTTTGGATCCATACCTTGATTAATTTCATCAACTATTCTAAATGGAGCATCAGTTAAACCTTGTAATGACATTATAAAAAAAATTGTTGAAACTGCTCTTTCACCACCTGATTGAGATTGATGATCCAAAATTTTTAATTCTGATTGTTCTCTAAATTTAACTAAAATTTGTAATTTCCAATCTTTAAATCTTTCAGATTTACCCAATTCAACTCTACCATCACTTGCAACTTTTGTAAATCTTTGATTAAATGCAATTGAAATTTGATCAACTAATTCAGTTAATTCAGTTTCCCAAGCTTCTTTTATTGTTAAAATTCTTCGATCTAATCTTTCTTTATCAATTTTAAAAATTGGTAAATCTTTTTCAGCTCTTTCAATTTCTTGTAATTTGGTTTTTAAATTTTCAATTGAAGATTTATCAGCACTTGATAAAATTGATAACTCATCTTCTAATAATTGAATTTTAGTCACAATTGTTTTTTCACTAAAGGTATCATTATCAATATATTCTTGTGCTAATTGAGAAAGGAATTCAATTTCTTCTGGTGATTTTTCGCTATTCATCTTTACAGTTTCTTTATATACTGCACTCTCTTTTAATTGATCGTATTCTTTTTTGTATTTAATGAAATCTCTTTCCAAATTTACCTTGATTTCATCTAATTCTTTAATTAAAGATTCACAAGTTAATTGTCTATTTTTCAAATTCAAAATTTCAAAATTCTTAAATACAATTTCAGTTTCTAATTTTGATGATTTTGAAACAATGCTAGATAATTTTTTACTTATTTCTGAAATGGAATTGTATTTTTCTATAATTCTTTTTTCATATGCTTTTATTCTTTGAGTATAATCTTTATTTGAATCTTGTTCTAATTTTTCAATTTTACTTTTCTTTAATTCAATCTTTGATTCTAAATGAGTTATATCATCTGTCAATTTTTTCAACTCTTGATGTTGACTTTTAAGTTCATCAAATTCATTTTTCAATACAGCTCTTTTCGATTGTAAATTAGTATTTTTGATTTTAAGTTTTTGAAATTCTTTCTCCTTTTCTTCAATTTCTTTTAAATATTCATTAATTGTTTCATTTATACGATCTTTATCATCTGGTGACAAACCTTGAACTGAAAAAAATTGTGATGGTGGTATTATTTCAGTTTGTCTAACTACTTGTTTATTACCATAGTATGATTTTCTAATTGTATGTACCACATCTCCAGTTACAAGCTTTGTAAAAGAAGTTTCTTTTATTATTTTTTCAAGTTCTTCTGGAGTTAAAATTCTATTTGTATATGGAATTCTATCAATTTTTGAATTATTGTATATCATTGACAAAACTTCGGGAGGTCCAGTTATATGGTCAGATAAGTAACCTTCAAGTTTATATTTTCTTAGTTCCTCTTTTGATAAATCATTTCTTGGTTTAACTATTGATGAAACTGCTCTTGTTGATATATTCCAATTATAATGATCTTGAGCTCTATTTATTAACCGCTGATTTTCATTTGAAGTAACTGTGATTGCAAATAAGGCACCATTTTCAATAACTTTTTCTAAAGCTGGTGCTATACTACTATCTTTAACTTCACACGATATAACTGGAGCTTCAAAATATTTATCTGCGATTTCAGGTTTTTCTCTTAATTTTTTATGAGCTGTATAAGATTCGTCACGCAATCTCATGGGCTTATCACTACGTCTCATTAAAATATCCAATTTATCATTACTTTGAAGTCCTCTATTTTCTCTATCAATTTTCTCTTTCAACTTTTTAATTTCACCATTCAACTCTTCTAGTGTATTTCGTATTACGTTTATTTCATCTTCATCTTCTCTCATTGAACTTCTTTTCTTGGTCATTTCTTGATGTAGGTTTTCAATTTCTTCTTTATCAACTATTCGAATACTATCCTTCTTTTCAATCAATCTGGCCAATTCTTCTTGATTCTGTATCAATTCACATTTCTTTTGTTCTGCTTTGTTTCTATATTGAGCTGCATTTGAAGTTAATTCCATAATATTATTCTTTAATTCCTTTTGGTCATTTTTGTATTTTTCAACTTCTCTTACAACATCTTGTAATTCCTTTTCTTTTTTATATAATTCTTTTCTTTCTATTGAATGTTGATTTTCAATTTCTTCTTTATCTTCATTTAATTGTTCATAATTTTTAGCAAAAGATTTTAATCTATTTTTAGCTTGATCTCTTTGTTGTTTTAAATGAGATTGAGTCTTTTTCAAATCACTATATTTAGCATAAGGAATTAATAATTTATGATCATTAATTTGTTTTGCTTTTGCTTCATATTCTTCAACTTTTCTAGCATCTTCTTCCAATTTTGCTCTTTCTTGATTTAAAGCATCTAGTTTTTGTTGGGTATCATCAATTTTCTTACCTAATTCTTGACTAGCAGCATCTTTATCAATTAAATCTTCGTGCATTTTTAATAAATGACCATCACCTAAAGTTCTTTCAGTTTCCAATAATAATTTATCTGGTTGTAAGCCTGCAAATTCAGCAACTCTTTCTTGTGGTAAAAAATGACATAAATTATCTAATTGAATATTAAATTTTTTACATAATTCTTTAACTTCCTTTTCGGTACTTTTACGATTATTAATTGTCCATACTGAATCTTTTGCAGAAAATTCTCTCTTTATAATAATTGGAGGTTTATTATCAAAATTTTCAATTGTAATTTCTATAGTAGCTCTACCATGACCAGTTTTAATCATTGATTTTAAATTTTTACGTTTAATTAAATTTATATTACCAGCTAAACCAATACAAATTGATGCAACCAAAGTTGATTTACCAGAACCATTTGGACCGATAATCATATTTAAAGTTGGTGATAAATTAAATTCAGCAAATGAATAAGTTGTAAAATTCCATACTTTAACATATTTTAAACCACCAGGTTTAAAACTTAGTGGTTGATGAGTTTTTTGTCTTTTAGCAGCAGAACCATTCTCCATAATCCTGATTTAATTCTGGTTAATATTTTTTTTTACGCGTAACAAACTTTTGAAAATGGTGAAATTGATCAAAATGAAATTGACCAAATTAGTATAGAGGAAACTAATGAGAGAAGCTAAGAAGCTAGTAAGTACTATAATGAGCAGTATAATTGTTATTTAACTGGAAAACAGCTTTTAAAACAGACAAACCGTTTTTGAAAGAGTAATCTTCGATTAAAGTAGCTTTAAAATGCCCAGGGCCTCCAAAAACACATCAAATGAATCATCTCTATCTCTATACTCATTTCATCTCTTATAACGGCCACTGCTCTACAATAATATGGTGATCCTGTTGTTGTATATGTTAAGTATGGATGTTTGGATCTTTTTACACTATTGTTTATTTTTGTTTTGATTTCAACTAAAATAAATTTTTTGGTTTAATAATAGAATCAATAATGGTAAGTAATAACCAAGTGATATAGTGTTTAAATACTAACAACTATTCAGTCACAAAATACCAAAACTTATAAAGATGCATTCGCGTTATTTGATAAAAAAGGAACTGGGAAAATTCCAGTTGAACATTTAGGTGATTTATTAAGATCAATTGGACAAAATCCAACATTAGCTGAAATATCAGATCTACAAAAATCAATTAAAGGTAATGAGTTTGATTTTGGTCAGTATGTAGAAATTATAAATAGACCAGATGGGTTTAAACCATTAGGATTACCAGAAGATTACATTAAAGGTTTTCAAGTTTTTGATAAAGATAATACTGGTTATATTGGTGTTGGAGAATTAAGATATATTTTAACATCAATTGGTGAAAAATTGTCGGATTCAGAAGTTGATGAATTATTGAAAGGCGTTAATATAACAAATGATGGTAATGTTGATTATGTTGAATTTGTAAAATCTATATTAGATCAATAGATATATTATTTTATTTAGTGTGAAAAAAAATTAACATCTCTATGGCCGATAATATACCAATTACTGCAATTGAAATAACTGGTAGTACTATAGATCCAAAATGTAATGAAAGATTACATTTATATCCAAAAGAAAGAATCGAAGCTATATTGACGACTACTGGTTTGGTCGGTTTAGCTATTGGTTTATATGACGGTGTTAAAATTTCATCAGCTAGATATTTAGCAGAAAATGCTCATAGATTACCTACGAAAGTTGGTGGTTGGTATTTTTATCATAAGAAAAAGAATTATGTTATGATTACTCAATCATTGAAATTTGGTATTAAATCTTGTATAAAATATTCTTTACCACTTGGTTGTTTTGTTAGTTTAGAATATTTATTTGATTTAATACGAGGTAATACTATAGATTTTTTAAATACTACAGCTTCTGCATTTATAATATCGAGTGGGTATTGTGCTTATAATAAATTAGCAATAACACAAGCTCGAACTGCAGTTTTGAAAGGTAGTTTATTTGGTTTGGGACTAGGTTTAATACAAGATTATTTAATTCATAAAAGAGGTGGAAAAATTTGGTATATTGATAGATTTAATATATAGACTACTCTTCATCTGAATCATTTAAATCAGGCACTGGATACTTGAGTAATGCTGCTATACCCGTTAGTTGATTTAATTGAATACCAGACTCGTGTAAACTTGAAAATATATAAACTTTTGCACCCAAATTTTTTGCTTGTTCTGTTAAATCAATATAATGTCTTCTTATTTCAATATCGTCTGATCTAAAAAGATCATCACTAACCATAAGATACCTTACAGCATCTAAGTTTAGTGCTTTTGTTATTTCTTCTAAACCATACCATGCCCTACCATCATCTTCATTTAATGCTTTTTGAAATTTAGATAATACCTCAGATTCCTCTAGAAATTTGGTATCACTTAATCTTTTCTTTGTTTGTGGATCATTTATAACTTCTTCTAAACCTTGTAGATAACCAGTAGATGAATGAGCAATTAAAAATTTTGCTTTATTTTTAATAATGTCTTGAAATTGTTTATTCTCTTTACCTGAATTTTGTAAATTTATACATTCTTGTATCAATCTTTCATATAATGTCTTTGCTAAAAATCCAGGTGATGCAAGTATAATAACTTTTAATTTATTAATATCAAAATGTCTTAGCATTGATGCGATAATCATATTATAAAATGAATTCATGGCTTTATCTAGGTCTCTAGTACCATATTCATTGTTTTTTCTAGGTATTGATTTCTCTATTTTAGCTTGTAATACTGTCATTTGATTTGTAACGTAACATAAATGAGCAACACCTTCTTGGAATACAACTGCACCAATATCTGCTTTTTTCTCAATTGAACATAAATCATCTAATAATTTCATATCATATTCATCCCAAGTGTCTTTAAGAACCGTTAAATCTTTATTTAATTCAACTTCCGCTGTGTGGTACGAATTCAATGGGATATATTCTTGTTGTACTAATGATTTACCATTTATCCTCATTGTTTGATCAGAAGCAATATAATCTACTTCTTCAACAGTTAATTTCAATTTCACGAGTATTTTCTCCATTTTAGCGTTACCTTTAGTTATATTATTTTGATTTCCTTTCTTTACATTTCGATGAGTTAATAATGAAACTGAATCTCCTTTTTTGATAAGATTATAAATATACCATAAATCTTCAGAATCTTCAGGTATTAAAGTAACAGCAACATTCTTATCCTTCAATTTGACTTTACTTTTAACTTGCATAGCTAATACTTGTTTATCTTGTTTATATTCTTTTATTTGCTTGTATAACCAATCACGAAAAAATTTCTTGTAATCAAAAACTTTGCAACCATTTTAAAGATTGGTGTAATATATGATAAAGAGAGGAGTTAGACTACGACTAAGACGGTATTACTCATTATATGAATATCCAAGATTGGTTAGATCACAAGGTGAAAGGTTAATAGCTGAGGATACAAATTTACCCCGGGCAGATATCAAAAAGATAAATCAGATACTAAAGAAGAAGGTAACTACCAAAAGAAGTGATGCAATAGAAGAAATAACACATAGTAATAATATAATAACTTTGGAAATTAATGACTTTTTAAAGAAATTGAATGAGGAAGACGGTACAAATCTACAATTGAAAGATATTTATAATTCAAAATCAGTGATTAAATCATTCCTACCCCATACAAATAATGCTAGAGTATTTACTGCTACTGTTAGAGATGTATCTACTGATGGATATGGTTTAGCAATAACTTCAAAAAATTATATAAATCAAGAGAATTTCACAATTTTGAAAATTCCCAAAGTTTGTAAAGGTGATGTAGTTCAAGTTTTGATTAAGTTTCATCATGAGTTTTATGCAGAGTGTGAAGTTGTCGAGATTATAAAGCTGGGTGGAGGGAGGGATGACTCATTAGTTAAATGTCAACATTTTAAAACTTGTAGCGGATGTCAGTTTCAAATGATACCGTATAAATATCAACTTCGACACAAGAGTAAAAGTATAGAGAAAGCATATCGATACTTCTATCCAGAGTTGGGACTAGAATATGTGAAAGTTGTTGAGTCACTATTACAATACAATTATAGAACTAAACTCACACCACATTTTTTTGTAAATAAAGGGATAATAAACAAGATTGGATTTGAAAGTGTTTATAAGTATCTAAGAGGGGTAGATGTGATACATTGTCCAATTGCAACTGAAGAAGTAAACAAATTGTACTCAGAATTACGACCGCAAATTATTAACAAGCCGCCAAAACAAGCACAATTTACCATAAAACAATCATTAGAAAATGGAAATCCAACCGCAGTTGAAGGGTTTAAGAACATTATAACTGAAAAAGTCAATGATTCCATCTTTCAGTTTTCATCATCATGTTTTTTCCAAACTAATAATAGTATACTATCACCATTATTCAAATATTTAGAATCACAAATTGATGAGTGCAATTTTGAGTTGAAGAATATTGTCGATACATATTGTGGAGTAGGTCTATTTGGTATTTCGTTAGCCAAAGTAAAGAAGGATATTAAAGTTTTTGGTATTGAAATAAGTCAAGAACAAATCCAATTTGCTGAAAAGAATGTCAAGTTAAACAAATTAAACCCAAAACATGTTCAATTCATTTCTGGTGATGCTTCAAACATATTCAAGAATGAGAAATTCAACAAGATGAAAATAAAAGGTAGTGGTTCATTAGTGATTATTGATCCATCTCGTAAAGGGTCAAATAAAGAGTTTCTACAACAATTGATCGAATTTGAACCTGATATGATTATATACGTAAGTTGTAATGTATTCACACAAGCAAGAGACCTAGCTATGTTTAAACATTTACAAAAACAAGTGAATTATAAAATCAAAGAATTAATTGGTTTTGATTTCTTCCCACAGACTAAACATATAGAAACTGTAGCAATTTTAGAAAATTGTAAATAGTGGTATATATTATTCAGCATCTCTTAAAAATTCATCAATTATATCAAACATAGCATCTACTCCCCACTTGACTCTCATTATCTGTTTTTGTCCATTTATGACATCACTAGATTTGACTTTCTCTTGTAGGAAATATTGTAATCCTCTTAATAATGTAGTTTGATCCTTTGCTTTAATTACTCGTTCAACTAGAATTTTATCATCAAATTTCACAGCTATCATATCACCTTTAATTGATTTCATACCAGCACCAACTGAATTTTTCTTTGATCTCTTACCAATTTGATCAAAAAAACTAACGAATAACACTTCTAACAATAATTGAGTATCTGAGCTTAGTGTCAAAAAATTAATTGTTCTTAAATTATGCAATGGTATTGAATTTTCAGCTAATAAAGAACCATAAAATCTTCCCAAGTTCAATATTTTACGAAGTTTTGTCTCTTCGTCATCTTCATTAAATTGTGATTCTTCACTCATTCCATCTAATTCTTTAACTAAATCCCAAAACATAAATTGAAAAGTTTTTCTAAATGAATGAGAATCACATAATTTATTTGCAAGTACACCATAGTATGGATTATATGAAGGTTCCATAATTGCACAGTGAGTTAAAACTCTTGGAATTTCACGTTCTTGTGACCTTTTCAAACTTAATTTATCCAATTTCGTCATGGCTTCAATATAATCATTTGCAGACATTATGGAAATAAATATAGCTCTACGTATATCAGTATTCATACGTTGTAACTTTGCCAATTCCATCCAGTTAGGTTCTGCAGTGTCAATAATATCATTCATTGCAGTTGTATCTACATCTTGAACAAATTTCTCCTCGTCATTTCCTTTCCATGCTGAACCAATCAACCACCATTTACCTCTAGTTGAAACATTATGAATATCTTCAAGATTGACTTGTATTGGATCGGTGATGTTACTTATTCCACCGAGAAATTTCTTTAATCTGATGGTTAATTGATGATTGGCTTCATTTAGGATTTTAAGTTTGTTGTTTTTTAAAGATGAGATAGTTTCAATTAAAAATTGAATTCTTGTATTGTTTAACTCTTTTGGTAAATTGGCATATTTCTCATTTATTAAAATTACAATGTCTTTCAAGGATGAAGGATCATCTGATCTCATTTGATTACCTGAATTTCTAGTCAATCTTAGTAAAATATCAGCATTATTTTCATTTAAATCAGTTATCAAATTTTTAATTATATCATATAATAGTTTAGATGAAATTAATTGAAATGTGTATAGTGAACTTAAAAGTGATATTAAATTAGATGATTCTTTAGATTTACTTGCTTCTTGATTATATTTCTCAAATTTTTCAATCAATTCTTGAATGAAATATGCACCAAAATCAATACCCTGTAATTTATACAATGCAACAATAACACAAGCATGTAAATAAACAAATGTATCTAATATTCTCCCCTGTTGAATTATAGAATCTAATATAATTGAAGTTATTTCTTCATTTAAAATTTGTCTTGGATTTGACATATATAACCTTTGTAGTTCATTTACTATTGTACCTATATTTGCCTCTGATAATTTATTCAATGGACCTTTAATTGATTTACGTAATTGTAATGTCTCTTCAGATACTTGATTTCCTTGTTCTAATGCCATTTTTTTACGTAATGCAGGTGGAATATATTTTTGAGTAGTTGTTAATTCTCCTTCTATCGGTTCATCTGTACCTGGTGCAACACATGGATTTTCTTTTTGTCTTGCTTCATCATCTGGCTCTGATTCGGATTCAGATTGTTCAGATTGTTCAGCTTCTTCAGTTTCTCCATTGTCTTCTTTCTCAAAATCAAATTCCAATCCATCTAATAATCCACCTATTTCATCAAATTCATCTTCTTTTGATAATTTTGATCTTTTGCCATTCTTCAAACCTAATTTTTTGGCATGATATTCTATATCATCATCATCCTGTTCAAAAATTCTTTTACCAGCTGGTACCACCGATTCTTCTTCTTCAGATTCTTCTTCTTCTTTTTCTTCTTCTTCTTCTTCTTCTTCTTCTGATTCAAAGTCTAAATCTAAACCGTCTAATAAACCACCTATCTCATCATTTTCGTCTACTTTAGTCAATTTTGATTTTTTACCATTCTTTAAACCCAATTTCTTAGCATAATATTCAATATCTTCATCGTCCTGTCTAAACAAATCTCTATCTTGTGGTGGTAAAACTGGTTTCTCGCTCTTTTGTGTCTTCTTTTCTTTTTTTGATGGTTTTATAGGTTCTTCTTCTTCCTTAAAATTGAAAAAGTCATCTTCTTCATCATCTAATTCATTCTCGTTTACTATTTTAACTTCAGAATTTTTCTTGGATGTATTCTTTCTCTCTTTTAACTTTCTTAATGCTTCTAGTGGATCTTCTTCTATATCTTCATCTACTTCATCAAAATCTGAAAAATCGTCATCTTGTAAATCATCCTCCTTCACTATTCTAACTTCTGATGGTTTCTTAGATCCATTTTTCTTCTCTTTTAACTTTTTTAATGCTTCTAGTGGATCTTCTTCTATGTCATCCTCATCAAAATTCTCATCTCCGTCAAAATCCGATAAATCATCATCTTGTAAATCATCCTCTTTAACTACTCGTATTTCTGATTTCTTATTGGATCCATTTTTCTTCTCTTTTAACTTTCTTAATGCTTCCATAGGATCTTCTTCATCATTTTCGTCTTCATTTTTGGTTGCAAATTTTACATTTTTCGGACTTTTGCCTTTTTTCTCCAGTTTGTTATAGGTAATCTTGTCCTTTGTGATCTGATTTGGTTTCTTTGCCCTTTTTTGCTTTTTCAACTCTCTTTCCTGTTTTCTCTTGTCTTTTCTTGATATATTTGGACCACCTTTTCTTTTCTTACGAAATCTTTCATCATTATCGTTATTTTCATAATTATTAATTAAAACTTGATTCAACAATTTTTCGGGTAATCTAATTGTATTTGACTTTAAGTCATCATCTAATTTAACCATATTGTGTCTATTTACAAGTTATACTGTTGGTTGTTTCAGAATGAAATAATCTGTTTTATCTCATCTATATAAATATAAAATAAGAGTATTCCTGTATATAATAATACCGTGGCCAAATTATTTATTTTTAACAAAAGAGAAAAAGAATATATCAACCACCAAGTAACAAATTATGGTTTTTAACAGGTTTAAATTAGATTTTGGTAAATTTAAAATAGATATCAAATTGCTTGGAGATATTTTTATATTAGCTGGTGCTGGTTTATCGGTTTATTATATACTAAATACAATTATAAATGATTATTTAGATCAATCAATTAAAAATAGTTCTTCAAAAGATTCAGATAAGAAAATAAAAACAGTATTGAAAAAATTACAAATTGCAAATCCAAGTCTCAAGAAATTAGATTTTAATCAATATGAAAAAAATTTACTCAGTTCATTAGTTACTCCCGATGAAATAAATATTACATTTGAAGATATAGGTGGATTACAAAATATAATTGATGAAATTAGAGAGGCTGTTATATTACCATTAACTAAACCTGAAATATTTTCAGTCCATTCAAATTTAATACAATCTCCAAAAGGTGTTTTATTTTATGGACCACCAGGTTGTGGTAAAACAATGCTTGCAAAAGCAATTGCGAAAGAAAGTGGGGCATTCTTCTTATCAATTAGAATGTCAACTATAATGGATAAATGGTATGGTGAATCAAATAAAATAACAGATGCTATTTTTTCTTTAGCTAACAAGTTACAACCATGTATTGTATTTATAGATGAAATTGATTCATTTTTAAGAGATCGAAGTTCAACTGATCATGAAGTAAGTGCAATGTTAAAAGCTGAATTTATGACATTATGGGATGGATTAAAATCAAATGGTCAAATTATGATATTAGGTGCGACAAATAGGAAAAATGATATTGATGAAGCATTTTTAAGAAGAATGCCAAAGACATTCCCAATTGGTAAACCAAATTATGAACAAAGAAAACAAATATTATCAAAAATACTTAATGATGCAAAATTGGATCAAGATGAATTTAATTTAAATTATATTGTTGAAATTACAAAAGATTATTCTGGTTCTGATTTAAGAGAATTATGTAGAGAAGCTGCAATAATACCTGTTAGAGAATATATTAAAGAAAATTATAATTATAAAAGTGGTAAATTGAAAAAAGACGATGATGATGATGATGATGATAATGATGATGATGATGAATTACCAGTTAGATCATTAAGAACATCAGATTTTGTGAAATTAATATCAAATAATATAAATGTTAATAGTATACCAAGTATAGCATTAGATTGAGAGTGGTGTATTCACACGACTTCCCATCTTGAAATAATATATAAACTAAACCTTTTGAAAAAAAATTATTTTTAACTTTTTCAATCAACTTTATAAAGAAACATCTGTTTGTATAGATAAATATACAACATTTTATTGACAATTGTCGAGTCTATTTATATCTATTGGCTTCTTCGAAGATCCTTATACCTACAAAAGTGGTATAATGATTCAAAGCGAAGCCTAAATTGATTTTTAATCACGACTAATTTGGCTTCAACTTATACAGTATTTTTATAGGAATTAATACGCTATGAAGTTGAAACTGATATTGTAAATATTGGTGATAATTAGTTTGAGACATTCATTTTTTGCTTTTAAAGCATTTTACTACAGGGCCAATTTTAAACAGCTCCACTTGAATATTGGTTCTGGTAAACGCTTCAATGCTTTCCCAAACTGTTGTATGATTGTTGATAAATCGTAGAGGTATTAACTCTTAAAATTCTTGTTCTATAGTACTTAAATTAATACTCCTCGTCACTCGACATAGATTTTCGCCTGAGTTAAAACCACGATCAAATTTTTTTCGTGTGAATCTTATACGAGAGCGAGGCAAATCATGGACTAATCTATATTAAACTTGAACTGTTACTAACTCTTGAGCAACTAGCTCAATCAAAATTATCCTAATATAAATAATACTCGGTTTATTGCAATTAATATAACTATATTAGTGATTGTACTGAATGCGAAAATCTTTGCTTTAGGTATCTATTTACATGCACCGCTTTCAGGAATGGATTAATTGGTAGCATAATTGTATAATAGTAACTTATCACGAGGCAAATTAATTCTAATCAGCATTACTCTAAGTAGCATTATTGGTTATTCATTCCGATAGGTGCTTCTATGCGTTTTCTTGTATCACTATTCATGCGACATTATGGCATTTACTCTTAAGATTATTGTTTTTTAGGTCTTAATTCAAAACTTTGTGTCATCTAACATTAACCTCTGTTTAACTGGGAACCAAGTTAAATTTTTTTTTCGCGTAAATCTAATACGAAGGGAACGCAAATCACGAACTAAAACTGATTCAACTGATTTAACCTTAGCTATTAATAACTCCTTATTCATAGCTCAGTCAGACTAAACTTCATACAAATAATACTCAGTTTATACGAGCGAGATACATTTATACTAGTCAATATAATGGATGAAGAAATTTTTGATTTAGGTTCTCTAGTACATAAATCGCTATTTGTACTTAAACCGCTTTTTGGGGTCAATATTCTCATTCGATTTGGTTCGAATTCAACGAAATTGCAATTAAGTCTATACTACCTTTAAGATTCAGTATAATTTTGCAACCATGAAAATCAATTGGTAGCGAAATTGTATAATAGCAACTTCTCACTCAGGGCCAATTTTCTTCTTTTATCATCTTTTCCCCAGAAATGATCATTAAACAACCATCGAGATTCATAAAACAATCTCAATTGATACCTCAATTATGTATTCTACGTCCTAGATTTTATTCAACAGATTTAGAAAATTTAAAAAAAGAATCAGACTCGACAGAATTTGATAGTTCAGCATCTACAACTGGGATTATTGATAAGAAACAATCCGAAGTTTTATTATATTTTGATTCAATTTATGCATTTGCAACTTCAAAGAATCTAGTATTAAACTATATATCAAGACTTGAGTTACCATTTAGAAGAAAAGTTAATGAATCTAAATTAAAGTCAAAAGTTGAAGCATTATCGTCACCAACACCTGCTGATTCTAAAATTACTGATTTTATCCCATTAAGAAGGGACTGCGGTGCTTTTGTTAAATTTCAATATCCTAAAGAGTATACTGCTAGAGAATTTATTGAGCAGATAAGAAAGAATGTTATCGCAAATGAAGAACAGAAAATGGATAAGAATCCTTTACTCAAGTTAACCAATTATGTATTTGATGTTGATCCGAAGGTGTTTTCAGTCAAGGGTGTACCATGGATTGAAGATTTAAGAAGATTTCCAAGTCCTAAAATTTCTGTTAAATTTGAAGGGTCCGCATTAACTGAAGAAGAATTATATGTTTTATTCAGAAGATATGGTTTAATTAATGATATTAAAATTGAAAGTCCAACTGAAGCGGTAATTTGGTTTCGTAGTTTAAGATCAGCAATTGCTGCAAAACATTGTATTACTGGTATTGAATTAAATAATGGTAAAACAGTTTTGCATATTCAATTTATACGAATCAAAAGAACAAACTACCTAACTGATTTCGTAATGAATCATACAAGAATTGCCGTACCTATTATATTAGCATTATTAGCCACATTTGCAGTTTTAATTTTTGATCCAATTAGAGAATGGTTCATTCAATTTAAAATTAATCATGGTAATACTAAAAGATTTGAACATTATAAACAAAATAGATGGTTTAAATTAATTTATGTTCCTTATAGAACAATAGTGGATTGGATATCAAATAGTTATGATTATATTGATACTCAATTTCATGATATGACCGGGTTCAAAGATTCAGATAGTGAAGATGGTGGAAGTTCCATCATGGAAATGAAGAATGAAAATAATATGTTTTGGCAAGAAAGAAATGAAAAATCAAAACAATTGAAATTATGGATTTTAGAAAATTTAAACAGTTATATCATTATTAAAGGTCCACAAGGTTCAGGAAAGGAAGAATTTGTACTTGATCATACTTTGAAACTTGATGATAAACTAAATAAAAGAATTTTGGTTGTTGAATGTGATGAATTAAGTAAAGCAAGATCAGAAAATAATTTAATTAATAATACTGCTTCACAATTAGGTTATTTCCCTGTTTTTACGTGGACGAATACAATTTCACAATTTGTTGATTTAGGATTACAAGGTTTAACAGGATCCAAAAATGCTGCATTAAGTGAATCAAAAGAAACTCAAATTAAAAATATGTTTTCATTAACTACTCAAGCAATTAGACATATTACGGATTCAGAATATGCAAAATATGTCAAAATTATAGAAAAGAAGAACAAACGTATCAAGAATGACGATGAGAAGATAGAAATTTTAAAACAAGATGATTTCTTACAACAACATCCCGAATCAAAACCAATTATAATCATTAATAAATTTGCAAGAAAAGCAGATATACATTCAAATGATTTCATATATCCTTTAATTGCCGATTGGTCAAGTGGGTTAATTCAAAATAATATAGCACATGTTCTAGTATTAACTTCAGATGTTGGATCAATTCAACATTTAAATAATGCTTTACCAAATCAAGTATTTAAAGACATATCATTAAGTGATGCATCAATGAAATCTTCCAAGCAATACGTATGTGATGCTTTGAAGATATCAGATACTATACAAAATCAAAGTTTAGATGATTGCATACAACCATTAGGTGGTAGAATGTTAGATTTACAATCATTTATAAGAAGGATTAAATCTGGAGAAGAACCAAATCAAGCTATAAATGAAATGATTACACAAGCTGCAGAATTAATAACTACATTCTTTTTAAATAATACTAAAAGTAATGATGTTAATTGGCAACCATCACAAGTTTGGTTAATTATGAAATTATTATCAAATAAAGAAGATGTTACATTTGCCGAATTGATTAAAAATCCATTATTTAAGAATTCAAAAGAAACAATAGATACATTATCCACATTGGAAAAATTTGATTTAATTTCATTAAAAAGAGATAAAGGGGTACTTAACAAAATTTGTCCAGGTAGACCATTATTCAAAGCTGCCTTTAAAAATTTATTACATGATACAAGAATTTGGAATCTATATGAAATTGATTACTTAACAAATTTGATAAATATTGAAATTACAAAAATTAATCTATTTGAATCTGAATTAATTAAAATTCATCAAGTTGGTAATAAATTAGATGGAAGAATTGATTATTTAATTAAAAAAATTGAAGCTTCAAATGGTAAAATTGTAAACTTTGAAAAAGAAATTAATGAAATTGCAACTGGGAATTCAAAGCATAAAACATTTTTAGGAATTCCTTATTAATCTGTATATATTAATCTATCACATTTGAATTTAAAATTTCCCAAACCATTCTTCTCCGTATATTCTTCATATCTTTTTGACTATATTTTAATTCTTGGTTTCCCGATATAAATTTTGCTGCAGTACATGTGAAAACACCACAATCAGAACCATTATTTTGTTGAGGTGATTTGAAAAATGAAATTAATTCATATTCAATTGGTGTATGACCTAATCTTAAAGCTTCTTGTCTCATATATTCATTTAAATTTTTAACTGCTTGTGGATTTCCATGTTTTGTGTCTAATGAATCATAGTATGTAATTGTCTTTTCGATATTGTCAATGACGGACAATGCCCAATGAGTATTTGATATATTTACAGGAACTAAAACCTTTTCTTTTTTATATTGATCCACTTTTCTTCTTTTTGCCCATTTGGAAACTCCCAGATATCCTTTACCTGATAATGTTGAATAAAAATGAGTTGTCCATGCAAAAACAGTTGGATATTTCTTCATCACTAATTCTAGATAGAAATCAATTATATTATCATTTAACCATCGTCCATCTTTTAAAGTGAATAAATCTTGAGTTGATATTTCTAATGTCGGATTTTTAGCTACTATTTGATTTGATCTCGATGACCATATTTCATGAACTTTAGCCAATTGTGAATAATCTAATGATTTAACTACTTGTAGATTCTCTAATCTTTTCTTTGTTATTGTAGACTGTAGATTATTTGAAGTTGATTCATAAATAGATGATATTTTATCAATATAAAAATCTGAAATGAAATTGTCAATTAATGAATGTTGATTTAATGAAATTGGTTTAGTAGGTATATAATAGTTTAATATTGATTCTTGATAAGGTGTAATATCATTTCTAATATTTAATATACTTTCTCTTGGTTCATGTTTGATTAATTGTTGTTGTTTTGTTTTATATGAATAATTTATTGGGTTGGCAATTGATAGATTAGTACCATATTGATCTGAAGGTTGATTATTAGTGGTCTGATTAGATCTCTTATATGTTAATTGTCGAAGTAATTGACTAGTTGATGGTGTAGATGGTGTAGATGATGTAGGAATTGGATTTGATTCTTGGGATGGCTCAATTTCATCAATTGAATCTTGTAAGATGCTGTTGTTATTCCGTTCATTTTTACTGACAATATGAAAATCGTTAGTATATAAATATTGAGTCTTGATATATTCTAGGTCTGAGTCAGACTCTTCTTGATTGATTTGATGATCTTCTACCGTAGTCTTATTGATGAAAATTAAAAAAATAAATTTTTTGATATAATTTATGATGCTGCGTAGAATCGTTGACATTGTAGATAGTTCAGTATACTGATTATTTATAATTTCATGATTAACATTCGGTAGTTCTTCACCATACACAAATCTTTCTTTAGACAATATTATGTTATCGTTGATCATTGATAGAGCACTATTAATTTTTTGCGCTTGCAAAATTTGAATGAAAAATTAATTTCTTCGCACAACATTTAGTCGCTTAAGATCAAAAATTACGACCAAGATCAAATATTTATCGCGCTAATTTAAGGCAGAGTTGGTACCAAAATTGCCTCAAATAAAATTATTGAAATCTTTCAAACTATGAAAGTAATCAGGTTGAAACAACTCATACAAATACTACTCACTTTCTAACGAAAAGTTCATTGATGCCTGTTCTGGTTTCATTGAATGGATGAATATTTATTTCAAATCATTGCTGCCCAACCAAGTGATGCCAGTTTCTAGTTATTCTTTATATTTAATGTTTTAGAACTAATTCATAGACCGTGCATTATGTATGGTTCACAAATTGAAGTGCTCTCTCTTTGATCAATTCAATTGTAATAAAAGTTTACATTATATTTTTATTTTGTGGCTTACGTAATCTATAATAATAATTTGTTTCAGATTTTGATTCATTTAAAATTATTTACACGATTTTTTCCATTTGATCTTTTTGTGGGTGTTGATTATTTTCCAAATTTAGAATCTTTAGAATTTGAGTCGTTACGAGGTAATGAATTCTGGGAATCGATTGCGTTGCCTAATTATCAAATTGTAATTGGTGAATCGGTCAAATTTCCAAAAAACTCGAAAGAAATGGTGCTCACCTGTAACATTATTTTAATTCGTTTCGATGCTCAATTTCCTAAAAATTTAGGAAAAGTCATTTATTAGAATTATCAAATTCGAAGATGATTATTTAGATTTTGGTTTCTTACCACCAAATTTGAAGAAATTTTACATCTTCAAAGCTTATCTTGAAAAGATTGGTTCAGCAAAACTACCAACAAATTGTAAACTAATCTGGAATGATAAAGATTTGATTGAAAATGAATTTAATTCAGAAAATGCTTAAAATAGATGAATGTATATAATTATAAAATTTGCTGTTAATTAATCTAAAATCTTAAATGTTTAAGTATAGGCTGTATCGCTCTTCAAAAATATTATATGAGTTACTATTGAACCTATCCAGATATCATAATAAAACCTGCGTTTAATTGCTGCCATTTAAACACAACTGGTCTTGGACTAAATTATAAACTTGAAAATTCAACTGGTAGCGCTTTATATATACAGGAACAATATTTTGCAACTAAATTAGTCATATCTTTCTTAAAAGATCAACATGAGTCTATTTTTGTCAGTAAATCCGTTAAAACTTAGCATTAATAACCACAAGTAGTGAAATTTCCTTGAATCAAAGCAACAGTAAACAACAATTTTAAATCGGATCAATTTTCATTGTTTCGAAAGTACAATCTAAACAAAGCAATGAGTCTAGTAAAATGAGTTCGCAAAGTTTCCAATAGCTCTACAAAGAATCTCTTTAATGAGTCACAAGATATAACAAACATAGAGGTATTGTGAGCTTTTATATAAGCATATAATAAATCAAACTCAAACTTTTCACTGATTTGATTTTTTTTTTTTTCTTTTTACTCGCCACTATTAATGGAATCTGATGAAAAAGAACCAGGACTAGAAAAGAATTATGTTCAAGAGTCCCAGAGTTATAGAAATAATTTAGATAAATCAAATGATATAAATTCAACTGCAGATGAATATAAAAATCAAAACGATGTTGAAACTATATCAGAAGAAGATGAAGATGAGGTAGAATTAATTGACGAATCTTTAGGTACAACAATTTTAAATGAAATTCAACAAGGTAGTTATGTTTGTTTAGTATGTACTGGTGAAATAGATCAAGATTCAACCATATGGACTTGTGCTCATTGTTATCGAGTTTATGATTTAGATTGTATTAAAGATTGGGCAATTAATGGTTCAAGTACAAATAAAGTAAATAAATCATTTAGATGTCCAAGCTGTAATACGAAAATTAAGAAAAGACCTAAAAAATTCACTTGTTGGTGTGGTAAAATATCAAATCCTGATAAGAATCCATTAATGCCTTTTAGTTGCGGTAATTCTTGTAATTATAAATATCAAAATTGTATTCATAAGTGTTCAAGTATTTGTCATCCTGGTAAACATCCAGTTTGTGGTGCATTAGGTCCAGTTATGAAATGTAAATGTGGTGAAGAATCAAGACAATTACCATGTATTATAACTCCATATGATAAAGGTTGGAGATGTGAAAATGAATGTAAAAATATTAAATTATGTGATTTAAATCATAGATGTAAAAAAGGATGTCATGATGGATTTTGTGGTAAATGTAAAGAAAAATTGATACTTCCTTGCTATTGTGGTAAAAATGAATTGAAACTTCAATGTTGTAATAAGGAATTAAAAGATTGTGGAGGTTTTATTGGTGGTGGTTCATGTAAATCAATTAATAAAATTTATTATGATTGTAATGAACATTACGAATTAAAACCATGTCAACCAATTAAAAAAATTGAAAAATGTAAATATTCACCAGATGTAATAACTACTTGTTATTGTGGTAAAACTAAAGTTGACACACAAAATAGATCAAAATGTACTGATCCAGTACCTGAATGTGACTTAAAATGTAACAAATTATTACCTTGTGGTCATCATTGTCAATTTAAATGTCATGAAGGTGAATGTGAATGTACAACAATTTTAGATTTAAAATGTTCATGTGGTAATGAAAGTTATTCAGCAAAATGTAAATCAATACAGCAAGGTTTTAAAGCTCCTAAATGTAATCATAAATGTTCTGTTTTATTAAGTTGTAGAAGACATTATCATCGTGAACCATGTTGTGAATATGAACAAATTGGATTAGAAAGAGAAAGAATTAAAAAGAAACAAATTAGAAATAATTTAAGAACTAGTCATAATGATTTAATGTCAATTGAAGCAATTCACATTTGCACAAAAACATGTAATAGATTGAAAAGTTGTGGATTACATGAATGTCAAGCAATGTGTCATAATGGTCCATGTGAAATTTGCTTAGAATCAACAAATGATGATTTAGTATGTAATTGTGGAAAAACAATTATTCATGCACCAGTTAGATGTGGTACTAAATTAATTTGTAATGAACAATGTATTAGACCAAAACAATGTGGTCATCCTACAGAACATCATAAATGTCATGAATTTGGTAGTTGTCCAAACTGTACAGCATTAATAAAGAAAACTTGTAATTGTGGTAATAAACATGATATTCCAGCTTTATGTTCACAAGAAAGAGTTAGTTGTGGTAAAATTTGTCAAGTTGCAAAAGATTGTGGTCATCCGTGTTTAAGAACTTGTTCTGGTGAATGTACAAAAGGTAATCATAATACTTCAATCAATTGTCAATCATTTTGTAAAAAGGTTAGAACTACTTGTCCTCATTTATGTAAATTAAAATGTCATTATAATAAAAAACAATGTGATGAAGTTATATGTAATGAAAATGTTCAATTATCATGTGAATGTGGTAATTTACAAAGAAAAGTTAAATGTGGATCATCTTTAATTAAACCAACTACTATTGGTATCGTTTTACCTTGTGATGATTCATGTGCTATAGCTAAACGAGATGCAAAATTACGTGCTGCATTCAATGTTGATGACGAAAAAAGTGAAATTTATTCATTAAATGTTTTGGAAACTTTTCAAAAGCAAAAAAATTGGTGTTTGAAGATTGAACGAATTGTGAAACAATTTGTAATTGATTGTAATAATGGTATTACTAAGAAAACATTTCATTTTCATCCAATGAATTCTTTACAACGACAATTTATTCATGAATTAACTGATGCTTATCATATTTATACTGAATCACAAGATCAAGAACCAAAAAGGTCTGTGTTTATGGTTATTACAAGATTGACTAAAATTCCTGAAAAATCAATTGAACAAGTTATTAATGAAAATTTACAAAAAGAAATTGCACAGTCAAAAGTAGAAGAATTATCAAAAGAAGAAATTGATAATTCATCATTTAATGCTATTTTAATTAAAGATTTATTTTTTGGTATTGGTAAAAAAGATTTAGAAAGGGGATTAGATATGCAAGGAACCTTTCAATGGATTAAAGATTCTACATTTGTTTATTATACTGATAATTATAAATCAATGACCAAGGAATTTGAAGATGAACTTTATTTATTATCTAAACGTTTCAAAAAGATTATTCGTGAAAAATCGTTAGCTTTTGATTGTAAATTATGTTTAATTGATGATAGTGCTACTTACGTTTTAAAAACAGAACATCATACACGAACAACACCAGAGGTTAAAGATGAAATTAAAACTGATAATAATGCATTTAGTATATTAAGTATTTAATGATGTTTCCTTCTTCTATTTTTCTTCTTTGGTTCTTCTTTTGGTTTCTCTATTTTCTTCTTCTTCACACTTAATGGATTTGGTTCTTTTGGACCTTTTCTTTTTTTAACTTGTGATTGTTCTTCTATTTCCTTCCCAGTATCATTTAACCCTGCAATTAATTTATCCTTTTCAACTTTTTCAGTAAATTCACTTGATGCATCACTTAATGGTTCCATTACCATAACTGATCTATTCATATATATTAAAGGAACACCAGGTATTTTCCTCATCATTTGTCGTAATTTTAAATCTTGTGATGCAACTATATATCTATGTTTATTTTCACCATTTATATCAATTATACTTTTTAAACATTCAATAGGAGGTACTGGTTCTCTATGATTACATTTCCTACGTTCAAAAGTTTTAGCTATATCTATAGCTTTTTGATTTTTAGTTTTATATAATGATTCAATACAACATTGAGTAATCATTGGTTTCATTTCTTGTGATTGAATTGTTCTTTGTAAACCTTTTAAAATATCATAACTTGCAGATTCACAAGTTAAAATTATTTCATCATCTATTATAGTTTGAAATGGTTCTCTAAATTTGAACGTATAAAGATATACATTCATTTGCTTTTTATAAGCTTTAGCCCTCTTCTGTCTCATTGATAACTGATGAGATGAAAAAATATTGCGCGCTCAAATATTTATATATTAATCTATATGATGAGTTTTAAATGATAAACTTTCTTCTTTTAATAATTGATCACTCTTGTTATAATTTGTAGTTTTAGCTAATGGTTTATTACGAAATATGGCAAAATTTCTTAAAAATGCATGAGAATATTTTGTTGGTGCATCTTCTGCTTCTGTATATTCTGGTACTCCAGTAAATCTTACTTTTTTAAGATTGACTGAATTACTAGATGTTGAACTTTCTGATGAAATTGTAGTTGTTTCAAAATCTATATTTGTGTTTTGTTTTGTATTTTTTCTAGTTAATGAATCTTTTGAAATTGTAATTTCAATATATTTTTTGGGTAATTGATTATTTACTGATGGATCATATGAAACTTTTTCAAATACTTGAATTGATTTCTTTTTAACATCTCCTGCTTTTGCAGCTTGTGAAAAATGTTGCTGAAATCGTTTTGATGCAGATAATTTAGGTTCTTTGATATCAAGTTTTTCTATATCTTCAGATAATGACTTTTCTTGTGGTTCTGGTGAATTTAATTTCAGTCCAACTGGTGAAGTTATTTTGGGAGTAGTTATTGGTGATGTTATCTTTGGCGTTGATTGTGGTGATGTAACTTTTGGAGTTGATTGTGGTGATGTAATTTTAGGAGTTGATTGTGGTGATGTAATTTTTGGAGTTGATTGAGGTGAGTTTATTCTTGTACTTTGGGGTGATGGTCTTGGAGAATTCTTTTGTATTGGTTTTTTTTTTAAAGCAGCTGCTGCTCCCGAACTAGCAATTGAATTTGGTGGTGCAATCTTCGTCTTTATCTCTTTCTTTGGCGACGTAATTGAACTTCTTTTCATTATAGCACTATTATTACTTGAATTTGATGATGATCTTGATCTTGTTTTAACTTCAGGTACTTTATTATCAGTATATTTATTATAAATTGAAATTAAATTATCCTTTGGTAATTGATAAATTTTTCTAAATTTTAATTCTGCAACGATCCAACTTTGACCAAATTCTTTTAATGTATTATTTGTATTTTCAATAATTGTTATACCTTGATTTGTAAATTTAATCAATGCAGGATCTTTAGCTAGATCTGTATTTCTTAAAAATTTTGTTATATTTGCAATTAAACAACCATTTTTCTTCATTGAATTAAAATAATCATTCATTAGTTTTAAATGTTGTTTAAAATTGGGGTTAGCATGATGTAATAACTTTGAATCATTTAAATGTAACTGATTTGAAAGGAATAGTTTTCTACCAAACCTTCTTAGTATGGCATATAATTCATTAAGTCTAATATTAATTAAAAATAATTTATGTAGATCTAATTCAATGGGAATAATTGATTTTAAATGACTTATCAGAGTTTCAATACCTTTTACTATTACAAACAATTCTTGTATATCAATATCAATTAAACAAGATTCCGATAATATTTCATTAATTTCAGTTTTTGGTAATTCAAAAGTAAATGTTTCCGGATGTAAATCAAAATCATCTTTAAATATCACTTTAATTAATCCATTTTCTTCTTCTCCTTTAGCTATTGATAATCTTTTTTTATAACCTTGTAAACACATATTTGCCAATGATTCAAATTGCCTTACGCATTTTTTTGCAATATCAATACTTGGTAATTCATCCAATGCAATTATTTGTATATCAGGTATATCATAAGGTATATGAGAATTACTAGTTATATTTATAGTTGTATTTTTAATTAATTTAAAATTTGATAACGAATCTAATCTTGATTCAAATGATGAATTTATAGCAAAAACATTTGGTGATAAAGCAACAATATAATTTAGTAATGGTAAATCATTATAATTAATACTTAGGTAGTTATTCAATTTATATATACCATATTGATATTGTAATATCTTATAATCTGTTGAATCCATAGTTGATAAATTTATCAATATTTATTTTTTTTTTCTTCGTTCCAAACATGAAACAGTATATATATTTAGTTGGTTTATTATTATTATTACATTCTGGTTATTCTTCATTTGAATATCATAAATTTGGTATTGAAATATCATTAGATATTAAATTGGAAAGTTTAATTGGTGTTTTATTGATTATTATTGGTAGTATAATTAATATTGAAAATGAATCATTCTTAACAATTGATAATAAAGTAATCAAGAATAAAGCTAAATATTTGAAATTTATAAAGATGTCAGACGCGGTTCAATTGGGAGAGTCGTTAGGTGTTACAGATTATGAAGAATATAATACAAGATTACCATTTATTAATATATAGTATATAGTATATAACTAGATCTGCTTTTTGTATCTATCTTCTCTCAATTTTTTACCTTTTGGACCTGCTTCTGTACCTAATACATAATCCCACCATCTAAATGATGATGAATAACCTCCAATAAAATAATGATGATGTTCATCATGATGATCTGCACCAGCCCAAAATGGTAAGAAATTATGTAATGACCATGGGAATTCATAGCCACTATGAGAATCAACTGCTTGAAATAAACGAAGTATAATCCAAATTGAAACTGTAAATAAATGTAAATTACCTGTAATTAAACACCAAACAATTGGAATACCAACAGTACCTAACCCTAATAAAGCAACTTCAATTGGATGAGCATATTCAGCTGCTAAACCAAATGGTGCGGCATATCTATGATGTTGTTTATGAATATATTTATAAAATACTCCATAATGTAAACCTCTATGAAACCAATAATGCCAAGTATCTTCTAAAACGAAGAATACTGCCCATTGTAGCAACATATCTGGTAATTTTGGAAATGGAACTTGATAACTTATACCAATTTTTTGACATAATGGATGGAAAAACCAAATTGGAAAAGCTTCAACTAAAAAATGTGATGTTAAAACTGATTTAAGACATTCCCATTGTTCTATATCTGATGGAATTTTTTCATCTTGTATTTTCCATCTTCTAAAATATGGAATTCTATCTATAATTGCCCATGGTAAACATCTACCAAAATAAAATAACTCATGAGTCAAAAAGAATAATAAACCAGTTGCAAATAAATCATTACCCATATAATAATAATATGACCCCCATAATTTTTCAATTATATTTAAATTCTCGAGTTGATTAAAATTTTGATATATTTCTGTGAAAGTTCTACCATCCAGGAATGTTGAATAATCATAGTAAACACTTGACATGGTGATAAAGCGTTGTAAGAAGAAGATGTTTGATGGAAAAAGAAATAAATATTTTTTATTTTTTTTTTTTTTTTTTTTTTTTTTTTTAAACGACGGGCTCGTTTAAAGTTATTTAAGAGACATACAGTTCATATGATATTGATATTAAGGAACAACGAACGAGGGTTTGATAAAGGAGGTTTGATGTATTAGTGATAAATGTAATGAACAATGTCTTATCTAGTAAAAGAATGTGACTAATTGAAGTTTTGTAAACGAGATTAGATGGAATCGCGTACGAAATTGAACGAAATCGAGCTAAAATGTACAAAAGTTAACGAAAATTGGAAAGAAAAGTCTGCAATCAAGGGTAGTGATCTCAATGATGAATCTATGTGTCAGATCGGACAAAATCTTATCGAGATCTGACTTTATTGGCAGTTTAGTTTAAAAGAATTTTGATGGTTGGTTAGATCTATCAATTCTTAGATTGACCTCTTAAAAAAAAAAGTGATGATGTAGTTACTGAAAGCTTTTTTAGATCACTCATCGTCAGCTTTATGCCCTTAGATATACTAGCCTTGCAATCTATTTATTATTCTCATCGAGTGGCAACGCATTTCTATTTATATTTTCATTTTCATTTTTTTTTTGTTTATCAAAACGCGTCTCAACTCCATGACTGAAAAAGAATCAAATGATATAAATGAAGAAGAAAATAATGGTCCATTATTAATAGAACAATTAGAAGGTAATGGTATTACTAGTTCAGATATTAAGAAATTAAAAGCTGATGGTTATCATACTGTTGAAGCGGTTGCTTATACTCCAAGAAGACAATTAATGGTTGTAAAAGGTATTAGTGAAGCAAAAGCTGAAAAAATTTCATTAGAAGCTGCTAAATTAGTTCCATTAGGTTTTACAACAGCAAGTGAATTTCATTCACGTAGATCTGATTTAATTTGTTTAACAACTGGTTCAAAACAATTAGATACTTTATTAGGAGGTGGTATTGAAACTGGTTCTATAACAGAAGTTTTTGGTGAATTTAGAACCGGTAAATCACAATTATGTCATACATTAGCAGTTACATGTCAATTACCAATAGATATGGGAGGTGGTGAAGGAAAATGTTTATATATTGATACTGAAGGTACTTTTAGACCAAATAGATTAGTTTCAATTGCTCAAAGATATGGTTTAGAACCAAATGATTGTTTAGATAATGTTGCATATGCAAGAGCTTATAATGCTGAACATCAATTAAATTTATTAAACTTATCAGCACAAATGATGGCAGAATCAAGATTTTCATTATTAATTGTTGATAGTATAATGTCATTATATAGAACCGATTATGCAGGAAGAGGTGAATTAAGTGCAAGACAAACATCAGTTGCAAAATTTATGAGAACTTTACAAAGATTAGCTGATGAATTTGGTATAGCAGTTGTTATAACGAATCAAGTTGTTGCTCAAGTTGATGGTATGTCTTCAATGTATAATCCAGATCCTAAAAAACCAATTGGTGGTAATATAATTGCTCATTCATCAACAACAAGATTGAGTTTTAAAAAAGGAAGAGCAGAAACAAGAATTTGTAAGATATATGATTCTCCATGTTTACCAGAAAGTGAATGTGTATTTGCTATATATGAAGATGGTATTGGAGATCCAAAAGTAGAAGAAGAGTAAATGAAGAGTAGAGTAAATGAAGACTGAATGAAGAGTAGAGTAAATGAAGAGTAGAGTAAATGAAGAGTAGAGTAAATGAAGAGTAGAGTAAATGAATAGTAGAGTAAATGAAGTGTAGAGTAAATGAATAGTAAATGAAGAGTAAATGAAGAGTAATGAAGAGTAGTGCATATTAAGTTATCTAAAAGATCAATGGAACGTGTTTTGAGCTCTGATAATTTTTATCTAAAAAATCAGTGTGTTTTGCACGCCATGGTCAAAAAAAAAATAAAAAATTCTCATATACCGTTGTAAAATTTTTCCTATTCTATATCATGAAATATCAAGAGAAAGGTAAAATTAAAATATTACCAAAACCATCACCTGGTCCTTCACAATCTTCTCCGCCAATGGTGAAGAGGAAACTGGTGTCAACAAATTCTGTACCAAAAATTAAAAAACCTGATACTCCAAAAAGACAAACGGGTCATAGACCAGTTACCAGTTGTACATTTTGTCGTCAACATAAGATTAAATGTAATGCTTCAGAGAATTATCCAAATCCATGTCAAAGATGTGAAAAAATGGGGCTAAAATGTGAAATCGATCCACAATTTAGACCTAAAAAGGGATCACAAATTCAATCATTAAAACTGGATGTTGATGAATTGAAAGCTAAAATTGAAATGTTGACTAAAAATGAATCTTTTCTTACACAAGCTTTAAATCAACATAATATGAATTTTTATACTCCAGAAGTTTCACCAATTACAACTATTCAACAAAATATACCGTTAACTAATAATACTGACATTTCTCCAATTACCCCAGAAATTATTCCAATACAAGAATTTACATTAGGAGATGTTACAATACCTTTATATAAAGCTAATGAATTACATGATAGATTTATGACTAAAAATTTACTATTTTTACCAATTATAATGTCAAGATCAGCGACAGAATTATACCATAAATCTCAATTATTATTCTGGACAGTTATTTTAACTGCTAGTTTATCAGAACCAGAACCAACTTTATATATGTCATTAGCTTCTTTGATTAAACAATTAGCTATAGAAACTTGTTGGATTAAAACTCCAAGATCAACACATGTTATACAAGCATTGATAATATTATCAATTTGGCCATTGCCTAATGAAAAAGTCTTGGATGATTGTAGTTATAGATTTATTGGATTAGCTAAAAACTTATCATTACAATTGGGATTACATAGAGGTGGTGAATTTATTGAAGAATTTAGTCGAAATCAAACTAATCTTGGTCCAGATGCTGATTGTTGGAGAACAAGATCATGGTTGGCTGTATTTTTTTGTGAACAATTTTGGTCATCATTATTAGGATTACCACCATCAATTAATACTACAGATTATTTAATCGAAAATGCAAGAGTTGATCAATCATTACCAAAAAATTTTAGATGTTTAATATCATTATCTATATTTCAATGTAAATTGGTAAATGTAATGGGTGTAAGTGTAACAAGACCCGATGGTTTATTAGAACCTCTGAATAGAGCAGGCTCATTAGGACTACTAGATCGTGAATTAGAAAGACTTATATTTAAATTACAAATTGATGATCCAACTATAGAAGTTTATTATTTGTATATAAAATTGATGATTTGTTGTTTTGCATTTTTACCTGGTACACCAATTGAAGATCAAGTTAAATATGTGAGTCTGGCATATTTATCAGCAACAAGGATAATTACTATCGTAAGTCATTTAGAAATTTCATTAATTGAATTACCTATATATATAAGACAATCAATTACTTATAGTGTTTTATTATTATTTAAATTGCATTTATCAAAATATTTAATTGATAAATATTTTGATTCAGCAAGACAATCAATAGTTACAGTTCATAGATTATTTAGAAATACTTTAAGTTCATGGAAAGATTTACAAAATGATATTTCAAGAACTGCAAAAGTTTTGGAAAATCTAAATATGGTTTTATATACATATCCAGAACTTTTCAAAAATGAAGGTAGTATAATTACAAGAATGAGATCACATTTAACAGCTTCATTATTTTATGATTTAGTGTGGTGTGTTCATGAAGCAAGAAGAAGAACTCAAGATAAAGTACCTAAATCTGATAATGCATTACCATTACCATTCTATAATCAAATTACAAAAGATGATTTTAAAACAATGGTAATGACAACTCCAAATGGAACTACAATTACAACATTAGTACCTACAGATCAAGCATTAAATCAAGCCAGATCAAATGGAGATGATAAGACTATAAATGGTATACCATTATCAATGTTGGAATCAACTGGAAGTGTAAATGAAGATTTAGTACTACCTTCACAGCCAGTAATGCCACCAATGGAAGATATGGATTTCTTACAACAAAATTGGGAAAATCAAGATGATGATTTTTTGGGGTGGTTTGATTTAAATATGTTGAAGTAAGAAATTATGTAAGGAAATTATGTAAGGAAATTATGTAAGGAAATTATGTAACGATATGGTAAGGATTATGTAACGATATAATTATGTAAGTATGTACGTATAGATTATGTAAGGATGTGATATATATTTACGCGCGAATTTCAACCCCCTACTTTTATTTTTCATTTCCAAGTAATGTTATTGACAAGAAGTTTAAGATTTGCTCCTAGAAGTTTAGTTTCCACTAGATTACTTTCATTTACTCAAGCTGATCAACCAAGAGTTAGAATTGGTTCAACTGCTCCAAATTTTCAGGTTGATACAACTCATGGTAAAATTGATTTTCATGAATTTATTGGTAATAATTGGACAATTTTATTTAGTCATCCAAAAGATTTTACACCAATTTGTACTACTGAATTAGGTGCTTTTTCAAGATTAAAACCGGAATTTGATAAAAGAGGTGTTAAATTAATTGGTTTATCAGTTGAAGATGTTGATAGCCATAAAGCATGGATTAAAGATATTGAAGATATTGAAAAACAAAAATTTCAATTTCCAATAATTGCTGATGGTAAAAGAGAAGTTGCATTTAAGTATGATATGGTTACTGAAGAAGATTTTAAAAATTTAGAATCTGGTTTAATTGCAACTATTAGATCAGTTTTTATAATTGATCCATTGAAAAAAGTTAGAGCAATGGTTATTTATCCACCTTCAATAGGTAGAAATACTTCAGAAATATTAAGAACAATTGATGCATTACAATTGGCTGATAAAAAGGGTGTGGTTACTCCAGTCGACTGGCAACTTGGTGATGATGTTATTATTCCTCCAACTGTTTCAGATGAAGCTGCAAAGGAAAAATTTGGTGAATTTAAAAAAGTTAAACCTTATTTAAGATATACTTCAAGTAAGTAGTGTATATAAGATATACGAATTCAGTACTCGTATTTGCAATCAAAACTAAAAATCTCGCCACTTAATGTGGATTTCTATTATTTCAGTGATTCTCTTGTTTAAAGGTTTATTTGAATTGTATTTAGAATGGAGACAATTTAATGTTGGTGTTTCATCGGAGGTAAAAGTTATTGAAAAGATTGACTCGAAACCGATATTGAGAATCGGTAAAATTGTCATTGGTACAGTAAGAGATTTAATTATTATTCAATTGAATATTTATTCGGTTATTTGGTCATATGCTGCTTCTTCAAGTGATTTTTATCAAACTTTAAAATTTGTGGCAATTTCAGTTACACTATCGGTGTTATTGACTTTACCAAATAAAATTTCACAAAATAATGTTCATTTATCATTGTTTAAACGGTCAGTTTTTGAAATTTTGGTTATGTTGCTAGTTGTGTTGATAAGGGTAGCTGTTGTTGGTGTTGTTTATCAATTGTTTAATTTGTTAGGTAGTAAAATATTTACAACACTGATTATTGGATCAATTTTATTATTCATTGTGATATCAGTTTATCCTGAGTTATTTTGGGTGTTTACAAAGACAAAGACATTTCCAGAAGGTGAACTATTTGATAAGATTAGGCAATTCCTGAAAAGTAACAATTTTGATGTAGAAGTTTATTTAGCAAATTCAATTGCAGTTGTTGGTTCTCCGTCGAAGGTACTGGTTTATTTATCTAAACCTGAAGGTGAAAACGCTATTTCAATTGTAGCTCATGAATATGGTCATGTCAAAATGCATCACGTTATTAAAAAACGTTTCATCATTTTAATTGAAGTTTTATTTAAAATCATCATCTTTAAAATGGTTACATTTAACGAGAGTTGGATCATTAACTTCTTCTTATTCCAAAAATTAGTACTTCCATTAGAATTGGTATTTAAATTTATTAGAAATTATTATCTGTGTTTATTCGAATTTCAAGCTGATCAATTTGTCATTAAATCAGGTTTAACCGAACCATTCATTAAAGTACTTTCAAAAGATGTATCAGTAGCTCCAATAGATTGGTTATATGCTGCTTATCATTTTCCATACCCTACAATTGCTGAAAGATTAAATTATTTAACTTCTGCATTATCTAAATCAACAGTTGCAAATTGACCATCTTTAGATTGTAATGGAATATCTTCAAAATATACTTTACCTTCTCTTGTTCTTAATTTAGGTTGTATCATCTTCCAAATTTCAATTTTCAATTTTGTTGGTTCAACTTCAGTATAATCAAAATATAATCGTTCACCAATTTCACAATTTGGTGGGTTAATTAATTTTACAGTTTCCTTTTCAGCAGCTAATATCATCCCCATTGATTTTTCACCACGTAATTTTTTAGTTTTCATATTAGTAACCACAACAACTCTCCTATTAATCATTTGATCTAATGGTATAAAATTTTTCAACCCCGAACAAACTTGTAAAATTTTATCCTTAACATCAATATCTGATATATACATTTTATCACTATTTTGATGTACTCTACATGATTTAATCTTACCAATTTGTAGTTTTAATAACGATGATGGTGCTAATTGTTAGTATTTCCTAATTGGTTAAATTATTTACATACAAATTTTCTTCATTGGTGAAAAAAAAAAAATCAGACGCGTCATGTCACAATTTGTTTCTTCACCAAGTAGAATCCCGTCGGATGCTGCTCATTTATTACATTCTACTTCCTCAGCTCGAGATATATCGACTCCAGAACCTACTGCTATTACACCTGGTAAAAGGAGACAAATTAATGTCACAAAAGTTGTCGATGTAACTGGTGAAAAAGTTCGTGAAAGTTTTGAAAGTTTCCTCGAAGAATATGTTGAAGAAAATGGTGATGGGGATGGTAAAATAATATATCTTCAACAAATAGATAATATGAAAACATATGAAAAATCTACAATTTATATAAATTATCAACATTTATTATCAAGAGAAAATGGAGTTTTAGCCAGTGCTATAATGGAACAATATTATCGTTTTTTACCATTCTTAATAAAGGGTCTCAAAAGGATTATCAAAAAACATGCTCCAAGTTTATTACAAACGAATATCCTAACTGAAGAAGAAAATGGAGATCGTGTTTTCCAAATTTCATTTTATAATTTACCAACAGTTCAAAGAATTAGAGATGTGAGATCAAATAAAATTGGTTCATTAATGTGTATTTCTGGAACTGTTACTAGAACTTCAGAAGTTAGACCCGAATTATATCTTGGTACATTTACTTGTGATTTATGTTCTGCTTTAATTGAAGGTGTTGAACAAGTTTTTAAATATACTGAACCAACTTCATGTCCATCATGTGAAAATCAATCATATTTTACATTAAATACTGAAAAATCACAATTTACAGATTGGCAAAAAGTTAGAATTCAAGAAAATTCAAATGAAATTCCAACAGGTTCAATGCCTAGAACTTTAGATATTTTACTTCGTGGTGATATAACTGAAAATTGTAAACCTGGTGATAAAGCTAAATTTACTGGGTATGAAATTGTTATACCAGATTTAACACAATTGGGATTACCTGGTGTAAAACCACAAAGTGTAAAGGAGTCTGGAGTCACTGGTTTAAGAAATTTAGGTGTTAGAGATTTAACCTATAAATTAGCTTTTAATGCTTGTCATGCATCATCAAAGAATGAAGAACGTAGAGGTCAAGAAAATTTTTTAACATCATTAACAGATTTAGAAGTTTCACAATTAAAAGAAATGGTTAAAGATGATCATATTTATGATAAATTAGTTCAATCAATTGCACCTGCTGTATTTGGTCATGAAGTAATTAAAAAGGGAATATTATTACAATTATTAGGTGGTGTTCATAAGAAAACAGTTGATGGAATAAATTTAAGAGGTGATATTAATATTTGTATTGTTGGGGATCCATCAACTGCAAAATCTCAATTTTTAAAATATGTTACTGGATTTTCACCAAGAGCAATTTATACATCTGGTAAAGCATCAACGGCTGCTGGTTTAACAGCTGCAGTTGTTAGAGATGAAGAAAGTGGGGAATTTACTATCGAAGCAGGTGCTTTAATGTTGGCTGATAATGGTATATGTGCAATTGATGAATTTGATAAAATGAATATCTCAGATCAAGTTGCAATTCATGAAGCTATGGAACAACAAACAATTTCCATTGCAAAAGCAGGTATACATGCAACTTTAAATGCAAGAACTTCTATATTAGCAGCTGCAAATCCTATAAGTGGTAGATATAATAGAAAAGTTGGACTTAGAGCAAATTTAAATATGACAGCTCCAATTATGTCAAGATTTGATTTATTTTTTGTTATATTAGACGATTGTAATGAAAGAATTGATACACAAATTGCTTCACATATTGTTGATTTACATATGCTACAAGATGATGCAATTGATCCACCATATTCAGCTGAACAATTATTAGGATATATTAGATATGCACAGACTTTTAAACCAAAAATGACAAAAGAGTCAAGAGATTTTTTAGTTGCAAGATATAAAGAATTGAGAGAAGATGATTCACAAGGTCTTGGTAGATCTTCATATAGGATTACAGTTAGACAATTGGAATCAATGATTAGATTATCAGAAGCAATTGCAAGAGCAAATTGTACTGATGAAATTACTCCAAGTTTCGTAGCTGAAGCTTATGATTTATTAAGACAATCTATTATAAGAGTAGAAAAAGATGATATTGAAGTTGAACCAGAAGAACAAATTCTGATAACTTATGATAAATATGTTCTGATTATGAATTTAATTGTGAAAAAGATTGATGATGATGGATTGACAGCTGAAGAATTGGTCGATTGGTATTTATTACAAAAAGAAGATGAATTAAATAGCGAACTGGAATATATTCATGAGAGGAAATTAACATTTAAAGTGTTGAAAAGATTAGTCAAAGATAGAATATTAATGAGTGTAACGGAAGGTGAAAAAGTGGTTTATATTTTACATCCAAATTGTAGTATATTAGATTTGTATAGTTAACAATGAAAAATTGCTATTACGTAGTTTGTTCTGTTGCATCCTGCATCCTTACATATATTTAACGAGTACCAGACTCTTTAGTATTTAAAATAACCCTAAAAGTTGTTTGATTTTTATCAACCCAATTGGTTGGTTTTGTTAATTTCGCGCATTCAGTACAATGTTCAATAAATGCTTTTGAATTTGGAAACATTTTTTGACAATTTTTACACCAACCAGGATCACCATCTGGAACTACTGGCTGTTTATCTTTAACATAATGAACTAATCTTAAATGTCTTTTTAGAACATCTAATCTATTAAAAGCACCATTATTTTTATGACACGTTGGATCATTTTTCCAATATGGACAAGTATATTTTGGTGGTTGATGAGATTTTTTATGTCTTGTTAAATCTGATTGTCTTGTAAAAGCCCAAGAACATACATCACATTTGAAAGGTCTTGGTATTGTTGATCCATGATATTTTGGTTGCGACTTTGATCGTTCCGGATTGTATGGTAAAAAAGTGATTTCTTTCATATTTGCTATTTTATCACCACTTTTTTTCTGACATGTCAAAAGTATGTACGGACCAACAACAATTGAATTATACTAACAAACAGATTGATATATTAAAATTTGCTGACGAAGATGGTCAATTTAAAAGAAGACCATCTAGTTTTAGAGAATCTATAAGTTCAAAACCAGGTGCAAGATTTCCACCTGAAGCAAATAGATATCATTTATACGTTTCGTATGCTTGCCCATGGGCTCATAGAACTTTAATTACTCGTGTTTTAAAAGGTTTAACTGGTATCATTGGTTTATCAATTGTTCATTGGCATATGGATGAAAAAGGTTGGAGATTTGAACCAAATGAAGAATTGTATAATTTTTCAAGATTATCAGAATTATATTATAAAGCTGATGCAAATTATCAAGGTAGATTTACTGTTCCTGTTTTATGGGATAAAAAAGAAGGTACTATTGTTAATAATGAATCTGCTGAAATTATTAGAATGTTAAATTCTGAATTTAATTCAATTTTACCTTCTGAATATGCTCAAGTTAATTTAGTTCCTGAAAATTTAAAATCTCAAATTGATGAAATTAATTCTTGGGTTTATGATAATATTAATAATGGTGTTTATAAAACTGGTTTTGCTTCAAAACAAGAAGTTTATGAAAAAGAATGTAAAAATGTTTTTCAACATTTAGATAAAGTTGAAAAATCTTTTAAGGGTAAATTTTTATTAGGTAATGAATTAACTGAAGCTGATATTAGATTATTTACTACTATTATTAGATTTGATCCAGTTTATGTTCAACATTTTAAATGTAATATTGGTATGATCAGATATGATTATCCAAATATTCATGATTGGGTTAGATTATTATATTGGAAAATTCCTGGATTTCAAGAAACAACAAATTTCGAACATATTAAGAAACATTATACAAAAAGTCATGTTAAAATTAATCCTTATGGAATTACACCATTGGGTCCAATTCCTGATATTATGAAACCATAGTATGGATGCTGTAAGGGATGCAACAAACACTAAGTGTATAGTTTAAATAATATATGATTAATTAACAATTATCGACTTACTTAACAAGTGACTACAGGTAAACTTATACTGCTATTTTTGCTTTACAAATTTGGCAGAAACTCTTGAGTTTGTCTTTAATATACGATAATTTAGGAGGCGCCAGAAAATTACAACTCCTGACCAGTCAAAAAAAAGCTTTTGACCCTCAATACCCCTTAAGTATGCATTACTTCATAATGATGAATTTGAATAAGCTAACACCGTAAGAGAGCTTACCTCCAGTGCAAACTAAGTGTATAGTTTGGTTTAAATTACTGATAAGCTTGTAGCTTTATTTTTACGAGCATTTTGCTTGTTCTATTATGAGCTAATAATTTGATCTTAATTGTACTTGACAGGAATAATAATTGATACCACACAAAATGATATCTTATCCGTTTCATAAAATAATGTCTCTATTGCTTTTGCTTAAAGATGATGATGACATGTAGTTTAGATAGTATCATGCAATCGGGAAGTAAGATAAAGCTCTCACCTTTCGAGATCTTTCTACTCATTCATAGCTTGCAAAAGTGTTATCAAATATATAAGAGTCAACTTGTGTAAAACAGAATATGTTAAACAAACGTGGCCAAATATATGGCTAATTGTGCATTTTAGGCTAAAAACCAAAATTTGTTTCATTCCTTGGAGACAAACATGGATGAGATCCAGTTCTTCTACAGTATATATTTTACTGTCTATGAGTTCCAGAACATTGACTCCGATCTTAATAACATCAAGGTGGAAACATAGTTTTGGTAAACTGTGATATTTCAATTTAAAAATTTAGGAAAAAATTTTGAACTACAAAAATGTAGTATACAGACAGTGTTACTCAGTGCAAGTCCCAAAAATACGTAAAATTCACCTACATTAAAGCTCATGTTCAGTTTATTCGTTTTCAAGCTCATCTCCATGATTCTTAATTATTTATTTTTGTTTCAGATTTAGTAATCCTGTACCTAATTATCAAAAAATTATTTTTATATGAGAGGTATGTCGAATCAATATTATCAAGAAATATCACTAACATTGTAGATTATAAGGTTGTTGTCCTTGGAGCTGGTGGTGTAGGTAAATCTTCAATCACTGTTCAATTTGTTCAAGGTGTTTATGTTGAAAGTTATGATCCAACAATTGAAGATTCATATAGAAAACAAATTGAAGTTGATGGAAGAGCTTGTGATTTAGAAATTTTAGATACAGCTGGTGTAGCACAATTTACAGCAATGAGAGAATTATATATTAAATCAGGTAAAGGTTTTTTATTAGTTTATTCAGTTACTGATGAAAATTCATTAAAAGAATTATTAGCATTAAGAGAACAAGTTTTACGTATAAAAGATTCTGATAATGTTCCAATGGTTTTAATTGGTAATAAATGTGATTTAGAAAATGATAGAGTTGTTTCAATAGATGATGGTATTAAAGTCTCACAAGATTGGGGTTTAGTACCATTTTATGAAACTTCAGCCATGTTTAAAACAAATGTTGATGAAGCATTTGTTGATGTTGTTAGACAAATTATGAGAAAAGAAAATGAAAAAAAAGAAAAAAAGGAGAAAGTTGAAAAGAAAGAAGTTGTTGTTGAACCTAGATTTGTACAACAAGAGCAACCAAAGAAAGCTGAAAAAGAATCTAGTAAATGTTGTGTTGTAGTTTGATGTATATTCAATTTTAATATGAACGAAATAATTTTTTTCGAATTAGGAAATAAGACGCGTTTGTTTTTAAATGGTTGCAAAATATACTAACTATAAAGAATTTATAAGTCTTCCAAGATATCTGCTTCATAATCAAAACTAGTTTTCCAAATTTCAGACAATCCTCCAAACTTTGATTCTAATTTATCAACAGCTTCACTACAATCCAAGTCAAATATTGAAACCCAACTAAATTTGGAGGAAGTTGAAATGATTCTTTTAACTTGCAAGATCGACATTGAATCACTAACACTTTTACAGAATCAGAAAATTTGATTTTATCATTAAGATCAAATTGCCTCACGTCAACATCAGCGTCTCTAATTAAATCACCATGAACTTCATATTTAATGTAAACCAATTGCCTGAAATTATCCTTTTTATTAAATACTTTCATTGGGTAGGTAGGTTGATTGATGGATTTCCAATTTCTTTAAATTTCTTAAACTCTTAAATTTATCCTAATGTAATCTCAATTCTGTAAGTGTAATTGAGAAATTGAATTCAAAATCTGATATTGTTTTGAGGAGCTTCATAACTATTACCAGATTCATTGAATGAATCAAAATGAGTTAAATTTGTAAATCTTGCAAATAAAGCTCTTGCAATATAAGAATCCACTTGCTTTTGTAATTAAATGAGTAATTTTGAAATCTACTGGTCTAATATTGAAATCAAGCCCTTAAATTGAAGTTATTAACTAATTTTGAACAAAGTTGAGGTCCAGATGAGTTACATAATTATTACAATTACATTGCTCACTAGTGTTTCTCAGTTAAAAGACCCTTAAAAGAGGAAGCTTATCGTGTAGGAATACTTACAGGTTTACTCATCACTTTTCGTCAAATATATAAAAAGAAAATTGTTAACATTTTGTATAATTATCACAATTTGTATTTCAAATCGTTCATTTGTTGATCCATTACAAGCATTAATTCAATTTATTACTACTATGTGGAATTACTTTAGCTATCAAGCTCAGGACTGGTATAAAAAAGCACTGATAGTTCTTGTACCTTGGATACTATCTCAATATCAATTCGATGGACTGATGAAATACTTTGGAATTTTATTGCAGGAACATATGACAAATCTTTAGTTGGTTGTGATTATAAAGGTATGTTTAGTCGAACGAAGATTTACTCAAACTATAGTTCTTCTACAGTCTTTGATTATAAAGTTGTGAATTCATTTTAGTGTTTTTTGCGCTTCCGACTTTTTTGCGCTTTGTGTTTTTGCAACAATTTAGATGATGGTAAAAGGTACTTAAATTAGCTCAAAACACTCAAATTTGATAGTTTTTGCTTTAAAAAAAGATGAAAATAAAAACATCAGACCAGTAAAAAATAATGTGATCTACGAGATTCGAACTCGCGCCTCCGAAGAGAACAGGAATAATTGATAAAGATTTGTTGCATGAATTCATTGATGATATTTCAAATCGAACTCACGCCATCCTTACCCTGTCGCCTTAACCGCTCGGCCAAAATCACGTGATCGCCGTATTCAGCGCCTTAGTCGGACTGGCTCTCAAGTGAACCAAATCTTCCTTGAATAAATGAAATATGGATGTTAAAAATTCAGAAAAAATTTGAACCATGTGCGCCTCCCTTTCTTAGACTTTTCCTATTTATTTGATGCTTAAATTGAATTTAATAAAACGAAGTCAAGGGATGTTTTTTTTAATGGCTTGAAGACGAAATTCAGTTCGTTGGGAGTGTTTTAATTTTGTGTTATGTCGCAATGCGAAAATTTGCAACCAAAATATATTTGAACATTATAAAGAGAGGTAAGTAAACAAATGCAATATTTTACTAAACTCGATATCTGAAATTTCTGTCTATATGCATATATATTAAAATTACCAATTCGTTATATTATCAACTTCACTACACATCGATTCAAATTCTTCTGGTTCCGTCCATTCAAAAACTTCATCTGATTCATAAATTTCGGGCAATTCCTTTTTCAAAAATTCCAAACAATAATTATTAATTAATTCAAATTCCAATAAAAAAGCATCATGCCCTTCAGGTGATGTTAATTTTTTCAATATACTATTCGGTATATTTTTACCCAATAATTCTTGTTCTGAAATTGTAAATAATCCATCTGATTCAATTCCTATGATTAAATGTGGCTTTTTCAACCGTTGCAAATATTTTTCTAAATCAAAATCATGATCTCTTGTTATATCATGAGTATCTAATTTTCTTGTAATTGCAATATAACAATTTGCATCAAATCTATTTATAAATTTATTACCTTGATAACGTAAATACGATTGAGCAGTAAATAAATCATTTGATTTATTTCTTCCAAATCTTGTTTCAAAAGAATTCCTTGATCTATAAGTTAATAAAGCAGCCATTCTTGCAGCTGCTAAACCTGAGGTTGGAGAATTACCATTTTCATAATAATAACCATCATCATATGCTGGATCATTAAATATACATTGTCTTTGAGTTTCATTCCATGATATACACCAAGCAGAAGCTCTTGCAGATGTAGCTAAAGCAATAACAGTTTTAACATAATCAGAATCATTATAAATTGAAGAATATTCTAATGCAATCATTCCTCCCATTGAGCCTCCGATTACACATGCAATTTGTTTGACATTTAATTGATCTAGTATAATTTTTTGTATTCTAACATCATCTTTCGCAGTAACTAGGGGGAAATTTGGTCCATAAGCTTTACCAGTTGATTTATCAATTGTGACTGGTGAACATGATCCATAAGGGGATCCTAAAAAATTTATACAGATTATAAAGTATCTTGAAGGATCAAATGTTTTATTAATTCCCAATAATGGACCCCACCAATCTTGTACATCTGATGAACCAGTTAATGCGTGACAAATTAAAAAAGCATTTGATTGAGTACTATTTAGTTTACCCCAAGTTTTATAAGCTACTGGAAAATTATACAAAGTTTCACCACATTCCAATGTATATTCTGGTATTTCAACTATAGTTTGACCTTTGATTTGAAACATAGAACTGTTGAAAATTCGTGTATTGCAAGATTTCTCGTGATTTAAAAATTGTGGAAAAAATAAAATACTAAGGATGCAAATGTCAATGGTAAGAATGCGATTATTAATAGGAAATTATAAACTTGAGAACTATTTTGTGTGTGAAATTTAGTAATCTTTAAATTTATGCCTTGGGTGAAGTTTTGAATTTAAGAGCTCAAAATTAATTTTCCTTGGATCGCTTGCCTTTAATCAAAGAATAAGATGCGCTTCATTGTTGCAAACTATTAGTCATTGAACGTGAGTAAAGCTTATTATCAGATCTAAAATCAAGAATGAAGCTTTTAAAGTAATACTTTTAGCATGAGTTGCAAATTTTCTGATTGATTCTTACTCAAAATCGATGAAATTGAATCGTTAAATTCTATATTCTCTGGTTTCGTCTTGACTAAATGTTGTAAGCTCAAGATCACTTGGTGTTGTTAAAATAGGCATGAGCTCACTTGAAAGGTACAAGTTTGTAAAATTTTGAAAGAATTGTCAAAATGGAAAAAAGTGACCCATAGAATTATAGCGAAAGTACTACTAAAACATTATAACATGAAAACACTTTGCCTTTACTGAATATCTTAATGACTTAGTTTGAAAATATGCTTGAACACCCAAGAAGTTATTTACGAGACAAAGTTCAAGGTTATCTATTGGAGGACTGCATATAAGTCAAAATTGGTAATTTTGGTATTTAATCTAGGACTAAGTTTCGGCCCAAAATGTAGTCGACCATTATAAAAATTTTCAAAACCCCCCCCCCTATTTTTTGGAAATCTTCGAGTAAGCGCTATTAGCCTAAAACTCAAAATATGATGTTCTTAGTACCGTTCAAATGAAAAATTCTCGCTGAGTTTGAATTTGAAGGTTTTGAAGAGACTTCGCTTGATTTTCTTAACATTTTTGTTTTTCTGTAATTTAATAGGATTTTCAAGACCTTTTTATAAAATAACATTTTCAGTAAAGTTACCTTTTGATATGCAACGATTGCTCTATGAAAATGCTGTACCCATTGGTCTGAGCTCAGTGGTGTAATTCTCTCAACATAAAAGGTTCAAAAAATTTACATACTTAAGATAATAACTCTTAAAAAAATAAGTTATATGCAGTTCTCACATAGTTATTCACATAATTTTAATTTGTAAATTATTCCCTTAAAAATTAAGCTATACTGTTGAGACTACATTGATCGAAAGCTCTTGTTAGCTCAGAGTAACTTATGCTAACATCATTAATTGAAACATAATTTTGATGACATTATTCATCATTGAAGATTTGCAAAATAACGCTATTTTGCGAGATAGATCGCACTTAGACCTCGTTTTGCAACTTCTTGAATAGTTGATTTGGCTCATTGAACCTCGAATACTTTTTGTATTCCAATTTTAAGACGCCAGAATCGGTTTAAATTTTTTTCAAAAATTTCGAATCACTTTTGAAAATTAGTATCTCAGATTTGATTACCTTAACAGAATAATATCTACGGCGTATTAAAAAGCAGAACTAAAAAAATCAATAGTTTCATCATGTTCTAGTTTGAATATTCATTGTGAAATTATATTTTTCAGAATGTCAATTTATTCGAATTTTCCCATACTTGAAAAAAAATTTCTAAATCATTCAATTTCAATTGAGAGCATCTTAAATTAAGTCCAGCATCTTTGATTGAGTTATAATATGTATATTCAATTGCTTAATTGAACGTTTTGGGCTTAAAGAAGAAGAAATATAGATTCACATTTTTCCAAAAAAATTTGTATGATGAAAAAAGGCCAAAATGACAACTTGAAAAAAAAAACATTTGAAATCTAACCTTTAAGATATTTTGAATAATTGTTGCTGATTTTATTAGATTTGGGTTACAGTTTTACAGAATGCGTTGTTCCAGACTCATAATCCAATATTCATAGTACGGGTCGCCTTAGGTATAGCGCGACAATTATTTTTGTCGGGTCGATCCCTTGCCCTATAGAATAATTAACTTACATGCTGTCTTTTAGATTTTTTAGTTATAACCTAATTGATCCATCAATGTATATTTATTCAAAATCATCCAGCTTCGTCAGTTTACCCTTATTAAAATTGGTCATTTTAAGTATCACAACTTATTGTAAAAATTAAAGTAGTTATAGCCTGCAGTTAGTATTCGCAAGAATTGTTTTTGAGGAAACTAGCTTAATGGTGGTTTGGTCAGTCTTTCTAAACATTAGAGACGTGAAATCATTGAGTACTTTTGTAATTGCATCAATTTATTTGGTATTAAACGGTCAAAAATGTTTGAGAATGGCTGTTTTTGAGAAATACAAATTAACTTTTCATTGGTCTTGATTAACACAATGCTATAATAAGTATAGAATAGATTTCTATCTATCAAACATAAAACTCAAAGATTGGCGATTCAGTATTTTCGAATCTCGATTCGCTATCTAGAATTTACGAGATGCATATCGGTAAAATTTATTTACTAAAATCAATATACACTACACTTGCCCTTACATCCTCACACATCCTTACTCACTCATATATTTCGCAACATTCTTATTATGAACATCTTTAATCAATATCAAATTTCTAGCATATTCTAGTTCCGAATATATAGCTTCAATAGCAGCAAATACACCATGTTCTTGACTAATTTGTTGAGAAATATTTTTAACTTTTTCAACAATTTTCAAATCAGTAACCCTTTGTAATGCTTTACTTAATGATTTTTTTGTTAATTTCTTTAAAGCTATACCAGCAGATAAATCTTCAATTCTTGTTGCATAAAAAAATTGATCACCAAAAAATGGTTTTATAATACTTGGACATCCAGCTTTTAAAGCTGCACCAGTAGTACCTGAACCACCATGATGAACAGCAGCATCTATTCTTGGAAATAACCAATCATGAGGTACCGAATCAACATTGAAAATTTCTGGTGGGAATTCAATATCTTCTTCAGATTTATTTTTACGATCTGACCAACCTTTATTAAGAATACATCGTACATCAGAATCTAAAACTGAATCAATAACAGCTTTTGTTAATGACGTTGCATCTGAAACAACAATTGAACCAAATCCAATGTAAACTAATTTTTTCCCATCACGAACTGCATTATCCATAAATTCTTGTAATTCATCATTTTTATATTCACTTTCTTCATTTAAAAACCAATAGCCTGTTACCTTGACAAAATCTGGAAAATCAACCGCTGGTGGAAGAATACTTGGTGAAACGTTATACAAAAATGGAACTTTACTTTGTTGAAGTCTAAATAAATTTGTCTTTGGTAATCCAATTTCTTCTCTCCATTTATTAACTTGACTTGAGATACCTTTCCATAGTATATTTTCAAATAATACATGAGTTAAATAATTATATGAACCACCTTTCTTTTGATCTGGTACGAAAAAAGCATGTGGATAAGCTCTTGTTCTTGTCCAAGGCATAGTAAAAGCTCTTAAATAAGGTATAGCTAATGCTTCTGCAATATGAATACCTGCCATTGCTGATGGACTTTCAATTAAAATATCACATCCTTGACATGCTTTCCATGTTGTTTCAAATAATTTATCAATCCAATCTTTAAACATTGATTGAGCATCTTTCAAAAATGAAACAGACATTGAATTGTGAGTAACCATAAATGACATTAATTCACCTGGATCACCAGCAATTTCAGCAAATTTTATATTATATTTTTCAATCCAATCTTTAAATTCAGAATGAGTGGCAATTGTAACATTATGACCTTCTTCAATGAGTCCCTTTCCTAATGCAATATAAGGTTGAACATCACCTCTTGAACCAATTGTTAATAAAGTTATATTAAATGAAGTTGATGGTTTTAGTTCAGTTTTGAAAAATGGAGAATCTTCTAGTATAATTGGTACATCAAGACCAGAAGCTGTAGTTAATCTATCTTCAAACATTTTTATTCTAGCTAATTCAATTTTATCTTGGGAAATTTTAAAATTCTCTTCAGTTAATTCCATTTGTTTTCGTTCAGAATCTGTATATTCCATTCTTGTTTTCGCTAATTCAATATCATAATTGCTTCCCCATTCATGTGGTTTTGGACGAAAAATTTCATCCTTGTGGAAATTTTCTAATAATTCAAGACCTAATTGGAAAAAATCTTCTTTTGATTTTGAAGATGAAAATTCTAAAACTAATTCATCATTTTGAAGTATAATTTTCACTCCTGAGTATGTTAATTTTGAACCAGCTTCATTTAATCCAAGTACATCTTGCATTGGCAAATTCATTTTTGTAGATACACCAGGAATCAAACTTCTAAAACAAATTTCATTTTCAGATAAATATAATTTACCATAAACAGGGATAGTTCTGATTAAATGACAATAATAACTAGCATATAGTTTCAGTGCCACAGAAAAATGTTCTTCAAAATGTAATTGTGCAATTTCTCTTTCATTTGAGTCTTGAATAAAAAATTTGTCTTCATGAACATAATGATTAGGAGCTGCTGATAATTTTTGTGATATATTTAAGCCCTTTTTATGATTTGGTGGACTTACGGGTAATGGAGTTGCTTCTTCATCATATCTGTTTGTTTCACCTTCTTTCAAACTAGTTTCAAAAGTTATATTTAATGATTTGAGACCTTTGGCAGATAATGCTTTCGGTAGTGATAATTCATCTGAAGATTTATTAAATTCTAAAACTGTTTTCACTAGATTATTCATTGAAGGAGTTAATGTAGTGATTACTTGACCACCTGAACTACCTTGTTTAATTACTTCATCAAATTGATCAAAAAATTCTAAACCATATTTTGGAAATAAAAAGTAAATTTCATTATCTCTAAATTTATCCTTGACTTTATCTCTTTTACTCTCACCAGTGTGATATTTCACTGATAAACTTAATGGGATATCACCACCCTCTTCATGAAAAATTTCCCTTTTCTTATAATCAATGACATTTTCAATAGGTATTTTTATCAATACTTCATTATTTTTTGCATTATTTAACTGGAATATCAATTTAGTCAATGCATTACACCATTGTCTAGCTGAAAATAAATTATCACATTGAAATTTATAAGTCTTTTTTTTAGTTACCAATTTAAACCATACAGTTGAAGAATCTACTGTATCTTCAAAATCATCATCAAAATATTCAGTTAAATCTTCAATTGGAGATAATATACCCAGTCTCATTTTCTCCTTTTTTTCAATAAGGTCTGCATTAATACATGTTCTCATATCAATAACAATTAAAGGAAAATATAAATCGGTTGATGAACTATAAATTGATAAACCTTCGGGTCGAAGTATCGCCCAATATCTATGTGTAATCATTGTGGTAAATAAAGAATCACCAAATTTAGCAGTTTTCATACCTAAAGCACCTTTATTCAATTCGATTTCGTCAACATCTTTAGGAAGAAACGAAAAATATAATAAAGCATTTTTAGTTAAGTATAGATGACCTTGTAATAATACATCTTTGACTAACCAAGCAGAATAATTTCCATAAAAAACATCATCTTCCTTTAAATTAAATACTTTTTCCAATTTACTTGCAATTTTTAATCTTAAATTCTTTCGTTGTTCTGAATCTTGTTTCAATTTCATGTCTTTTAATTTTGTAATTACACCTTGTTTGACATGATGAGGATCTAAGTTTTTAACAACTGACAGTTGTAATGGTGTTAAATTTTGCAATTGCTCTTCGGGTATATCAATATATGTTTCTTCATCGGATTCTGAAAATGATTCTGATTCTTCTTCTGCTTCTTCTTCTTCTTCATCGTCTTCTTCTTCTTCTTCTGAATGTTCTTCCCATTTTGTTTGATTTGGCTTAATTTGTTTTTTCGATTTTTGTTTGATAATTTCATCGAGATTCAACTTTTTTAAATTTAATCCAGAACATATTGTAGTTGTATTTAATAAATTTTCTAAAAAATTAGCCTCCTCTGATGGTTTTGCATAATCTTCTTCTTCTGTCTCTGAATCACTTTCTTCTTCGCTAGTTTCTGAGTCACTTATTTCAGCTGAATTGCTTACACTATTGTTTACACTACCAATAGCACTTGCAGTTGCACTATTATTAACAATTGTACTTGCTGAACCAAAATGTTTTTGAATACCATGGGTAACTTTGGTAAATATTGTCATTGTGCAGCAATAAAGAAAAAAATGACATGCGAATTTACGGAGAGAAATATAAAACACCGAAATTTGATAATATATGTACAAATATTTAAAGTTTTAACTATTTAAAGTTTTAACTATTTAAAGTTTGAACCAAAGTTGATAATATTTTGTCAGTTCATATTTATCAATTCACATGCTTCTAATGTTTATTAATGCAATTTTGTGTAACATTGGTACCTGACAGGTTTTTTTCATCCTTCGGGTGCTACCAATTACTTTTGTTTTAATAATTTATTAAATTCACTTGATTTATTATTATATAATTCTTCAAAACTACCATCTTCTACTATTTCACCATCATGATTTAATACAATTATTCTATCACTATTTTTAATTGTAGATAATCTATGAGCTATTGATATGATAGTAACACCCTTTTCATTTAATGTTAATAAATTTTTCATAACCATTTCTTCACTAATTGAATCTAAAGCCGATGTTGCTTCATCAAGAATTATTATTTTAGGTTCCCTTAATAATGTCCTTGCTAATGATATTCGCTGTTTTTGTCCACCACTTAATTGAGCTGATGTAATTATAGTATTTAATCCATTTGGTAAATTATCTATAAAATTTGAATGTGATAATTTTAAAGCTTCTGTTAAATCTTTATCCATTCCAAACTGAATATTCTCCTTTATAGTACCACTAAATAATAATGGTTCTTGTTGCACGTAACCTAGATGACTTCTATAACTATTTAAATTCAATTTATCAATAAATTTATCACCAATTTGGATAGAACCAGATATTGGATCATAAAATCTAAGTAATAACTGACTTATTGTTGATTTACCAGAACCTGAAGGTCCAACAATACAAACATTTTCACCTTGTTTTATATGTAAATTAAAATTGGAAAATATATGTCCTTCTCTTGATGGATATTTAAAGTTTATATTTTTAAATATAACATCACCATTTACATTATCCACTTTTTCTCCAAAATGATTAATCTTTGGTTTATATTCAACTAATTCAAAAACTCTTTCTGCAGCACCAATACCTTTCATTAATTCTGTATAAAAATTTCCGAGTCCAAAAACTGAAGATCCAGTATAAACAGCATACATCATAAAACTTGATAAATCTCCAATTGTCATTTCACCAGCACCAATTAATCTTGTACCAATTAATAATAATCCAATCATGGTTATATTACCAATAAATCCATTTATTGAATAAAAAAAACCCATATATTTGGCTTCTCTCATTGATGAATCAAAAATTTTTTTAATTTCTTGATTATAATTATGTACCATAAGCTTTTGTTGTGAAAATGATTGAATAATTTTAATCCCATTAAACTTTTCCTCTGTAACTTTTGTCATTTCACCAATATTTTCTTGAATTAATTTTGATAATTTCTTTATTTTTTTACCATAAAACCATGACATAAATGATAAAGGAGGTAACATTAAACTCATACACATTGTTAACTTCCAAGAAACCCACCACATCATTGTTAAACCAACACAACCACTAATTATAGCTCTCATACCATCACTAATATTCATGGATAAACTTTTTGAAATTATTTGACAATCATTAGCAACTCTAGATATTAAATCTCCAGTTTTCATTCCCTTTTTATTAGGTCCAACATCAAAAAAATATGAATCTTGAGATAATATTTTTGAAAATAATCTTGATCTTAATCTTGCAACTAATCTTTCACCAACAGATCGAAGTAAATATATTCTACCAAAATTTGCTGTTGCACCAATAATAAATACACACCCCAATGATGAATAAAATTGTTTTTCTGAAAGTCCAAATACCTTTTTATCTTTATCTTCGTCAATAATTTTCCCAATAATTAAAGGTAATGACATTGTAGTCGCAGAAGTTATACCAAGACATATTAATGCAAAAAATAATGATTTTGATTCTGGTTTAGCTAATCTCAATAATTTAACAACGTCATTTTTTGGTTTTACCAGGTAAAATCTTAATAAATTGACTGGTTTAATTCGAATCGGTATTCTGGAAATCATGAGAAAAAAATTAAACAATAACTTTATTTTTACGACTATGAACTACTAAATTTGATAAATAATGTGATTTCAACTCCAAAACTATATTGTTGAAGATATCTGGTAAGTATACTAGTTTATTATTGTTTAAACAAACTAATGATAAATTTGGTAAATCTAATTTACAATCCTCAACGTATTCAATTCTATTTTGATTTAACAGAAGCACCACCAATGATTTTGGTAAATTCTCTAAAAATCTCTTTGATATAAAAGTAAATTGATTAAGATCAAGATACAAATATTTTAAATTTACATTTAGATTTAAATTAACTATTTGAAAATTGTCTTTCAACATATTTTGTTGTAAATTTAAATATTCGATTGGTTTTAGCAATTGACACCATTTTTCGACATACAATTCACCAACATCACTTGATTTTATAGTTAAATTATAAACTGGTAATGAATAAAGATCCACTAATATTTTAATAACTATTGATGTCAAGGAATCTGGATTTTCCACAAGCACTAAATTAGTATCAATGTAAACATTTAATTTTTTAAAATAATGATGATAATCTTTTAATAAGAAATGTAATTTATGAACATCATTTATAAATAATTTATAATCATTGACTTGTCTTGTAAAATTAATCAATATCCAAGGTTTAAAATATTGAATTTTATGGTAAATTTGTTTAAATTCATCGATGGTGATGGAATATTTTTGATGTTGCTTTGGTAATTCATTAGTAATGATTACATTTCGATAAAACCTTTGATAAAGTAGACAAAGTATTTTAGTATCACTTTCTTTATAGTACTCTATTAGCTGTTTAACTTTATCCAAATCCAAATAATCAAATATAGAGATTATAATTTCAGTTGGTAAATTAAAAAAATTCATTCTATATCCATTAAATCTAAATCATCATTTTTAAACCAATAATTATATTTTATATCTTTAAAAAAATTCATCTCTTTTAAATTTAGTTTCATTTCAATTCTTTTTTTTTCCAATTCATTCTCTTGGAATACAATTTTCATTATTTCGTGATAATTCATGGATCTCATTATTTCATCAATTGTTTTAAATTTATACAGTGTATTATTATATTCGTTATACTTCTTAACAAACCTATTAAACATTTTAATTAACCATTTTTGATATATCAAATAAACTAACCATTTATAATTATAATATTTTATTAGTTTTAATGATGATTTTATAACATCTTCCAAATGACTAATTATTTTATCATTTATATAATTGTCTAATTGTGATGTTGTATATGATTTTTTAGTAATTTTACCTTTTAATTTAGAATTAATTGTAAATTTCGGTTTATCATTTAAACTTAAATCGTTGAATAAATTATCCAATTTTACTTTTTTACTTGATATATCTATTAAATCATCTTCTCTTGCATGTTTACCCATTGATTCATTGCTAAAGAGAATCGCGGCAGAATTTCTAGAAAATTGAGAAATGCACCATGTTATGCTAACGCGAATTTAAGCGGGAAACACTACAAATTAAAAATTGGTTTCAAATTAATTTTGCTACCAAAGTAGTGCGGAGTACGGCCTAATGATATTATATCCAAGGCGAGACCTGGTATTAGCCGTCGAGGTATTTCAATTTTATTAACGAGCACTAAAAAAAAAAGAGCTAGTACCGCCTTTCAAACTAGCTTGGAATATTAAGAAGCATTTAAATACACTCATATGTATCTTCTCTATGGCAGATTCGAATATTTTGTTGATAGATGTTCCCATTTGTTCAAGGAGATGCTCTACTAGCGCGACAATATGATTTCTCGCGCTAGAGTTAAGGCGACTCGTACTAGACTTATTGGCTTTTAAGTCAAAAAAAGCTCAATCTCTTCTGATAAAAACCAGAAATATGAAATCAGGAACTTTGATTTATATGTTCTGTATGTCTTAAAATTGAATTTTAGAGTACTTTTTTCAACTTGAATTCTAAGCAATTTTTAAGCAATTTTTCACCATACAAAATATTTGCAACAAAGGTAATAAGTTGTATCTCTTAATTTTAGAGCCATAACTATCAATTAAACGACTAATTATAAACCCTACGTCTCAGACAAAGGTGCTACACCTAATTATAGAAGATCTTGACTGAAATTGAGAAATTTCAAAATTTTCCCTTCACTATGGGTAAAATCGAATAAATTGATATTACAAAAAATTTAGCTTCTCAACTAAATTCATTGTGGGAGTATGATGAAAGTATCAAAAATTGCAGTTTTGCACTCGGTTATATCTTGGATATCTTTGTATTAAGGTATTCAAATTTGGAAAAGTAATTTTTCAAAGGTGTTTCGAAATTGTTGAAAAAATTTCAAACTGATTGCCTCGTTTTGAAAACAACATGACCATTAGACTTTTTGGAGTTTAATAAACCAATTCAACCAGCTTAGAAGTTGTCAAACGAGGTTAAAGTATAAGATATGTTACAATTAAGAGTTATTCTACATTTTTTGATTAAGGAATCACGAGATCAATACTGGATTTTATTAAAAAACATTGGTATTAGTCTAATACAAACCAATTGAATATTCGAGGAAAAAATTTAGAGGATAATAGTTCAAATATTGAATGGGTTATTCACGATTCAACTTCCAAAATTAATATGGTGATACTGCATACAAATAAATTTCAAAAATGTTTAAATTTGTGAACAAAATTTCATATTTAGAACTGGATCAAGTCAATTACCAGATTGTAACAATCGTCAACTATTTTTAGAATATCTAAATATAGAATCTCATATGAATTCTACAATCTCGTGATCAATTATGTAATAAATGTATTGTTCTTCGTCTTGTTTGCATAAAGCCACACTAAAAAATTTATGCTGGCTGAATCTTATATGTCAGATCTATTATTCAATCAATCTAGATCAATGTCAATTTGTTTACTTGGCTGTGTTTGACCAGCATAAACAAATTCTAAACCAAGTAAATTGATTTCCCCTTGAAATTTGATCGTGCCTTGATTTTAATTGTACAAAATCAATTATGACATAATTTGCAACAATAACAAACAATTGCTGTGCCGAGTTGAAAATTATATAAATAGAGCAAATTTCTTGTAGATTTCAATCAACAAGGTCAACATGAAATATTCAATTATCTTAGCTTCAATTCCATTAACTTTAGCTTATAAAAATTTTGATAATATAGTAGATCAAAAAGCAGTTTTATCAGATGCCGCCTCAGCTATGGGGGGTGCAGCTGATACTGTTACATCTGGAGCTGCTGGTGCTGCTAATACTGCCATATCTGGTGCTGGCGGAGCTGCTGATACTGCCATATCTGGTGCTGGTGGAGCTGCTGATACTGCGACATCTGGTGCCGCTGGTGCTGCTAATACTGCTGCTTCTGGAGGTCAAGACGCTGCTTCGAGTGCAACTGATGCAGCTGCTGGTGGATCAGAAACTGGAGCAAATGAATCTGCTAGTGAAGAAACAGGAGGATTTGCAGAAGAAAGTGGAGTTTCAGAATCTGGAAGTAATTCAGCTGCTGGCGGAGGAATTGGTTCACAAACTTCAGGTTCAGGCTCAGGCTCAGGACCATCAAGTTTAAGTTTATTATCTTCGAGTGGTTCATCACCATCTGGTGGCTCTCTGGGCTCAAGATCTGATTCAAATTCAAGATCTTCTGGTGGTTCAAGTTCAGGTTCAAATTCAAGATCTTCAGGAGGTTCAAGTTCAAATTCGGGTTCAATTTCGGGTTCAAATTCTGATTCAAATTCAAGTGGTTCAGAAGCTGGTGGTAATATATTAAAATATGGTAGCTTAATGTATGTTGCTGCTTTAGCTTTATTGTAATATATTTAGAGTTCTTAATAAATGCAAATTTCTGTTTTATACAAAATTTATCCTTAAAAACATATCACTATTCTTTATGAAGTTGACAGGATTCTTATTGATTTTACCAGTTTTAGCTCAACAAACTACTATTTTCATTACTCAAGGAACTCAAACTGTGATTATTCCAGGAGTTCAAACTGAAGTTGATACTGATGCTCACACAGGAACTCAAATTGCAGTTACGGGTACTCAGCCATTAACTACAGTTGGAAATACAGGTACTCAGACTGGAAATACAATAGTTCAACCACAAACTACAGTAACTCAAGCTACAGACACTGAAACAGGAGCTATGCAAACTATGAATAATCAAACAACGCATCAAAATGCAACTGACCATGCTGGTCATAATCAAACAGGAATTGGTCAACAAACTGGTCAACAAACTCAAACAGGCCAGACTGGAACCCAAACTGGAACCCAAACTGGAACTCAAACTGGAACTCAAACAACAACTGGCCAGCAAACAACAACAAATGGTCAACAAACAACAACAACTGCAACAGTTGCAGGAGCTGCAACATTAATGGTCGGCAGTTTAGGATATCTTGCTTGCTTTATGCTTTTATAATATGCTAATATATACTCATATGTTCTATTCTATAAGCTACTACTACTTGTAATTATATTTTCGTGTAATTTATCAGAATCAATGGATTCAGCATTTAAATCATCTTTCAATACATTTATACATAATTGATCATAATAACCTTTCAATATTTTCAAATCCTTTATAGTCAAATTTTCAAAATCCATATTATGATATTTTGTTAATTCATGTAAATCTACCTCTTCGTTTACAACTTCAGGTTTTTTAGAAACCAGTAGATTATTAAACCATTTATCTAATATTTGTAAACTTGTGGTTCTTTGTCTACCTGATGCTTCTTGTTCAATTGACTGTAAAGATGAATTTGATGGATTTACATCTGATTGATTTAATTTTGTCATAAATTCTGAAACTCCATTTGAGAATTTTTGTGTTATTGAATTTCTCTTATTTTCAATGGAACTTGATCTTGTTCTTGAATGACTAGGTGATAATTTTGTCATTAATGAATTTGAACGTTTTGTTGGGGAAAATATACTATTATCATCTTCAGTATCATCTTGATTAATTTTGAATATATTTCTAATTTTCCAACCTTCATCAACAGTAGGAAAATTTTCCTTCTTCATGGAGCTTGACCTTGATCTAGTTTCAGAAATTTTATTACTAATTTGATTTAATATTGATGATGATCTTGATCTATTTATTTCTTCTGCTATCTGTCCATCGGGAAATTGGAAATGAGATAATAATTCTTCATCAACTAATTTATCAATTGGAAACTTAATTATGTTTTTATTTATTTCAATATTTGGTGCCAATTCAGATATAGTGGTATTTGAAAGATAAACAATTATAGCTTCAAAATTTGTTAAATAATAATTTAATTCACCAAAATTTAAATAATTTGAATTTATAAATGTAATTAAATCTTTATCATTGGTGAAAAAGTCAAATTCATCATCAATTTTATGTTCTTGTGCAAGAAATTGTGAATCGTGTAAATTTAAATATCCTAATAATGAAGTTTTCTTACATTTTAATGGTGGTCTTTCTGAATATGGATTGTAGGATAAGTATAAATTGAGTTGATATAGATCCGGATTTGTATCTATAATGTTGAGGAAATGTTTAATGAATAAAAAATTAAGGTATAAGTTTTTATGATTCAATTTATAAATAAGTAGGTATATCAATGAAGGTAGTAAAATATCATTATTTATACTTTCGTTATATTTGTTTGATAAGAATCCAATTAATTTCTTTTGTAGATTAACCACCAGTTTTAATTTTGTAAATGGAGTCTTGCATTCATCTAATTCATCAATATTCTTTTGTAATATTTCAATTTCTTCGTCTGATAAATCCAATTTCCTCTCAAATGGTATATTTAGTTCCTTCAATGTATCCAATTTCTCCTTTAAAAACTCCTCATAAATTATATCCCTTTGATCAAATTTAAATATTTCATCATATAGTGTTACATCATCACCTGATCTAAATAATTCATGTTCTGCTAAGTTTATAGATTCCAATATAATCAAAAATTTATAAAAATTAAATACCCTTAATTGATACAATGCATCATTATCTGATCTTTTTAATAATCTAATCGAAGAATTTGAATAATTTGCAATAGCTAATAAATAATCAAAAATTTTAGGATTTTCATTAAAATAATCACACTCAGATATAAGCTGTTTCTTTGTTGAATTCAGTTGAGTATATACACATATAATTAATACATTTAAATCTTGATAAAATCGTTTAAATAAATCGGATAATTCATTTATAGTCAACGGTGATTGATATCTTGGTTCTTTTAAATATTTAACAAATGACTGAATTAAAGATATTACTTGCTGATTTAATTTTATATTGGTTTTAACTTCATCATGAAGTCTATCAATAATTTTATAAGGTACTGGACCCATGGCATAAAACTTGATTGATAAGTTTTTAAAAAAAGCTGACAACTAAAATTTAAATCGCGTAAATTAATTTTGTGTGTGTTAATCTACCAAAAACTTATTCTGTTATGGTAACTACCAAAATATTGTTAATAATAATTATTATTATAGGCTATGTTTGTACCCATAATAATCCCTTTCAAATATGAAAGAACAACAAATTTATATATTGTTAAAGGAAATTGGTAATTCGTTAGCTTAAGAGTTGTAGAATAGTAAATCAAACTCTTTGATCATCTTTAAAGGGTAAATCGGTTTATCGGTTAGAAAATTTCATTAAACCCTCAAAACACCCTACAATTTTAACTTAAAACGTGTGAAACATAAAATAATTGATCTTAATTGGTTTACCGTACTCTTTGATGAAAATTTTTGATCTAAAACCGGTGTTTGATTTTGTGAAACATGTTATCAACTGACATAATCATAGCAGGTCAAATCTGGATTTGATCCTTTTCTCTTTGAAGCTACTATAGGTGAATTTAAGGGCTATTTATTGGGTAGTATTATTTGATCTTAATACCTCAAACAATAAAATATTTTTAACTTTCGTACACTATGTATGTTCTTTTTTAATCTTTTTTTGTTGATCATACAATTTAAGCTAAAAGTTTATATAATTTACCTAATTTTGGTTGAAATTTGTTGATAAATTGATAAAATTCTACTAAAAATAAAAATAAAAAAATTAACGATCAACACGGAAAGCTTCGTAATGCTTCGTTGAACAGAATCACTAAAGATATTGGAGAAAAGAGTATATCGATAGTCTGATTGTATTTTTATTTAAGTTTGGCTGCAAATTTAAATCGCTACACCTGATTTTTGTAAAGTATCAAATGAAAAAATTTGCGAAAAAAATACTTGATTCTACCCAGGCTCGAACTGGGGACCTAATGCGTGTTAAGCATTCGATATAAACCAACTAATCCATAGAACCAATAGTAGTTTTCCGAAACGGCCAATTGCTGCTTTCGTTAAACGTTTGTTTGGCAACAAGTCAAGTAGCACGTTTTACATGCTGGCCAAAAATTTAACAGAAATTTTAGGACTTGGAAATCTTCTTAAATCTTCAATCCATGGTACACCCTTGACTTGAGGTAATAGATAGAATTTTTGACAATAAGATCATCGAAATACAAATTTTACGTGGAATAAAGCTCGATATTGTGTTCAATGCATTACTTCTAGTGATTTTGCAGAATTTTCAGCCTGAAAATTGACGAATTATTTGACCATTCAGGGGAAATTTCATCAATAACCCCCTAGGTAATTACCCCCTAAGATTATTTCTGACACCCCTTAAAACATCTCCATGGCAAGGCAAATTAATACACCAAAAAGCTTACTTGTCTGTACTTACTAGATGTATAAATTGCATGAGGTATAATTTACATCTTTCGTGAAGTAGAAACCTGAAATTGTATACACTTAATCTCAATCGGTTAAGTTTAAGGTCAACAACTTCTCCATCAATGATTATAAAACACAGCTTACCTCGGGTTAGCAGCTTTGACACTAATCAATCTCCTTTGGTGAGTTAAAATTTTCATTTCTGTTTTGTTAGTATAAATTTCATTCAAAATTTTCAATGTTATTCAGATATTTGATGAATGTTGGATAGGAAAAGTTATCAGCATCGTAGACTCTGAGTGAGCTGAGTAGGTTATCATCATAAACAAAGAATTGATGTTTGAAACATACCATTATTTCAAACTAATAATAGGTGATGAGATAAAGAAAAAAAATACCATGGTTGAAAAATAATTTTAGTCAAACAATGTGCCGGGTAAGCATTATATATATATATATGAAATTATTATCAGTAGTACTCAAAATCCCATTATTAACTCCATTATGCCTTTATAAACCATTAATCCAATCTCTCAAACATTCATCAAATCTAATCATCAAATCATCACTCATTATTATAATTTATTTCGGTGTTTTTGGTCTCAATTGTTCAATTTCATTTGTAACTTGAATTAAAAATTGGTCCTTATTATCTTGTCTTTTTATCATTGATTTTTGATACAATTCATCATTATATTTAATTACATCAAAATTATCTAATAAAATATCAGGACTCATTATAACCCAACCTTTTCTTAATTTAATATAATGATTTTCATCCAATTTAGAAGGAATAATATGTAATCTTCTATTTGAATTTGAGAAATTTTCACAAATTTTATAAATTAAATCAGGTACTGCATTATTTTCTAAATTATTTTGAATTTGTAAATCAGTATCAATATTACAATGAATTAAATCACCATCTGTTGATCTTCTAACAGTACCAGTAATACACATCCAACAATGCCATTGTTGATTTTCAAATAAACCAACATTATCTTCTTGATTTGGATAATATTTTGAATTTTTATCAATTGGTAAGAATACAATTTCTTCTGACCTTCTAAATTTTTTATTTAATTCATTCTCATTCAATAATTTAGTCAATTCTTTAATTTTCTCAGTTGATGCCCAAATAAAAAGAAATCCAGGTTTTGAGCATAATTTATTGATTGGTAATGAATTCAAAATTGGTAAAATGAATTGATTGTCAACTAATGCACCAATCATAATAACGTCAAATTTTAAACCTAATTTAATCCATGAATTTAAAACTGGAATAATTTGATCTGTTTCGACTCTTTTACCATAAGCTTGTGTAGCATGAACATTAATTTGTTGTTTCTTTAATTGATGTAATTTAATTAATTTTGGATAACCATCAACTGGATTTTGAATATTTTTAATATATGAGATTGGATTAACATTTGTATGAACATAATTGTTATTATAATCTAATTTAACATCAGGTATTTCAGTAGTTGAAGTTGTTGGTGGATTGATTTTAGTTGTTGTTGATCTAGATCCAAATTTATTATATGTGTATGACATTTACGTGTGGCGAATTTTTTTTTTGTGTTTCAGAAATATCAATTAAATTTGATGTTTTTAACAAAAAGGAAAGGACAGAATAAACATTTAGATTATTTTATAAACAGGTTAAAACAGGATATAAATGAGTATAATGTATGTATTATTTTTGACTGAATGTTTTTGCTAACGATTAGAATTGTGATATAAATGAAGAATCGAAATTAGCCGAAGATTTAATAACTAATTTAAAAACAGTTGTTGATGAAGAAGTATCAGTATTATTAAAAATAGATTTTTATTTACATATTTCAGTCATTTCAACTACCCACATTGGATTATTCCATCAATTGAATTACTTTTTCAAAAAGTTATTTAATTTTATATTTAATGATGAATCTTCAATCATTTACCAGCTGAAAATCAGTATAGTCATAAGTAATTATTGTCAGCTAATTGTGAGTTGTAAAGATTATACTAGTAAGTTTATTGCAAAGTTATTGATGGTCTGTGAAAAGTATCCCAATTTTTTAATTGTTTGGTTTAACTTTATTCCTTTAATTTGCTACAAGACGATGGTTAATTTTCAAGAATATGAGGTTCTAATACCTTTATTCAAATTAACTAATAGATCAAGTGAATTGTTCAATTATCTTTATGATAACTTACAAATATTGGATTATTTCCTCAATGAATTCATAACTAAATTTAATAATTTAAATATTTCATTAGATTTAGAACATCACTTAACAATATTGTTCTCAATAATTGAAACTGCATCCTCTAGAATTGGCAATCTATATTACTCCAAATTTGAAAGTGAGATAAATAAGATAGTTCAAGATGAAAGAAAATGTTTTATTTTAGATAAACTTATACCTTCAATATTGATTTGTTTTGCAAATTTAGAAAAATCAAGATTCATTGAACGGTTTTTATCGAATGAGAATTTACAACCACTTATAACTAAGCGTTTTTCATCATTAATACCTACACTTATCATATTATTTGATAAAAATGACTTCATTAAAATTATGGGTCATTTTCTTATCGAAGATCCAGATAGTCTAAATGACTTAACAATACAATTAGTGACCATCAATTCATCACGACAAAACTTATCAAATATTTTTATCGATTTACTAAATAACAAGTTCAATGATATTAGTTTTTGGAAATTGGACTCAAATACATTCATCAGTAATTTATACTTAAACTTGTTAACCAATTTTTTCAATAATAGTCCAAAATTGAATTCCCAGTTAATTGAATTCTCATCATTACTATTTATAAAATTGAATGTTTTGAATAATGAAACTTTTAAAAAAGCAATTGATTATTTATGTGATTCTTATCAAGCTTACGATGAATTGAATCTGAATTTTATGCGTTATAAAGATGATACATATGAGTTTAATAAATTTCTTGATGCAAATTCAAACTTACCAAAAATGCTCAATTTGAAAGATATAGAAGAATTAAATTTTATCAAAGTTCAGGATAATTTACATTTGTTTAACCAGTTCATTAGTTGTTTATATGCTAATTGGAAGCTAAAACATATTGTGTACAATTTTAATAACAAACTTTGAATTGTATAATTGAATTGTGGCGATTCTCTCAATCTCCAGTCAAAACTAGACATGAATAACAGTTTCTTACTTACATTCTTACATAATATCTCCAGTCAAAACTAGACATGAATAACAGTTTCTTACTTACATTCTTACATAATAAATACTCATTTACATTAAATACGTAAGCACTATAATACAATTTTTCCATCAATTGTATTTATCATATAAGTAATAAAGACCAGCTAAAGCAACCTTCTTTTTTGCAATTTTCAAATCGAAGTCTTCTCCATGACCAATAAAAATCTAATGACCATCATCATCAATGTACAGATAAAGAAACTTATGCAATTTCTTGTTTCCTAAATAATTATTTTCTTCACCTTTTTCAATTTCAGATCCAACCCTATCAAATGCAAATGCTTCTTTAACATCCCTTCTTGAAAATTTTGACCTATTTTTTTGATATAGTCTACATTAATATCACGACCAACAAAGAAACTTCCATCTGAATTATCAATGAATCTAACATTTTCAATCGATTCAATATTTTCTTTATTTTTAAAAGCAACAATTTCAGGTGGTAAGGTAATTCTGGTTCCTTCAACGTTAATCAATGATGAAACTTTCGATTTATCATTCGGTTTAGAACTGGTGAATAATCTAAAATATCTGAATCATCATTAACAGCATCAGCAGGTTGAACATCGACAGTAACCTTTGTATTATTCATGACCAGAATTTGTTCAACATGTTCTAAACCATTCTCAACCAATTTAAATGAAATAATTGATTTATTAGGAACATCAAATTCAATTGGCTATGAAATAGCATTGAATTTATTTTTATTCTTACCTTTACCTTTTTCACTATCTTAAGGGTGAAATTTAGCCATTGATTTTGATTTGATGTTTTTAATGTTGATGTGTAATTAATTGATAGTTGAGAAAATTTGGAGAGTTAAAAAGAAAAAAATAAAAAAAAAAATAAAAATTACCCTTCAGATCTATTAGACCCTAGATCCATTTTAGATCAGATCTCGTATCTTGAATCTAATTTTTTTTTATTTTTTTTTTTTTTGATCAACTAAACCTATACCATAGTCAAATCTACATTTCCCGAGAAATTAATTCACAAAGTATCTATATTCACTAACTACTAACTATTCTCTTTCCTCAAATAATCAATTAGTCTTTTCTTATGTAAAAGATTATAAAATTTACCTTCTTTAAGAATTACAATCACTTTACAACCAATCTTATCAAATATCAAATTAGCCAAACTTAGTTCCAGATCATAGTTTAAGAATATTGGACTCTTATTAATGATAAATGACAAATCCACTAAACTTTTAAACAAATCAATATCTGAAGTATCTAAATTGTTAATTATATTTTCATTCAAGTTTGAACTAATTATTTCCTCTAAATTAAAATGAATTGATTTTATATCCTGACATAAATCCTTTCCAATCATAAATTCATTAACTCTATCTAGATAAATTTCAAGATCCAAGAAATAAATTAATCCATAAAATGTATCTTCTTTTAAAATAGGTATATAGAAATCATCAATTGATTTTGCTCTTTCCTCATTGTCATTCTTGCTTTGTATTATCTTATTCAATTTATCAAATGATATAGTTTTATTCTTTGTAATATCAATAAAAAAACCAAAATCATTTATCAAGTCACTAATTCTTATTATTGGATTTATTGTCTCTGTTTCTAACTCATTCATGAATGGATAATCATTGGTTTCCAATATCATTTCATATAATGAATTTTTCTCAATAATTGTTCCAATCCAATTTGCAATTGAAATTGATATAGAAATAGGAAGTATAAAATTATAACTAGAAGTCAACTCAAATAAAATTGTCACCAATGTTATATTCATATGAGTAATACCAGCCATAAATGAACCAGCTGATATAATAGCATAAATGCCAAAATCTAAATTAAAGTTAAAAAAATAATTGAAAAACATTGATATTATTCTTCCAAATAATGCTCCAATCACCATTGATGGTATATATATCCCATGAGGAATCTTTAAACCAAAAGTAATGAATGTTAAAAACACTTTGATTATAAATGCAAATACCAAAGATTTTAATTCTTTTAAATATTGTAAATCTGTTCTTGGACATAATGAATGATCTAATTCTTCACTACATGAAGTTGCCAAATCAAGAATCAATTCTGTATTTGCTTGCTTTAAATATGGATTCCAAAATGTTATTAAACCTGTAATTGCACCAATTAATAATACATCAAATAGAAAACTTGAAGTAGTTAATTTCTTTTTCCATTTTACAAATTTAACAAAAGAACTTCCAAAAATACCACCAGAAATACCAATAATAACAAAAAATATCAATTCATAAAATTTCCAACTCAAATTTGGATCATAACTCAATTCAAATAATACAATTTTCCCAGTATTATAAGGATTTAAAATTTTTAAAAATAATGTTGAGATTATTGTACAAAAGAAAATTTGAAACAATTGCAGTGATGGTAAATAATTATTAATCTCTTCAAGAATAAAAAGAATACCTCCTAATGGACTCCCAAATGCCAATGTTACCCCTGATGATGCACTTGCTGATAAAATTTGTTTTGTAAATAAATCATTATTATATATAAATGGAAACCATCTGATTATAATATTTCCTAAACATGTAGCTAAATGAACATAGGGACCTTCTTTACCCAATGATAATCCAGATGCAATTGCAAGAATCAAGGCAATAGTTTTCGAGATCAACGTATAAAAACCTAAAAATTTTCTAATAATAAATCCCGATAAAATTGTTTTTACTTCAGGTACACCTGATCCTGATGCAGTATATATGGTTCTTGATTTATGAATAATCTTTGTAGTTAATGTAATGAGACATGATATACATGCAAATGTAATTGTCAAAAAAGTGTATAAAAAATAATTGAAATAAGGTGATTGTTGATGAAAATAAATTGACCACGAAACCCAATGTGGACAAACTCCATCACCATTAAAATCTTCGTTACAACATGTAATTTCTGACGCAAAAAAATTTGATTTACAATAACCAAATTTCAAATTAATTAATAAAATTTCAAATTTATCAATCAAATAAGCTAATAAAGCAAATGAAACACCAATTAAAATTAAACAAAGGTATTTTCCAAGTAGATAGTAAACTCTTCCGTATAGTGGCACTTTATTATCACCATCTTTTAGATCATAATTGAATTTATTTGAGTTTAAATATGCATTTGTCCAATCAATTGTTGTGAAATCATTATAAAAACTTGTACTCTCAAGGATTACCTTGTCATTTATAAAGTTTAAAAATTTGGACTTTATTGAATCTGCATTACTTTTCAATGAGTAAGCATCACTATTGTTATTCTTATAATTAAAATAATCAACATTTGGAGATAATAAAATTGACGATTTTAAAATCGGAGATTTAACATCTAATTTACCAAGTGATTTTATTTTCTTTAACGGAATTGGTGTTGGCTTAAATTGAACTGAATTATAGTTACCTTGGGCATGATAATTATTATAAGCTAATGGAGTTGTAGGAACTGTTCTTGAAGGATGCAATCGATTTTGATTAACAGGTATATTTAAATGATTTAGCAAATGATCATTTTCATCTGGCTTCATTTATTGAATATAATAATATGAGCTATTGATTGAAATAATAAATCTTGGTTGTATTTTTAAATATAATATTGAAATCAAAACAAACAATGGCGTGTAACTTGAACAAAGATCTTAGATTTAAAACATTGAAACGTATGCAATCGAATCATGAAAAAAATAATTACTTGATTTACAACGTCATAGTATAGTTGAAAGTGTGGAGTTGAAAATGCTACCATTTAGGGAGGAGATTTACAATAAAGTTTATATATAAATTAGGGGGCAACGAAATAGAAATACGACAATCATTGGTTCATCAATCATTGGATCATCAACCATTGATAGGTAAAATTCGGTCAATTTATTATCGGAGTCAAATCAAGAAAGTGTTGATCGGAATATTTATTCCGTGACTGGCCGTAGTGAAGCCATACAACAAACGGTTAATTTATTAGAATTTAGTAAGTACACTCTCTTAAGTAATACCTACGCGTCAAAAACCGCGCTCGATTAAGGCCAACTTGCCATATTAAGTAATTGTAATCGGTATTGCAGCGGTAAATAAAAGCCGTCATACTAAATGTAGAGAACCTGTACTAGTTCGACTTAAGATTATTTTTAACTAAATTTTGTATGGCTAATTTTAATACAATAAGACAATTTATAACATAATAGAGATTCAAACTAAAAGTTTAATACAATAATTATTTCACCGAGATCATAAACCCGATTGTACCACATCGCTTATATATATTATGTCATCTCAATTTTGCTGGACCAATTATAAACGAATGAAATATAAAATTCGAATAAAATATCGACTGATATAGGAAGCCGGAAATAAATATTTAATAAATTCGAGTTGGGCACAATTTGAATGGCATTGAAACGTGAATTCGGTACGCGATATTTTAAGTGAGCCCGGCCAATTTATTTTATGCGTACCCCACCTTATTTTCTTTTTAGTATAAAAATTTTTATTAGTTAACAAACTCTTATGCAGTTTGTTTTATTATATAAATTAATCAATTTCACCATATTTTTCAGTTTTCAATTTATATTTTAATTCTTTTTTTAAAAGGTTTTGCCAATTTTCATTTAATATTAGTTATAAATAGTAATCATGGTTGAAAAAATTAAAGTTGTCAATCCAATTGTTGATATGGATGGTGATGAAATGACAAGAATTATTTGGAAATTTATCAAGGATAAATTGATTTTCCCGTATTTAGATATTGATTTGAAATATTATGATTTAAGTATTGAATATAGAGATGAAACAGATGATCAAGTCACTATAGATTCAGCAAATGCTACTTTAAAATATGGTGTCGCTGTTAAATGTGCTACAATTACTCCTGATGAACAAAGGGTTAAAGAATTTAATTTAAAGAAAATGTGGCTCTCTCCAAATGGTACTTTAAGAAATATTTTAGGTGGTACTGTTTTTAGAGAACCGATTGTCATAGAAAATATTCCAAGAATAGTTCCAAGTTGGGAAAAACCAATCATAATTGGAAGACACGCTTTTGGTGATCAGTATAAAGCAACTGATATAATAGTACCTGATGCTGGTCAATTAAAATTGGTATATACTCCTAAGGATGGTGGTGAACCTGTTGAATATCCAGTTTATGATTTTGATGGTCCCGGTGTAGCTTTATCAATGTATAATACTGATCAATCTATTCATGATTTTGCTGAATCATCATTTAAATTAGCACTTGATCGTAAATTGAATCTATTTTCCACTACAAAAAATACTATATTGAAAAGATACGATGGTAAATTTAAAGATATATTTGAAAATTTATATAATACAAAATATAAAACTGAAATGGACAAATTAGACATTTGGTATGAACACAGATTAATTGATGATATGGTTGCACAAATGTTAAAATCAAAAGGTGGTTATATAATTGCAATGAAAAATTATGATGGTGATGTTCAATCTGATATCGTTGCTCAAGGTTTTGGAAGTTTAGGTTTAATGACTTCTGTTTTAATGACTCCAGATGGTAAAGCTTTCGAAGCTGAAGCTGCCCATGGTACTGTTACTCGTCATTATAGACAACATCAACAAGGTAAAGAAACAAGTACAAATTCAATTGCATCAATTTTTGCTTGGACAAGAGGTATTATTCAAAGAGGTAAATTAGATAATACTCCAGATGTAGTTAAGTTTGGTCAAGATTTAGAACAAGCTGTTATTGATACTGTTGCAAAAGATGGTATAATGACAAAAGATTTAGCTTTAGCTCAAGGTAAAACTGATAGATCATCATATGTAACAACAGAAGAATTTATTGATGCTGTCAAAAACAGATTAGACAAGAATTTAGGTCATTAATTTAACTCAACTTTAATATAAACTTATTTATTTATTAAAATTATGTACTTTGTGGCAAATTACCATAAAAACTACTCCAAAATTATGAGAGATTTTAAGATCTTTGAGCCATGCTTTACCACAGCTGTAATTTATAAATCTCTACGTTGAGTATACTTCTTCGTCGTTTTTCGTGATTGTTCGTTCAATTTAGACCCATTGATAATTACAAACAAACAAACAAACAAACAAAAAAAAAATAGTTTTTCACTTCCATTAATCATGAATGTAGGTTCAATATTAAATAACGATGCTCCAAAAGATCAAGAATCACAACAGCAACAACCCGAATTACCTAGGAAAACATCATCATCACAATCTGTTCATCAAAGACACTCGATCACAAGTATGTTGAACGACACTCCTAATGAAACTCCACAACCAGAGCCAGGGGCCAAACAAGAAATAGAATTAAAAAAGGAAGAAGAAGAAAACAAAGAAGAAGAAGAGGAAGAAAACAAAGAAGAAGAAGAAGAAGAAGAAGAAGAAGAAGAAGAAGAAAACAAAGAAGAAGAAGAAAACAAAGAAGAAGTACAAATAAATGAAGATCAAGATCATATAGAAGTGGAACCAAAACCAGATAACAAAGAAGAATTTAAAGTTGTAGAAAGAATTAGATCGAATGATTCACCTTCAATTCTCGATGACGATGATGATTTAACAAGGTTAAAAAAGATTAAACAGTCTGAAAAACCTAGAAGATATGAAACTCCACCAATATGGGCTCAAAGATGGATACCCGCAAACCAAATGGATCATCAACAACCAAATCATCATGAACCAACACCACAAATCACAACGTCACGTATATCAGACAAACCAGTGTTTGATTATACATCCCTGGGCTCAGTTGATTTAGAATGCTCAATTACTGGTATAATTCCACCATCTTCAATTACAAGAACAATTGCAGAATGGATATTTGCAAATTTTTCAAATATTGATGAACGAAATAGAAAAAATGTAGAATTGGAAATTAAGTTTGGTAAAATAATTGATAAGAAAACAAATAATAGAATAAATTTGGATGTTATAACTGAATGTATTTTCACAAATCAATCAAATATTAGATTTGATATGGAAGTTGAAGAAATTGCATTTAAAGAAGTTAGAAAATTTTTTGATGAGTTAGAACAGCAATTTCAAAAGAAGGAGGGTGGTCCTAAGAGAAAATTTAATGTTTTGGAGTCCGATACAACTGATAACTTTTATCAACTTACTAATAAAAATGAAATATTTAGAAGAATTAGAATTTCGAAAGATAATTTATTAGATCCTCCAAGATATATAGGGATTCAAAAGGAAAGAATTTCTGATTTATATATTCATAATCCTGGAGGGATGTATGACCTTCGTGTGTCGCTAAGTATGGAAATGCCAATCCCAGAAGGAAATATTGAGTCCATACAGAAAAATCCAATTGATAAAACCAGAGAAAAGAAAAGAGTTACTTATAATCATCATCCAACATTAACTCAATTTGATTTAACAAAGGTATTAGAGCCAAAAGAATCAAAGACTAAACTGGGTAAGAAAATAACACAATATGATACGAAATATGAAGTAGAGTTAGAAATTGATGTATTGGAAGTTTTTAATGCAATTGATAAAATCACTTCAGGAATCGATAATTATAGATTGGAGGAAATTGTTGAAATATTTTTAAATAACGCAAGGGTTATAAATAATAGAGTTACGAAATTAGCCTTATGAAGGAATGTAATTAATTTAATACACCGTAAAATTATTTTATGTCAATCATTTTAATTATGTTTCTAGATAGTAATTAACTATTTGTAATTCTAATTAATATATTGAAATTAAAACATTATACCCATATTGATTTTTTTGAAAAATTTTGAATAGTGAAAAAAGCCCCAAATTCAAGTTAAATTCAACATTCAAATATGCAGAGAAAATTATTTAAAGATTTTGATTTTATCATTTGTATCAGCTCGACAATACAATTGCTCTATGATTTATGAGGCAATACATGTAGCAGGAGTCGCCCTACAAATCAACCCGAGAGATTATTTTGTCGCGCCTGGTTTATGGCATTGAAAATTATATACTTTCATAATTCTGAGGCAGATTTGCTTATGCAGTCTCATCATAGTAAACTTAAATTGTAAAAAATTCCCTCAATATTCAATCTGTTTTAGTCAAACTTATTGCATTGGTTTTTCAGTTAACTTAGAGCATACTAATACTAGTGATTTTTTGTAAAATGTAATTTTGATCATGTCATTCGTTATTTAAAAAATGCAGAAAAACGCTATTTTGCGAAATAAGCAACTTTTAGACCTCATTTAGCAACTTCTAATTTAGCTGATTCAGTTCAACTACTAGCATATATAATTCGATGTTTGACCAAAAATCGTGGTGCTAAATAATGTGATACTTGAGGTTCACTGTTTTGTCAAAATTTTTGTATGGTAAAAAAATCCCAAAATAACAACTGAAACAAAAAGTTAGGAAATTTAAAACCTGAAAGTTACCAAGTATATAATTTAAGGCTCCTGATCTTGTATAACTGGTATTTAATTTGTGAGAATGTACGGTTTAGAATATCTAAGTCAATATAGACAGTACGAGACCGCTCTGAGGTGAGGACGAGAATTTTATTTGTCGCATCAAAACATTACGTTGAAATATCTGAGACGTTAGAATGCCTTTGATGACTTTGACGTGCTTTACTAACTCTAGGAGCATCATTCCATTTAGTGATGTATAAGGCTACAAAGGAGCTAAAATTTGAAATTCGAGGATTGAAATTGAGAGTGTTATTCACCAAGCACTACTAGCGCCAATCTTCAGTCGAACAATCCATTCAGAAATCTTGGCAATTTGCTGCTAGAACCAACATTAACAAATGCAAGCTTGCCAAAGTTTTTAATGTTTAAAGAATGAGAAGTAGGGCTAGATTATTGAAAGAAATATTCGTGAATTTTAGTTGTAAAATTAATCTAATAACCACAGGACTGCATACAATTAAAGATCGTGTGACGCCTATCAAACCTCACAATAAATTTCGTGCCCGTTTGCAACGCGACAAAATAATTTTCTCGCATTAATTCTGAGGCGACTCGTACTAAATGTATTGGATTGTGCGTCATGGACGACGTGGTCTCTTTAGATAAGAACCAATTTTTTAATTTTGGGTTTTTTTTTCATCATACAAAAAATCACAACTTTCGATTAAACGATGAAGGATTCAAATTAGACTTCGATTGGGAGTAAAAGACTTAATTCCATATGTTCAACTCAGAAAAATTTTCAAAAAATCTCTTAACTACGCGGAATTCGAATAAATCAACCTTACAAAAAATTCAACACCACAATGAATATTCAAACTAAAGTATAATAAAACTACCCAATTTTGTAGTTCCCTATTCTGATATGCTTGAGATTTTTTTGTGTTGAAATATTCTAAATCCAAAACGTAACTTTTCATAAGTGAAATTTTTATTCAGAATGAATATAACGCCCTCAAACCAATGCGGTTATAGTTTCTAGTATCAATTTAACCGAATCAACCAAATTAGAAGTTGATAAATGACGTCTAAGAGTTACATATATTCCAATTTAGCGTTTTTTTACAATTTTTGAACAATCGACAAAGTCATCAAAATTGTGTTTATTCAAAACAAATTAGAGTTATTTGATTCTGGTTCCAATTACATACATAATGAGTTTCTTATTTGGGAAATACAACAGCAAAATTGGGTGCGTTATGGACAATTTAAGTTTTGTGTTTAACTACTACAAGACTGCATATAATACAATTTTGTTAAATAAACTAGACGAAAACAGTATTTTAAGATCAGTAGCTTTCTTACAAAATGCTTGATCGTTAACAAGCTAATGCTATGTTTTCTTGGTATTTTTAATTTTGGTCATTAAGCAACGTTTATTTTTTTTTACCACCCCTATATTAGTTTTCATCGTAAGTTACGTACTTTGAGCTCTCTCAACGTAATTAATAGCTGTATAAAGGTGTATTTATATAAAATGAGTTAATGAGTCAATAATGAGACTATGCTATTATAACTAGCAAACTTATATATTAAAATATGATCAATTAGTTGAACTTATAAAATATGCGATACATACAATTATTTATAGTGTACAATATTAGCCGTAATTTATTAAACCAATAATTAATGCATTTATTTATTCATGAACGACAATTAAGTCGTGTTGAATAAAAACATGATATTTTGGGCATTGTAATATCAATACCAGTATTTCAAAACTAACTGGTTTATAGCTGCACTCAATGAGTTTAGAAGATATATTGAATGAGTTTTCAATAGAGAGTATAAAAAAGGACTCTTCAGTTGAGAAGTCAAGTAACGGTATGGCTTCAATCAAATTAGAAAATTTTTCATCATGCGATCAGGACAAGCTGGTAAAATCATTGATAAACTGACAAATTAAAGAAATGATTCATTCCATACCAAAATAGTTCAAGGCACACGAAATGTAACTATAGTATGGAAGTAGATCCAGCAGATTTCAGATCTATTAAACGTTATCTTGATAGACAAAAGTTTGAATTCTTGGATTCTAAGACTAACGATTTTAATTTTACAGGTTTTGGAAGCAATGAACGAGTTACTTTACATCTGAGTAACCCTGACTCGCCAAATAAGTCATCAACAAACAGAAACCATGGTGATTTATTAATTTCAGTGCCTCAATGTACACATCGTCTAGGAATTGCAATTGCAGAAATAATTCCTACAGAGATCACAATTAACAAAGTTTTTCTCCGAGTAATATACGAAAGAAGAGGACATTTATCTGGTCTGACAAAGAAATCATGTATAAAACATTAGTATGGTCTAAAATGGGTCAACAGAACTCAACTAGTAATGAATGTGAGTAACAATTAACCGCTAATTCCGTCTTAACTGCCAATTCAGTCTTAAGAAGCTTGAATAACCATTCCGAAGTTGAATCTACAGTGAATTCATTTTTTAACAAGGAATCGATTTAATTTGAAACACGTAAATATATATTTTTTTTTTTTAGCGCAAATTATTTTTCAACAGTTAAATATGTCAATCTACCATGTAATTGGCATTGTAATTGCATTAATTATTATACTATATAGTACTATAATACTATTTAGTCATCAACCAAGAGAACCATTGCCTAATGAGTTTTTTTATACTACAAATGATGAAGAAAATTTAAAATATGAATTACCACCACGGGCAACTCCCAATAGTCAATACAAACCAGAAATTGAAATAAGTATTATAATACCATGTTATAATGAAATCAGTAGACTAGGTAAAATGCTAGATGAATCAATTGAATATTTAGAAGAAAATTATTCTGGTAATTATGAAATTTTAATTGTTGATGATGGTTCAACTGATGGAACTGCAAAATTTGCAATCACTAAAGCTAAACAATTTAAATTACAACCACATATTTTACGAGTTGTTCAATTGGCGAAAAATAGAGGTAAAGGTGGTGCTGTTACTCATGGTTTATTACACTCACGTGGTAAATTTTCACTATTTGCAGATGCTGATGGTGCAACAAAATTCTCAGACATACATAAATTATTATCGTATTTAAAACAACAAGATAAACCTTCAATTGCGATTGGATCTCGCGCCCATATGGTAAATACCGATGCTGTTGTTAAGCGTTCATTTATTAGAAATTTTTTAATGTATGGATTACATACTTTAGTTTATATATTTGGTATTAGACAAGTTCAAGATACACAATGTGGGTTTAAAATGTTTAATTATGAAGCAGTAAAGAAAATTTTTCCACACATGCATACAGAAAGGTGGATTTTTGACGTTGAAGTTTTATTATTGGGTGAAATTCAAAATTTTAATTTAAAAGAAATTGCAGTTAATTGGCAAGAGATTGAAGGTTCAAAAGTTGATTTAGCAAGAGATTCAATTGCAATGGCAATAGATTTGGTAGTCACAAGAGTAGCTTATTTATTAGGAATTTATAAATTAAATGAATGCGGAAGAAAATAGATTAATAGACATAATTCCACTAAACTTTATTAATCCTACCTGTTTTTACATCATATATATAACCAGTAATTGGGACATTTAACACTAATGAATTATTTTTAAAATAATTTACATCATCATAAACACTTTGTTTTAAATTTGAAAATGATAAAAAGGATAAATGATCAGCATCTCCACCAGAATCTTTGATAATCTTTTTTAAATCTTCATCTTTAAATGTTAACATTCCACAATCAGTATGATGAATTATGATAATTTCTCTAGTACCCAATAATCTTTGAGAAATTATAACACTTCGTAATGCATCACTAGCTCTACCACCAGCGTTTCGAATAACATGCGCATCACCTTCAGATAAACCTAATGATTTTGCAGGATCAATTCTAGCATCCATACAAACAACAATAGCTACTTTTCTACCCGGTGGTAATGGTAAATCACCTTTAGTGAAATTTGATTCGTATACTTTATTAGCTACTTCAACTTCTTGAGCTACAGACATAATTAGAGACAAAAAATTGAGATTTTACCCCATATTTATATTGCAAAACTGTGGCTGTTTATGGTCTAGAGCCAGTATTATAAATCTGCTTCTTCTGACTTGATTAAACGTTTTCGTTATCTGAAAATATTACATAATCAATTTAGTTTAAACGCTACCATCGCATATTTTTCTTAAACTATAAATGTATACCGAATTACCATTTGATGAATTAAAAGTTGATACAACAAAAAGAAGAGTTGCATATTTTTATGATCAAGATGTTGGTAATTATTTTTATGGTACTGGTCATTGTATGAAACCGCATCGTATAAGAATGACTCATTCTTTAATTATGAATTATGAACTATACAAGAAAATGGAAATTTATAGAGCAAAACCAGCTTCCAATATGGAACTAGTACAATTCCACACTGATGAATATATTGATTTCATAAATAGAGTAACACCTGATAATATTCACTTATTTGAAAGAGAGAAAACTATTTTTAATGTTGGTGAAGATTGTCCTGTTTTCGATGGTTTAGCAGAATATTGTAAAATTTCATGTGGTGGTTCAATTGAAGGTGCACAAAGATTGAATAATGGTTCGGCTGACATAGTAATAAATTACGCTGGTGGGTTACATCATGCTAAAAAATCAGAAGCTAGTGGGTTTTGTTATACAAATGATATAGTATTAGCAATAATTGAATTATTAAGATATCATCCAAGAGTTTTATACATTGATACTGATGTTCATCATGGTGATGGAGTTGAAGAAGCATTTTATACAAATGATAGAGTAATGACATGTTCTTTTCATAAATTTGGTGAATTTTTTCCTGGTACTGGTTATTTAACAGATACTGGTATTGGAAAAGGTAAATATCATTCAGTTAATATTCCTCTTCGAGATGGTATTGATGATGCTTCGTATAAATCAATATTTGAACCAATAATATGTAAGATTATTGAATGGTATCAACCATCAGCAATTGTTTTACAGTGTGGTGGTGATTCTTTAAGTGGTGATAGATTAGGTCCTTTCAATTTATCAATGAGAGGTCATGCAAACTGTGTGAATTTTGTTAGATCATTTGGATTACCAATGATGGTTTTAGGTGGTGGAGGATATACAATAAGAAATGTTGCAAGAACATGGGCATTTGAAACTGGTATATGTAATGGTGAAATTTTATCTAAAGAATTACCATATAATGGATATTATGAATATTATGCACCAACTTATGAATTAGATGTTAGATCATCTAATATGAATAATGCAAATTCAAAAGAATTTTTGGACAAAATATTGACACAAGTTATTTCAAATTTGGATCATACAAAACATGCACCTAGTGTACAAATGAATAATGTACCCAATGACCTAGAAAATTTCGGGGATGAAGATGAAGATACACCAATGGCATTAGATACAAAAGGCGGATCACAATTCAAAAGAGATAAACAAATTGTAAAAAATAATGAATTTTTTGATGATGAAAATTATAATAAAGGCGAAAAAAATATCGATATTGACTTAGATTTCAGAGAAAAAGAAGCTGAAAATGAAAATCTAGAAACGAAAACTTATAATGAAGATAAAAATATTTTATTGAATTAAATAATATGAAAACTTTTTCGTGTAAAAACTCGGTATATTTTTCTCGACATGCAAGTTATATGCAGGATATTTGGATCTTGCCTAATTAGGCTAGACCAAAGATATACGAATTTAGATCTCAGGCACTTTGAATTATTCAAAACCAATTTAAAACTAGGCTGATTATAAATATCCACGTACAATTACATCAAGAGTCTATCAAATGTAGCTAAAAATTACTGTTACGCAAAATCCAGATCTGTTTTGTTTTGATTCTATTATTATAATTGCGTTATTTTCTTAAAAGTTTAAACTCTTTCGTATTATAATATTTTCAAAAGTCTTGTGTATTTAAATTGTTTAAAATCCGGTTATTGAAAATAAACAAACAAATTTTTATCAACAACATTCTTACCCTAGTCATTCCTTTAAATTTGATAATGTTATTTAAAAATTTATTAATACCATTTATATTAAGTCCATTCGTTTTATCAGAAGAAATTGATACTACAATTGTTACTACAATTACAATTACTGTCACTCTGTATACACCAGAAGAGTCATTGAGTTTGATTTCAGAAAGTTTAGCATCGGTTGCATCAGTTGCAAGTGTCCAAGCTTCAATTTCATCAGAGTCAGTAGCTTCAGTAGCTTCAGTAGCTTCAGTTCAATCAATTCAATCTGCTCAATCATTAGCTTCAGTTTATTATCAATCTTTATCAAGTGTTGAATCAGAAGCTTCAGTTGCCTCAGTCAAAAGTGTTGAATCTGAAAAAGCAAAAGAAACAAGTTTAACTGCATTCAGAGGTGTAATTGCCGTTGGTTATAATTCAACACATGAAACAACAACAACTACAACTACATCAATTGCAGAAACATCAACTTCAGAAATAGTTGAAGAAACCCTGTCAATTTCACAAGATACTTCAAATAGAGTTACAATTTCAGCTGCTTTAATTGCTATGGCTATTGCTTTATTATAAAATTGTTATTTCTTTCGTTATATGTATTATTCTATAATTTATGATCGTTTTCCTTGCAAATCTCGAAGATATTTCTCTTTTTCTAATATATAATATTCCATTTCTGTTAATCCTTGAGGTATTTTAGGTGGCACTCGAGGCTTATTTTCTTCTTCATCTATTATTCTTTGAAATATACTTGGAGAAAATTTGCCATTACCTAAATAACCAGTCTGATTCGTTCTATTATCTATTTTTAAATCGTTTTTTGTTGGGTTCCCAGATTGAAATCTCATTGTTTGATTAAAATGTTCAGATGGAGTTGGAGCATAATATTTAGGATCTATTTCATCATTTGTAATTGCATGCTCAAGATTTTCTTTATTTGCATCATAACTTAATGATTTAACTTGTTCATCTAACATATACACTTTTGTAGGCAATTCATCATCATCTAATCCTATAGAATCTGCTGAAAATGGTATTGAAGTTGAATCTACTGGTGGTTTTCTATGTTTTGGAGGTGATGGTAATGGTTTTGATGAAATTGATGAAATTGAATAATTTGAAACTGGATAATGTGGTGGTACTGGAGGAACATTAAATTCTATATCTTCATCTTCTTCATCATTTGGTTCATAATTACTTATTGGTGATATATCTCTTCTTATACTGCTAAATGAATAATCATTTTGCAGTAGATGATCATTTCCTCCCCATAATGCAGAAATTGGTTTTCTTTCATTTAATTTATTTTTAAATTTAGTGAATTTTTGAGCATATTTCTTTGCACCTTTAGCTTCTGGTTCAGTTTTAACAAATACTTCAGTTTCGCTATTTGCACTTTCTCTGAATCTTTTTGAAAATATTGATGATTTATTAGAATTTGCAGAATTTTCCAGGTTAACAAATACATCATGTGTAGGCAGTGATATCATTTCATCATCATGATCTTTTTCTTCATCTTTTTCCTCTATTGATTCTGGATTATGATATTCTATTGGCATTTTAGGCGGTAATACAGGTGCTGATGGATAAAATGTCATTTCTAAATATAGCATACCTGCTCTTCTTCCATTTTGAGTTAAATCATACCATTTATCATATATATATTTCCCATTCTCTTTATGTTCATTTGAAAATATAATTGAAGCATCAATTTCACAATTTCCAATTGGAGTTGGTTCATTTTTAGTTTCATCTAAAATATCAATTTTCAAAATCGGTTTTTTATCTCTTGATAAATCAAATCTAATTTCATGAGTCCATTCAGGAGTTTGACCAGCTCTAAAATCACTTGGTGTCTTTTTAGCAGTAGTACTTAATCTAATAACGACGTAAGGTGATTGTTTGTCTAATTTTCTTCTATTCGGTAAATGTTTAGCACGAACAACCATTATGACCAATGTACCATCAGCAGATTGCGGATAAGAATATTGATCTTCAAAAGACATTAATTGATTCGAATTCATAATAATCAATAAGTCATTTATATATTTAATATTTCACTGCCTTAATTTTAAAAGTCAAACTTTTGTTATGGAAATTATGTAATGAATTACTTAAGAATCTTCGCTTAGTAGAATTTGTTTATATTTATTCTTAATTAAGAAGTAGACGATGAAACTAACAGTTGAAAGAATGATTTGTTAATTAGATTACTGAAAGAAGCAAATATGATATTGGAATAGACTCAAGAAATAGTTACTAGACTTCTGATTGTCTAAAGCCCATAGTCAAATCATAAATTTGATGAAAATTTGATCAGTCCTTCAAGTCCTTCAACTTGACCTCATTGAAGGACTTGATATCTGTCTCTTTACCAAACACCATCCTCAATCTACTATCAAGCAGTATATAAGTTGGTCCAAACTATTTTGTTGTTGTAGAGTTTCAAAATTTCAATTTTGTGTAAGTCTTCACACATAATAATTTTTTTCAGATCAAAACTATTTATACGAAGACTAATTTAGCATAAATGTCATTTAGAGGTGGCAGATCAGGTGGATCACAAAGAACTATACTACCATTTGGATTAGATTATGCTGATATTTTATCAACATCTCAAGTTACTGAAAAACCTCAGTTATTATTACCTGTTAATGGAGATATAACGGAAATGGAACAAGATATTGCAAAACAGTCAATTACATTTGCTAATTTAATGTCAGAAGGAGCTTTTTATACTGGTGATTTAATGGATATAAAAGAAAAAGAAAAAGAGAAAACTAAATTATCAACTACATATCAAACTAATGATGACGGAATAGAACGATATTCAGATAGATATAAACAAACTAAAAAAATAGGTAGAACAATTGAAGAACATCCATATAATTTGGAGTTTTTCCCAGAAGAATTATATTCAGTAATGGGAATAACTAATAAAAATAAGAAAAAATTACTTGCGTTATCTAAATTTAAATCAAAAGGTGGTTTGCGAGAGTTTTTAAGTGATGAAAAACAAGAAGATTTAAAAGATGAAGAAAAAGTTAAACAATTACAACAACAAATGCTAAATATGATTGAAGATGATAATAAAAAAGATGATGGGGAAGAAGAAAAAGAGGAAGAGGAAGAAGATGTAGATGATGAATATGAAGATGAAGATGATGATGATGATGATTATAATGCAGAGAAATATTTTGATGATGGAGATGACGATGATGGGAATGAAGATGGTGGTGACGATGAAGCAGCATTTTAAATATTTATATTAAAACTAACTAATGCATTTCTACCAGATATTTTATACCATCTACCAAATCTATGCTCTTTACTTAATAATATAAATACTTTTAAAGTCTTGTCTACTTCACACGTTGTTATTTTATTTACAAATCCTTTTAATTTATCAATTTGACCAATTTGTTGAAATGAACGTAGATTTTCATCTAATTTCCAAAATTTTATTGTACCATCAAAAGAACCAGTCACAAAAACATCACTAAAAGGTATTGCATGTATTGAAGTTATCAAATAAGGTTGAGGTGGAGGTATTTGTTGAGCAGTAATTTCGTTATCTGTCTCAGCACTTGCTTCATTTGGTTTAAATTCTGGTTGTAAATCATGACCTAATCTTTTAATAAATAATGCCTTTTTTTTAGCCAATGACCATAATGCAATATTTCCATTATCAGATCCAGTTAAAAAATGAGTTTCATCAATCATTGAAACTACATCAATCGATCCTTCATAATATATATCATCTCTTTTCTTTTTCTCTATTGAATCACCACCTCTGAATGTTAATCTAGACTCTTCAGCTATTTTCCAAAACATTACAGTTTTATCTCTTGATCCAACAGATACACAAGTTTCTCTATTCAATGAATCTATATCTGTAATATTATCTTGATGACCATATAAAATTTCCAATTGCGTAAATTGATTTATTGAATAAGTTCTAATTCTTAAATCTGCACACGCAGCATATAATTGATCACTATTTTTTTTAAAAGTTATTGAATTAACAGCTGATCTAGTTTCTAATATTTTTAAACATGATAAATTTTCACTTGACCATATAATTAATCTTGAATCAGCACCACCAGTAACAACAAATCTACCATCTGGTGAAGCAGCTATACAATTTATTTGTTGCCAATGATTATTTAAACTTATATTTTTATTTATATTGAAATATTTTAATCCACCTTTTCTATGTTTTATTCTTTTTGGTTTTTTATTATCTAAATCCCATTTTATAATTTCCATATCTTTTGAAACAGTATATAAATATGGGTAATGTATCGCCATACTAGTTAAATTTTGACTACCAATTCTTGTCACTATTAATTTTATAAAATTTTCATCATCCAATTGTTGTGAGACTTTATTTGCAATAAATTTATATACATGGCCCTTAGTTTCAGCTACATCTTTTTGTAATCTTCTTGATAATATATCATCATCTAAGTCTTTAGCATCAAATGTTTGTAAATCTTCTTGTAATTGTAATTCTTGTGATTTTAAATTTTCAAGATATTGTTTTGCCAACCTTCTACGTTTATCAGCAGCATTTTCATCTTTAAATTCTTCATCAGACGATAATTCTTCTCTTTCTTCGGATATTTGTTCAGTTTCTGATTCACTTGTTAATTCTTCATCTACAGATTTCTGCTGTTTTCTTTTCCTTTTTTTATTACTAGGATCTGATAAAAATGGATCAACCATGGTGATAATTAAATATTAATTTTTTTTGTGCGATGGCATCGATCAAGAAGATATAATACAAACAGTCGTGTAATCAAAAGTGGTCTATATAGTACTACTATTAATCTTCTAATAACTCTTCTATATCAGCATCTTCTTGAGCATTATAAAAACTTTGATTTCGTAAATTTTGTTCAGCAGCAATATCATTTAAAACATGTTCAGTAACTTTAACATTTCTTCTTGTTTTCTTACCCCATCCAAATTCTTTTGATTCAGATTCTAATAATTCTAATTCTTGTTCTTTAGCTATTCTTTCTTGCTCTGGCTTATTTTCTTTTTCAAGTGCATCTAATCTTGCTTGATGATCAGATTGTTTTTTAGCTGCCCAATTACTATAATATTTCCTAAAAACTAAATAAGCAAATATAAAGATTGATAATCTAAAATATCTAATAAATGTATCTTTCTCAACATAATCATATATTTCATCAAAAGCTGCCATGGTAAAGGTAAAATGTTGTTTATTTTTGTTGATACTTTTTTTAGACTATTTATTATTATTTTTCTTTCGGTTATAAAAATTTTAATTTTATAATTCTTCATCATCATCATCAAATGGATCTAATTCTGGGAAATCACCAACTTCAACTTGTTTTGGTTTAACTACACTTCCATGATTTGGTTTACAATCAAATAATTTTTTGCCACCCATATAACCACTATTTTTACCGACGGGTTCGTCAAATTCTATACCAATCCAGTAATTTTCACCTTTATCTAAATATTCAATTCTACCAATAAATTTAATACAACCTCTTCTTTCACCTTCTATATTAATAATTCTACAACGATCTCCTATTGACATTTTAGAAATTTTTTCTTCATTTTCTAATTGTGTTTGTCTTAAAATTTCTTCATATTCTGGATCAAATCTACCTAATTTATTTGATTGTTTCCAATTTAAAACTGAATTTGATCTTGTCTTATATTCCTCTTCAGTATATTTATATTCTTTAACATTATCGTTTGATAATTGATGTGATATAGAATCCGGATTTAAATCTTCAACATGAATTCTTGACATTGACTTTAAATTTAATTGAGATAATAATAATTCTTCATCATTATCACTTTTAATTTCATTAAATTCATTTGAATATTGATTTGGAAAATATTTTATAATTTGAGAATCCGGTTCAATACCTGTAATTGTACGTAATTTTTCTTTTAAATATCTTAAATTCCATTGAGGTGATATTCTTCTTTCTGAAGATGTTAAATCTGAAGTTATAAATATGTTTATATCAGACATTTGGTTAATAACTTGTTACGCGTAAAAAGTTGTTGCAGAAAAAAAAAAAAAAAAAAAATAAATTGTTTCGTAAATTTATATCCTATTCGAATTTTTGTAATTCGATTTGAATAAAATCATCAAGTTTTATTAACTTCTCTTGAATACTTCTTCTAAAATTTATTACGAATGATGTTATCTTCATTTGTTGTTCTTCCATTTCCTGTCTTTTAATCAGTATTTCTTCTTGAATTTTACTTCTTGTAATATATGTATCTCTTAATTTACCTTCTAATTCTAAAATATCACCACTTATTGAATTCTTCATTTCTCTTGATTGATGGTCTAATTTATTTATTTCTTTAGTATATTTATCTTGTTCACGGTACATTTGTTGTTGTATTTCTTCAATATTTTTCTTTAATTCTTCATCTTGTAATTTTAATTCATCTAAATAAAATGTTTGTTCTTTAATTTTCTCAACTAATGATTCATATTCTTCTGTTTGTTTACGTGTAATTTCTTTTTCTTGCATTACTTGTTTATTTGTATTTAATTCAATTTGTTGTAATTGATAAAATTCTTCTTTTAAATTCTTATTTAGTATTTGATGTTTTTCAAGACCTTCATTTTTTGTTAAATTATTTAATTCAATCGAAAAATTATAATCATTACCATAATTTAACATTTTAACTGATTGATTATAATTTCCACATAATTGATTTAACTTTTGAAAATTTGTTTCAAATTCATTTACTCTTTTTTCATATTGGACATTTAATTTCTCTACTTTATCAGTCACTAATTCAATATCTTTTGATAGTTTATCTCTAGTAATAAATAGATTGTTGATTTCATCAATTGATTTATTCCGTAGGCTTAATTCATTAGTTAAATTATTCTTCTCGTTATTTATTTCATTATATTTTTCTTCTAATAGTATTAATTCATTTGATAATTGTTGTAACTTTATATTCCAATCGGGTATCCTTTTTTCAACATTATCATTAAATGCTTTTAATTTAATATAATCATCTTCTAATGCGATTGATTTTTCATCTATTAAATTTCTATTGTATAATTCTTGATTTAATAATTCGATTTTTTCAGCCAATTTATCTCTTTGTTCTGTCAATTCAACTAATTCAAGGTCCAACTTTTCTTTTAAATTATTCATTTCATTTTTCATATCATCATAATAAGGATCGGTATCTTCTTCACCATTTATAAATAATACATATGAATCTTTAGTATATTTTATATGAATTTTATCAAATTCATCATTTGTGATAAAGTCAGCTTCTTGTAGATTTAAAATTTCTAAATTTAATTTCACCAACCAGAATAATATACTTGAAAATGTAGGCCAATTTGATCCACCAACGGCACTAAAATGAGATCTTGATATTGAATTTAAATATGGATATTGTAAACTTTTCAAAATTAATATCATTTCTTGTTCAATAGGCTTTTGAAATATATAATATGGGTCTAATTGTAAATAAAGAAATTTAAATATTTCATTAAAATGTTTTTGAGTTGGTGATTTTAATGTATTTTCATTTATTGTAATATTTGTTTTAGTTTCAAACTTATTTTCTATTAAAAATGAATATATCTCTTTTTGAATTAATTCTTGATATTTCTTATCTTTAATTGGTCGTAAATCATTTGAAGTTCGTATTGGTGTTTGAGAAGGTCGATTTGGTATTGAAAAACTTCGTTGTGATTGTGACGTTTGTATGTCATTTTGAAAATTCGAACTTTGTCTTCTTTTTATATTAGATGCGGGTGTTGATAATAAAGTAGATCTTCGTTTATAAGATTGTTGTCGATGTTGTTGTGAACTTGATGGAGTTTCAATAAATGACTGTCGAGAATTTAATAGCATAGATGATCTCGTTATACCAAATGATGTTCTATTAACTCCATTATTATTGATATTGTTATTTCCATTTAGATGTGGTGGTGGTTGTTGTTTCCGTATTTGAAACATTTGATTTGTATTCATTTGGTTGTAAGAATTGTTAGTATTCTTTTGTTTACAATTAAATTTGATAAATAATTATTTTCGATTGAGCAAGTCGCACTACCCAAAATATTTAAATTATTTTTTCTGTTGATAAATTATGCACTACCAATTTTTATTTTTTCTCTTGCTCCAATTCGCACTACCAAATTAAAACGGTTGGAAGGGAAATCATGATTTACTTCTATTTCAACACGAAATTAAAATTAAAAACAAAAACAAACATTTATAATTATAGCAAATATATGATCAAATTAGTATCAGTATAATGAGTACAGGGAAACCATCAACACCTGTTGCGTCACCTAAAGCGGTAGCATCAAATACAAAAACTCCATCTCCACCAAATTCAACAACAAAGAAAAGATTATCATTACGAACACCAGATCATTATAAGTCTCCACTTTATCATGGTGTTACATCACCATTTGGTGGTTTAAATTCAAAGAGTTCTGGGAATCATTTAGAAGATAGTCACGAACGTAAATCAAAATTACAAAAAACTCCTCAATATTTTTCATCTGCTAGAAAATTATTTGATTCATCCCCCACCCATAATGACGAGACTGATGTCACGTCGATAAGTTCACAACTCAAAATGAATTTAAGCAATGCATTGGGAAAATTACAACATAATAATAACGACCATAAGATAACATTTACCGAATTGAAATTTGATTCAGATACTTCTCCAACCAAAAAACAGAAAAATGATTTAGGTGCATGGACTCCATCTAATTCAACTAAAAGAACCAATCTTAATTTGAGGACACTAGAAACTCAAAATTCACCCCCTTTCAAGAGTGATGCAGTTTTGCAACAATCACCAATTATATTTCATGAAAGTGAAGAGAAAATACCATCACCAGATGAAGAATCAAGTGCTCACAATGCTTTATTAGCTGCTTTATCACGACAACAACGTAGAAAATCAAGATCAAGTTTTAATAATGGATCAAAAAGAAAATCAATCGATGATACATTACTGAAAGATATTAAATTACCACCATTAAATATTACATTTGAAAATCAACAACCTCCTAAAAATGAACAAGATGCTGTGTTATCATTAATGTCATTATCTTCTCCACAACAAGTTAAATTTTCACATTCTAGAAGTCAAAGTTTAAATGGTAATGTATCTCCAATTTCACGAGCTTCTTCAGTTCATTCACCAAATAAGCAAATTCCTCCTATATTACCACCATTATCAAAAATGATTAAAAGAAATTCAAATACAAATAATAACTCAAATTTTCAAAAAGATGATGATGAAACAGATTTTGAAGCAAATTCAACTGATGAAACAGATGATGAGAAATGAGATTAAAGACATATTTTTATATATATACAATTCTTCAATGTATTAGGTTAATATTTAATAGACAATAATGATTTATAAAATCGATATTTTACATTCTTTATATCTGATTGATTAAAATTGTAAACTTGTATTATCTGTGGATCGTTTGGGAATAAATCAATTCCATTATCACTAAATAAGTAATCGTTGTCAAAGTATAACTCTAATCCTTTAACTGGTTTATTGGTAGATAATTTGAATTTTCCATCATGTAAATAGTCAATACACAAATTTGGATCAATGTTTATATATTTTGACAATGGCCAATCACTTGATCTAGCGACTAATTTTGAAGCATTGAATGTTCTTAATTGAATTATCAAGTTTTCGTGATATACTAAATGATCTTGTAAAATGATACTAATATCTCGAGTTGAATTGACATTAAACATTTCATTATCAAAAAAATCACCATTACTTGTGTAATAATCAATCTTTAATAAATCAGCATCACCAATTCCCCAAACTGTAATCAGATCAAATTTTAAAATTGTCTGTCTTCCATTACCAGCACCTCCAGATCTATATAATCCCACTACTTCATTCTTCAATTCTCTTTTGATTCCATAATATGCTAGTTTAAGCCTGCCTTCAAAATCTATGATTGACCAAGACAAACCTGGCCAACAATCATTTAATTGCCATACTATAATTCCACCAACTTGATAATCCATCCATTTAAATCTCCAATATCGAAAAGCTAAAGCTAGTGCATCAGATTGTAATAATTGGGAATAGTAAATAAATTCAGATAGTTCAGTGGAAATAAACCCAAAATTGTAATTTAAGTAATGATTGAGTCTTTCTTCATATTTATCAGCTTTTGAACGAAAATTCACCAACTTGGAATATGGATATAATTCAGATTCTTTTGTAATATATTTTGACAATGTTTTATCTCTTGGTAATGAGAACATACCAAATTCTGATACGAACCTAGCTGATAATTCCATCCATTTCTGATATGGTTCCATCTCATTGAGCCAAACTTTCCATTGATGAGTATCGCCAACTGATTCATAGTATGTAGAAACATTTTCTGCTGAATAAGGAGATCCGAAATGGTAAATCACTTGATTTGAAAGGTTTTTAATTTTGGTTGGTATAATTTCTTCATAAATTTTCTTTCCTGGAAATTGTGTAACATTATTCGTATCTATTTTTAACAGATTTGCAATTTGATAATCTTCATTATTACCAGTATATATGATGATACTTGCGTATTTTCTAAATCTTGATATTTGTTGTTCAACTTCTAAATCCACACTTGAATACATCTCTTTGGGATAAATTCCACAAGAAAACATGAAATCTTGCCATATTAATATACCTAGTTGATCACAATACTCGTAAAATACATCAATTTCGTATTGACCACCACCCCAGACCCTAATCAAGTTAAAATTGGCGTTATGAATTAAATTTAATATTGATTTATAATTTTCAATTGTAGTGTTTGAAGTGAATGAATGCAAAGGTATCCAATTTACACCATGTATTTGTAAAGGTTCATTGTTAATCTTGAAATAAAATGATTGACCAAATAAATCTTGATTTTGAATTAGTTCAACTTTTCTAAATCCAACTTTTTGAGATTTCAATACTGATCCATTTGATAAAATTTCCAAAGTATACAAATTGGGGGTACTAGGTGACCATAAATCAATATCATCGAGTATATAATTAGATGTTGAGTTAAATGTTGCTATAAAATCTTGTCTTTTAATTCTTACTTGATAAGTCTCGTCTAAATTGTACCCCGATATTTCGATTGATAAATTTGCAAATGCCATATTTTCAGATAACTCATATTTAATAAACATGTCTTCAATGTAAGGTTCTTGAATTAACTTTATAGGTTTCCAAGGACCTGCTGTATTGAAATTTGAAGGTTGCCAATCCCAGCCGTATTGATATTGAGGTTTCCTGACATAAACTCTTGAAGAATCACCATTCCAATTGGGAAGTTTACCATAATTCAATTCCAATTGCTTTCCTTGATTATATGAACTATTAAATCTTATGTACAACTTATTTTCAATTTGAATAATATCAGTCACATTAATTATATGCTTTTGAAAAGCATTTGATGAATTTAAGATGGAAATATCATTAAGTTTGACATCTGCAAAAGTATCTAATCCTTCAAAAACTAAATACGAATCACAATTAGTTGTAGTTGCATTGAATAAACATTTATACTCCCACTCTACTTCTTTTATCCATTCCAATTCAATTTCATTATCATTTTCAAAAGGATCTCCAATTAAATCATTATACTGTAAATCAATATGCACCTGATTGCCAAAAGGATATTCTATACTAACACATGGATACCATATTTCAGTTTCTACTTGTTTAAAATGCCAATTTTTCAACACTGACATACAATTTTAAACCAATGATCAAATTGATAAAATTGATTATGCATTCCTGTATACAGATATGTCTTGTTTTTTACGATTCCAATGTCGCAAAATAAAAAAGAAATAAAAATTAATAATAAAAATAAAAAAAAAAAAAAAAAATTACTAATTAAAAAGAGAAGCTACAATAAAAATTCATCGAACGATATCACTATTATTATGACTTCAAATATCTTACTTTTACTTCATCCTACTACAGTAACTGATGAACAATTAGTAATTAATATCAAAAATGAAATAAAGATAACTCGTTCAAATTTTAGTTTAGATCAACATATTATAAATAGAATTACCCAGGGTGATATAATATTGAATAATAATTATTATGATGAAATTATATACATAAATCCAAACGATGATAAGGAGATTCCAGCTTCATTGATTCAGTTATTACATGATTTATTAACTTTTGATGGATGTTTAAAAGGAGATTTATCAAAGAATCAAGATTTGGATTTTTTAATGACTGGGTTTATGATAAATGATGGAAAATGGACAAAACAAGATCTTTCAAAAGAAAAAACAACAGTATTGCAGAGAAAGAAAGGGGTTGAGAGAAAAATTTCACCATTTAAAAAATTAAATGATTCAGAATATACATTTAATAAAAGTCCTTCTACTGAATCAGATGATTATACTTCAAAAAGATTAAATTATTTTTCAGATAATTCTTCAGATGAATCAGATGACTCTGATTATATCGCAGAAGATGCTTTAATCAAAGATTTCAAATCTGAAAATATTATCAAATTAAATACAGAGAAGTGCAGTAAAAAAAGACGTAAAGCCTGTAAAGACTGCACCTGTGGTTTAAAAGAATTGGAAGAACAAGAAGAAAATAATCAAAGAACTTTACAAGATTCATTACTAGCTAAAATGGCCATGTCAGCTAATAATGAAGCTGAATTAATTGAACAAAAAATGAAGTCAAGAATTCAATTTCGAGAAAGTGAATTATCAGAAATTGATTTTACAATCGAAGGTAAGACTGGAGGTTGTGGCTCTTGTGCTTTAGGTGATGCTTTTCGATGTGATGGTTGTCCTTATTTAGGTTTACCTCCATTTAAACCAGGTGAAGTTATAACTTTAGATGGAATTGGTGAAGATATTTAAAAAATTAAAATTGAAAAGTTAAGGTTGCATTTATTAATTCAATCCATTAATATATATTTATAGATAATTGATATTTCTAAATTCAAGTGAAGTTATTACTATTTTTACTATATTACTATGGATTACGTTTTTTAAAAATATTGGTATATTCACAATTTAAACGTGTAAATTAATCCGAAACACAATGTGCTTAGTAAAATCAATATCTAATACAACTACCTACATTTGAAGAAACACTAATTTGACATCAACAATCTCTTGTATGCTGTTTCATGATGGAGTTTATTTGATCGGTAAATTTATATTAACGTATTAAAGACAGGACATACTCGTGGATATATCCAGGTCATGAGTTGATTAGATTCAAAGCCAATCATAGAGTCAAGGACAACTGGGTATATCTAGATAATTTTTTAAGCCTGGTTAAACTTTGATTAGCGTGCTAAAGCTTTTTAGTTTTGGATTTAGGATACGATCGGATATAAATCAATTACAAAACCATTAAATATAATTTCGGTTAGATAATTCTGATACATATTTAAACCAGTGATCTCTCTGATCCAAAAAGATAATAATCGAACAGTTATCAAGATGGTATGTACAATAAATTGAAAAACTTTGAAAATTGATACTGACTCTTGAATCCCATGTAGTCATATTATCAACCAGGTCCACAGCCGCCTCAAAACTATTACCAACCTCAATATTATCCTCCACCTCCTCAACAACAACCAGTGTACATTCAACAACCTAGATCTGGGGGTGATGATTGTTGTGCTTCTTTCTCAGGGACTCTCGGGGCGCTTTGTTGCTGTTTTGCACTAGAAGAAGCTGCGTTGGCGTTCTAGAAAGTACAATCAGATGCATTGAAATTCATTAGTGATACATGGTAGTGCTCGACTCCTTAAGTTAAAACTTGCAATAGCTCATTCACCATTAGTTTTGAAGATATAGTTTTCTATCACTTATAATTCAATTTTCAAGTTACCAATATGAATATACGTCTTAAGATTTTGTGTGTGTTTCAAAAATGTTTTTTCCGATAATTGACATATTCCCTTAGAAAACAAAACAATAAAGGCCCCAAAATATAAACAATGCAAAAAAATAAATGTGTTCGAGCTCAATTATGCTAAGAGATTTAGGACTGAACGTTCGTATCAATGACTGATTCAAAGTTAATCTTCGAAATGATACGTTCACCAATCCAAAGGGCACCTACTCAAGGTTTTTCACACGAAGGATACAAGGCTCTTCTTTATCCTGCTATTGATAAGTCAAATTCATTATTATCTACTTTCGTTTTTATTAATTCTAATTGTGACTCGTAAATTTCAGAATTACTTAATTCTGAATGCGGCTTTTAAGATCTGAAACACCCTTGGCGTAATTTGAAAAAATTTGCGTCGCCAAATTCTGAGCGAGGGAAAAAAAATAGAGTCGGATGTTTAAGTGGCTTTTTACCCCCTAAAGAAATATAGAAGAAGGTTGAAATGGAATAGACCTTGACAAATGTTGAGTCAAGTATCTTATTAACTTAGTTGAGCTTAATATTATTTATGTTTTCTTTTTATTTGTTTAGTGTTTCATACCTTACAACTTATAAACTTAAATTTTTAACACCTGCAAAAATCTTCAAACAGCAGATCTAAACAATTATTTTAGTTCCAAAGACCATTTTAGAAACCTTCATTCAATCTAGGCTTTTACCAGCAAAATTAACGTAACTTGGAACATCACAAACATGAATAAATATAGATAATCTGAACAAAGCTATTGTGAAAATTCAATTTGAGAGATTCGAGCTCTTGGTAATCAAATATAAGCGGATTGTGTATTCAGGGCAGAATTTATAATCAGCAAGTCCTTTAAAGTATATCTTGAGTTGACATGGGTTTAAATCGAAGAATCTACTGAGTTGATTCTCTCAATGATAAGATCTTTGAGCAAGTTTTCTCCTTAAGTAACAAGAGCACAGTCAGTGTTTTATATCAAAAAGAGGATTTTTTGCCAGAACATTCATATCTTAAGTAAATCTAGTTTTAGTCTATAGCAAATTAAAATCCTTGATCAAGCTTATTTCACCGATATATAACCATTCATGCAAACGACAGAGACATAGATCAGACGCATTACTATTTCTCCAATTAAATAAACGCTAAACCAGTTCAATACTGTCAGTTCATGATAGTAATTTCGTAGTCGTTTGAAAGACTTTAACACACTTGGTAGCAATTTTCTCCATAAAAATTCAACGAATTTATGATAAAGATACGTCAACACCGATTTATTTTGAGCAACATCTGCTCATACAAAAGATCTTTGAAATTAGTTAAAGAACACAAGAATGCTAATTGCAGGTGCTGACGCTGTCAAAAACTTTTACCACGATGGAACCAATATTTGATTGTGAAGTTTATGAATCGAGAAGTTGTGCGGCTGTTTAACTATTGGTTTAAAACGGAACCATGGTTAAGAAAGGCTTCTGTTTTTATAATCAGGATCTTGAATTTCAACTTCCAAATTCCAGATAAAATATATAAAATCTAAAACCTTTACATTTTTCAAATAGAGCTTAAACATCAAAAATCGTTTACTTCACTTAAGCGATGTGATTTCAACTTAAATTAAAATCGTGTTTCTTCAATGAAGGAGATAAAATTATAGAGTTGACTGAAGTAAAAGCTGAAATTTGCTATAAAAAAGTTTAAAATAGATCTAAAAATTTAATTTAGTCAGCATATAAATTTCAGTAAATCAATTTCAAGCGCGTAGTCAATATATAAATCTATGTAAGTGAACGTGTCTCACTCTTCGTTTATTATACAATACAAACGCCAATAACCAACAACAATTACTCTAATCATGAAAATACATTACTATCAACCTGAAAAAAACGTACCTTACATAGCCAAAACTTGATAAACAATGTCAATCAATCTTTAGATCTCATCAAAGTCTAAGGTACAAATTAAAGACAAATACAATTGGACACAGTTATTTTTATCTAAAGAATGTAACATGGTTACATTTATGCAATAAACATTATGTAATTAAGGTACAAAATACAAAATACAAATTATACATATACGTTTACAACTTAGTAAATCTTGCATTAACTCCAACATTTAAAGTTACATTCCCGTGCCAAGAAAAACAAATATTGGCGATGACGCATACCCTGTAAAGGTTAGTAAAAACATGTTATTTAATTTAGAATATCAGCAACCAATTATAAACTAAATTGGAATATGAGCAAAACCAGAATACAAAGAAATTATAGAAAGTAAAGAAATTAAAGAAATTATAGAAATTACCACTATGTTAAGATCTCACTTTCTTCAACTATATCAACTTCGTTGTTGTCAGCAAATAAACAAATCCAATTTGAGATCTACAATTACTTTAGCAGTTCTGCAGTAATAGTAGTGTATATGGTTCAACTTTATAATTCAAAAGTTTATTCAATTATCTAATCAACAAAATACTTCAATTTCAAGGAGTACAAAATTAGACACGACCTTTTTTTTTCTTTGACTGTTCAAAAATATTAAACTTTTATTTGTTTACATTTTGGTTAAATTTAAATAATAAGTTTCAGGAACGTTATATAATTATAAATGTAATTTTATATTGTTATTCATATATTGTTAGTATTAAATTTTTACGATTCAAGGTTCAACGCCTCTACTCATATTTACTTATATTTACTAATGTACTACATATCGTTACTACATATCGTTACTACATATCGTTACTACATATCGTTACTACACATTGTCATTTTTCTGCAACATTAACGCTCTTTTTTTTTTAAATTCTATTTTGAAAAAAATTGAGATGCTTATGGAATTAACAATTTTTTTAAAATTTAAATTACAATCGGAACTACAATCCGATTGTGCACATATAAAACCACGTTTAAAGTTTAAAAAAGGTATTTTTTAATATCTAATATACACAGTTTTATAAAACTTCTATAATAAATTCTCTTTAATGTTGATTAAAATCAAAACTAGTTGGATAACCTCCAATTGAACTACCACTTGAACTTGGTTGACCAGCATTACCATAATTCAAATGAGAAAGTTGTACTTGTTGCAATTGTTGTTGTGGATAAGTATAACTGTATCTATGATCATAAGAAATAATATATTCATTACCATTAGATCCTAAATTTTGCATTGGTTGATAATTATTCATAAGAACAGGTTGTTGTTGTTGTTGTTGTTGTTGCTGTTGTTGTTGTTCATGATGAATGTTTGAATGATATATAGGACTTTTATCTTCGTAAAATAAACCACTATTGTTATTTGGTAATGGTAAATTTAAATTGACTTGTGGTTGTACAACAGGAACTTGTGCAACAGGTGTAACTTGTTGTTGTAGAGATTGTTTTTTGATTTGTTTATCTTTACATACTTTACAGTCTTTATTCTTACCATTTCTTCTTGGAGTATATTTATAATTGGGATATTTTTTTGCATGATTTTTCTTCTCTTCTTCAGCTAACGATGTCCAATGTTCTCTTTCAACAGGATTTAAATTTCTCCATCTTCTACCTAATTCTCTTGAAACTTCAGGATTTGTTCTTATTACTGTACCTTCATCTAAAACTGTTTGATGGTACTTTTGGCGGAACAATATAAAAGCGTTCCGCGGTCTAGGTATTTTGTTGGGGTTGATTTTACAGATACATTTAATTGAAGATGAAGATGAAGATGAGACAGATGTAGATAATTCTTCAAAAGGTGTAGTAGTTGTAGTAGATGTAGTAGGTGACGAATAATCGATTGTTTGAGGTATTGGTTGATTTGAGTAATAATTACCACCATTTGTTGTTGTTAAATTGAGATTGGGAGACGAGTTAATAATTTCATTAGTTGAGTTTCCAACAATTTCACTTAAACTAGGTAAAATATGTTTTATATTATTGTTTGAAGTATCATCTATGGTATTGTAATATATAGCTGTTGTAGACATAATAAAAAATCAGTTTTGAAGAATGATGATAAGAAAAATAGAAAGATGGAATATGCCAGCTTTTATAAATATTCATTTTATTAAATAATAGGATATATGAATAGACTGTATATAAGATTTAATAAATTAGGTGGCCCTGCGTTTTAAACTATTTTAGTTTTTGTGTAATTAAGATTGAGTTTGTGTAATTTATGCAAAGAAAGGAAATCTAACATCTAATTAGTAAATGTGATTCTTGATTTTGATTGGTTGTAATTTTAAGTTTTTTTTTTTTTTATTTTTTGAACATTGCCCCCTGAATTCAATATTATTATCAATTTTTTATTATTATTGATAATATATTGATTTTCTTAACAATTGAACGTCAATTTAATGTTCATAACTAAAAAACTGACAAAAGAAATTAAACAGTTATTTAATTATAATCAAACCTTTAAAGACGTATCTATACTGTTTTTCTTGATCTGTGGTGTCTCAGTTATGGATCAATGTAAATACAAATTACTGATTGAGCCATTTAATTTCTATTCTGTCAATTGATTTTTTTCACATGAGCTTCTGTTATCTGTACATACTTGAAATTCAAGTTTAAAGTTTTTTATACAAATGACATCACTGTTAAATTAAGGGTCAGAAAGTATAAAAAGATAAAAGCGCAAATCGACTAAAAATAATATTGGTCAGATATACACGATAACCCAATACGTAAAAATAGTGTCTTGATAATTAATTCAAAGCCATCATTTAGAAATAATTAAATCTTAAATCATTTTTGTTGTTTCATGTTTAAACTTGAAAATCATAAACGTTTTATAAAAGTCTAAATCACGCCGAATAGGAGTGAGAGAGAGAGTAAGGATGCAATAAACACATAAACACATATAAACTGTGATCAAAGTACTGCTGCAATAAACATATAAACATATGAACTGTGATCAAAGTTCTGCTCTTATATTTAGCGCAATATTCATAACTACTATACCTCTCCTCACCGCGAAAAAGTTTATGAACTGATAATAAGTGATATTCAAGTAAGTCGTTTATCCTAAATGTATTCAACACACTTAAGTAGTTATGCATGGTAACTTTAAACCATCGGAGTGCCGATTGAGTTATTTTATTTTTTCAACTATACACTGAAATTTGAAAAGTCAAAATGAATTGAGCAAATTGTTAGATTACCAATTAAGCGAATGATAAATATCTCTTTTAAACGTATCTGTAATATACTATTAATAGATAAATCAAAATCAAAATCAAAATCAGAATCAAAACCAAAATCAAAATTAAACCTACTTTTATTTCAAACTATTGTTAAATTGCGCTGCCAAGAAACGTTTCACTTCAATTTCTATTATTATTATTATTGTGATTGTTCACGCTTCTTTACCTTATCTTACTTAGAAAAAATAAGATCAAACCAAATCATGAGAAACTAACCATGTCTAATTAATTAGTTAGTTTTCCCCAGTTTTAAAGACTTGGTTTGATAAGAGCTGAAAGATTATTGGTCATTGATAAACGGGAATGACTCAGAGTGAAATCAACAATGTTTCAATTTAAACCATTTTGATGTTTTAAATTATCAGGTTTTGTGAAATATCGCTAAGATAAGCTATTTAAAGTTGATAGGTATTACACCATAATCAATTAATAGAATAGTTGAAATCAATTAAGATGCATGAATAGAAAGATATTGTATATTGTTTGTCGAAGTTTTTTTCTCGTAAATGTACCACTTTTTTAACAAATAAAAATTAAATTGCGCAATAGAAATTGTAACATGGTTGCAATTATACTTCACACTGTGGTTCTTTCTAAGATGTGTGTTCCTTAAAAGTTTTACGTGAATTATTCTATTTTTGAAGATGGGCTTAAAATCAAAATGTGTTTAAAATCAAAATGTGCTTAAAATTACTCTTATTAGTAAAATTGCTTTTAGAGTTATGAGAATTGATAATTGATGCTGTTCAATTAAAAACGGTTTTTTTTATTTGTTTATTTGTTTATTTGTTTCTTTGTTTATCATTGAAACGACCAGCTCTATTATAAATTGCTAATCCTTTACAAGGTTTTATTTATTTTTGTCCTCTTTTTTAAAACCTTAATGAGTTTAAGATTGATCGGAAATTAATAAAACGTTTCTTCTAAATGGTTAAAATTACTGTGTTTTCCAACTTTAAGCGACCCGAGAAATTTATTTATGCTGAATCTGGGACGTAAGCCACATTTGCAGTAGAGATGAAATTTGAACAACTACTGACTGGCAGAATTTTAACTTTTAGTTTGTTGATTTTTGTTAACGTATTTAATCCTTGGTTTTGTGATTTAATCAAGATAGTGTTATCTGTTCTATTTAAACTTTTTCCGTTTCCGCTTATTACCTTATCCAAGGAAAACTTTGAGAAAGTTCCAATTCAATTTTATCAGTGTTTCAAATATTATAATCTAGACTCTTATATCCGTTGAAGTTTATTGTTTATTTCGTAAAATTTGTCTATTTTGACATTGTTTCTTCTTTGTTTTTTTGTATGTTTGATTTTTTTTTTTTCAATGACGTATTTAGTTGAATTTTAAAACTGAAATTGGTTTATTGATTTGCATTACCTATTTCGATTAGGAGGTTACACTACACTGGTTCTAATTAACTTGATGATCTGCAAATACTACTTGGTAATTTGAGTTGACATCGGTTATATTACTAAATTTTGAAACCGATAGGAAGATTAGAGACAGTTTAAAATTTTCTCATGGAGTGAACGTTTTAGAATTAGTATTCATATTCGCCGAAGTTTGGCTTAAGGAGTACGACTCGGATATTTTTCGTATCTATCCGTAAGAAGGTATTTGCACTTCCTTCAGTTGTTGTTGCAAACATTTTCTGAGCAGTAGTCACAAAAGAAGGAAGAAATACACTTTTAATCAAATAAAGAATATATGGTATAGCAAACCATGTAGATGATTTGACTTGAGGTACATGGATGTTGGAAATTTGGGACAATTTTTGAGACAAGTTTTGGGACAATTTTTTGTACTGTATAATGTTTACTAAAAATTTTTCAATTACACCTAATTCATCAAAGGAAGGAAGAAATACACTTTTGATTAAATAAAGAATATATGGTATAGCAAACCATGTAGATGATTTGACTTGAGGTACATGGATGTTGGAAATTTGGGACAATTTTTGAGACAAGTTTTGGGACAATTTTTTGTACTGTACAATGTTTATAAAAATTTTTCAATTACACCTAATTCATCAAAGGATTAAGCTGAATTCAAAGTAAACTGACGTTAATATCCTTGAAATTGGCAATTTCTTGATCACGAGACTCATTGTTTCCAACATTAGAGAAAAAACATCAAATCACATGATAAGCCCTCTGTTTTGCAACTTTCTTTAACATCTAATTTGGTAGAAACCTGCGCAAATGACCATTGACTATATTGTTATAGCATTAGCATGAGCACATCAAATTTAAGTCAAGTTTATCAACGGAATCAGCATTTCATCGTAAAAGAATATTAACTACTATACACAAGCTATTGAGAATTCTTTCTAATATTCAAATGCATTTATTGCATCATTTTATATATTAATGTTCTAATATAGTTAAATTACCCGTAACAACAACATTTTCTAAAATTGAACCATTTGGAATTTCAATTTTATCACCATCATTACAAACAATAATAACAGTACCTTTTAATTGAACACCCTTTCCAATTGAAACATTACCAGTAATTGTCAAATGATCTAATTCTAAAATTTTTGGCATATGAGGAATTCTTTGTTGAAAACCAGAAACTTTTTTAAAATGTGAACCCAATTTAATTAATGGATTTGAAAATCCATCTCTTGTTGGATCTAATTTTAATGCACCATGTTCTAAATAAAATAAATCTGATTTAACAAGTAATAAATCTGAACAAGTTTTAACTGGTAAAAATCTCGATCTTGGAACAACAACACCATGAGCACCTTTAAAATGTCTGATAGCTGCACCAACTGCAGTTTCCAATTGTAAAACATTAGAATTACCAATTGTTTTTTGATTTGGTATAATTTCTACAGTTATTGCATTATTATTAACTAATTGTTTAATAGCTTTCAAATTAATCCATAAATTGTTTGTGTTAAAATATTTAAATTTTTTAATTGATTTAAATTCTTCTACATGTTCTTTTGGAACTTGAGCAATCTCAAGTAATCTAACTTCACCATTATAATTAATTAATGTTCCTCCTTTAACATCAGCACGAGTTTTAGGAGTAAGTTCCATTAAATATTGAGAATTAGTTTGAAGCATATGATCTAAAATCTTTAAATCAACTGTAGCACCTAAATTATCACCATTTGAAACAAACAAAATTTCTTTACCTTGTTCCAATAATGCATCCAATTCACCACTTTGTACTAAAGCTTCAAATAAATCACCATGACCTGGTGGATACCAACATTCTAATGAATCATTATAATTTTCAGGAACTGGTAATAAAGAATCTTTAAAAATTCTTGGAAATCTTGATTGATTAAAAGTTTTAACTCTAATTCTATGACCTTGATATTTTCTAATAATTTTAGCAGTATCAGCATCAGTATTAAATGAATTCATTAATAATAATGGAACATCAACATCATATTTTCTATTTAAATGTTCAACTTGTCTAACTGATAAATCAAGAAATGTATTACCATCTCTAACTTCAATTACTGATTTTGGACCAACACAACCCATTGAAGTACCTAAACCACCATTTAATTTTAAAACTGCCAATTTATCTAAATTTGTTGAAGAAGATTCTTCCAATTTCGAATAATCAACAACTTCATCTTGATTTGGCGATCTAATTTTATCCCATTCTAAAGTAGTACCACTAGCTTTTTCTTGAAGATATCTCCTAAATAATGAAAAAAAATTATCCATTTCATTTTCAAATCTTTGTTTATCTTCAGTAACAGTATCTGATAAATTATTTAAAGCATTTCTCATTTGAGAAGCAGCAACATTGGTTGCAGTATTGTCAAAAGCCTATAAAAGTTAGTAAGGCTCATCAATTGAGTAATTATTACATACATATGTTGATTGACTCTTGGTGTGTCTTTTAGACATGATTATTGAATTTCGAAGCAATTTATTTATTTATTTTTGATATTTGGGAGGCCCTAAAATTCTTTATATAAAGGAATGAAAAATTATAAGAAACGTGTAAATTGGAGGAGCGACAAACGAACAAAGTTTTTGGGTCTAAAAATGGGTCATCCTTGATTCTTTTTTTGTTGAAAAGATTGGGTGAGTTCTAAAAGCGAATTTTTATGAAATCATTTCAAAACACGAACTAACCAAACTCCATCAATTTTATAGCCACAAACTTCGAATCGGGTGAAAAAAGTCCCGAATTTTGAAGATTTTTCGCTTAACAAATTGAATCTTGATTTATACCATATTTTGGTTAAAACTTCAAGAAAGTGGTTTGGCCAATTCGGTCGGATTTTCTCAGGTAGACTGTTTGCCAGAGAGGTTAATGGGATAGCCTGCTATCATTTCATACAGCTATTGGGCTTCGCCCGCGCAGGTTCGAGTCCTGCAGCAGTCGTTTTTTTTCTTTTTAGATCAACTGAAAACTTTTGTCTATTGTTAAATGGCTTCAGTTTAGTTAATTAAATTTTTTTTCCTTCTAGTTATCTCCAAAAGTAGTGCGTTGCTCAAGCGAAATAATTGGCACCAGCAAAAAAGTTTTTCTTATCTGTAGGAATACAATTATAGTATATGCAGAATTTTAGGAAAAACAGCCAAATCTAAAGCTTGTTCGAGCTTGATGATTGGCTGTTGCAATGTAGCCAACACGATGCTCTTATAGTGTAGTTAAATTTACACGTTAGTGCCCTTTTTTTGCGTTGTTTTTTCGCGTTGTTTTTTTGTTTAGTGTTTTTGAGATTTGGTAGCAATTCGCAGAAATATCGAATAATTACTAAAATTATTGCAACTGATTGTAAGCATTCAAACACATTTCTACTGTCACATATATGTAATACATGATTCTGTTTAATATGAGTTGGCTTCTAAATATGTGTCTAATAATTTACCCTAAATTGTGTCCGTTTGAGTAAATCAAGCTCATTGTATGGTAAAGTTCACGTAACATCAATTCTGATTAATACTGATTGATTACTCTTACCTTCTCCATAAGCACCCATACTTTAAACAGCTAAGTTTAGGCTCTGATAACTCTTACAATTGGATCTTCTTACAATTGGATCTTCTTTTTATTGTTCGGTTTTTAGCTGCAAAAATTTCGAATTTGAGTACACGAAAAATGTCAACAAATAACTAACTAAGCCCATGACTGTATGAGATTGCATTTAAAAAAAACTATAGTATTGGTAACTATTTGTTTGGTCCTAATATTATGGAAGAAAAAGCCAGTATATTCCAAGATCATCAAAGTGAGTGCTAAAGATCATTGCTCCCTATTAAATATCAAACAATTTGATCCATTAATTTATAAGAGAAAGAAATGGATAAAAGATAAAACAAGAGAAGCAAGGAGGTTACATAAACATGATGGTTATGATTATATTACTGAAGTTAATAATGAATTTAATAAACTAAGAAAAGAGCAAGCTGAAATTGAAAAACTGTTGATTGAAAATTTATGTCGATTGAAAAATTGTGTTACAACTGAAACTGGTGAAGGTAGAGGTATTGTTATACTTGTAGAAAATGTGGAAAATGTGAAAAATGTTTTACGATTGGTTAAAGTTTTAAATACAGGTTTACCTATTGAGTTTATTGTTAAATCTGAAATTGAAGGTTTAAAACAATATGGGAAAGTAATTAAAACTGATGGTTCATTACTTCTGGCAGCTATATATAATACATTTGATGAGTTCTTGATAGTTTCTGAGCATGTACTTCCTTTTGAAATTGAACAAGTTTTTGAATTTGATAGATTTAAAGAAACTGGTGTTTATTTATTTAAAAGTCCAACAATTTTAAGTAATAGAGTTACAAAGTTTAAACCAGGTTTTCATGAAAGTGCCAGTTTAATAAAGAAGTTGGTATCAGGTAAAGGTTATACCAGTAGATTTTTTGATTTACAGTTTCTGAATATTATGGATCAACATTTAATAGCAATGAAGAAAAGCAAAGTAGTACCTGGGTTGAAAATTGCAGAATATATGAGTAATCAAGATTTAATAAAGCTAAGAGTATCTGGGTCTGATTTGATTTGGCTTGGTTTAGAAATTTCTGGTATTAAAGTTCCATTTAATTATAATCACGCTGTTGCTACTGGTATTTACATTGATGGAGAAATATGTTCAAGTTCTCATGGTCAAGTATCTGATAATGATGATGTTACTTTATTATATGTCACTACATATCAATTAGAAAATTCATTCAATTCGAAATTTAGATTTCTTTTAGAAAGGTATAAAATTAAAAAGACTGCACATGTTAGTATATTTGATAAAGCAACAAGTATAGATAGAATAGATACATCTGTATATTCAAAGGTTATTAAAAATCCTTTGGTTATTGAAAATTTAATTAAACCTCCAATATTATCAAGAAAAGTTTATGTACATAGTTTTGATGAACCTGATGAAGCATGGATGTTACAAAAGAACAATTTTAACATATTTCCTTATTATTGTGTTTATGAATCAATTGGGGATCCATTGAAAGAAGGTAGTAGAGGTTTAACTGTTAATGTCGATGAAGAATTGCAAAAGAGATATGAACAAATTGTAAATAAATGGCTAGAGTAAAATAAAATAGATGCAATTATATTAACAACTATAATTATTGACTGCTTCTAAGTATACGTAGGTTCGTTATTATTTGTTTTTTTGATGTCATCTCAACACATATTTTTAATACTGTCCACACTTTTCATACTTTGATCGACAGTTAAACTGAAAGATCCATCCACAATTCCTTCGTTTCTTTGTGATGTACTCGAATTGCAAAATATATACATAAATAAGAAGTAACTAGCTAGTTTGACAGCTATTTATTGAATTAATCAAACATTAGAGGATCGAAAAAGAGCAATATTTCTATATTAATGTATATTATAAGTAATTGAGACCTTTGATTTTCTTTAATTTTCTTTAATTTTCTTTGATTTTGACCTTTCAAGCTTTTCCTAATGAAAATATTGTAAATTAATCCATTAATCATCCAATTTTGTCGTTTCAAAATCTTTACTCAATTGATCTACATCTTTCTTTTTTGGTTGAATTAAATAATCAAAACCAGGAGCTATTTTAACACTTTTTTCATTAATCCAATCTTTATATTTTAAATTTTCAACTTGATCAATTTTTAAAATTTGATTCCAATTATCTAAATCATCATTTGTTATATTTAATTTTGGCGGAATAGTATTTTGTAATGAACTAATTAATTTATTATAGTTTGTATTCAATATAATTGGTTTTGGTGGTTGATAGGTTGGATTTTTAATCAACGGTACTTGTTTTAATAAGTTGTCCATAGAAAAAAATATATATATTCATCTATAATGGCGTATTAATATATAAGCATTTTCTTGTTTCAAATTTGATAACAGTCTATAACCACCTTCTAATCTCATTAATAAACCTCCAAACGATATATAAACAGACATTTTATCATTATCAACATTTTCTTCAAATTTATAAACTGTACCATACATAACATAATCATAATCATCTGCTATTGATCTTTCACCATCTCTTGGTGGTCTCCAAGATCCATTAGATGTAACCATTGAGGAATCATTACCTAAAGATGAAGCTAAAGTTATAGTTAAAGAATCTTTTGACTTAACGGGAAATAATTCATTATTTATATCTAAAGTTATTTTGATATCTTGTGAAGTAGACGAATAACCAGTAATTCTACAAACTTTGGTGTATCTACCTGGATCAGTAGAATCAACTATGAACATGTCTTCAAATAATATTGATGACATTGTTAAAGTGGTAATGTGATGATGATGATGATGATGAGATTTTTTTTTTTTTCAATAATAATGTTGTTGTTGATTAATATAATAAATGCTATTATTATGGGTTATTGGTTTTATTATGAACCAGAGATGTATGTATATAAAAGAGATGCTATATATAATGAACCTGGAGTAAGATTTGTTTTTGCTTTAATTGGTTTTATTTTTTTAAATTTACTTGCTATTGTTATTCATCATATTTATTTAAAATTAACAAATTCATCAAATTCTTATAAACAATTTGAACAGGAAATATCACCATTCTAAATGTATTTACAATTAATTTGTGCTATTATTTATTGTTTATTTTCAGCTGGTATTGTTTTTGGTTTTGCTGCTTTAAAACCAATTCTTATTGATCAAAATATTTATAATGGAGATGACTTGAAAATTAATCTTTTATTTACAGTAGCTTGTATGATTACAAATTTAAGTGCATTACCTGTTGGAAGTATTCTTGATTCTTATGGTGCAAAATTAACTTGTATAATTGGTTCAATTATTTTATCAATTGCAAGTTTTAGTTTAATTAATGGTTGGTATTTAATTGGTTATACTTTATTAGCTTTGGCAGGTCCATTTATTTTTATTTCAAGTTTTCAGTTGGCAAATGATTTTCCAAAAAATTCAGGTTTAGTATTGGCTTTATTAACTGGTGCTTTTGATTCTTCATCTGCATTATTTTTAATTTATAGAATTTATTATTTTAATATTTATAAAGTTTCAATTTCCAAATTTTTCACTTTATATTTAATTATTCCAATTTTCATTTTAATTTGTCAATTAATCATGCCAAATTCAAATAAAACCGTGGGTACACTTGCTAAAATTGCTGAAACTGGTCTTGATGAAAGTGGTCAACCAATTGGTGGAGAATCCGATATTCATCAAACAACAATTTCTGAAACAACTTCATTATTAATTAGAAGAGAATCAACAACTTCAAGACATTCAACAAAATCAACGTATGAATTAGAAGCTGATTCAAAATTAATTAAATCTACTGGAGGTGTTTTTGGTATTCTTCATGGTTATTCAATTTCACAACAATTATCATCACCTTGGTTTTTATTAATGACTCTTTTTACAACCATTCAAATGTTGAGAATTAATTATTTTGTTGCAACAATTAAATCACAAGAAACATATCTTTATAATAAAGAAATTGCAATTATGATTAATCATTTTTTTGATATTGCATTACCATCGGGTGGAATGGCATCAATTCTATTTATTGGAGTAATTTTAGATAATTTTACCACATTAACAGTATTGACAATATTAACTGTATTATCATTATTTATTGGAATTTGTGGATTATTTTCATGGTTGCCAGCTACTTATGCAGGTATTATAGCATTTGTCATTTATAGACCTTTTTATTATACCGCTGTTAGTGATTTTTGTGCTAAAGTATTTGGTTATGATACATTTGGTACAGTTTATGGATTTATAATTGCATTTTCAGGTGCTTGTAATATATTAACTCAAGTTATGGACAAAACAACTCATGAATATTTTAAAATGAATCCAACTCCAATAAATTTATTGTTAATTGGATTAACTGCAATTTTTGGAATTTTATTAATTGGATTTGTTAGATCTCAATCTGCACAAATTAAAAGAAAAAATTTAGAAATGGAAGCTCAAGAAGCTATTCATAGACAATTACCAAATTAGATTAGAAATATATATATTTGTAAAGCGGTAAATGAATCTTAAATTTACCAATTAGGACAAATCTTAGCTTCCATTGTCAATTTGAAACATCAAATCGGAATCGAATCGACGAGTTTTTCATATAGATATACTACATACATATTACTACAAGATCATTTACAGACTATTAGAGACCCTGTATTTGTCAAAATTAGATTAGAACTATATATTTGTTAAGCGGTATTTTTTTTTTACAGCAAATACCTACCCCTTAAAATCGCGCGAGTATTAACATTAATTTGACTCTGCTTAATATCAGTTTTTACAATAATAGAAGTATATATTGTTGTTATATCGTTGCATCCTTATCTTAAAGCATCCTTACGTTACATCCTTATATTGCATCCTTACGTTGTATCCTTACCATTCCTTGCATCCCTACTAATACTATACTTCGGAGTACAATCGATTAACTCATCATTTCGTACAATTGTCACTTTACCAACCTTGACATCCTTAATTTGTTTATCAGGAAACTTCAACATCTCCTCATTTTTCATCTTTTTGTAATTGTCTTCTTGAACCTTTAATTAATTCTAAATGACCTACTTTACTTGCAATCAATTTTTCAGTACTTTTCATAAGTTGACCTTGATGAATCTTTATTAATTTTTTATCTTCTTTAGCTCTTTGTTTTTTAGGCTTTATAATCTTCGGAGCAGCTTTCTTTGCTTGATGTTGTTGTTTCTTTGGTTGTTTTGTTGATTTTTTTAACTTTAAATTACCTTGAGCCATGAGATGAGTAAAAAAAAATATGAGTGAATTTTTGATTTTACCAGGACCAAAAGCTTTATCTTCATTTAGAGTTCAAAATTTATTATCAGAACTTGGAATAGAAGCTGAAATAGCTAATCAATATACCCATTATGTATCATTGAAGAAACAGTTAAATGAAAAACAATTGAAATTATTAAAAATTTTATTAACTTATGATGCATATGATGATAGTGATATTAGTCAAGAATTGGTTAAAGCATCATTGGGAGAAACTCCAAAAGGTAAATTAATACAGATATTACCAAGACCAGGAACTATTTCTCCGTGGAGTTCAAAAGCTACTGATATTTCAAATATTTGTGGATTAGGTGAATATGTTGAAAGAATTGAAAGAGGTTTAAGTTTATTAATTAAAACTGATAAAGAAATACCACCAGAGAAATTATCAGTTTTTGATAGAATGACTCAATCTATTTATACTCATCCAACTTATGAAGATTTATTTGCACATCATCAACCAAAACCATTGATTACAATCGAAGATATTCCAAAGGCTAATAAAGAATTAGGTTTAGCATTAGATCAAGGTGAAATTGATTATTTAACAAATGCATTTACTAATGTTATTGGTAGACACCCAACTGATGTTGAATTGTTCATGTTTGCTCAAGTTAATTCGGAACATTGTCGTCATAAAATTTTTAATGCTGATTGGACTATTGATGGTGAAAAGAAAGAGCTTTCATTATTTAAAATGATTAGAAATACTCATGCTAAAAATCCACAATATACGATTTCTGCTTATTCCGATAATGCAGCAGTTTTTGATGGTCCTGAAGGTTATGTCTTTACCCCAGATTTTTCAACAAAAGAATGGATTTCAATTAAGGAATCAGTTCAAACATTAGTTAAAGTGGAAACTCATAATCATCCAACTGCAGTTTCTCCATTTGCAGGTGCTGCAACAGGTTCAGGTGGTGAAATTAGAGACGAAGGTGCTGTTGGTAGAGGGTCAAAATCAAAAGCTGGTTTATCTGGATTTTCGGTTTCTGATTTAAATATTCCGACATTAAAACAACCTTGGGAAATAGATATTGGGAAGCCAAATCATATTGCATCATCATTAGATATAATGATAGAAGCTCCAATTGGTTCAGCTGCTTTTAACAATGAATTTGGTAGACCTGCAATTAATGGTTATTTTAGAACTTTATTAACCGAAGTTGATGGTGAATATAGAGGTTTTCATAAACCAATTATGTTAGCTGGTGGTATGGGTGCAATAAGACCTGAATTGGCTTTGAAAAATACAAAAATTACTCCTGGTGCAAAATTAATTGTTTTAGGTGGTCAATCTATGTTAATTGGTTTAGGTGGTGGTGCAGCATCATCAATTTCATCAGGTGAGGGATCTGCAGATTTAGATTTTGCATCTGTTCAAAGAGGTAATCCAGAATTACAAAGAAGAGCTCAAGAAGTTATAAATGCTTGTGTTTCATTAGGTAAAGATACTCCAATTCAATCAATACATGATGTTGGTGCAGGTGGTTTATCAAATGCCTTACCAGAATTAGTGCATGATAATGATTTGGGTGCAAAATTTGAATTAAGATCAATTTTATCATTAGAACCTGGAATGTCACCAATGGAAATCTGGTGTAATGAATCACAAGAAAGATATGTATTGGGTGTAGCACCTGAAAATTTGGAATTATTTAAATCAATTTGTGAAAGAGAAAGAGCTCCGTTTGCAGTTGTTGGTGAAGTAACAAAAGAACAAAGATTAATATTGACAGATTCTTTATTAAATACAACACCAATAGATTTGGAAATGTCTGTTTTATTTGGTAAGCCTCCAAAAATGTCAAGAAATGCAACTACTAAAAATTTAAATTTGAAACCATTAAAATTTGAAAATAATTTATCAGATGCAATTTCAAGAGTTTTACAATTACCAGTTGTTGGTTCTAAAAACTTTTTAATTACTATTGGTGATAGATTTATTACAGGTTTAGTTGATCGTGATCAAATGGTTGGTCCATGGCAAGTTCCAGTTGCTGATGTTGGTGTTACTGCAACATCTCTTGGTGAAACAATTTTAAAAACAGGGGAAGCTATGGCAATGGGTGAAAAACCGACATTAGCATTAATATCAGCTGAGGCATCTGCTAAAATGTGTGTTGCTGAATCATTATTGAATATTTTTGCAGCTGATATTCCATCACTTGAACATGTTAAATTATCAGCAAATTGGATGTCAGCTGCTTCACATCCAGGTGAAGGTGCTAAATTATATGAAGCTGTACAAGCTATTGGTTTAGATTTATGTCCAGATTTGGGTATTTCAATTCCAGTTGGTAAAGATTCAATGTCAATGAAAATGAAGTGGAATAATAAAGAAGTCACTGCGCCTTTAGCTTTAACAATTACTTCATTTGCACCAGTTGATAATACTTCAAATACTTGGACCCCTCAATTACAAAAGGATGGTATTTTAGTTCTTGTTGAATTGGATAAATCTAAATCATTGGGTGGTTCGGCATTAGCTCAAGTTTATAAACAAGTTGGTGATAAATGTCCAACCGTACATTCAAATAAAGTTTTGAAATCATTTTTACAATCATTAGTTGTATTACATAAACAATTTCCAGTACTTGCATATCATGATAGATCCGAAGGTGGGTTAATAACTACTGTTTTGGAAATGGCTTTTGCAGGAAGATGTGGAGTTGATTTGCATATTTCAGGTGATGACTTATTTACAGAGTTATTTAATGAAGAATTGGGTGCTGTTTTCCAAATCAAAGAAGCAGATTATGAAAGATTTGTCGAAATTTTCAAACAAAATGGTGTTGAAGAATCATTAATTAGAGTTATTGGTAAACCTAGTGATAAAATTGACATTACATTTGATAATTCAAAAGTTTATTCATCTACACGTGGTGAATTACAACAATTATGGAGTAATACATCATATCATATTCAAAAATTAAGAGATAATCCAAGTACATCACAAGAAGAATATGAGGCTATCTTGGATGACAACGATCCAGGTTTACAATACAACCTTACGTTTGAACCAAATGATTTTAAATCATATAAATCAAAACCAAAAGTTGCAATTCTTAGAGAACAAGGTGTTAATTCACAACAAGAAATGGCTTGGTCATTCCAACAAGCTGGGTTTGCACCTTATGATGTTACAATGAGTGATATTTTATCTGGTGAAGTTTCATTATCTGATTTTGTTGGTTTTGCAGCTTGTGGTGGTTTTTCATATGGTGATGTATTAGGTGCTGGTGCTGGTTGGGCAAAATCTGTTTTATTCAATGAAAAAGCAAGAACCGAATTTAAAAATTTCTTTGAAAGAGATGACACATTTGCATTTGGAGCTTGTAATGGTTGTCAATTCCTTAGTCAAATTAATGAATTAATACCAGGTACTGAAGATTGGCCAAAATTTGAAAGAAATAAGTCCGAACAATATGAAGCAAGATTTGTTCAAGTTCAAGTTTCTGAAACTAACTCAATATTTTTGAATTCAATGAAAAATTCAACTTTACCAATAGCTGTTGCTCATGGAGAAGGTAGAGCTGATTTTGGTAATAAAGAAATTAAAAATGAAGGTGTTATTCATTATGTTGATAATTATGGTAATAAAACTATGAAATATCCATTTAATCCAAATGGTGCTTATAATGCAATTGCTGGTGTATCAAGTAAGAATGGTAGAGTTTTAGCAATGATGCCACATCCCGAAAGAGTCACCAGAAAGGAATCAAATTCTTGGTATCCGGTGAAACAAGGTGGAAAATGGGGTGGTTATGGTCCATGGATCGAATTATTCAAAAATGCAAGATCATGGGTTGGTGATATATAAAATTATAAAATATTTTATATCGTGTAAATTTAGTTATAAAATACATAAACAGTTTAATTCAAAATAAAATGCTTGTATTAGATATTTACCTCAAGTACTAGAGCTAATGAAGCTTGGGGGAATCTAAAAGTGGTTTTAAATAAGTATTTGAAAATCGATTACTAGTGAATACTTACACTTAATTCATATCTAGATTTTTGTTTCCGAATTGTTGAACGTTTGCACATCATTGTTTAATGTCTAAAGATTTGTTGATAATCGTTGACAATTTTTTTCTTCACCAAAAAAGGTGTACTAACTTTGTATAACTTTCTTAAATGTTAATTTAATTGAGCTTTGACAAGTTGTATGTTGTTACAGTTAGATATCAGGAATGTTTTGTGTCCACAATAGATTCATTAACATACACAATTCTTGCTTTGATTGGCGGACCAAGTTATCAATTCGTATTGCAATCGCGCAGTCCTCGACGAAAACACCTCGCAATAAAAAATATCTGGCACGACTTTATGCGAGATTTGTTAGAAAATGCGACCGATCACGGAGAGAATACGACATGGAATAAAACTACTTATTCACACTTTTGGAACCCTTGAGATTCCTAAATTTTATGCTTCTTGGGTGTAAGATTTTGCATACATTTTGATTCAGATTGGAACTGAATATTTGTTTAACGATGCTCTTTATAAATTACGTAGGTTTGTCTTAGCTTGAATCCGAGCATAAATGATTTAAATGAGTGTCTAAGAACTTTATTTCACTAATTTCGAGAGTTAAATTCACTTATAGGTTATCGATTTGATGATTGCAAACAAAAAGAAATTTGAAGAGCTAACACCAAATCAGGTCCAACTAACGTGCTAACTCACGAAGATTATTCATATTATATTTTTCAGAGTTATTTAAACTTAATCATTAGAGTTCTATAGAATTTTTCGTGATTTTTGGTCAGCTCATAAAGCTGATAGGTATCTTTTCCTATTTAGAAAACCATTTTGCGCGCGCAAAAAATTCTGAAACAAAAAAATTTGAGTATTACATAATCATAAAATAATATGTTTCAGAATGGAATGTAATAATCTGAATATTTCTAAAAATAAATTAAACGAAAATTATTAAATAAACCTGTTCAAATTAGTTTTTTTCTAACAGCATTGCCACTTTCCTCGAAACTAATCATTCAACTATCAATACGAGCCAACTTTTAACAAAATTACGTGATTTACCACCTGGGTTAATTCAAATAATAGCATCATACTTAAATGATGCATGAGCCAAAGCCTTTTATATGATAGAATATTAAAATCATTTGCAGTACAATGTTTATTCTCAAAAGTTGTCATCTCTGATTATGGTGAGGAATCTATAAGATCACGTATCAATTTAAATTGTTAACAACAGGAACCATTGACTTCACAGATGTCTTCAAAATTAAAGATTTATAGAATTCTACAAATTGTTGGCTCAGTATCGAGCTTACCCCAATATGGTGTTAATTACGAAAGTTGCAGATGACATAGATAGCTTTGTTACCAATTTGACTAAATTACTGACAAATGAAAGTTTAGATTTTGTACAAACTAATTGTAATCCATTACTTGACATCCCGGTACAATTGTTTATTGGTTATTCCCACGAATCATGGAATAACACTGAGCATATTAGTATGCTGTTTTCTTTTGAAGAAGTTCAAATGAAAAGCTTCATAATTAAATATTTTAAAGTTGATGATTTACCAATTGAATTGTACGACATATCCAATAAATCAGTAAGAACTTTAAATTTTGACTATGCCGAAACTGAAGATAATTATTTAATGATGCTGATACTAACGTTTGGACTGCTTTATAAACTGGTTTGTGCTATCCTGATATAAACGTTTTATTAAAAAAATCAACAAATCTACAATACCTCAAACTAACAGAATTATATTTATATGATCCCTATTTCATTCCAGTTCCTTCAACTTTGGCTTCGGTACATTTGAATTATGACAACTAGTGAATTTCAATTCCTTGCTAAATAGCAACAATTTAACAGAATTAGTTTTAACTGATTCAGGATTTGATTGGGGGTTATTTGATGGTTTGAATTTTTCCAGTTTGACACATTTCAGAATTGAAACGACCAATTATTCAGCTTTCAAACCAGATGATTATGGTGTACATCATGACGTAATTCGATTTCCAAAAAGTTTAACTTATATCAATATTAGTGAATTTGATGTTTTGTCATTTTATGGTTCAATTTATTTTCCTTAAAGTATTTCACAATTATACTTAAATAAAATCAGATTTAAAACAATGCCTGGCATCCCTAAGAAGACTGATGTTTGCGAAATTACGGGTTGTGTTGCTTTATCTCAAGATGAATAATTAGGTTAATACTCAAATCAAAATTAGTCGCAGATATGATTATTAATATATGCTAATTCTACTCAATTGTTTGTGATTCTAGAATATTGGTTATACATACTAATTAAAAGACAAGTTTTGATGCAGTAGTTTATTACGATGTTCTCTCTCAGTACAAGCTTGTTGCAGATTATCTATTCTATTATCCGGGTAGCAATTTTAGACCTGTATATAATATTTCGACTTTTTTTTTGTTGCAAAATTTTTCACTCGTAATATAGTTGAAAAAAAAAAATAGATTTCAAAAATTTTTCATTAACATTCATTCCTTATATCAATAATGGTTAACGCAATTTTATCAAAAAAAAAGAAGTTAGTAGCTGACGGTGTCTTTTACGCTGAATTAAATGAATTTTTCACCAGAGAATTAGCTGAACAAGGTTATGCTGGTGTTGAAGTTAGAAAAACTCCATCAAAATTAGAAGTTATTGTTAAAGCTTCAAATACTCAAGGTGTTTTAGGTGAACAAGGTAGAAGAATCCATGAATTAACTTCATTAATCACCAAAAGATTTAAATTGCAACCAGAAGGTATTGCTATCTATGCTGAAAGAGTTGAAGAAAGAGGTTTATCTGCTGCAGTTCAAGCAGAAGCTTTAAAAGCCAAATTATTAAATGGTTTACCAATCAGAAGAGCTGCTTATGGTGTTTTAAGATTTGCTATGGGAGCAGGTGCTAAAGGTGTTGAAGTTGTTATTTCAGGTAAATTAAGAGCAGCAAGAGCTAAATCACAAAAATATGCTGATGGTTTTATGATTCATTCAGGTCAACCAACTAATGATTTTATTGATATTGCTATTAGACATGTTTTAATGAGACAAGGTGTTTTAGGTGTTAAAGTTAAAATTATGAAAGATCCAGCTGCAAATAGATTTGGTCCAAGAGCTTTACCAGATGCTGTTAAAATTGCTGAAGCTAAAGATGAAGATGAAGCTATTTCTGCTCCAACTGTCAAATCTTATAAACAAAAACAAGAAGAAGAAGAAGTTCCAACTGAAGTTGAACAAACTGCTTAAATTTAATATATAATATATAATTTTAAGACATTAAAAAAATTTGACACGACACTCTTGTTATATCCGCTGGTAATAATTTTTTTCTTACCCATTATTTTTTAGCTCGGTTACAATAAAAATTTCATAGATAAGAAGTTTACATTGATTACGTAATTGAGTCATCTTATTCGGACTTTTATTGTTACTCCATACTAAATTATATGGCTTATAAAATTATTATAAATCATGGAGATTAACTTCCATTAGAGTATAAATATCAGCGTATATCTTTAATTCAGATTTCTAATTCTATCACTTTTCTTTAAATGTTACAACAACAACAACAATTTTTAACTTTATCTTCAGAAGTTTCAGAACCATTTATAATTCCAAATATTTCACCAGTTTCATCACCAAAATTACAAGCTAAAAAATTAACTGGTGTTTTCACAACTAATAATAAAAAACCAGAAATGGGTGATGTTGAAAAAGTTACACCTTTAAAAGTTATTGAAGAAGATGAACCATATTTAAATAATGAAAATGATGATGCTACATTAATAAGTACAAGAAATTTAAGTATAATTGATTTAAATTAAGGAATTATATGGTTATGACTTTTGATGAGACTTATTTATTTATTTATGTATTTATTTATTTATTTATTCAATTCTTGATTGTTTTTTTTAGTTAGTGTATACCTCCTTTAAATATAGAAAATAGGTAAAATAATCAACTCTTTGACGTTTGCAATTTTAATCTTATTATGAGCATCAAGAAAAAAACCCCTAGATCAAACCTAAAATTGAGATGGCTGATGATACTATATTTTAAATTGGTAATAATAAATTCTCCAAAAGTTTATTAATTGATGTTTCTTTACGTATACAACTTATCTTAAGCTTTATTAAGATTATCTTCAATTGTTTTGAAGTTATTACTCTTAATCATTCAGGTTGGTTTAAATTATGAAAAAATTTGAAAAAATTAATGTAAAGGATTAATAAGTGCATACTTCAATTTTTAACCTATACCGTTGTAATTGTAATGAAATTTGCGCAACAATATTGATACTGTATAGGTATTCAAGATTGAAGTATTAAATGTACAAAAATGAAAATTTTCCACAATTTTCTATCGGATGGGGACGTGTTAAAAATGTTGTAGGAATGTCCCTTGGGGTTCAATAAAACGGATAAGATAAGTTAGGTGCTGCCAAATAAGGTCCAAGTGTTGGCTATCTCCATTTGATTAGTTTCATTACAAATTTCAAATGGAAATAAAGGGATCGAACGTCTACTCAAATAAACTCAAACATCAATTTGCTAAAAAATTAGCTGAGAAATCCAATGAATTAACTTTGAAAACGGGAGCTTGAATATTGACAGAGCTATTTACAAATTTAATTGCTCGCCAGAATTATTTTTCTAATTCTCGCACAAAATTATAGCCACAAAAATAATTTCCTCGCGCTAGCTTTAGGGCGACTCGTATTAAAATAATTGGCTTATAACTCATAAACAACGTAATCTTTCGATATATAGATTGAATTAATGTGTTCAAGAGCTATGACTTACATTTTATACATATTTGAATATTTAGTTTTCAAACATTTTTTTTTTTTTGAGTTGTCATTTTGGCATTTTTTCACCATACAAAAATTTCTGCAAAAGCATAAATGCAGTGCATAGTCCTTTTTAGGGCCATAACTTTCAATTGAAGTTATTTATATCAGACTTGAAACTAACATGCTTATCTTGTTTTCTTATAATTTAAATCAAAATTGAGAAATTTCATAATTTTCATACTTTTCTCTTAACTGATTTTTTTAAAAAAAAGTCCAACTTCACAATCAAAATCGTAATAAATGTGTAATAAAAGTGTTTAATTCTCTAGTTCTGGCATGCTAATAGACTTGAGATTTTTTATGATGAGATATTCAAAATTTGCAAAAATTTCAAACTAATTTTGTCGCTTAAAACACAATTCAAAAAAGAGTTGAGACCAAAGGTGTCAGACCAACTTGTTTAAAAGTCGCTACATGAGGTATAAGTGTTCTTTACCTTTCAATGCGTTTTTTGCCATTTTTTGAATGATTGATAAAGTATTCAAAGTTATGATTATTTGTTAGATATTAGCATCATTTAACTTTAAATTGTCTAAAGTCTTAAAAAAGTTTGAGCATTAGAGCCTGTATATCGAAGGAAATATTCACAACTTAAGTTTAAGATTAAGAACCATAAGACTGCATATAAGTCAAATTCGTTTCAGAATTTTCGTTTTTCAAAGTATGAATTTTTCAACGCGATGACGCGCCAAACGCAATGGTTTCGTGCAAACTTTAGGGCCACTCGTTCCAAAAAGATCGACTTATATGTCACAAACATCGCATATTTAGAGTTGGTGAATTAGTTAGGGCCATAACTTTCAATTAGACAACGAATTATATATATTATATGCCAAGCTAATGTGCTGAACGTAATCCTAGCTGACCTTTATCAATTTGAGATTTTCTGTTATCACTATAAGCCATATTTCAGCTATAAAAGCTTCAAGTGCCATTCAATTTGTATTGCCATTATTATATTTCAGTTTCTTCTTGAATCTATGAACTTTGTTGCAAAAACAAAATTTTAAACTTAACTTTACCTTCTCTAAAAGGTTTATTTGCTGCAATAATTTAACTAATAGATTATCCTAAAGTCTTTACATGATCTACCTCTCTTAAACCTCATACTCCTGTTATAATAGTGTTTGTTACGTCTTACGTCCTTACCACAATAATATTTACCAGAGCAAATCAGAATAATCAAAGCATTAATATATATTCAATAACTCTTTAGCTTCTTTTAAATCTTCATCTGGATGTTCTTCAATATATTTCTTCAACTCATCTTTATGTTGTTCAATCTTTTTTGAAACTTCAGGAACCATACGTTTACTTTCATCCAAAACTTCCAATTGCTTCTTCAACTCATAACCATCTAAACCTTTAACATATTCTTCTTGATCTTTAACCTCTTGTTTATACAAACCTTCTTCTTTAATCAACCTTTTCAAAGCATTAATTTTAATTTGTAATGGTGTCAACATTTAATTTGATAAAAAAAAATAATGTAAATTTTTTGGATCCCACCCGCCGCTACCATGTCCATTTTTCAATTCTTCACGGACTTTATGAGCTTTAATTACAAAATAAACATCATTAATTTTAACAATTGAATTATGCCATGGAGTTGGAATATGAAGTAAATCACTAGATTTATCCGATAAATTATTTATATGAAGATTATTTAATAAAGATATACCAAATTTTGGACCTAAATTATTATGAGCATGAATTGAAAATCGTAAATGAAATGGGAAAATCAATTCAACTAAATTTGAATAAGCATCATTTCGTTTAATCATTTCAAACGCAATATTTGCAACCATTTTTTTATACTTTTTCCGAGTCATTTGTAAACTATGAGCTTGTAAATCTTCAGTCATAAATTTTGAAAATCCACGAAATAAAGCCAATCTTGGATGACCATCAGTTAAAATATCTTGACGTAACTTACCAGCATCTGTATCACAAGTTGCAACAAGTATTTTACGACAAACTTCACTTTCTTCATCCAATTGTGTTGGAATATAATGAGTCAATTCAACATTTGGGCATAAATGAAATGATTCCAATTTAAAAATTTCTGGTAATGAACTAAAAGTAATTGGATTAAAATCAATTGGTTTAATTTTATAGTATAATTCTTTTAATAATTTTGAATATTTATTAACTTTTGCATCATCAACTGCAATACAATCACTGAAAACATGTCCATCACTTACAATTGAAATAATTACCCCCGGTGGATACACTTTTTTCACGCTATAAGCAAAATCAATTAATCTTTTTATAGCCAATTCTTCACCTTTATCAGGAACTTCACTTGCAACTTTATCAATATTTGAAGATTTACATGGAAACGCAGGTAAAACTGCTCGAACTGGTTGCCAACGAGAAGTGAAAAATTCAACACCTTGTTTAAATAAGATCTTTCCCTCTTCCCAACGATCATGTTCAACTGTATGTTTTAATTCCTTTGCAAATAATTCAACAATTATATCAGCATCAAATGAACAATTTGTTCTTGGGAAATAATTCTCAGTTGACATTAATAATTTAAAAAACCAAATTTCAAAATTAGTTACATAAAATTGACTTGTAATTAAACCTTGACTATAATTACCTTTATCAACTTCCCAAATAAAATACTCACCTGCAGTCATTCTCTTCATATCTCCAAAATATTCAACTTCATCAACTTTGTCAATTATTCCATTAAAATCATTATAGTTGCGAAAATAATTTTCATCACCTTTAATATAAAATTGTTTAATCAATTTATAAGTAGTAGACTTCATTAATCATTTTACAATGAATTATGTCTGTATATATACATGTTTTTTCTTTCCTAGTCCAACTGTAAAATAATGTACGTATTTAGGATAAAATAAACTTCAAATCCTGTTGGTTCATCAATGCTTTTTTTAATTTTAATAGTGATAGCATACTTTATCTATTCAATTGTTATCCCACCAAGATATCCAAAAATCCCTACAATTCCATTCTATGTTTCATTTTTAAGTAGTTATACAAATCTTGATCAAATTGATATTTATGAATTATATTTACGTGAAAAATTGGAGAAGTATGGAGCTGTTAAAATTTATTTTGCATCAAGATGGAATGTTTTAGTTAGCAAACCAGAATATTTATTACAAGTTTTTAAAGAGGATGTTTATGCTAAAAGTGGTAATCATATAAAAATACCCCATAGTGTATTATCAACTTATACTGGTGATAATGTAATTAGTGCAAATGGTAGCTTATGGAAATTATATCGAGAAGTAGTTACGCCAAGTATTCAATTTCCCGATTTATCGAGAATTGAGGAAAATTCAAACAATTTAGAACTTAAATCTGGATTTGTTACTGATCCTTTACAGAAATTTGCCTTAAAAAATGTTGGCGATGCTATCTTAGGTATTAATTTAATTGATTTACATCAACAAATTAAATTTATTAAGAAGCAAATTTTTAAGCCATTTTACTTGAACTTTCCTATTTTCGATATTTTAAGATGGAGAACTAAAAGGAGGGTGGAAGAGTTTAGAGAAGAATATGGGGAGATGATAAAAAGTGGTAACAAATTGGCTGCAAAAGCTTTAGTCAATAGTAATTTAACTCATAAACAATTTTTAGATAATGCGATCATATTGATGGTTGCTGGACATGAAAATCCTTTACTATTAATGCAATCATTACTTTATGTAATTGCAAAGTATCCTGATATTCAGGAGAAACTTAAAAAAGGTGGACCATATGTTGATGCAATAATTTATGAAACCTTAAGAATGTTTCCTCCATTAGGTCAAATTATAAACAGATGCACAACGAAGGATGTATATTTAGGCAATATTTATATTCCAAAAGGTACATATGTTGGTTATCATAATTTAGCAACTGGTAGAGATCGAAATGTTTGGAAAGATGCAGATACGTTTAATCCTGACAGATGGGGTCAAGGTAAAGAAATTTATTCAAACTATTTATCAGCTAAAAGACTGGCTAGATTACCTGCATTTCATGGTAGAAAACGTGCTTGTTTAGGTGAAAAATTTGCTTTAGAAGAAGTTCGACAATTTTTAAAACAAGTTGCAAAATATAACGTGTCACTTGATGCAGAATGGAATGAAAAATTTACTCCTGCTGGTCCAATATCTCCATTAAATTTGAAAATTATAGTTTCCTAAAATATAATTTATATATGGATTTGAATATTCTAAAAAATTATGTCTAAATCGTCAATTTCTGAACATGTACAACCAGTTTATTGTGCATTACCATTTAAAAGAAAAGTTTTAATTATTATTATCGTTACATTGGCTGGTTTTTTAGGTCCTGTTTCAGGTAATATTTATGTACCAATTTTACCACATTTGGAAAGAGTATTTTCAGTTTCAACTTCAGTTATAAATGGTACTGTTTCAGTTTTTATGGTTGTTTTTGCAATTGCACCATTATTTTGGGCTTCATGGGCCGATTATGGAGGTAGGAAAACATTATATTTAATACCTTTAATTATATTTATAATTTCCAATATTTTATTATCATCTGTACCAGCAAATATTGTTGCATTGTATATTTTAAGAATTTCTCAAGCTTTTGGTGCTTCAAGTGTAATGTCAGTTGGTGCTGGAACAATTGCAGATATTATTGAACCAAAGCATCGTGCTAAGGCTATTTCCATATTTATGTGGGGTCCACAATTGGGTCCAGTATTGGGTCCTATTTTATCATTGATACCATGGAGATGGTCATTTGCCTTTTTAGCCTTTTTTGGAGCATTTGTATATTTATTAATAATGTTTTTGTTGCCTGAAACTTTAAGGTATTTAGTTGGTAATTGTGAAGGATATACTGGGTACTTTGTTAAACCAAAATTATTTCAAGAAAAGATCGTTGAAGGATATCCAAAACCACCAAAGCCAAGTTTAAAAGTTTATTGGAAACTAATCAAATTTAAACCAGTTTTGTTATCTTCTGTTAATGCTGGGTTATTATTTGCTTCATTTTATGGTTTAATGGTTACATTTGCCCATGTTTTGGAAGATTATAAATTTTCAAGAGTTCAAGTTAGTGTTAGTTATATATGTCCAGGAATATCATTGATTTTAGGTTCAACTATAGGTGGATGGTTATCAGATAAACAAGAGAAGAAAATTCCTGAACATCGTTTTAGTTTACAAATTATTGGACTAATTATATCAATGTGTGGAATTATTGGTTATGCTTGGACTGCTTATAAACATGTACATGTTGCATCAGTATTTGTATTTACATTTTTATCTGGTTTTGGTATGACTTGGGTATTTGTTTCAAATACTACTTACCTAACAGAATGTTCTACAAATCAACCAGCTACAAATGTTGCAATTGGGAACTTTATGAGAAATTTAGCTGCCGCAATTTGTACAGCAATTATAAATCCAATACTTAAAAAAACTGGATTTGGTTGGTGTTTAACTGGTTTAGGGTTTTTAAATTTAGTTTCAATTGGATTTGTTGTAGTTTTAGTTAAATACGGACCCAAATGGAGAAGTGAATATAAATAGACGACAAAAAAATGGTTGCAAAAAAAATGCGCCTGAGTGACAGGACTCGAACCTGCAATCCCTTGATCCGTAGTCAAGTGCCTTACCATTAGGCCACACCCAGAAAACTTGCAAGAATTTTCTTTAATTCGAAACATATCATCTAGAATGAAAGCAATGGAAGTTCGATTTTTACCGTATAAAATAATAGTAAAATCGTAAGATATCATCAATGCTTCCACAACCTATAAATATTAACAAATGGATTGAAGAGAACGGACACTTATTAAAACCACCAGTCAACAATTTCTGTTTACATCGTGGTGGTTTCACTATAATGATTGTTGGTGGACCAAATGAACGAAGTGATTATCATATAAATCAAACACCAGAATATTTTCATCAACTTAAAGGTACATTATGTTTAAAAGTTGTTGATGAGGGTAAATTTCGAGATATTTTAATAAATGAAGGTGATTCATTTTTATTACCACCAAATACACCCCATAATCCATGTAGATATGCTGATACTATTGGTTTAGTTGTTGAACAAGATAGACCTCAAGGTATGAATGATAAAGTTAGATGGTATTGTAAACAATGTGAATCAATATTATATGAAAAAGAATTTTATTTAACAGATTTAGGTACTCAAATTAAACAAGCAATAATTGAATTTGATCAAGATTTAGATGCAAGAACTTGTTCTAAATGTAAGTTTATAAATAATTCTAAATAGGTCTATATAAATGTTCACCTTTTTCAAAAACATAATCTACTAAATGTTCAACAGGTTCATCAAACATAATTGGTAAAAATGGAACAATACCTAAACCAATTGCAATTGGAGCATACATTTTCAATGGTTTTATAGTTGAATTTTTTAATAATTTGGAGGAATAATTAACAGCAGTATGAATTGTAAAAGCAGGTAAAGCCATTGAAGCAATACTTTGGAAAACACCTCTTTTAATAGCTGTTAATCTCCAATCAGAATCAACTAAAGAATGTTCAGATAAAAAAGTTTTTGCTGCAACTTCGTTTGATTTTGGTTCTGGATCCCAAGGTTTTAAACCGGGGATATATTTACCTTGAGATTGCATATTTGTAACCCAAGCAGCATAAGAAACATCCCCAATTATATAAGCCCAAGAAACACCATACATAAAAGTAACCAATTTTGGATGAGCAATTGGTCTAAAAGATTCACCAACTTCACTTGCATAAGCTAAAGCTCTATTTGAAGCTTTTACAAGATTTTTAATTCTATTAAAATAACCTAGATATCTAATTGAACCTTCATCTTTCTCTGGTTCTTGTTGTGAACCTTTAATCTTTTCAATTGTTGTATTATTTGACATTTGCCGTTAAAACGATAATTGATAATTTTTTGTTATCAACAGAAAATTAACCAGGGCCAAATTTTGGTCATTTAGGCCATTTATTTTATTTCGCTAAACCACGGTGGCAATTTATTTCCATCCCGTTACAACAATGAAAGTATCTATAATTATTCGATTCACTAATTCAATATCATCAGAAAATATACCAGATCTATCAATACCATTAACTATAAATGATAAAGATGATACTAATAAATTTACCAATATTTCATATTATAAATCAATAATTAGAGAAAAAGTATCACCAAATAAACGTCTAAGATTAATTTATAATGGTAGAGTATTAAATGAACAAACTAATTTTATAAAAGAAGTTATTAAAAATCAGGAAATTGTTTATATTCATTGTGTTGTTGGTGAAGAATTAACTGAAGAACAATTGGAACAAGAAAATCAATTAGATATACCACAACAACAGTCAACTACTGAAATTATTGGATTTGATAGATTATTACAACAAGGTTTTTCACAAGATGATGTAATGGATTTAAGACGTCAATTTAATTTAATATATGGTGAATCGAGTCAACAACCACAAGATATCGATGATGTTGAGGAAAATGAAGCAAGACAAAGAGAATTAAGACAAATGGAAGAAAGATGGATTGAATCAACTAATAATAATGAGGAAATTGAACAAGAATCAGCTTCAATACAAGTTGAAGATGAAACTCACGTAAATGAGGATTTATTATTAGGATTTCTTATTGGTATATTTTTAGGAGTTGTTGCTGTTGTATTTTTATTAGCTGATGATACTGTCTTTAACAAACGTCAAAAAATGTCAATTATAGCTGGTCTATTTATAAATTTTTCATTAGCAATAGTTAGAGGTCAATGGATATAAAATATATGATCTACCAGCCCGTATTAAAAAGTATAATTTCTATTTAAACACTAGGGCATTAAGATGATCTCTCTGATTATTCTCGCCAATAGCTTGACGCTCGCCAACTCGTAAGATAATAGAACAGACAAGCAACACGGTAAATAGCTTTGGCTGCCGCACAATTTTTCAAAAGAAAAAATTTGGTCCAATTTTCAATCTATTTATAGGAAACGGAAACGATGACTTCTAAACTTACCCTACTTATAATTTATTAATTATATTCTTTTTCACCAATATCAAAGCCAAATACTTTATCTAATTTTGCAATTTTTAAAATTGAAAATTGTTCGTTTGCAATTTGTTCCTTTGAGTAGTTCATCTCTGGATATTTTTCTAACTCTTTTGGGAAGTCTCTTGCGATTTGAATTACTTGAACTACCTCTAATATGAAAAATGGAGACTTTTATACATGTTAAAGCTAACATTCCAACAGGTACAGCCATTAATGCACCGAAATAAGTAGCAGATTGATATCTATTATTATTTTTAAATTTTGACTTTCCATCAGATTCATAAAATTCATCTTCAATAAAATCTTGTTTTACTTTTTGATGTAAATTTTTATAAAATGAATTTTCAAAAAAGTGGTCAATTTCATCTCTTGACTGAAATGTATCCAACATAATTCTTGAAATTGTAAATATTCAAGTTGTGAATATAAAACAGCATCAATAGGCACAAGTGAATCAAATAAACTAGGTTCAAAATGACCGGAATATAATGCCATCCAGCCACCCATCGAATGGCCAAATATAATTGTTCTTGATTTAAATGTACAGTTTAAATTTCCAGTTTGACTCTTTCAATAATATCCTTGGTCCTATCCTGTCATCTATATATTGCACCTAATTGATCATTATTTGCAACTGCTGAATCTCCATGACCAAGAGCATCAATTAAAATAATTGTATCTACTCTAGGATCAGATTAGTATAATTAATCAATATGATATTTCCAAAAAGATTTGCTGAAACCAGCACCATGATGAAATATTGAATTGAAAACTAGATCATTATCATTTTTTGCAGCCAAAGATTTATATTTATTATAAACCACCACCAAATTGTCTTGATCTGGTTCAAGTAAAGTAGAACCATGAGCTCTAAATGGTTAAGCTTTAACTTCTTTCTTTCTCTTCAGAATACATACTAATCTTCCAAATTTGTTATCTTCTCCATCCTTACCTTCTTTTATATACGTGATCCAGATTAAACAAAATATTTCTATTTTTGTGTCATAAAAATAATTTTTCAATGACTAATTCAATAAAAATCTTACGAAGTGTTCAACAAGTTAGACAATGGAGATTACAATGTAAATCATCAGTTGGGTTCATTCCTACTATGGGAGCATTACATGCTGGTCATTGTTCATTAATCAAACAATCAATAAAAGAAAATGATTTCACCGTGGTTTCAATTTTTGTCAACCCGTCCCAATTTGGCCCCAATGAAGATTTAGATAATTATCCAAGAACATTAGAAAAAGATTTAGAAATTTTACAGAATGGGTATAAAGTAGATGCGGTATTTGTTCCAAAAGTTTCAGAAATTTATCCACTGGGTATTGTATTAGATGTAAATCAACAACGGGGAACTTTTGTAAGTGTTCATGGTTGTAGTGAACAATTAGAAGGTGTTACTCGTCCACAATTTTTCAGAGGTGTAGCTACTGTTGTAACTAAATTATTAAATGTTGTCCAACCAAGTAGAATTTATTTTGGTCAAAAAGATGCTCAACAATGTGTTGTAATTAAAAATTTAGTTAAAGATTTATTAATTAATACTGAAGTTAGAATTATGCCTACATTAAGAGAATCAAATGGGTTAGCTATGTCTTCCAGAAATGAATATTTATCGAAAGAAATAAGAATGGAAAGTTCACAAATTTATAAAGCTTTAAAAATAGGTGAAGAAAAATATAGGCAAAGTAATGATTCAAAAGAGATTATAGACACAATTAGACAAAATTTAAAAGATCCTATAGAAATTGAATATATTGCAATTAGTCATCCCGATACTTTAGAAGATTTAGAAATTGCTATACCTGGTGCTATTGTTTCAATAGCAGTTAAAGTTCCAAAAGAAGATGGTAAAGCTAGATTGATAGATAATATAATCTTGTAAATAGAAACTAAATAAAAAGACCTGTATTTATAGACACTATTACTTCTATTATAAAACCTGTATTTTTAGACACTATTACTTCCATTACAGCATCCTTACTGTTAAAGCAACCTGAATTCTATTACAACATCCTGACTTCAATCACGGCATCCTTACTATTGCTGCATCCTGACTTTTACATCATCCTTATAGTTCCTGCGTACTAATATATTTCCCAAATTCTTCATTAAAAAACTTATAACCATATTCTAATAACCAAATAGGTTCAACAGTAGTAGCATAATTCATATATTCTCTACTAGTTAATATTAATTCGTGATATATCACATAATTTGAACTTAAATTACTATTTAATAAAACACTAGTTGGATGTAAATACATTTTCATATATGAATGACGTAAATTAATGAATTCAGGATTCCCATTAATATTCATTTTTGAAATTTTTGCTGATTGTTGATAAAATGAAGCTGATAAACATTTTCTAACTGCTTCATCGGTAGAATGTAATAATGGTATTTTTAAATTCTTCATAATTAGGATTAATTGGGTTCGAATTTCTCTGGCACGCAATAATGATTTACAATTTAAAAAGTTTTTATCACACCATTGATTAGGATTGCGTTTTATGTTGTTGAATTGGTTGAATACGTTACATAAAGTTAAATGATCACTTTCAGATACGATAAATTTCTCCCTTGCGGCATCTGCTTCCTGTGCTCTTTCTTTAGGTCTATGAAAAATATTTGGTACTGATAACATTGCCACTATCGTAATTATATCCTCTGAGCATTTAAATTTTGTAGATAATAGTATCAATTTTGATAATGTTGGCTCTATTGGGAATTGAGTCATTTGCTTACCTAATTCAGTCAATTCACCAAAATTATCCAATGCAGAAATTGACCATAATTCATATAATGAACAAGTTAATAAATCTTTTGGTGGTGGATCCAAGAATGGAAATTTTAAAATATCAATATTCAACGATTTTAATAATAGCATTGTATTACTTAAATTTGTTCTTTGAATTTCTGGAATTGGTTGTTTATAAATCTGATCAATTGAAGATTCAGTGTATAATCTATAACAAATTCCAGGACCTGTTCTACCTGCTCTACCTGATCTTTGATTTGCATTAGCTAATGAAATAGGTACAATTTGTAATGTATCCATACCTAATTTTGGATTGAAAACTTTTACTTTAACTAATCCTGAATCAATTACATATTTTATTCCATCTACAGTTAACGAAGTTTCGGCAATATTAGTAGCAATTACAACTTTTCTTTTTTCATTTTTAGGCCTAAATATCCTCTTTTGTAAATCTTGTGACATGGAAGAATAAATTGGATAAATGTCTATTGGTGGTGCATTTATGAGAGATAGTTTCTCTTTTAATAAATCACAACAAGTTTCTATATCTTCTTGACCAGTCATAAATACTAAAATATCACCATCATTAGTATAACTTTTATTTTGTGAGTTTTTTAAATGAATTGATAATATTTGTTTTACTGCATTTTCAACATAATCAATAACTACACTTTTATTAAAAAATACATCAACGGGGAATGTCCTACCTGGGATTGTAAACTGTGGAGCAGCTCCGAAGAACTTTGTAAACCTATTAGCATTCATTGTAGCTGATGTTACGATCAATTTTAAATCTTTTCTTTTCATAATTAAATTTCTAAATAATCCGAGTAATATATCTGTATTTAATGATCTTTCATGTGCTTCATCCATAATTATACAATTATAATTTGTTAAATTTGGATCAGCTAGTATCTCTCTCAACAATATCCCCTCAGTCATATATTTAATTTTTGTATTATCATTTGTTTTATCTTCAAATCGAATAGAATAACCAACTAAATCTCCCAATTTACATGCCATTTCTTCTGATACTCTTTTGGCTACTGACATTGCAGCTACTCTTCTTGGTTGGGTACATGCAATTGAACCAAATCCTTCTTCGTATAAATATTGAGTTAATTGCGTAGTTTTACCTGATCCTGTTTCACCAATAACTATAACAACTTGATTATCTCTAATTGTAGTGATTAAATCATCTCTAACTGAATAAACAGGTAAAGTTTTTCGTAAATTAGGTGATGTGATTGTTTCTTGTACAATTTCTTCTTCCTGTTGTTGTTCCTCTTCCTCTTCTTCTACAATACCAGCTCTTTCTTTTACATGTTTCGCTTTTTCTTTTTTTGATCTGCGGTTGGCAACACTTATTGATCCTTGACTTGCCATTGATGCTAATTCAGAACTTGTATCTTTAATTGGATTAATTGTGGGATCGATTGATCTTGATCCAAATACTTGTAAATATTCCTTTTGATCTTTTAAAAATGGTGGAACAAAGAAATATGAGTTGGTAATTTGTACTTTTGATGAATCAAGTTTACTTAAATCAAATTTGAATTCTTCGATTTTGGACTCCTTTTTTTTGGGAGTAACTTTAACAACTTCTTCTTCAACAAGTTCATCTACTTGTGGAATAAATCTTCTTTCTTCTTTAGGTACTTCTTTTAACCTAATTGCATCTTCCTTTTTAATTTTTTTAAATAACCGTTTAGTTGTTTTTTGCTCTAGTTTCCTTTTTGGTACAATTAAATCTAATTCATCATAATTTATTAAATTTTTAGGTCGTATTTTAGGTTGTTCATCTAATTCATCAAAGTTTATTGAATTATTTTTTACCTTGGACTTTTCACCATCAACCACATCTATCTTTCTCTTTGTTAATCCATTTGATTCACCAGCCGAATTCGGCCGCATTTTGGAAGGTTCATCATTATCATTTGCACCATCTTTGTTGTCATGTATGAATTTATATAAATCTTCACCATCTTTTACACCGATTAATTTAACAAAATTACTAAACTCATCTAATGATTTACTTGAAAAATCTATTATTTGATTTACTAATACATCATTTACTTGTTTATTTAAAGATTCATATATTCTATTCTTTATCGTTTGCATCAATGAATATAAAATTAATTTGTTTCACATTGCAATGATTGTCAAAAATGCTACCAAGTGTGTTTTAATTGTAGAGATTTACTAGAAATTACAAGAATTGTATTCAATAGTCAAGATTTGGTGGTGCTTTACCAAGTATATATTATCATCAAAGTTATTGTTGCATTCTTACTATATCATCCTTACTTTTGCATCCTTACATGCATCCTTACTTCAACTTCTCTAAATCTTTTTCTAATATATCATTTAAATAATTCAACCCCATTTGTTGTTTTAATAAAACTTTAGATAATTTATTTATAATGTCTTGTTTATTATCAGTATTTCCTTTCTCATTTTTTTGAGTTTTTTGATCTATATCAATATCATTATTCAAAACATTTATATTATAATCAAATTGATATTTCATTTCTTCTGCTCTTTCTTTTAAAATTGACAATCTTGCAAAAATATCACTCAATTTACCAAAATTCCCATTCGGATCATTTAATTTCATATTTATAAGCTCAAATTGTTTACTAATTTCTTCTTCTTCAGGTAATAAAGGATATCCTTTCAATTTCAAAATAGCCAAAATTGTAGCTAATCTTAGTAATCTTCTTGATAACTTTGTATGTTTTGCTTTTGCTTTCAATATCCTTGTAGTGTTTTCTAAATCATGTTTACTTGATAAAGTATTCAATTTTTCATTTATTGAATCTAATAAAATTCGTGATTTTGAAACATGATCTAATTGAATTTCAACCCTGCTGGCAACGTCAGAAAATGATGAAACTTTTATAGGATAATATAATGGTCCTGGTCTGTTTGACATTGCATTATCCCAATCTTCAGAAGTCTCATCTTGTGGTCTTGGTTGATTTAACAATTGTTGAATTTCCGACTCTGAAAATTTATTATATAGATGAGTTTTTAATAAATTTTTATTTGATTTTGGATCCCATTGTTCCCAAATTTTAGTCAATTGATCATTGATTGCTGGCGTATATGTTGAGACTTGTTGATTTTGTTGTTGTTGTATTGGTTGTATAGTTTGTTGTAGTTGTTGTTGTGGTTGACTCCATGAAAATGATGGTTGTTGATTATTAATAGTGGATGAGCCAAATAATGAAGATTGTTGAGGTTGTTGTTGTTGTTGAGAGCCAAACAACCCTGATGATTGTTGCGGTTGTTGCGATTGTTGTTGAGAGCCAAACAACGCTGATGATTGTTGCGGTTGTTGTTGTTGTTGATTTGATCCAAATAACCCTCCATTAGTCGTAGTAGTACTTTTATTACCAAACAAACCCCCTCCCAAACTTGAAGAATTTTGATTACCACCAAATAAACCACCACTAGATTGTTGTTGATTTGACCCAAAGCTTGTAGTTGTTGGATTTTGATTTTGATTTTGATTTGAATTTCCAAATAATCCACCACCAGTTGTTGTTGTAGAAGGTTTGTTACCAAATAATCCACCACTATTTGTATTTGTATTACTCAGACCAAATAAACCACCTCCACTTGGTTGATCTGTATTTGTGTTACTCAGGCCAAATAAACCACCACCACTTGGTTGATTTGTATTTTGTTGCGAACCAAATCCTGTATTAGATGAAGAAGTATTGCCAAATGGACCACCAGATGTTGTTGTTGCAGGTTTATTACCAAACAATCCTCCTGTAGATGAATTGGTATTTGTATTACCACCAAATAACCCTGCTGATGTGGTACCTGTATTAGTATTTGTATTTGATGATCCAAACATGGTATATGTATTGTTTGGTTGTAAAAATTAATTTGTTGATGAGAAAACAAATAAATTTATTACTGCGAAATTTGAAATACTCGTATATTTTTTATCGTGTTAGCTTCAAAGCGATCTCGTACTGACTATACAATTTGTCGCATTGATTTAGAACCATCTGCAAGCCATCAATCAAGCCATCAATATATTTCACACGATAACAATTAAAATAGAGACGAAATACATGTAAAGAAATGCCTACTTTGTTTATGGATTAAGTTAGTGGAGCCAGTTTAGTCTCATTTGAGGTATTTTTACAAAAAATTTGATCTATATTAATGTACATATTGAAATGAAATGATAATGATGATGCTTATGTGAAATTATATTAATTTGAATTGGTCTCTTTTGATTTTAAAAATTGTTGAACTTGTTTAATATCATTTGAATCAGTTTTATAAATTGGATATTGTTTATCTTGTATTTGATCTTTAACACCAGGTACAACTTTTTTCAAATTTAAATTTGTTAAAACACATTTACTTAATAAATGTTCTGATGATCTACATCTATTAAAATATTGATTATTTTGTTCTAAACAATCATAATGTAATTTAAATTCATCAAAACAATATTTATTTATATCTTTTAAAACACTAATTGCACATCTTGTTACTCTTCTACCTTCTTTTAAACAATTCAATTCACCACCATTATTTTCATTTTTACATTGCATAAAATCATCATTAAAAGGTTTACATTTATCACCAATATAATAAGATGCAGATAACAAAGGAGCAGATGTAGCACCAACTTCATCTACTTCTGGTATATTATTAGGTAATTTATTTTCTTCAGTATTCTCCCATTGTTTACCACCAACAAATATATCTGAATTAAGCATAGTTAACTGTTAATACTGTATTGTAGTAATAAATTTTCTCGTTTTTTGGTTGGTTGAAGAAAAAGTGAAAAATATTATATACAGTACACACTATACACTATATACCAATTAGTTTATATATACTAACTATATCTATTGTTATTGGTTGTTGTTTAATAAAACTTATATATTCAAATTGTATCAGATTCACTTTGGATTGTAAGGATTCAAGTAACTTGGAGTCTGTTTCTAAATATTCACTTGTTTTTATAATTGATAAATATAATCCCGTCAACTTATCTACATCTTTTTCTGTATTTAAACATGTATCAAATTGTACTATTTGATCATTTAATAATATTGTTAATTTACTCTTTGTCTTTAGTTTGACCAATTCTTGTCTTAATTGTATTGTTTTTTCAATATTATCAAGTTTATTATTAAATTTAGACTCATATTTTACTAAGTCACTCTTGAAACCTTTTAAATCTTGTATTAACATATTTATAATTTCATATCCTCCATTTATTGATTTTCCCAATTTTATAAAATCATTATAATCATTATTTACTAAATTTAATAATGTTTCATTTAATTCTGTTGATAATTTTTTTAAATCTTTAATTAATTGGTCTATGGAAGTAAATCTATGATTTTTATATAGAAATAAATCTATCTCATCTATATTAAAATTTTTAAAATCTGTATTAATTAGTGATTGTGGATATGGAAATTCATCTGTTCCATTTAAAATATCAAATTCATTCATATTGACAAATTTCGATAAAATCTGAAACTTTTACACGTAATAAAAGTTAAACTTCGCAAAAGGTTTGTTAACAAAATTAAGAGCAGCGGTTTTACAAATGTCAAATTCGGATAGAGCTAAAGTTTCTCATTCAAATGGTACCATCAACAATATATATTTGATTCAAAAGTTGAGCACTTGATGGTAATTTGAAATTAGTCAGAAAATAGTATTCTTCGAAATTTTAATATTTTTTTGCGCGTGCTCGGTATAGTTTCGAAGAACTACATCGCGCTTTTTTAGATCTTCCCCCCCCCTGCTTGTTTAAAATTTGATTCTATTCGATGACATTGACAAACTACGGCAAATTGTAATATTAAAGTAGGTTGATTTCACTAGTAGTGCTTTTTAAAGTTGTCGAACACCTAAATTTGAGCTGTAATATATATACTCCGTTGTTTCGTTGAAAATTATGGCCAGTAAATTTGAATTGTATGGTGAAAAAAGCTCAAACGTTCAACCTCAAAATAGATATCCAGCTAGGTATAAAATGCGTAAGCAATACAATATAAGGATTCTGATTTCGTTAAACTGGTTTATATTTCGACTGAATGCTTTGTTTTTGACTTATTAGCCTGGATGTTGGTGCAAGGTCGCCTTACATTTAACGCTAAAAATTATCTTGTCGCACTAAATTATCGCATTTAAAACTACGATTAAAAAAAAACAATTCTAAAACAAAACTAATTTATATGCAGTCCTATAATAGATTCGTGAAAAATTTGAAATAGGAATAACTCTATTAATATTCAAACTATCTCTCTCAAACTAGCTTCATTATAGTTGTCAAACTGTTCAAAATAAACTGGTGGTAATTTCCACTGTCAACACTTGAACCGATTCTATTATTTTAGAAGTTGGTAGACGAGGAGTAAGTGTTCATTATCTCGTATAATAGCATTTTTTTCCGTTTTTTAACTGATGAATAAAGCCACCAAAATTTTGTCTTCTCAAAAGAAACCAACATCATTTTAAGTCAGATTGAGTGATAACTTTATTTAAATTAATTTATTGAGGAAGTTATTCATGAATAAATATTTGAGTTTAGCTACTGTAAGACTGCATTAGAATTTTTTTTAAATTAGACTTTCAAGCGACATGGCACTAGAAGATGCCCAAGAATAATTTACTAAGGTGAGAGCTGATGTCAGATCTCGTACTACCTTCAAATTTACCAAGTAGCGCCAAACTAGAATTTTTTATTGATCTACTAATTTTCATCTAAATTATTATATTTTCATCTGAATTATTAAGATGATAAATTTAAAGTGAATCATAAGCATCAACTACCCTTCAATATATGACTAAAATCTGAAGGTTAAATTCGTGAACCAATTAAATTTCTGTCGCACCTGATTCTTAAAATTGGATTAAATTAAAATGGCTAAATTACTATCAAAAAGCAACTGTTTGGTACAGTTGGATTCATCTGGAGGGTTGACCGAGTTGGTTAAGGTGACAGACTTAAGATCTGTTGGATTGTTATCCGCGCGAGTTCGAATCTCGCATCCTTCATTATTTTTTTCGATTTATACCCACAGAACGATATAAACTACATCATTTTTTTGCAATTTATGACAACAACTAACCGTCTATACTTGACTATTTGTAAAATTGACTAAATAGAGGCATTGAACAGTGAGTTAATTGGAAGTTTTCCAACATTTCATTTTTTTGGACGATTTTCGTTAATTGTACGGAAAAATGAACATATTTATTGTCATTAATTCGCAACTTTCAAAATCATATGAACTAAAAAAAACAATTTATTTAACATCTGTAGACCAATTGTTTAATAAATATACGGCATAAAAGATTAATCAATGTTCGAGAATATTATAGAAACGAGAAATTTCAAAGCCAACTAAATCTTAAATTTAAATTATTTTGGGTATTCGAGAAGCGTGGGGTTAAACAAATTTAAAACCATTAGTTTGTTTCAATTGAACCCGAACAATACCACGATTAATACCACGAATAGAATATCAATCATTAAACTAGCAATTGAGCTAACATAAAATTACTAAGCAAATACTGTAGTATATTTTTTGTGTGTATTACTCCAAAATAGGCAACCCCTTAAATTTGCTACCAAAAAGTATAAATAGCAAACTTAAATCATTCATGTTGAAATGTTAATATATAAACAACTAAATATTCGCTAATTGGATTTTCTTTTTATCAATTACTTTTTATTAACAAAGTTTAACAAAGTCATTAATATTTAGTATTACTATTTAGTATTAGTATGTCTACTGGGAAATATCTTTTAGGTACAGCTGCTATTGTTGGTGGTGTTTATTATTATGATCAATTTGTACAACCAATTTTACCAAGAAAACAACATGAACAATTAAATAAAACTACAAATCGTATTGATAAAGATTCAAATAGAATTAATGATAAATTAAGTGATAAAATCGAACAAGGTAAAAATTTATTGCAAGAAAAAAAAGAAGCATTAAAAGATACAAAATTATATAAAAATTTTACAAATGATGATAAAAAAGTCGATGAATTAAAATATTTTGCAAGAGAAAATACTACACCAGATGATGATAAATCAGTACTTAAAAAATCTGTTCAAAAATATATTGATTTTATTAATTGTTTAGGTGAAGGAAAATATGAAACTGAAAGAACTCCATATTCATCAATGGGAGAACTCGAGGAAGTTAAAGAAAAACCTATTTTTGGTGGTTTATTTAATAAAAAAGATGAAGTTAAAGATAAAGCAGAAGCTAAAAAAAATGAATGGTCAAATTGGGGCTCTAAAGAATTAGATCAAGCTCAATCTGATGCAGAAGCTAAAAAAAATGAATGGTCATCATGGGCTAATAAAAAATTAGATCAAGCTCAATCTGATGCAGAAGCCAAAAAAAATGAATGGTCAAATTGGGGTTCTAAAAAAGCTGATGAATTAAAAGATGACGCAGAAACTAAAAAGAATCAATTATCTAACTGGACTTCAGAAAAAACTGATCAAACAGAAGCTAAAAAGAACGAATTAACTTCATGGGGTTCAAAAAAACTTGATGAAGCTTCAAAAGATTTAGATTCAAAAGAAAAAGAATGGTCTAATTGGGGTTCTGCAAAAGCTACAGAAGCCCAAAGAGAAGCTGAAAAACAAAAGAAATCATGGTTTAATTGGGGTTCAAAAAAAGCCGATGAAGCAGAACAACAAAAGAATGATATTGTTGATTGGTCACAAGCAAAAGTTGATGAAGCTTCAAATAATTTAAATAAACAATTTAATTCAACAAAATCGGATGTTGAAAATCAATGGAATCAAGCAAAAGATTCAATTTCAGATAGATATTTAATAGAAAAAGATAGAGCTATTAAATCTTATGAAGAAGCAAAATCAAAATTTGAAGAATTAAGTAATTCATTAAGAAATGATCCACATAAAGAAGAAAAATTACAAAGAGCAAAACGTGATGCAAGTTCATCTTTAGAAAATTTGAGATTATATGGTGATGATGTTTATAATGAATTTAAAAGTAAAGTAAATGATTTGTTTAAATAAGGATGCAACAACAAACAAGTCAGAATGTAATGCAATAAACGAACACTTATTTAAGTAGTTTCCAACTGAATACATATATATTTCGGAATTATCACTTCTTTAATTAAGCTACCAATTATATTTTTCTATTTCTCATGATTAAACGAGTACCCAAATTTTATGGAAATGTTAAAATTAATAATAGGTTACCAACGTATGAACTACTAAGTAAGTTAAATATTGTATCTCATCCCTCATCTGGTTTTGTAAATTGGTCATCAATTGGTTTACTAATAGAGCATAAAATTTCAAATTTAATTAGAAAACATTTGAATAGTATCCATGGGGAAGAGGTCAAATTATCATTAATTTCAAACAAGGAACTCTGGGAAAGGACAGGACGATGGGAAAACACTGAAATTTTTAAACTTGATAATGATAAATTATTAGTACCTACTTCCGAAGAACAAATTACTGATCATGTTGATAAAAATTTAAAATCTTATAAAGAATTGCCTATTTTATTATATCAAATAAATACAAAATTCAGAAATGAAAAAAGACCAAGAGGTGGATTATTACGAGGTAAAGAATTTTTAATGAATGATGGTTATTCATTTGATATTGATGAAAAAAATGCAATGAAAAGTTATAATTCAATAGTTGAAGCATATCATAAAATTTTTACAGATTTACGAGTGCCTTATATAAAAGCAAATGCTGATCTGGGTGATATAGGTGGTGATTTAAGTCATGAATGGCATTATATTGATAAAACAGGTGAAGATTTAGTATTTACTTGTGATTCATGTGGAAATATTTCAAATATTGAAAAAACATTATCTATAGGAGAAAGTCAATATGATGTAGATGTTAAGTATTTTACTACAAATGATAGAAATACTTTAATCTGTGCTTATTACCCAAAAGGAAGAATATTAGAACCAAAATTCATAAAATCAGAATTGGAATTACCAGAAGATTTAATTGAAACCACTGATTTAACAGAGTTTAGTGATATAAGTAAAAGAGTAATTAGAATTATGGACTCAAGGCTAACTTCAAGGTCAAATTTTCCTGATTTCCCAATTGATTTTGTAAATCGTTCATTAATTACTACATTAACTGATATTCCAATAGTTCTTGCACAAGAAGGTGAGACATGTCATGAATGTGAAGAAGGGAAACTTAACTCATCACCTGCAATTGAAGTAGGACATACATTTTATTTAGGTGATAAATATTCAAAACCAATGAATTGTAAAATCGATATACCAGAAGGAAATAAAACAAAGTCAGTTAATTTAATGATGGGTTGTTATGGTATTGGAATAAGTAGAATAATAGCAGCAATAGCAGAGATAAATAGAGATGAACAAGGTTTAAGATGGCCAAGTATAATTTCTCCATGGAATATAACTATAGTTTCAAAAGATCATTATGATTTTATAAAAACATTAGATTTTGATTATAGATTAGATGATAGAGATGAAAATTTTAGTAAAAAGATTAATTTATCAAATTCATTAGGTATTCCATTAATTGTAATATTAGGTAGATCATTTCCAATTTGTGAAATTGAAATTAGAGGTAAATTATATTCACAAAGTTGGAAAGAACAATACCCTAAACTAAAAGATAAATATCAATGGACTGTAAATAACGGTAAACATTTTGTACATAAAGATGGATTAACTTCAATCGTAAATATTTTATTAAATGATATGTAGATGGATTAATTGTAATAATATATTATTAAATGATATGTAATTAGCCTACGTAAATTTACCAGTAATTTTTGCAAATACATGTAAGATAATAACTGAGAATATAAAACCAACAGCTAAAAATAAAACAACTAAAGGATCAACTCTTAAACCTTGAGCTTCATCAGTAAATAATTTCATCATAGTTGAAGAAGAACCACCAGCACCAGCAGATCTAGTAGACAAAGGAGTCGCATTTTGAGATTGTTGTTTCTTATCAGCAGTAGATTTTCTTTTAACTGCATTTCTTAAACCACCAGGTGCTTGAGAAGAAGATGAAGTTGACATTCTATAATTATGAAACACGTATATAACTAATAATAATTTTTCACTTGTGAAGTGTTGATAATGAATTTGGGTCGTGTGGTGCACAAGTATACCGAAAAAAAAAAATCAACCAAAAAGAAAAACTGAATTTTTTTTAACAAGCTTCTATTTACAATTGGACGACAATTATAGTTATATTAATGAATTCATAGAGACAAGATTATTAGTATGGACTTTAGAAATTTATCAATAACACCTAATCAGATGGATATGCAACGTCGTCCTTCTTTATCAAGTTTATCTTCAACATCTGGTTATTCTTCTTCAACTTATAATAATAATAATAATCAAAATCAAAATCAAAATCAACAACAACAAAACAGTAATAGTTCTAATAGTAATACTAATGCAAACAATACTCCAAGATTATCTAATCAAAGATTAAATAATAGAACTAACTGGTTAAATGCTGCTTCAAATGTTGGCCCTTGGGTTGAACAACAACAACAACGGGTTGAACAACAACAACAACAAACTTTAGAAACAACCTCTCGAACTACAACAAAACCTGAAGAAATTGATGATAATAATGCTGCTAATGACGTAACTACAAATAATAATGATAATGATGATGACGAATTAATTCCCACTGCAATTGTTATAAAAAATATTCCATTTGCAATTAAAAAAGAACAATTATTAGATGTTATGACAAAATTAAATTTACCTTTACCTTATGCTTTTAATTATCATTTTGATAATGGTGTTTTCCGTGGTTTAGCATTTGCTAATTTTACTTCAACTGATGAAACTGCTTTAGTTGTTAATCAATTAAATGGTAGAGAAATTGGCGGACGAAAATTAAGAGTTGAATATAAAAAAATGTTACCATTACAAGAAAGAGAAAGAATTGAACGTGAAAAGAGAGAAAAACGAGGCCAATTAGAAGAACAACATAGATCGACTTCAAATGCAAGCTTAGCAAGTTTAATATCTGCTGCTTCTACCACTGCTGCTACCAAAAATTTATCAGTTGCTGGTGGTGTTACACCATCTCATACAACTGAACGATTATTTTTAAATTTACCTTTTAATAATTCATCATTTAATCAACCTCCAATTGAATTAAATTTTAATGATCCTGAAATCTTAGAATTATATACTCAATTAATTCTTTATAGAGATGATATTAGTAAATCAATTTTTGAAATTGCAGTTTCACCAAATTTAAATTTATATCAAAGAAAAGCAATTACTTTATTATGTCAATATTTGAATTTAAGTGAATTATTTGATAATGGTACAAATTTAATTATAATTAGAAGAAAAATTACTCAACCACAACAACAACCATTAAATCAATCATTAAATCAACCTCAAATACCTCCATTATTAAGATCTCAATCACAACCTCAATTACAAGAACAAGTAATAGCACCACCAAATCAAATACCACCAGTAAATACATTACAAATGAATCCAGTTCATACACCAAATCAATCAAATTTTCCAATTTATAATCATCATTCTCATGCTACTCATCCTCATCATCAATTTCAACAAGTTCAACAACCAAAATCTAATGCTGCTGCATTATTAAGATCAAATAGTAATAGATCATATGTTGATGTTAGAGGAACAGTACCAAATCAACAACAACAACCTACAAATCAAAATCCACCATCTTCTTCACCACATCCACAACCACAATTTTTTAATAATAATAACTCAACTCCACAAACTCCTTTAACTAATTCAAATAATGAAATTAATTCAAGATTTCAACCTTTTAGTAGTGGAATCTGGGGTCCAAAGTAAATTATTTTAAATAGAGACGATTAATAGATATGAATGTATTATTTTATTTAGTTATTACTATATTCGTGTTCTACTTTTGCAATTCTAGTTTCAAAATGTGAATAAAATTCAGATTTACCTCTTTCTTGAGCAATTTGATGTTCACAATTTTTTTTCCAATTTGATATACTAATTCTATCTTTCCAAAAACTTATAGTTATTCCAAATCCAGACGCGTCTCTGGCACTTTCATGACCTAAATAACCGGGTTGTTGTTTTGCAAGTTCAACCATTCGATCAGCGACAATTTCATAATCTGAACTAATATTAGAATTGGTGGTTGAAGTGAACGAGACCATATAATATGGTGGCGAGGGAGTTTTTGCAAACATAAGTTATTTGTAATCGTTTAATGACTATTGCTCGCTACCATTAAATAAATATAAAGTGATGAGTCGAAAAATACTAAAAAATAATATACTATTATAATCATATCAGTTGGAGATCACATTCCTATTGATCGAATTTCAACATTAGTCACTGAAGTGAATGATTCCATATAACAAGGTAATAATTTATTATTCTTCAATCAATTGGGCTTCAAAATTCAATCACAATACACACAGCCCTTTGTCCATATACGAAATAAAATTGAACCACTCAAAATTTTTAATTGACGCGCGATCTGAGATTTGCAACCTTACTTAATTTTGCGCTTTGTAGATCAAAATACTCCAATTAAATAAACTTTCCTTGTTTGAGTATTAGTATTACTCACTAAAGTGAAGGATGCCATATAATAAAGGAATTTTTCAAGTTTTGAAGAAGTAACAGCTTGCAAATAATTATAGATTCAATATGTGCTTAAGTTGCACTTGTTCACTCTTTAATAGCTATTATTTAATTTGCTTCTATACTGACAAGCTGAACTCTTGAAACAATCTAGGACAGAGCAGTAGCTTTTAAAAGAAAACTATAAGATTTTAAATAGATAGATTAACAAAATGTCAATTTCGTCTAAATTATTTTGTATATTATCAACTAACTTGTTGTTGCCTAAACTCTTACCTGAATCCATCATTAACACTTCGATTCTAAGGTAAATGGTTTATATAATCATCAATCATGACTAAACATTTTATTCTTCAATTGAGTAGATTGGGGTTAAATTAACCAACAAGTTTGTCTTTTGCTAAATAAACTCTCTTGCTGGTCTTCCAGGTCTTGCAATTACTGTATTACTTCAAAATCTGGTTTACTTCTTAAACTTCTTCTTTCATATCTTCTTTCACCAGTAAATTTTAAATCTTCTTCTTCTTGTAATCTTTCTCTTTCTTGTTCTTCTTCAATTTTTCTTTTTGCTTCTCTTGCTTCTATTCTACTTGATTTTTTCCTGGTGGCTAATAAACTTTCAATCTGAGATTCTTTATTTTTGGATATGAGAAATTTTCTTTTCTTTATCTCATTCTCAATTATAAAATCGACATTTCTGTTTAGTTCATTATACAATGGTCTATTACTTTTCTTAATAGACAACATAAATTCTTCACATTCATAAATATTCTTGAATATTAATTCAAATTTCACCTCTTTAATTTCAAATTTATAATCAGGTAAATCAGTAGTCAATTTTCGTTTCTTTGGTATTTCCATAGAATTAAAAGTGACAGATCTCTTATATAGTCTATTATCAAATAATAAGAAATATTCAACTCCGTCTGAACTATTTAATGGATCTAATCTTAAATCTTCGACTAATCCAATCGATTCTGCCCAATTTCTAAACTTTGAATATTTGGAAATAGTATGTAATAATTTGTACAACACGTCTACTTTTTCAATAATTGATAATGAATCAAAAGTCTCTATTTCTGCCCCTCCGTCTTTTAGTGAATTATAAGCATCTTCTATTTTTTCCGATTTGAAATGTTTAGGAAGGATAGTTTTTAATTTATTTATAATATCTGAAGTTGGATAATATCCAATCAACTCCAACTCAAATAAATCAATATCGAATAAATTTTGAATTCTTAAATATGATCTAAAATTGAATAACCAATTACATACCCATATATAATTATAAGATAATCTTAGTGAATCTAGATCATTATTCAATTGATTTAATAATATTTTTGGATGTAATTTAGCCAATTGAGTAGTTAATTCTAATAAACCAATTGATAATGTATGTTGATCTGTTGACATATTAAATTTGATGAAACAGAAAAAAAAAAAAAAAAAAAAAAAATCTGAAACAAATAATTGAAATTATTGACTCATGGTAAGTATTCACTGATTATTGATAAGTTATGGTACTAACTGTTTAGATCCAACCATCCTTAGATACTTTACATAAATTGGTAACTGAAAATACTGATTCCAATGTTTTTCCAATTTATAAATACGTCCCTAATAATGATATAACTATTCATCAAGCATATTTAAAATTATCAAAATTAAATAATCCAAATAGATCACCTAATTTTTTATTTGAAAGTTCAATTAAAGGTGATTCAGTTGATAGATATTCATTCATTGGTATAAATCCATCCAAAATTATTAAAACTGGTGATAATGACTCTTTCCCCGAAAAATACCGTAACGTTGATCCAATAAGTATATTAGAATCGGAATTATCACAATTTAAACAAGCTAGTTTATCCAATTTACCTAGATTTAGTGGTGGTGCAACTGGTTACATATCCTATGATTGTATAAAATATTTTGAACCAAAGACAAAAAAGGATTTGAAAGATGTTTTAAAATTGCCGGAGGCTGTATTTATGTTTTGTGATTTAGTTGTTGCTTTTGATCATGTATATCAAAGATTTCAAATAATTTATAATATAAATAAGGACAACTTGGAAGGGAATTATAAATTTGGAGTTGATAAAATTAATGAAGTTGAAAAGCTGTTACTTGAGCCAACTACTGATGATATTTTACCACGCCAAGGACCAATTAAATTAAATCAATCATTTACCTCAAACATTGGACAAGAAGGATATGAATCTCATGTAACAACTTTAAAAAATCATATTTTAAAAGGTGATATCATCCAAGCTGTTCCTTCTCAAAGAGTAGCTAGACCTACCTCACTTCATCCGTTCAACATCTACAAACATTTAAGAACAGTTAATCCAAGTCCTTATTTATTTTATATTGATTTAATTGAATTTCAAATAATTGGAGCATCACCAGAATTATTGGTATCTGCAACTAATGAAAATAAAGTAATTACTCATCCAATTGCAGGTACTATGCCAAGAGGTAAAACAAATGAAGAAGATGAACAAAATGCTGATATCTTACGTCAATCATTAAAAGATAGAGCGGAACATATAATGTTGGTTGATCTTGCAAGAAATGATATAAATAGAATTTGTCAACCTAAAACCACCAATGTTGATAAACTATTAACAATTCAAAGATTTTCACACGTTATGCATTTAGTTTCTGAAGTTAGTGGAATTTTAAGAGATGATAAAAATAGATTTGATGCATTTAGATCAATTTTCCCTGCTGGTACAGTTTCAGGTGCACCTAAAGTTAAAGCAATGGAATTAATTGGAGAACTAGAAAAAGAGAAAAGAGGCATATATGCTGGTGCAGTTGGTCATTGGGGTTATGATGGTAAAACAATGGATACTTGTATTGCTTTACGTACAATGGTATACAAAGATGGTATTGCATATTTACAAGCTGGTGGAGGTATTGTGTTTGATTCAGATGAATATGAAGAATATATTGAAACAATGAATAAAATGAAAGCTAATAATAATACGATTATCGAAGCTGAATCAATTTGGAGTAAGAAAGTTGGTAGCGTTCAACTGTATTAGACTATACTGTATATAAATAAATCTCGTCCATAAAAATTATAACTGTGAAACCAAAAATAAAATAAATTCTCGTAATCTTTACATCCAATTGTCGATGATCATCAATTCAATATGAGTTCTAAAATTGAGACTATAGATCAAAAAGAGTCTGATAATAATAATAATATCAATACTCAGGCATCAAATACATCAAATACCACAGCCACAACCACAACTAAACCCTCAAGAACTCCAACTTCATGGGATGCAGAAGATGATATTCTACTAATGCATTTAAAAGATAATCAAAAATTAGGTTGGAAAGAAATAGCATCAAATTTCAATAATAGAACTCCAAATGCTTGTCAATTTAGATGGAGAAGATTAAAATCTGGTAATTTAAAAAATCCACCAAAATCAGCTGCTGCGTTGGGTTCACAATTCAAACAAAATCCAAATATGATATCAAGTGTGAAAAAGAAGAAACAACAACAACTTCCATCAAATCAGCAATCCCCACCAAATAATCAACAACAACCACCACCTTCTGCATCACCTCCAAAAGTTTCTGAATTTAATTATAATCCAATGTCAAATGTTGGTACTTTTCAAGGTTTTGATAACAATATATCTACTGCATTAGCTGGATTAAATGCATTATCAAATTCCCCGTCGTATATTTCATCACCACAACCAACGACTCCTAGAATAATCAACAACAACGATAATAATAATGAGTCAAATAATTCACCAGATTCTCCAAAATCAGATCATTCATATTCTTCTACTTCAGCTTCATCATTACAACCAATCATACCAGGAACTAGCTCTGGTGGTTATTATGCTGAAGTATCTGTGGATCCAACTATGAATTTGCCTCATAATAGATCACATCCAGAAACCCCATCCGCATTGACACCAAGAAATTCAACTACAACAACAACTACAAATACGTCACATCATCCACATCATCCACATCATCCTTCAGTTACTGCAGCAGCAGCTGCACTACGTAATAATTCAATTATACAAATTCATGATGATCGAAATTCAATAAGTTCATTAGCTAGAGCTTCGGTTAGTTCATTACCTTCAAAATCCATGAATATACCGCATCATCAAACTACAACAAATGCATTGGCTCATTTACCGGTATTATTCGGAGGTGCAGGAAGTATATCTGGTCCATCTCGTAATTCATCAATTTCTGGACCAAGTGTTCAACAAACAACGGTATCAAGTTTGAGAAATTCAAGTGTTGTAAGTAATTCAGGCGGATATTATTCAAGACTGGGGTCAGTTGTCATTCCACATAATTCTGATGAAATTCCATTAAAGATAGATAAGGAGAGGATCGACGCAAATAATAAGAAACTTAATAAAATACGAAGAAATTTACCATCATCATCAAACACCACTAAGAAGACAAGTAAAGATCCTCCAAGGTTAGATATTCCATGGACGATGGAAGAAGATGAATTATTAATAAATAGAAGAAATAGGGAACTTTCTTTTGCTGAATTATCAATACTATTACCAACAAGAACAGAAGGTGAAATATGGAAAAGAATAGATTATCTTGAAAAATTAAAAAATGGAAATCATAGATCAACTACCAAAGCTAAAAGAAATCGACAATCTTCAATTGGTTTAGATGTTGATGATTTGTACGATGATGAAGATGAAGAAGATGACGAGGAAGATGTTATTGGTAAATTTAGTGATGACGATAATGATAATAATGATGTGTTGATTGATGTGGATGCTGATTCAAACTTTACTCATAATAAAAGAAAGAAAAGGAGAGCAAGCTCAGCTATTAATCCATTATCAATGAAAAGATCAATAAGAAAATAGGTTGGTAAGGATGCTGATACATTGTAAGGATACCACAGAAACACACTATACATCTATGAAGTAAATATGTTGTATTAATAATATAATTTTAATTCTCTGTTGACTTAAAATATGCCATGTATATTGATCTATCCTTAATATAATTTCAATTCACCAGTAACTTCATCTAATACCTTTTTCGGAGCAGGACCTAAACCTAAAACAGTAGCCAGACCAGCTGCAATCTGAGTCCTACCAGCATCATGAACAATATAACAATTAATACCCAAACTAATAGCTTTAGCAAATAATATATCCATTTCCTCTTCATTCGGGACTTGTAATGTAATTTTAGCTTGTCCGTTAAGATACTCCCAACGTTTAACCATGTTAGGATTATAAGAATCTAGGTCCGGGTTGGTTATCTTTTTATATAAAGCTAAAGTTGCATGAGAACATTGAGCAGCAACCTTACCTTTTGACATCTTTAAATCTGATCTGATAACTAATGTCATTTTAATATCTCCAGGTACATCATTAAGTGCCAATGAATTGACGTCTAAACCATCGCCTTCTTCCTCTTCATCTTCTATATCCACATTATTAAAGTAATTTCTTGTGTAGTATCCAGTAATGAATGAAATTAAACCAATTGATAAATATGATACAATTCGGTTCATCGCGTGGAATCAAAAAAAAAAAAATTCGCCTTACGCTAAAACCTTGGTCTTCTTCTTTTTGCCCGATTTCTTCTTTTCAATCTTTGATGAATAATCCCTCCAATTTTTAACTCTTAAATCTCTTTCATCTTCCCATTTATTTTCAAATTGTTTTTGTAATTGTCTTTCAGCTTTAATTTTCTCTTGTAATTGATTTTTTTCAATTTCTTTCTGTTGGTTGATATATTGTTCGAGTTGTTCTTGATCTAGCTCATCTTCGAGTATACTCCTCACTTTACTCTTAATCTTCTTGGGATCTGAGTTATCTTTCATGACAGTTTGGTAAATAGTTATCAATTTCTGTTTTTCTTTATAGTCATTACTTTCAGTTTCTTGGTTTGACAATATACTTTCCGCTTTTTTGAGTAGATTGAATGCAGTTGGAGCATTTGGATTATCTGTCTTATCTGGATGTATCAATAATGATTTCTTTCGATATATCTTCTTTACAATATTTAATAAATCAGAATTAGCTATATTCCCAGGTTCAATTTCCAATATTTCAAAATAATCATATTTAAAACATGTTAATATTCTATCTATTTCTTTATTTCTATTGATTTGATTTTCTTCAATCAGTAATATTCTATCAATATGTGAAACAATCATTGCTCGTATATTTTTTTCGTTTGAATTTATGTTTAAGAAATCAATGTCTAGATGGAAACCAAGATATTATGATATAGGAGTAAACTTCTCAGATTCCATGTTTCAAGGATACTATCATGGTAGCTCGACTAGAAAACATCCATGTGATATACCTGCCATAATTGAAAGAGCTCATTTATTTAATGTTGATAAGATGTTAATTACAGCATCGACAATACAAGAATCTAAAGATCATTTTGATTTAGTTGCTCAATGGCCAGACCGTTTTAAAAGCACAGCTGGTGTTCATCCGTGCTCTGTATCTTCTGAATTCTACAAGGATGGGAAACTAGATAATGTTGATGAGAAATTGAATACATTATTGGAGATAATCGAAGATGGGATAGCTAAGGATTATATTAGAGCTTTTGGTGAGATTGGATTAGATTATGATAGATTGCATTATTCAAGTAAAGAGCAACAGGTAGAAATGTTTAAGAAGCAACTAGATTTGTATGGGAAATTGCTGAAAAAATTACCATTATTTCTTCATATGAGATCATGTTGTGATGATTTTATAAATATACTTAACCCTTATATCGAATCCGGTATAATAGAGAGAGGTAATGGTGTGGTTCATTCTTTCACTGGAACAGAAACAGATTTGGAGAATTTGTTAAAATTGGGATTTTTCATAAGTATAAATGGATGTTCATTAAAAACGGAAGAAAACTGTGCCGTTGCTGCAAAAATACCCATTGATAAATTACTAATTGAAACTGATTCCCCTTGGTGTGAAGTCAGGAAAAGTCATGCAAGTTATAAATATACAACATCATATCCAAGTCAATTTTACCCTATAATAGAGTCAAATGCATTATTAAATCATAAACAGTTCAAATTAGGTGATACTTTACCTTTTCCAATGATAAAAAATGATCATTACAATAAATACCAAGAGTTTATAAAGAATACAGAAGGTGACTATGATAAATCAATAGGTTTTTTATCCCCACCTATGATTAAATCTCGAAATGAACCTGTTAACGTTGGTATGATTGCTGAGATTTTATGCAGAATACATAACATAACCGAACCAAAAGACGTAGAAAATTTTATAGATACAATTTACAATAATTCATGTAAATTGTTTTAAATTATACATTATTAGTCATTCTATTTTAATTTGAAAGTACCTTTTGGTCTACCCCTACCTCTTGGCTTATTATCATTAGCTAATACATTAATAGTTTTCCTTATTAATGGAGATGTTCTTTTCCTCCATCCAACAAAATCGTCCTCTTCTTCTTCACCCTCGATAACATCCTCGTCCACTACATTATTTACTTCTTCAGGTATAAATTCAGGTTCATCGTTTTCATTATCTATAAATTCTTCATCTTCAATAATAATTCTTCGTTTCGGTCTTTTAGATATTGGTTTTTTGGATGTTGGTTTTTTAGATATTGGTTTTCTCTGTATTCGTTTCTTTGATGGTTGAGTTTGACCAGGATAACATACAATATACTCATTAATACTCTCATGAGTCTCATTAGTCTCATTATTATTCATCTCATTAAACATCTCAATTTCTTTAAAACTTTCTTCTTCAAAAGTATATGGATTATTTATATCATCCTTAAGGAAATTTGCAATTAATGATATACTATTATGTGGAATTACATTTGATTTGACCTGAGCCGGTGCTGAATTAATACCACCACTTGGTCCAAATAACATTGGTTTCCACAATAATTTTGAATAATCAAGTTTAACATAATTTTTAGCCTCCCATTTATCAATTTCAGCATTTATTTTTTTTAAATTGATTGCAAGTGCATACTTATTCGTTATTGGATTCTTTACAAGCCCATTCAATTGTTCTAAACCAACTATAACATCACTTGCAATCATTCCAGTCAATTTACATAATGTTTCTATCGATATGTTAAAGTTTGATCCATATTTATCGACTAATAATTTCAATTTATAAGCAGTTGTAATCCTCCAATAATTTTTATAACTTAATAAACCTAAATCACTTAATGGTTTCTCTGGAGTACCAAATTTAAATTCATTTCGACTTAATAGATAACTAAAATCAATTAATAGATTCCCGTAACCCTTTCTTTGATAAATTGGTAAAGTTAAGATACAAGAAACGTTATAATCTGAATTATTCAACTTTTCTTTTGAAAAATATCCAACAAAATGATAATTATTTGAATTGGTTGAATCTATCTCAGTCAATACATAAAATATAAATGGTTCAACATCATAATATAAAGTCTTGGAATTTAAGAATAACTTGGCTAATAAGCATAAATTCTGACAGTAGTTGATATTCTTCCTCCCATCAACTTCCCAAATGGATATATTATTAGTCTTATCTCGATAAATTTCAATTCCTGGTGGGTGATTATTTGAAAAATTGCAATTTTTTAACTGGTGTCGTTTATAAGATATGGGACTATTCATGTACTTTAAACAATATTCACAAATGTATAATGTTTCACATTGTGAATATTCTTCTGGATATGGTGCAATATACCAAGTATTAATTTCAAAATTTCGAAAAACTATCCTACTAATTTTTGCCTTATTTAGATTTGATATCGGTATTGGTGTTGATTCTTGATCTATTGATGATTCTTCATTTATGGTAGTAGTAGTTTGATCTCTTAATTTTATTCCTTCTTGGTGTAAAATTTCAAATTTCCTTCGATCTTCTTTTGTTGGATCAGTGTCATTTATTATACAATCTGGATATTTCAATATTCCTTTATATGGTAACTCTCGTTCCTCAATTGATTTCTGTTTATTATGCTGTAGTAGTAAGTTTGAATTATATTTAATGGTGATAACAAATTGAGTATCAGAATTTGAGTTGATTGAAATATTGGGCGAGGAGATCAAATTGGTGCTTGGTGTTATTTCTCTAATTGATATATCATTGTTATTATCTCTTGTCTTTTTAACTAACTTTCGTATGTTATAATTATTGATTGGTTTTATTCTAATACTTCGTTTATTTAAATCTGCTGGTTCGATATTTGAGTATATGTGATTATTTGTAATCTTTAATTGATTAAGAAGATTCAGTCCCATAACTTGAACTATCTGACTGATCTAGTGTAAAATGATTAATAGATCAATTATTGATTAAATGTATATGTTTATTGATTCACCTTCCGCACAAAATTTAATTATTATGTTTCATTGAAAATAAAAAAAAAAAAAAAAAAAAAAAATAAAAAAAAAAATATCAACAGATTATGTAAGCCTTTTGATTAATTATACGCTTGATATACTTAAGAAGTACGATGAACGAAAGGGTCTATAAATTTAAAATAAAGTAGATAAAGCAAACTGAGTGTATATATCACTGTAGATTAAAATTTGGCGCTTGTTGTGGTTTTATTTAGCTGATTTTGAGTTGCAAAACTTTTTTTGCAGCCATTTTTTAGCTGATAACAAGTGCTCAAATTGCATGGATTGCAACAGATCGAACTTGCACCAATGGCTCTGAGTCAATAGAAGATGACTACTGGTTCGGTAGCGAAATTTTCACGACTACTGCAGCTTTAATACTCGCGTGATTGCATAAATGATACAAAACTCACTGATTGAGATGAGACCAAACAAATAAGCAGACTACATTTAAGCTGATCCAACTGACATGATACACAATTATGACTATTAATGATACTAAATCAGATTAGGTGTCCTTCCTTTTTTTTCTGTTGTTTCTAATGTTTACTTTTTGATAAAAAAAATACTCGATATGCATTAAAAATTTTTAAAACTTAGAACTTTTGATTAGATAAGACAAGATTATTTTTCATTGCATTCGATCAGTTGCTATTTTTAGATTTAAACTTTTCTATACATTCGCCAAGCTTTGAATTTACGAAAAATTACGAATGAACAGATAAAAATTATACGAGTAATTTTCGCTATACAATTTATGCCATGGCTAAAAAACAAATAGAAAAAGCATACCAGGGTATAATTTATCACAACTTAAATAGTAATGAAACAGCTCAACAATCACAAAAGCAAATGCACAATGATTATTATTATTATTATTATATGAATTTCCAATTTTCCACAATTTAATTTCGTATTTAACTATGCTTTTTCAAATTATTTGTTTAATTGCCATAGTTGTTGCTTCACCAGTTCATAACCAGAAACTGTCAAAAGATGATTATTTAGTCATTGATTTGCCTCATGGCATAAAAAAACAGATATGGTATATATTGATCAACCTGGTGGTGTTGGATTAACTACTTTAGATACATACTAACCATTTGATGAAACTCAAATTGTTTATTCATAATTAAGATTTTTAGAATTGTTTTTTGAGTTATTCCTTGCAGAAATTGACAATGATATTTATTTATTTAGCTGGCGAAAAATATAGCGGTCAATATATTTCTAAAATTGCAAATGCTATAGTTCGTAGAAATGAAAAAAACAAAAGAGAAACCTTATAATTAAAAACGTTTATTGATCGGTAATGATTATGTTACACCAGGCCAACAAGATTTACAAATATTTGCATACTTCATCGAAAAGAATTTAATCAGTGAATCAAATACGTATTTAGATGATTTAAATGATGCTAAAAAGTATTGTGATGAAATAATTGCAAGAATAGAAACGGGTGGTGCTCCTATTGAAGATTATTATGATGGTAATTGTACATACATGTTAGAAAAGTTATCACTTGCAACTGAAAATAAATCAGCTCCAGAGAATCAATGTTATAACACGTATGATTATAAATTGAAAGATAGTTATCCTGATTGTGGAAGTGATTGGCCTCAAAATTACTTACCTCAAACTACTAAATATTTAAACTCTCAAAAAGGTCAAATCAGATTAAATATAAGAAGGCAAAGAAATGGCAAGAATGTGTAAATATTAGAGAATTTGTTGAAGATTCAAGACATTCAGTTGATTTATTACCTTATATTTTAAGTAAAATACGAATTGTATTTTATAATGGTGAATTAGATATCATTTGTAATACAAAAGGTGTATTATCATATTTAAAGAAATTGGAATGGAATGGTAAAACTGGATTCACAAATGATAATGAAACTACTTGGTATTATGGAAAAGAAAATGCTGGTTATGTTTTAAAAGATCGTAATTTAACATTCGTTAACGTTTGGAATGTTTCTCATATGGTTACATTTAATGTCTGAAAGTTCAAGATCATTATTTGATTTCTTTGATAAAGCTGAAGTTAAATCAAAAGATGGAGTTAAAACAAATCAAACTTATCCAATTTAAATAATTTGTATACATTAAAAAAGTAATAACATAAATTTAAAAATCAAACCATCTAGATAATCATATAGAATCATAATATTTACATATCAACAATTTTATTTAATCATTTTTATCATCTTTATCATCTTTTATATCTTCAATAAGTTCTTCATCTTCGTTATCTTGAACTTCTTCAACCTTGGCATCTTCATGTTCTTGAATTTTTTGTTCTTCTTCATGTTCATGGCTTGGTTCAGATACTCCAAAATGAGCTAATAAAGATTGAGCACTTGATGTATCTAAATATATTACTCCATTTTCATTAGTTATTGCATTTGAAGCTAATAATTTTTGTAAAGAAATAGCACCTGAATTTAAACCTGGTTCATCATCATCTTCTGTTCCTTCATCTTTTTCTTCACCATCATAACCACCTCTACCAAATATTGAATTACCATTAGCCATACCTAAATTTTTATTATTATTATTATTGTTACCACCTTGAGATTGTTGACCTATTTCATAATATTCACCATACATTTCTTTATATAGTTCATCATAAGGTTTTGAAATTGAACCATATTTATCATCATCATTTTCTTCAATTCTTTTAGTAATTTTATCATACCAATCATCTAAAGTTTCATTAGTTTCATAATCTAATAATGCTATAATTACAATTGACATATTATCACAACCAATACCAGAACCATCAGAAGTTGGTGCACAACATAATTCCATTATTTCTTCAGATATTTGTGTTAATGATTTTCTTTCACTTATGCCTCTTCTAACACATTCAACACATTTTTGTGAAGTTAAACAATCCCATATACCATCACATGCTAATATAACAAATTCATCTTGTTTATAATCAATTTCATGTTGTATTACATCTGGATAACACGTTACAATTTGTTCTTCTGCTGGTAAATCAACATTTTTTTTAAAATCAAAATCTCCAATACCTCTTGATAATGCTAAATTACCATTAACTCTACCCATATCAACATAACCACCAGCAGCACAAATTCTTGCCTTTTCACCTTCATTACTTGGTTTATGATCATATGATAAATTTTTAGCAAATCCATTTATTGACATAATTGTTCTTGAATCTCCTGCATTACCACAAATTAAATTTTTTGGAGTTATTATAATTGATGTGGCTGCACAACCACTTTCGTCATCTTTCATAAAAAAATCTTTTAATATCGCTTGATCACAAGATAAAAATCCTTGTTTCAATGCATTTATATAATCCTTTGATTGAAATTCTTTAGTTTGTTTAATTAATTGATGTAAATGTTCTCCAGTAAAAATTGCAGCTTTTTCACCACCATGACCATCATAAACTCCAAAAAATGCAACATGTTCTACTTCTTCTTGTTTCTCATTTAAGTTTAAAATTGTAGCATGTGAATCTTCCATATTAATTCTCCAACCTTGCATACAAGATAATCCATAAGCTAAATATTTATCTTGACCATCTTCAGAATGTTTTTCAGTAACAGGTTGTGAAAGGATTTGACCCATTATTTATAATCCAATTTTATTTAAACGTCTATTTTATAATTGTATCTAATTGTTTCTTGTTATTTACAATAATGATGATGCCAAAATAATTGTTGATGATTTATTTTGATTTTTTTTTTTTTTGATAAATTTCGAAATGTCGCGGAACAAGAAATACGATGTCAAAAATATGTTCTATGACAATGACAAGGAAGGCTATATAATAAGAATGTTGGAAATTATACATGACAAGTAAACTATTCATAATTAACAATAATAAACCTATAAATTCATTTCATTCAATATTTGACCAGCTAGTGTTTTATAATTCCATGTATTTCCTAATAATTTCTTAAATTGTACACCATGTAATCCAACTAATGGAACTTTAACTATATGAATTTCAAATTTTAATGGATTTTTACTTGATTGATTAGATTTATCAACACTTGCTGATCTTTGATGATGTCTATTTCTTTGTTCAATTCTTGATGATACTAACATATCACTACCACCAACATAACCTAATGAATCAGCAGAATCATCAAATTCAAATTGATCATTTTCTTCATCTTCATCATCATCATCTCCTTCATATGCAGATATAACTTTTGCTGTAGCTGGTGTATTTGGTGGCATCATTACATTTGAACCATTTTTTTTTCTATAAGGTGTTAAGAAATTATTTCCAATTGAAAATTTCCTTCTATGTTGTGAAGAATTTGAGCTTATTGAATTATTAGATTTATGACCTTGTGGAGTTGATGGTGATTGAGGTGATAGACTTTCATATTCATGGAAAATATCCTCTCCTTCATCTTTAACTGATCTTGTATGTATACAAACAAATCCGCCTTTAACTTCTTGAAATTTAACACCCAATCTAGACAATACATGAATTATATTATATCTTATAACAGGTAATGGTTTTGATGAAGTTGTTTGAACACTGAAAAATCCTTTTAAAAATAATGTCTTACAATGTTCAATTGATGGCATACTATTTGGTTTAGCATGATTATATTGATCCATAATTTGATCTTCAGTCAATTGAGGTACTTCTTGATAATCGACATCTTCTAATTTAATATCATCAAAGAAACCATCAACTTCATCTGAATTCTGATCACCCATATTATTAGGAAATGCAGAATTAACTTGTTGACTATTAGATCTTGTTCTACCATATGAATCTTTTCTAACATGACCACCAACAGATTTAGCTCTTGCAGTTGGATGTAGTTTTTTAGTGGGGATTGAATTAGTTACCGGTTTTGGTATTAATTGATTATTAGCATCGATATTAGGTAATGGTGGTAAATATTCAACTGGAATAAAACCTTGAAATTTATTAGATGGAGTTCTTTGATGAGTAACTGGTTGTTGTTGTTGTTGTTGTTGTTGTTGTTGTTGTTGTTGACTAGGAGCTGTCGAAGGAATAGTTGGTTTGGCCTTTTGTTTTTCTTTAGCTGTCACTTTCATTGATACACCTCTTCTAACCATTGGATCTGGTGATAATCTATCTTCTTTCTTTTTAGATAATGTTCTCATAAGATTAAAACCTTGTTTATCTTCTGATTCTTGTTGTTGATCTGGTAAATTAATAATTGCTGTCGTTACTTCTTCAGACGGACGATTAGTTTCATCTTTATCAATTGCTGTATGTGCTTGTGGTGGTATTGATAGTGGTTCAGGTATTGGTGATGATATTTTCTTTGGAGTTGATGGTTTTGATGTAGATGATGAGGAAGTTGTTTTCGTAGGATCTAATGTTCTTTGTGGTGGAGTTGCAGCAGTATTTACAAAAGTTTCTACCAATTTTGGTTGAGGAGTATTCGGTAAAACAGCAACTTGAGTTGCAATTTGTTGCTGTGGTTCTTCCCTTGGTTTTGGTTGAGGTATTTTAACAATTGGAATACTTCTTTTCAAAGCTTCTTCTTTTGCCTTTTTACGTTTCTTCATTTCTTCAACTAAATAATAAATTGAAATTAATGGATGGAAACCACCTGTTGGATCAGGTAAAATATGTGAATTGTTAGCACTTGCATATTCTCTACCCTCACCAACTACCTTGTACCAATTTTCACAGCACATTTGATATTCAACACTTGTTAATAATGTAGTTAATTCTTCAGTTACAGTTTTTGCATTACCTAAATCAAATTGTGCAATTGTTTTTATTATTTCTGGATCCAATGGTAATGTCAATGGTTTTCTTTGTGGTAAATAATTTGAAATTTTATATTCACAACCTTTATTCATCCATGGATGCAGACAAATTTCATATAATGTTGCTCTTTTAGTTGGATCAACAACCAACATTCTTGATAATAATGAAATACATTCTTTACTTAGAAAATTTGGATATTCAACATTACCCTTTTTAATCTTTTCATGTAGTACTGAAACACTTTGATCATCAAATGGAACTTTACCACAAACTAATACATATAAAACAACACCAAATGACCAGACATCAACTTCTGGACCAATATACGGCTTTGCACTTAATAATTCAGGAGCAGCAAAATATAAACTTCCACAATAAGTCTTTAATAAATGAGTTGGATCATATAAATTTGAAAGACCAAAATCTATAATTTTAATATCACCTTTTTCGTTAATCATTATATTTTCAATTTTTAAATCACGATGAACAACATTATTATGATGACAATAATCTAATGCAGATGCAATACCTCTTGCAAATTTTCTTGCATGTCGTTCTTTTAAACTACCATGAGCAACTATATAATCCAACATTTGACCACCTTCAATATATTCAAATAACATATAATAATGATTTGTCATGGGAACCATTTCATATAATCTACATATATAAGGATGAAATAATAATCTGCCTAGAGCACCTTCTCTAATTGTTCTTTTGTCTCTAGCGACTTCTTTTTCAAATTCCTTATGTCTTTGGGTAGCTTCTTGAGTTGTTTGAGGTGGGGCATCATGTTGATGAGCTCTTTGATATAATTTAGCAGCTCTAGGTATAATTTTAACAGCACAAATTTCATGAGTTGTATTGTGTTGAGCTAATTTAACTTTACCCATTGAACCAGCCCCAATAGTTTTTATAAAATCCCAATCCCCAATTGATTTTCTATGAAATTGTTGTTGTTGTGGTTGAGACTGTGACTGCTGAGATTGTTGTGCTTTAGATGGAGATGTAGTTTGTTGTTTCTGTTGTGGAGTTTTAGGTAATGTAGCTGGTGGTAACAATTGATCTTTTTTAGGAGCAGCTTCAGTTGTTGATTTACTTGTATTATAATTATTATTAATTTCACTACTATTTATATGATCATTAGACTTCAAAGTACCACTAACACTTCTTAACATTCTTGGAGTAGCAGGATGAGCTGTTGAAGAAGAAGGGGATATAAATTGTTGATTTGACATTGGTTGTTGCAGCTGATAATAATTATTTTGCTGTTGGTTATTTTGTTGTTGGTTATTTTGTTGTTGTTGTGGTTGTTGATGATTATTATAATACTGTTGTTGCTCAATTATATTAGGAGGTTGAACACTTTTCCTAACATTGCCTTCCATTATGGTATCTAGTAAAAGTTAATCCTAAGGCTTATTGTTGTTATGGATATATTTTTTGTTAAAAAAAAAAAAATTATATTGAAAGGAATTATTATATTATATTATATGGATTTTGAAATATTATATTTCAACTGGAGTGAATGGAAGCAATAATAGAAGACTTCTAACTAAGTATGCGATATACTAATCAGTTTATACTCTTAGACTCTTTTTGAACTGAATTTTCCAAGTAATATTGATGGTTGCAAGCGCAAGGTACTTTTTTCTATATTCCTTTTGATAAGAATAGAATTGAAAAGAGCAGAGATAATGAGACTATAATCTTATTCTTATATATATATATATAATATTTTATAAAACCCAATTTCTTTCTTTTATCTTATCTAATGATGTTCAGCATGTTTTAAATGTTGATATTCTAACGTATAACCAAATGCCATAATAACTAAAGCTAAATGTAATAATGGTTTACCTGATCCTTTTTCACCACCTAAATATTTATCCCAATATCTTGTAATTGGATTTAATGATTTTTTAGCTGTTGGTGCTGGTCCTTGTGGTAATTTTTTATAAAATGAAACAACTTCTTGCATTCTTTTAGCATGTGGATTTGATCCAAGGTTCTAAAAATTAAATGTTAGTATACTTATCATAAATGGAGTATGTTTTATGTGAATTGAGTGAGTAATTGACTGATATATCTTTAATTTAACCTGAATTTGTTGTGCCATGCGTAAAACTGAATTATTAAAGATTCTTCCATTCCTATTGAGCCCTATTTGTTCCTGAGTAAGTTCATGTCTACATCAACCAGATTTTATAATTCTTATACAATGTCCTTAAATAATTCCATTAGTATCTTAATCTCAGTTCAATCTTGTCTTTTCAACAATGGTCTCATTAATTCAATCTCAATTCCCCTTAGTTATTCCTGTTACATACTTTTGCGGATGCAATTTTTGGTGGAATTAAAGTTGATAATTTTCTTCTAACAATGAATGATGACATCTTAAATCTATATATAATCTGTTGTTATTGGAATAGTTTGTTTCAATATATTAAAATTTTCGCATATTGATGAAAAAACTATGGTAAAATACTACCACACTACACGACTTACGCGATTAATGAGATTTGATTCGTTGAACTTAGTATACTGTGACCGCATGATGAAGAAAGAGGTAGAGAGATAAAAGCAGCAGAATTCATGGATGTTGGCTCAATGGAAAGTGATTATTAAAAGGATTGAGCGAGAAAAAAGCGCCATGACAATTTTGATCTGAATTTCGTAAAATATCATCATTATACTTTGATTTATAACTAATCTATATTACATTTGACTACCTAGGTAGCTTCCAAGTCAATTTGCTGTATTGAGTAGCCCCAAGTGCAATACCCTTGAAATTAACAACTTAAAATCTCAGCATCTAATCAAATTAAGCTTCACTTATATATAACACTAGTTCAGTTAGTCCATATTCTCTTACATCTAATATTTCATCTTACATACCATTATTACCTCTAATGAAAACATCTTTATATTCTCTTGTAATTTTTGAATTTATAATTTCATTACATTGATCAAGTACAATATTCATATATCCATCAATAGTAGACAAATTACCCTTGTATTTAATACCATTATGTAATTTAACAACAACGCTAGATCCAATAATCCCACTCAAAAAATTAGAAGGATTAGTATTTGAATCACTGACTTCTTCTTCAGACATAACTAACAATAAATTATTGAAGAAAAAATTTGAAAATATACGCTACCATAAATATTGATAAAAATTAGGTGGCTTTTGTTAAGAGGTATTTTACAAATAATCTAACTCAAATATCCATTTTATTCCATTTATTCTATAAGTGAATTAATCAAAGTAAACAAATCAACCAATTTCATTAATTCCTTATCCTCGTTTTTTTCCAATATACTCTTTTTAACTAATTCCGTAATTAATATCTTTTTATCCTTCATAATTTCAGTAGTTTGTACTATACTTGGTCTATATTTTGGACCCATAGATATTAAAATCGTACTAATTAATTGGAAAATAGGTATCAAAAACTCATAGATTGTAATATAATGATTTGCATCCTTTGACTTTGTTCCAATTCTAACTTTCTCATCAGTTAGGTTGATTTCAATTCCAATATCGGGATCAATTTTTAAAAATATACAATCTGTTATAATTTTAAATATTTCGTCATTTTGAATTAAGTTCAAACAACCAACTTTAATTTTTGATATTTTAATGAATAAGTAAATTATGATTTTGAATGCCGTCAATTCGAAAATTAAATAATTTAATGATATTCCATTATTGTTCATGATCTCGTTTGTACGTTTCAATGATCTCGATAATAATAATAATGAATTATTTTTAATAAGTTGATCAAGTATGTCTGAATCTTTATCTATCAATGACTCAAGTAATAATATTGACGTGATACGAGATGATCCTTCTGAGTATATTGAATCATTAGATAGGATATTAATAAACTTACCTTCTATCTCAAAATTAAAACTATATTGTCTAAGTATGAATTTATTAAGTAGGACAAAAATATAACTTCTTGAATTCGGTGTCGAATTTGAATTCGTGACTCCAGAAACACAAGTTTGAAATAATTGTGATAATTTAGATAGTTCACCCTTGTAATAATCAAATAATAACATTGATAAACTGATTAATTCCTCTGAGAAAAGTATATTATATTGGTAATAATCATTAATTTTAGGTATTATAACTTGGAGGATTTCTAAAATTGGTAGTGTTGTCTCTTCATCAATTATAATTTCAATTAATTGACACCAGGAATGTAAATAATCCAACTGTAACTTGTTTAAGTCTTCAACTACTAAATACTTCATAATGAATTCATCAAGATTATCATTATGAATCTCGGATAACAATTTAAATTTGAAATCATAGTTTGGTTTAAGGTTTTTCTCAAATTGTAAATTATTCAAAATATTCTCCACATAATATTCATTATTCAAATACTCATATTTTTGAATCTCAAAATTTTGGAATTGATAGTTTAAAATGTCTAGGAATTGTAATATCTTTGGTTGTTTATTCAAAAATGCTTTCTCATCATGTATGAGTAAATCAATGTAATGTTTTCGTTTAGTTTTTGAAATTGAACTATGAAATTCAAGAGATAAATACTGTAAGGTGAGTTTTCCAAATTGTATAAAGTTAAAAAATAATTCAATTGATTCATGTGATAGAAATTGATTATCATATCCCATTTGTAAATTTCCATCAAATTCAAAAATTACATTTGTTCTCTTAGTCAATAATTTTTCAAATAGTTCAAATTTACGTAACTCATGTAAGGTCACAAATGATGAGATTGGATCTTGTGCCAATTTGATAATTAATTCCATTATAAGTGATGATAATTTAATATCCACCTCATCAGCGACCAAATAATTAAGCAAGTTTTTCAATAATAAATTCTCATTTGTATTTATGTTTAAATCTAATTTATCTCCTCTAATCTGATATCCTAACAAAAAATGGGAAACAGTAATTATATTAGAATCCAAATTATTAATTAAAAATTTCAATATGAAATACTTCATAATATTCTCCTCTTCAAATTCCTCAAATTTATCAATGAATGAAAATTTCACTTTTTGTGACTCATCTATATTTTCGAATGTAGTTAATAATCTGTCCTTATTTAATAACTTATCATATTGAATTTTACGTTGGAAAAATTTAGATTGGCTTAATTTATTCAAAATCTTTATCGAGTCTTCTGATATATAATTTGGATAATTTATATATAATGCAAAATGAACAACTGTAGGTAAATTAAACAACAAAATTTCAAAAAAATTAGAAACTCCATGAGTTCCCACATTCTTGGGTATGTAAATGAAATTAAAAAGTGAATTATAAGTAGTTGTAATTAATGCAGATGCTGTTGCTGATTGTTGTTGTTGTGTTGTTGTTGTTGTTGTTGTTGTTGTTGTTGTTTGTTGCTTGTTTTTAAGTATTGGTAATAGTTTATTTATGTACACATTTTGATTCTCAAGTAATAAATTGACCACGTTTAATGATTTTGAAATTAAACTATGTTCATTTTGCTCATTATTAATGATCTGAAATAATGATCTAAATGCCTTATTCTCAAATAAGTAATTCATAATTGATACTGAGGGATGTAATTTAACAAAATTTTCAAAACTGAGTTGAACATTAGGTATCAATGAATCAAATTTGAAATTTGAGGCTCTAACTAGTCTTGGAGATATTTCAATAAAATTCCAATCGATTTCAGATAAATTATTTTGTAAAATTTCTAAAATGTCATTTTGTAATATGATTTTCTCATCTTCATTCTTTAATTCATTTGAGTTTGCAAATACTTCAATCATTATAAATTCAATATATTGCCAAATTCCGATAAAATTCCGATAATCCATTCCTAAATCACAAGGGAACTGTAAATGTAGAACATCAATTGTGTTAATCTTTAATAATGAGTTGATTAATTTTGTGAAATTTAATATCTGATTGATTTCAATTAAATTCTTTTGGAATGGTTTGTTTATAGTCTTGATTTTATATTTAACATCTTTGAAACCGAAATATATCCAACAATCTAATAATTTCCAAACTTCATATCTCAAAATCAAGTCATCTTGGGTGGTAGAATTATACACCACATCATTCAAATAATTCAAAATTAAATTAACCAACACATTTCTTGATTCATTACTGATTATAATATTAGGAATATCTACAAACTTGGAAGATGATCCACTAATTCCCTTATTTAAATCAACTTGACCACTTCCCTGTATTAAATTATCAAATTTCAAAAAGTTTTTTATTATTGGTGAAAATCGGTTGAATATTTTAAATTTTATATCAAAATTTGAATATTTCAAAATTGAAGAAATTAAATTAAAAAAACCACAGATGAAAATAATTGAATCTTCAGCTAATTCAATAACTATCTTTTCATTTATATTCCCATTATTTTCATTCTCTTCATAGTAATTGAAATTTCTTTTTTGTTGTAATTGTTGATTCTTAATTTGTGAATTTAAATCATTTTCAAAATTTTCAACAATTGAATCAATATAATAATTTAATGAATCAAATAAAGAGTCAATTGAAATTTTAGAATAATCAGATTTTCCTCTAATTGTTAATCCATGATGATTATTATTCATTAAAATTTCATAAATTTGAGTTGATTTATTCATTGTCAAACAACTTAATAATAAACAAAAAGTAGCAGTAATTAATGGTGCTGTATTATTTGAAAGTCCCCAAAGTATAAATCCTAAAATATCACCTTCCACTTCCCCGTCTTCATCATTCCAAAATAAATTACATAATTTAGGTCTGTTGTAAAACGTATATGCAAATGCAAGATAATATCTTTCTAAATCTCCACGTTGTGAAATTTCATCTAGATCATTTTCTGAACTTAATACAAAATCTTCTTCTGAATCTCTTAATGAAGTTAATACATAAGCACAATTAATTGTAAAATTATTGAAAAATTTTTGAAAAAATGGTGCTATTAAATTTTCATTCAATTCGGGATTTAATTTTAATGAAGACGCATCAACTAACTTGGAAACGTTAGGTAGGTTTAAATTTACCAAATCTTGTGAATTAGGATATACAAATTTGACAGGTTTCAATTTGGGGATATTTCTTTGCAATAAACTTCTAAAATCATAAATAAATGTGGTTTGATCCGATGTAGTTTCGGCACAATAACATAGTAATCTTTCCAACACACCAAAACTAATTAAAAGTTCAAGATATGTTAAAATTTCTGATCTGAAATCTATATCTGTTGAATTTTGTTCTTTACACCATGCTATAAATTGAGTTAAAAATACAAAACTAATTAATATTTCATATCCTGATATTTTTAATAATGATAAATCAACATCAGTAGTTGAATCGGTGATTTTATTTTTATCTATGTTGATTTTATTTATAATGTAATTGTAAAATTCCTTTTGGTTAGTAAATTGAATAACTTCCATTCCGAAAGGTATGAAATGGATGATCAAAATATCTTCATCTCCATTTATGTTCTTCTCAATAAGTTCCAATACTTTTTTATACTCAGTTAAAGTTATAACTTGCTTATAATTTTTAGTGAAGTTGTATAGTATGGCACCAAGTAATTCATGACCTTTAAATAATTGTGATTTTGCATAATTTATATAATTTATAAATGATAGATTATTTATATCACTTGTGATCTTCTGCTTGTCTATCCAATCATTAAGTAAATCCAATAATTTATAAATTTTTTCAAAACTTTTCAAAATATTATCAAATATGACTTTATAATCACTTGTAATTAAATCTAACCTATTTTCCGTAATCAAATACCCTAAAATATTTAAAATGTATTCAAACCTGGAATAGTAATTCAATCTAGCTGAATCAACTAATGAAGTACCTTTATTATAACTAATTCCATTACTATAATAAATCAATTCAGCACATGCTAATTCTTCTAAATTTAATTCTGTAGATAATATAGTGGCTAATTCAATAAACGGTTGGTTTAATTTAACTTCATCTCCATTTGAAAATTTAACTGTTTCTTTCAATTGATTAGAACCCGAAGATGGGAGTGGTGAAATTAAAATATTTACAAGATCATCTTTTATAATTGAAAAATCTATAGTATCTATATCTGTATTAATTTTTATTCGATCATATATTGTCTGAAATATATCCGATGACCAATTAAGAGTCATTATTCAATGATTTGATCTTGGGTAAACAATTGTTGTTGTCTTGATATTTTTCTTTGATGAGAGTTGAAAATTATATAATATGGATCGCGCTACCAGGTAATTGATTTATAAAATCATAAAGTTTTCCGTTACTACTAGATATCCACTACCGTCTGATATTTAAGACTTAATATTGAATATCTATTGCTACAGAATATGTGATAAATTGCGTATATCTGGCTCCACTATACTGCAACATGAACTGAATTTAATGCATCAATAACTCGGTGCGACAAAATAATTTCTCGTGCTAGATTTAGGGCGACTTGTACGAAACGAAATATACTGGGTTATTAATCATAAACAGCTTAATCTCTCACGATAAAGACCAATTATATGAAATAGGAAGCAGTGAATTATATACTCTATAGACTCGAAGTTTGTAAAATCAGATATTTTTTTTCATTTGAATTTTGAGCATTTTTCGTCATACAAAATTTTGATCAAAAATGAGTACACAATACATCTTCTTAAGTAGGTCCATAACTTTCAATCAAACAACGGATTATCTATATCGTGCCTTGATAAAAGGTGCTGAACATGATTCAAGTTGCTCACATTCAAAATTGAAAAATTTCGAAAATTTTTCTTAAGTATTGGCAAATTGAATAAACCGAGCTTTCGAAAAATCTGACACCACAATCAAAGTTCAAATCAAAACATAATACAACTATTTAAATTTGTAGTTCCTGTCTGCTGACTTACCTAAAGAGTTTTAGTGTTGAGGTACCATAAATTGAAAAAAGGAATTTTTCAGAACTGGAACGAAATTTTTGTAAAATTTTCAAAACGATTATGGCATCTTAAAAACACAATGAATGGTCAAATCAACCAAATCAGACGTAGTGGAAGTTGCAAATCGAGGTCTACATATTGAATACCTCTCAATGTAGTGTTGTTTTCTCATTTTTTAAAAGACGAATTACGTGATGAAAGTTATGTTTCACGTAAAAACACTAGAGTCAGTTTGTTCTGGCTTAATTGAAGGTTTACTGAAAAATGTTTGGGAGCAGTAGAAGAGATATTAAGGAAATTATTTATTATTTATATTTCATGATTAACTACTGTAGGAATGTATATAAGCAAATTTGTTTCAGAATTTTTCAAGATAGTATGTATTTTTCAATGCGATAGATCTGTAATTTCTTGCGCTCAACTATAGGGCTATTGGTACTAGACTTATTAGCATATAAATCACGAACAACTAATTCTTACGAGACGAACACCAGTTATATGAAATCAGCACGGTTATATTTTATATCTCACGTGAGTCAAACTTGGATATTTTAAACTTTTTGACCATTCAGAGAGCGAGAAAGGTTTAAAGATCAGAGTTTTTGAAATAAATTTTCAGACGATGAAGAGCGAGAGAAAGAGCGAAAAAGCGGTTGAGAAAATTAAAACTCTGGGCCAGATCTGATTCCAATGCTCGTACTGAGAAATGACGATATTTGAAATTCGTACCTAAGGAAGAAAATTAGAAATGCCAATCACGAATAAATAGTATATGTATTAAAATGCAATCTTTATGTATGTGTTAATTAGTTTAAGCGTCAGGACCAGCTGCTTTAACTTCACTAGTTGCTTGATCAGAATATTTTTGGAAATTTTCAGCAAACTTACCAGCTAATGATTTAATTTCTTTTTCAAATGAAGCTTCACCTTCAGTCCAAGCTTTAGTTGGATTCAAAATTTCACTTGGAACACCTGGACATGATTTTGGAACATTCAAATTAAACGTTGGGAATTTTTCATAATCAACTTTTGATAATTCACCTGAATGAATAGCATCTAATATAGCTCTAGTGTATTTTAATGAACATCTTTTACCACCTCTAGCAGCAGATGCACCAACCCAACCAGTATTTAATAACCAAGCATTAGCATTATGTTGTGAAATTTTATCTGATAATTGTTGAGCATATTTCATTGGATGTAAAACTAAAAATGGTTGACCAAAACATGCTGAAAATGTAGCTTGTGGTTCAGTAACACCTTCTTCAGTACCAGCCATTTTTGAAGTATAACCTGAAATAAAATGATACATAACTTGAGCATTTGATAATTTTGAAACTGGTGGTAAAACACCTGAAGCATCACAAGTTAACAAAATAATATTTGTTGGATGAACGTCTGCTAAACATGGAATTTTAGCAGATGGTATAAAATCAATTGGATATGCACACCTGGTGTTCTCCGTGATAGAAGAATCAGTATAATCAACAACTTTTGAGATTGGATCATAAACAACATTTTCTAAAATTGAACCAAATTTAATTGAATTAAAAATTTCCGGCTCTTTTTCTTGTGATAAATCTAAACATTTAGCATAACAACCACCTTCAATGTTGAAAACACCATTATCTGACCAACAATGTTCATCATCACCAATTAATTTTCTATTTGGATCTGCTGATAATGTAGTTTTACCAGTACCTGATAAACCGAAAAATAATGTAACATCTCCTTTTTCAACACCTTGATTACATGATGAATGTAAAGTTAAAACTTTATGTTTAATTGGCATCAAGTAAAACATAACTGTGAAAATACCTTTCTTCATTTCACCAGCATATTCAGTACCTAAAATAACCATTTCCATATCTTTGAAATTTATTTCAACTGATGTTGATGAAGTCATACCTTTAGTGTGAATATTAGCTGGAAATTGACCAGCATTATAGATGGTAAAATCTGGTTCACCAAAATTTTCCAATTCTTCTTTAGTTGGTCTAATTAACATATTAGTCATAAATAATGCATGATAAGCTCTAGCACAAATAATTCTAACTTTTATTCTATATCTTGGATCCCAACCAGCATAAGCATCAACAACAAATAATTTTTCTCTAGTTCTTAAATAATCTAAAGCTCTTGACCTTGAAATTTTCCAAGTTAATTCATCAACTTGTTTATTAACTGGACCCCACCAAATATTATGAGTAGAAGTTGATTCATCGACAATTCTTTTATCTTTTGGTGATCTACCAGTTTTTTTACCAGAATAAGCCATTAAAGCACCTGTTGAAGAAATTGTAGTACCTTTTTCTAATAAACCATCTTCATATAAAGTTGGAGCAGGAGCATTATGTCTAATTATAGTATCATCTTGTAATGATAATTTTTTAACTAAAGGATCTTGATTTGATTTAATAGTTGGATGACCTTCAAAATTGATTGAAGATTCAACTGCTGTTGGAGGTGCCATATTGTATTATAATTTATTTAATTGAATTGGTGTAAATAAAATTAAAGTCAAAGAAAGAAAGAAAAAAACTGAAATATAATTTATGGGAAATTATTGATACTTTTATACTAAATATTTCAGCAATTAACTGTTTATAAATTTGTATATTTTTATTACTGAATTGCAAGGCATATGAATAAACTATTGAAAAAAAAAAAAAAAAAAAATAATCTGGGGAAAAAGAACTGTTTGTTCCGAGAATCTCCTGTTCTATACATAAATTAAATATCATAGTAAAACTTTAATTTCATATTCATGTTCCGAAGAACCATTGCTCAAACTGTTACTAATTTTTGGCGTCGATTTTGATACTATTTGGCATTATCTTGTATAGCACTGTCTGCTCAATCAATTGTGTGCTGATTTATTTTATCAAGCATATATCACAGGCATTTTGCAGCACTCATTTCTTTTTTTGCAACCAAAATCAAAAATCTCATGATTTTCTAATTAAAACTTTTACTATAAGCTTGCTAATAGAATTATAGTCATTAGCTGAATTGTAGAAGACCTACTTGACTCCATACAACTCAACAAGTTCAAACTTTAATTTTGGTTACTATAAATTTTCTTCAACCTTCTTCATCCCGGGGAAGTCGTAATGATGCAAATAAAAAAATTTTATGTTGCACGTAAAAAACTAAGCGCCCGAAAAACTCGAATCTGGAATTTTAGTTCGATTAATATGATGTAAGAATTGAAGCGGTTCTGTTTTTACGTATGAAAACTGGACAATATCGATAATATACAAACGACTTTTTCCGGTTAATTTATAAGGCTTATAATCTAGTTATTTATTAAATATCTCATTAAACCAAGACATTTTAAAATGATAGAATTAGGTTAATTGCTATAAAAAAAAATGTTGGTTTAGTGTTGTTTTAGAGTTCCTCCCCACTTTCCATTGCTTATAAATGTTTTGGATAAAAACTGTTGAACGTAAGCGATAATGCCCTACAGTGATCGAAGAAGAGTTCGCAAGCATGGTCATTGATTGGGCTACATTGAGGTGACAATGATTTATCTATTCGTAATTATCATTCTAGAGCATTAGTTAAATTTTGCAAATTTTCTAAGAATTTGTCAAATTGGTAGCTGCATAAGTCAAAAAAGTGTTGCAAAAAAATATTTATGTAAATAAACATATACCATATATATTATAGCTTGCAATATGCGAATTATCCATCGGTATCAATTAATGAAGCCTATGTATGACATGGAATAATTATTGGTTTGAAGAATTTTCCCACGTTACGGATCAGTGGATCTTTTACCAAATTGCTGCAAAAGAACTTAAGTGCAATATTTGTATACAATACAACGCTAAATTCATTGCCTCATATGATATCGAATCAATAAAATCAATTTCCATGCCAAAAATGAGAATATTAAACTTTCAACGGTTTTTACCAACCTCTGATTATCAATTCTTCGTTCAACGGTCCAAAATGTCCAAAATGTCCAAAATGTCTATTTTCATTACATTTCGGTATTATAGAAACCATCAATTTGATCCGGGTAAAAAATAGAAGGATCTTCGATTAATTTTACTATTCGTATTTTATTTACGTGTTTTCGTTTTCGTTTTTCCTTTCGTGTCATACAATATATATTTGTCATAAATTCATATATTAAATGTTTTACAATTTCTTAATTCATTATAATCATAATAATTCGCATATTTTTCAAAGCCCATATTTTGTAAATCAGCTTCTTCTTTACCTCCTTGATTTACTTCAAACATTATACAAGTTTTCATCTCATCACCAATTGTTTTCAAAAATGTAATTGCAGATGAAATTAAACCAACTTTGAAAATTTCAGCAAGATTAGAATAAGTTGGATCAATAATTGGAGCAACTATACCACCAATTAAAACATCTTCATGTTGATCTTCTCTCTTATTTATATCATCTATGAATGGATAAAATTTAGATAATTCTGATTTATTAGTGAATATGATAATTGAACCTATTGGATTTTTCATATTTGGTTCTAATGCAATTATAATTTTAACTTCATATGAGGAATTAATTTTGAATAGCTTTTTAATTGATTCATTATAAATTTGTTTTAAGTTTTCATTATTATCATTTGTGTTTTCAAGTAGGTTTAATAATTGATTTGTATCATTGCAGATATCAAACCTAATTCCAACAATCATTAACTCTTTAAGTATCTTCTTTGGAACTGACCACTCATTAACATTATTCAATACCATCATTGATTTCAGAATCAAATTACCTGAATTGATTTTCCAATTTAGATTATTGAAAAAGTTTAATTCCTCATGATTGTTATTATTATCACTATTGTTCATGTATATTAAGGGAAATGTTATTCCAATTTTAATATCATTACATTTTTGTTCTTTGATTAAATACCTTATAGCTCTGTTATATAGATTCTTTCCTATATTTTGTAATCTTTTTGATTTATCGACCAATAAATAAACAATATTACCAACTCTACCTCTTTTGGTTTCTGAGATCCATGTTAATATTATCCCATATAAGATATTTAATGATGAGTTTCGAACAACAAAATGTTTTTGTGGTGGTGATGATTTAATCAATCCATTTAATCTCTTGAAATATTGTAAAGAATATGAATTATTATTATTCTCCAAATTGGATCTCCATAAATTTATAAAACTAGACCAATCTCGATCAAGGTTGAATTCTTCAACTAACCATTTTCTCTTGATTGTGGATGGACTTTTTTTTTCATTATTGTGATTCTTCGATAGATTGTTATTATTTGTCTTCATTTCACCCGGTATGGACCCAGTTGGTTTCAAATCACCAAATAATACTCTTGTCAAACATTCAAGTGCATTATTAGTATAATCATAACAACATAAATATGAACTACCAATTGATTTATTATGTAAAAAGTCATAAGGTGAAGAAGTTGCAACTATGATCAATGGCTTTTTCAATTTTGATGAAGATAAATTATTACTTGGAATTGGATTATCACCACATAATACACTTACATATTTCACTATACTTATTTGATATAAATTCCTTGATGCTTCAGATGTTAAAATAATCACCAACTTGGCTTTTGAGATCAACGTCTCATGAAGTTGTGTAACACCGTGAGCGGTGTACGTGCTGTGAAGCACTCTATACTGCAAATTTTCATCATAATTCGATATTAAATTTCCAAATTTTTGAAAAACTTCTTCTCCAGAATATAGTTTAACATCATTTACATCCTCATGATTTTTCTTTGGAGTATATATAGGATTTACTAATGGACTGAGGATTAATATTTCGGAATTTTTATTAGTTGTTAAACATTTTGTAATTGGTAATGTTTCATCATAATCTCTAATTAATGTTATAGATTTCTCATATGCTAATTTGGATAATTTTTGATGTTTTGCCCATAATTCAGGATATTCATTTTTAAATAATTTGATAGGTTCTTTAGCTGATAATTCACCATGTGGGAAAATTTCATTCCATGTAGTTATTTTTTTTTGTAGATTCTCAATTCTTTTATAACTTGTCATTACTACGTCCTCTTCAAGATTTCCATTTTGTACACCCTTTTCTATTGCATCAATTGCTTCATATTGTAAATTTAAATCATGACAAACCATAACTAAATCACAACCTGCATTAATAGCTAATGTTACACCTTGACCTAATCCAATTGAATGATATAATGCTTCCATTTCTAAACATTCACTAATTACAAATCCTTGAAAATTTAAATTTTTACGTAGTAGTTGATTTAATATAATTGGTGATAAACAAGCATGAGTTTCATCTGGTGAAACATTAGGTATACCACATCCAGCAGCACTTATACCATCCAATACTCCATTTTCTATCAATTTTTCAAATGGTTTAACATTAAAATTTTTCAATTGTTCTAATGATTCAGACATCATTGGTAAATCTAATAAACTATCAACATTAGCATTACCCATTCCGGGAAAATGTTTACCAACAGTAAACATTCCACCATCTTTTAACCCCTTTGCACACATTAAACCATATTTAGTAACATCTTCAATACTAGTACCAAAACTACGAACTCCTAATAATTGTGAACTAAATTTTGTAACAACATCCAAAACAGGTCCTAATATAATACTAAAACCAATGTATTTTAATTGAATAGCTATCGCTTTTGAAATTTCATACACTAATTGAGAATCACCAGTTGCTGATAATGCCATGGCCCCAGGGTATTGAGTTAAATTTTCCACATCAATTAAAGAATTCATCATACCACCTTCTTCATCAATTGCAAACATAATTGGATATTTATAATTACCTTGTTTATAAGCAATATATTGTAAATCTTTGATCAATTTAGTCATTTGTTCGACATTTATTGCATTTTTTCTTGATAAAATCATTGAAGAAACATGATGTTCGACTATTAATTGATAAGCTTGTGGAGTAACGGTAGTTCCTTGGAATCCACCACATAATAATTGTCCAGCATGAAATGAAGAACCACTATTCATAAAAATATGTTGTAAATAAACCTGTTTTTATATATGAAAAAAATATCTTAGCTTGTTTTTGTTTTATGTTGCAATTTTTTTTTTTTATTTTTTTTATTTTTATTGTTTTTTTTGTCTCGTAAATTTTCAGATTATAACCAATTGTATATGAATGGTATGCAATCAATTTGGATAATTAACAGCTGAATCAAAGGTTTATTGTTATTATCATACACTGGTTTATTTGGAAAATTATAAGGATTCAAAAGTTTAACCAATTTTGAGTTGATTTCATATTATTCTAGTGGATTAAGTACATTCCAATTTGGCAACCAAAATCAACAGCTTTTCATCACTATCAGAGGCTGGTATAATTGCACAATAAGCTGGTTAAAAAACCCGATTATATTCACGTTGATCTTTATTTATTAGTCTGATTTATCTACTGTAATCATGGGTGTGACATCATTGTGGAGTGTTTTAGAACCCGCTTTTGACAAGAGGGTTCCAATTGATAAATTCATTGCAGATTTTATTGACAAACATGGTAGATTACCTAAATTAGCTGTTGACGGTAATTTATTTACATTCCTTTCAAAGAACAGAGAATTTCAAGGTATTGAAAAAGAAGAAGGAGTTACTATCACCAATTTTAAAAGCAAAATCATGAATTTAATATATTCAGGTGCCAAAGTTGTTGTCATATTTGATGGCTCACTAAAACCAGCAAAGCTAAGAAATGGGTGTGGTTCATCATCTGCTGCAGAAAAAACTTATTCAGAATATTATGAGTTATTTAAAAGAACTCAATTTTATTCAGAAGGAGATGATTTAATTGAAAAAATTAAGGATATGTTGGTTGAGAATAAAATTCCAGTATTACAAGCTCCAGCTGAAGGTGAAGCGACTGCAGCTTATCTCAATTATCTCAATATTGTCGATTTTATAATTACAAATGATGTGGATGCTTTGATCTTTAAGGCAAAGAATGTACTTTTAAATTATAGTAAATCAATTGAAAATAAGGCTGCATCACCTCTGAAAAAAGCTGGTAAATATTATGTTACTCCAGTTTCAATGGCCAAGATTGAAGAGATTACATTGTTAAATATAAATCGTTTGATATTTTTAGCATTACTCAGTGGTGGGGACTACTCAAGAGGTCAAACAAAGATCGGCATTAAACATGCAACAAGTTTAGCCTTGTGTGGCACTAAAAAGTCACAATTCTACACGAGAAATAGATTAAAGATTGAAAAAAATTCACCAATAAATGAAATTCCACCTCCAGATTTTGCTGAAAATTTAATCAAGTGTTTCACAGATGACTATAAAGAATTAAAGGATGAAAAAACAAGAAATGAAAATTTATCTAGATTTCATCATCGATTGAAAGACTATGTAAAACGTAATAATAGAGATGTGTTTGGAAACAAAGTTGAATTATATTCGACTGATGACGAGTTATTTAAGGAATTCAATGTACTTTTATATCTCTTTCCATTGGTTATTGAAAATTTCCACTTTAGGTTCAAAGACTTAGATTTAAATGATGTTCATATTGAAAAGAAAGACACAGAAAAGAATGGGCTTGAAGTAGTAAAAGCTGTTTATGTTGGCTCACATAATCCTAAAGAGTTTTGGTCTTCTTTAAGTTTCATTAAATTACAAGCTCCACATTTAGTTGTCGAATTTAATAACAAACTACGTAAGAAGAATTATGGGATATCTGAGAAATCAGTGGAAGTGATGAATAAATTTACGAAGCAAGATTCAACAAGTCCGATTAAATCACCAGATGGTAGTTTAAAAACGAGATCAAGATCAAGATCGAGATCAAATCTGAAAACATCACTTCGGAAACCACAAAAACGGAAAGCATCACCTTCTAAATCACCTCAAAAAAGTAAAAAGGTAAATGAAAATGGTCAAAGGAGTATTCAAGCATTTTTCAAAAATAGTTCAATTGTCAAATCTACTACACCAACTGATGATAATCCATTTTTAAATAAACCTGATTTGAAATTTAATAATAATTCATTTATGGAAAAATTATCAGATATAAATGAAGCAAGTAAAGAAGTAATTACAGTAGATGATCAAAGTGAAACAAGTAAAGAAGTAATTATAATTCATGATTAACGAATATATAGCATTTGGTAGCTCTTATTTTCCAAATCTCTAGAAGCGCAAATTTAAAATTATAAGATCACGATATATACTATCACTTTCTTTCATGAATTTTGCAAAACCAAGTAAAAAAATATATGATTTAAATGATTTGAAGAATTTTCAAAACTCAATTGCATTTCAAAAATTATCAAAAGTTTTAAATGAAATTTTAATAGCTGTTCAAGATAAGAAAGTTCCAAATGATATTCTTAATCCAGATATAGTGACTCGAAAACAACTACCAAATATGGTTATACCCTCATTAATTGATGAAAATAAAGAATCATTTGAGTGTAGTGAAAATGGTAAAGTTTTAATTGAGACAATTGACAAATTGAATCAGTTAATTGATGAAACACCTCCAATTGAAGGCCCTACCAGATTTGGAAATTTAGCATGTAGATTATGGCATGATAAAGTAGAAACAATACTAGAAAAAGAACTAAAAAAATTCAAAGTAGAAGGGGTCAATCTTGATGATTTTTTAATCGAAAGTTCATATTATATTGCGTCTTCATTTGGTTCAAAAATTAGATTAGATTATGGCACAGGTCATGAATTATCATATTTAACATTTATTGGATCATTATTAGATTATAAGGTTATACCTTTAGATGGATATGAATTATTAGTTTTATTTTCAAAATATTATGATTTAATAAGAAAACTAATTATAGTTTATAATTTAGAACCAGCTGGTAGTCATGGAGTATGGGGATTAGATGATCATTTCCATTTAATTTATATTATTGGATCATCACAGTTTTGTAATGATAAATTAGCACCAGTGGTTTCAAGAGCATTATCAAATCAAACTATAAATACATATAAATTAACAAATTTATACATAAATTCAATTGCATTTATATTTAAAATTAAAACAGGTCCATTTAATGAACATTCTCCAATCATATATGATATTCATCAAAATGTATATCTGTGGCAAAAAGTAAGACAAGGATTAATTAAAATGTATTTTGATGAAGTTTTTAAAAAATATCCGGTTATTCAACATTTTTGGTTTGGTAATGTATTATACCCATGGAAAGATGTTCATGGGAAAGATTTACCAGTATATCAAAAAGAAATGAAAGAAGAAGAGGAACAACCGTCGTCAAAAACGACAACTAAAATGCCAATGCCAATGACAAGAGCTCCATGGGCAAGAAGATAATTATACTTGTTTATTATCTACTAATATACTAAGTTTTGCATCCTTATTACATCCTGACTTATTTCTTAAAATTAAATGGTGATCTACACAATGGACATGTTGAACTACCTGAACTTTTAAACCATTTGTATAAACAAGCAGCATGGAATTTATTTGAACATGTACTGCATGTTTTTGAAGGTAATGACAAATCTTGATGTAAAATTGAATAACAAATTGCACAATCCTCAAATCCAGAAAAATGCAAGTTTACATTTTTACAAAACAATTCAATTGAGTCAATTATTGATCCATTAGTTAATGATATAATCTTTTGTGATGCTAATAACCAAGCTTTCCATTGATTTTCTTTAACTCCTAATCTTAATGGTCCATCAACTACAATATTATCCAAAGGATAATTTGAAGGAATTTTTATAATCATTTCCATTTTTTGTTCATCTACTATATATGTAGATTTAATTTCATTAAGATTTAATTTAATAGTCATATTTTCTTCTTTACCTTGAATTCTATCTTTTTCTTTAGAAACTTGTTGCATAATTTTGTCAATTAATATCGGTGATATTTGTTTTGTGGTAAATTTTTCAATTCGTGATTTTAATTGTCTGTCTCTTATTTCTTTAAACCAAATTTGAACTTGATTTGAACAATATAAGACAGATTGACAATATAAATAAATTGCAAATTGTTCTAATGATTCAGTCTCTAGTATGCTAAAAGTATCTAATTTAGATTTGTCACTAAATTGAAAAAGATTATCAAACAAAATTGGCAATTGTTGTTCAATTTGTTTAATATAATCATTTCTCATTCTAAATGTAATATCTTTAAGTTGAGCAAAGATCAAATACCAAGCTGAAAAATATTGAAATTGAAATGTACCAGATTCGATGATATCTAATAATATAACAGGTAATTTTAATTCTATTTCGTCTTTACTCAATTGATATTCAATAACTAAATCTTGTTGTTCTTGAGATATAATTTTTTCAAGGTACCAAGTACAAACTCTTTGAATAATTTCTGATTTAGTATTGAGGAAGATTAGTAACCAAGTTTCTTTTCCAATATTTACAGGTTTTCTAATTAATACAGTTTCCAAGGTTCTTTCAATTAATTGATTAACTTGAGTATAATCAGATGTATATGATTCCAGTAATGTATATTCCATAATTGATGATAATGTATCTGGTGTAGTATTGTATAATTTCAATGTATAATAAATTGTGTCTAGTTTTGAATTGACAACCATTTCAGTGTATAATTCATGTATAAAATCATCCAAGATTTCAGGCTTCTCATCTGATTTATTTAATAAAGTAACAAATCTAATTATTTGAACCATTAATTTACTCAGTGGTGTAGTTTCGTCACCATATAAAATAGCACCTTTTACAGGAAACCATGATTTGATATGGTTCAAAATCATATTTAGTTTATGAGCAGGTATACGTAATTTTGAATCATCGAAAAATGGAAAAGTTAAAGTTATCCATTTTAATCCATCAGTATTACAATTTTTTAATTTCACACTTAAAATTTCTGAAAATATATAATTTTTAACACGATCAATTGACTTGGATGATATAAATTTGGAAATTCCACTTGTTATGGCATAAAATTTTAATGGATTTTTAACTAATTCAACATAATTGATAGATTTAGATTCAAATGAAGATGAATTTTCAGATTCCAAGGATGTTTCAACTATCTTTTTCAACACTCTTGCTATATAAAATGAATACATGTCATTCTGTATACTAAACTCATCAAAGTCTAGATCACTCCATGTAATAGTTCTTAAAGTAATTGAATCTGCAATTTCCATGACGTCCTCTACTTCATCTAAATCTTGTGTAAAAATATAATCATTCAAGTACTCTTTAATAACATAAACTAATATCTCCCATTCTTTTGGTAAATCTTTTAAACTTGTCAATACTTTAGCCAAGATAGGTATGAATTCATCAATTTTTGGATTCTCACCACCTTTACATAAATAAATACCTGTGTCTAATGGATTTGAAACTGCAACCTTCTCAACATTAACTAAACTCAAACTTTTTTTAACTCTATCTTTTATATCATCAATTGGTAATGGACCACTTTCTATAAAATCTATGTGTATCTCATCATGTAAACTTCTTGATTCAAGATATTTAATCAAGGATCTAAAATATTTATCTTGATTAGATCTCAATTCTAGCAAAATCTTTTCATCTTTACTTATCCATGCATCTTGTAGTATTCCATCATCATTATCAATCATAGAAAGTAAGTTATATTTATTTACAAGATAATTAAACTCTTTAGAGTTTGTTGTACTTTGAGCAACATTTTCAATTATGGTTTTATCCTTAGTTGAACATAATAAATCCAAATCCAGTGGATCATTCTTTGATTTTTCAATTAAATAATTATAAATTTCAGGATATTTTTCAACTTCGAGATTGATATTAATCGATGTAATAAAATGATCAATTTTACTAGGTGCCACTATACTCAATTTTAAATAAAAATCACTAACTGTTTCATTTTGATCCTCCAAATACTCTTGTTTAATTGCAATTTTCAATAGCTCAAGTGGTTCCTCTATAAAATCTTGTTCAACAAAACTTGGAAGTTCTTGCAAAAAACTTACAACTTCCAAATTTGGTTTATATTCATGCAATAAATATGTTTTAATAATTTTAAATGATTTAACTTTATCTTCATCAACATTCTCCAATGCTTTTTCAACAATTTCTTCAATTAGATCAATTAGTCCAACTTTTGATAGCACGTCAATTAAAATTTGTGTAAATTCAGCTGCATGATCTTCTTTACTTATTTTAGTGAGGTATTTACCCATTTTTTCATTATAATTTATTGATATTGCGCTTTCGATCGAATCTTTGTTTCTTTCATTAATGATAGGTAACACTTCAGATAATAATTCATCATAATCTTTATCAAACAATGCATTAACTTTTAGCAAACATTTCAATGACCAAAATTTATCACCAAATGCAGTCTTGAATTGATTAAACAAAATATTATATGTAAATATATATTCTTCATCATTTGAAAAATCAATCACTCTTTCTTGTTGTTTAAATTTATTTAATAATTTAAAAATTATATCATAATATTCATGTAATCTAGTTGTATTACATGGTCCAACTTTCAAAAATTCATAAAATTTGGATTCTTTACCGTCCCATACAGTCTTCTTTGATTCATAACTTGTAATCAGCAATATAGTTTCCCAAAATGGTACAATAACTCTTGAAAATATTATATTTTGTTTAAATTTTAATTTAATTTTAAAAAACTTCTTTACTATTAATTTAAACAATTTAGTTTCATATTTAAGTACAACTGAAATCAAATCCAATAATGATTTAACTAAAGTTAAATTCAAGGTATCTGGTTTCAAACTAGTTGATAAATTATCCCAAAATGGGTCAAATGATAATATTTTATAAATTGTTTCATCATCTTGTTTATAAATTTTCATCAACATATTAACACAACTATTTAAAACCCTATCATATTTCATAATTATATCTGAATCATTAGTATATCTTTGGTCACTTAATGATTCCGGAACTTCAACACAAATTACATTACCTATTAAGTTTAAAATTTGTTCATTAAATAAATCCCATAATTTATCATACTTCTCTTGATCATTTTTAAACAATTCCAATAATAACTTGTATGATGTATTGCATACTGACTTATCATTATCATAAATTCCTAAAAGCCATATAGGTATAAAACTTTTTAAGTATTTTGTAAAAATTTTTGACCCCAAGGTATTTAAAAAAGATGAATGAACTTGATGACTCAATAATCTAACTGATTTAGAATTATCAATTGCTAACTTGGGATATAACTGTAACCAAGCAATGAAAGTAGATTCATCTATATTTGAAGATAATAATACATTTAATGCTTTTTCTTTTGTTTTTGATTCTTTCTTTAACAAAGATTTGAACAACACAACTTCATTAGAATCTGTTAATGATGATATATCAGGTAATGACGTAAAATAATTTAGTGATATTGAGAAGTCATTGTAACCTAAATCGTCAAAACTCATGAGGTTGAAAAATTATTATTATGTATATTTTTTTCTCTATTAATTTTGCTGTATCAATTTGCTTGAATTTTTCTATAAAAATCAATAACAATTGGTGATGTTAAAACTTTATTTGGATTAAAACCTTTTAATTCTAATCTATCTTTAGATCTTGCTCTTGATATTGCAACATACGCTTGACCTTCTTCAAAAGATTTGTTTAAATCAATTTTAACTCTATCTAAAGTTTGACCTTGCGATTTATGAATTGACATGGCCCATGATAACAATAAAGGAATTTGTATTCTTGAAACTTGAGATTTAGATGACGATAATGATCCTGGTTTATTATCAGCTATGAAATCTTCTCTTGTTACTAAATGTACTATATTATCACCATTTGCTTTAAAATTGACAACAGGTAATACTTCAGTTGATGAAGAATCCATTGCTGCATATTGACATAATTCTTCTAAATATGGTAATCTACTTGGTGGGCATTTTTTGAAAATGGCACATTCTTGATCAGTATATGGATCAGTTTTACCAATTCTAGATGAAACTAATCTTAATTCATTTATCATATCTTTATCTTCCGGATCTATAAATGAAAACTTGTCCATTATTTTATGATAGAATGATTGAGTAGTGAAAAATAATACATGACCTTGAGATCCATTTACTAATCTTTCATCTATATTTTTCAACATCATAACTTGAGCTCCTTCTTTTAATACCAATACTTCTTCACACATTAATGAATTATATTGATTTCTATATTGTTCACCTAAGTGACTATCTTTTGCTTTATATGTATATGCTTGTTTAGATTCCAACTGATCCAATCGTATGTTATTTGCTCTTGAAACTTCCAATTTAGTAGAATATAATTCAGTTGCAACAATTCCATCATCATAATTAACAGTACGTCTTAAAGCCATAAATTTAGTTACAATATTTTGAGTTAAATTTCCATTTCTTAAAGCATTTAACATATCAATAAAATCAGAATCTCCCTTTTGTCTAAAAATTTCTGTTAAAACTATTGATTTTTGTACAGTTTCATTCCAAGTTGATTTTAAAAAGCAAAAATTCTTATGTCTAACGTCTTTATTAACTGGAGGTAATTGATAAAAATCACCAGATAATACAATTTGTATACCACCAAAAGGTTTTGAACTACCTCTAACTGCCTTTCCAACTTGATTAATTTTTTCAAATAAATCACCATCCAACATGGAAACTTCATCAACAATTAAAACTTTTAATTTTAACCATTTGTTTTTAACAAATTCATTTTTATTGATATTTTTAACCAATTGATCAGCTTTTAATTTAGCAGCACCAATATGTAAAAATTTATAAATAGTTTGACCTTCGATATTACAAGCAGCCATACCAGTTGGAGCAGTAACACCAATTTTATGAGCACCATATTTTTTACTTAATCTTTTAACAATTTCTTTTAAAACAATAGATTTACCAGTACCAGCTGATCCACTATAAAATACATTTAAGCCATCTTCAACAACTGCTTTTACGACTGCTAATTGCTCTTTATTTAATTGTATTTCGTTTATATTTGATTTTGCAACTTTAATAACTGTTGATGATTCACTTTTGATTCTTTTAGCTTGGCCAAGATTCATACTATCTAAAACACTGGAATTGGATCTTTTCAAAGAAGGATTTTTAAATCGTTTATTATGAATACTTGTTGAATCATGAGAATTACTTGATTCATGATAATTTGTGGATTCTTTTAATATTATATTTCTATCTGATTGAAATGAGGGAGTGGTACTTTTTAAATTATTATTACTAAATTCATAACTTGTATCCATTGATGTATCATGAGAATCATCAAAACCTTGATCATATTCATTTGACCCCTTGGGTATTATTGAATTTTGTCTGGTTGCTTTTGTTGTTGTTAAATCATGAGTTTTTTTTTCGCTTTCATTTGATTTACGTATATTTCTTGAAGATCCAAAGAAAGAGAATATTGATTTTTGAACTCGTGGTTGTTGTTTAGCTGAAGATACAGCCATTATCAATCAATGCTGCCAAAATTAATCAATAGTAATTTTTTTTGTATACGCGTTTTGAAAATAAAAATAAAAAAAGATCAAAAATAAATTTATAATATATTACATAATTAATAAAGGTCGTGTAAATATTACCAAATCAAAAATATTAAAAATTAATTTATTATAATTATTTACAATAGGGTATTATAATAATATATATTATGAATGATGAAGATCATATAGATAGTATTCATCATAATGCTACTTTGAAGAAAAAACCAAGCGTATTTGCTAAAGGTATGAAAAGGCTACAAAAAACAAGGTCATTTTTAAATTTCAATCAATTAGTTGATCATAATGATTTAAAGAATTCGATAACAGATAATAATTCATATTCAAATAATGAAAGCGCTGATAGCTTTTCATTACTAGATCCAAAAAACAATAATTCAGTTGTTCAAAATGCATTATTAGATGCACCATTTATACCACCTCCAAAAGCAACATTAGGTTCATATAAATTAAATAAATCTGACGAATCATTATCTTCGCCTCCAAACAGATTTTTAATAAGATCTCCCACATTACACGTTACAACCACGTCAAGTAATAAATTTGTTGACTCATTTAATTCTGCTTCAAATCAAAAACATCAAAAGCCACGGCCAGAAATTGTAGAACAATTATTTGAAAAATTATTATCAATAAGAATATTTCCAGAAGAAAGTTTACCAAATTTAAGGCATAGTTCAATAGAAAGAAAGTGGGAATTACTACTTAGTGAAACAAAATCAAATACTGATTTTGATTTGAAAAGATTATCAAAACAAGCTGATGAATATTTTAAGGATTTAAATATTACCAAAGATACTAATTCACCAGAAATTATAACAGTTACTAAACTAGATCAACCAACTCCGACAACACCAGCAACCGTACAAAGTAAGTTTTCATTAGAATCATCGAATTCTGGTAATTCAGCTAATGAAAATGAAATAATTGGTTCAGTTAATAAATTTAAACTTAAAGAACTGACTCCCGAATGGTTTGTTTCACGAATAATCGCAAATAAATTATCATTTAAAGATACAAAGAGGCTTGAGAAAAAGCTTAAATCAAGTCTGACATGGGTTGATTCATTTATTAATGCACAAGGTGAAACTGCATTGGCAATATTATTAAATAAAATTAATAAAAAAACAATAAAATCTAATCAAGAATTTGATACTGAATATTTGATAGTTAAATGTTTTAGACATATAAACAAAGGAAGAACTGATTCAGTTACAGATTTACCAATTGTTATTAAAGCTTTAGTTTTTTCATTAATTTCACCGAAATTGCTGACGAAAACATTAGTTACCGAAGTATTTGTAATGATCTTAATTAATAAAGATGAAAATTTACTTAATTGTACATTAGATAGTATGGCTAATTTACGAAATTCGAAAGGAGATAAATCATTACCATTATTTCAACCATGGATGGCTACATTTGAAGGGGTGATAAATAAGTTAAATAAGAATCAAGAATCTAATTATATAAATTATATAACTATAACATTGGGTATGATTAATTTAATCATAGAGTCAGACAGTTCACTAAATCGGAGAAAAGAAAGAAGAAATCAATTTGACAAGGCAAACATATTAAAAATTTTAAACAGATTGAAAACTGTTAAGAATGATCGACTAGAAGATGAGATTGAGAGATATGAATCATTTGCAGAGGAAGATTATTATGAAATAGAAAATCAAAGAAATAGGATGTTTAAAGAATTACCTGAATTACCTGTTGGAAAATTAGATGATAATGATACCATGGTTGATAAAGATGATAATTTAAATTTATTATTGAAGGAAGTTGAAGAAAATGATTCTATGAAAAATATATTGCAAAAATTGTTAACTTTTAAACAAAATAAAAATGATGACAAGCTTCATTTGATTGAAACAATCTTAGAACATTTGAATGAGTCAAAACTGAAAGGCGAATCAATATTACATTTTTCAATTCAAAAGATACTAAAACAAATGTCATCAGAAGATATCTCTCAACGAGCTATTGCTGAAAGTAAAAAGTTGGAAAAAGAATTGACTCGGGTTAAAAGTGAGAAAAAACAGTTGGAGCAACAAATTGGAATAGATCAATTAGAAGTAATTAATCAATTGAGAGAGGCACTTTCAAGAAAAGATGGAGAAATTGAAATTTTAGAAAAGCAAAAATCTCTTTTACAAAAGAATATTAAACAACTTGAATATAAAAACGGTGTACTTACTGAGCCAAAGATTGGTGTCTATGCCGATTTAAAAGATGATTCATACTCATCTAAAAATAGACCACCGACACCACCAGGATTATTTCTGGAACAATTTAGACGAGAACTTATAGCACATATTCGAACAGAACATTCACCTGAAAAACTGCAAGATGATGCAGAAGATGACTTGAATGATAGTTCTTTTGATTATCAAGATAAAGATATACAACCACCTAAAGATAACAATTTAAATCCACCACCACCACCACCTCCTCCTCCATTACCAAGTTTCATGAATGATGTTAAATCTTCTGCTCCTCCTCCACCTCCATTACCAGATTTTATCAACAAAAAATTACCTAAAGCAGTTGCTCCACCACCACCTCCTCCATTACCAGCTTTCATAAGTACAAATGATTTGCCACCACCACCACCACCACCACCACCACCAATTCCGAATTTTATTAATTCACAACCTCCACCACCTCCATTACCTAATTTTATGAATTGCTCGTCTCCATCACCACCTCCAATTCCCGATTATTTGTTTAAATCATCATCCAGTTTAGACAATTCCAAAAAACCACCGATTGATAATAAAAAGTCAAAACAAGATGTCATACCTTCCATCAAACCAAAGAATAAATTGAAACAAATGCATTGGGATAAGATTGATGATATAGAGCAAACCTTTTGGAATGATTTAGAAGATCATAAAATATCTAACAAATTAATAGAACATGGTGTTTTGAATGAAGTGGAAAAAGTTTTTGCTGCAAAAGTATCTACAATTAAAAAGAAAAGAGAAGTGGATTCTACAGAGAATGTACTGAAACCAACCAGGATCACATTTTTAACAAGAGATTTAGCTCAACAATTTGGTATAAACTTACACATGTATGGTAATTTATCTGAAGAAAAATTAATCAATAATATTTTGAAATGTCATTCAGAAATTTTGGAAAATATAAGTGTACTTGAGTTCTTTAACAATGATTCATTAATTGAAATAAGTGATAATCTATTCCGAAATTTGGCTCCATATTCTAGTGATCCAAGGAATAATAAACCACCCAAAATGGATCCAAATGAGTTGGAAAGAGCAGATAGAATATTTTTGGAATTGTGTTATAATCTAAGACATTATTGGAGGGCTAGGTCAAGAGCTTTATTATTTACCCAAACTTTTCAAAAAGATTACATAGATTTAGAACATAAATTATCATTAGTAGATAAAGCCAATGCTTGTTTAAAAGACTCAAGTAGCTTGAAAAATGTTTTAGGTATAATCAGATCAGTTGGTAATTTCATGAATGAAGACTCAAAACAAGCTTTAGGATTTAAATTAGATACATTACAAAGATTAAAATTTATGAAAGATGACCTGAATTCGATGAATTTTTTACATTATATTGAAAAAATAATTAGACATTCATTTCCTGAATATGGTACATTTGTTGATGAGTTAAATTCATTAAATTTGGTAATGAATGTTTCAGTTGAACAACTAGAATCTGATTGTCAAGAAATGGCAAAATCAGTTCAAAATATAACAGATTCAGTAGATAAAGGTAAATTAAGTAATATTAAAGATCTTCATCCTCAAGATAGAATATTATCAACTATTTCATCACCAATGAAAAGTGCAAGAACCAAAAATTCATTATTACAGACTCATTTGAAGAAAACAATTGATGAATTTGATACTTTAATGCAATATTTTGGTGAAAATCCAAATGATTCAGTTTCAAAAAATAACTTTTTCAACAAATTTGTTTTATTTATTGATGAGTTTAAAAAAGTACACATTGAAAATGTTCAAAGAGAAGAAGAACAAAAAGTATATGAAGCAAGAAAGAAGATTGTTGAGGATAAATTGAAAAAACAACAAATGTCACAAGAAGAATTGGTTGATTCAGTTGAAGAAAGTGCAGCAGTAATTGATTTATTACTTGTAAGATTGAAGAAGACTAATCAAAGCAAATCTAGAAAAAACAACGATCGAAGATATAAAGCATTGTCGTTTTATTCAACTGAAGAATCAATTGATTTAGATGATTCAAAGTATGAAAGTGTAAACAATTTAAAAAGAAGATTAACTACAAGAAGAACTAAATCTGATTTATCTAGTCCCAAAACCGATCAACAAATATCTAGAGCTCAAGTTATGTTACATCAATTGAGAAATGATGGTGTTGAAAAAGATGATACTGAAATCATTGAAATTTCCTAAATATATAGAAGTTTTGACTTCTTGACGGAGTCAAAACTTACAAAATCAATTAACTCTACATAATAATTATCAGATGCTCTAGTTGGCAATTAAGCAGTATAACTGAAAATTTTATCAATTTATTTACTACCATTTCATGTCATTATTCAACTTTTTTATCAAGTGACTAAAGGTGACTCATTAGGCATCGAAAAGTTGAAAAATTTGAAAAGTTTAAAAAAGTTTGACGTATACTGCACACAACGCTGCTGCATCGAATATTCTTTGAATACCACCTTGCTTAATGATTAGAAGTTATAGATCAATTAGTTTGCTTAGACGTTTCCATGCGTCGAGTATCACGCTAAATGCTGAAATTGTATCAGGTACTAAATTGGCTAAAAGTATTAGAAATAGTATAGCGGAAAAAGTTGTTAAATTTAATCAAGAGAAATTCGGAATTGATGATAAACTTAAATTTAAACCAAGTTTAACTATAGTACAAGTTGGTTCAAGACCTGATTCTTCAGCGTATGTTAAATCTAAATTAAAAGCTGCAGAAGGATCAAATATTCAATCTAAATTACTAAAATTTGATGAAAATATACCCCAAGATGATTTAATTGAAGAAATTGAAAATTTAAATAAAGATCCAAAAGTTCATGGTATTTTAATTCAATTACCATTACCTAAACATATTGATGAAACTTTAGTTACAAATTCTGTTGTTACTGATAAAGACGTTGATGGATTTGATCATTATAATGTTGGTCAATTAAACAAAAGAGGTGGTCAACCATATTTTAAACCATGTACTCCAAATGGTATAATGCAATTAATAAAGACTACTGGTATCGAACTAAAAGGTAAAGATGCCGTTGTAATTGGTAGATCCGATATAGTGGGTACCCCCGTCGCTACCATGTTAAGGAATGAAGATTGTACAGTTACAATTTGTCATCGTCATACAAAAGACTTACCAAAAGTTGTTGGAAATGCTGATGTCATAGTTGCTGCTGTTGGCATACCCGAATTTGTCAAAGGTGATTGGGTGAAAGAAGGTGCAGTTGTTATTGATGTTGGTATAAATTATAAAGAAGATCCTACAGCGAAAAATGGTAGGAAATTAGTTGGTGATGTTGCATTTGATGAAGTTGTTAAAAAAGCCAGTTTTATAACTCCAGTTCCAGGAGGTGTTGGTCCAATGACTGTTGCTATGTTATGTTCAAATGTTTATGATGCATCATTGATCCATGCTAGAAAAGCTCATGAACATGCATTTAAACCATTGTCATTAGACTTGAAATCACCAGTTCCATCAGATATTGAAATTTCAAGGGCACAAAAGCCTAAACAAATTACAAGGATTGCATCAGAATTGGGTATATTAGATAAAGAATTAGAACCATTTGGACATGTTAAGGCAAAAGTTGATCCAAAAGCCGTTATTGAAAGATTAGATGAACAGGTTGAAGGTTCAATTGATAATAAAGGTTATTATGTATTAGTTGCAGGTATAACACCAACTCCATTAGGTGAAGGAAAATCAACAACAACTATGGGGTTGACTCAAGCTTTAGGAGCTCATTTAAATTATAATTCAATTGCAAATGTTAGACAACCATCAATGGGCCCAACTTTTGGTGTTAAAGGTGGTGCTGCCGGTGGTGGTTATGCACAAGTTATACCAATGGATGAATTTAATATGCATTTAACTGGTGATATTCATGCCATATCAGCAGCTCAAAATTTATTATGTGCAGCAGTTGATACTAGAATGTTTCATGAAGATACTTCAAAAACCATTTCAGGTTTTTATAAAAGGTTAGTATCTTCAAAAAAAGGTAAAAGAACATTCACACCATCAATGTTGAAACGATTGGAAAAATTGGGTATTAACAAGACAAATCCAGATGACTTGAGTCGCGATGAAATTGTTAAATTTGCAAAATTAAATATTGATCCTGATTCAATTACTATTAAAAGAGTTGTTGATTGTAATGATAGATTTGTTAGAGAAATTACAATTGGTCAAGGTAAAAATGAAGCAAGCAAATATCCTCCAAGAAAAACAGGTATGGATATAACTGTTGCCAGTGAATTAATGGCAATTTTAGCATTATCAACATCATTAAAAGATTTAAGATCAAGAGTTGGGAAGATTGTTGTTGGTACTCAAAAAGAAACAGGTGAAGCTATAACTGCTGAAGATATTGGATGTGCTGGTGCAATCACTGCTTTGTTAAAAGATGCAATCAAACCAAATTTAATGCAAACTATAGAAGGTACCCCAGTTTTTGTTCATGCTGGTCCATTTGCTAATATCTCAATTGGTGCATCATCAGTTATTGCTGATAAATTGGCATTGAAATTAACATCACCATCAAATCCAATTAATAATGGTGAAAAAGGTTTTGTTGTTACAGAAGCAGGCTTTGATTTCACAATGGGTGGTGAAAGATTTTTCAACATTAAATGCAGAACATCAGGTTTCAAACCAGACACTGTTGTTTTAGTTGCTACTTCAAGAGCATTGAAATTGCATGGCGGAGCTCCTGATGTTAAGCCAGGTCAACCATTACCACAAGAATATGCTAATGAAAATTTAGATGTTTTATCTAAAGGTTGTTCAAATCTAGCAAAACAAATTTCAAACATTAAACAATATAATGTACCAGTTGTAGTTGCAATAAATCAATTTGAAACAGATTCTGATGCAGAAATTAAATTAATTCAAGAAAAAGCATTAGAAGCAGGTGCTGATTTTGCTGTACCATCAAATCATTGGGCTAAAGGTGGTGAAGGAGCAATAGAATTAGCTAAATCAGTAGTTGAAGCAGTAAAGAAATCAAATGATGAACAAACATTTTTATATGATGTTAATGATTCAGTTGAAAATAAATTGAAAACAATTGCATCAAAAATGTATGGAGCAAAAGATATTGAATTATCTCCATTAGCCAAAAAACAAATTGAAACATATACAAGACAAGGTTATGATAAATTACCAATTTGTATCGCAAAAACTCAATATTCTTTGAGTCACGATCCAAGTTTGAAAGGTGTACCAACTGGATTCACTGTTCCAATTAGAGAAGTTAGATGCTCAGCAGGTGCTGGTTATTTATATGCATTGGCAGCTGAAATAATGACAATACCTGGTTTACCAACTCACGCAGGTTTTATGAATGTTGAAGTTGATGACGAGGGAAATATAGAAGGATTATTTTAATAGAGAGATTTTATTTGTATATTGTTGCATCATTAATAGATAAATTACCACTAGCAATATTGTATGATTTACCAAAAGTGGATTCGTTATCGATAATATCTAATAACACTCTGGCAACATCATTTCTATCAATCGAGCCAACATCTTCGTTTGGTTCAAGAAATTTGATTTTACCAGTTGGATTACCATCCGATAATAAACTTGGCTTAACAATTGTATAATTTAAATTTCTAAATTCATTAATTAAAATTCTATCAGCATAATGCTTAGCAATATAATAATTTTTAATTGATGATTTGTCAATAAATTCACGATTATCAGCATTAACAGCACTTAATAAAATGTATCTTTTTATGTTAGCTTTCGTAGTAGCTTCAAATGTTTTAACAGCACCATCCAAATCAACTTGCAAAAGATTTTTACCACCAGAACCAGCTATAAATATAACTGTATTATGACCTTTAATTACATTTTCAATCTCTGAAACGGTGGCTTTATCTAATGTAAGATTTGCCGTTTCAACATTTGATGCAATTTCTTTAATTGCTTTAGCTTGTTCATCTGATCTAATAATTGCAGTAACTTTTAAAGATTTAGCAGCTAAAGATACAAGGTTTTTACCAACCTTACCATGAGCTCCGAAAATAACAAGTGACATGATTAATTGTAAATTTTCATTATGGTGAAAATTGTTGCTAATTTATACTTCCAGAGATAACTACTTCTGATATTACACGACTACCATAAATATTATGTACATTTAATAATACAAAGAAATAATTATCAAAATTATTTCTCAATTAACAGTGTCTTAAACTGGACTTTGACTTGTTTTCTTAAATTGTGATTGTAATTTTTGAGGTGGCTGTGGAGTAGGTTTTTTTTGAATTTGTTGTTGTTGTTGTTGTTGTTGTTGATGTTGTTTTTGAGCTTGTTGATTATGTAGTGCTCTCATTCTTGCTTGTTGAAGATACATTTGTTGCTTTTGTTGAACTGATTCTTTTAATAATCCATAAGATTTAGATAATAACATAGATCCAAAACGTATAGCTTGAGTTTCATCACTAATACTATTCAATTTAGAAGGATCTAAACTGAATGGATCAATGCTACCTTTTTGATATTCAGATAAATCATCATCAAATCTCCAATTGGATTCTAATCGTTTCAACTGATCAAATTTATTTTCATGACTAAATTGACTATCATCTGATTCATTCAATTCAATTGGTTTAATTATACCTCTTCTATCAATGAATGTACCAGCTCTACCTTGTCTTTTACGTAATCTAAAAATAGGATCTGAAATTTTTGTCTCTTCTTTGATACCGTGCGTGTAACCAGATGTATAATTATTATAGTAATTATTTTCAACATTTTCTAATAACAATTCAATATATGATTTTGGTTGGTTATTTTCAGTTATTGACAGTAAATGAGGAAATGCTTTATTTGGTATCAATTCACCGTTTGAACCTTTAATCGACTTGACTCCAGGTAATGAATGATCGTCTTCAATAAGTTTTTTTAGTGGATCACCAATATAATTTGATGTATTGAATTGATAAAAATTCGTTGCAGCTATTGATGAATATGGTATGTGAGAAATTTCTTGTATATGCTGATTGGTTGATATATCAAATATTGGTTCATATGGATCATCAGTTAAATTAATAAAGCCTTTATCTTGTTCCTTACGTTTTCGTAGTTTTTCAGAAACAGCTCTTCTTATAGTATCATTCTTTTCTTTCAATACCAATGATACTGTAACCAAATCCATATCAGGAATTTTAGAAGGTGGTAGTTTAACATATGGTTGATTTGTTGATGTACCTTCAGTTTGCAGTTGTGGTGGAGGTTGTTGTTGTTGTTGTTGTCTTTCTTCTTTCTTCTTTTCTTTAACTTTCTTTTCTTCTTCATCTTCTTTAGGTTTAATGATTTTTCTTCTCTTATATGCAAAATATAAATGATCATCATTTTCTTTCAAATTCAATGACCTCTTTAATGATTTACCTTCACATCTTAATTTGAATAATTCACGTTCAGATTGAAAAGTTTTTGCTTTTAAAATTTCTCTTTCACTAACATTTAAAACCAATTCTCTAGCTTTTTGTAATGATTTTTGTAATAAACGAATTCTTTCAGCACCCAAAGTATCAGCTCTTCTTGTTTTTCTAACCTGTCTAAACTCACGTCTTCTAAAACATACATAGGGATCATTATCATTATCTTTTTCATTTGCGTTTGGATCTTCAAATTTTAAACTTGGTTGAATACTCTTTCCATTTCTTTCTATTTTCCTCTTCTTCCAATGTTCATAGACTGATTTACCAAATAGATCAAGTAATTTCAAAATTGACCTTGGGGTTTCTTTGGTTTCCTTATCAAAAATTGTGGTAAAATTTTGAAAATTTAATTCTTTGCCCAATCTTTCTTTCAATGTATTTGTTGGTATATAATTTAGTATCCCACTAGACAATTCTATATATGGTTTTGTTGATTTAACTGATGATTTGTATTGATCTATTATATAAGTTGAAATTTCTTCATAAGATAATATATTTGTTGGATCCATCGATAAAAAAGGTTGTTTAGTCTCTATAACTTTCTCAAAATGTTCTATAATAATTTCAAATTCCAACTCACTAATTGCATCTTCTTTCTTCTTTTTTGGTTTAATTAGTGATTTAAAAAATTCTTCATCTTCTTCATCCATACAATAGGATAAGCTTTCATAAGTAAACCCATAACATATATATGATTTACTTTCTTTGAAATCTTGTTGATAATAATTCTTAGCATCATCCCATATTCTACTTGCATCCGGCGTAGGTATAAATAATTGAGCTTCAGTTTTTTTACTCGATAGAAATTTTTGAGCAGCATTTATAACTTGTTGCAAATGTATTTCATCTTGCTCTGTTTTATCAACACCTTCCACACCAGCTTCAATTGAGTTAATATCATCTTTTCTGGTATCTAAATGATTAATTTGACTCAATTCTAAATCATTTGAATTTAACTCCGTTTGTTTATAAATATGCAAATTTTGTTTTACCAGGATCTTCCTTTGCCTGAATCGTACCGACATACTACAGCATATATGATAAACTTATGGGAATGAATCAATACTTAAAATTGAATGCTTGGTTGTTGATATTTGAATGTTGTCGATACTTAACTATTGAGGTATGGGTTTTTTCGAATAAAATTTTTTTTGAAGCAACAATAATAAAAAAAAAAAAAAATTAATTGGAAAATAAAAATATTTGCGCGATTCCACGCCATTTTGTCGTGCAAGACAAGCAATTTATTTGCAACCTTAATATTGGAGTAGTCAATTGATGAATTAATCAGGATTGAAATTGATAAAACAGTGGAGAATGAGCGGGGGGATTGAAGGTACTATGGAATGTGCTTTTGGAGCGAAACTTCAGCCTTCAACGACGAAAACTCAACTTTTTAGAATATGCCCTTTTCAAATTTATTTGGCTGGAATGTACTTTGGAGCTAATGATCCAAGTTTGAACATTGTAGTAGTCTAATACGTGGAATACATAATCAATATTTTGTGTACAATCTCAATCAACTGTAAAATAGTTGTTTCTTAAATTTCTAACATTTTCAGATATTTTTGGTGAAACTTCCCACCACTGTTTAAAGTACCTTATATGAGTTTTGAATTGAATAATTTCACGATTTATAAACTTTGTAGTGGATTTTTGTAGTCCAACTATGAATATATAGTGGTTATATTATAATGATATACAAAATAAAATTTGTTTAAATGGTTAAACTTTTTGATGTTTTAAAAATCAATTAAATTTGGTAGTGTGGTACACGACCATTGATTACCATTTTATCAAACAAACTGAATTGTATGCAGTCTAATCTTTTCAGTTACCATTCTTATTAACAAAAGAGGCACCGATGGCGATATTATGACTTCATTATTAATTCCGTCAAATCAATTGCCTCCAGTTAATCCCTTTTTAATATCTGTATGTCCTGGGTTCCCTAGTGATTATCTAGAAGAAAATGTCCATTATTCTTTAAATTGTGAAAATTTACCAAAATCGACAAGAGAGGTTATTTATAATTCAAGTTCAATTAAATTAGATTCAACTTACTTAAATGTTTCAAGACCTAGTTTAAATAAAAATGAATCGAATACTTATGTGTCATTAGCGTATCATATTACAAATTTATTTAAAAAAATTGTTGCAAATGATGAAAAAGGTTCAGAAAGAAATTTGCATATAGGAGCAAATATAAATCCATTAAATCAGGATCCTTTCAAGTATTTAACATTAAATCCTAGTTGTATGACAAGAGTAATTGACTTAAATACAAAGGTGAAGAAAAATTCAAGTCCTTTCAACCCATTTAATAAATTGGTAAATTTACTAAAACCTACAAATTTCAAAGATTTAAAAGAACATACAAGTGTAAAGATTTTAAAGCTATCAAATTACAATCTAGATGATATTTCAAAATTAATCGTATCAACTCATGTAAATATTTTAAATGTTTTTCAATTGGATAAGAATAATAATTTTGAAAATACGAAAAAGATTCAAACTAAATCACCAATTATACCATTTACTGAAGAAACTATTAATGAGAAAATTATTGAGGAGCCGATTTTGAGAATAAAGTTTGATGATGATTTAATAATTACTGCATTATCCACGGTATATCTCAAAAGTGAATGTGTTATAATTTTAGGTTTCCAAAATGGTGATATAATGTACTTAAATTTAAATGATTTGAAATATCAAATTTTTCATTATAATCAGGAGTGTAAAAAAATCAGTACAGATGGTGTTACAACAATTGAATGTATAAATCATCCAAATTATGAGTTTTTAATCATAGCTGGTTACTCAAATGGTGAGATAATCATATTAAATGTATTTGGAGAAGTTGAAGAATATCATAAAAAGACAGTTTTTAAGGATGCAAATATAACATATTTCCGTCAATTTGATTTATCACCTTTCACAACGAATCAACAGCAAATAATTGGACATTTTAAATTAAGTCATAAACCTATAACATCTATTAGCTCCACACTACCATTAAATAAACCATATTTATCTGACTCTCAGCCTTTGTTAGTTGCAATTGCATCTGATGACGGTTTTGTTAAGATTATAGATTTACTATTTACATTCGACGAAAAGAATATTGTGACTGACGTGATTTCAAATTATTTTAATTGTTGTATAACTGAAGTAAAATTTTCATTTGATTATAAATTTTTAGTAATTGTTGGCAACGGTGATTTAATTGAAGTTTTCAAAGTGAGTTATTATAATATAAATGGATTATTAAAGGGAAGAAAGAAATTGGATGAAAATATTAATTATCCACCTATGATGAAAGACATTCAAATAGTTACAAGATTAAAAGGTCATACTAATACTGTTAAATCAATAAAATTTCTTGAAGAAGATTCATCGACAAATTCTTATAAATTAATAAGTTGTGGTTTTGATGGAAAAGTAATTATTTGGGAATTTGATTATAAGGCATTGCCTAAAATAAAACTTCCTACCAAAAAGGATGTGAAAAAACATGAAAAGAAACAAAGTATACCTCATGCATTACCTATCAAAAATGTTAGAAATAGTCTATTATCACCACCATCATTTACAAATTTAACAAATTCAACTACAATGAACATGACTAGTTTATTACAACAAGATGAACAACAACAGGTGAATTACGATCCAGAAATAATATTTTCATTATACAAATCATTATATGAAATTAGACTAAAAAGATTTTATAAAAAGAAGAATAAATATCAAAATATAATTTTACCAATTACAAATGATAAACTAGTTCCATCAATTATAATACCATCATGTGTAATTGATTTGTCATGTTTGATACATGATGGAAAATTAGATTCTTTTTATATAGATGAATCTACATTATGGTGTTTTGGAAAGAATGGTGATTTGTTTAAATATCTAATTAGTTGAAATGTATATTTCCATCTAAACCATATACTAAATCTTCTTCTAACCTATAATATTCAGGATTTGATTGTTCTAAGTAAGCAAAATCATTTAATTCTTGTGGTCTTGGATAATCTTTTTCCAAATCATTTGTCATATTAGTTTGCAATATATCATCTTGATAATATTGTTCTGCCTGTTGTTCCTCCTTTTTTTGTAATTGTAATTGTAGCTGTATTTGTTGTTGTTCTTCAATTGGTTTTCTTACAAATTCTCTAAAATTTTTAACCTCATTTATTATTAATTGTTTCATATCATCAATTTCATCAAAATTTTCAAAACTTTTAAAATCAAATTTAATTTGACATTCTGGTTCATCTTTTGGATCATGCCATATCTCCAAATATTTATGATTTAATGCATCTTCTACCGATATTCTTTTATAAGGATCTAATGTTAACATTCTTTCTAATAAATCTAATGCTAATGGATTTGCCAGAGGGAAAATTTCTGAATAATTTATTTTTTGCATAAATGGCAATGATCGAACATAATTTTGAGCTCTTTGTGAACCTATTTTGGTTAATGTTTCCTCTGGTGGAGTACCCAAAATCATTAAAATTTGATTTAATTGATCAACATAATCTTTACCTCTAAAAATTGGTTTACTACCCAATAATTCTGCCAATATACAACCAACTGACCAGATATCTATTGCTTTTGTATAATTTGTGAAACTTAACATAATTTCAGGTGCTCTATACCATCTCGTTGCCACATATTCAGTCATAAAACCATTATTTTCATCTGGATTTTCACTAAATCCTCTTGCTAAACCAAAATCACAGATTTTTAATTCACAATCAGCATTTACTAATAAATTACCAGGTTTTAAATCTCTATGTAATACGTCTGCCAGGTGGATATATTTTAATCCACATAAAATTTGATATATAAATGATTGATAATGTGAATCTGTTAAAGGTTGGCCAGATCGAATAATTTGATGCATATCACATTCCATTAATTCTTCATATAAATATATTTCATTAAACTCTCCAGTCATTGGATTTGGAATTATATCTAAATCATACAAACAAGTTATATTTTTGTGACCTCTGAAAAATTGAAGTAATTTTAATTCTCGAAGTGCTCTTTTACAAAGAATCTTTTTGGAAAATATGTTTGTAATTTTCTTTATAGCGACGTACGATCCATCAGATGTTGAATGTGAAGACCCTGTTTGTTGATGTGACTCACCATCATCATATTTTGCTGAACAAACTATACCATAGGCACCATGTCCTAATTCTTTAACAATTTTGAATCGACGATCAATAATGAATTCTTGATTATAAACCTTATTAACACTTCTACCATAGTATATACCTGATGAGAATTCTTGCATAATCAGTTGTAAAATGAATGAAATTATCTTAAATGAATGACTTAATGATAAATTTTCAATTTGAAACAACGAAAAAAAAAAAAAAAATTAAGATGAAATGATTTTGTGTTAGAAGTGTAACAATTTGTGACTGAACCAATTATAATTGGGGATAGCTGAAGGAGTGTAAATAAGAATTGCAAATTCCAGTCTATATATGTTGAATTTGAAAAAAAGTTATTAATAAAAAATTTTATGTATGTTTATTTAATGCTAAAAATAGATATGTCGAAAATGTTAAATGGCAAATGGAATAAATTACTAAGTTCAAAATTTAATTGTTAGAGCAGTAATTTAATTGTTAGAGTAGTAATTTAATTTGAAATCTTTAACGAACTATCATCATTTACTATACTAAGTATAATTTGCAGCTAAAATTTCATGATTACGCAACAAAACATAATTGAGTTGGGATCATACAATGCTTCAACAAGAGATTTGAGTAAAATGAACTCATCGCTACAAAGATGAAGTTAATACATTCTTGTTTGTATTGTCAGTAGATTATAGGGAATGGTTAGTTGGATCTTAAATCTCAAAGTTTCTAAAAATAGATTTGCTTTGGAATTTTTTTTGGAATTTTTTTTTCGATCGTAAATATAAACTATATGAGGCTTTATTCACAATATTCATTTATTAACGTTTTTAACCAACTTACATGAATAGAACACCTCATTGAATAATGGAGCCTTTTTTAAAAAAAATTCGGCTAACTTTGAGAATTCTTTTTTTAAGATAAAAAATCGCCGTATCATGCAATGTGATAACTGACTATTCTTTTTAATTGAATCTTTAATTTTGTGTTTAAATTCGTGCCTGAGGTTTTAAAGTCAAACTTGAATAAAGATATTAGGGCTAAGATAAGAAGATCTGAACGATATTATGAGCTCCCTAAAATTCAAATTTCTCTACAACGAATAAAACAATTTATAGAATAGGTTACCAATAAACTTGAACAAGTTAAATTCTATTTTTATAATCTCCAGACTAATTTAACAAACTGTGCGTCAATTACTCTTCATATTAGATGAATAGTATTGAATTCTTCATTGGTGCTTATTATCAATTTAAATTTTATATTCACTCACCTATCATAAAATACTGTTGATAAGAAGCTTCTTCACAATACAAGGATACAAATATATTTCACTCTAGATAGTTGATCTTCCTTATTGAAATAGAATAAGCGAAACCATCTCAATTTTAATAATATGCTCTGTATTTCCATACTAGTCTAATCAGGTCCATAAATTTGGATCCCACTCATGTAGCTTTATTCATACTTTTCAAAATATTTATCTAATTGTTTAAATCCATTAATCAAATCATTGGTACTATTACCAAACCCAATTCTTAAAAATCCAGGATAATTAAAAACCTCACCAGGTACAACCAAAGTTTTAAATTCATCAGCTAAAGTAGTACAAAGATTAAAAGTATCAAACTTTGATGCAACTTTAATAAAACAAACAGAGCCACCCAAAGGTTTCATAAAATCTAAATATTTATGATTTTCAACATAATCACTTATAATTTTCAAATTTTTTTCACATAATTTATCATTTCTATTTAATATTGATTTATAATGTTTTAATGCAAAAGCAGCCAATAGATCATCAATCATTGAAATGGATATCATATTATAATCTCTTTTTGAAGTGATTTGTTTCATTATTTCTTTATTTTTTGTGACTATCCAACCTAATCTTAATCCAGCCATTGAAAATGCCTTTGACATTGAACTAGTTGAAATAACATTATCATAATCATAACTAACAATTGATTTTGGTGTATCTATTCCTCTTGTATATAATGGACGATAAACTTCATCGCATAATATAATCACATTATGTTTTTTACAAATTTCAACTACTTTTTTTAATTGTGTATCATCGATGACAGCCCCTGTAGGATTATTTGGGTTATTTATAATTAATAATTTCGGATTTTGACTCATGAAAGATTCGAGTTCATCAATATTTAATTTATAGTTATTTTCATATTTCAATTTCCACGATAAAACAGTATTTTCACTAAATAGTTTCGAAACTGATGGTAATTGTTGATATGTTGGATCAACACATATGACTTTATCACCTGGATTAACAATTGAATATAAAGTTAAGAAATTTGCACCTATTGCACCGTTTGTAATTATAATATCATCACTAGTCAATTCAGTTTCATATAATTGTTTAATCGATTGCTTCAATTCTGGTGATCCTTTAATATGTCCATATGTTAATTTCGTATCCAAAAGTTGCAGAACCAATTTAGATTTTTCTAAGTCATTTTGAATTAATTCAAATACTTGGTTTATACTGATTGATTCACAACATGTCTCTGCCATATTATTAGTTATTGAAGTTTCATATTTATCCATGAATTGTTCAACTTCAAAATCTTCTTGGTAAACCATAATGAATCGGTGTTGATTGTTTCTCTGAAAGTTTCAACAGGTTAAATCGATGATTTATTTAATTGTATGGTTGATTGGTTGAAAATTGCGCTTGCACTTTGAAAAATTTCGCTCCAATCGAGATCTGAATTTTCCTTTGCAGCCAAATTGTAAATGAGCGATATATAAGAACCTATCGCTGGTCTCTATAACTTGCTGGAGCTTCTTTTGATCCCGTCCCCGACTCGCGAAATTAGTTTGAGGACAACACTTCTCTTTTATGTTAATCTCAAAGTCTTTTATAAAATTTCTTTCATTGATCATCACTGAAACTGTACATAGCATGGGTTCAGACCGGAAATCTGCTATATTTTGGTTTTTTTATACTCTTGATACAAAGCTGGAAAATACGCTTGAGTTATGGTTTCATTTAACGTGTATTCACCTCAATTTTCTTAAGTAGTTGTGGATAGATCATTACAAATCTTCTTATGAACTGTACTTCATTAGTTCTGGATGGTCCAATTTTTTGTTTTCCGTGGTTCAGATGTAGATTCAAAGTTGCTTGTTGTTGTTAAATGAAATTCATTCTTTTACCAACGATTTGAATATTTTGTGAAATGTTAGTTCTGGACTGGTGCAGAAGCTCCTACTCTCACTCAAAGTGTACTCGAGACCACTAGAACTAATTGAATCATAATGAGCTAATTGAAGATGATAATGATTTTTGTTAAAATAATTTCCAGAAAATGGGAAAATACAAATGGTACCAGAAATTTAATTGAAGTCAACTTCCCTTAGATTGTTCATTGAATTATATTTTCTCCTCAGTGTTCTGGTTTCAATAGTAGTAATCAATTCACATTCAATATCTACGAGATTATAAAATGCAAGGGGATAGTATACATTAGATACACATGAAAATCTAAAAAAGCTTAATCATACATCCGGCTAAGGTTACAAATGTATTTGTTTATTCTTTAGCCATTTTGCAGTGATAATTAAACAGTTCTTGAAGGTTTTTGAACATTTCGATGTCAATCAACTGTGCATAATCAACCCATCCGGCCCCACACTAAACCCGATAGTGCATGATACAACTATAACAATGTAACAATTTCAACCAAACAATATATGGAGTTTCTTGTTTTGATCATTTTAGTTATCATTTTAAAATCGCAAATCTCAATCAAAGCATCATTTAAAATTTTAGATCGAATTGAATTTTAGACTAGTTTCATTAATCTCACTGGCTGGTAAATGATTGTTTAATTTTGCCACTCGATTTAAATTTGCTTTAAATTCACCATTTATGAATTTAAAATTTTTCTTATCAATAATGTTGCAATCAAAAGTTAAAAGCTCCCACACGTTTACAAGATAGAATTAAAGTTATATCCCTTGAATTGTGGAAAATGCAAAACTGCTTGAATCTTTCAAAGTTTATAGTTTATACCTAATAGCTTAAAAAATTGTCAAAAAAATATCAAAAAAGTTCAAATGATAAAAAATTTTTGGAAGAAATGTTATTTAATCCGGAATTGTGAATTTGTGGAGAGAGCAGCTAGGAGCTATGAAAATAAATATTATATTTTAGTGGGAATTGAAATATACGAAAGCATAATTACGGTGTTTGAAGACATTATAATTATTCCACCACATTATGTCACATATAAGATCTCTTACTCTCGGTATCTCTTGGAATTTTTATAAGACATATTAAGAAAAAGAATCAAATCGCCTTTAAAATTTAATTATCATTGGCAGTCTAAAATGACTAATTATTTGTATAATTGCGAATTATAATGAATTAGCTACAATGGATTTATGTGATTTTACTTAATGTGATATGGATTTATGTGATTTTACTCAATCTCACTTCAGATTTTGTAACTCCTTAAACTAAATACTTCTAAAAGTATGAGATCATTTAAACTTTAAACTTTTAGAGTTTTAAACTTAGTTAAAATTTCTAAATTTCTTAATTTTAACAAGAAAGAAGAAAGATTATTTTAATTTTTAAAATAGAATGTTATTGTTACTTACGTGTACTATTTTAAGTAGAATTGATGAGCAAAGGTCTTCAGGATTCAAATAATGTAACCTCAAATAAACAATTGATGAGTAGTTAGTTGCCTTGAAATACAAATATAATGTAGAGATCTGGGATATTATATAGTAAACTGGTCATTGATTGAAATTGAATATTTTGACAAGTAAAAAATAAAATTTTTATTGTTTTGATTATATAATCATATGCAATAGAAGCTAAATAATAAACAAAATTTACGGTAAATGCAAGATGTGTTAATTGTTAACTATGACTAGACCAATTACACAAAACTGAAAATCTAAAAACAATCTACAATCGACTCGATATATAATTCAAGAGAATGAAAATAATCTGACTTTAACTCCGTCTAGCCAATATAAAATAAAGTATCCAAGATCAAAGGTAATAATGAGATTTATAATAAAATCATACCACTAAATCATTCACCCTCTTTGATTTTCTTTGATTTATTATTCTCAGGCGGTGATTGAAAACTCTTTTGATCCATAAAACTACAAAATAATGTCCTCTTAGAGAAAAAATAGCCACAATTATTAACAAGTTAGGGTGGTTCATTATAACTAGTTCAAAAAAATAATTGAAATCGATGATGTTACAATGGGCTCAAATTACCAGAATAAATGTATTAACATGTAAGAGCCAAAGAAAAAGTTAAGATCTAATCTTTGTTGATATTATAATTCAATTAATGTTTGTTTTCTGCTTCAAATTTAAACTTTTGATCACAAAATATAGAATAATAATTATTATTTCTTGGAACACCAAATTTCGTTCTTAATTATCATTATCATCATCATTTCATATCTTCATTTCTAATAACCATATATATTCATATATTTAACACTTTTCACATTCTTATTCTTTTTCTATTTTGCAACTTCATTTCATTACAAAGTTTATTTTATATTATTGTTGATAATTGAATATTCATTCAAAACCTTATTTGTTATATAAAAGTTTAAACAGATACTTTATTTAAATCCCTCGATCGATTTTTAAAAAGTTTAAAAAAAGATTTGGAATCTACCTGACTATAAATATATCAAATAATCTTCAAATTTTTGTTATATTTATCTGATATTATTCTTCGTTATTAATACAACATACATACAATTTATATTTAACGAGAAAGAGAAAAAAAAAAAAAAAATTGATTCAATCTGAAACCATCAACTTATTCAAATTAGTTTAATTTATATATTGAAAACTAAATAATTTCAATGGATTCTTCAAACAAAGATAGACTTGAAGATTTAGCATTATTATTCTTACCTGACATTTTAAATACTGTACAATCAACAAACTCAAACACAAACCAATCATCTCCAAATAATCAAACCAATTCCAATAATTCGAATAATAATACTACAAATACTGGTGCTAATCCCGAGAATAGTAATGATTCAAGTTTCACTTATCATCAAACACCATCGCATCAACATCAGCAACATTCACATTCATCATATCAAGATTTTTTAAATAATAACAATTTTATCAATAGATCAACCGAAAACATGCTACAGCAAAATAATTATAATCAACAGCTACTATCCAGTCAATATTCACATATGAATCATTTCAATCCATATTATCCATATGAACAACAATCACAACCATCACAACAACAAATTGCACCACCCCCCACCCAACAACCTAATCAATTAATGTATCAAAATCAATATCAACAGATTTATCAACAAACACCAGAACCACAACAAATATTACAACCAAATCAACAACAATACAATACTGGTAATTATGACGACGCATCTAATGTTGTTGAATCTTCACCTAAAAAGAAGAAACAAAAGGGTCGTAAGAAAGATTTCAAACATATTGAATATCAAATTGATCTTAAACCAAGTAAATTGAAAAGTTTATTGGACTTTAAACCAAGTGGTATTACAAGTATTAATGATTACAAAATTATTGACAAATATAATAATGAAGTACAAATTGAATTTTCAGGTTTTTTGAATGGTAGATTTTTAACTAATGATATTGATAATAATAATTATATCTTTACCAAGAATGAGTTAAATAAAAATAAAGAATGTACAAATATAACGGGTAAAGTTGATCCAAAAGTAATCTCATGTTATAGGAGAAATTATATTCAAATAAATATGAATTTGCAGTTGAAGCTGATGAAAAGTAAGCTTTTAAAGCTTATTTGTAGTGAGTATGGCTACCAAACTACTCGTGTAATCAAGTATTTCAAGATAGAGATTAGTGCTTGTACTAATCTTAGTAATAGCAAGAGTGTTGGTATAATTATCAAGAAAGAAGAACAAAAAAAATCAAATCCAGAATACAAGGAAGATTTAATAGTGTATACTCCAATCAACAATGTTGATACTATCATAAACTTACAAGATGCTGAGATCAATGACAATAATGAAATTGAAAAATTTTATACAATCAAAAAGTTGCAATTCAAAAATGCCACCCCAAATAATGGAAATTTAACTTTTCAAAACTACTACCATTTGAAAGTAAAATTATCCTGCATTGTGGCGGATATCTATTTTGATGATTACATCGAAGAAGATGAAGGCAAAAATGAAGATTTAAGCAACACCAATGAGATTATTTTAAGTGAATTGGTTTCAACTCCAATTATTGTTAGAGGTAGAAATCCCAGTTTCTACTCAGAAAGAAAAGACCTCTTAATAAAGGGAAGAAGTCCATCTTCTAAGAAGTCTTTTCGAAAATTGAATGAAGAATCTTTGAGTAATTTTCGTTTAGATTCAAATAATTCAAATTTGAATATTTATTCCCACACTAGTTCTGAAAACGAAATAGAAAATGATAATGAGCATGATATTGATAATGAACAAGATCTTGAAAATGAAATTGACGTTGATAATGAATTAGATTTAGATATTGATGCAAATTCTCCAATTCTGACAAATTTAGATTTAATTGAAAATAATGAAATTTTACCAAATTTATCTTATTCAACAAATAATTCAAATAATTTAATATCTAATCCAAATGGTAGTGGTGATAATAATTGTGAAATTGGTTCAAATGAAAAATACAAATATTTTCCTATATCAAGTGTTTATTATTTGCCACCTGTTAATGTTGTTTATTTTCCACATAGAGCTCATCATCCGAATCAAAAAGATGATAATGATTCAAATAGTCAAATTGAAAAAATTGATACGAGGTCTTCAAATGTTTATTTTAAATAATAAGTTCAAGTTTATATCTACAAACTACAAACAAATTAATAGAATAACTTCATTAATTGATATTGATGCTTTTTACTTAGGTTTGTTTTATAGGTTTGTTTAATAGTTTTATGTATCTAATGTCAAATTGTAATGATAAAATGGTAAAAATCAACTTCTTTAATATTTATCGATGTAAAAATGTAAGAGAAAACTTTCACGAATTTCACCTAATCTAATTTCAACAGTAACTAATCTGTCCACAACCTTTTCAGAAATTTTGACTGATTTGAAGCTATAAAGTGAATCGATTGGTGTAAATTCTTTGAGGCAGTAATTTGGTGCGACAGAAAATATCTCGCACTGGCTTTGAGGCGACCTCGTGCTACACTTATTGATTAATTTGTCATGAACAACTCAATTTCTCAAGATAAAAACCAGCTGCATGAAATCAGGAGCTTTAAATTGTATAGTCAAGGTACTTAAAACTTTATAATTTAAACAATTATTTTCTGACAAGAATTTTTAAGCTTATTTCACCATACAAAAAATTTGCAAAAACTAATAATGCAGAAATTATAACTTTTAATTAAACAACGAATTACATAAATTATACCTCAAATCAATCTGCTGGACGTCATTCTGTTTAATTTAACGCGAAATTGAGAAATTCTGAAATTTTCTCTCAAGTATGGGACAAATCGAATAATTTGACTTTAAAAAAATCCAAGTCCACAATTAATATTCAAAATTATTCATGATAAAACTATCCAGTTTTGTATATCCTGCATACTGATAGATCTTGGAATTTTTTGTGTTAAGGTGTTCATGATTGGAATATTAATTTTTCAAAAGTGTTTCGAAGTTTCGAAAAAATTTCAAACTAATTATGCATCTTGAACATATCATACATGTTGATAGAACCGAATGAATTGTATTAAAATTGCTACATAAAGTCTAAGTGCTATTTATCTCCCAAAATAGCGTTTTTCTCCATTTCTTAAAAGACGAATAACGTAATCAAAATTATGTTTTACTGAAAAAAATTAATATCAGTTTGCTTCAACTACAAAATTATGTTGATCTTGGGTATACTAAAATCAGCATACTCTAAATGCGTTGACTCTTATAATAAACTAAGTTTGAGAAAGAGAACTTGATTATTGGAGGAGTTATTACAATTCAAATTTCAGGGCTGACACTGTAAGACCTGCATATAAGTCAACTATGTTTCAGATTTTCTAAAGTAGGCTCTCGACCGGTGTGGGACAAGAGAACGGCCTGATTTAGTTTTTCTCAAGGCGAGAGTTAGTACCTATATCGGAATACGTATTAAAAAACTATTTACAAAAAGAGCAGGCAAACCAATTGGTCGAATGAGCCATTTCATGAAACTAACTGGCCTAAACCCTTTTCTCCACAACTATTTATAGTTTTTCTTCAAAAAAATGTTGCACCAAATCGAGAAAAGCAGCTCGTTTACCAATTAATTAATTGACCTTCAATTTACCTCGAATTAATACAAAAATTAATTAATCATTCGAAAGGAAGGTTCAAAATGATTAAGGTTATATACACTCGTTGCAGATATTTTTTCAAACTCCAACGACAATTGACTAATTAATATAAGAAATATGATTTCAAAGAAACCATAAAGTTTCCAATTTTAATATATATTCAATAAATAGTCATATAAAATATTTTTGAACTTATTCTTTAATAACAATTGAAGCAGCTCCCATACCAGTACCAACACACATTGAAGTTAAACCAATTTCACCTTTTTTCAATAATCTTAAAATTGTTGCATATTGTCTTGCACCAGTACAACCTAATGGATGTCCTAAAGCAATAGCACCACCATTAATATTTAATTTTTCTTTTGGAATGTTACAAGTTTCAGCTGAATATAAACATTGAGCAGCAAAAGCTTCATTTATTTCAAAAACTGAAATATCAGAAACTTTCAAACCAGTTCTAATTAAAACTTCAGGTATAGCATAAGCAGGACCAACCCCCATAATTTCCGGTGGAACACCGACTACCAGGCAACCGATGAATTTAGCTTGGATATCATAACCTTTTTCTTCAGCTAAAGATCTTCTCATTAATAAAACGGCAGCAGCACCATCTGAAATTTGTGAAGCATTACCAGCAGTTGTTGAACCACCAAAAGCTGGTCTTAATTTAGATAAACCTTCAGCATTAACACCTTTTCTTGGACCTTCATCAGTGTCAACTACAACTTCTTTAATAGTATTACCATCAGCATCTCTAATTATTGATTTAATTGGAAGAATTTCATCTTTAAATAAACCTTGACTAATAGCGTTTTCAGCTTTTTGATATGAGTCAGCGGCAAATGCATCTTGTTTTTCTCTTGAAATATTAAATTGATTACTAACATTTTCATTAGTAATACCCATTGGAATAAGACATTTAGCCATTTGTTCATCATCTCCTAAATGAGGATCAATTTTAGGCATTGCTTTATGATAATATTGAGACATTGATTCAATACCACCAGCAACACCACATTCAATTTCACCACATTTAATTTTATTAGCAACATCAGAAATTGCAACAAGACCACTTGAACATAATCTATTAACAGCTAAAAATGCAGCAGTATAAGGAATACCAGCAGCTAATGCAGCACCTCTATGTTCGGTCGCACCAGCAGCTTGATTTAAAACATTTCCCATAACAACATCTTCTATTAAATTTGGATCAACTCCTGTTTTTTTAATAAATTCTTCAAGAAAATTTTTTAAAATATATTCGGTACCAACTGATTTAAAACTACCTTTAAAACCTTTACCTATAGCAGTTCTATAAGCACCAACTATAACAACATCATCAGGATTTTTGGCAGTTAAAGAATTTTTTGATGAAGGACTTAATTGACCAGATAATTGTTTTAATCTATCCATAATAAAATATTTTCTATATTAATATGTTGTTGTAATAATGAATTAAAATAAATTTGCAAAAAAAGACAGTAATCAAAAATGGAGAACGGGAATTATATAAATATATATATATGTAGTAGTAGTAGTAGTAGAATATGATAAAAAAATGTTATACGCTTGTGATTTAGTACGAATAGATTCGCCCGCCGCCCACACCCCACAATTTATTTTTCTTTTTTTATACCCAGGGGTAGTGTAAATTGGAAATAAATAATATACTATTATGAAGTACCGAGGATTATTATTATTATTATTATTATTACTATTATTTACCAAGACGCTTTTGTACTATCGGTTTAATACTAATTTAGAAATTTACAATTCGATTTATTTATCCAACGGTTAATTATATTTTAATTATTTATTTATATCGTTTCTCGTTCAAATGAGAATATTCCAATAAATGGTTCTAAATCATCTGGTCTACCTTCTGGACATTTACCTCTAAATATTAAAGTTGGTATATTTATATCATCTTCTTCTCCATTATTAGTACTATTTTCATTACAATTAGTATTTAGCACATTCTTATTTTTTATATCTTCATTTTCATTCGGTTGTTCATTACCATTTTCATCTTGTTTCATAAATATTTTAGTAAAATCAATTCTCAACATTCCTTCATTATCTACTATAACATATAATTTATATTTTTGATTAATTAAATCATTACTATCATTATAATGTATAAAACCATTTGTACTACCGGTTATTAAACCCATTGTTGAACCAATACCCATGATATTTGTACCGTTAATCTTTATATATAATCCACTCAACCCAAATGGTGAGCAATGTATTTCTAAATCACATTCATTAGCATATTGAAATGTTACTTGTTCATTTGTCATTAAATCATTCATTATTTTTTGACAGAAGTTGTTTATAAAATAGAACGTAATTTTTTTTTTTTTTACCATTACACAAAATAAAACTATTAAGTTTTATATTTTGCAACTATTTCAATCCATTAATTAAAATCATTTTTATCAAGTATAAACTCATCTAGATTATTTGTAAGATAATTAATGATTGATAATATACTATTGGTACCAAAATTATAATCATTAAAATTATCAATTAAATTTTTTTCATATTTTTTATATTCTTTCGTAATTTTAACTAATTCAAATTGATCATTATCATTATAATAGTTTAATATAAAATTACTATTAAAATTATTTCGTAAATTGATTGTAAGTTTAACTTCTGGATAATTGATAGGTATAGTGACCATTAAATTTATAGTCTTATTTAATTACCATAAACAGGACATTTTTTATAAATTAGTATTGAAAGTTTATATATTCTTTTCAATTTGTGATTTTCTACAATTTTGCATCTAATTTATTAGTGAATTCAGTGGTTAACTTGTTGTTGAGGTTCAATAAATCCTTAGATACTTTGGGAACCAGTTCTTTAGGTGGAGCTGATTCCATCACTTTTTGAACTTCTTTCTTTACATTCTTTTTTTTTCCTTCCAATGGTTTTTTCTTTTGTTTAACAAATTTAATCGTCTCTCTCTTTTCTTGAGATAAGAAGAACTCCAAATATTTATCCAACGTTAAAATCATTGAATACAACCCTGGCCCTTCAACTAAATTTATCTCTTCATCATCTTTTATTATACCTTGAGCAATTTCAACTATTCTTTCAAACAATAATTATAGCAAAATCTTTTTGGAATTTCTTCATTTAAAACATTTATCTTAGGTTTTTGAGATTCGGGTGGTATAATTATATTAATTTTCAACTTTTCTAATTCAAAAGGAAAGTCGGGATACGGGATCTGATGGTTTTATAATAAATAATACACAAATAGATGATTCTGGTTGTTTTTAATAAATTCAGATAAATATTTCTGTAAATATGATAACCTAGCATGATCTTTATAAACTTTAAAATGATTTGAATCATAGTTCTCCTTTTGTTTAATTTTGGATATTATAGATTTTGTAGACTCCCCAATTATTGTTATTGACATAATCTTTCAAATTAACTTTGATATTCGTAAAAATTCGATATCTGACCTCATAATAATTTGTATATATCAATGATAAAAGTGACTTACAAATATGTTGCAACTTTTGATAAATTTAAATGTCTAATTTTTTTCGCAACGCGACTCATCGGAATTATAACCAGGAATGGAAATATATAATTAATGACTAACTATTTGTAATTAAACATTAGATGCTAATATTGAAGAAAACATTTAATTACTTAATTGTTAATAAACCATCGGGGATAATATGTGATACAAAAAGGAATAATAATATTATACAATTAATCATAGAAGATTTAAAAAAGGATTTACCCTTCGTAAGTTCTTCACAATTTAGAATTGTTCAAAGATTGGATAAATATGTTACTGGAGGTTTAATTATAGCTAGAAATGGTAAATTTGCCAAAAAATTGAATATTGATAAGGATTTGGTGCTAAAGAAATATGTTGGTTTAATTGGATATCAAAATGAATTAAAATCAAAAGTTAAAATGGTTGACAATTTCGGAATCATTGAAAATGACGTAGTAGCATATAATGAAAGATCTAAATTGATGCAAAATTATAATGCAAAAACTCATTTTAAATTACTACCACATATGAAAACTAAATCATTAGGTAAAAATGTCATACCAATAATAATTCAGATTGAAACAGGTAGGAAGAATCAAATTAGAGATCATATATATCAAAATTTTACAACTACATTATTAAATGATGATAAATTTCCATTATTCAAGACAATTACATCAAATGATAATTCTATTAATTTGAATTCGGAGATTTTTAAAAGTAATCAAATTGGATTACATTGTGGATATTTGAAAATGGGTAATGATGAGTATACATTCCCGTTGATAGATGATGATCAAGAATTATGGAGTAATTACATAACTGAAGATGGCCAATTAATGGAAGAAATTAAACATGAATTGATAAAGTTTGAAGTTTAGTCAAATTATTACTTCAGTAGAATTAGAAGGTGGTAAAGTGTATGCATGAGCATTAGAGGATGATCAAGAGTTATGGATTGATTATATAACTGTAGGTGGCCAATTAAGAGACAAAATCAAGTAAGGGCAGCCTAAATTTGAGATTCAATTAAATAGTTTACATTCAGATGTATATGAAATAGTCAACGAGTGCGTATTGACACTAATTTGTGACGATCAAGAGATTGAAAGTGATTATTACACTGCAGAGGGCCAATTAGCGGACGAAATTAAACAAAATTTTGAAATTTGATTAGATTTGTTACATTCAGGTGATTTTGAAAGTGACGGCGAAGCTAACATAAATATCGATAGGTGATAAACAAGTGTTTTAGATTGATTAGAAGACTACCGGTGGCCAAACAGTAGATGAATTCGAATAAAATTTTGAAATTCCGTAGGTAACTTACAATGGGTTGTTTTTGAAATTCACTATGAGACTGTATTAGGATTAATTGGTGAGGATGAGGAAGTTCGAAGTGGAAGTGATTACATAAGTGCCAACGGCCACTTATGGATAAATCTGAAATAAATTTTGAGATTTAATCAAATTATTCACATTCAAGTGTTTCTGAAGTTGATTGTGAGTCTACATTATCATTAATAGGTGGTGATCAAGTGCTCTAGAGTGATTGTATCTCTGCAGAGTGTCAACTACTTGATAATGACTACTTAATTTTGAAAATTGAGTTATTTTATATCATTATAATGGTTTTAAGCTGATACAAAAGATGTCGTATCCTTTATATGTAGTTATCAAGTATTTGGATTGATGAATCAGCTAACTATAGTCAACTTATGGATGAGAATCCAATAGAATTGATTCATTTTGAGTATTATAGACAGCTTATATACACTTCCAAGACTAAAGAAACCAGAATCATCTTTCCTTGGTGTTGATGAATATCAATTTCAAAAAGCTATTTTAACTTAACATCCTTAGTCTCGATAGTGACATCATAAATCAACAACTATCAACATAATTTCACATCAATCAATTCGCTACCAATTTCACATGACAAGCTGCAAAAGTAAGACTGTGGCTCATTTTTTCATTTAATAATAATGCAATGTTTCAAATTTTAAATGGTTATTAATTAGCAAATTCTATTTGGATGAAAACTACAAAAGAGAAAAGAGCATCAATAGCTTGCAATACTTGTCGAGAATCGAAACTAAGGTGTATTAATAATTGTGATCAATCTTCATGTCAACGATGTTCAACATTAAATTTACCATGTACATATACTTTAAAAACAAGTCAATTAAAGAAAAGAAAACTAACAAAAATGTTTAAACCCACTATTACAAATCTAGAAATCAATACGGTGATACTACCAGACAAGAAATTAATTATTGAAGTTGTTGAAATTTTTTTTGAAAATCAATATAAAGGAATATTTCCATTATTTCATAAACCAACATTCATTACATTTTTAAAAAGTGATTCATTCAATCCTACAACCTTCATAAATACAAAAGAAGGTAAAGATTTTATAATCCCTACTCCAGTCACATTATTAGCTATATTGGCTCTTTGTTCAAGATTACATTCTGAATTGCCTAAAATTTATGGAAATTTTGATGAATTAAGGCCTAATGACTTCTTTCCACATTTCACTCAAGTTATAAATTTGGATTCTGCTGCTAATTCAAGTAAATATTTTGGATTTCATTGTAAACGATTAATTGGAATGGAATTTGATAATCCTACAATTTCAAATATTCAAGCATTATGTATTTTGAGTAGTCATGAATGGGGTGAAGGTAATGCTACTAAAAGTTATATGTATAGTGGTATAGCAGCTAGAATGGCATTTATATTAGGATTAAATAAAGAACCTAAAATTGAAATTGAATATGACAATTTTCAAAATTGTTTGAGAATGGAAAGTAAAAGACGAGCAATATGGTCTGTTTATATGATGGATCGATGTAATGCAAGTGGGAGAAAGAGTAATTCAGTTATAAATTTAGATGATATACATGTGAATTTACCTTGTAGTGAAAAGGAATTTTTATTTGGAAATATGAATAAATTGAAAACTCGAGATGAAGTTGCTCAATTAATAGATGATTCAGACATTGATGAATTGAATTATGTTTCATGTAATGGGTTTTTAATTACACTATTTGAAACATGGAGGGAAATTTCAAAATGGGTAGGTGAAACAGGAGGCAAATTGGAAAAATTACCACCATGGGATACAAATTCTCCATATTACAAATTTTCAAAAACATTAGACAATTTTGAATTAAACCTACCTAATCATTTGAAATTTGATCAATTCAATATTCAAGCTCATATTGCTGATAATTCAGCTGCAGATTTTGCTTATTTTCATGGTTTATTCTTTTTATGTAAAATATTCCTTAATAGAGAATATTTTTATCTGAGTCCAACTAGTTCACCTAAAAATTGGTGGTTTGAACAATCAAATGAATTATTTGAGTTACTTGATAAATTAGATTCAATTACAAAAATTTTAAAACCAATGAATTTAATGGTTATTGCACCATTTACAGGATTCCAAGTTTTTACTACAAGTGCAACTGCTTATTATGTAAGTGCATATCCATCAAAGATACTAAAAAGGCAATTTCCAAATCAAAATTTAAATAAAAAATATCTTAAAATGGGTGATGATTCATTAGAAACTTTGAAAAGTTGGCTGAAATCATGGGGACTAGGTAAAAATTGGATTGAGACATTAAAAGGTTTGAAAGAAGTATTTGGTAAAGTTTCAAATTTAGATGATGATTTAAGACATAAAATGCATGATTATGGAAATATTGATCAAACAATGCAAATTAAAAATTTAATAACAATTGATGAAGGTCCAGTTTTGGATTTCATGAATAATTTGAATTTATCTGGTATATTTCCTGATTGGAATAATGCAATGAATATTCAATTATAGACTTGTTTATTTAATAGACATATCTATAAAGTAAATGCCACTCTGTCAATTCTAAAAGGTATACATATATATTACATTAAATAAAATACATTAAGAAAAGTAGCAAATAATTAGGTTTGAAGGTGACACCATTAGATTCTTCTCTGATGTTATTGTCTCTTTTTTGTAATAATGTTTGTTGAGCTTGTGCATAGACTGTAGTTGTTAAAGTGACGTAAGTAGTAGCATCTGCGGCTGCTTGAGTCGGTATAGTTTGATAAATTGTTTGTAAAGTAGTACTTGAAGTTGTTCTTTCAAAAATTCCCCACCAGTTGAATGATGAAGCTGTTGTTGGTGCTGCTGCTTGAGCTGTTGTTGATGCTGCTGCTTGAGCTGCTGTTATTGATGGAGAACCAAATAACCAATCAAAAAAGTTGTTTGAAGATGTTGTTGATTGAGTAATTGTTGTAATTGAGTGTGTTGGTTGTGATTGTTGAGTTGTTGAAATATATTGTGAATAAACTGTACTTGGTGTCTGAGGAATATAACTTGAAGTTGCTGAAGATTGAGAATAAGTTGATGCTGGTTGAGCAGATCCTCCTAAAGCATCTTTAATACCATCTAAAAAATCTACTGGAGTTGATGAAATATCCCATAATGAAACACCGCCAAAATTCTTACCACTTTTAATAGTAGGAATAACCCGTTGTACTTTTGATATATCTACGTAACCTGAACCAGCAGACGACGGAGAACCTGGTAAACCCAAAAATAATTTGATATTTTTACCATTTGCATAATTTGCCCAAGTATCCCAATTAAATTGTTTATCTAATGAACAATAATTATTGTAAAATTGAATAAATGCAAAATCTAAATCAACGGATGACATTAAATCACCTACTGATTCATCGGGATATGGACATTGAGGAGAAGCCGAAAGATAATACTTTTTTGAACCTTTTGCAAAATATGATTTTAAACTATTAGCTAATGCAACATAACCAGTTTGTTGTTTATTTTCAATATCAAAATCAAATCCATCTACAATTGCATCATCAAATGGACGTTCAGAATCTGAGCTTTCTAAAAATTTGTTCCATAAAGTTTCTGCAAATGAAGCAGCATCTGAATCAGAACTAAATCCATAATTACCAGTAGCTCCACCAAGTGATAAAAGTATAATTTTACCTTGTTGTTGACATGTTTTAATATCTTGACCAATTTGTGGACAATGTAATAAACCATCACTAAAGGTATCACTACATGCATTGGCAAAATTCAAACCAATTTTTGGAAAATCATTAAGGAATGATAATATTATTATATCTGCTGAATTTGATTGACAATAAGATGCTAAACTCCCTTGATTACCACCAGCATTTTGACCCCAATAAGCAGCTATTGAACAATATGAAAAGGGTATAAGAAATAGTAAAAATATCATGGGATATTGAGAAGGTAGCCTTGTTGATTTGATGTAGCATTTTGTTTTACTTTTATATATAAAAGTTTTTGAAAGGAGGTGCCATATTTTCGTAGATTTACGAAGTCTTGGTTTTTACTATATTTGGTTAGAACGTAATTTATGCTAAAGGGGTGTATTTTTTTGTACGCGAAAGAAGAAATCAAAATAAAGAAGCGAAATTTGGTGACAAAGTTTAGATCCAAGAGTTTATCATTGAATAGACAAAGTAGAAGGAGCTAAAAAAGTTTTTGGTACAGTTTCTTGATAATTAGTACCTAGCTACAAGGCTTCCTACTGGCAGTTAAATGGATTTATTAATAATATTGAAGATTTTTCAGTATGACATCTCAGATCTATCCTAATTAGGAAAGGTTATGAATCAAAAAAATGTATAAGCTTAGATCTCATAATAATTTTTTCCGCTTCTTATTGGATAGCCTCTTAATTTTAATAATACCCCTTAATGAATAAACTACTCCCATTATCGTTTATCTGGTATTGGAAGTTCTAAAAAAGTCACTTCTGCATTAAACTGGTCTTAAAGTATTGTATTTAATTATGGGACTGGTATTTGAGGTAATATGGACTTTAAGAAGATAACGAATTTTTTACAATTTTTGAAAAAATACCAATTGTTTGTGCCTAATTTTTAATTTAGTGGATAAGCTGAATAAGATGATAATCAATGTTAAGAGCTCTGTTGGTCGATATGAGCTAACGTTTTTTTCAAATGTAATCAATTTGTACAACTTTCAGTTTACCTTTGAATATTTTGGAAATTAGATATGTAATCAACTTTTATTTATCATACTTTTATCTAATACACTCTAGTAAATTCAAAATAGTCTACCTATAATAAAGCAATAGCAGCAAGATAAATTAATGAACCACAACCAACTAAAGCAGCAGTACCTCTTGAAGATGAATCTGATGATGATTCGGAATCACCAGAACCACCAGATGAAGTAGAACTTGAATCATCACTTGAAGAACTTGACTTAGAATCTGAATTTGATTTAATAGATGAATTTGAATCAGATTTTGAATTTGAATCAATTGTTTTTGAACCATCAGCTAATCCACCAGCAGCACCTCCTTTAGAGCTTGTTGAATTTTTACCTGATGATCCTCCACCAATAGCAGTTCCATTTTTATAGCCACCAGCACCTCCAGCAGTTGAATTTTTACTAGTGGAGCCATCACCAATTGCTGTACCATTTGTGTATCCACCTGCACCACCAGTAGTTGAATTTTTATAACCACCACCACCTCCAACAGTATTATTTGAACCACCAGTACCACCTACTGCAGTTTCATTTTTATATCCACCGGCGCCAACATGATTATAAGGTGAATTTCCAAGAGATTCAGTTGGATAAGAATCTTCTGTTTCAGTAGGATATAAATCAAATGCAGGTTCTGTAGTTTCTTGTTCTAAACTAGGTAAAGAATCATCAGTTTCTGACTCAAGTTTAATATTGAATGCTAAAACAGTAGAAACAGATAAAAAAGGAATCAAATATTTCAAAGTTTATAGATTTGATTATAGTTTGAAAATTGAAGATTCCATGTCAAATATATATGAAAAGATCTAAATATAGCAAATTAAAAAGAAATAGGTTGTTATTTTGCAGCTGAATTCTGTATGGAGTAAATCATTGTATGAATACGGTAAGCAAGGCTCAAGAATTTGGGCGTGAAAAATAGATATGAGGCTAGACTTTTTGTAGTAAACAATAGAATCTATGCCGATTTTTTTATGCCATAGTGCATGGAAACAATATATTTTGAAATATCAGCAAATGCAATTGAAACACAATTGTAAGGCCAAATGGTAAACTTGTAATTTAATTAACCACGAGCTTACAAATACGCACAGTTGAATTCTGTCTATACTTCACGTTTAAAGTTTTAATGTTGAAACCAAGATTTTTAGATTTTTTGGCTCATAACTTCTAAATGATTTGCCACATTTCAGTTAAGCTGCTGAGCTGTAGTTCACACTCTTCACTAGGTACTTTTAGAAGATATATATTCTTTCATGTCTTCAGTTGAAGGTCATTGAGTTTGTTTAAGTGTTATTAAATTGCAGCAAGAAATGTTGCTAAATCTCTGTACTTGATTCTATAAAAAAGCAATACACTAGGAGGTAAAAAGAGCTTCAACCAGTAAAATAAGTTATAGTTTACGAGTCTAAATAGTTTATAGCTGTCAAAGAGAAGTTTCGTAGTTGATTTCGGCTTAATAATTACCCTATTGTAATATAAAAAACGATTTAAATAAAGCTAGGAAATTACAAGCCTTTTCAAACCTATAGAATCAATGAATGTATTCATATTGATTATTACCTTGAGTCAAGGATAAATAACTGAGCAATAGTTGAAACTGCTTTACTAGTAAACTATTGAACTGTAGCAGATGAAGTGTAGCAGACGAAGTGTAGTATATGCGAGTGAAGAAAAGAATTTTTGGGCATAATCTAACTATTAAAGATGCAGTTTTAAGACTGGATTATTAAGTATGGTAATTATAACGGCATTAGAACTAAAAAACCAACGTCCGGTTAGAAATGGAGTTGCAAAATATAATTTAAACTTTCTTAAAAAAAGGGACCACGGTATGAATTTGTGTTTTAATCGAAAAAGGAGTGAACAAAGTGTGAACAAAGTCAAACATTGTTCATAAAGGCAATATAAGCCATCGTTTTGACCTCGAATAAATAACTTGCTTTAAATTCTCTGATCTTGCTCGAAAATTATCTTACAATTCTATTTCCTATTTTGGATCGCTAAGGAAGCAAATTTTATACGGTAAACATATTTCAATTTATAATTTTTGAAACATTGTAATCAATTCTAGTACTAGTAAATTCTTTTAAACTTATTAGAGTCTAAAGCATAGTTTTTATCTCTCACGTGAGTGTTATAACTCTCATCGTTTAAATTTTAAACGTATAAATGTTTCAGATGGCAATTATAAAAAATAAACTTTGTTGAGTATGGGCTCAAAATAAGGAGAGATATGCTGATAAAACAGCCTGATTTGTTACAATTGAGATCAGTCACACTTTGTAATTACAAATTTCACTGTATAAATTGTTACGTATTTATATTGCTCTGTCTATTACTTAACTATTGTTAACTGAGACACAGTAGTTAACTAGTAGATAAGATATGAAAAAATTGATAAGGGGCAAATAACTGAATACGTGTACCGTTTCCCAAAATATTTTATATGTAGTTGTAAATGATAACAAAATAAATTTATGTTTATATAAAACCCCTCTTTTTCTTTTATCATCATTTAAATACAAATCAATAACCAGAATAAACTCGCAACAAATATCCATAATGAAATCAAATATATCATCACCAGTTATACAATCCAAGAAATTATTTCAATCACATCTGTCAATTTATGAAGCTTTAAATAATCCAGATTTAAATCGATCAATTACTCCAGATTTTAGTGAATGGCAAGAAGCCAGTAAAATACCATCAATTATATCCCTATCTGAAGATGAAGAAGAAGAACTAAGACAACAACAAAGTGAGTTATTACCATCATTTGAACAAAGCCAAACTCTTACATTTGATAAAATTACAATTTTATCACCAATTGAAATTAATTCAAGTACATTATTTGAAATTTCAAAGTATGTTCAGTTTGAAATAAATCCAGATATAGTTAGCACTGAATTAGTATTTGTTATAAATAATGGAACAAAAATAGATAAAATTGAAGGAAATAAAAAAGTGATTATTGTGAATTTGATCGGTACTAACTATTTTAATAATTTATTTACATTAATTAATGATAACGTACCACCGTATCAAATTTGGAAAATTAAAGAAATGGAAGAATTAAAGGACAAAATGGCTATATTTATCAATGAAAAGGAAACTGAAATTTCATTTGATTATAAATTAATTGAATTAAAATATTTAAATGATTTACAAAATATAATGATTCAACCAGATCCATTAAATTTGAATAACTATGTCAAGAATTTTATTTCATTTTGTGTTGGTGTTATATTTGGATTAGGTATTGGTGGAATTACTTATTGTTTAAATAAAAATGAAAAATTAATGATTCAAGAAATGGAAATGGAAATGAAGGATAGTGGTACTAATCTTAGTGAAGTTTTATTTGATTTATCTATGAAATTAATTGATTCAATCAAATCTGGTTTAAATAAATTTATGATTTTAATTAAGTAAATCAAGGGTTATATTTTATATTTAGGTTATCGCATTAATAGGGTGTTGCAAATATTACAATTGGAACTATAAGAATTAATAATTGTAATGACAATTATACTTCATTCATTCATTTAATTTTACAATGTTCACAATTGTTGAAAAGGTTGATTTTAGGTTTTAAAAGGGTAGTAATATTAAATTTATATTATAAATTTATAGTAATAATTAATTAAATGCTGGCATTTGTTATGTATGTAGGTTCTTAAACTAAAGACTGGTAATTCAGTTGTACTCAATTTTTGAAAACCAGATCTCGCTAGGGCACCTTTTGAAAATGAATCTCGTAAGCCCAAGGCATTAAGGATCTATGCCCGGGGCCCTTTTTTTAAAAAAATAGAAAACAATTGTTAAACTAATAAATAAATAATATATTTTTGGAAGAAGTAAAAATCTATATAACCTCATTAATTCGTAAAACATTTAAATAAACTTTGTAGTCTCTAACTACTTTCTAATAATTTTTTTAAAGCGTCATTTTTTGATTTTATAGTCAACATTTCATTTGAAATTCTAATCAATGCATTATGTTTAGATAAATTGGGTAAACCATCTTTATTAACTCTTGCTCTTTTTGATTTCCTTTCTGCTTCATTTAATTCAGGTAATTTATTAAAGGCATCTATATTTATTATTAATTCAAGACATCTTTGATACGCTAATTTACACAATTGTCTTCTTTTTTGTTCTGAATGTGAATGATTTAATCTCTTTTGTTCTAATGATAATAATGGTTTATTTGATGATCTTCTACGTTTTTTTGGAGCTTCATCTTTTGATTCTTTTCCTTCTTCTTCACTTTCATCTTCATCTGAACTGTTATGTCTTTTATTTTTATTAATACTCAATTCATCACCTGATGTTGGAGGTGTAATTAATTGATTTGATGAATTTGTTCTTGAATCAACGGGTGTCGGTAATTGATTATGAAAATTTGAATGATGAGATGGGTTTGTAAATGCTTCAGTTAATTCTTTCTTTAAATTTATACAGGAGTCAGAAGTAGTTGATTCATTTCTTTTTGGTAGTTTCATAGTATGTAAATCAAAATTAAAATCTAATTCATTATTAAGTATTGGTGAATGTTGTTGTGATAAATTTTGCTTATAAAATTGTAATGGATTTGTTGATAATGAATTTGGATTGGCTAAATTATCTAAAAATTTTTCCAAAGCATTTGATTCATTATTAGTGAAAAATTGATCAAATTCATCAAATGAGTCTTGTGTATGCATCTGGTAATTCTTATTTATAATTTGTTGTCTTCCATAATCATAGTCTGTATTTTGGGCTTGGGATGGTGGTATATTTGTAGTATATTGTTGATTTAACATTTGTACTTTTTGTAAATCTTCAAAAGACCCCATTAATTTGTTTTGTTGTAAATTATTATACATTGAATAAGCTTGTTCAAAATCCATATCGCATGAAAACATATCTAATAAGTTATAATCTGCATCAAATTGTGTACTTGAAGTCATGATGTATGAAAATAAAAATGAGTATATAATAATAAAATAAAAATGAATATATAATAATAAAACAAAGTATGAAAAATAGAAATTGGTTGTAAAAATAAAATGGAAATGGATTTCTTTATATATAGAAAATTGTTGATAAATGTTTTAATGTGTTTTCCCCAAATATAATTTATATTTTTTTTATTTTAGTTTATTATACTTTTTTATTTAATTATATTTTTTTTTTTTTTTTTATGTTTTTTTATTTTTTTTTTTTTGTTCCATTAGAGTTTCACTCAACAATACCAATTATAATTGAAACAAAGGAATTACAATGTTCTAGAATCTCAGTAAACGGATGGGAGTTGGATTAAATAAGAATTACAGTATTGAGCTAGAAATATATCACTCTATCGGTTATATAAACAACTCTCTTACCTCTCTTTCTGATCATTTAATGATTGAGTCAGTGTTTTGTTTGATCAAAGAATGATTGAAAGGACGGATTTAATTAGTCTTCGGTTACTCCTCATTTTTTTAGTTAAATCCTATCCTTGCATAATAATTACACACCGTGCTTATAATAATTATACTGTAATAACAATTCATTTATTACATACTACTAAACCCTTTATAAATAATTTTGATCACTTTAAATGTAAATGAAATCAAATATATATTGATTTAAGGAGTCAAATCGTCAAATCTACAAACTGGTCAAGAGTAAAAGTTTGATTTTATAGTTTTATAATTCATTCATCTCGTTTTACCTCTGTTGTCATGTCAATGTTACTACTGGTTTATCAACTATTTATTTTATTACGTTGACAACAGAAGTTAAATATTCTTGTTAATAATTTTACTAGAAATAGAAAATAATAAAAAATAATAAAAAATGAAAAATTTTTAACCGAGCTTCATTTAAACACAAAACGGAAATAATAATTTATTATATAGAAGGTTTGAAATTGGGCTAAGTCCCGTTGTAAATTATGTTGGCATTACTTAAATAAGAGTGCGGTTTTTTTATTATTATTTTCTTTCAATTTTCTGAAATTTTTTAACGCCCAAAAGACGAGTAGACGAGTAGACGAGTAGACGAGTATAGCTTGACTGTCAACCTATTCTTATATCTCATTCAAGTCTTAGAATGTACTTCTACCAATAAAGTTTGACAAGTCCTCTTTTTTGCGCTCTCTGAGTTTATCCTTTATCGGTACTCCTTTAGGAAAACCGGTTAAAATTTAGCCACCTCTTCATCGAACAAATTATTTCTAACCAATCGTAAAAAAAGAAAAGCAATGTATTGTAATCAACCAAATTATTTCCGTACTAAACTGTAAAATTAAAGTTTACAGGTTAACCTGAGTATATTTGATTATATCCAACGGTTCATAAACAATACAACAATAGTGACGTATGTAGGATTTTGGAGTTAAAGTCTAAATGTTTTGCTACCCCAAATTGTTTAAACTAGTCGTTTTGCGACGTATTTGAATATTCTATTTAATCACCACCGACAAAGAATAAAACGTTCCAAGGTTAAACGTTCTAAGGTTAAACGTTTAAGGTTTTTCTACATAATGGAATTTGAGTTTATTCTTCTCTTCGGACTTTTGCTATATGGAATTTTTAATGTGGGGAAGAAAATATTTCGTATAAAATATTCTCTATCTATTGCTGAGGATCAATGGAACTTATCTAAATCAGGTAATGAATCAAAAATATTATAACTGTTCATATTATTACTATTGCTTTTTGATTTAGTCATTGGGGAGAAGTTGTTGAATCTGGAGAAGTATGGTATGGCTTCAAATTCGTAAAATTAAAAATTAAGAGGTTATATGTTTTAAAAATATGTATGTATGTATTTTTTGATTAAAATTGTATTTAGGTTTTAATGGGCATAAAGAAATGATTTTGGTAAACGTTTTTGAATTTTTCATCGCTTGTAACGTTTATTTGGGGAGTAGATTTTTTCGGAGTTTTTATTATTACATCACCTAAATTTTTAGATTTGAGAAAAAATATATAACCTTATTTGGTTTCTTATCTTGAGATCATTAAGTTGTGGTGCTGGGAATATAACAATTCGATAACTTTAGTTCATTGACACTTCTTCTTTTTAGACTAAACTAAATACGTATTAATGTTTTACTTGTTTTACTTGTTTTACTTGTTTTACTTGTTTTACTTGTTTTACTTGTTTTACTTGTTTTACTTCTACGATTTTGTTTGTTTGATTGTATCATCAAATCATCTAATTTTATTCCAGTTTGAACATTCGGCTAATTTGTTTAAATGGATAAGACGAGATATTATATTTTCTATTGTTATGATGTATTAAGGATACAAGATGCGGCTAGTATTGACTTGGACGTTTAATCATTGTTGTAAAATTCTCAGTTTAAATAATGAAAAAAATAAAAGAACCATAGAAAATAAGCTGCAAAATGATAGTGCCATTTCGCCTGAAAATGAGCAGAAATTTATTACCAGGGATATTTTTATTCGCCTCAAGCTCGCTCGCGTTAAAATTAATGCAATAGAGATAGAGATAGAGATAAGCAACCGCAATAAGTTTGAAACAAAAAAAAATAACTCATTTGCAGTCCTATAGTAGTTAATCTTAAAATAACTTTAAATTGTTAGTCACACCCTCAAATAATCAAGCTGCAATTATCAAATTTTTTTGGTTAAAAGTTCAGCAAAACTGGATTAAACTGATGCTAATACTTTGTTAATACTTTGTTAATACTTTGCTAATACTTTGCTAATACTTTGCTAATACGTTGCTAATACTTTGCTAAAAAAACCTAACGCGTATTGATTAATTCTTCATTTAAACACGGAAAAAAATTATCAAATTGCAAAAACTCGACATTTAGACCTCGTTTAACAACTTCCAATATAGCTGATTCGGTTTATTCGAACCCAGAAAATCTTTTTGTATGCTTGTTTCAAGACGTCAAAAGTGGTTTGAAATTTTTGCAATGAATATTTCAATTTCGAATACCTTGACACAAAAAAATCCAAGGATTATCAGAATGACAGAACTACAAAATACGATACTTCTATCATATTTTAATCTTAATTTCAATTTTGGAGGTAAACTTTTTGTAAGGTCGATTTATTCAATTTTTCTCATAGTTAAGAGAAAATTATCAAATTTTTCAATTGTAGTTCTGATTATCTCGAATTAAAATAATCACTTTCTTTTGAGGCCTGATGAATAGAAGTTTTTACTTAACCTAGAGTTATGGCCCTAAATAAATTCAATTCTGCGTTTTCATCAAAACTATAAGTCGCGTTCGTGATTTTTTTTCTTTTTTTTTTTCAAAATTATCACTACCATGATTGATCTATCAAATTTATTACCAGCCAACCAAAATTTCAAACTACTATACATACAATCCAAACCAACATATATAAAATCACCAATTTATGCAAATAAACATATTGACACTGTGAAAATAAGACATTTTTTCCTCCTTCTTCAAAATGACATTATTGTAATGGCCTTGGAAATTTTTAGTTATTTACAGATTGGAACAGAGGTTACTCAATTCATATTCATAAGTAAATGTGACACAGTAGGGCTAATCAAATTGAATTTTAAGTTATCGTCAATCATAGAATATTTGATAAATTATGTTATAAATTACAATCTTGCCAATTACAAAATTAAAAACAAGAAAGTGAAGAAACCATCTGATCCCAACACCTTAGACTCTATCATAAATAAACTCCAATTTAATAAATATGTCCCATATTATAATGAAATCAAACAGGAAAAAGTAGAAGAATTTAGAACCTTACCAAATTCCCAAAATGTCAAAATTTGTTTATTTACTAGATCTGCCCCACAGTATATCTTTCCAGAGTCATCAGTTAATGAATTTAAACACTTAATTACTGGTCAATCATTATTACGTTGGTGGATCAAGATCATAAATGGAGTATCACCAAATTTTACCAAAAAATTACTTATCCCAGGGACAGATATCAATTCAACATACAAATTCATTAATTCAAGTTGGCAAATTGGACATATTTTCAATGATGGATTAGCATGTTACAATATTCCTATATTTCCAGATGATCCAAAAGGAAGATTTATTGAACATTTGATTGTTGGAAATCGATATTCTCATGTTGATGTATCTCAATTTTATTGTGAATTGGAAAGTAGACAAGAGTTTAGAATTGGTGATTGTGTTGGGTTAATTGGAGCTGAAAAGGATGACATCAAAATAGGTGGTGAAGGTGGTGATGGTATTGTAGTTTCATTGCATGATTATAAATCATTTATGAAATTGATTAAATCTGTTTATTATAATAAGTTAATTAATGTTGAGAATATGAGTACTGTGGATATACCTAAGTTTTTTGAGAATATTGGAATTGCATTTGATTATTTAAAGTTTAAAGGATCTATGGAAATGAAAATTGAAGAAAAGGTTATTGATAAACCAGTTGTAAATAATTTAGTTGTTAAAAGAAAAACAAATGATTTAACTGGTATGATAAGAAAGAAGAAGAACAAGAAGATATAAGTACAAGGTTAAGATATGCTAATAATAGTTCGATTATTCCATTCCACTCATGGATTTGATGAAACTAAATCATAATAATCTAGAATTTTCCTAGCCTTGAGCAACTAAGATTATACGATACCTAACGTGGTCCAAATAAATGTATAAATTTACTGCTTTGAGCTAAAGCCATGTCAAATTACACGATAATAGATTACTGTGCTTAAACTCCGTAAATTAATAATCAAAATCATTTAGCATCTTTTATCAACTGATACCACTAATTACCTGATCGACCACTAACTACTTGATCGAGGTTGTACTTTGGGATCCACAAATAAGCTCAACATTTTTCTACTACGCTAAGTATTAAAAGAATTTTTAGTCTTCAGAACACCACATCGTTTATTCCTAATATTCCTAAAGAGTATAGTCATACGAAGTTTCGTACCAATGCGCTAAATCTTATGCCCAGACTTAAAATTGTCGTCTTACTTCAACGCGTTTCTTGGCCTCATGGACACAACCAGAACATTTCTCGGGGTTTCATTCCGAAAATTGATAAGTAGTGTAACTGTGTATGAATCTAGATCATTCTATATTTATACAGAGATAAGAAAACATAATATAATTATAATAAGATTGAGAATTTATTTTATTGATCCACTGTTGCATTTTTAAACTTTTATAGCTTATCATTTGACTCAATAATCAAAACATAACCCCTATAAAACTTTGATCATTCAAAGATCATTCATTTTACTATTTCGATAAGAAAAATAAACTTTTAATGTTTATGGTTTTGAGTCAATGAGTCAATATGATCTAAATAAGTAAACAAAATTGAGTACGTAAACGAAGACGCGAAAGCGAAATTTACACGTTTTCAAAAGACCCAGGATTAACGATATAGAATTGCAACTTTTAAACTCTATTGAATCAGCTTATGTTACAACAATTACTTGTCCTTATTGTTATTGTAACATTTTTAGTTTGGTATCCCCTCAATTCGATCAAAAAGCCATGGGTTACTCAATAAAAACTCAAAAATAATGTATCAACTACAATTTACTGGTTAATTGTAATCAAAACCCAATAACTACCACATAATCTTACCATCTCAATGTATAGTAATGTAAGATAGTGGTTTACTAATATTAATCGTAATGATAATATCATAATAATATTTTTAGTACGTAACACAAAACCGAATATAAATTTTTTAATAGCCACAAAATTAACAGTATAAAATTCTCCTCCTATTTAACAAATTAGTATAAATTGATATTAAATTCCTTAAAATAATTAATTTAATTTTATTTATTAATCGTTTATTCTTTTATTCATTATGACAAATTCATCGACTTCAATTAATACAACAACTCCAACTAATCAGTTAACTTCACCAAGAATACCAAATAATCAACCACCAACAAATCCAGGTTTTTCATTTAATTCTCCAATTACTCCTCCAACAATTAATCAACTGATTTCACCGAGAAATAGCATTACAAGTTTAAATAAAAATCATAATCATCATAAAAATTATACAACTACAGCATCACCAAAAAGATTATCACTTTCAGAGTTTACAAATGAACAAATTATAGATTTAATGGAAAGAGAACAAGATGCAATTGTATTAAAACTTATGAGAGAAATTGAAAATCTCAAGAATGAAAATAAAATGTTAAAGCAAAAAGACGGTGGAATATCAAGAAGTAATTCAATATTTAAAGATGAATCAATTATTAAGAAGACTAAAACTATTAATGATACGATAAATCATCGTAAACAATCTATAAATTCAAAATATGATGATTTAGTAGATGAAAATAAGTTCTTGAAACGTGAAATTAAGAAATTGCAAAATGAATTGGAAATTTTTAAAAAGAATAAGGAAATGTAATTTTTTGTACGTTGATTCAGTGAAAAATTTACTTGGTTTTGGTTTTTTTCTTCTTTTTGTGGTTTTGGTTTGAGTGATCGTGGTTCTTACACTGGTTATAAAGGTGGTGCTGTTTAATTTTTGATTTTTAGTTTTGGGTTTTTTAGGTTTTAATAGATATCCAATGTAATTGGGATTATAACTGAATTGTAGAGATTTCTTAGAGTAATTTCGTTTACTTTCATCAGCTGTATATGGTCAATGATATCATTTCTTATGTGTTTTACCCAACAACCTTATAGAATTTTTGATCTTTTCAAATTCATCTTGAATGCTGACTCTGTCGATGAGTCTACTTGATTTGGATGTGTTCATGGCTAGTTTATGAAATTTGAGCACTAGTCGAGCTTCAATCTAGCTCCAAGTTAAGCATTAGCGTAGTAATCTCAGCAATTTGAAATTATTACAGATTCTATATTCATAGACCTGATCTTCTTTTCCATCAAATGTTGTGGCAAAGGCTTATCTTGTTTTGGTTTTCTCAATGGAGTAAAACAGTTTGTTCCATATGAGTTTTATCACAATCAGTTGTTTCAGCTAAGATCTCCCTTGGATACCCAGTATGTTTAGCTTATTCTGCTCTCTCGTTAACTTTTTCTAAACTATACATTGTTCATAATGTTGTCATTTCGTGAAAAGATTGTTCATTTCCAAGCTTTGATTTTCCCATAACTATGATTACATGACAAAATGATCTAACAACTCAACTTACCATGTTTTAAATAATTAATCATCACCTTCAAAAGTTCTTTCATCATATTGACCATTGAGAATTCGTCAAAGTTTGGTTGGTTATGCTAAACCAATTATAATGTCAAATGCAGGTGGCCTTAAACCCTCTTGTTTCCAAAGTAATTGATTCTATCATAAATATGCATGTAAATGTTCTTATTACTTGAACTGAATGCTAAAATGGAAAACCATTGACTTTGTATTTGATTTAACCCTCAACAATCTCAAGATTAAATTCAAGCAAGCTAACCTCGAGTACTTGTTTAAAAAAACTTGCAAGTTGTCCTTAAACATACTTTGACTTGACTATTCATCAAATCCTTCAAAACATGTCATTGGCCATCCTAAATTTTATGACTTAGATAACCTTATTCAATCTGCACGCAATTTGAATCAAAAATTACCAACAATAGTTCTCCATCATGCTGTGTTGCCTCAATGGAAACAAATAAGCAATACAATATTCTTAACATCATTGAACAGTATCAAATCTAATTTATTTCGAAAATCCATCAAGCTTAAATGCACATGCTAAAACATCCAAGTAAAATAAACCAACCAGCACTACCTATGAATTACCAACGTTCAGCATCTATTAAATTCATTGAATCTACTAAATTGCAATTGTACTTACTATATTATTGTGAATTTGACAACGAATTATATTTTAATCTTCAACCCGATGCACTTGCTAAATCTGATGTATCATTATTTTAACTCTATTGATTTCATTAACTCTTGCTTCAATTTGTTAATTTTAAGATAATTTAAAATTATGCGTTGAGGTCTCAATTGAATACTTTTTATTATCAATTTGGCCAACTTCTCAGCCTCATTACAATTTTTAAATGAGCCTCATTACCTATTTTTAATGGACATTGACCCCCAACGCAAAATTTCCATCTAAAAATTTTTTTTTGAAATCATCCAAACATATGACTACTATCAGTGAGAACTCAGCTTAAAACTAAAAGTGGTTTTGTATGAGCACTTAATACTCAAACTTTGTTGTTGTAGAGATATTCGAGGTTTTAAGCTAAAATCTTGTTGATTTTATATAAAAGCGTCCCTACTAAGTCGGTTTTATTAGTTGAGGGGATAATTTTGTATAACATATCATAAAGTCATTTTCACTTTACATTTCAAGTTAATCAGTCAAAAAAAACCCTTTGTAAATGAGAAAGAGTTTACTTAGGCAGTCTTGAAGGTTTCTTCATGAATGAGACGACGATTAATTAACATCAAATAGTTGTAGATTGTGACGAGTTTAAACAATCAGTAATCTATTTAATAGCAGCTATTCAAAATGACGAGTCTAATAAAAGACTTTTTGTTAAGGTTTTAGTGAACTATTTTCTGATGCATTTATCCGAATATACGACTACATTTAAATTTCGCTGGGATTCAAAATCATAAAGAGTTTGCATCACAACGAAGCGCGTATAGAGGTAACTAAATCAAGCTGATTATAATAATAGAGATTTGATTAACTTTGCTAAAGGATTGGTCATTTCTTCTTCATCTCTATATCCAGTTAAGATAGAATTCTACAATTTTTTCAATTTTGAGCAGCTCCAATCTTCTTTTCTATGTTGATTACGTGGGTTTGAGTGTTTCCAAGCAAATCTTTATTAGTAAGTTTATATTGCAGACACGATATCTTTTACATTTGATTTATCAAGTTACAAATTTGGCTGCAAAAAATTTTTTTAAACAACTTTTTTTTGCAACCATTTTTTGCAACCATTTTTTGCAACCAAAAAAAAAGAAAATCAAAAATAACTAAAAAGTTAAAGATTACAATCACATATCAATTGCAAGATGTTATTCCTACTTATAATATTACTCATTACATTAACATCTTTTTCTGCTCCAGTTTTATCAGATGACTCTAGTACAATCTCAAAACTTAAATCTCCTTTTGAAACATTATCAAGATTAATATCAAAAGAATCAACAACTTCACCACCACCTTCTCCCATGTTAAGTCCTATCAAATTACCATTTCCTGACTGGTTGAAACAATTTACTGGTTTAACTGAATGGCCTGATTTAAATCCACCTTATATTCCATTAGACTTTATAAATTTCAATTTAATCGCAGATGTTCCAATTCATGATCAAGCACAATGTGATAATCCACAAACAAGATTATCTAGTTCATGTTCATTTGATTGTTTCAATTGTGTAGAAGCTGATGATATTTATACATGTAGTAAATTAGTTCAAACATTTGATGATGGACCAAGTCAACATACAAAGAAATTAATTTCAAATATTAAAACAAAGACTACTTTATTTACATTAGGTGTCAATATTATAAGATATCCTGAAATATATCGAGAATGTGTTGATCAAGGACATTTAATGGGTTCACATACATGGAGTCATAAATTTTTACCAAGTTTATCAAATCAAGAAATTATTGCACAAATTGAATGGTCAATATGGGCGATGAATGCAACTTCAAATCATTTACCAAAGTGGTTTAGACCACCATATGGAGGAATAGATAATAGAGTAAGATCAATTTTAAGACAATTTGGGATGCAAGCTGTTTTATGGGATTTTGATACATTTGATTGGAAAATGTTAGATACAAAATCAATAAGAAATGAAGAAGATATTTATAAAGATGTAAAACAGTTTAAGACGACTTCGGGTAAAGGTATTATCCTTGAACATGATGCCATAGCAAGAACAGTTGATGTTGGGATAGAGATAAATAAAAATATTCTAGACGAACAATTAACAATATCACAATGTGTTGGAGGATTAAATTATATAAAAATATTTAATTAGTAATATATATTTATGCTGATGCTGAAACAACAGGTGATGATGAAGAACCATTATTAAATAAATCATCTTTTTTTTCTTTAAATTCATCCAATTTTGGGTTAACTTTTGATTTTGCATCATTTATAAATTCATCTGTCTTTTGTTTAGTTTGAGATGTAAATTGATCAACATAATCTTGAGTTTGATGTTTTAATGGTTGAAAATAATCATCATTTAATACTTGAATAGTTTTCAATCCTGTATTATATGAAGCTTCTAAATTTTTTGAAAGATAATTTTGTTGTTTAGTTGATTTTAATTCGGAATTATAAGTATCAACTAAATTTTTTTGAATTTTATTTGAATTTTCAAAAACTAAATCTTTAACATTATATAAAATAGCCAATAAAGTTTTATAAATTTTAAATAAATCTTCTTTTGTATCTTTTTCAATTGGGTTTAAAAATTTATTATTAGTTTCAATTAATTTTGAATCAATTGGTAAGACAAATTTTTGATTAATTTGACTTAAAATGTTTAATGGGTAAGAAATTAAATAAGTATCAACAACATTTAATAAATTATTTGCTAATAAATCAAAATATGAAAGAATATCATAAATTGGAGAAATTGAAAATAAATTAGCATTAATAAAATTATACAATGGTAATAAGTATGATGAATAAACGATATTTAAAATTTGAAAAGATAATAAAAATGATTTAATTGATTGAATTAAAGGATATGATTCAATATGATTAACAACTTTTGAATCAAATTGTTTTGCTTGATGCTGTTTAGTTTGAGACTTAACTTTATCAACAATTTCTGACATTATGCTACTAATATAAACTCTATTAAATTAACCGATGTGATATAAAATGAATCAATTGATGTTGTAAAAAAAAAGTGTGAGAATTTTGAAAAAATTTATGGGAAAAATAACAATGTATTTATATGTTTGAAAAAGTGTGGTAGTAGTTAAAATCTCTCTTTATCTACTTTATTTACAAGGGATAAACATAAAAATAGCCAATATGTATAATAACTTAAATTAGTACCATCTGTTTTGAAAAGTAGTGTAATCAGACTAATTGTGCATGTGAAATTATGTTATTTTATTTTAAATATTAACCAGTCGAATTTCATTTCGTAGTTTGAAAATAGACGAAAAATAGGTTAAAACTAAGAATAAACTAGTTTATTTACAATTGTTATTAATAGAGCTATTCAATTGACAACAATTGACCTTAGGAATATTGAGCAATTGCTTTCAAACTTTAAGCCTTAATTGATTATCTTAAATAAAAAGTTTATCTTTAATTTCACACTTTTGTGCATTGGTTATTTTGTTTTAATCTTCGGGTGTTTTTGTAACTACTAATTCAGTTTATTTTAATTCGGTGTTTTAAAAATTAGTCGATTTATTTTCTATTATAATTTCAACGCGCTTTATCAACTCATCTCTTATTGTACTGCTACAATTCTAAGTAATATTACAACCTATAAACAGTTCAATTAGAAAATCATCCGAAGGCAGAGTTCACTTTGCCACGTAGTATAATTTCTTATTGTTTATAGGTATTTTCGGTTAAATTTATTAATTGCTGTAATTAAGCAAACGTTTCATAAAATATTTATTTTTTTTTTTTTTTCTTTTGAAACAAATGGTTTGAATTGGTTTGAATTGGTTTAAATTTGAAACGTTTAATTAACTTTAATCGCCCGTCTAAAATGTCCATCCTTGGTCTGAGATTTACAATGTATTCATTACATTCATTCACATGGGCTGGTATATATTTACGTAAAAGTTTCTTCTCATTGATTCAGTAAATCTTGAAAATCAAAGAAAGATTTTTAACTTTAATTAATTAAAATTTCGTAATTATAAATTTTACACAAAGTTACAAAAACGTGATTCTTGTTAAAATTCTCGATGTAAGTTTGTCAAAATTTCTCATTTCTTGCTCAAACTAAATTAAACGGTGAATAATGATTGGTTAAAAAATTTTCAAACTTTGCAGTCAGTATTCCGTTCCTATTTTTGTGGCATTAATCAGTATAATTTTCGATGTTTATCTCGTGATGAGGGGCACAAAAGTACAATTTTAAATGTGCTCATAACTAATAGATCTAATTTTAAATTGTCAATATAGTAAAAAATAAGATGTAGTTCCTGATTTTAGATACTTTACACCCCCAGTGAGTAATTGTACATACATGAAATTGTTTCAGATTGGTATGTTTTTATTTTTAACCCTTTGGTCTCATTGACAACGAACGCACACAATAGATTTTAAGCTTGATAAGAAATTTAAAATTTAATAATTTTTGATCTAGCCATACATTTGCAACCATTCAAAAGTTGATGAAGTTTCCAATTTGAAAGTTTATAGTTCAGAGTTTATGGTTAGATCGTCTTTTGGGTTGTATTTTACCTAATTTGAACATTATAGACATGTCTTTTTGCATATGCAATTTTTTATTAGAATCAACAGCAATAAATTTTTACATTGTCTTAAAGATTAAGTACCATCACAGTTTGGTTTTATTAACCTTGACTTTTACTCTCTTTACTTTTATTATAATTTGTTTGACCTGTGACTTTATTTTGGACTTTGTCAAATCAAAAGTGTTTGTCGGAAATTTGACATGATAGTACTGAGCACTGTTCTCATAAGATTTGAGGTTATGATATCTGAATATAAAGATTTGAGGTTATGATATCTGAATATAAAGATTTGACCCATGATAATATAGAGTTTTTTGAGCTACACCTAGAGATATAACTACAGTTTTGCAATCAAGCTTTAGATTAAGCTTTGACCGAGCTACCAATCAAGGCGTTATTGGTAAAGCTTGGTAATTCTTTATCTGAACTCATAAATAGAGTTTAAACAGTTGATAAACAATCCCAATTGTCTGGAGAGTAAGCCTGTAGTGTTCTTGATTGTTAAATTGTTTAAGATAGTCGTTATTGGCTTGAATTTCAAGAATCTTTGACAACCGTAAAACTTTAAAATTTAAAACACTAAAGCAGTGGAGGATAAATGGCTATAAAATGAACCGAGTAGTGTTTGGTCCAAAATCTTAATCTTGAAATACATTTGTTTTAGTCTGAGCTCTTTTTCCTTTTTTTTATTGTACCATTATGAATTGCTACATTAAAAAAACAACTTTGATTGCATTGAACTAACATTAAATATCATCTAAATTAATCAGCTTCTAGTTTTGAAGGATATCTTAGCTGCTCTCATTAAATGATTTGAGCTATGATTTGGCTTTTTGTATCGAAATTTAAACTCAAATCGAGTAAAATATTAAGTTATTCAAAATATAGAATTCTGATAAAATGAAACTGCTATAAATTGTCCTATTAACCAGGATAGTTATCTACTTAAAGCAATTAACGCATGTTTGAAACGACTTTAAATCAAAAAGTCAAGTTTAAATTGATTATCAGCTATTTTAATATTAAGAGGTATTTTACCTTTTAAGAGGTATTTTCTGAGTTTTATTTACGTTGCTTCTTTTGAAGGTAGGTATGAATACTACAACAACTACATAACACTTAAGTATACTCATTAGTATATCTGTGACTCTCTCTGCTAAACTCTATTTGAATGAAAATCTGAGATCAATTTTTATTTGGGTAGCGTTATTATACTTTCTACAACAACTTGTACCCCTAAGTTTATTATTGGTACATGATATCTGTATGCTTTTTAATTGGCTTATAAGCTAGAAGGATGCTTTAGGAAAACTGAGTTTGTGCAGGTAAAAAGTTTTGTATACTATAATCAAGTATGATTTCGTTTAATTAGTCAGTCAAGAAATAGAGTCAAACATGGAGACCGACAGATTTTGTCAATCTACCAATGAGATGTAAAAATAATTTCCTTTCCATGTTATTATAAACCAATTGAAGCTTAAGGGGTGTTCAACTCATATTAAAACTAACATTATAACACTGGAAGTAGTTATATCTTTGATAGTACTTAGAAAACAATTAGCATAGTTTCATTCATACAATCATTATTGTAATAGTCGGTATCTTGTCAGTTTCTGCAGAGAAATTGTCAAACACCGATTTAAGCGGCCCCGAGTTTTCACAAACATCTGGTTGTGTGCTTTTTCAAAATTATGAATCGTGAGACAAGTGTAGCGTTGTTAAATGCATTCTACAACTAATAATACTTACAATGTAACAATACGTTATTAGAAAATTCTTTTGCAGGAATTCCGTACGACCTATGGTTGATATAAAATTTTTCAAAGGTTCTTAAATTCACATTTCAAAGCATTCAACTGACGTACGCCATGGTACGCCATGGAATAGAGAAAAGAACATGTGCTTTAACTGTTACTATCACAATATAGCTTATATTGTTGTGGAAAATCCTATTGCCATTTGATCTCTTTTATTGAAGTGCAACAATTAATTAAGTGGCGTTTTTTATTGTATAGATGCAAAAAATTTTCAACAAGAGATTCTATGGTGATCTAAATCAATTAATTAGTCTCCTATATCAACTGAATAATATAGGGATTTCCATTATTATGAATAATCTTCCTTTCATCGATTGGCATTTCACTAAATTAATTGCTGCAAAATTTTAAAATATTATTATTGAGGTATTAAAACATTGAAATACAAGTCCAACTAAAACTAACTGAACTAATCTACTTATTCTAGTAAGTTATTATAAATAATAGTAAAAGTACAGCCATGTGCCTAGCTCAATTATTGCGCTTTTGTTCATATATTTTTTTTTACGAGTTGTTGATTTTAGCCTTACGAAGATTAATGATGAAAATACCGCAAAACAACGCCTTTGATAATACAAATGGCTGTACAATTGATTGATAGATTAAATAGGGGAGCTGTTTAGTGGACAAAAGTGAAAAGTTTGATTCATTTTGTGAATTTAGATTACGTATGGCTTTGCAATTTATATTTGAGGGATTTTAAAATTAACAAAGCAATAAAGAAGTATATTGATTTCTCAAAGATCCAAACTACAATGTTGGCTGGCGATCAAGCATGTGTTTAATTGGTGGTATAAAAAGTAGAAAAAATGGTTGAATATTGTAGAATCAGGCTAATAATCATGGAACCAACTTACTCTGACTCTACATTTTCAAAATTTGACGAAAAAGAGGAAGAAAATATCAAATTTGATGAATCTGAACTCGAACAACAACAAGAACATAGAGGTAGAACTAAAAAAAAGATTTTCAATTCATTCAAGATCTTCAAGTATTTCCAAATTATTTACTGATGATTATAATTTGTTGTTTAACTGATTGTGCTGGTTCAATTATATTAGCTTATGCAGAATCAAACTTATTTAAAAGAAACCAAGAATTGTCACTGGTGAAAGATTAGTTAATTTTAAATATTATTTCATGCATATTTTTGTTTGGGTAGTTTTTATACATTCACTTCATTCATGGTTGCGTTTATAAATTTAACTAGAAGAGGTTATAAATTTGAAGATTTTGCTTTGAGTTTTGGTACTTACGAATCATTACCAAATATTGATAAATATTTAAACATTTCAAGTTCAATTTATTTTGTTGATTTGATTCTTATGCAATTGTTTAATTTATTAGCTTTAAGAACAAGACATCCAAGTTTATTTCAACATTCAATAATAAAGAATAAGAAATATATTTTGGTTATTCCATTTGTTTTGTTGGTTAATTTTATTATTAATTATATTCCACAAATTCAAAATGCTATGCGTACTGAACAAATACCAGTTGAATATATTTCATAGCTATTGGATTTGGTTTAGTTGTTCTGGTGTATGATGAATTGACGAAAATCATTGTTAGAAAATATCCAAAAGGTTTTACGGCTAAAATAGCATGGTAAATAGAATAAATGAATAAATAGAGAGTTATCATCTAGATCTTCCTTTTAACGCGTCTTCAATCTTGTACAATTCGGATTCAATTATGTAATTTAATCGTACGTGAGATAATATTTATTTGTCGTAATTTTACAAGATAAGTCGCGCTAATTTTTGCACCGTATATCTGTTAGTTCGCTCGGTTGCCTCACAGTACATAAACAAATTTTTAAAACCTAGTTTGTTATCGTTTTTTTACAAACTACTACGAAGAATCTCTAATGATGTTCAAAAAGTTCTAATAATAACATCAGTGCATCAAAAACGGAAACAAAAAAAAAATTGCCCTTGGTTTTATTACATATACAGAAAATTCAGGGTCGATTTCATCGAATTTTGCCTCAAATCCTAGAATTTCCAAAATTTTTGCTATTGAAAAATCGATTTGAATTTCAGTTTTTGGCTGATCAAAATTTGACTTTTGTGAAAACTGAATCTGTTTACCTCGGACCAAAACTCATCAGTAATCTAAAAACTGAGAGTATATACGCAAACAGAGCTTAGGCGCATTGATTATTCGCTATAAAACTTTAAAAAACAATCAGGCAGTCACGCCGTATTCTTAGCCAAAGCTTAGTTCAATTTTAGTCCAGGTCAACTTGAAATAAATCTCATGCTTTAAGATGAACTGTAATATATATAAACCGTTGTTTAATTTTAAAATTATGGCCCTACATAAATTTAACCTGCATTTTTAATTTCAGCAAATTTTTTGTATGATGAAACATGGCCAAAATGACAACCTCAAAAAAAAAAATGTTTGAATTTCATAATTTGAAATATATAGAGTATGATTCATGAGACTTGAATTCGTCAAATTGGTCCTTTTTTCAAGAGAATACGTTGTTGAATACGTATAACCCATTATATTTACTACGAGTCGCCTTAAAACTTGGGCGAGAAATTAGTTTGTCGCGCCAAAAATAATCGCATTGAAAACTTTATAATTCTTTTAAGTTCAACTTATATGCAGTATCATCATGATCAACCTTAAAACTTAAATTGTTTACAACTTTTTGAAAACAACAAATACAGAGCGTTAATATTCTTTGGTAGAAATAAGCTTTATATGTTGAGGTTTAAATCTAGATACTAGTAATATTCTCGACCTACATCCTAGCTTAAAAAATTTGCTGGTACTCCTCTGGGGCTAATTTAGTGCGAGCTCGTTGAAAGAAAATTTTAGACTCGCATGGCGGGCCATAAAATTTCGAGTCGACCGAATGTAAAATAAAATAAAAATACGGATATTTCGGACAAGAACATAACTAGAGCTCAATGGAACACTATATTGCTGAACATGAAATGAGAAGTTTAATGATAATACAGAATAAGAGGCTTAAAGGGACGAACTACAAACGAATTATCTTTTGGAATTGCATTTGTTAAATTTTGCAGGAAATCTCAATAAATATAAACTGAGCTGTAATGGTTGGTGAATAGTTTTTATGAGATATAATATTCAACTGCTATAGATTTAACTAGTGTATCATAATCAACATTCTTTGAACATTCATATTATCGAATAAATTTCATTTTGAATGTTTTTGGTCAAAATTTACAAATTTATGCGAAACTCGAAATGTTAAAAGTGAATACAACCTAAACCAAGAGAATACTGATACACGTATATTTCGAACCATTTCGACTAAATTATTTTCTTCCAGCTAGTGTAATTGTTGTAATTACAATAAATATTCAAATTTTGCAGCCATTATTTACCTGTGGCCTAAACCGGAAAAAAAAAGTTCAACAACTGTCGTGTAATTTGGGATGGCACCGTGTATTATCAATTCAATACGTGGCACAAAATTAGAATTTATATTGTTCTAATCTCACGTGTTATCATTAATAGACGATATTGATTTATCAATTCACATGGAATAACAGATGGTAACTTGTTGAGTAGTATTCTACAGTGTTAGTTAGTCTCATTTCATTGGCTTTGGGTCATTGCTACAAGTACAACTACCATTGCCATTGGTCGTATAGATAAACATCCGTTAACGATAACGATAAACTAAACAAAGTATAATTTTTCACTTTTACCAAAGTACACGATCATTCTATACTGACTCTGAAAAATTTCAAATCCCCAAATTATTTAAATACAATTGAAATTCCACAAATTTTATAAAAATTTTCTTTCTTTCTTTATTAACAAAAACTAATTATGGTCAAATCATCAGTTTTAGGTTTCCCACGTATTGGTGGTCAAAGAGAATTAAAAAAAATTACTGAATCTTATTGGGGTGGTAAAACTTCAAAAGAAGAATTATTGAAAGTTGGTAAAGAATTAAGAGAACATAATTGGAAATTACAAAAAGAAGCAGGTGTTGATATTATTGCTTCAAATGATTTTTCATATTATGATCAAGTTTTAGATTTATCTTTATTATTTAATGCAATTCCTGAAAGATATACTAAGTATAATTTAGAACCAATTGATGTTTTATTTGCCATGGGTAGAGGTTTACAAAGAAAAGCTACTGATTCACACCCAGCAATTGATGTTACTGCTTTAGAAATGGTTAAATGGTTTGATTCAAATTATCATTATGTTAGACCAACTTTTTCTCATTCAACTGAATTTAAATTAAATACTCCAATTAAACCTGTTGATGAATATAATGAAGCTAAAGCCTTAGGTATTGAAACTAGACCAGTTTTGTTAGGTCCAATTTCTTATTTATATTTAGGTAAAGCTGACAAAGATTCATTAGATTTAGAACCAATTAGTTTATTACCAAAAATTTTACCAATTTATAAAGAATTATTAGCCAAATTAAGAGAAGCTGGTGCAACTCAAGTTCAAATCGATGAACCTGTCTTGGTTTTAGATTTACCAGAAAATGTTCAATCTAAATTTCAACAAGCTTATGAAGAATTGGGTGAAGATTTAATTTTAACAACTTATTTTGGTGATGTTAGACCAAATTTAAAAGCTATTGAAAATTTACCAGTTGCTGGTTTCCATTTTGATTTAGTTAGAGTTCCAGAACAATTGGATGCTGTTGCTAAATTAGGTAAACCATTGTCAGTTGGTGTTGTTGATGGTAGAAACATTTGGAAAACAGATTTTGCTAAAGCTGCAAAAATTGTTGAATCAGCAATTGAAAAAGTTGGTGAAGGTAATGTTGTTGTTGCTACTTCATCATCATTATTACATACACCAGTTGATTTAGATTCTGAAGAAAAATTAGATCCTGTTATCAAAGATTGGTTTTCATTTGCTAAACAAAAATTAGATGAAGTTGTTACAATTGCAAAACGTGTTTCAGGTGAAGATGTTGGTGACAAATTTGAAGCCAATGCTAAATCAATTAAAGCTAGAAATGAATCATCAATTACAACTAATCCAAAAGTTCAAGAAAGATTAACTACAATTAATGAATCATTAGCTACAAGAAAATCAGCTTTCCCAGAAAGATTAGCTGAACAAAAAGCCAAATATAATTTACCATTATTCCCAACAACTACAATTGGTTCATTCCCACAAACTAAAGATATTAGAATTAATAGAAATAAATTTGCAAAAGGTCAAATTTCAGCAGAAGAATATGAACAATTTATTAACAAAGAAATTGAAACTGTTGTTAGATTTCAAGAAGAAATTGGGTTAGATGTTTTAGTTCATGGTGAACCAGAAAGAAATGATATGGTTCAATATTTTGGTGAACAATTGGATGGTTTTGCTTTTACTACAAATGGTTGGGTTCAATCATATGGTTCAAGATATGTTAGACCACCAATTATTGTTGGTGATGTTTCAAGACCAAAAGCTATGACTGTTAAAGAATCAGTTTATGCACAATCTTTAACTAAATCACCAATGAAAGGTATGTTAACTGGTCCAGTTACTATTTTAAGATGGTCATTCCCAAGAGATGATGTTTCAGGTAAAATTCAAGCTTTACAATTGGGATTAGCTTTAAGAGATGAAGTTAATGATTTAGAAAAAGCTGGTATAACTGTTATTCAAGTCGATGAACCAGCTATTAGAGAAGGTTTGCCATTAAGAGCAGGTAAAGAAAGAAGTGATTATTTAAATTGGGCTGCTCAATCATTTAGAGTTGCAACTTCAGGTGTTGAAAATTCAACACAAATTCATTCACATTTCTGTTATTCAGATTTAGATCCAAATCATATTAAAGCTTTAGATGCAGATGTTGTTAGTATTGAATTTTCAAAGAAGGATGATCCAAATTATATTAGAGAATTTAGTGAATATCCAAATCATATTGGTTTAGGATTATTTGATATTCATTCACCAAGAATTCCATCAAAACAAGAATTTGTTGATAGAATTCAAGAAATTTTGAAAGTTTATCCAGCTGATAAATTCTGGGTTAATCCAGATTGTGGTTTAAAAACTAGAGGCTGGCCTGAAGTGAAAGAATCTTTGACAAATATGGTTAACGCTGCCAAAGATTTTAGAGGAAAATATTAAAGCACTACCAAATTTTAATTCAACATTAATGATTTTCAACAATTTATATTTTTATGACTTTACGAATTCAACTTTATGAATATATATTTCAACAATGAAAGAAACTATCTCTAGTAAATTATTCTCATGGTGATTTTGCATCCAATCCTTCCTTTTTTTTTTTTGGTAGCATTTTCGTGGCAAACATTAACATGTCAGATCGAGTTGCAGAATTTATTCAAATCACCAATTCAACTAAATACTTAGCTGAACAATATTTACAAAGGAATAATAATGATTTAGTTGAAGCTGTTGAAGATTTTTATGCAAATAATGGTCACGAATCAAAAAAACCAAGGAAATCTGGTGTTAATACATTCAGAGATTTAAATGATGATGATGAATCAGAAGATGACAAAACAAATACCAATTTCTTTACAGGAGGAGAAAAATCAGGATTACAAGTTGAAGATCCAAATAAAGATAGAGATCAAAATATAATTGAACAGATTTTCCAAAAGGCAAAAGAACAAATGCAACAACCAGATGATAGACCAAGTGCAAGAAATCAAGAAAAACCAATGAAATTTTCAGGTACTGGGTTCAAATTAGGTGACGGACAAGTTGAGAGTGAAGTAATTGAAGATCCAGATAGGCCAAATTTCAAACCAACAAAAGTTAATAGAGAAATTACATTTTGGAGACAGGGTTTTACTGTTGGTGATGGTCCATTACATAGATATGACGATCCAAGAAATGCTACAATTTTACAAGAATTAAATCAGGGGAGAGTTCCAATGAGTATATTAGATGTTGAATTTGGTCAAGATGTTGATGTTTCTGTTTTTAAAAAAACTGATGAAGATTGGACACCACCAAAAAGAAAATTAGGAGGTTATCATGGTCCAGGTCAAAGATTAGGATCTCCAGTACCTGGTGAACCAATTGTAACTGAAAAAGTTGAAAAATCTGAAAATAAACCAAATGAAAGTGATGGTGATACACTAGTTCAAATTAGATTTGCCAATGGTAAAAGAATCACTCAAAAATTTAATTCAACTGATACAATTGCATCAGTTTATAAATTTGTTAGAAATCATGAAAATAATGTTGGAGGTAGAGAATTTATATTAAGTCATGCAATTCCTGTTAAACCAATCGAAGAAGATGATACTACAGTTGGTGATGCTAAATTGAAAAATGCAGTTATTGTACAAAGATGGAAGTAGTATAACGAGTAATTTAGAATTATGAAGTAATAATTTTGGCCACGGCCATTTTAAAGCGAACTCTGATACATCTGAATTTTCATATCAAAATACTACTCTCCTCCAATACTTCTTTTATAAATCTTTTCATTTGGTTTGGTTAAAATATTGATGCGATAAAAAATTTGAAAACTTAGATCAAACAAATGTTGCAATATCTATATAAAATATGATAAAGATCCTATTAAAATATAACAAAAGAAATAGAATACGAGTGATACGACGATATTCATCATTAGATACTTTCTTTAAAGAAAATATCCCAGTTTCAAAACATGAATTGAATGAAAAAATTGAAGAATATTATCAAAAGAAAACAACATTTGTAAATAGTTATCAACATTTTAATAGAATATCAGTTAGAAATAAATTTGAATATGATGACTCACCACCAAAAGATTTTAATATTATTGTCTATGAAAGTGAAAATTGTATACCTATTGAAGGATCTTTGGTTGAAGTTAATGATGAAATACCGAAAATTGGGTTGGTGATAAGAAGAGCATTATCAAGATTTGATGAGAGGTACAATAAGTTATTAGTGTTAACTAGTGACAATGAATTAATTCAAGTGTCTCCTCAAGATGTTATATTTCATTTATACCAGGTAAAATTGTTAAATTATCGAGATATTGTAAATAGTAGATATAATTTGGAGTATTCAGAAAGAATTGAAGCTGTCAACTTTTTGAATGCTTATATTGATGATGCTTTAGAAATGAAAAGGTCAATAAGTTTAGATATTGTTTATTCTCAAATTGCAACTTCATCAATAAAACCAATTTCATTAACTGATATAGTTGATGCGTTAAAGTTCAAAGAATCACGAGTAATACAAATCACATCATCATACTACTATCAGTGTGTTTTATTACAGAGTATTCATTGGAATTTAATAGATTCTTGTAAATGGATTGTACCAAATGCAATACCAAATTATAAAACATCAAATTTATTCAATAATTTTTCAAATAGCTTTGTCAAAACTGAATATTTTATAAATTCACAACAAAATTGGCAATCAATACAACAATACTTGTCAAAGCAGCATACTGAGAAGGAGCTAAATGAGTTTATTAATCATTCACATGATGAAAAATTTTTGAATGTTTATGAAGGTCGACATTCCAAGTATTTATTAGATGTTATGAAGTTTGCAAGGCTTTATCCACATAATTCATTGAAATTACCTCATTTAGACGGGTTAAAATTTGAATCACAACTAATAAATAAAGGGTCTGATAAATTTATGCATTTACGAACAAGGAAATATTATCAAGATCAAGTAATTTATGGAATACCATTAGGTAATGTTATAATTGGAGTATCTATTGAAGCAATAAACTCAAGAAAATATGTGTTAAACATTCATATACCTGATATATCGACTACATTAAAATATGGAAAATTCTCAGAAGAGTTTATTAAATCAAAGCAATTTAAAAATTATCAACCAAGTACTGAATTTGATGAATTTATGAAGAAACCAACTAAGAGAAAACTTTCTGAAGTTACTTGCATGACTATATCATTTAAATATAATACTTTTGATACAAACATTTTTGATAATCATGAAATTTCAATATCATTTGATTCATTATCGAATCTAAACCTAAAGATTGTCGATCTGGACTTACTAGAGAAGTGTTTATCAGGAAAACTACAGTCAAACATCTACAATTTAATCAAGAGAAATAGAGAATTGACAAAATTAGATTTGGAAAATTTAAATTATGTAAATGGGGTACTCAAACACTTTTTCAAATTGAGACAACATAATGGAGCTTCAATACCTGGTGTGTTTGATAATGCAAAGTTTTTTCACCGTGAATTGAAAATCTTTGCAGGTTATTTAACTACTGAATATTGTTTACAAAATCAAATTCCTGTAAATATTAGAAAACAAGATTTAGCAGCAAGATTTGAAAATGATAAAGTAGTAATTCAGCATGATAATATAATGTTACCTGATTATGAAGCTGATAATTATCATGATTGTATAATTGCAAAAGATGCAAAAAGTTTTATTTCACCAATGGCATATATTGCATCAATGAATTATTTAAAACCAGAAATTGTGGATACTAATGGTGGTAGACATTTAAGACTAGGATTACCAAATGGATATCTGAATATTACCGATGTTTTTGATCAAGAGTCATTGTATAATCAATATCAAATCCTCAAATTTCATCAAAAATTGATAGAGAGAAGGAGTAAGTTGCTACAGTTACTCCCAAAGATACCACCACCTAAAGATACATCAAAGATAGACTACATACTACGAAAGAGGGAAGTTTTAAAGAGCTTAACCAATTTAGAATGTATCATCACATATATTGAACAATTTGATCAATTTTCCATCTGTAAAGCTTATTCACCAAGATTTGATATTGAAGTTGACGTTCTACTCGAAGACATTGTCAAAATTGGTTATAAAGTTGTTTGTAATGAACTATTAAAATGTAATGATAATTTTTGTATATTCAAAGGAAATATATAATTTTTTCTCTTTAATGTCAGAACGAAAGGCAATAAATAAATATTATCCACCAGATTATGATCCATCAAAGATACCTAAAATACGAAAACCGAAGAATGGAACGATTAAAATTAGAATGATGATTCCTTTTTCAATGAGATGTACTAAATGTAATGAATATATTGCTGAAAGAAGATCAATTAATGCAAAAAAAGAAGTAACAAAGGAGAAATATTTAAATATTAAAATTATAAGGTTTACTGTCATTTGTCCTGGTTGTAATAACACAATTACTTTTAAAACTGATCCTAAAAATGCAAGTTATACAACTGAATCAGGAGCTGTTCGAAATTATGAATCAAAAAAATCAAAAAATGAAACTGAAGATGATTTATTGAAAAGATTGGAAGTTGAAGAGATTGAAGATCAAAAATTTAAATTAAAGAGCGAAAAGAGAAAGTTTAATAAATTTTGGAATGAAAAAGAAGATGGGAATAATTTGGAATTGTTTCAAAAAAGATTGGAAGAACAACATAGAGAGCAAATGATTAATCAAGAATTAGAACAAATAGAAGCAAAATCAAAGAATATAAGTGAAAGGGCAGATTTGGTTGATTTAGCTCGAGGAAAACTCGAGGAAGAGGAAATTGAAGAGCTTGAGGTTGAGCATGATAAATCGAAACTACCAGTATCTGAGATCAAACAGAAGTTACAGATACCCACAAAGATCAAGATTAAGAAAAAGGCTGTCAATAATTTTAATTTAGACTACTCATCTGATTCTGATTAATTTATATCAAATTTTTTACTTGCGACAAGGCTCTGATTTGGCTAAGTTTTATTGATCTAAGAATTTCTAAGAACTCTATTTAATTCTATTTAATATATATACAATTTACCATCTTCTTTATTAATTTTCAACTCCTTAATGGCATCTTTGAGTGAAACATTTTTATCTTTTGCAACCTTTTTAAGTATTTTATATAAATTTGATTCAGTATCAACATACTTTGACACACCTTCTGTCTTGGATTTCTTCTCCTTCTTTTCTACTTTCTTCACTATTGGCTTCTCTACTGGCTTTATCTCCTTCTTTTCAACTTTCTGTTGTTTTTTTGGTTTATACAATTTCTTTTGATATTTTTCATCTTCAGTTATACATTGAGTATGATTATTATGATCATTACCATGAAATGTTGTTGAACAATCTATACATGTAAAATAAGCTCCATGACATCTTTGAGCATGCTGATTTAATTTCTTTTTGATGACTGTATCGTTACAAACTTCACAAGAGAATGACACCATCGATGAGATGAGATACTTTTTGTCTGCGAAATTTATATTTACTATGCAAACAAACCTAATTTTTACTTAACCATGGCAATAACTTTCTGAAACTATACGAAATGATCCAGTAACCTTAGTACTGCCAGGTGCAATCAACTTCTTAAATTTTTTGGTGTCATTTCCAAATGTAAAACCTTCAACTCTTCAGGAAATCTAAAACCGCTAGAAATAGTGTTCATATCTAATTTTATGATAATTGTTTCCAAACTTGGAGGTAATTCACAATCATCTAAATATCCTACAAATCTGTAAAACTTATATTTTACTTAGTCATTAGAATCACCAAGTTCAAAATATGCGGATGTTCTAGTTTCATTGAAAAATCAAGGTTTTATCAAAACAAACACTTGAGGTAAGGATGCAACAAACACTTGAGGTAAGGATGCAACAAACACTTGAGGTAAGGATGCAACAAACACTTGAGGTAAGGATGCAACAAACACTTGAGGTAAGGATGCAACAAACACTTGAGGTAAGGATGCAACAAACACTTGAGGTAAGGATGCAACAAACACTTGAGGTAAGGATGCAACAAACACTTGAGGTAAGGATGCAACAAACACTTGAGGTAAGGATGCAACAAACACTTGAGGTAAGGATGCAACAAACACTTGAGGTAAGGATGCAACAAACACTTGAGGTAAGGATGCAACAAACACTTGAGGTAAGGATGCAGCAAACGCTTGAGGTAAGGATACAGCAAACACTTGAGGTAAGGATGCAACAAACGCCGGGGTAAGGATTACAAACGTGTATGGTAAGGAT